TTGGGAGGGTTTGGATTGGGATTGGGAGGATTGGGATTAGGATTGGGAGGGTTTGGATTGGGAATGGGATTCGGGAGAGGAATCGGGAGAGGAATCGGGACAGGGTCGTTGTTGTTGTTATTCGGTGGGTTTTCAGGAGTTTCGACAGGGCCTGGAGGAGGGTTCTGTCCGGTTACAACTGGGGGAGGTACAATGACAGGCGCATCTGGCGAATCCGTCGCGAAAACAGTGCCGGTGATGGTCGTTGACCCTTGAGGGAAGGGAATCATGCCGAGCCCAGGTTTCGCATCACAAGCGTCTCTCTGTGTGCAGAAAGGTGCCGCACAGCTTCCAGTAACCTCACAGCAATCCAGTGGCACTAAAACAGTGTCTCCTGGTGCAAGTTGAGCCTGTTCAAAGTGTTAGCACAGGTCAGTTGAGGCTTGTATCGTGATATACTTTGTCTGGGTTTGCCTCTTTGACACACTGAAGTTCGATCTGGCTTTGAAGGGCAAGATCCTCAATTGTCTGTGGTAAAATCTTGACCTGCAAGACAGGCGGGGTATAACCAGGGATCGATTGGTCCTGAGCTTTTGTGCTGCATGCGCATGCAAGCAGTACGGCTAATGCTCCAAGAGCGGCTCGCGGAGATAATCCCATGCCCAAACGCGTTTTGAGAATGCCTTATGTTTGGACCTGCCAACAAAAGAGAAAGCGTGCAAGAACTTGTTTCACTTAAGAAATGACGACTGCAATCCAAGAAGAAAGGACCTGAGGAATGAAAAGAAGAAAAAAAGAAAGGGAAGGGAAATGACCACAAACGAGAACTGAAGTGGAAATGATGCTTCTTAATTCTGTCGAGAGGATATGGAAATTGACATTCTTCTTATACCTTCCAACGGTAGGCTGTGAAGCTCCCAGAATACTATCTTCAGAACTTATGTTAGGCCATCCTCCAGGGGATCGCTATGTAGGAGGATGTAACATGCGCAACCGTGATGTTTGTCGCAAGATTCAAAGAAACGTACGTTGAGGCAGAGAAGACTCTATACTTGGAGTAAAACAAAGGGAACTGAAGATGTCATAGATAGCATATGACCTAAGCACGCGGTTTCGAATCTATGTTGAGGTAGATGCTGTTTGAGATTAATCCTGGAGGTCAGCTAAGTACACAGTGTTCTCGAATAGGTTCGAAGTGCTCGACTTTGAGAAATTCGAAACTCTGGGTGCACTGCACGTCATTCACCCTATGGTATCTGCTAGATTCCCAACCCCTCCATTGCTCCACTCGCCAAACCCAGGGAACCGCGTGGGCAAGGAAGCTCTCGTTGTCCCCGATTAGGAATGTGGTGACTTCCCAGGAACCTAGAGGAGCTGATGTCGCGAGACGCGGCAGGGAAATCTTGGCCCCTGAAGGGAGTGAGACAGAAGAGAGTCTTGGGAATAGGATTGTCCAAAGATGGCCGAGGCTACGCGCACTCATCATCGCGTCGTTGCTGCAGGAGCAGCACTATGTATAGCTATGGGGCGCATTCCCCCCAAGTATGTAAGGGTGTTGGGTTGTGAGAAGCGTGATATGAGACTTTCAGGTTGAACCAGGGAGAGGCGGTGCACTCACTAGCCACTTATCCAAATATGGAACATTGAAGGACTTCAATGCTCACATGTGATCGGACCAGGAACCACCAATCAAGTATTCTAACGAAATCTCGAAATACCAAGTTTTTAAAGGATTAATCCTTTTGTAAGCAAAGTAGGCGCCCGATAGGGTGCTGCCCATGTAGGTTTCATCTAATTTTGTAAGGTGAGAACACGTGCTGCATCTTGCCTCTGCGGCTTACTCTGGTTAGCGGCTAGTGTATATCCGGATCTAGAATCAGCAATCTCTATCTGGACGTGGCACCTTTCAGTCCTTTACGCAGAAACAGTTATCACTCTTCCCCAATGTCGAAATATCCTTCCACGCAAAATTAAGTCTAAACTCATGTACAGAACAATACAGCCCTCTGCCTCCCTAACCGCTCACGCAACCCTAAGCTGGCGCAGTCGCAACCTCCTTGGAGAGACTGCCCGACCTCTGTAACGACATTTTCTGCTATATCTCTGCAGACTTTCTGCTGCCAGTTCCCATAGCCGACAATTCCACTATTCATTTTACGTCGCTTCCGCGGTTATTAGAGCAACCTGCATCGCAAATTGTGCCGTGTCAAATACTCGCGTTCGGCGTTAATCGGAGATAAAATCTCTGTCCACTTTGTTCTGATGATTAGGGTATGAAGTGACGCGCCTGGATCTCAGTATACCACAGTACAAAGAATATCCGCTCCGAAACTACATACACAATAGACTCTCCTTGGAAAATTGATTTTTGAGCCGATGCTACCAGTTCCCGACGGTGCTCCCCACGTGAAACTGGTTCGGTGACGTGATGATATATATCCGCCCGCCATCGGTCCGAACGGGCGGCCTTTGCGGACTGATGGCCTCCGGATGCATAACGAAGGAAAGCGCGTCTGTAATGGAGCTTACTACTGTTCATTGTTCTGGACTTAGCTTCTGTTTTACATGTTGAATGGTGTACGGGTCATAATGTGGCCTTATATCCGTTAACAGCGCAGGGCACGACTTGCTATAAGGTTGGCCATATTCCACCCTTTTGCTTCGTGTATCCCAGAGTGTTTGGTACTGACTTCCTCCTGCTTTCTCGCTTGGGCAGCAATATCAGATTCTAGTCTTCCGACACTGTTTTATACAAGATGTCCTTCCTCTACTCCCAATTCCTTGTCTCGCTGCCCCGTCCCACCACCTCCTGCGCCGGAAAGACTGTCATCGTTACCGGTTCCAACGTAGGCCTGGGAAAAGAGGCTGCCCGCCACTTCGTCCGACTCGGTGCCTCATCCGTCATCCTAGCCGTCCGCTCCATCGAGAAAGGCGAAGCCGCGAAGAAAGACATCGAAGCAAGCACAAAATGTGCCAAAGGCGTTCTACAGGTCTGGAAGCTGGACATGCTATCCTACGACAGTGTTCTCTCCTTCGCCGAGCGCGCGAATAAAGAACTCTCACGTCTCGATATCGCGATTCTCAACGCCGGAACCGCAAGTGCCAAATGGACCATTGCCGAGCAGGACGAAAGCAACATTACCGTCAACGTGGTTTCCACATTCCTACTCGCATTTGCGCTTCTCCCAAAGTTGAAAGCGACAGCAAAGCAGTTCTCCACTCGACCGAACCTGACCATCGTATCCTCCGAAGTCCACGCCTGGGCCAAGTTCCCGGAAAAGGATACCCCACCCAACGAGTCCATCTTCGCGCGTCTTTCGCAAAAGCCTGATACCGGGAATCCGGACATGGGCGAGCGATACCAGGCCACTAAGCTCCTGGAAGTCCTGATTGTGCGCGCCATGGCGGAGGAAAAGTCCGCCGCATATATCCCCATTACTATCAATTACGTCAATCCCGGGCTGTGTCACAGCGAGCTATCCCGTGATCTCGGATTTGGGTTTGAAGTATTCAAGTTCTTCGTGGCGAGGAGTACGGAAGCGGGGAGTAGGAATCTGGTGTATGCGGGACTGCAGGGACCTGAAAGCCATGGGCATTACGTAAGTGACTGCCAGGTGCACTTGCCGAGCAAATGGGTCATGAGTACGCAGGGTTGGGAGGTGCAGAGGAGGGTCTGGAAGGAGATAGTAGAGAAATTGGAGAAGATCAAGACGGGGGTAACTAGGAGTTTGTCGGATGAGTGATAAGAGAGCGTCATGCGACTGAAAAGATCATGCAACGACACTTTGGGCGGCACTTAATGTAACTTCAGATATGAATGACTCCTGGCCTTTCACATAAAGCTACTATGAAATAATATTCAGCCGAATATGGCTACGTTTATCAATCAGCCTTCAAGGTTGCACATAGGTGATCAAGGGAGATGTACACCTGTATCCCTGCATCAACAAACCTAGGCTGTCTCTGGTCATACTAGTAAAAGGTGGTGATAGAAATCGTATCTCTATTCATCGACTACTACCATCTGGGGGCGAATAGAGGGCATCAGGTGCCCTTCCCTCCGTCTCTTCGTCGGCCGGACCCTCATGTTGGTTTGCTTCTGGATTTTGTCCCGTGTTCCTCGCTGTGTACGCGGTCACGTCCCCTCTCTCATTTCCCCGCCCCCCGACTGCCAGAATGTCCTTACTAGGATCGCAAAGCATACGGTCGCGTTCGCGTGAAACCGGCCTCCCATACCCAAATCCCTGGCGTCCGACGTCATGTCCTGTGCCTTCTGCTTGACTCCCCACTCCTTCTTCTTCCTCAGCCTTTCTCTTTCCCTTTGACTTTACCTCAGTTTTGCTCTCTGCCTTTGTTTGTCTCTTCCCAGCCCCATTCCCGCCCCATGTGGTAGATGAAATGGGAGTCAACTTGTTCCATAGGTCTACCATCGACAGGACAGCACCATCGCTATCCTCTGCAGAAATACCGGTGTAAGCAAGTCTCTGTTCCACCTTGTTGCGCACCTTGGTGTATACCACCAAATGGGTCTTCCAAAGTTGGGGCGGGGCCCCTTGGGAACGTTCTAGGACGACGTCGTACGCGTCTGCATTTAGACACGAGTCTGCTACGGCAAAGAGAGCTCGGCCTTGAGCTGTTTACATGTAAGTTGGATGCTTTAAGGTTTTGAGGCGGGCTATGTTACCGATTATGAGCGTCCGGAGATGCGCTTGGAGCGAGACCACCGTGTTCAAGGCGGAAAGCTGTTGAATTCGCGCTGACGGTTCCAAATTAAACTCCATCGTGGCTTGGTGCAAAGTAACTTGAGATTGGCGATGCAGATCCGGTGCCGAGAACTTAAGGTGGAGTCCAGATTTCGTCTGTAAAGTCATGTAAGCATTGGCGCCCATGTTTTTTATACAGCGGAAGATTGCTCCAATGATTGCTGATACCACATTATCATGTCATGGATGATTTGAATTCCATACAAGCTGCAAGGCAGAGACATGTGAGTAGGGCAGGCATGCTTTTTCGATATCGTTGCCAGAGATTCGTAAGGATCACTTGAGCAGGACTTCGCAAGGTCTGCCTCACGCTGTTTGCACATATATCTTTCACTCTCACGTGAGCTCAGTGGCTCTCAAGTCTGTTGGCTGACGCAATGGGCTCGAAGGACAGTAATTCGGGGCTTAGAGTGACGAGACCCACTTCGTATGCTTGTCTAGTAGAGGTACTCTATTCTTTAGACTCTAAAGCCACGATTCTATTCTATATTCTCCGAAAAGCTCCCAGGCCAGACTAGCTATTACTATCTCTAGCTGTATAAGATGCACCCTAATATATTATATTTGCTTACGATCAATGCTGTGAGGCTCAGCGATGAACGTGGAGGCATGTGTTCGAATTCGGGATATTGGGATCGATTCTCGTTTTGGTTTTGTGATCCATAACCGTAGCTGGACAAGTTCCTGTTTGGGCCGCCTGCTCTCTAGGTGATCCAATCCCCATGGCCATTACAAGTTTCGTCCATAGCATTCACATACTCTGCTATTCTCGCTACCATCCAACCAGATGAGGCAGTACTCAAGGTTCCCTCTCCCATTTCCTTTATGTTTTCATTCATCTTCTCGCATTTTGAAGCGGCCGCAGAATACTCCAAGCATTGCACTGTCGCCCTTCGACCCAATCGTACTTCACTCGAGACCGAACAACTGGCATTGCTGAACGAGAATTGCAAGCACGCAGGATTGCTCTCGCAGGCCAACCTGCATGTTTCGAAGGATGCGTGTGCCGCCCCGTCTTTCAAAACGTTCTCACTGAACTTAGGATTTACGGAATAATTGTCCCAGTCTTTTCTTTGACTGCTCAAATATGGATGTATGTGTCCTTTGAACACATCGGCATGCCGCAAGGGAACGCCGCTCGGACGCGCTCGATGCCACTCTTGTTCGAACTTCCACAATGATCGGATTTCGTTCTCAAGCATGTGATGGTAGGTGATCGCGGGATAACACCACGGCTGTCGGTCGGCCTTCGTGATATTGTGATCGAGCGTTGACACCGGGTCACCCTGGAAGTGAGGAAACGCCCACAGCAGTGGTACTTGGACATCCTTCAACACTTTGCCGAGAACCATGTCCCCAGCCCATTTCTCAATCGTATACTGATTATACTCAGCCATGTGGGCCCTCCAATGTTCCGTCACTCTTCTCATCGCAGCCGCCGATAGTGCGAACCCTGAACCGCCATGAGCGAACAGCACTTCGCCGATATACATCTGCTTGCCGATATAATACGGTTTTTCTGCGTCGAACTTCGACAAATACTCCAGCAGGTTGCCCCACATTAGGTACGTGTCCATCTCAATGAACACGAACCACTTGGCTTGGGGCATGTGCCGGAGAGCTTTATCGACCATGGGCAAAAACTTGAACTTGTCGAGCTTCCATCCTGGGTTGCCTAGAGAGCCCGACGGACCGCTTCCGCCGTGTTCCGTCCCGTCAATAAAGATGCCATCTCGACCCTTCGTCTTGAGTCGATGGTAAAGCTTGAAATCCGGGACCGAGTCTTTGAAATCTTGGCTAAGTTCATCAAAAACATCGTGGATATGGTGCCCCTCGACTTCTTCCTCGTAATCAGAATAGATGACATAGTTCGGTATGCAGCGTAATGTGGTTTCGAAATGGACTGGCAGCTTCTCGAGTATCTCGGTTGCCCCTGTCCGAAGGACGACTAGTATGTCCTTCTGAATGGGGTTTCGAGGACAATATAATGCGCTTTGTGGATGGCTTGATATGCCGGTACTAACTGTCGACCTGCGACAGAGATAGAAGAAAAGAGAGCAAATAACCAAAGCGATAATTCCGATACGATTTCGGCGTCGGAACGACACCCACGGCCTGGATGGGTGTGCCGGAAATTTGCTCCAACTTTGGTGAGCCACCTTTCCTGCACCCATCTTCAAGCATCAAAATTGAACCTGTTGCAACTCGAAGTTGGAGATGGTCAAACACATCTCGATCCGACAGTCGGCCTCGATGATGTCGACCGTGGCGTAGTGTTGGCCATCACTCAATCTCGTTCAGGCGCAGCAGGATTGACTGTGAGTGCTCGGCGCGATCCATGCTTCCCAGGGTTCAAAAGCCGGTTCCGTAATGCTGGAACACTGGCAGGGTGTGGCACAGCTGCAGGGCGCTTACGGTAGGAACTTTGGGGGCGACAAGCTCGAGTATTGATTGGCCTTTGCCCGAAAGCATAGATTGAAGCACATGCTTGCGCATAAATATTCCAACAATCGAATGCGGTTTACGGTAATGTCAAGAAGACGACTACACAGTAAGAGCTGTTATCACAGTAACGGCACCGAAAAAGATGTTTTCAAGACCCGTTGTTGGCCAGGTTTTGGCCATGTCTCCCTGCAGTACATTCACAGTCTACCACAAGATGCTACATCTTGTATCCGAGTCGTTCTCAAGAGAACTTGATGTCAGAGTACGCCCCACGTAAGCGTACATTTATCCGCTGCGGTACGGCAAAGGGCTCAGCCTTGCTTAACGTTAGATGAAACTCCTGGGGCGTAGCCGCAATGGATCTCCTCTCACTTGATCCTCCCCCGAGATACTACCTCTTCCACCGTACCATCAAACACAATATGAAGGCTCTTCTTTCTGAGTTTGCAATTCTGCCCTCAGCATCCCTTCCAACGCACCTCGATCCAAGAGACGAAGGGCGGATCTGGACGACACCTCAAGACTCAGCCAACGGTTCCTTCATTTTCCCGCGTGCATACCCCCTTGCTTTCCGCGAAGGCTCCAACATCAATATCTCATGGTCCACAAAGTACGAAAACATCAATCTGTATTTCTACCAGAGGGGAAAAGTTGCGGATTCGGTGCAACTCGTCAGTGAGTGAATCGACATGCTTGAATTCTCTTCACCTCTGCTAATAAACCTCAAGCTAACCTGGCAACTAACTGGTACCAATGGGAGGTCCGCGCACAAGAGACAAATCTCACAAACCCATTCGTCTTCAGAGTCGTCAACGCCAAAGGCACCGCTGAGGAGCGGACCAACGGCGGCTTCTGGAGCACCAGCTGGTATCTCACACGGGGCGGCGACACAAGTCAATCTGTGACGTTATCATCTTCAACAGTCTCCTCAACCACGGCCCCGTCATCCACAGCTTCCTTGTCGGGTACGACGACTGCACCTACAACGGGATCGAGTCAGACGAGTGGTACGCATGACAATGGGTTTCCGAAGGGTGCTATTATCGGGCTGACAATCGGACTTGTGCTTGCGGCCGCAATCATCGTCGCGGGAATATTGTACTACTTGAAACAAAGGAGGAAACGCAAAGACGCACTGTCATCAGTGCAGGTATCTGATGCAGCTGGCTATGGCGACAAGACTTACAGCCAAATGCGGTACGCACATCATCCAGTGCACGAGACCTTCACACAACCATCCGAACTGCACGGTGAGCCGCCTCGCCATGAGCTCCCAGGCTCGACGCGGAGCGAGGGGTAGGATAGGAGCATCAACCATACGTTTTGTAGAATATGAAATGAGAGTAGGAGTAAAGGAAAGATAGAGGGGCGAGATACGAAGCAAAATAGCGGAGGGCAAGGAATGCATTGTAAAACACACGGGGAGCTATTAGGGTGATGTTACCGTTTTGAAGACATGGTTGATTTGCTGAATTAACTACGCAAGGAGAATAGATACCTAGGCAACTTTGGTTGTAAGTGGAACCGTATTTCCTCACTCTCTCCAACCGTAGCGTGATCTGAGCTCGCTTGGTGGTACTTTACTCTTGTGGTTACTGAGCAGAGAACCGTAGAGTGGAGAACCATAGGAGTGCATGAGTTGTATAATAAGAACATTCGCAAAGATATAGCACTTAACCTTGCATGTTAGCCCCTGTGGATACGCATACACAGAGCGGCGCTCGTTACCTTCTCCAAAGGACCTGTTTTTCTGATACTGTTGGTAGAGTCCAAATCTTATGCAGTTATCCAGTCAAAAAGATTGTTTTCAGAGGAACACAGAAGTAGCGGCGGCAGCTTTGCAAATAAACAGTCGTTGTGGGTCGAGATATGATGTCTAAAGCTGACGTTTAAGATCGAGATGAAACTCGATGAACAAAGGTAGCAAAGTAGGCTGAAAGAAAGCCGAATGGTCAGGAGAAGTCGTAGACACCATACGTCCTGTTAGGGTTGTCCTTCATCGGAGCTTCTTTAGTCCTTTGCATGTATGAAGTAAGCTGGAGGAAGGAGATGGCATGGGACTAAGCGTGCGTAATGGGGGTAATTGTATTGTCTATTCGACGTGCGAATACGCCAACCAACCCCTATACCAAATTCAGGGTTTCATAATTCCACTGAGGAAAGAGCAGAAGTTTCTATCAACCGAAACCGCTGGCAAGTGTTTGACGTCACCTAACCGTTATAATTGCCTTAGGTATTGGAGTCATGCTCCTCAACAGCACCAGCACCTTCGTTCCTCCTAATCCCTGACCTTCATGTCTTGTCCTGACCTTGTGCTTGGTCAACCTCAATAACACTATGTCCCCGCAGGCTGCTCCGCCTCCTCCTACTAACAACGCCTGGAAAGATTCTTGGCTCATTGGGATCAATAGTCATTCCTGGTGCGCCAGCGGTGCGAGGCGAAGTGAGCTCTTCAGGACTTTGGACCTGGGATGCTTGTGCCTGCAGGTTTTGCGGGGGAACTACTGGGTCAAGCACCCCTTGAGTAGGCTGTGGGACTACAGTGACTCCGTGGTTGAGAGCCATAGAGCTACGCCGGGGCCGCTCGAAGTGCTCATCCTTGGTTCGTGTGGGCGAAGTTGGCTGTGTAGGAGCACCTGGCTGGGTTGGCGTGGCGGGAATACGGGCCTGTTGCGTGTGGAACACCGGTGATCCTTGATAGGCACCCGGTGGCAGTGCGAAATGTACGTGCTCTGCCAAATTGGAAGCGGACGGATTTGTGGGCAGTGAAGCGGCAGGGGAGCCTGCATGTGTGGCAAACGTCGACTTCGGCGTCTGGAGGCCAGGCGCGCTGCCGGGTTGCAGATTCGATGCAGTGAGGCTGTTCGCCCTGGTCTGGGTCCCACGCGTGTAACGATTGATCCTAGATTAATCAGCTGACGTCCAACTGCATTCACAGCCATACACTCACATCTCGAACTCTTGGGCCAAGGTCTCGTGTCGAAACGCCTCTCTGATGCTTGGGACATTCGATTTTGCCATGTCATTCCCGGCCACTCCAGGTAGATGGTAATTGTTTCCCAGCCAGCGCTGTTTGACAGTATGCTCAAATCCACTCTGCTCGACCGAATGCTTAGCAAGCTCGCACATATCCACAGCACTAAGTTTGTAGATCTGAGCTGCCACCGAATATTCTTCAATCAAGGGTTCTTTGGTAAAAGCGAATTGCAGAGGATCGTCCGTCGACAGGGATACATTCAGACCCCGTCTGAAGTAACTTAAGAATGGGTTCCGTTCGTATGCTAGAAAGAGCGCATTGTTGCTGAGGGGCGACATAGCAATGCCGATCTGCTCGAGGTAGAAGATGTACTGCAGAAGCGGTACCTTTCGCAGTAGAAGGCCGTGACTGATACTATGGCAGCATAGCGCGGCGGCAGCCAAGTGATCTGTGTCACCAGCTTCACCACAGTGCGGCCGAAGAAGGAAAGTGTTGAACCCCCGTTGCTTCCGCCAGTAATTCAATGAAGCCATATTGGCAAACAGGTAGTACATCCAGTAACTGTAAGGTGGATTCTGCTTTGAATTCCAGACTCTCGGTACGGGAAACTTCTTGTACAAGCGTCTTTCAACCTTGCTCTCATCATCAACGCTGTCAAAGCCTATCACTCTCTGCAGAAAGATGTGCAGTTTCGGATGGCTCGAGGGATCTTTGGTGACCTCGAAGAGAGGCTGGAAGACGTTCACGACGATCTGTTCGAAATTTTCCACGAGGTTTGTAGCCTTGTAGACGTCGTACAGGCGTGGGATTTGGATGAGCCAGCGTACATTTGGCGAGAACAGCTTATTGTCCACGACCCATGCCGCGAGCTTGTCCCACTCTGCAAGTTCGCGACCATATATGGAGATGCGCCATTCTACCATCTGATACTTGCTGGACTCCAGATCAGATATGACCTCTTTCGTGATTTCGGCGAGATAGCGGCCCTTGATAAAGTTGTCGGTTTTCAAGAATATTGTGCGCAGGCGGGATTCACCAATCGGGTTATATTTCAAGTTGAACTTGTCGAAGCGATGGAATGTATCGGTGTGAGCCTGCAGAGTCAGCACTGTATCAATCGAAGATGTCCGACTACTCACATGCATATCCAACGTGTCAATACTGAGATCGTAGGCGGTCAAATTGATCGACTCGAAGACCTCCTTGAGAGTCAAATGCTTCCCGTCGCGAAACAACACGATCTCGTCAGGCGACTTCTTCATCTTAGACTTGATGAAGCGGAGAAGATGCTTCTGGTTCATACATGCCGAATGGTGAACGTGCGTATCCACTTTCCTTACGTTATAGAAGTCTCGATGTGGCACTCTCTTGCTGTCGGCTATTTCCTGGTACTCATTAAGAAGATAGTAGAGGTTGAATTTTCCTTCCAGATACTGAAGCCTGCGGAATGCGAAACTCTTGCTGGGGCCATCAGATGAAACATCGAGAACAGTATCTAAATCGATATAAAAATCTCGCAGCGTGGGTATGGCCACAATCGGGGCATCGAGTTCTGCTGAGCTGTTTTCATAAACCTGGAAGACTCCACTGTCATCCAGGCGGAACGACATCTCGGAGGGCCCCGGTATTGGCACTTCCTCAATGTGAAAGTCCTCTCCAATATCTTTTCCCATCTTTCTGGGCGGTTTGGGCAATTCGCCGGACTCCACTAAGGCACTATTCTGCATACTATTCGTTCCATTATGACGTTCTTTCGAGTCGTCCCATACGGGTTCCGGGTGAGGCGGGTAGATCTTCCAGCTCGGATCGTCTTTGGGATTGTCCCCGGAGCCTTGCAGAGATAAACGGACATATTTGTGCCGGAGATCCAGCACCTTCTGCACATTGGTGTAGATGGTGCTAAGTTCAGCGGTGACCTCACTATCCGACATGGCGAAGCCACCAGCTCCTGTTCCTATTCCTATACCGGCGCCTGCACCATGTATGCCTTGACTTGTAAGGAGTGACGGCTTTTGCTCGTGCGGGAGCCCGGGGTGTCGAGTGTGGTCTCTGGCTTGCTGGTCGGCCTGTAGAAGCATATCTGTCGGAAAGGGACCTTGCGCAGAGGGCTGTGCTTGTGGTCGCGCTTCGTGTGACTGTTCCGGCTGTGACAAGCCAATGGCCAGCGCGGACTTTTGTGCCTGATTAGGAAGACTGATATTGCTCCTCCGAGAGTGAATGCTATCTTCTCTTCCAAGCAGGTCATTCCCCTCGCCGCCAGTGAAGTTGACAGGGAACGTCTTTGCCCGTAATATAGGGCTGTAACCATCTCCTGCTTGCGAACCTCCGAAACCCTCCAGTTGGTGCCGCTGATAGAACTGCCTTGCCTCGCTATGGCTCATCTGCTTCTCGGACGCATAATCGTAGTAGGCTGTTTTCTTCTGCTTATCGCGCGGTAGCATCCCAGCAGCTTGTGCATTGTCGACGGGGTCAGAGCCGTCGCCATCATGGTCTTCGCCGGCCGTACTTCCAGCAGCACCGGCTCGACTGTGGCCGTCTACTCCTGTGGACGAAGTATTCTCCTCTTCGTGGTCGGAGGACTCGCTATTCACGGCATCCTCCTCTTCGGAGGAGGGTAACTGCGGATCGTCGACATGGGCGGGGGTAAGGTCAGGAGACGCGTCGGGAGCGGTCGAGGCAGAAACTAAATCAAGCAAGCCGCTGTTAGAGCGCGAGTGAGCTCGTTGCACGCGTGTAGTGCGAAATACCTTTCATCATTCTGCGGCGCTGTGATAGTAGTGTTTGCGGACCCCATTGGAAATCTAAGTTACAGTCGTCCTGGGGGTGCCCACAAATGTGGCGCAGCGCGGGAGGTGGCGCCCTCCATCATGCGACAACGTCCACCAAAACACCCACCTGCTGGGCTACGAGAATCACACGCGCGCAATAAATCTCGAGGTCGTCCTACATGGTCCGGATGCCGTAAATGGTTGGAGATAGGATTGGAGCTTCGATATATGAATTACCGTATTGCTGTTTAGCGCCTTAGTACTTGTTTTCCTCGGCTCTTGGACGTTCGGAACGGGTAAAAGATGCCAGGCACATGCACCAATGTCTTAGTAGATGTATAGAGACTACCCTGATCTGCTTGCATGTGGCGTAAGAGAACAGAAAGATACACTGTGTAAAAGTGACTTTCATGGTGATCATAAACGGCTTCCTCTCTCCAATCTTCGTCACGGATGTTCATCGTAAATCTCACTAAAGAGCGAGGGAGCTAACTTTGGCGAAAATCTACCATAACAAATCTTACGCAATGCTTAGAAGGATCCCGGAAGATCGACTCTCGCATGGATATGCTTGGCAAGGCTAAAAAGACATCGGAGCTCCGTCTCATCAGGATCTAACATCATTCTTGACACTTCCGTCCTACTCCTCTAATTGCAAAGTCCGAGTCACGAGATGGGCGTTTGAGCTTCTGGCACCCTTTCTCCACTGTCACCAAGGTTTTCACGGAACAGTAAAGCGTAGGGTACCACCACACCCTAGGGCACGTTGGGGCACAGACTCGACCCTCTCCCCATTTCACAAAGCCGCCTATCAAGCATGCCCAGCATCAAAAATTACGACTAATCACTATTGGGCGGGAAGGTGCCTTGTATTATGTGCCTAAACCGGGTTACTTGCCTTGAGATCTCATTCCTTATGAAGAACCTCCGTAATCGGAATCCATTCCGGCTACAAGACGATGATAATCAATTCTGGCGCCTGTAACTTTCCCCACGTGCCCCATGTCCTCCGCTAGAATCGACAGTTCGATATTGGTGGTAGGGTTCGTCTCGAGACGGTTGGCGCAACCACTGATCTAGCGCGGGGGATTGCAGAGCATTTCCCTGGGATTGTGGCGTTGTTACGATCGTACTTTGAGTGTTCCCTGCCGCCTGTGGTTACCGTCAGTTTCCAATTTGCAGAAAGATGAAGCCGGAAGTAGAATCTTACTGGCTGGGATGCCCTTGAAGCAGTCCTGTCAACAGCATGAGGCATGGCCGCGATTCGAGAAGCCGGCCGTATATTTGATAAAGAGTGAGGGTCAACGTTGGTATGGCGTGGTTCGAGTTTCTGTGCACTTAAGAGGTGACTGCTCAGGGTTGCTTTTTTCCACGGAGCTTCCAGGCCATTATTTGTACGAGACTTTGAACGCAGTTTCAGGATCCATCCGTCCTTTGATATGTCACCGCGTACATAGGCCGGACAGGAGAAGTTGTCTCGGAAAGGGCCGCCCCAAGGCCCGTATTGACGTTCTTGGACGGGCCTCAGCCAAGGGGTGTACAAGGTTATGAGCTTCACGGACTCCTAATGTATCCGCATCTGTTCAATTGTTATCTGTGCGCATCTCGAATAGGAGTTCGTGAAGGTGAACTCAGTGCTCAATCTCGTCGGGAATGATTCATCCGTCTGCACGATGTAGCGGATATTGCCGGCCTGCACGTTATCCGATGTCAATATCCGGAGGCATTGTGAGGACAACGAAGGAACGGGTCTATCTGGAATCCACGTTCTGTAAATGAGAACGAAAGCCTTCGGGATTCGGGACCTCGGAGAATCTATAAGGGAGTGTCTCCCATGCACTTCAACGGCAAGCTGGACAATGGCCATAGGTAAAGTCCGGTCCACCTGGATTTGGGGGCTGACTATCTACAGTTGGTGACAGTGTATACGAGTGACGGGAAGAATATTTTCCCATGTTACCTTTCAACGTCCAGTCGTTGTCCACATATTCCAGGAAGGGCTCAGGAAGCCCCAGACGGTTATAAATACTTGCCTTTTGTCTAATCAAATCCTAAAAAGCTGTTATTGGTCACACCGTGCCCTTACCATGCTGTCGTGATATAAAGCTTTGGCCTCCGGCGCCATACAATGCTGTCTCTTCTTGGTGGGCAGCATTCACACGAAAAGCCGTAAGGATAACCTTTCATGCAGGTGACTACCGTGGTCCGTCACGGAACTGATGAGGTGGAGACTTCCCGGCCGTTGAGGCTTCCATGGTCGCAGATGCCTTGGCGGCATAATCTATGCAGCTTGACCAGTCAAGTGCTTGCAAAGCCTGCGAAGCCGGCAGTGAATCTATTTTCGCCGTCCGCAGTTCCCTGCACGGTATGACCCAAATATTTGGGACCGGGGTTTGAATAGGGTCTGGTCGGATTCCGGATAGTACTCTGGCTGTAATATCCATCCGGAGCTCTATGTACAGCTTTCACGGATCATGGCACTCTGAATCTAGATAACAAGGTGATTCGCACTCGCCCTTCCACATCGTAACATATCCGGAACTGCCCATCAAACTAGGATAATCTCTGGTACTGGCCTTGTACGGCTTTGTCGGCCGAGACCCAGGCCCGAGAATAGATGGAAATAGCACAGGCACATCCTTGAGCGCGTTCACCATACCCTGGACCGGATTGTACGACCGCTGTAGCCTTGGTTTCACCGGTCCCGGATCGTGAGGACGCTGCAGATCTGTTTCACCCGATCGATGACCGCCGTACAGGCCATTCTCTGTCTCAACAGAGACATCATTGGATAGCCGCAGCTGCCTGTCTCAGATAGCACGGCTCTCTATGTCCTTTCAATCACCGTCCGACTCGCAATAGCATTGTGCGACGCTCATGGCAGGCTCTCATGTCCCTTCCCTTTCCGGTCATCCAATCCGCCCTGGATGATACTATACCTTCACATGTGGATTTGACAGTATGCCATGACTCGCCTGCCTAAGGGTGCTTTTGCTAACTGATGGTAGGTACTTCTCAGGCTGTGAAAGACACAGTTCTCTTCCAATGCTTCCCAGTCCTCTCTTTTCATGGTTTCTAGAACGAGCCAATCAGGAGAATTGAGTGCTCCATAGGTGCGTTAACCCTTCGAAACCAAGAGTTGGTTCACAATCCGGACTTACACTTACAACTCAGCCAAACCAACATTGCCCCAGTCCGTGACGATGTCGAAGGGCACGGTAATCGTAGCATATCAGGCCACTTGCCCAAAGTTCTTCTGTGACCGCAGCAACACAACAGAAGAATGTCGGGTTTGTCTTGCACCCATATGAAAGCAGAAACGTAGAGACCACTGCTGCACTACTCGGCCCAGCACTACCCGACCTCGAACTGCTCGGTCTTTCGGTCGTAGGATGAGTTTCAGAAACACACACATCTGATCACCCAGCCTGAAAACGGGCAGCCATCCGTCCGGCAGACTTTAAATCATTTCCACAGTCGAATAATGCCAATCCTGGTGATCCCTCTGATTACTCCTATCTGTCTCAATTTGGCACCAAAAATGGGGGTGATCGTGGGAAGAGGTGACAACGGACCACAAGTTGCGATGCTAACAATAGCACGCGGGGTCTGCCATATAGCAGAACAGTAACGGTTTCCGGCTCATCCCATGTCTCAGTTTCTATGGAATGTCTCGCTATGAATGCATATGCGTGCGCCATTAACATCTTCACTCATTATTGGGCATTTTTCAGTCGGATGTTTCGTTTTCCTTTTCGCACAAGTCGGTGTACTACCTTTCGCTTATTTCATCAAGCACAGCCCTACGGATGAGCGAGAAGCCGCACCGCGTTGCCATTCCGCCGGGAAAAGGATATTGCTGAACTTGGTAGTACATTGTGGGCTAGGCCCCGGCCTTGTGAGGCTGCTTGAATGCAAACATGAGGATTGGTCAATTCAAGCCTCCTGGCGACGACAAGGGACCAACGGAAAGCGAGATAATCAACAAAGATCGGGGTGCCATCGAGACAGAAGCTCACGGTTGCGGTTCCTATACTTACAATCTGGTATGCCTGGTCTAAAACAATGGCTTTTTAAAGATGTGAAGACAAACTCGCGATCACAGATGCGCCAAGACGGGAGGGGCTTCGGAAGCGGCGAAACTATAATCCATGCCAAGCTTGGCCCGAGCTCCTTCTCCTTCTGCCATAGACGTTCATCTCCCGCAACCCCAACACAACAACAACAACATCTCCTTTCGCCCGCCACCCCTTCTCTGCGAACGCCGCGCCATGATGGCGCTCACTGCCGATCAGAAGCGCTTGAAGGCGACGAAGTTCCCTCTTGAATTCGACAAAAAGGTGGATATCGAGAAGGTCAACCTCGACATCATCAAGAAGTGGGTTGCGGAGAAGATTACTGCAATTCTCGGCGACGATGACGATATTGTCATTGAAACGTGCTACAATCTGCTGGAGAAGGAGCAATATGTGAGTACGATGCTCATTGCTTCATTTCAGGTGCTAATGCGAAATACAGCCCAAGATCAAGGAGATCCAGATTCAACTCGAGGGCTTCCTCGACAAGGACTGCCCGCGGTTTTGCAAAGAACTGTGGAATCTGATGCTCAGCGCCCAGGAAAGTACTGCGGGTGTGCCAAAAGAGTTGCTAGAAGCGAAGAAGCTCGAACTGCAAAAAGAGCAGGTATTGTTATCTCACTCTCGCCTCACGCGCATCACACTAACGCACCACACAGGCATCGAAGGCAGCTGCCGAGAGCCGCAGACGACAGGCACACAAGGAAGAAGACGAGATGATCAACTCTTTCCGTGAAGATGAGATGACTGCACGCAGGGACCGGACCGGTCCTGGAGGACGTGGGCGTGGTCGGGGCCGTCGTGATGACCGCAATCAGCAGCGTAGACCACCGCGCCACACTTTTCCGCTTCGACGCGATAGTGACTCTTATGTCCCTCCTCCCCGAGGACGTGGTCGGAACAGATCTGCTGAGCGGGGCCGATCTCGTTCTGCTGAGAGGTTCAGGTCTCCTACTCCCCGTCGTGACCATCGCGGTACTTCGTCTGAGCGCTCGCGATCTCCTCGCCCGTCGCGTCGCGGTCGTAGCCCTTCTCTGAGTCGCTCAAGGTCTCCGGTCCGCAGGCGACGTCGTCGATCACCATCATCGAGTCGCACTCGGTCCCCTCCTCGCAGGAGGCTTCGTACTACTTCGCCAAGCCGCTCCAGGTCTCCTCCGCGCAGGAGGCTTCGTGCTGCTTCGACAAGCCGCTCAAGGTCTCCTCGTGACCGGTCGCCTTCACCTCGTCGCGCCCGTCGCTCTTCGACTAGATCTCGTTCTCCGCGCGGTCGCTACAGCAGGAAGAGGCGTAGGAGTTCGTCGTATTCGCGAAGCCGAGATAGAGCTTCCAGGAGGCATCATTCCCGATCTGCAACCCCGCGAGAGAAACTGAGCTCACCATCACCTAGGCGTAGCCTCACACGTTCACGGTTTCCTCCAAGGCACAGGGGCCGTCGCTATGAATCAAGGTCAAGCACTTCTGCGCGGTCGGTCACTCCCAGATCTAAGCGGGTGAGGGAGGATGAGCGTCCTCCGTCTGCACATTCCTCCGAAGAGAGTTTATTGAATACAAGGGCTGATGTTCAGAAGCGCAAGCGCTCCAGGAGTTCAAGCAGATCAACATCTCGAAGCAGGTCACCATATAACAGACGTAGGTTTACACGGTCTCCAAGGTCCTCGTCGCCAGGTGAATCCCCAGCGTAGAGGGTTCATGCCTCCTCTTTTCAGAGGCTTGCGTAAGTTTCGATCCAGGATCATTTGTCCCCTCTTATGCATAAACTACACCAACTCTTTTCAGCAACCAGGACAACGACCCGTTTCTGAGGGACAGCGGATTTATGGCTATCGACAATGCCAGACCGCCAATTGTGATGTGGCGAGTGTCTTCAGTATAGAGCACGTCCTAGGAAAGCTTGGTTATCGGAGGGGCTCAGTTTTCACCGAGGGGACCGACTTACTTGCATGTGTGACGGGATGGTTTAGGACTTCTCTTCCTCGACTGTTGAAGTTCTCTTCACATGGCGTCTTTGGGAGGGCTAGCCATTTCATGGCTCATTGGGGGTGGATTTTCGGGTCGACTTTCTGGCTTCAACCTTTGCGTCTCTTGCATTGGGCAGCGACCACACTGATATCGTCGAGCTTGCCTAATGAACGATCAATAATGCTTACCTCAGAAGGGACGTACTTCCCGGTACTCACCTCCTTCAATAGACAAACCTTCATCAATTGCTTTCTCCATATACGGGCTTTCAGCAAATGGGTCTTCGGCAATCTTCCTCGCAGCGTTGAGCAGTTCCTGTGCAACAAAGCGCATACCATCCGAATAAGTTTGCTCCGCGGGGTCTTTGCCCTCATTCACCTTCCCCGCCTCATTCTCCCACTTGTGCATGCTGTTGACCACGGTCTCGACGACCTCGTGCTCCCACAGGTTGTCAATTACGCCGTCCGTCATGGCTAGCACAACGTCATCTTCCTCAATCTCCACCCTATCCACCACCGCGTCACGTTGAGGTGTGTCCGGGCTGTTCGTCCCCAGCTGCCTCGGACAATCAAACCAATGCCACTGCTCCGTCGTCTTGAATATAACTTCTCTGCTCCTTGGCCTCAGCACCATGATCTGGGAATCTCCCAGTTGGGTGACCCATAGGACGGGGTGAGGGCTACTGTTTCGCTCGGCGGTGAGGAGCGCGGCGCAAGCGGTGGTGGTGCCGTACCATTCGTTCGGGGAAGAAGTGGCTTCTTTGGTGCGTTCGAAGGCGCGTTGAAGGTAAGCGATGTTGTCGGGTGGGGGCGCGTCTTTGGACGACCCTGATAGATCTGCGGCGTCGGCCTCCAGGGACCAGAAGTGGAGTATTAGGCGGGACCAGAGGCTGATTGAGGAATTAGCAAGATGTGTCCTATTATGGGATGTTTTCATCCGGAAACACAAGGGGAAGACGAGAACAGGACGAAAGGTACAACATACGCAGCATGACCCTTCTCTTTCTGCGCCCAAGCTCCCACGCCATCGTTCGCGCCTATAAAGTTCTCCCCTACTATCACCGCGTCGTCGCCATTTGTCACGCCGCGAATCAGCTCCCCGTTGACGGTTGCGCGTCGATCGCGCGACCTGTTGTGTGTGCTGAGCGGCTCGGAGAAGCTGCCTGAAGGGTATGACAGAAAGGGGGGAGGAAACGGTCGAGAGGGTCGTTTTGCGTAGAGGGCATATCCGGCTTCGAAGTAGAAGGGGGATTTGGGTTTGGTGGAGATTTCTGTGGAGGAGGAGTTGTGTGAGGAAGAGGAAGGCTCGTCATCGGGATACGGTAGTGTGTACGTCCCTACTCGCGGTTCCTGTCTCGTGCGTGCGGCGAAGCATCGTCTGCTTTGAGGTATGGGAATGCAGAGGCGAGGGCATAAACGGAGGAAGTGAGACGGGTTCGGGGCACGGAGAACGGGTTGGAGCAGGGCGGCGAAGGAAGAGGGGTTGCGCAGCTGGGGAGCAAGAGGGAGCATGGAAGCTGTGGGTGCGGAGCCGGAGCGAGGACGACGCTTGTAGCGCAGTGCAGAGAGGGCGACAGGGGAGAAGAGGCGCGGGCCTCGTGGCTTGGTGTTAGAGGAGCTTCAGCTCAGATTCATGGCGCGGGGGAGTTGGGCCGCGATAGCTGATAGTGTGTAGAAGAGTGGTCGTGGGAGATATGCTGAAACTCGGGGTTGCCTGGAATGGATTGGAGACTGTGGAAGGGAGGGAGATAATGACGACGTTGCGCGTGGCAAGAGCAGTAATCTGTGAGGAGTGCTGACTTGGTGATGATTAGTGAGGTTGTCGTGGGGGCAACCCCACGCTTCTAGAGTCCTACCTCGTCCGGCATATTTCAGAGATATAGCATCTACCTATCTTACACAGTACACCACATAGAAGTGCTTTGCAAGTTTTAGTAAACTTTATGTCATTACAGAAAGAATTTCGAGGTTTGTAGAAGTGATGGTCATCCTTGTTGTGTATTCACGACAAGGCAGGTTGTTGAGCAAGCAGAGTTCCTACTAGATATATGTATCGTTTATATGTATCCATCCATCCCTTATATGCAATTACGCTATAAAAATTCAAGCCGGCAAGTTCAAACCCAATCTCAACGCCGCCGCTATGTCAAAACTGAAGAGGGAAAGACCTGAATTATCCCGGTTCGTAGAACCATCGAAAGGGACCTGGAAAATGCGACGCTTCATGCATATGCGCTTTGCCAGTAAAGGATAACGAAACCTTTCGACGCCAGCACACAGGAAAGAGGAAAATGAAAGCCTTGCAAAAGAATACAAGATATACCTTGAAGAAAAAGGAAAACCGCAACATAGCAGACAGTGACGAACCCGACGAACCCGGAACATGAACGCTGCAACAGTAAGAAACCGATGGGAAGAAACGAAGGGAAAATGAAGACTCCACGTCTGCAAGGCCATACCCATTCTCTACGCCTCGCTGTTTCTTCTCTCACTGGCACTCTCCATCGACCCCTGCGCACCAAAACCTGTCTCCCAGCTCCCCCTCTCGGTCAACCTCTCTGACCTCCTCCTCAACGAGCGCGCTCTCGGCATCGAAGAGTTCGATCCCGCCAAAGAATTATGCGAACAGCACACTGAACCTCCAGCCAACGGACTATTTGGATATAGCCCCTTGATAGCCGCGCTACGGCTTTCGCACATGTATCTGCTATTGGAGCTCCTCATGCTTTGCTCCGACAGTGATCGATCACACGAGCAAGGTCGGTGGGACTTGTCGTCGGTTGAAACAGTGGTAGACTTGCTGGTGCTGAGTGCGTATCCGCTTGTCCTTTTGGTTGTTTCTTTCTTGAGCTCCTCGTTTGATGTTTTGGGCGCTGAGCCGGAGCGGCGAGAGGGAGCTGTTGCGGACTGATTGCGGCTTCGGTGGCGTGTGAGAGCCTCAATCTCGTCTTCGGCGGGGAAGAGGGGCGACGGGGCTCGTGATCGAGGGGGAGTGGGGAGAGTATGCGAAGAAGATTTGGTGGAGGCTGCAGATGGAGCATGGAAAGGAGGGATGATAGCGCTCTCTCTTGGTGATGGGGGATTGGTTGCGGTCGGGGTCTTGGAGGGCGCTGCAGAGGCTATTGACTCAGGCGGGGGAGGTGGGTCTGGTGAAGTGGAACTTCCAATTGGAACCGGAATAGGGCGAACATATGGGGCTGTTGACGATTTTGAGCTTCGGATGGAGGGACTGGTGGACCGACGAGACGACTCCGATGGTGCTGTTGGTGGTGGCATCGAAGACGGAGAGGGCTCATCAGCGATACTCTCTGGGGCTTGCGACGGGGCGTTGTTTGCAGGGGAGTTTGAAGCCACAGATTTGTCGGCGGGAGGAGGTGCGTCGACTGATTTTATGTCCTTCACACTTCGCTCGGCCGATGATTTGTGGGATTTCACTGAAGGTGCTGGTGACTTGCGCGAGGCTTCCGAGGGCGCAGCAGGAGTTGCTTCCGGCGAGGTTGATTGTCCACCCTCAGCGGCCTTGGTTGGTGCAGGTTGTTCGGCGGGATCGCCTGGGACAGAATAACTGATAGGACCCGGCACAGGACGCACATAAGAACTTTTGGAAGACTTCGTGGACTTCAGAGAGGGAGTAGCCGAACGGCACAGGAACTCCATAGGATCGATCGGTGGCGGAGGGGGCGTGGACTCCGTCTCAGGTCCGGCCGTCTCCTTTTCACCTGACTCAGATGGTCCCACCTCAGGAATGGGAGCAGGAGGGTCTTCCGGTGATGCTGACGGTGTTGCGACTTTGTCAGACTCAGCTGTTGCATCGCCGTCCGCTTCAACGCCCATTTCAGGAGTGGGAGCTGGAGGGTCTTCCGACGACGGAGGCGGCGTTGCGAGTTTCTCAGACTCAGCTGTTGTATCCCCGTCCCTTTCAGGGGCTCCCATCTCTGAAGTGCGAGCAGAAGGGTCTTTCGGGGAGGGAGGCGTCGTTGCGACTCTCTCAGACTTAGCTGTTGCATCCCCCTCTGCTTCAGGAGTTCCTATCTCAGGAGTAGGTGGAAGAGGGTCTCTCGGCGGTGGAATAATGGGCGGTGGAAAATCAGCAGCAGTCGGGGACGAAGTGGTGGTTGGTGGCATACCGGCTGCTCTTAGTTCCTCACGCCTGACCTCCACGCACCTCGCATCATCATACAAAGCCAACCCGTGATGATAGATGAAGTCTTCCACTTTTCCATCTTCCGACGCTTGCAAGCTCTCGTGCTTGGGTTCTCGATGAATGACCGGGAAGAGTCTGAGGAGAAGCTTCGGTGCTTCATCTGGGATTGCCGTGCCCGCGAGTGATGCAATGGGGGTATCTTCGGATTTGTACGGCGGCCAGAAATCAGGACCAGTGAACTCGTGCTTGTCATCATGTACGGCCGGCATAGTAGCCGTGATGAGCTCCCTCTCGAGACGAGCAAAGCGCCATGTCTCAGCTGCAAGCTTCACGATTCTTCTGACAGCAATCCTGATGCCTTCCTCCTCTTTAGGATCAGCGAAGTGCTTGATTTCGGCAACGATCTCATCGACCACGGTGCCGGCAGCAGTGTTTATTCTTTGCTTGGCGCCACTACTTGTGAAGGCAGCGAGAAGCGTCTGCTGTCGCCATATTGCTTCCTTTCGAGTGCTCTTCTCTCGAATGTGATTGCTCATCGCAAGGAACAGCGAATCTGCTTTGTCGTAACGGCGTCCAAGACTGAACAAGAAAGGTCCGAATACTCTGAAGGTTATCATAGCGGACACGATATGTGCGATGTAAGCTGTGCGGAGTTGCCTGGGAAGGTCAGTTGCTGTTGAGGATGTAGATAAACGACGTACCGAGAAGCGGAAGTGTTGCCGAGGAACGAGGGCAGCTCGGGAGGTATCTTCTCGAGGACATTGGGGGGCGGAGTAATCGGTAAATGGACAAAGTGGGTTGTTGCCAGATCCATGATCTGCTTCTGTAGTTGCGAGAAGGAAACCAGACTGCATACACTGACTCAGCATTCGCTCAGTAGAGGGCAACGGCAACAGTGCAGGCGACGATAACGACTCTTGCATTTAAAAGGGGACAAAGTGCTAACAGCTTTTCCAGACGGCGCCAAGGTCTTAATGAACAGTCCATAATCATCGTCGCGGCTGTCGTACGACAACAACGTGAACAGGGATCTCCAGTCAGTACTTACTAGTATGTATCACCCTTGCTCTTGATTTCAGCAATGTCTCCGTAGCATTCCATCAGCTTTTCCAGCCTAGCCTTCTCGCTTTCGAGATTGCCAGCAACGCTCCTAATTACTTCCTTCTCCTTCTCGCTCTCCGCCTTCAGTTCATCAAATTTCTTCTGAAGCTCTTCCAAATCTTTGGTCAGCTTCTCCACCTTGGCCTTCTCTTCTTCGGCTCTGCGGTTCGCTTCGGCATGTAGCTCGATCCAAGCCTTGTCCGACTCTTCCTTCTTCTGCTTGTACTGCGTCTCCAGGAGCTGGCGTTGCTCCTCCCAGCCTCTCTGCAGACTCTCTCGATCCTCTTGATGGGCTTTCGTAAGATTTTTGCGATCGATTTCCCAAAGCTCTCTGCTCTCACGCTCTTGCCTGAGGGCCTCCTCACGATCCTTCTGAGCCGTGCTCAACTTGGTTTCAAGCTCTTCTCGAACCTTCTCAAAATTCTCCTCTCGCTCACGCTGTTGTCTCTGATGCTCGGATCGTAACTCATCCTTCTCTCGCACAAAGGCCGCTGCTGCTTCTTGCCGCTGGGTCTCCGCAATCACGTCTGCTTCTTTCAACTTCTTGTCGAACTGAATTGCAAGCGCGATCTTCTCGGCGTCATGTTTCGTGGTCGCAGTCTTTTTCCATTCTTCGAATTCCAGCTCAGTTTTGGCGATCCTCTCCGCGTAAGTCTTCTCCAGAGCATCCTTCGAAGCCTCCAACTCTTTATACTTCGCTTCCCAAGACGCTTTCGCAGCTTCTAGCGCAATTCTTGTCTCTTCGGCTTCCTTCTTGTACTTTTCCGTCTCCGCTGCCTGTTCCCTGAGCTCTTTGACCTGCTCTTCCATATTGCCGATTTCGAGCCGCAGTCTGTTCGCCTCACTGGATTGCTTATTTTCAACTGCAGCCACTTTCTCCTTCAAGTGACTGATCTCATCATCCTTGGCTCTCAACCGCTCCTGTTGTTCAATGCCAGCTCTGCGGAGGAGCTCCTCACGCACACTGAGCTGGCCATGTGTCTCCTTGTACCGGGCAAGAAGGACGTGGAGATCCGGAATAGCTTGCGAAATGCGTGAGAAGATGTCGCCTGTGTCATCCTCAATAGCTGAGCCATTGTCGATATTTGGGGGACTGAGTGAGAAGTCTCTTGAGCCGACCGAATCGTGACGCTGAGGACTGGCATAAGGGGGATAGGTAGGAGGGTACTGGCCCCAGGGCTCTTGGTAGGGAGATGAAGAATGCGAGAGGGTTCCATAAGGACTATATCCCCCTGGTTGGCTCATGCTGTGACTGTGGTAGTATGGTGGCGCAGTGGGAGGATAGTAACCAGGGTGATACCCAGGAGGTGGAGGGCGCTGAGGAGGATTAGAGTAGTGTTCGGATGGAACCCTCGAGGCAAATAGACTTCGGTTATGTGGTGGTTGGGGCGGGTAAGTATGACCTCGTGAAGGGTCCCGTGATAGGGCGTCTCCCCTGAGGCGTGGCTGGATCAATGCAGACTCGTCTTCGTCGTCGTCGTCGTCATCAAACGCAGGGGCATGTCGTGTTCTTGGCCTGCTAACGGGTGGAGGTGTAGGAGCGGGCGGTCGGTCGTCTGCAATCACTTGGTTCAATGCGGCAGTTGGAGGTTTCGGTGGTGACTTCGTGTGCGCAGCGGCTTTGGTGGTTCCAGTTGATTCAGGTTTTGAAGCCTCTGAAAGCGCCGTTTCCCAAGAAGTAGTGGCCACCGACTGTGCTGATGTAGATGAGGTCTCTTCGGGTGCCACTGGAGGGGAGGTATTGGAGCTCGAGTCCGCGGGCGGTCGTTCGTTTACTGTGCTTATCTGCTGAGGAGGAGGTTCAGACGGTGCAATGTCGGCTGGTTTACGCTCCAGTGCTTTGGCTTCTGAAATTCTGGCTTCCACTGTCTTGGTTTCTGGAACTTCTGCTTTCAAAGAGTGGGGCACAGGTGCATGTGGCTCTGGCTCTTTAGCTTGCACTGGCGTACTTTCCGCAATTTTAGCTTCCGCTGCCGTTGGTTCTGGTACTTTCGGTGTCCTTTCTTGGGGTTGAGGTGCAGGGTGTTCAGGACCTGTCGGCTCTGATATCTTCGACTCAGATGGAGGGGGCTCAGCCACGGGAGGTGGAAGTGCGTCCGGTGCCGCCGCGTTCTCTGCGGTAGACGAAGAGACAGCAGTGGAGGAAGGGTTGGTGGAATCCTGCGTTGTTGCGATGGGCGATGAGTCAACCACCACCGGAGCGGGTTCCGATTTTACTTCCGACCGTTGGTCTCTAGCAGCAGAGTTTTCGTTTGAGAGTGGTTCTGGTTGAGAAAGAGTTTCTGTGCGTTCTTCAACGGGTGCACTTGCAGGTATAACTGGGTCGGGCACGGTTGTCTCTTCTTTCGCGATCTCAGTAACGTCGGGTGTAGTTTGGCTGGGTTTTGGCGGTTCTGTTGACGCGACAGCTGGCTGCGCCTCCACAGTCTCTTTAGGCGTAGACTCAGGCAGTGACACTTCAGTTGTTGTTTCTGGGGCTTCTGTTTCTTTTACAGGCCGGCTCTCTGGCAAAGCTTCAATATTTGCTTCCTCCTTTTGCGTCCCGTTCTCCACTGAATCTGGTATGCTGGGTTCGCTGGTTTGTTCGACTGTTCTTGCTTCTTCTGGTGACGGGCCAACCTTTGACGACTCTACGACATTTTTCGATTCGTCGTGCTTTGTCGTACTCGGTGCTTGGTGAGATTGTTGTGCTGCGGGTCCCTCCTTCAACTGGATACTTGCTGGTTCGAGTGCAACTGGTGGTTCCTCAGGAGGAGGTGGGCTGGCTTCGACGGGAGGCTTTGGACTATCCGGTGGGGAAGTCCAATCAACTTGTTTTTGGGCTTTCTTGCCCTTCTTCTTTGCCATCTTGGATATGGAAACAAACGAAGTTTATACACAATCGTTGCGACAGAACTGAGATTAGATAAAATGTTTCCCGCATACAAAGAACTAATGTAGGTTACTAAGATGAGGCAATGGGTATGCTTGCGTGGCACACCAGGAAGTAAACATGTGCAGGTGCCACGACACGAGACCACAGGGCTATATACGGTTTGCTGAAAGATGTGGGTTAGTCGAGCCGTGCACGAGGACAACACGGACTGGACCGGTAAACGACCAATGATACCGGGTCGGGGCACTGAGTTGGCACATGAAGAGGAGCTAATCTATGCGCCCCAATTCATGACCGTTTCGGCTTCGAATCTCAGGCGAGATTGGTAGCGAGCCGCATATTCGCTTCACTTGCTGAACGTTGTACAGCAGCAGCACTGAGCCAGAGGGGTCGATGTCATTGCTCACACCTTCGATCAACTCATCACTCAAGCCAACTCAGACTTGATGACTCTTCAAAAGCCCAAGTCACGCCCTTCATTTTGAGCCCGCAGTAGCTAAGATTCGTGAAAGGAGCATCGGGCTCCAAGGGTCAATGCAGAGATACCTAGCGCCCGCATGCGTGGATTGATGCGGTTGGTTGAGAGCAGCACGCGGAAAGTGTTCCCCGGGGGCCAGATGGCCGTGCACGGCCAGTTCGGGACATATGATTATCACTGACATTGTCCTGGCGAATTTGCGTGCGGTCTCTGAGGGGTGCTGGTGAGGGAGGCTGCGGTGAGGACGGGCCAGAAATGCTGTGTTGGCAGTGCGGGTCGAATTCTTGGCATGTCACGTGCGCCAAGACTTTTGCCAAGATCGGATTATCTCGGACCGATGCAACGACGTGCACTCTTCCTCAGTTGGCTGCTCTTCAGCTCGGCACCAGTACTGGTTATACCTGCTTGCGACTGGATACTGGAGTCGAGTCTAATTATGACCCTTTGCGTCAGAACAGACGCAAGATCTGTGAGGCGGCATGGGCAAGCCGCGTGCAGCGCGCCAAAAGCCCATTGTGCTTTCGTCGGACGATGAAGAGAACTCTGGGGAGTCATCGCCTCCTCCAAAACGAGCAAAGAGAGAAACAGTATTGCGCGACGCCAGAAGTGATTCTAACGGAAACTCAAGATCAACCCGTTCACAAACACGTCTAGTTTCCCCGCAAAAGCCACGATCATCCCGTGCCACGGTCAGATCACCAACCAAGTCGCCCGCGAAGCCAAAGCCGATTCATAAGCCCATAACTTCATTCTTCAGCAATGCTAGAGCACCGCAGTCGATCCAAACTACATCAAACCCCGAGGAAGCGGCAGCAACTATTCCCATCGAGGAAATAGATGATATTTGCGATTCTTCGGCAGATGACCGGCCCGCCTCGCAGTCTGTTGCACTGGCTTTGCGGAAGAGGGATAGGGACGTCCAGGCAGCTGTAAATCATACAATTGATACCTTGCCAAAAGGGAGCCAAAGATTTGTTAGGAGTTCCAATGGGCCTGTCAATACTTCTACACCGCGATCGTCGAGCGCCAGTCAGACAGACAACAGGCCCTGGAATGAGAAATTCGGGCCTCTATCCATTGAGGAGATTGCAGTCCACAAGAAAAAAGTCGGTGATGTACGTACTTGGATCTCCGATGTTTTTGATGGAAGGCAGCGTAAGCGGCTGCTGCTCCTCAAAGGTCCAGCAGGGAGCGGGAAGACTACCACTTTAACGCTTCTTGCGAAGGAACTGGGCGTTACTATACATGAGTGGAAAAACCCACCTGGCTCAAGCCATTCATTTGAGGGGTCAACAACCGTCGCCGCCCAATTCGATGATTTTATCGGGCGTGCGGGAGCGTTCGGCAGTCTGGTATTCGAGGAACATGCGTCCGCTCACCAGGGGCCAACCTCTCCGCCTCCCGCAATGAAACAGAAGCAATTGATTATGGTAGAGGAGTTCCCCAATACATTCGCACGTGCGTCTTCCGCCCTCCAGTCCTTCCGAGCAGCTATCCTCAGATTTCTCAACGCCAATACACCATCGGCCACTGCTTTTTTCACCAAAAAACCCAGCGCCGAGCATTCAGTTACGTCAATTGTAATGATAATATCCGAGACCCTTTTGTCGACCAATACTGCCGCCGCTGATAGCTTCACTGCACATCGCCTTTTGGGACCAGAAATTCTCACTCATCCCGGAGTTTCTGTGATTGAATTCAATCCAATCGCACCGACTTTCATGGTCAAAGCTCTTGATCTAGTGGTTGTAAAGGAAGCACGCAAAAGTGGTCGCAAGACAGCACCGGGACCCAAGGTGATCCAGAAGCTCTCCGAGCTTGGCGATATTCGCAATGCTGTATCTTCCTTGGAATTTCTTTGTGTCAGGGGCGATCAGGATGGTGATTGGGGCAGCAGAATCACCTTTTCGAAGAAGAAGACTTCTAAGGATGTTGCGATGACGAAAATGGAAGAAGAATCCCTGGAAGTGGTTACCCAGCGAGAAAGCACGTTAGGTATCTTCCACGCCGTGGGTAGGGTGGTGTACAACAAGCGCCTTCCAGAGGATCCGAATAACCAGGTCAATCCACAACCACCGAACTGGTTTCCGGAACGTCGTCGACCCAAGGTTTCTGAGGTTCAAATCGACTCACTAATTGACGAGACCGGGACGGACACTCAAACCTTCATTGCTGCGTTGCACGAAAACTACGTTTTGTCTTGTGGCGGAGGAGACAGTGAGGAGACTATGGATGCCATTGAAGGCTGTATTGATGCTCTGTCCGACGCGGATCTTCTCTCGCCCGATCGATTCAGTACAGGGGTTGGCAGGCGGAACTTCCAAGGGACGAGCGCCGACACGCTGCGGCAAGATGAGATGAGTTTTGAAACAAGCGTGCGTGGGCTTTTGTACAATCTGCCTTCACCTGTCAAACGCATGGCCCCACCACCAGGCCTCAAAGGGTTGAAGGGTTCCGCGTCAAAAGGTAGTCAATTCGTCATGTACTACCCTACCTCTCTGCGGATATGGCGACAACAGGAAGAGCTAGGCGGATTGCTCGACATGTGGGTATCCAAAGTCCAGCGTGGGGAGCTTTTAGGTCCAGCGTCTATCCAGCCTACGGTTGGCGAGTCCGAAACAGGCGGCGTTGACACCTGGATAAAATCGAGGGCTTTCGCATCGGGTAATGCGGCAGCTTCTGCGAACAGCGCGGCCGAAGGACAGGATGACACAGGGCTCGTGCTGCTTGGAAGCGGGGGTTCTGCCCGTTATGAGTTGCTGATGGAGCGCCTCCCGTATCTAACACACATTCTCCGCAACCGACCCAACGCTGCAGCTACCGTCCGTGACCTACAGAGGCTTACCTCTTTCAACGGCAGGGCACTTGCCGCAGGGGCAGCGGAAGAAGAAGACGATCTTGAAGAGGACCAGGATCCCATAGACCAGGAACAGTGGAGTACTGATCGACCTGCCACCGAAAGCCCCAGGAAGAAAGCCCGCAACAGGATCGAGAGCAAGAAGTTGAGGGATGAAGAGGCTTTGCAGCGTATTGTTGAGAAGGACGTAAAGAGCCTTGTGCTTAGCGATGATGATATTGAAGAATAGTGACGGCTTTCTGGAACTGCATGAGCGCAATTGAGGCGGGTATCAATGGTAATTGGAGTTGTCGGCGCAAAAGATATAGGGAGATAGCAACGGAAAATTGGTTCCAGCCTAAGTCTCATGAGCTTGTTGCAGCGACCACGCGGTTGTACTTAAAGCATTTACAATAAATGGCAAATTATCATGAAGTTCACAGGACTGTTTTCGACGATGGAAACCATCGTTGGTCTCACTTTCCTGCATCCCTCTTGTCCGAGATTCGCCTTTGACGCCTTGCCCACTACAACGAACACCTGAGAGTAGTGATTACTAACTCCTCGCCGCGCTGATGCAGTCCTATGTCAGACAACTTACTTTGACTCTGTACAGGCAGTTATACTTTTTCAATGTGTGGTCTTAGAGAGACTTGCCTCAAGTCCAAAGAAGCACATCTTTTTTGCTTGCATATGGGGTTCTGGCGATGGTAGTAGGTCACCAGCAGCGTTGAACCTGTTGAGACAAAAAGGGAACAAGGTTACAGTTTCTCGCGTGAGTTCGAAGATATTCTACTTAACACTCCCCCTCGAACCAAGCGAGGGGCTGTAGCATAAATATTTTGCCTGTCTTAGCGCAATAACGCGGAATTGACAGGGCTGCAGTTTAAACTCGCGACCTCTGTCACGGCAAATAAGAAGGTGCTAGTCTAGCACAAATAATCGAGTCTTAAGCTTAACTAATGCGCTAGCCTGGGCTTATAACCTGCTGAGACAAAAAAGTAAACATTGTTACAGTTTCTCGCGTGAGTTCGCATATATTCTACTCAACAGAGCCTCCCAATGATGTATACACCACGATGACGCGCAGAGAGGCAGTGCGCGTTGTTGGATGCATACACCCATTGGAACAACACGAAACATTGAGAGCTGACTGGAATGCCTGACTGTGGAAAGCACAGGAGCAGCGAAAGGCTAGAGTATAGCGTGTTGCAGTGCATGTAAGAGCTTGTGCATCGTTTTGTGCGAGTGACACAAAACGTTGAAGATGCCTACGATAAAGAACGAATAATCTTCGCCTCAGACCGACGCAGTTGCCCAAATGAAAATGGGCTGATGCTTACCTGCGCGTCTGTGATACGGTGGGCCTCAGGACTCCAAAATTTCGCCTGGTGTCCGCCAATATTTGGTGGCAGCTAAGACTCTACGCAGCCGCAATGGTTATGCTGGAGGTCGGGGGTGCTTTGGCAACGCGAAGCAGAGCGGATTGTTTTTCATTGTTGATATTACGGTCTGACTCGGCATCAAAGCTATCATACTCAATACGTGGTCTTGTTGGTGAGGCAGTGGTGCCTGTCGTCTGCTCACCGGTCTCTCCTCACCGATGGAGAAGAGGACACAAACGGAAACAGTGACAAACTATGCCCAATTGCCACCCCGCCCACATTTGCAAAGCAGTCAGGCAGATACAGCCCACCTTGGCATCCTTATGGGGCTGTTTCGTTTCATGTGTGGCTTCGCTGGTTGCTTCGCTTGTCGGCCCAGCCACGCACTCAAGCAAGTGCAAAATCAATTATCTTGAGACTTACCCTTCGATCCCCAGTATATGTTTCCTGCTTCATATGATGCAGCGTTGAAGGCAGTGACATTTTCCTAAGGGTTATTTTTCGAGAGGGGGAGCCATGAAAGTAGGGACTCTCTCGCCTAGCACGATGCATATACCGGAAGACGTGGAAATTTACAGCATCGATCAGCGCAGTAGGACTTTATTGAGCTCAAAGCATAAGTATACACGACGCGTGTACAATATTGACGGTATTGAAAATCGACACGCTTCGTGGTAGAATCCAAACGCCGTCGCTGTTCCAATACCAATGCCCGTTACCAGTTCCGACCCAGTTACCAACTCTATCAAGACCAAAACGAAGTTCACCGTTTTACACGCATTATCATGCCGCTTCCCATTCCGAAAACTCTTGTGTCGAATATGCAGGCATCATTTACCCTTTGCTCACTGTTATCGTCCAGTCAATGGATACGTCTGCACTTAACACACCTCTCGTAGTCTCGCCAGTGCGGCGTTGTCGTCGAGCAAAATAATAAGTCAACCAGATAACGACAAGTTGCAATACAGTCTGCACGACGTTGTTGCACAGTGTTGCCGTGGCTAGAGACTGAGGCACTGGAAGGTCTTAATCAGCCCTAAGGATACAACAATGAGAGATCCATGTTGCCACAAATACGAACCGGACCAAGCCATAGCCAGTGTATGATGATTCCAGGCTGTGACAATAGCAGAATATTCGGATGATCAGGAAGTGAATCTAAGATGGAAGGCTGGGAGGGGTTGTGAACATATTGCAAACCGAGTTGGAGGGCTATCTTATATAGTATGATCTCCTGCCCGCGGTCGAGAATAGCAAAGTTCAGCGGCCCAGTACGGAGGTACGTGCATCCAGGTAATAATGCATGGTCAACCGCGACAGGTTACGGATACGGATCCCAGACTTCGGAGTACAGCGTCTGGCCAGTTGTTCCGCATATTCGGAATTACGCGCTTTACCTGTACTGGTAGGAGTTAAACTCCAACAAGTAGCCGCTTGACCATAAGAGGGAATTTCTTGGCTTCCGAATATCCAGTTTAACTGTCCAGACGCTGTACCACTTACAGTCCAACAAGAGTTGATTGGCTCGCTAGAGGCGCTTGGGCCACTCAAGCGGCGGTGGATGCGTTTGGTGGATCAGAACAAGTACTGTGTAATGTCGGAAGTTTCTTGATTCCCATCATTCACCTGAGCGCACATCAACTAGGTTACGAGTTCACAGTATGTGCGCGTGCCAGCTGATGGGTGACTTAGGACTGTAGGGGAGATGCGGCAATCTCGAGCCACTACTTGTATGGCAACTGGTTTGTGATTGACCCTGCGAATGTCTTTCAGGTTCGCGGGATGATGGTCCCTGGCGACGATCTCGAGTTATGACAGGGGGGTTATGCGACAATCTCGAAGTTATGACAGGGGGGTTATGCAACGATCTCGAAGTTATGACAGGGGGGTTATCAAGCTTGGTGACATGGGTTTGAGAGATGTCCGCTCTCGGCCGCGACAGAAGAGCACTAAAAAAAAGCAAAGTGAAGAAAAAGGATGAATATTGATGGAATGGTACGTAGGCCAATTGAGAGCGTTGGACCATACATGGGATAATGAGACGGTAACCTGTGAGCTCGTGCTCCACCCCTGCCTTCCCTTCCTACTGTGTATAGGCGGGTTCTAGAGTCCTGGTTCCGTTCGTAAGAATTGCTCCCTAAATTTCAATGGTGTTGTAAAACGGTCGTCTAATAACTGTTCAACCATCTAAGTCCGAATTTAGCTACAGGGATGACAGAGGGCGCTAGTCTGAGTTAGGTGCGGTAAGCGAGCTGTTAACCTGTCGTCGGCGCGGGCACCTCGTCGTCCTGATATATAGACTACCGACTACCCGAGCATCCAATTCGAAACTGTTTCAGAGGTAATCCATCCCAAGGTCAACGCTTCAGGTCATTGCCTGTCGGTCCGGGTCTTGCAAGCGTGCCAGTTCAATGAGCAGTCTGTACAGGTACACGGCCATATCTTCCTCCCGCAACGCTTGTGATTTCCACTCTCTTCCGCGGCCAGCGATCTTATATGCCAGCCTCTGGCCAGACTTGCTCCACATGAAGTAGGAAATGAGCTCGGGAAGATCTTCCAGGGTAGGACTGACCGGAATATAGTGTACCCAAGGGACCAAGCGATCATCGTGCCATTCGCGCAGTATAGTCATTTTGAGAGGAGCCGATTTTGAAGCCAACAGCTGGTAGTACCGTCCGCTGATTCCATTGCCATCCAAATCAAACACGAAGCGCGACTTCAGCGAATGATGGCTGTCTGCCCATGGCTTGGTGCGGAACCAGGATTTTTGTAGTCCGCAGTACGGTCGCTGGCACTGCGAGATCCGTGTGAACGCTACGTCGAAGAACAGGGTGTTGAGGAACGAGGATTCTATAAGTGATATTATCCCATTTCTTGCTCTTAGATATTTGTGTTTCATCTTGAGCGCATTTTGCGCAAGTGCAACGAACCGTTGACGGTGGAACCAGAACGTCTGTTCGGCATAGCCGCCAGTTGTTGAGCCGGCCCAGTAAACTTGATTGCGTTTAGAACCCCAGTCTATATCCTCCCCCTCGTCGTACAAGAATTGCTCTTCAATATACGCTGGAGATGGCATAATGATATCGCCCATCGTAGAGAGCGAGCCTGTTGAAAGAACTGGCACGGTACCCGTAATCAGGTTAAAGGTAGGTGGAGACGTGAAGATGCCATGTATACCTCTGTACTCTGGGTGTCGGCAAAGGTCCATTGAGAGGTTCCGTGAAACTACGAACGGGAGGCCATAAGTCTCTATATTGGTCTTATCTGTAAAGCTTTCTTTATGATCTCCAGTGCACTGGCTTGTCAGTACGTCCCAGGTATTCTGATGTGACAGGTCCGTCGTTCTAACTTGACCGGAATGAGTCCCCTGCGGGAACATGACTCTCGGTTCATCAAGATGATTGACGAGGAAATTAACGTCTGGAATCCTTCCCGTCGTGTTCGCCAACAGCTTGTTGAACAGCAGACTGATGTGTCGGTCACCCTGTCTCCACGCATGACTACAGCTAGTCTTTCCTGTCGCCTTTTTGAACTCACAGAGCCATAGCTCACTGTCTTGCTGTGCGTAAGCGGTTTTCATACCGTCGAGTACTTCCTGCCCGCTCAGTTTCCAGAAGGGTGCCAGTGAGTCGTATAAGGCGTGAAAGTCGTCGATGATTGGAGATGCATGCAGATTAGCAAAGTCGAACCAACTTTCGAACTCAGGTGGTGGTTTGATTTTGTGCTTGGCGAGATAAGTATCATATGCTGTGTGGTACGTCTTGCTCTGCCTTCTGATCAATTCATGGAATTGTTTTTCTGCCTTCTCTGCCAGCAACTCGACAGGGTAATCATGGAAGTTTCTGTAAGTTCTGATAGCATCAATTTTTTCGCTCGCGATCTTCCAGTGACTGGTCAGGACCATATAGAAGCACAGGGCTGCAAAAGCCCACAGCGAAAATTTGCGCTTGAAGTTCGAAAAGCGATGAAGTGTTTGCTGAAGGAAGAGGCAGTGCCCAATAGCCAAGAGCATCCCTTGGAACAGTGGCCGTGGACGCGACACCGTATATGCAAAAACGCTAGCTGTTGTTAATATAAATGGTGCAATGGTCCAGCAGGATAGCGTCGCCTTGATCGAGCGTTAGATGAAGGTCTATACAGGAGAATTTGGTAACATACGGATCCTGCAATAAGAAACCAATTCACAGCTTTAAGTGTGCCGAGAAAGACCGTCGTGAGACAATTTGTGGCTGACTCAATCAACACGCCAGATCTCATTGCTTCCAGGCCAATCAGGAACGCAAGAGTAATGATATTTCTCCAAGCTAGCTGGGTGCAGACGTCTTCCAGGTTGGTTATGTGCGAGTGAAAATTCCAGGAAAGCATCCCTCTGGGTAGCAAAAGGGTGTAACCGAGAAGTTGAAATCCAACAGGGATAATGGACAACAGTTTGGAGGCACCAGAGATGCTCTCATCCCACAGAAAGATACCTGCTACGAAACATCCACTTGCCATAGCAAGCCATCTGGATCTTCTTAGAGGCGAGGGATTTTGGTCGTCAAATGCGGGTGAGTCATTGCGCAAATTCAGTAACAGCACCGGTCCTAGGAGAGGCTGGCTTGGTAAGTTTGAGGTGCTTGTCTACGATATAAGGACTTACGTATAGACTGATTGTACCAATCTGTGAGGTGTAATATGCAGATATGCTAATACCTAGAGCCAGCGTCCACAAGGCCAATGCCGTTGGCTCTTGTTCTCGACCCTGCTCGGAGAACACGTCCGATCCGCTGCTCCTCCAACGACACTGGTGTCTCCCCTTGAGGGCGCAAGGGATCAGAACCCAGCTGAGTAAATCGGAGCAGAGCTCAACATATCCATTAGAAATATAAGCTGAAAGGTGCGAAACTGCCAGAGCCGCGCTCAATAAAAGCCAAAGAAAGCGGTCCCTCATCACTGGTGTCGCTGTCGTAGACTTGATTATTACTTGCGACAGAGACGACGGATGTTGTCACTGAGACCGTCAAGTATGCGAGTTGGAGCTAAATTGCTTCGCACCCCGGCCAGACCATTTCGGCGTCTGGTGACGCTGCACTGTTACCCGAGAGTCACTGCGCCTCTGTTACATGCTCTTTTCCTTGGGGCTGCGGAAGATATTCGGACCATATTCCGCACTGGCAGACATGACTAGATTCACCGGTCCGGCTTTTCACGACCCAAGACAGCCTGTGTGCAGATGCTTATATTGCGGCGTAGTTCTTTAGTGCGGCGTAGTTCACCATGAAACCTCACATAGGAAGTTGTTGCGTACAATAAGTTCCGGATAAATAGTATGTCAACACCATTGGTTCCGGAGAAGTATCGACTACCAGCTGTCCGGATCACCCTCGCAGGCCATGCATGACCAATGCTGGGGCAAATGCCTTTGGAAACTCCCCTTTTGGTTTCAGAATCCAGAATCATGCACAGTCATGTAGTGGCTCTTCCAGGCCCTCGGCGATATATACTATGCGAGTTATGAAGGGCTCGCGCTTCTGCGGCTCGGAGGTCTTAGCGTCTGCGGTAGGCGCCGTCGGTTCCGTTTCGATTCACGCTAGATTATCTACCTCTCCTGAGGCACGGCCGTGCTTTCTTACGTAGTTCAGTGCTCTCACATTTCATTCGAAATGCCATGTTGTCAGTGTGGTCATCCCTGATTTGCTCTCTTCAGCGAATGCTTCTCGGACAGGCTCGAATGCGTCCCCGAGGACGAAGAAAACTTTGTCATGTTCTGCTCTTGATAGCTCTTATACTTGTCGCCGCTGATACAGTCTTTGTCTTCAATCGTGTTTCTCTACATGTATCTATTTCCACAACGTTTCCAGATCTACAACCAAGGAGAAACGAGCGTATTTTTATTGCGAGCATACATTGGAACAGCGCAAAAATCTTGAAGTCACACTGGAACGATGCTGTAATGAGCCTGATAAGGCATTTGGGACCAGAGAATGTCTATGTTTCCATCCTTGAGAGTGGGAGCTGGGACGACACAAAGGAAGCGTTACGAGCCCTTGACGCCCAGCTCGAGCATCTTGGGGTCGGACGTACCATACTTCTGGAGAATGCCACCCATAAGGATGAGTTGGCCAAGGTCCCTTCTCCCGACGACACTGGCTATGTGTTGTCGCCTGAAGGGACTAGGGAATTACGACGGATACCTTATCTCGCCAGGTTGCGAAACCGCGTGATGAGTGAGATTCTTCACGCGGCCAAGTCCCAAGGACGAGACTTCGCTAAAGTCCTCTGGCTCAACGATGTTGCATTCAGAGTTGGTCTCCCGTTTCGTCTTTTGAGTGCCAGCTAAGCATGCTCCAGGCGGAAGACGCAATTGCAGTCCTTTCCACAAACGATGGGCACTATGCCGCGGCATGCTCTCTCGATTTCTCTGAGCCACCCCTATATTACGACACGTTTGCACTGCGAGATGATCATGGGAGGAAGACTGTATCCCAAGTTTGGCCATACTTCTACCCAGGAAAATCGTATGGTGCGCTGTTAGCTGGCAAACCCGTGCCAGTCCAGAGCTGTTGGAATGGTTTGGTTGCAATGGACGCGGCACCTTTCCAGGAAACCGATGCATTGCACTTTCGGGGCATACCGGATTCGTTATCGCAACTGCACTTGGAGGCTTCAGAGTGTTGTCTCATACATGTAGACAATCCGCTTACTGCGAGCAAAGGCGTATGGCTAAACCCGAGCGTCAGGGTTGGTTATACTGGCGAGGCATACGCTGCTGTCAACCCGAATGCAACGTGGCCGTCGATGAGGGAAGCTGTTCTGGGCTTGTGGAAGGCACGACTTGGTGTAGGTGGCGCAACATGGAAGCACTTCTGGGAGCAGTGGACCGTGCAATCTCGAATAAGGCGTTGGAAAGCTCGGTCCCAAGATACCATGGTCGAGGAACGGGGAGTGAACTGCATCGTCAATGAAATGCAGGTATTGGCCGCCAACGGTTGGAAGCATGTCTGAGTACCAGATAACAGGAATCGATGCCAAAGCCTCGCCCATGCAGAGTGTTGCCCAATTTGAGTCGAGTACGAACAGTTGGAATGAGGCCTTTGCAGATGTATAACCTATCTGGATGTGGCGATGGAGGATTCAGATACCACTCACGGGTGGCACCTGAATCAAGCTGGCAAGCTTACGCAGTAATGTACCCACCGAAAATGAAAACTTTCATGGCATTTGCTGCGAGGTCTAATGGAGTGAGTGTTGATTTTCAAATTACTTCAGACCTGCTAGACATGCCCTGTAGCATCGTAATATTTCATCATCGGGAGGACACCGCACAGAAAGGTATGCGCACGGGAACGTATATATGACTGCAAAGCTTCTATTTCAGTTGATCCCGCGTCCAAAAAGCCGTGGTTGCACTAGAGCTGCAGTTCTGCTTGGTAGAATTCAACGAATGGCTAGGCCTGACCTCACGACGGCGCATAGTACCACACTGCCACCCCGGGCATGAAAAGACCAACGAGCGAATATCTAAGGGAACCCAACTTGTCGACTACGTTGCGTGACACCAGGCTCCAGTGTCGAATCGAGGTTCTAGTGGAACTCCACAGGGACGCGCCTGCCGGCATTCAGCAACTGTCTTTAATCCCTGTGTATACAAACTGACTTACTTCTCATTCCCAGGGTTTGCAACAGGGCTGTCGTGAACAGCATCGGCTTGAAGCTCAGCAGCAGAGCAGGTAGGGCAGTCACAATCGGAAGTTAATCCCCAGTTCCTGCAGCAGCGGCGGAAGTTCGACAGATGCTCTGAAATGGATCCGGCTTGGCAGTCATTTCCGTTGCGCCAGTTCCCACGAAGATCGTTGCAGCAAGCGTGAGAGGCATCGAGGTAAACGTTGCCGCCACTGACACATTTGCATGCATCGGCACCCGCGAGAAGGGCTGCGCCCGCAAGGAGGATGCTGGAAAGATGCATATTGAACGAGGCTTTGGAGGCTGGCAAGTTTCAGACTGAGATACTCAATGAAGTTGCTCGTTTTCGATGAAAGCGCCTGGGAACGGCTGCTTAAGTACCCAACTGGCACTCGTTGGGACTGCTACACATTCTCCACTTCTCATGTCGCTGCGATGTAACTCTACCAAAACAAGTAGGCTAAATCTAGGGTTTCAACATTGAATACCAAAGACTGCTGATCTCCATCCATCCCGTCCTGTGCCGCAATATAGACGCGCGGTGAATGCGCCCTCTTGCATTTTGCTCCTTGCATGCTGCTTAGCTGGATGTGGGTCTCGGTGACCATCCCCATGTCATCCACCCTGGGGCACATGGACGAAAGCTCATGTCGTGGCCGTCCGGAGTCCCTTGCGCAGGTATTGTGAGCACTAGGTCCACTGTTCTAAAAGGCCTCTACATATTCTGAACGAAATTTGAGAGATAGAGTATGGCAAGTCCTACCTTCGGCAGTGAGGAAAGCGGCAACCAGTCCATGCACCGCCGTATATACCCGACAGACACCAGGAGCAGAAATGTTCAAGAACTTTGTATTCTCCCTCAAACATTCCTGGATCACCAACTGGTTAAAAGTTGTAAGACGCCGGCTTCTATTAGGTAACGCTTTCTCAAAGTAGTGGTACCGAGATGTGGTGGGATGAAATCCGAGACTCGATGCAGTTGACCCTCGACGCTCTGTATATTGGAAGGACTGAATTCAATATAATGCAGCATCTTAGCTCCTCGATGAATATGGAATTAAGGCCTTCGATATGAACGGGAAAATGTACCCGCCAACTTGCACGGGTTGAAGGTATATCAACATGGGAGGTGCCCTCTCCACAGTCATGAGAGACATTATCAAGCCTTCTTGCTGGGGTTGGAACGGATTCGCCGTGGAAGCGAGTCGAATGCAGCAGCGAAAAATTGTGTTTGCAGTAACGGAGGTATTCTTGTGAACCCAGGACATGTACCATCGAAATCTGGATAACATCGTCACTGTCAGGTCCTGTACCGAGCGAAGATAAAAAGGTTGAACACACTTGTACGGAAATTGAATACATTGAAACACCATCGCCAGTCACACTTCCATTCCCCGAGTCCGTTCTTTTAGAGCGGGACTGCGTCATCTGCCTCAAGGGGACTTTCGCACGTATTGCATGGAAAGTACCCTGTGGTCAATCAAATTTGCTGGTTTTTTCTTTTCCTACTAATCAATGGCATCGTCACTCTCCCTAGATATCCCGACTATTCCCGGTATATTCGAGTCAAAAGGCGGGACCAACGCCACGCACTTCAACATAGTTTTAAGACATTATGAACTTTCGAACTCATCACAATGCAACCATATCCTTCAGGCATGGTCCCTAAGACATGAATGAGCTGTGATGTGACCACGACAAGGCTCTGAAGGCGAGGAAGCCCGATTCATGGCAACACCCACCGTGCCGGAACTCTCTCCGGCCCGCAGATTCTGAAGGTCAACCAGTAATAACCATCCACAGCGGCCTCGGCTGAACAATCCAGCCATTCCCGTCCATGGGTGCCGTTAATCTGGTCTTAATCTTTCAGACTCTGGCCATGAGCTGTGCCACGGTCATGAGCTGTGCCACGGTCATGAGCTGTGCCACGGTCATGAGCTGTGCCACGGTCATGAGCTGTGCAACCCCCAATCCTGATTTTCAAGTTGATAAACTTCAACACCACAAGCATGGCTGAAAACGGGATGTGAAGGTATGGCTTCTGGGACGGGGATTTAAGATTTGATATCGCGGAATGTTGGCTGAGTGAGGGGACAAGGGTAGGGTATCTTGAAGGGGTTGTATTGTATGTATGAAAGTATATGTCTGCTGTATGTTGTAGGAGAGTAACTGGGCCCATATATGAGGCAGACCTGATTAGTCACGACTGCAGAGCAGCCATGTGATGTGGTCCTAAGCTTACACACCTCCCTCAGATTCGAACGCAGTTTGAAGCTGATGTGACCATGGACCATCCCCAACCTAGGTAAATAGGCTAGGCTGCATGTAGTTCGGGCTTGTCCTGCTGTAGTGCAGGCTTGTACCGCTTTTGGTGCAGTTCCAGATGGGTGATCGTCCGTCGTCGCGGTGTTTGGGGGATCTCGCTCTTTAGATTAGGCGTCCCTAGAGCTGCGTGAGATCCTAATGTGCTTATTAATCCGCCCTCTGTAAAGAGGTTGAGGCTCCGCCTTGTAGATTGAGTCAGTGTAGTACATGAAGTAAGCATATTGCTTTTGGAGTGAGCTTAGCGCTCTAACAAAGGAAACGAACATAAACAAAGCAAGGAGACCCAATTTTATGCTTCTGTGGAGGGAGTAATTTCGTAAGACCGTCGGCTGGTTGACAGCTGCTTGATGTGTATGCGAGATTAACGCTGTTTGACTGTGCTTCTTGACGCAGCCAGGGGTGATGTATATCGACGTGTCGAAGGCTTGTTTTGAGGCGAGGTGTGGCGGCTGTGAGTAGGCGGATAGTCTGCTGGTTATCGCAATACAGGAGTTGTTCATTCTCTGAATCAAATCCAGTGTCTTTGCACTCTCCACCACTAGATAAGCTCTGTAGCTGCTGAGGAAGCAGCAATAAGCTCTGCCTCTGTGGTAGATTTTGTGACACATCGTTGTAGTGTCGCTTTTCAGTCAATAGGACCTCCGAACAGGAAGAAGATATAACCCTGTGAGCTCTTGCGAGTACTTCTGTGATCTGTATAGGATGCATCTGTAGCTCCGAAGAAGTCTGGCTCGTTATAATCAACGAGATGGGCGGAGTCTATAGAGACTGAGCATCGTAGTACAGTGCCTGTTGCTTAGTGTGATGAAGATAGTCTATTGTCTGGTAGGCAGCGTCGATATGGCGTTGAGAAGGATTGATGAGGAACTCGGCCAATTTTGAGTGCACCTTTGCAATGTCAGTCGAGCAATATGACCTTGTCTGGTTGGCGGTGAGGCAACTACTGATTCGCATATTGGGGACTAGGAATCCGAATAATGATCCATTTATGCCCTTTGGAATTGGTCACCGTGAGTTTGTTTAGATTTTTGTTATTCAGCCAATTCTGTGGCTTATTAATATCTAAATAACAAGCTGCCTTGACAACACAGTGGCAGAAGGAGGACTGTATGCCGGCCCCTAAGCCCTAATTATAATGTCGCATGGTGATAGCGGTATAAGAAAAGCTACGGGAGCTTAGAATATTTTCTATTTAGAGCGCTCGCTTAGTACTACTGAATGATATGTATGGGAATGGGGACCATGCGTTCGATCCGTTTCGAGGTGCAGTTTCTTAGCGTTGTAGAAACACACCAATGATTCTCCACTCCTACCTGCAAATGTAAACCTGCAAATGTAAACCTGCAAATGTGAGCCTGCAAATGTAAACCTTAAATAATTCCTCCATAGCCAATTGTTCGTGCGATATGCGATTCCACTCGATAATCAAATGAGACAAGTGACATATTCAGAGTGAACTCAACGAACATTCCACTGCTATTGCAATTCCACGTTTTTCTCGGCTTTTCGTTTTCCATTTTACCGCCATCCTGTAAACTGTTCGGCTTCGGACGTCGGGAAATATGTGCAGAATCGCTTTGATTAGAATTACGGATAGCTCAGGACAAACCTTCAAATTGCCATTGCAGGAGCGCCAGAGTCCTAGAAAAATCTGTTTCTTCACCAAGCCTTCCATTACACTATAAGGGTTCGTAGGGGGGAGCATCAGGCTAGAACACGGTACCCTTGATGTCTATCTCTTGATTTCGACCAAGTTTCAGCGGGAGACAACCATTATTCCTCTTCCTTCTCTTTAAAACAAGGCGTAGGAATTTCATGGGCAAAGGTCATTGTTAGAATGAAGATTTGCAAGAAACGCATGGATCAAACATACCATGAGACAGTCAGGGGCGTTCGAGAGGGAATCCGGGGATGAGAGTTAGGTTCCTCGTGATTTTTAGACATCACGGCAATTGTACACCGTCCTTGATGCGCCAGTGGTAATGAACTCAAGCAGTCTTCTCGCAATGTCGAGCAAGATGAGTCGAGGAAATGGTACATGAAAATAAATCAATTACCATATATCGATTAAGATAATACCAGGCGCAGCGGCCAAATGATAGTAATGGTAGTCTCTTCGCCTCTAATGGATATTTCTCCTGCAAGACCAGAAAAAAAGAAACCCTCTATTGACGCCTCGCTACCCAAGTGCCAGATGCATAACCTGCCACCCACCCGTATGCAGTTGAATGAAGGACATATAACCGCCCAAAGAACTCAAACTCCTCATGCTGGAACCATATATGCAGACTCTCTAATACTTCCGTCTGGCAGCTGCAGCCCTACTCATGGCCATGAGCTTCCGCTTCCGCTCTTCTTTCTCACGCTTCATCCTCATCTCTTCAGCAAGAGCTTCGGCATCTTCCTTCTTGGCCGCTTTGAGAGCCATTTGCTCTTCTTGCTCAACGTCCCAGATTCCGCCTTCCATGTCGGACTCATCCGAATAGCCATCCTCTTCGATGTCCTCTTCCTCCTCCTCATCCGACCAACTCGCATATCCGCCGTAACGGCCCTGGGATTGCTTTGGTTTGGCCTTGCCGGAAGGCAGCCCTGCCTTAGACGACGGACCCACACTTGATGGCCGAGCAGTCCCTTGGTACGTCAAAACCTCAGCGGGTTTCTTGGTAGGACGTGCTGTTCCTTGGTAAGCAATCTCCGTCGATTTCCGAACATCTTTAGCTTCTGTTTTCGTGGATCCAGGTCGGACTTGACTCCCCAACACCCCAGCAGGTGGTTTCTTTCCCAAAGCTTGCGCACGAAGCGCAAGACGCTCTTTCTTGGACAAGATTTTTGTCGGTTCGTGCTTGATAAGGGGCGTAACCGGTTTGGACTTTTGTGCTTCCTTTGCCCGCTCAAGAAGAGCGAGGTAACCCGAGGTCTTCTTTGCAGAAGACGGTGCAGTCGAAGTCGGAGACGTAACTGAGCCGGTCTTGGTGGGGCCAGTTGATTGCTTGGAAGCTGTGTCTGACGCACTTGTACCAGGCTTCTTTATTGCTGTCACAGGTGTTCGGGCAGCGGCAGACGCTCCATTACCCGCCGGACCGCGGTACGGAACGGATGTTGTTGACACTGGAGTCTTCGGTTTTGCCGTATCTGAAATCGGAGTGGGACGAACAGAGTTGGCGCTATTCGGTCGTGGAATTGACGGCGTACCATCATTTCGGATCACTTTCGCTGGAACGGCACTGGCCTGTCCTTCTGCCTTGCGTTTCAAAGTCTGCGGCTGTGAAGTTCCATTGGCGGGGCCAGAAGGACGCGGAGGGGGCCTGGATGCGGTTGTGTTTGGCGATTTCAGAGGAGCCGATGCTGCTGGGGATGCAGACGGGTCTATAGACGAGAGAATATTGTTGAGAAGCTGGAGGGCCATTGTTAGCAGATTTTCACAAATTGCCTCCTTTGTTCGCCTCTGACGCCTTCGATGGTTCCGAACGACGCTGTGGATACCAACAGAGCCTACTACGGGCATCCATGAACTCTGCTACGGCTACGACCGTATGGTGAGAGGATTCTACAAAGGCGGCCAACGTGCTTTGTCGAAGGAGTTGACTCACACTCATTTGTGCGGATATCGAAGATAGAGGTTGCTGACTCAGTAGTACCGGCCGTGTCGTGTGGACGAGTCGCACATACTTCGGGAGAAAGAGGTGGGATTCGTGTGTCTGTATGAAAAACGGGTTGTGGTTGTAGGCAGAGGGGCCAGGTGCGGCACAGCGCTTTATATGAAGAGAGAGCGGGAGTGTGGTGGAGGTGGCATTCACGAGATGGTGACGAACAAGGTTCACATTAGCGTCGGATCACGTGGCAAGCCATTGTCTGGGATGATCAATTTTCCGATCCGGAAAACCAGTCCGAATGAGGCTTAGACGATCCGCGTCCCACCACTGATTTTGACCATCCAGCTCCAACGTCGAACTTTCTTAATCTTACGACGACACGACGAGAACTTGAAGCTTCAGTCTCCGGTCACACGGTATGTGGTCTACTGTCCTCATCGACTTTACGAAAACTGACTCCTGCAGGTTAAATCGATTGTGCTCCTGTTCTTCCTACCGAACTACCAACCCCACATTTCAAAATGAAGTACCTCGCTGCCTACCTCCTCCTCGGCCTTGGTGGAAACACCTCGCCGTCCGCCGACGACGTTAAGGCCGTCCTCGAGTCCGTTGGCATTGAGACTGAGAGCGACCGTCTCGACAAGCTCATCTCCGAGCTTGAGGGCAAGGATATCAATGAGGTATGGTCACAGAATCACTGTGACCGCATTTAGGATCACAAGGCTAATCGACTTGAAGTTGATCGCTTCCGGTTCCGAGAAGCTCGCCTCCGTTCCCTCTGGTGGCGCTGGCGGCGCTGCTGCTGCTGGCGGTGCCGCCGCTGGCGGAGCTGCCCCTGCTGAGGAGGCAAAGGCCGAGGAGAAGGAGGAGGAGAAGGAGGAGTCTGACGAGGATATGGGCTTCGGTCTCTTCGACTAAATGTCTCATTGCGTCAAAATGCCAATCAAAAATTGCTCTCCGTGGCTGTGGTGAGGAGTATCCTGCCGCACGAAAGGGAAATTGGAAGTTGTCGAGCGCGCTAGGAATAGGCGACGGATATGCCAGATAAGCTGCAGCAAGCTTTTGCACATTGCGGCTATGCTAGAGTTCATCAATGAAAAGCCATGCACTTCCATATTCTGCTCCTCCTGAATGCCCGTGATGAGCCCATGTCTACTTCTCAACCACCTCAATTCTGGCCACTAGCTTGGCATGAGTGTCTTGAAAGATTGTTGGAACGCAATGAATAGCTCATAAATATTGAAATGGCGTTCTCTCAATGTTGCACTCATGTTCGCGGGGGAGGTGAGGTTGTGGTGATCTTGGCGCCAAGCGCTCGCTAAAATCCCACACTCACCTGCACCAGAACCCATCACGTTCACTTTCCAATTCTTTGACGACGACAACCACTCCGCCCGCCCACAGTAGTCGAACGGATTCTCGAACGGGTTCGCATCTCGACTCACACCGCAATCATGGCTGACCAGGAATATGTACGTGTGGCAGTCCTTTCGCATCGCTGCCGGTTAACTGACGTCGTTGCAGAACGCTGAGGAGGCTGCCGGTACGTTTTTTACCCTTCGCTATCGAATTTCGCGTCGCAATCGTACTTGGCCCGATCGTGCTGGAATCGTCGAAGGGAATAAATTTGATCTTGGGAGCGGATTTTGTGGCACAAATATGGATGGCGGAGTTTGGACTGACGGATTCGCTTAGAGCTCAAGAAGAAGAGAGCCTTCCGCAAGTTCTCGTACCGTGGAGTCGACCTTGACCAGTACGTTCCGACCTGCTCGGTGTCCCTCCTTGAGGGACAGGAATACGGGTTCAGATATGCTGATTCCGCGCCAGGCTCCTCGACCTCTCCTCCGAAGAACTCCGCGACCTCGTCCATGCCCGTGCACGTCGTCGGTTCAACCGCGGCCTGAAGCGCAAGCCCATGGGCCTCATCAAGAAGCTCCGCAAGGCCAAGCAGGAGGCTAAGCCCAACGAGAAGCCCGACCTCGTCAAGACTCACCTCCGTGACATGATTGTCGTTCCCGAGATGATCGGCAGCGTCATCGGTATCTACTCTGGCAAGGACTTCAATCAGGTTGAGATCAAGCCTGAAATGGTTGGCCACTACCTTGGAGAATTCTCCATCTCATAGTACGTGTCTGCTGAGTCCGCTGGGCTGAGAATCATTAGTGGCTAACGATCTTATAGCAAGCCCGTCAAGCACGGAAGGCCGGGTATCGGTGCCACCCACTCTTCTCGTTTCATCCCTCTCAAATAAATGCTCTGGTTCCTCGGTTACATGGGTTCTTTGGCGGGTGGAAGAAAATGTACTTCATGACCTACAATGAACATCTGGTGTTAGGTGCATCATCATGCGTACCATGTCACAACTTGATTCGGCTCAAGCACTGTGAAACGCATATACCAATAGGCAGGATTGTAGAGTGCATGTAGACCTCTACTAACTACATTTTCCCGCTTCAATCCTTCTGGGTACATGTCTCGTGATGTGCTTGTCCTTTAACGTATATAAAAGGGTTGCGCTTCCGTGAAGTCACTTAGGTATATTGCCTCATATGCTACTCAGCGCAGTCTGCACGGCAACACTGTTGACATCCTCCCTCCTCGCGATGAACGCCTTAAACTCTTGCACCTCACTCCCCGCGCCTCTCAACCTTTCCCTCAACGCCTCCGGCGCAATTACAAACAGATTCGCCACATCCACCAACACATTCATCGCATCAGACTCCAACTCCTCTCCAGTCGGCCACGACCGCACCAACTCGGCATATTTGGTCATATCCCTCGTGACCACGAGGCCACCAGTCAGGGAAATGGTAAACTTGAGCAGGTGCGCCAATATCAGGGCCCTGAGGCCTCTGGCCAATTCCGCCAGGAAGAGCGCCAAGTTGCGTCCACTCAACGCGGCGGACGCCTGGGCTGCGACGCGGTTGAGGAATTGCACGACTGCCTGGCAAGCGGGTGTCTCTGTGGCGATCAGAAACGCCACGTCCTCGTCATCTTTTGGTCTGAAGTCCGTCTTCTTCTGCTGGCTGGTAAGTAATTTCTGGACCCAATTAAGCGTCGCTGTGAGGCTTAGGTTTAGGATATTGGACAGTTTGGATTCGAGAGTGGAGAGAGTGGATTGAGTCGATTTTTCGATTTCGCGGCGGATGGTGAGGTTAGGCGTGCACAGGGGGAGCAGGATGGTTGTGGTTGTTTGTTGGAGGAGGTGGAGGATTGTGGTGAGGGTGTGGAGGGAGGGGAGGTGGGAGAGGTCAGGAGGCGTTTTGACGTTCTCTTGGGAGGCGGCGTGGTCGGAGGCTCTGCGTGAATGTTAGTGATTATGGGAAGTTAGAAAGCGCAAACAGGAGGCTTACGCGTCCAAGGCGGTTTCGAGGTATATCTCACCCATATGGGTGAGGAGGAGGTTGAGGAGGCTCTGAACATCTTTGGGGGTTTCGTTGCTAGGAGAGAGTTCGAGACCTCGGCCTACGCCTTCCGCTAGCCACTTGAGCATTCGCTTTGCGTTGGGAAGGGAGAGTTTCCCGTCCTCATCGGTCACATCGATGTCCTTCTTCTCACTGTGGTCTTCCTTAAGGCCAGCGATACGGAACAGCATTGCTTTTTGGGAGGGAGGCAGATCAGTGCTATCGAGGCGCTCCATGTACGCATCTCGTGCGGACGCTGCAAGTTCCTTTCCCTTTTGCGCCAGAGAGGCGAAGTAGGTGGTTGGTACTTTCCGGCGCCTGGCGTGGTATATGGTGAATTTGAGGAGCAGGGAGGAGTACAGCTCTTCCAGATTCTTCTTTTCCCGTTCAATGTATGAAGATCCGACAAAGTACGGGACGAACAGATCCTCCAGCTGCTGGTCTAGAGTTGCAGCGATCTGCGAGCTTACAGGCTCCGGGTGCTCGGTCAGACCATGAGACTTCAGATCTTCAACGAGCGATGTGATGTAGCTTCTTGAGGCCTGTAATGAGCGCAGAAAGGCCAACGAAGAGAGCTCATTGGCTTTGCCCAGGACCATCTCCAGCCGTTGCTGTATAGACTGCTGGAAGATTCGCTGGATGAAGCGAGTGAGAACTTCATCATAGTAGGGGAATGCCCGCTTGATGACTGCGGACTCTTCTTGAATCACTATCTTCACCTCGTCTACCAGCGATTGAAGGGTCGGCTCGACGCCTGGTGGTTCGGAGTCCGGGTCCTGCAGGCGATCCCAGGTCTCTGCATCTCCAGCAATCTCCTCGGTGATGAGTTGATTGCGGTCGATGAAGAAAGAGTGCTGGTTCACATATGTTGCCATGACGCTGGCGCCATCATTGAAGTCTCTCAGAGCGATTGCACATTCGCGCATGCCGTCGAAATTGGGCCTCCTGTAGAATTCGTCAAACTGCTTCAACAAGTCCTGTTCCAGGTTCTCCAGGAACTTCTCTATAATCTCTCTTGCAGGATATTTGGGATGTTGGCCGTTTCCTACGCCCCTCCTCTTCGCGGCATTCGATGCGGGTCCATTGGCGTTGACGTGATAGGTGCCATCCGGATCGAGACGCGTGCTGAGCTTCAGCAACTGACGGGCAATGTGTGCGCAGCGGACGATGTTGCGCTTGCCCCGAATCTCCTCCAAAGACGACAGATCACCCTTCTCGCTAACCTCCTGCCAGCACTTGATCAAAAACATAGCGTCCTGCGCCCTCTGCATCTGCCGATCCAGCTCTTCCAATCGCTCTCCGATGCGCACAGCTGCATTCCCGCTCCCATCAGAGCCATCGTCGTTGGGATTCCCGTTCAACCGGTTGTCCAGGGTTTGGAACCTGTCAATCGCATTGTCCAGCTTTTGTCGGAGAGTTACTACGTTTTGATTATGCTGTGCCTCAGCCTTGCGCACAGCGCCCGCCAGCTCATTCTCGCGCTCTTCGAGCTCCTCGGCTAGCGTGTTCAATCGGGATACAGCATGTTCGAACGTACGGATCAGGGGTTTGGGGTCGAAGGCTTGCTGACCGGAGGGACCGGATCTGCGGGAGGGATGGACGGCAGTGTCGGAGAGGGTTTCTATGAAGTCCTTGACAATGAAGTCCTTGCTCTATGGTATATGTTAGTTGGTGCAGTGCAACGGGGAGGCATGGACACACGTCAAAGGTCTCGAGCGTGAACACAGGTGCCCTGCCCGTGCGGGAGGTTGTGTGTGAGAGTATAGACGCCGTGTCCCCTCCAGGACGCGACATTGTGTCTGCAATCTATGTCGAGAGCATGAGCTTTGGGGGGAGTATTGTGATGGGCGAAGCAGCCCTTCAGTACGCGTTCCCTTTGTGGTTTCTAAGTATAGTCGCTCGGCCTGATGCAGTTGGCTCAAGTTGAATCCGCAGCCTTGAAGTTCTTTGGTTCCTTTCAAGAGAAATACGTCGATAGACTACTTACTCCGTAGGTGGAGGTGCAATTGGAGGTCCCCACATCTGCACGATCCTTGCCCACCTGTGGCTTGCCTTTGCTGTGGCGCCCCCACGGAGTTCCGAACCTGTCGAACGACTACATACCACTTTGACCATTTCCTCCCTCTTCTATATTTCATACTCTAAATACTCCCTCTCTGATTGTAACTCCCTCTATAACAATATCTGCAAGCCACCATGCTCACTAACTAAAGCGACGCGCAATTGACCCCGCATCACCGAGGCTGAGCATACGCCTAAGTCGTGGTTGAGAAACTGTGGCGTCAGCACCAGCCTCAACCGTGAAATTCACATACCCACCATCTCCCCGCTCGACAACCTCCCTGGCCTAACAGGCCTATACTCAACAACCGCAGTTGTTTCTTTAGATCGTCACTCGCTCATTGCTTTGCACCCATAAAAAGCCGTATTTCCCACTCTGCGGCCGCACAATGGCCTCCACAGGCATCAGCCCTCGAGAAGCCGCAGTGTTGCGACGCGGCAAGCTCGACGGCAAACCACTCTCCGCCGAGGAGCGAGAGAAGCTCCTGAAGCCCTACCTCCCAGAAGACCTTCCTCCTTCTACCTCGCCCTCCCGAGGCGCCTCGCCCACTCGGAGACCCAAAAACCGCCGAGCGAGCACTTCGCGACGTCGAAGACCCGGCCTAATCCGCCATGGTCTGCACGTCCTCATATACGCCATCATCTCCTTCCTCTTCTCCGTCTTCTTCCGCTTCCGCCATGCCTTCCGCCACGTCCGCAACAAAATCGTCGCTCTCCTAAAGTACCACCACCGCACACCCGAGTTCATCCAGCGCGACACGCGGCACCTGGAACGGCTGCCGAAACACCTGAGCGTGATCCTCCAGTTCTACGAGGGCGACGAGGACCAGGGCTCAGCGGGATTGGAGGGCCTGGTGAACGATGTAGGCGAGATAGCGGCGTGGACGGCGGCGGCGGGGATACCGTTTCTCAGTGTTTATGAGAGGACGGGTAGGTTACGGCAAAAGCGGAAACATAGAGAGGGAAATATAACTTACAAGATAAACAGGCAAACTGAAGAACTACATCCAACAAACCCACACCAGCATCTCCTCGACCCTCGAAGCCTACTTCGGCCCCCGCCGCACCCCGACCCTCTCCGTCCGCGCCCCCCATCTCCAATCCTACTCCCCCCCACCAACGCCCGACCCCCAAGACGACACCTCTCCCACCTCCAACGGCCACCCCAGTCCCAAAACCTCACCGAAACCGCCGCGCCAACACCTCACCGTGCTCCTCCTCTCGGCGGAAGACGGCCGCGACACGCTCGTCGACCTGACCAAGACGCTCTCGGAGATGGCGCAGAACGGGGCGCTGCAGCCCGAGCAGATAGACGCCAAGCTGATCGATAGCGAGCTATGCGAGGCGGTCAGCGGCGAGCCGGATCTGCTGGTTTTGTTCCAGCCGAGTGTGTGCTTGAAGGGGTATCCGCCGTGGCAGTTGAGGTTGACGGAGATTTTGTAAGTTTTTTTTTTTTTTCCTTCTGATATGTAAGCGAGGATTGGGACTGTGTGGTTTGGAAAACGGGAAGGGAGAGACTTTCTATGTGAGCGAATGCTAATGTTTCTGAATAGCCATCTACCGGATAACAAGGGTGTGAATTACCAGGTTTTCCTGCGGGCGTTGCATGCCTACGCCAAGATGGAGATGCGCTTGGGCAGGTAGCAAGATGAGGGCGGATGTATGTGCAATTTCCTTTTCTTTTCAACTTCAGCTTGGAAGAAGGATGGATGTATGCATAGCTATAGGGCGATGTAGCGAGTCGTACGTATACCCTGCATGAAACGCTATTTATTCCTCTGGATTTTGCTACAAGGGTTCGACGGGTGAGGAGTTCGTTCTTAGGGGATAGATCATTCAGCCTCCTGTCCCCCATGCAAGCCACACCCAATCGCAGTTGATAAGTCGTACGTACATAAGAGCGATGTTTGGATATATATGTCAAGTGCTAATGTTGATGCTTCCTACGTAGCGAGTCGTCTATCATCTGTGCCTGTCTATACCTGCAGAGAGAGTAGCACCATGTCGCTCTCCCTTCATACCTCATAGTACGACCAGTCCTTAAAACCGTCATGAAGAAAAACGCAATGCAAATGCCCGCCCGCTCCTCAAGAAATGAAAACGGTATAAGAGACTCCCAAACTCCCACCCAAGGTAAACACACCGACGCTTAAGCAGTCCCATTAACACCGTTTCCTCCCTTCTTCCCCGCACCCGCACCCACCACCGCCTTCTCAAGCGCCTGCAACACATCGGCGACCAAATCCCGCTCATCCTCGACCCCACAGCTCACACGCACCAAATCGTCAAACACACCCGCAATCTCCCTCTGCTCGCGGGGGATCCCCGCATGCGTCATCGCACCGGGCACCTCGACCAGACTCTCCACACCGCCCAGCGACTCAGCGAGTGTGAAGATCTTGGTCTCCTGGCAGAAGCGCTCAGCCGCCTCGTGCCCTCCCCTGATACGGAACGACAGCATGCCGCCGCCCATGCCGTCGCGGTGCTGTTTCAAGGCGATGGCGTGGTGCCTGTGGGACGGGAGACCGGGGTAATTAACAGCGATGACGTGCGGCGAGGCCTCGAGCGCCTGCGCAATCGCGGTCGCGTTCTTGGTCGCTTCTCTAGCCCGCAGGTGCAGCGTCTTGAGACCCCGGTGGGCGAGCCAGCAGTCGAAGGCCGAGGGCACGGCGCCGATGGCGTTCTGCAGGAACGAGAGGCGCTGGTGCAGGTCGTCCGAGTTGTAGGCGCAGGCGCCCATGACGACGTCCGAGTGGCCGTTGATGTACTTTGTGACGGAGTGGACGACGATGTCGGCGCCGTGGTCGAGCGGGTTCTGCACGTAAGGGGAGAGGAACGTGTTGTCGACGACGACGAGGATGCCGTGCTGGTGGGCGACGGTGGCGACGTTGCGGATGTCGACGAGCGAGAGGGTCGGGTTCGACGGCGTCTCGATCCAGATGAGTTTGGTCTCGTTGGGCCGGATCAGCTCGGCGATGTCGATCTCGATGCTCGGCGTGAAGGTCACTTTGACGTTGTGCGTCAGCGCGACTTTGGTGAAATAGCGGTGCGTGCCGCCGTAGACGTCCGAGACGGACACGACGTGCGAGCCGCTGGCGAGGGATTGGAGGATGGTGGCCGTGGTTGCGGAGCCGGAGCTGAAGGCGAGGGCATGGCGGGCGTGCTCGAGGGCGGCGATGGCGCGTTCGAAGTTGTCTCTGCGAAGGAGTTAGTTTTTGTTGAGGTCGCAATGGTGGTGTTGTAGCGGTAATTGACGGACCTGTTGGGATTGGAGGAGCGCGAGTACTCGTATTCGCCCACAGGCTTTCCTACGCTGGTCTGGGCGAAGGTGGTGGAGAGCGAAATCTGGAGAAGAATGAGTATTTGAGGCGGTTTTCAGCTAAAATTGAAACATACCGGCTCAATGACAGCACCTGTTACTGGGTCGTGCGGGCTGCCAGCGTGCACGGCGAGAGTGCCAAAGCGATGTACGGGTGAAGGAGCGCGAGGCGGGGTATCAATCGGGTGTTCTGGGAGCGTCATGATGGGCGGTGGAGGAGGTTGCTGCAGCGCACAATGGAAAGGGGTATCTCAGGAAGCAGAAAGAGACGCAGAGAAGAAGAAGACGACGTTGACGAGTGGTAAAGGCAGGCTTGTTGGTGTTGGTTTTATTTCGTTCGGCAGGCCAAAAGTTCGCCGTTGGCCGTTGACTAAACGCGGACTCTGCGCTCGAGGCTCTCGGCTAGATCGCGGCGGAGCAAAGCCGCTAGAGGAAATAAAGGACCTAGAGTAGTAGAGTCCGCGCGGGAAGAGGTTTGGAAAAGGTGGATCGGTAAATGAGGATTGTGAGGACTTGGTGTACGTGGTGGAGATGTATAAATTCTTTGTACGGAGTACTTCACCGAAGGTTGGTGATGGCGCAATCGCACAGCTCGGTCAACCAATGGCGCAATGTTTCAAATAGGAAGGAACAGGAATTGCCTTGAATTACTTGTAGAGAGGACCTCGTCACGTTATTTATATACAGCTACAAGGAAGAACATCCATGGATGTCTGAGTAATGACAATCATGACAGAAGTTGTGTAAGGCGTGTCGCTGAGAAATCCACTTCCCGCAAGCGAAAACGGTTCACCGTGCATTTGCCCCTGTTGCCCATCGTCAACGCCGGCCTTAGCGCCGATGATGCCATAATATTCTCCGAGCTCGACGTCACGTGTCGTCGCCTTTCATCGGTCTTGGCGTGCCCTGGGGATGGCTGGCTCAGGTTGGTGGCGGATGCTTCCCTCCGGACACAATGCGTATTCGTATTGCCTCGCGCAATGCGATAATGTTACGGGTTCTCGTATAGTGGATCCCATGTGAGCAGTCGACCGATGCAGAGTCTGGATTCACTGCACCATCCTCTCCACATGGTGCCGTTCAAGATATCACCCCAGCATCACGTCTCCCCATTCCTGCTCTTCAGCTTCGTCCACCCACTGACCCCCTTCTTCCGCTCCTCCCTCCCCGAGTCACTAGGCGCCTCTCCTGCCAGTGATGCCCTATTCCGCTCCCTCGGGGAACCGCTCAGGCTTGCCCCCGCACCAGCCAGCTCACCCCGTCTCATCCCTACCACAACAGGATCCTCCGCAATGATATCCTCCATGTCCTCCCACTCCTTCTGAGAGAGCACATCCCACTCCGATGCCTGCTGCTCCGCGAGCAAGTACGCTCGAAGCCCGTCGGCGATCTTCGTGGGAGATAGTTTCCACCCGGCGAGATACTGCACGTATTCCGCGGAGTTGAGGAACGAGTGCGCCGTAGCATGCGATATCTCCCCAAACCGGACAGTGTTCCGCGCAATGGGATTCTTTGACGCAGTCCTGGGAATATCCAGGATATTACCAAATCCGTTACCTTGGTCGATTAAAAGACGGTATAGATTGCGGCCTATGGGCGAGACATCTTCCCATGTATTGAACTCGTCGTTGAGCCCCTGCGTCCGGCAGAGGTACGCAACATCATATGCCAACAGGGAAATCCCCTCGATGAACAGCAGATAAGCAGGCGTGTCCTGAGCAGATAGATGCGTCAGCGGTCTATCAATGGACAGCGACCGCGGTTTAGGTAGATTGGCGTGAGCGTCAAGAGTGCGGGAGCCCTCCGGACTGTTCGCAGTCGATTGCCCTCCGCCCGGGAAGGGAATCTTCTGTCCCAGGTACGACGAGGCCGGACGGAAGATCGTGGCAAGCGGATAGTCGGTGTGAGGAAGCGTGATTTCGGCCGGAAGACGGACTCCAAGATACGAGGCCGCTCGAACGACGAGCTGTGCAACCAAGCCCAGGGATGCTGACAGGCTGTCGGATGAGGCATCTACGTTCTTGAGTTAGTCGCAAGCGATACATGTAGAAACATGCATAATCACGTACCATGGAGGTCTCGAAGATCATATATTCTCAACCTCGAGCCTGGTCCGATCGTATACACCTCCTTAACAGTCCCATCCTTCATCTTCCTCTTCCCCATCTTTAGCCCCGCCAGCCTAGCAAGAGACGCACACCTCTCCCTACGCACCTCCATCGTCTGCTTATGCACCTTGTCAAGGTTATATTCCAACCTCTTGATACTATGCTGCACCTTGTCCACCTCATTCGCCCTCCGCGCTTCAATCCCATACGTAGCAGACGAGATATCCGACTTCCGCTGCGCAATCTCCCTCCTCCTCTCCTCCAACAGCTTCCTCGTCGCCTCCATATTCTCCCTCAGCTTCTCTGCCTGCTGACCAATAAGCTGGATGCGCTCTTCATGCTCCGCCGTCTCCGCCCTCATCCGCTGGATATCCGCGTTCTTGGTGCATTCGGATCGATCCACCAGCAATCCTCCCTTGGAATCGGCCAGGGATACATATTGCGTTGCTTTATCTTCCGATCCCTCGACGACGGCTTGGACGACTCGACCCGTCTTGCCGCGGTCGATGAGGGCGGAGGCGAGCGCGATGCGGGGGACTTCGATGGCGCAGCGGGCACAGGTGATACATAGGATGGGTGTTGTAGACGTGGCGGTCTTGCCGCAAATGTCGCACTCCATAATAGGATAAGATGTTAGGTGACTTCTCCTGATGGTCCGAACGGCGGTGTTGTGTGGTTGAGGTTGCGGTGCGGGACCATGATGAGGGAGCGGCGGTTGGAGGATGTGCTGGGATCAAGGCTCCATCGAGGAGGCTGTCGTGCAAGCTGGGTCTGTGAGCCTGGTCGTAGTCACAGCAACGGGGATGCAGTTGTGAAAGACAGAAGGATAGGCAGCACAGGTGAATGTTGTGACCGATGTGTATGCGGCGCGGGACAAGTGACGTCCTTGGACCTGGCAGGTGCAGCCGATCTGGGACCCGGAACGGACTAGCGCCCGTCTCGACTCAGTGCTGCCCGGGCCTTTCTAGGTCATTCACCTTTACTACATAACATGATTATGTCTCAAAGTCGATGGGACAGAAAGACTTACTTTTCAATCAAATCCGTCGATAAACAGGCGTCAATGTCTACTCACTTTCCAGCACTGACCGCAAACACAGCATCTCGTCGTCTCAACTGATGCAAAACGACTTCACCAGAACCAGTTCCACTGATCCCGCTCCACCCACCTACCACCACTTTTCCTCTTCCCCTCCTCAACCTCCACAACAGTGCCCTCCCTCTCCAAACATGGAGACAGTGAATCTCTTATCTGACTTGGACAACCCAAAACCGGACCCCGAATCAAGCAGCCCAGAAAGGAAACAACAACCACCTGCACCTTCACAAGACCACCAACATCACGAACACGACGAGCAAGACCCAACTCATCCCCGCCCACCCAGCTCCACAGGCACGGAAATCCCAACCAGCGCCCAACAGAAGCTCCCGTCATCAGAAGACGACATGCTCTCGGACGACCCAGCAGACATGATCGCCGACTTTGACTGGGAGCACCTAGCCGAGCGCTATCACGACGCCATCAGAGACTGCGACGCACGGGAGACGGAGCTGTTGCAAGAATGGGAGAGCTTGATGAATGTATTACTCGCCTCTTTCAATCCTAGAGTTGCTACTTTGTCGGTCGCAGGCTTACCTCTCGTGTGTTTTCCAGTTCTTTAGAATATGGGCTGAGGCGGGACATGCACACGAGACGGATCGAACATATCACCGGTACGTGAAATCTCCTTTCATCCTAATTGTCCATTCAAGTTATTTCCGCTGTCATAAGTACATCCCTATCTAACACGTAACATACAGACTCCGCACACGCATGACCTACGTCCAACACGCGGAAGAAAGCCTAGAAAAGAAGAGGCAGCACTGTACGTCACACCCACACACCCCTCCTTCTTTCCTCCCTTCCTCTATCTTCCCCTCTTTCCCTTCTCCTTTTTCCAATCCCAAGTCCCTTCCTCAACAACGCACCACTCTCAAAATCCACATCTCACACACCTCCCTCTAGACATCCAAGTCGTCGAGGCCTTCCAGCTTGCGCTGCAGTTGCTCCAGACTCCTGTTTTGTGAGACGCTCATGCTGGCGTAGGCGCGTTGCTGTTGTTATATGACGAACAAACGATGACGGGGGTGGGAACAGACTGTCATAGGGGCATGTTGGGGAGATGTAATATCTTCTAGCCCCTTGCGAGACGGCATTGTCGACTGGAGGCCGAGATGGAGTAGACCGTGTCTCTATGGGCGACCTTTATCAATCGGGAGGAGAGCTCAGGATATACATGTAACGACACCAAAACATCATCACGTAATACCCTCCAACAGTAACTGAGATTCACACAAATCCTTCTTCAATTACTCTCTCCCATCTATCTACCACCCCCATGCGCGACCCAAAAAAAATCCCAGTCGGATAGCCAAAAAGAGTCTATGATATATGCCATGCGCGCGTAAACCCTCGGGTGTCTATCATGCCCTCCCTCTTGGCGCAAGAAACAGCAGAAGCTCAATATAGAGAAAAAAACGGGGAGATATACACTGCTCTCTTCTCCTTTCTTTCAATTCCCAGTGTTGTTGTTTGTTGTTGAAAGTGAAACGGGGATGTGCTTGAACGTTCATTCTCAGGCCTGTATATGCATTCGGGATCGGGAAAACCGAGGCCCGCTGCTCAAAGCAGAGGATTCGACCGATACTCAGGCACGATGCCATTGCTCTGGCTCTTCTCGGCCTGGTTCTCCACCTCCAATTCATTCGTCACCGAGTCGTCCTGCTCGGCGAGCCACTTCTCCGCTTCGAGGGCTGCGATGCAGCCGGATCCTAGCCAAAAGGCATTAGCACATGAAGCAGAAGCACGCAAAAAGGGAGTACGCACCCGCACTGGTAATCGCCTGCCTGTACCGCTTATCCTGGACATCGCCCGCGGCAAACACGCCCTCGACGCTCGTGACGCCGCGGCCCGGCTGCGTAATCAGGTACCCATCCTCATCCATATCGAGCTGGCCCTTGAAGAGCTGGGTCGCGGGATCATGACCCACAGCATAAAACAAGCCCCTAGCCTCAATCGTCTGCTCCTCCTTGGTGACATTATTCCTTACGACGAGATGCGTCATGAGGCCATTCTTCTTCTCCTCGCCCCGGATCTCCGTCGCCGACGTGTTGAACATGATTTCGATCTTGGGGTGCGTGGTGAGGCGGCGGGCGTTGGTGCGGCTGGCGCGCAGCTGGTCGCGCCGCACGAGCACCGTGACTTTTTTCGCCTTCTTGGTCAAGTACAGGGCCTCCTCGACGGCCGAGTCGCCGCCGCCAATCACCACGAGCGGCTGGTCGCGGAACATGGGCAGCGAGCCGTCGCACACGGCGCACGCCGACACGCCGTTGCCCCAGTATTTGTCCTCGCCGGGGAGGTTGAGTCGGCGGGCTTTGGCGCCCGTGGCGATGATGATGGAGTCGGCCGTGTGCACTTCGTCCTCGATGGTCTCGTCGTCGCCCATGGGGTGCAGCCAGTATTTGAAGGGTCGGGACTTGAGGTCCACTTTGGCGACGGTTTGCGAGATGATTTCGGTGCCGCAGGCTTCGGACTGTTCGCGCATTTGCTCCTGGGGTTTGGGGGGTTAGTGGACTGGAGCTGGGGAGGGGAGGATGGAGGGGGGACCAACCATGAGTTTTTGGCCTTGGATCTTGGTGAAGCCGGGGAAGTTTTCGACTTCATCGGTTGTGGTCAGTTGGCCTCCTGCGGCGATGCCGAGAGCGAGGAAGCCTTCGTACAGGACGGCTGACGTGCGTTAGTATGGATATTTGATATAAATCAGTTGATGTCTACTCACGCTTTAGGTCAGCTCGTGCAGCATATATCGCTGCGGTGTGGCCTGCTGGCCCCGAGCTGGAGGGTCGTTAGTCAAAGTCCAAATCGGTGAATACATTTTTTCTGCCACGACCACTCCCGCAACCCGCGACCATGGCATGCACGAGTGTGGAGGCACGCGACTGCTCTCCAGCATACGCATTCGTTGCCAAATATGACCCTTTCTTTCTATCCTGTCCAGATCGCGTGCCCCACTTCTCCTGTTTTCGCGCAAGGTACATGCGGGGAACGGGAAGACGGATCGATGTATGCGGAGGAGGAAAACCTACCCGATAACTGCATGACTGTTAGCAAAAGTTCTCCAGAGGAACGGCGAGCTGGACAACATACTGACTACCCGTGAATGCATCCTCCGCGAACCTGTGACAAGCGTTGAGATTGGGCTCGTAGCAACTGGGAGACCGGCGGCGGGCGATGTGCGATGGGTCGAAGTAGCCGCAGCGGCGATGGGGAGCGAGAAGAAGGAGAGGAAGCGGGAAGGATTCGCTCGGCGGAGAGTAAACGCAAACAGTTTGGCGGTGGGTAATGCGACTGTTTCTCAGAAGTTGGTGGTTTTGTTGGGCAGCGGGTGCAGAGGTACTTTGAGTCTGCGGGATGCCGTAGTGGAGCCGAGGAACAGAGAAGGACCTCGAATGGCAAGGTTTCTCAGCGACAAGGCGATCAGGCACAGTTGGCGATGCTCGGCGATGGCCAGGAGGAGGCTCGGAAGTAGTGAAGAGAACGATGACGAGTTGGGTGCTGGGCGTGTGGGAGGTTGGGGTGGATGGGGATTTTGCTTGGAAATTGCTTTCTTTGCGGTCCCGCCGGACTTTCGCTACGCCATGACTGCGGGAGATGTGGATTGCTGCCAAAGCAACACGACCCAGAACCTCAAAGAGCTACATACTAAACAAAAAGACCTCTGCAAACGCCGAGAGCCGCCGCGCTCAGCACAGTTACAGTGCCGTCATCCTCGGGAGCATCTGATAAAGAAGTGTTCCAACAAGTGCCGCCAACTTCTGTCGCTGCGGGCCCGCGGACCGAGTTATCACAATATGGTGTACTGTATAGGTAAGCCAACTTGGCCAGCCCCAACGTGTGACACTTCTCGCCGGCAGAGCTCGGGTCCGCTGCCATCGGGATAGCACCGAGTATGGTGGCACAGCTACTGTGTATTTGATAATCGCGAAGTCAACATTGGCCCTGGCCCAAGTGGATTTGTCAAACGCCCCCAGAAACCTTCAAAGCACCCTCAACCTCGCCCAGGCACCGTACATCATACAAACTGTTGAATCTTGATAGTGGTCTCCTGCTACCTGACTAGTCGTCCGAGTCCGGCCGCTTCCTCAAATTCTCTATCCCGTAGAGAATGGCTCCGAGTGCCTTCTCACTCCCTGTCGTTGATGTCATCAACGAAGCCTCTTTGTCAGCATGGCCGCCGCTTTGACTGATGCGCTCAAATGCCCGACCTGTTTCAGCGTCTTGTTCCCACTGTCCGCCGGGCCGGTACGAGAAATACTCAAGACGGGACGTAGCCTACGGAGCAGCAATTAGTTCACAGATGCCGATATCGAGTCTCCTGCGAGATCGCTTACCTCAGCTTCTCGCCTCTCCGTCGTGGAAACGCGGACATGCACGTTATCTACTGACACTACCGCAGTGCATCCTGTCTGGCTCTGCCGGATGAACGTGACGTCCAGTGCATTTCCCGTCAGAACTATGCATTGTTCTGCGGTGGAAGATATCCCGATCCTGAAGCTGAACAGCGCTGGAATCCCTTCGCAGGCCGCCAAGATTTCGTTTGCCTATCATCATCAGTCTCAAAAACTCCATTCGAAGATAGATGCTCACTTCTGAAGGCACATGCCATATACCAGAGACTGCTATCCTGAAAGAGTTTGCATCCTCCGGTACTCTTGCTGCCAGGTCAGGTTGTTCCCGTAAGAACCGCAACACTGCGTCGCGAAGATGCAACTTCCCCAGCAATTCGAAGTTCGTCCAATCCCAGACAAAGAGGTCGGGATCTCCTCCTCCGGACACGAGTCGATCAGGTCCGACTAGACAGAGCCTGCTGACAAAACTTTCGTGTCCGTAGCAGAATCCTTCAATGATATGCGCCTGGGGAGGTCCCCGGGAAACTCGTATATGTTCGTCGCGGTCCGCAGTGATGATATAACTCCGTCCGTTGACATTTGCATATGCAATGTCTGTGAGCATTGACACGTGACCCAGCAGCAAATCGTGCTTGAAAGTTGGGCCCTCTTTGGGTTTCTTGGGCCCTTTGGCCGCCTGCTTGAGTTGCTCCTCAAGGACCCTCCTGTTACGCCCAGAGTGGACAGTCAATACGCTCGCAGCGGGAACAAAAGCCTTCTCGCCTGCGGCTTCAGATTGCTCCACTGATGGACTCCGTATCTGCTCGTCCTCGGGGCCTGGAAGAAGTGGCAGAGAATAGACGTCGCCAAACTTGTCAGCACATAAGATAGTAGAGTCGTCCGAGGTCATGGCGATCGCGCAAGGCCGCCGTGTCATGCATCTGTCTACCGTCAGTCACTCCGCTTCACTGGCTTGGGAATATTTACCTTTGACTTAATTGCTGCAATTGAAACTCTGTATCAATACGGAAGACCCGTATACATTTATCCTCAGCCGTTACAGCAATAATGTGCTTTTGATCGTGGGTCAAGGCCAAACAGGAGAAGTTGGAAGTGTTTTCCGATGGGTCGGAGAGCTTGATCTTCTTCCCCGGTGGCCCCTCTGCCTCAGTGTCGCCCTGTGAGAGTCAGCGAAAAGGTAATTGCTTTATCCTATTCTTCTATTGGACATTGCTACACCTGCGGAACTTCGGGTCACTTACTACTGCAGACCCTGATGCTGGTGGCCATGTGGTATATGCTCCACTAGACGATTGAACAACCAGCCTTGTCCCGCTCGCGGCAATGAGAGCCCACTCATCGGCCCCATTCGTAGAGAGCCTACAAGCCTCGATGCAAGAGTAAGGTAGTGCCATGGTGTTGCGGAAATGTACGTGAGGTATAGAAATTTGGATCTATGCCGCCCGAAGAGGACTAGCGCGCATTCGCTTCTTGTGGCCTGTGCTCCCACTGAATTTCCATCTTCCATCTTTGGCAATTGGGGATTTCCTCAACAACACCAGACCACGCCTAAGTCCTTAAATATCCTATTCTCTCATCACGAAGAAAATGGGGGGCAAATCCGCAACCAAGGCCGCTTACTTCGACAAGCTCAAGAGCCTCCTCGAGGAGTACAAGAGCATCTTCGTCGTTACCGTCGACAATGTCTCGTCTCAGCAGATGCACGAGATCCGTCAGTCCCTCCGTGGAGAGGGTGTCGTTCTCATGGGCAAGAACACCATGGTGCGCCGCGCGCTGAAGGGATTCATCAACGACTTCCCCGAGTACGAGCGCCTCCTCCCCCACGTCAAGGTATGCCGAGCCGAATGCGACACTTGCAACTCTTCTAACAACCTGCAGGGCAACGTCGGCTTCGTCTTCACCAACGGCGACCTCAAGGAGACCCGTGACAAGATCCTCTCCAACCGTGTTGCGGCCCCTGCCCGTGCTGGTGCTGTCGCTCCCGGTGACGTCTACGTCCCCGCCGGAAATACGTGAGCATGGACTGTTCTATGAGCTGGAGACATTTGAAGTTAACATGGTGCAGTGGTATGGAACCCGGAAAGACCTCTTTCTTCCAGGCTCTCGGTGTTCCCACCAAGATCGCCCGTGGTACCATTGAAATTACCACGGACCTGAAGCTTATCGAGGCTGGCAACAAGGTCGGTGCCTCCGAGGCCACCCTCCTTAACTTGCTGAACATCTCGTACGATACCGTCATTCCCCAATTCATGGATATCACTGACGAACTCCAGCCCCTTCACCTATGGTATGGGTATTGCTCAGATCTACGACAACGGCAACACCTTCGATGCCTCCGTTCTGGACATTGAGGAGTCGCAGCTTCTCAAGGCATTCTCTTCTGCCATCACCACCATTGCCAGCATCTCGCTTGCGGTTGGCTACCCGACTCTGCCTTCCGTCATGCACTCCGTTGTCAACTCCTACAAGAAGGTTCTCGCTGTCGCCATTGAGACCGACTACGACTGGGAGGAGATCCAGGAGCTCAAGGATCGCATTGCCAACCCCGAGAAGTACGCTGCCGCTGCTCCCGCTGCCGGCGCTGCTGGCGGCGCCGCTGCTGCTGAGGCGCCCAAGGAGGCCGCCAAGGAGGAGGAACCCGAGGAGTCCGAGGATGAGGATATGGGCTTCGGTCTGTTCGACTAAACGCACCGTTCTACGCAAAAGCGGCGGAATGGTTGGTGTCACTTTGCATTTATGTTATCATGACATGAACGTCGAACGGCTGCAATGAAACATTGGAAAATGCGAAACGCAGCTCCCTTCAAACTGCTGATGTGTGATGTACTGATTTCATATCAGACTTCACTTTCTGCGTAATTGGTAAGCACATCGTTTCTCTCCCATCATCTCCGGTCCCGCTATGATTATAACATTTTTAACCCTGAGAACCTCTCGGTGAGGAACAAAAACGCAACAACACTCTAATTTTTTAATGAGCTCCTTGTCATTCTCTATGACTGCTTCTATTCGCTTGTCTGGATATGATAAGCTAACTTCTTGAAGACCCCTCCAGATCCTCCTAACTTCCATTGGCCGCCTCGCTTCACACCTCGCTGGCGTCATCTGTGACCAAGCTGCCTCCCTGCGCGAGATCGATTCTAACCCAGAAGTGCCTCCACATTGGGTTGCCACCCAGACTCCGGCAAACACTCTCACTCTGCGTGTTACCTATGTAGACATCCGCATGTGCCCAAGCAACACCTTTCTCGTCTACCGCAAGCTCAGGAGCGAACTCCCGGAAAAGCTTCGCAGCGACGGCCTTGGCTATCCCCTTCCCTCTATACTCCGGCTCGGTATGTAGGGTTGTTAATGACCCATCGAGACCCAGGAACGCCCAAGCGATCGGTTTGCCTGTACTTTCCTCGAAAACACCTAAGCTCTTCATCGCTAACAATGTCCGCGTCGTGCGAGGAATGTTTGTCCGTGTCTTCACAATCTCCGCATCCTTCTCTCCCATCGTCCCCCACCTCAACCCCTCAGGTAACGCCCTTGTCTGCGGTAAATTCCCCACCGTGAACAAAAACTTGTTCAACTCGTCACCGGGACCTGGGAATTCCTCCCTCACGAGTCCGACCTCTTGGCATATTCTGACAATCTCATGATGACAGGCTCCTAGCGTTACAACGGATGGAAGCAGGAGGTGTCGCATATACGCCCCCAGTTCAGCTGGGTATCTCACACCTGGCCCGCTCTCTGGATACCTCTTCTCGTGCTCCCTCGCTATATCCAGCGCGGGGAGATTGCTCTCCAGCATTGGAGGGGCAGGTAGCTCGGACATGTAGTCCATCAGCGCTAGGACCGCTTCTCTGCACGTCCGACAGAAGAACCCTTCCTCATCGCAAGATGAAGTAGAAGAAGAAGAAGAAAAAGGAGGCGTAGAATGACCCGGCATCTCCCCACTAGCGAAGATCCACAGTTCGGTCTCCGGGCGCATGGACCGGTCGAGGTAGGCTGCAGCCCAGCATTTTGGGATCGTCGTGCTGGCCGCGTCGGCGTCGGCAGGAGGGAAGGTGGCGAGGATGTGGGCGTTTGGCGTGCGGTAGGGGTGTTTGGTTCTGTAGACGAGGTTTATGCTGTATGGAAGGGAGGATTTGAGGGCGGTTTGGAGGAGTGGTGAGGTGGGTGGGTGGGTGTGGATGGTTGGTCGTGGCATGTTTGGGTAGTGCGATGGAGATATGCGAGGATTGGCGGAGTCTGGGGGAAGAATGGCGGGAATGGCTAGGTAGGTGATTTGGGAATGTGGAGGATAGGTATGTATATATATACGTTTAAAGAAAATGTACCTAGGTGGAAAAGTTATAACGTGACTCAGAGGAAATAGGATCTTCCCTTCTTGGCTCTGAACTCGAGGGTGATGACTAATGCTCCTTTTTCTTGACCTTCGGATTCTGATTTCACATGTCGGAGGTATGCATCTTGCATTTCTCTGGTGCCGTTTAAATTTATTCAATATCCTCGATACCTAAAAATGAGACAAGTCCGAGGTAGTGGGTGTTCCAATGAAAGACAGGAATATACAGTATACTTGACCACTTGCGGGTTGCAAATCTAGGGTGCTAGCATATACAAAAGAAATAAACGAGGAGGAATAACTACACCATCTTGATATCCAAAACAAGAAAACAATTCCAATACCGGGGGTATCCGATCCAAGCGATTTAAACCAATCGACCAGCCGTAGCATCATCATACAATCCAACCCAATCCGCGATATATATAAATAACCAACACATCCCCAACCGTACAATCAGCACAGCAGTTTACACAGCCCAAAACCCACCCTTTTCCATCTCTCCATCCATCCACCAACCAACCTACCCCCCTCCACCCTCCCCCTCAGACCCCTCCCTCGACCCCTCCCTCGACCCCTCCACAGAACTAAAATAACTCTGATCGATCCTCAAAATCCACTCAATCTTCTCCCTCTCGCTCCTCGCCCGCATCAAATACGTGTTCCGCTTCGCAAACACGGCAAACACGCAGTCCGCCACCCGCGCCCCCTGCTGCGCCGCCGCGCCGTGATTCAGCAGCCGCGCGATTTGCGGGCTGTGATCGATGCGCGAGTTGGAGAGGTTGATGGCGTTGAGCTCGTCGCCTTCGGGGACCGAGTAGATGTGCAGGTAGGGACGGCGGAGTTCTACGTATCGGCGGATCCACTTGGAGTTGGTGGGGTCGGGAGTGAGGAGGTAGCCGCCTTTCATGAGAGTCGGGTTCTTGGGTATGTAGCGCACCGTGGCGACGAGGGAGGGAGGTGGGACAGGGTCTGCGGAGGGGGAGGCGGTTTGCGGGGCGAATGCTGCGCCGTTGGATGGGGGTTCAAGGTTGGTGGGGTTGAGGATGATCTCCGCGGGGGCTTTCTTGGTTTGCCAGAGGGCGAGGACGCGGTTTAGGAGGGCGGTTTGGTGTTCGGTCAGGGGTTCGGAGTATGTGGATGGGGGGAAGGTGGTGAGGGCTCGGGAGGAGAGGACTGAGCGGGCAGTTTCGATTTCGGAGATGCGGAGCCGCCGTTTGCGTGTCGAGATGAAGTCGCGGACGAGTGAGACGCCGCGTGGAGTCCAGCCGGAGAGGAGTTCTTCGCCTTTAACGTAGTCGTATCTGGTGTTCATTCTCCAGAGGTCTGTAGCTCGCTTTACGGATGTGGGTCGTATTGCTACTGCGAAGATGGCGACGGTGGAGTGCACCACTCGTGTAGAATTCCACAGCTGCATGAGCATACTGGTTTGGCGAATATAAGTCCGTGATCGTATCTGGATGTGTAAATCCAGAGGGAAGACCATCGGCTCTGTCAGCTTTGGGCTGGTGACGTTGAACAGGAGAGATGCTTGCACGCGATACTTGTCCGGTGTGACTCTGTCGAGGAGAAGAGAGCCATGCATGCTGGAATCCCACTGGCCGATGAATGTCACGTTACTTGTCCCGTCCGCATTGTTCCTCACAACAGGAGGGGAGACAAGCTTTACTGGCACTTCTTTGACCGGGCTGTCCAGAGCCGGTGCGTTCCCCGATGCATCGAGGAGCCGAATCCGTCCAATACGCAAAGATGAAACATCTTTCCACTGCAGAGTGTCCCCGGAGGTATGTGTTAGTTTGATCACTATCCTTCGCTGAAGGCCTTGATGCAACTGGTATGCGCCAGGGTCCATAACGTTAGCTTGGATGACCTCGACCGGCTTATATGTGCCATCTTCGGATATCTCATGTATCTGCACTCTTGCAAAAATATCATGGGCATCCTCCGTGAAAAACTCAGATTCGGGCAGACGAGCGTTGCGTCTCTTCTGCTTCGGCGCAGGGGCTGAATCCCGCATATCATCCCAGCTAAGGAGTTTGTCCAGATGCATGGATGAGACCTTGGCGAAGATGGATACGCGCAAGAACGTCGTCCGTGGGCTGGGATAAGGAAGACTCATGCTATGGACGCTCTCAAACCGTACAGGGCCTTCATCGAAGTCGGTTATCATCTGGGTAGTCGTGGCTCCGCTTTCGTCCGAGATGCCGGGAACGAAGAGCTGTGCATGCACCTGAGTTCCCTCCCTCTCAGGGAAGCCGACTAGGTCATGCATAACCACGTTGAACTTTAAAGTTGTTGAAGGGGCCTCAGCGGAAGAAGGCTCCAGCGATAATCGAATGATGCCAATGACGCCAGCGGTATAAGGGGAGATAACATCCAGATTTAAGTCTTGCACGCGGGACGCGAAGACTGCGGCAAGAGGTACGTCGGCATCACCGATGCGAGAAAACTCCGGCATGCACGGCTCGGAGAAGGGGTTTTCCAGACTGAAGTGCTGGAGATACTCGGGACGGTTCATGTACTGGTGCATCTGGTGCATTAACCGTACGCGGAAGCGAAGCTTTTCCAATGACCACAGATGCACCACCTCATTCTTGAAGTCAATCACCCGAACGCCTACGCAAGGCTTTGGTGCCTTATCCAAAAACTCGTCGTCCTCGGCAGAGATGCCGTTCAGCACCAGATCGTAAGAGGAACCGAAAGTGTGACCAACATCAACAATACAGAATTGGAAGACAACGTGCTTGTCCATCTGTTGGCTCATGACTTGAGCTTCTTTCAACGTGGCCGCATTCTGCAGGATTGTCTCGGCCATTGAAACATATCTCCGCTGTCGCCATTGCTGGAACGCCTGTTTGGCTAAGTCAAGTTGCCTTTCGGTAGGTTTTGTCGTTTGTACAATATTAGATTCAGTTGGCATGGGTTCATGTCCCAGCTCCTTGAGATGTCGGTCAAACTCTTCTTTCTGTTCCTGAAGCTGCTTTTGCATCTCCTCCTTCACCGCCCGTAGATTCTCTTCCATCTTGGCCTTCTCGGCTTTAATCTCCTCAATCTCCACATTTGTCTCCTCGGCAGAGTTGAGCTTTGCCTGGTATTCCTCCTTCTGCTTGTCGAGCTTCTCTTGCATATCGTCTTTGGCGTTCCGCAATCGTTCTTCGTCTTCGCCCATCCGGGGCGTGGAGGGCATTGTTAAGACAGTATCCAGAGAGAAGTTGTCAATTGTTCCTGTAGACGCGTACTTCTCCCTGATAGGGTAAGAGCTCACAGATTCCATGTCTTCATCCGCATCAAAAAGACGGCTCTCGGGTCGCGCCTTCCTGTTAGCGCGGAGGCGTTGAAGGTCCTCAAATAACACATCCAAATCTTCATCAGAGAGTGAAGCGATCTTCTGGTCAGTACCGAGAAGGGCGGTAACAGCCTCTCGCCTAGCAAATGACCAGTCCGAATCTCGGCCACGTTGGAAAGGCGCAGGCGAGAGCGCTCTCGGACTATCGGAGTCAATTTCTGAGTCGGCTCTGCTGATTGTGCTCAACGACCTATCATGACCGGGTCGGGTGGGCGTAGTGAACTGGCTCGCTGTAACGGAGTGCCGAAGCAGGCTAGACCCTACTTCTGCGCGTTCAGCTCTAGCTTCCTGAGGGTTGTTGAACCGAAATATGTGAAAGTCACCAAGAATGATACGATAGCCACTCCTCAATCGCTTGGGTTTATCAATACGCACTCCGTTCACCATGACGCCAGCATTGTCTTTCGGAATGACGGTGACAGCTCCATCCACATTTTCGAATGTGCAGTGCTCGTCGAGGATTTGAGAGCCATTGAGACGGATCTCTGCTGTTTGGTTTTCAGTCTCCACATTACCAACGGTGGTCGTCCCCGGTTTCAGGTTGTACACCAAGCACTCTGCAAGTAGAGGATCATCGCTCAAGTTCACCAGATGTGGCATTTTCTTCGGTGTCGACAAGCCAACAAACCCTTTCTCAATGCTGATGCCCAACTCTTCCAGAGCGGCTTCTCGCTCCTTGTGTATTTCCTCTGTTTTCTGTAGCTTTTCTTCCCATGTCTGATTGAGGTCTTTGTACAGCTTCTCGGACTGATTCAGTTGCTCAACAATCTCAGCTTTAGACACTTTCTTTATTGTCCCGTCTGGCTGCTGGATTGAGACAATCTGGTTCTCTAAAGGAGTGCCTGGGGCATATTGCTCCTCCACCAAGCCACCGCCTCCGCCACCGCTGAGCTTTGAACGCAGTTGAGCAAGCTCTTCCTTCAGCTCTCTAATCATGCGGGCATTTGGATCCTCATTGACGACTGCATGGTTCTTGATGCGCTTCGCCGAGTCTGCATAACGGAGCGTTGAGAGTGTCTCTTCGAAATTGATATCAGCGGGTGATATGGCTGCTATCATAGCAGTCAAACTGTTACCACCTAAGGAGTCCTTTAACAGCCAAGTTAAAACTGAGTCTCGATATGGCACCTGGACATTCTTCTTCTTTCCTGTCGACATGTCCGCCAGAGCTGCAATCACACGGCCCAGAGTGGACAAGGAGCGATTGATTTCAGCGCCTTCCTTCAGACGGGCACCAGTAGCACCTGTGGATGTAGCTCTTTCTGAACCTGCCAGATCGACCAGACTAATCTTGGCTACCTTTTCTCCGCTCATGCTCGTCTCCACGTCGTGGCGCTTCTGAGTAAGGGTCAAGGTGAAAACAGCGTGGGAGCGGGAAGATGTCTCGTTCATGTTGGTCGCTGCAACAGTACGGGCCTTGTTTCCCTCATCCATCAGGTGCTCAATCTCCTCAAACGATCGCACCACAAGTTTCGCCAGGTCCTCCACATACGGGCCAGTCGAGGGATGCTCTCGGACCCTGAGATTCCCCTTCGTCGACGGATTTAACAAGTCGCGCACGCGCTCGTTATAGATCTCCAAGTATGACACTTCAACCGTGCAGCTCAAATTGGCGTCCGACTGCATCTCCTTGATTCGCTCGAACATGTTCTGGCAGATCTTCGGTATGATACCAGCTTCCTTCCCATATCCCATCATCGAGTATGATTTTCCCGAGCCCGTCTGTCCATATGCGAAGATGCAATTGTTGTACCCCTGAAATGCATTGTCAAGCAGCGGCTTCCCGAGATCGACGAATAGGTTCTCCTGTCCGGCATAGTTGGGATCGTTGCGGTTGAAGGACCAGTATGACTTGTCGAATGCGAAAGTTTTTGGACCGTCCAGCGCTCCTTTGGTGGCTTTGCTTTTGGCCTCAATGTTGCTTGGGGGCGTGAGGATCGTCTGCTCCCCCTTCATTTGAACGATACATTGTGCATTCCTTGCGATTTCTGCCACCTGTTAGCGGCGCTCATACAGTTTCCAAGCGGGGTGTACGTACCTCTACTATTGAATGGCCGACACCTCACCACCACCTTGATATTGCCTCCTCCGGACGCCATCTTGCCTCGTGTACTCGAACTCGGAGCACCCGAAGGTGCAGTTGCGGAAAACGGAGGGCCTAGCGACGGCGTGAATTCCCGGTCTTCGTCATGCACGGGAGTTGGGCGGCCTCATGGCACGTCGGTCGGTCTTGGAATTTTCGTGGCGGCCTGAGAGACCGGTGCTCGCGATGTTTGGTTATTTGGAAGTCCGAAAGTGACGGAGCGCGAACCCTTGCCGCTCGCACATCCCTGTCCTTCACGTGCGGGACCCTGGTCAGTATTTCGAAACGCCGCAAAACACCATCCCACCCACCACTCCGTTGGAGGTATAGCATTACTGCTATATCGCACATTTAGCATCACCGGAGGACTCACAAATGTCTGACGATATGTTCGCGCCGCCCGTGAACCGCACCATGAAGGTGCTGGACCGCGGCTTCTTCCAAAAAACCGTGCAAACCTCCGCTGCCCGCATCTTCAACAACAAGGACATCTCTCGCTGCCGCGCTGAGCTGGAGAAGAGTCGGGATGCTATCAATATGAACAGGATAATGCCAATCAGACCGGATCCGAGCGCAGAGCGGGCACAGAAGGGAGGAAAATGCATTCTGCTTCGGCCGGAGGTGCTGCACAACGGTAGGGCTACTCGTCCGCTACGTGTCGAGAAATGCTGAGTGAGGCCAACATGCAGGCAGATCCGAATACATGGAGCCCTAAAATGAAGGACCTCGAAAAAAGTGGCACCCTCGGTGTAATACCATTCCAAATCCATCTCGACTACAACTATTTCACCTACTCCGAAATCATGAATGCCATTATACCCCCGCCGGAGGAAAAGATACATGATGAGATACCTACTGGTTTCAGCCAGGCAGGTCATGTCGCACACTTGAATCTGCGGGAGCGGTACTGGCCCTACAAGCACCTAATTGCGACGGTTCTTGCCGACAAGAACCCCACAGTTCGTACTGTCATAAACAAGCTGGACACAGTGGGCAGTGAGAACGCATACCGGACATTCCAATACGAGGTCCTCTCTGGGCCTGATGATATGAATGTCACGCTCCGCGAACAAGAGTGTACCTTCTCATTCGACTTCTCCAAGGTCTACTGGAATAGTCGCCTACACACTGAGCATGAGAGACTCTGCGGCATCTTCAAAGAAGGCGAAGCAATATGCGATGTGATGGCCGGAATAGGACCTTTCGCCGTTCCAGCAGGCAAGAAGAAAGCTTTTGTCTGGGCCAACGATCTCAACCCAGACAGCTACAGCGCTCTCGTGAACGCCATCAAAGCCAACAAAGTCGGCGATTTCGTCCGACCCTTCAACACAGATGGCCTGCAGTTCATCCGCACAGCATCCGCCGAGTTGCTCCAAACCGACTACTCAGTTCCAATATTCGCCAAAAAGAAAGTTTCGCGCAATGACCCAAAACCCAGGTCTCCGCCTAGGCCTATCAAAACGCTCGTACAACCGCGCATCTTCTCCCACTATGTCATGAACCTCCCCGCCTCGGCAATCACGTTCCTCCCCTCTTTCATAGGTGTTTATTCAAATGTTCCCGGCGTCCCTGCAGAAGAGATACGCAAGATGTTCGCGCCCCATACTGATAGGCCGATGCCAATGATTCATGTGTATTGCTTCAGCACGAAGAGCGACGATAACGTTGCTGAGACGCATGAGATCTGCGCTGAAATATCGAGACAGTTGCAGTATGAGGTCACTCCCAATACTCCGGACCTGCGAATATATGATGTGAGAGACGTGGCGCCGAAGAAGAGGATGTTTTGCGCCAGTTTTCGGTTACCGGAGGAGGTCGCTTTTAGGGAGGCGTGAGCGAAGAATTTACCTACTCTACCTATGGTTTGAGAATCTCAAGTGGGAGAGCAGGAAAGATACCCTAATCTTAGCGAAATTTTGGGCATGCGTATCTTCGTTGTTTGATTCTGTGCTTTCACTTCGTCATTTCATTCTTCGTATTGCACCAAGACGACATTCACAAAGTCCTTCCTACTCAACCCGATCGTGCCGTTACCAGTTCCCATTAGGCTCACCTGCATCCGCAGCCTTCCAGTCACCACCTCCTCCCCCACCACCACCACCACCGGCATCCGCACCATCCTTATCCCAGGTGGTCTCACCAACGTTAACAGTACCCCACGCTGCCTCACCCCATCCGCCGGTCTCTTCGCCCTTCTTGGACTCGGCTTTCTGGGACCCTTTCTTCGACTCACTCTTCTTCGAAGTGTCGTTCCTGTTCCAATCCCCATTCTGAGAAACAGCTTTCTTCGATCCAGCTGCTTCCCCACCCCAACCACCTCCCCAAATCGCCTCTCCACCTTTGTTAGACGCACTCTTCTTCGACGCCGCCTTCTGACTACTCTTCCTACTCCTCTCCATCTGATCCTTCACCCACTCCTTGGTGAAATCATTCGCTTCCCCGCCTTCCTCCTTCTTTTCCCCATCCGCCACTTTCTTTGCCTCAAGCATCTTCTTCAACCTCAGTATCTCGTCAACCTTCTCCTCCTCACTCATTACCTTCAACCTCTCTTTATCTTCCTTCTCCCTTTCACTTTCCTTACCAATTTCCCCACCATCACCACCCGAGACGACGAATCCGTCCTCCTCATCCGGAACCTCATCCCCAAACAACCTCTTCAACTCCTCCCTAGACCGATACTTAAACCTAAACACCGCATACGGCTTCTCAAACCCATCCAGATACTTCGGTCTTCCCACCGCATGCGTATACCTCATTCCTTCTCCCGGTTGTACCTGATGGCTCAAGCCCTTCTTTTTAGCCTTATCTTCGGGAATAGGTGGAAGTGGTTCAGGTGGGAGCACGAAGCCTTTGGCGATAGGAGCGGAAAACGCAGTGCTCTCCTGATCTTCAGGAATGGGGTAGAGTTTGTGCATGCTGGTGGAGGGAGGAGGGGGAGGAAATATCCAATGGGGCTTGGCCCCGATCCGAGAGGGCGGACGACGGTATTGGCGAAGGCGGGATTTACGGGCTGAGGAGGTGGAGTGTTTGACAGAGGCGGCGTCCTGTTTCTCTTGAGGGATGTTCCAGGCGTCTGCGGCATTTGTCCATCCTTGATCGGCGGGGCGGTTGTCCTGGGTTGGCATGGCGCTGTTGTCGTTTTCCCAGGTTGGCTGTACAGTATCGTTCCTCTCTTCATTGTTGTTCTCCCATCCTCCTCCCGCGACATCACCCGGAGTGTCCTTCTTCTGAGCATCGTCGTTGTTGCCTGTATTGTCCCATCCTGCCGTATTATCTCCTTGGTTTGGAGCGATGTTGTCAGCGGAAGGCCAGGCCCCTGGGGTCTTCCCCCATCCCGCATTGTCCCATCCTACATCGCCAGAAGCTTCGTTCTGATTGTTGTTGCCCTCGGCGTTCCAGGCCTTTTCAGAAGCTTTTGCTGCCTCCTCGTTCTGGTTGTTCTTGTCGTTGTCCCACTTGGGCAATTTGTCTGCGTCGCCTGTTTGGTCCCAAGCGGGCGCCTCTGCGTTATTGTTGGTGTTGGTCCAGGTGCCATCACCGCCATCTGCCTTTTTGTTCGTATCATCGATGCCAGCATTGGGCCCGGTAGTACCCCAGGAGGGCCCAAAACCAACATCTTGCTTCTGAGAATCTTTGTTTTCGGTATCCCAAGCCGGATTGTTACCGCTGGCTTCCCAATCTGGCCCATTCTTGCCATCCTTCCAACCGGAGTCCTCGCCGGACTTCTCCGCGGAAGCATTCTTGATGGATTCTTGTCCACCCTGCTCCCATCCGTCGCCGCCTTTTGTATCCCCCGCGCCTTTCGGATGCCAGTCATTGCTCCAACCATCCCCCTTGTTCGACTTGGTTTTGGGATTGTCGCCCTCATCCCATGAGCCTGGCATACGGACGCTGCAGGTATCCCAACCTTTGCTATGGTCGGCTTTGTTGTCAGCTGAGACGTCATTGGTACTCCAGACGCTACTTGCACGAGAAGGAGGCTTCTTCTGTTTCGAAACACTAGTGTCGTCGGCATGCGTGCCATTCGTCGCCAGGGTCGCCCACGGCCATGCAGATTTGTTGCTTGTCTGCGTTCCGGATGGGAGCTCACTGTTGACTACACTGGCTTTCGAACAGGTGTGAAAGAGATGTACAGGGAGCACATGGTACGGCGGAGGTGGACTTTGGGAGGGCCCACTCGGTTTGCCGTAGAAGTTGAGGGGAACTGGTACCGGTGGCAGTTGTGGAGATGGGTTCTTATCCCGCCTGGAGGGCTGCCTGATCGTAGCGGCTTTTGAAGGAGGTTTCACAGGGATCTGTGACGGAGGTGACGTCCAGCTATCCGATGGACTCGTCATCTTCCTCTGAGGGCGGCTCGCCTGCCCACGTGACATGTGCTCGCGAGGAGAGATGATCGTTGAGGCAGTGCTCCAGACTGACGTTGCAGTATCCCAACTGTCGTCTGGTCCATTAGGCCTGGGGGCACTCTCCGCTACCGTCTGTACAGTAGGCGCGCGTCCCAGGGACGAACGGCGATGAGAGGCATCGCCTCGATACGCGGTGGAAGCAACTGGCTGTTTTCGAAACCCATTGTCGACTGCTTCGGCACTAATCGAGTCCGTTTCCCATCCCGATGTGGCCCAGGAGTCGGACTCATTGCCTTCTGGCTTTGGCCAATGCCATCCACTTGTTCCCTCATTCTCAGGCCAGCCCTGATGTGCCTTCTCCCAGCTTCCACCGTCAGTCGGCCCCCATGGGTTTCGAGGTGCGCCTGCTTGAAGACTGCCACTATGTCCAGGATCTGTGTTTACGGGAGGCACTTTTCCATGCTCATACAAGGGCGGAGGCCACGCTCCCGGAGAGTGTGCGTTGAGCACACTTTCGGACGACTGTTTGGCTCCGTGGATATGCCTTTCTGACTCCCCTCTCCGCCTCTTCAGCTCAGCCTCTCTCAATCCACGCTGATATGCTTCTTCTTTTATCTGTTTCAGCCATTCCGGATTGACGATATCATGACCGGTGATGTTCCGAGGCGCGCGATCTGCAAAAAGTCCCGCATCAGATTCCGCACGGGACTGCCTTGGTACAGGACCTGAACCGTACTGAAAAGCACCTTCCGGTATGCTGATGTGGCCTCCAACACGTGGGGCAGCGCTAGGGCTGTAGCTCCTGCGAGAAAGCGGCGGTAGCGACCTCGACGCGCTGAGCGGTTGTCCATTACCTTTGAAAACGTGAGCCCGTGTTTGGACACGATTGATCTCATGGGTGGGAAAAACCGAGCGGTCATCAAAGGCCCAGCTTTGTGGTCGTCCATCCACGTCGAAGTAATCGTCGGGAGAATCGTAGCCCCCGTCGAAACCCATGGTAAATTCCCCATTTTTCGGTATACGAACTCCTTTGCAGCGTAAGACGATCACCTCAATGCAGCCAATATTGTCCAACACGTTGGGCGAGCACTGTTGAGGCGCCTGGTCCGCGGCGACTGTCAACGTTAGGAATAGAACGACATATTTTCGCACGGGCTCTTACCAACGTTTAGCTTTCCAAAAGCCCAGTCGCGTGCAATAATACGCCCATCTTTCTGCTTCTCCTCCTTCTGGCGGACGACGAGCTCCACCGGCTTGCCTTTGCCCACCCTCTCCTTCATATCGAGGCGGTTGCGGTTGCATTGGTAGACCCCATCAATGTAAACAAACATGGCAAGGCCATCTGCGATATATGTGCTCGACGTGAGGCGTATTGCAAACTTGCTCGACTCGGAAGGCACGGCGACGAAGGTTTCGACGACTCCATCGCTGTAGGCGGTGCCAAACTCTCGTAACGTGCGTTTCGGTTGAGGCAGCTCGATAGAGCAGATGATATCTTTGAGAGAAGGCATGAGGGCATGGATATCAATTGCCTCAACGTTTTGGATAAAGGAGGAGGCAGTTGAAGTGCGTAAGTTGCTGCGCAGGAATTGGAGGTGGTTCGTTCATGTGTAGTGGCGTTGTTATGACAACTGTCCGCTAGTGCAACGATGGGGCGTTTGTAGGTTGTCATGAAGCTTGATGACAATAGCTGCGAATGAGGAATAAGGTGTCCGGACCACTTGCACAATCGTATCCCCGGCACACCGCGAAGTGCATTGTTGCCCAATAGCAGGTGCCATTGTGAGGTAGTCATCCACGCATGTTCCTTGTTCCTCTTCTCTGCATACGTTCGATGCGCAAATGAGCCCTAAACCCCCAATTGGACTTGACCCTCTATCAGAGGCCGGATTGCACCAAGGCGCGGCATGTGCAGACGGCCATTCTGTTGATTGGTGAGAAGAAAAGCCGACGACAGCATCGTGATGCCCAATTTGTACTTCGATGTGAGCACGTTGTTCTGTTCCGGTGCCGCGCAAACGACTCGCAGTTGGAAGAGTGCAGGAAGAGATGTGGTCGGGCTGGTGCGGGAGCCAAGTCTGTTAGCCTTCAAAATAGGCTAGTGCGACAACTCAATTCCAACGTCGCTCCAAGGCTCAAGCATAGCACTGTTACAACCACTCGTCAGGTTGGGCATATGGTATGTGAAGAAGAGAAGAAATTCGAATAAATGATCAAATGCTCTAATATAGATGCTTCACCTCACATTTATTGTGTGGTTCATAAGCTCCGAAGAGGGCATATCAGTAAATTCAGCCACTGAATATAGTAATAACCTCTGAAAATGGCTGAAGTAGGCATGGATCTCATCTTGATAAGAAGTTTAAAACATGTCAAATCTTACTACGGTTTCGTAAACCATTTTAAGGAGCGGAGGCATGAGGAAGCTCAATGTGCCCCGATTCTGAGAAAAGAGATATTATGCGGGTTTTCATGGTACTTGAGATCAGTACAATGTCTAAGAAGCAATATTTAGATAAATTCATAACCAGTGACGGTTGTGTTGGGGACTTGGACGAGAGGGAACCTTTCACTGACGAGGAATCATCTTTCACCACCTCCCTCTTCAACACGTCGAGCCATTGGCGCGTCACACTCCTTTTCCACGTCTCCACGTCAACAAACAGTGAAATAGGCAGGCACGCGGACTTTTCTGTTGTGAAGCCCTTAACAACCCTACAACGCCGCGCTCGAGCACCCACCAACAACTTCTCTTCTGCGTAGCTCCCTCACACAACTCCCAACGCAACTTCTCACATACTCAACTCATTGCCAGCTTACAACTCACGGTGCGTTTCGGTCCTGGAGTTGTCTCCCTCTGCGACTACGGTCTCCATCTCCCGTCAACAACGCGCCTTTGGCCGACAATCACCTCTTCACTTCACCACCGCCAACCTCAACCCGCACAACCTCATCTTCACACACAACCTTCCTCATATGAAAACCATCCCACCAACATCCAAGACACCATCTTTGGACCAACAGAGGTTGAAGTCGAGGACTCCATTCCAGCAATTCAAATCACCGACCCATCCGGCACCTCCACAATGCCTTCCTTCTTCACAATGCCCACTCCCTTCAAGCCAACTGGCCCCTCACCCCCACCAGCTCCCTCCAACACCACTCCAACACCTGCCGAGTTCGCAAACACTCACGGCATCTCCGAGGACGCGGCCAAGCAGCTGCTCGAGTACGGCAAGCTGTTCGACTGGAACAAGCCAGGGTACTTTAACGCCAACACCAAGGATCTGCGAGTTTCTACACAAGCTAATACTGACATGACTCTGCAGGCACCGTCCCTTCATCGAGGATCCGGCGGTCAAGGAGGAGGAAGAGGAAGAGGAGAAGGCGAGGAAGGAGAGGGAGCACAAGGAGTACTTGGAGCGTCGCAACGCTATATCCCTGGCGAGGGAGAAGACCGCACAGATCGCTAGGGAGCACGACTTCCGGCCTCCGGGGGCTAGGGAGGAGGAGAATCTGGCGGCCTGGGCCAGATGGATCAAGCATTTGGAGTTTGGGAAGTGGTTTGAGTGAGGGAGGGAAGGCTGCTCGTCGGTTCGGTGGTTTGGGATGATGGAGTCGGAGTTGGTGATCCGTGGGGGTGCATTTTCGGGGCTCTGTACTATTAGCATGCGTATACGGCGGTGGTTCTGCCGTATTTTGGGTGGTGCTTTGGTTCTCTGGGATAATTGAGCCTTTTTCTATGATGTATCTTCTATTTCCATAGTACAACTACGTATTGCACAGTCTGTGACACAGTGCTCAAACCAACTTGTACTATCTAATGAACTAATGGTCATAGGCGTTTCTATGGTCATGTATTCCAGCATACTACCTTCTCTATTTGCTAGGGTCTCCAAACCTTTCCAGACCATGTTAGGATACTAGGAATCATACTCACTCCGTCAGCAGGACCGGAGCTTCGTTAAAGGCAACCGTTGACTTCGCAAGTCACAGCTTCAAAGGCAAGATTCGAAAACCCAGTCCCAGCTAACGCCTTATATAGTTGTAGCTAAATGGATAGACACCCTCTTCTCCTATCTGACTCAACAACCCGCTGCGCTCTCTCCGTAGGTTGGATTACCTTCTCAGCGCAACCTAATTCGCTACTATCTAGTTATGCTATTACAAAACCATGCTGTATAGACATTCATGCCTAGACAGACGCACTGTAAAGTCTATCGAAAAGGCTGCTATAGTTCTATGAACTCCTGGCCGTTCAATTGGACGTTGATTCCTTCGTACGTTAGATTACCCCTCTAGCGCAACCCAATTGCTGCAATCTAGTTAACCTATGCGAAAGCTAGGTTGTAAGAGTATTCACGCCTGGACAGAGCATTGTAAAGCATATAGCAGGGGCTGCCATAGTCCTGCAACCTCCTAGCTATTCAATTAGACGTTGAAAACTGCAGTACAGAGGAGACACAAAGGGATGTTCTCTCGCTTCAATAGCAAGGCGACTTACAGCAGTTAAGGCAATGCTTCACAAAAGACACGCTACTCAGCTCCCTTGTCAAGATTTGTAGTACAAGACGCTCTAAACTAGAAGTTCGTTAGTTGGATACATGAGCGGGTTATTGCACCACGAAGCAGTAAGCATACGCGTTCTAATATTCAACAAAACGTACAATGAAGCTTGCACTTTTTCACCACGTCAGCGAGGATATCTTATTTGTTCGTCTATCAACTCCTCTAAGGGGGCTCTCGATGGAAAACCAAAACATCAGATTCAGAAGATCACCATATCTGATATCTCATCATCCCTCTCCGCAAAATACAATAACCATTCCCCATCGAACTAAGATATCAGCCCCAACGCCACGCTAAACCACACACACACACACGCATGCACCGCTAGCACCCTAACTCTCCGCCTTCATAACCCCACAAAGCGTACAAGTCCACCACTGATTCTCCATAAACGTCCCACAATTCAGACAATTCCAGCCCAACCGTCCCCTCGCCGGTTCAAACGGTGTCACTCCCGGACCCCTGAGGCTCGACGCCGGCGGCGGCTTTGGCAATTGCGCTGCGTGCAGGGAGGAGCCGAATTGTTGGTGGCGCGGGATGGGTTGGGGAGGTTGTTCGAGGCCGCAGGCATCGCAGGAGAGGTAGTCCAATGGGTTGAGCAGGGTGCATTGGGGGCAGGACCATTTTGTTGGCGAGCTGGGACGGGGAGGGGAGGGAGGGAAGGTTATGGGGTTGGTGGGTGTTGAGCCTGAGATGGGCGTTGTTGGTGAGCGGGTGGTTGAGTGCGAGAGAGGCTTCGTGCGAGAGGTCTCGTATTCGGTGACAAGGCGGGAGATTGGGCGACCTGACGAGTTGTTGGGTCCACCTCGTGAGGATGACGGATTCGCCGAGTGAGAAGGAGGGTTCTGTGGAGACGAGTTGCGTGAAGGCGGGTTACTGTCGAATTGGAGGCCATTCTCGCGGTCCCAGGCTAGACCTCCATCGCCGCTTGGCGCGCAGAGCTGTTCTAGTTTCCTCATCTCTTCCTCTTCCATAAGCTCTTGTAATGCTTGAGCTATTGCTAAGTCGTTGGCGTCATCTTCCTCGGCTTTGGTACGGAATCCGCCCTTGACGGCTTGATTTTGCAACCTTCCGGCTGCATCGCTTCCGCTCGCACATCCTGTAGTTATGCTGTTCCGTCTCGTTGCTGCGTCGGCAATTACTTTCCTCATGTCAACCCCGCGCACAGCCTTCGTCCCTCCTAGTCGGTGACCCCCGGCATTCAGATTAGTGGTAGCTCTCCGTTTTTCGGCTGCAATGCGAGCCTGCCGTCGCATCTCATCGAGTGGAATGCGGTGTCCGCCGAGCTTTTGACCGGAGCCGAGGAAGCCTTCTCCCGTATAACCTTTAGCTAGGAGGGATTGATGTTCATCGCGGAGCTCATTCCAGAGGTTGTTGAAGTTGTGATCATGCGGGCCCCAGATAATGTGAGAGAGCTCATGTAGCAGAGTATCTGTGATTTGCTCCATGGGTAAGAACTGCCTAGAGTCATGATGGTAGCGTAGACGAAGCAGAATTCTCTCCGTTCTGTTGATGTTCAGGCCTGTGACATATTAATCGCCGATAAGTGAGGAACATATCGAACACCATACCCAGTAATTGCGGCTCGTCCGGCAAGAACTCGTGCAAAGATCCCACCTTCCATCCTCGTTTTCTCATCATCGGTTTCACTGCGGATGCAGCTTTTCGAAGCAAGAGCAGAGCTTCTTGCTCGCGAGGCAGGTGTTTGAGATGCACATAGGCGTCAAAGTGAGCGTCGATCTCCCGCATTATGGGCGCCGGTTTATCGTCTGCAACGGTTTCGGGGCGATTTCAAGTCGATGGTCCAGGCCGACTTGGTTGAAAGTTTCCACGATTGTTTTTTGAAAGTCGCCTCGACCATACTCCGCGAAAGATGGTAATGAAAGAAGGAACAGCAAAGAAATTCGCAATCGATCAGCACATGAAGGACGTAGAAGCTGGTGGAAACTGGAAGTGAATTAGAAATGAAGGAGAAGGCGGCGACAGCCACGTAAGCTGTCCACGCAGAAGAAATGTTCCTAAAGTGAAAGCTACCTAATAGAGAACAGACGGATAGACGCTAGAGGAGTGCCTAACTAGCCAGTCCGAGCGAAAGAAGTCACCGCCGCCACATCCTATCCAGGCTGGGTAGATTTCTCACATAGGCGCACGATGAGTGCTGACAGATTCATCTAGGTTCCCAAGTTGGGGCAATTTGTTGGGGCATCACGTGGCCCCCTCGTGGCGGTGCCCAGGTGGCTGCAGCGCATCCAGCCACAACGCCACTCGATTGCCTTCCAGATCTGACTTCACCATTTCCCCGCAAAGACGGAGCTCAACTCCTCCCATGCCTCTCCTTGCTGTTCAGCTATCTCACTCCTTCCAGAATCAATAAGGATCATGACACAGGACGACCAACATTTTCTTGACATTGTAAGGTCTACCTGGAGCTTCTTAGAGCTCTTTAGAAGCTTACTGACACTGAACATAGCTTGCAGAGTACTCCAAGGATATACGGAAGTTCACTGGGGACATATTCGATGAAACCGACCGACACTTTGCCTCGGTAGCGGCCTTCATCAAGAGAACTGTACCTCCAGGATGGCTACCTGAGTATGCACGACCTCCGCCTCCTCCCCCCGCCTCGCTCTCGGTCGCATACCTGGATCGCATCCAATCATGGGTTTCTCGGAATCGTGCGCTCACGGCAGCGCTGGTGGCATTCTTCGGAACAGGCGGGTTCTTATTGTGGGTTGAGAGCAGGAAGCACAAAAAAAAGAGAAGGGCGCGTCGAGCAAGCAATGGCGCCAGGAGGGAGGTCGTTGTCATCGCAGGGTCACCAGGTTCTCCGATCGTAAAGTCGCTCTCCCTGGACCTGGAACGGAGGGGTTTCATTGTATACATTGTTTGCACAGACATGGAAGAAGAGCAACAAGTACAAGGAGAATCAAGAGCAGACGTTCGACCGCTGCACGTTGATGTAGTGGACCCCCAAGGGACTCGCGAAGCAATGGATAAGTTTGCGAACTCGCTCAGAAGGCCGCAAGCGGCGTTCTCGGGAGCTTCGCTTCACAATCTTAGTTTCAGCGCACTTATCCTGGTTCCTGACCTTATTTATCCCTCCGGCCCGGTCGAAACCATCTCGCCGGAGCTATGGTCGGATGCGCTGAATGCTAAGGTGCTCAAAACGATTACCCTAACACAGGCATTCCTACCAACGGTATGCAGCCTCAAGGCCCGCGTCTTGATGATGACACCGAGCATCGTGTCCTCACTCCGGCCTCCCTTCCACAGCGTCGAGACGACCGTTGTTAGCGCCTTGGAGGGGTTCACAGCATCGTTGCGAGGGGAACTGGGCACACTTGGCATTGATGTATGCCAGTTCAAACTTGGAACATTCGACTACAGTCATGTTGGCGCAAAGCAGCATCTGCAGTTCTTGGGTTCTCCAGATACGGAACCATGGCCGCCGGCGGCGCGACAGTCGTACGCCTCCAACTTTGTCAACCAAAGCCGTATTGCGCGCGATCGGGGGCTGTTCAGCCAGAATGGGAACACAGGTAGCTCATTGCGTGAGCTGCACGTCTCTGTGTTCGACGCCATTACACAAAAACGCCCGCGCCGTGTCTGGCACGTTGGCAGAGGCAGCCTCACCTACGACCTTGTCGGCAAATGGGTGCCAGCCGGGCTGGTAGGCAGGATGCTAGGAGTTCGAAGGGTGTCGTTAGACGAAACAGCAGAACCGCAGCATGAAGACAGCGTGCAGTCGTGGGAAAAGATCGAAGCGGTCGTCTCAGGGTAGTAATAATGGGCGGCGGGGTGATTTCTGAGCCTGTTGTGTGCCTGGGACGGAGAGTGTCGCAGGGCCAGGGCCAGGATAGATGCGACTTCGGGATTCTCGACTCAGGCTCTGACTCTCGTGTCTGCACCACCTTGCCGGTTAGGAAGAATCAATACTGTGTGCGGCGGGGAGGTACTGCACGCCTGCAGAGGTAACATATGTTATATTTTCGCGCTCGGTAGGAATAAGAGGGCCGCCGGGCGAGGATGAACATTTCAAATTGGGGGATCGCTCGAAGATCGATCTGAGGATTCCAGACGCCGGATCATCATTTGGCGCCATTTGTAAGAATAGCCTTAGTTCGCTCCCTTGGCAGGCGTTCCTCTAGAACGGGGAAAGGCCTGGCCATGCATAATATGGGGGTTATTATTATTTTGGCGCTGCTGAACTTATTTAAGGAATTTAAGGACAGGACCTTAACATGTATTTGGTTAGCTGCGCTGAAGGTGCAACGTCGTCTGTAGAAGTTGTTGGAACTTGAAGCAACCTGGACCAGCGTCGATGACCTTCAGCAGGTGTGACTTTCAGAACATTCGTGGATGATGGCGAATATTCGTTCCACGCAACACAGAAGCAGCTACTCCTGACCACCGAGCATGCGTCGTGGGGATTGAGATACGAATACTCTCCGTAACGGCCTCGCGACACGCAAGAACAGTGGTTCCTTTCAAATTGCACTGCAACGGGGCTTGGCGGGCTGACTCTCAGCGCTGCACGTGCGTGTGATCCGATTCGCGCAGGCGTCCGGGCCGTCGGCTCCACCATAGGGAGTGCAGTACGGGGTATCCTGTGGTATAATCGGAGCAGGGAGTAGACAGACGACTGTGTAGGGGAAGAGAGTGAGTAGTTGACGTGTGGCCTCCAGAGCTGACGGCAACATCGAACCTCAGGTTTGGCAAAGAGAACAGATGGCGATTTGCCGCTCGCGAAATGGGCAATAGTTCCCCACACGATCTTGATGAGCTGAGAGCCCTGGAGATGTTGGTGAGAGTGGAGTGGTGGGCGGTTTGGCTAGTCCCCATACGACGCTGAAACGCGTTAGTGCGCGCAGGGATGCAGGGTCAAACCATGGCGGTGCGGTCAACGGCCGCGGTCGCGCCTTCCGTTGCGAGCTTCGTGCCTGGCTCGGTGGTCTTTCCTTCGCCAAACGCCAAAATAGGCCCAGACTAAATAGGGGAGCAACCAGCGTGACCTAAGCAAAACACCACCCTGCCCGCAACCATTCACTCTCTCCCTCTCCTCTTCCTCCCCACTCGCTTCACGTCTCCTCAAGAGTGTAACGCCCACTGCTCGTCGCCGTCCTCCTCCTCGCCGTCGCTCGACCACCATTCCTCTGCTCCGCGCAACGGCTTGCGCATCCGCTCCTTCACCGACGCCCACCAAACGCCATGATCTACACCCGCTGACTACACCTTTCACACCCGTCACCCACTCGCAGCCCGCCTTCCGAGCACTGCCTCTCCCGGCACCACGTTGTTCCCCGTCCCTTGTTCGGCCCTTCGACACCATCCTACTGCGCATTATTACCGGCTTTTGCCTCGACTGGTCGCTGTTTCATCGCCGCTCGCTGGATCGCATGCCGACACCCAAGCCTGAAGCGAAGCAACATCCTGCCACGACTACTAGTAACACTTGCGAATATACTCTTTCACTTCTACCCTTAACGCCTTCGCTGCGGCACCCCATTTCACCGTATATATTTCGATCGCATACAACATCTGGCGCCCGTAGACTGGACACCTGCCAACATGGCTAGTCGGCAGGCGCGCCCGAGCGGCCTGGAGCCCCGCTCACCATCTTCCGAATCCGATATAAGCCAACTTGCCATTCACGATCTTCCTAGCCCTCGAGTAGGCGAAATCCCTCCTGCGCTGTCCCCACTGGATGCCCTCGCCCTGCAAGGACGCCTGCTGGCGAGGAGGTTTGAGCAGGAGAGCAAAGCGGGTCGCCGAATGAGCCGACTTGCGCCTCTCACAATACAAAATGAGTTCGGAAACCGCCCTGGATACTTCTCCTCGCTGACCAACTCGTCGGTCAACTCGCCAAACGAGGCCCGACCCCCGATTAGCCCGGGTCGCCCGCCAGTCACCCCACGCTCTCCACGAGAAGTCAACTTGACCGATAAGCACAAATCGTTCTACCCACAAATCGGTGACCCTCAGAATGACCCGCCTCTCTCTTTCAAGAACAACTTGTCTACCATTGGGGAGAGCAATCCTTCTCAACATCCGCCACACAGCTACTTTGACATGCCTCCAAGTCGCTCGCCAGAGCCTGCAATTGGTGTACAAGAGGCCACACCAGTCAGCCCGAATCACCCCACCTCGCACTCTCAGCCGCTTGCCCGGCAGAAGCAGCCATCTATGGATTCACTCTCGGCTAGGGCGCATCCCCAGGCTGGCCTGCGTCCCCCGAGATCCCCAGGGTCCGTGAGAGATGTTTCCCGAGATCGTTCCCCTAGGCCTTCTCCGAGCATGAGGTCAGTGCCGGGAGATTCCGACGAGTTCGAGGCTATGTCTATGGGTGGCTCCTATGATTCGTTGCAAGCCAGGGGTATGTCATCGAGCTCCAGTATTTCTAGGGCACATTCTCCGTACACTCCTTTCAGCAATCCTACCATTCCTCGTTCCCCCTCTCTTTCTTCCGAATTTTCCGCTGGCGGGTCCCAGCTTCCTCGACCGGCTTTCAACTTCTCCCGCCCCATGAGCAGTGCAGGCAGGCCTTCGTTGGACGTCAGGGCGTCAGATCTCCCACTACGGCAGGCATCAGACGAGAGTGCCGTTACGAGACCGTCATATGATAGCCTGGTGCAGCGCCAGGAAGCGATTGAGAGTCCCATGCCTAACTATGGTGGCGAGGTGGTCCATACGCCAGTTAGCATGACCAGCGAGGACTTTCGCCGTTCTGGTGATTTTTCAAACAATCCTACCTCGACATACACATATTCCAAATTCAGCCTTCCTCGGGGACGACCGCTGGACCGTCAATCCATTGGCATTGAGGATTTCCTGAATAGTCAGATAACGTGGGACAAGCCTGCCACAAATGATGATCAGCAGCGACCGCCTTCCCCGGAGTCTCCACCTCGGTCATCTGGGCCGATATCCACTCACGTCCCGGCTACTCCGAGAAGAGATGCTTCCGTTGACCGCAGTGCGCCATCCCTTACTTCCAGCAATAGTACAATCCGTGCTCGGCCAGAGGGAGCGGCTGAGATTACTGCCCAAGAGCATTGCGACAAGGGTATAGCCCTTCACGAGGCCGGCGATTTCATGAAGTCTACCTACCATCTTCGTCTCGCCGCTCGTGCCGGCCTTCCCGAAGCCATGTTCTGGTATGGCTTGGCGTGTCGCCACGGCTGGGGTATGCGTGAGAACAAGGCGGAAGCGCTCCAGTGGCTGCGTAAAGCAGTCGACTCCGGTCAGCTTGAAGTCGCCGACGATGAGGACCAGAGCAAGCATGGCCAACCGATTGACCTTGTGAAGCGCAAGCAGCATCGCGCCCAATATGCAGTCGCCATCTATGAGCTTGGTAAATGTTACGGGAATGGCTGGGGCGCGCCGCAGGACAAGGCGTTGGCACTACGCTGTTACGAGATTGCTGGAAACTGGGGTGACGCCGATGCTTTGGTCGAGGCCGCCTACTGCTATGCTGAAGGCGTTGGCTGCAAGAAGGATATGAAGAAGGCTGCTCGGCTATATAGAGCTGCAGGTGCCAAGGGGGTCAGTATGGTGGGAAACAGCTGGTGAGTGTTAAACAGGGCAAGTTACAGTAACATTTCTGACGGATGTCTTAGGATATACAAGGAAAAATATATGGACGATAGCTCGACCACCTCTGATGCGCGCTCTGTTCGGTCTGGGCGGTCTGTCAAGAGAGACAACTCGGAAAAGAAGCCCCGCGACAAGAGCCGCACAAGGACGATTTTCGGCCGCAAGAAGAGCACGGCATAGGACTCGCTCTTCTGTCTTGTTCCTGAACATCTACTAGATCAATATGCGCCAACGACATCTACATTGCACATAACTTGTGGCGGCATATCGTGGGATTCGCCTCACTTGATCCATACACCTGGCGACGAAGTTCTTGCCCTCTATCTTCCCGACGCCGCTGCACGCATATTTTCTTTTGTCCATCTCTTGCATTTATCATCGGCTCACTCGGATGTTCTTCCATATGGCTGCTGTGGACACCGACTCTTCACGGGATTTTGGGGTGTATATTGATGAAAATGCTTAATTTCTTTTTACTATTTGTTGCATTCCTTCTTTCATCGTTTGTCTTTGCTTTTTCCTCGTGTCCAGTTGAGTTGGCATTCTGTATAATTCTAATGCCTGGTGCTGGGGGTGCCTGGGGCGCTGTATGCTTCAGTCTGGGGCTGCGGGTCGATATATCCTTTGTTTTATCCTTTGTTTCTGTCTTTTATATACCTAGGGAGGGGAGTTTTGGCATTGGTTGGAACGGTGGGTGGGGGAACTTGTGTATAGTGGGGAGAAGGGAAGGGCAAGGGAAGGGAAGCAGAGGAAAGGTGTACATCAGTCTATATATCCCGGAGGTGACGTGTAGATATCTCTAAGCTAGGAAAGGCAGCAATATGCTAGACGAAGTTGACGTTCCACACCATTTACAAAACATGAGGTTTTTCACTGGACTGATATGGAGTGTTCATGTCTCTCGAATGTGCGCTTTACACCAAAGGCACGAGAATGGAGGTTGTGAAATGGGATTTTCTGTTCGAGCACTTATCTATCTACCCTAATCCGACTGAACGGCCTAATGCTACTGCTTCCAGGAAGCTCGGACTCGCCCAAGCTAGACATACTCGACATGTCTGCTTGCTTGCTCAACTGCTTCCACATAGACATATTCGACATCCACACGCGGCAATGCTCACCCCTCCAGACGCCTTCCTATAAATCCCGCAGAACTAGGATCTCTCCCAGCGCCCTCGACACCCCAAAATCTCCCCCAACCGCCCTCGGACTTACTCATCAAGCTGTACGTAATTCGCCGGGAACAACCCAGACTGGCCATTATACTGACCCAGCCACCAATCCTCATCCGGGAACTCCTGTGTTTCTGGTCAGCCACGATTCCACAACTCATCGTACCCACGTATTCAGATTAATACATACCACATGCGTAATCTTCGCTCCCTCGGGGAAACTCAACTCGTTGTCCTCCGCTGCATCATAATCATACAGCGCCGTAGCCGTCGGCCCCTCGCTCTGCCCAGCGGGTTGCGGCGGCGCCGCAGGCGGGGCCTCCTCCGCGGCAGAGGGATGCGTAGGCAAGGGCGGAGGAGCAGCCGCGCCACTATCCGCTTCAGCGCCACCCTCATCGTCTTCGACAAGCTCGACGTAGTTCGAAGGAAAGAGGCCCGTCTCCCCCTGCGAATTCTGGCCCATCCACCAGTCCTCGTCGACCATCTCGATGTTGGTCACGTACTCGCCTTCACGGAGCTCGATTTCGTTATCCTCGGCTTTCTCGTAGTCGTACTGGATCAAGGCGCGTTTCCCGGTGCCACTACCGGCTGCTGCGGAGGCACCGGCCACAGCGGCGGCGCCGAAGGTGGCGGCAGCTACCGCTGCACCAGCGCCACGGGCGGGATCCTGCGCTTGGACTTTGGGCTCGGGCTCGGGGGAGACGTCGCGGGCTTGTTGGGCGGCTTGATTGAGCGAACGGGCTGGCATAGGAGGAGCCTCCTCTTCATGTAGGGCTGGAGTAATCTCCTCGGGTTGTCTGCCGCGAGCGACAGGCATAGCGATGCGGACAGGGGAGCCGGCAGGCTCTGGCGACGGGCTGCGGCGTTCCGGCGAGGGGCTTCGGGGCTGGGGAGGCGGTGACGGCACATGTTGATGCTGGACTGGAGGAATTTCCTCTTCTTCTCGTTCCGCAGGACGTGCAAGTCCGGGTATGGGGACTCCGCGAGCTCCAGCGTTCGGCTTACTTGACAAATCCATAGGAGGTGGCGCAGGAGCGGAAGGCTCTTCGTGTCGAGGTTCCTCGCCCGTACGCTGGTCGCTCAGGTTGCTTGTAGCGGACTGACCTGTTCGTGTTGTCTGCACTGGCGCCCACGACTTACCCGTGTAACCGCTCTTCCAGCCACCTTCTCCGCTCTTCTGCACTGGCAACGAAGGCGAAACTCCACCTGTGTTGGAAGGAGAGATGACATTGCCTCCTTGAGCGCGCTTCTTCTCAGCCCAAATCTGCGCGGGAGTCTTCCCTCCTTCATCCGCAAACGTTTTGCTCGCGGTGCCAACAGGGGCGGCAGGCACGACAGGCTTAGCACCAAAAGCGACCGGCGTTGGAGCCTTCGTCCCGGTGAACGTACTGGCACCTCCAAACTTGTTTGCAACCTTGGGCTTCGGTAGGGTGGTGAGCCTCTCGGACTGTTTGAAGGCTGCTGCCCTCTCGGCTAGCGACTTGGGAGCTTCCCCTTCGTTGCCAGCAGCAGGGGGTGGAGAGGGTCGCTCAGGGGCGGCCTGAGCCTTGGCGCGGATAGCAGCAATATCAACTTTGCCAACGGGTTCGTATGCGCCCTTCACTACAGTAGGCCTGTCATCCTGTCCCTGTGCCTTGGCCTGGGCCCTCAGCGCCGCAATATCCACCTTCCCAACAGGCTGGTATCCGCCTTTGACAACATCAGGAGGGGTTTCCTGCCGCTCAGGGGCTTGGAAGCGCGAGGGTTCGGGTTTCTTCGAAGTAAGTTCCGCCATATTGACCTTGGTGGGTTGGTAGGCAGGTTGGACTCTTTCAAGCTGTGTGCGGGTGACAGGAGGTGCGTCCGCACCCCAGCCGTCATTGTCAACATCCCCGCTAGGCGCAGGTGCTCTGGACCTGGACCCCAGAGGATTAAACCCTGAACCTCCGCCTCCCACCTGTGTGGGCGTGAAAGCAGGCTTCTTCGCAGCGACGGGTGGTGGTCCACCGGACGAGGGAATGGTAGGACCGCCGGAGTACTTGGCACCCGAGGCATCTGCAACCTTTTGTATGATCCTCTCAGGAGTCAGATCCGCCTCGGATCGAGCAGTGATTTGAACATGATAACCCTGGACCATGTCAGGACAATGATTACAAATTTTAGAGCCGGTTTCCTACATGAAGAAGCTTTGTGACAACACCTAGGTGGCTGCCAAAGTAACCCTTAGTCCGCTCCGGAACACCCTCGCCGCACTGGCATAGTTATCAGCAAAGCCGTGTTATGCTTCTGCGGCATTCAAGGCTTACCCAGGCTATAAGAACACATTTCGGCAGTGTTGTATTTGGGTCCTTGACCTTGACGAAAGCGAATTGGATCCGACCGTCCGAGAATTCGTCTATTAGGTCTTCGAGTTCACCCTCTAAGCACAATCAGCGTGGTCAATTAATACTGCGGTCTACGAACGTACCGCCTGTAGTCTGAACTTTCAAGACACTCTCCTTTCCGCCATCATGTTGGAACGCGCTGACGAGCGGAGCCGCAACAGTGAACACAGCCCATTGGCCGTATGTTGGAGAGGACGCTTTGGGCCCAGAGGGAGCAGGAGCATTGACGATACTCTGGTAGCTTCTCGTTATGGTGGGACCGTTGGTAGAAGTATTCAAAGTCGCCATGTTGGGCTCGGCGATGTCAAGGAGCTTTCACCGTGGAGGGGTTCGATGTTTGGAGGGGTGTCTAATGAATGAGAGGGAGAGCGGCCAGGGAAAGCTGGAAGGCTCGCTTGACTTGGCAGCGGTGTTATGACTCGGCAACCGGTGCACTGAGAATGTTGGACGGTTGACGCGTAGTCGAATTGATGAGTTAGGTCTGCGTGTTCCTCTCGGAGGACGTTAGGTTCGGACGAGCTTCGCACAGCCGCATTTCATGCCAAGAACCTTCGTCATCGTAGCTGTGGCTGAGCGTGGCTAACGTCACGTGTAATTTACCTGCCCAGGTGGCTTCATCAGCCTTGCGTCCATCGTCCATACCCAGAATACCCAAAGCAGCCTATTCGTGATCTACGCTGATGTTTAACTGGATACAAGTTCAAATATGAACACGACACCACTGGGCAGCATGCGTTGGGTATTGGGAGTTTTGGACGGTGGATGGGCAGCGGCGGCAGCTCATTGGCCAGTAATGCTCGCCTCACTTCGGAGACTTGGGCCAGAGCTTCGATGTCACAGCTCTTTCCTCCTTCCCTTTCACTCACCTCTCACCTCTCACCCTCTAACAACCCGCCACCTGTATGCCAACCGCGGAGGAAGCTATAGCTCGACGAGTTCCTTCTTGAGACCCCTTTACTCACTAGAGACAGCTTTGCTGCCGTCCTCAGCTTTCCTCCGACGCTCGCGCTACCCATCTCTCGCCTGTAAGCTGGCACTTAGAGAATCGAGCTTGCTATACACCTGTTCATTTACATATGCGTCCTATCGGCCGAGTGCGTGGGGTGGGGCTCCCGGCGTGAGCTCCTCCGGGGTGGGGTGGATACATTATGGACGAACGCGAGACGAGTGTGTCGTCGTCTTCCGACTTCTACGGATCGGACCAGAAGTCAAATACACGGAGTAGCAATTCGCTTCAGCCACATCTACCTACCAAACGCAAGGCTGAGGAAGCCGAAGTGCTACCCGGAAAGAAGCAGAAGCTTGACTCTCCCCTCGCGTTTCCTACAACTGAACTGTTACCATGCGCTGGGCTTCCGCCGGCGGTATGGCAACACATCTTTCTTTTTTGTCCCCTCAAGACGCTGGGTCGATTGCTTCAAGTCAATCGATCTTTTCATTTCTATCTGACAGAGATCCGCGATGCTGCCTTCCTGAATTCAAATCCCAGCTCTCTTCGGCTTCTGAAGTCCGAATCGATTTGGGCGTCCGCACGCAATATGCACCCTACGAAGCCTCCGAAACCCCTTCCCGGCTTTACTGAGATTGACATGTGGCGTCTTGTTTGGTCTAAAACATGCCAGTTCTGTCAGAAACCCGCTTTCTTTACTCCAGGAGAGAAAATATGGCAAAGGGGCCCAGGGCCAACAGGGGTGCGCGTTATATGGCCTTTTGGTATCAGAGCTTGCGGCTCCTGTGTCACGTCGAGGTGTCAAACTGTAAGCCGTACGCCACTGACAGTCACGGATTTTGCTGACTCTGTAGGATGCAAGCCTCCTTTTCTCCAACGCATCTGCACTCCGTCCCGCTCTCCCCTTCGCACTTATTACGAGTGATGCCAATTATATACCCGCTTATACTCTCCAAGCTGCTACAACTCCTGCGCATGTGGAAATCTCGAAGTACTATTATAAGCCTCATGTGGTGGAGCTTACCGAGGAGCTCGAGCGAGCCCTGAGTTTGGGACCAGCTGCTGCTGAGGAATGGTACAAGGGCTTAGAAGTGAGAGGAAAAGACCGAATGAAATGTTACGAAAACTGGGAACGTTGGGAAGTGAAATATCAGTGGTGGGAGAAACATCAGGCCACAAAGACGACTCCTCCAACAACCTCTTTAGCTCCAAGGAACTCCCCTCGGCGACGTCTATCGCCTTCTCAGCCTCAAACATCGGCTATAATCCATGCTCCGGTTCCTGTCCGTAAGTACCACTCCGCTCACTCCCCACTGCAAGGAAAGTTTGCACATAGTGCTTGTAAAGATGTCTATTATGCAGCTCCTTCCCTGACCGCTGCAGTCACAAGTACTCCTCATCCTCCAACGAGCAAGGCGTACGCACTGTCGGTGACAAATACTCCACTACCAGCGCCTACGGTAGGAGCACACATTCCGCGTGGCGAGCGGAACCTCCACGACGCGATTGAGGCGAAGGCGAATCGCAAATTGGAGATTGAGCGCCGCGCCATGCTTCTTGATCCACCCATTCCGCCGACCATTTTGCGTCACATGGAATCTTTCAAAGCAGCCATACAGATTTCACAGCCCCTTAATGACTATGCTTGGAGCATGCTCTATCCTCGGTTGCTAGCACAACTCCCGGAAGCACAGCAAGCTGAATTAGAGCATTCCTCACGGCTCGCATCTGCCAATTCTAGAGTAGCAGACCGACGTCTACACGACCCCAGTGCAAAGGAACTCAAGGACGCGTTGGACCGTGAATGGGAGGAATTGCAGAGACCGGTTCGGGACAAACTTAACGCTCTTGCCGATGATATCATCAATCAAGACTGGGACCGCGGCAGAGCCGTCACGCTTGAGAACAGCCCAAATTTCGCAGCTGATCTCCTGGTAAACATCCGCCGAAGATATTATGCCGAAGTCGGTGAGGGTGCTATCCCATCGAACACGCAGAACTCTGACCCCTCAATCGTCCACGGAAGGAGAAGACTTGTCTTGGAGAATATGAAGTGGGTGTACGATCACAAACTGAAGCCTCTGACTGAACAGTTCCGCAAAGAGCTCTTTTTGTGCAACGGAAGCGGCTGCGAGGGAAATCCTCGCTTCTACGGGTTTGAAGGAGTTATACAGCATTTTGCAGCTAAGCACACTAACGCCTTCAGCAGAGGCAACATAGTTGTTGCATGGAGAGACGCAGAATGGCCAGAAGAGACCCCATTCCATCCGGATCCTATCTCAGTTAAAAATGCCCATCACCATGGCTCGTACCATCCCGGATATGGTCGTCCTGGAACGGTCACACCTCATAACATACAGTCAACCATCCCAAAGGCAAGCCCTTCTCCGTATATATATAGTAGCCAGTTCCCTGGGCCTTTCCCGCCGCCAAACCTTGCACCCCAAGCAGGCTCCGGTGATGATGATGCTCAACCGTACGCGGGATCCAAAGGGACATTCTTGCAGCCGCAGATTGGACCACCAGAGTATGCAGCCAGGGCGAGCATGCATGGCCAGATTGCATCCCCATCTTTGGGAAACCGTATTCCTGTGTCTTCCGCCAATCATCGGCCAACCTCTCATGCAGATGTAGCGAGGACTCATGACCCAGGATCTGAGAACAACCCCTCCGGGCGAGAGATTCGGTTTGAGGCGCACCGGAAACAAGTGAGTACTATCATCCAAGCGGCCCAGAAAGTGTGGAGACAGACTTCTGCCGTTCATGATATTCCCAACGGTCTTCGGCTTTATGTTCTCTTACATCATGTCATTTCAAGATCTCGTTTGGAGTTCCACCACGAACTCACTTGGGCTCAGTTTCGTGACGCGTTTTTGAGCCCTGAAATGCCAAGCGCCATAAAATATGCTTCTGGCCTTTTCTGCAAAGCTTGTGGGATTGCCTCCCCTCCTCGGACTGTTGCTCCTTCTACCAGGCTTCACGAACGAACATCTTATTCCTCGCTGGACCTTCTCCGTCATTTTGAATCCCAACATATGACCTCTCAAGACCAAGGGCATGGGAGCGGCCAAGTTATTCCCTTGGACTGGAAGGAGGATATGATAGAAATTCCTAGCGGTCGTTTTATATCGGACCTAATCCATAATCCAAGAATGGACGACGAAACATTACATCTTTTTGCTGCTGTATTTACCAGGCGGTTTCCAAGTCCCCTTCCAAGGACAGGCGGCAACCATGGAATATCATCTTATCTATTGGCCAACACCATTCGTAACACCTCGCCACTGCCTAGAGGTTTAGTTGCGTCACTGGAGCATTCTGGGCCATCTCCGTTAGATCCACATTTCACGGACTCTCCAGAACCGCCTAAACCCAGTCAAGATGAGTATGACCCCCACCGTCCAGCCTTAGTTGCACCAGCAAGGCCTTCCAACTCAGTGCGTATGCCAAAATCTAGGAGGCAGTCGCCAGTGGAATCTTTGGCTCGCCATGAAGGCGAATACGTTTATGTACGTGATCAGGCAAGTCATAATGATTCGGTAGTCGCTAATAACATACTTGACCAGCGGCCTTATGCTCCTATGGATGAGGTTTACAACTCCAACTATCAATCCACCACTCGAAACCAGATATCCCGGGACCACGATCCTGCAGCCAGAGAAGCACCCATGCGCTATGCCGTGTATACAGGGTATGAGGACAACCAAGACGTGCCCAACAGGACCGTCGCATATGCACGTCCACACGACTCGGACGGATCCGAAAGGTATCTGATGCACGCATATCAGGAGCACGACCATGGTAACCATGAAATATATACGGCAAGAGGGGCAATAGCTCGGCCAAGAAGCCATGTTTATCAACCATATGAAGCAGACCGGTTGCATGAAGCAACCGGACCAATGGAAACGCCAGTTACTGGAGCTACGGACCCCAACTTCCATCCCCAAGGATTGCAAAAAGCTGTTGGTCTTAACACTGATCCTGAGCATGAATTAGGGATCAGTCCAAAGCCGACTGACCGTCATGAAGGGCGATTCCATGAACTGGGTCATCGTAAGGCACTCTCGGCTGCCTCCAATGATTCAGATCGTGGAGAACGTGTCCCTGGTGTGCCGACTTCTAACCGGACAAGCGAACTCCAGAGTCGCAATGATAGGCATGGCTATGTCCCCGCTCGATATTATCGATATATGAAGGTTGTCCGTGACGATCCGTACGGTCGCGGTTCACACGGAGGGCGTTCTCAAAATAAACGATATGAGCGCTACGAAGAGCAACAACGTCGGTTTGAACAAGAAGAAATCCCATCTGGACATGACCGCACTGCAGACCGCCATCCTGAAAACCCTACGGTACGCAGAATGTATCCGGCAGAACCCTATACCGCCCCATTACGGCGTTTATCCCGTGAGCATCTCCCACACGATAACCGCACACCTCCGCCTCCACCTCCGCGGCATCCTTACACTCGCTCACCAGAACATCATGGCGGCCCTTCACCCGTCTACTATGACCAATACGGGCGCCCACTATACGAATATGAAATCGTACACGTAGCGGACGACTCAAGGCTAAGACGCCCCTTATACCCCCCCGAAAGCTACTATGTGGAGCACGATTCTGGCCGGCCGCAGCTCATTGCTTGGGATGTACCACCGCCGCGACACCAAAGTCGTGGGCATGAATACGTTTATTATGAAGACAGGGGACATTCGATACCAGCAGGTCATCCTGTCCCAGACCCTCATAGGAAGGCAGCAGTCTATGATCCGCCACCGCCAGAGATCAAGGTCGAGTGTGGGCCTGCTCTGGGACCTGAAGGCCCACCGTAGCATGGCGTTCGTGGCGGGGTTTATACGTTTCGTCGTGCAAGTCTTGTTTTGGGCAGGAGTTCTATACCATTCTCGATTCACTTTCCACTGTGCTAGGCGGTCGGTTTCTACCTGTCAGCAGATGTTAGTGCAAGTGCGCATAGTTAAGAGGCGTTTGTGAACCTGATGGGTAATGCCTAATGTACAATTTGGTAATCTAATCCCTTGTTCGTCCGAAGGACACGGGCCGTAGTCTATTGATGTTATTACTGCAAAGTACACTCACCGTCGTGTTGAGATTTTGGTGCGTCATCTAGATAGGCTGTTCTACTATCACATCATCTGTGCACCGAGTCTCCCTTTTCTGCCTGGACACTCTCAAGACCTGATCATGGCTATCGACCCAGGTACTGATAACGTATGCGAGCAGTTCAGTATGGGCATAATTGCATATCTATGGGAATTTTTCGTCTTTCTGAGTCCCTATGAACGGTATTTGCTGAATACGCCGATTCTGCTTAACCAGCCGCCCTTGCATTTCCATACTTACAAAGAACTCCCCTTCTATAGCCACAGTAACAGCACTGTGGATTGTCAAGACTGAGAAGCAAGGCCTATCCAGGCAATAGAAGAGCCTACTCTGGCTATCTCCTATCGTAACACCACGGGTATTTGCTACATTTCTCTCAATCTTCATCTCAGATGAACTTATCTTTTTGCCGGAGCTCCTCTTTTAACTTGAGGGCTTTGCGTCGCACCCCAACATCATCAGCAAATTTCACTACAATCCAAGAAAAGTCGGGCGCACTTTCTCGAACTCCGCAGTCCCGGTCCCAACATACGTATATATCTCCCACTCAGTCCTCTCTAACGCTTCTCCTTACATGTGTGTGTAGGTCTCGAAAGAGAATTTCTTGTACTGTACGCGTCTTATGTAGGATCTCTTTTCGCTAGGCCCCTCGTTTGAATTTTCAACAGTCCAGGTACAGTTTAGTGCCTACATAGTACGCAACGTAACTGCATATTTCCTGATTTCTTAGGTAGTCGCTCCAGGTATCTATGTGCCCCAGTAGAGAAAGACGCGGTCCAGAGCTCTCACGAAGTGACATATCGACGTCGCACATTTCGAGCTTGCTTCGATTTCGATTTTGGGTCTCTTGATGCAACACATATTTATGTAGCTCATCGTTGCTGCTGACGATATATCCTTGCCTTAAGGTCTATAATCCGCAACAGTCTTCGCCACTCTTGAAAACCGTTATTCCTCAAGTGCCTCGTCGGTGTCGGACTTACCCCCAACAGTGTACCCAAGCGATGATTTTGACTATTCCATGTGGCTACTAAAATAGCTTGCAAACTGCCCGCCAGCCCTCCAAATGGCGACGCCTCTGTGACTCCTCAAAGTCACACACTTCAATGTGACGAACAGGACCATGTAGCAACACCTCCCTCTGCAGAGCTTCCATCCAGTGACGCATTTGGTCCTGTTTCAGCTCAAACGGGGTGTCGCGAACCTGTAGTGTTTCCCAATGTACATCAAGTCCTACTGGGTACTTGTCAAACCAATACCCACGTGGGGAAATCTCATATATCCAAACTTCACGAGCGATTGAGACAGTGTGAAGATTGCGGCAGCTGCGGACGAGATCAGTGAAAGCGAGCGTAATGTTATCCAAGTCTTTCTGCTTTGGCCTTGCTGCGACAATGTGCCTTTCAAGACGGTCCCCATACTCCAACCACCCTTGGTGTTGCCGAGAACTGCCAGCTAGGCCGGGCAAGAAAACACTGATCTTGAGTTCCTTTAGTGCGGGGCAATACTTTGAAATAAATCGAATACTCTGAAGTTGTTTGGTGAGAATACGGCGGCTTCGGCGGATCCGGCTTCGAGACCTCGGGGAGTCGACGCCATCATCATGGCTTGGGAAGATCTTGTCTATGTTTTGATCGCAAACTCTTCCCGTGACATTCAACTTGGTGATGAACGCAAACGTAGAAGGGGTCATTACCATGCGCACGTTATTAATGCCCCGGCTATGTGTACTTAGTAACTGAAATGTATGCGAGGAGACACTCTGGCGTCATGGGGTTAGGGGATGTGGACGGGTCGCGGTCCTACGTTGCACATCTTCTGTTGCGGCATTCCCATAGGTGCTTAGAGCATCCCCCGGAGCCACAGTAGTGATCGTTGACATCACTCAGATGGTGATGAAACGACACTTCCGTGTTTCCAAGAAGCAATGCAAGCAGTTCGACTCTGATGGATTTGCACAAGTACAACAGTGCAGTTTCAACTGCATTGAAACTAAATGCCTAATTGTATTCAGCAGTATTCAAACTATTTTGGACCATGCCGAATGACCTAATGTACTCACATTTGTAGTCCCGTTGCCCAGAGTCCATTTCACCAAGCTTAGAAAGCTGCCCTCTGGGCTCAAAGACACGACGCCTACGAGCTGCGCCCGGCTCTCATAATTCGGCTTCGCTGTTTCCCGATTACAGTGGGGTTCCACTGAATTTGAAATGCTTGGGCCGGCGTTGTGTTGATGTTTGATGACTCCCGGTCAACCCACACCTTCGTTCCAATCGGATAGCCTAGATAGCTATAGATTTCTTGACGAAGTTCAGCAGGGAGACTTTCAAGTAACGATTTTCTGTTTGGTCGTGTGATCGGGATCGTGAAAACTGCCGGCTGGTTCTCCGCCCACTTCAGCAATGGGAAGGAGAGCCGAAGGTGGACATCCGCAAGGCTTCGATGTCCCAGGAATCGTCTTCGGGGTTATCATTTAATTTAGTCATTTGCTTCGTCGGAAACTACAAGGGGAGAAAAGGCGTTGGCCTTGGAATGCAATAAAGTCCTCCCACAGGTTGGGTTGCCACAAGGTGTAGAATGAATGGGAAAGTTGTGATATTGCGTCAACAACTGATCAGAATTGACTTGAGGTGATAAGATCGGTATTATATAAGCCTCCCGCGCCCACTGTACCACTTCCGCTCATTTGCGAGCATGGTGACTGGGTGCCCGGCACTTTCACAGTCCAACAGGATTCGGGCTATGCAGTGAAAGGCGTCCGAGCCAAAAGCGACTGTTGTGGGTTATTTCTACGAAAGCCAGAAGTTTGCAGATGCGCAATCAGGTGCTCCAACGTACACATGATGAATAAATGACCGTGTTTATGCTTGATGTGCTGTGTTGGCGAGTAGAGTTCGGGCAAGGGACTCACCCTTTACAACCCTTCCTACAGTTAGCCCACAGGTGCTGCTCGCGTCTCTCCTTAATCAGCTTGTAATCTTTCTCAACACTATGATAATAGTCGTCCAGTGAGGTGCTTTTCTGGAATAGGAGACTCAGTAACTCTGCTCGGCTCCCCTTGTCTATTTGCAACAAGGCCGTATTCGTCCTCAGCGAATCGTGCTGCTTCTGAACACGATCATTACTTCCAGATCCCGTTGTGATGACAGTCCAGCAGGCTTGTACTTACATGCTCGGGTCTCTTAGGCGCTTTCCACAGCCCCTGCTGTATCACATGTTCAAGGTCCTGAGTATGGCATTCAAAGCGAAGCCCTTCAAAGGGGATTAGAGTGGAATATTTCTGGCCATGACACTCCAGCCACAACTTCCCACCGACTGGATATCCAAGATGAATATAAATTTCGTGTCGAAGTTCTACAGGCAGACCCTCAAAGCTCGAGAGCTCGCGAGAACGGGACGTCATATGGGTGGAGGTTTGCTCCGCCGTGGGCATTCACTTAAGGGGAGGTGTTGTGAAAGCGGAAAGGCTGATGGCTTCGAAGTCCAACGGCTCCTCATAGTTGTCGAGTGGAGTCATGTTGTCGGTTCCAATGTTGTGATTTTCGGAAGTACCCATATGCGTGTTTTAAAGTGAGGGAAAAGCAGAATCAAAGGAATGGCCGGAGTTGCCACCGTAATGATGTCGTGTTAGTGATGGGAGGTGGAGAAATCATGGAATAAACTCTATATAATCATGAAACGGCGGGCGTATACGTCCACAGTTTGTATTGACGGCTTTATCGTCTACCTAGACGGATGATTTCACTACTTTCACATCGCACCCCTGGGGCACGTGAGTGTGCTTCGATTGCCAACGTGAGTGCATGTGAAATACTGCGCTCGGGGCACGATTGGCGGATTATGGCAATTTATTAACCGTCCTATAACATTAAAATAAAGTTTGCGGGTCCGTATCACCGGCAGTAAGCAATCTCTGCCGCAGTTTTGGATAAAGCTTTCCGTGCGTTGTCCAGGCCTGAGGTTTGTCTAAGCACGTCGCCAGGTGTGTGTGTGTCACCTGTGTAAAGCCCTGGAGAGTAAAATATCTCCCAGCTCGGCGAACATGACTCTTTTCAGGATAAACACATCTACAAAATAGTATAGGGGCACGATACTACTGTATTCCTATTGAAGAGCCGATTCAATGTCAATAATTCCACGTACCGGTCTGTACTTAACACCTGCAGGTGAAAAACGCTCTTCAAGTACACTCTTCAACGATCAGAAAGACGAGACGAGAATAAAGACGCGAATAAAGACGCGAACGAAGGCGCTCCACAAACACGGTCTCCACGCCTGCTTATGGCCGACCTTGCTGAACGGCGTGTAGTAATTTGACTGTCCTATCGAGGAACACAGCACTTGATATCGTTGCCACCGGGAAAATATCCACTAAGAAAATGTGTTAGCGCACCCACTTTAGGCACTCGAAAGGTAAACAGAACAAAGGATCAGGTACAAGGACAAGATAACATACCCCTTGAATTCGGAATTGGGGTAGCAACCTTTGTACACATTGCGACAACTCCAGACAGAATATGGGGCAGCACAACGGATTTTACGGCAGCACTGGTTCAAAGCATCGCCTATGAAGAGAATATTATTTAGCTTTATCGTCTTCGTGGCTCCAACAATAGCCACTCTCTCTGGGCCACTCACCGGGGCAGAAACCTGGGATGCTGACAAATTGACAGTTCGCCCAATCAGCCCGCCGACATGTACCAGGTCCCTGTTGCAGATGTTAGTAAAGAAACGTCCAGTTAAAGAGAGCAGGACGCGACATGCATTCAACCCAGGACGTCCGGTCACGGTGCATCCCTGCTGGTTTGTGAAGCTGTCACTCTCCTCGAAGCGGATGCCTTCTAGTCCGGCGGATGGCGAGAACGCAACTTCAGCAGAGCTCGCAGAGGGGTTAGCCAGCGAAACTGGCAGCAGGGTAAGGACAAGTGCGATCAAGATCTTCATGTTGAAGTAGGGTACCGACGGGATTGCCAATTGAAAGGCAGCTAAGATGTGTTTGTACGCTGAAGTAAAGACTTTGATGACGGAACCTATTTGTATCTTCCAGCGGCCCTTTATAGAGCTGCGGATGATTCTCAACATTCCTCGCTCCTGTGGAGTCGGCTGACTATTGGGCCTGGAGTCTTTTCACGAAATGTGTTAACATGTACTACCTGGTGCTCATGGGCTATATGTCCATGTGACTTCCTCTCCCATCAAGCCCGCAATTGTTCGACATGACTGTACCATATTTGGAATATATCTCTAGCGATGCTCCCATGACAGGATTGCATTACTCAACTTAGTTCGTTGAGTGACTTTGCCCAGGATATGAGCTGGCTGACGCGCAACCTTAAAGCGCAAGAGAGTTTGTTTGCACGACAATCACTAGATCTTGTCTTCCACCGAGATCGAAATCTCTGTGGTGGTGACATTTTTGATTTGTCAATTTGTTTCCAGAAAGCGCGTCAGACTCCACATTTGAATATCTTAAATAACATACTTGTATAATGGTACTCCTATGTGGTGACCCTCATCATGTGGTAAGAACTCGAAGCATAATAAAGGGAGACAAGACAGAATCACAGAATTGTGCCCTCATCCCTTATGCCCAAAGTCGTGTCACTATCTTTTTCGGACTGGATACTATCTGTAGCATTTAGAAGCTGCAAATTTCCAATTGAAGATATTAACCACACGATCTCAGCAGGGCGGAGCACTAGTTTCTTTTACTGCTGGTTTCAAGATTGACCACGTAGAAGCATCCCGCAGGCCGAGGCAGCGAGATCAAATGTTGTGGTTATTTGAATACGAAACGGAGAGAATCTATCTGAAAAGCTGGCTCAGAATATAGAACAAACTGGCTAAATGCAAACTCATACGTACTCATGGTTCGTCTCGTCTTAGGATTCCGTTTCTTTTTCCACTGACGCCGGATATGAACACCTCGATAGATCCCAATTGCTGCAACACGCGATTTCCACACGCTTTCCCCACCCTTCTGGATACCATCAATCCGTAGAGCGATCCGATTCACTCGAGAACAAACTCGATATTTTCCGTTTGAAGGGTTTAAGGGGCCTAGGTAATTTCCACTGCGCGGAATCATCCAAGAACGCGCTGTCAAGCGCCCACGTCGCCACGACCGTGAACAAAACCGCACCAATGGCAATGACCCAGTAAACCCAGAACTTGTTATTACCGGGCGCGTAGCTTTCTTGCATGCTGAATAGAGAGGATGTGTATGCAAGAGGAATGAAGAACAGTGCGAGCAGATTAAGCCGCTTGACGCGTTTTGCCTCCTCGAGATTCTGGCGGTTCCCGGCAATAGAAGCAAGGCCCGTCATGGCTTGCATAAGGTTATCGGCTCGCTGTTTGAGCGTTTTCAAGCGGTGATATATGTATTGGAAGTCAGTCTCACAATCTTTCCAGTCGGTACGAACTTGATTCTGATCAAGTCGATAACCCAGGCTGAGTAGAATATCTTCAACATCATCATGGTAGTTTCCGCAGCGGCGGCTGATGGTCTGAAGACTCTTCCATTGCCCTTGCTCCTCTAACCAGGCCGTGGTGAGACGCAGTTCGAGGGAAGGGAGCATCGCTTTGATGTAATCGATCAATTGCAGATAATGCGCTGCGACAATCTTCTTTACGAAGAATGAGGAGGTTTGAGGAAGACGCCATTCGTCTTGACCACTATCTTCTTCGTCTGTGAGGAGAGAAGAATGATTTGTGAGGTAGTGACACAAATCCTCTAACATCGAACAATGTTGATGCTTCGGCGCCGAGGCTGCTCGATCATGAGGAGGTGGGGGTACGAAATCAAGATAACCGCCCTGGAACGGGACATTGCTGATCCTCCCACGTTTAGGCTCTGGGCGAAGATCACGGAGTTGAGGGTCACACAGTATGACAACTGGAGGCGTGGTTAGCTCTGGAACCAAAGAGGCTCAGGATCCAATCTTACCATCCCATCCACCTCCTTCCGTCGTACGGCACCACCATGACACTTTGCGCCGCAAGATAGCCACCGTAGTATCGTTCTTCGTCCTAGCCGCAGTCATGCCAACATGGCGACCCGTCTCATTACAAAAGAAAGGCGCATTTGGAAGAGACGCTTGGAACTGACGCAGCTCACAATACTGGAGAAGGAACGTCTTTTCCGGATTGAGAGAACTTGGGGGAGGCAAAGCGTCGCTGGTCGGCGTAAAGTCATTTGACCAAGGGCAAGTGCGTTCTTGCCGCACAAAGAAGGAAGGGTCCATGAAGAAATGGTCACCCATGGCGGCGATATAGTCTCTCGCTAACCCTTCCATGATGTACACTCTTCTTTGAGCATGGGAATCTTTATTTTCTTCAAAATGTCTCCTCAGTTCAGTGACGCTTTTGAAATCGGTTCTACTAAATTCAGGCTGTTTCGTAGGTGGGGATTCCAATAAGACGACTTTGGCATTGCCATCTCGCATCTGTGACTCCTTGTTTGCGGGATCACGGGTCTTCAGACCAGGATTGGACCCGCACAATGCCTTGATATGATCCAGATATGGCCCTGCCGAACAGGTAAGCGACCGACGCATATGCAAATGTTGTGCCAATTGCAAGGTTCGCAAGAGTAGTAGTCCGTACCATCATTGCACAGCCAATTCCCAGACTCTTCGTCTGACGACGGATTGATAGATCTGAGGCTGGTGTAGGACGGCCTTGTTGAATCTAGAGCGCCATTTGCGCCCATCCTCCGAAGCTCTTTTAAGCCCCCAATCGACTCGAGGGCTGTATCGCTTCCTAAAGGGGTTGACAACGGAAATCGTACAGCACCAAAATCGGCAAGGTAAATTATCGTACAAACAGAAGTTTGGATGGTAAACAGAGGAAGAAGGCGAAGCAGTGGAAGTGGGGAGAGCGTGAGCCTTTTCCCAACATGCGGCTCCGCATAAGGCTGTCAATCTGCACCATGTAGGGGCCAGAAGCGCCGTGGCATCCGTGCGTTCGTTCCGTGTTACCTTATTGGGGTATATATAGCAATATTTCCTTTCCATCACAGTCTAATCGTCATCCACATTCCAAAACCAGGCGTTCTCTTTTCGAACAAGGAAGGCCAGTAAACTCCAAGAAGAAGCCACTGTGCGTATGAGGCGCTGGAGGTCGCCTGCGTTTGCAGGATTTCAGGCGCATAGCGGAGCCAATGCTGGAAGTGACTATCTCAAGGATCTCACTGGCCCTGTAGCTGCGCAGTTCTGGGGTTTCCGAAGAGGTGTACTCCGAAGGATAGGAGAATCAGACGGTTGACAAATTTCCTAACACTGATCGAAGATAGAACAGCAAAGCCGCCGACCATTGAATGTCGCATTGTCAGGTTTCTGAGTCTGATATCAATGCAGAAATATCGAAATGTAGTTAGTGAAGGAAAAGCGCTGTGTCTCTCCCTAGCGGATTTGGCTACCTAGGTATTCATACAGCGCGCAGCCGAGTAGTTGGCCGTCCACTGTGAAGGAGCATTACCGCAACTTTCAAGACGACGAGAATCAGCAACGCAGGTATGCAGAACGCTGATACGAAAGGCTAGGTGACGAGCTGGTACCTACAAGTATACGCTGCTGGGACATAAGGCCTACGCAATACAAGGACCCGCACTATACCCTCTCTGGGCACGGAAGGGATGAATGTATCGGATTTAAGACGGGCCGGTGTCACGTGTTTTCGTGTCATTTGGCGTCCCCCAATGAGTTCACAACCAACGTTCCGCACCTGCGCCGTCTTTTCTATCATTCTCTACCAACGCCTGCTGTAGACATGTGAGGGAAACTGTCCATGTTTCGAAATCCTCGAGAAAATCGTACTCTACCTCCGACAAGCCAACTGCCTCCGTCAGTCGGTCGCCCTCCCTCGCCACCCCGCTTCAACTCCACGATAAACATTGCTACGGCGATGCCTGCCCAAAACTCGCGGACAATGGCTACTCCGAAGCCCCGAAGGACCTCTTCACAGGCACGGCAGACCCAAACGACCTTGGTGCCTTCAAGTTGGGGCAAAAAGTCAGTGAATGGCGGCACCAAGGCTAAGCCGAAAGCCGCTCCCAACGGGAATATCATGGCATTCTTCAAGAAGGCGGAGGAGCAGAACAACAGGATATTCTTGCAGGAAAGGGGCACAAATGCCGGTTTGGCTGAACCGGATGCTGAGGAGCCGGATATTGGGTGGGCTGACAGCCTGGATGTGATAGAAGCGGACGGGGTGGGCGCCGGGTCGGACGATAGGCGTTACAACGAGTACGGTGGTAGTTTCAAGCGACGGAGGGTTACCGAGGAAGCATTACCGGAGGAGTGCAGTCCACCACCCCCACAAGAAAGCTACCGTCCTGGGTCCACTACGCCAGCGATCCATCTGAAGGAAGTGAAGAAAACCGGACCATTTATAGATGACTCCGACTCAGAGACTGAGGATGTCGTCTCGAACACCGAAAGAGGTATAGAAAGGTGCCAACCACCGTCTGTTAGGTCACGGAATTCTAATCTTTCACCTTTGAAGTCGACCATGGCCAACTCTACTGAGACGACGGTCCGGGAACCGCCCCGCTCGTTTCACGCTCCGCCATCTTTGAAGACCGAAGATACTTCTGTGCCAGAGGAAGAGAACAACTTGGACGATTATGAGGGTGTCGATGACGATGATTTTCAAGAAGGAGAGGAGAACGAGGAACGACATTGGATGGAGGAACAAAGACGGCTTGAAATGGCTGAGGAAGGTGTGCCCGAAGAGTTCATGGACCTGGAAGTGCCTTTCATGTTTCCTGGAACCGAAAATGGCAATGAGTTGGCTACGGAGCTTCCCACTGAAGAGGTACCGAGCTGTCCAATTTGCAACGCTCCTCTGGACGCACTTGGCGAACAGCAAAGGCTGGTGCACGTGAATGCATGCTTAGATGGGAACTCTATAGCAGCATCAGATTCAACCAATTCCGCCGAGGCTACGTCAAAACCCTGGAGCAATGGCAGAAACATTTTCAGACCGACACCGCGCCCCGCGCGCGAAGGGCAGGCGAATCCATTTCAACTTGGGGAATTCAATGAAGCCGACAAGTCAGCTTTCTCAAAACTGATGGCGAATAATGCCGAGGACTCCGCATGGGCCACGGCAGCAGTCGCCGAACGCACGGCGAGGGGGAAGCCATCCTATCAACGGACTTGCCCTTTCTATAAGATTCTGCCCGGCTTCTATATCTGCGTGGACGCCTTTCGCTATGGTGCTGTTAAGGGGCAAAATGCCTACTTTCTCAGCCATTTCCATAGTGATCATTACATTGGACTGACATCGTCCTGGTCCCACGGCCCGATATATTGCAGCAAAGTTACGGGAAACCTGGTGCGGCAACAACTCCGGGTAGATCCCAAGTGGGTGGTCGATCTTGAGTTTGAGCAGAAGACGGAAGTGCCAAATACTGAGGGAGTTTTCGTTACAATGATACCCGCTAACCATTGTCCTGGGAGCTCGTTATTTCTCTTCGAGAAGGAAGTGGGAAAAGTTCAAAACCCCAGGTTGCAACGAGTTCTACATTGTGGAGATTTCCGAGCATGCAAGGCACATGTGGAGCATCCTCTTCTACGTCCTGACGTGCTGGATACGGTAAGTGGGAAAACGAGGCAACAGAAGCTCGATGTCTGTTACCTTGACACAACGTATCTGAACCCCAAATATGCTTTTCCGCCGCAAGAACAAGTTATACAAGCTTGCGCCGACATGTGTGTAAGTTTGAATACTGCTACAGCGGACGAGAACGATGGTTGGGAAAAGATGAAGAGGGAGCGTGCTGGCCAAGGCATGGTCAACTTTATCCAAAGGGAACGAGAGCAACTGGCAGGAGCGGATCCCGATGCCATGGCGATCAACGGACAGGATGGTCCTAAAGACAGCGGCCGGTTGCTAGTGATTGTCGGCACTTACAGCATCGGAAAAGAGCGCATGTGCGTTGGTATTGCAAAAGCCTTGAAAAGCAAGATTTATGCCCCTCCAAACAAGCAAAAGATTTGCCTAGCACTGGAGGACCCCGAACTGAACGCCCTTTTAACAACAGATCCGAGGGACGCGCAAGTGCACATGACGCCGCTCTTCGAAATCCGCGCAGAAACACTTGACGACTATCTGCGCGACTACCGTGATCACTTCTCAAGAGCCGTCGGCTTCAGGCCGTCAGGTTGGAATTACCGCCCACCAAATAGTCGGTTCACGGAGAATCCATCCGTGCAAACAGTGCTACACTCGAAAAACTGGAAAACCCAATTCACAATGCGAGACTTGACACCACAAAGAGGCAGTACAAGTCGGGCCAGTTGCTTCGGTGTTCCTTACAGTGAGCATAGCAGTTTCCGCGAGCTCACAATGTTTTGCTGTGCTTTGAGGATCGACAAAATCATCCCGACGGTCAATGTGGGAAATGCTAAAGCTAGGGAGAGGATGAAGGCTTGGTGCGATAAGTGGGCCCTGGAAAAGAAGAAGAATGGGCTATTCCGCCTTTGGGAGGATGGGAGTAGCTGGTAGATGGCCTTTGTTGCCAGACGAATCACTTGGGCGCCTTTCATCAGCTTTGATAGGACACGCTATTGTAGCATTCCATTCCTGGTACTTTCACGGCGTTTGTCAAAGATACCCAGATGTTCCATCCAATAGACATCCACAATTCAAAACCTCGACCATCCATTCGCTCCGGTCATTGCCCTTATGCACCCAGTATGCAGATTGTCGGAGTTCGTATGAACTGCAGTTCGTACAAAGAACGACGTTCCTGATGAATTTCCCATCCTAGTTAGCACCGAAGCTAATCCGAACAAACCACCCAGACCCCCACTTGTACTGTCTTTCATCCCATATCCACCGCACACCGTGCCTCATGCCTCCCACTTGTATCCCTTCACTCGCTCGTTTATCCAGTACGTGACCCGACATCTGAAGTCCCCAATCGTCCTCACCAGCATCTAGCTTTACGTTCTTTTGCTTGTCGCCCAGGTATATCACGTCTGGCTGCACTCCCAGTCCCATTGACGCATATTCACACCTCTGCACGCCTCAACATGTCCGAGTTTTCGGCATACACTGCGAATGGCACGAAACCGACCGCTCCGGCGACCATCAATGGCAATGCTTGGGGTTCAGAAACCAACCCTGCCGCATTTGACTTCCGTTCCGATGTCACCACAACACCAACAGCGTCCATGCTTGCTGCGATACAGCAATGTACACTCCTTGACGATGTATTCATGGAAGACCCGACTACGCAATCCCTCGAACGCTTCATCGCCGATCTTACAGGAAAGGAAGACGCGCTGCTAGTGCTGTCGGGAACAATGGGAAATCAGGTTGCGCTGCGGGCACACCTCACAGCTCCTCCGCAGGCTATAGTGTGCGATAGGAGATGTCATATAATGAACTACGAGGCAGGCGGCGTTGCGACACTGAGTCAAGCGCTCGTGCAACCCATCGACGCGAAGAATGGAAGGTATATGACTCTGGAGGAAATCAAGGAGCATGCCGTCATTTCCGATGACGTGCACGCATGTCCGACAAAGGTCATTGAGCTGGAAAACACATTAAACGGGACCATTATGCCTCTTTCAGAAGTCCGAAGAATAGCTGCATGGGCACGCTCCCACGGGATCATATTGCACATGGATGGCGCACGGTTATGGGAAGCCGTCGCTGCGGGTGCAGGCACGTTGAAGGAATTCTGCGCCGAGATGGACAGCGTTAGCTTGTGCTTCAGTAAGGGTCTCGGTGCGCCCATTGGGAGCATTGTTGTCGGCTCAAGCGCGTTCATCAAGCGTTGCCGCTGGATAAGAAAGTCGATTGGTGGTGGGCTTCGGCAGGCTGGTGTCGTGGCAGCTCCGGCTCGTGTCGCTGTCGAGGAAACTTTCCTGGGCGGCAAGTTGGCACAGTCGCATGCTAATGCGAAGGCGATTGCGAAGATGTGGACGGATTTGGGAGGCAAGATGGCGTATCCTGTTGATACGAATATGGTGTGGCTTGATATCGAGGCACACGGTATCGACCTCGACCAGTTTATTGAGATTGGTGAGAAATATGGCGTGAGAACAAGAGGCGGAAGGTTGGTAGTGCACTATCAGATTGGGGAGGAGGCGATGAGGAGACTTGACAAGCTATTTAGGGAGGTTCTGACTGGTGAAAGAAGCGCTGGACGAAAGGGAGAGGTGGATTTTGACCCGGAGGAGTTGAAGCTGAAGGGAAAGGGCGTCGAATAAGCTTCAACGACGGCATCAACTGATAATGCAACACGGCAAAAATTTAAAAGAACTGCAATGAGTATACTTCAGGCCATACCAGTGTATCTACATCGGGTACGGTGAAAGGCAGCAACTTGAACCAAAACAGATTTCAACAGACAAACAACATCTTTGCGCTTCGAGGCAATCGCTTATAACAACTAGCACTTGACGTCCAGATGTTGACTTCGGAGTTGATCAGCGGCGCGGTGTAGCTTCCACCTCCCAAGGTCATGTCTGCGCCGAACAACCAGAAGTCGCTCCATGGGGTTTACGCTGTTCGCATTTTAAAGCCATATAGGCCGACTTCATCTCTGACGCTAACGTCAGCAGGGAAATTTGCCGAACCGTTGACATGACCAGCCTTACAACAGCTTAGGCAGAATCACCTGACGGCTTCTATCCCAAGTTTCCTGACAGGCTGTGCTTTTGGCCCCATTCTTGGCTCGTCCAAACTTATAAGCTGCTTGTTTGTTACTCCCCAAAGATCTACCTCCACTTTTTGACTTCACCTTGAGGATGTTTTGCGACAAATGCAAGCAGTTCTGGGAAACAGCGATCTCAAAGGCTGACATTCATGAAACCATCTCATCGTGCGATGACGTGCGCTGGAGCCGCTATGAAACAGTGCTCCATTCTAGCATAAGGGAACTGAAGGCGGCTTCCCATCTGGGCTGCATAATATGCCGCTTAACCCTTTCCGCTCCCTCCAAGGGAGAGAAAGAGCGTTTTCTTGGGGATGACGACGAGCGCCTAGATATCATTTTAGAGATCGACCCAAGTCAAGGATCGCACCCAGTGCTTACAGCAACGTTCAAAGCCGCAGGCGATGAAGCCGGCGAAATGGCGCCACGGATCCCGAAGCGGACGCTGGCAGTTTGTGCTGGGCTCCTCACCGACGGTAAGGCAGTGTTTTACTTCGATCCGGCGAAAATCATCGAGCTGAAGGACTTTAGGTGATTTCTCAGCGACCCTGGAACAGACGATGTCCTTGGACAATAGTCATACCGGGTCGCCTGCGGCGCTGGAACTTGCATCATTCTGGTTACAACGGTGTTTGGCCACGCACGAGAATTGCCGTGGCACAGAGCCTGCAGAAAAGCGATTCGTGCCAACCAGAGTTGTCTATGTTGGGAACAATGACAATGAGATCAGACTGGTGGAGACCTCGAAGGAGCTTCAAGGCGACAACCCTGACCGTCGATTTGTAGCTCTTTCTCACTGCTGGGGTCCGGTTCAGATCATACGAACACTTCAGAACAACTATGAAGAGCACCTAAAACATATTGATCCGAGCCTGCTTTCAAAGACATTCAAGGAAGCAGTGCATACAACGCGCACGCTCGGGTACCGCTATTTGTGGATTGACTCATTATGTAAGTTGAACTCGGACAACTGTAAAACTGTGCTCATGTTCGCAGGTATCATTCAAGACAGCAAGGAAGATTGGCTGGAACAAGCTGCTACCATGTGTGACGTGTATCGATACGCTACTTTTACCATTGCTGCTGCCCATGCTCCCGGAGGAGATATTGGGTGCTTTGAGAAACGCGATGGAATCGTCCAATTCCCCTTCTTTGTCGAAATCCCTACGGCAGGAGTCAACCAGTCCGACGGCACAAAAAATGCAAGGATCCAATTCAGCTCTTACGGGCGTGTAGAGGCGCCTCTCGGAAGAGAACCACCGCTATATGGCAGATCCTGGGTCCTCCAAGAGCAGCTCCTGTCTCCAAGGATGCTGATATTTGATGGGCCCCAAATCAGATGGGAGTGCCTTTCCATGCACGGATCGGAACGCTCACCACTGGGTGGCATGTCGCGACACATTGGCCACCAGAAACTTATCCGCTCAGGTGTCATGGACGACGAGGATTTCTTCAATAAACCTGATCAGGACGACCCCGACTTCTCGCAGCGCTACCAGCACTACGCTTGGTGCTATACCATCATGGACTATACACACAGGGGCATGACTCAGCCTTCGGATAGACTGGTAGCCCTTCACGGTATTGCGCAAGCTCTAGTCCGAAAGACAAGATATCAGTACGTAGCTGGTTTGTGGGAGCATCAGCTATGGGCAGGACTTTTGTGGAGTATACCACACACAAAGCAATACACTGCCACTACGGAGGACGCCTTTGATTTTGAGAACAGGAACAATCCTGGGGTGCGCCATAAAAATGAGGTAGCCCCCAGTTGGTCATGGGCCTCGGTGACGGTGCCAGTCGTCTACCCAGCCCCGACCATCCTCTACGTTCACCGGATTTGCGAAATACAAGACGTCTCCGTGACCGGAACGCCCGATAGCCAGACAGGCAGTGTTCGCATTCGCGGACATGTGCGTACCGGATATGTCAACTCGATCTATCCATATGCCATTAGAGAGGCGGAGAAAGCATATCCATCCATGGCTTTCGGAAAACATACTGGCGAAACACGACTCTTCACTTTCCGCGACAGATCTTTTTCACCAACGAACTATTTCATATTTTCTCCGACAAGACCTAAGGATTCGAAGAACATTCTCCAGTCTTCGGAATGGCGACTAGCCCGTGGTTTGTGGAGGCCGGACCAGGTTCTCGATCCGCAGACCGAGATAACTTTCATAGCTATTGCGCAGCAAAACTCGGGTACCGAAGAGGGCAAGCTAGTGACTACGCATAAGGAAGATGATCCTCTAACCGTGTATACGATTGGTCTCGTCCCCACGGGGAGAGTCGAAGGCGAATATAAGCGTGTGGGCTACGCTGAATGGGATTCATGCAGCTGGTATGGGTACTTGTGTGGGGCCAAATCGAGACCGGGCAGAGACATACAGAAGGTGGAGGGATGGCGCTCCAAGCTCTCACGGGATCCCCTCTATGGTTCAAAACCAACGGGCAAGGAAACCCATGACCACCGGTTCGAATCGGATACTCTGCCCAACATTGAGAACTATCAAAAGAGCGCAGAAGCACGGGAAACAGTTGTGACCATTGTGTAGCGCATTGGTAAGCAATGAGACGGTCGGTTTGCAAGCAGGTCAAGTTTCTGCTTTTAACTGGAATGGGCAATTCCGCTGGTCCATTACATCTCCTGATATATTAACCTTACCATGTTGACACAGAAAGCATGAAAATCAGAGTAATCCTGGCCATTCACATAGAAGCCTGGCAGACGCGCCGGCTTTCTGTCAGCCTACGTAGCCTCTATAACGCGGTTGAATGGTATTCCCTTTTTGCTTCAACTTTACGTAACAGCGCGGCAGCTATGCCTCTATATCGCACCAGCTCTCCAGGGCACATTGCAAACTTTAACCAGATAGATGGAATATTCAGCGTGTAAACTTGTGCGCGAACAATTTTCTGAGGGCTTCAGTTTCTTCTGCTATGCTATGGACACAGCGCTTTCATGGTTGCGATAGTGGGGAAGGAAACGGCATCATTCATGACAATATAATGAGTCGCGTCTCGTTGCCTCGCTGAATTCGAAACTTGAGTCCTCGCCGCCTTGATTTCTGACGGCCGTTTTTTAAATCACTTGCGCGTAAGAAAAAGTTTTTGGGAAGGTGCCCTCAAGCGGCTTCCTCCAACTGCCAATCGGAAAGTGTTGATTGTTTACCTGCACCATTTCAAATGGCAGTTGGCCGCTTGATTTAGAGGACCAGTCCACCTCTCCGGATTATTGCTCATTCTTAAATCCCCCATTCTCAATATCACTACTCCGGCAACTTCACTTGAACTAAACCCAGCACCAGGTTTCAAATCCCCAATAAAGCAATTACGTTCACTGAGCAGCTCACTACGCGTTCCCGCCATGATGCCTGGCCAATGCCCCCACCGGCGAGATAAGAGCGAAGGTTCCATCCCAATACCAAAGTCATCACTCGAGCTCATAGAAGACTCCTTACGCATCGTGGCGGCTTGCAGCACAATCACTACCGTTATCCTGGCCATCGGCATATACTACATCCACAAAGGCGTCCTCAATGACTGCAATGTATATCACGACATTGAGTCTGTGATTGTGGGATTATCTGCGGTTGCATATTTCTTCTTAGTGTTCTCAGTTCTCAGCGCATTTTACCTATGGCATTACATTCGGATGATTCGGCTCGAAATAACGCAGAAGATGAAGGAGACAGGTTCCGGTCACAACGAAGGGCGTGAAGAGGATGGACATACCCAGAGCCAAGTGAGCAGGAGGAGCACTACTGTTTCTTGCGTTGGCGATATGAGCGGCGAATCTCCGTCCCAGTCTGGTGCCGCCACAATGATTTAGGGCTCGTGTCATTGTATATGGTCAGTTTCTTACTCTCGCTACGAATAACGCCATTACTGATAGGTATACAGGGTCAATCACAATCATTAGGTCGAAGATAATCCTACTTCTGAGACTCAACTCACTTCACTCGCCGAAGAATGTTTGTGGCTCCGGTCTTTATACGAACTCCATTGAAAAAAATAATAATGAATGGACGAAGTTCTGTGTTTATTCCACTGATAGGAACGGGCGCGATGTGTGGCGTCGGGGATGCAAGGGTTCGAGAAACATTTAGAAGTGGGGACCTCTGAGAGCGCAGGCTTTTCCGTTGTTCTGTATGCTTGAACATCCTCATGCTCACTTAACATAGACAACAAAGACGGTAATATGTACGTCAGCTCCTTTCATGGATCGTTGACCAAGGACATCATTCTCACCATTCGCCTCGCCTACGAACCCTTGTGTTCTGCCCTTGCGATCCCACGCTACAACCATAAAACCAAGACTCCGGAGTGATGATGTTCTGAAGCATTATAGCCCTACCATATTCTCCAACTCGCAAGGTATATGTATTCTTCATTTACTAGCATATGATTTAGCAGTCACCGAAACCGGATTACTCATTTCAGTAAAATTGGGGTCCGGGCCGTAGTTTTCGAAACCAGAGCTTGAGGTAGCAGCCGAACTCCAAGGAGAGCTGGCGATTAACAAAGAAGTAACAATAATGGATGGCGGCCTGAATCTCTTTTACTGCCCAAGGTGAGTCCTCTGGACCAGTTAACGGAAATGGGGCTGACCAATGCGACAAAGGCAAAGACGGTGAACAGGAGCGGCGCCTGTCTACTTCATGGTGAGTCTACACAATGAATAAAGAAGCTTAATGCTTTGTTTGCAAAGAGCGGCACTCGCTCCTAGCACATTGTACATACACTTAGCCGCCACTAGATTGACAATGAGTCGTACACGCGCTGACCGGAAAACCCCCTTCCTTTCACACCATCAGCGATTCCACACCGGATCCGTCAACCAACTTGCCCAACTTCTTCGTGCAACTCCAATAGCAATGGATTCAATATTGAGGATTGTGGACCGTCTAATCAACCGTATATGTCCTGAAGTGGAAGAATACGTCCTCGCCAGTGATTACGCGTTCCTCGCCAGCCTCACTGCTACCACGCTCTTCGTGACGGGGACGTGGTATAACGCTATCTGCACGCTTATCGCCGTCCTAGTCGAACCAAGTACCACTTATCCTATCGGTTCAGAAGGCATGATTGCTTCCCTCTGTTTGATAGCTTCCCTCTGCATGATATTGCTCTTGCAGCTCATGATCTTCTGGGAGGCACGACGGCTGGTAAAGATCGACCTGGAAGTCGAACGCGCCATAAACGCATTGATACTAGGACCCCAGCTCCCTCTGAACGAGGATATGGCCTACAAGGAAATCTCTGACATGCGCGTAGATCAGTTCGATGTCGTGGATGTGGTTGGTCAAGGTCGAGGCGTTGTCTTGCTATAAGCAATGTCACCACTACCATGGACGTGAGATCGCAGTGGTCTGCCACGAATGATGCAAAGGAAAAGCTGCCCACCAATTGCAGAGTTGGGGAGTAGCTCCTAATTTGGAGTCAGAATATGAATACGAAACAGTCGGCAGAGGGTGTGTCAGGTATGGTATATATCGCTGCGTGTATGTCAAATGCGACATATACAGGCCTAGCGGGTTTGCACATGTTCCCATTGCACTCTTTATCTCATATCTCATGCGGAGATATCAGGTAGAAACAATAGACACAATACCACACAAGTGAGGTTGCATGATCAAAGGGGTAATCATCCTTGTGCATCTCAGTGAAGCAAAACGCTGCATTATAGCCGCCAATATGGCATACTAAAACAGGGATAATCTGTTCCTTAGGTTGGGCCCTTTTAACTGCTTAATGGCTACCTGTGCGTGCTTCGCATTGCCTGTACTGCAGGAAGGCCGTTAGAGCTAAGTTCTGAAGATGCGCGGTGTGGTATTTATTATCTGATATCCAGTAAAGGCGCGAACGGTATTGATTTACTTGTCCACCGGGAACATTTAAAAGGCACGGCTGGAAGAAATCACAGGCAAGGTGCGTATATAGGAGAGCTTTGCGCCAGGGGAAATAATGCGAACGCGATTAGCTGTAAACCACTTAGTTGCAATATTGTCAATATCCCGACCAAGTTTGTTTAACGACAGCGGAGACATCGATAACACTATGTCGATCAGGATCTAATTGGGGACGCAGCAGTCAATTTTCCCCCCTAGGATAATGCCCATGAAAATGTAGACACGTAAAATTTCATTTTGGCCGTGCGAACACCTTATCATCCGCACGAGCATTACCACGCCTTGAACCAGTCCGTTGGGCAAACTGCATTCCTTCTATGAAGTCGGAATCTTCTGCGTTAACCAACAGATTTCTTCGGGGTGCATCGGGAAGAGTTTGGTTCCGGTCAGCCGCCATCTTGTTCAAAACATTTTGCAAAGCCTCGTTGGCGGTGTGGGACGACTGGGTCTGCAAAGCCTGGAGCGCGAGCGCGAGGTCCGGTGTTTGAGATTGTTGCAAGAGTGCTTGGAGGGTCTCAGGACTGTGAACGCCAGCGCTCATCACAGCACCTACTCCGGCCTCATTGTTTGCCACTTTCAACTCAAAGTGTGGTTGAGAGGTGTCAGTCCCGAATATTGCGCGGCTCCCATCGCCAGCTTTGTTGCTCTCTATAACGAGCTTAGGCTGAGTTGTATTCAACACTTCCTGCGCTTTTTCGACACTGGCCAGAATACTTTGCAAGCGAGCCTGTTCGTCTTGAAGGACTTCCCGCACCGATATTGCTGCATCTTCGATGTCTCTTTGTACTTCCTCCAGCTGGTCTTCCAGGTCCTCACGGGTACCACTAATCAGGTTTTTCAAGTCATCTAAGGAACTCTGGGTGACGGAGTGATCCTGACTAGGAACGTCAGCTTCCTTGAATGTGACAAAGTCCAAAATATGCCTACATGTTGATAACCTGAAAGGCGATAACGAGAGTTGATTTATAACTGGACAGCCGATTCTTCATCACATCGAAACTTTTCTCGTGCCAGCGCATCTTGAGCCAGAGTCGCACACTGGTCTGCCCATCCTTTGAGTGTTTTGTACACTCATTGAGCATTTCGTGCATTTCTTGACAGGTTTTGGCGCAGCAGTCCAGGGGTTTCCTGAGAACCTCAAGCGATCCAGCTTCTTGCGAGGATTCTGCCTTTGCCCGAATGGTTTCGAGCACCGTGGTGAGAGCGCCTAGGTCGGAAAGAACATCTTTAATCGTCTGCCGTTGGCTTTGGAAACTATCTACCGCTTCGTATAGTGATTTGCTTGCGTTATAGGCAAACACAATGAGGGTTATAATGGCAGACGCCGGCTCAGCCATACTAATCGTACAGTAGGGAGGCAACTCACCAGATGAAGCTGCTACGGGGGTAGCGTACCCCTCATCCGAATTTAAGACAGTCTGTCGATATGCACTTGGCCCGCAGCGGTAAATGGCAAGCTGTGATAAGTCAGAAAATGCCTCTTCTCAGCTCTCAAGTGGTGTAACCGACCTTGAACAGAGGAGCAGCAGGAATAGCTGACTCGGTCCAATAAAATTCATGGTGCTGGTTATCACTCGTATCAGAGTCCGGCGCGTCCCTTGTCGCGGACGAGGTGCAGCCTCTCATTGGTCTGCCTGTGTTGTCGGCAGAGCTGCATGCATATGCGCGTACCAGTCTCAGTTCAAGTGAGCAAATGAGCAGAAAATATGGATCTGCTCGCCGCCTTCTCCGCCGACACCTTAGGCGCTCCATTCATGATCACCAGTTTTCAGTCAAGAGCATAAGGATTTAGAGTGCGCCAAACCCTCGAAGAACAACCTCAAAACAGGGAGAAGGTGTACTAACAGTGCTCCTCCGCTTGTAAAAATAACGCCTACTCTCATGCACACCGTCTCCATCTAACACTCTATCACAATAAGTACACTTGGCGGGGCCCGGGGGTCAAAATATACCCTAGGGTAGGGGTTTACGCCAACCGTTCTCTTCGCAACCCCATCCATGAATCCCCGGTGACCGTTAGGTTGTGCGAGCAGGGCACAGAAGGTGGTTAGCAAAATGAGTGTCACTGTCCACATCGACAGTAATGTCGCAGAAGCAGGGTCCACACAGATCAACAATGTTAGCCTGAACACTAGTATGTACTCCCTCAATCGAACCTTAAAAACTCCGACTGGAGCTGCTAAACGACGAACTCAGCGTACACCGTCGACGAGCTTGACCGTGCTTGTCTCAACGCTTTACGTTGTCCTAACACGCTGGAGGTAATGACAAGGTTGAAAGAGAAAGACAAGCTACGGTATGAGTCAATCAACTGGATCATGTATGACCCACAATATTTGCGATGGCAGAACGACAGCACTGTCTCTCTACTTTGGATCAAGGGCGGCGCTGGCAAAGGCAAGACGATGATGACGATCGGTCTTATCGAGACGCTTTCCAGAGTTCGCGAACCCCCTCCGATACTGGCCTACTTTTTCTGCCAGAATACCGAATATGAGCTTAATACCATCGATGGTATCCTAAAAGGACTCATTATGTGTTTGGGGAAACAAGAGAAGGAGCTCATGGAGCCACTGCGCCGCCGTTGGGACGCGGCGAAAGGGCAGTTCAAGGAGAATCTCACCTCATGGCGAGCGCTCTGGGCCGTCTTTTTGGAGATGTTAGATTGCTGCAGAAGCCGCAGAATATCGGTAGTAGTGGATGCTCTCGATGAGTGCCGAGATCAGACTCTGGCTGAATTTCTGAGGCTCATTGTCCGAACCGGGCTCGCTCCGAACATCAAATGGCTAGTGACAAGCCGGCCATTAGACAGTGCCGAACAAGAGTTACTCTCTGGATCGGACCAGGTCATGGTCAGCTTAGATCTGAACTCGGAACACGTTGCTCACGCTGTAAAACGATACATCGGTGCGCGAGTGTATGAACTCGATCGTCGCCACAAGTACGGACTAGTTTTGCGCCAGGAACTGGAGACTAAGCTTACGGAGAAGGCTGCCGAGACATTCTTGTGGGTCAGCTTGGTATGCAAGAGGCTCGAGGAGGTTAGCAAGGCCAATGTCTTAGACGTCATTGACGAGTTACCGCCTGGGCTGACCCCCTTTTATCGTCGGATATTTGCCGAGCTCCGTAGCGGACAGCCAGCTGTTGTTGCGGGATGTATGAGACTGTTGAAGGTGATGTTGTTGGTCCATCGACCACTGAGAGAGGAGGAAGTGAGTAGTGTAACAGGCTGGTCTTCCGAGGAAGCCACTGTTGAGGACTTAGTCGACCGATGTGCGTCCTTTGTTAGGAAACGAGGAAGGAGCATCGAGTTCATCCATCAGTCGGCTCAAGACTACCTGAAAGAGGAAGCACACTCTGCTCTGGACTCCTACGGAAACTACGGACACGGCGAGATTGCCTCAAACTGTCTGGATTATCTATTTGAGCATCTTCAGGTTAATATCCTCGGTCTTCGGCGACCCAAATCAGATTGCACGTTAATAAGCGACATTCAAGAGGAGAAAACGGATTCAATCTTGGAAAGCTTAGACTATGCCGCCACGTTCTGGGCGAAACACCTCGGGGATGCTGGAGGAGGAATGCTGGCACGCAGTCTTTTTGATGGACACGATAAGATTACGGTGTTCCTACGTACCAAACTACTAGAATGGCTTGAATGCCTAAGCCTCCTGGGTCAGTTAGGGCACGCTAACAACGCGCTGATCATTATTCTCGAAGGATCACGGGTAGGTAGCTCGATGTTATCTTACCCTTCAGCCAACTGACGGTTCTGAAACAGGACGGTCCTTTGAAGAGGCTGGTGGGAGATGCTATACGTTTTCTTGCACGACACTACGATACAATAGAACTATGGCCGTTACAGATCTACAGCTCTGCAATAATCTTCAGCCCGCGGAGAAGCATAATAAAGGAATGCAACCTGGACAAACTTCCAAGGTGGCTGAGAAATAAACCCCAAGTGGAAGGAACTTGGTCCTCCTCGGCGGAACATACTGGTACCCCGGTGTGGTTCGCCATGGACCTCTCGCCGGACGGCAAGCGGATCGCGGCAGGCGGGATACGAGGTGCCATCCATCTGTGGCACATAATGACAGACAGTGTACAAAAAATGCTAGCACCTCACCAAGCCCCTGTTACGTCTGTCGTTTTCTCTCCAACCGGCACGCCGTTGGCATCGGGCTCCCTGAATGGCACGATCAAGTTGTGGGATGGGATGACGGCGGATCTACAAGAGACGCTAGCTGACCACACGAAGTGCATTACTGCTATCGACTTTTCGCCAAACGGTGAGCAGATAGCGTCAAGCTCATGGGATGAGACTGTCAAGCTGTGGGATGCGAGAACAGGTGGTTTACAGAAGACTCTGTCAGGTCACTCAGACAAGGTTACGGCGATAGCGTTCTCGCCTGATGGCAAGTTGATCGCGTCATGCTCTGATGACCAGACGATTAAGCTGTGGGATGCCACGAGAGGCTATCTACAGAAAACGCTTATAGGGCACCAGAGAGAGGTCTCAGCTATAGTCTTCTCGCCTGACGGAAAGGAGCTGGCGTCGAGCGGCGCGGATGGGTTCAACGTCTGGAGCGTGAAGCTGTGGAATGTAACTGAGGCGTTGAAATTCTCAAGGTTCTTTGGAGGAACGCTCAGCAATTTCCTTGGTTTCCAATCCTTCCTGGAAATCAAAACACCGAGATTTGTCAGGCAAATGGCGTACCATAAAAGCGGACGGTTTCTCATGACCAACATTGGTCCTATCTCAATTGAGGATGTGACGAGGTATGCACCAAGTCCGGGTCCAAGTTCGTTAGAAGAACTTTGGTGTGGAGACAATTGGCTATGGTATGGAAGAACCCGAATTATCAGACTGCCAAATCAATACGTTATAGGTTGGAGGGAAAGAGGTGACGAAGCAGCTGTGGCTTTCTCTTCGGGCCTTATCTTGAACCTTAGCATTGATCGTGAAGAGTTAGCTAGGACACTACAAGGTTTGGCGGACTGAACGTCACCTTGGGCCAGATTAATAAAACGCCCGTTGTATCAAAATTATTCACTTTGGCGTTCATTTCTAGGGGGTTCCACAGAGTAGCCGAATCATCGCAATAAACCTACCGATGAATTAGATGACGCAATCGTCCTCGGACACTCCCTCTCCCTTTCGCCATCGCTTCGACTCCTGCTCCGACCTCCCTATCTCCTCGGCTTCCCTGCCTCAACCATTTCTGTGTAGCACATTGTCCTCCTCTCCTCCTTTCGCCTTTCCAGCGCCTTCCCAACGCCTTCCGTCTGAAGAACCTTTCTTCGACCCATGCATCAATACCCGCATCTGAACCAAAAGAAACATCTCCCAAAAACCCTCGGGAGCAGGAACGTGAGGAACTTGAAACCGAAGAAAAACGCCTCTCCCTGACAGTGAGGAAGGCCCTGGCGACCGTGCAAGTGAGAAGCCCGCAGCGAACCCGCGTCCCTCAACCCACAAGCCGCTGCAGCAGCGTCCATGGCCAAACACAAGCCAATGCTCCTAAATTGGACCATCATCGTCCACAAATATACATACACTAACTACAAACTATAGACGCGCTTTTAAAGAGGTACAAATCCCCTTGTCACACTGCAGTGGCCGCACATTCCCCCCCCCCCCCCCCCCGTTTTGCTTCTCCACGTCTCAAAGCGCCAATAGTGTGTGCGTGCCTCTCATTCTGGCCCTCGGAGTCGCTCGACTCGTTTTTCTAAATCCCGGCCTCTTCCCTTTCCTCTTGTACCTGTTTTCTCTTCCGTCACCATCCCCTACTTTCCTTCCCGCTTCCTCCCCTCCTCCTCTACCCTACCCCAACCCGCCACCCTCGCTCCCCCAGAAAGCCAAACCCCGACAATGAACCAACATTTTCTTAAGCGCCCTCTAATCCCTCTCCACGATCCCCAATCAGCCTGCCATTCTCACCCTTACGGTCGTAGATTACCATTATAATCGTTTTGCAGCGCTTTTCGTATGCGGTGTTTAAGGTAGGGAATGCATATATGTGCGGTAATGGCGCGTGACGGAAATGGAGGGACCTTGTAGGGATGATTGGATGGTGTGGTCATATTGGCATGGACGTCGGAGGGCGGAAAAGGGGTCGCGAAGGGGTGGCGCATCAGATTGGGAATATAGGTGGGAAGTGGGTGGGATATACAAAGCATTAAAGGGCAGGGAAATAGATAATATTGAGACGTTCGAATAAGCGGTGGAGCTGGCGGACAACGAAGATCTGAAACTGCTTACCACAGCTCCCCACCTGGCATTGCGAAGACGGAAGGTTATGCACAAGGAAGCAATGCAACTCACCAATCGATTCGACGAGGAAAAGCTGCACAGCGCGAAACTTAGCATCCGAACCAAATCACGCATCCCCACCCAGCGCAAACACGAGACCAGAAGACCATGGTGATAGGAAACCAGAATATAATGATATAGCATGGGGTATATATAATCCCATCTCCCCATCTCCCCTTCCTCTTGTATGCAAGCCTCGGACATTCCCCGCCACGCGAGCCAGCCTTCATTCCTCCTCCTCAATCGCGAAGTTTTCAATATCGTACGGGCGTGCGCATATACGGGCATATAGCCCTCTTTGCAATCCAATTTTGTCATGTTATTTCCTCCTCACCAGCTCACTTTGCCTTCTCCTTCGCAGCCGCAGCCTCCTTCCTCGTCGCATCCTCCAATAAATCGATATCGACCATTCCGGCGGGGAGGTGTACGTAGCGCACTACGGAGCCGCGGATGAACATGTCGCGCGTGGAGCACTATGGTCCGTTAGCCCTCACTCCACTGTCTGCGGCTCATCCAACAACAAGAGCCTCGGCAATCCAGCAACAACGAGCGTAAAACAGCATACCAAATGCGGCCACCGCGCCCCATCCGTCGTCTCGGCATTATCCAGCTTGATGTTCAGGAACTGGTCGACGCTCTTGAGCGTGCCGCGGATGCAGATTTCGTTCTTGAGCTCGACGGTGATTTCGTGGTTGACGAGCGTTTTGAAGAAGCTGTGCGTGGAAAGAAGCCGGAATATTAGCGATTGTTGTTTCTGGTATGTTTCTGATTGTAGGGTTGGGGTTTGTGCGCGTTAAGAGAGGTGTGCGATGCAAGCGCAATTGGATTGAGGTTGCGCGGGCAATGGTTCCGCGGGTTCGAGGTCGAGAGCGAGAGGGGAGAGGGGGGGATTCGACGTACCTGAAGAATAGCATCGTGAGACAAATCCCCAACTCGAGACGAGGTAGAGGAACCAGCTCCAAGAACGGATGTCGTTGAGGTAGCCCAGCCTAGACGAGCAAGTGGGTCGGAAGCTCTGATGAAGGCGTGGGATAAAGCCGAGGATTATCCGAGGAACAGAGAATGTCACGTGCATGACGCATATAAGTAAACATCAAGGTAGAAAGCTGGACGGAGTATAGATTATGACAAGGTAGAGTAAGAAAGCGACTCATCCGAACGGAAAGAACCGATTGATTGATACAATCTCTTATTCACGAACATAGGAAATGTTGCTCAGTGGTATCACCCGATCCAAACCATCCAACAACACCGCTATGCAAATCAATCAATCAATCAATCACAACTCCCCGCCACAAAACACCATAAATGCAAAGGACCACATTGCACCACTATCTAAATCCCACCAACACGCAACCCAACCCCTTACTTCCTCGCAAAACCAGTTAAATACCTCCACGCACTCCTCTCGGCCGCACCCTCTTCTAGCACCTGCACCACACCCTCCAACAACCTCTCCTCCTCCTTCCCCATCTCCATCTGCAGCTTCAACATCCACCTCTCGTACATCCAGCTCCCGACAATTCCCGTCATCATGGCCACATCAGCAGTAGTCCCAAACACGGGAGCCTCGCTAACATGCACTTCGCCGTCGGCGGAAATGCTGCGTTCCTGTTGCTGGGACTCGGCACCCACGGGGAGGACATCCTTCCAGTTCGCCGCCGTCTTGCCCATGGGCAGCACCATCCACACGCGATGGACGTCGTGGAACCCGGCCTTGCGGAGGCGCGGGAGGAACGACTTGGTGGGCGCGGCGTCGTAGCCGCGCGTCTTGAGGTTGAAGCCGAACTCGACGCCCATGGCTTGGGCCTGGCGACCGGAGTGCATGATGTCGGCGTCCATGAGGGAGAAGTCGAGGATTCCTCCGGGCTTGAGGCAGCGGAAGCACTCCTTGATGCAGAGGTCGTATTCGTCTGCCGAGCGGCCTAGGGGCTTGTCGGTTTTGAGGAGCTCGTAGAGGGAGCGGGCGGAGATGACGTCGAAGTGGGCGCTGGGGAAGGGGAAGGTCCACATGTTGGGTACGGTGGTGTGCTTGTGGTTGTCGGGTCCGTTGACGTTGGTGGTCAAGTTGTGGCCGTGGGTGTAGACGGTGGTGACGGTGGCTTGGGGGTAGTCGTAGGCCACCTGCCACGCCCAGTCATTGGTGGGAACACCTCCAACGTCCAGGATGCGTGGTGCGGATGCGCGAGAAACGCACTTAGCGGCTGCTTTGCTGAGGAGCTTTCCGCCGTTCATCTGCCTCAGTGCTTGCAAGACCCACGTACTCGGCAGCATCTGGTCGAGGGCCTGACGCTCGGTCTGGGCTCGTGCGATCCGCTCCTTGAGGACGGTGGGGTCGTTCATGTAGAACTCGGAGACCGGTCGCGGAGGAGCGGGACGAACGGGGTCGGTGAGCTCAAACTTGCCAAGAAGCTGGTCACGGTGGGCCTGAGGCATGCAGCGGCGGCGCACATGCATGGCTTCAGCTCGGGTCTGGCGATGGATGTATGCGTCGTTCTTGCGGCTGCGCACGCGAAGATATTCGAAACCTTGGATATATGTATCAATCTTCTTAGGCTCCTTTTCCACTGGTGACTCCTCCACCTCATCGGCGAACTTGACAGACTTCTTCATGGCCGTCTTGTCAATGGAGCTTCCACGGCTGTGAGATCCTTGAGAGATGCTGGGGGAGCTCAAGTCGTTCATTTCGCGAAGCGCGGCCTGGAGCTCGTCTTGTTCCTCCAGCCAGTGACTGGTCCTCTCAAGGTTGACAGTTGCCATTTTCTGAAGCTCAGCATGATACGACTCGTTATATTGGAAGATAGTCTTGCTGGGGTTGATTTCCTTGACCTCCAGATCCTCCTCAACGTTGGGCAGAATCGGCTTGGGTGTAGTAAGACCAGCCTCATGACCGTCCAGGGTCGATCCTGCGAGGGTGCTGTCACGGTTGGGGAAGGTGTTGCGGCGGGTCTCAAATGGCACACCGTAGAATTGCTCAGCAGTGGAAGTGTTAGGAGTTGACTCCTCCTGCTTGGGCGCAATGCTCCATGTGTGACGAGCAGTTGAGTGGAGGGACGAGAAGAAGCCTCCAGGAGAGGGAATCGACAGGGCGGAGAGGGGTGTTGCATCTACTGACTGACTCTGGGACGTTGAAGGGATTTGGAGTCCAAGAAAAGGCCGCGACACCTCCTGCATCTCACCGCCCTGAGTCTCGATGACGGACGTCTCCTGCTGTTCCTGCGCAGCATCTGTGGATGAGTGACCAAGATGCTGAAGAGTTTCCAGAGCTTGGTAGTCGAGTTGGACCGGCTCCCAATCATCGACACTTGCGGATACTGGACGTTTCTGAACATCAGGAGTAGAAGGGCAACTCAGCTTGTCCATCTCCTCCGAGGTCAAGCTGCCGTCCAGTGATGGTGCTGCCGAGTGCGCGGGCACCTGCAGGTTGTGCGTTGTCAGCAAGGACAAGGCCTTGCGGGAGGGGGTTAGCAGCTGCGCAGAGGAGGGTGGTACGGCTGATAATGCGCTCTGGAGCTTCTCAATTGTCGGCCAAGCCGAGGGCGAGGGAATGACAATGGAGGGATACCGGCTGTTGGAGGCGATCTTCTTGACGGATGCGGAACACTTGAGGGGAACCTCTGCCTCATTATCGGTAATATCATATAGAGAGTCGAAATCGCTGTCAGTCCGGCTCACCCTGCTGTGGGCAGGGTAGGAAGGAGTGGGATGCCGGGGTGACGGCTGAGCCAAAGGCTGGGTCATGTCGAAGATTCGTGCCTTTGGGGTGGGGAAGTCGTCGATGCTGACGGGGGAGTACTCGGTGGACTGATATGTGGAGGCGGTCGAGTACCTTGGCGTGAAGTAGTAGCGGGGAATGGTGCCCTCGTCGTCGGCGGGAGTCGAAGTGAGAGAGCGATCCTGAGCCAGCGGGACCGCGAGCTCTTGAGGGTAGGATATGGCGCCAAGCGCAGCAGGATTGTACACTGCGGGCTTGAGTACCTCTGACATGTTGTTGTATATTGGGCTGAGGTGAGCTCCGCCACGTGCTATTATTAAGATGGGGAGGATGTCGATGTTATCCGAACTGCTGGGGTACGCTGTAGGCTGGGGCAGGAAAACCTATAAACGGGCAGATTGGACAGAGAATAGATTATTAAAGAGGCGGGCAATAACCCAAAGCTGGTCAACAGCTTACTGGTAAAAATGGAAGTACTTCGGTCAACGAAGCAGACGAAATCAACTAAGGGACCCGAGGGGTGACGAGAAGGGAATGCCAGAGCAAAGGAACAGAACTCGATGGAGCGACAGGTATGTATATATCGCACGTAGACGCCCATTGCAACGAAGTTGGTGCGGTGGCGGGCGCTTCTGCCCAGTTTGCAGGCGTTGGCGGCTCATGGGCGGCCACGACATGGCGACCGCCTGGCAGCAGGGTGGTGGTTGGCTGAGAGGCTGTAGGACAGCGAGGCCACGATATCACGTTGCGATGGGCGGGCGCCTGCTGGCCGGGATCCAGGCCATGCTGCGGATGCAAAGAGAGCATCTGCGATGGAGGATTGGGCTGGCTGGCTATGGGCGCTATTTCGGGCGCGTAGAGGGCTGGGGCCAGACCAATGGATGCGCGCCATTGTGTTGTACAGCAGGCTGTCGATAAGCGTCGCTAAGAGAATGCATCCGTGCGATGGAACTGGGCCTGTTTCTTCCTACGGCGATATCCTGAGTGCCGTGTCAATGCTGCGGCGGAGGTGTTGAGGTGTGTGTGACATGGAGTTGGGTGGTGGTGAATCATCTGCATCCGAACGGAGTTGGGACGGAAAGGAAAACGTGTTGTGGCTTGTCCAGTGTGGCTGAGTTTGTTTCTCCCTCCCGCGTGGGGAACCAAACTGTGCCCCAGAAACGCATTTGGTCTTACATACCTTGCTCCCGCACCATGTTTCTGCTGCGCCGTGAAACAAACCAAACCATCCCCTGGAGTGCCTGAGCCTACTGGCCAAAGAACGGATTGTCTGCGGAAAGTCGCATAACGTACTGCAAGTCTCAACAAGAAGTTGCCAAGCCACGACTTCTACTGTGTAGCTGCCTCGCGTCCGCCCCGCCCCTCCCCCACGTTTTCCGGTCTGGCGTCTCGCCGAGGAGCTGCACCTGTGCATCACCAAAGCCGTTCGCGCCTGCAACATCACACCGAACAATTGCAAGCCACCAGCGCAGTGCTACACCCATTACGCTATCTACACTCCCTTTCTCCAGCATCACAGTTCAATCTCCACTGCCACTCGCTCTCCTCCCGCTATTGGCATCCTGCACCCCGCCATCAATTCTCCCCATATCAGAGACGCCGCCATGTCTCCCCCGGCCATCATTGCACCCTCCATTCTGTCCGCCGATTTCGCCGAGCTGGGCAAGGCATGCTCCGATACAATAAAGCAAGGTGCTGACTGGTTACACGTACGTATGCTATCCCACGAGCAGAGCCGCTTTGCCCTGTCCCTAACAAACCTAAAGGTCGACATCATGGATGGTCATTTTGTGCCCAACATGACCTTTGGCGCCCCTGTAGTCACCAAAATTCGTTCACATGTTGACCACCCGAATGCTGCCCACGGGAAGGGGACGTTTGATTGCCACATGATGATTGCAGAGGTATAGATCGTCTTCCCTGCAAGACGCCGAGTTGCTCGACTCCATATCAATCGCATAAACCCAGATACCCTGAAGCCCCTTTAACACAATGCCGTTGTTTCCCCACGCGCCCCGTCTCCAGAGGGTAATCAATGCCGAACACTAACGTATGGTCATTAGCCCAAGCGCTGGGTTCGCGATTTTCAAAAAGCCGGCTGCGACCTATACTGTTTCCATTACGAAGCCGCTATTTCCTCAACCGCCGCCGACACCCCCTCAGGACAGTCCGACAAGAAGACGTCGCCTAAGGAACTCATTCGCTTCATCCACGAGCTTGGCATGCAAGCTGGTATCGCGATAAAACCGAAGACGTCTGTAGATGTGCTTTGGGATATATTAGAGAATCCCGTGAAGGAAGAGCGGCCAGATGTGAGTGCAGATTCTTTTTTCAATAGTCCTCCATCACAGCTTGATACTGAGCGGGTGGCCCAATATCAGGCCGTTACTGCGTCACGTATCACCATAGTCGCCCCATTGGGGCCGTGGGCGCTTAAGCCTTGGCCAGGCTTTCATATCACTTGCATGCTTCCTTCCCCTTCTAGAACGCCTCCCTCAAGCCCATTGGCTCCCTATCCATTCTCGACATACTCGCCTCCCCTAAATGCTGCACTCTATCTACCCGCCGTGTCAGTGATTCCCCAACACTAACACTGCCTCTAGATGGTCCTCGTCATGACCGTCGAACCCGGCTTCGGCGGCCAATCCTTCATGGCCTCCGAACTTCCCAAGGTCACCGCCCTGCGCGAAAGGTACCCCGATCTGCACATCGAGGTGGACGGCGGCTTGAATGAGCATACCATCGATCAAGCAGCCGAAGCGGGCGCCAATGTTATTGTAGCCGGGAGTGCCGTGTTTGGTGCGCAGGATCCGGCGGAGGTGATTTCGAAGCTGAGGGAGGCGGTGGAGAGGAGAAGGGGAAAGCTGTGATTGAGTTTTTTGGGGCGTCTTGTGGCATAGAGGACCGTCAGTTTAGATATCGCCTGCCAGCGCCTGTTTTCCGATGAGTTGTTGAGGGGAAGTGATGATTTTATGAGTAGAGCGTCTAGCATTTTCACGCAGCATCTGTGGAGCGCCTATGGACCTTGAATTCACGGTATCCACATCGAGTCTTCCCAGCGTTACCTCGCAACATTGAAATACGCATCCAACTATAAGCTGAGGTAGATCCATACGCAGGTACGCGCCCCCAATTCCGCCTGGGCGTTATCTTACATGCACATGCGCACGAAATAATTGATGGACTGAAGCCCCCCATTTAGAGCGTTAGCGTGCCTATGCTGTGCAACGTCGCCTACATGCTTGTCATCTTGGATTCTGCGCGGATGGAATGGATTGCGTGAGCAGGTTGACGGGGTCACGCTGCGCTGATGAGGGATGATGAGGGATGGTGAGTTTGGTGGTGGAAAAGGAGGGAGTGCGTATCAAAATATCTGGCTTTTCTGGTTGCTTTGATATTTATGAGGGTCTGGGGGAAGGTGTTGGGAGTGGGATTTGGGGTGTATGTTATAGGGTAGGGAGGCACGGGGAGTGAAGGAGTGAATGGGTGAATGGCACAGCACGTGATAACATCCCCAACTCGTGGACTCCTTTGAGGCATAGGAGTGCGAAGGAAGAGCAAGGAGGGGAGCAAGAACTGTGCAGATATATCTAGTAGAAAAAGAACTTAGTTGATCTAGCTACACTTTTGTACCAACGGTGTAGCCGGGGCATGGTGTCCTTACTCCGTATATACCTCCTCGGATGTATGCGAATATCTCATACCGGCTGCGAAGTTTATAGTACGACCTGGCACCGCACGCACAGCACATCTTGCTTTGCCGACAGCGCTCCCCGACAAGTTTCTCCACACGGACGACCGAAATTATCATAAGTCTTGGTTCTGTTCAGACAAAACAACAGCCATGGGTCGAGACTGAAAACGACCCAATTGGGCAGGCCCGGTAAATCAAACCGCATAACGGACTCGCTACCGCAGTTCTTCGGAACTGAAAGTCGGAATCATAAGTACAACAAGAAGCCGTGAAGGTCGCAAAGTAGATGTGGGGAGGCCCTCAAAAATGCGTCTTCACTCCCTCATTGTGTATTGAACTACACCTGAAGTGATGGTCTAGGGTCCCACTTCTATCCTCATGCGGCATGCCTCCAGAATGCATGCGGGGAAGTTAGATGAAACGACTTTATATTGAACCCCGGTATTGCGAGAGGATGCATGTAAAGCTCAAGTATAAATCTAGGAAAAGCCCTATTTTCCTCAAACACTGACTGAACTGAGGGAAGAATTCTGTATCTTGGATACTGTCCAATCTCACCGCCAACATGAAGTTCACCACTTCACTCGCACTTCTCCTGTCTACACTCTCCAGCGAAGTCCTGGCAGCCACCGCAGGTTGCGGCAAGCCTCCCTCAACTATCAAAGCCGGCCTCAACACTGTGACCGTCAATGGCAAGACTCGCGAATGGACCCTCGCTCTCCCATCCAACTACGACAACAGCAAACCCTACCGGCTCATCTTCGCTCTCCACTGGCTCGGCGGGAGCATGAACGACGTTGTAACCGGCAACGTCATCAAGCCTTACTACGGCCTTCCCGAGCTCGCCAACAACACCGCCATCTTCGTCGCACCTAATGGCCTCGGCAATCGCGGTTCGCAAGGCTGGCCGAACACGGGAGGCGAGGACATTGCATTCATGCGTGAGATCGTCAAGGCCACGGACGAGAACCTCTGCATCGACGAGAAACTCCGCTTCTCGACGGGCTTCAGCTACGGAGGCGGAATGTCCTACTCCATCGCCTGCACCCTCAGCAAGGAATTCCGCGCCGTCGCCGTCCAGTCCGGCGCGCTCCTCAGCGGCTGCGCTGGCGGCACGGAACCCGTGGCGTACTACGCCCAGCATGGCGTCAGTGACCAGGTCTTGCCCATTGCGTCTGGGAGGCAGCTGAGGGATAATTTTGTGAAGGTGAATGGGTGCACGGCGCAGCAGGCTCCGGAGCCGGCGAAGGGGAGCAAGCAGAGGATTGTTACGAAGTACACTGGATGTAAGGATGATAAGCCGGTGTGGTGGACGGCGTTTGATGGGGATCATACGCCGGTGAATTCGGAGGGGGGGTCGAGTAGGGAGAATACTTGGACGTATAAGGCGGTTTGGGAGTTCTTCTCTCAGTTCAATTGAGCTGAACTTGGGTGGTAGAGGAGAAAGGGGTGACTAGGTTTCCCTCATCTCGTTTTCTGGACGCTTAAGTTAAATGAGAGTTGTCGTTATGGATTCGTGCCTTAGCGCTCGCATAAGCGGGGATATACTGTGGCTGCTCTGGAGACACTCGGAAATCATGAGCTGATCGTCGTGCATTCGATGAGCAGGTTTCGAAGTTACCCAACTTTTTCGCTATTGCAGTATCCATGGTCAAAATAGTTGAAAAGAAAAACGATTACTTATCACATTGGGATTGATCAGCAAGGGAAAGTTGACGTTGGGCTAGATTCTAAACTTGAGCCCACTATGATATCTCTTAACCACCGCGAGAGATTCCTATAGAATAGCTGTCAAACGATAGACGAGAGATCGCAGTGGAACAATCGCCCTGTTGCCTATATACTCAGGGAAGGAGGCCTCTTATATACACAAAATTGTCAAGTCTTAGAAATACGAACCGACAGACACTCCTAATCTAGATCCTATAAGTGCTCTACTTACATTCCCATAGGCCATTATCATGTGATTGCGGAACACAGACCATGCCTGTGTCGGAGTCGGAGGGCGTAGTTCACTGGCCTTTCACCGACTGCCCAGGCTATACCTATTTGGGGTTAGACTAACCTGCGGCGCACCTTCCGTTTGACCTCCGTACGATCGCGCCTTCCTGTATATAAACCTAATTCCCTCCTCTCTCCTCTCTTGAACCCTATAACGACCCTTTCTACCAACTCAAAGCGAAGTGATCCCTCTCGAAACATGTCGCAAGAGAATCCAGACCCTCCCGGGGATCCGAGCACCTTCCCATTCATGAGACTGCCGAAAGATGTCCGACTGATGGTGTATGAGCGTCTTCCACGCAGGATCACCAAAGTTGTGGTACGTCCTTGGGGTGATAACGACTCGGAACTACACCTTTACCTTCGAGGTACCGATGCTGCAATCCTCAGGGCTTCGAGACGCATCTATGAGGAAGCTAAACCGTTTGTCCGACGCATTGCTAAGGAATTCATCCTATGCAAAACGCCGCAAATCGCCTACCAGGTTGGAAGCAACAGTCTGATAATACCGATTGGCGACCTGATCATGGGAGAGATCGACAAGTCGGTCGACACGCTGAAGGAAAACATGGAAACTAGTTGGGAGATGTCGCAGTTTGAGGCTTATCTAGCAACACTGAAGATGAGCAGCAAGACTATCAACGCACGCTGGGATAAAATCTCTTACAACCTTCCACTCGACCTCGCGAAGTCTCTAAGTCGATATAATGACCATTTTCATGGGCGTTACAACAAGGAATCCGCTCTATGGTGCAATGCAGCAATTCTGAAACAGGCACGATTTATCCGTGCTTTTATCATCCAATCCCCTCATCAACTCCTCTATCGCCACATCATGTGTGAAAAAGGTATGGCAATTGGTACACCGCCACTCACAATTGATGTACTCTACGACGTCACCTGGTCGACTGATACTTACGAAACCCTGACTCGTCCCGGCCTCCGAGTCGAAGCACTGCTGGACTTGCGACCGGTATCACTCCTGTGGAAGACACAACGTGGGAATCGGGATGTTCTCCGATGCCTCATTGGTGTGAAGCGCACGACCTTGGAGACAAGAGCACAGTGTCTGGAGCCCCCACAGTCATTTGAGATCGACGATAGGTGTTTGAGGCCCCTTGAGCTGCAGTTACAGGCTAGCTTCCCAACTATGGCGCAGATTGTGATTCACGGTGGTATGTCGCGAGACACGTGGCGGGAAAACTGGATCCCAAGTCATGTTATCAACCCGAGGACGCAGCTGAAGGAGGAATTCAAGATTCACGGATGAATAACGTGCGATGGATTTGGTGATGGATTTGGTAATGGATTGGGTGATGGATTTGGAGGAATCAAAACGGGTCCTATGGATTAGGGTTCCTTGGGTGATCGAGTATTGATGGCTTTGGGAGGCTCAAAAGTATGATGTTCTTCGTCTTTTTAGGTTCCGACAAATGGACCTGAATTGGCATTGGGTGGGGATTACTGATCTCGTTCTATCATGTGGGCCGGCAAATAAAAGATGAATGACAACTGTCCTCCCTATATACGTCATATTTCAGGGGATGTCGGCGCATTTCTTTTGGGACTTCAATGGCGGATCTGATTCCCACTCATGACGTTTAGATTTACATCGCTGAGCGATAAGGCGAATCCGGTTGACCTCGTCATGGAGTACGACCGGCTTTCAATAGGCCGCAATGCAAGATTTCCTGTCGACAGTTCGCTTAAGCTCTATCCATACGCTCTCCCCGAATGTCTATTCCTCCCATTCTGTGCTATTTTGATAGTTCATCAACATGTCTAGGCACTCTCGCACTTGTTGCGTGGCGGATTGCTTGCTTGGAATCGGCAGCCATCTCTACATTACTTACTTCACGCCCCGTCCATATTTGCATCCTCGATAAATCGGTTCTGGTTGACAACTTCCCTTTTTTCCGGGGAAGACGACGGACGGCAATGTAATTTTTTCCTTTTAGAGTCAATCAGGCGTCTAAATAAATGCGCCTTGATTGCCTACCGTAGGATATAGGAGACTTCCTCTCCGTCCAAGCTGCATACATTATGCAACGGATCGCAGCATACCTGACATAATTCTCAGTGCATTCAGAGCAGATGCATATGGAGTCTTGTTTTGATTGCTTACGGAAGACCATAACATCTATTCTTCTATCTCTTAATTGTATTTATACCCTTAGTGAAGAGATACCAAACGCCAAACCTGCGTTGCACCCGTTACTCTGGCCGTCAAAATGTGCGACTAAAGGTCTGAAGACATCTGCGTGTCGAGCCTACATATCACGCATAAAACCCTCATAATACGAATCTAGCCATGTAATGGCCTGCGCAGCAGTTTCCCGAATACCGTTCCCAAAGCGCCTCAGGGATCCCACATAACCGTCCGGGCGCACGTTCAGAATCACCACCTCGTCTCTGTTCAGACCGCCGAGCCACTTGTCGAGGCATTTCTGCTTCCTGGTATCCTTCTCTGGCACATCGTCGAGATAAATGGTCCATTTTGAATCTCGTAAGACCGGTGGAAAGTATTCCAGCTCCAAGTCCTGCGATCGAGGTTGATCTGTTACAAGTGCGTAAGTGAAAACGGCCGAAACAGGTGTATATCGCTCGGGGCAAACGAATTGATCGTGCGGTGCGGCTAGCGGGGGTTGCATTGTGTAGGATGCGTTTCCCAGCATGGTTACGCGGCCAACGAAGGAACTCATTGACATGTGGGCGGCACAGACGGTGTCGAGGAACGGCATGGATGCGTGAACGTTGTGGGTGAAGAAGTAGATGCGGAATTGGCCTAGGGAGGGTATATCCGTTTGGATGTGGACGGGGTTGTTGTCGATGAAACGGGTCACTTTGGCTGGAGGGAGGAGGTAGCCGGGCTTCAGAAGGCCTCGTTGGGGTCCTTTGGTTGGTGTATTCAGGACGTTCACGGAATAGAAGACACCGTAGCCTGATATGAAGGCAGCATTCTTCTCGACGGTTGCAGCAAGAGCCTCTGAATCACCTTCTGAGAACGCGTTGGCATGCTCGTAGTCGAAGTCCATGAGATCTTCTGCAATCTTCTTTCGCTCGTGCTCGTATGTTTGGAGCAAAGAGGGTTTGGCGAGTCCACGAATGGCAAAGTTGAGTTTCCAAGCAAGGTTGAAGGAGTCGTGCATCGATGTGTTCATGCCCTGAGCCGCCTTTGGAGAATGTGTATGGCTGGCATCTCCTGCGATGAAAACCATGCTGTCGTCGTCACTGAACCGAGAGGCGACTCTTTGTCCAACCTGATATCGTCCAAACCATTCTACTACAGTCAACCTCATCTTCTCCGTTCAACATAGGAGCCCTTACCGATGTTCCGCCACTCTAGCCGGTAAGGATGCATAATCTCCCGTGCCCGCTTCTGCACGAACTCTTGTGTGTGCTTCTCCTTCGACCTCGTTTCTTCTGAATCTGGCCTCAATTCGATATATAAGCGGGTCAAGTTACGTTCCCTTGGCAACATCAAGATGGACCCAAGCTTTTCCGAGCGCACAATGACTTTACTCCAGATATCCGGGAAGTCGGTGTCCAACACTCCATCCAACACCGCCCATATAGAATCCGAAGAGGCACCCATGGGAACAGAATTCGGCATGCACTTCCGTACCCTTGAATGCGCGCCGTCACAGCCAACTATGTAGCGGGAGCCGTAAGTCTTCTCGGTTCGGGAGGGAGTGTGCGAGCATTTGATCGTCAGTGGGCGCACCTTTTGAGGGGTATAATCGTAGCCATTGAAACGCGTGTCTCTAGTTACCTCGACTCCTCGCTCTTTTAGATCGTCAAGAAATATGGACTCCACCATGCCCTGATGGACGACGAGAAGATAAGGGTCGAGGAGATCGACGGCAGGGGGATAATGAATTTTGCGGCCAGTACGATGCAGTGATTTCTCGGACGTAGATTTCTGAAATGACAGGAGTTATAGGTGCTAATTCAGAGTCCGGAAAATACATACCCAAAAAGCAATGTCATAGATTTTGACTCCTTTTCGCGTCAATGGCTCGCACAACCTCATCTGTCGGAGTGTTTCCAAAGTTTTCGGTTGAAGCCCATCTGCACGACCCGTGGCAGTCCGTTCTGGACGGTCGTCAATAATCCGCGTTTTGATACCAAACCGTACGAGATTATCCCTGAGCAACGTCAACATGGCGTTGGGAACAAGAGGGTTTGACCATACGCAAGCATGAGGCCAGAGGGGCCAGCGCCCACGACGACAACGTCACTCAGGAAGCTGCGGTAATCCTCGTCGTCCGTTGCGGTTGAAGAGGAGAATGTGGAAGCGGTATCAGAGTTTCTGGTGCGCGTTGGTTCGTTTTTGATATCAGGAGCCATTGGCGTTTGAAGTCTTCCCGAAGACAATGTCGATGCAGATGAATTGAAGGAGGTTGAAGAAGGCGAACGCTTCAGAAGTCCAAAGAGTAGGGTAGGCATGAAGGCTGTGTTGAGCTCTCAAGAGCTCGAGAATTGGAAATTTTGGAGATGTCGCGTGAGATATTGGGGAGTTCGATACATGACGATACTCATTTTAAGGATGCCGGGTATGCATTATTCTTAAGACGCAAGCTTGCGTAGCGCAACCCTTGGAAGGCCAAACATCGGGAATTTGGGCGCCGCAAGGCATAGCGGCGATCTTTTCAGAGGGGCTTTCGTTGCCGCTCAGAACCGCTGTATCCGCGAGGGCCTGGACATAGAGAGATCAAATGTAGTGTGGTACTGTGGACTCCTCCTTCAGATATCCCAGCCATAGATCTCTTCCGTGGAATCCCGGCGTCGGCAGATTCGGCATTGGTACTTAGCACAGACCTGGTCGGTGCTCATCCGCCATGTCATAGCCTAGATTATCGAATTCGAATCAGGGTTCCATTTGGATTACAGGTTTCAGATGGGAAAGTATCGGATCTAGGGAAATTGCCCGTCAGACAGGTGGCTTCAGGACATCCTTCTAGAAGAATAATCATGCCATTTTGGGACTATATGCGGATCCTGAGACCCAGACGTCCCTGTATAGAACACTGGGGTCGAAATCAAAATTCGCCCTCTCCTTTTCCACGTATAATTATTTGCCGAACCCAACCCTGTACACGAAGCTTTTTTTCTGCGACAAAGCCCCAGATGGGAAAGTTTCAAGGCGAGATGGCTTCAGACAACCCTCGAAACCATCGTATGCGCGAGGAGCCCCTGGGAGGCCAATAGAATCCTAAACAATCAGAAATCATCCCCCGCCAATAATAGAGATTTTCTGACTGATTGCGGACGTGTCCGCTGCTATACGAACATGGCAATGTGTACAAAGTTCTGAATTGGGTACAGTTAGGTCCGGCGCTGTGGCCGCGGCGAGGCTTTGCAGGTCGGTAGAGCTAGCAGCAGAACTCCCGACATCATACCACGCTCACACCACCACAGTGCGGTGCGGCGGCATCGACGCACACAGTTTGTGATGCAAGCTCGTACCGTTAAAAACTCCCATTACTCCATCCGTACCAGAGAACCGACACCTGTAGACAAACTGCCCAGTGGCAAGTCTGTCTACATGCATGCGTTTTGAAACCTTAGTTGCGGACCCCAGCTATTAATGCTTTTTGCCACTCACTTGGAAATTCCAAAGAGTATGGTCGAACCTGGAGTTTTGATCAATAATCTAGTATTGAATAATTTATCTTAATGGTACTCTTCTCTCTTTCCTCGCGGAGTTGGAAAGACTAATGCAGTTGCAGCTCGACTATATCACCCAAGAAATTCGTCTATGCCCACCACCGTTCCATAGCATCTTCACTCTTTATCAGAGGTCCCGACGTGTTGCCTACTCAACGGAGCTTTATTCCCCGTCATGACTAACGAGCTCCCCGAGCCCAGCACGAGTCACATACAAATCTGCGTGCCATGGGCATCTGGCATTGGACCACAAATGACTGACTGCGCCTGCTTTGCCAAACTTCCAGCTCCCTTCATTATGGTAGCCAATTTCTCCATTTGCTGGACTTATGCCTGTCTTAACATCGTACAGAAAGCATCGTGAGCCACCCCCGAAATAGCACTCGCAAGGCTCCGCATTGTAATGGAGAGTATGACCAGTTCCGGTGTACATCGTCTTTTCCCTACAGCGTGTTCCCCATGCCACCGCCATACTTTTCGTGTTCAGAGGCCGGAATCTAATATCTGCCAGACGCTCACTGGGAGTCTTCGGAACAATGCTTGCGCCCTCTTCTTGCATCCTCTCGATTAGGATATTGAGAGTCACGGCAGCATGCACACCTCGCGCATAAACACTCCACGAGTTTGCGGTTGAGCTGTTAGTCGAGAAGAATATGGTCACCTTGCTGAAGAACATGGACAAGATTGGATGCATGGTAACGATGACAGAGTCCTCCACGAAGCGATCGCTATACAGTGGATGGACTTTTCCGTCGTGCTGCTGATCGGTATACCCTGAGGCAAAGTCATAGTACCACTCCTGCGTAGGGTTTTCGAGGGCTTCTCTGGGCATATCGATGACGATGCTTCGTAGTTGGGCAATGCCACCCTTTTGGTCAATCTGTGTGTATAGCTTGAGCTTGTATCCGGTCTCGCGCTCACACTGACTGAGAGTGTTTTTAATGAGGCTTCCGACCTCGATCGTTGCCAGTTCAGAAAGCTCGTCGTAAGCGGAACTGCACGACTGTGCGAATCCTTTCCAAGTGTCGTCCGAAGTAAAAATTGGCATTAGGTGCGCATAGATGACGCATCTCACGTCGTAGTTGAGTTTCGTGAACAAAGGACTCTTGGCCACGCCCTGGCCTCGTGAAACACGCTCCGAGCTGCATGTTACTGGAGATACATCTGAAGTGAATTTTGGGACCAGGTGATTATAGATTGCGGATTTAGCGTCGTTAAGCCGATTGAGGAAAGAAATGCGGGCATGATTATGACTCTGAGTCACACGCTCCGAGATAGACATTGCTGAAGGCATTGCTTCTTTCGATTGCAGTGAGGTTACCAGTGGTCGGGCTGTTGATATGCGGGTTGTGGTCTGCGCTTGTGGTACTCGTTTGTGGTACGCAGTTTGTCAGTATGTAGTTTGCTCATTATGCAGCGCAAAAGAAGAGAATCATATGAATTGCGCAAGTGAACTTGACTTTCACTGTCAAAACCTGGGTGACCGCCTGCCAAGAACTCCAGCCGTGCCGCTGCTTTCACTTGGTTGGTGGCGTTCGTCCTTCACCTTTGGGGTGGGCAAGGTGAAGAGAGTCAAAGGGATAGGTACTCTAAATCCGTTAAGAACAAGATAAACAATGATGTTGTTCATTGCACATTCGACGGTCATGTATCTGACTGGAAATAGTCTGCCTACAAGACGACCGGTATATTCAAATCTTTCCGGTGTATTCTGAGGCCTTCTTCTAGCAGAAACGCGGTTATTTCACTGCTAATCTGCTTCAAGTTGTGGTAATATATGCTACTCTCATTGTATTTCTCGTAGGTTTTCCGCGCAGTGTCGAAACACTGGCCTGGTGAATTGGCATATCACGTGACTTTGAGTACTCATAAAACCAAAGTTCAAACGCACAATATCGCCATGGTTTGGGATTGCTGGACATAATTCACAGCCCCCGACAATGGCTGTATTCATGGTCTCAGCTAGTTAAACTCTCGTTTTTGCCTAGAGCAGCTCACAATGAACCCTTGGACAGAGGTGATTGTTCTGTCAAAATAACGGAGCTGCTTTCAAAGACCTTCCAGAGCCATGCTACACTGACCAAACTTGTGGTACACCTCCCTGCACATAGCCTCCACGTCCATCAGTGGTGTACTTCCCGCTATGACGATGTCTTTCGCAGTTTCCAGTACCGCGTCAGATAGAAGTGGCGTACTGATCAGCTCTGGGATACCCGGTATGTACACGAAGAGAGCATAGTCTCTGCCTTTGAAACAAACTTCAAGTTGTACCTCGCTTCGATGTTGGCTCCTGTGGAGTTGAAGCCAGACGGTGAGAGATTTTACATGCTAGACCTCCACGCCGTCAGCCCGGTCACTTCATGATTGGAGTTCCATACAAACGGTTTATGTCAAGCACCCTCGGTCATTATGGTCATCAGACTGTCTTCGACCGTGAATTCTGCCATCAAGCCGTAGTGGTCTGTGACAAAAGGAAGTGCCTCTTCCGCCATCTCTCGCACAGCCTGTTCGTCTTCAACCTTGACACCGACGCCGATTCTGTCGAGGGTTTTAACTTGAAGCTTGCCACAAAACACAATCTTGTCGAGCCGGGAGCGTCCGAACCTCTGCCAATGACGACTTTGAAAGCCCCATGTGGCTCCCGCCTCATCGCCCTCCACTCCACCAAGTTCCAGATAGGCGTCCTTGAAACCGTTCTGTTCAGGCGCCGCTCTGTCTCGTGGTCGGGTTGCATTACAATCTCCGGCAACGATGCTTGCGACAACTCCTTGCTCCTCATCCTGGAGTTGTTTACCGAGCCCCGCCCATTGCACAGGTCGCAGCGGGCCATTTAGGGAGTCGAGATGCACGTTACAGATTCGTAGGATGCACGAACTCGCGGAAGATAGCCTAACATCAACAATTACTGCCTCCCGCCCGTACTCACTAACGAATGGCAGGCGGCTAACTTGCGCTACGCTTAAGCGTTTGTCCAGCAGAGTCACTTGGCCATAGTGAGCTCTTGCTGTGGACATGTCTGTATCCGATATATAAAACCTCTTTCTAACCCAGTCGGCATCGAGAAGCATAGATATATCTTTTGCGTCGTCGGGTCGTTCGAGTTGGGGACCACGTGGTTCGGTTTCTACCATTTCCTGAAGCAAAACAGCCACAGCTGTGGACGCTGGGAGGCTTGCAATTAGGCCACCCAGGTATTGTATTGCGACGCTCATACGTTCCCTGGGATGCGAGGCCATAAAGTCAATGTTCCAGGTGAGAACACGGATTGACTCAAGAGGTGGACCTTGCTGGACAGCTGGAGAGGTCTCTGTCTGGGGACGCCATTGCTCATTGGTGAAGGAATAGAAGGGCTGCGGCTTCAGAACATATCTGAACTGTTTTTCGAAAAGAGACGCTATCAATGACCTTGACGCCATCCCGAGGTGCCGTGTTACGAAGATGAATGAGGTTGGGTTTGATGTGCTGGCACACACCGCTGCCTGCCATCTGAAAGATGCAGTGCAACAAAATGCGCTAGACCTGTTTTGCACTAGCGCGTCTCTGCTCCTCAGACAGCCACTACCCCATTGCATGTCCCATTCTATAAAAGGCCGTATCGAATATAGCGATCCGTAGTCCTATTGTTACGGCCCCGTTGAGTTGCATAGCTCGCTCCGCTTTCTCATATAGTGGGTCTAAAGACTCCTTTTAAGGCAAGACTTTCAATACGTCACGAGCAATTAGGTTTTCTCACTGAAATTGCTTACTATAAATGCAGTATGCTGATACAATGCTTGAATATACTCAATGGTCTATTTTCAAGAGACAGTAACCGTACGGCAAGTCTGTGGCTAGTATCAATACCCCGTATAAAAAGGTATACTGATCAAGCGTCCCAAGGCAAGCGGTTGATTATATAGAGTACCAAGCTTCGACTATAGCTACATGAACTAGGGCAGAAAAGTACCTAATAGCATTGGATCAACTTCTCCTTAGGTAAATTAGTGGAATGCCCAGGAAATCCCCCTTTTGAGCTATGATCCTCTTCCCGAAATGTCCCACTATGACGAAACAGTACACGTATTATCTATTACTATTCAAGACTTGAAAATTTCAAGGGGACATTATTTAGGTAGGCATGCAAGCTCCCAGCTATTGCAGTTAAGGGGTTGACATTCCTGACTATAGTTGCAAGCAATCTAGCCTCTATTTGATAAGGCGCATGTAATGACCAATAGATATAGTAATCTATGAAGGCATACCCTGGGGACAGAATGAGCTGGTCTCAGAATCATCATCTTGATATCCACCTTCTCCAATCCCATTGGTGGTTCCTGCACCGGCGAGTGGGACATTCATGCCACCGATGGAAGCAATTGAAGCACCATGGCAAGCTAGTAAGGCCAGGGTAGTGACACTGGCAGCATAGGCGATATAGGCCTGCCCGAACGGGTCGCATGTATTGCGGGTTGTCGGCCATCTTTACACCAGATGAGGTAGAAGATGAAATAACCGAGTAGATGGAGGTAGAGCAAGGTTTGGGAGCAGATGTTCGTCGTTAAAGGGTCGGATCGTAGTTCGCAACTTATTGAAGCTGGTTGCAATGTTGAAAATGGGTTATTAGATATCGCAGTATCTGCTATCAGAAGAACTTTATATACCCACCGTTCATATGATTCACACCTCCCAAGTGTGAATTCGAATTATGAAGTCACTTCAGCCATGACTCCAGTTCAACGATGACGATGGCTCCAGTGCACCGATGCTGTCAATTGAATATGCAGTGACTAAAGTGACAGAAAGTGCTCTCTTTCATGGCTTATCTGTGAATACTGAATCATCAACCAGTGATTAACAACACATAGTAGTGTTTCACAACCTTAGGCATCTCAGTCTCAGAGGAGAGAGGCTTCTGGCGAAGCAACTGTGATGCACACCTCAGGCATCAAGTGGGCAAATTTTGTGAGATAACATTAGAATTCACGACAAGCCGCGTCTAAGAAACATCCTTGAAGAGGGTTCTACTAACTTACTATCTAGAAGTTGACGTGTTCTGGGACGATTTGCATTGTTAAAAAACTTGTATAACGCAAATAAAGGATGGAATGGCTCTCGGCCACCCTCGCTAGTCTCGAATGCTTTAACAATGACTTCACACAACATTGTGAAGCTTCAATATTTCGGCAATATCAGCAACCTTTGGGAACACAAAAGGCGCGTAGCCGTCAATCCTCTCCCATCGGAATCCTCGCACAACATCGGTGTTTTTGTGGATAGGAGCACCTACACCCGCGTTGTTATTTGCTCCTGCTCCGTGTGAGCCCTTCTTCAGCAATGGCGTTTGCGGTACTGGTTCCCGCACTACGAAAACGCAATTCAGATGAGGAGCGCGCTATGATCTCTAGGGCGGAAACAATTGCTCACGAAGGTGAGCCTTTCGAAACCTTCAAGCTTAAGGTGGAAAAACTAATCTTGCAAGAGTTCCCCGGCCACGATTCCGACGACATTCTTCTCGAACATCTCCGCGGTGGTAGCTTCAATCGCGTTGTAGCTATCAAGATTTGCGAGCCCGAAAAACCGCAATTGCCGGCGTTTCTGGAAAATGCACGCAAAGGTCTGAGTAAGCGCCTCAGTTCCAGCGACCCTAGAAAATCTCGTCCCGGCGAAGAGCTGATTCTACGGGCTCCACGCAGGTCCGAAATCGACAAGTCCATGTGGTATAATGTTGTCACACTGGCATTCCTGGCGAGACGTCTCCCATACCCGGTTCCGAGAGTGATATTGCATAACATATGGCCCGAGAACCCTTTGGAGCAAGGCTATATGATTCAGGAACGTCTCCCAGGTATACCTTTGGTTGATTATATGAACGAAGAGCTTCCTGATGAGCAGTTATTTGCCATCGCCGAGCAAGTCTGCCAGGTTGTCGTCAGTATCAGCAGTATCACCCACCATACAGCGGGCATTATTGGTCTAGGAAACACGGCTCTTGACTTCGATGAAGGGGGAAATTTCTTCACAACACCGCAGCACCTCCTCGGCCCAGCTGAACAGCGTCTCAACGACATTGACCCAGAGCCGTGTAGGCCACAAACAACCGTCGAACTGCTGCTGGAACTTTGCGATCGTAGAAGGAAATTGGAGTATGCAACTCAGGACGAAACAAATGACGAAGTCTGGGAAGGATTTTCCCGTATCATCCGCAAGCTCCACCAACTCGGGTTCCTGCCAGATGATGAGAAATTTCACTTCTGTCACCGGGACTTTCAACCTCGCAACATGCTTACCCAAATACAGGATGGGAATCCCGTCGTGACGGGAATCCTGGATTGGGACTCGGCAGCGTTTGTTCCTAAGTTCGTTAGCATGCGCGCGCCCTTCTTCCTTTGGAGTGGGTATGCCGATGACGAGTGGGACGAGTACATGGCGGTCAAAAACTCTGAGCGACCTGAATATAAGCAATGCAAACTGATCTTCGAAAAGGTCGTTGGCCCCGAATTCCTGCGTTATGCATACTCGCGGGAGTATATCATTGCTCGCCGAGTCTTCAACGTCATTGAGAAGGGAATCTATAGCCGGTACTCAAAGATGGAAGCCCTAAGGATAATTGCCGATTTTAAAAGGCTTATCCATCGTCATAGTTGCTGCTGAAATGTACTGTGAAGAATCGCGTACTGGTTATAAGGGGTTGTGAGGTCTTGTCGTCTACATGAGTGGACGGCATCCCTTTCGTATATGTAACATCATAATCAATGTATTGTTTTCTTGAAGCATATCCCATCACATCTTGCTGTGCAACTCTTGATGTAAGACTCCTGGCTCAAACCTTGCCAGTTCCTTGATGTCACAGAGGATGTTGTTGCGTACTCTTGCAGACCTAACGCTACTTACAATAACGCAGGTGCAATGTATAGGCTCTTAGGGGCCCACTGACTCCTTCTTACTTGCTTTCTTCCGCTGTTAACAAGGCAATCACCTTTTTTGCATTCGCTGCCCTAGCCATGTCAAGTGCGTCACACCGTCCTCTGACTTCAGGTCCTTATCTGCGCCATACTTCAGAAGTAACTCAACGCCCTTGACATCGTCATTCAAAGCAGCCATGTGCGTAGCCGTCATGCCGCCGCTGTCATAGCAAACATTGGGATGCAGTTTTCCGTTGGCACCTGGGTCCTCGCCTTTGAGGAAGAGCTCGGCGTCGTCGAACTCCATCTGGGACATCAAGGATAGGGACGCCATCTTCCGTTCAGCTTCAGGGTTTGCCTACATAGAGTATGTAGGAGCTCAGGATGTTAGAGTTGCCCAGTGGGCAGTATGGGACTCGCCTTGTAGAACAAATGTTCCTCAATCTCACGCCCAAAATCAAATCCACAGATAACCCCATCTGCATTTCGCACTCGCACAATGAATTCGCCTTGAGGATTGAGTACGCTCTGTCGACAAAGAGCGCAGCGATTGCGTGTATCAAATGAGGCAGCATATATCATCCACTCAGCACAATTTTGCAGTGGTAATAGAAGAGATTGATGCCAACGCTGAGACATTGCACGCCTTTCCAATAAGAGCAAGATTTAGAGTTCGAAGCTTTGGCGAATCGCATGTTCCAGCATATCGTCGGTCCCCAATACCAGAACGGTCAGAGCGCGTTATCCTCAGTCTCGTTAGACAGTCCTTTCACCTGCCGCTGTCTGTCTTCCTTAATTGCTGGGCACTCATTTTCTTTCTCGGCGCGGACTTAAGATCTTGGCCCTTTATGGATAGGGATTGGTATGCGATTATTGGTTTCTTGCGTGACGGATATGTCTAACTGCCAATCTCCTATCCTTTGTCGTAACCGACGGTTACTCTATCTTGCGTAGAATCGTCTAAATGCTAACATTTAGGCAAGGGGATCGCGGAAATTATAAGACTACAGAGTACCTACACTCTATACCTCTACTAAGAATAAGAAAGGATTTATTAATCAACTTTTCTATTCCCTCTATAGTAGAATGTATATACTACTGCTGTATAGCAATTAAGCTCGTCCTATATAGGATTAAATCTTAGGTAGCTAAGGTACTTGTCGTTGTGACTAGTCTAAAGGGCGATACCGTCGGCGTTCAGAGCGAGTACGCGTAGCGTATCTCTTTAAAGGATCCTTAGACGTCCTCCCTAGAGTGGAGCGTAGCGAAGAAACCAAAGCTTAATAGATGCTCGTGGCAGAAGGAGGCAAGGTATTCGTTAATCTTGCGAGAAACGTTAGCCGTCTTGGTAGTACTTTTTCCAGCGGTAATTACTAGGATAGGGTAAGGTAGGATTGACGTCCCAACGTTGTTGTAGCAACTAACGTTAAGATAGAGGTCAGGGCTTTATCCAGGAACTCCTAATCGTGGAATCAAGGGGTTACCTTTAAGGGCTGCGTTGACGTAAGTAAGTTTGCTGGCCTATAGTCTACTTCTCTTTGCGTAAGGTCTTGAATCCATTCCAGCCAAGATAAAACAGGAGTAGCGCCACGACTAAGCCATCGAACCAGTAGACTACGCCGATCATCCATCTAAGCCTTGTAGTACACGGTTACTCGGACCCCGGTGACCTGGGGACGCTCGAAGATTTCCAACCCACCGGCGCTGCCCTCACGGTTGGGGCCCGCCGCTGGGTAATAAGTACCAATCGTATACGATGTGTAGGGCGAGGTACCTAGGGTACCGTTGCCAAGCAGCTGAACTGATTTTCAGCTATAGGTCCTTTTACCCAGCTGTGCGAACAGTGGGAGCCTCCCAAGACGGTGGTATTAGGCGTTTGGAGGAGGTTTGCTGCCTCGTTTCCGTAGAGATGGTAATTGGGACTCGGGCGTCAAGCTAAGAAAGTGTGATCTTCTTGCGAAGTCGATGGCATTGGCAGGGGCGGAAGTGTACTGCATGATATCGTTTGTGTGCACGGTATATCTATCCACATTATGGCAAAATAACTGAAACAATCTTGTTTTTGTCACTCGCTCAGTTCGTATCGATCTCCGACTTCACGATCAGTAAACAAAAGCTAACGAACCCAGATGCCTTACGTCGGTGATGAATGGCGCCCTAAAGAGATCGTTGAAACGGTGATCATCGCCAACGGCAGTGAAGAGAGAATTAGCACCGTTCAACGGGGGCGTCTGGCTGGTAGGTTCCTTAGGGAGTATCGGTCGAGAAGTATATATGTCGGATCGTGCCGCTGGAGAAAGGACGGACAGTTCGTTTGGGGCGATGCGCACGAACGGCCCGTGTTTCTCATGCAAATGCTCCAGTTCACGCCACATGCGTCCGTCAGCCGTGTGGCGGATCCATGGAAGCCGCGACGCCGCCCAGGATTGTGGACCAGGAAAGGCCGAAAGCGGATGAAGATAGAGGCGGTAAGCAACTACTAAGCTGACAGTGAGAAATGCTACTCCTAAAGGAAGTAAAAGTTGGGTATGAAGCGGCAACTCGAAGTACTCAATCATTGCAGAACTTGGAAAATGCAAGAATTCTGAGATATGGATGCGTTTCAGCTCATACGGTGCTCGTATTTAGCTCGTACGCAGCGAATTTGGCTTTCTAGAGGCGCCACCGGCCGGTGGATTTGGAGAGAATGTGCTCTCGGGCCGGTGCTATCGATAAAACCTCCTCTGTGTTACGATAAGCGGAGACTGGATACGAGCGGGCAGGGTTACAGTAAAACAGCTACCGGTAGATCGCGCTTGGACGCAGGTGCATTTAGCAAACCACTTATAAAGCAGTAATGGGCGCATCCCATGCAAGACGCAATGTCGACCGTCCCAAGCTCACTCAGCGGATCTCACCCTACACGTTATGAGCATGATAATCTCTTCAACCATACTGCATATTGTGGTGGAATGCTTCGCCGGGACTGCGTTCCCCATCTGCATTTTCCTTCATTTACACTGTTGGTTGTTCGACTCACTGAGTCTCGCCAGTATGTCTGTGCATGGAATCTACGCGAGGTGAACGGAGCAAGAAGGAAATCTCGACGACTCCTTCCAAGCTTTGAGCATATTACATAGTACATAGTAGAAGTATTCCTTCAAGTTCATAAGAGAGACCCAAAAGCAAGCCAACAGCGAGTTTAGACGTTGTTAAGCCCGTGCTGAATGCAAGTACCTCGAGCATGACTACGAAGGGGAGCATGACACTCAGCTCGAAATATACAGCCGGTAGTTTGGCAGCATGTGACGATGATCTTTCTCAGGGTGTCATCAAATTAGGCTAACTTGCCGGTCAGAACTTCTGGTAATATCCACCGTCATTCGTATTCCCAACACACATTACCGTCCTGATGTTCGTGTATCTTGCTTAATTTTGACGGCGACATGCTCGAAAGCTGCTTTGGTTCGCTTGGGTCAGGGCAATACCGCCAATCTTTCATTCTAGGGTTCGATGAGTTTTCTGAGAGAGCATGAAGGGTGACATTCACGGAGACATTCTTCTTTCCCCTGTCGGTCTCGTCAATATCGACCTTCGATCTCGTAAAGACCGATATCACCAAACTCGATCATCCCATTGGCGAACTAGATGAGAACTTTCCCAGGCACGTTCGAATACACAGTACATGGAAATGCACGCGTGCATTATGATTGAGATTGGGTTAGAACACGCTTTCGCATTGACGTCGTCACGTTCTGCATAGCCAGTGATCCCCGAAAGTAGCAACGGAGCAAAACTACCCTGGGGTTTCAAGCTTAAAGGACTCGTAAGTCTTGAGGCGTGCAAGTCCCCGCGCTCCCCGCAAGCCTCCAAGCTCGGCAGCGGTGCTCAGCCACGCAATGACTTGTTTCTCAGGTATGGTCAGTCCCTGAACAAACCTTTGATGTAATACACAATCTACATTGCTTAGTGCGCTGGGAATGATGTATATCGCCTGCAAATTTGAACACTGAGTGGTTGTCCCAAAGGGGGAAAATAGCTGTGAGAAAGATTTTGACAGGTCGCATAGGAAGGGACAATACCAGTGGCTCGGAGATAATGCAGTGCAAAACTGTATGCTGCTGTGGCCCTGGAGCACAAGCTTAGCACTGGGTCTCCCTGTCCACCTAAACCGCAACCCTTCGCGAATCCTCCACCTATTATCGTATCACACCACTGGACTTAAATAAAGCTACGTAAAAGGTTTGTTCTGTATTGAGAAGGCCCCCCAAACAAGAGTCGTTCTACGTAAGCCCTGGAGGCTGGAGAAGCCCACGCCACATGTCTACGCGGACAGGAGCGCATCTCCAAGGTCTGAGGCGTGACGGGAAAGATGTGCCACACAGAAATGCCCGTCAGAAACTCCATCCGCACAAACGCTCCGGGTGGCACCAGGAGCCCCGACAAGGGAAATGGCAAAGGCTTATCTGCGGAGCTGGGGAAGGTCTAGGCCACAAGGCGACGTATATCGAGATCAGCTCGTGCGCACGTTACGAGTCCAGCAGAGTTGCCTTGCAGGTTACAGTTCCACCATATGCGTCAAGCCACTCATAATGGTCCTTGGGAGTGGCAGGCCCCGTTTCGCTGTGAAACATGGTCCCATTATGCCGGGCCAAAGCTGACACCACCTTGATTGGATACCTTAACCGTCATTGGACAAACTCATAATATCTGCACGCCCTGGACTATTCCCTTAGAATACCACATGAATGCGAAGAAAGCGTCAGAAAATCTCCTGCAAGATGTACTCCGTCCTCGCCCCCTTGGTTTAGTACCATGGATGGCCGTTGGCGCAATCATTATGTACGCTGATAGGCATTCTGAACCAGTGTGTTCGGCGCGCGGGGCAAGGCCGGCTACCATACGCAGCCGTACCGCGCGTGTCTTAATCTCAGAAGAAGATGGACATGCGCTCTCTTAGCTAGTTGTCCGCAACGTCCCCACAAACCCAGCATTTCTTCAGTGTTCGACAAATCACCTGAAAATGAGTGCAGTCAAGCGTGCGGCTTGTGACAGATGTCATGGGCTCAAGATGAGAGTGAGTATGACGTCTTTCCATTCGATAATTCGTTATAATGGGGTTAAGCAGAATGCAGTGTATCCGAGAAGAGAACAGGGCCAAGTGTAACCGGTGCCTGGGTGCCGGGTCTGTCTGTGTCTTTTCTGTTTGCAAAAAAGCAGGAAGGCCAGCTCGAAAGAATCACTATGGCCACCAGCACCAACATCGGCACCAGCCAACGCCGATCCAACAGTCATCTCCGCCTTACATACAATCGAACCCTTCGATAGATATAAGCTTGTTTAGTACCTCACAGGACAATTTTTCCATGGCCATTGCAGACGAATATTTGTCTGCTTCAGCGCTCAGTGGCGCGCTGTCGGACCCGATTCCCGACCTGCCCATGTTTGGACTTGAGATGGACGAAGCAGTACCAACCGGCAGAAACCCAAGAGAGACCCACCACCAATGGTTGGAGGATTTCTTTAGCGTCAGTGATTTTGATAAGCAACGGGACCCAGTCATCGTGGAGCCTACGTCACACAGATTTCCCTCCTCCACAACGCAAAATCCCTCCAGTGTTGGAGGTAATGCAATGCAACAGCTTTCGGAGCTAAGTGGCAAGCTGTTTGCCCACATTAATGCTGGCACAAAGGAGAGTACGACCGAATCCGCAACTACCCGGTTGGAAGAGCTATCCGCGCGAGTCATCGAAAATACGGTCGACTTCTATAATATACTCAGTAACAATTCGGAACCCGCATTTGAGGCATCCCTTGATCACGGCGAGGTCACAGCTACAGCAACAACACTGCAGATATTGACCGCATACATTCGCCTCACTCAGCTTCATCAGGCCCTCTACAACCATATTCACTCTCTTCTCTCGCCACGAAGCCCCCCGCTGTTCGCGGCGCTCCCAGAGTCGCGCGACTCAAACTCTTCGGGCTCCTCGCCCTCTTCATCAGATCGCGGGGTGCCAGTCCTCTTCCCGTCTCTTTCAATCGGAGGTATATCCCTTGCCCCGTATCCAAGGTTTCAATTGAAGATGATAGTCCAAATATGTGTGCACCATCTGGGGGAAGTCGAGTCACTGCTCAGGCTGCCAGCGGGATTTTCTGTCAGTGACGAAGGAGCTAATGGAGGTGATAACAGAGAGGGCGGTATCTTGTATCCGGATTCGGATCGAATGGCGCTACTAGTACGAACCATAATGTTAGAAGCTGGGGACTCAGTGAAGGGTATTCGACGAGTTCTAGCAGAGCTAGCAGAAGAGTTTCGCGGAAGTATCCAAGTTTAATTCTCTTTAGACACTCTGGGGTAGGGCACCCATATTTGGGAGAGGACGTAAACAGATTCCACAATATACACCCAGTGTAAAAACAACGAAGTACCTGCGTCCGAAACGCTAAAGCGTGATTTGAATAAGAAAATGGTGCGATGGGGTCTAGCATTGCAGCATGCTTTCCCTTTAAAGGGACTATCCTCAGGAGAGGCGGCCCAGAAAGCTAAGGGGTCACTGGTACCGTGCATTTTTGATTACTGATCGAGAATAGACTATTCCTCGGTGCTCAGGAGTACCAAGTCTAGTGGACTAGGTCAGTGATGCACTAGGTCAGCGATAGTAAGACAACTTGGAAGTTGAATCTAGGCTGTATTCGAGGAGGTTCACGCTTGGAAAATTCCCGAACTGGTCCTGCTACGCTTCCATTTGGCAGGCCACAGAGAGTAGTAAATTCCTCCAAATGAACCATCATGCACTACTACAACCCTACGCTTTCTCCTTCCTATCAGTGGCCCAAACTGTCCGGTGGGCTCTACATGTCCTCTTTGAGAATGCGACAACTGCATCACGTCTTGGAAACAGAATTTCACTATCCGGACCAACAACCGTCGCTTTACGTTGACGGGGCCGCATACTTTGATATCGGTTCAGCTGTGACCGGTGAAGAGCGCACGCATATTCGCCGGGGTCACCATGGAGATCTCACGCGACAGCTCGTTAATCGCTTTCCGGACCCAACTGGGTGACACGTTCGGTTTCTTTGCCAGCTGTCGCATTCTAGGGAAGTAAATGGCTGCATGATGCAACCCGGTAGCTCTTCAGCCGGTTCGGACGTTGTGAATAGCATGTTCCTGGAATCGGCGAACCTAACTTTTTGAACATCTTGAACATTATGTTATGAATACAAATCCATCAAAACTCACCTCGTCATCAGAGTTGATATTTGAGGAAATCAGTACCTAAAAGTAGGAAGGACCTGGGTGGTCTAGCAATTAATGAGGAAGCCTCGATAGAGGAAAGTGATGTGATATTTGATAGATCTGTGCAACTCGGCTTCATTGCCTTAAACTCGCATGGTCAATATGGTAATTTGTGAAAAAGTGATAGACGCCGATTCCCCTAACCAGACAGAACTATCGAATAGAATAATCAGAAAAGGGCATTAGAGACTGCCTCCACCAGAAACCTATATCCAGGCAACACCTGTTCCTCCCACCCGGAAACTCCCGGCCGCATATGAACATCGTGCAAGTGGCTGGCCCCATCCAAACGCAAGAGACCACACTCTACGCCTTGCCTTTTCAACTCATCTATCAGGCGTTCTGCCGCAGCAAATGGCGCGACCTCATCCTGAGGACTGTGTATGATGAAAGTCGGAGTGAGATAATTACCTTGCCGGGCTTGAGCTAGTGGACTGATTGCGGCGACGAGCGTTGAAGAAGGCGGTTCAAAACAGTCACGTCCATCCTTAGGATGGAGACCGTTGAGGAGCAGAGCAAGCGCGGTTCCGTCTTGCGATACAGTAAGCAGCAAATCCGAGCGTGGATCGCCAGGTTGGAGACCGAAGAAGTTGTCTTCTGCATTCTTTGTTTCGTAATTGGTGATCTACGCATGTCAGGGTAAATGACAAGAAAAATGGGTCGGTGGAGGCTGACCGGTGTCTTAGATAGACTGTTAAGTATTTTCTTCTTGTCTGTTCGTGGTAGAGGTGCTTGAGCCCCAGCTTGGGAGTCCAGTTCTGGCATTGCTATCAGCGACTCAACTGTCAATTGCAGGCCGGAGTTACTCACCTCCAGATTCAAAGTCTACAGGGGCGTAGAAGCTAAGAATGGCGGTCGGTGATTTGATCCCCGACTCCCTGGTCGTCCATCCAGTAGACACTATAATGCTTAGTGCATAGTCCTGCGCAGTACAAAACGCTGCATACATGCTAAATGGCCTCCCGTAGACCAACCAATGACTACGACCCGATCACGGTCGACAGTGACGCCTTTTTTGGCAAGATACGAGGGTAGAGTATCTCGCACCCAACGATATGCATCTCGAACATCGGCCATTGGTCCTTCGATGATGTTGACTTCAGGACATAAACGATAATCGACGCTGACCGGCAAGAAGCCTTGAGAGAGGAGGTACTTTGTTTGTGCTGGGCGGATCATTTTCCTTGACAACATCATGAATCCTCCCCCATGAATCATGAGTGCTTTATATGAGTCAGCTTGCATGGAGCGAGTATAGAAATTGATGAGAGACTCATACCGATGGGCAGCGGCGACGATGTGGCTTCTTGCGGTATATATATATCCGCATGAATCTGAACCCCACTCACCTCTTTGTATACAACGGTTTCAAGATGAAATGAATCGCTCCGGTCTATCGTTGGAGGGGACAATAGCTCTGTAGAAGCTAGAACGGGCCACTTCCTCTTGCTCCCGATCAGGAGCTGTTGAGTAAATGCCTCCTGAACTGGCCCGCGCGTAAAGCTGCAAGATGGAAAACCTGCTGCCTTGAAAGCCTCCATCCATTTGGTGGCGGGTTGAAGAGGATATTCGGTTCCGTGCTCTGCTAACCACCATCCTTCGAGCAACCCAAAGGTTATATCGAACCAGGCTAGGGGTACGGTGCCTTCAGAGAGGATCACGACCCCGTCTGCATTCAGCGTTTCCCACAGCCTGTGCAAAGAAGCCACCCGACTAGTTGTCGCATGTACGCAATTGGTGCCGATGACGATGTCGAACCTGTTGCGGAAAGTGTCTCGAACGTCCTTCTCCAGATCGAAATTCTCGAATCGCATCCACGGGAATTTGCGAAACCGCTCTTTAGCCTTCACAACCATGCGGCCTGCAATATCTGTAAAAGTATACTCGCAGGCAACTCCTTGGGCGTTGAGATTTTCCACAAGCCTCATTGTCGTGCCTCCTGTGCCTGCCCCTACTTCCAAGATGCGGAGAGGCTCCACGCTGCTGCTGTTCCTATGCTTGGCAAGAGTGCAGACGAAGGTGACCAATTGATCGGTAAGGGTGGAAACCATCGGGGAGTTTGCATAGTAATCTTCCATAATTTGAGATGACGCCTGGGTGCCGAACATCAGTGAGAGCGGATCTTGCTCCCCTTTCAGGCACGGGCCCAATTTCTCACCCATCATCTTCATCAGTCTAGCCTCAGGAAGATATTGCGGGAACCGGGTAGTGAACAAGTCGTATAGTTCAGCCGCTGTACCAAATGTAGCAGTGTTGCGACCTCGGATGATTACACTGGCGTGTTTCGCAACTATTCCGTGCTCTTGGAGGATGTCCCAAAGGCGGGATACCAGTTTCTCATGCTTAGGAATGAAAGAAAGCGGGGGCACCACACTTCCAGAAGAGATATCCAGGACGTCAACACCGAGAGACTTGAAAGCCTCTAAGATATACGCGAGTGTCAGGTTGTTTTGCACTGGTGCAATTGTTGCATGATAACCCACGTATCCCCTGCGTGTTGCAGTCTCTTGGAATCGGTCGTCTGTTTCCAAGAGGGCTTGGAAAGGATTATACTCCGCTGCTTGCGAATCCACATGCGCAATGCTTTCCGGAACCTTGGCGGTGTTGGAGGCTGTAACCGGTTTAAGCTCGCTGGTATCGGCCCTTTCTATATTCGGCACTTTTATATTGACGTCGCCAGACGCAGTGTGTCCTAGCCGTCGGGTAAGGCTATCAAGTGTCATATCGCCGAGCTCTTCGGCTTTGATCTCAATGCAAAAAGCAGTTTGAATCTCAGTTGCGAATTCGATGGATGAAAGGGAATCGATACCAAGCTCGACTAGCACTGCATCTCGGGGGATGTCATCTGGGTGCAGACCAGTATAATTGGAAATGATTTCTTTGACGCCTGTTTCGATGTTCCCCTCTGCTGGAGTCGCAAACGGGACAGTAGACTTCGTCTCGAAACTGGTTGCTGATTGGGCACCGCTACTGGCTGCGGCTTGCGCACTTGGAGTAACCGCTATCACCGTCTCGCTGGGCTGGACGGCGCGCTGAGTCGGGGGCGGCTGTTGGATACCATTTGCTGACATCAGAGTCTTCTTGAACTTTGTGACATCTACCTTAGCAAACTGAACGCCAGTCATCATTGCCACCACCGTCCGGTCCTTAGGAGAGCAAACAAAAACATCACCGATGGGATTAGTACCTTCGCTGATCTGGAACTTGGCGTAGACCAGGTATTCCAGTTCAGGCAAACCCATCTGACACGCGGAACTGAGGATAACGCTTTGGATCCCGACCGCTATCAAGATGTCATCGTCCGAGGCTGCGTCGCTACTGTTCAGGAGCAACCCCACAACCGAGATGAATGCGTCGATAAGAACTGTGTCACACTTCTGCCAGACAGTACTTTCAGTGCGTCCTGGCTGATCAGTAGGCAGCTTTATCGTTGCCACAGCTTCTGTACCATCGACGGCGAGGTAGGATATACCTTTGAAGAACGGGGCGTAGTGCATAACTCTAAGGAAGAGTCCATACGCACGCTTGGCCATTAGCCGTTCAGTCGTCTCACAGGACTCAACGCGGTCGATATTGCTCTCCAGTAGACGCCCGTACGTGGACAGAGCGAGCTGTTGAGGTAAAGAAGCTGTTCCAGTACAGTGGACCTGTGGCTCAGCTGTGGAACCCAGTGGCATCGAGCGTACTGTAAAGTTCCACGATTGGGTCGGTACCAGCTCTTCTAGTCGGAGGTCCACCTCGCGATTCGGGTCCAGTGCAAGAGGAGAATGGAAATAGAGGTTTTCAAACATCAGATTCCGGCCCTCAACTTCCCCTACAATGTCTTGTATGGCCATAGTACAACATTCCATGTGCATGGGAGCGGGGCAAAGAGGAATCTGCAAGACGGCATGGCCTTTGACCACCTCTTGAAACCTTTCACACTGGGTATTGATTGCAAACTCAACGGAACGTGAGCTCGAGGAACCGGGACTTTTACGTGTGAGGAGTCGCGGCGAAGCGGCCACAGCTGGAGTCGCCACTGGAACTGGAGCGGCGGCCAGCAGTTTCTGATGAGCCTCCATGGCGCGGTCAACATAATCAATCCAATGCTGCTGTTTCTCAAATTGATACGGTGGAAGCCATACTTGGCTAACAGCAGGACCTGCTGTGGTCCAGTGAGACAAAGAGATCCCACGGCGCCAGAAAGCCGACACCACTGCGCTGATTGAGTCCCATGGAGTTTCTGAATTCTTAGTGGTCGTTCTCTGAAAATCATGCGGGGCTGGGTCGGCACAAGCTCCTTTCGTCATGGCAATGATGGGCGTGTCGAACCCAGCCTCGAGCCAGATACAGTCCCCCAGGCGTTCTTCCACTCTCTGCACAGCTTTCGAGAAGAAAACGGGATCCCTGGCATGTCGAGCAGGATTCCAATCACGAAGAGATGATAACACGTGTGAGGTGCAAGTTTCAAGCGTGAAAACCGGCTCCCGCCAGTCCAACTCCTCGGAAACCTTTTCTAGGTTGGCGAGAATACCTTCAGTGAGAAAGGAATGGAAGGCATGTGTTGTCCGCAAACGTTGATACTTGGTCCCCGAAAACTCGCTGGAAAGGATTTTCTCCGCAGAGTCAATTGCCATTGCTGTTCCCGCAATCACGATGGATCTGGGAGCATTGTAGCAGGCAATCTCCAACTGCGTATTGTTGACTGCGGATTTGACACGATCAATGAGCCGTTCAACTTCGCTAGCAGTAGTATGGATAGCAAGCATTGCACCTTTTTCCATACCCCAAGAGCTATCCACAAGCTGAGCTCTGAATGCGACAAGCTCAAGCGACTGCTCAAGGGTGAGAGCACCTGAAATGGCCAATGCCGCCAGTTCACCAAGACTATGGCCTATGATTGCGGCGGGGCGCAAACCACAATCTATCCAGCACTGTGCGGAAGCGTATTGCATTGCGAAAATACTGCATTGCAAAACCAGTGCGCTATCGATGGGTGCCTTCTGGAAGATTGCCGGTAAGATGGGTTTATAACCAAGGTCCACCAGTTTGGAATCGCAAGCGTCGATATATGAGCGAAACACAGGATATTGCTCATAGTATCTGCGATCCAAAGCCACTTTGTCGTCGTATTGGCCGCTTAGCATTAATACCACAGGCTTCGCTCTAGCTGGCGATTCAAAACTAGGCGCATCCAGCGAGTTCAAGGAGCGCACCAGGCTGGAGATGTCCGGCGCACGTACATCAGCGCAGAATCTGTGCCGCTTTTTGCGCTGATTGAGAGTGTAGGCGACGTCCGCAATTTTAATCCTGTGCATCTGCTTCGCAAAGTACGCTGCCAGTGTCCTCGCATTTGCAACGAGGGCCGACCTTGAAGCGGCACTGACAAGGATCGGGTGAGCAATGTTCTCTTCGTTGGCGGTTGGCACCGTGGCGACCCTTGATCTTCGAGGCATCTCACAGCAGAGAAGAGCACAGTTGGATCCTCCTGCTCCATAGCTGTTCACTAGAGCAATCCGCAGCGGTACGTCCCAGCTTTTGAGAGCACGAGTGATTTCGAGGCCATCCGGTTCTAACAGAGGAATCTTGGGGTTCAGGCGGTTGTGATTGGCCTGAGGGGGTATGCTGCCATATCTGATCATTGCTAGGACTTTTAGCAACCCTGCGACACCTGCAGCCGACTCAGTATGCCCAATGTTGCCTTTGATGGAACCAATGGAGAGAGGCACGGGACGCGCAACGCCTCCCAGCACTGTTCTGATACTATCCATCTCGATAGGATCGCCGGCCTGAGTGCCCGTTCCATGAGCTTCCACATAGGACACCTGTGCTGGATCAATCTGAGCTCGGTCAAGAATCGACCGATACAAGGATTTAAGAGCAGAAGCAGACGGCACAGTAAGTGTCGTAGATGTTCCTCCTTGATTGGTCGCGATGCTTGGGATTACACCGAAAATCTCGTCCCCGGCTTGGATAGCATTCCAGAGCTTCTTCAAAACGACCAGACCCGCACCTTCTGCGCGGCAATAGCCGTCCGCAGATGCGTCGAAGGGTTTACATTGTCCGGTTGTGCTTAGAAATCCAGCTTTTCCAAGGTCTAAGAAATTGTCCAGTGCTGTGAGCGCACTAACGCCACCTGCTATAGCCATGTCACATTCGCCTGAAGATACCGCGCGGCAAGCCCTATTGACAGCTACCAGGGAAGACGAGCAAGCTGTGTCAATGACCTCCGATGGTGCAGTCCATCCATAGTGATAGCTCAATCTACCACACAGAAAGGCGCGTATGGTCCCAGTGGCAGTGTATGCCGTTGGTGCATGTGCGGAAGTATTGGCATGGTATTCGTTCAGCGATCCTCCGATAAAGCATCCAACGCGGTCCTCTGCATGACGGCGATGGGTAGACAGGTAGCCGCTAGAGTCCAAAGCTTCGAATGAGAGCTCCAGGAGCATGCGTTGTTGAGGATCGAGACTGGCAGCTTCCTTCGCATTGATGCCGAAGAAAGCGTTGTCGAACCGTTTGATGTCCGCTATGAAGTTGCCGAAAAATCTATTTTGCGGACTACCTTCCTGCGAAGCCCGGAAGCATGCATCCCGATCAATGCGTTCTCTCGGTATCTCTTGATGTGCATCACTCCCCTTCGATATGAACTCCCAGAGTTCTTCGAGGTTGGAGGCGCCGGGCAAACGACACGCCACTCCCACAATAGCGATCGCATCATCGCGGAATTGGATATTGGCACCGTCACCCGCATTCCCAATGCGGCCATTAGGTGTGGGCTGTGTGAGCTGTGGAGGGCTCGGTACCTCAGGTATGAGGACATGAGCCTTGAACTTGGTGATCCGCAGGCGCTGCTTATTGAAAGGCGAGAGTGGCACGCTGTCATTCATGCCGAATATGACCATATGGTGTGTGGGGCGGCCCGAAGTCTTCATATCTTCCGCAACACGAGACAAGAGTCTGTACCAATCGCAACACGCAGCCAGCATCATGATGACCATATCTTCCATGATGGAAGCATCAGTCAGCTTTTCCCCATCGATGTTAGATCTTACGGTGACCTGCAGTTTGCTGGAACTCGGTAGGTCGAAGAGGGTTGGGTTCCTTTTCAGGATATCCAGAAATTCGGGGACAAGATGGGAATTTTCCGGGTTGTGGGCCTTTCCGGTCACGTCCATCAAATCTGCAGGTAGGCCATTATCGCGGGCATATTCATATAGACGAGCAATCGCTTTAGCGTTTCCTACAAAGCTGAGTGATTTCGGTTCAGTGATTGCTGAAACATAGGTCTAGGAGACGTAAGCCACAGTTTCTAGAAGCAAAAACGGGTAACATACTCCGGGAAATTTTTGCATGAGTTCCTCGCCTTGGCCTTCGTGCTTCAAGCGAATGGCAATTATGGTGGGTTCCGATGAGGTCCAATCATCCACAGCCTCGATGTAACCACCGACTCCAACCAGTATGCGAAGGAACACGGCGGCATTCTCGACTACTTGGGCCTCATCGCGAGCGAGTGCCACTGATAACGCAGGCGGTTCCCCACCACAGCATCCTTGTATGCCCCCAGCGCCGCCAGCCTTGCGTATGAATTCGGCGTGCGAGAGGCCATGGTGGTCAAGATAACGGAAATACTGGCCCAGCTGGAGGATCAAGAGGAGCGGCAGAGCGATCACGCCCGTTCTGGCCTCAGAAACTGGTTCTGAGGGCCCTCCTTTTGCCCAAGAGACGAGAAGGTTGAGGTAATGTTCGCCATTGGGAAGAGTGCGGATGTCCTCACGAGCCGCAGCCCACACAGGCCAGACGCTCCCTAAGCCAGCGACGTGCTGCAGTAACGCTTTCCCATGTGGATTCTGCTGGAGGAACGCCTGTAGACCGTTTAGGTACTCAGGGGTTGGTGCTCGACTTTGGGGGTTGAAGAATGCGCCAGAAACTGTAGGAGATGCCATTGTGGTCGTGCAGCATTAGCTTTCTCCAGTGAAAGGCGTCACAAGCGAATATAGACGTAGGCGCAATGTTAAACGCAATGCGTCTATCGTACTCCAACTCTGCCCCGGGCCTTTTGCTTGATAGACCCGGGACATTGCGGGGAAGGAATATTCCATTTGGATCGATGCCGGCCGGGGATGAGCTGATGGAAAGAGCGGTGCTCTACAAAGCAAGATGCTTGACAATTCGCCGCCGGCCGGTGGGAGGCAGAAACTTACGGCGGCGGGATGGCACCGGTGGTGAGAAAGACTTGTTTGTTCACGAAACGACCCGGAATAGGGGGGTTTTTCTGCGTGCCTCGGCTCCAATTCTCATCCGTTACTAGATATGTTTCAATGTTTCATCCATGTTGCTTACGTGTACAGGACAAGAGACGGCCACGCGCTGATTTGCTCCAACATACTATCCTAGGGTAGAAATTCATCTCTTGAAGGCCGATTCGTGTTAGAGACGGGAGACTTGGTTATGGATCTGCGTCGTGAGTCTTGCAAGAACGTGGATGTTCGAAGCTAGATACTTCCTGTTCCGGACCGTTCCCAATCGTACTGTGCCCCTAGGGAGAACACCGGCGAGGGGAAAACGAACCAGCACAGAACCACTCTAACGTAAGACGGCGCTTTTTCTTACGGGAGCCTTGGCCATACGCATCTAACGCGATATCGATTCACCTCATTGAAGACCAACTTAACTCGCCGGAACATCCCTTCCTACCATTTGTACACATCTGGTGCTCGTGTTCCGGTACACGAATGAGCCGGAGCGCCAGGCTGAACAACCTCCTTACGACAACATGGCCTCACCTCCAGTACATACAGACAATGGTGCGGCGAGGACGAACCTGAAGCTTCTTATGCGAGGTTCGATTGTGCACCGAATATCTTGTCTTTGCACCTTCACAACTCGTTGCTATGCCGTTCCTTAATGGTACCAGGGGCCACTCGCAACTCCCTGCCGCTGCCTCAAAAGCGAGCAGCAGCAATGGATCGCATGTCCACGGCAGCGGCGACAGCAGGTCAAGTTCCGGAAGCGCAAACTCAATGGCCAACAGCGATCCAATTGCCGTCATAGGCATTTCGTTGAAGTTCCCTCAGTCAACAACAGATGTATCTTCTTTCTGGGACTTACTCATCCGCGGTGGCTCTACACGTACCGAAGTGCCTCCAGATCGATACAACGGCGAAGCCTTCTACCGGCCCAAGGACAACGGCAACAAAACTGGGACGGTTGGTCGCATTTCCTCTTCTTCAAGGTTCCCTGCTAAGAAAGCATAGTCAAAAACGAAGCATGGGCATTTCATTGCCGAGTCCCTTGACGCATTTGATGCACCATTCTTCTCTATCACGCCGCATGAGGCTGAATGTATGGATCCGCAGCAAAGATGGCTACTAGAGTCGACCTATCATGCGATAGAGAATGGTAAGATTTCTATCGTCCAGCATGCTATGTTTCTTACGTTGATCCCCTCTCTTTCGCAGCGGGTTTGTCGCTTGGAGCAATAAATAAGACCGACACCTGCGTCTATGTGGGTTGCTTCATGAATGACCACGAGGCCATGGTGTATAAAGATCTGGACATCCCAAACTCATACCATGCTACTGCCAGTGCTAGCGCCATTCTCGCCAATCGCATTAGCTGGTTCTACAATCTGAGGGGCCCTAGCGTCTCAGTAAACACTGCCTGCTCAGGGAGTCTTGTAGCCCTTCATCTAGCATGTCAGAGCTTACGTTCCGGGGAATCGGCTATGGTATGTAATTCGAAGCTGTGAGTAGGTCCCATACCTGACTTGTCATTTTAGGGCTTGGTTTGCGGGACCAACCTTCTCTTCTCCCCTGAGAGCACAGTAGGGCTGTCGAATCTCAATTTTCTTTCGCCGGACGGCCAATGCTACTCCTTTGACGAACGCGCCAATGGATATTCTCGCGGAGAGGGTATCGCTACACTTGTAATTAAGCCACTATCCGCAGCTATTCGAGATCATGACCCCATCCGAGCTATCATCCGAGCCACTGGAGTAAACTCGGATGGGCGAACTCCGGGCATCAGCCAACCAAGCAGCGAAGCGCAAATATCTCTGATGCGCGACACTTATAGTCGCTTCGGACTCGATCCATCACTGACACGTTACTTTGAGGCACACGGGACAGGAACACAAGTTGGAGACCCAATCGAGGCTGAATCTATCGCCGCCGTTTTCACTGAAAATCAGAGATCGGATCACCTTATGTACGTGGGAGCAGTAAAATCCAATATAGGGCATTTGGAAGGCGCCAGTGGTCTCGCAGGAGTAATCAAAGCCATTCTCGTTCTCGAACACGGAGCGATCCCGCCCAACCACTTTCCAGCCAAAATAAACCCAGCCATTAAAGACGACTGGCGTCTGGTCTTCCCAACCCGACAATTGCCGTGGCCCCAGGAAGGCCTCCGGCGCGCATCCGTAAATTCCTTCGGGTTCGGGGGAACAAACGCTCATGTCGTTCTGGACGATGCACGCAGCGCGGTTGAGCGAGGAGAGCTTCTTTCGACAAAGCAGACGTTCTCCAAGGGAAACGTCACAGTATCGGCGCCTAAGCTCCTCGTTTGGTCCGCCTTTGATGAAGCCGGGGTTCGAAGACAGCTTGAGGCGTACAATGCGTATTTTTCTAACCGAGCGAATAGAGACAACAGCGACGAAGGTGCTTATTTTGATTCCTTGGTACACACGTTATCCAACCGGCGAACTCACCATCCCTGGCGGAGTTTCGCAATCTGTGACGGAGCGCGGGCACTGTCCAAGCTTGAGTTCTCATCACCCGTCAGGGTCAACCCCAAACTTCGGTTGTGCTTTGTTTTCACTGGGCAAGGAGCTCAGTGGCAAGCCATGGGAGAGGAATTACTCGCATATGAAGCGTTTCGGCAAAGTCTCGAAGACTCGGATGCCATTCTTCGCCAGATTGGATGTCAATTTTCTGTCTTCGGTATGTGTGTTGAGTGATAACCCATGAGCTAACGGCTGACGCCGAGCAGACAAACTGTACACGAATCCTAGCTTGCGAAAAGAGGGCAAAGAGGGCAAAGGACCGGATGTTGACCTTCCTGAGTTCTGCCAGCCTATTTGCACCGCCTTGCAAATTGCACTGGTAGAATTGTTGTTGCACTGGCAGGTCAACCCCTATGCCGTGATCGGACACTCTTCAGGCGAGGTCGCCGCGGCTTTTGCTGCTGGTCTCATAAGCAAGAGGTATGCGCTGGAGTTGGCCCTCTTCCGCGGCGTTGCTGTGGCAGCGACTATGCAGGCGAATAAACGCCAGGGTGGGATGATGGCTGTACGTCTTACTCCGGACACATGTGAGACCGTCTTGTCTAGGCATCTCGGCGACAGAAGAGACGCAATCCGGATTGCATGCTACAACAGCCCACAAAATCTTACTCTTTCTGGCGATATTGATGTCATTGAGAAGGTTCAGCCCTTACTGGAAGCTGAGGGAATCATGGCACGCAGGTTGGCCGTCGGGGTCGCCTATCACAATTCAGTGCACATGTCCGATGCAGCGAAACTGTACCAAACGTTCATACGAAATTCACATCCTGGGGACTTGGGCGAGGCCGTTCCGGTGTCTCCACGGTGCCTGTTCGTATCCAGCCTTCGTGGAACCCTGTTTGAACCTGGCTCAGATGCGTCTGAAGTTTCCTCCCACGCATATTGGATCGATAACCTTGTGTGTCCGGTGAGGTTTGCAGATGGAGTCCAAACGCTCGCAGCTTCTTTGGACGTGCCACATGCGATGTTGGACGCTCACTTTTTAGAAGTTGGTCCCCATTCCACGCTAAAGTCGGCGATCAAGGAGTCTCTACCCAAAGGCTGGAGTGTGGAAAAGTGTTACACCTCCATATTGTATAGGCAACAACCAGCTCTATCCACAGCATTGCCAGCAGCCGGACGACTGTTTTCACTAGGATATCCTATCGATCTGGAAAGAGTTAATTCTCCCTCCTCCAAGCTGGGGTTGCCGAAACAAGTTTTGACTGATCTCCCATCCTACCAATTCGACCGGTCACGGCCGTACTGGCTAGAAAGCCGGATCAGTAAGAACTACAGATTCCGCCGATTTCCGCACAACGATCTCCTTGGAACTCCAGTCTCCGACTGGAATCCTCTCGAAGCTCAATGGAATCATCGCATCACCTTACAGGATGCAGCATTTGTTAAAGACCACCAGGTGTCTGGAACCCCGGTTTACCCAGCGGCTGGTATGCTCATTATGGCTCTTGAGGCTGCGCAACAACTAGACCAGAACCAGAGAAGACCTAAAGGATATCGGTTCAAGGAAGTGAGATTCACCAAGAGCATTGTTGTGCCCAACGATAAACATGGAGTTGAAACGCAGTTTCGCCTACGCAAACAAGGGGATGAAGGAGGTCATAACGAGAGTGTGACCTGGTACGACTTTCGACTCCACGTATATGATCATGGAGCATGGGTGCTGTGTTGCCATGGGGCGGTCGCGGTCGAATACCGGAGCACAGTCTCGGCTAAACCCTCTAAGCTCACCCAAGAGGATGAGATGGATGCTGGCCCACGTCCCATTCACGTCCCACAAAAGGCGTTCTACGCACATCTCCAAGATGCAGGTCTTCAATACGGACCTTACTTTCAGGCCACCGATGACCTGCACTATGAACAAGGCACTCGGGGATCAGGAGTCGTGGATATGGACAAATGGACCAGTCTAAGTCAAGGAATCCCTTCTCCTTGCTTAGTACATCCTGCGTCATTGGACTGCATCTTCCAAATGGGATTTCTGGGAATTGCGCAAGGGGCTAGCAAACAGATTGACACGCTTGTTCCCACAGAAGTAAAGGAGCTCTGGATATCCGCCGAGAGGCATGAAGCTAGAGATTCAGATACGACCGTTAGGGTGTTTGCGGAGTCTATTCCCGATGGTAGACGAGGACACAGAGTTGATCTCACGGCACTTTACACAGACGACAACCGTCCATTCTTGGTCGGTGATATTACCTTGACGTCTATCGGGAGCGCTGCACCGTTGGCGAAGAGAACGGAGAATGCCGTCTCACTGTATCAAGTGCAGTGGAAACCCGATATTAATCTGCTCCCTCGAAACTTCTTCGCACATGCAAACAACCAACAACCGACAGCAAACGAAAATGTTCGTCTCACGGAATATGTCTGCTATATTGGAATCTCTGAGGTCCTTCAACAGATCGGACACGATGAGTCGATCATAGCGCAACTACCCCAGCATTTGCAAAAGCATCTACTGTGGATGCGGCATGAGGTTGAAAAGGTAAATGCTTCTGCCTCATGGCAATCCTTCCTTCAGGAACAGGAAAGGAGTTGTGTTTCTAGAGAATCCTTGTTCGAAAAGGTTCAGTCATTTGGACCCGAGGGGAGGCTGATAGTCAAGCTCGCCAAAGTTCTCGTGCCGATAATGAGAGGCAAAGAAGATCCTCTGCAGGTCTTATTCGAAGACAAGACACTCTCAGATTACTACCGCCTCGAAAACCCACCTCCAGAGGTTTTGGCGGGTATTCAGAAGTATGTGGAGTGCCTGGTACATCTGAATCCGCACATGAGAATCCTCGAAATCGGGGCTGGCACCGGAGGGATGACTAGAGGGGTTCTGAAAATCATTGGAGGTCAGCCTGAGCGCGAAGAACTCCCTCAGTTCACGGAGTACATGTTTACGGACGTTTCGCCCGCGTTCTTCGGCGCAGCGAAGAAGAACTTCGGGTTCGGCCGGGATGGGTTCAGGTGCAAAGTTCTAGACATTGAGAAGGATCCCGAACAACAAGGATTTGAGGTGGACTCCTACGATCTGATTATTGCTAGTAACGTAAGTTTAGAGTGCATCTGGCATCCTCCGTTTGCTGAATATTCTGCAGGTTCTTCACGCTACCCGCGACCTTTCCGTGACACTCAAAAATGCGAGGAAGATTCTGAAGTCCGGCGGTAAAATGATACTCGTAGAGGGCATCAGTAGTAACTTGATGCGTACTTCATTTATCTTCGGTCTCTTACATGGATGGTGGCTTTCGAGCGAAACATTCCGAGAATGGGGCCCGTTGGTCCCACTTTCGAGGTGGGAGTCGCTACTGCAACAAAGCCATTTCACCGGTGCCGATACTGTCATCGACGGAATCGATGAGGCATCGTGTTTGAGTAGTGCGATAGTCACCACTGCCTCACCGTTGCAGTTATGTAGCGAAGCTGTGCGTCAAGGCACCGGCCTGGTTGTTATCCGTTCAGAGGAATCCGCCTTGCAGATGGCTATCGCAACAAAGGTTGACGAAATCGCACGGCCGTTCGGTATTCGGGTCGAAAGTATTGATGCACATTCATGGAGGGATCCGGGCAGTGGTTTCTGCATATTTCTACAGACGATGGACCGATTCTCGTTCCCCGCAATGTCACAGAGAGAAGCTGCCGTGTTGAGGAACGTCTTCAAACCGGGACGAAGGTTGCTTTGGGTGACATCAATATCCGACTCTGGCCTACAAGACAATGAGCAAGACGCTGCCATCGGCCTGGCCCGATCAATCCGATCTGAGCTCGAGAGCATAGAGCTTGTTACGCTGGGCTTACAGCGAGTGAAGGAGGCGGATTGTGCCGCACGCAACATATGGTCGGTGCTTAAGCAGTATTTCGGAGTCACTTCAGATGCTCCTGCAACCATACAGAATGAGGAGATCGTCGAAGTGGACGGTGTCCTCTGTATCAGCCGATTGTTGCAGGCAAGGAAACTTCAAACCGAGGTCCAGTCAGTGAATCATCGGATGCAAAACGAACTCCAGCCTGAAATTCTGCCTCCGTCTAGCGGCCTAGACGTTGAAATCGACATTAGAGCTATTGGTCTCCACCCAAGCAGGGTCATACCCACACTATCCTCTTCCCTGCCCGCGACCCGCAGGAATATCTATGCTGGCTACATTAACAAGGTCGGAGATGACGCAAAGACTCTCTTCAAAATTGGGGACAAGGTGATAGCCATCTCAAGTCACAGCACGTTGAACTCTAAGGGTCATTTTCCAACGTACCAAACTCACCATCTTCCCGAGGGAATCGACTTTGAAGTTGCAGCTGCAGGCCTTGACTACTTAGCTGTAGCCTACGATGCACTTTGCAACTGGGCACACATCCAAAAAGACACCTCGGTGCTTGTACTTGTCGAACCAGGACAGGCCAAGGAAGCCATGATTCATCTAGCCTCCGTTATGGGTGCAAAGGTTTTCATCACTGCCGACCCACTAAGCTCGGACCGCTTCCCCTTTGCTCATCAGCTGAAGGATAATGAAGAAGTCTCGTACCAGATTAAGAAGTTGACCGGTGGCCGAGGCACTGATGTTGTCATTGGCAGTGACCAATCACTTGATACGTGCTGGGAATGTGTCGCGCCATATGGTCAAATCGTTCAGTTGATCAGTAGTGGATCCGAAATACGTCGAACCAAAGGCAGAAAGAACGTTGCATTCGTGACCCTGGATCCCACGGAGCTGTTCGGCAACCATGATCGAGCCGCAGCGACGCTTTCCAAGGTGTCACAACTGATATCAGAGAAAACGATACCAGCACAGTCATCAGTACTAGTTGTCTCTCCAGCGAAACTGAAGGGTGGTTCCGCGACGGAGATCCTTGAGCCATCAGTCAGCAGAGTGGTGTTGTCAATTACCCCAGGCGATAACATGGACGACCTGGTACCGTCCAGCACTATACAGTTCTCCCCCAATGCGACTTACGCTATAACAGGAGGTCTAGGTGGGTTGGGTAAGAGCATTGCTAAGTTTATGGTATCGCGTGGTGCAAGAAACCTTCTTCTACTTTCGCGGCAAGGGGGAGACGGTGAAACAGCCAAGCCATTTGTGGACGCACTGAGAGCATCTGGAGTCACTGTCTTCGCTCCGAAATGTGACATCGGAGACGAAAAGACCGTCAGCGAAGTCTTCCGAGAAGCTGAGAAGAACATGCCGCCAATCAAAGGTTGTATCCAGGGATCCATGGTACTCAGAGTACGTAGAGGCGATGAAACCCACAAGCGCAAGTTCACTGACGTATCCAGTCTGCCATGTTCCAAAATATGACCCTCGAACAATGGGTCGACACACTTAGACCAAAAGTCCAGGGCACCCTCAACGTCTACAAATATCTCCCAGAAGTGGACTTTCTGATTTGTCTGTCTTCGGTCTGCGGCATCATCGGCGCGAGCGGACAGTCCAATTACGCCTTCGGCTGCGCATATCAGGATGCCTTGGCGCGGAGCAGAGCGGGTTCGAGGAAGAATGTTATCTCAATCGACCTTGGAATCGTGGAGGATGTGGGATACACAGCCGAGCACAAGGACGCGGACAGATTCATGCGCTCTCTAGGCATGCAACCCATCCCGGAGAGCTATATCCATGCTCTACTAGCATACTACGGCCATCCATCCAACAAGGTTCTGGACAGGAGCGAGGCCCAGATCGTCGCCGGTATCATGAACCAGCAAGAAATGCAGCGCAAAGGCATTTCACGGCCCAAGTTTCTCGCTAGACCGTTATTCAGACACCTGCAACATGTTCCTCCTGCAGCGCCTAAAAACAAAACCCCGCAAACACAAAAAGTGGCATCAACGGAACCCACCGCGAAGTCGGAGCCTTTAAATGGCTCGGTGCGCAATGAACGGACCGTTATCAACGCAATTTGTCAGAGACTGTCAGACGTGCTGGAGCTGACCGTAGAGGATATTGATCCGGGAAAGCCTTTGCATGCTTTCGGTGTGGATTCCCTGGTAGCTATTGAGATTCGCACTTGGTTTGCGGAGGCGTTGCAGGCGGACGTTCCAGTGTTTGACATTTTGAGTAACATCAGTATTGAGGCTCTGGCTAGCAAGATCGTTGGGGAGACGAAGTGAGTTTTCAAAGTATCTACCTGAAGGAATGCGATGTTGCAGGGTACTCCCAGTTCTCAAAGTGTATGTACGGAACGGGATGCCTTGATCGATTCTATGATGGCATGATTTTCTCACACTCATTAGCCGTTCTGGGCTGTCCTTTGAGGAGAAAGAGATTCGCTCTTCAGATTCTCCCAACTGAGACTATCTCTATCTCGAAAGAAGGCAGCGGCGATATCCTCACACATGCATAATATAAGCCTTTTGGAAGTTGGATATTCCTGTGCAAGCCAGTAGGGCTTCGTGTTATCCAATAGACGGGGCATGGATGAATTCAGGCTGAAGCTACACCTTTAACCTCACGCATCTATTTCTCGACCTACCACTTCACGTGCCCTCTCCATCGCCACTCACACGCGCGTGAGAAAATCCACGAGGGTAGCTCTTTACCTGCTGCCTGAATGATGTAAGTTGGCGACACTGTCGTGCAACCCCACTACCATCGGCCGGAATTAGCGGTCCTCATATCTATCGAAAATTTTAACAATCAGTGGTAACCGTCTACTAGAATCATCTCCACAATCTTGAATTCATTTGGACCGTGTGTGTCTTCTTCGTCAGAGCCGATTCGCCCCGCCACTCATGTGTCGCAGACATTGAGTGCCATCAATACCGAGATCGTCGGCCCATCCCACCGACCGCGATCTTTCTCCCTGCCAACGTGGTATTTCTGTACGCAGTCAACAATTGAACATTTCCCAAGGCAAGTGCTCTCGATGCAGCTGCGTACAGCGGTCTCAGCAGGTTATTCTCTGCGGCGATAAGTTGCCTGCTTCGAAGAGGGAGGATTCTCAAACCACCAAGGGTGCTGATTGGCTTGTATTTCTCTCGAAATGAATGCAATTATCGGAATAAACACTTTGAGTGCCGGCCACGAGGTTCGGTATATGCCATGCACCCCACAATGCCGAGTTAATCTACGGGCTGATCGGAGTGTTCACTGCCTCGAGGAGGTATATCAACCTCTGACTTACACGCCCGAATGCCTCCCTTGCTGGCAAGTTCCCTCATCAACAGTCTCACCACCACTGTTCGCCTGACAACTTCATCATGCGTGACGCTCTTCTTCTCGCTGCGCTTTCTGCGCAATCGGCCGTGGCACAAAACATGCTTCGGTTTGCTTGTTCACAGCTCACCATCGAGCGTGCGGATCCTCTGGTCAACCCCGGATTGGCTCCGTCCCCCCATACTCATCAGATTATCGGAGGAAACTCCTTCAATCTCACGGTGCGCTTTATCCTCTAACACCGCAAATATGTAGCTAACGTTTCCACAGATGGAGCCAGGTGTCTATGACCTAGCTGCTCGCTCTACCTGCACCACCTGCACGTACTCTGAGGACTTCAGCAACTACTGGACCGCCTCCTTGTACTTCAGGTCGCCTGAGAACGGCACATTTCAGCGCGTTCCCCAATTTGCAAACGTCGGCCTCCAGCAAGACGGGGGCATGACAGTGTACTACATGCCCTACAGCGCCGTCAACGGGAAGATGACCGCCTTCAAACCTGGTTTCCGAATGCTCGCAGGAGACCCCATGTCCAAGAAGAACAACAGAGCTTCCATCTGCCATCGCTGTCTTGGCAACGGGGAGGGCTTCGCACCATGCGATAGCAAAGACACTGGCGAGCTGCCGACCAAGTACTGCCCCAAGGGAATCCGCGCCACTATCATCTTCCCCTCGTGCTGGGATGGGAAGAATCTTGATTCCCCGGACCACAAGAGCCATGTTGCATACTCCAACGGCGGAGGTCTTGGAAGCCCCAAGTGCCCCAGTTCTCATCCCGTCCCGATTCCGCAGGTAATGTATGAAATAATGTGGGACACGGGAAAATATAAAAACGATGCCTGGTATAAGAATGGCAAACAACCTTTTGTTTACAGTTTTGGTGACAAGTAAGTGGCCGCCGAGCACCATGGCCTGCACACGATACCGAAACTGACACGTTTTCCAGTGTTGGATACGGCCAGCACGGTGATTATCTGTTCGGATGGAAGGATGACTCCTTACAGAGGGCTATGGACGCGCTTCCATCTGGCAAGTGCGCTAATGCCAATTGCAGCGTCCTCAAGATACAATCTGCGAAGGACGCTATGGCTTGCAAGAAGAAGCAAATGGTGAAGGAAGATGTTGGACAGGATGGCGCGTGGCTTAAAGAGCTTCCCGGCGGTGTTAAAGTCATGTATGACTGAGCGTATCTAGTCGTCTCCCTGTATTAGCGGTATGGATGTGTTTGTAGCTGGAGCTTTTGGTAGACGTTCATCCCTTCATGCCCCAATCAATGTGTTTCTCCTGAACTATTTGCTCAATCATTAAGCTCACGTGGCCCACCATGTGATGTCCGAACTCCACTCCGATGATTATTGTTTGCCTTGCGGTTTCCTACTCGAAGGTTAACTTGAGGCTCAATATTGTCTCGATCAGCGATGAAGTTGCGGAACGATCGCGCCGTAGGTTCCAAATAGATGGTCCAAACAAGCTTCCGCAGCATTTGCCGAGCCCCACAAGTTCGTCCGGAGAGCTCTCAGCCACTGCTAACGGGATTTCTCTCCCTGTGGTTTCATTGGCTGCTCACTAGATTGCTCTTTCATTTATATTGCCGTTGCAGTCCGTCAGTGGCAGGCACTTCTCACTCGAGGAGCAGTGATCAGCAATGAGTCGCCATACTGGTAGCTAAGAATGATGGCCAGTCCGAAGATTGAGAACGCCCGACGCCTGGAAGGTTCAGAAGACGCAGCAACCAATGTCAAAGTCATTTCATGGCAAATAACGGTGAGCGGTGGACAACGGTTCCTAACGCTAGGAGCCATAACTGTATACTCAACTATGCATTCCTGATTTTGTTGATGGATATGCATCCTCCATGACGAGGCACAAAATTACCTCGGATCACCAGTCGACGAGATCCTGAGATGGCCTTGAAGGGGGATTATCCCTGGACTCACTAAACAGAAATGGCCTGAGAGGTTAGCGATAGCGCGTGGAGAGATAATATGGTGACCAAATCGTAGGAGATCTTTGATGCCGCAAGATTGTGGTGTACACAGTAGAAACCATGGTACTTGGATGCCTCTCGAAGCCCCAACTCTTCACATCGCAGGCTCGTATCTTTCTAAATATTTTGTAAATTGTTGAGCATTATGATTGCGGAGCACTTCAGGTTTGCTGACTTGAGAGAGTTGCTGTTCCTTGAGCCTTTATATCAACGAACTGCTTTGCCGTTCCTTCGTGCATGACGCAGTTTGCAAGTGCAGTGAGGAAGGTCACTTGAAACCCCTACGCTAGCGGTTGGCTGTTCCAGATCGCGAAACTTCCATCGAATATCTAGACGAAGAACCCTCTAAAGTCGTCGAAGACTCCATCGCTCTGCTCGTCGGCTCTTTCCTATCGATGCTTCTCTCACTACTAGGCACTCACATGTTGCTCAGTCTCCCCTTCCTTTTCTCGGGCGCCTGTAATCCAAAACTCGGACTTAGAGCCTAGGGCAGGTTTCATGGGTTGGGAGAAGACCACAACGATGTGAAACTCGCAAACTGCAATTACTAGCCGGAGTAAACGTCATTGTGCTGACTCCCGGACGATGCTTATTGAGACGGGAACGTGCAGAACAAGAGACTGCTCTGTGGTAGGGCCTCAAGGGAGTAGTATTCCATCTATACACAGTACGTATGGGGAGGTCCCATCCCCAAGCTGAGCTCTCTCAGATACGGACGCTGATGGGTAACCGGTCACCTAAGGAGTTTAAAACGAGGACATAACTAGTTGGGGATATGATGCTGTAAGGCAGGATTCATGGATGAGCCCCTTCATGGAGTTACTAATTACCCATTTACGCACTAGCGCGAAAGAGATGGCGCACGGTCCTCTTTGACTGGACCTATGGCGAACGCCAGCGAGAATTGTCATGATAGACTACTTCATTCTTATTCCATCATATCTACTGCTCGAGATGCAGACCAAGTCTTTCGTTGAGGTTGACATCCATATGTGATAAGCGCGTTTGCGTACAGCCCATCTTGCCGGCCAGACTGCCACTCTAGCGGAGCAGCAATGCGGGCAATTAAGGGGCCAGTGGCAACTGTTGCAGCTATTGCAGCTATTGCAATACTCCTCTTCTGCAGCTTGAACTGGAGGCATGGAACTTCTGATACCGATTGGAAAGCAGACTTTGCAGTCGAGAGCCAAGAGGATATAAAGAAACCGTCTTCAGGGGGTTACCCATATATTAAACCCGATCCGCTACCCTGGAAAGCACCGACTCCTAAATCATCGAACTCGTCAACCGTAGATACAGCCTCACCTGCGGATCGAGTGATCGTCTTAGCAACTCTGGAACACGACGACAACTCTCAAGTCCATGCACAATTTCCAGGATGGCAACTATCTTTCCAGATCTTGGGCCGCGACTTCGCCAAACTGCACGCTGGCGCAGACAGGACCGACAAAGGCCGCATCGCGAATGCATATCTTACTTTTATCATTGAGAATTACCACAACCTGCCGGAGACAATGGTTTTTCTAAATTCCTACCCCTCGAACACGCAGAATTCAGCCAACCTAAACAAAGTTGATGCCGTCCGAAATCTGAAAACAGACTATATCCAGAAAGCGGGTTATGCGAATCTGCGCTGCATGACGAAAGCCGGCTGTACGAATCACTTCCTACCAACACGGAATCCGCCGGACGAGTTTCGCACGCTGGAGGTGGCTATGGCGAATGTTTGGAACGAGTTGTTTCGGAACGATAACCTCCCGGAGAAGTTAGCGACGCCTTGTTGTGCTGAATTCGCAGTGAGCAGGGAGCAAGTGCAAAAGAAAGGTGTTGCAGAGTACCTTAGATACTGGGAATGGCTGAATAAGACCAAGATGGATGACGACACCGCGGGGTTGGTGTTTGAGTATATTTGGCATATCATTTTCGGTCGGGAGGCTGAATATTGCTTGGAACTAGAAAAGTGCGAATGTGATCTCTACGGGAGGTGTTAATCATCCTTTGGTCAAAGGTGTTTCCGGTTTGGGCTCTCACAGGATTTGCCACCTTACGTCTAGGATATCCGACAACTTGTGAAGATACGATTATATATATCCAAATTCGCACGTAATTTTGGTTGGAGTTTGCTGTATATTGGGTCAGGCAGCTCAACATAGTGGTGCTACACTCGACGTTTAGAACAGGAATCTTGTTATGCTCTCCGCTACCAGGGAGACAACTCCGCCTAATACGGGTTGAATAATTAGAAAAAAGAGAAAGGAAAGAAAGCCTGATTATGTGTGCAACTTGGGCGCTTTTCTGGATCCCGGAGCCAATATATCCGCTGAATTTTTGGACCAGGTCTAATGCTCAATAACATAGACTCTCTAGCCGCCAGCAAAGGTCCATGTTCCACAGCATGTAGGGTATATTATACCGGGCTTCCTCCCTTCAAACCCCCTCCCTTTGTGTTCGTGCTCCTACTTGCTGTCTGTCGAGGTATCCCTTTTCAAAAGCAGCTTCATTGTTTGACCACCGAAAACTGCAGTTTCCCATGAGTGATCTACTTTGGTCCCGGGATTCCCCATAGCACAGGTAACACCTTCCCCGGAAATATTGATTTCTTTATAATCGGCGAGTAAATCTGCGAAATTTTGACGCATGGAACAGACCTCATCAGAATCCCAACCCATATCCCATACGGGGTCGTCCGGTGAAACGCATAAAATACCTGCCGGCGAACCTTCGGTGTTCGCCAAGTCATTGATGAGTGTAAAGACCGGAATGTCCATGTCGTAGTAGATGATAAACGAGTTCCGACCGAAGTGCTGGACGAATTCGAGTTCAGTGCTCCTCTGGATTTGAACTGCATAGAACGCATTGTGACAGCGAGGCATCGCGAGCGCAAGAGCGCGTTGCATCGAATTCTCACATAGTCTGCAGTATTCCGAACCGATCACGTGTACCTACGGGAGGCGACTCTGTGTGTTTCTAGAGAGCCCTGCACCTTGGCGTCCCACTTCTGCACTAAGATCACCAGAGATAGCGGCCACGACCGTTCCGAGGACGTGATTGTGGAAAACCTGGCTGATTTCAGGAAGAAAACCTCCGTTTCGATCGGTATCATGACATCCAAAACCGCGAACAAAGCAAAATACGTGCTTAACCCCGCTAATAACGTGTTCGTTTTTCTTTAGGATAGCCTCTAGATTGATTTTGAATCTGGTGGAAGTCCATATCGCTGGCCAGTCTTTGGCTAAGCCCTTGTCGATGTTGGCTGCGACGCAAGGCTCCGGTCGGCCTCGCGTGAATTCCATAAGATAAGGGCTTGATTCTAGCAGATGCGGGGTGCAGCGAAGTCGAGCCGTTGGCTCATCCATATGGTCTTCAACTTCTCTCCAAGTGACTGTCCAAGTGACCTCTCCTTCACCCTGTTGGTCAGCTTAGGTTCCTTTACTTCAACAATTTCCTTTTCGGCATGTGCCTTGTTCATGACATCGTAACGGCGTAGAAATCGATAGATAGCCAAGTATTCTTCCTTGTGGTATATGTATCCTGCATACCTCTTGTACCTTATTTCATTGCGAACATGATTTCTCCGGCACGTGTTTTTCAGCTTCTCCAGCATTTTATTTGTTTGTTCCCTCTGCTGATGACACACTCTTGATCCTCTTTAAACTTCGTTTCGTGGACTTAGAGAGCGGGATGACTCCGTGATGTTCAATAGGTTCAATATAGCTTTTTCGATTGTTCTGATGCCAGTGATGTAGAGATAAAGGAAGAAGATATTGTTCTTATATAGTTTGCTAAATAAACAGTCATTGGTGTCACTCCTATGACTGTGCGGACATACAGCGTTCGAATGAGCTGAGTGACTCGCAATGACAGGATTATAGTCATGTTCAAATTCGTATCGACTCACATTCCCTGAATGGCGTGTCCACGGAGACCCAGTGCGTATGGGCGGATTGAATGAAGTAAGACGCAGTTGTTCACTGTCAGTGCTATCGGAAATATTTCTAAAAAGCGTCTCTGGAATACGTCATCAATCGCGTCCTGGTGGGTGATTTAAAGGATATGTCAACGTCCCAGGTGTTCTCTCCAAACTAGGCTCCAAGCAAACGGCCATTCAACTCTGTACGCAGAGCTATGCGGACGGCTATCGCGTCGTAGAATGTGCCATCTATCCCAAAGTAGCCGGCCTCACTTTGGTGATTTGTGCGCCGCTGTTCGGCGACGATTTTATTACATCTTTCTCAATAGCTCAATAGAATGGAAAAACCTGATTGTTTCTCCATTATCTGAGACTTTAAAAACGTGGCACAATATCGCGTGCCTGCCTGTCTCATCTGCGACATCGGAGCACGCGGCGACGATTCCGAGCAGTGAAAGACCACCCCACAAAGTGTGAAGCTCTGATACTGAAGCTCCGATACTCTCTCTCCAATTTCCGCCATTTATTCGATTACTCCACGCAATATCAAATTTTTCGTCGCCTCCAACTCTCCAAACAAACCTTACAAACCAACCCCAACCTCTGAATCCGCCATCCTGCGACCCGTCCTCCGACCCATCCACCTCGTCCCCGCCCAAGAACCACGATGATGCTCTCCATCATGGCCACGAGCCGAGACTACAACAACCGCGTCATGGCCTGGCTAGCCGACATGTACGAGCGGCCCAACGTCTGCCGCCACCGGTTCTGCGAGCGTCGGATCCCGACCGTGACCCAAGTGTACAGAACCTTGGAGTACTGCGACAAGCGTGGGCTTTTTATAACAAGTATATCTTTGCATGAGGGAGACTGTGCTGATGGGAATAGATTCGTGCCATGTCTGCCATGAGGCGCGCGCGGTCGTGCGGTTCCCAAATGAACAAATCTTCTGCATCAACTGTGAGTGTTTGTCGCGTTGATTGTACGCCTGTGAATAAGTGATTGCTGATTAAGGGCTAGGCAATCCTAATACCGACGAGATGTACCCTCTTTCTTGGGGACATTGGTGACAACCGTGGCGGGGGTTACGGTGGGGCTTTGTATGCTTTTCCTACCTGTGTGTGAAGCGGGCACTCGACTTTCTTGGGTGATGTATAATCAGTCCGTATCTTTCTACGGCCGAAATTTCTCAGTCGGTCAAATATGCATGGAATACGGAGTATGGGTTTGCGGTTGCCTAACTCATGGCGTCGCATCAGTGATTATGTTTTCAAGTGTAATGTTTCTATGCTATGGGTGTGCGGTGTTGAGCTATCCAATACATCACCGATCCTTGGACAAGTGGACGGCCATCATCGCTGCATAATTGATCTAAACACTGTACGCCGCTTGCTCAACCCAGAAAACTCCAGCGGCGTGTACCAGGATTCATGGCCGATTCCATGCCTCCGAAACAAAGATTCACCAGGAAGAAGTACAGGAAATAGGACAAGATAAGCCAGATTAGTTCTTCAAAGCCACCCTAAGATAAAGCGGCTGCACAAACGACCCTTCACCCTACCTGGCCAACACTCATTACCATCGCCGCATGGACCGGTGCTGCCATCAGTCTTCATACTTCCATGAGCCCACAGGAACTTCTCAGGTTCTAGAAGCGTTCGCATGGGATGGGTGGGCAACGGAACTCCCATTCATCGTCAGCATCATTGATATTGCCTGACAGGTATTGACCGAGATATGCATCTGGCTCTGCAGTTTCTCCTCTCTGTCCGAGGGTGTCGTACGGTTGAAGCAGTTCCAAGGGTTTCGCGATGAACATCCATTCATTGTCATCATCATGCGTGTCAGGTCTGTAATAGTGACCAGGACATGCAGCTTGATCCGGAATCAAGTCAGTCTGTTCGGAATTATCGAACGGTTGAGGCAATTCCACGGGGCTGGCAATGAACAACCATTCATTGTGATTATTATGCATGTCACTCCCGAAGTAGTAACCTTGATATGCAGCTTGGTGCGGAGTCGATTCAGTCGGTTCGACATTGCCGCACGTTTGGGACAATTCCACGGGAGTGGCAATGAACAACCATTCATCGTCATTCATGCCACTCGTTCGATAGTGACCGACATACTCAGCCGGAGTCGGTCCAGACGGGGAGCCTTGGAAAGCCCTCTCCTGCTCAGAAGGGCTATCATACGCTTCTGGCACTGCTGGCGAGTCCGGTTCTTGGAACGGGTCTCCGGCAAACACCCAACCGTCGGCGTTCACATTGCCAGCCTCAGGGTGCAGATTGTACGCCATTGCCCATATAAACTGCGTGGCGTACGACACAGTCGTAGCGTACCCCGGACCATAGCGGCTGCATTGCCCGCCCAGCTCTTCGACGAGATCGCCTCGGACCCGTCGATTAGGTTTGCCGTGCTGAGCATACAGCGCAAGCGTAGGCTTGCCATTGCGAACTTCCTTCTTGATGTAGACCAATATCTGGTAGTCCTCACAGTACCAAAGTGCGTGTGACTCCTCCCAGATGAAGACTTTGAATTCATCATGGTCATCCCTTCGCTCCATAACCGCCCATTTTCCGGGGTGATAGAGATGGATGAAGATGTTCTCCACTCCGGCCGCGGCCCAGACATACGCGTGATCCTCGTCAACACCATCGTTCAAGGCCGCATCGAGGGTGTATCCGGGCTTTGAAGCGGGTGATCCCCGACGCGGTCCGGGAAGACGTCCGTAATGAGGAATGGGATTGTCGAGAGGGACGATATCGACGTTCAAGTCGTCAGCCAGTGCCCGGAGAAAGGCAACTTCTCCCTGAATCTTCGCCATATCAGCCTTTGTTGTACCTAATACCCGAGCCTGAACCTGGAAGGCGGCGATCAGGTTATTGTGGTTGGCGAGGAGTTCATCGTAGATGTGTTGTGGAACCATGGGGCTTTCCCGCAACTGTTGATCGAGCTTATGAAGGTTCATCGACAATGTGCGCTCATTCTCGAGAGACTGTTTCAACACCGTGATCTGCAACTCGAGTTGACCGACTTTCTCTTCTGCAGCAACTTTCGCTTGGATCAGCTCCCCGCGCAATCCGTCGAGCAGAGCTCGGAGGTACTCTATATGCTGCTCTTGGAGTGCAATAGTCGTAGACTCTCTTCTTTGTAAACCAGTTCGTTCAGCTTCTCCTCGAGCTCATCCTTGGCTACCTGAAGCTCATATTCGGTCGTGCTGAGCTTGGCTTTCAAGAAGGTATTCTCAGTTGCGGACTTGTTCATCAGCGATTGCCAGAGTTCCTTCTTGGAGTCCATGAAGAGGATAGGTTCGTCGTCAGAGAACGTGTAGGCCTGGAGCCATTCGACGAACGCAGCCGATGCATCTGGGATTGTGGGGATGGGAGGCGACGTCACCTGCCACGAGATATTGGAGGCGAATGTAGAACTGGAGTTGGAGTTTGAGGGAGATTTGAGGTAGGCTCGGAGATTAGAACCTATGTTCATAGTCAAGGATAATATTGTAGATATGCAAGGTCGCACTGAGTAGCAGTCAGGTTGTCCTTCCCGAGAGGTTGCGGTTGCATATGGAGAAAGGTTGTGACAAAACAAAAGCATGAACATATATACAGCACAATAAGCCATACGTGAGGCCCGTGCGCGATAATCTGGCGAGGCAGGAGCTCGTTGCTATGGAGGCGGTGGTTGGGGACGGCAGTGAAAGTTTGGGGACAACAGTTCATCTCTTCGGTGCGATATCGGTTCGAAAGTAGCGATGTTCGCCTCCACCCGACGCTCATAGTCGTGCATAATATTACAAAACAGCTGTAGGGCTACGATTTAGGGAAGGAGAAGTGGTTGAAGTGGTCGAGAAATGTCACGTTCGGTGACATTCACCGCCGACGACCTTTTCGAGTGATACCAAATGGGCGACGAACTCTAGATTTGGCTCCCTGCATCGGTGTTTGGAAAATTGGGCTCCTAACTTTGAGCTTGAACATGACAGCGGAGTTCTTATCTACAAATGTCAAGCATGCAAACTTGGTGTTTTCCTATATTCTCGAGACCATTCCACCCGTAACGAGAACTACCAAACGCGAGTTTGACACTTCCAGGTTTTGATCACATGGCCGAGCGCATAACGCTTTGATTCTGGTAAGCACCAAACATCACTGGTCTATCGCCTTTCTCATCAGCATTGTTTCTTATATACAAACTTTCCCGGCCACGGTCTATCCCCAGCCTGTGAACGCAGAAACCTCCCTCGAATGCAGCATCATCCAGTTCCCATCTCTTTTGCACGTGCATCCACACCATCCCCCGTCCTCTTCTCCATCACACTCCTCCTCTGCTTCTCCCTCTCCTCATATCCAACATTAATATTAAAATGCTTCTTCCTAATCCCCTCATACCACTCCCCCGCCGTCACACCCCTGATAGGCTTCTCAAACGCACCCGTAATATCCGTCGTCAAGACATCAGTATCCACAACGACATCCTCACAAGCCCGCAGCACAGACACAATGGAGAACCGGTACTGAGGTGGTGCATCCGGCCCCGACGCTGGCGGATAACTCACGACGCGGTGGCCACCGCCACGGAACCGTTTGTTGGACAGAGCCTCCAATTGTCTTCCAACCAGCAGAGCCGCGTTCCGCACCTCGACCTTGCCGTCATGCCTCCTCTGATTTCCAAACTCTTCTCTCTCCACCGGGTAGAAGCTGAAGCCATCCCATACTTCAAGTCCAGGCACATCGCCGACAACACAGCTCAGCAATCCCAGATCCGCATGGGGCTCCGCAACAATCTTGAAATCCGTTGTAGCGCCCTCGTACCGGAATAGCCGCAGCATAGTCGCGCTTCTATCTTGCTCTTCGATTCCCATCTGTTTACAACGTCCAATATACCTCCTTAAACCATGATCGGCGCCTTCATCACGTACTCCTATCCTAGTCCCGAGCCTACCCAAGCAACCATCCAGATAATCGCCCATGAGATTCCAATACCGTTGCGCGGCCTCTTTCAACACATCCGGAGTCCCAGCCAACGTGCGCAAAGTGATGAACTCTTTTTCGCCAGGGATACACGACCAACCTTCCTCGGATCCGAGCTGTTTGTTCACCCATTTCTGCTTCTCCGATTCAGGTAGGGAAAAGAAGATTTGACTGGCAGCAAAGAGATCCTGAGCGGCGGTCTGGAGAGGATGGGCACCTGGTGCAGGAGGCGGCGCGTGCTGCGGTTCAAATACATTGAGGAGATTGTGTGAAGACTGTGGTACTGATTCGGAAGCGTTGGGGAATGTGATCACGCTCCAGCCAAGGTCGTCCAGCACGGCTTGATGATGTGGTAGTATCAGCGGGAGGGGTGAGGGGATCAGGGGCGGCCGCTTATCCTGCGTGCCGGGATTGACCTCTCCCTTACTCCGCTTTGAGCGCCATCTGGATAGGAATTTGGACACAGAAGAGGATGATGCGCGGTTTGGTTTTGCAGTTGAGGGAGCTGGTGCAGACGCGGGAGATGGAGCCGTCGTGATAGCCATATCTTCTGAAGTGCGATATTCCAAAATAGACAGGGAGTTCCTCGAAAGGATATCCTACCTATTAATACTGGAAATAAATGATATTATACGGGGTCGAGCCTGGTAATCGGCGTTGATGTGTTTAAGTTGAGCGTGGGTTGAAGGACACTTCAAATGATGACGTCACGTGCGGCGCTGCGCCACAACACCTGCACAGCCTTCCTTGCGGTGGGTGAGTTCTGCCTTGTGACACTGCCCGTGTACAGCTTTCGTTTAATTGTAGTCATCCCATATGGCGCTAATAGTCAGTGAATCGAAGGCCACGTTCCGGACTGAACCGCTTTGGAACGTTTCGCTCATGTCGCCTTAACCTCCTCTACCCATCTCGGGGTTTCGCTTTTCTTTGCCCTCCATATCGCGCTCTCCTTTGATAAAAGCCACTCAGGCAGGAAAGCCTTAACCCTCATCGGCAATGCACTGTCATCTTTCGCCGGCGATCCCTCTTCTTGAGGCGGCGTCTGAACTGCGAACTCCACGCCTGGCTTGTACGAGCCACCTTCCGCTGAGACCCGCATGGGCGTCATCATTTCCAGTCGACATAGCGCAAGTCCTACATTCCCTATGCTCGCCAAGAGCTTGCCCGCCGATCTCCCCTTCTTGATGCTCCCAGTTTCGTCTAGTTGCTTGATATCTAAAGGTTCGGTAACCTGGAAGCGCTGATCAGCCCTCCAAAGGGCATCAAACCGCGGCCCATTTTGTGTGTCAGAAGGCTGTCCATCTGCAGCAGTATACAATTGAACGGGTAGTATGCGCTTTCTGACCACACCTTGGTGCTTTGTGCGTATGGTCAACTCTTGGCCAAGGTAGCAGCCCTTGCGGAAATCGATGCCACCAGCAAGGTCGACATTGCATTCCATGGGCAAGGCACTCTCTCGCTGAATCTCCGCCGGTCCCTCTGCAATGCCCAACATATATCGTCTTAGTCGATATTGGTCCATGTTTAGGAGCGGCACGCCATCGATCTCGGGCGGTGCGTTCCCACACATGAGGAACCTCACTCCGAAATAGTCCTGCCCAGGCATGTTCCCGGCTCGCAGATCGCGAGCAATATATGCAATGGAATCACCGATCCGAGTGAGTTCTTCCGTGAGATCTTGCGCATTTCCCCAGCCCGCCCATACTGTCATCGCATCCGCGGAATCCTCCTCCAACAGTCGAATTGTAACCTTCGATCGGACTTTGTACTTCTTCAAGGTTCGCATCAACGCCTGTGCCTCCCCAGCGTCGACTTCGATCAAGCATCCCCATTCGGCATTATTCTCTGCAGTCGTCGGGTAGATGAACACGTCCCACAACATCCTGCCTCTTGCATCGAGGAACGCAGAGTAAAAGGGTGTCGAGCTCGCCGGATTGACATTATTGGTTATAAGACCTTGCAAGAACTTGGCTGCATCGGGTCCTGCGACGGAGACGAGGCGGCGGTTATCTAGTCGTACAATGCCACACTCGGCTGGTTTGAGCTGGGATGCTGTGGCTGTCGCGTTCTTGCGTACTTGTTGGGAACAAGGTGGCTGCGTTGGCGGCGAATGAAAGCTGGGTAATGGATATATTTGGCGAGCGACCGGTCTTCGAGGGTCCAAGGAGATGGGGTAGGGAGTTCTTGACGTGGCGAGCTGCCTGCTTCCGCAACCCATCCCTGCGTGAGGTCTCCGTGCCGAACGGGTAGGTATGGGTCGAAATGTCCTCCAGACAGTCTTTTCAGCGCCGAAATTCGGTCGCAACAGATTCGGCCGCGGTGACATGGCGTCTGATTGTGAGTATGGAAGAGATCCGTACACTGGAGAAAGTTGAAGCTGTGAAGCCGCGCAACGAGTGACGTCTGATTAGGTGCAGCTAAGCTTTTGCGGGAGTCTTGGCAATCGTTTTCCTGCATCTGTGTACGAACTAGGCGCCCCGGAAATGAGCGTTCAGTAGACACACATAGATAGACACGTCGGAAATACTGGAGTGGTCATTAGGGCGAGAGGAAGGCAGTTCAAGTCAGAAAAGTGGCCATCGAGTACGGCAGTGTTGAAGATACCAAAGAAGATAAATGTCTATCCGCAAAAGCTGACCAATTCTCAAGAACCGTAAAAGTACATGTTACCAAATCTGAACGCCAGTCACCCTATCCTTCGGTAATGGAAGTCCCTCCAGATGCTATGAATCATGCCACAATATGCGTATTCGCGCCCTGTAACCCTACGCCATGACACGTCCCTCGCGTCGCATCTAATCGTCCTTTCGTGAAGTCAATCTCGCGCGCTCATCGCTATTGGACGGTGACGCAGGCTCCACCTCGTCATCACTCCACTTATCATCCTCCCCCACTGCGAAGATAGTTTCGCCATCCATGGACTCCCGGGGGGGCACGACGGGTTTTTGTGCCCTAGGTGCTGGAAGGGGAGACGCATGACGGTCGAAGGAAGGGCCACTTGGACTCTTTGGGCGGGGAGCAGGATCATACGCCGGAGGATGATCCGATCGGCCTTGTTCCGAGTCCAATGAATCACGTAGTGACGCGATTTCGAACCCTTCGTCGTCTTGGGCGATCTAAGCAGATAGTTAGGGAGCGCACATGTCTTGGGAGGGTGAAGACTTACTTCATCGCTCATAGCGAATCGTCTGTTATTTGCAGTTGGCCGCCACATGTATGCCACAAAGCACACATCGGCAAGGTACACCAGATTCAGCCATCCGTCGAGAACGAACCATCGTGTCTGCCAGTGCGTCGGCGCAAACTCTGGGCTCGATGTGCCGGCGAAGGTGAAGCTGTTAATGAAGAAGAAACCGAAGATGACAATGATACTCGTCAAGATACACCACCACAGTTTCTTGTACATGTCGGCCTTGACATGCTGTTTGCGCTCCACCAGATCCTTCATTGTGAGATTGAGAGAGTTTAAGGTCCAGATGTAGAATGCTGTGAGGGTGGCAGACAGTGGGAGGATGACCAGGAGAACGAGTGGGCCTGCATCATCGGGCTTAACAGTGAGCGAGGCTATAGCGTAAATCACTCCAAAGACGAAATGCGCGACTGCAAGCCATCGCACAACCGTCATCGTCTTTCCGAGCGAGGGCTTAACAACTCCATACCCCATGCATACAATCAGGAGAAGGAAGAAGGAGAAGGAATTCCTAAAAGCGTTAAGCACCGCAACAATAATCATCAGCACTTTGGCTCCGACGTTGTTCCCGTGTCTGTTCTGGTAGTCATAGAAGCCCCAGGTCATGAGCATCTCCAAGACCAAGAACGCAATGATGGCTGTAATGTAGTTTTGTACCGCCAGGATATCGTGTCTGTGTTGGACATAGAGGAACCCCCAGAAGATGCCAATGACAGCATAGACTATCGTGATGCCGCCATAAAAAGGCAATTTCGCAATTTGGGCCGCCGGGAGCTCTCCGTATGCGTTCTGGAAGGTGACAACAGCTCTATACTTCAAGTCCTTTGTATACGGCTGCGTGGCGACGCAATAATATCCGGTCTTCAAAGGCATCCTCTTTTCTCCAGCCGACGCAAAAGGATAATTTATCAACTGCTTTTGGTTGAGGTGGATCGCGGATGTACGAATGTAGTTCTTCGAACGCGCCTCGGCGTCGTCTTGGAGGATCCACTCGCCTTTATGGGTGGCATTGCAGATATTTGCGTTGATGTTATCGTCGTTGCAGATATACTGGCGCTGTGGTATATGTGTCAGCTTCGGAACTAGGCAAGGAGTCGCACCACGCACATCTTCGATAGGGAGGTCGGCCGGTTTGCCCAGCAGGTCGAAATCTTTCCATTCCCAGATGACGACGGAGACTATGGGATCGTCGACCTTGGGCTTGTCTTCCTCCTTCTCCGGGTCGAGGAACTTGACCATGATGAAGGGCTCTATACTTCCGCCCCAGGCTTTCCTACTGTACATACCCGAGCACTTCTGCGCATCATCTTGCGTCTACATAGTATTAGTGGTGTCCTTGAAAGCTTCGGCTCATTCTTAACGTACCAAAATGACATCGACAGCGCTGACTGCAGCTATTGTTGACGCGAGGAGCACAGCAGCGCACCGCAGCCATGCGGGCTTCATGGTGCTGGGACAGCCAGCTGGCGGAGCTGCACTTCAGCAAATTGGGCCGTTTCAACGACGTTGGGTGCTTTGGTGACGATCGTGGCAATAACTCTGCGTGCGCGACTACGTATCCGAGAAGTGGACGGGGTGTTGTTCTGTGAGCTTCACGGCAACTAGACACGCCGTCGTCAGGCTTCTGCCGCGCGGAGGGAGCTCTCCACTGCGAAGCCGAGCCTGTTCCTAAATCGGACTAGCCTGTGGCGCAGGCTTCAATCAGTCATTCATCAATGTTTCCCTTTTCGTGATTTCGATTCCCACCACCCCTCCAAGCACTCCACCTCTCTATCAAACAAAATGCCTGGAAAGTACCTGGAAGGCCTTGAAGGCCAGGATTGCAGGCGCTGCAAAGAGAAAAAGGCGGATCTAGTTGTGCGCCGCGAACCGCTGTGTCAGTACGTACCTTCCAGCGCCACACCACGCATGTTCACCGATTTATTAACAGAATTCTAGGGAGTGCTTCATTAAATATGTTAACACGAAAGCCATTAAGAAGATGGAGTCATTTCGCGTGAGGCATTCTGCTCCCGATCAGCAGCGAAAGATTCTTCTTCCTCTGTCTTTGGGCGTCTCCTCCCTCTCTCTCCTACACATTCTTGACCGCCAACTCAGATCCCAGACCCATAAGAGCGGGCGTACAGGATTTGCGTTGGTTGTAGTATATGTTGACGAGTCGCAAATCAACGAGTCTGGCCCTTCTCGGGATCTGCTGGCGCAAGTTCGGGGGCGCTATCCCGATCACGAATACGCCACTGTTCTTCTACAAGATCTCTTCCGTCTCATTCCCGCCGATGATCCCCTCCTTCGGCTCCTCCCGGATCAGAATCTTGAAAATGAAAGGACCCCATTAGACCACCTTGTAGCACTCATGAACTCTCTGTCCTGGCCCACAGCCAGGGCGGATATCATTCCCATTCTTCGGACCAGGCTTCTCGTGGAACAGGCCAAGCAATCCGCCTGCGAAGCCGTCGTCTGGGGAGATACTACTACCAGGTTGGCGGAGAAAACGTTTTCGGAGACTGCCAAAGGTCGAGGCTTCTCACTTCCATGGCAAATATCGGACGGCGAGTCCCCTTTCGGAATCACCTTCAATTACCCCATGCGCGACCTGCTGAAGAAGGAACTCTTCGCCTATGCTGATTTCCTCGACCCGCCGTTGTCACCTCTCATTCATGACGCTGGGCCCAGCCCGTCGTCTATGAACTCGAAAACCACTACCATAGACGATGTCATGAAGCAATACTTCGAATCTGCTGAGAATTTTCCGAATTACATCGCCAACGTCGTCACAACTACCAGTAAATTGGAAGCCAAAGCGATTTCCCCTACCGATCCGCGCTGTGCCCTTTGCAGCATGCCTGTAGCTGATGGTCGTTTCGGTAATCATGGCTGGGGCGGATATCAGCAAGATGGTTCAGCGAACTCTTCGAGCAGCAATACACCAGGCCTGTGTTATGGCTGCACCCGAACTGTATCTGTGAAATCTCAGCAATCATGAGCGACTTATTGGAAACGGACAGATTGTGCTTGAGCAGCCAGGCGTTCAAAACGATTGGATCGCGGGATACCCGCCAGCGAACCCGTCCTAAAATTGCACGGCATTCCTGAGGACAATTCTCTATAGCCTCAGTTACTGGAGGCTAGCTAGGTCTTCTAGCCGTCATGCCAGTACCCGAGGCTGTGCCCGAGATCTCCGCTTCGAAACTGGGCTTGCAGAGGGGCCCTTCAGGGCCACTGTCCCGGAGTGAAGGGCATACACTATCCATCGCTCGGCCTAACGATGCATCTGCAGTAGTGGTCGAGCCCTGTTAAGGACTGGCAGTGGCTGCTAGAGGTCATGTCGCCTGGGCGGCACAGCAAGGTGTTGTCGCTCTCTAAGCGCCCGTCTCAGAAGCGCCTGTCTCAGACCCATGCACCACCGCCAACATCTCGTGCGTGCGCCGACACATGCTCCCATCTCTTAAGGACTCGAGCCCTGCCGCTTGAAAATGATTAATCTGCAGCGTATATTCCTCTTCGTCTCGTTTTGTTTGCTATGTTCTTTTGGTTTTCGTTCCTCCACATTCTGAGTTTTGTCTCCGCCCTTCCCGCACCTAGCGTATCAAACCAGACAGATTCCACCGTCGGATGGGTAGAAACGCCGCAAGTGCGAGGAACTTTCGATCTTATCTTAGCATGTTTGACCACTTTGGCTCTTTGTGCTTGGACGGCCTATCACCCAAACGTTCATGGATCGCGAAAGTTCTGGCAGCAGACAGCTCACCGACTCCTTTGGATGACCATAGCTGTCTTCATACCCGAGGTCGTGTTATATTGTGCTTCATCGCAGTGGTGGGAAGCCAGGAACCTGCGCAAAGATATTAACACGTTGGGCGACGCTGCATTCTACGAGGAAGGCAAGAGGGATGGTCAGTTCTTGAGTCGGGAAAGTTGCATTGCGTGCCGCAGAAACGGAGAGAACAATGCCACGTCTTCCGCCGCTTCTTCACAATATAACCTGACGACGCTGTTTCAAGAAGATGGAGGAAGCCAAAGATCTTCCAGCTTGGGGACTAGGGAGAAGCGGAAGCCTTGGACGATGGAACAGGCGTTCTTTGCTGTTTCCGGAGGTTATGCGGTGGATTCTTCATCTTTCAACCCGCATCCTCGCCTCACGTTTACGGTTCCAGGGATACGATTTCTTGCGCAGATCGGGTTACTTCCTGATGACCCTCCAGAAGTGGTTACCGACAAGTCAAAAGCGGACTACGCGGCTAAGATTCTTGTCTGTCTTCAAGCGGGCTGGTTCTTCGTTCAGTGTATCGCACGATTGGTCCAACGACTGCCCTTAACACTACTGGAAGTCCACGTATTGGCTCACGTTCTCTGCGCCTTTGCAATGTACCTGCTATGGATTCAGAAGCCGTATGATGTGGCAGCTCCCATCTTGTGCAAGAATGAGAAGATCTTGGACCTTGCAGCATTGTTTTCGCTCGCCCTGCCGGAAAAGGTACGTCCATGTTCTACACAATTTCGTGGCCCCTTACCAACAGTTTGATGAAAGGGTTCCGGTTTTACTCTTGACGCCTGTCCTTACAACTCTTTCATCACTCATGGACAAGTCCACAATGCCCACGCCGCATCAGAACCTTATGCTTCCCATCGTTATTATTTTCGAGGGCTCATTGATTTTGTTGGCAGTCCGGTGAAACATGAGGAGCCCCCTTCGCCGCCGTCAGTACCTCCCAATGAAATTGAATCGGCCCACTTGGAACGAGCGAATAGAGCTTTACGATATCTCAAATCGCGGGACATACATTTCGCGTATAGTGTCCAGCAACCAACCTACGACCCACAACCACACCCTCATGCTTACAGACTTGTTCATCCAACCCCTTTTGTTGTTTCGCAACGCAGCAATCTGCAGGTTGAGGGTGTCCCTGGCTTACAAATCTTGGGAGGAGAACCAGCCGCCACCCCTGAGGACGACGAGAGCTATGAGACTTTCTGCGGTGTGGCAGTAAAAACCGGAGCCGCGCTGAGTATGCTGTATGGCGCGCTTCACCTTGCGGCCTGGTCAGCTAAGTTTCCCACTATATACGAACAATGGGCGTGGAGAGCTAGCGGTCTAGTTTTTGCGGCCATGCCTGTGATAGGTATTCCCATGTCATATGTCACCGATATCAGCGTGAAGGCCTCTATGACGATAGATAGGATAAGATGGAAGGAAGAAGATGGTGAAGACCAAGTTGGAAATGAAAGGGAGGAGACATCGAGTACTCATACGGGGACTGCTTTTCGAAGGTTCCTGCTCTTATTCTCGTTGTATCTGGTCTGGATCGTTAGCAATATTCTTGGTTTCCTTGTCTCCTTGCCCGTATTTACCTGTTTTCTGGTGTATCCAATTGCGCGGGTGTATGTGCTCGCCGAGGCCTTTGCACAATTGAGGGCAGTGGATAGCAAAGTCTACCAGACGGTAGAATGGTCGGGCTTCGTGCCACATATAGGTTGAATGACGCTTGGTAGCAGGTACTAGCCAATTTTACGTCTGTGATGGGGAATCGTCTACAGAAGGCATGAGAGGCTCTGGAGAAGCTTGATTCAGGAGAAGAGACAATGCTAACCATGTTCTATTATGATATTTGGAAGAGGACGCTCTCGAACAGTACGCGCAGCGCTCAAAAGAGATTACGATGACACGGAGAGTTATCCTAATAGTAGACTTTGCAGATCAACGCTAATATGATTCTGTCAAGTTATCGTATCCGAGCCAACACCATCGAAGATCAAACAGAAGTCAAGGAATCAAAAGAAGGTGTGCCTCCGCCATTTACCGAGTATCTTTGTTCCGCGACAGCCCCATCTCCTCATCTCGCAACCTTTCCCTCCGTCCAGAAAATGCTTGTTCCGGCTGCTGTACGTTCCCAGAACTCTCGAAAGAAGTGTCATTTCTCCTTTCGTCCTCCTCGTCGGAGAAATCCTCATACACCGTTGCAGGCCTTGGCTTCTTCTTGATGCTTTTGAAGTATTCCTTATCCTTATCCACGAGTTCCTTCGGTTTGTATAGTTTATCAAGATGTTCCTCGAGGATCCTCACATTCTTCGCGTTGCATTTGAAGTTGGCATCCGCCAAGTCGCCCACGAATGGAATCAAACCGAATAGGAAATCGACCAGGACATTGAGCATCATGAGGGACAACATTTTTAACGTAAGGCCCCCTGTGCACTCCGACATCTTGTACACATGCCGAACAGCCAGTCCAAAGTCGAGTGCATCACCAGCCACCGGAACCAGTCCGATGACCGACGACCACCCGAAGCGGACACCGAAGAGGTTGAACAGGCAGTAGTCAAGGCGATAGGCTCGTTTGCGAGCACGGGCTAGGACTTCGGCATCGCGAGGAGGGATGTAGGCGGGGATTTGCTTCTTGACCTTCTTCGTCTTGTTGGGCTTTCTGGGATGCGGAATGGTATCATAATATGGGTCCTGGACGGGTCAGACTTGATAAACAGTTTCTTCTTTTCTAGAAGGGTCTTACATATTCGCCACCTGGCGCCTTGCTCTTGTACTTGCTCAGCTCGCCAGCAAGCATCTTCTTCGCAGCAATCTTGGCGACGAAATTCGCCATGACTGCGATTTGTATATCTTCTGTGGACCGAATAGGGGGTATTTCAAAATGTGTAGGACAGGTTTCTGGATGAGTTCAGAATTCGCACACTGTCCTTTTATGCCACTGAGTGTCAACAGAGTCCCACTAGTCGTTTGGGTGGAGCGGTCGTATGCAGCGTGCTGAGTGGGTCTGGTTGGCAGGCGGCTATCGTCCTCAGAGATTCTGAAACTCAGTAGGCGCGCGTCGCCAGCTATGTATAGAACGTGGTGTGAGTGATGCAATTGGCGTTTGACAAGCAAAAAGGAAATTTGAAGGAGCGACAGAAAGAAAAACGATAGGAAAAGATGTGAAGGCGATCTTATATTGGCTGGCAGTTTGCTGGTTGCCCTGATTTACCTGTCCTCCCATCAGACGTCATGAAGCATTCCGTAAGTGTGTGGCTGTGCGGAAAACGCCACAGATTGAACGCCACACACGCTCGGTTGTTCCGATTTCTTGGCGCATGCTCCGCCAACGTTCCCATTCACTTGTCTAGCCCAACCTCTCTCACACCTTGCCACTACAACTATCTAGATTGCTCGTCAGATAGCTATTCTTCCATCACTCTCTTTTGATCGCGGCTGTGCACCGCATATACACACTATCGCAGTCTCGGCCTTGCATCTGGTCCACAGCTGCAGCTCCAAACCTCTGCCCACCCAGACGCCTTCGCCGCAAGACGCCATCCACCCAACCGACCGAGCGTGAACCAGCGCGGATCATTCTTCGATATCGCTAGCCAAGGCTCTGGCCAACCTCTCCCTGTCAGGCGTTGCTCTCCTGCAGCGTTTCTGATTCCGCCGCGTGGACGCGCCACACTCTCTCGCCCCCGGCATGCTAGACACCGGCCAAACGTATCACCATGACAACGACAGTAGACAAACTAAGCCTAGATGACTGGCTGGACGACCTCAGCGTTCGCTTTCTCGTCAATCTAGCTCCAGAGGAATTGGAGAATGTCTCTCGCATCTGCTTCCAAGTAGAGGAAGCTCAATGGTTCTACGAGGACTTCATCCGCCCGCTTGACCCCACGTTGCCGCCGCTCAATTTGCGGAGTTTCACAATGGCGCTATTTCAACGCTGCCATTTGTTTTCTCATTATCCTCCAGAGCTGCACTTGGCGGCGTACGAAGACTTCATAAAATATAAGAAAAGGGTGCCCGTTCGGGGTGCTATCTTGCTCAATGAGGAAATGACAGAGGCGGTTTTGGTCAAAGGCTGGAAGAAAGGCTCTAGATGGAGCTTTCCAAGGGGGAAGATTAATAAAGAGGAGGGTGATCTGGCTTGCGCGGTTCGCGAGGTGTATGAGGAGACCGGATATGATCTGAATAGTGCGGGTCTGGTGCGTCCAGAGGAGGAAACGAAGAAGATTCAGATATCTATTAGGGATCAGGAAATCGCGCTCTTCGTTTTCCGTGGAGTTCCAAAGGACGCTCACTTTGAGGCGCGGACACGGAAGGAAATCTCGGTATGTCTCCTCTGCGTTTTCCACGCAGTGCATCGCTGACTCCAGTAGGACATCCGATGGTGGAAGATTTCCGACTTGCTGAAGAATAAGGCAAACAAGCGGACTCAGCAAATCAACGGGGAGGATCTCAATGGCAACAGTTGTTACATGGTGGCGCCTTTCATAGGTCCCCTCAAGAGCTGGATCAGGGAGCAACGTAAGCTAGATCAGACAAAGGGGAGAAACCGAGGAGCAGCACCATTACCGGCAACGGATACCGAAGACATTGATGCGGGCGACACAACGGCCGATGATGCCGCTCCTGCCGAACAGCAGGAGGATGGCAACTTCGCCAATCTGATTGCCAACCTAGGCCGAACTCATCAAACAAGCCATCCGCTGCCCGAAGTCTCTAATCAGCCTGCATTGGATCCAGCTGCGGAATTGAAGAGGCTGCTCAGTGTCGGCGATGACGAGCCATCGCGCACCCCTACTGTTGAGGCCCCGTCGTCCGCGCCAGTAAATGGACTCTCCGCATTGCTGTATCCTGGCAACCGTCCACCTCCTCCACTTCCCCGCACCCCGAATGATCAATTATTGACAAACGTAATGCCGCCTCCAAGTCCGCACCACCACATCCCTCATCCGCCAGCGAACTTGTCCCACCTCCCCCCGCCGCCGTCTTTTAACTATCCCCAGCATCCACCGCCTTCCTACGGCCCTCAACCGCCGCAGCTACCTCCACAACACGCAACAGCGTTGCCTATGGGGTCGTCACCGCATGTCCTCCCACATCCATATGGCCAGCATGCTCCAACTTTGCCGACCACGCACGACACCCAGCCCCACGTACGGAATGGCCATGATTACCAAGCCCTGCGATCCTATCAGCACGCTGGAGATATGATGGGTCCGCGGCAGCCTTCATTTTCGAACATTCATGGACCTGTCATTCCAACTGGTCCAAAGTTGCCTCCCCCAAAGCTTACGTCTCATACTGTTGGACTTTTGAATACGTTCAAAGGGTCGGGTACTGCTGCACCCCCTACTCAACAGACGCAGAGTCCGGTCGCCCGGAGCTCTCAGACGACGCCTCGAACGCGCCAGCCGCCGGTGGCTCAGCAACGGCCTGTGGAGACGTTCCCATCCCCACCAGTGCAAAGCGTAGGCCCTTATGGTTCGAGTCCCGCACCATTGCATTCGCTAGTCACAAACAGACCTCCTCTGCAGCCAACGCCTAGGAGCGCACATCACAACACTCTGCTAAGTCTGTTTCGATCACCCACTATGTCGGCGGCGACTCCGGAGCCTCCGTCGGATGCTGCGCCTGTCGAGCTCTCCGCGCATCCAGTCACCCCTGGTCAGACCACGTCACAGACAGTTGCTTCCCAACCTAGAGCACCCCCTCCTGATATGCAGGTTAACCCGGACTTACTTCATGCTTTCGGCGTCCCCTCCCGGAAGGCAGATTTGACGTCAGCTACTGTAACTGGGCCGGTGAATGTTCCTGACTTCGAAACCGTACGGAAGAATGCGCATGTTATGGACGGCCATTCTCGGGGGCCATCACCTGCTGATGCAACCCCTGTGGGGCAAAAGCCATTCGTACCGCAAATGATCCTTAAGAGGCCTAATTCAGGCAAGACACAGAGCCCTGTTGAAGTCAGTAGCTCAAGTAAAGGTGCAAGCCACACAACACCGTTGGACCTTACTACTTTGCAACAAAAAGCGTTCAAGCCGCAGATTCTGAAGCGCCCTCAGCCAGGTGCGGCTCCCTCACATGCGCCCAACTCTGAAACCCCATCCCATCCCTCACGTTCTCCACCACCCGATCTGCATCATCAATCGCCTCCTCCGCTTGGCAACAACGCCGGGTCGTATCCAGGCCCATCGGAATCTGTCTCGAAACTCTCTATTCCCTCCGGCTTCGATAGAAGGGAGTCGCAGTCGGCGGCGCAGAAGGATGCACTGTTGTCCCTGTTCTCCAAGCCTCCCCAACCGACAGCCGTTCCAACGCGGAACGCAAAATTGCCGGATTTGCAGAATGCGCCTTCTCAGCACTCGCAAAATCTTCTGAGTCTATTTGGAGCTTCGTCGCAGCCGAGAGGTCAGGTTCCGCCAAGTGAGGGTCCTCAGCCTCCTACGCCCAAGAGCATTGTCTCTGGAGTCATCAGCCCCGTTAGCCCTCTGCCAGATAAGGGCAGTCAGGTGAACAGCCCGGCGCCACCGACCTCTCGATCTAGGATATCATCTATTGGCGATACGATGCCTCCCAATATTGCCATTCCCAAAGGCATGCCGACGCCATTGGAGCCGTTAACAGCGGGGCAGACAAATGGAAGCGGACATATTGGTTTGGAGGTCGGGTTTTCAGCAAATAACGGCTTGGTAGCTTCGGATCACAAGAACGAGGGCAAGGGTACCACAAGCCCAGTCAATTCTTCCTTCTTGAGAGGTTTCCTGGAGGATGTGGCGAGGCGTGGTCGATAACTGTGTCGTGACTGACACAATTGTGTAGTGTATTTTCTGGCCATGGAATTCAACATATATGGAGTTACATTTCGGTGTGCGTGATCTTTTGATAAGATGCCTATGCGAGTGAGCTCGCGTGAGTTTCAGTCTCGGAGTGTCCCAAAAGCATGCCGAAGCAAGTGCGAGGAGCTGGAGTTCACCGTGTACGGAGTATGCCCAGGTGTAAAGCAGCTCTCACATGACACATGCCTGACGTCCTGCTTCTCGAAGAGAATCAGACATCGTGCTGGCTTCAGCAATTCCTTGCGGCGCATTGCAAGCTTAAAATAACTTTATCGCTTTGGCAATCTTCCATTCCATCCTTCTATACCACACGATATGCCTATCTAGCTGAGGAGATTTTGTCCCTCGTAACACTATCGATCAACCACGTTTGGCACCACGTTGGATCGTGTCACAGCGTCACACAACCTTAACAGGACCTTTTTTCGCAACTAATTTTGGTAACACGAGGTCACGTTCGGACGTTGCACAAGAACGTTGCTCCCAACATCGTCCTGTATGGCAACTCATCCCATCGTAGCAGCGCATGATTCAATACTTCACGAGTCTGCTGACGGTCGCAGCTCTCCTTATACTGGCTTTCTGCACGTCAGTTGCCTGACGTGGGGATACGAGAGCAGAAAGGGAAGCAAAAGAGGAGGCATTTATTTTTGGTATGACACTAAAGGTTGGGAGCGCCACCTGTGGCTTCACTTGGCCTGTATTGGAAAAGAGCGGGACGGTGGACGGTAATGGGCATCCCATGAACTAGTAGCGGGCATACCGCTTAATCGTCGCCTTTCCGTCGAGATACACAAGTCCCTATGTACCAAAGTCAATAAGTGTGCATAAAATATAGAGTCGGTCCCGTCTAACAGTGCCTAAATATTTGCACTTTTCTTATGAAACGGTGTGAATAAGGGTCAGAATTGAGTGATGTGTGGATGCTGAGATCAGCTCCACAATCGGTCTTAGGACTGCTGACACAGCATTTTCAGCGAATAACAGCGTCTCGCAGACTGTCTCAGGGGCTCGTAAGCACGCTACTTAAGATAAGGTAAAGCCGTTTAACGTTTGCCGAGCTGGACGGCAAAGACGGCAATGTCGACGTCGTGACAATGACAATGGCTTACCGCACACCTGCACATGTTTTAGTAACAAGCGACCAAATGCAGGATTTTATCGATTATGCACGAACTGGCGACCCTCGGTTCTAGCTGCTGTATTCTGGCGAGCCAACGAGGGAATGGGCGATTCCTTTGACCGTAATGTTGGTTCGTATTCTTCAGCGTTGGGAAGTCCAACCGCTCCTTTTCGAAGAGCCATTGGAGCTGAAAGGGGTTTGGCCGTACGGTCCGAAGGGCGACTGCTCCGTGATTTGCTGACGCGCACACTTCCAGGGTCTTTCAATGGATCAGCTGCAGGCTACTCGGCTTATTTTACGACTCCACCTGAAAGAGGAACTCTACGCGGAAAAGGGGATGGCCGGATTGCTTTCAATAGAGGGTCCGTGTGATTCATTTCGATGGCCTGCATGAAGATCACATATAGGGGACGAATCCCCCCAGGGCTCTGGCTCTCCAGCAGCGTTCTTCCTGCCCGACCTCTCGTTTGCCCAAGGACTCGATTAATCTATCCCTTCTAATCATAATCTCTAATCAACCGTCGTCCGGGACCCTTGGTATACATCTGGCCCAATGACGATGCATCTCTCGTTTCTCTCCGCTCTTTTGGCGGCATCGGGCACAATCGTGTCTGCCATTCCCGCTAAACCACCCGTTGCGTTACCGGCTCCCTCTCTGGCTCCCAAGCTCCCACTCTCAGCATTCAACACCACACATCCCGTCCAGCCTATTACTCTCGAGGAGGCTCTGGCAGGTCTCCACCATGGCAAGCCGGAACCGCAGCCGGAACAGACCATGAGTCTCATGGCGGCAGCGGCAACATGTTCGAATCCAAAAATCCGCATTGAGTGGGACAGCGCAACGAACGATCAGAGGATGAACTATCTGAATGCCGTGAAATGCCTGCTGAACAAACCTGCCTCTGGCCAGTTCCCCCAGGCCAAGAACCGTTACGAGGATATCGTTGCCGTGCACCAGCAACTCACTCCCAACGTGCACGGGAACGCAAAGTTCCTGCTCTGGCACAGATACTATGTCTGGGCCTTTGAAGATATCCTGCGCACCGAGTGTGGATACAATGCCGGTATCCTCTGGTTCGACGAGACGAGATATGCCGGGCGCTTCTCCCAGTCTTCCATCTTCTCGAGCCAGTACTATGGTGCCATCGCCCTCGGTGGAAACTGCGTTACCGATGGTGTAAGTCAAGCCCTCTCCGTTCTATCTCATCCTACATGAGACTCACACGATCCCCAGGTCTTCGCTCGCCTGACCCTGAACGTCGGCCCCGGCGGCGGCAACACCCCCCACTGCCTCGCCCGCAACGGCGACGCCAGCAAAACGGCAAACACCAACGAAGCCATGGTGAAAGCGTGCAACGACCGCAGCGACTACGCCGACATGGCCGGCTGCGCCGAGGGCGGCGCCCACGCCTGGGGCCACAACGGCATCGGCGCCGTCATGCAGGACGTGTATGCCGCGCCTGGCGATCCCGTCTTCTTCCTCCACCACGCCTTCATCGACCGCAACTACCGCATCTGGCAGAATGCGAACTACCCGACTCGCGTGCAGTATGTGGATGGGACGGATCGGGCGGGGAATCCCCTGACGTTGGATACGGGGATCAATATCTTGGGGTTGAGGCCTGATGTTAAGATTCGCGATGTGATTGATACGATGGAGCAGTTCCCGTGTTATAAGTACAACTACTAGACGTTGGGGAAGGGTAGTGTTGGTTGCACGGGGATATCCCACTTTTTTCCTTCTGAAATCTGAGGAAAGATATAGTCGCAATACACGCATTTCATTTCTCCACATCGTTGCAGGAATAGTGGTGAATTTGCTCGTGGTGTCGTCGTCTCGTTTGCCACAGTCCATAAACGGCTTATAACTCCCATTCCTACAACAATAACCTGTCTGTTCGATACGTCCACCTACTTGTAATTTCTGGATCACTATGGGCAGTATTTAGATCGGGTCCATTAGCGCAATTCAGATCAACTACCTGCATCCCCACACAGCATCCTGACATTAAGTTTGGACCCTGAATCGTTCCAGCGTTCGGTGCAGGGTTGCATGCGTTCCCACCCACTATTTCGACGTTCCTGAACATTCACATCCCCATTGTCGGGAGGAGGTAGCTCGTCGAGTCCTCCTAGGCTTGCTTCCGCCCCGTACCCTAGGGTAATCCGTACAAATCGGCTGTACTCTCCACCCCGCTTTCCACTCGTCGCTGGTACGAGGGAGTCCTCGCTGCCCGGGTTTCTGGCTTCTGCAAACCATGACCTGGGAGGCCTCCAACCCGAACGAAATAAACAAGACGTCGTCGTCCAGTTTTGGACTTCCTGCTCTAAGATCCCTTTCCCCTTCCTTCATCACGCAGACACCAAACACCCGTGCTGGATCCGCTAGTCTCGATCCGAGTATTCTTCATCCTGCTCCTTAGTCTCTTCTTCATGCTCCTAAACGTCTTTTGTCTCTGGGCACTCGGGCCGGACGATATCTTCGTCCACTCGCGCCCCGGCGAGGAACATGCGGCCCCCAAAGCCATGTCCTTCATACATCCTTGCTTCTATTCCCATGGGTTCCATCCTCTAATTTGCCTCTCCGGTTTTTTGTCTGGCTATCTTGGATTGTTGGGCCCGGCTGAAGGAGTTGGAATCCCATTGTGGGAAGAGCGGCTTACGGGAGTCGTACCTGTAGCAGTGTAGCCTGCAAGTCGTGAAAGTCGATTGCGATTGGATAAGAGGGATGGGATTTAATCATGGGAAAGGGGCTTGGAGCATTTGTACGAAAGGTAGCAGCTACTCGCCCACTCATACGCTCTTCTTGCTTCGCAAAATCTTCGTCGATGTATGTAGGCATTGATAAACAGTTCCCGAGCCTACATCGCCTCCACTCCCAATGTCAGTGAAGATGGTGTAAAACCACAGTTCATCAGAAAACCATCACTCCCCACTGAAGCGACCACCATCATACCTCCTCCACCACCCCCCTACCGAATCTTCACCGGCGAACTCAACGCATACGTCTTCCTACTCCCCCCCAAACTCACCCACAACGTCAACGGATCCTTCCCAACCTGCTCCTTCGTCGCCCCACCCAAACTCGTCACAGGCCCCGGCACCGTCACCGGAATCCCCGTCCTACACTTCAGATCCCCCGCACCCACGACCACACCCGTGATACTCCTCCTATCGTCCGAAAGCTGGTACACCAGATTCGGACGACACTCATCCCTCGTCTTGCGATTGATGACGGCGTTTGCGATATCGTCGTGCTTGAGCGTGATGACAGGCCAGGTGGTGAGGCGCGTGACTTCTCCGAGGACGGCTTCGGTCCACGCCATGAGGAGGGACCATTTCTGCGATTTTCCCAGGAGCGTGAGTTTGCTGGTGTCGGAGACGCGCATGTTGGCTTGGTGGAACATGAATCTACAAACATGTCATGTCAGTCATGACTCAATAAAAACATGGGAAAGGGGTACAGGTGACGTACGGATCCCAGCGCAGACCGAGGAGATACTTCGCATTGACATCCCTCTCGTACTCCAACTGGGCGTTGAAATCCCCTTTGCCGCCGGCAATGGCTTTCCACTCGTCGTTGTCGCACGAGGGCAGGTCGCAGTTGTAGTAGATCGAGCTGCCCCATCGCCCAATGATCCACACGCCGTCGTAGCCGTTCTCGGCGACATTGGATAGGATGGGATGGAAGTCCGACTTGCGATCCGCGCGGTTCATGAGGACGGGCCGCGAGTTGTCGCCCACAGCGTACTTGATGCCGTTCTCCAGCCACGCGCGGAGCGCGTCGCCGTTGTGCAGGCCCGTGATACCGGGGGGGATGAGTCCATTTGGGGAGAAGTACGACGCGGACGTGGCGTCGGTGAAGCCGACGCGCTTGAACCATTCCTGGTTCCAGGTGATCTCCTTGACGACGTCGGAGTAGGTTGCGTTCGTCTCGTCCTCGTGGGTAAAGGTGTGCGAGACATGGAAGTAGGCGTTCATGTTGGCCTTGTCGGCGAAGTAGACCTCGAGCGGGTCAAGACGCGAGCAATCGGTCGTCCACTGGTACTTTTTGAATTTCTTGTCCCACAGGTCTTTTCCTGTGCCGATGGGCTTGTGATATTCAAGGGGCCCATCGATCTGCGTATCATACTCGACTCCTTCTTGTGGATTGCAAAGCGCGGGATCATTGTCATAGTCTTTCTCGACCGCGGCTTCGATGTTCCCGTTGCCGTTGTGGCCAAGTTCAATGACATACGAGCTTCCGGCGGGAAGACGCTTGTTCAGGTCTTTCATCCACGCGACGTGCTCCTTGAAATCGTCCGGCTTGATCCGGTACGGCTTGTTCGTCTTGTACAGCTCCGTCTCCACAAATACATCGTCGACCTGTGTGTTGAAGTATACGCGGCGGAAACCCAGGTAAAAACCTCGAGTAAGCCAATGGATCCATGCGTGGGACAGTACATTTGCTGCGATGGAGGCGTCGGTCGGGAAGGCACTGAACCAGACTTGCTGCTCGCGTCCGCTGGGGAACTTGTTGAGTACCGCAGCGGTGGTCTTGGACGACCCTCCGAACTGGGCGATTTCGGTAGCCAGTGACGTGTTTGTGATTTTGGCCGGGTACTTGGTGATGTTCACAGTACCCATCTGTGCGCCGCTTCCAGGCCTGTCAGCCACTTTCTTTGTAAGAGAGAATTGTACTTACACCACGAGATTCGCAGTAGCAAATTCCTTCGCGTCCGTAATCGATACTGGCAAATCGGTAGCTACTGCACCACCCACAGCCTGGACACCAAAATCCGCATGGGGGAAGGAGTTCAAGCGAACCATGCGCACTCCGAAAGCCTCCTGGTATCTGTACAGCTCCTGCCATTGACGATCGACAAGCGCTCCATTCCAGTCGTCGCCATTCTTGTAGTCCCTCGCGCTGACGGTGACGATTCCGCCGAAATTGCCAGCGTCCGGAGTGGCATTTAGCTGGGGTAATCCCGTGGGGGAAAGTGATAGATTGACGACGTAATACGGTATGCCGTAGCCTTCGAGCACCGAAGTCGCAGAGGAGGACGCGTTTCCGTCGCGAGCAAGGACTAGAATCGTACTATTCACCGTTACGGCGGCATTGACGGCTCCAGCGAGCGAAATGGCTGCGATCAGCGTCCCGATCGTAGGACTCCTTCCTGGGAACATGTTGAAGTACAGTGGCAGGACGTAGGCGTCGCTCAAATGTCGCTGCACCCTTCAGGTAACTCTATATATCATATTTCCATCGCCTCCCGCTCTTGCAACCCATCCCCCCGGAATCAAGATCGGCATTGAAGACGCGTTGCGTACAACATTTGCGCTGCAACCTCATCCATATATACGATGGTTCAATCATGAAGATCGCCCAAAATAGTCTCGCTAAACGTATATTGCGCAAGCAAATAGAGAAACATATTACCATCGGCTGTTTACGCCTCATCTGTGCGTACTCGGATACGGATCGTTGGTGCGGGCCGCTTACTCGATCGAGTAGGATTGATGAATTGCAATGTGGGAAGGACGGGTAATATGCGACCCAGCGGGGCGGCACAAGATCGATGGTCCTGGACTCGTAGATAGGGAACCAGCCCACCTTCATGTACGAAACTTTTTAGGGCGCGACGAAGAAACTGCACAGAGTCAGCGATCATTCCTATGCATGCTGGACTACCACGTACAGGAGGCCCGTCGAATCATCCCTTTCGTCTTACTCTCGCCAACTTACAAGCAAAGGCTCACCATGATCCATACAGCACAAACTCATAAAAGATTGATATCATCGTCGCAAAGGGTATTAGGTTACGGTGGCGTCATGAATAATATGTACAAGAAGTCCCTCCTCCATCCAGCAGCCGTTCCGAATTGGTTTGGAGCCCGCACTCCAATACCTCACCAATGCTTCAAACCAATCTCGTTAGCATTGAGAATGAACTCCATGAACCCCGCATTCGTATCCAGGATATTGTGGACATACTCTGCCGCGGTCGGATAGAAGTTCGTGGGGTAGCCAAACTCCATCGTGTAACCATACACCTTGTTGAGCTTCTTGTTGCCGTGCCACCTGCTGAACGACCAGTCGTCACTAGCGCCAGACGTTGGGTACAACCCTACGGCCTGCTGGGGCACGTATTCGCGGCCGCCGACGGCTTTCATTGCGGCAGTGGTACGGTTGGCCTGAAGGGCGACATTGTACCAATCTTCTTCGGAGATGTACTCCTTGTAGATGCTGTCTTCGACGGGACCACGCTTGCCATCATACGCCGGATTGAACAGGTTCTGTTTAGGGTCATTGGCCTGATTGACATCGTCACCCCACGAGTAGAGAAGCGTCCCGGCGGCGGAGTGAACATCGATGAACCAGCTGATCTTGGGGAACTTCTCATATACCCAGCGGATATTCTTGGTTTCGGGCTCAGAGAAAGGGGCGGTGCCGTAGAAGGCCTCGTCGGCGGGATCGCTAGACGCAGGCTCCACGCTGGGGTCGAAATACTTGGTGAAGTTCCACAAAAAGTCAAAGTTGCGATTCAGGTCGACGCCGACCGTTTTAGGCTTGCCGGGAGTGGAGCTCTGAGGGTTGCGGTTCTTGCGCCAGAGATTCCCGTTCGCTTGGTCGTAGCGGACGCCGTCCGGGTTGGAGAGAGGAATGAAGACAATGCCGGAGTCGAGGACCTTGCTGACTTGCTCCTTGGTGAAGCTCTTCTTGCCATAAGTGAGTCCGGTGCCGTGCGCATCCGCATAGAGGAGGTCACTGATGAAGTAAATGAGGTTGTCGGGACCGCCTCGTTCACGAGCGTGGATACCCGAGTTGAGGAAGATGTACTGGTGGTCATGTCTGATGCTCCCCAGCCAGTTGGTCTTTGCGTTCCTGTTCGCCACACCGCCAATGACGGTTTGACCCTCATACGTCTTATAAGGGGCAACAAAGGTCTCTATGCCGTACTTCTTGGAAAGAGCTTTCATCGCCGAATGGATTTCGTTCACATTGAGGATGGGGCCCAGATCGGCCTGCTCTCCCGGTTTGCGGGAGCCCAAACCTCGAGGAGCCACCTTACCGCCCTGGAAGCGGTCTCCCTTGCCGATGGGAGCTGCGGGTTCCTCCCTCTTGTTGAGATGATCCATCATGTCGATGCGTACCACTTGAGGATCCAGCGTCCGCTTCAGCATGTCCAACTGCTCAGAGGAAACGAGAGCGTGTAGCTTATGCTCACCGTCGGAGCGCATAACAACCGGTCTGCAGCCATAGTCCAAGTTCGCATTGTTCCGGATGAAGTTGTGGAGATCCCTGGCTTCTTTGGCGTGGAGAGCGATGCTGAGGATATCGGACGCAAAGGCCCATCCTGGAAGGAGAGTAAGAAGGGCAGAGGTCTTCATGGCACAGGTATGGGATGCTAGGAATGAAGACTGAGAGGACGAAGGTCGGTCGCCTAGAGTCCTGGGTAGAGGAGGTTTTTAATGTGTCCGATAAACCAAGAATTGGGACTTGTCGTCCAGCCATGCTCGCGGGGTATCGCTTTCCACCTGCCAGAAGAGGCAAGAGATGTCGTGGTGCAAGGAAGGACAGGCCAAGGGGATACGGCCTTGGCCTACTCAAGCAGCAAGGGCTGCTCGGATGGACCCAGCCACTCCACCACCATTCGTTCTGTGCACGCCAGGACCTTATCAGGCGCTGGTAGGAAGAGGGACGAGCCTCTGAGAGTGGAATGGTGTCGCCTTTGCATTGTGCTGGGGTAGGAAGTCGATCGGCAAGGGAGTTTATCCATAGATACCCGGTGATATTTCTAGGCCTCGGTACGGGACTAGAAGCAATAATTATATTCAGCGAATGCCCTTATATCAAGATGTCGAAATGTACAGAAAGATCTCCCCCGTACAGATCGCTGAGTTCGCCAGTATAGAACACGTTCTAGAATTACGATGTGGCTGACTTGAACTCGGCGGCCTTCGTCAATCGATAGTCAGGTCTATAACGACGGGGCTTTTGGGCGCTCGTATCCAGTCCGACGAAACCCGACTTGAAAACTCTACTTCACCAACACGCTCACGGCCTGCAGATGGTGCTACCAGGTTTCTCGGCGTACCTTCGAAATGTCGCAGTCTCGCTGCTCGTACCATGTCCGCTTCCAAGTCCGAGAAGGTCGACGGGCCGCTCTTTTCTACATCGATGGAACGTGTCGAGGATGGCGGGCGCGCATTTGTTATAACGCGTGTCCGTGTGGGCGTCGTGTTTAGGGAGGCGTACGTCCTCGACGGCGAGCTTGTTGCAGTCGGCTGCCGCTTGGGTGAAATACGATCAAGTGCTTCAACAGAAAGAACATCTCTGAACAGCCTGCCAGCGGGAGTCCGAAGCTTGGAAGGCGTACCATTTCTTCGTACAGTGGCGCGTGACGGGGGACTTTGTGTAAGATCCAGTCTCACAACCCCTGCTGTCCTGAGTTTTGCGGGAGCACGAGGCAGGGGAAGAATCGACAAGAGTGTTTCGCTGTGTTGCATGCGTGCCCGCATTCGCTACTCCTCCAGGCGTGACATTTAAAACGCTCCCATCATCAATCCTTCTGCGCTTGGTCGCGCTCACAAGCTCGCGAAACCCATCTGAATTTGTCGGATCAACTGTCGCTGAGGGTGCCCATTGCCGTGAGCCGGTCTGCCTAGATGCTCGGGACGTCGAAGGAAGCCCTAATAAGAAATCTAGCTCTTCAAATATATCGCAATCTGAGTCATCCGTAGCCTGAAGCACAGATGATGAAGAAGTGGAGAGGGACGTGGTCGGATAATAACTTGGCCGAGGGACGGAGTTTGTTGTGAGCGGAGGGATCCTCAAGTTCGTCGATCTGCTAGGCTTTGATGGGGTACATAGGGCGGCGTCTCTACCTCTCCCATTTCCATGAGTGAGCAACTGACATGTCGTTCCAGAAGTGGGTGTAGCGCTGTATGGACGAACATGGAGACTCGCCTTCGACGGCGAAAGACAGCCTCGACCGTCTTCACGGACATCGACTTGTCGCTTTCGCTTCCCCGTTGTCTTCTTTGGGGAAGGTGTTGGGGGGTTCAACACATCAGCAGACAGACCTTGTTCCAGGAGATAATATGGGATTTCACATTCAACGCGATGTTCCGGGTCAAATGGTATGTCCTTCGCTCCGTCCCAATACCCAAGACGCTCGCCTTCGAAATCACTGCGCCTCAGCGAAGTGAGTGCAAAAGGCGAGAAGGTTAGTTTTCGCTCAAGGAGCGGAGTCTGCGTGACATCCTTCTTGGCACGCTGTTTGACAAGCCTGATCGCATGTGGATTCCCCTGAACTGCTGACGACTCTGCAGCCGCCAGAACCAAGGACCGAGTTAGAAGTATGGGCTCCACTTTATTCATATAGGACTTTCCCCATATGTTAAAGTTCATACCGGTTATCTTCAACAGCTCAAGCTCGTTGATGGGTTGATCCCATCCCTTCTCGAGACATCGCAAGTTTCGAAGTCGTTCGTCAGAGGAGATGTTCGGGCGAAGGTACTTTTCGAGCGTCTTGATCTTTGGAAAATCGGAGGGAATTTCGCGTCTTAGGAAGGTACCCAACTCGAGACTCCATAGGCGGCACTCTTGTTGGGTTCGGCAGCGACAAAGGCCTCTTCCCAGACCGGCTTTGACAGCACGAATGGCCGTCGCTTTGCCGCATCCAGGAAGTCCTTTGGTATCGTAATTGCCACCACAGAGCATCGCAAAAAGAACCAACCCTTCCCGGTCGAACTTGTGCACGCACTGGATGTCCTCTGCTCGGATTATCCTGACTGTTTTCCCACTCTTCTTTGTATTCTCCTTTGAGCGATCAGTCGAAGCTGAACCCTTAGCGACGCGATCATCCCGGATCAAGAGGCTAGATCCAAACATCATGGTGTCAGAATCCTGGGAAAAGACTGCGTCAACGACACCCAGCTGCTGCAGCCGAGCGCATTCGGCTTCAGCCTCCCCTGGTGCTTCGTGATACGGAACTCTCAGGTGACGAAGCACTTCTTTCAAATCCTTAAGTTTCTCGTAATCAACCCTATTCCCGCCTTGCTTTCCTCGCTTCCAGGGACGGCTGGGACCATCGAACACGAAGAGGAGTTGAACGTTCATAGTCAGCCAGCGACATATTCGATGAAACATTGTCTTCTCTATCCCTCGGAAAACTGGTTCGTTCGACTTCTCGCGTATGGTATAGACCTGAGCCTGGGTGAGGTTGTTGAAACGCCAATCGGCCTCGTCGACGGCGATCCGTAGCCGCCGGCCATGGGTTCTGAAATGTTCCTCCGCCAGTTGTGCAAGAGGAATGATATGATCCTGTTCTCTTACGACTTCCCAAAAACTGAAGCAATTGTAAGTATGTTTGAGGTAAAGTCGATAAACCGGAGATCTGGATGCGCGCTTACTCTTTGATACCCATTGGCTCCGGGAGGATGGGTGCTTTATGCAGGGAGACAAGTTCCAGAAGCTAGGCGGGCGTGATAGCCCAACAGTGCTGGCCTTTCAAATATTCTTGAAAAATGCTACAAATGATAACGCTATAGGTATATGATGCTTGTGAGTGGGGAAAGATGAAGAGACGGGAATGGTGATAAGGGGTGAATTGGCAAGGGTTGGTGTCGCGTCGCGAGCTTCAAGCGGTGGCTGGGATTTCTCAGCAGACCCGTAGTCAGGTGCGGGTCACATATATTTACAATCACCAGCTTCTACTCCAACAAGAAGTTATTTTCGTCTAATATCTGTTGTCCGTCTTGTAGAACTCTTCCTTAAATTTTTGTTTTCTTCTTAAGTCTCGTATTGGAAACCAGATCTTCCCTTCTCAAAGGATTCTCCGAAAGAACGAACATTTGAGAAAGTCGGCAGACTTAGACATAGCATATTTACTAAAGCTACTTCACAGAAGTCACGACTAACTCGTATTGATATTTCTATTGCTGCGTAAGGCCTACACAGCTTGCTAGTACTTTTATATACATATCCCGTACAACTAAAAACTCTAGGAAAACCCTTCTAAACGCATTTTCATTCAAGAATTATTTGCAACATTCTCCAGCCAGTCTGTCTCAATATCGAACACGCTTCCTCTACCCTGACTTTACAAAAGAGAGAAAACATGAAAGAAGATATGATAGGATACATAAACGAATGAAATACAAACGAGACGAAGGAAAGGACCTCAGAAAAAAACAAAACATGAATCATAAAACCGTCAGACGTGCTAGTCCAGCCCAACGGTAGACCCATCAGGTCTCATTCCATTTCACAGCAAAGGCTTCGCCTTGTTCTGTGTCCACTCTACCCTACCGTCTCCCAATTTCTTGATCTATCCGTCCTAAAATGTCGCAAACATTGGAAGCATACATACCGCAACCATCCATACACACCAAGTCTTATACATTCTTGCATCCAACTTCCGATCCCTCTTCCGCCCAAGTCCCATGACCGTCATGCCCACCACCCCAGCTGCCGAGATCCCCACGCACCCCAACCCAAGATTCCCAAGATTCCACCTCACCAAGTCGAACCCGAACCAACAAGGTAGTAAAATAGACCACCCAGTAACAGCCCCAGCAAGCAAATATCTTGCAGCCGTATTTCCCAACGCCGAAATCACCGTCTTCCTGCCCCTAACCCGATCCCCCTCCTCATCCCTAAAATCCTGACTATGAAACGTCGTAAACAACGCCGTCACCAGCATCACAATCCAGCCCCACGCATCCCTCGTCAAACCCACGTCCTGCCCCAGCGCTACCTGCAAGCTACTCGAGAAGAAACAAGCATAGCCCCCGGCATTCAGCGCATTGCGAATCACGCCGTGCGCATCGCTGCCGCCGAACTCGTTGTACGCCAGCACGAGCGCAGTGTACATGAGCCAGATTTTGAAAACGATGAGGCCGAAATGGATGGGGGTGAGTGCGATGAGGAGGGTGTAGGTTAGGCCGAGGAGGCAGTGTGCTTCGGCTTGGGTGATGAGGCCGGAGGGGAGGGGGCGCCAGGGTTTGTTGATGAGGTCTTCTTCGATGGATTCGGAGTGGCGCTGGTTGTGGAGGCAGAATTGGGCGACGAGGAGGTAGAGCCAGGATATTACCACGGGGAGGCGAGATAGTAGCAGGCTGAGAGAGGGAGATGGTAGTGATAGGAGTGGCCCTGAGAAGTAGGCGCTCAGGGCAAATATGGTGGATGGGATGATTACGTCGTAGATCTGGTCGCAGGTGATTAAGTGGAGGGCGTGGAGGAAGCGGACGGCCTGGCGTTGGAGATTGAGGATATCGACAGTATCCTTGTGGATCGAGACCTTGAAGGAGTTAGCACTGCGACTGGCCATTGACTCTAATAGAAGAAGGGAAAAGATAGGCGTTTTCAAATGTGCAGACAGCTCTGGGATGGGTTGAACGGGGTAAGCTGTCCAGTCTCCACCAGGAGTTTAACCATCGAGCTGTGGGAAAAAGGGGAGAGATGACACAAGAGACCTGATACTCCGTCATGTCCGTATGGGGCGCCTCCCACGCATGCGCTGTCGGACTGACAGGCATCGGACGGACAGGATGTAGTACGCAATACCAGGCAAAAGGTATTCGATTAAGAAAAAGCAGTCAACAAAGAGAGAGAGAGATTACGAAAGCGGTGGAATATGGAAGAAGCGGTAAAAAATTTGACAGAGGCGGTGTATCGGAGATCCACTGCGGTGAAAGAGATACTAGCGCATGGCGACAAAATGCCGGCCTCGGAGGGGTACGCTCGATATTCTCTTCTGCCCAACTGCGCCTCGTGCACCCAGAATACAGAGAAATAGTGCAAAGGAGATGATAGAAATATTTAATGAAGAAATGAGGGGAATGAGCAAAATATGGGGAAGTCGGCAACCGGGATCATTCTGTATCAGAATTGATATGTCAAGCGAAACGGCGAAGGACAACCTCAAGAATTGTACTGAATTCCGCAGTGAAGAACACGGTGGGCAAAATGTGGATGTATAAGATATAGTTTTACATACCAGCTTAAACAGAATACCCCTTCTATCCTTCATTCCCCCTGGTAGGGGGAGAGACGAAGGGATCGAAGCATCCGGGGAGGACAGAGACGTCAGTCTCATTGCAAAGGCCGGTTCGATATGAAGTCCCCTTCTCAATTCAATAACCGGATGAAGTATAAACAAAAGATCTCTCAAAGGGACCAGCAATAGTTCGCGAAACTTAGTGCGTTCCCAACGTCTTACACGCATAGAAACCGTGAACAACAGCAGGTAACTCTACACTCCCTCCCCTTTTATACCCCATCACCGCATCCGCTGTCACCATCACATGGAGCATCACCTCCCCCCCCCCCCCCCCCCCCCCCCCCCCCCCCCCCCCCCCCAAAACCCCGGCTTCCAGAGATCTGGACTCGCACATGCCACTCCCATGGTTTCCGCTTGCAGCTGAACATGACTCCGGCACCTTCATCTTCTCCCCAGCAAAGGGGCCGGATCAACGCGATGGCAGGGTGCCGAGGGTGTGTGTCGAAGCTGATGTTATTCGAAGAGATGAAGAGGAGCACCCTAAGAGGTCGGCGACTCTGAATTATCATCGTCTAGGGCTGCCTTGTTCCGGATGATTGGGATAAGGGAACCGTGAAATCGATTGTAAGCGATCAGTGGCAAGGTGTCACAGGTGCCTTGTCCCCAATAGTCGGGAGAAGGAGGACGATGAAAGTCCGAAGTTCGAGTGGAAGCGATGGGTGGAAGTGTGGCTCAGTTCCCTTGTTCTCTCTAAGCGAGGAGGGTCCCAAAATGGGGCGAGGCGAACCACGAATTGTACAGTTTGGGGTTTTCCGTGTCGAATCGCTTGCTTGAAATAGTGAATGATCTTCGTCATAGGTTACTTGTGGTTAGCTGAATAGAGAGATCACGATCTTTTGGGTGTCTGGGCAGACTAGCTCAGCTGATAGGTACGGACTTGGGAGCCTTGGGAATTGCTTCAGCCAGCCCGCATCATCTGTAAGCGCTGAGTGTGAGACACTTAGAACTTGCTCACGGCAGTGTTTAAGGGGAAGTGATAGGCCAGTGTCGGTATTGGGGAGATATCCAGGATGAACGCGCAGGCACATCTGGCGGTCTTGCACTCCATTTCTGCATATGGAAACTAGTTGCGTTGAACAGTGCTAGACCACTCACAGAGTCCAGAGGATACCTAGCAGGTCCCAGATTAGATCCTACCATCCAGCGATAGACAGACGTCACCAGCTGTCTGGCTATGTTCACAGGGCACGTGGCTCCTGTTTGGTAAGACCCTGCATGAGGGACCAGCGGATATTTGCAGGCGGGCCGGACCTTGGTCCCACACGTTCCAACCTTATCGAAGCCAAGAAAAAGCAATAAACCCAACAATGAACTCTATACGGGACGTTCACTTTAACACAGCATTACTGAATCCGGCCTAGCGGCCCGCAAGTTACCCCTCTCCCTCCGACAATGTCTCCCACCATCACACAAAGCCACCATGACGGACCTCATCGCCGGCATCTCCAAGCTCCAACCCTTCTCCAACAAGCAAAGAAGAGCCGAGGACGAGGACGACGTAGGCGACGTTATCGACGCGAACACCGTTGCCGGAGGCGGACATGCATCTCGCCAGTCCGCAATCACCAAGGACCAGCTGCGCGTCAGCAGAGCACTGAAAACGTTTCTGGCAGAAAAAGGTATCTTCAGTGAAGACGAAGCGCAAGAGCTTCTAGCCTCAGAGCAACCTACGCGTGCATTGCGCGAATTCCTGAACAGATCGCACATCGTTGTCCCGCCCGATGTCGTCGATAGAAGCCATCCGCTGCCAGACTACTATATCAGCTCCAGCCACAACACGTACTTGGTAGCTCACCAGCTCTATGGTCAGTCGTGCACGAGTGCGTACGAGACTGCTCTGTATACCGGTTCGCGATGTGTGGAAATCGACGCTTGGGATGATGACACCAACAGAGACGAGCCCAAGGTGACGCATGGGTACACACTCGTGTCCAACATCTCCTTCCGCTCCGTCTGTGAGACGATTCGCGATGTCATCGATAAAGAGGCTAGCGAGGGCAGCAACGCGGCACCCATCATGATTTCCCTTGAAAACCACTGTGACGCCCACGGCCAGCTTCGCCTGGTCCACATCATGAAGGAAGTCTGGGGCGACCGGCTGCTCAGCAAAGACATCCGCGACAAGGGCAAACGAGAGGAGGAGGGAAGCGGCGAGCATGTCACTCTCGCCGAGCTGGGCAACAAGATCGTCGTCATTGTCGAATACCATTTACCCAACGAAGCAGACGACACCAGCGACAGCTCCTCTAGCTCGGACGACGAACAAGAGCGAGCCGCACACCAAGCCTACCGTGAAAAGAAAAAAACCACCAACGCCGGCCCCATCATCCCCCAACTCGCCGAACTAGGCGTCTACGCGCAATCCGTCAAACCCCCAAACCCTTCCTGGTTCGAAAGCGTCCTGGAAAACGCGCCGCACCACCCACTCATCAACGTCTCGGAGACGCAGCTCCTGACACACATGCCTGCGCACAACGCAAAGATCGCAAAACACAACGCCCAGCATCTCATGCGCGTGTATCCCAAGGGCACGCGCATCTCGTCGCGGAACCTCCGGCCCGTGCCCTTCTGGGCCGTCGGCGCCCAGATCTGCGCGTTGAATTGGCAGACGTTTGGCGCGAGCTCGCAGCTCAACGAGGCGCTGTTCAGCGGTTCGAATGGCTATATTCTCAAACCCGCGGCCCTGCGACGCGGTGGGACGGGAGTGCTTACGGCGGGAAGGAGGAAGAGGCTCAGATTGCACGTCGCTGGCGCCACGGATATACCTGTGCCTGCCGACCGCGACGACGAGATCAAACCGTACGTAACATGCACGCTCATCCACCCAGACGATCTGGAATATAAACCGCCGAAGCGGAAAACGAAGCCTTACAAGCCTCATAAATTGACGGGTTTCCTGCACGGGGAGAATCCACCTTCTACAGACCCCATGTGGGACGAGGTCCTCGAATGGGAGTACGATGACAATGAGCTTGTTTTTCTGCGCCTGCTTATAAAGAGCGATGATAGTTTCGCGAGTAACCCGACGCTGGCGGTCGCTGCGCTGAGGGTTATGTATGCGGCGCCCGGGTGGAGTTTTATCAGGATGTTGGACCTGGGTGGGCATGAGACGAGGTGTAGTCTGCTTGTGAAGTTGGAGATTGGGGATGTGTGAGTTTTTGATTTGATGTTGAGACGCGTGGATGTAGTGCCACGACCTTTTGAATTCTCCCTGCGCGAGGTGGGAATGGATGCTTCACTCTTGAAGCAGCTCCAGGCAAGTTGAGGTATTAACGGCCGCTTAATATCCACACAGTGTGTGTTCGCATCCCAGATCTTTATAACCACTACTCCTCGATAGGGCCTGCGCTCAAACATATCACAGTGCAAGTCAACCTAGCAGAACACTCATTAATCAACCGCCACAGCACGTGAGAACAGCGGAATCAGAAGTCAAAAGCTCAAGACGCATCTGGCACTGACATATCAAACGCTCATCTATTTGCTGTCTTCCAGGACTCTAAGATCGACGAGACATGATAACAAATACCACATGTGAACAGCTCTCCCAAAAATAGTATGCTAAGCTGCCTGCCACATCTCTCCACCTACGCACTACCACCCCATCCCTACTCCTTCCTCTCCTCCTCCCCCTCCTCAATCGCCTGCCCCTCAAACTTGGGCAACCTCGCCTGCACATCCTCCCACGTCTCCTCCCCATTCACCATATTCACCACGGCGTCCACAATCTCCTGCTCCGTCGCCCGCACCTGCTCCATCGAGTCTCGTTCCCGAAGCGTAAACGTGTTCTTCTGCACGCTCTCGAAATCCGCCGTGATGTGGAACGGCGTGCCCAGCTGATCCCGCCGGCTGTATCTCTTCCCGATACTCGCCGACGAATCGTCGACGGCGAAGTGGATACGCTTTTTGCGTAACAGCGCCGAGAGCCGGGCAATGAGGGGCTTGAAGTCCGGATGTGAGGACAGTGGATACAGAACCACGGGCATGGGGGCGATCGACGGGGGGAAGGAGAGCACGGCGCGGGACTCGTCGCCTTCGCGGCTCCAGTAGACGTGTTCGCAGAGGGCGTAGAGGATGCGGCCAATGCCAAAGGACGGCTCGATGACATTGGGGGTGTAGGTGCGAATGTTCTCGGTGCGGGTGCGCTTCTCGATCGTGATAAGGTCGGGGGTGAGTTCGACTTTGCCGTCGCCAAAGTTGGGCACGTCGAGGGTTATTTTTCCAGCTTCCTTGAGCTCGACGGACAGCTTCTCCCTGGATGTCGTTAATGTGCTGCGAAGAAGAGTGGCAAGAAAATTCACCTACCTGAGCTCATCAGAAAGCGCATCGATCGCGCCCTGCACAGCCGGCGCATCTTTCCTAAACTTGGGCCCAAACTCCTTCTTGTTGGTCTCCGCAGCCCAGTACTCGACGGTGCGAGGCTCATCCAGCCTCTCCCTAACCTGCAAGGGCTGTCCAGTCCTCTTCATGTGCACAGTGAGATCGTAGGCGCTGCGGTCGGCGCATCCCACGCACTCGATCCAACCATAACTGGTCTGTAGCTCGGCATCCCAGCAGTCGGTCGCGTAGTGGGCCATTTCCGTGGCCATGTGCTGCCTGAAGCGGATCTTCTCAGGGTTGCAGCCAAGCTGGATGAGGAAGAGCTGTACCCTGGCCAGGAAGTACCCGAGCGTCTCGTTGTCCACGATGCCCTTCTCAACGGCCTCGCCGATGGGCATGGGAGAGACTTCCGTCTTCCCAGAGAGTTGTGTATCACGATCGAGCAGGTTCAATTTGACATCTGCCACCTCGTGGAAGCGGGCATGCTTCTTTCCACCCTCGGGGTCCACAAAGTGCTCAATCTCGCACATCAGAAACTCTCTTACCCGAAGGAGACCAGCCCGGGGAGAAATCTCGTTACGGAAGGACTTTCCAATCGTGGCGGAGGCGAACGGCATGCGGTGGTTGTTGTAGTCAAGCAATTTCGCGAAGTTGAGAAACTGGCCCTGTGCGGTTTCGGGTCGGAGGAAGCCGTAGAGCGAGCTAGAGGGACCGATGTTGGGGATGTGGAACATGAGATTGAACTGAGTGGGCGGGGTGACGGGATTTCCGGTGGCGGGATTTCTTATATCGTACTTCTCAATGAGCAATCCGAGCTCAGCTCCATCGTAGTTGTCGATCTGAGGGACATTAGCTGCTCGTCCTAAGACACCGCACGTATACACACCTTGGCCAAAACCTCCTCGTACTCCTGTACAAGGGCGTCATCCAGCTTCTTGGCCTCCAGATTGGCCAGAGCCTTCTCCTTCTTCTTCTTCTTTTTCGGGTCCTCCTCTTTTTCGACGTGGACAAGTCCTCGGGCCTCCTTATCGCCCTTCAGTCTCATCTCCAGCACATTCTCGACGAGGTGGTCGGCACGAAGAATGTCGCCATTTGCTTCGTCCTTGACCATCCAGTCACAGAAGCGATCGACGTGTCCCGACGTCTTCAGAATCTCATGAGGGGTGACCATTGGGCCTTCGACTTCGAGCATATTCTCTTCAATCACAAAGTGCTTGCGCCACAGGTCGACGATGTTGGCATTTAGGGCGCATCCAGGCGGGCCGTAGTCGTAGAAACCAGCGACACCGCCGTAGATCTCGAAGGAGGGGGTATAGAACAGGGTGCGGCGAAGCAGGCCGTCGAGCTCGGCACGGCTGAAGGGCTTGCCCTTGAGGGTGGTCATCTCAGGGGCCATGGCTGAGGATTGGTTCTGAAGGCGACGGGGAGGGACGATTTGAGCTCGGCGTGAAACGGGCGAAGTAGAAAAGCGTCGAGCGACTAAGAAGGTGGGCCGAATCGAAAGAAAACTGTGGCTGAATCTTACGAAAAACGGCGCCACCATTCAGTCATGAAAGGGAAAAGAAAGGGAATGAAGCCTGGGGCGACCGTATGGAAGAAGCCAAGGGTCGCAATTCGCCAGGAGGGGGTGAGAGAGTGTGCGTTGGTGGTATCGGGTGGGGCTTAAGACGGGGAAGCCAGATGCGGTTTCATAAATTCTTTACTTTATTTGGGCTCGTGACTCACCAAGGATAAGAGATGCCAAGCGATTAGATGGATAAGATAAGATAGGCTTTTCCGACTCATCACCGAGGAACCTAGAAGGGCACCGCTTTACGGGCGACGTATATTGCTACAGACAGTGCACAATTCATGTCCCGTGTACAGCTCTGAGGCGACGACGTGCAGGATCCGTCCTGAGCACTATGCCTCGACATCTCTGACAGTCCTCTCTGACAGCATCGTTATGCATCCAGGAACAGCAGAGTGAAAATGGTCGATGCAGATACTTTATTACAATAGCGGCAGTCCATCTTCTGTACGGTAACCTTGCAGCCTTTGCATTCTCCCTTTTATGAGAAGTCAGAAGCACCTGTACGGTCTGGGAATAGGATTGGAAATAAGGTAGCCGCGCGGTTACGGGTCGTGGACGACCTACCCTGGAGCAAGACCCTGTTGAATATGCATGCTGGACACAATGGGAAATGGCTCCTCGATGGATCCAAGCGGTTCCGTCTCGAGGCAGGTTTGGGACATATCTGTAGTCTCAGAGTCTGACTTGTGAACGTCCCACTACTTGATGAACCCCCTAGAATGGGTGCAGACAAGGTCCCACCAGTGCCAACAGAGTTGTTAGACCAGACTATGTACATACAACGGACTACAATCTCGTAGTTCCCCATCCCCTGGTAGTCTTGTATCACGCGGACTCGCCAGACCGCCTCGCATGCAGGTGCCGTGCCATAGTCTAGGGTGCTCACCACCTGTGAGGCGCACCGCGGGGCGCGCCTGGAACCAAGTCGGCGAGCTGACCGCAGTGCAGAGGCAGTAAAAGGGACATGATTGTCCACGACAAGAATCCACAAGGGAGACGTGTCTCCAGCGAGTGTGTCCCATGCCGTCGCCGCATCGCCTCGGCGCCACCGCATGGCCCCATCTTGGACACTGGGTTTGTATTAGAAACACAAGACATGTGCACACAGGTACATATAAAGCGAGCTGCCTGTGCCGAAGTTGCTACTTTTTGAGAATACTATCCGGTATATTGCGGCAGTTGACGCAATTCGACAGTTTCGCCGACCAACTCCAACAAAGAGTCAGTCAACAAGCAATCCAGATCGCGAACGGGACAAGACAAGCACGACCACAAGCACAAGCCAATTGCTTTACAGAAGATCCTCTCTTCACAACCTTCATTATTAATCGACCGGAGCATCCCCGCTGAGCCTAGTGTACATACTCAACTGCTGCAACCGCAACTCGGAATAGCCGCGCAACCAGCTGCAAGGCACGCTTCACCGTTCACGCCCACTCCCACTCGTGTGATCGCAGCCGAGCATCCAGATCAAGAGTCCTCCATTACCAGTCACCAGCCCCGTGGCGATTAAATACTTAAGACGCTTTAACCCCAGCTCCGATCCGGACTAAGGTTAATCTCGGCCTTAAGTCGCCAGCTTCGATAAGAAAGGCGGGTGGGCCCAGCACCTGCTCGACTGCCAACAACCTTCGACCAGGCGCCACCACCTCTTCGTCATCCATCCTAGCGAGGACCCAGGCACCGCTCCTATTTAGACGCCAGCTTGCCCCATCTTCACTTCTACTCTCCTTCCTACCCACAGGACAACTTCACCCTCTGCTCACCTCATTCCATCACTTTCGACTTGGCCGCTAGATAACGACCTCGGCATAAGACCACCTACCACTACCAGCCCACCTCTACCTCTGTTCATCACAACCACAACCACAACCATGCGCCGCACATCCAGCACCTCAAGCCTGACCGCAACCTCCTCCTCCTCCTCCTCCGCCGAAGAAGAAACCATGCAAATCTTCGTCAAAGACGTCTCAGGCCACAACAGTTCGTCCCCTCCCCTCCCCTCCCTCTCTTGACCAAACCCACCACTAACACCCTCCCCCCACAGCAATCCCACTCACCCTCCCGCCCACAACCACAATCTCAACCCTCACGACCCTCCTCTCCCTCCACTCGCACCTCCCCGCCTCCATCCGCCTCGTCCACGCCGGAAAACACCTCTCCACCCCCTCGGCAACCCTCGCCTCATACGCCCTGCCCCCCAACGCAACCCTGCACATGGCCCTGCCCCTGCGCGGCGGCATGCCCCCCAAGAAGATCCGGTGCTCGTTCAAGACGTGCAAGGACGCGGCGCAGCGCATCGTCGGCGACTGTGGGTTCTGCCAGGGGCATTTTTGCGGGAAACACAGGTTGCTCGAGGAGCACAAGTGCGAGGGGTTGGAGGATTGCAAGAAGGAGAGTTATGAGAGGAATGCTGAGAGGTTGGAGAAGGAGAGGACGGTTGCTATCAAGGGGGTGTGAGCAATGAGCGATCGTCATAGAGGAATGGATGGGTGGAGACGGTGCGAAGCGTTTCCATTCATCGGCTTTTTTTCTTTTCTCTTCTGTGGGTTCTTCGACGTATCTGTCGTAGGGGTATTGGGTCTTTGGGTTAGCGGGCCGGTGCATGGGCGTTTTCCTCCCCCAGCCATGGATGCTGTTTTTCACACAGTAGGCTATTCTTAATGCATGTATTGGGTGTTTAGATTTCGTGGTCACTGCAATACATCAATCTTGACTCTTATTACTCTTATCTCATTATATTGAATGGATTATCAAGACGTGCATGATGATGCTATTCAGGGGAGAGCTGGGAGTTACGAGTCCATTTTCTGATCATTACTCACGTGCCCGCCCGTCAAGAGCGAAACCCTCTATATCATCCAGTCTAAATAACAAAACCCAAACCAATGCAATCCCCTCTTCCTTACCTTCCTCGCCATAACTAATCTCGTATTAATCCCCTTATATCTTCCCTCATAACCCAAATTACAATCCCATCCAACAAGCCAACAAACCAACAAACGCCACCCAATGCCCGAACCCCACCTCCCCACAACCCATCCAACACAAAAACAGACCCCCTCCCTACGGCCCTAACCTCACCCCCTCCTTCCCCGTCCCCGTCAGCGTCCCCGTCGCCGCGGACCGAGGCAACGGACTCGTCGGCCCCGCGCCGCCCGATGCAGTGCTGCTAGGCAAAACGCCATACCGGCCGTACGTCTTCTGGTCTACGGAGACGTAGTGCGGCAGGCGGCCCAGGAGGTTGAGTTTGGCTTCGAGCCAGCGGAGGAGTTTCTCGGGGGGCACGAGGAATTTGATGGTGTTTGTTGCCCCTGAATTTCTTTTGTTCAGTTTGACAGCTTGGGGAGGGGAGGATAAAAGGGAGGGAGGGATTCAGGGAGAAGATAGGGGGACGTACAGAGGTATCCGATCCCTGCGCCGCACAGGTGCCCGATGAGGCTGACGTTGGGGACGAGGATGCTGGTCAGGAGGATGAGGATGAGGGGGGTCGTCCAGGTGGGGATTTTGTAGGGTCCGATGCTGGGATTCGTCGATCAGATATAGACATCAAATCAGATTTGGGAACGGGGCTACCTGAAGTGCGGATTCGCCTTGTGGGTTTTCATGGCTTCCGAGGCGAGGAGGAGGAATACCCAGATACTGTTTTTACGGATCAGTTTATGTCTGGATGGAGACGTATGATTCGGGCACAGAGTGTGTACCTTGCGCCCATGACGGTCGTGTTGCTTCGGAGTATGAATTTCTCGAGCAGCGTGTAGATGCCGCCTGGGAGGGTGCCAAATGCTGGTCATTCACTCGTTAGGTCTATGTGTTTTTATTGTCTTAGAGGTGTCGATTCTTACGTCCGGTGAAGAGAAGCAATGTAACCAGCGTGCCGAACTCGGATTCGAAGCGCTCGAGGAGAGGGGCTAGGGCGATGATGTTGAAGATCATGTGGAAGAAGCCGAGGTGGATGAGGGGGAAGAGGTTTAGGCGGTGCACTGGGGGGGTGCGAAGTTAGCTGGGAGGCTCTGGAGACGAAACATATGCCGTCTTTCAACGCCGTATGCATATACCCAGAAAAGCCATGTATTCATCCTGACCGAGTTCAACTGCCATCCTCAATCGGATATTCCCAGTCTTTGTTCTTGTCGCGTCTTATCTCTACTCCCTCTTTCCCAGCATTCAGAGATACAAAATCCACCTACTCGTCCCGAAATTCACCTTATCCGGTTCCAGGCTCGCCCATTCTCTCAACCATGCAAAAGGTATCGTCGCAACCCATAGCGCAACAATAATCGTCAGAAGCACTCGTGTGCACAGGGGTAAGCGCAGGACGTAGGATCGTATGCGCAACGGATTGAACTGGGGAAACGACGGCATCGCGAGACGGCCGGAGCAAAAAGACGCGGTCGCGGAAAGACCGTGCTCTTACGGAGGGAGGTTCGAGGTCCGGAACGGTCGCTTTCGTGGCCGTGCGACTCTCACCACGCGCGGATCGGATGCACGTCGTTGAGATGGGACCAGGGTCCCGGCCGGGGGTGGAGGCGCTAGCGACCATCAATCAGAACCTCCGAGACGCCGCATCCAGCAGCTGTGAAGAGCCGCAACACCACGCCGGATGGGACGGGCAGTATGGCCTTGTTAGGTGAGTCGGAGTGATTTCAATCCGAGATGTACAGCCTCTAACTGCTACAGCGACGTTACTGGCGCTCCGCAAGGACCCCCGCATCCAACGGCTTCCACCATACCTCTCCCTCATCTTTATCATTGTCGGCGTTGCCTGGCTTCTGCTGCTCCCTCTGGACGAGTATTCGCGGGAGACGTACGTGTCGGAAAATGCATTGCTGCCGGGACAGGTGCATACCTACTTCACGGGGAGCGAGCACAATATCTTTCGAGCATACAGGCACGAGGTTGCGGCTCTGGCAGACAAGCCCGTCGAGGAGTGAGCATTATGATTCAATTGGTTTTGGAAGATCATGGTTAACAAGAGATTAGGAGGTCCCGCGCTTTGACAGATATCTTCCGTTCGCACAATTTGAAGGCTGCTACGCAGAAGTACACGTACCAACCGTCGGGTCGCAACATCACCAACCAGAATGTATATGCCGTTCTTCAAGGCCCTCGCGCGGACGCAACCGAAGCCCTTGTCCTGATTGCAGCATGGAGAAACATGGATGGCGAAGTCAACTATAGCGGGGTGGCTCTTGTGTTGACGCTCGCCCGGTATTTCAAGAGGTGGAGTCTCTGGTCCAAGGACATCATCTTTCTGATATCTGGCGACAGCACCTCGGGCCCCCAAGCCTGGGTGGATGCGTACCACAACTCGCATTCGCCGGCTGCCATAGACCCTCTTCCCATCAAGAGCGGTGCGCTGCAGGGCGCCATTGCTATCGACTATCCCGCCGGTCCGTGGGGCCACCGCTTCGACAAGCTGCACATCATGTACGACGGCGTCAACGGGCAATTGAGCAATCTTGATCTCTTTAACACTGCCGTTAATATTGCCAATGGGCAGATGGGCATCGGGTGCACGCTGCAGCGCATGTGGTCGCACAAAAACACCTACCAGGACCGACTTCAGACAATGCTCCGGGGCATGCTGAGCCAGGGGCTTGGCCACGCTTCCGGTCCTCACAGTGCCTTCATCCCCTATCACGTCGATGCCATCACGCTCCAGACGGTTGGAGACGGCTGGCACGACGAAATGAGCCTTGGACGCACCGTCGAGTCGCTCTTCCGCAGCTTGAACAATCTGCTCGAACATCTGCATCAAAGCTTCTTCTTCTACCTCTTGCTGCATTCGATGCGCTTTGTTAGCATCGGCACCTACCTCCCCAGCGCCATGCTCCTCGCAGCGAGCTTCTCCATCTCGGCCATCGCATTATGGGTACAAAGCGGACGCCCAGATCTGGACACCCCAGTGCCCAACCCTGCCTCCACGCACCCTTCACCGCAGGAAAAGAAGAGTCCCTCGATAGAAGAAGAAAAGAAGCCTACCGCGATGACCGAAGTCCACCTCGACACCCACAAAACCCTCATCCCCTCCGCCCTCCTCACCACCACCGAACGCTCCCTCCTCTACCCCACCCTCTTCACCCTCCTCTCCCACACCCTCGGCCTCCTCCCCCTCTACCTCTTCAACAACACCCCACCCTCCTACCTCCCCACCCTCCTCAACCTCTCCCTCGTCCTCTCCCCCGCCCTCCCCCTCCTAACCGCCTCCTTCCTCTCCTCCTCCCCGCCCCTCCGCCCCACATCCCAACAAACAACCCTCATCCAATCCTTCTCCCTCCTCCTCCTAGGCATGTTCCTCGCCGCCCTCGCAACCCTAAACTTCAGCCTCGCCTTCCTCGTCGGCTGTCTCTGCTCCCCGCTCGCCTTCACGCGGTACCTCCCCGGTAAGAAAATCGCTAGCGCCGCGCAGACGCTGCTTCTCGCTGCCTTGAATCCCGTCGTCGTGATACGAGCGGCGTGCTGGTTCTGGGGAGCGGATGTAGGCGATGTGGTGGTTCGCGCGGCCGAGGGGTGGCATGTTTGGGGTTTGTGGACCCAGGTCGTTGTTTGGGAGGTTTGGTGGCCGGCGTGGTTTGCGGGTGGTGTGGTTGTGGGGAGGGGGCTGTTTTCGTGATTTTTTTTTAGAGAAGAGGTGGTGCGGGTGGGATGGGTGTTGTGGGGAGAAGGGGGTAGGAAGAGGTGCTTTGAGGCATGGCGGTGGGATTTGTCGCTTTATTGAGGGCACACCATCAAAGCATTGAAGCATTGGTCTGGAGCATGTTTCGTGGGCATACCTAAAGTCACCCGATTATGAAAATGCGGTCAGGGAACTAATGCTGGTTTGTCCCTGGCTTAGATTTTTCAACTCTCACTGTCCCTATCTTGCGTTCCACGCCCTCCTGGAACCGGTCAGTTTACCAATCTTTTGAAGTTGCACGTGTTAGACCAGACTGGGGTTGCATCGCTTCCCCTTTTTCGATACCAGATTGCAATGTAGGGACCTCGACCTGGCATCATGTTCATTACGCTAGGCCATTATCTATCATGATATGGGCGTCCCGCTCTCGGGACAAAAGGGCGCCGTCCCTCAAACACCCTTCATTCCCGTCTATCTCGTCCTCATGCCGCGCCATCACCATCACCTCATATCCACGCAGACAGCTCTAAGCAGCCCAAACGTCTTTACCCACCCCTTCGATCCAGTTACCCAGCTGGTTGACACTGGAATCCCACTCCCGGAGCCTATTCCTCATGCTCTCGATCTGCTTCTTGTCCAGCACCTTGGGCTGCACCCAGTTGATGTTGGCCACCTCGGCAACCTGGTCTATCGTCCCTTTGATCAAGCCCAAGCTCAACGCCTTCATAATCAGATGCTCCACATCTTCCTTCTGCACGCTCGTCTCCTTGGCAATCGTGTCGAACGTCATGGCGCGGTCATGCGGCGGGCGTCGGAACACGGCTTCCGTCAAGGCGGCGAGCGAAGACTTCTGGTACAGAAATTTCTGGTGCTCCTTGAGTAGAGGCATTTTGTTGATGTTGTTGGCGAGCATCTTGTACGCTCGCAGGTCGCCGCTGTTGAATGCGAAGAGCAGATCGCGCAGCCACGAGTGCTCTGTATCTTTGAGGGAGTTGAGGATGGGGTGCAGCAGGAGCTCGCCGAAGTTGTATATGCTGTCGGAGACCAGGGCCGCGATGCTGAGGTCGTAAGCCCGGGACTGTAATTCCCACTCTTCGAGATCTTCTAGGTCGACGCATGCTAGATAGAGGAGAGCGTTCTTGTAGTATGATGCGAACTCGTTTTGCCGCTAGATGTTGTTAGTCATAAGAGCCTTGTTGAAGGACCGAGAAACATACCTTGTAGTACTCCGCGCACGCACGGTAGAAGGCCGCATGCACAATGTTCTCCACCGAGTCGAACGTGTCTAATATGCGCTCGCACTCGTCCAGATTCTTCTTTGCAGCATCCAAATCCCTCTGGAAGAGCTGGAACTCGGCTACGGCGACTGTGGCGTAGACGTAGGCGTCTTGCGAGGCGGGTTTGTTGACCGACTTGGCTAGCGAGGCGAGGAATTCTGACCGTTCCTGCTCTCCTGCAAATTGTTAGAGCCTGATACATGGTAGGTAGCTTCTAGTCCTACCTCTGAGCTCTGCTGTGCTGAGTCCGAGCTGCACGAGCTTGAGCTGGTTGATCTTGTTTGCGAAGCTCTTGATGAACACATCGAATAGCGGTATCCGTTGCTGCGCGCTGTGGGGTTGGTCGAAGTACTCGATGAGCTTGTCCGTCAGCTCGTGCCACAGTTTCCGCTCCCAGTAATCCTCAAAGTCGATGAAGTAGTGTTGCAGCTCATCTGGCGCCTGATCCCGTTGCTCTTGGAGAAGGTTCGGGATCGTATCGGGGTCCATGTCGAGCGCCTACTGTACTGCGTAGTTCTTGAGAGGAAACGGGAGCTCGGAAGACTGAATGACGGAACCAAATTGGCAAATGAGAACGGAACAATGTACTGAGAGTTAGAGTGATCGCTGTGGTTGCGGGATGTTGAGAGCTTCAGGCTTGGCGCTTCTCTTCGGCAAATCGTAAAGCCGGATCCGAGTCTCCGCCGACGTCTGCAATTGAAGCTCCAAGACAGCTCCCACGTATACCAGCAATTGAACGCCTTAACCATGGCCTTGCCTCGCCACTGTGCCCGCTCCGGAGCGGCATTGACGGCCCAGTCCCCCTATGTGCTGTCGCTGTCGACCGTCTCCAAGGTGGGCCGACGATATATCAACCAGGATGTGCGCATCACAAGAACCGGAAAGCCTATCCTGACCGTGTCTGGCGGCCGGTATGTTGAAGGGTGCTTCGAATTGGCAGACTGGGCGCTGACCTTTGTATTAGATCTTCCCTTGGAGGTATTCTGACCCGACAGCTATCGTATGACGTACCGCTCACGCTTCCCTCTCAGGATATACCGCAACGGTTTTCGGCGCAACTGGCTTCCTAGGACGATATATTGTCAACCGACTAGGTAGAGATGGGTGCTCTGTTGCGAGTGGCAGGACGCTGATGGTTGCACAGCTCGGTCAGGATGCACAGTTGTTGTCCCGTATCGCGAGGAGATGACGAAGCGACATCTGAAAGTCGCCGGAGATTTGGGCAGAGTGATCTTCATTGTGCGGCAAACCCGATGATCGAGAGGGAATGATTGATTAATGTTCTTCTAGGAAATGGACCTCCGAAACACACCCTCAATCGAGGAAAGCGTTCGGCATTCCGACATTGTGTACAACCTCATCGGGCGCGACTATCCCACGAAGTACGTTCACGGCACGAGGCAGCAGATTCTTTACTAATATTCTAAAGAAACTTCTCCCTTCAGGATGTCCATGTTGAGGGAACCGAGCGCATCGTGGAAGCCGTAGCGAAGTATGACATTGACCGATATGTCCATGTCTCCTCATACAATGCTCATCCCGAGCACCCCGCAGAATTCTTCCGCACCAAAGGTCTGGGAGAACGAGTTGCCCGAGAGATCTACCCTGAGACGACCATTGTCCGCCCGGCACCCATGTTTGGCTTCGAGGACCGTCTGCTCAACAGGCTTGCCAACGCGGCGAACGTCATCACCTCCAATCACTTACAGGAAGTTATCCGACCCGTTCACGTCATTGATGTCGCCTCCGGTCTTGAGAACATGCTCCACGACGACACCACCACTGCGCAAACCTTTGAGCTGTATGGGCCAACCGAATATTCGATGCGTGAACTCAACGAGATAGTTGAGAAGGAAACCCTGAAGAAGAGGCGCCACATCAACCTCCCGGAGAAAATAGCGAGACCCCTGTTCAAGTATCTCAACAAGGCTCTCTGGTGGCCCGTCCGGTCAGAACCGGAAGTGGAGCGCGAGTTCTACAACCAAGTCGTCGACGAGAATGCGAAGACGTTTAGGGACCTGGAGATCGAGCCCGTCGAGCTGAACACTCTCACATACCAATATCTCAAGGGTTATCGCAGCGAAGCCTACTATGATTTGCCGCCCATGACGGAAAAAGAGAGGAGGGAGGAGAAGAAGTACCTGCACGTTCTTGATGATCAATAGAAAACGCATGGGTGGAGCGTTAGATGAATGTACATATTCCCTCGAGTTGGTCGAATGGGACCCGGTAGAGCTAACACGTTTCCTTTGTGTTCTATATTCTGTCTCATCAACCACTGAAATCATTGTCAAAACCCAATACTCCCTCATCTTTGCAGTTTTTATGCATTTAACCCTCGCAGCCTTTACTCATACAGAGCGGCCATTCTCATCTGCACATACTCCCACGCCGTTACAGCTTCATACTTCTTTGGATTCTTTTCCTCATCCCAACATCCTGGCAACGCCTCAATCACCGTGTCCGGATCCGCAGTCGCGAAAAAGGGAATGCTATATCTACCCGGAAGGACCCCTTCTTTCTCCGCCGTCTTCCCAGCAGAATCCGGAACCCCAACGCGATGAATAGTCGACTTCCACCTATCATTCGACCATCTAGCCATGAGGTCTCCAATATTCACCAGAATGGTGCCTGGGATCGGGATCGCAGGACGCCATTTCGTGGGATCCTTTGGGTCCTGGATTTCGAGACCGCCGGCGGAGTCCTGGAGGAGGAGAGTCAAGGTGCCAAAGTCGGAGTGGGGGGTTATGCGTTTCTTGGTTCCTGACTGGAGGTCTGAGATGGGGATGGGAGGGTAGTGGAGGAGGCGGAGTTGGAAGAGGGAGGATTTGTGGGTTGTGGAGAGGTAGGTGGGGTCTTGGAGGGAGAGGGAGAGGGAGAGTGCGTTGAGGACTTGGTGGGTTAGGTCTTGGAGGGAGTGGAAGAGGGTGAGGGTCTTGGGACGGAAGGTAGGGAGTGGGAAGGGTGGGGTGGGGGGCCAGATGTTGGGTTGGGTTGAGTCGGTGGGGTTGCCGATGTCGTAGGATTCTTTGGCGTCTGGGATCTGTGATTGTGATTGTTAGGTATGGCGTGAGAGTAGGAATGTATGAATGTCTGGGCGGTGTACAAAGAGCAGAAAAGCAGCATGGAATAAGAGAAGCACACAGGGAAACTCCTAGAGGAACAAGAATAATAGGGGTATGAAATGTACAAGAGACAGATCACCCACCTCTCTCAACTTGGCAATCTCTCCTTTTCCAAACACATCTTGACTCACTTTCTCCACCCCCGGAGCGGAATAACCCCGATGGTGAGTTCCGCCTGGTGGATGCGGAGCGAGCATTTTCGTCTCCATGGGGAGGTCAAAGAACTCTTTGGACTGTGACACCTTCCAGTCAGCGACCCAGTAGCATCATAGGCTTCTCTATAACCTCCTCGAATATACCTCTTGAGTCGTATGTCCACGCTTTGGCGATTGCGAATGGGATAGAAGGGCTGTGATAAACATACCACTTCAAATGCGTCTTCTATTATTTTGCTTTCCACGCCATGTCCCTTCAGATACACAAACCCCACAGAGCGAAAAGCGTCATCGATTTGTCTCGCTACTTCGCTCCGTTCTTCCTTCGTACCGTGAAGGAAGCCGCTGAAGTCGACGACGGGAATGATGTCATCGGATGCCCGTCGTTGTGTTGAAGACGCCATCTCGGCGGATTATTCTAAAGTCCCGGATACTCCGAAAGTATGGAGTTGAGGATTTAGGGAAGCGGAGGTGACGTTGAGTTAGTGAGGTGAGGGTAGCTCCTCGCGTGGACTTGAGTAACACGTTGGAATGACAGGAAGGACCGAGGGTGAAGCACAACTACTGTCGATGATCAGGCAAGCTGAACAGCAAGGAGAGAAGAATGGGAAGTCGTAATCTCTTATGCAGCTCACCTGAATCCTACCCGCATTGGAAGGTTGAGTAGGTAATGCTGCATAAGCGTGTTCGTGGTGGTACAGGAGGCGGGGCACATGATAACTATTAACGTAAATCTAACTTGCCAAATAACTCATGAGGTTTTTGAATGCATGACAGCGGATACTAACAATATGATGGCATTTCTATGCTATTCTTACAATATCCCTTAGAAGGGGTATGCAACTATGCCGTGCTGGTTTCACCAGTTGTTTTCGTCGTCTCTTCGTGCTCGCTGTGATCAGAAAGCTGATCAAGATCGTTGGCAGGCTCTCCTTCTTCCTCTGGGCGCACATCGCCATCTGCTTCTGATCCTGCTATGCTGTCGGCTTGGGGAGTTGCCTCGAGTTCACTCCTGAGAACTCCGCCCTTCCTCTTTGGAAGAACCTCCATGAAAGCCTTTCCCCAATCTCCAAATTCCAGCCACTTCAGCATAATCTCAAGCACATGATTCGTCACCAAGACTTGCCGGCTCTTCATGTGCAAGAACTCGCCAATTGGTAGTTTGGCCGTCTTGATGCCCCTGTTTAGGGCGCGCTTGTAGCAAAGTCCCTTGTGCCGATTTTTGTCGACAAGTCCACCAATGATGTACGTGCTGTTCGGCTTGAGTCTCTCCAGGACGACGTCGCTTTCGCTAGAGAGATAGACAATCTCGCCGCCTTCTTCTTCTTCTTCTTTTTCTTCTTCTTTTTCTTCACTTTGGTCGTCCTGTTCGGCGAGGGCCCCGGCAATCGCGCCACCTGCACTTCCACCCATCCACTCCTTCGCCTTCTCCGCTACTTCGACGAAATCCTCGGAGAAGAAACGCACCCCCTTCCAGGAGGTATACTGTTTGGCCAAGATCCCATCGAACCTTTCCTTCATCTTTCCACCAAATGACGAGATAGCCAGATGAGTTTGATACTTCGCTTTTCGGTTATCGGAATAACATCTCGTGATCTGCAAACCCAGGGACTTCATTTCATTATCGAACATAAAGTCCTCAAAAGCACAATCGAAGATCACTGTAATCGGAACCTGAGTCCCCCTCTTGGGTGAAGGGCCCTTTGGTTTCGGGACAACGGCTCCAGCTGCTGCTCCACCGGAACCAGCTTCAGCATTTTGCTGTCGTCGTTCTTCTCGCCTGCGTTCCTTCTTGGCTTTGATTTTCTCCTTGCGCTTGATTTTGCGGTCTTCGCGGCCGGCTTCCCATGCCTCAAGACGTCTCTGCTTTTTCAATTGGTTTTTGGACAACTTGGGGGTCGTATCTGCTTCGCCTTGGGTAGATTTCGTCTCCTCGTTTGGCGTTTCTGGTATCGCGGAATCCTCGTGACCTTGCTGATCTGGGTGTTCGTTCTCAACGGGCGCCGACACAGGTTCCTCATTATGATCCAGCTTCCGAATTTTGCTAGGCCGTTCCTCGGGTTCCATTTTGCCTGCACGTAGGAGTCGAAAAAAAATCGAGGGTCGAAAGAACCGCAGCTGCCGTTGATCTCGAAAACTTGCTGACATAATCTATCTAGCGCGCCCGCCAAGCATCTCCAAACCCCAAGCTCCAACCCAACCTCACCTCATCCTGGCGGCCTTTCCCCCGCAATTGAAACCTCCTGAACGTTCGCCCATCATGCCTCAGGACATGCCGCCCACGGGCGGCTACGCCCCCGTGCAATACCGCCGAAACCTCCCTGCCCGCGGCTTCCGTCCCGCCGTTTACGTGCTCGCGACCTTCGGGATCATGACATATGGGTTTTATAGAGCTGGACAGGGCATCAGAGAGCATAAGTGCGGAGACCCAGGGTTTTTGGAGTATATTGGACTGGAGTGCTGACGAATTGCCAGCGAGTTGGCGAGAGAGAAGATGTGGGCGCGGATACATCTCATTCCGGCGTTGCAAGCGGAGGAAGATCGGGATCAAGTGAGGAGGTATTTGGCGGATAGGGCGAGAGAGAAGGAGCTTTTGGGGACGGAGACGAAGGTTTACAACAGCGACCGGTATGTGATGAGCTTGGGAGGGTTCTTCTGCGGGCAATTGGCTGACACAGTATGTCCAGGTTTGTCCGACCGACATTTGCGGTTACGCCGGAGCATGTTACGAAATAGAGCATCTTGGGAGGGAGGAGGTGTAGGAGTGCGTACATGGGGTGTGCCGCGCAGGCCATCTCGAGGAAGACTTTCCTCACTGTATCAGGTTCCACAATCAAGTTTCATTTCACTCATCAATCTACTGACCATTGGCCCTCGTGCGAAAGTGATCGCAACTATGCAGTCACGCAGTTGACAGAACATGTGGTCTGCACGGGAAATAAAGAACCAGCCAAAGTTCAACTAGCCAAGTCAAAAGACATTGCAAGTACCTTTACTTTCTGTTAGCTATATAGCTCTGATGATCCAGTTCCCTCAACAGTAATTAAGACGCTGTGGCAGAATGGGACCTCGCTCAGGCGCACAGCTGTGCACTCGCTGATACTATCCTACCCCATCGTGAAGTGGGATGCAGCGAATAGTGCTCGCAGTGACATTTGCCCTGAGCGTTTCCGAATGGCACTCTACAACTCACAAAACACATCCACGGATATCACGTCTCGTCGGTCATGCTTCCAAGGCACTTACAACATCATGGACCCCGCGCTCCATTCGTCCGCCGTACAAGATCATGCCACATGCTTTCTTTCAAGAAGGACCTGTTCTCTCAGATCTGGATGACGGGTCTAATCGTAGCACGCCGGTCTTGGTGGCGGCACTTCATCCCTGCCACGAGCATCTGGAACCTCCATGTGTACCTAGAACATTCCCAGAGAAGGATCAGGGAGGAAAGGTTCCAGAAGATTGACGGGATTGAGGAATGTGGCGTGGTTTGGCGCTGCGCGTGTCACCGCGCAAGAATGTATAAGTACGATGAGGGGATAGCAAGGGAGGAACCCAAAGAATTATATAGGGAGACGGGATATCGAGTTAGGGGACGTTTGTGGGATTGCGAGGGTCGATTTCTTTGGCCAGTCATTCGTTCTATCGGTCGCTCGTTTCTTAAAACTGCAGAGGAAGCATTTGATGTTGGAGTCGAACATGAAGATGCCTTCGAGAAAGGTACGTCCCGCGTCCTGTCTCCCACTCCACCCCACCCTAAAACCAGAACTCTCTGGAACTATCTAATAATGATCATCAACAGAGTCGCTTTTTCTGCCTCGCTCTTGCCTGCATCCTCACAGGTAACATCGCCAGCGCACAGAACGAGGACACGGGTCCGATATGTGGCCGCGTATGCCAGGGGATGCGGTATGAGATTGCCAGAATTAGAGAGAGTTTGGACTGGTTAGAGGCGCAGTTGGTATGGTGCCTGGTTTTTATTCGTCTTTCTTTGATGGCAAGAGGAGGCTAGGTATAAAGGAGGAAGCGATCCGCATTGGGCTATCAAGACGGAGAGGGGGTGACGTGGATGTGGCGCTGCACCGCCACAATCACCATTCAATGTCTAAGTATCGTCCTTGAAGCTGCTTCGCCTTTGAACCTGGAAAGGATTGCGAATTGATAAAGAGATATCCACTGCGTGCAATTACCATACAATTGGTACGAGTGGCAGGAACAGCGCTGTGGGCATAACTGTGCCTTCCCATCACTATTTCCCAGATCTAACCTTTCGTCCATTTTAGTATTTCATCCCAGCCGAAAACCCAGATTTCCCCAACCTTCCGACTTGCGTTCCTCCCGACGAACCCGCGGATCCGCCAACAATAGCTACATACGACAGCAATCTCAAGAGTACACCCAAACCTCTAGATCAGCAATCTCGAGCAGTCTCACCGAGTCTGACGTTCGGTACCTCCACACCGAAACTCGTTCCTGCTAAAACGAATTTTGTTTCTGCAATCGAGGATCCTGTGACGTTCCCCAAAGTTTCGAGCAAGCCTGTTGTTCAACAAACGTCGAGTTTTAAGATGTCGTCAGGCCACGCAGAGTCTACCCCCATTGCACAAGGGCCCTCATCTTCCGTCGTTCAGGGGCTGGCTCAAACACCAGTTGCTGCAAAGCCATCCGGGGGATTCAGAAGTGTAGCTTATTTTACGAATTGGGTGCGTACATTTCTTTCTTCACGTTCGCTTGGACTGTACTGTTCCATGCCATCACTGTCTTGAGCTTCCGCTTTTGTTTATGTTTACTTGAGAGTTGCAAGTTGAATGTTGAACATATCTGCTTCCTTCTTCCAAAATCTCTTTTGTGTCGTAGTCTTTCCTTGCTCCCAGAATATCTACTTCGTTGCCTTCCTTTTCTTGCTGGCACAAAATCAAGCCCTTTCCTTTCGCCATTTCTCAACCTTTATAAATTGCTTTTTCTTTCTTCTCTCAAATCTCCGAACTTCCACTGACAATGCATAGGGCATCTACGGCCGCAACTACCCGCCCTCCAAAATCCCCGCCGAGAAACTAACCCACGTCCTCTACGCCTTCGCCGACAACAAACCCGACGGCACCGTCTTCCTCACCGACACCTGGTCCGACCTGGAAAAGCACTACGAAGGCGACTCCTGGAACGACGTCGGCACAAACATGTACGGCAACCTCAAACAACTCAACCTCCTGAAGCGCCGCAACCGCAACCTCAAGATCCTCCTCAGCATCGGCGGCTGGACCTATACGAACACAAACAAACACTTGGATGAACCAGCGGGAAATCGAGAAGGGCGGCTGCGATTCGCGAAAAGCTGCGTCCAGCTGATCAAAGACATGGGCTTCGACGGCATAGACATCGATTGGGAGTATCCCCAGAACCCAGGTCAGGGAGAACAACTGCTCCTCCTCCTCCAAGCCATCCGCGAGGAAATGGACGCCTACGCTCGATCCCTAGTTACCCGCCATGGATACCCCCGAGCGCCGCACTTCGAACTCAGCATCGCTGCTCCAGCGGGGAAGACGAATTACCAGAACCTCCCCCTCGATCGATTAGCGGGTGTGTTGGACTTCATCAACCTCATGGCCTACGACTACTCGGGCGCCTGGGAAACCGCCACGTCCCACCAGGCGAACCTCTACGCCTCGCAGTCGAACCCCCGCTCCACGCCCTTCAACACGCACGGCGTCATAAACGACTACCTCGCCGCGGGCGTGCCGAGCGAGAAAATCGTCCTGGGGATGCCGCTGTATGGTCGCGCGTTTCCCCATACCGAGGGCATGGGGAAACCGTTTGGGGGCGTCGGCGATGGCGATTGGGAGAAGGGCATCTGGGATTATAAAAACCTGCCGAAGCCGGGGTCGCAGCTGCTGTATGATAGCGAGGCGGAGGCGCATTATTCGTGGGATCCGGCGAATGGCGGGACGGTGATTACGTATGGTGAGTTTTTTCTTCTGTGCCTTGTTTCTTTTGGGTGGAGAGGTGCGGTTTGGGTTTGTCTGTGGAGAAGTCGAAATGATGACGGAGATTGAAGAGGAAGATGGAGAATGCTAATGCGACGAATCGCAGATACACCCTTCATCGCGCAACGGAAAGCCGATTACATTGTCCAGCGCAAACTCGGCGGCGCCATGTGGTGGGAACTCAGCGGAGACCGCCCCGTGACGGACGCGAATAGTCTTATTCTCAACGTACGTTTTGACCTTTGCTGCCCCTTGCTTGGCCTTTGACTCCATGTCTTACTCATTTCCTATGCTAACTCCCCGGCGTCAGACACTGAACCGCCTTACCACCGCGCCCAATAACGGCAAGATCAGCTTCAGCGAAAACTGGGTCTGGTATCCGGACTCCAAGTTTGACAATCTGCGGACGGGGTTTCCAAAGGATAATGTCCCGATTGTGGAAATTTGACGAGTGGGCTTTGAAGGAGCACGGTGTTCAAGAGAAAATGCAGTTATAGGAATGGTAATGGGAATCTGATTTGTTTTCGTTTGAGATGCATGGACGAGACGAGCAGAAAGAGATTCAACTGTTCGAAGCAATGGTCTATAAGTAGGGGGTTGGGAATATCATCTCTCTCATTTCATCGCAGTGCAAATATGCAAGCAAAACGCCCGGCCATAACCATCATAACATGCCATGAAAAACACGAAGCAATTCGCACCGCAGGCGAAAGGTATCCATCAAAAGTTTTGGTTCTCCCACCGTGAGAACTATTGCCGATCTCTCGGAGCTGCGTACGTGAAACAGCTGCGACGCTCAACACTGGTGAGCAGTGGGGAAGAACCCATCCAGATGGTGCCTCAGAGTCGCACACGTAGTGCCTCCGGTAACAAAGACAGCGAACAACAGACGCCATAGTCGCAATTAGGGCGGCGAGGTATCCATCAGTGTTCAGCAACAAGGCAGACAAGCTTAATGCACCATAACATCTGCGTTATGGGCACCTTGTTGCTGCTGCGCCGCCTGCTGCGCGTTCTGTTGCTCGCCATTTGCACCAGGCTCCGACTCGTCCATCTCCATGTCGTCATCACCACCCTCTACGCCTTCCTCCTCTTCCTCGTCCTCACCTTCGCTCTCCTCGATGTCGATTTCCTCGCTGCCGGCCTCTTCATCTTCGTCTGCGGCGGGGCCGGCGGTGTCTTCGCCGCCTGCCATCTCGGCATCCTCGCCACCGGCAGCTGCACCCTCTTCTTCCTCCTCGTCTTCCTCCTCCTCCTCATCAGCGCCATACTGGTCCCCATCGGCGATGAGGTCGGCTTCCGGCTGCTCGGGTGGGAACTCTGGCGGCGCGGATTCTTCCGAATCCCTGCTTCTGTGAGCATGCAGGGCCTCCCCGGTATAGGATGGTAGTATACATACCATTTGATAGCAAACCGTGTAACCCTCGGCTTCTCCGCAAGGATATGCCGCCTCACCTTCTCGATGATGGGCTTCGCCGGGGGCTCCAGCTGCAGCGCCTCATCTTCATACTCGTTGTTGACGTAGTAGCCCACGCGGACGAACTCGCGGTCTTCGTATGAGGCGCTGAGAAGGATGACGGTGACGCCGATGATTTCGCTGTTAGGGATGCGGGAGAGGTCGGGCGCGTCGGCGCAGAAGAGGAACTTGTTGATGCCGACGGGAACGGGGCCGACGAGGACGGAGTCGAGCTCTTGGTCGTATTCGCTCCTGGAAGATTAATGTGTCAGCTTTGCGTATCTGGTAGCGAGAGAAGGGTAGTAGGCGGGGTAGGCATACGAGGTTGCGGAGCCGACGTAGGTGAGCTTCCACTCGAGATCTAGAGTGGGACGTATTAGTGAGTTGGATGGCGATTGAGGACGGTGGCGCACCTTTCTGCAGCTGCTCAAGGCACTCAAAAGTGATTTCAAACTCATACGGCGCGTTGAAGGGCGCGGGGTTGTTCCTGACCTCGACGCCGAGGAGAGAAACGACAGACATCTTGCTGGTTATAAAGAAATGTACGGAAGTGATTTGTGGCGGGGATGTTGTTACAGTTGTTGGGGAAGTTTGAGTGGGCTGGGTGGGAAGAGTGTTGTTGTGATGTGGGGAGAGGCGGAAAGGTGAGGGTGAAGTAATGAATCCCGCGTCGCGTCGCGTCGGGTGAAACCAATCTATTAAGATCGCGCCAAGACGCTAGCACCGAAAGAGTAATAATAGACCAAATCCATGAGACTCCAGATAGATACTCAACATAATAGTTCTGTGCTTTTACTAGACGTGTGGGCGTAAGTTCCTGATTCCTTCCATGTCGAGAGTTCTGCAGAATACCGCCTGTGCCCACCATTGCAATTGCCGACGTGTTGAAGGCTGTGATGCAGTCATGGGCGGCTGCTGTTCATAGGACTGCTCCATCCCCGTCTGCCACCATCTCTCGATGGCGTTCTACAGAAATGTATGCCGGTCCAGAGTTGGGATTACGTTTAGGAAGGATATTTCTCTTCGCTTTCGGTCTCCTAGCTGCAGGCGCCTCATCACTTCAACACCACCAGCCATAACGAACCTCGAACATGATCGTGAACTCTTTGAGTATACTTCTGGAAGATGGCTGTATGTTCTCCACCTCTACCATGCCAATCCTCTCGTTATTGATATTGTCAAATATAGCTACAACGAATCTCTCCGCTTAGCCGAGAGACGTTTAGTGTTCAACGTCGATGAACTCAAGAAAGCGGCCGCCAATGCCATGAACATGTCAGTGTCTGATATCGCCAACTTTTCCAAGCTTGCCGAAGGTGGCTTCAACCGCGTCTTTGAAATCTCGATGAAGGATGGGTCATCTATCCTCGCACGTCTTCCGTATCCTTCAACAATACCCCGACGACTAGCTGTAGCAAGCGAGGTCGCAACATTGGATTTCGTTCGCGCCCAAGGAGTCCCCACACCTCGCGTCCTAGGATATTCCGTCGACGATAATCCGGTAGGTTCCGAGTATATTCTGATGGAGAAACTGCCGGGAAGGCCTATAGGGGATGCATGGTATGAGCTTTCCGAGAAAGATAGGCTCAAAGTTCTATTCAAGACGGTGGAATTCGAAGCAAAACTGTTTGCCGCAAATCTACCTGCCAGTGGGAGCATATACTACGCTCGAGACCTTCCCCCTTCGATTCAAAAAGTGGACATCCCTGGATCCGCCGACGGGCTGTGTATCGGACCTTACGTTTCTGAAGAATGGTGGTTTGGTGAACGTGGACAGCTTAGAATTGACCGGGGTCCTCGTACGTCTCCCATATGCCATGTGGTAACCCTATGCTCAATGGCGTAGATGACGACTCTCTTGTTGTCCTTCGCAGCCCTGCCGGAAAGGAGTTGGCATGGATTCGCGCATTTGGTCGGCGTCGCTTCCCGTTCCAACGCGCGTATAGAGAGACCTTGGATTATAAGAAACAGGATCCAGAAGATCATAAGAAGTCACTGAAAGAGTATATCGCCCTCGCCGAATATCTTATCCCAAAGGAGACTCAGCTAAATCAGCCTGTCCTCCGCCACCACGACCTCCAACCCAATAACATCTCCATCTCCGAAGACTTCGACATAACCGGTATCATCGACTGGCAGCACTCTACGGTCTTGCCAACCTTCCTAGCGGCCGGCATTCCCAAATACTTCCAGAACTACGACGACGAGGAGTCGCAGATTTTTTCCCCGCCGAAATATCCAGCCGGACTAGAGACAATGGAGGAAGACGATCGTGCCGCTGCACTGGAGCAGTTTCGTCGTCGACATGTACATTTCTTTTATCTGGGTTTTACTCAGCGGATGAACGAGCCCCATTGGCGTGCGCTGGAACAGGCTGGCGAGCTCCTGAAACGTCGAATTTTTACTGACGCTGGGAATCCCTGGGAGGGGCTCAACACGCCACTACAGCTGGATATATTGAATCTCGTTCGAAACTTGTCGGAAATCGCCACGGCCAATACGGACGGCACTACTCCGACCTGTCCTGTCGTGACTCGGAGGAAGACGCAAAGAGAAGAGTTAAGTTGGATGAGGCACTGCGTGAAGTGGATTCGACCTTGGAAACGGTCAGAAGTGCGATTGGAATAAGCTCTGATGGGTGGATGCCTAATGAGAGATACGAAGCGTCCAAAGCAATGGCTAAATGGGTCAAGGAGCGAGGGCTGGCTGAGGCAGATGGTGATCCCTGGCTGAAAGAGATGTCTGAACGGCATTGGCCTTTTGATGACCATGATGAGGAGGAGTGAGGGGAGGAGTTGCTACGATGTCGATTTTCTAAGGCACATGAGGTTCAGAGTACCCTGGGAATGAGACCAACGTCGTCCTCTGGGATATATACGGCAGTAACAAACCCAGTGCCGATTCTCGCTCTAGTGGGATATTTACCACGCAACATGATGATCGGTATTGTCATCTTACGTGATGAGATTCTCCTCGATTGTTTCTATGGGAGATTTCCCTAGTATTCTTCTGTACGAGACGGGCGGAACGGTACGGGAGCTCTGATGGAAACCCTGGATTGGAAAACAAGACATGTTATTATAGCTGGATAGAGCGATATCAAAATGAGATGTGGTTGGAAATGTGAATTACCGTGTTTCCTCGCGTAACGCACGGGCCCGCGTGACGCACACTTTCTCACATTTATCCCTCAATTTACTGAGCGATAACTCCACCAATATGGCCCCAATTGACGATGCGATTGCAGCGTTGGAATCGCTGAAGCTTGAAGAAAAAGTTAATTTGTCTCAAGTTGCAAGAGCCTACGGCATTGATCGTTCTACTTTGTCTAAAAGATGGAGGGGTGTTCAGGGCTCTATTGACCAGAAGAATCAGGACCAACAGCTACTCAACCCAAGGCAAGAGAAGGAGTTGTTAAAATATATCTCTGACCTTACACAGAGAGGGCTTCCACCTACTAGGGAGATGATACGCTCATTTGCTGAAGATATATCGGGAAAATACGCCGGAAAGTCATGGGCTGATCGTTTTGTGAAGAGACACGAGGAAACACTACTATCTACCTGGGCAACAGGAATGGATGCCTCAAGGAAGAAGGCTGATTCGGAAGTCAGATATACTCAATATTTCAAGTTAATGCAACAGAAAATCGAGGAATACAACATTGATCCTAGGCATATCTACAATATGGATGAGAAGGGTTTCCTAATTGGCATCCTTTCGAAACAGAAGCGTATCTTTTCTCGATGGCTATATGAAGAAGGAGGGATTAAGCAGATGATCCAGGACGGAAACCGTGAATGGATAACGACACTTGCCTGTATCTGTGCTGATGGTTCTACTCTCTCTCCAGCCCTGATCTATCAGGCTGCAACTGGCAATATCCAGGATACTTGGTTACAGGACTTTGACCCCTCAATTCACCAATGTTTCTTCGCCTCGTCACCTACTGGATGGACAAACAATCAACTAGGGCTTCAGTGGCTGGAGAAGGTCTTTGATAGGGAGACAAAGATGAAGGCTAGGCGTTCCTGGCGCCTACTTATCCTCGATGGCCATGGCTCTCATATTTCCAAGGATTTTCTCAACTTCTGTGATGAGAATAGGATTCTGCTAGCCATATATCCCCCTCATTCAACCCACAGCCTCCAACCCTTAGATGTCTGCATGTTCAAGCCCCTGAGTACGTTCTATAGTAAGGGGCTTGCCGATTTCATGTTTAGATGCCAAGGCCTCTCAGCTATCACAAAAAGGGACTTCTTCCGGTTATTCTACCTTGCTTGGGACTGTACTTTCACTGAGAAACTGGTTCTCAAGGCCTTTAGTTGTACTGGCCTTCACCCCTTTAATCCAGCTGCTATCCTTGATCGATTCAAGAAAAAGGAGGAAAGGCCATCTACTGGTGATTCAGGAAGCTCAGTTCTAAGCGCTAATGACTGGAGGAAGATAGAAAGACTAGTCAGAAGCGTAATGGAAGAAGTTCACGATGAAAAGAGGAAGGAAGACTAGCAGAAGCTCTCTCACAGCATGCATCATTTGGCAGTACAAGCCTCCCTCCTAAAAACAGAGAACGAGCACCTCAGAGAGGCCCTTATTAATGAAAAGAGGAAGAGAAAGCATGGCAAAGCCCTTATCTTCCCTGTTCCTCAGCAGAAGACTGGCGGAGCCACTTTCTATTCACCAAAGAAGATCCAGTAGGCACGTGAACTAGCAGCAGCAAGGGAAGCGGAAAGGGAGGCCAAAAAGGGGCCTAATTCACAGAAGAAAGTTACTAAGACCTCCCAGAATGCTCCTGTTCCACAGGTAAAGAAGGAACAGGTCACTGTTGCCAGAATAACTAGAAGCCGATCAGGTTTCCAAAAGCAGCCATTTCAGCCAGATGTTACACTATCTAAATCAACCAGGAAAGCTTCCAAGTCACTACCCAAAGATGCAGCTATCTCAATAGATAGTTCCTCAGGTGAATGGGAGGAGGAGGAGCCTTCTAATTTGGAGGAATCAGATGTATATTCTGCGGTCCCTACTCCAGCCTGGAGTCGTCGTGATAGGCAACCAACACTGCCAGCACGATATAGACAGTAGCTATCTATCCCAATTGATTCATCTATATCAATTTATCAAGCCTCCAAATATTCAGGCCAATTCATTGTGTACAGCTATCTAGATAGCTTCAATTGTCGTAGGTGGAAAACTTGGAAATCGTGCGCCACGTGGGCCCGTGCGCCACGCGAGGAAACACGGTACAGTGTACTGCTCCTGCCTCGAATCATAAAAGCAAGATCTGGGTCTTCACACTGTGGGTCATCCCCGGTCGGGCATGGTCTTTTTAGCTGTTTATGAATAATAGCAGTAGCCAGTAGAGGCTGATGGACTACTCCGTACATTACAAAACTCGAGGCTCTCATCGATCTTCTCCTGTACGTCATACAGCAGCCAATCAGAGCTCGACAGCTATTGGCCAATCAATAGCCATACGCCACAACGCGGCGTCATTGACGTGAAAGCACCTACACCAACCATCAATGCAGGAATGCGCCAGAAACACCGAAAGCTTAACAAGACGTAAGAGGCGTCAGGCATTGAAAGCATCGAGGAGACTTCAAGGCGGCTCCAACCGTCGGAGAGAATTCCGCAAGTCGCCACCAGCATCCTGGTAAGAAAGAAGTCTTTTGACAGTGTTCCATACTGGTACATGCTGGGAAACTACGGGTGATAGCGCGGTATCATTATCTGCCCTCACCCCTCTGTTAGCAAATGAATACGCATCAGACATCGAGAGATCAGTCAAAGGCCGGCCATAGTTCAGCACCGCATCCAGAATGAAAGGAACACTATCGTCATTCGTGCGAAGTACTCCCAAAAAGCCAAAGTACGAAGTCAGCGCAGAAAGGAGCCGGCATCCGACATACCCGTTCCCCGTTCCAGAACTACCAGCGTCCTTCGCCAAACAGCTAGACTACTCGCCAGCTGAAGAGGGTAAAGCCATGAAAGGAAATGATCTCGACATCATATATTACCAGCCGTATATCCGCACTTCAATAGCTGATGGCATGTTTGACTTCTTCCGGCAAGAGCTCTTTTTCTACCGTGTCCAGTATAAGATCCATCGAGGCGGAATATCAAGAGATATCAGCACACCACGCTTCACAACCGTATTCGGTGTTGACGATACCAGCCGTTTCTCGGACACCCGAGAGCTTGTGGACGCGAAAACGGGCCGGAAGATAGAGAATTCGCGATACAAATGCACACCCCTCCCCCTCCCGCAGTGCCTGGACATCCTGAGAAGAGTGACAGAGGCAACGACGGGAGAGACGTTCAACTTCGCCTTGGTAAACTACTACGCCGATGGGAATGACTCCATCACCTATCACTCAGACGATGAGCGGTTTTTGGGACCGAATCCCGTCATTGCGAGTTTCACGTTTGGTGCCAGAAGAGACTTTTATATGAAGCACAAGGAGAAAAACGTACCTCAGGTCAAACTGCAGCTGGGCAGTGGCGATATGCTGCTCATGAAGGGGACTACGCAGAGTAAATGGCTGCATAGCGTACCGAAGCGCGCGGGAGCGGAGGCTGCGAGGGGTAGGATAAATATTACGTTTAGGAAGGCGATGGTGAGAGGGGGCACGGAGAATTATTACCAATACAATGTGGGAACTGGAGGGGTGTATAGGTGGGATGACAGTGCGAAGAGGATGGTGCCTTGGAGCCAGGGAGGTGAAGAGCCTGGACCAAAAGCAGAGACTCTTGCATGAGGGGTCAATGTTGGCCACCTCATATGCATTCTGGCCTGATGATCTTGGAAGGTGTTTGTTGATCACGTTAACTCTGGGCGGATGGCTTGTGACTGGCCTTGGGAGACTCCCCATTCCAACTGCGCTTCCCGCTCAGACTGTATCCGAATGACCTTGCTTTAGGGACACTTACATAGGAGTTTTGACATTTAGTTCTCGTTAGCATAGACTGACGAGAACTTGCAACTGTGTCATTGGAAGACGAGCGTGAGTCGAGAGCGCTTCGACGTGCGCAAAAGGCGAACCCGAGTGCATACCATTAGAAACAGGTAATACACGCCGTCCGCTATAGGACCGATAATCAAAGAAACAACAGTCATTGAGGAGGGGTTGGACTGCTTACTAAGACTCCGCATTGAGGTCAGTGTTCCTATGATTCGCGCTCTTTCAGAGCTCGTTTGAGGAGAGGTCTTGGCGGGACCGATGGGAAGGTCAGATAACCTTCTCACATTCCGCCCCATCGCAACTCCACCTCCTGTCGCCGTCATTCCACACTATCTTCCTACGGACAGTCGCCATCTAGCTTCAACTGCATCGCTCTGGGCGACCTCCTTGCACCGGGCTCCTGTGTCGCATTCGTCTGAACCGGGTCGAAGCGTTGAATTTTCTCCGCCTTTGGCTCCAGGCTCCCGTTACTCTCAATAAGTAGCACGTATCTCAAAGGCCCTCCGAGCGATAACCAGCCTCTGAATCAACGGCTGTTGTGCGGTATTGTTCGTTTCCCGACCGTCCGCACTCGACCGATTTGTGACGACGCGAAGACTCGAACGACCCCGCCATCCGCTAGGTTCGCGAAGGATTCAGCGTTGGGTAACGGTTACTATACGTTCGCATCAGTACCGCGCTGGTCGGGCCGCGTCGTTCCAGTAGAAAGAGTGAAGTGTGGCATAAATTTTTGGCGAAGGTTGAACAAAGTCATCGTGTACTACACTACTGTAGTCGCTTTGGCGCCGTCTATTCGGGTCGATCGTCGCACCTTTGCAAGCTTTTATCCGCGAAGAGTCAGAGGAGCATTACGCAGAAGGCAGCAATTAGCTGGACAAGCTGAGGAGGGACTGGACCGACTCTTGAATAATAGCTAAGGGTCGAACGCCGGCGCTTGGCACTGGAGTTACGCACTCACCGTGGATTTAAGACAGTGGCATTCCGCCTTCTCGACGACTGCAACCACCCAACCTTTTGCCCACTTTTGCCATTTTTCTCTGTCCATTTGCGAGACGGAGCCAGTCCGTTGCTGCCGCCTAAACCCGCCTTCCAGAAACCCGTGGATCTTGAGGCGGTCCGACCGCTAGAGGGTCTTCACCAGATCACCGGATTTTACACCTTAAATCCGTCTCCAACTGATCTTGCGTCACCATGCCTCCTACTCCACCATCGACAACCTCTTCGAGCGCAGGCCACTCTCCGCCTGATCCGCAATTCAGGGTCGTGCGCAAGAGGAACAGGGTGCCACTGTCATGTGGGCCGTGCAGGCACAGAAAGTAAGCATGGCCCTGTCGGCTTCCAGACATTGCTGATTCTTGTAGATTGAAATGCAATCGTGGTCACCCGTGCGATAACTGTATCAAACGTGGAGACACCGCATCATGTACGTACGCTTCTCCGGGCAGCCGAAAGAAGTCCTCCTCCGGCACTGGCGCCAATGGCTCTCCTGATGACATGCAAAATCGCATTGACCGCCTTGAAGGACTGATCCTCTCATTGATGACCAATGGAGCACAAAGTGCTGGACCAGCCGCCGCGCAAGCAGCCATTGCAAACACTCTGGCTGGCTGCCCTTATGGCTCTTCAGAGAACTCCTACAGCGCCAGTCACAGTAACCCAGAGTCCATCAGGGAGGAGGAAGAGGAGGAAGGCGATGAAAGCGAAGTGGAGAAAGTAGCAAAATCGATTGGCGTCATGAAGATGGACAACAACAGGACCATCTTTGCTTCCGAAGCGCACTGGTATGCGATTCTCGGAGAGATCGCCGAAGTGAAGAATTACTTCAACGAGCACAAGAAGCAGTATGAGGAGCAGCTGAAGAGGTACAAAGCCTCACGACCCGACGATACCAGTTCCGGTACTGCATTCCTATTCGGCGGACAGAAGCCGGCTACCCAGGCTGACATCCTCGCTCGGTTTCCGAACAAGTCTACTGCCGACATCCTTGTTGCTCGTTATTTCAATACGTACGACCCAGGAATACACATCATACATGGACCCACGTTTCAGAAGCAGTACGACCAGCATTGGTTGAATCCAAAGGAAACTCCGGTCATCTGGCTTGGCCTGGTGTTTGCCATGATGTGTATCGCCCTACAGTCGTACTCCAGAGCCGGCGACGAGCCGCCAGAGTATAAGGGAAAGTCCTGGGATATGTCGAGCGAGTATAGGCATATGACTGCTCAATGTCTAGTCACAGCCGACATCACACAACCCGTTTCGTATATGCTGGAGACGTTGATACTCCATGTGTATGCCGACTACGCTCGGAGTCGGGATGCCGAGGCGGGAGTCATGGTCGGTATAGGTATCATTGTCCGCCTGGCAATGCGAATGGGCCTGCACCGAGATTCGAGGCCGTATCCCAGCATTAGTGTCTTCCAGGGCGAAATGCGGAGAAGAGTATGGGCGGTGATCAGATGTCTAGATCTGTTATTCTCGGCACAGGCGGGACTACCTCCGATCGTTCGAACCCGAGATACGAACACTGAGACTCCGCGCAACCTATACGATGACGAGCTTTTCGAAGAGATGGATACACTTCCACCCTCGAGGCCAGAGACCGAGGCTACCCCAACTCTATTCCTCATCAACCGAACGCGTCTCATCTACAAGCTGGGTGAAGCAGTGGAATTGACCGTCTCCTTGACGTGTGCTGACTACGGCGACCTCCTCAAGGTGGATCAGGATGCCAGGGAGCTTCATGAGGCTATATCCCCTCATCTCAAGATGAGATCAATCGACGAATCCGCGCGAGATCCGTCAACCCTGATCATGCAACGCTTCACGCTCGAGCTGCTCTTCCTCAAGATTATCGTCACCTTGCATCGAAAGTGCCTTGCCCCGGCCCGAACGAATCCCAAATACGCGCAGTCAAGGCGCCTATGTATCGAAGCATGTATGACAATGTTGCAACACCAAGCAACGTTGCACCGCGAGTGCCAACCAGGAGGGCGACTGCGGAACGTCAAGTGGTTCATTTCATCACTTACCACGGTCGACTTCCTCCTGGCAGCCATGATTGTGGCTGCGGAACTCTACCATATGGCTCGCGCGGAGCGCCACGGTCGCTCGCCATCTTCCAACATGGCGCTTTGGGGTTACGACCGCAGGGATGAAATGTTGGATGCGATAGAGACGGCTGTGGCCATATGGGCAGACCTGAAAGACCAGTCCATGGAAGCTTATAAAGCTCACGCCACCCTGAGCGTCATGCTGACCCAGCTCAAGCAACATCGGACCATGCGCCATACTCATTCCAGCTTCTCCAGCGCGACGGGATCGTCCTTCTCAGGTTCTCGGACGATGGACGAGAACGTGGCCCCAGAGCACTCGGCAGCGATGACTTTGGAGATGCTGAGCACTGGTGGTGTGACCCCCGGTTCAGCGAACATGTTCGATACGCGGTATGCAGCGTCGATACCCAACATTCTCAACGACAATACCGGGCCGCCGGCTGGGCTCACGCCCAGTTTAAGCAGCCCGGGGGATACTGCTCCAAGCCCATTTTCAAATCTATTTGCGGGTAGTATTGGCTTGCAGAACATGGATATACCCAATTTGGACAATACGAACTTCGACTGGGTAAGTAACAACATGTACATGCATCAACGAGCACCGACTGATTCTTCTGTTTATAACAGGGCACGTTCGACTCCTTTCTTCAGGGCTCCACTTCGGACGCTATGCCTAACTTCTTCCCCATGGACATGAACATTCAGACCGCTGGCGTGTCGTTCACCCAGAGCACGCAAATGTCGCAAGAACAGCAACCGCCAACTACGAATGCATTTGCAGGGGACGCCGGGGCCGGGGTCTTCATGGGAGTAAGTTGAAGTAATGGAAAACACTCATTTGACTGCTTTCTAACAATAGACAGGCTCCGCAGGAGGCGAAACAGTATGCTACGGAGGGCTACGTTATGGGTTATGCTCTACCCAAAGCGACCTAAAAAGGGTTGTCTCTCTTCTTCTTTAGTGCGACTAGTTTCTGGTTCTTGAGACTTGTTGGGCTGGCGTTTAGACGGGGAACACACGCTCATTGGGATCGATCATATCTACCCTCACTGTTGTTGAAATGATATCCGGCGGATTGTTTTAAGAAGAAGGAAAGTTTGCGCGCGATGGTATTATTATATATATTAGCTTGGCACGCTTTGGTCGATGCAAAAGCCATGGTTTTCCCTTACATAGTACTACTCAATGTAGCCGAATGAATGACTTGTAGTTGGCAAGACAAGCCTAACCGATGGAGCGTTTCACTGGATGATGATGACTTGCACTGCCCCGTAGCATCTGCAAGCCGTCGGCCATGTTGTCAGTGCCAGCTCTGGTTGGAGATGGCTCCGTCCAGCCTGTTTTGACGTTGAGATTGAACCTCTGCGTCTTTTGAACCTTCGTTTACGTTATTACTGCTGGCTCGTGAGCGCAAACACAGACGAACCATTTGCCACCCGCTCTGTCCGTCGTCCTCGCGAACTAAAAGGAGCCCCGGCCAGGTTCCACAACTCTTGACGCTAGCTCCCCGCAGTGGACATAGATCAAGGTTTCATCAGCCTTACACCTCAACATTTCCTAGAGGCTTTGCGATTTCCACAAGGCTAGAAGAGCGCAGGGGGGGATTCACTATGTCTATTTCTGGACTTTACATCTTTCTGTCGATTTTGTGTTACGACGTTGGGGAGGCGGATATATTGCATACATACATATATCCATATATACATAGGTACTGTGTAGTGTGTACATACTAAGCCTCGCTGCATCTGCAGGACTCAGCCTCACTGCATGCATGCATGCATGCATACAACCAGGACATACCTACATACCAACTTGTCAAACCTTCCCCGTCTTCCATGATACCAAACTCGACACTCGACACCACCAACGACCATAAAACCAGCTCCCCAGAAACTCATACGCCATATTCCAACACCAGCCATCTCCAACAATGACAGCTCTCTCCCAGTCCCAACCCCAACCGCAGGACCCCTCATCCTCCTCCTCCCCGGCGCCCTCTTCACACCCGCCGCACCTCCACGCCATACCCCTCAACGACCAACCCATCGAACTCCCCACCACGGAACCAACCCCTGCTAAACCCGTAAAACAAATCGGCATCGGAATCGTGAGTCCCAACCTCGGCGAAGCCGAAGACATCGACAAGGAATTCCTGGGCGAGAAGGACGACGTTGGTGTCGGGAGGGTGTTGAGGGAGGTACGTACGTCTCCATCTACCCAGTCCGTTAGTCCATACTCCATTATATTTATCAACCCTAGTATCTTTCTTATGAGGTTTCATGACAAGAAGCGCTCTCATCTTTCTTTCTATTGTTCCTTTTTTTCACTTTCGGTCATCGCTGATTCGAGTCTTCTGCCTGGGAGCAGAAGCGCAAAGTCCTCCTCGAATCGCGAAGCAGAGACCCCGGCGTCATAGTCGATTTGCCGCGGGAGCCGACGGCCGAGGAGGTGTTGGCGGCGAGGAGTGCGGAGGGAGCGGTTACGCCTGCGTTGGGCGGTGGGGGCGGGGAGGAGGAGGTTAAGGGGTGAGAGGTCGATTCCCGTATTGAAGAGGTCCTGTCGTTGGGGTGGGAGGGGAGGGAGTGTTGAAAGGTAGGGTAGGACGTTGGTCGCGATACGAGCAGTAACACTCACTCGGATACGAAATGAATGAGAGAAAGAACTTCATGATCGTTTGCAACCAATCTGTTTACAAGTGAAACCCCAATCCAGCAAAATCTCCATATCCAAAACTGTACAACAATTTCCGTAATGGTGCAAAACGAGAAACACAATATCCATCGGCCAGCTTTTAGTGCACCATACGCTTCCCAATCTCGCTCTGCCAGTTATACGCCCTTTCGAACCCATTCGAATGCGTCTGGAAATCCATCATAGCCTGCATCACCTCATCCCTGCTCGTCACCACAAAAGGCCCATACTGTATAATCGGCTGGTCGAGCGGCATGCCCGCAACAAGGATAAACCTCGATTCCGTCGCGGCGCCCTCTTCAACCGACGCTTCGATGCTGTCGCCCTTCTTATCGAAGACAACATTGTGGTATTGCTCGATGGGGCGGGATTCGCTGTTAGAAGAGAATACGGTCGTTCCGGAGAGTGTATATGCAAATGCATTCCAGTCCTTCGGAAGCGGCTGCTTGACATGGCCGCCCGGCTGAACGGTAAAATCGAGCAGCCAGACAGGCGTATACGCCAACTCCTTCAGCGACTCGGTCCCGTACGCCATGCCGCTGATGACCTTGACCTTGACCTTTCCGTCGTCGGCGGTGACTTGGGGGATCTCGCTCGCGCGCAGGTCGCGGTAGCGCGGTTCGCAGGATTTGAGTTCCTTGGGCAGATCGACCCAGAGTTGCAGCCCGACGCTGGGCGAACCGTCTGCGGATTGGCCCGGCATTTCGGCGTGCACGATGCCCCGGCCTGCGGTCATGAATTGCAGATCCCCGGCTTCGATGGTGCCCTTGTGGCCAGCGAAGTCTTCGTGGTCGACGGCACCGGAGATCAGGTATGTGATTGTCTCCTGGCCGCGGTGAGGGTGGTCGGGGAAGCCTGCGCCAGGCTGGACCGAGAAGTGGTCGAGCATGAGGAAGGGGGAGAAATTGCGGAGCCTGGGGGTGCCAATTGAGCGGCGGACCTTTGCTCCTACGCCTTCGGCCTGCTCAATTGCGAGGAAGGACTTCTCGATCTTGCGCGGTGAGGTGCTGGTGAAGGTCTCGTTGGGGATGACGGGGAGACCTCTGAAGGTCGTGCTTGATGCCGTGTTTGTCGTCATTGCTCTGGTGGTTCTGTTGGACGTTCGAATAAAGCTGTTCAAGTGTGGTACGATGGTTTTCGATAGCTGTGAAAGGCGCGAAATCATGTACTCTTGGTTGTATACTGCGATTGCGAGGATGCCGAAGAGGATGGAGAGAATTATCCTCATCGGATTTCGGACGGCTACTTATACTTCGACGGGGGATGATGTCGAGAACGTTCGACGAGGGTATTTGAAAGAATAAAGGCGTGGAGAGACATGCCGACTGTGTGTTTGTAAGTCATTCGAGGTATGAGAGCTACGAGATGTGGGGAAGCGCTTGGCGATGATGTTGCTTTGTTTTCATCCGAGCCTTACCAAGCATGAACCCGGAACGGCAGAGGGAGTTTCCGGGCACCGCCACACACTGACTAATGCGTAATGGCTGAAAGCGGTTAGAGCAGAGGTTAGCTTCTGGTGCGCCACACTACCTTAACAGCACCTCAAAGCTTTCGGGGGAGGAACTGCAACAACACTTTTCGTAGTGGCACATCGTTCTTCATCTTATCAAAATATGTAATTGGTCGGATAACTGACAAATTCTGTATGATTGCTTCCGGGTCCTACTTTGCCAGCTGCTCGTTGAGCTCTGTCACCCTATTCGCTTAGCTTTTGGCACACTGGTTGACTTTGATGCCACCAAGTATTACGTGGGATGACGCTCCGCAGCATATATTCCGAAAGAGTTTGCCTCTGATGCGTTGAATAAAAACAGAGTCTTCGAAAAAAATAGAAGCGTAATTACTTCACTGGTTATTTTATCATTCAAGATTGATGCCACGTCACGGATGCATTTCCATTTAAAAGTTACTTGGGTGTAAGTCTTTTTTCTCATTATCAGTGCAATACAAAATGTATAACTTATGAAGAGTGCAGTATTCTGCCTGCAGAGTACTGATAGTATATGATCCCAGGAATCTTGACAAGTCACCGTTTCATTGCAGGAACCTGAAGATGTTGCCAGCGGAGAGAACGGGTCTGCTTAGTGCGCTCTCGAATCTCGCAGGCCAAACTGTCTACTCATCCTCGTCTGACTCGCGTTCGGACTCATCCATCAGATCCATTCGAGTCGCTATCAGAATCGGAGTCAGAGTCTTCAGAATCATCATCGCTGGGATGCAGCGCCTTCCACCCTTCAATCACGGCATAGGCGTTGTCGAACTCCCATGAGGTGAAGAAGCAGTCCTTGATAGCGCCGAACATCTTGCGGGCGATTATGGCCTCGGGCGCAAAAGCATATTTGATGTACTCGGCGCGGGCATACTGCATAAACACATCCTTCATCAACTTGTCCTCTTCGGTCTGCGGCTCAAAGTTAGCATAATTCTCGTCGTCTTCCTCATCAGAGGCGCAGTCCTCGGGCAGCCAAGCCCAGAAAGGAGCCTTATAGGCTAGGAACGAAGGAGCAAAAACTGCTGAGTCCCAGTCAAGAACTGCAGTTATATCAACGTTCTCTTCGTCGCGGACTTCCACCAGCAGATTGTAAGGTTGCAGATCGCCGTGGCACAGACGGAATGTATCGGGTTCTAAGAAGCCCAGCTCTTGCAGACCGTGGGCAATCGTGCGGAATCCTTTCCAAATTCGGTCAATTGAGTTTCCGTTGCTGACTTGCTGGTATTCACGCCAGCGCTCGCACTGCTCCAGGATGAAATCAAGTGGCGTCTGCGCGTCTGCGACCCATGTAGAAGGCTTGCCCAGACCGCAGAGATCTTGACCGCGTCGGGGCACCTCAAACTTCTCTATTTCAATCTGCGGGTTATCCAAGTCCTGGTTTCGGGAGGGGCGTCCTGCGGCGTGAGACGTCACGGCTGCGGTTGTCATGACAAGCTGTGTTACTTGCGGCACAATGGACTTCTTCTGAGCGGTATTGAGGGATGAATAGATCAAACTCAGGTTCTGGCCGCGAAGCCGCGGCTGCAGCATGTATGCTTGGCCGATGACATTATCGGTTGAGAGATCGTAGGATATAATCCGAGGAACAGGGATGTCGAGATGTTTGCCAACGAACTGAAGGATAGCGACATCAAAATCCATGGCATGTCCTTCGGAGCGAGGGATACGGAGGATGTATTGCTCTTCGGTGATGGAAATCCACCTGCCTTCGCCTAACAGGTTGTGAAGCCCGCAGAGGAACTGCTTCCAACTAGTCAGTTTACGAAGGCGCTTGGTCACCGTAATGCCCACAACTCGATTGAACGTTCCACCCCGGATGCGGGTAATGCGAATATCCTGGGTATTGTGCTTGGGAAACAACTGGACGGCTAGCTGCGCAACCTTATCCTTGAAGGTGTCGAAAGGCTCATGTTCATGCTCAGCAGTCGATGTAGTAGGAGCTTCAGAAGCGGTGTCGCTCTGATCGTCTGACGCTGCTTCCAGGTCGGACTGAGAGTAGATGGCATCCAGGTCGAAGGATTCAGGATTCGGGAGCACAGTCGGAGTGCTCGTCTCAGGAGGTGAGGTCATCTTGCGCCTATCGACAGTGATATCTACTCAGGCCGGAAGCGTTGGTCTCTTGAAGGTTCGATGTCGAGTTGTTTGTGGGGAAATGTTTGTGCTGAACTGTTGGAGTCTATCAAGGCGCGTTTGTGGTATTTATGTGGCACTCATGCCCTTCGTCAGTTTCACAACTTGTGTTTTTCGCAGAATTGTATATATACAACCCTCAGAGCTAGTATAGTGAGTTTTCACTGAGCGCTTCTCTGTCCTTTTTGTAAAAGAATTTTGCTTTGGCTGGGCCAATAGATAAAGCGCTCTTTGGAAGTGACCATGAAAGCGCACTTTCTTTGTCACCGGGATGAGCGGCTCTAAGTGCCTCTTTGTTAAGCACACACTCATATCTATGGAAAAGCACTAAACTACGGCCACTGTCTATATCAGAACTTAACGTTCACAATGCGGGAGAGAATATGTCTCGACCCAAGCTGTACAATGTCGTTCTCGCTCAACAATGCTCAGGGCGACCTGGGGATGCGGTGTCTCTTAGGCCCACAAGATTTCACCTGTATCTTCCCCATCAACCGGACAAGGTCTCTGGTATCCACAACTTCAGTCTATCAACCATTCGATCTTGTGGGTAGGCCAGTAAGCAAAGATGGGCAAGGGCAACACGTCAACGAACCATCACTGCCCAGGTGCCCGCGGGCCGGTGGGCGGCATTCCGGCATCGAACTGCCGCAAAGTAGATCACGATGGTATCAAGAAGGCCTACTGTAGCGTACATGAGATGCCCTGCCGTAATGGTTGCCGCAACTACTACCATCTGAAGAATCAGTGGGGCTGCGGTAACTGCATTGACAAGCTGCAGCGTGAACAAGCCACTGAGCGCAAGGCCAAGGACAAGGAACGTAAGAAAGCCGAGAAGCAGATGAAGGAGGATGCCATGTGGGCTGAGCATGAGGAGAAGAACGCGAAGAAGGAGAAGAAGAAGAAGGGGCAGGCCAAGAAAGAGGATGAGCAGTAGACGCGGCTATTCTCCATGGATGTTTTCTATGTTATGCTACGTAGATTGCATCGGCACCGCCAGGTAAGTGTTCTAGAGGCGACAAAGCTGGCGTAGAAAGGCTTGTGGTGACAAGAGACGGCACTGTCTCCGACCATGCTTGTCCCCTCAATGACGTGCTAGTCATGAAGACGGCACTATGGTAAACAATACTTCAATAAATGAGAGGCTTCCTGAGTATAACTTGGTTAGCGAACTCCAAACTTCCACCTTAGTTGTCGTGATATTGAAAGTCTGAAGCCCCCTTGACCAATCCATAAGGGACGAAACGAAATACGTACTTTCACTTCAAAGTAATATCCAACTTCCGCACGTCGAGAGAATAACAACATCTGTTATAGTACACCTGATAACACTATTGTAGGTGTTGACGGTCTGCGACTGGAAGAAACATTGTGTCTGTATAGAGTTTTTTCTCTTTTTTCCCAACGAGAAGGGCAAGTTTCCACATAGTGAGATCAGCCTTGCTTACTAGAAGACTAATATAAAAGCTTGAGATGCTGCCGAAATGCAGATATGATAGCCTGAGACAGCATCAGTACCATTCGAGCCAAGTCGAAGTGATTGGCTATTATACGTAGTCTCTGAAATAACATGTAAGTAGAAACTCCCTCCTACATAGCGTCTTGGCACAAAGTCCCTCCACCTGGGCCTCCCGCACTCCTTGTGCAAGTTCCAAACACTAATCGGTGTTTAAACGGCAATCTCGCCAGCATCCGCCAGTCACATATACAATCACGGAAGTTTGCTAGGTCAACGCCTTTCCCGCCCTCTACAGCTCCATCAGCACACGCACGGCTAGCGACAAGGACTGCGCTATCTGCCACGAACCTCTTCTCGTCCCTAGCAGCAACAATGGGGGACCCTCATACCTTATCGACGACGTTGAATTCCGTTGCAACCATCGCTTTCATTGGAGCTGTGTTCTAGACTACTCCACTTCCTCTGCAACTCTCCGTTCAGGTTGCAGCCACTAGTGCCCCCCTATATCACTCATCTACCTTCTAGGGGTGAGCTTAACATCCAGCTTTCCAACATTCAGCGTGAAGCAATCCACAGTATCCTTCAGCACAGACGATCCATCCTCCTCATCGGCAAACCGCATCTCAAACGTGCGCACAAGGTTCGCTATTACAGTGCGCATCTCCATCGTCGCGAGCTTCTGGCCAACACAGTTATAAGGGCCCGTACCGAACGGCATAAAGGCCCGCTTATCCGCTGTATAAGGCTGACCGGAGCTGGGAGATTTCTTGTCGAAGTTTTCCTTCTCAGCGTCGTCCATCCAACGCTCGGGGGCGAAGGTCAATGGCGACGAGAAGTTCCGCGGGTCCCGGTGAATGGTGTGCATTGGCATCCAGATGAGGACGTTGCCCGGAATATAAGTGCCATCTGGCAAGTTCAAGCCCTCCGGGGGCGTCTCTCGCTGCACACCACTGGGAACAGCGGGATGTAGTCGTAGACCTTCGAGAACGACACCCTCCAAGTACGGGCAATTGGCCACGTCTTCAGCATCCAGGAACGGTTTCCCCGGTGCTAATGTATCGACGATGGACCTCAGTTTGGCTTGCAAAGTCTGATCCATGCAAAGCTCGTAGAATATCCAAGTCAACGTTGCGGATGTGGTGTCGCTGTTTGAAGTCAGTATGTGATTACATACCTGGAGTATGGCGGGGTAACATACCTTCCAGCTACAATCATCAGTCTCGAGTCCGCATTAAGCTGTAGGGGAATATCCTCATCTGCCGGGTTGAGAAGCCAGCCAAACACGTCGTTCTCCTTGGGTGTCCGCTTCTTCCGCTCCCTCAGGGTCTCGCTTGTGAACGCCATGAAATCCAGAATGTCCTTCGCCGCACCCAGCCTCGTCGCGGTGGACATGACGTAGGGAAGGTGGTTTAAGAAAGTCATCGCGCCCATGCTCTTATGCACCAACGTGATCCATTTGTCCTCTTCTCCTTTTTCCAACATGTGGAAACTGCGGCTATAGCCTATATCCCCCATCAAGTCGAAAGAAAAGAAATTCACCCTAACATAGATGTTAGCCTAGACCTGGAGTGCGCAGCCCCCATGGATTGCTCACCAGTTCGATATGCGTATTGAAGGTTCATGTGCGTGTTCTAGGAGCTTTGAGATCAACAAATGCGTATGCCGGTTCACGCGTGGCTCATAGTCGCGCAGGGACCGGGCGTTAAATGCTCGTTCCCACACCTTGCGACGCTCCTTGTGGTCTTGCTTGGAGCGGGTCGTTTGCAGCGAGGCGCCCTCAATATGATACGATCCAGCGTACCATTGCCCTTTAGTGCATTTGGAAGTCGGACCATGAATGAGTGGTATAGCATCGGTTCTTATGATGTTAAGTTCCCGTGGCCCGGTCCGGATGATATCTGAGGCGTATTTCTTGTGCAGCCCTTCCGTCACTTTGTAGTATTGTCGGTCCGGTATGACATATGTCAGACTGAACCACTTGGAGAGCCGCAGTGAGAAAGGGCCCGGAAACTGGTGTTCCGTCAGCACTTCCCGATGGTCGAACAAACATAGGTTTCGCTTACCTTTCGTAGACGGTGGAAGAAGGCGCGATAAATAAGGATACTGGAGACCAGACTGGCAAAATAAACAGCGAAAAAATGTCCAGCTACCGCGACAGCTCCGGAAATTGATTGACCGAGTGGATTTGCAAGGTAGTCGATTGTGGCCACGACTGCAAACGCAGTTGCCCATGCTGAGCTCAGGATATGCGACTTGTGGTCCCATTCACCATTGTTGAGGACCAAGTGTGAGAGCAGTCCCAGGGCCACAGGGGCATAGGTGGTGTGAATTAGTTGAGCGACTGAGCGGAGGATTTCCGCCATGATGGTGGAGGTGAGGTTTATGCTGGAAAAGACACCGTGCCTGCGCTCAGATATAAACTGTTGAACGTCGTAGAGATGCGAATTCTTAGCGCGGTGGTTGATTGGTTATACATGTACCTGTGCGTTTTCCTTTCATGCGGTGTCAGATCCCCACCTGTTAAGGTAAGCGGCTGGGGTGCCTTCATGGGTCGGAATTTATTCATCTTAACGTTATTGCGTGCGCTGCTCCAGTAGACTACGAAGTCTGCACTGACTGCTGAAGGGGGATCATCTCCTCTCCATCTTGACGCTGCTAGCGTTCTCCATATCCCACGAAGTGGAACCCATGGTGAATGTATACCTACACAGTATGTATGCACTCTCGGAGGAGAAGAAATATGTGCAGTGCTAAGCAGTATGGGCCCACTTTCCTGCTGATGGCCGCAAGTGAGGGGGTTTGCTGACGCTTCTCCAATAGCAACTCGCAAGGACAGTCGGGCAAAGGCTATTATGTATATAACCTTGTCCAAAGAGGAATTATCATCTTGTCTGAATTCCGTTATCACTACTTCGAGTAAATGATTACGTTCCGTGGACAGACAGGATCCTTGTCCTGGTTCGGAAGCCCATGTAGCTGCAGCAGTGCTTAGGAAAGCGGATGAAAACTGACCCGCGCTGTTCATCAAAGCTGGCGGCCTTACGCGTAACTGAACGCGCCAGAATGTACGGAGTAACCGAGTGGGTAGTTTGACGACCACGTCCAACGTATATCATTCGCAACAAGTCATTTGCATAGGTGGATCCCCAGCGACGAGACAGCAGGCAGCTATCAATTTCCGACTTTGACTGTCAGTGAACTAGGAAGCACAAGCTGGCCTGTAAACATTACCTCTGGAATATTAAGAGAACATACTTGCCTAAGGCCCGTCTATTGTAAGCTTCTGCTCACCGTCGTGGGTCATTCTGAGAATGCAACCCTTGCGATAGCCTGTCAAGTGCGACGAATAGAAGAAAGACATTGCGGTATTCCCTGTTATTGGGGCGCCTGAAGCCAATGTACTGAACCAACCGCCCTGTAGCTCGGTCCCCTCGTGCGGCACTCCACGAGAATACACCATGACCCCTTTCTACGAAGCTCGGCCGACCTAGGTCAACAGCCCCGAGGCCAGACGATGTATGAGACTTGCCTGAAAGTACTTTTCATAAACCCTTCGCCCCATCAGGAAATTACAACACCATAGCATAGTCCCCGCGTCCGGTGCTAGATAAAGTATCTTATAACGGTGAACAACCAATTATAATCGCGGATCCTTTAATGTACCTATGGTAAGCACACGGAGAGTTTCATCCATCTGAAGCCTGAATGCATATGCATACGCAGGTAGGCACGCTGCCCATTCCAGTGCTTCTGATGGGATTTGCGTGCAGTGATATGTCTCTTTTTGCCTTCGTCGCCATTTGCCGAAGTAGCATATCTTGGTCCATATTGCTGTCCGCTTCGAGTTTAGCGGCCTGTTAGAACTAGATGTATACCTACCTGTAGCTAGCGGTAGGACGCGTGCGCTGGCCTGACGGACCTCTAGCAATCTTGCCTTCATATAATAAGTCGACGCTGAGTGGTTGATTGTTTGATCGGTTAGCTGCGTAAGACACGACTCTAAGCGTCAGTCGATTGAGAGCGCTCTGGACACAAAAGTGAGCGGTCAGGTTTGTCTTTCCATTCACCAGCATGGACCCGATGTCCTTGGTGGGTTGTCAGGTAAGCTGGAGACCTGGCTCTCGGCTCGAATGGTGAGCATGCACATAATGTGAGAACATGAGCTGGGCGGCTCTGGTAACCTCCCTGATGCTGTTCACCAACTGGAGTGTGCTTGCAAGGTGGGAGGAGTGACTTCGCGTCATTCACGCGTCTACTTAACCCCGCGCTAACGCCGGCTCGACCATTGCCTCTTCCAACCTTAAACCCTGAACGTACCGCCACCCAACTGTCCCGCGTCGACTCTCTCTTCATCCGTGATACCCCGCGCCATAGCCTTGATTCAGTCTCTTCTTGCTCCCTTCTTTTCCTGCGTACATATATTCGAGGACGTTTCACGGCTGAATCTCTTCCCAATGCCACTCGGATTCGAGCGCATCAACGAACGCACCCAGCGGCCCAACGCGCTCATAAACTTCATCAAGCCACTCCCCGGAGCCACTTCAGAAACGGCCGAAGAGATACTAAACAGGGTTGCTGCGATATGTTATCCCTTCATGAAGAAGCACATGATACTCGTCCAAGCTCTCGAAGAGTTTCCGTACAACACCGAATTCGTGGGCCGCAACTTCAACGCCGGGGAGGTGATACAGTTGGTGTTGAAGAATCGGCACGGACAATGGCTGCCGGAGAAGTGGGTCATGATGGTGATGGTTCATGAGCTCGCGCACTGCAAGCAGATGAACCACTCCAAGGCCTTCTGGAAGGTGCGCGATGCATACGCGGCTGATCTGAGGGAGCTTTGGAGTAAAGGGTACACTGGAGAGGGTCTTTGGGGAAGAGGGAGGTCGCTTTCCACGGGACATGTACATGTTGGTAGTGTGGCTGCTGGTGATGTGCCTCAGCACCTTTGTGGCGGTACCTACGGGCGGAGAAGCAAGAGAAGGCGAGCTGGTAAGGTCAGAGAGGAGCTCACATATGCGGAGAAGAAGCAGAGACGCATATTGAAGAAGTTCGGTGCTGGTGGCCAGACTCTTGGTGCTGACGATGATACCAAAGTCAAGCTGGAAGGCGGTGTAGTTAAGAAAGGGAAGCCAAGGGTTGCGGGAAGTGCACGCGGCAGGGAACTCCGGGCAGCCGCTGCTTTGGCAAGGTTCGAGTCTGTCAAAGAGGAGGCTTCAACTATCAAAAGAGAAGTTGAGTCGGAAAGTGAGACAGACGACGACTTTGAAGAGACCGCTAGTGACGCCGCTGCCATCGATGTAGACGGAAAGAAAATGGTCGACGACAGAGGGCGTGCGCTGATCAAGGTGTGCGACCACGAAGACGAGGAAAACGAGGATTCTCGAAGAGAAATGGAGGAGTTTCGCGACCTCGGAACCAGCTCGCAGAATCGAACTACAGCAACAACATCTACACCTCCGCAGCCAGCAGCGCCCTCTGTAACTGCAAGGCAGCCGGTACCCAAACGTGAAGCCTCCAAGGCTTCGCAGTCCAACCACATCATCCGGCTTGACGAAATATACAAGCGCCGTCCTGAGCCTCCCGTGCCCTGCTCATCCTCCATGACTAGCCAACAGCCCGCAAAGCCGGATATCACTTGCACCATCTGCTCACTTATCAACGAGCCCGGTTCTTTGACATGCGCGGCATGTTCCCATGTGCTGAATCTGGAACTGGTTCGAGACAAGTGGACGTGTCGAAGCATGGCGTGCACGGAGAGTCAGTACGTGAATTCTGGGGATTCTGGCGCCTGTGGGATCTGCGGTACTGCTCGCCCCCCATGAACGTCGACGCTGAAAACAGACATTCGTCAATGATCATCATCACAAACTCCTGACATATCTAGATGCCCCACGGTATTCACTTCATGCCGAAGTGGTCTCATCCCGAGTCTGCTAATGATCCATACCCCCGAAGGGTTGAGGTTCAACTCCTAAGTAATGTTACCGCAAGGTCATTATCCAGGGCATGACGAAGGTATATTGTATGTTGAGAAGGCCAAGAGGCTTTGAAAGTCGGAGCCGGGTCTTGGGTAAGGAGACAATAGTGGGCCTTGAAATCAGTGGGGTCTGTCAAGCACGGTGCAATTTGACATTGAAAACACGCATTCAATCTCTGTTCGTCTGGCTGGAATAGACTGCGGAGCCAATGAGGCCGCAGCTCGCAGACCTGCAAGTGGGCAGATACTGAGCATAGATATGTGTTGGTTTGGTGCTACTTTAGGTACTCCGTAGTGCGGCCGACGTTAGTCAGAGACTTCCAACACCCCTAACATTAATTCGAAGAGCTTCAAATCAGTTGCGACCGCACTTATATAAAGTTGAAACCGATACCAATTCGTGAAGAACGAACGTAGTAAATTTCTAGACTGAGGATGAGAACAGCCGTACGAGCCCGATTGAGCTTAGTTTGACGCCAAGACATAGCTCCAGCAGCTCCACCTGCATTGGCCCGCATGTAGCCTGCTCCACATCACTGTCCATGATACCCGCCACAACACGACATTGAGAGATCTATAGATTCACGCTCTCCGACTCACAGATAGAAAACGCACACTCGCCCATTGGCAACCGCTGCTGACAATGGCCCTCCGTAATCCCTTACCCGCCGTCCGGGCAGCGGCATTCCGTACACCCGCAACCGCTTCACGATGGTGCACACGTAGTTTCCAAACAAGCCAGGTCCTGAGGCAGGAGGCCGTTGCTCCTGTTAAGAAACCCATTGGTGCTTTTAGAGGAGGGTGAGTTGCATGATGGTCTTTTCTGCTGGAGGGGTTCAAATTCAGGCAATTGTTTCAAGTTCATCCAACGGGAACACACACATATGATGGAGGAATACCGGCGCATGATGGGCTTTCGTGATATATGCGACAGAGTTGAGGGCAATGGCTGACTTCACTGCTCAATCCAGGCTCTTCGGCTTTCTCCTCGGCGCTACCACTGCCGCCGGCGCCATGTACTACTATGTCATCGACGAGTATCGCGTTTCGAACGAGCTCCTTACTGAAGACATCTATGTGCGTCACAACCATCACCTGCCCCTCGGCTGTTGTCGACGTATCTCACAGCTCGCGTTCTACTTGGACACTTGCATAACTGTCGCTAATACTGGATAGGCGCTCCAAGCTGCGGTACAACGGATAGAAAAGTACGTGAAGGAGATGGAGGAGACGATTGACAAGAAGAAGCGATGAGCGAGATTCGAGTGATTGGAGTAGGCTGGGACAGGCCGTTAGCGTTGGGGATACAAGCCGCCCTAGGTCGTCAACTGATTTTGGAAGTATGGGCAGAGTTGTTGAGGAGTATGCCGTCGGATATCAGATGCGGGAGTCGAGATTTGCGTTCTTCAATTAGCAACTCAAGCGAGGCGGTTGGGATCATGTAATCATACGAGGGCATACGGGGGTTTCCAAACTCATTCCAGGTTCAGCGTGTTCGATATACCAATCAACGGAAGCTTTGATAAACGGGTTCTTTAGGAGGCAGTGAAAAACAGTAGTCGAAGTGTGGATTTCTGCACTTGTACAGCCCAATGACCCGTAGTCGAGGACTTGGTTGTACTGAAAGCTCGAGGTGCTGGTACATGCTAGGGAATAAGCTAGTGGGTAATTGAATACACACCTGCTTATCCTAGGCAGTCATTGGCTTGAGGAGTTCACATTGAAAATGAATGTATGCCGTTTGCTAGAGCTGTATGTTTTTCTTGCGTAAGGGTTCGTTCTGGAGAGGAGACCTATCTACTGTGCTGCTGCACTGGTGTTGGTCACCAAGTACAATCGCCGTCACATGAATAAGTATTTGAAGACATGACAATGCATGAACAGCACATGGAAGGAGTTTCAACCATCATCGAGTTCGAAAGTGATATCGAGAGAATATGCACTGTATTTTTCCCACCATGAATTTAGTTAGTCAGCATGGCTCCAGCCACACCAGCCACACAGCGGGCCGGGCCTTCGCTTCAGAGGGGCTAGCTTCCGGACGTTGACAGAACGGCCACCCCCAAACCACTTTTCGACATCCCATCCGGACACCCCTCAGCACATGATGGCGGAAGCGGAATCCGAGACTACGCCCAACCCTATCTCTCGCCTGCCCGTGGATTTCATTGACTGCATAGACTATCACGATGCCGTGGACCAGCTCAAACTACTCAATCGAGGCGCCGGCTTCGTCATCACCATCGACAGGACCAAGGCGGACAGCAATGCGCTCAAGCAGACGCGTAAGGTGTTTCTGCGCTGTTGGAAATCCAGAGCCTACAAGAGCACCAGTACCGGCCGCCGGAGGGGCCACACACGCTCGACAGAGTGTCCTTGGAGAGCAACCCTGACGCGTCAGGATGGCGGCTGGCGCGTCGAAGTCAAACACATGGAGCATAATCACGAGCTGGACGAAGGGTCACCACCACGTCCGACAGTGCTTCGCCGTCAGGTTCCCAAGGCACCCCTACGTGCGTTGGCAGCATTAACTCCCCACCAACTCCAGGGAGAAGGTTTGCAACCCACAGCTGATCCCCTTCAACACCCAAATGGATTCCAACCGCTCCCTCCCATGGGGGTTGCAAATGGCGAAGGCGCTGTCTACGCACCTCAGCCCTTCGGTGGTTATTCGCCATATCCATCCTTTCCGGCCCATCATCTCCCTCCAATGGCATACCCTCCAGCTCCAGGCCCTCCAGCTCCAGGCCCTCCAGCTCCAGGCCCTCCAGCTCCAGGGCCGCCTGGTGGGCCACCATCTCAGAACCCCCAAGGACACGATCCCTCTGGCAGCAATATCACGTGGTTGACACCACTTGGACCACAGTCGGCTGCCCGTATGCATCAACCTCGCCCACCACCTCCACCCTCTACTGGCCCACAGCCGCCTTCTGGTGCACCGGCATCTTCTGGCCCAGCGCCTCCGTCAGGCAGGCGGGTGCGTCGGGGAGGATATGCTGTGATGTCCGAGATCCCAGTAAGCCCGTCGTAGAAGTAGCAATATGGCACTTCTGGCTCACCCAACGTAGCGCTATAGGGTCCCGCTCGAACAGAGAACAGTGGCAACGCCACGCAATCAAGTTCGACCGGAACCGCCAGCCTTCGTGATCTATCATGATGATTTCAACGCCATCCTGGGCGAGAACCCGGACCTGAAGATCGCCTATGAAGATAAGTTCCCTTTTGCACATGGAGCCGGAATCTATATACCGCGGAAAGACACCGTCTTCGTCACCAGCAGGCCACTTGTCATGTCGGGCAAGTTGGAGAAGGAGGTCAAGATCAACAAACTGGTGCGAGAAGCGGCAGGCACCTGGAGACGAGACGAAGTCCTCACCCTTGCCGTCCTGGTCACGGGGGGAACCAACTATGGCGACCATCTCGTCTTCTGCTCCCAGGGCGACTACCGGGACCTCGGAGGTCTGGTCCACATGGACGCAGACTATCCGCACCGGTCCTCCGTCATGCTGAACAACTACCTAGGCCGCCGCTTCAACTCGCTCTACGACGTAGCGGTGCATTCGGACGGTTCGCTATGGTTCACTGACCCGATCTACGGTTTCGAACAGGGTCTACGGCGCCGGCCGGAGCTGCCGAACCAGGTCTACAGATTCGACCCTCGGTCGGGCGACGTGCGCGTCGTCGCAGATGGCCTCGGCCGCCCCAAGGGCATCTGCTTCTCCCCGCGCGAAAAGACGCTCTACATCAGCGACAACGACGCCCTGCACGGAGACGGCAGCATCGATCAGATGCGCGCTGCGACCATGTACGTAGGACTTCTCTTCCAAACCGCCCTTGTCTCCTTTGCTTTTCTTCTTCTTTTTATTTCTTCTTCCTTCTTCTTTAAGCCACAAAGTACACCATCCCACCATGAAAATAATAACCCAACAAAAAACACAGCTACGCCTACGACATGCTCGACAAGAACGGCGCCAAATGGCCCATCAACCGGCGCGTCTTCGCCATGCCCGACACGGGCGTCCCCGACGCCATCGCGTGCGACGCCCACGGCAACGTCTACGCCGCCTGCGGCGACGGGCTCAATGTATGGAATCCTGGCGGTTCGCTGCTGGGGAAGGTCTTGATTCCCGGTGGGATATCGGGGTTCTGTTTTGGGAAGCCCGGGGAATTGTTTTTGTTGAATGAGGTTCGGTTTTGGCTGGTTGCGGTTGCGGAGGGGGTGGTGGGGGCGGGAGCGCAAGGGATGGGGATGGGGAGTGGTGGTGTGGATGAGCGGGAGAAGGAGAGGGAGAGGGAGAGGGGGAGTAGTGTGGATAGTATGGAGTCCTTGTTTGGCGAGGGGGGTGCGCGCGGAGATGGGGGGAATAATGGGTAGGTAGGTAGGCAGGTGGTGTTGTGGATCTTCTCGATGTTTGGGCATGATGTTTGGGTTTGATACCAATACGGGCATGATACCCATACGAATACGGGCTTGATGGGATTGCTCTTTGCACGCCGGGTCGATGGGTGGATGGTTCAGGCATTTATGTAATATACAACTTTGGTGATCGGGAATACTTTCTGGCAGATGCAACGACGTATCGTCTTCAAGATCGAATACATGCATGGCGACCAAACCTTATGGCTGAGTGATGGCTACACAACTGGTTCTAAGCGTCCAGGCACCGCTAGACAAATATCGAACAACAGGATATCATGGCTAATGGATCTATTACTGAACCACAGTAGTAGTACACTCGCACCCGTCTAGATACTTCCGAAACCAACCCATGGCTTCAAGCCAGAGACAAAAGAAAAAGAACAGGAGAGTCATAAGCCATAATCTTCACATCATCATAACGCAAACCCCCCTACCCCCTACGCAGCATTCCTCTTCTCAGCCGCCTTAGCCGTCGACTTGAGCGCCTTGGGCGCATCATCCCACGGCATGACCAGCTCCACAAACCGCATCTTCTTGGTGTCCCCGCTGGCAAACTCGTCGTCGCGGAACAGGTCCTCGAGCTCCTTCTTGGTGCTGACGCGGTACGTCAGGACGGAGCCGGGCTGGGCGCCAAAGGCGGCGGGCAGGTCCTTGTAGCGCCATTCCTGGATGTCGTTGTACTCTGCCTGCCAGCCGTGGATGAGGCGCTCGATGGTGTAGCCGCCGTTGCAGAGGACGAAGAGGATGGGGTTCAGCTGGTGCCGGATCATGGTCGACACCTCTTGGCAGGTGAGCTGGAAGGAGCCGTCGCCCGTGAAGAGGATCGTGCGCTTGATGTCGAGCTCCTTTGCGGCGAGCGCGGCGCCCTGGCATGCGCCTGTCGCATAGCCGATGCTGCCCCAGAGGACCTGGGAGATGGCGGTGACGTCGGCGGGGAAGCGCGTCTCCCAGATGCCAAAGTTGGCCGTGCCCGTCTCGGTGATGACGACGTCGCCCTTCTGCAGCCACTGGCCCAGACGCGGCCAGAACCAGGCTTGGGTAATGGCAGAGTCGGGCGACGAGGTGGTTTCATCGTCTGGGATCTTGTTGTCCGGGGCGGCGGGACTGGGGACGATGCTCAGCTTCCCCAGCTTGTCGGCGACCTTCTTCAGGACGCCGTTCATGCGCACGCCGGGGTATTCCGAGTACCGGACGGTGACGCCGTACGAGTGGAAGTCGATGGAGTTGAGCTTGGAGATGCGGTAGGTGAAGCCGGCCGTGTTGAAGTCGGACTTGATGGGACCGATGCTGAGGACGAGGTCGGACGATTCGACGCGCTCGCGGACGCCGGGGTTGCTGCCGTCTCCCGCATAGACGCCTCCGTAGTTGGGCAAGGTCTCGTCGACAGCACCCTTGCCCATGGGAGCCACGAAGGTTGGGAGGCCGGACTTTTGGATGAGCTCATGCGTCTCCTTGAGGGCGCGGTGGCGGCTGGCGCAGGCGTCGACGAGGATGCAGGGATTCTTGGCGGCATGCAGGTACTTGAGGACGACGTCGACGACGTAGTCCTCTGCCTCTGGATTGTTGGGCGGGTAGCTCAGGTCGAGGGGTGTCTTGAGGCGGTTGGCGCTGACCTTCTTCTTGACCATGTCGGAAGGCAGGGTGATGTAGACGGGGCGCGAGTTGAGGAAACATTCGCGAATGGCGTTATCAATCAAGAGGGGAGCTTCGTGCTGTCTGTCGAGGATGGCTTCTGCACAGGAGATGTGCGAGGCCATCTTGGAGAAGACGGCAAAGTCGCCGGAGCCGAGGGTGTGGTGCAGAAGCAAGCCATCCTTCTGCGACTTGGTGGAGGGAGTGCCGACGATGTGAATAATGGGCACGAATTCCGAGTAGGCGCCGGCGATGGCGTTGGTGGCGGAGAGCTCACCGACTCCAAAGGTGGTTATGATGCAAGCAATGCCATTGACGCGGGCGTAGCCGTCTGCCGCATAGCCTGGGGGAGGGTCAGTGGCGAATGTACAAGATGACGAGAGGGTATTGGGAACTATGGGAGCTCTGTAGCTCACTCACCAGCATTGAGCTCATTGCAATTGCCGACCCAGCGCAAGCCAGCCTTGGGCAGGTAGTCGAGGGCAGTGAGGTTAAAGTCACCAGGCACGCCGTGTACGGAGCGGACGCCGACTTGGTATACTCTGCTGAAGAGGTACTTGAGGGGGGGGGGGTTTCTGTTAGATGGATGCACTTAAGGCGTTGCTATATTGCCAAGACATACCTCTGCAATGTCAATTGGGTTCTCGATTTCCTGGGTTCGGAGGTCAGAGTCCGAAGCCATGGCGGGTGAGGATTGCAAGTTGTGAGTTGAAATGAAAACAGTGTGCAGTAATTGCAAGCGTTGGAATGGGAAGATGAGGGAGCAGGTGGTGGAGGGTTTTAAGTGGATTGACGTCGTATTGACGAAGGTCGTCATTCATACAAGGAAGGGGAGCTTAGTAAAAGGAAGCGCTCTGCAGTTGAAGGTCGGATGATGGCCTGATCCATTTCATCCATCCGTCGCATCTGTAGACTAGTAGCATCTGGCCGGCCAACAGTATCAAGGGAAAGACGAGCCGTGAGAATGGCCAGACCGCGAAACGAAGAAGAAGAGGGGGGGTTGCAAAAAGGGTTGCACGTCACACATGGCCAGCTGGTGGGCTGATGTCCTGTAAAAAGTTGGATTGATGCTGCTCGAGATGCCGGTCGAGGGCCAGATGTGCCATGCAGAGGGCGCAGGGAAAAGTTGCAATGCTCTTCGCCATGGGACCCTCCTTTCTTTTCTACTGTACTGAGAAGTAGTAGGTAGATGGGTGTTGCAATTGATGGCCCCTCCAATGTCTGCCCAGGTGTGCCAAGGTGGGGGTGGGGAAGCAGACGGGGAACGTGGGGGTCTGCTCCACGAACAAGTCAATGAACTGACTCCGACTACTACTGGTAGATACTACTACTGTCACCTGTGGACAGCAGACTACTGCCATCTTTCCGAGAATCCCCATACGAAAAGTGCTGTAACCCTTTCGGTGGCAGACCATCTGCGTCCCTCCAGCTCGACTCGTCCGCCCAGCATGTCCAGCATGTCCAGCATGTCCAGGTGTGCACCCTTCCACAACACCAGTCGTCCAATGTTGGCCACAGTGGAAACACTTGAACTGTGGTACTGTGAGCTCCAGCTCCAAGCCGGAAGCCATTGACAAACGGTCCCTCTTAGCGCCCGACCGCCACGGCGACGCCGAGTCACATGACCAGATCTAAGCTTCGGCTCATCGTTTATCCGCTCCATCTGGCCCTGGGCGTCAACGGAGCCTCCGAGCGATCCACGCATCCACCAAGTCGAGGGGTGACTGAATGAGGCATGCCAAACCTGCCTGCCTTGGTCGCTGCTTTCTCTTGTACCCCATCGACGGGCCCTCTGCTCTCGTCTCCAGCATTATTCTGCGCTCTCTGTCGTTGAGCTTCACCCTTCAGCAAATCTCAACTGCAGCCCCAGGGCGGACCGTGCCCACCAAGCCCTATCAACCATCAGCACCACCAGCTCACTTCCAGCCCTCCCACTTCCGTCCACTCCCACCACCACGGCCGCCCTGCCCTTCACCTGTCGCTCGCTCCCACCCCTCCACTGCTCATAGCCGTACCTCTCCTTTCTGCCCTCCGTCTCATCGCCGGCTCCTCGGTCCCTCCCCATCTGCACCCTCCCGCCCCTTCGACGAGTCGCCCGACACCCCCAGTTCCCGCAAGCGCCGCCTCTGCACCACCTCGCATTCGACTCGGACGGCCGAATCGAAGCCCTTCTTGCTATCCGCACGCATAGTGAGCACCATATACTTGGTTCGATCCTTCTACGACGTAGCCCGTCTTTATCTCCTCGCCTTCAAAAACATCCCCCAAGTCCTCACTCGACGAGTGTTAGCATACTTCTGAGCTTCAGGACAGGGTCGTCGACAGACTCATTGCCAGCTTCGTCATGCCCCAGGCTCGCCTCAGTCCGACCTGAGGAGCCCCCCAATTACCGCCATTGGCTCACCGGTGAACTATGACAAGTGCCTCGCGACAGCGCTCCTCGTCCAACATCTCAAACGTCTCCGATAGAGGCCGTCGTGGTCCCCCGACTCCCCTTTCCGCGAATCGCTCTAATCTCGCCGTCCCCAGCGACCTCGCTCTCAACGACGTCCCAGGCCTGGGCTCGCCTTCGACCGCCCTCCTGACCCCTTCTGCCGGCATATCTTCGCCCTATTCTGTGTTGCCGTCCGCGACCGGCACCTATTCTACCAGCCCACGAGGGCGCGCCCACACCGTCGCCGACCCGAACCTGATCCAAAGGCAACCCGCCTACCTCCAAAGCGCCGCCATGCATCCCTACCTCCCGCCCCCTCCGCCACAGCCAACATCAACCCCTGGCTCCCACGCCGTCAATCTGCCCCCTCCACCCCCGAGGCCGGCGAACAACCTCACCAGCATCAACATCCCTCCCCCGCCTGGCACCTATGGCTGGGGCGCACCGCCTCGCCCATATCTCAGCAATACGCTCGCCAATACCCAGCCCCCAGGCTACAATCCGAGCCTCTATCAGAGCTATGGCGGGAACCTACCTCCGCCTCCTCCCAGCGCCCCTCCGCCACAGCAGACCCAGCAAGATGCGCAGCCTTTGACCTCTGCTACCTACATCCCAGACGGCAAATCTTTTGGCCCCGGCGTGGGCATCCCTCCCCTTCATACCTCCCGACAGTACCCAGACGGCGCTTACTTCAGGGACGACGCGCAGACCTACTCTGCGAGTACCGAAGCCTCCACGTCCGGTTTCCCTACCCCACAGGAGAATGGCCAATATGGCGCAGCTTCGGGCTACAGCGTCCCCCAAACCCCAGCCGGCCGCGCACATCTAAACATTCCCACCGACCGAGCCCAGAGCTACGATTCCCCGGGCCCACCAACCGCGACCCTGCAGAATCCAAACCCTCTTAGCCATGGCAGTGTCTACCACCGCGCCGACAGCGCCGGGACTACCCCGATATCGCCCCATGACGCCGCGCTTCAATGGCCCCCTGAGGTGGTGCAGATGTGGCTCGCCAAGAATGGATTCTCAAGGGACTGGCAAGAGACGTTCAAGACGCTTGACTTGTACGGCTCCAGGTTCCTCGAGATTGGCCGTGGCGTGGGTGGGAAGGGTAACGTCGCCATGATGCATCAGGTCATCTTCCCTCAGCTAGCGAAGCAATGCACCGCAAGCGGTGTGGGCTGGGATCAAGCACGCGAGAGAGACGAGGGCCGAAAACTGCGGAGGCTAGTGCGTGCCATCGTCGACGCTGGGAGCTCCGGCCCGGCCCGCGTGCCGCAACGCGCCGATACAGGCCTGACATTGACGAGTGCAGGGACCGAAGGCACCATGGAGAACTCTCCCTATATGAGTACCCGCATGGATTTCGGTTCGACCCCCACAACGGCTGGAGGCGGCGAGGACAGCCCCGGACTGCATGTGCTCAACTCGCCGGGCTCCAGCACGGCACCGCGACGAAGGTCGACCCAACGCAATTTCACGGTGCCTGGCCTTGGGCCCCCGCCCGAATACACCGAGACTGCAACAGGCAGAAGCCCCTTCTCCAAGGAAGTGCTACGGGATCTGGACTCCAAGACCAAAAAGCACAGCCCGAGCGCTTCGAGCGAGTTTGGCCCCTCATCCTTTGGCAATTATCGTGAGCAAATGAAACATGCAAGCCCCCAACACAGTCCTGGGCTCCAGGCTGCACGCTTAGCGACCAACGGGAACCAGCTCAGCGCCGCCATGGGTTCGTCAACGCAGCGGTACAGCTCTCACAACCGGGGCAATAGCTCCGAGTCCAACCTGTCCACTTTTGCTGCCGTGGGCTCCGGGCCACCCTCGGGTAGATCCTTTGACGGGAGGTCCGAAAGTCGGAATGACAACAGGAGGAATGGCTATGACGGTTCACGGCCGGGGACTAGCATGTCAAGACATGATAGTGCCGAGATTCCCACCAGCGGGAAGGAGCCGCACAAGGGATTTCTTGGATTCCTTCGCCGCGACAAGAAGAAGGAGGATTCCCCAGATGATACCAGCATGGAGTCCCCTACAAGCCCTGCGCATCCGCGACATCATGGGCTCTTTGGCAAGTCTGGTATGAACTCGAGCGAGACCTCGCTCAATGACCGGCCCGCTTCCCGACGTTCTGGACAGACGGATTCAGAGACGCGGTCCACTGCGCGAGGGAAAGGACATGCAAAGGATAGCGATCGCAAGTTCGCTTTCGTTACTCCGGATGGCTGGAACTACCGCTTGGTCGACATCACCGCTGCAACTTCGGCTACGATGATGAAGGAAATGATCTGTGAAGGGCTCGGGATTCCGTACCTCCCGGGGACGCAACTGCATCTGACCTCTCCGGGTCAGTTTGAACATGAAGATCCGCTTTCGGATTCGAAACTCATGAAGGCTCGATCGCAATGGGCAAATCGGTTCGGTGACTTGAAGATCTACCTCAGCACTCCCTCGTCGGTACCTCCCTCAGCTGGCTTGGGCGTATCGTTTGACGTACCAGCGTTAAAGCCAATCGATGAACCGACTTATGCTCGGCTGAACGCGGACTCGCAGCTCGACTCTCCTGATGCCAAATCGGGCGAATCCACACTCGTCCCGGATAAGAGTGGCGCGCTAAGGAGGCTTGCAGAACAAGAGCAGTTGACTCCAGAGGCCGTTGCCCAGCGCTTGAATGGCGGCAGGGCGGCAGAACCATCGTGGGCTACGGGTGATGATATCCCAGAAGCGGAACGGTTGCGCCTGCTTGACGCTGCAGCGGCAGAGCATCAGAGGGAGACGAAGCGGAAACAAGAAGCTTATCTGGCGTCGAAGAAGAAGCAGCTGGAACGCCCTTCGCCGGATCTTGATACTGATTCCTCCAAAAATATTGGTTACCATAGCCCAGGCGTGATCGATTTCGATAATCGTCGAGAATCACCGTATGAGGAGCACCGACGGTCCTTTGGGGATCGCCGGAAGAGCCAGCCGTTGGTACCATTGCGGGAGCCGCCCCCCGTGCCAAAGGAAGACTCCAATACCCTTCTCAAGGCTAACTCGCTGTCCAAGAATAAGAAGGATCGGACGTCATGGCCGGAAGGCGAGGAGCCCAAGCCCAAGGGGGATTCGGCCGACGAACCCTCCCTGCGGAAAGCCATACCCCAAGGGCCTACCGGCCTCGGCACCATCGCTGCAGCGATCATTGGCGCTGGCACCGTGGGTAGCTCCGTGGGAGCGGCGAACAAGGCGCCTCCCAAGCCTCCCCCCAAGGACAACATCCACGGCAACTCGCCGCAGAATGCCCGTCCGTCGCAGCGCATTTTGCAGGAGAGTGGATTTGGCCAAGCGTTTGCACCAGGTAGGAACAGTCCAGGTGGGTCTCCTCGCAGCCCCGGGTCCTTGACAATGAGTAAAGGCAATGTGCCGTTCAAGATTCCTGACTATGAGGAAGATGTTCCAGACGATGTTACGCTCGACCGACCGAACCTCACGCTCCGAATGCCTTCTGCGCCCAATCCCACGATCAGCAAGCTGAAGGAGGAAGAGAGATCCAGATCGCCCGATCTCAGCCCTCATTCTGCGCATCCTCCGCAATCAGAGCTCTCGCGAGAGCCATCGAGGGGTTCCGTGCATGGTCCCACAATTGATTTCGAGGAAACGCGAGTGTCGTTCCATTCCAGGTCGCCCATGGTACCCCCGACGGATTCAGACGACGACTCTGACGAGGGTTTGTTCGCTAAGCCTCTGGCGAAGTCGGGCCCAGCCGCCGTGCAAGCTCCTCTGGAGACGCCGGGCGACCTTCGAAGTAAACGACCGTCCCTCACGCTCAAGACGTCGAGGTCCAAAAACTCGCTCGATAAAGTGGCAGAGAGATCCGCCGACCACAGCGCTACAAGTGATGACAGGCCCTCGCAACCCAGCGATTTCAACCCGGAATCTGCGGCGTCGGCGACCTGGACGGACTCTCCCGATGAGAATGACCGATTTCTGCGGAGGGAGTCATTTGCCAGCGACCTATGGGCGAACCGTCCACCGCCAGAGGCACTCGTGCAGCATCTCGACGAGTTCTTTCCCAATGTCAATCTTGACCAGCCGGTGCTCGAAGATGATGCTCTCGATGCCGATGGAACAGCTGGAATGGCGACTGATCACCGTTCCATCACTCCCATGTCGTCTTTCGACGAGTCCCGGACGGTTGGACCGTCAGCCTTGAAGAGAGGAAATGGCGGGTTGCAGTCCATTGCTCAGCGGAATATGCGCAAATCCGGTGCAGGGCTTGGCCGAACCAAATCCATTCGTGAGGTGGTCAAGTCGCAATATCAGCCGCTTGAAAAGAAGCCGCTTCCTTCTGGGCCATATATGGGATCGCGTGTCGTGAGTCTCCAAAATGGCGGCGACATTGTGAGGAGGAAGTCGACAAAGATGTTCCATGCCAAGATTGAGCAGGTCAAGCCGCCCAGAGGATCTAGGCTGATCCAGCTGGAGACGATTCCCCAAGACCATCTGGCTCTGCCGCAGCGCCAGCCCACCTTCAAATGGATGAAGGGTCAATTGATCGGCAAGGGGACGTTTGGCCGTGTGTACCTGGGTATGAACATCACCACTGGTGAACTCATTGCTGTCAAACAAGTCGAGGTGAACCCCAAAGCCGCCGGTTCGGACAAGGATAAGATGAAGGAGCTGGTTAAGAGCCTGGATCAGGAGATCGACACCATGCAGCATCTGGATCATCCGAACATTGTGCAGTACCTCGGTTGCGAACGCAAGGAGTACAGCATCTCCATCTTCCTCGAGTACATCAGCGGTGGGTCGGTAGGGTCCTGCCTGCGCAAACACGGAAAGTTTGAGGAATGCGTCGTTAGCTCGCTCACCAGGCAGACCCTGAGCGGCCTCGCGTACCTACATCGAGAAGGTATTCTGCACCGTGACTTGAAAGCCGACAACATCCTGCTCGATCTCGACGGCACCTGCAAGATTTCCGATTTCGGCATTTCGAAGAAGACGGACAACATCTATGGAAACGACATCACGAACAGCATGCAAGGCTCCGTGTTCTGGATGGCCCCGGAGGTGATTCGTGCTCAGGGCCAGGGATACTCGGCCAAAGTCGACATCTGGTCGCTCGGGTGCGTGGTGCTGGAGATGTTCGCAGGGCGACGACCCTGGTCCAAGGAAGAAGCCATCGGCGCCATCTACAAGCTGGGCAGCCTGAATCAAGCACCACCGATACCCGAAGACGTCTCCCGTGTCATTGGCGTGGAGGGCTTGAGTTTCATGTACGATTGCTTTACGATGTAAGTGCTGCCACGGCGTTGCGTTTTGCGGAATTCTTTGATTGACCCTGAACAGTGATCCGGCCGAGCGTCCTACGGCAGAGACGTTGCTCAGGTCTCCCTTTTGCTTCTCCGATCCGAACTATAATTTCTTGGATACCGAGTTGTACGCCAAGATTCGGGGTGCTTTCCAGTGAGGTTCCTGATAACCTTTACGGAGCGCCACCCTTGTTTCGGCGAGCCGAGACTCTTTGCATCTCGCCGATGAGCAAGCACATTTGTTTTGCATATATACCCTGTTTTGCTCTTGATCTTCTTTGTTGCCTGTTTGACGATTCTGAAAAATATAATGTGCGTTGGAGAAGCCATGGTAGTAGGGATATTTACGACTATGATCTCGGCTGCGATTTTACTTGGTTTCGATGGTTCAGCGTGGCGTCTATGGGTTTGGGTTCGCGGCGGGGATAACTGGGACTGTTTCTGGATGCCTTGATCGCGTGGAGCGAGCGATGTGAGTGGAGATACCTTGACTGTTGTTGACGAGTGTAGTGTAGCGAGTGCATGTATGTATGTATGCATGTAAGTTGGATAGGCGCGGGGCGGCCTGAATGAATCGATGAGGTCTTGGGTGTTGCGATTTCTTGTAAAGAAGCGTGATGGGTGTGTGTGTGATGTGAATGTGACGTGATGATGATTGGCAAGACTTGGGACATTGGGGGGTTACGTAGTGGACAGGACAGCAGCGCGTTTTCCGGCCAACATGTTTTCTGGTCAAGATAGATCATGTCTGGTCGTGTTTTGAGGTTTTTATTTGGCCTTTATCACCACCGGATACTGTTTGCTCGAGCAGAAGTCTGTCTACTTGTATATTGGATCGTGGAGTCTATATCCCCCGTGTGTTATGCAATGCAGTGCTGCAACAGAAGCCGAAAAAGAATAGGGCTCGTCTCAAATGAAATCGATTCATTGCTCACTCAGCACATGAAGGCGTCGTCGAGTGCGCGCCCAAGCGTTGTCTAAAACCCCCCCAAAAAGGTGAAAACTTATTTGCGCACAGTACTAGCCTCAATTGTCAATTGATGTGACCGCATGGCATACAGCCGAATAGTTAGTCCATGACGAGATCATCATTATTCTGTCGTCCATATGTCAAACAGCGAGCATGTCCGGCTCCCATTTTTCCGTCCCTCCCGTTGCCCTACGAAGCAGGTCAGCAACGCCAGAGGGGGGTCACATAGCCCCAATACCCAGATGGTACCAAAAAACCTAGCCCAAACAAAAGCCGTGGTATAGTTCCCGAGAATTGCAAACCCCAAAAATTCAATCCCAAACTCCAGCAAGATGCCCCAGGCCCAAATGCAGACATTATCGTGCGACCCCAATCCGACTCCTCCAGGCATCCTCCATGGCCCAGCCCTCGTGCTGCCTGTAGTCATCGTGCAGGTAGGTCCGACTTGTATGGATCTTCAGCTCCGTCGTGCACACTATCCGGCCGGTTGCCGGATCTTGCTCGTATCGCGCCTCGTTCAAATCGTGTTCTTGCTCGGCCATCTCGGCGTCCCACTCTGCATACGGGGACGACATCGCCGATCGGGACGCTGGGGACGCGGGGAAGAGAGAGTCCTTCCGATGGACTGGATTGAGCTCCACAATGCCGCTGGTGCGATCTTTTGCGTCTGGCACCGTCTCCGCATATGCCGGCGGCGAGGAATCACGACTCTCGTGCGCGAGTCCCATGCGCTGCAGGAAGCGCCTGGCCAAGCTGCGGAGCGTGGGAGCGCAGGCAGCGATGAGCGATGTCTGCACTTCGAGGGAAGACAGGAGGCCGAGTAAAATGAGACTTCCACCTGCGTCCGAGCTCTTCATAAGACGACCGTTGACAATGGCCTTGCTCAATGAGAATGCCGAGGCCACGAGGCCCAGGGCCATCAGTACTCCGACCGTCGCTTTCTCGCACAGGGGTCGTCGGATCTTGTACAGAAAACTAAGCGGCATCAGACTGAAGACGACATCTGTCAAGACGTTGCAGACGGAGGACGAATAAATCATGGCCCAGTTCAACTCTTGCGTCCAGCATTTCTTACTCTTGATTCGGTTCTTGAAGTCCCACAAGGCTGAATATGGGATGCAGGCGAACAGTTGAACGAGTCCGACGAGGACAATCAGGAGGACATTAAGCGCGATCATCAGGTATATGACGGCTCTCAGAGGCTTCTGCTGCTGAAATCGAAGGAGCATGATGCCGATGCTTATCTTTACCAGGCCAGTCGACCAGGCCCAGAAGGGTACTGCGATGGCGCCCAGCATCGAGGTATATATTACGTCGTCGATATGACGAAGATGGGGAGGTTCGCTTGAAAATGCCCAGAGGTCGCATTTGTACCATAAACCAAAGGCAACCGTCATTAGAGACTGGATATGTCAGATGCGGACGCAGGCTCGATTGAAGGGCACCTACAAAGGCAAAACAAATTATATAGTCGTCCATGGAGAACCTCCAGATTGGACATGCTCGCGTGTATACTCTTGCGCAGAAGACAAGAACCGCGATGATCTGACAGACCAGAGAGACGATCAGATGCAGTGAGGCGAATTCGAAAGCCTTCTCAGTCATAGGGAGCATTTGATCCGGGGGCAACTGTTGGCGTGGAACCAGCAACTCCGGTAACTGAGGGCCTGCATGCCCAGGGAAAGCAGGCATGCTGAATGTATCGTCGGCATTCAACCTTCGCAGAATCAGAAGCTCACATGAGGTCGTTATGATGGGTTGGCCGCGTCGTCAACGTCGAAGAGACGGTTGTGTTCAGGTGGAGGTACGGTTACGTCCTCAGCTGCTGCGAACTCTCGGAGTCCCAAGCATGTGAGGGGCCTCCGGGGTTCGTAACCGGGAATGAACTTACTTTTCCACGCGGCCCATGTAGCAGTTATTAATGGCAGGGGTCTGTGCTATTGCGCTTTCGTACAGTTGACGTGCTGCCCAAACGGGGAAGCTGAAATGTTCCCCGGTAACCGCCGTGCATTCATTGGGCCGAAGATGGAACCAAGTCTACTTTGATGGAGTAGAGCCTACGGAGTACCACGAGGGCATATTGTGTACATGGAATTTGGGACAACTCTGCTGAGGGCTCTGGACATCGAATTGTCATGTGAGCGCAGCTTAGGAAAATGAGCCCCATCTGCAAGCTGTTGGTTTTGCCTGGTCCTACTGTGTAATTACACGGTCGGCAGAGTCGATTTCATCCGACACGTCGCGAGTGTGCAAGCCAAACACGGAGCGTGACGGCAAGGTTATCGAGTGAGGATTCGAGTCGCCTCTGGTAAAGTTTGTCGCACAGTGTCGCTCGTGACGAAAGCTCCTCTCATATGTGCTCGTTAGCGAAGCCACCTGCCACCGAATTGGACGCGCATTTATCCAGCACCAAGGATTGGGGCTGCCAGGCAAGGTATGGATGCACCCAGAGCCCAGTCTCTGGCGTGCTGGCGAGCCAAAGATAGCCTTCGAGGAGTGTATTCCCATCGCTCGTTGCAGAAGTACGCGACATGAGAGGGCCGATAGATTCGGATTTGCAAGCGATTCAGGACGGGGTACCAGAGCAAGTCGTCACCGCTCAAACAATGTGCGTGCGGGGAATCAAGCACCATTTTTGCCATCCAAGTTGTGCGCCTGGGTCTTGAAAATCACGATGGTCTGAGCTCGGGGTTCGTCCTGGTTCTCGGTAAGCCGTGATCAAGACGAGATCACATCCTCAGCTGAAGTCGTGTTTCTGAGCGGATTTTGTTCTCCATTGCAGTCGATAAAAGGCAAGCCATAGTCTCACAACGGCCTAGCAGCCGTTGTGTATCAGCTCGTCTCGTTGAAGTCATTGGCGCCATCCATGGGATCGACATCCGCGCTCCCGTCACCCCCTTGCCCACACTTGGCTCGACCAGGATTCGTTTCAAATGAGTAAGAAGGAAAAAGTAATGACGACCCTGTGTAGACTACTACCTCTTGGAGATGCCGGGGGAGTGGCTTTGAAAGTGTCGAGTTTCACATTTCGGATTCCTGGATGGTGAGGTAAGGAGCACAGGCTGCCGGATGCGGAGGTCGCGGTGAATCCATCGTATGCGAAGTATGGATAAGGCAGTGAGAGGCGATCGATGGGAGAGTTGACACCAAGATGATAAGTCAGAAGGAGGCCTTAGAGGGAAATACCCATTGCCCGCCCTGAGAGGCGGGAAGGGCTGGCCTCATATTATTTCACGAAACTCACACCAGCTGTCGACTATGGTACAGGTGAACGCTGATGAGGGGCTACCAATGCAATGAGAAGCGCCATCCAAAAGCAGGCACCCCTACTCTGACATGTTCAGACTCCGACGGTCGAACGGCCAATACCTCAAGGATATCCAGAAGCGCCGCCGATAGAGATCGGGTACGTTCAGGCTTCCAGTCAGTGAAGATGTTGGGAAGACGGCTGTCTCATCGTCCGGACGTGAAGCACGGCGTGGTCATGGTTTGGGCAACTGAAGCAATTAGACGCATGGCCACGGCAGATGGACACGCTACCCACTGAAGATGAATCTCCAAGCGCCGTGAAGAGTGACTGCATACAGTCTGGCGAACTCTCTAGAAGGCATCAATCATGGTTTCGGCAGCTTCTCACCCCGTCATACTCGTATCTTCCGCATGTGCGTGCCCCAGCGCTTGAAGAGCGCTCTTCAACCGGGCGATGCGCGCCTCCAGGTATTGGATCTCCTCCTCCTGATCCTCAATGGTGCGGTCCATGTCGGGCAGCGGCATGACCTTGTCGCGGGCGAGCAGTATCTTGCGCCTGATGGCGTTCGCTTCGGCGGTGAGCTGCTGGATCTCAATAGGTCCGTCTCTGTCGCTGGTCTGCTGGCTAGGCGTAGCGGCGGGAAGGGAGGGCGGGGCGGTCAGACGTGTGAGCAGCCTGTGTAGGTCTGGGAGGAAGTCGAAGTCTGCTGGAGGAGGCATGGCTGGTACGGACGGCAGGGAAGGGTGCATTGTTTGGGCTGGAGTTGCGGCGCCAGTGGGCGGTTGTGAGGCACGCGCGGAATGCGGTGCAAGAGGGGTGGCGGGTCCGGACATTCTGCGTGAAGAGGAGTATGGGCGGTGGTATACCCGGTTCAGCGTGCGGTTGTGGGAGAAGAAAAGAGAAAGGATGTTTTCAGAGCATGAGGCCGATACACAAGGAGCGGGAGACAGCCCGATTGGTTTCGCAGAGCTGTGTGTTACGATGCGGCGGGTGCTTGCAGCAGGATTGCAGCAGGGTTACGATGGACCACGGGGGTCGTTTTCGTCCTCAGCTGTCTATGGTCTCCGGGGCTCTTGCGTATGCCGCGGAGTTGGGCGAGTGAGAGTGCGCGTGCGCGTGGGAGAAAGAGTGGGAGGAAGAATGGGAGAGTGGGAGAGTGAAAGGGGAGCTTCGGGAAGTGACGTTTCCCAAGCTTTTTAGCAGCGGACCCTGGCAAGCACCCCGCAGCCCCTCCATAGATCAATCCCATCCCGTCACTTCAGCTAGCCCTCGTACAAGATTTTTCTGTTGCTTCTCGTTGCTGCATACACAGTACAGCTTCTGATCCTCTGCATCAGCCTATAGAGTTCTCATTCTCCTCAATTGGCACAAAGCAGCATGGTGAACGTCGACCACAAGGCCGTCCTCATCGTCATCGATGGGTGGGGTGTTGCCAGCGAAAATTCCCCCAAGGAGGGCGATGCCATCCTCGCGGCCGATACCCCATGCATGGACGACTTCGCAAGACAAGGATCCAAGACCGCCCAGGGCTACACCGAGCTGGAGGCTTCCTCCCTCGCCGTCGGTCTCCCCGACGGCCTGATGGGTAACAGCGAAGTCGGCCATCTGAACATCGGCGCCGGAAGAGTCGTCTGGCAGGACGTGGTCCGCATCGACCAGACCATCAAGAATGGAAAGCTGGGAGAAGTCCAGAACATCCGAGAGTCGTTCAGCCGTGCAAAGAACGGAAACGGAAGGCTGCACCTCTGTGGGTTGGTCTCGGACGGCGGCGTTCACTCGCATATCAACCATCTCATCGCTCTGCTGAAGGTTGCGAAAAGCATGGGCGTGCCCCATGTCTTCGTCCACTTCTTTGGCGATGGCCGAGACACGGATCCCAAGTCGGCCGCTGGCTATATGGAGGATTTGCTCAAGGCCATCAAGGAGATTGGCATTGGAGAGATCGCGACTGTCGTGGGCCGGTACTACATCATGGACCGTGACAAGAGGTGGGACCGCGTCGAGATCGGCCTCAAGGGCCTTGTGACGGGAGAGGGCGAAGAAAGCGAGGACCCCGTAGCAACCATCAGGGCGAGATATGAGAAGGAAGAGAACGACGAGTTCTTGAAGCCCATCATCGTGGGCGGCAAGGAGCGCAGAATCCAGGGTGGGTCCTTCCGCTCATGCGGAGGAGAAGCAACGCCAAATTAACGTATTTTCAGACGGCGACACTGTCTTCTCCTTCAACTACCGTTCCGACCGTGTCCGCGAATTCACTCAGCTCCTGGGCGGCTTCGATCGTTCCCCCAAGCCGGATTTCCCTTACCCCAAGGACATCCACCTGACGACCATGACGCAGTACAACGTCAAGTTCCCCTACCCCATTGCTTTCCCGCCCCAGAAGATGGATAACGTTCTCGCCGAGTGGCTTGCCAAGCAAGGCCTCAAGCAGTGCCACGTTGCTGAGACGGAGAAGTACGCTCACGTCACCTTTTTCTTCAACGGCGGTGTGGAGAAGCAGTTCGAGAACGAGGAGCGAGACATGATTGCCTCGCCCAAAGTGGCGACGTACGACTTGCAGCCCAAGATGAGCGCCATGGCTGTGGCGGAGAAACTGTGCGAGAGGATCAAGGAGGGCAAGTTTGAGTTCTTGATGAACAACTTTGCTCCGCCAGACATGGTGGGCCACACTGGCGTGTACGAGGCTGCCATTGAAGGTGTCGCCGAGACGGATAGGGCCATCAAGAGGATATATGAGCAGTGCAAGGAGAGCGGCTACATTCTCTTCGTCACCGCCGATCACGGGTAGGTTGGCCTGGGCCATGTCGCAAACGCCGGTGCTAACTGCGAGACAGCAACGCTGAAGAGATGCTCAATGAAGAGGGCAAGCCCAAGACGTCGCACACGACCAACAAGGTCCCCTTCGTCATGGCCAATGCACCAGAGTCTTGGAGCTTGAAGAAGACGGACGGTGTGCTGGGCGATGTTGCTCCCACCGTTCTGGCCGCCATGGGTCTGCCTCAACCGGAAGAGATGGACGGCCACAGCCTGCTGGTCAAGTCGTAGGGGCCATCTAGTCTGCCACTGTATTCACTTCTTCGATTCATGGCTGTGTGTTTGATGATTAGACGGTTGTTGTATACCTTTGGATAGAAAACGCAGATAGAAGCATTATGAGCCTATGGATGGTTACCGGTATTCCTTTCTTTTTGCCGCCAACTCCTCTCTCGTGTTGATTGTGAAACATCAGTTCAAACATAACTTCTAAGATGTCGTCCTAGACGATGTCCCTGATGTCCCAGACTATAGCCCTTTCTGGACTAGCGTGCGCGGTGGGGATCTATCTATGGTTGACCGGACGGGCTGGAGGTGGGGTGGGGTCCTCAGGGACGAGCTGACCGCCGCCGAAACAACAGCAACCCGCTCTCATGAATCCATTCTGCTCCGGTCTTTCCACGACATAACTTCTTTTCATGAGAAGCCGCTACACTCGCTGCTTGTCAGCCTTGAAGCCTGCGATTCCCGACCGTTGCGGCCGCTACAAATATATCGAATTTGAAGCGAGGGGCTCATCTAGGACGTCTAAGAAGAGAATACCTCAATCACGGTTCGCACTTCTGTATAAGCGCCAGTGGTTGAGTTTAGAGCATTGGGATCTGCTCTGCTTCGCGCCCGGCGTCGTCTGTTCACGGATCCCGAATTACCACTGCTCACACCTCCAACCTCTTGTGCCATAACCCTCAGCGGCGGCTCTTGACGGCCGATCCGTACGCACCAGCACCGCCCTCAAGATAAAAGGATAATCAGACGATGGCTATGGAGACTTCAAACGGCGGGCCGGCAGCACCGGCTGCACAACCCCAAGCGCAGATCCAGCCATGTCGGTACAAGACGGGAAAGACACTGGGAGCGGGCAGCTACTCGGTCGTGAAGGAATGCGTGCACATAGACACGGGTCGGTACTATGCGGCGAAAGTGATCAACAAGCGCCTGATGGCCGGGAGGGAACACATGGTCAGGAATGAGATCGCCGTGCTGAAGAAGGTATCCATGGGACACAGGAACATCCTCACGCTCGTCGACTACTTTGAAACCATGAACAACCGTACGTGGCTGCTTCTGGCTGAACTGGTATGCTTCAAGCGCTGATATATATCGACACCTAGTCTACCTCGTCACCGACCTCGCCCTCGGCGGCGAGCTGTTCGATCGCATCTGCCGCAAGGGCAACTACTACGAGTCGGACGCCGCCGACCTGATCCGCGCGACGCTTTCCGCCGTGGCCTACCTGCACGACCACGGCATCGTGCACCGCGACCTCAAGCCCGAGAACCTGCTGTTCCGCACGCCCGAGGACAATGCCGACCTGCTCATCGCCGACTTTGGCCTCTCGCGCATCATGGACGAGGAGCAGTTCCACGTCCTGACGACCACATGCGGCACGCCAGGTTACATGGCGCCCGAGATATTCCGGAAAACGGGCCATGGGAAGCCAGTGTAAGCCTCCTCTCTCCTTCTCCTTCACAAAGAAAAAGAAACAAAATGCCCGTGGATTGTCTTTGCAGTCCCCCCGAAAACTGACCTCTTGTACAGGGACATCTGGGCCATCGGCGTCATCACCTACTTCCTACTCTGCGGCTACACGCCCTTCGACCGGGACTCGAACCTCGAGGAGATGCAGGCCATCCTCGTGGCCGACTACTCGTTCACCCCGCTCGAGTACTGGAGCGGCGTCTCGAACACGGCAAAGGATTTCATCCGCCGCTGCCTCACCGTCGACCCGGCCGCCCGCATGACGGCCCACGAGGCGCTGTCGCACCCGTGGATCGCCGACCTCGGTGGGCGGCCCGCGGGCGCGGAGGAGGAGCAGGATCTGCTGCCCACGGTGAAGAAGAATTTCAATGCAAGGCGCACGCTGCATGCGGCTATTGATACGATTAGGGCGATTAATCAGTTGAGGGCGGGCGGGGCGGCGGGGCTCATGGATGGGGTGAGGTCGAGTGAGCCGAGGAGGGGGGCGCCGCCGGCGAATGCGAATGTGAATGTGGATGTGCCGCAGCCGGAGGAGGAGGGGCCGGAGCCTATGGAGGTGGATGGTGGAGGGGAAGTGCACATGGGGATGGGGATGGATAGTCGGGGGAATGGGCACGGGCAGACGGAGGAGATGATACGGGAGCAGGAGAGGAGGATTAGGGAGACGCAGAGGGGGATGTGGGGCGGGCGGTAGTGAATATTTGTTTCCTTTTTTTCTTTTGCTTTTGGACTCGGATACCTCTTGCAGGCGACTTCTTACCTTTGCTTCTCTTTCTAAACAGGACCGCCTCGGAATCTACATACATATATACATAGATACAATATGGAGGACTCTTGCTGGTACTGTAGCTACTCGTGCAGAAATCGATGCGGTCGATATGATACGTGCACTAGTTGTCCTTCATCCACTTGCCTGGTCTCCTGTCTCTCTTGCTTTGAAAGGAAGATGAGATGAGCAATTGCGAGACTCGTCGTTGAGAGTAGCATGGGACGAGAACGCGACAATAATGAGCATTTCGATGGGACCTGTCCAATTCCCTGGGGCCAGGCGCGACGGGACGAAAGTGTTGAACAAGAAGGGGAAAAAATTGATTCAGATATGAGAAGGATATTATGTATAGACAAGACGAGTCGCGACGCGACGCTGCTCTCAAGCCCAGAATCAAAAAGTCGAACCATCGTACAAAACACACATATACAAGCCTCCCTCACACACAAGCCTCCCTCCCTCCCTCACACCCAACCCACTACTATCTACATCTACTCCATCTCCTCATACAAAAACCTCCCCTGCGCATCCACATACTCAATCTTCTGCCTAACCACACACTCACCCTCTCCCTCATTCCCCTCAGGCTTCCCAGGAACATACTCCCCCTCCGGCACAACCACCTTCTCGCCCTCCTCCAACACATGCGTATACGGCTCGCCCGCGGGCTTTCCCTCAAGCACACCAGGTACATCCTCGTAATTCCCAAACGCCGGCATACCCTGTCCATCTTTAACACTAACCTTGCACCCCTTAACGCCCAGATGCAACCCCGGGATCTGGTCGGCGGGGATCTCAACGTTACCAGGCCCAATGACTTTGTAGTACAAATTCGCGGTGAGGTAAGGGATCACGTCGTCGCGGCAGAGCGAAGGGAGGTACCCCGCAGCTTGTTTGGCCTGGAGGGCCGTGGTGAGCGGGAGGGCGCCAGAGGTCATGAGGCCGCCGTCGGCGAGCGAGGGGGAGGTCGAGGCGTGCGTGCCGCCGAGGATGGCGTAGGCGCCGATGTAGTCGGGCGAGAGGGTCGGGTCTTCGCATTCTTTGTTGCCGTTGTCTGAAGGGGTGGTTGTGTTTGAAACGGGGATGATGGTGGTCGTGGTGTTGGCGTGGATGGGGTACGAGGAGGGTTTGGAGTGGAGGGAGACGGTGGTGTTGGACGACGGGTTGCCGAGGAAGGCGTGGATCGAGTAGGAGCCTGGCAGCGCGTACTTGTTGGCGATGACGTTGAGGACGTAGTGTTCCTCGCCGTCGAGGAGGGGGCGGCCTTCGTATTGCGTGACGGGCGTGATGATGGCGGTGTAGTCGCCCTCTTTGCCCTGTTCGCCCTGTTCCTCGTGATCCTCCTCCTCCTCAGGCTTCTCGGGTTCCGATTCGTATCCGTCTTCCTCCTTGCCGTAGCCGTGACCGTGGCCGTTTTCATTTCCGTTTCCGTGGCCGTGGCCGTGGCGGTATTCCAGAGATCGCTTCGAGCGCTGCGAGTTAGGTCCGTACAGGGCACTCACGGCATTGTAGACATCCGCAGCGTTGCCGTTGCGCGTCTCCGGGTAGAAATACCCCAAACTGCGCGTGTTGCGCACGTCGTCGCTGGTGAAGTAATCGCCATTCGCGTTCTTGGTGAAGGGCCTCAGGCCCGTGCCGCCGTGGACCTGGGTTCCCTGGTTCCACTGGGCCATGGCGTGCGTGATGGTGCCAATGGCGACGTACGTGTTGGGCGCCGTGAGCTGGTACATGGCGAGCAGGCGGTCGATGTTGGTGTGGTGCAGCCAGAACAAGGGGTCAAAGGCCGAGTAGTCGAGGTAGTACATGTGGCCCCCCGACTCGCCGCCGGCCGTGACGTGGATGGCGTCGTGGATCGACTCGAAGCTGTCGACGTTGTTGCCGCCGGCCGGGCGCGCGCCAATCTGCGAGGTGCTCACGTAGCCGAACGAGGGGACCGGGCGCGCCGCGAAGAGGCCGTAGATGCGGTCGCGCAGGGACACGCGGAGGGATTGCATGCGCGAGTTGAACTCGTTGTTGTTGCTGCGCGTCGGGTTGGCCACGGGGCGCCGCAGCGTCGTGGCGAAGTTGCCCCAGGGCCCGCCGCCCATCTCGCTGGGGAGCGAGCTGCCCCAGGTGTACGAGTAGAGGGGGTTGGGGATGGACACGAGGCCCTGCGGCTTGCGCACCGTCACGTACTGGTCGCGGATGGCCGTGGGCACAGCGGGCTGGCCCGAGGGGACCGGGGCTGCCCAGTCCCAGTAGGGGATGCGGAGGTCGCGGGCGACGTCCCTCAGGCGCTGGCGGTCGCTCTCGGGGAACTCGTTGATGACCTCCTGGACGGCGAGGTACCAGGCCTGTTCGAAGACGGCGAGATAGGGCCGGTGCCAGGTGCCAAACAGCGTGTTGCCGTGCGGGCAGTAGCCGGCCGAGTTGCTCAGGGGCGAGTTGTTCCAAGACACATAGGGGCGGCCGTGGACGCCTGTATCGCATCGTATCGTCAGTCAAGAGCAAGTCATCAAGTGACAGAAAGGTACCCACCGGCAATCTGATAGTAGCCGACCTTGTCCTGGGGCGACTTCTTCATAAACTTCTCCATGCCGAGAAGGTAGAGGTTCCAGGCTTCGGAATCGTTCCTCAGGTCCCGGATCTCTCGACGCGCAGCAGGAGAGCGAGAGCCGTTGACGCCCTCAATGGCGAGGAAGTTGCCAAAGAGCCACGACGTCTGGACCTGGCGCTTCTGGAGCTCCTGCTCGAGCTCCCGTTTTGTGGCTTCCATGTGGGCACGCATGCCCTCGGGCGAGCCGTGGACGGCGTGAAGGGCGGCGGCGGCCTGGAGGAAGACGAGGACGGCGAAGAGCATGGGGAGAAGGCCCCGCGGTTTGCTGAAGGCAGCCATGGTAGAGGTAGACGGAGTAAATAACGACTGGATGGGTGCACGCCGAAAGAAGGAGAGAGAGACGGCGGACCCGCTAAGGGGAGATGGTATTAAGGAAGTGGAAAAGAGTGGAACGACGGAGGAAAAGAGAAGGATCCTCTGTCTACAAGCAAAAACGACGACGAGCCCTCTCGCACGACGTCCCAAGGAAAGATGTTAGAGGAGTAGGGGGGAGGAGGGTGCGGGCGGTGTTGGACCCATATAGGAGGGGATAGTACCTAGGGTACCTGCAGTAGTAGAACGGCCCTATTTTGGGGCTTGCTGACATGATTATGTTTCCTGTTTGTGGCCAGGGGCTCCAAATCGTGGCGATTGGGTCTCCTATTGGGTATGTGGAGGGTGTGTGGAGACGGTGGTGAGCCTTTTGGGGCATGGTGTTGGCTGTGTCGGTCGTGTTGGCGCCCCAACTGGCAACGGGCGATCTGCGGGTGAACCCCTGAATGAGACGGGGTCATGTCAGGGTGCTCCGTGCACTGTTGCTTGCATCAGACGCAGGAACAGCAAGGCTGTTCACTTTTGTCGTCGTACGGATAGTTGACGGTCAGTCCCTCGTGCGATGGGAATGGGGGGAGAGAGATCGATAGATAGGCGAGTGTTGGGTTGTTGTGGTAGCACCGACTACCTACACCCGTGACTCTGCCACACCACAAAGTATCCATCACCGTTTTCGCCTTCACAATCCCATCATCCTATTGACCTCCGGCTTATGAGTGGCTGTACTATGTAAGCCTCGCATCGACGAGATTGGCCCGGCAGAGGACAAGTGCTGCACCTCGGTCAGGGGAGACTGATCCGAACGGCTTCATTCCAAGAGAGCAACATGTATGAACGTATCGCCGACATTATTGAGAAGTGCAAAATCCGAAGCAGATTATCACTTTCAACTGCTGGCAAACCGCATCTCCATCTCCTCACGAGGCGAAGGCAAGCGATGGACGTTTTGCAAAACTTGTCGCTGTTGTGCATCCTTCGTTGCGTGCATGGATGGATGCACCGCCCACGGACCTCTGCACCACCTGTCTGTTCACCGTGGCCCAACGTGGCCATGCCAGACGGAAAGGGAATCCATGCGAGCATGGTGAAACGAGCCGACCTGCCCGGTTCGGGGTCGTCGTTGGGGATTTTCAGGGGTACGGACCTGCACTGCACAGCCACATCCTACCATACCGGTAATAATAAATACCACGGTACAGTAAGCTGTTGGGAAGGCGAGAAGTCTCACGGAGTATCAGATGGCAGGCTTTTGTAAAGATGCTTTGAAAAGCTAAGCTGTTTGGTGCGTGCTACAGTTATGTGTCCATTCGTGCCTTGTAGCGCCGTAGGTAGGTAAGTACTTCGTAGCGAGGAGATGGTTACGGGTGAAGGATGTAGTGTAGGAAGGAAGGATGCAGTTGTGCTTATGCCACTTTTTAGTACTGTGTATTCGTGAGACTCTACACCAAAGTACCTACGGTGTCCGGCATCTGGGAGTATCGGGCCCAAATCCCGCCATCGAGTAGGTACAGGAACGTTTCTCGTCTTGAAATACCCTACAGGGAAGAGAGAAGTATGTGCGATGCAAGGAGAGTACAGAGGTCCATATACTTGGATTGCATAATAGACCATATGTCTGATGTTGGTGTAGACAAGACTACCTCCGTACTACGAGTAATACGGTAATCTAGCAGCACTCCCCCTCCTAAGGTAAATGATTGTCTTGACATTACATTAGTATACCGTATATCTACGCCGAATCCAGATCCAGAAAATCCCAAAAGCCCATCCATCATTGCGGGTATCTTGACTCCATCCCATCATCCCCATCACCGTACCTCCCTTAGTCCTAAGCACTCCTTCCCTAATCTCAGCAGCGCATATGGTAGACGCGGACATGATATCTGCTCTCCACTACATGACGCAGCACTTGTCCGTGTACACCTCGCCGTACTGGTCCACGCCCGCCATGTGCTCATTGTACCGCTGCTTCTGCTTGACCTCCTGCGGAAACCACTTCTTCAGAAACGCCGCCAATTCCGTGTCCAGATTATCTATCCATAGTCAGCACACGACATCCAAAAATGCCCCTTCCCCTTCACCCACAGAAGAGAAAGACTTACCCGAACACGCATCAATCACCGTCTTCTCCCTGCACAGCGGGCAATAATGCTGCTTATTCGTCTGCATGACAATCAGGCAGCGGATGCAGAACGTGTGCTCGCACCGCAGCCGCACGGGGCGCCACTTGATGTCCATGCACATGGGGCAGCTGTAGTCGTCGAGCTGCGGCACGCTGCTGAGAATCTGCGTGTGGACCTCGGCGCACACGGCTTTGGCCAGATGCTCCGAGAACTCGGGGTACTCGATGCGGCGCGGGAACGTCGACCGCACGCCCAGGCCGCTCTGCTTGTCGAATTCTATACATATATCGTCAGTCCACATGAGCCACAGAGCGCCTTGAGGGCTGGAGAGTATGGCAACCCACTCTTCAATATCTTCGTCATGGCCGTCCGATTGATCTCCCCGAACCGCAAGCCCTGCAGAATCTCCCGATTGATGCCCATGAACCGGTTCAGCGCCCTCAGATTCTCCGACCCCTTGAGCCGATCCACGAGCCCCTTCTCCGCGACGATGCTGGCAAACCGCTGGAACCGCTCCGCCGCCGTCTCGGCATCGTGACCCCCGTGGTCCACCTCCGTCGTGCCGAAGAAGATGCCGCTCTCGACGTAGACCTGGAATATTTCGCGCCACGTGTTAATGATCTTCCTGCTGGCGCGGCGGTCTGGGTCCGTCAGGCGGGCGACTTGCCGACCCAGTTGCTCGATCTCGGCGTGCATGCGCTTTTCCTCGCGCTCCTGGAGATCCTCCAAGCCAGACAGCTCGGCGGCGAGGCGTGAGAAGAACTCCGAGTCGGACGTCAGGGGGACTTCGACGGTGCGGTACCCGGCTCTCCTTCTGATGCCGGATGTGGGAGAAGAGGGAGGGATATCGGATTCCGTTGGCTGCGGCTCCTCGACCACACGTACATTCGACATGCCCGTCTCGAGGGCGAGGAGCTGCAGTTTATGCCTTGTCTCCTCGTTCAAATGGGCGCTGTCAAGCTCCCCTGTACTCTCATTGACGTAGAAGAGCAACTTGGGATGGAACAACTGATTCGATTCCGGCTTTTTCTCGCTCTCGCCGTCATCCTGCTCCCCCGACAGGAGATACTCCAACGGTCTATCATCATCGCCACGGTTCGCCGCATTGTAATCCTCGACGTGCTTCAACAGCTTCCGCAGCGTCTCGGGCTCCAGCCCCAGCTCCGCAAGCTCATTGGTCAGCCGATTGATGCACTTCTTGAGCTGCGAGTAGGAGATGGCCGACTCGACCCAGTCCGGCGGGAACCCCTCCTTCTTCAACGTCTCCTTGAACCTGTGCCCGAACTTCATGGTGGGGGGAGAGGCAGGCCGTCCGCACAGAGACCAGGCTTTTCACACGTGGGGTCGAGGCTGAAAGCGATTGGAGCCGGACACTTTTCCCTGTCTCTTCCGAATGCGCGGGTTGACGTCAGGCTAGATCAAATCCCGGGTTGGGTTGGGTTCCAGATTAATTTGGGTATACTGGTAGGATATCACTCCGGGGTCCAGGAATAGGACGACGGTGATGGGGGTGCGCCGTGGTCATGCAAGTAATTCAGAGAATGAACCTATTACCGTGATTCCAGTCCTTCGCAAACTCCCCCGGCTGGATGGCAATGGAGTCTGGTGCATATGGTAGATGCAAAGAATGAGTAGAGATTTCCTAGAGCGGCCCGTTTCGACAAGTCGAGAACGCGGAATCTTTCAAGCAGTGCTGCGTGAAAGCAAGGGAAAGCCTCTGAAGAACTGGTGGGTGCAAGTATCCTTTTCGATCGTCCAGTTAAACTGTGTAGAGAGATGTGCGGTGGTAATGTGAGTGCGCTCTCCCGGGTGGCAACAGTTACTTGTATTGACCTAGGGTAGTCGATCGTTGTGTGCGACCCTGTAAACGCGACGAGATGAAGCGCGCAGGTGACAATAATGAACAGACATCACTCTGTCCAGATGGTGTAGGAAGCAGCATCTCCTTGTAGGGAGAGACAGTAGGAATTCCGTTGCGTGCTTGCCCCTCGGGTGGCGTCCGCTCTTCCAAGGTTCATTATTCATCATATTGGGAGTCACGGGACCAGATCGCGAACCAATCACCACCATCCCGCGCTTGGGGGACAATCCACTTCCACAAAAGTCTCCCGAGTCACAGTTTACGACTTTCGAAGTCCGCAGTCCAGGCTCCTCGCCGCAGACGATAGCGCCTGCCTTTACATTCCTCGAGCAGACGCACGCACATAGATATAGATGGGCGCGTCTCAATCACGAGGCGGGGCATCCGCCTCCGCAACCGACGTCCGGACAAGTTACTACGAGCTCCTCGGCGTCGAAAGGAGCGCGACCGACGAAGAGTACGTACATTTCCCCACCCAGCAATCCCACAAGCCGCACCATTCCTAACCATTATGCTCCCGTTGCCAGAATCAAAAAAGCCTACCGCAAGAAAGCCCTCGAGCTCCACCCGGACCGCAACTACAACGACGTCGAGCGCGCGACGGCCCTCTTCGCCGAAATCCAATCCGCCTACGAGGTCCTCTCCGACCCCCATGAACGCGCCTGGTACGATGCGCACGAGGCCGAGATCCTGCGCGGCGGCGCCAACGGAGAAGATGACACTGGGTCAGCGCAGCACCACTACGAGCACAACATGCGCGTCACGACGGCCGAGGACATAGCGCTCATGCTGGGCAAATTCAGGGGGAACGTGGAATTCTCCGACCGCCCGACGGGTTTCTTCGGCTTCGTGCGCGAGGCCTTCGAGCAGCTGGCCAGGGAGGAGGAACACGCGGCGGAATGGCAGGGCGTCGACGTACCTTTCTACCCGTCGTTCGGGCACAAGGACGACACGTACGAGGATGTGGTGCGCGAGTTTTACGCCGTGTGGGCGGGGTTCGCGACGCGCAAGTCGTTTGCGTGGAAGGACAAGTATCGGCTCTCCGAGGCCCCCGATCGGCGCGTGCGGCGGTTGATGGAGAAGGAGAATCTGAAACTGAGGGAGGCTGGGGTGCGCGAGTTCAACGACGCGGTGCGCACGCTAGTCGCGTTCGTAAGGAAGCGCGATCCGAGGTACACGCCCAACCGGCAGGATGCGGATGAGCGGGCGAGGGCGCAGCGGGCGTCGGCCAAGGAGCAGGCGGCGAGGGCGAGGGCGGCGCGAGAGGCGGAGATGCAAGGGGCGGCGGTTCCGGAGTGGGCGACGAAGCGGGAGCCGGAGGAGGAGGAGGAGGAAGAAGAGGAGGAGATTGAGGAGGAGCATTTTGAGTGTGTGGCGTGTAATAAGACGTTCAAGAGCGAGCGGCAGTGGGAGGCGCATGAGAAGAGCAAGAAGCATCAGAAGGCGATCAAGGAGCTGCAGAGGAAGATGCGGAAGGAGAACGCGCATTTGAATTTAGATGTGCATGCGGCGAGCAGTGGAGTCATTACACCGGCTGAAGATGGAGATGAAGTCTCAATAGGTGCAGAGGAGCCTTTGGACGGCTCTGTGGACGACGTGGTTGACGATCTGGACGACTTGCATATAGACTCGCAGCCCACAAACCGCAAAGAGATAGATGGAGATACCCAGGAAAACGACATAGATAGCGACGAAGATAACGACGACCATGACGACCATGACGACAACGACCACGGCGACGACCATACCCATCAAACCCACACAAAACAAAAACCCACCCCCCTCTCCTCGTCCGCCTCCTCCACATCCACAAGCTCCCTAAACGACGAATATGCCCCCCGCTCCACCATCGAAGCCCGCCTCACCTCCCCTTCACCACCACCACCACCTACCGCCGACACCGCGCCAAAACTAGGCAAAGCCGCGCAGAAAAGGGCAAAACGCGCCGCCAAAGCAGCAGCCGTAGCCGCCGACCAGGCCCAACAAACCCAGGCAGATTCCGACGCCGCCGCGCACAAGTGTATAGGCTGCGGTGCCGGCTTCGCCAGCAAGACGCGGCTGTTTCAGCATTTGAGGGAGAATGCGGGACATGCGGCGTTGAAGGGGGTGGGATCTGGTGGTGGTGGAGGAGGGGGGGTTGGAGGGGGAGGGGGGAAGAAGAAGGGGAAGGGAGGGAGGAAGTAGGCGATTTAGTGTCCGGTTTCATGGATTCGAAAAAGGATTTGGGTACTTGGTTGCGTGAGAGTTTGGCATTGCTTTTCTTTTTGGATCGAGCAGGGTGAAATACGCTGCATAGCATAGTATAGCGTGGCGTAGCATGGCATACTATGGCGTCTATAACATAGCGGAGCGGGGAAAGCACGCATATGACCTACGGTAGTAGGTTCTACTTCACCCAACCATTCCGTTCTGTCTCATCGAGTACCAGATTTCCCATCAAATATACCTCTGAAACCCTTCAGCAACAACATCCCAATCCTCGGGAAATCCAGGAGTCTTCCTCCGTACCCCGTCCCCGTTCGTCCCATTCCACATCCGTTCACTCTCCTCCTCTTCTTCGTCTCCATCCCAACCGCCAGCCATCATCCCTACCGCCAGCAACAAGCCCGAGCTCGCCGGGAAATAGGGTGTAGGCACCCTCGTGCCTCCGACCGGCATGCCCACCTCATCGAACCTGAACTCGTCATGCAACAACCACTCAACAGCCTTCTTCCTCTCGCCCATCCTGGCGGCCGTCATAGCCAACAGGGGAAAATCCCAGCCATAGCTATGCGTAAAGTTCCACGTAGCATACACTTTCTCCACCGTATTCGCGAAGACGGACGCATTGAAGTACCCAGACTCGGAATCCGGCCTCAACACACCATTGATAGCCAACAGCGCCGGATGATCTTCCGTCAACGACGGCGTAGTCCACATATCCCTCACGCCCTCATACAAGACATACACCTCCTCATCATTACCATCCTCCCCATCCTTCTCGACAGGCAACCGCGCCAGATTCTCCCTCACAAGTCGCCACTTCCACGGCACCCTCCTCCCCAACCTCTCCCGCCAACGCACCGCCACGCCCAATCCAAACCGCCAATACGCAAGCTCAAACGCCGCATTCACCGTGGCATTCGGATCCGTGTTCTCGCTGACGGGATACATGGGGGGACCCAAATCATACACACGCGTCGAGGAATTCCAAAACGCATAGTCGGCCATGAAATCCGCCACACCCGTTATCACAGCATCCCACTTCCGCAGCGTGACCCCCGTCGGGTATCGCCGGTACTCCATCTCGGCGAACCACAGCGGATGCCCCTGCTGCCAGATGAGCAAACTGTTAATCTCCCCCGGCGCCGAGCGACCCGTAGGATCACTCATTTTGCCCAGCCTCGCACCCTCGTAGCCCTGCTTCGCGGCACGCGCGAAACTCGAGGGTAGGAAACGCGTATACACGCCGGGGAGGCTGCGGCGCGCGAGCGACCACTTGTCCCACACGGTCCAGTGCGCGAGGTGCCAGAAGACCATTTCGAGGTGGAATTTGCCGTACCAGCCGTTGTTGACCAGGCCGGATTCTTGAGGCGGGTAGTCGTGGGCGGCGCAGTTGATGGCGAGGAGGTATTGGGAGAGGAGGATGCGGCGTTGGAGTTCGTAGGCCGCTGGGGAGGTGGAGATGGGGAGGGAGAGGAAGGCGCCTGTGGTCCAGTAGTTGGACCACCATTTGCGGACGCGGTGTTTGATGGTTTTGAAGGAGGAGGTTGGTGTGGTGGGAGTGGATATGTTGTTGAGGTCTTTTGGGGTGAATGTTGCTGTGAAGGTGAGCGTGTTGGGCGATGAGGAGGAGGGTTCTCTTGCTGGAGCAGAGAGAATGTACCGGTGCGACAAATTGCTCACACGACGGATACCGACTTCTCCCTCCTCCCAGGAGATTTCCGTGAAGTACGTCGTAGCATCCAAATCATGCCTTATCCTCGCACCCTTCTTCTTCCTCCCCTTCCCCCTCCTCAACTCCTCCAACCTCGTCCTATGCCTCCCCACCGCCTCCGCCTCCCAAACCCCTACAAACGGCGCCTCAAACTTGCTCCTCCCATCCGCATACGGATACTCGAAAAACACGCCCAACTCCCCCCGCCCCACCAGACTCGATCGAATCCTCACCCCCAACGTATCCTCATCCGGCGCCGCCACCGTCTCCACCTGCACCTGCACCCCATCCATTTCAAACGACGACTTAATGATGCCCTCGTACAACTCGACAACCTGCGTCTTCCCCTCCAATTCCTCTTCACTACTAACATTTCTTGCTGGTCCAAACCACAGCCCAATCCTCCCCAGATGAATCCGATGCGGATTCGCCCTCAACCACTCGCCCAACTCCGCCTGCTCCCGGCTCGGTATGTCGTACTTGACCAACCGCCCGTGCGTCCACCACTCCGTGCCCGTGAAGTCTGCCGGCGACGAGGAGGACGTCCCATTCGTCGCCCCCGTCGTGGTCGGCAGCAACGAATTGTGCCACCCCCACGACGAGAGCGTGTTGTGCGGCACGAAGGTCTGCAGACCCGTGATGTCGGCGCCGAAGGCGAAGTTGCCGTTGCCGACTTGGACGGGGCTGTGGGAGGGTTGCGAGGCGTGTAGGATGGGGTTGAAGTGTCGGATGAGGGATTCGCGGTCGATTTTTGGTTTTGTGGTGCTGGTTATGGGGTTGGGGGTGATTGTTGCTGGTAGGAGGAGGAGGAGGATGAGCAGGGGAAGGAGGGGGAGTGTGGTGCTGCGTATTCCCTGGGATGGGGAGGAGAACATGGTGTGCGGTTTCTGGTTCTAGGGGGGTGTTCCATTGTTCCGAGCGTTGGGATTGTTGGTTTTCTTGAAGGAGATGCGGGCGGAAGGAAGGAAGGAGGGAATGAGATGCTCTTGTCCCGGTGTGCTATGGCTTTGGTGTAGTATAGATTGATGGGTAAATTGGTGGTTTGCTGAGCAAAGTTGGCTCTTAGGTAGCGACGTTCGCATGTTGCGGATCTCTAGATGCATCTCGGGGTAATATCGACCGAGTAATAAAGCACACCACCTCCGACGAGGTCTCTAAGTCTGTGGAGATCAGGTCCCCAACTGGGGGTTGCATGAAAGCGAGCCACAATGTTGACATAACAGAACAGAACTCGCCTCGACGTCTACGACCTTCTCACATCATGTTAGCATTCAACTAAAAAGCAGATATCCGTAGGTCTGAAATAGTCTGGACAAGAGACAATGCGCACCTTTTAGGACACTTAAGAACCTGCCATTCATTCCAGAGAGCATCAGGTCCTAGGAATATGCAGAACAATGAGACTATGAGACTCACCTTTAAGTTAGTATAAAAGCGAAGCATAATTACCTCACGCACTGAGTAATAGGCCCCCGCCCTGTCCGATAAAACCATGTATATCCCAACCCGATCCCAAAGCAATTCACAATGCCCGCAAAACTAGGGTATCCCGAATTACCATCCAGCCCTAACAAATGCATATAGCGCTGCCGTCCCATGCTTTTCTCCCATCCTTATAAATCAAATAACACAGGGAAAAGAGGAAAGCAAGGGTTCTACTTCTGCCGTAACCTCCCTCGACACAAATTTCACTACTCCATCCTCGGCGAAGCATCCGAAACAGGCGGCGAAGGCGGATCCTCACCCTTGCGAGCAGACGCAACCACGAGGAACCCCTTTTTCGGCTCCGGCAAGCATCCCGCCTCATCGTCCTGATCGTCGACTTCGCGACTGCGTTTTCGTGTCCGAGATTCGAACTGCGAGTCCGATGTCGAAGAACAAGACGAAAACGGCTCGCTCGACGTCGACGTGTTCGCCGGGACCATGTTCGTAGACGCAATGCACCCAACACCTCCCACCCCCCTTTCAAGCAATCCCTCTCTCGATCCTCCCCTTTCCTCCCTTCTCCTCGCTACCACCTTCTTCCACTGCGCGACCGCAAACATGGCCAACGCCGCCCTCCCAAAGTGCGTCGTCCGTGCCGGCTTCATTCCCAACCAGTCGATCCGCCTTAATCCCAGAAGCGCTTTATTCCGAAAAGCACTGCACAGGTTCTTGGTGAGGTATTCAATCTGCTCGCGGTTCAGCGAGTCGTCCCGTAGAGCAAAGCGGAGAGTTAAATAGCCCCCAGGCGGGTTGAAGAAGGAGGGTCTTCGTTGTGGCTGTGATGTCCTGGGTTTCAAGGGTGCGAGACGGATGTGGCGTTCATGGTGCTTGAGGCGGAACCAGAGCTGCGAGGGAGTGTCGCGGCGATTGGGATTGAGCAGGATGCGCTGGTTCAGATGGAAGGTAGTGAAGGAGCGGTCGTGGTATTCGGCCAGGAGCTCCTTGAGGGCGTCGATGAGGGCGCGCGTGAAGGACTGGGGTCCCGGGGATGCGGTAGTGGCATCGAACGCGCAGGCGCTGAGAAGTTCAAATGTCCGTGTGTCTTCTTTGCCCGACTTCTGGAGGTTGGACGAGTAGCACGTGTCTAGGATGGTGAGGACGTCGCCTTCCACGTAGTCGGAGCGAAGGTGCTCCTCTGCACGGTTCCAGTTGGCGCGGGCCTCGTTCTTGAAGCCTCGTCTCTGTGAAGGATCGACACTAGCTGTCAGTTCTAGGTATTTGAGATCTTCTCGGTAAACGCCATGGCCTGTGTAGTAGACAATCATCAGGTTATTGGGTCCATCATGCTTGTCCACGAATGTCGAGAGGTACCGATTCATTTGGTGCTGAGGTTTGGTAAGCACATTCAGTTCGACGACTTCGCAGTGGTAGTGGAAGCCACCGGCGAAGAGAGAGCGGAGCTCTTCAGTCTAATACATATATCAGTATGACGGGTCCGCAGTATATGGAAATACGGGGACGTAAAGAACAGGCAATCACACCTCTTCTCTCGTCTTCAACTCATCCAATCCGTCATCCCACTTGATAAGCAGCACGGCAACGTTCTCATATCCATCATTCAATCCCATATATCTTGCGATGGATTCCTCCCACCACACTTGCATCTCGGCCGCCTTCTCCTGCGTCTCTTTGTCTTCGGCATCCTGGCTATTCTGCTCGACTAATGTGGAGTCCTGATCCGCTTGCTCGTTGTTGGAGCAATCCTCAATCGACTCGATACGGATATCGGCATGGAAGACTTTGTCCTTCAAAGGATTGGGCGATTGTGGGGTGACTCTGGTATCCACCGACTCCATAGTTGCCGGAGATCACATTGACTATCTTAAGCTGAGGACGCAAGGCTTCAAGATAAGGACGTCCGTCAATCATATTGGCAAGGCGTGAAGGTAGTCTCGTTTACTGCAGTCCACCTGTTTGGCCGGAACACGGTTCGAACAAGGGGGGATGTCCGATCCATACCGTAAACGGGACTGTCCCCGCCAATCAGGGCGCTTAGTCACCCTCTTCATGGTGTTTGGGGGCCACGATTGTCAGCCTCAAGGTGAGGGGAAGGGATTATTAACGTGGTCGCTGTTCGTCTGAAGAGGCTGCGTGGGCGGTGCCGTTCGCCGCGGAGCCACAAGCGAGTATCGCAAGCGGTTTGGAATATGAAGTAGGCGTTTGGGGGATGCGATCAGAGGGCTCCAGCATTTGTTGGGAATATTAACCAGGGGAACGAATTCTGTAAAACGCATGGCAGGCGATTGTCCAAGGAAATCGGAGAGGCATGCCGGGCTGTGCTGTGTGCTGTGTGCTGTGCAATGCTGTTCCTCATAATCAGCTTGCTGGTCACTATCAGACTCTGTGTATCCTGGGCAGGCAACGCTTTCATCTGTGACTAAGGCTGTTAAGGCTGTGGGAGAGGCCGCCAGCACCTCCGTCGGGAGTTTATATCAACGGTAGCCATCTCCCACATTCCTGCACTCTTCATAAGGCTATCACCTTGCCTCTCGTACTCGTCCGGCCGCAGACTTATTCATCGTCCCGATAGAACGTCATGCAGCCTGACCAGCTAAATGTGCAGCCGATTCACCAGGTCGAGGTGAGTGTTCAGAGTTTTTGGATGGTGCCGCATTTCCACCTATGGCTGACAAACTATCCCGCAGGAGCGCATGGAAGAGGACGTAGCTCAGCGCAGGAGGTCGCGGAGCTGCTCACCCAACGTGAGGCCTCCACACAGGTCATCTGTATACATTGATCCATTTGCTCAAAGGGTATGTCGATCGTAAATGAGATAACTGTCACCAGTGATACCCCGTACTGATCGTGATAGGCACAACCCAGGTTTCAGAAAGGCGACAGTGTACATATGTCCATCATCGAGAACGGCATCCGCAGAAAAGGTACCTTTAAGATTCACAAGGGGCGCTACAACGGTACCGGCGGCTTCTGGGAGTACCAAATGCTCGAAGACGGCAGCCGACTGTACAACAACGGTGCCTGGGTTCGGGAAAAGGATTTGAAGTTGGAGAAGAGACGGGAATAGGCAGGCCGAAGAGTTGGCCCTCGCTGAGCCCCCTCCAATATTACACCTGTGGCTGTGTCCGGTCCGGCAGCCACACTTCGTGGGTTTGGATCATTTGATTGGCGTTACGGCGTTTGGGGGATCGAGACACGAACGGTCATGCCGGAACCACCAGGGGTGCACAGCGCCGTGTCAAGGTAACCTTTTGCTCGACCGTCTCACTTCCTCTCTGCGTACATAGACGGCGCTCACCCGCCACCCGCCACAGTTGAATTCCTTCTTGAGTCTCTCCTCCCTCTCCGTCATGTCGCTGTGATTAGTTTGCGTGCTTGCCGTCGCCCAAAAGTTCTGTCCTTCCCTTGCTTTCTCTTCGTGTCGCGCAGCAGGTTGCAGCGACCCCCTCTCAGCCTTCCTTGCCATGGCACCCATACGTACCATGACCGGAGAAACTCTCGTGACGGAGAAGCCAGAACCTCAGTCGCCAACGTCGCCAACGAATACCGATGATTCGGGGGAGACATTAGGAGGAGATGCCATTATAGAGATCGCCGAAGATGACAACTCGACTTCTTCGCGCTCATCGTCAGATTCGGATTCGCACCCCTCCGTGAGCGAAAATAATATTGCACAGCCACGTAGGTCGTCCTTCTACTTTATCCCCCACGTTCAGTGCGGGTGTAACTGGGGACAATGGTGTTGAGACATGCATCAGGCGATGAGAAGCACCCCACGGTGTTGCGCCGAATAACGGGGTCCTTCAAATCCACTCCAGAGCCTCCAGACGTCGTCGAGACCAAGACCAGGAAATGTAAGTCTCTGTGAGATTGACACGGAAATATGCAACCCAAGCTCATTCACGCCAGTGGAAAACACTCCTAATGGCTTTCCCCGTCTTGCGGCCTTCCAGTCCAGCGAGGCAAACTTCTCCCTCTATCGCTCGTTCAACTATCTGCATTCGCGCATCCTGCTGGACCTCCAGGATGAAATCACTGCGCTTGAGAAGGAGCTGGATGACATTGACTGGGATGACTTTGACGAAGATCCGGACCGCCTGCGCTCCAGGGAAATCGATGTGGCCAAGGCCGCGAGCGAAGGTGATGCCCGTAACAGGCGTGTGATATTGGAAGAGATCAGGACGAAACTCCTGCAATACGGTATGCGTGTCCCAGTGCGAATCCTCCTCTCCTCATGATTAACGTCCACAAGACGAAGTGCTCATCAAAGCCCGTACCCTCGAGTCCTTCCAGAAGCCATCCGACCGCAATTATCGTTCAGTGAGACGTTATCACCACAACACCAAACCCCTCATGGACGCTGAAATGGACTCGATCCGAAGTAAAGAGGACATTGTCTCTCTTCGCAACGGCCGCGAATGGGCATCTTTCGACGGCGGGGTCGAGACCATGATCGGCCAGCTTGACCATTTCCTCCAAAAACTATTCGGTTGCCGCGAGCCCCCGCTGCAAAAGTACTTCCGCACTCCAGAGTTACGCGCAAAGACGACTAATGCGTATATCTCCCTGTACAGCTCCAGTAGAATCGACAAGCTGATCAATATCATGATCACGCTGGTAATCTTCGTCCTTCTGGTCATCCCAGTCATCACCATGTATCTGCTCACTTCGGAGTCAATAAGCCAGCCCAGCGACGGAAATGCGGCTTTGAATGGGACCGTCTCGGCACACAGCAATGGTGTCAATAGCCGTACCACCTTCAATGCTGTAGGGGTATTGATCGTCTTCACATTGCTCTTCTCCGCCGCCATGAGTCTCGTTACCAAGGCTGCGAGACATGAATTATTCGCTGCGTCTGCCGCGTATTGTGCGATCCTGGTCGTATTCATCGGCAACCTGGTGGTACCGGCGTAGGCTATGCTGTCATTCGCCATTCCAGACCGTTCTTGGTAGATATTCCTTTGTAATACCCTAATTCTATAAGCGACGACTGATGATACACGTCGGATGTGAAAGTCTTCCCTGAGAGGATGGAGTTCCGTTGTAGGCCGTATAGGAAAGTTACGCTAAGTGACGGTTTGTGACCAAGGGTGCGCAGCCAAAATTTCAAACCATCTCATGTATACTCGCGCTACCAGCTGCCCTTACGAACTGGCCCATTCGATACAATAGTGCGTCTGGTACGCAGTTTCGGATATCCGTGACCGTCTGCAACAGGCGCGCCGAGCTTTGGCTCACGGTCTTTCAATCGTGCCCACAGCTCAGACATACTTACTCGCTTTGCCGGCAGCATGCTATACTGCAAGCTGTATAGATTCCGCCTGGGGAGTGGCGGAACAAACTGGCCCCTAACAAGGCGGAGGATTACACCGGGTAGCAGGTAGTGCTTTCGTATTCTATGGCCCACTTCGAAGTACGAGTGGAACATATCCCGCAGCGGGAGTGGTATTGACTGAGAGACGTAAGCGTGAGATTATCAGATGTTCCTGTTCCTGCACCCACTCTGAGTAACACATAAGAGGTTGCAACAGCTTGTGCGCCACGCTGGACTGCTAGCGTTTCCGTGCTTTCCTTTCGAAGTTCAAAGTAGATGCCACCTAGGGGGATATATGAGCCTCCACAGCAATGAGGGATACAGTAAATACGCTCGGCTTACCGGGCAGTCGTCGCGAGTCTTTGACTCTTAGCATCACCGCGAAGAGGGGAAAATGATTCAGACAAGCCAAGCCAACCTCAAGCCCAACCTTCAAGCTGATAGCAGCCACTCGAGCGCTCGCAAAGAGCAGATAGAACACGAAGACCGTTGGTAGCAGGAAAACAAGCAAGGTAAACAGGATTGTTCCGAGCAGGAGTTGATCCAGCTCATAATCGCACGAGTCAATTCGGTTACGCAGGACGTTCCGCTTCTTGCCTCGAAAGAGGTGGAACAGTGATATGATGATGGTGAGCTGCCAATAATATAGCCTTGCCGAGGTAGCGTAGAAGGCATAGATGTGGACAGTAAGCAGGGATACAAGGTCAGAACAGAGAGATATGGGCATGGTGGCGCCAGTGAAGGCGGAAAAGCCGATACAGCGAATAAGCAGGGGCAGATGGGGACGGAAGAATGTTATGCAACCTGCTGTGCGTCAGCTTCAAAAAATTTCGCCAAGGGAGGATTGCTGACCGGCCCAGCAGTCGATGACCCAGAGGAACAGGTCGCCCAGAAATTCCGCTAACTCGTTGTTGAGCTTCAGGCCGCCGGGCCATCCCATTAGCCAGGAGATCATCCGTCTGAGTCCTTCGATGGACCAGGTCGTAAAAACTGTGTCCACTTTTGACGCTACGAAGGCAGCGTTCTCGAAGAGGAAAGATCCCAGTGCAATCCCGATGATAATATCATTGGCAACTAACCAAAGGCTGTTGTAAAATCGAATGTACTCAGGATGACTGGTAGTAATGCTACCCCAGTTTGCTTTCCTCCTGCGTAGTGTGAGGTATTGGATCGGCCAATAGCAGAACTGTTGTAGTCGAATGTCTATCTGTTGAGCGGTAGCAGACATGTCTTTGAGCGCAGGAAACTCCACCAATCGTGGTCGCCAGTGGAGAAGCCGCAGGACCAGCTCGGCAGCCAATCGGAGTGCCATGAGAGCCAGGATGAACAGCTCGGTGAGGACAGGATATATCCACACTCTGCCAATGTAACACAGGAATCTGTATGTGTAGCCCCACACATGGTTTGCAGACTCAACGACACGCTCGCTGACACTCAGAGCGCGCTTCGAGCGTCTGCCAATCAGCGGAACGTTCTTTTGGAGAAGTTCATCTAGTTCAAATGAACAATTTATCTGATCGATAACCATGGGTAATGCGCGCTCTTTCTGCGTAGAAGGTCGCGCAATCACTGTATGGAGCTTCAGCTTCTCCACTAGTTTCTCCTGCTTTTGTCGCGCTTTCGCCTCCTCCTCTTCAGTGCGTTCGGAAATTGGGTCCCAGCTCCTTGATTCGGCTTTATCATCCAAAGCCAAAGACATGGGCCTGAGGGACAGATACTGCATTTGAGTTGGATGCGGCCTGTCGTACAAGATGACTTGTATTGTCAGAGCAGAGTCGGAAGGAACTCTGAGGCGTGGGAGGTTATCGCGTGCGTCGGTATAAGTGACCACGAGCCCAGAATCAAGAAGATCTGGGACAACTTTCGGATTGACGACCCCCAAGACGCGCATGGAGGAATGTCCGCATCGCCTCAGGAGTTCCTGAATGTTGAACGGGCTCTTTCGGAAAAGCAATCCAACGGCCAACGCATTCTCGACGCTGCGAAGCTACCCAGAATCAGTGGAAGCGCCAGTATGATGATGGTGTGGAGCGTGTACCTCTACATCTTGAAGAATAGAGACCACAAAGATGTCGAGCTCCGAGTTCCTGAAACCGACAAGAACACCAGCTGACGATCCATCTGCCGCTCCTGACGGCCAGAACACGCGCATCAACCCATTGCTTGTGACCATGTCACCATCCTGGTTCGTCTCTAGAAGGAGCCGCGCCGCTTCAGTTGCTCCCGGGCTGATATGCCGCTGGCGAGTGTACGAGGATGCAGGTTGGCTTCGTGAGCAGCGATACGCTCAATGGGTATGAATAGGAGGAAGAAGAAGACTGATAGGACGGCGAATCCCTTGCCCGCTCTGGTCTGTCAATCGGTTAGCCGCCTTTCAACGGACGTGTCCCTGAGCGTCCTAACGTACCACCACGCCGTGATCCCAAGCGAATATAGCAAGCTCGTACAGCCTAGTAACGAGGTCCCAGCGAGCAGTGGAGTAACCCGCGATGAAAATCCCAAGCGTAACAATCGAGAACGCGTGCATGAATTCACGACAGAGGAGTGGTCAAGCTACGTCAATTCGTGAATGATTTGGAAACTCGCTTCTGAGGCCCTGCGGAACCACCAGCCGAGAGAGGGCCTATATGAGAGCCGCAGAGAGTGGGGACAATGATTCGGAGGCGCACTGTAGATTGGTGGGCTGTTGGCCCATGGTTCGTGGCATGTGGTGGAAGATGGAACCGTGGAGAGCGTTTCCGCACCTGAGCAGGGGATCGACGGCGCCCCTGTTTACGCTAGACCTCTTGGGTCTAGCGCCGAGTCTACTTCAACGTCCTCTCAACTCTGCAGCTGCACCTGGCTAACGTTCCTCAATAACTTCCACCGCAGTCGAAGTCGAAATACCCTGTTCCAACTTATATGAAGGCAACCGACAAGTCCAGGACCCCCTTCACCTTCCGGAGTTCGGGTTCTTCGTCCTTGATTGCCCGGTCGCGCAAAGCGCCACCAGCCTCGCTTGGCACTGTGTCTCACGCTATCTCGAGGCGCGACTCCTCGAGAATAGATTCCACCACACGGATTCGTACTCGAATCTCCATCTGGGCCGTTCCTGCAACGGAACGACGGCATAAACTTCGTTTATTGAGAGACATTAATCTTATACTTGGGATTTGAAGTCATGGCCATCTGTCAGTTCTACCAGCGTGGTACATGCAGATATGGAGGTATGGTCGTCCGTGCCAAGGACCAGTGCGCACCTTAAGACTGATCACTTGGAACAGATTCATGCCGAAATGAGCATCCAGGTAGCGCAAGAGACAGTAATCGTGGTTCCGGTGGTTTTGGCTCCACCTCGAATCGCTTCAATGGCTTCGGCGGTGGAGGGGACCGCTACCGCCCAGGCCAGCAGACGGGTGCGTTCGGTGGTATGTTGTGGCATCCATCAATCCTTTGACGTTATTGGCTTGACTGACAACCACAAGCACGCTCATCCGCACCTTCTTTCAACTTGAACAAGGACGACATCAAGGCGGATCTCACTGATCAACGCCCAATCTACCCGCTGTCATGCTATGGCCCCGGTCGAGATGCCCCCCGCCAGTTAATCGAAGGCCCTCTGGAGATCAGTCCGGAAGAACTCCGCTTCCGCTACTACACTCATAGAGCAGCGGGCAATGAAGCCGCAGGAGTATGTATGATCCATCGAGCTCAAGTGAACGGCCTAACGATGCCTCTAGCAACAAGAAGAGACCGCCCTGGCCAACCAAATGCAGCAGCAAGTGCAGCGCATCTTGAGCGATTTGGATGGCGCCATCAAGTATATCATGGATGGTGCCGACGTCCACCCGAACCGAATCGACATTGCACAAGGCAAGGCCAAAGTGGGCGGAACTCAGTCAAACGCCTTCGGAACCGGTGCTCCAAGTCCATCCCCCTTCGGTCAACCCAATTCAACATTTGGTCGGCCTTCCGTCCCTGGCCAGACCACTACGGCTTTTCCAGGCGCTGGAACATTTGGAAAGCCCTCTCTTCCTGGTACGAGTGCGTTTGGCCAGCCTTCAGCTCTTGGGGGCGATTCCGCCTTCGGGAAGCCTTCCACTTTGGGTGGAGGAACTGCCTTTGGAAAACCGTCTATGCCAGGAGCCGGTTCAGTGTTTGGGCAGACTACTGCACCGGGCCAGCCCTCGGGAACAACACCAGGGTTTGGGACCCCCTCTATGCCTGGACAGGCATCTGCCTTTGGTCAAACCAATGTTCTCGGGCAGCCATCTGCCTTTGGAAAACCCTCATTTGGCACCAGTGCATTTGGACAGCCCTCCCAGCCGAACGCAGGCACAAGTCCCTTCGCACAGCAAGCACCTAAGCCATCAATCTTTGGTCAATCCCAAGCCCAACCACAGGCCCAGGCGACCCAGCCATCGATTTTTGGACAGCAACAACCACAGCAGCAGGCGCCCAGTCAGGCTTCAGTGTTTGGGCAACCGCAGCAACAAGCGGCCGCAGCACCGAAGCCGTTCTTATCACAACCCACTCAAGCGTCGGCATTTGGCACACCCGCCTTCGGTCAACCTTTTGGAACGCAACCCCCAGCGCAACAAGCCCCTGCGAGACCAAGTCCTTTTGCACAACAGCCACAGGGCCAAGCGACTGCGCCGTCATTGTTTGCCCCATCACAACAAGCCGCAGCACCATCATCATTGGCTGGTCAGCTCCAACCACAGTCTGCGCCGGGGTCGGCGAAACCGATTGAAGCCAAAGAGCGCTTCAAAGAAGGGAGGCCAGAGCAGTATGAAGGAGAGCAGGGTCAGAAGTTGGAGGAAATATACCGGAGAGTGGGACAAACTGGGAAATTCCTCGACGACGAACTCATTCCATTGGTACCGCCAAAGTGTGAATGGATCACGCCGCTCGCCGTCTCGTAGGAATTTGGAATTGCTGGCAATTCAAAGTGTATAAGATTAAGGAGCCGCCAGCTGACTGGCTCAGCCTGTGGCCGTGTACTACATTGAAGTTCGTACTTAGCGAGTTGGTCGATACTTGAAGAAAGATATTTTATCTTCAATAGAGACACGTTTTGGCGCCAGCACACCAGCACGACGTCCCATGAATCTTTTACTGATCGATTTCGAAACTTACCCTTCCCATAATGTTGTCTCAGCGGAAAGGCAGCTATGTCCCTCAGTGATGTTGGACTTTCACGTTCTCTAACTTCCCTGACCAAATAGGGTTATTTTTAGCAACGGATGCGTCGCCTGTGCCGCAACCAAACCCTCCCCACGCGCTTCCGCAATCTACCAAAAACAAACAACAAACCTGGGGCGACCCGAATGACAAAACGGATGCGGCGCTATCGGATCGCCTCAGTTCCGGATTCGCCTCTCCCAGAACGACTCTACCGTGCCACACCGTGGTGCTATATCCAAAATACCAACCCAGGTACATCATGTTTCGAAACAGCGCAAACCTGCAAGCGAGATTCAGATAGGAGCTTAATTCTGATCACTCGAGATCCAAGTATAGATCGGTACATGTGGTCAGTCGTTGCCCCGGACTGTTGAAACCGAGGAATCGATTGGTCAACCACTTAACCACTCCTCTTCGTTTCGAACGATCAAGAGATCCTCGTCACGTCAGGCAGGAATCTCAGACGAATGGCTATTCGAGTGGCACGGGAATACCTATGCTTCGTCATCCTTCCACCACTCATCCTCTAGCAGATCCTTTGCGGTAGGTCGATCCCTCCAGTCGAGCATCATGATCTTCATAATGAAGTCCTTATCCTTCTTGATGACTTCTCTTTCAGTTATCCGGGAAAATGGCGTAGTCTTCTCTTGAGGAATCTCTTGCATCAAATACAAAATCTAGTGAATAGTATCCGGGCTAGCAATCTCCTCAAACTTCGCAGGGAACAGGCCAAAGAAGCGGAATTGTTCCTTGAGAACTTCCAGCAAGTATTCCTCGTGGTCTCGATCCACGCCTTTAGGTCGGAAAAGATTGAAGTTCCCGCCGTAGATCAAGCTTATGAGCTAGAATTGAATGCTATTAGCAGATGTGTTTAGTAAGAGAATGGCTGGTGAGTCTGGTGAAGGGAATAGCGAGAAAACGAATACCCACCACAGCACCGAATGACCATATATCGGTTGCCGTTTTCCATGGCATTTCTAAGATGACCTCTGGACTTGACCACATCGGCGCACCGACCAGTGTTCCGGATAAGGCCCAGTCCGAATCAACGGGGTAGCATCCGCCTAGATCCCCAAGTTGGACCTCGGAAAATCAAATGTCACCTTCTTGGAAGTTGACAAAAATGTTGTCTGGTTTGACATCTCCAGCCTCAGTTAGCCCTGCATCAAGATGAACCATAGCGTAAGGTCATACCTGTATGCACATAACCATCATCGTGGAGAACCTTTAATGCCTCTAGGATGCATCGAGACACGTGCTTTAGCTCCTTTCGGTTCAAAGTTTTCTTGATCGATGCATCCAAAAGATCACATTCAAGATACCTCAGGGCAATAGTCACATGAGCAGAAGGCTCCTGGATCTCATCAATCAAGGGTCGAAGGCAGTGAGTGCGATGCTGGAACCGTTTGAGGACTTCTCGTTCATTTTCTACTCTTGGATGACCTTGAACGCTTTTGATCACCACGGTGTCTTGCACTTGGTTTCTGGTGACAGTCGGTTTACGGGTAAATGGAATTCGCTTCTGATTCGGCTCATTTCGCAAACCAAATGGTCTCTTGAATCGGTTTCGTAATCGTGTACCTCCCCGTTCTACCCTTAAGAACTTGCCCGATTCTGAAGAGAGACGACATGTGCATATACAAATGACTTTGGAACAGCAAAAGACGCCTAATACGATTATCAACAGCTCTGAAACGAGAAATGAGGGAGTGATGAGAGTTTGTGAAATGAGGAGGAATAAATAATTAGAAGATGGTACGACAGGAGGAGGGCGTGCCAAGACGCTAAAAGCATAACTATGGCCCCAAGGAGGACTGTCATCAACAACCGCCCCCTCCAATATAGCAACAGTGGGCGCGTGGCAGCTATTTTGGAGGTTGCTGGGTCTCATTCGCAAATCGGGCGCGTAGCATATTGTTACCGTATGACTGTTGGTATCCGACAAACTTGGCAAAGCTTGTGGAAGTCGTTTCACAGTTTTTATCCCTGGGTTTATAATTAGCTGGACATGTAGGTTGTTTTTGGATGTTTCGCAGGACTCTGGATCGTCGCGCAGAAAAGATGCTGATAGTAGGAGGCTGAGCTTACAGCACGGTAGACCAGCCATCCGGGACGTGATGATGCCGGATGGCTAGGCAGGTATGAACACCAGCATCATCTCTGACCGTCAAGTATAAAGAGGTGATGTTGCCTGAATGTTCTTCTCATCATCAAGAAGCACTACAACACCATCAGCTCCGATTTTCTATTTTTCCTATCTTTCCTATCTTTCCTATCCCTTTTCTTCCTCCTATTTCTTACATTTTCCATCTTCTCCTCTCATCTCATCACCACCAACTTACTACCCGCTCAATCAACCAGCACAAAACCCAAACCAAAATGGTCGCCTACGCCACTCTCTTCTTCCTCACCACCGCCCTCCTCACCTCCCTCACCACCGCCGCCCCCTGCCACTGCGGCGAGCACCACCACCAACAAGAAAACGACAACCCCTACACCCCTTCTCCTCCTCCTCCTCCTCCCCCACCTCCACCCGCCCACACAGGCACCATCCAGCGCATAACCGTCGGCTCCCCAACCGCCAACAACGGCCTCTCCTTCTCGCCCGAAACCCTGCGCGCCGCCAAAGGCGACATCCTCGAATTCCACTTCCTCCCCAAAAACCACTCCGTCGTGCAATCCTCCTTCGACGCGCCGTGCGTGCCTCTCCAAGCCAACCCCGGCGGGCCTGCCGACGCGGAGGGCGGCGTTTTCTCCGGCTTCAACTTCGCGACCCAGGAAGGCCAGGCGGACAATGTGTTTCGCGTCGAGGTTACCGATGATACGAAGCCGATGTGGTTGTATTGCAGTCAGGGGGACCATTGTCAGAAGGGGATGAGTATGGTGGTGAATTTGCCCGAGGGCGAGGTGGAGAGGTCGCTGGAGAGGTATAGGGAGGTGGCGAAGGGGACGAGGACGGGGCAGCCGAGTGAGGATCCGGAAGCTTCGAGGGGTGGGGAGATTAGGGTGAATGAGGTTAAGGGTTGATGGGGTGGGGTGATGATGAAGGTTATGGACGGCTGTAGTGGAGGGTGTGATGTGTTGGTGTTTGCTGGGGTGGTCTGCTTTTTTTCTGTTTGTTGTCTGTGTGTTTTGGCATTTGCATAGCATGGCGTTTTGCATTCATGGCTTATCTTGTGTAACTAGTAGTTGCATTGCTTAAGTTGTAATGGAAATATATCAGCTCGATCATTTCACACAACCACCGTGAGCCTCCAGAAAAGATACCGATGGCCCCGACGCCATCAGCTAAACAACGTAATATCGTATGTTTATCTTGAGCATGCACATTCCCGGTTGGAAAGAGTGCATGTATACCAGCCAAGAAATTGGCAGGAACGACTGGGAAAACTGCAAAAAGAATATGGGAACAGAATTAAAAAGTTGATCGTCGGCAGGCCATGAATATTATAAAGGTCTCACTGCCCTTAATGTTGAATACAGTCCCATTTATGTTGAGTACATACCAACATGCTAAGATGCTCCAAACCTATTTCACCGCGCAAACCTAAGCCTAAGAGTCCGCTTATTCGATTTTAAGTATACTTTACGCAAAATTTACATCCGTAGCCGCCCTCCTCTCCTCGGCCTTTTGACTGCTCACCTCACTGCGCCTCACTCCCCTATCCACCACACCCACCTGCCTCCGACTCTCAACCAACGCCTTGATCAACGCAACCACCACATCCCTCCCCATCTCCATCCTCTCCGTACTCCAACTCAAGTCCGGCACATGCAGAAACACGACCGGCCGCTCCTCTTCCCGGATCGAATAGTAATGCGCCAGCGACATCCAATATATGAAGCCGCACATGAAATTCCCCGCCTGGTTGCTAAGCCGCACATCCGGTGTCGGCATTGCCGACTGGGCAAACCCGACGACGCTAGCAGTTGCCCCGGGCTCCTGCAAGAAGCCTTTCCAGCGCTCCAGTACGTCTGCCGTGTCGAAACTCGTTTCCAGAACCGGGGGATATCGTTCCGCTGGGAAGAGGGATTCGGCGGCCTTGTCGCTGAAGACGCGTCCGTCGACGTCGCGGATCTTGTCGTAGCCTCGGCTATGGGAGCAGGTTTCTAAGGCGAAGAATCGGCGGCTTGCTGCTAAGCCGATGTGCAGGATGATGGAGGGAGCGGGGTTTTGGGGGCTTGCTGGCGGGAGGAGGGTGGGGACGAGCGAAGTGACGGTGTCGTAGGCGACGCGGATGGGCTCGTGGTGCACGTAGATGTGGATGGGAGTTGGGTTGGTGTCGTCTGCGGGGATGAGGGCGGGGAGGCGAGAGGCGATTTCCCAGGAGGTGTTTTTGGGGATTTGAGTGAGGAAGGGCTAGGTGAAGGTGTCAGTGGGCTAGACTGGAGACTGATGGAAAGTTGATTGATCTTGTGGTAATTTGATCAATGCGTTCAAGAAAACGGGGTGTATAAGGATATCCCAGAGACTGAAGTGAAGGAAACAATGAACGACCCAGGAACTTGATGAAGTGGGCACAGAAGTTGAATAAATGAAGCCTAGAGATACTCCCATCAGGGAGACAATGGAAATGTAGAACAAAATCGTTGCATCTTCACTTACCCCAAAGCCAGTGACCAGCACCGTTACAGGCTCCTCGGATTTCTCTCGTGGAGGTTGCCGTTGCACCCCGTTCGTGTCCCTGTGCTCCATGCCTGGCATACCGGAAGGCAGTGAGTTGTTCTGGAACACCACACCAAATCACGCGCGCATAGCCCACATGAAAGCAGTTAAGAATTGCGCTATTAATTTATCAGCCTAGCCTTGCCGGCTTTTCTCCTCAGCATAAGCCGTGAATTTCAGTGAAAGTGTTCAAATTTCGGTTTGGTTGTCCAATGACGTCACATGAGGGGAGGAGTGAAGGGGGAAGATCAACGCACGGGGAGAGGTAATGAGATGAAGGACTCACAGCCGATGTTATATATTACGAATTATGTATGGTAATCTGCAGTGATTCTGAAATCATCGTCAGTGTCTTCGGGTGGAGTTGGAAGTGGATAGCCCTTGGCGATCTTGCCACCCCGCAATTTGGAAGCTGATTTACTGCCGCCTTATCGGTTTGCTTTCTTGGAGGGTTACGCACATGCTGAGGCCGTATTGCTCAGAGATATTCGGTTCTGGTTGAAAGGCGACCGAAAGTAGCGCGAAGAAATAGGGAGGCACTGCAAGCGTCTAGGCTTCCCAAAGATATGAGACATAGCGGGGAGACGGGTTGGAACAAGCGAGAGAGATTGGGAAACAACAAATAATACGCGAAAGAGAAATCCTCCTACACCTACAAGCCGAAGAAATTGGGTATCAATCCTAGTGAGAGAGACTCGTTCACTGCAAAGGTGTCCAAGAAAGAGGGCAGTAGTTTAGAGGTATATATTTTGCTATGTCGTCTTTGTTTGCCTCCGGGAACAAAGTAGAATCAACTCTACAGTCTGCAATCTGGATATGTGTAACCTAGAGTAAGTAGGTGGGTTATATCGTCATTACTTAGGTAGTAGTGCTTCGAATGCATTGTTGTTCTATGCAAGTATGCCACTTAATCCATCAACTGCGCAGACTATCTCCTCCGTCCTGTTCCACCTGCTTCACCACCCGCCTTATCCGCCAGACTAACCACCTCTCCAATACCCGCAGCCTCCTGCTCATCCTCCAGCGCTCGGATCTCCTCCCTGCAATCCCACCATTTCTCCTCCGCCCTGTCAAACGCTAGCTTCTTGATCTCCTTTGGCGTCTTCTCCGTCCCCTTTGCTACCTTGCTAAGCTCGTCCACCACAATATTCTGCCATTGCTCCGATGTGCGGGCGTAAAAGTCACGCAAACTCTCAAACGGCCGCGGGTGCGGCAATGTGTCTGTAAGAGCGGATATCTCCTCCGTGGTACCCATATCTTCGTCAACAGTTTCCTTCCCAGAGACACTGGTAGGTGCCGTAGACGTGGATCGTGCATCCGTCTTGTCCTCGTCCTGCTCGTCGTCTTCGGATTCTTCGTCCTCTTCCTCTTCCCCTTCTTCCTCCTCGGACTCAGCTTCATCCTCACTTCCTTGCCAATCTTCTAGCTCGCGTTTAAAGACCTCCACGACGCCGTCAAGATGGTTCAAATTCAGGGACCACAACTCATCGAAAGTAAACTCTCGGTCGCCCTTCTCGAAGGTGCCGCCGTAGATGTAGAGCGTGTCCCCTTGCACGGCGAGCGCTGCGTTGAAGCGCGGGTGCGGGAATTCATAGAGGCGAGGCTTCTCAGGTCTTGCTTCGTCTTTCCCGTCATCATCGCCATCAGCCGTGGGAATAGCCTCCGCGATGTCGTCGGCAGCGCCACCACCAGCCTTCATCTCCAGAGCTTTCAAGTTGGCTAGGAGTTCTTCTTCGTCTGCTCTCCCACGTTCGCGACGACTCAAGTTCGCTTGTTGCGCGGCGCGCTTGTTGGCATTGGCCTTGGGTCGTCGCAGCGTCAATGGCATGAATCGATTCCGCTCAATGTTCCATACGAAGAGTTGATTGAAGAACTCCGAGTCGATCCCTTCTTCGCTCTCCTCGACGTCGTGGACGCCGCCAAACATGATGCCTCTTCCCTTGTGGAACGCCATCGTCGCTCCTGCACGGGGTGGATTGGGCGGGTTTGCTGGTCTCTTTCGACGTTCCCACGAGACGGTTGGGAGGGCGGTAGACGGGGCCTCAGACGCCGGAGGTACGATGCGCAGGAACCATGTGTCCTCGTGGACTTTTGGTTTCAGGACGACGCGCGAACTGCCTCCGCCTCCCCCTCCTCCGCCGCTGCCGCCCTTCTTGCCCCGCTGCTGCTGTTGCTGCTGCTTGTTCATGGCAGCCGTTGCTTTGACTCGCGAGTAGCCGCCATACAGCACCGCGCCTTGGTCATGCGGGAGAAAAGTAAAGCTGGAGCGCGCGTCGGGCACTGCCCTGGCCGACGGCAGCTTCGGCGCGTGCCATGCGAAGTTGACGCAGTCGTAGATCCACAGGTCATTGAGGTACTTTGTCGTGGCGGACGTGTCCTGGAACCCACCGAAGAGGATGATATACTGCTTAAACCCCACCATGCGATGGCCGCTCCTCGCGGGTGGCCCCGCTGCCGCACCTTTCCCTTTCCCTTCAATCCTCGTCCACTCTCTCGACGCCGGGTCCAGTCTCCAGAAATCGTTGTAGTGGTAAAACGTCCCTTGCTTGGGCGAACTAAACTCCCCACCGAAGAGATAGATGTCCTTTGTGTTGCCGGCCCGGCACCAGGCATGTCCGGACCTGGGAAGCGGCGAATTCGGACTCGTCACCTTCTTCCACGCATCCTGCTTGCTGTTGTACACAAACAGGTCGTTGTAGAACTGCGCCACAGCACCATTGAAGTACTCGCCTCCAAACAGGAAGAGCTCATTCTCGTTGGCCGGGTTTGCGATCAGGGTCGCGGATGTCCTGGCGGAGGGTGGTTGTGCTGAAGGGACTTCGGTGATGGCGTGGTATTGCTCCTGCTCCTTGGCGTATTGGGCTAGGACGGCGTCGAGGTCGACGGACTCGGCGTCCGAGTCTATGTCCTTGTTTTTGGAGGATTGTTTCTTGTCTCTTTTGCTGGCCTTTTTTTCTTGCTTCGCGGCTTTGGCTGCTTTGAGGGCGGCTTTGGAGGAGGGTTTCTTCTTGTCTTTGGCCATGGGTTTTGGGTTGGAGTCTGTCTATCTCTTTCTCGGCTTCTTTCGGGTTTTATTGTTTTACGGGAAGATCTTGAATGGTGGGTGGAGATGATGGAAATAGGGAGATTGAACGATTTAGGAACCCTACCCCGCGCTTCTTCTAGTCGATGAAGAGGCCCCTTAAACGCAAAAATTCGGATTAGAATGACGAATTTGTTGGAAAAACCCGTGATTATGAACGCGAGTGTAGGGGAATTGGCACCGGATTTATGTAAATGTGTATCTACACAAGTTTGCAAGCATGAAGGACCGTTCACTTGGGGTGGGGCTCAGCCACAGCCACAGCCACATCTGGTAGGTTCAACAGGGGTTAACTCGACCTGGCGACAACTTCGGAACTCCACCCACAGCTCCGTTTACACATACAACAAGCGACTAAATCAATTACAGCAGGAGACATCGAATTTCGATAGACGGACAGTTATCCTCTGAATTGCAATAGTGCTTTCCCAAATCATTGATTTTGAGTCTGCATCTGACATTTCCGCTCTTGTGCTCCTCCAACGATTGCAACCACCGATATGATCCAGGCGGCCAAGATACTCGAACAGAGGAGCCATTTGGTTCCAGGTATAAACTGATGTGGGTCATCTTTAACGTACTCGACTCATAGTATCCCAGGGAAACTCAGAATCACGGAACACTTCTTCCAAGTACCGCGGGACTACTCCAACCCTGCATCTGGCACCATCGAGCTTTTCGCGCGCTCAGCCCGGAAATTCGAGAGACCAGCCGTTGAAAAACCAGAGGATCCCAAATCCCAACCCCCCTGGATCGTGTACCTCCAAGGCGGACCTGGATTCCAATGCGGCCAACCCCAGGACTTTCGATTCACGGACAACCTCCTCGAAAAGGGGTACCAAGTGCTGTGTCTGGACCAGAGAGGGACCGGCTTGTCGACTGCGATATCCGAGTCCTCGCTTCAGCTCAGGGGAATGGAGGATGTGCAGACCAATTATCTGAAATCGTTTCGTGCCGATTCAATCGTTAAAGACTGCGAAGCCATTCGTCAAGCGCTCACGGCGGAGTACCCTGACGACCAGAAGAAATGGAGTATCATGGGCCAGAGCTTTGGCGGCTTCTGCTGCACGACGTATCTGAGCTTCTATCCCGAGGGCGTGAAGGAGGCATTCATCTTTGGTGGCCTCCCGCCGGCAAGGGACGGCCCTGATGAGGTCTATGAGCGGCTGTATAGACGAGTCAAAGAACGAAATGTACAGTATTATCAGAAATTCCCCGAGGACGTCGAACGTGTCAAGAAGATTGTCAAGTTCCTTGGGCAAAATGGCGACACCACGGTTCGCGTGCAAGGCGGGGAGGGCTATCTGACGGCCCGTCGTTTCCTCCAGCTGGGCTTGATGTTCGGAGGACATGGTACAGTTATAGAAGTGCGACTTTTCAACAAGTGTTAACATAAGCACAGGTGGTATAGACACTGTCCACGACCTGGTCTTGAAAGCAGATACGGACCTGAGACAGTTCGGACACCTCACCCACCCTACCATCACGGCCATCGAAGCATGCCAGAGTTTCGACTCGAACGTGCTCTACGCTCTCCTCCACGAACCCATCTACTGCTCCGGCCCAGGTCAAGCATCCAACTGGTCCGCCCACCGCATGATGCAGAAATATCCAGACTTCATCCCCGACCCATCCCGCGATGCACCCATTCTCTTCACAGGCGAGATGATCTACCCCTTCATGTTCGACTGCTATCCCGAGCTCCGGAAGCTGAAACAAGTGGGCGAGATGCTCGCTAGCACGAGCGACTGGCCGAAACTGTACGACTGGGAGCAGTTGGCCAGGAACGAGGTCCCTGTCTACGCGGCTGTCTACTACGACGACATGTATGTGGATTTCGACCTGAGCATGGAAACGGCGAGCAAGATTAAGGGATGCAAAACGTTTGTTACGAATGCCATGTATCATAATGCTGTGCGCGCGAAGTGGCACGAGGTCATGGCGGGCGTGTGGGCGCTGAGGGATGATGTGATTGATTGATGATTGATCCGGCATGGATCCCGAGAATTGAGATATCATCCTTTCTCCTTCGAGCGCTGCTGGGTATGACCACAGTAGGCTTTACTTTCACCGTTTCTTTGCAGTTGTGGTCATTCTATCTATCTAGTCTTGGCGATGTGAGTTGTCCGACTAAACATCCCACTGCATCCCACTGTGGATTAGATTCCTAGTCTAGCGCAAGGTAATCAGCAACAATCCGTCTAGGCCATCGGAAGGTTGGCCTCAACCCGTAATATACCTAGACAGAGTGTCTATGACATCAAGTTACAAGCGTTGTCGTGCTGCTGCGACGGCTGACTGTTGAATCACACATAGCAACTGCACCATCATCGATACGCGATCATGAACATATTGGCATCCGAACCCGCGCCAACAATGCCATTCCACCTCCATTAATCTGCAACTAATTTACCAACACCATCTCCCAAACCCACCCCAACAGCCTCCGCAAATCATTCACCCCGCACCCACCCTACTCCCCATCCCCATCCCCCAAAACCACCTTCCTCATAACCTCCTCCAACGCCCCCACATCCGGCGCACTCACCCCTTTCACCCACGCCCTATTCGTAAACACAAACTCCGTGAAAAGAAGATAATCCGTCTTCCTCCCATACAGCACCGAGCTCGGATGGATAGCCACAGTCTGCTTCGACACGAGCGTCTGATAACTCCCATCCGGCATCAGCCGCGCGATATTCCTCATGAACCCGCGCGCGAAGCATTGAAGGACTCTCTTCGTGTGCTCTTCCGGCGACGCATTAGCGGTGGGTGGATCTACTGATGATGAAGAATTCGGGACTAGAGAGAGTCTTTGGCATAGTTCGAGCAGCTGCTTGCGCACCTTGACGACGTTCTGCATGGCCCGATGCGAGATGAAGTGTTTGGCGCACCACGCTTTCCGATCCGAGGTTTCTTCGAGGTAGCCCTGCACGGCGGCAAGGAGCGTCATGTGATCGCCAGAGCGTCGATAGAATCCACGTCGTGCCGCCTCAGCGTCCTCCTTTTTTCGCTCCTCATTGGCGAGGTTGAGGAAGATATCCTCGGTGCTGAGTGCGGAGACAATGTCGACGACATCCTCGAGGCAGTTCCGTTCAGGAGTTGCTGCCTCGATTAACACGCGGCTTAGTGCAGGCGTGAGTGGGAACTTGGCCATGGTGAGAGCGTCGTTGGCGATTTCGGCTTCCTCTGTAACTGCGCCGATGTCGTGGAGCAACGCTACAGCCCTCTCGATGGCACCACGTGGTGGTGGGTCCAGGAAAGGGAAGCTGAAAACATCGCGGAGCCCTATTCCTGCTGCCACCATGGTGAGGAGTGCATGACTTAGGTCACATCTCAAGATCTCGGGCTGGGTTCGATCGGCAAATCCATTGTACCCGTCTTCCGTGTACAGCCTGTAGCATTTTCCAGGCGCTTCGCGGCCGGCGCGGCCTTTGCGTTGGTCAGCGGCGGACTTGGATATCGGCTTTGCGAGAAGGGACTCGAGGCCGAGGGCGTTTCGATATTCTTTGATTTTTGACTTGCCGCAGTCAATAACGTATCGTACACCAGGAACCGTGACTGAAGTTTCGGCGACGTTTGTTGCCAAGATGACTTTGCGTGTGCGATGAGGTGTTGGCATGAAGATACGTTGCTGGGCGTGCTGGGGCAGAGCGGAGAAGAGTGGCAGGACAAGAAGCTGTGATGCGTTAGCGGCAGCCATACAAGGTGCGAGTGAGAGTGATTGCAACATACCTTTGGCAGACTGTCCTCCAGCCCCTCCGCATATTCATTGACCAGCTTCTCCAACTTCTCGATTTTTTCCCGACCCGTCAGGAATACCAGAATGTCACCGGGTAAAGGCTCTTTACGATGGATCTGGAAGATGTGAATCAAAGCGGATTCCACCCAGTTTTGCGTGGGCTCAGGGAGGTAGATGGTTTGTACAGGGTACTGCCGTCCTTCAATGTAGCATGTCGATATATCCTGATTCTGCTGCGTGCCGACCAGCGTTGAGGAAACATCGGAATGCAGTGTCTGTTGCGTGTCCTCACTCTCTTTCGAACCCTCGCCAAAGAACTGCACCAACGCCCCCACATCTACCGTAGCGCTCATGACTACCACCTTCAGCGGGTTTTTCCTCTTCTTCAACCTCCCGTTTTCCAGATCCGACAGAAGATTCTTGAGAAATCCTAGGATCAGATCGACATTGACACTCCTCTCGTGGACTTCATCCACTATTATCGCACTATACTCCTCCATCTCACGATCCCGAACCATTTCTTGGAGCAGCATGCCCTCAGTCAGAAACTTGACCCTAGTATGAGGCCCCGTCGCATTATCAAACCTCACACTGTAGCCCACTTTTGCCCCTGGAACCCGGCCGGGAGGCGGACAACTCATCTCCTGAGCCACTCTCCGAGCCAGGGATATAGCAGCCATCCGGCGAGGCTGGGTGACGGCAATGCATTTCTGGCACCAAGGCTCGGACAACAGGAACTGAGGCACCTGGGTAGATTTTCCCGAGCCGGTTTCTCCAGTCAAGACGAGGACGTTGTTCTTTTTGAGTGCGGCGCGGATGGACTGGGCATGCGGCCATATGGGGAGCGCTTTCCTGGCCTCAAGTAAGGGGTTTGGCTTCTGCCCTTTTTGCGCTCCTTTGCCGAATGGCTTTGGGTTGGGCGTGCTCTTCGTGTTTTCTGATTTGATCCTCTTCTCCTGGCGCTCTTTCAAACCCGCTTCGACCCCTCTCGGCTCTTTCGGTTTTGTGATGGCATGGGTCTCCTCGACCGGCGAGCCATCACGGGCTCGTTTCGTCCCTCGTGGATGTGCCTGTTTGCCAGGCTTCTTCTCGACTGGTTTCAGCTTGTCGTCGAGATCGCCGCTGGAGTAGGCCTTCAGGATACGAGCCAGGGTATTCCCCTGCTTATCCTTCCCCTTAGCCATTGTCTTGGTTTCTGGCGCAAGTGGTTCCCGGTTAGATGCTCGTGTGTTGAGGGTAGAGTTGAATTGAAGGTTGAAAATCGTTATCGATAAGACCCACGCCATCAGCCACAGCTCCCCTCGGACGTAACTCGGGAAAAATTCGGGAAACCCTCGGGGACAACCAGCTATGTTCGCAACTGAGTTCGAGTATAACCAAAAGATTCCATCTGCAGGCTGGAAGCCCTATTGCCAGCTACGTAGCCGCCAGAATGCCTACATGTTTACAACTGGCGGTCTTTACTAATCGATCAACAAAGGGGTATTGCTATCAGCTATCTCTCCGCTGTACCTGAAAACGAAACCACGCCAAACCCCCATCCAAGGCCTCATCTAAAGCCCGAACTTGCTCTTCATCGCCCCCATAACAAACCCCCTCTTCTGCTTGTTCACAAACTTACTCACATCCTCCGCCCAACCCTGGCTGTTTCGCTCGAGGTTCTGCATGCTATCGCCAACAAGGTTCAGTTTCTCGGTGCGCTCATTGAGCTGCCGGGAAGCCCAGGCACCCCAGGTCTCTTGTGACTGTCCCGCTGCCGCTGCTGTCGCCGCTGCTGACGATCCTGCCGTAGCTGTCCGACGCTCTTCGCGGCGGCGTTGCTCATCGTCGGCCCGGGCTTGGGCAAGCATTCGTTTGGAGGGGGGTCGATCGGGTCCGCCGACTGAAGATACTGGTCAGCCAGGTGTCACGAAATCCAGAGTGATGGGCATGATGTCAAGAGGGAGAAATAAAGCTGATCCACTTACTCAGCAAGTCCATGTCCGCAGGCGTCACATACTGCGTCCCACTGATCCACTGCAGATTCGAAATTGTTGGGCGGGGCGGAATCACCAGCTCAGGATTAATCAACGTATCCCTCGTGGGATCAGGCGTAACTCCCGTGCCGAACACGTTCAGGAGCGCCATCTCCGCTGGCCCCTTCCAGCCGAAGATGTCGCCCGTGCTGGTGATAACGGCCTCCGGGAACCGTCGGATGTCGAGGATATGGTCTACCTTCACGGAGCCGATTTCCTTCAGTGCAGGCAGCGAGTAGGCTCTCGCATGGCCATCGCCGAATAGACCGAGCAACGCGTATCCCAGATCTTGGTAGCGGACGACGGTGGCCGAGTCGCAGAGGAACTCATCCCATGTCTTGTGCGCTCCCTTGTTCGTTGCAGGTTTAAACAGGCGGGCTCCTGACGCCGTCACTGCAAGTAGCACGCCGTTGACCCTGACCCCGTCGCGGAGGCCAGCCACGGCGGTCCCAGAAGCATAAGCCGGTTGGCCGGAGTCTGCGTGGAGCGGGCAGATGCTGATGACACGATCATCAAGGGAGACAGCCCCTGCGAAGCTGACCGAGTGCCTTCCGCTCTGGTCTGGAAGAATCTTGAATGTAGCCAAACGGCCCAGATTCGTACCCACATGAAGCAGAATGCTGGAATAGTCGTCCCCATCTACAGTCATCACGCTGAACTCCATTGCGGTAGCCCATTCCAGCCTCGCGGTAGAGGTGGTAGAGCTTCGTCTAAAGCTTGCTCTCTTATCGGCTTTGGCGAAATCGCGTATGTGAGCGCTGTAGATGACCGCCGGACCTCGCAGGTCAATGACTGAGAAGCTTCCACCTTCGAACCCTGCGGCCACGAACCCAACATCTGAGTGTTCTAATGCTGTCACCGGCCCACTACCCTCCTCTGTGAACAGCGTGAATGGAAGCAAGCCTTCCTTGACCGTTATTTCCGCTCGATCGAGGATGTTAGTGAGTCCCTTTGGAGAATTGGGCGCAAATGGAACCTCCTCCCCGGCGTGCTTGTTGTGTCTCCATCGGAATATGGCAACTTCGCCCTTCTTCAATCCAACTGACAGCTCAGCGGATGCGCCTGCAAAGGATGTCTTGGTAACCTCCACTGGTTCTTGCTTTCCCACTGCCCGACTTACGTCGATTTGAAGCAGCGCATCGTTTTCTATTTCGTCGGCATGCCCCGCATCCCATAGTCTGAGGGTTCCGTCCGCATGGGCAGTCTGAACAATATTGCGATGCTCAAATCTCTTTCGTGGATAATTCGCTTCCGCACCACCAGTCAGGAACAATGGCCCATGCTCTCTTTTCTCAGTCAGACCCAACCACCTTGTCCTCTCGACAGGAGCCAGATTGGCGTAGTGCGCGAACGGATGGATCAGAGTCAGGGAAAGATGCAGCTGATTGGTCGGTGATATAGGGATGCCGCTGGGGAAACTAAGAGTAATAATCTCGCCAGAAGCCAGCAGTGCAATGACTGCAATGGGATCTTGAGCCCCGGCGAAGTGTGGGGAAGAGCGGGGAATGAGACACAGGTCCACGACTTCCGTTCCAGGAGGACACGGGAGAATCCTCTGACGTTTAGGGTTTTCAAAGTGATCACTGAGGATCTGCCAGGACGACGTATTGTATACAGGCGTGCGACCGAGTTCAAGAAAGGTTAATGACTTGGTCGCCAGATTAGAAGGAGCTCCTCCTGCTATCAGAATGCCGGTATCATCAGGATCTTGTTTAGCAGCGCACCAAACAAGTCGGAAGATGGGAGACTTGATTGTGAATGTTTCTGGTGTTGCTCCGGGGCTCATGAGACCCGGTCCGGGCTTGTCGATGTTGGTCTCCTGCAGTGTGCGAGCTTGTACAATCCGGCCATCCTTTGGATCCCAGATGACAATACTACCATCTTCATGTCCAGTGAGAATAAAAGTACCAGTAGGGTGCCAGACTGCCTGAGTAAGCGGTGGGGTTCTCTCTTTGTGCATGGACGCCGGGTCAGCGTCTCCTCCAGGAGCCCCTTTTGGTAGGACATATTCAAAGAACTTAGTGGCTATGTTCTGCTTGAATGAATAAATCACAGCGCCAGCGTTATATCCAATCAGGAGTTTACCGATATCTCGAGGATGGAACGCCAGGCTGACGACGGATACCAGTTTTGAGCGAGGATGTTTCTCCCTCCACAGATTCGGGATTCTGAAAGGGGCTAGATGCTCGCGATCGAGGTCGTACGCCAGAACCTCCCCTGAAGAGACGGTGTCAGCCATATCTTTTGTTGTAAGTATTCGTCCAACCCACCATTCTGAGTCCCCAGTAGCGCATAATCTAGCGTAGGATCGGTATGTAGCGCTGAGATCTTGCCCGGGGGTGAATGCGCGTTTAGCAAACGTTTGGTCTCGAGCGAGAAGACGGAGAGATCATTTCGGGAGTCGACACAAAGCAGCTTCTCTGCGCAAAACTGTAGGATCTTCACGGAGGCCCGGTGCGGCAGTTCGAGGATGACCTCGACGCGCTTCTGGCCGAAGACATAGATCTGACCAGGGCCAAACTTGCTATCGTTGGTACCGACGGCTATCAAGGATTGGACGGGATCGTAGGCTATCTGCGAAACTTGGCTATTCAGGCCGTATGCTCTGATCTGGCTCCTTGATCAGTCTCCGAAGCCTGGACAAGGCTGCGTGTGCAATAACCATCGACTACGCACATAGTCAAGAACGAAGAGATCAGGCCCCAGGCCGGCAGAGAGATCGTTGTGGACGCCAGCCTGCTTTCCTCGCAGAAGGTGGGCCATGGCGACACCTCATGTCTTTGTTGATGAAGCACCGCTGCCTTTTGGAGAGGAAGACGCGGGGCGCGTAGCATGTCGTGGTCTGTCCGCCCTTGCATAGATGACGTACGCGGGGCAAGTTTAAGCGGCTTTCATCCATCAGAAGTCCACGGGTGCCGCCATATCCTCTAAGGGTGGAGTAAATTCTACATGCACAATTCAGAACACTTATATGCGTCAACAGAGGTATAGGGTTGCGGATTAAACCTGGTCCTGCACCAGACGCTAAACATAACTCCACGTTGGCCGCTCACAGACAGAGGGCGGCCCTGATCTCGCCTAACAACCGCCAAAGTATCTCATACTGATATACAATATCACAGAAGAATCCCACTTCAACTCCGTGCTGGTATCCTCCCATTTAATGACCGTGAACACCTACGCGTCTAATGCTGTATCCAAACGCCGTCTTCAGAAACAACGCCAACCAGCAAAAACCTCAACACCACAACTCCCTCGCTTTGCTTCAGCATCGGCGAAGAGCATTCCCTATTGGGCTATCATGGGAGCTCCGTTCGCCGGCGGTTGGCTCCCATGCTGAGGAGTGGGTGGCTGTGGCGTACCCGACCCGGGCCCGTGGAAGGTATTCTGAGCTGCTAGCCGCGCCTGTGATTGTGTCGCATACTGTGCCTGTTGCCTGTCAAGCATCATCTGCGAATGATTACCAACCATGCCGTTATACCCTCCAGCCGGGGCTGCAGAAGGAGTAGAGGGCTGCGGCGTTGCATACTGCGATGCAGCAGCTCCTCCTGGCGGATAGTAAGTGCTGCGCGCCGCACCACTGGCCACTGGTGTACTGTAGCTAGCACGAGAGGCAGGAAAGTTTGCCTGCCCAACCGAGGGTATCGGCTTCATGGGTGAACTGGTACGTGCGCTGGGGGTGGGATTAGGGGCATATGCGCCAGTGCCTCCCTGCATATAGGTTCCATTCTGCGGGCGTTGATAATAACCGTTCTGCAGCTGTTGCGGAGCATATCGGCTGGATTGAGGCTGGGGTGTGGACTGGTAGTATCTCTGAGCAGGACCGGTACTATAGCTAGGCGCCGGTGCAGCCGGTCGCTGTGTATAATATTGGCCCGTCGTGGCCTGGCCATAGGTAGGCTTGGGTGTCTGCTGCCCGTACTGGCCGACGCCGTACGCAGGCTTGGGTGTGTTGGCGCTATAGGATACTGCCTGGCTTTGATACGACTGCGGAGCACCGGTAGTCGACCGCGGATAGTGGACAGACGGCGAACGGTGTGCGGCCTGCTGCTGGGGGTAATAAGAATGAGCAGACTGTGATGGACGAGCCACGACGGTGCTGGGTGTGGCGGTAGGCCGTGCATACTGAGTGCTGGACACGGGGTAATGTGCCGACGATCCTGTAGAGGCCACACGGGTGAGCGAGGGGGTGCTGGCAGCAACTGGACGTCGTGTGAGCTGATCCTCCTCCAATACGCCTTTATGATCTTCCGTTTCGATGATCAGCGTTCTGCTGATGTTGAGCTCATCCAGTTGATCGCCGTTCAATTTGGCCACGGCATACGGAGGGAGCTGTGAGATCATGATAGTCAGTTGAGATTTCAGCATGTGGTATATGTCGAACTCCTGGGACGATGGCGTAGATGGATTGCCTGCAAGTGAGGCCAGAGCCGAGTTTTGCACCCCTTGGGTGCGAGAATTCGTCGCCAGCGATGAGTTCCGGATACGTTGGTAGGAAGCCAGCGTCTCGATTAGTTCGGAGATCTCTTGCAGCAAGTCGTCTGTGGTCTTTTCCATTTCCGATTTTGCCAAACCTTCGAAAGGATCTTGCTCTGCGGGGATGAAGTCTTCCACGGCATCTTTGAACAGAGTCTCTTCATCAGGGAGACCATCGGCACCAACATCAATGGCTTCGTCTCCACGGAGCAGAAGAGGATCAATAGGGAACGTCTCCCGGAACCGCTTTTCGCCCACCTTGTGCCACCAAACCATGTTCTTCGTTTCTTCGGGAACTACGGCCATGGAGTCATCCTTGCTAGGGGCAAAGCTCGAAAATGCGCTCCGAAAAAGCGCATCCTCCTTCGCTTTCTGCACCGCAGCAAGCGTAGCCTCCGAGGGGGGAAGCTGGGCTTCGCCCGTGCTGAGTGCACGCTGACGACTCTTTTGCTTCGCCGTAGGCGAAGTAGCGTCTTTGGGCATGTCTACCCCTCCATAGCCTAGCCAGTGGCCGGTAGCCAGAGGTTGATTGGAAAATGTGCGGGAACTGGTGCGAGTTGGAGGGGTTGAATCCTGGGGAGCAAACGTGATTGTATTTCCTCTGCCCGTCTGCGGCTTTGCCAGTTTGGGAGGGCTCAACTGCGGTATGTGCGGAGGTGGCGGAAAGACCTCACCGAAGGTCTTACTTTTACTTTTCTGGTCATCCTCCGGCAGGGGGAACACTTCCGTGGTGGAAATGATGTTGGGCAAAGCGGACTCATTTAGCGGCAAAGTCACCTTCACGGACGTGTCCAAGCCAGCAGAGGGCCCCTTTCCAGCAGGGAGGATGCTAACCGGCTGCTGCAGGCTGGAAAATAGTTGTTTAGGTCCCTGCGCAGTGCCGTATAAGGTCAGAGCCACCTGGCTCTCCGGCATCTCGTCGTCAAGGGATGGCTCTGCTTTGACTTGGCCGTTGATACCGGCGCCATCTGACCCGCTATCGGCTGGTTGCACTTTTCCGACAACCCCATCTCTGCGCGCTTCCTCTCTTGCTACCAGAGCTTTCGCGATCTTGCGGAATGCTAGGACGCTCGCCCGAGCCTTCGCGATCTCCGGCGTTAAGGGCATCGAGGACGTTTCATCGGCATCAAAACGGGAGAGAACAGCCGAAATGGCGGACTCCACGTCCCTTTGGAAGAGTTCAAGGGACGTATATGAGGACGCCTTTACGAGATCGGCGATTGTTACCGGCGTCAGCTTGGTGCGCTTCAATTCAGACTCGCCAGACGTCGTCCTTTGCGTCGAGGAAACAATTGGTTGTTTTAAAATGGAAGGCTGCGTATCGTAGCTGTGGCTGTGGTGAGAAATTGCCCATATGTGGATAAAAGAGTGTGGGGACGGTGGTTACCTCTCGAGCACCGACACTATGTCGTCAAGCGCTTGGTATGGCACAAGGTTGTTCTTGTCAAGTACATTGCCATGGGCAGTGGACGCGCCATTGGCAACTGGGCCAATTGCTTCCGCATCAGAACGCTTTCGCTTTGCAGAAGAGGGCGAAGAAGAAGGGTCCTGTGCGGGAGGCGTCAGGGTGCCGTTGGCGGCAGCCATCGTGCGTGAGTGAGTTGACGACGGCTGAACGATGTGCGGCCTCGAGATGAAGGTTTGCAACGCGCGAGGGACTTAGGCCAACAGATGTGAAGGCGTGACAGTCCGGCGTTGCTTTCACAGCGGCCTCGCTGCACTACGCGGCGGCGGAGATAGGGGCCAGGGCGGTGGGTGAGGCCAGGTTGGGTGCGGTGGAGGCTCCTCGAGACGACGGGTGGCCGGCGGAGGAAGCGGAGGTCCGGCGCGATGGCAGAGGGTTGCCCAGGTTGGGGTTGAGTGAAGTCTCGCGAGGATGGCGGGAACGCGATCTGATGCGAGTGCCAGGGCTCTCTGGTGCCAATTCCTCCGCCCAGCGCGAGGAATGCGCTATACCTGCAAAGGGCTTAGCGCAATTCATCACTTGTTGCGCGCGCAAACATCAACGCAAGGGAACGTTTGTGCTCGAACTCGACAAGCACGTTCACCCCCGTTTGTTCGCCTTCTCCATCGTCGAACAGCGGTGTTCGTTCTGTCAATGAATGCCCTGCATTCAGTTCCTGGCCGCTTCAGGTAGACCATGCCGCTCACTTGTCCTTCTTCATCTGGTTTGTAAATCCTCACTGCAGCAACCGCTACTGCTGACCCTCAGCGACAGCGATATCCGCGACTACCCATCTGGAATTCAACTACTTTGCAGTCTGCATGGCTTGCCCCGACCAATTGCCGGCCATTTACCGCCGCGAGCGCGTTGAGATCTAAATCAGAGGCCGTACTGCGCGCCCTAGACGGATCTGCCCAGAAACTCTACGCGATAGAGGTCTGGAGGCCTGCCTTCGATGCACGAACAAAACCTGGCTCGGCCTCAACAGAGGCTACCCTGTCACTCCGACGCATTTTGACAGGCTATCTCCACAGCGCGACTGGCTCCGCCCGAGGAACACCGCAGGAAGCTTTCAAGTTATCGACATTGGAGACAGAGTTCCTGGAGGGTCAAGGCTTCTCCCAGGACAATATTTTGCAATGGGCTGCGAGCTTGACTGACAGTGACTCCCTTTCGGCCGCCAATATCTTTAGACCAGGACAGCCCAGAGCCCCGCTCTTCCTTGTGCTGCTCTACCTCCGTCGCAGGCGTATCAGGCGAGCAGCTTTAGGGTTACTGATCCAGCACATCGACGCCAGGTTGCGAGACGAGCATATAAGTTGGCAGTCCCTCAAAAGCCTTGTGACACGGCTCGTCCGACATGCACGCCTGATATGGCCTGAATCCATACCTTGGATTGCCCATCTTTTCACCGCTCAAGCCAAGGGCATGCTTGACGGGAGCACAAATCACGGACATAGTGCCATGCCGGTCTCCGATTTGACGCTCTTTTGCAATCGGCTACTCTCGCTTCTTTCGGCGCCTGCGAGTTTGAACCCAATAAAATCTGCTGCCCACCAACAAAAGGCTCAGTCCCACGTGCTTAGCTTCATGGCTACCCACGACCCACCAATTCCTGTAACAAAAACCGGCTTCTACGCAACCATACGAACGCAGCTGGCGCATCCGAAGACAGCGCAGGAACGCGACTGGGCCCAGCTCAAAAGTGCAAGTTGGCCGCCGTGGATCCGAGAACGAACGGCCATGGACGAGGACAAGGATTACCTCTACGGTGTTTCTAGGGCGGCTCGTATCATACATCGTATGCGTGAGGCAGGTTATGGAAACGATATGTGGCTCCAGCTTGCACAAGTGTATGCCGGATGGGACACCGACCTCAGTCCGACAATCCAAACGAGGACGTTGTTATGCGGTATTCCCACGTCCCTCAAGAGCCGCGAACGTTTCGAAAGGCTTCTTTGGGCAGCCCGCGTGCGAACCACCCGGACCAAAAGAGAGGCATGGGCATGCTTTCTGGAGAGTGAGACTTCGGGCGTTGGACCCTGCCAGGAAGTCTATCTGGCCATGTTCGAGAAGTTGGTGTATCCGGAAATAGTCCGACGGGGACCAGATGAAGGTGGGCATGGCCAGCCTGCGGAATCTGATATGCCTCTACCAGGAGACGCCTTGGAGGTCTCACCTGAACCACCGTCAGCCACCGACTTGGTCCATATTGCCGAGCCGATACCATCATATGAGCGACTCTATCACCGAATGAGGAAGCAAGGAGTCCGCCTTAAGCCAAGGGCTGTAGCCTTTCTCGTGGAGAACGCACCCGACATCCACCTCGTGTTGGATGTATTGCGACTTAGCCAAGATGAATTCCAGGGAAATGTGCGGCGGCTATTGGATGGCTCTATATTTCGTCGGGAAAGCCTAGTACTCCCAGAGTACTTTGTGGCCGCTGTGACCCGGGCACTTTGCCGATTTGGTCGTTTCACGCATCATCCCTCTGCCTTCCCGGTTTTGTCTTCTGAGACGGAAAATGAAGGTCGATTACAGGAAGACCCACTGTACCGTCTGGAGTATACATATAAACTTCTTGTCCATTTTCGACCCCGGCATGAACCGACTTGGCGAGCTTACATACACACACTGCTCTTTAGCCCATGGGATGCCACCGAGTATAAGACTTTGGTTCAGTACTCGATTCTACGCGAAATTCTGAGGCACATGCTTGAGGGTGGGATCGATGTGGAGGAGGAGGTGTTTAAAGCGGTTTGCAGGGCGCTTGGCAAGGTTGCAATGTTGGATCTGGACCAGTCCGCCCTACACGACATTGCCAACGGAGACTTCGTCGCTTCTGAATCCCGCCGCATTCGCACATTGTTTCGTGATCTGGTCGGTGGTACTGTGGACCCCCTTACTCACCGGCCTCTCGAATTGATGAGCCCGCTGACGCCACACGTGCCCGGCCCGGCAACGCTTCATGTATATGTTCGTGCGCTCGGCGCGTTCCATGACTATGAAGGATTGTATTCCTTCATCACCTGGGTTGCCGACAACGGCCCTGCCCTCTCGGCCCGCGTGAATGCGCATCGCACTGGAAGGAAGGATATGGGGCGGGTACTGATTGCCATCCGAGCTGGGCTGGAGGGAAAGTTGGGTAAGGGGCGGGGAAAAGCGCCTGCAGAGCTCTTGCAGCTTGCCAAAACCCAAATTGAGAGCGTGAAGGTGGAAGGTTGGGTCGGATGGCCATCTGATGAACAGCTGGAGTCTTATCTGCATGGGCGAACGGGAGGTGGATTGAAAGCCTACAGTCCTGCACCCCTTCTCTACCAGCCTACTCCCGTTCATTAACCGCTACCTGTACGTTGACTGCAGGTGTACTGCTTCCTTTCACGTCTGACTGGTCATCATCTCCTTACACGTACCGTGTGGGTTAGATCACCTATGTCAGCGCAGTCCATTGGCTACAATCCAATCAAAGCCATCGAAACATGGGATTGAGGCTTATTATACCTGGACAGAGGTGCTGTTAATCCAATAATGACGGTTGCTATACCCGTGCGATCTCCAGCCGGTCAGTTAGACGGTGGACTTCTGCAGGATATAGTCGTAGATAGAGGTGTGTATATACTTTAGATGGACAACCAGCGAGCTGTATCTTTGCAATCATAGAATTTGAACCGAAACCATCTGGCTGTCAACCATCTTACGGTATCCATTTTACGTTTATGATAGCATACCCGATCCCAGGACTGACGTGCAGCCAAGCCGCAATTGTGGCTTGGGCCCCGCCATAACTGAGACGACGATCCATAACACAATAACTACTACATTGCCCTCGGGCCTCCACATTGAACACGAAGCGACGCAGCGACCTCCTTTTCCGGTGGCTCCCTGCCCGACACCTGTCTTGACTGCGTAATTCCGTGGCCGCTCAATGGAGGCGACGTCGGCGAGAATGGCAGCGAGGGACCGCTATGGGGGAGGCTTCGGTGAAGCGCCGACTTCACAGCTCCAGCGCTTCATATGTAAGATGCCTGGGAAACAAACGTAGAGTACGCTCTAACCGGAACCTGCGTAGTGAGTGCATGCGATCCCCAGAACTTCGAGCCCAATCTTGCCTTGAATCTGGAGATAGCGGATCTCATCAACGCCAAAAAGGGTTCAGCGTAAGCTCGACTACGAGGTACACTATGGATTATCCTAATAAATGGCCTTAGACCTAGAGAAGCGGCTGTCACAATAGTTCACTACGTCAATCATCGCAACCCTAATGTGTCGCTTCTGGCACTGAATGTACGAGATATCCCGCTCCCACCGAAAGACTCCCACTCACCCTGGTATAGCTACTCGACATCTGCGTCAAGAACTGCGGCTACCCCTTCCACCTCCAGATCAGCACGAAAGAATTTCTTAATGAGCTCGTCCGCCGATTCCCAGAACGCCCACCAGTCCACCCAACTCGCGTACAGAACCGGATCTTGGAATTAATAGAGGAATGGCGGCAGACAATATGTCAGACGTCACGGCACAAAGAGGACCTGGGTTTCATAAGAGACATGCACCGGTTACTGAGCTATAAGGGTTACATATTCCCCGAGATTCGCAAGGAGGATGCCGCTGTCTTAAACCCAAGCGATGTGCGTGTGTGGGCTTAAATGCACGTGGTAGGATGCTGACGATTTCCCAGAACCTACGATCAGCCGAAGAGATGGAAGAGGAGGAAAAAGAAGCCCAGTCTGCAAAGTTACAGGAACTCATTCGGCGCGGCGGCCCCCAAGACCTACAAGAGGCGAACAGGTTAATGAAGATCATGGCTGGCTACGATACGAGAAACAAGACGGACTGGCGAGCGAAGGCCGCGGAAGAGGTTGGCAAGATACAGCAAAAGGCAAGGATATTAGAGGATATGCTGCAGTCACATAAACCGGGAGAGCCGATCAAGGAGGGCGACGTATTTCAGGTATAGCACGGAAGAAGCTCGTACCACGACGCTGTTTTAACGATCATCTAGGAACTTGCGAATGCTCTCCAAAGTGCACAACCGAAGATACAGAAGATGTGCGAAGAAGAGTCAGAAGATCACGAAGCTGTGGCGAAGCTGTTCGAGATCAACGACAGCATCCACCGGACAATTGAGCGATACAAGCTCTTCAAGAAAGGTGATTATGAAGCGGCGAATAAGATACCTAAGGGGACGTTAGGGAAGAGTGGAGCTGGTGTTACCAAAGGAGCTGACAACACTCTGAATCTGATCGATTTCGGCGAGCCTGAGCCCACACCAGCAGAGACCGGGTCCAGCTCCGGCTCAGGCCAAGCAGCTCAACCTGCACCAAAGGGCAATGCCTTGGAAGATGACCTCCTCGGGCTGTCTCTGGGGACGGATACATTTGGACAAACTGGCGGCATTTCATTAGGAGCTTCAAATGGCTCAGGTTAGTACCCTTTAAGGCTATGCGGTATCGTCTACATCTGACTCGTACTTTCAGTCCTCGGTTTATCAGGGGTACCGGTGCCACAGAGCCAACCGTCGCCTGCGCCTCAGTCGATCAATGACATGTTCGCTGGACTCGGAACTGCTCCCTCTTCATCTCAAGCGTCGTCCCGCCCCACGGCTGGTCCTCCATCCACGCAACCGGCTCGTTCCAGCCCCGATCCATTCGCGGCCCTTACCTCACAAACACCCCGCCGGGCTTCACCTTTCCACTTCCAGCAATCCATCAGACCGCAAGCTCCAAGTAATGAGTCAGGCGTTGTCGACCTCCTTGGTGTGAGCAGCCCTGCACCATCGTCCAACCTAGCTCAGAGCGTCACACAAACCACTACGACTGCGGCTGACGACGATGATGAATGGACTTTCACCTCAGCCGTTCCAGACACTGCTAAAGAGATCACCATAGTCAACACAAGCGTAAATATCGTGTTCACAGTATCTCGCGAATCGGACACCGTCCTTCTGATTCAGTCTCGAATATCAAACAATACGCCGACACCTATTACGGAACTTACTTTTCAATCTGCGGTATCTAAAGTAGGTGCACCGCCATGTGCTCTACCCCACTTCTTCTCTTTCAATATCCCTTCCCCTTTTGTACATCCTTTCGGGGCTTGGTCCGGTATTTTGCTTACGCTATCGACAGGCATATCGGCAACAAATGTGGCCCCAATCCGGCGTTAATCTGGGGCCAAACCAGCGGTACGGCATCGTCCAAACCATTCGGTTGCACGGGGTGCCTCGAGGTCAAGGGACGGCGGTCAAGATGCGCTGGAAGCTGTCCTATTTGCTAGGTGGGGCGAGGAGGGATGAGTCTGGCGAGATTGCGAGCCTGGGAGTGTCATAGCCTCCAGTCTCTCAGTGTGATTCGACTGTAGTTGATTATAAGCGCAAAAGCAGGTTGCGCCGGAGATAAAACATCCTTTTTCAGAGCACAGCAGACCAGTCACAGATGGATCTCTGAAGGTGGTGAAGGAGGATCAAAGAAACTCGCAGTTACAACTCTTCCGGTCTGTATCAGAATGGAGTGCTTATTAAGCCCCCTCCCTTATCGATAACGAGCGTATCCACAATTGACGTTCGCCGCACAACGGTACAACAGTCTAGCTAGTATCGTGCCGGCTCGCGACATTAATACTATCCTCCAAAGGCAGATTCTTTTCTTCCTTTGCACCTTCGATCTGAACCTTGAGAGCCCTCTTACGATCGCCATGGTCCGCCACAAGAAAGACTTCTCCAAATCCGGCAAGAAGTACTCCAACGCCCCTCGCCCCCGCGGTCCACCGCGAAACATCCCCAACGAACCCCTGGACGACAACGCAAGCGGCGATGCCCCCGCCCGCCCCAGCCGCCCCAGCTTCAAAGCCGCCTGCTGGGACCTCGGCCACTGCGACGCCAAGCGCTGCAGCGGCAAGAAGCTGATGCGCCTGGGCCTCCTGCGCGAGCTGCACATTGGCCAGAAGCACGCGGGCATCGTGGTGTCGCCCAAAGCGAAGAAGATACTCTCGCCAGCGGACAAGGACGTCCTGGAGCAGTACGGCGCGGCCGTCGTGGAAGCCAGCTGGAAGCGCATCGACGAGGTGCCCTTCTCGCGCATCGGGGGCAAATGCGAGCGCCTGCTGCCGTACCTCGTGGCTGCGAATCCGACGAACTACGGGCGCCCGTGGCGGTTGAACTGCGTCGAGGCGCTGGCGGCGTGTTTCTTCATCTGCGGGCACGAAGAGTGGGCGCGGGAGATATTGGCGAGTTTTGGGTATGGCGAGGCGTTTTTGGAGATCAATGGGCGGTTGTTGAGGAGGTATGCGGCGTGTAAGGATGAGGAGGAGATGAAGAAGGCGGAGGAGGTGTGGTTGGAGAAGATTGAGAGGGAGTATGCGGATAGTAGGGTGGAGAAGGAGGCAGGGGAAGAGGATGTGTGGGCTGGTGGGAATATGAATCGGACTATGGTGGATGAGTCTGATGATGATGAGGATGGGGATGAAGATGAAGAGGATGAGGAAGAGGAGGGGCCGGATCCGAGGAATCCGTATGATTTGCCAGAATCGGATTCGGATGAGGAGGAGATGGCGGAACTGAGGCGGCGGGTTTTGGCGTCGAAACCTTTTGCGAATCCCGCACCTGCGGGCGATGATGGCGACGATGGCGACGATGGCGACGAGAAGAGACAGCCGGAGAGGATTGCAAGGACGGAGCCACCACCTGGGCAGGATGTCGACGACGAATCTGACGAAGGCGAGGGTGACGGCGAGGACGACGAATTTGACAGCTTCATGAATGCACAGCCGACGACGGACCGGACTGGCATTAATGCGAGGCAAAGACTGAAAGCTAAGGGCACCAAGGTTTCTGCGACGTTCACGAGCGCTTCTCTGAAGGCGCCAAGTCGACGGAGCTAGGACTGGCATATAAAAATAGCTTTGTAAACGTATTCAGTTATATCATGGTGTTGGATTCGGGCAGTCCAATTCTTTCCCTCCTACACTCTTCCCGGCCGGCTACGCCAGTGCAAAATTATTAGCCATTCCCTCCGCGTAAGTTTCACTTTCCCCTCTTTCCTCTTGTGGTCTTGGTCCGGGATTTCTTGGGGACAGACGTGAGTCCCCGGCGTTATACGTGATTAATAGGTCTCTCAGAACTCTTTCACTGTGTATGAGTGCAACCATGGAGGAACACAGAAAGTCAACCCTTGTTGGGATTGGACAAGGTGCTCCCAGGACTTTTCCTGGATCTGCGTGGAGCACCTACCCTAGACTCTAGCTGTTAGTTCGATAAGTGGTGTCTGTATAGTAATCTGCACCTATGAACTCCTTCAGTCCAGTACATGCTTATGTACTTAAGAAGTGAGGTTGAAAGAAGGTGCAAGCTACGTCCAGATTGGGTTAGCACCGTCGATCCAGTTCACCATCTATTGGTGGACCGTGCGCTTTTTCTCTAACGACACTTCCCTCACCGCATGCATTCAGTTTAGCAGGGCAAGCGCAACCTTTGCATGCCCTCACCCCACCATGCCTCTCGTCGAAGTCATCCCAAACAATGCTACATCAACCGTCGCCCCCCGCTGGACCTACGTAGTCGACACCGGCTACGATCCCTCCAAAGTGGCCTTCAACCCCAAAGACCGCAAACGCGTCCCCGCACGTCCAGGAGGACCGCGGGGGGATACGGAGCTTTCAGCACGCCAGCAAACAGCGATCGCACGGAGGATAGCAGAGTTATCGAGGGACAATGACCCTAAGCAGGTCATAGCCATTCCGTGGAAAGGCGGTAAGTCGATATCGCATCTGCCTTTTCAGTGGCGATATTTCTGACAGGCATGGCAGCTGCAGCAAAAACACAGAACACAAGGCGGATCCTACAGTACCAGAGACAGATCAAGCACTGGTTGGACGACGAGGAAGCTTTACTCCAGCAGGCACCTCCGCCTAGGGCGCCCGCGGCTACCGGAAGGGCTGCCGCTTTGCGAAGACGGAGCACACTCGCCTCGATACCTCCCACACCTGCAGAAGCGACGACGGCAGAAGCGACACCAGCACCTACTGCATACGCGCCGCAGCCCAATCCTGAGCTCGACTCGATCCTCTCGGTGGAGAAGTCCAGACCCGCCCCTCTCAACCCCGCAGAGCTCGAAGCGTTGCTATCCGCTCCTCCGCTGCTATACGGCGAGTCGCATGCGACACTTGGGGCGGGAGGGCCACCGCAGCGGCGCTTCTGTGATAACTGCGGGTACTGGGGAAAGATCAAATGCTTGAAGTGCGGCGCGAGGATATGTGGGTTGGAGTGTAAAGATGCTCATGAGGCCACGCGCTGCTTGAAGTGGGCCTGATTCCGGCACTATGCGAGCAGCCATCAAAACCAGCAGGAAAAACCACAAAAATACTCGCCTATATAAAGAGCTGCTTCTAGTATATACCAAAGCCCACCAAGAGCCCGCCGACTCCGACGCCCCATTGGTATAGCCATTTGCTTTGTAACACAGAGGCTAACAGTTCGATTCTAGTCGTGTCCTAAATTATCCTATATTAACAAAGACCCTGTACTCAGATATCCTAGTGTGCCTCCATCTTCGCCGCCTACCTAGACCCTAGAGGATTCTTCGCGGGCCATCTCTGTCGCTAACCTAGAGGAACCATCTCCGTCGCTTACCTAAGTCCCGCCTCTCATACGCTTTGTGTAACAACAAATCGAAACAAGGTACGTCTGATCTCAATTCGTTGGGGTCGGTGGGCCTTGGTGGGCATCTTTTTTTTGTCCTACATTTGACAAAGATGCATTCGAATTATGGGCGAATGACTCTACGTGGGCGACCAGCGTAACCCGACGATGCTGAACGGATTATCCGGTGGCCAGCAAGTGTTCTGGCTAGCCTTCTCAGCACATCCCCTTCCATCATTGTAAGCGGGAGGCAATTTCTGCGGCGGTATGGGCGGTGCGGAAAAGGCCTGGTAGTCCGGTGCATGCCGCGAAGCTGGCAGAGTATAAGGAAGCTCCTTGTTTCTGTCACGTCTGTACTGCTGCATAGTCGTTAGGGACATGTCTTTCCCACTATCCAGTACAGCTCCTACTGGCCTTCCTCCTCACCCAAATCATAGGATCCAAATCTGAACGCATCCGGCATGGGATGCAACCGTCGCTAGCCTCAACTGTTGCATCGTGGATGTGTAATCCCTATCTAGCGGAAATGGTGTTTGTGTATCTAGGTGTGCTGAAGGGACGAGACGTGGCAGTCATGTCGGAGGAGGAGTTGGAAGAGCTGCATTGCAAGGAGATGTTGGGGCGTGCGGAGAAGATGAAAGAGTCTGTAAGTATGTGGGATATGCGTGGGAAGGATTGGGGTTTGTACGATTCGGCGCTTGGAGGTAATGCTGGTGAAGTACATAACTGACGGAATTGATGTCTTTACAAATTTGGCGAGCATGTATTTCTCATGTAAGATATTAGGGGCAAGATAGATGGCTTCTGTCAGCTTGAGCCTCTTTCCTTGGGAGCTTATACCTAGCTAGCTTTGGTGCATGAGAACTATTACTGACCAGTCTCAACAGAAGTCGCAGTACTGGCACGTGGATAGACTATGCTGCGGAGCTGCTGTTGGACTATGGCAACTACTGCATTCCTTGGAACTGGTCTTCTACCCTTGAGAATACATACGTTCAGCAGTAATTAGTATCTTCAATAGTTCCTGCTATGTTTAAAAAAGATGTGACCATTTTACACAGTAGGACTGCAAGTTACAAACAGGCCCGTACCTACCTAGATAGGAAATCGTCCCAGCTCGGGGCCCAAACAGGAAAAGCGGGGCTATAGACGTCACCGCCAAGTCTGCCCTTGGCTACCACGTGAAGTCGGGCAAGCTTCATTTACCACGATACCTGAACCCTTGATCTTACCGATTCACCGCTTGTAGAAGCTCCATAGCTTATGCCGCTGTGATCCGCAAGCTTGTGACGGCATATGGTGATCGACTTCTCCCTTTGAACCTTCCCTCGATACCCAGGACCCCACTACGTCACTCCATCTTCGACAACCTCACCCCCCGACTCCCCACCACAACAACCAGCTTCAACCACAACCACGAGCTATCGCCCTAAACACACACCCTCATCGACTTCAACTCGAACAAGAACCCCATTCAACATGGCCAACCGACCGACTCTCATCAACCTGCCGCCGCCGCCCTCGGACCCAGCCACGCCTTCAGAAGCTCCGTACGTTAGCCCACCAGATACACAATCCCTCTCTCCGAGACTCCACTGCTAACTTAGTCCCAAGCGGAACCCCAAACTCCACGACAACATCCATGTCGGAGCTCTCCACCGTCGCCATCAAGGACGGGCATCGAGGCCACTTCCCGCACCACCACCAACCCGCCGACGCCGAGCGCGCAGATCGCATCTCTCGCCTCGCCGGCCTCGAACGCCTCGTCGCGACCCGAACTCCCTCGAACCTCGGCCCTAGCTCAGGCACAGGCACAGCCAACAACCCTCCCCCAGCGACCGCGTACTTCGATGCAAACAACCAACCGCAGATGTTCCGCGAGCGCAGCACCGTCGGCAGCGCCAGCGCCACGGGCAGTGTCGGCGGCCGGACGACGTGGGCCAGCGAAAGCGATGTCTATGATCCGGACCGCATGAGCGAGGAGCAGGAGACGAGCAGTATCGGCGGGTTCAGCGACGAGGCTGCTTCGTTGGTTGGGGCGTCCGAGGCGGGGTCCGCGACACCAGCAAGGCAACAGCAGCAGCAGCAGCAGAGCCAGAGTCCGGCTGTGGGCAAGGCGAGCGCCGTGCCGTCGTACTTGAGAGAACAGCAGGCGCAAGGGCAGGGGCAGGCGCAGGGGAGTCCGTCGTCCTTGGGGACTACGACGACGTCAACTACGACGACGAATTCGAGCGTCGAGCAGCAGAAGTATGAGGCTAGGATGCTTGATGGCTTGACGTACGATGAGTCGTTTGTCGATACGGCGGATCGGACGCCGCCGCTCACGGGTCCGGGACCGGGAGGCGACAAGACGGCCGAGGAGGTCATTCGGGAGAAGTTGCGCCAGCGGAAGTGGGCGGGCGAGGAGGGGTCGGAGCTGCAGGGCTCCATGGACGTTGATAGGGAGAATTAGAGCGAGGGATTATTCGGTCGTGGGTATGTACGAGAAGCCGGTTTGACAATGGGTTCGAGTGGAGTCCCGTGTTCAGGTACTTTGCTTTAGGTCTGCGGAGCAGGTGCTATGATCTCTATGCGGAAGGTCGTGAGATGAGGTGGCTTCTCTGGTAGGAGCCCATGGATATGATATGATGCACTACTGCTGTGGTTTTACGGAATTCATGTCCGACCCCAGATGGGAGGAGAAATGGTTCCCAGTCCCCACGGTTGACAGAATGGTTTTCCTTGATAGACTAGGTTCTATGTGAATTATAGGTAATATTCTAGTACAGTTGCATGGCTCGATGGCTTTCTCACATCGTCATTCCACGTCAGTCCAAGTCATACTAGAGTTATCCTGTAGATTCTGCAATAATGCATAGGTGACCGGGTAAAAGAACAGGCGATGCAGGGAGGTGGGCCAGTTCATGGCTCACGGGCCGAAGTTCAGGGAAGGACAGATGGCATAAGAAAAGGAGAAGTGGGTAGGTTGTGCTCTATTACTTAGTCATGGAAATGGTGCAGGTATATATGTATATAGCTCCCTCGATCCCATCCCATCATAACCCATGCATCCTCACAACGAAGGAAAAACCCTCCTACAACGAACCCCAGCCCCAACCCCTACCCGCCCCTCGCACACCCTCACACCCTCACCCTCTTCCTCTCCCCACCCCCCACCTTCCTCCCCTCCATCCACGCCCTCCAATCCACCCACTCGGCATACCCCAACCTCTCCTTGACCCCCTTATACCTTACAACCTTCAACTCGACCTCCCTCCACTCCCTCGTCGGCCCGTCCCACCCAGCCTTGCGCATCAAACTGACCAACGTCTCCTCCTTGGTCCAGCCTTGCTCCTTGGCCACGTCCGGGAGGTACGTGGCGCCGTAGCAGTGGTTGTCGTGGACGAAGCTGATGCGCAGGCCGTGGACGCCGATGGTCCAGTCGAAGGGGTCGAGGACGGGCTCGAAGTCCGTGAGCAGCGTGACGCTGCATTCGAGGCTGGGGAGTTCCGAGGGGCGGATCGAGGGGAAGCGGCGGTCGTCAAAGGCGCTGGTTGCAGAGTGTTAGATGGAGTTGGCTTGTTTGCTTTTTGTAGTTGCTGGACGAGATTTTACGTTTGACCAGTTTTTTCCCGACTTGCTTATTTTCATTTGGACACTGGCCGGAACGGAGGGAAAGGAAAAGAAAGAGAGGAAGGAAATTGTTTTTGAGAACGGGAGATCAGACGCAAGATCAGACGAAAGATCAGACGAAAGGAAATAAAACTAACGATGTTAAGGCATAGCTCCTGAGCCCACTCTCTAGCTCCTGCGGCTCAAACGTGCCGATACACCCGCGCAGCCTCTTATCCCACCTCCTCCCCACCTTGTGCAGCGTGTTGTACGTGACGAACAGCGGATACTCCTCCTCAAGAGCGGGCTCGTCATCCGAGTCTTCGTCCTCGGCCTCGTCCCCACCCATTACGTCATCCACATTGCCGGTGGTGGGAGGAGGTGGATGAGCAGTGGCCGGGGCAGGAGTATGCGACTTGTCTCCCCCTCGCAGCCTCTTCAGCGGTGATAGCAGGATGCTGCTACGACTTGAGCTCTTGCTACTTGCTGTTGTCGCGCTGCTCGCCTCGCTGACTCTGCTCGGGGTGGATATCGTGCTTTGCACGGACGACGAACTCGCTGAGGACGACGTGTTCGCCATCAGCCGCGATATGGCAGCGGGGCGGTATGAGGGGTCCAGCAACGCGTTTGGTGGCACTGCTGCAGGCGGCGTCATATCCTCCATGTCCGAATCTACCGGCTCCAGTGCAGCCGGGCTAGCAGCCATGGGAACGGAAGGTAACGGTTCCGAGGGGTCATCATCGTCGTCATAGTCGTCCTCGCCGGCCTCGTATCGCTGCCAGAGATGTTCGACCTGCGAAAGAGAGAGTGGCTCCCGGCGTTCAAGCTTTGCGGTGAGGACCTCGAAGCAGAAGGCGCAGTGTGCTACCGTTGCCATGGTCAGTGAAGCTTGGTGTGCTGTGAGGTATGAGGGAGGCTCTTATCGTTAGTAGTTAGTAGGGAGAAGCAGTGTGAAAGAGAGACTCAGGGCGCGGATGCGGACCCTGCAAGAGCATCAATGGGTTTGTCAGTGTTGCACACACTTGCCGATGCTCTCGCCAAAAGGTCAAAACGAAGGGAGTGGTGGCAGTAAAGGAACGGGAAAGGAAAGGAAGGGGCTGGTTGACAGGTGAGATGGGGTTGAAGTGGAGAGGACGGTGGGGTTGACCGACCACCCCGCGGTTCCAGGCGGCTCGCTGCAAGGGCCCGGGGGGGGGGGGGGGGAAGGGGTGTGGTTGTACCAAGTTTCGGCAAAGGGCATCTTGGTCATCTGTATGGTCAATATGCATCCCGCTCACTCATATGACAAGAGCAAACGACTTCCCAGGCTGACTACTCTCCAGTAAACCGCAAAAGTATATCTTGATGCCCGGTGGTGTCTTGACGGCGAGACTAAATCCTATGGCATATCAGAGAATTCAGGTACAGCATACATTGATGATACGTAGTCTGAGAATGTATCCCTATCTCCATGCACCCGCACCTTATCAAGGTAAAAGGGAGAGTGTTTGGTAATGATAGCGACAAGTCCATCTCGGCACGATAGAATTCCTTCAGCAATCGAGCATGGGGAGAGCTCTGGTGCTGTACACACTAATGCCGTTGTACTGTAGGGAGCAAGGGTTCCACTAAGACCCGTGAAGAGGGAGAAGATGGAATGATCAAGACGCAAAATGAAACCTGGAAACGGAACAAACCCAGAGGGTGGATAATGGACGCTCGACATAGGGAAGATTGAGAAGGACGGAGCGCGAATCGCAACCTATGAAGGTGGCCGTTTGAAACTGTTTCTTCATTGCCTCATCTTGCCTATGGAGGGAAACCGCCTCCCGCTATCAGCTCCATGCCGAGATAGAAAGATCCGTTATGCCATTGACGCCAGCAAAATATCCCGTCGTGGAATCTGGAAAGCCGTCTCATTGCCGTGTTCGCACTCGATTGTCCCTTTATGCCGTCTCACGCTTTCCCTCCTTGAACTCCTTCTGTAGTATGTGTCAGTCGATCCGGTCCGTTATGGCCAACCTCTGGCGGGAAATCTGGGCGGGTACGCACCAGCGCCTTCATGGTGCCGTGAAGGGCATGCCTGTGGTTCCGTCGGAACTTGGGATCCGATCCCTTGAGGCTCGGGTACCGGCTGGTCTTTGGCTTCTTGATACTGTTTTCGTCGTCAGCCGACCGTTCGGGATGGAGCTGTCCGCCTGGGGGGAGCTGTCGCCTCTATGCAGACGAAGAGCGTAGAAAGGGGAATTTTACCCATTGCGGTGCGCCTTCCTTGCCTGATTGTGCTGGGAGGAGTTCTTGGACTTGGCCATGGCGACTGATGGTTGCGTGAATGAGCTGGGGAACCTTCGTGACCGTCGATGGTGTTGAAGCTGCGGATTGCGACAATTGCGGTGTGCGCGGCCAAGTCCAAGCGAACAAAGAGGCTAGCCGTATTTGTACTAGCTTATTTTCTCGTTTCTACTCTCCCAATCCAACAAACTCGCTCCGTCCTCAAAATATCATGAGCGAAATTCCCTACCACAAAAAGGCGGGCTAGATAAAATGTGGAGAGACTTATATACTCTACCTATGTACAATCCAAGGTACGGTCAATCAGTGGGTAAAAGCAGAGCTCTCAGCAACTAAGTAAGCTCCATTCTTTATACTAAAGTAATACGGAGTAGAATGGAACGAAGTTGCGTTAACTGCCTTATAAAATATATCCACGTTCAATACTTCAATTCTAGGAGAGTACATTCTTAGTTCTGTAACATATCCTTAAGCGGCGGCGATGGAAAAGTGTCGCTCTGTCCTAGTAAAGTATTTTATGCCTTTTGGCCTCTAAACCCAGACGACATAGCTAAGACGCTCTTCCAGACCTGTATCCTATATGTACAATACGGCAGCATATCGCTATCTCAGCGATTAATAAAGTTGTGAGACTTCGTCCTTCCTTGAATCCCCCCTAATTTGGACGTGCCAATACAGTAACCTCGTCTTTTCTTTACATTAACCGTGAATGTACTCGTAGGTGACAGACGCGCATTGGGGAAACCAACGCCCAAAGTACCATTTGACGCCATCAATCGAATTAGAATACACGCTTGATTTCACTGGATAAACCAAACCCCAACGCCTAGAATCAGAGCCTACATGCAAACCTTGGAACTTCTCTCAATAAACACCCATCCAGTAATCCTTAACCAGATAGGCTGTATATCCCACGAACCCAGCAATAATAGCCTGCGACCCAAGGTGGCCGATTCTTCTCCCAATTCCGCCACCTTGCTCCTTTCGGAGTCCGAACTCGACATGTACAATGCGCGCTGCGAGAAGGGCTCCGAGGCCGTAGTTGATTACTCGTCTGGGGAGATTAGTGAGTCTAACAGGAGAAAACTACTACATGTCGAGTCTTACCTATCAGCACCATTCAGCTCCGCCAACAAGGCTACTATGAATGCCATGGGGACGTTTTCAGCAAAATTGCCCTGCGACCGGATGGCTACGTAGAGCGGATCTAAGCCTGGGTGTGGAGCGCCGGACTTGGTGCCCATGTGTCTAACGGTCTGTTAGTACGGGAACTGCGACAGGTGCATATGTCGGGTTGCCAGTGAGATGTCTGATATCGTACACTTTCGTGGCTAAACGTTGCAGGTGGACCCGGTTCTGAAGGAACATGTAGTATGCGGCGAACGGAGCGGCCCATGTTGCCGTTGCAGGGGCAATTAGGACTCCGAGTCCAACTCTAGTTGTCATGGTGATGGTGGTTTGGAAATAGCTTCGGTGGAGTTGAGGTTGGAGACTGAGCTTGAGGTGGAGAGTGAGTAACGGAAGTCTGAACTCAAGGCTAATCGATCACTGTGCACAGACAAGATCCAATGCCGTCTGAATGCAGTTTATGTAGGAACTCCTCAGATGACTTCATGTGTTGACGATGTTGTCATGGGTTGGACTAGCGGGGGGTCTAGTAAGTAGTATGCGGGGAAGTGAATGCTTGGACACGTGCATAAAGAAAGGGAATAATGTACAGTAGTGAAGAAGCCTGATCTATGCAACGCAAACCAAGCGGAACCATGGGACGCCGAAAATGAGGAGAGATGGTTACGTGGAATAATAGATCTGGTGATATCATCGTTTCTGAACCAATGAGTGAATGTCCTGGGCAAATACACCTAGGGATCTTACTGGTCGCAAATGTTCTGCGTCGTTCTCTCGGTTATCTTCTCGAGCCTCTTTGAGCATATTGTCGATGCCTTTTTCTTTCAAGACTTTCTACCAGAGATCAGACCCAACTGGCTAGCAATGCAAAAGTTGAACACTTACGGATAGGCATGTCTCATACTGCTTGAACAGCCCTTGGCAGTCGTCGGTAGTGGCTGTGCCACGCAGATACTCTACGTGAAGTCAATACTGACGCACCTGACTTTATACATTAAGAACACTTACTTTCGCTATACCATTTAAGAAAGCAGTTGTCGTATCGTCTATCAAGGTCAGCATGACCGTCGCAGGGAATCACTGATCTAGTCAACCTACTCTTTGACTTCGTTGCACTCTGGGGCTAAGGATGCCGACATTGTAAGATGAGGTTTGATATCCTAGGTCGATGATCAAATCGATTGACCCCGATGCCTTAGCCCCCGGGTGGCGGTGATCAAGCTGCCCAGGTGGAGTGGTGGCTGTGGAGGTTCTTATCGATAAGGAACTTTCTGTGCCAAGACCTCCTTCTCGCGACTTTTCCGCAACACCTTAATACCTTAAATGCTGAGCAACACCCTTCGTTCACACCCTGTTCCCCGATACTTTCCGGCAGCTTACCGCAAGCAATTTTACGGCAGCATCTGCTGCATTATGGTAGTTTCAGGACCATAACCGCCTCAATGGATTCATTCAAAGAACTCCAGGACTCCATTTCGAGCGCCCTTGTCTCGACAACGCGCTCGGCAACCAGACTCAGCAGCGCCGACATACCCTTCCAACGCTCACTGGATCCCGAAGTAGGCACGGCAATTGACGAGCACAATGCGCGGCTTCTTCAACTCGCGCAGCGTCTTCTCCAGAATGCTGCAGCGAGTTCGGGCGCTGTAGGTCCAAAGCTCCCCGACGTCGAGGCCATAGACGCCAACTGGAGGGGTATCGTTGATGTCGTCGACAGCTTGCTTGAGAAAGCGGACACAAGCCTGGACGAGTACACGGGTGTGGTGAAACGCCTGGCCCAGGGAGGTGAACAGGTACAGGAACAGCGCACCCTCGGGTTCTAGTCTTCTACTTACATTGTCTAGGCTACTTCTGCCAAAAAGACGGCCCGCCATGCAAATCTCCCCAATACATATCCGAAACCCCAGCTTCTATTTGAGCATGTTCCTAAAAACGATGAAACCGGAGGCTTCAGGCCGCTGCTTTCAACCAAACCACATGCGAAGATTCCACTTGACGAATGCTTGAAAACTTTCAGAGATAGCAATGGCAATGAGCAGTATGGAAATACCTGCCGGGCACAAAACTTCTCGGCTTACAAACGACAGATACCCCCATCCTTATCAAACAGAGATCGAGTCGTACGAATACCCCGCCTCAATGTACCAAACCTCCGAGCCAATAGCGTATACACCTTTTGAGACGACGACAGCGACATTCGTAGATACCCCTGAAGCCGTTGCTGAAATGTTGGCGGAGCTGAAGTCGGCGAAGGAGATCGCAATCGATCTGGAGCACCATGACAATCGATCATACGTTGGCATTGTGTGCTTGATGCAGATTAGTACACGGAATAAAGACTGGATAGTCGACACTTTGAAGCCCTGGCGTCGGCGGCTTGAGTGCTTAAACGAAGTGTTTGCGGATCCGAGCATAGTCAAAGTATGATCTCTGTGTCCTGGCTGCAACTTTGAAAACTGACTCAGGAAGGTATTACATGGCGCATATATGGACATTGTGTGGCTCCAGAGAGACCTGGGTCTGTATGTTGTCGGCCTCTTCGATACATATCATGCTGCGAGAACGCTTGGATACCCCGGCGCAAGCCTGGCTTTCTTGCTCAGCAAATTCGCCAACTTCCAGGCGCAAAAGCAATACCAGATGGCGGACTGGCGAGTACGGTAAGTCGGCACGCACCCAGAGGAGGACGGCAAATCACTGACCAGCCCAAGACCCCTCGGCGACGAACTCTTCAATTATGCGCGAGCAGATACCCATTTCCTACTTTACATATTCGATTGCATGCGGAATGAGCTTGTTGAGAGGTCTGACTTCTCGAACCCGGAGAAGGATAAGGTCACAGAAGTTCTGAACAAGTCACGGGAAACAGCATTACAGCGCTACGAACATCCTATATACGACAGTGAGCTCGGCATGGGCGCAGGGGGCTGGTACAGGCTCATTTGCCGCACTCCTCTCCAGTATACCCCTCAGCAGTTTGCTGTGTTCCGTGCGGTTCACAAGTGGAGAGACGATGTTGCGCGCGCAGAAGACGAAAGCCCGGTATACGTCATGCCTAACCATTCAGTCTTCTCTATCGCGCGGACAATGCCGGATGACCGGACAGCGTTGTTCAGCATCATGCCTCATGTTTCGCATGTGGTGCGCGCCAGAGTCGATGAGCTCCTTGCAGCCATTGCAGAAGCCAAGAATGTTGGCCCGGATGCGCCGGATCTCAACGACACCATCAAGAAGATCGAGGACATGAAGTTCAAGGGGACAGAGGAAGTGCTGCCTACGAAGTCCGCCGGCGAAGAAATACCTGCAGCTCCGATCCTCGAAACGACACCACTAGTGGCTGCATTGGACACCGCACCACATCGGGCATCTATATCGAAGTTCTGGGGTGGCTTGTGGTCTGGAGGCTCCGTGGATTACAGTCTACCAGCTTCAGAATTGGGCATCAGTCTTGCGCTTCCTTTGCCTCCGCTTACGGCCGAGGTGTTCGCCAGTGATGGCGGGCCAGCTGCCGTAGAAACGCCTGCGGACGAAACGCCCCAACCGACGTTTGTCCCCAAGGAGGAGCGTCCGGCGGAGGACAAGCGCTCGGATATCTTCATCGTCAAGCAGCTTGGCGGGAAGCGTAAACGCGGGCGCGTTGAATCTACCGAGGAACAGGGAGAGAATGCTTTGGCCGCCGCGTCGGAGCTGGAGGCGAATGCTGATGAGGTCATGCTGGAGGATGACGAGAAGGCCCGACGCAGGAGAGAGAAGGCGCTCAGGAAAGAGGCTAAGAGGCTCAAGAAGCAGCGTCAGGCGCAGGAGGCGGCAGAACAGGAAGACGAGGAAGGGGAGGTGCAGGAGGAGGAAGAGCCGGCATTCGATTATGCGTCTGCGCCGTCGGTGCTGCGGGCGCGGGAAGCGGAGAGGAGTCAGGCTGGAGGCAGCGGGAAGAAGGCGAGGGAGAAGAAGAGAGAGCAAGGGTTCAATCCCTATGCGCGGTTGGCGGACGCGCCGAGGGGCCTTCCGAGGGCGCAGAAGGAGAAGGCGGGGAAGAGTAAGACGTTTCGGTCGTGAGTGGAGTGATGAGTTCAAGACGGGGTTATCGGCTGCGGGCTTTTCCGTTCTTGGTACATATTTGCGAGTGCGTATGATACTCTCTGACTTCCAAGTGATAGTCAAGCTATAGCATGGACGGCGAAACGGAGTTGGTTGGCAACGCCATCGATTGATCAATCAGCATACATTCCATTCCATTCCATTCCAATTCATATTTACTCCCTGTGCCTTGCATTCCCCCATTGATCCATCATACCACCAACCCATCCAACGCCCTCCAAAAGATACCGAAATTCCCATCCCCCTGCCTGCCCCCCTCCCCCTTCCTCGCATTATCCATAACGGCAAACACAACGTCCTCCCACCACCCGCCAGCAAACTCCTCCTCCCTCAGGACCTCGGCGAACATGTGCGCCACCTCGTCGGGCGGATTGTTGAACGCGCCGCAGCCCAGGGCGCCGAGGACGAGTTTCGTGTGGCCCTTGCTCGCAGCCAGGCGCAGGACGGTGCGGATCTTGTAGCGCGTGATTTCGGCGTCGGCGGGGCGGAAGGTGCCCTCGGGGGAGAGGTAGGGGTTTCGCAGGGCAGCGAGGGTGATGATGGAGGTGAGGGGGAGGTCTAGGACTTGGGGTTGGGTGATGGGGGTTCCGGGTGGGGTGGGGAGGAGGAGGGAGTGGCCGGCGGAGAGGGCGGAGCGGATGACGAGGACGTGTGGGGTGTAGAGGGCGGAGAGGAGGGGGATGGGGTAGAGGTTTTTGTGGAGGGAGAGGGAGAGGGTGGAGCGGTAGCAGAGGGCTTCTTCTTGGGCGAGGGCGCCATTGAGCCAGCCGCCACCCGGGTGGTAAGCGTTGGCTAGGTTGAGGAGGGCCACGGGTTTGGGGATCGGGGGAGGGGGAGTGGGAGTGTTGGTCGGCGATGTGGAGGGGTGGGCGGATTTGGTTTGGTCGTCGTCGTTTGAGGTTGTGCTCAATGGGGCGGGCAGGAGTGAGCGCGCTGTAATTCCCGGCTGTAGGTCTAGGGCCGCATCGAAGCTGTCTTGGTCGAGGACGCGGATTCTCGTCCCTTTTCGTTTGGTTACGGATTCCCCGGCTGGAAGTTCGAAGCCCGGACAATCTTCTGGCCGTAAGGGAGCTAGGTCTTTGAAGTGGTGGATGGAGGCTGCTTCCGGGTCTATGGAGGCAGGAAGCTGCGAGACGATGGTGGGTAGTATCGAGATTGTCTCTGCGGCTGCGTCGCGTAGTCTGTTGCGCAGCTCTTCCCGACGATTCGTCGCGAAGGGAGATGCATCCGGATCAGGGGAACTCTTTTCCGTGACCTGCTTTTCAGAAGCCTGTCTGGATGCGTGCTGTTTTCTGTCTGCCTGTGCAGCTGCTCGACCCGGGACTTGGCGGTTGGGGCGATTCTCGAAGTAAGATCGACGTCTTTCAGCAACGATCCGATGCGTGTCAGAGCCATCTTTCCTGCTGTCCTCCATTTCGGACGGTCTCTTCTTGGAGTGTTCTTCCTTTGGCCGGCCCTTGGGACGCAGCTCATCACGGGTCGGTCGTTTCCCAGTGAAGGAGGAACGATGCTTGGCAGGGGAAGGTCTTCCCGTGCTTTCTTCCTCTGATGGTCTCCGCCTGTAGGATTTCTTAGGTGGGACGCTCCTATGCAAATCGTCTCGCGCACGCCGTTTTTCAGACGAGGAAGCTCGATGCCGGTCCGAGGAATCCCTCTCTGCACTCGCTCTCAAGTGCGGTTCGGAATCATATCTCTTTCCACGTGAGGTGCGGGCGGTAGAGGATTCGGGTTTGCCAGTGGATCCATTCTCGGACTCTTCTTGCAGATGTTGTCCTTTGCTCGAGCGATGCTGCTTCCACTCGTGTTGCTCAGGTCGCCTACTTTCGCCGCTTTCCCCTTCGACCTGGTGCTGAGTCCTGGAGCTTGGGTCCGAGTCTCCTTTCTCAAGAGACTTACGTCCCGAGTGACGCGATTGTCCACGAGGTATCCTTCTGAAGCTTTCGTAGATCTTGGGCTGCATCGTGATGGTCCCACCACGATTTGATGGCTCGGCGCACGGTCTATGTCAGATTGGAAAAGTTGACTTAGTTAACCAGGAGTCTTTTCTGGCCCAGCTGTACGGAGTGAAAGAGGAGTGGATGAGACAGGGCGGTTATTCGTTGTCACCGCTTTTTTTAAGTTGCTTTGATCGCCTTATAAAGCTGTGATATCAATCAGGCAACAACCAAGTGGCTTTTTCATCCTTTGGGCTTCCTGGAAGGTTGATGTTATTGGAAGTCCTTTCATGCTCAGCAGGAGTACGGAGTAGTAGAACAAAAAGCATAATTGATGTCACCTGGTGACGGACAGGGCGAACGAACGTGGTCCCTCCATGTGGACTTTGATCTCATGTACAAACGCGTCGTCCCATGTCGGTCGCGAACCTCAGCCCTACGGGGTGGTCCGTGCCGCTGCCCCACATTGGTCCCTCACTTCGGATATTGGTCCATGAGTTCAATCAACAACAATTCACTCACTTGGACAAACAACATCCCCACCAACCCCCTTGGATCGGTTGGCCCTTTGGCACAGCAGACTTTCTCCTTTTATGTTGTATAGACCCAGCTTTACCGATGTAACGCCTCAACCGAGATATGCCTCCGACGCAGCTGTGCGCCGTTCCATCCCCGAAGCGCAAACGCGACAACCTCCCGCCTGCACTGAGCACATCCTCCCAATCTGCCTTGGAGCCCGCTGCACCTAGCAGCCCGACTACAAATGGCATCGTTGACCAGCTTCGCGACTTGAGGATTACAGCGCTTTCAGCACTCCCACGGACCCCGCTTACTCCAATCGATGACATGGTGCGGAAGAAGCCCAAACTTGAAGCCATGGATGATACCCAGATATTCCGGCCTGCGCCTGGCACTGTTGGCGAAATAGAACTGGCAACAGCAGAGATACAGGATGTCGTCGCTGAGGGGCCTTGGACCGGTAGTGCGGCGGAGATATCAGAGACACCGCAGGCCCATGCGGAGAGGCACCACCCCGTTGTGGATTTCGAAGATTCCATAGCAATCGCACGGCCAGTCGTTTTCGGAGCGATAGAGGCATCCGCATTTGCTCAGAACAACGTAAATCCAAAGAGCCAAAAAGCAAGGTCCAAGGCGAACCCCTCTCGACCCCGCTCTCGGAGGTCACCCTCACCCCCACCCATCTCGCTCACGTGGCAGGACAGCGAAATCACTGGCCACCTTGCCGACCCTTCGACGGATCCGGACGATGATGGAACGGGCATCAATGGAATCGGTTTCAAACCTACTCCTGCCATCGCCTATGCCAGGGCACAAAAACGAAGGCAGCAACTGTTGGAATGGAGAGCTCGAGAGACGAGGGAAGCAAGAGCCAAGAGGAGCGAAAGACGACGTAGAGGAGTCGCAGGCGCTGGCTCCAGTTCGAGGGAAGGGACCGTCGAAAGGGAGATCGCCAGCAAGGAGCATGACGCGACTAGACGAGCTGTCCGATTCGCCATATAACGTGACGTCGTGTATTGGATGTATAGCGTAGCTGAGAGACGGGGGATGAGATGAGGACGGGTACCTCTCCATGTACGATTCCACGATCTCATGATGTAATGACGACAAAGTCTTGTTTGCGACGCTTGTGGAAATTAGGGATCGCCTTGTCTGTTCCGAGTTCCCCTGACATCGACTCCGTACGGTAATGCGGGATCAAGGGCGTTTGTCCCATGGATCGGTTCGCCGGTACAATCCGTATATTACAATTCTCATACAAGTTCCTGTACATAGTCCGGCCCGACTTCTTCCCCATGCCCTACCAAAACCTCACATTCTTACTGAACCAGTGACTCCACGATCTTCGCCGCTCCTCCTCTTTTCTCCGCTCTTCCTCTAATCTTTCCTGCTCTTCTCTCGCCTTTCTCCGCGCCTCCTTTTTCGCTTCGATCGATGCACGTTTCCTCTCCATGAGCTCTTTTGCTTGCCGGATCCCCTCCTTCTCCTTGCTGCGGTAGTATTGACAATATTGATATGAAGCGCATGATACACCGAGCCAACTGAACACCGCGACGTGACAACATTGCATTACAGGTCCTGTCCCCTCATCAGTATACCGTCATCCCAGATTGTCCACCAAGGAATCTCACTCCTTAATATGGCCGCAAGACTACCACCCGCGAACCCTGCCCCTATGCCAACCAGCTGGCTGTCCCGTACGCATGGCCGCCTGTGGAAATTCAAATAGTAATCCGGCCCTAGGTTCTTCACGACTTCGAAATATGTCGGCTCGTGGTCCGCGGGCGTCCCTCCTGCTGTGTGTGCGGTTCCGCCGGGCATGATGTTCGCTGGGCCTTTTGGCCGCTGTGGAATTTGCGCATCGCTGTCTCTGGAGTCGTCGGCCATTGTGTTAGGATGTGACTGAGTAGAAGGAAAGGGGCGGGAAAAGGGACGGTCGGGCGCGGGATCGCTGTGGTGGTGGCCGAAATGCAATTGAAGATCGGTGATGCGGTTGAGTTGGTTCCATATTTTGCAAGCCTGTTGTGGCGGTGCGGCCGCTCAACAGCCACACTTCAATTACCAGACCAGTCGGGGAGTCGCGAACAGGACGCGTAAGGACGCGCCTGCCCCATGTTTCTGTGCGAGGCCGTGCTTTCATGACCTCGACTTTCCACATTGCTCTTCCGCTACTCTCCTCACATCTCTTACTGCTCTACCAACCTGTTCTTGATACCCTTTTCCCTTTCTACAGTTCCGATTGCTCAAATGGTACATCTAATTGTTTAAACACCTGTTTACCGTCTCCACATCTCCACCATACCAACCATGGCGCCGCGACGACCAGGCCAACCTTTCCGCCGTGTAGGCAAAAACGGAACCGCCTCCTACGGCCCTCGCAAACCAAAGACCGTCGACGCCTCCACCCTCCGCAGCACCGAAGCAACCTCCCAAAATGAGAAATTCGAAGCCATCCGCCTGGCGCACAGCATCGATGAGGCCATGGGATTCCCCCGCTACGAGGCGGGGAAGAAGAAAGTGGGATGGCTCTGCAATATGCATTCGACGACCATTGAGGATGAGAATGTACCTGGCGGGAAGGCTGGGGTGGATTATTACTTCATTGGCGAGGATGGGGAGACGTTCAAGGCCACGCTGGAGTATGATCCGTACTTCCTGCTGGCAGTGAAGAGGGGGAAGGAGCCGGAGGTCGAGGAGTGGTGTCGGAGAGCTTTTGAGGGGCTCGTGAAGAGTATAAAAAGGGTGGAGAAGGAGGATCTTTCTATGCCGAATCATCTTGTGGGATATAGGAGGACCTTTCTGCAGCTCTCGTTCGCGAATGTGAGTGATCTGCTCGCTGTGAGGAAGGTGATTGGTCCTCTCGTGGAGAAGAATAAGAAGAAGGTGAATGCGATGGATACATATGCCGAAGTGGCCAGGTGAGTCAGTTGTGATTCCGGCTTTTGGGTGGTTGACTGACATGTGTGCAGCGCGGAAGCTGGCTTCGACATGTATGATGATGACTTGGAATATGAGAAACGAACGACTTCTACGATTGATGCCAGCGATTTCATTATAGATATCCGGGAATACGACGTTCCCTACCATGTACGAGTAGCTATTGATAAAGGTGCGTATGTCTCCGTAGCTTTCCATGCACAGCTGACCATGCTGCAGATATAAGAATTGGAAAATGGTACACGGTCGAAGCAAAACACGGCGTCACGACCATGACATGTATAGAAGAGCGACTGACACCTGCCGATCCGGTGGTTATGGCGTATGATATCGAAACAACCAAATTACCCCTGAAGTTTCCCGATGCTGTTATCGACCAGATCATGATGATCTCGTACATGATCGATGGTCAGGGTTTTCTGATCACCAACCGCGAGATCGTTTCCGAAGACATTGCGGACTTCGAGTACACGCCGAAACCGGAATATGAGGGTCCCTTTATGATTTTCAACGAGCCAGACGAGAAGGCAGTATTAGAGCGCTTCTTCGAGCACATCAAGGAGGCGAAACCCACGGTTATGGTCACGTATAACGGTGACTTCTTCGATTGGCCGTTCGTGGAGGCAAGAGCCAGTGTGCTTGGAATCGACATGTATCAAGAGATTGGATTTCGGAAGAACAGTGAAGACGTCTACCAATCCGATTATTGTGCACATATGGACGCCTTTGCTTGGGTCAACCGAGACAGTTACCTGCCACAAGGTAGTCGAGGCTTGAAGGCGGTGACGGTTGCAAAGCTAGGATACGACCCGGACGAGCTGGATCCGGAACTCATGACGCCCTATGCCAGCGAACGGCCGCAGACGCTTGCTGAGTATTCGGTTTCTGATGCCGTTGCGACCTACTACTTGTACATGAAATATGTACATCCCTTCATTTTCGCCCTCTGCACGATTCTGCCGCTTCCTCCGGATGATGTTCTGCGGAAAGGTACCGGTACTCTCTGCGAGATGTTGCTGATGGTTCAAGCATATCAGAAAGGAATCGTACTGCCGAACAAGCATCAAGCTCCTAAAGAGGCCTTCTGGGAGGGCCACCTGCTCGAATCAGAAACGTACGTTGGAGGTCATGTCGAAAGTATCGAAGCCGGTGTGTTCAGAAGCGATATACCATGCAACTTTGCAGTGGACCCGACGGCGATTGACGAGCTCTTGAGAGATCTGGACGCCGCGCTCAAGTTCAGCATCGTAGTGGAAGAGAAGAAGAAGCTTGAGGATGTAGTGAACTACGATGAGGTCAAAGCGCAGATTGCTGAGAAGCTCAACCAACTCAAGGCCACCCCGAACCGGAGCGAACGTCCTTTGATCTACCATCTGGACGTCGCTTCCATGTACCCTAACATCATGACCAGCAACCGGTTGCAGCCCGACTCCATGATCAAAGAATCAGATTGTGCCGCATGCGACTTTAACCGTCCGGGGAAGACTTGCGATCGACGGATGCCTTGGGCCTGGAGAGGCGAGTTTCTACCGGCGAAACGAGATGAGTACAATATGGTTCGTCATGCCTTGGAGAATGAACGCTTTCCAGGGAAGTACAAGAACTCGCCCGTCCGGACCTTCCAAGAATTGTCAGCAGATGAACAGGCGAATTTGGTCAAGAAGCGCCTGCAGGAGTACAGCAAGAAGATCTACCACAAGATCCACGAATCCAAGACAATTGTGCGGGAAGCCATCATTTGCCAGCGCGAGAACCCCTTTTACATCGACACTGTCCGAGACTTCCGAGATCGACGCTATGACTACAAAGGAAAGCAGAAGGTCTGGAAAGGCAAGACGGAAACACTCAAGGCCGCTGGTGCTCCTGCCGCAGAGATTGATAACGCCAAGAAGATGATCGTTCTGTTCGACTCGATGCAGTTGGCCCACAAAGTCATTCTCAACAGCTTCTACGGTTATGTCATGAGAAAGGGATCCCGCTGGTACTCGTTGGAGATGGCTGGTGTCACGTGTCTGACAGGCGCGAGAATCATCCAGCTGGCTCGTTCACTGGTAGAGAGGATAGGGCGACCGTTGGAGCTTGACACCGATGGTATCTGGTGCATTCTGCCTGCCACATTCCCGGAGAACTATGCGTTCAAGCTGAACAACGGCAAGAAGCTCACCATCTCCTATCCTTGCGTTATGTTGAATCACTTGGTTCATGGGCAATTTACGAATCACCAATATGAGACCTTGGTGGACCCGGCAACGTTTCGGTATGAGAAGCACAGCGAGAACACCATCTTCTTCGAAGTCGACGGTCCTTACAAGGCAATGATTTTGCCTACGTCCAAGGAGGAGGACAAGAACTTGAAAAAACGCTACGCGGTATTCAACCATGACGGGAGCTTAGCTGAACTGAAGGGTTTCGAATTGAAGCGCCGTGGAGAACTCAAGCTTATCAAAAACTTCCAGGGGCAGATCTTCAAATTCTTCCTGGACGGTACGACCCTTGAAGAGACCTATGGTGCTGTAGCCAAAATCGCGAACCGCTGGCTCGATATTCTCGATACACGCGGCGCCACTCTCGCAGATGAGGAGCTCATTGATCTCATCGTCGAGAACAAGAGCATGACGAAGACGCTCGAGGAGTACGGAAACCAGAAATCCACTGCCATTACCACCGCCAAGCGGCTGGCCGAGTTCTTGGGCGAGCAGATGGTCAAGGATAAAGGCCTCAACTGCAAATATCTTATATCTGCTCGACCCAAGAATGCGCCGGTCACTGACCGTGCCATCCCAATAGCTATTTTCTCTGCAGAAGAGTCCGTCAAGCGCTTCTTCCTGCGGAAGTGGCTTCGTGATGATCCGGGCGATATGGACCCTCGCAGCATTCTGGATTGGGAATACTACAGAGAGCGCCTTGCGTCTGTCATCCAGAAGCTTATCACGATCCCGGCTGCTCTGCAGAAAGTCCGCAATCCTGTTCCCAGGGTTCCGCATCCCGATTGGCTTGATCGACGTATAAGACAAAAGGAAGACAAGTTCCAGCAGAAGAAGATGACGGACATGTTTGGCAAGAAAGCGCTTACGGATGTTGATCCCAATACCTTAAACACTAGGGTCAGCGCGGGAGACCTTGAGGACTTTGGATCTTCAGGGTTGTCGCCGAAGTCGCAGGTCAAGAGAGGAGTCGTCACAAAGATGGTTGCGAAGCGAAAGGAACCCGAGCCTGCAGTTGCAGTTCAAACCAACCCTTATGCCGCTCTTCCGAAGGTTATGCCATCCATTACTGAAGACTACTCCGGCTGGCTTCAATACCAGAAGCAGAAGTGGAAGATTCAGAGGCAAGCCCGGAAGCGGAGGCGCCAACTGTTTGGAGAGAAGCCAATCGACGCTTCTGATGCCATTGGCAGTTTCTTCCGCAACCAGACTGAGCTTTTGTTCATAAGCACGTGGCAGCTCATCCAACTTCGGCCAACCGAGACGCCCGGGGAAGTCAGGGCGTTCGTACTGATCGACAAGAAGATCCATATGCTCAAGATTGTGGTCCCACGGCAGCTATATGTGAACTTTCGAAGCGAGGACCTGCCCGACATATCCATCAGTGGGTGCAGCGTTGAAAAGGTCGTCAATTACACACTTCCGAACGGACATCCCTCGGTCCATCTATTCAAGTTGGAATTGCCCGAGCAGACCTATGTTCAAGAGGCGAAGCAGTTCGCTGCCCTTTTCAGCCACCCTAGTGTCGAAGGCATCTACGAAAAGCAGGTGCCATTGAACATTCGCGCCATTCTCAAGCTCGGAAATGTGTGCACCTTTGACGAGTCTCAGAAGGGTGTCCTCGGAAAGGGCCTTGAGCAAGGGTTCGATCTGAGCTCGTTGCGTAGAGTGCCATCCAAGGCCCCGTACTTGTCAGGAGCTGCGATCAGCTACCTCTACCTGTACCATGTCAGCAGTGGAGAGCGTAACATCTATGCCTTATTCTCGACTTCCAAGGACACTGCACACATTATCATCCAGAATCGGACAAGAGACCTGCAGGGCATGCCCAACGTGGATCGCATCTATGTCGGCTCACTACAAAAAAGGTTGGAGGACAATAATGGTGAACCATGGCAGACCTGTGTCGAATACCAAGAGAGCATTCATTTCCGGACAACCCAGGTTACAACAAGACGCAAAGCACTGCTGGAGATTGGTGATACCATTAAGAAGATGAAGCAGGAAGAAGGCAAGCCTATCATCGTCATCATCCAGTCTCCAAACCAGGCACTGCTTTCCCATGACATACCTCTTCTGAAGGATTTACCCATCTTACCTCTGCACCCTGAAGAATCAGATAAACAGCTGCCACCACTCGGCTGGCAATCGTTTGTCGCGAAGCGGCTCGTAGCCCATTACCTCGACCTGGGCTCGTGGGTCACGCATCTGACCGAACTTTCTCGCTATGGCAACATACCTCTGTGCAACCTGGAGAGCAACGACCCGCGTTTCCTCATCGACATCGCCTATGCTAGGCGACTCCAGAAGGACAAGGTCGTCCTCTGGTGGTCTGCTTCTGCTAAACCCGACCACGCCAGTTATGAGAAGGATGACATTCTTGCACCGCTCGAGACCGTGGAGATGCCGTCAGTCAATAACCCGGGCACCTACTCGTCGGTGTGTATCGATCTGACTCTGCGCAATCTCGCCATCAACACTGTTCTCTCGTCCTCCTTGATTAATGAGCTGGAGGGTGCAGACTCGGTGTCATTCAATCCTGCGGCACCTTCTCTGGATGCAGCAGGCGACGGCACCAATGTCATCTACTCTGACAATGCGTTTGCCACAGCTGGCATCACTGTGCTCCGCGAGATGGTCAAGGCTTGGTGGTGCGAAGCGGAACGGGGCGATTACATGGCGGACGTGATGGTGCAACATCTTGTCCGATGGGTCGGGAGCCCGGGCTCCTTCCTATACGATCGAGCGCTCCATTACTACGTTCAGATGATGTCTAAGAAGGCTCTGCAGCAGCTGATGGCTGACTTCAAGCGCGTAGGCTCACACGTCGTCTTCGCAGGCCCTAATCGATTACTGCTTCAGACGACCAAGGCCGAGGTTGGGAATGCTTACGCCTATAGCCAGTATATCCTCAAGACGATCCAGGCCAAGCCGCTGTTCCAGTTTCTGGACCTCGAGGTCAAAGAGTATTGGGATTATCTCGTCTGGTACGACGAGTTCAACTATGGTGGTAAAGGGTGCGAGAAGGTGGTGGAGGCGGAGAACCAGACTCTAGACAACATCATGTGCTGGCAGTTTGCACAGTTCCTTCCGGCCAGTCTCCAACCGTACTTCCACGACTGGGTCGTCGAGTTCATCGAGCTGATGCATGCACGGAAGCGTCCTGCGGTCACGGACGGTTCGACGCCTCGTCTGACGCAAATCCCACTCCGACCGCTCACCGTGGATCCCACCGAAGAGACGCAAATCCTCCCCAAGTCCTTCACCAAACCGCTCTTCAAGCAAATCTCCACTCTCCTCCGACGCCAACACACCGAAATGCTCCACCCGGACCTGGCCGCCGACTACGAGTTCCCCAAACTCCCAGGTTCGCATCTCAACCTGTCCAACCCGGTCCTCCAACTCGTCAAGTCCATCATGCAGGTCCTCAGCCTCGACCGCGCCATCACGCTCGAAGCCCGGCGCCTCCGCAAAGACCTCCTCACCCTCTTCGACATTCGCGAGTTCAGCGCCGAAGCCAGCTTCGTGAATCCGAGTGCGCAGCTCTATGTGCGGGGCGTGATTTGCGACGAGTGCACCGCGTCTAGGGACTTGGATTTGTGCCGCGAGGCTGCGCTTCTTCCGCCACCTGGTGCTGCTGCTGTAGCAGACAACGCATCATCATCATCATCTGTGCTGCCGAAATGGAAGTGTGACAATTGCCACGCCGCGTACAACAAGTTAAGGATCGAGGAGCAGCTGGTGGCCGAGGTGCAGAAGATGGCGCTCGAGTGGTGCACGCAGGATCTCAAGTGCGGGCGGTGCGGGAGGCTGAGGAGTAATGAGTTTATGGAGCACTGCGCTTGTGCGGGTGAGTGGGTCGGGACGAAGGCGAGGGGGGAGGTCAGGAGGAGGTTGGGGGTTTATGGGGGTGTGGCGAGGTTCTATGGGTTGGGTATGTTGGAGGCGGTGGTGAGGGAGTGCGAGGAGGGGTTTTAGCTTCTTTTTTGTTTTAGGGCATGGATGGGAGCGGTGTTTGTGGCTTTTGGGATATTCATTGTTGGGTACTCTGTAGTTGGGTTGCGTTTTCCTCTCCGTTCCAACGGCGTACGTTGGTATGTTTGTGTCACGGCGGCGGTTGCGGCGTTTCTCCCGCTGGGACTACAAGAACAGATACGGATATAGGGCACGGCTACGGGTAGCTTTGGCGTTTATCAGCAAAAGAATCACAGTGAATCCATTGGAGAGATACCGTAGTTTTTGAGGGATTGCGCCATTCACGCCAAGTCCCATAGATCAGCACTGTATCTCAGCACGCTCACTATCTCTCGCAACACCCTCCTCATAACCACTCACATCCATCCCTACAATCATCGCACATTTCGACATCCTGGGTTTGTTCTCCCCCACCCTATCTTCCGTTATTTCCAATTCCAGCAAGACCTGTAGCCGAGGCAAAGATGACGATTGTCTTGTCGGCGGGGTTTGCGTTGTTGTGCAACGCCAGGTTGCGAGCACGCCATAGGGGATCATTCTTGGGTGGGTGCATGGATGCGGTGTGGAGTGTGTGTCTATATGAGGGGTGAGGGGTGAGGGGCTGAGGGGGAGGGAATGACGTTTAGGAAGGGGAGGGGAAAGGGGGTATATATTCAGCGTGGAAGTCCCGATTTGAGGGACTCAAGGAATTTCTACTTCTTTACATACAAGACGGTGTGGTTTGAGGTACGTGCTCTGGGTATCTGTTCAGGGTATACTGTGTCTCCCACTTAGACATCTCTCCTCGTATCGTTCTTCTTCTTTTGAGTCTTCGGAAGCACGGCTCCCTTATTTCAGACACCTAACCTACACCAAACCACCTCACCATGGCACCTCTAGAAGTAACCACCCAACCCATCGCCCCGCACGACCTCCCCTCTCCTCTGACAAACAACATGAACTCCCTCCCCCCCTTCCCCAACCACCGCGCCCCCAAACACATCTACCCAGACGGCATCAAAACCTCCGGCCAACACCCCCCAATCTATTCCCTCCTGCGCCCCTACTCTGCCTTCCCCACAGAAATCACCGGCCCCACCGTCTGGCAAGCCTCCGACTACCGCTCCCACCCCTCGCGCTGGACACACATCTTCTCCCCCTCGGAGCTCGCCGAAATCAGCGCCGCGGCAGACTTATTCCTCGCCTCCGGAACCCCCACGACGGGAATCTCGCAATCCAACTTCCCACTCCCCCAGTTTGGAAAGTTTCTGCGCGGTCTGAAGGACGAGTTACTGAATGGCAAAGGGTTCATCCTGTTCAAGGGGTTCCCCGTTGCGGAGTGGGGGAATCGGAAGAGCGCGGTTGCGTACATGGGCCTGGGCACGTATCTAGGGTATTTCGTCAGTCAGAACGGGCGCGGGCATGTGTTGGGGCACGTGAAGGATTTGGGTGAGGACGCGACGCAGATTGACAAGGTGCGCATCTATCGCACGAATGCTAGGCAGTTTTTCCACGCTGATGATTGCGATATCGTGGGCTTGCTTTGCGTGGCGAAGGCGTTGGAGGGAGGAGAGAGCGACTTGGTTTCTAGTCACCATGTGTGGAATACGCTGCAGAGGGAGAATCCGGATGTGGCGAGGACGCTGACGGAGCCGATTTGGTATTTTGATCGTAAGGGGGAGACGAGCGTGGGGCAGGAGGAGTGGATAAGGTCGAGCGTGTTTTATCTCGAGACCGGGGAGAATCCGAGGGTGTACTGCAAGTAAGCATCTAATTCCCACGTCTTCCCCTTTACGTTCTTTTTCTGCAGACATTTGGACTGACCACCTCTTAAATAGATGGGACCCCTACTACATCCGCTCCCTCACCCGCTTCTCCGACAAGGGCCTCATCCCCCCTCTCTCCGAAGCCCAGCAGCGCGCCGCCGCCGTGCTCGAAGAGACGTGCCTGCGCCTCTCGCTGCACATGGTCCTCGACATCGGCGACATCCAGTTCCTGTCCAACGCCCACGTCCTGCACGCCCGCACCGCGTACAAGGACTACCCTCCGCCAGCGCCGCGGAGACATCTGATGAGGCTGTGGCTCAGCACGCCCGAGGACGAAGGAGGCTGGAGGCTGCCGTTCCATGACAGCAATGAGAAGAAGAGGGGCGGTGTCCAGGTCAACGATACCCCGCCAGTGGCGCCGTATGATGCCGAGTAGATATGCATTTAGTAATGAAATCCCAAATGTATTGGTGCCCAGCCAAAAAAAACCATGGTTCTTTCTCCTGTATGAAGTTATGGAATCACCAGAATGGATATAACGAATAGAAGATCAACGCGTACGAGGATTAGTGTTGAAGAGATAGAAAAAAAAAAAAAAAAAAAAAAAAAAAAAAAAAAAAAAAAAAAAAAAAAAGAAGGATTAAAGGAATGATACTCGGTGAAATGCAATTTCCAATATGGGACTGTCGCTGCATCTCAGAGCTTTTGCCCCAGAATTGATTATATTTCGAAGAGTTGCCGTGTCCCGAAAACGCCTTGCATGCTCCTGTCTTTAGTCGTGTTGTTACGCATGGCCCCCCAATCCCGCTTGAAGCCTGGTTTTTGGTATCAACTTCGGAGGTTTCCGACCATGCAACGATAAATAGGTACCGTCATACCGAGTGCTGTGAAATCATCCCCCTTGCAAACATGGTATCAACCGATGTCCAATCGACAAAATATCCACTTGATCCACGGTATAATGGAATTCTTCACCCCTATCTTCCCTTCTTCCCTTAGAAACCCCGACCACCGCGCCCACGCCCTCTGCCCCGTCCTCCTCTTCCCCTGGGTCCTCCCCTTCCTCCACCCCGCCCACCCCTCTCCGCCTCCTTCCTCGCCTTGTTCTTCGGCTTCGGCGCGTCGTCAATCAGCAGCGTGTCAAGCGGCAGCGAGTCGGGGAGGATGATGTAGCGGATCGTCGAGCCACGGACGTTCAGCGACTCGAGCGTTTGCGTCTCGCGGTTCTTGGGCGTCATCTTGACGGCGCGGAGCGCCGTGTTCATCTTGGGGGAGACGGATGCGATGGTGCCGTTTATGACGGTGCCTGTGATGGTTAGGTGAGGGAGGTCGTCTGGGGGGAAGTAAATCCAGGATTGGAGGCTTGATTGAGAATGGCAGGATGATGCGGGTCGAGTTGGCAAATATGTAGTACAATGTACCTACCATCCTTGAGCTCGATTGACACCGTCTCGTTCTGGCACTTCATCAAGAACCTGTGGGCATGTGTTAGCTGTCGAGCTCCGCTGCGGCGCCCGTTGATAGGGAAGTGCGCACCTAACTAGCTTCATGACTGCGGAAATCCAATGATTGCGCGTCCTCTGTAGATGTGTGTTGGTGTCAAGCGTGATCAGTGCGATTGTTTGCGCGTAACGGCTCGACTAGACGTGTGAAGGCGGTGGGGAAGCTCGACATCAGTTGCGCTCAAATTAGGCTGGCGCGGGAGATATTTGTTCCGGCATCCGCACGTGATATCGACTTTCACCAATGCTACTTTGCTGCTTTGAACAGCCAAAGCTCACAGTATTGCACACGAATAATAGAGAATTCCAGTTGGGCCCTTACTACTCATCGACCAGCGGATTCATAGTTCAACTCCGCCGCAACCTTCACACAGTCAGTGCAAACTCAAAGTTTGCAGCCATGAAAGTCGTTCCTGCCTCCGGCGTGCAAACGGCGGCAGACCGCCTTTCACCTGAACTCTCCACCGCTCCTCTCTGGGCGGGAACGCTGGAGCTACCGGCTCTCCCGCTAATTTCCCCATATTGACTTATCCTCACTCTTGACAACGTTCCTCTCCATACCCCCACAACCTCACTTTCCAACCGCAACCCATCATGCCACGAAAACGACGAGAAGCGCCTACAGCCACGGAGAGCACCAGCAAGCGGTCCAAGGCTTCCGCAGATAGGGAACAGGCAGTGTTCCGATGGAAGCAAAATGAATGGACGCTCTGGACCAGGATCGATACTTTAGTTCACCTGATGCGCAACAAGTATGTGAGCAAGCAGGTCGTCGTCAAGAAGGTGCTGAAACTGGACAAGGATGAGGATGGAGAGCGGAGGATAGCACATGCGGAAGTGAGGATGCTGCAGAGGTTACCGGAGTGCAATCGAGTCGTGAAACTGTTGGGCTACTTACATCAATGTCCTGACCCGGCCCATGGCTCTGCGTTCTTCGAGTACTATCCACTTGGAGATGTTTCTGCTTGGAAAACGAAGAACTTTGACAACAAGAACTGGAAGCCCGTACCTGAGCCGTACATATGGCGGTTCTTCATTCAGGTATGTAGAAAAGCTTTCTCGTCCTCATATGGTAGCTTACTGGTCTCAGATGGCGCAGGCTCTAGGATTCATCCACAATGTTTTAGATCCTGTCCCCGATCCGAGCCGCCCGTGCATGCTGCATAGGGATATCAAACCCAAGAATATCCTTGTAGTGCAGAACGGTACTACCTACCCCTCTTTCAAACTCCATGACTTCGGTTGCGCGACTATCTTGACGCCGGAAAAGGGTAGAATTCGCACACTCTGCGGCACTTATGAATGGCAACCACCGGAGAACCCCATGGTCAATACGACGGCGGCCGATGTCTGGGCGTTAGGTGCTTGTGTGCACTATCTGGCAACGGGGAGATCACCCGTCCAATCGACGACGGAATTCAAACGGAAAGAACTCGAGCGCGGAGAGCAGCCCTCCAAGGGTGCAAATTGCTATGATTCGATCGATCGCTATTATGTCGCGCGGGCTCCGCGTGTGGTGACTCGGATCAACTTGACGAGAGCTCAACAGGAACTTGCTGGTATAGCTCCGCGGATTACACCAACGGGACAACCGGTATACAACGCGGAGTACAGCGATGAGCTCAATGATTGGATGTGCAAAGCACTCCACCACAACCCCAGGAGACGTACAACGACCGCTACGTTGGTAGAGAGGATGGTTCCGGACGGAGAGGAGATGTTAAGAACGACTTCGGGAATCGCCGGGCTGGCCGACCTTCATATCATGATTGGAAACTGATGGGTGCCTTGTACAGGGATTGGTTCCGTTGCACGTCTTCCACATACCTGGTGCGAAAGTAAGTGGAAGAGCATCTGGGACTCGTTGGATCTAGTGGAAGATATTTGGGTTGGAACCGGTGCGATCTTAAATCTGTGCGATTTGCATATATAGTGCGCTGTGAATGGAGATTGCGCTCGCCTCAGGGGTTATGGGAACTTATGGAGTCCAAGATTGAAGTATTGGCCCTCCAAATTCGGATGATTTGCAATTTCTCCCAGCCAGCCTTCTTTCCGCTTGAACCAACTGTCTCAGCCATCCAGCCCTGACCCCATGCTCTTATCTCCTGTTTGACGACCTCTGGCTTATTCTGTGCACATAGTAGTAGGTAAGCAACCCCTCTTGTACTACTCAAGATGGTCGGTAGTTGTTCCAACATCCTCCTCGTGACAACCATGCCATCCGGTCCTCCTGCGTACGACAGCTCAAGAAGGTATGAGTCCTGCTCAAATGTGGTAGATTTTCCCGCAGACAAAGGCTCATTATAAGCTTCGTGGTGTGAATAGTCTGGCAGCTCGGCGGGCACATACGGTGGATTGAATATCAAGACATCGATGGAGTGGGGTCGAACGGAAGAAGCCAGGTCGCCATTCACAACGTCAAGGAATCGTGTTGGAGCTGTTGCTACCGCCTTCTGGACCGTTTGGGCGGCGGCTTCACAGGCGAATCTGTTCAGATCAGTGCCAATGGTTAGTATATCATCTCTTCCAAAAAGTGTGCCAGCATTGGCTGCTACGAAGGCCAGAACGACGCCGGACCCGACTCCAACTTCGAGGACAAGCGGCGAGCCTTCTGCCGCTGCGGGAGATGTTGAGAATTGCCCATGGAGGAAACTGGTCTCGGAAGCCGAAGACAGGGTATCCAGAAGCAGGTAGGAGTCTTCAGCTGGTTCGTAGACGCGGTCGAAACACACGTGGGAGGTGGAAGGGGTGGGGAGCATTTCGAATGAGGCGGGGGGTGGGCTGAGACGTCGTGAAGGATGGGAGAGCTTGCGATGCTCGCGGACCAATGGCGAGCCCCCAGCCGGATTATGTAATCCCGAGGTCATCCATGCTCAGTTCGATCACCACCCTTAAGAGGTTCCATTTCTTTATTCAATAGCTTTTGAGGCTTCTCATCTTTCGAGAAACGTCATCCGAAAGCTCGCATCGGAGCTTCATCGCATTAGAAATGAGAGTTTACTGCAGGTTGTTGGCAGCAGCCACAGAGCTACCTGGGTCCGCTGGCACAAACCTTCGACGGACGCCAATGGCTCTCCTGCCACCAGTTCCCTTATATCGACGCATACTTCGCGCACATCGGAAGCGTTTGCCCCCCGAGGAACGCACGCTTGGCGACCTCTATGTGAAGGCTGAGTTTAGAGCCCACAAAGACATTGACAATCCCGTGCATATTGTAAGGATTGCCAAGATACAGTTGAAGAATCACCTGGATGTGTGACTGATCAATGAAAGATTGGATTCCTCACCGAATGGCAATTGTATGCTCAGGCAATAGAGGGCGACAATTGGAAAGATGGAAAATTAGACAAGGCAAAACTCGACAAAATGAGCGGTAAGTGTTCTGTGTAGGTGTATGCATAAGGGACCATGTACTGACTGTTAATCACAGATCAACAAATTGGCCAGCTATATGAATTAATGCAAACCATTCGGAGGCAAGACCTGGAGGACAGCGAGTCGGATTCCAAACCGGAACAGTAACGGCCTGCGGTTTACAGGAGCTGCCATTCACATATCCAATCGCGATGTCGCATCAGCTGCTCTATTCCTTCACAATCCCCGTGCAACTTCGTATGTGTGACCGACAGTCGCTCATCACACGTTACCTTTTCCCGCACCAAAGGCCGTACTCTTAATAAAGGCAAGATAACTTCTCAGGGACGCACAGCCTACATCCACATCGGAGTTCCACCGAAATTGTCCTTTTAACAACCTAAGTCCTCGCATTTGGCCATCCGGGAGCTTCTTTTCTTACGCCGAGACGCTTCGTCAAGTCCACAAACGAAGCAGCGGATTTGGTCAATCCGAGAAACATGTGCGTATGCACGCAATACCACTCGCCTACCTGCAGCCATCAATGGATCTCTCTTACGCAACCCTGCGGCATAGGGATGAATCTGATGACCTGCCCCTTCCGTGATACATGTCAAGGACTGTGGGCTCCAGGCATGTGCTGTCCGATATGCAACGGCACCGCCATGGACCCCTTTGTGAACCAAATGGTGCCGGGAGAAAGCTATTCTGCTACCATCTGCTCAGTTTCAGGTCCACGATGCTCAATTGGAGCTCCACAGTGCGCAATCGGACCGCCGCTGCCTTGCTGCGCGCCGCACTCGAGCTGTGGCTGTCGACAGAAGGGGATGTCGCACCGGCACCGCTACTCGTACAAGGAGAGTCGCGGCGGCGGGGATTGCATAGTTATGTGAAGGTGTGATGAGGGCAAAAGACGAGTTTGAACTACTGTGTACTTTGGGTGTCAGCCCTGGTAAATGGTAGCAGTCGTTCAGGGGAAGTGGGTCCTGCAGTTCGACCGACTCTATCAACTGTGTATGTTCGGACGACGGCGGTATGCCGAATTGGTCGGAGGATCTTGATGATTGAGGGAAGTCGGCTCTGGTCACGACGTCTCTCTATTTACTCCGTACAATATATCCTCCATCCCGACTTAATAAGCTAAACATGGCAACGTGAGCATCATCGCCCAATCAGAGGTACATTCACCCACTGGGGAGGATCCCGTTCCGGCAAAGATGGCAGGTCAGGAACAGCAGCGTAGGCTCTGCCGATGTCAGCCCCGCCAAAAGGTCCATCACCCGTCAAGCACCGGCGCTGAAAGACCCAAGGGAACTCCGCCCCGTCACACGGACGAGTCGAGCTCTCGGATTTCACTTAGTAACAGCCACCGCTTCCCGGGCGACGTTGCGCGACAAACAACACTGCGCTATCTAGTGTGTACCTGTCCTGTTGCTAGGCACCGGTGGGGTAAGACAGGGACGTCACAATCGAAGAGACGACGCGCCCAACAGCAAGCTACGTTCAGCTACACGACCACAACCACCATACCTCCGATCCCCGTACCCATCCCAAGCCAACCAACATGTCTAACTTCCTCGTCGACCTGTGGGAGTCCATCTTCACGCCGGGTCCCACGCCCACGCTCCTCGTCGCAACCAACGCCAGCTTCGCCGCCCTGCAGTTCGTCTTCTTCGCCCTGCTCCTCGCCACCTACAGCATACACTTTGTCATTCTCTCGATCCTCTGCGGCGGCCTCTGGTGGGCGATCAACTGGTTCGCGGGCGAGATCCGAGCCGCGCAGGCCATGGAGGAGGAAGCGAAGCGGATCCGAGAGGCGCGAAGGGAGAAGGAGAAGGGCAAGGCGAAGGGGGGACCGGGAAGCGAGGTGGAAACCATGGATACGGGGGATGACACGGAGGGAGTGGAGACGGAAGTCGAGGACAAGAATAAGGTCAAGGCGGCCAAACCTGCGCCGCGACGCGCGCCTCGCCCGGAGATGCAGAGTACAGTGTTTGTCGAGAGGCCGGCCGAGTTCGGAGAGGGACGCGAATCTACACCTGTACCTATGGCCCCAGCAGCGGCTGGTACTGCTGCTTCCACTACAGGGGCGAGCACGAGGCTTGCGCCCGTATCGGACGATGCGGTGAAGAAGAGGAAGAGTTTGGGGGAATCGACGGGCGATGTGAGCACGGATAGCGAGTGGGAGAAGCTGTCGCAGGACTCTGGGGAGAGATAGGTGGCCGGACAGACGTTCGACTTGCTTGTCGATTTGGTTTCCGTCGCGTCTCTGTTGGAATAGATCTTGTATCTGCGCGGGGAGTGTTGTATTCGAGGCGAGTACCTATCAGCCCACGCAACCACCAGTGCAATCCCACGTCGAACAATACTCTGCTGCCATCGAGGCCATAGTTCCTGCGTACGCCGTGCTACTGACTATATCATCGTTCACAGACCGATCACGTGAGGACGCGATTCAGTCTCCTGACATCGAGGAGTAGCGCGTTCAGGAGCATGTTATTTATTGCCCGACCTGTGATTCAACCGTATTCAATCGCTTGAACGTCTTGGATTCGCAAGAAACGTGAAACCTAGCAGCGCTCACTGTAGCAATAAATCCAAAGCCCATGTTTCCGTATTAGAGATACGCGTCGAGCTCCTTTGCAGGGTGCCCCGCTGCCACGCGGACCTGCATCACTTGCGCAGCTCCACCAAGGCAACCTCAAACCCCAAGATAAATCGGCGGACATCACGGTATCCGCCTCCACTTCCACGCCACCATTTCCCTCCGCATTGCGCATGTCTACACCCATGATAGACTCATCCATCCTCCTTCCGTGATACAAGCAGATGCTGGCGACAGAAACGTCCCTCTCCAGCAACCCCGCTACACCTCCGCTGCAGCACACAAACCCTTCCCGCCATGGCATCGCTCGGGGCGCCCCTCAGCGTCGCCGAAATCACCAGACAGGCCGAGAACTTTGAGTATGATTCCAAGATCCAGCTACGGCATTGGCTCCGCTCTGCGGATACCATGCTCAAGGAGGTGCGTTCCTCAGATTCCCATTGTCCCGCATACGCAAACTCACACTCAGCCAGGCCCACGTCTACGAGGCCGAAGGCAACGATGTTCAGACCTATCTCCTCTTATATCGCCACGCGAAACTCGTCCTAGAACACCTCGCGAAGCATCCTGAGAGGACTTTGGCGGAGAACAGGAAGGCATTGAGTGCGGCCAATGCGGCCGTCGCGCGGAATCTGGCAAAGCTGGAGGTGATTAGGCCGCGCATCGCAAAGAGACATGAGGAATATCAGGCGAGGCGAAACGCCCAACGGATGGCGTTGGAGATGCTGGAGGGGCTAGATGCGAAGAACGAGTCCCTGGCGGAGAAGAGATACTCCAAGCGGCGGTCCTTTGAGAGGGCCACGCTGGATGCAGGGCAGAATAGGTTGCTGGCTGCGAAGCTCGCGCAGAGGGAGGTGAGGCGGAGAGATAGTGCGCGGAGAACCGTGCGGTCGCAAGAGGAGGATCGCACTGGTGGCTTGTGGGTGGATTGGGGAAATGAAGGGAGACGAAGCGATAGTGAGACCGATGATGATTTGTCGCGGCAATTACAAGAGGTAGCGAGGCTACAAGACGAACACAAGACCCAGAACTTCTCCGTACGTTCCCTATCAACCTACCGACAGTGTGTACTAATCGACATACAGCGACCGACATCCCACCCTCCCACCTACCACTACCCTTCAATACCACATAGGAGTACCCACGAAAGATGGCCGGGTACCGACGCTCACCTCCCGACCCAAGGCACAGCACCAGCGCGACCTCCAAAAGAACAAATCTACCGCGAATCAGGCACTCCCGCCCGTCCGCCACCCGTACCCCCGAAACCACCCACTGCACCCACACCTCCTCCCTTCGAGAATCCACGCCCGCCCCCTATACCCGGCAAGATACTCGACTCGGAGTCTCAAGCACTCCCCATCCCTCCACCCATTCCCGGCAAATACTCCCCTTCACCCACCCCGCAACTCCCCACGCCCCCAGCCGAACCCCTCGACGAATTCACCTTCAAACCCTCCGCCTACCTCGAAAACGGTACGCCCCTCCGCACCGTCTTCCTTCCCAACACCCTCCGCTCGCACTTTCTCGCCGCTGCCTCACCCAACACACGCCTCAACCTCGAAACCTGCGGCATCCTCTGCGGCATCCTCAAATCCAATGCCCTCTTCGTAACGCGCCTGCTCATCCCCGAGCAGACCTCGACATCGGATACGTGCGAGACGCTGAATGAGGAGGAGTACTTTGACTACTGCGATAGGGAGGAGTTGATGGTGCTGGGGTGGATCCATACGCACCCCACGCAGACGTGTTTTATGAGTAGTCGGGACCTGCACACGCATGTGGGGTATCAGGTCATGCTTCCCGAGAGCGTGGCGGTCGTGTGTGCGCCGAGTAAACAGCCGAGGTGTGTACTTCTCTTGTCTTTTTTTCCTTTGGTTTTCGTCGCCATATCTCTTTACCGTTGCTACCTTATCCAATCTCTCTTTGATCTGCAATTGTCGTGCCGCTGGCTAATAAAACATGGAATGGTAAATAGTTGGGGAATCTTCCGCCTCACCGATCCCCCCGGCAAACAAACCATCCTCAACTGCAATCAACCGGGCATCTTCCACCCGCACGCCGTCGACAACATCTACACCGAGGCGGTGAAACCGGGGCATGTGGTCGAGTTGGCGAATGCGCCTTTGGAGGTGGTGGATATGAGGCCCAAGGGGGAAAGGTAGTGTTGCGAGAGGATTACGCCCTCGTATTTTGAGCAACCCTGTCGAAGAGCTCGTCGAATAGAACGGGGAAAGTACGGCTCGTAGACTATCGTAATAGCAGTATGTCGGGCTTAGGGCTCGACAGAGTTAACTCTCGCCGTTCGATGGTTCAGAGGACTGTTGGAGGTGGCGAGCAGCGTACAAGTCGTGTACGTTCAATGGAGAGCGTGGATGGTTGTGGTGAAGTACGTGTTCAGGATAAGTGCTCGCTCTAGGTGTTCGCTCTTTGCCGTCTTTTCTGTGGAGTAATATGCCTTATGTCGGAACCCCAACGGTATGGATCGTCTGACTGACGTGGACTGTACGATCCCATCCGCCCCATTGAAGACTAACTCGGCATTAGAGCACGCGGATCCATCGCCACTTCTCGTCTCTTGGGAAGCCCAGTTTTGGAGGACGCAGCATCCCGCGTGTCCTTTGATAGTGCGCTGATGCTTCGACGCCGCTGCCGGGAGGGTCATACTGCTGGTAGCGACGGGGACAGAGAGTGTGTACGGTGTACTCTGGTATGCTTTTGGGTACCAGGAGGAACGAGGGTTTCTCGGAATGGCGGGGATAGACGGTACATGGCGAGCGAGGATGAGGGGAGGTATTTGAGTGGTTGTTTCGGATTTGAAGGGGTGTTGTTGGAAATGGGGATGGTAATGGGAATGAGGAGATTTGGGAGGCTGGGTTGAGGTCGGCGCCGGTGAAGTAGGGACCGTGTCGGCGGTGGGGAGGAGTGAGTACGAGGGGAATAGAGGGTAGGTGGAGGGTTTGAGTCAGAGGTGATTTGTCGTATCTTTGCGTTGTAACTCCCTGCCCCTGTATCTCTGTCCTACTCTCTCCTAGTGCCTTTCACTCACTCTAACCCGTGATCCTGCATCTATCAGACAGTGTAGCCACATCAGCCACATTCAGCGACATCCAACTCCCAAAATATTTCATGCCCCATATAAGTACCAAAACACGCAATCCAAACATCAAACACCGGTGAGATAGTCCAGGCGGTTGGGTCCTGCGTCTGGATCAAAAGATGCGCTTCTCCGATGCAGTCGGGCTAACTCGAGTTGTGTTTGGTATTTTTTGGTCGGCGGTTCGATTCACGGCGGTGACTCTTTTTTATTTCTTTTTTGCTTTTTTTGCTTGGGTTACGGGGACTTTGTTTGCTTCGGTTACGGACTTTGTTTGGGATAGTGGATCGGGGGAGACAAAGGAAGCAAGGAATCAGTGGGTAGCGCTGGAAAGTACTTTCCGGCAATGCACTTCATATATTGCCATAAAACACTGTGGTCCATCTTGTTCGCATCATCCAAAGTTAGCAGCTGCGGTACAGTTGACCGATTTGAACAGTACTCCTCCGTATCGACCACTTCTTTGCACCATGTCCTTCAGACGGACATTGTCAATATTTCCGATGCACTACCCCGAACCTGCGAATGAAACGCCGTGTGGTGCCTGGGTGATGCTAAATATACCTAGGTACCTAGCATAATGTCACATTGCTCTCGTATTGCTACCCACAGTATGCCAGAACCGCTTGATGGGGCACTACCAAATGGTGATATGACATTCGGTTTGGGTACGCTATGTTTGGACCGTTTCTTCGATTTTCGATGGAGATTGCGTCCGGTTGATGGAAAGGGTTCGAGATAGTTGAAGGTATCTCATTGATCACTTTGAATATGGTGTTCCGGTGTACTTTAGGGTAAGAGGGGATTAACAGCTGGACGAGCACCTAGGTAGGTCCTCGTAGTTTCTTCATCGAGTGCGTATTGCTAAATGCGGGTAGCCCGTGGCGCAAATAACCTGCACTGTGCAAGTAGGCTACTCTTCCGCTCTCCACGCCATCTGTAGAAGTGACGTGAACCCATGGCATGAGCACTAGACCAGACTTTGCACAGCATTGGTCGCCGAATTGAGTTAAACCCATGAACCCTGGGAATCCTTTTTCTTGCAGTGCGTCCGGCCATGTACCCTTAGAGAACACATTCTCCATCGAGATATAAAGTCGTTCTCTCCAACACTTCGCTCCTACAGAAGAACAATATATGCTGGCTCTTTCCCATCACCTTTGTCTGTCTGTGGCCGCTCTCCAAGAAAACCAGTGCATGCCGGGGCGCCATGTCCCTTCCACTCACCCTCTACTCTCACTCGCACCCTTCAAGGTTTGAACAGCCAGAATGCCATCGTCCCGGCTAGACCTACCAATGGTAATCCTCGATAATTTTCCAATACTACAACACTCTCCCAAGCTCCCGGTTGGCATGTGGGGTCTCGTAACCCAGAAAGAGACAGCTGGGAGACAAGAAATCCCCACAGTCACCGCTTCCCAAAACGTCCAAAACCGCTGCTCAGAGAAGCATAACCCATAACCAAAATAGCTGGACTACAGCGGGAAATCCACCTACGCAACTAATACGGCTTTCCGCCACTCCCGCAAAACCCTCTCCATCCGAAAAAGCGAGAAATGCGAGCCGAGCCGTGCCCGTATACCGTGTGCCAAGTGTACCCATTCCACAGCGACACGAGCTCTTCATCCGGGGTGGGTTAATGAATACGAGTCGCCCAGCACGAAGGGACAGCCGTTTAACGCGTACCCTAGGGTATACTACGCTTTAGTCGGTGAAGCCACGTCCCTATTTCGAGAATGTACTAGGCGTGTATACGTATACCTAGGTATATAAGAATGTCTATATAAGGAGATATCTATCTATATATATCTCCCACATACCCATCTACCCTTCTCCTCTCCCTCCCTCATCAACAAAACCCATCAACAACCCCAAATCCAACATCCATCTATCCCACACCCTACACCCACAAACGCCCACCATGCTTTCGAAACCATCAACGCTCGCACTCGCATTCCTCGCAACACTCGTCCCTTCCGCTGTGCTCGCAGCACCTGCACCAGCAGCAGCACCAACTGGTGAAGTAGTGGATGTTCCGCGAGATGTCTGTCTCGCCATCTGCTACTTTGACGAACCCGAGTGTGGAGCGCCTAGTGTATGTTTTTGGCTCTTTTCCCGGTCCACCGATACGAACACCACCCTACTACGGACAGTGCTGACTTAGCGATATAGTACGCGGTTAAGACGAACGAGTGCTGGACGTGCTGCACGCCGCAATGGGGACCGGTTGAGACGCGCGATGAGTAGGGGAGGGGGATGAGTGGAGTTGAGTTCGGCGCGGCGGACGCTGGGGTGGAAAGTGGTAAGGGAGAGAAAGGGAGAGGATATGATTGGATTGGGTTGGACTGGAAGGGAAACGGAAGGGGGGAGGTGAGAGAAGGAGCATCAAAAGGTTGCTGTGCTGGATAGTGGAAAAGTAGAGTAGGACAATCAGAGGGTGCTATGCTGGATAATAAAAAACTAACATCTGCTCAATATCCGAAGGATTTTTTGACATCGAAAAAACTATCCGCCCATGTAAAGCCCATGCTGTAGAATGGGGATGTGTTAAAGAAGATTTGAGGGTGATGGCGCTCTGACTTCACTGCTCGCTTCTCTTTGAATCTAATTATATATGATTAAGAACGAGTTTCCAATTCGGAGACGCCAACTCTCCTTTTTTGTCTGGCTAAGCTAACGTGTATAGTGGTTGTCGAAGTAGCATCTCATACCCCTGACTCATCAACTGGCCTGAAAGCATTGTACGGCCTTGTACTTCACCGTAACCGTACTCATCAACAGAAGGGGCGCGAATGTCACCATTCCCGACTATAGTCTTCATACACCTGTACAGTAAGCCTTGCAGAATACCCCTTCTCCCCCAGTAGTTAGCGTAACCCATCAGACTAGAGCATACCTGAGTAATTACGCCGCCTGAAAGCCAGTCGTGCTGGATTACTCTCCTATCTCTAACGTAAGCCACCACTGACATTCATGGGCCGTGGACTTGGACTGCGGCAGCGAACACCAGCTGGAGAAGTCTGAAGGGTCGCGTGGTTGGAAATACACCCGTAGGTCCAGCCACAGAGTCTGCCGCGGATATAGAGGTGAACGGAAGGTGAACTAATCCAATGCTGTGGGTGGAGGATTATATTGGCCCTGGAGCATTCGGTGTAGACATACATTCGTCGTTGGAATCCAGATAACACCGGAGCAGCTGATAAATCGGGGAATGGGACGGTGATGGTAGTAAAGTTCTGATGGGTTAGCCTTGGGAATTGAGAGCATATTACCAACACCGCGCGTCTACTCTAACAAAAGCTTTTCAAGTGGGTATCCATTTACATTCTTCCTTAACAACCTCAAGACTAATGCGACCAGATTGTTCTTGCAAAAGCAGATTCGCGTCTGGACCTCAGCAAACCGAACCTCTTATCAAGAGTGCACACAATACGCTCGCAAGGCTCGCTCTATACATAGTACCCATCCAAAATCGAAAACTAAAATCCGCTCCATGATACACCTAACGCCGCCGAAATGCTCATTTGCACATAAAACTCCAATCATACCATACCCCAACACCAACGCCACTGTCTCAATACTGCAACAGCTTTTGCCCACTTGCACCCTTGCCTACATCTATGCCCTCGATCTGTTTCGCGTAACTGCACCATCGGTCCTTGATGCTAACGACCTCATACGTCCCCTCTTCCTGGACAGGTATACTCATAAAGTGCTCGTGCGAGATCTCGGTCCGTATCTCCAGAACCTTGCTCTTCCGGCCCTTCTGCTCGTTGGTGCTTCTCGTGTAGGTGAATTCAAAGGGCGGCGTTCCCCAGAATTGAAACTCCAAATCTGCCCCACTGCCCTCGTGGATATCGACTTTCGTCACCTGACCGCCCGACAGCCGGACGGAAGGTATGGGATGAATGCGTTTGGTCAGGTCAAGGGTCGCGATACAGTCCGATGCCGAGTCCTTCAGACCCGTCAGTGTGAAGGTTCCGGGAAGCTCGGCAAGCCGGCGGAAGGTAGTCCCAGGATTTGACGCTTTACGCTCTTTGTCTTCGAAAGTATAGAACACGGTGAACGGCACCTGACCCCCAAGAGCGAAGGAAAGCCGCTCGCCAACGCAGAAGTCGGTGCGATCTTCGAGCGGCGTTGCCGTAGGCGCATCGTGCACGCTAATTTGGACGCGTGGGCCGCCGGGCGGTGGCTTATACGTACAGCCACGTGCGTCTCTGATTTTCCGAATTGAAATTGTTGAGTGGCCCAAACTGAGTTTGCGATGCTCAATCTTGAGGTTATATTTGTTCGTGTTGATCGATTTGTGAACGCTTACGTCCGGCTTTGGGGTGCCATAGTGCTTGATCTCCACTTCAAGGTAGAAGGGAGGCACACCCTCCAGAGTAATAGGGATGACCTCCTCTCCGTCAGCTTCGCGTGAGCAGAAACTGTAAGTCTTGCCAGGATGGTCGAAACGAGCGCTAGGTCGAGGGTTAACCGTCTGCAAGATGGTCACTGGTGTGAAATGTCTCGAAGAGTGATCGTATTTCCCGTCGGCAAGCTGTACGAACTTGTACTGGTAAGTGCCAGCTTGCGCAGTCTCAGCGCGGATGGATCCCGTTCCACCTGGAGCACGAATCTCTTTCCTCTTCAAAGCGGCTGCCTTGCCGCTCTTCTTGTCTCTAAACTGCTGTTCATACGCCAATTCGAATGGCGGAGAACCTGATCTTGGTCAGCTGATTCACAACGAGGTGGTTATAATCCATACCATTCAAAGTGATGTCGAATGAGTCTTCTTCGCCTTCGCAGACCTCTTCTCTGATGTACTGGCCGTCTTTGAGAACCATTGATGGAGATTCGGGAACCATGATGCGAGGGCGGGGAATCCACCCTACGGTGAATTGACCGGTCTTTTCGTCAACGAAGCCGGGACATACTCTATCACGCACTGAGAGCAGTTGGTAGGTCCCTGACGTGTCGATACGCAGCTTGGAATTGGCTTGGGCAATGTCCACCTTTTTGACCGCCTTAGTGTCCAAATTTTCATACTCGAGTCGCCATGGCCCACTACCAGTGAGACGTAGAGGAAGTTCGACGGCTTTTCCTTCAAGGGCCATGACGGCCTGTTTGCCGTCAATCTGGCCGAAGTAGGCTTTTGGCCGCTCATGCCGGACGTTGACCCTGCTCTCTGCCTTGAGAACTTCCTTGCAGCCCAATCGATCGGTGATACTGGCCAGAGACAGAATATATTCACCCCCATTCCGCAATTTGTCAGTCTTTATGGTGTAGTGCTCATCTTCAACCACGACGGACCTCTTCTGCCGTTTTCCATTGTGCACAAGTTCGTACTCGAGGGTGAACGGACCCTCACCGCGAAGGCCAACATCAAACTCTACGGTATCATCGATGCAGACTTGCTTGACACCGTCGGCTTCAATGAAGTGAGCAGAAGCCGACGGTTTGACATCTTGTACAAGCTTCAGGTTATGAAGAGGTCTTTCCTCGTAGACCCAGTCTCGTATCGATAGGAATGTATAGGTGTAGTGGCCGGCTTCCTTGGGAGTAAGTTCAAGTGTGCTGCGAAGAGTTTGAACCTCGATCTCCTCTGGACGCGAAGGCCTCTCCCCAGCTCGTTGCTGTTGATACTTGATATAGAAGGGCGGAGAGCCAATGAGGTCGAGGGAAACGCGCATTCCAATGGGGTTGCCAGCACACTTGTCCACAATGTCTTCTCTTGACAGGGACAATTCTGGTTCGGGGGGATTTTGGAGTAGGCAGGACGCAGGTTCGAGCACCTCACCCTGACAAAACTCCGTCGAAACAGATTTCAGAGTGTAGAGGCCGCTTGCGGCGATCACTGGCTGATCACGGTTGGTGCGCATAGTTTCCTTTTTGAGCATTGCGGATAAGCTATGACTTCCATCTGGCAGAAGATCCGCCTCGGGTGTGAAGAGGTACTCGATGATATGGGGCGCGTTGATGGCATGTTTTCCTGTCGAGCCATATTTCACAGGTAAACGAATGACCCTACCCTTTGCAATGCGAAGAGGGCTCTGCGCATTGCAATCGGTCAACACTACGTTTGGTCGCTCATGCACGGTGAAGCTGTGCATTGGTGCAGTCTTGTGCTTGGGCTTCTCCTCTTCATCGTGAGCTAGGAAACTGACATGATTGCCGAGCGCATCGGTGACCTCCTCTACGATGTAGGCCCACGAACCACTTTCTCCGAGAGTCTCGTTTAGGGAAACAGTAACCTTCTGTGGTTGCGCCCATGATACATCCTCGCGGGTAGCACGAATCAGGGCTTGGGAGGTGTGCTTCGATAGGGGCGAGTTATAGCTTTCGGGTGTGAGACCTTGCAGCTCAGCATCACGCGACCTACCGCCGATGCTGGTACGGTACTTGAGGCGCAGAGGTGGTACTCCCTCGAGTTCAAGAGCGACATCAGAGAGATCGTTGCGGCAACGGTTCTGCCCAGTCTGTCGTATCCGGGCGCGTGGGCATGCGACCACAACGGCACTCGACGGCCGTGGCCGCACCTCCAGATTGCTCTCATCAACAATCTTTTTCAAGAGGTAAACGCCAGTCTTCTTGATGTTGTAGTGAAGTTCCAATGGGCTTGTGGAGTCCTTGGGCTTCTGTGCCTTCCTGGCCTTTTTCATCATCGACTTGCATTCGCTTTTTGAGATGAGAATTGTCTCATTGTGATTGGTCTCGATATCGATACGGAGAAGTTCAATAGCAGTAGGATTCGTCTGGTTGACGATGATCGGTAGATCCAGGTGAGTGACGGAAGAGTTGAGACAGAAGGAATCCTTGTTTGGGTTCAATATAGCAGATCTGGCAACGTCAGCACCGACTGTACATTCGAATGGGTGACTTACCCTTCTGGCAGGATGTTTATGATTTGTTTCCCCAGGATTAAGGATTCGTTGAAAAGTATCGCACGAGGCTTCACGCTCCGTTCGCTGATTGCAAGCTCTCTGCTGTACAGGTACGCGCCCAGGGAATAGATCCAGGATTGAATGGGGATCTAAGGCAACTGTCAGTACAAGTTTCTGCCTGCCGAGTGAGCGTACATACGCCGACCTGAAACATCAACATTGCGTTTATGCCCATATGTAAGATGAACAGCAGGGCAGCGGTGATATTCCCCCATTCAACCCAAGGGATTTCGAATAGGGGCAGGCCGAAGACAAAAACCATGTCTATAAAGGACCATTTGAGGAATTCCCACGCCGACGTCTCCTCATCTAGGGTCAGGGTGTAGAAGTCGTACAGCTTCCACGCGAGCAGCAGACCGTACAATCCAACAGCATAGAACCTTTGCTGGGCGGGATCCATGACATGAGTTGGTATCAAAGGTCCTGAGCTGCTCTGGTCAGGTACCTTGGGCACCTGGGGCAGCGGAGAGCGCACATTTGGTCGAGTGGGCGTGAATGTCGCACCGGCACTGCGTGCGCCTGGCGAGCGGTTTGCCTGCGGCGTCGCGGGAAATCCGCCGGGCCCTCGTCGCGGAGTACCGTCCATGGCGCGGAAGGGTCAAGTTGGCATCGTCCGGCGGAATGGGGGGTGTATGTGCAGCAGAGGTTTGCTTGTTGTAGAGCAGTTGTTGTTTTCTTGTTGATCAAACCAAAAGGTTCCTGGCGCGTCGTCGTTTGTGGTCATAGCGTCCTGAGGAGCTTGGGCCATCTATCATTCTCAACGCTGTCCAAACCAATTCTTGACCTCAACACTTCACCCTTCTACTTTTTACTCTTCACCTTTACCAGCTCGTTTGTTTCATCGCACAAGTTCAACAATTCACTTGGGGTTCAATTGTTCCGCCCCGTACAATACGCTCACTAGCGGCGCAGCGGGCGCCATAAAAGCCGCCCGCTGCCACCATGCTATCCTTCCAATTAACCTCCCTTGATTTGCTTTCTGAATACCTTCAATCTTGAAAGTTTTTTCCACTGGCTATTGGTTCTCGCCAATTATCGGAATTTCTGATTGAATCATTCTGTTCCAAGTTTCATCAAACCATGGCGGAAGGTCTAACGGCTTCCACACTGGCGGAGGCTTCCTCCGAGCCAGGCTTAAAGGCTCAGCAACCTGCTACCAACGCCAACGCTGTTGGCGAGAAGGATGGTTCCAACAGCCTTACTGCCTCCGAAACTGCCCATGGTGGAGAGCAGACGGACTCCAAGACTAGTAAAGAACTGAAGGCCAGTGCATCCAGCTTGAAGGCTTACCCGTCAATCGAAGTGACGGATGGTGAAAACCAAGGATCGAATGAGAGCCTGAAGAAGCGAACTGTTCCCGATGAGAATGTTGGGAAATCTCTATCTAGCAAGAGGGCCAAGGATGAGCCGAAGACACCCGTGAAGCCAGGAACACCCATCTCGCCACGCTTTCCCAGTCCGCCCGAGGAGCGAGCATCTGATCATGACAAAGAAAAGTGGGAGGGATGGTGCGAGATTGAATCTGACCCCGCCTACATGTCTGCCATGATCCGCATGATGGGCGTCAAGGGAGTCAGCGTGCGCCAAGTCTTCCTTATCGATGCCGACGAGATGAAGGCTCTACCCCATCCGATCTATGGCCTCATCTTTCTGTTCCGTTACCGAGATTCCGAGGACGCTGAACAGCAAGAAAAGACATGTCCTGACAACGTCTGGTTCGCCAACCAAATGCCTGCCCAGAACAGCTGTGCGACCCTCGCCATCATGAACATCCTGATGAATGCTCACGGAGTTGAGCTCGGGGAGAATCTTCAACAGTTCAAGGAATTCTCGAGCGAGCTTAGTCCATATCTGCGCGGTGAAGCATTCGCCAGCTTCCGCTTTGTAAAGCGCATCCACAACTCGTTTGCAAAGAAAATGGACATGCTCGAGGACGACAAGAATCTGGCTCACAAGGTGGAGAAAAATAAGTCCAGTGGCAGACGCAAGTCCCATGACTCCAATGCATCCGAGGGTAGCGGGTTCAGCGAGGAGAACGCCCATCATTTCATCGCCTTTCTCCCCATTGATGGTCAAGTTTGGAAGCTGGACGGCATGGATTATCAACCCACCAACCTAGGCCCCTACGACATTACCAATCCGGACTCTTGGTTGGAGATTGCTTCGACCCGCATGATGGCGCTCATGGCAGCTGCGGGCGATCAGGACTATAGCGTCTTGTCTGTAGTCCAATCGCCAGTCGTCGGGTTGCGATCCACACTTCTCGGGAACTTCGCCTCTGTCAAGTCCATTGAGACTCGACTCGACAGTACGAACGAAGATTGGCGCTCCTTTCTGGTCTCGGATGGAACCGACCCAATGTCCGTGCCGATTACACCTAGTTGGCTCGATTCATTGGGTATAACCCAGGAGCAGCTGTCCACGATGGAACTGTCGCCTACCGCCAAGGGGAAGCTAGACCACCCACAGATGGAGATGCTGATTGCGCGCCGCGAGCGCCTAGTGAAGGATCAGGAGAGGCTTGCACAGAGGATCATGGAGGAAATGGAGGTGGAGGCGGCGGAGGATGAGAATGCTAACGAGCGCCAATGGGATTACGGTCCTGTGATACAGAAGTGGCTGGAGATGCTGGCCAACAACGGCTACCTCCAAGAGAACCTCGAGAGGTTCATGAAGAAGTGAGGGTCCAATATCTCGGCATGGCCGGCTTTGGTCATCTTGATACTCAGTTCGCGGATGCTTGGCGGCGATGATTGGTACCATACTCTGGCAAATCGAAAATCCCCGTGGGAGCAATATGTACTATAATAAAGAGATACAGAATGAACTCAAATGCTAACTTGTGTAAAATTTCCGTCCATCTTCCCCTTGCAACCATTGTGTGACGGAAGCCTCGCTCGGCTGGACTTGGCAGGGCCTCAACCTCAACTCGTCCGTGCCGTATTCGGATATTTGCCTCTGCCGACAGAGGCGCTCTCTCGAAAAACCGTCTCAGCAATGCAGCGCTCTTCGCGCTTCCTCAGACGTCTGTCGACACTCATTTGATACCCTCGAATTCGAATATCCACTACCATGGCGCTGATAAAGCGCTACGGCGCTTATGCGGCCATCGCGGCCATTCTCCTCTATATGTTTTATTCCTTGAGCTTCCCCTACGATGCATCACAGTCATTCCAGTCGGGAGATGCTCCTCGCCGGCCAGAGCATTCCAAGCCACAGGAAAACCAACAGCAAGATAGTCGTCCCCAGCAGCAAAATCCTCCTCCCCAGCCGCCTCCACCCCCCAAAGAACCTCCACCTCCACCTCCACCCCCACCGAAGCGATACGACTGGTCCCAGGTCCCGCTTCTCAATCCCGTCGACAAGCCGACCCCCTTACCAAAAGGCGAACCCCATCCTCACCCAAGGATCCAGCACGAGTTCCCCGAGGAAGACGCAAACGCGAAGCAGATACGCGAATCGAGACGGGAGGAAGTCCGTAAGACTTTTTTCCGCAGCTGGAAGCATTACCGCGCCAAGGCATGGATGCACGACGAGCTGAAGCCCATCTCCGGCGGGTCGAAAGATACGTTTGGCGGGTGGGCGGCGACGTTGATCGACGCCCTGGATACGTTGTGGATCATGGGGTTCAAGGACGAGTTTGCATCTGCGATGAAGGACGTGGAGAGGATTGATTTCGGAAAGGTGACCGTCGATGAGGTCAACGTGTTTGAGACGACGATCAGACATCTTGGAGGGCTGATGTCGGCTTACGAGCTCAGCAAGGAGGAAGTGCTGCTCAAGAAGGCGAAAGAGCTGGGTGAGATGCTGTATCATGCCTTCGACACGCCGAACCATATGCCCAAGGTCCGATGGAAGCCGCACAAGAAGGCGGCCGCCGAGCGCCAGGTCGCCGACTCGGAAGTCCTGGTTGCGGAAATCGGCTCGCTGTCCCTGGAATTCACGCGGCTTGCTCAGCTCACGGGGGACGACAAGTACTACGATGCCATTGCCCGCGTCACCCAGGTTTTCGTGCAGTCGCAAGATAACACAAAACTACCAGGCATGTGGCCCGTCATAGTCAACGCGCGGAAGCGGCACTTCACAGACGATAACGCATTCACCCTGGGCGCCATGTCCGACTCCACCTACGAGTACCTGGTCAAGGAGCACCTCCTGCTCGGCGGCCTCGAACCCGCATACCAGCAAATGTACGAAAAAGCAGCCAAAACGGCCATCGAGCGCACCCTCTTCAAACCCATGACACCCGAAACCACAGACCTGCTCATACCGGGCTTCGTCCGCGTCGAACACGACACCACGAACCTGGATCCGCAGCTCCAACACCTCGTCTGCTTCGCCGGCGGCATGTTCGCCCTCGGCGGCAAAGTCTTCCAGAAACAGGACCACGTCGACATCGGCCGCAAGATCACCGACGCGTGCGTCTGGGCATACGCGGCGTCGCCCGCGGGCATCATGCCCGAGATCTCGCACCTGCACGCGTGCGCAAACACGAAAGATACCTGCCCCTGGGACGAGCAAGCGTGGCACAAGGACGTCGCCGAGCGCGCAAAGCACAGCAGCGGCGGCACCGAGAAGGATCCCCAGCAGAACATAGCCAATCTGCGCCTCCCCAAGGGCTTCACCGCCATCGACGACAGGAAGTACATCCTCCGCCCGGAAGCCATCGAGAGCGTCTTCGTCCTGTACCGCATCACGGGCGAGCAGCAGTGGCAGGCCGCGGCGTGGAACATGTTCGTCGCCATCGAGGAGCATACGCGCACCGAGTTTGGGAATGCGGCGCTCGCGGACGTCAGCGCCGAGCATCCGCCCAAGGTGGATAGTTGCGAGAGTTTCTGGCTGGCGGAGACGCTCAAGTATTTTTATCTCGTGTTTAGCGAGCCGGATGTTTTGAGTCTGGATGAGTGGGTGTTTAATACTGAGGCGCATCCGTTTCCGATTCCGCAGCCGAAAGGTGGTAAGCAGGAGGAGAAGCAGGAGGAGAAGCAGGAGGAGGAGAAGAAGGAGAAGGAGAAGTCTGGGGAACAAATGTAGGAAGCCGAGTATAGCAACCCAGAGCTGAAGCCACGGGCGTGTGATTGAAGTCACGCGAAGAGGGGAAGAATGGAAGATGCGCCGATGGCCGTTGATTCCGACGCTGTGGTTCAGGAGAGGCTCGGAGGCTCACAACAGGGCCGGCAGAACGCCGCGGGCCACGGGGCTTCTGCGGTGGAAGGGATCGAGCCATGCGAGGTGTGAGGAGGAGTAGGTGACTGGCGTGGCGGCGCATCGCGGGCCCAAGTTTGCGGGTCGCGCTGGAAGCGATGAAGCGATGAAGAGACTATGTAGAAGGCCACGCAGCCGGTCTGCAAGACCAAACGCAAAAGAACATAGGGACCTCTAGTCTTAGTTCTGATATGTTGTCAAGCAGAGGGAGGAATGCGCGCGGGAATATATGTCCTGTTTGGACATCGGTTGGATTGAGACACATGGTTCGATGCTCGCCTTAGGAGACAAACTTAGTCTCCTCCACCTCTCTATCATTACGTAGAGCTGCTAGCTTGCGCAAGTGGAAACTTTTTAAGGAGGTACCCTTGATTTTCTTTCGGAAAATCATACGTCTGAAAATACAAACATGAATACCTAGGTATATGAGAAGATGCCATGTGCTATAAATGCCCAAGTTGGTACCACGACGTTTTCCAAGTCATAATTAGCCAGATGAGATCGTTGCTCGTTCCTCGTGATGGCTTTTCTTTTCTCCAATCAGGGCGAGTGAGTGTTCATAACTCATGCTTCTTTCCTGGGGCAACGCTCACACAAGCACGAATTCCCTCATTGATCCCACTTCCCTCACACCAACTCGATACCCTCCGTAAACGACGCCCCACTCAACACAAACCGGACGTAAACAAGGATACTCAGAACCACCCCGTCCGAAGCCAAACGGCAGCCAAAGAACGGAGTAAACAATCGACCCATCAGCCGGCCACCAGCGGAGCAAAGAATGAATGGATGACTCAGTCATCCGGATACTCGTCACGGACATTACTCACAAAGATGTTGTTATGGCGATCCCAGCGCTTGAAGTAGCGGCCTGCGAGCGTGAGCATGGCGGCCGAGGGCTCCGTGCCGGGTTCGACGGGTTCGATGTTTTCTTCGGCGACGTAGCGAACGGTTTTGTCGTCGACGCTGGAAAGAGGGTTGTTGTCAGTATGGTGAGGAAGGGAGAGAGGGATGAACAGGAAAGATGGAGCGAAGGAAGGCGAACGCATCAGCACGAGGCAAAACTTACAGCACATGATAGAAGGACTGGTTCCTCCCGCCCTGCAACCGATCCACTCCCATGTGTTGGATCCAGTCCTCGCCCGCATTGCACGCCGGATCCCAGCCGGTAACGACGCCTTCGTAGTCGTACCGTTTATGTCTGAATAGCTGACCAACCTTGAACAACACCTTGTCGTTCTGGGGAGGCCGACGGTTGACTTCTTTGCGCACGCTATCGAGCTTTCGCATCGACTGCGTGAAGATCTTCAACCGATTTTGGTCGGGCGGGTCAGGAAATAGGGGTATCGCGTGTTCCTCCAGAAGTGTTATGTCCCAGGGGAAGTGCAGCTGGAAGCACTCGAGAAGGTATGGTAGATATTGGCGGCGTCTAGTTTCAACGTCATGGCTGCTTTCTGGCATATTACCGGCTACATCTCCACCCGCGCCGCTAACGAGGGTAATTGCCCAGATGGCGCCGTAGAAGGCGCCGTCCACGTCGGGTTCCGGGGAGTGCCAGGACTGGGCGTGGACACCAAATTGATAAGGTCCACGATTTTGACGGACAGACTGCACTGAGGCCGTGATGTTGCGCGCGGTGCGGATCACCAACTCGCTCGTCGTTGATGGCGAGAGATAATACGCATGCTGCGAAGCTGGAACAGCCAGCCCTTTCAGCTTGCGAATCAAGTCGGCCTTGAATACTTCATCGCCGCCTCGGAAGGGATCCACATACATGGTGTCCAGCTCATCGGACTGCGAAGGTTTGTACTCGCCGTCAAGCGTATAGCTTTTTGGAGCAGACACCCAACAAATTACGTGGAATATGAATCCGCATGGGCGAGCATTCAGACCGACCCGGGACGCAATCGCGCAGTAGATGGCCACACTGATCAGAGGTAAAGATTCGTGCTTTGGGAGGCGCATTGCCAGGCCGATGAAGGAGTTTCGCAGCGCACGGTAGGACTCATCGCTTACTCCCCGGAAGCCTTGATCATGCAGGAACTGTCCCAGCGTTGACGCCTTTGCCCTTGTGCTCATATCCGGAAACGCAGGATACTTCCGCAACAGCCGTCGGGCCAGGTCATCCAACTCTGCAGAGGTCCTATTTAGATCCACATCCCGGCCAACTAGGGCAAACATGTCGAAGGCACTCAGCGCCCGTTCCAGCGGTACATCCTTTCCGCCGCTTAGGTCCTTCCATACCTTGATGGCCAGCTCGCGCTGAATGCGCCCCAATATGGCGTGTGCATAGTACCGCCTTGCTAGGACATCCTCGCAGTCATCCGGACAATCGAACTCTTCCAGTAACGTATCCTTAGCATCGTATCCATAGCCGGCCGCTTCAACGATATGCTGGACGCGTCGATACTGCAACTGGAGCACGTTGTTCAAGAGCCTCCGCGTTTCCTGCCGAACATGGATTCTGTAGTGGAAGAGGGCGCGCCAGCCAGCCTTGGAAAGCGGTTCGGAGGATTTGGCGGTGATGTCATGACGTGGATCCCAGAATTGAAAGGTGGTGAGGCAGAGGTTCCGCCAGACAACATGGGCGTCGGCGACGAAGTCTTGCAGGAACTTGGAGGTCAGTGAGAGGGCGGAGAGAGACGGGGCATCCAGATGGAGCAAGACGGATTCGAGGACTTCGGCGGGTAACTCAGGAAGCGTACGGTTCGGAGGCATGATCGGCGAGAGGTGGTCGACAGAGGATACGCTGGAGGGCGGCGGGAAAGAAGCAATGCTGTGGATAGAGGTGATAATATTCAATTATACGTAGGCTGTTGTGCACTCAGACGAGTGGCTCGCTTCAAAGTATTGTAGCTGGTGTTCCGGAACTAATCCAGGCGTGGGGTCTCATTGCTGAGCGGGGTTTGTTCTGTGGCGGCATGTGTTTTCTGTATACAAGTAGCCGTAGACTACCTGTGGGTGTGGGCGAGATGGATGACCTCAGAATTGGTAAGCTAAGCCCGATCTAGGCGCCCTCGGCTATCTATCAATCGATAAGGTACCGCGCTTTCGATAACACACCTCGACCTCTTCTCATCGACGACTTTGGAGGTTCCAAGGTTGTAGCTGGCGTCCTGTGCAAGCAGGACCGTCTCGGATGACAATAAGCAGCATGGAAACTGCGGAGATAGCATATGCGATTCATCGGATGCGTCTTTGGGCGCCGTCCGTGTACATTCCGGCATGCCGCACGAATAAAAACGGGGATGCGCGCGCCCGATGCTATTTATTAGCTTGAGGCTTAAACTCTTACTCCTTCACGTCACTCGCGCGTTTTTCTTTTCTGCTTACCTACCTACCTCTTCCCTCCTTTCCCTGCTGTACTACATTCATTTCATCTTGTCCTACTAGGTATCCCTCCCAGCGGATACCTCCTCCATGGCCGACCTTTCACGCGTCGAGTCAATTCAGTACCCTGCCGCCCACTATGGCCATCTGACGGAGAACCAGCAGCAGCAGCTGGACGCCTTCAAACTGCTGTGCCAGGAACAAGGCTACTATACCCCTGCGGACCTTGCAAAGGACATTGAAGCCAGCCATGACGACGAGACGATGCTGTACGTTGGTTGTGTAGCCCTCTTTTGCGTGTGCCGATGCTAATAGCTGTCTCGACTCACAGGCGTTTCCTTCGCGCGAGGCGTTTCGTACCGCAAGACGCCTTCAAACAATTCAAGGACACCGAGGACTGGCGGAAAGAACATGATTTAGGCAACCTGTACAAGACTATTGATATTGAAGAGTACGAGCAGACACGGCGCTTGGTACGCAGCACACGTCTCCGCCGCACCCAGCCTTCCATCTGACAAGCTGCGAACAGTACCCCCAATGGTTAGGACGACGCGACAAGCGCGGAATTCCCGTCTATGTCTTCGAAGTTGCACCACTCAATTCCAAGAACATTGCTGGCTACGAGAAGCAATTAGCAAACTCGACCTCCACCTCCACCAAAGTAGCCACCAAGCACCTCCGCTTATTCGCATTGTACGAATCCTTGATCGGCTTTGTGCAACCGCTGTGCTCTGCCGTGGCCCGGAGACACCCCGAAACCCCCATCTCCCAAAGTAACAACATTGTCGACATCAGCGGTGTGGGGCTGAAGCAATTCTGGAATCTAAAGGGGCATATGCAGGACGCATCGCAGTTGGCGACGGCACATTATCCAGAAACACTGGATAGGATATTTGTATGCTGAACGACGGACTGTACCGGAATATAGAAGTCTAACATGCGCTAGATCATTGGCGCACCCGCCTTCTTCCCCACTGTCTGGGGTTGGATAAAACGTTGGTTCGATCCCATCACCGTATCCAAGATCTTCATCCTCTCCTCGGCCGACGTCTTCCCCACCCTTTCCCAATACATAGACCCCGAGAACATCCCAAAGAAATATGGAGGACAACTCGACTTCAAATGGGGAGACCTGCCGCACCTCGAGCCGGCGATTGAATCTTCGATCGAATGGATCAACCCCAATATCCAAGAAGGCAGAAAAACCTTCCCGATTGGACCCATCACATGGGAGAAGCACGCCGACGGAAGCCTAACAGCCATTGCCATTGGAACCGAGAAAGGTCAACCAAGACATCGACCCATCTTCAGGATTCCACATCCAGTCAACGCGAATATCAGGGCTGGCCAACCGATAGAAAACACGCCCGTCGACGAAGCCGAGCTTCGACTCACGACCGTTGGGACGGCGACCCAACCGCCGGACACTGACATAGATGCCGCGAGTTTGGAGCCGCCTCCATCGGACACCGACACCCCTGAGAGCAACTCTATCCCGGCGCCCTCGACTACGGATTCGCGGAGCCTTCCCGTGCGCGAAGGTACGTCGGAGACTCGCTACGCGCAGCAGGACCGGACGCATGCTGCCGGCCAGCTTGCAGACGGTACTCCCGATGCGGCCGTCAAGGACCACGGCCACGGAGATAAGACGGTCACCATGGAGCCTTCGACTGTGGGGCAGGCACCGAAGGATGTATCCATCAAGACCGAGGGATCGCCCGCACCGGGAATCATAGACCAGGCCAAGCAGGTCGCCGCGCAGGCATCTGCGGCCGTCGCGTCGGCTGCCAGCACCGTCGCAGGGGGTGTGAGCGGATCGGCTGCCCAGGAAAAGGTGGTTGAGAAGAGCGCAGAGGAGAAGAATCTGGAGGCCGAGGTCGATGCGAAGGCGGATCCGGTCATTGAGGAGTATCTGAGGGAGAAGACGAAGGTGGATGCTTGAGAGGGGGATGGTTGTGTAAGAATGAGGGGCGAAGGGGGGCCAATGTGTTGGATATATCGCATACATATACGAAGCGCGTTGGAAATGTCTGGATTCTGTAGGAAGGGTTTACTTGGTGAACGAATCTCCTCCTAACTACCTACCTACCTATTTATAAATAGATGGATAGATCTCCGACGGCCCTCGTGTGTGACACATATGTCGGAACTTACTACATGGCCTTTTCACCGCAATCCCCTCGTGCTTCGTACAACATATCCACGCGCTGCCATTCTGGTACGCGTGCAGTGTGTACGTACCCTGTACGACAGATAGATCCACGAGTCTCGCTACCGATGTTCCAACACCCGGGGTACGCACTTGAGTTGTTGAGAGAAATAGAAGGAAGTAGGAAGCAGGGAGCAGCAGCAAGACGTCGAGAAACGCGAGCGAGATATGTAGATTAGAGGAGATTGGGTCGTGCGTGCAGTGGAAATAGGAAGGGGTTACCTATGTACGGCGTGTATGGGGTTTGGGTCTAGATGTTTGGAGGGGACACAGAGCACGCGCACGATAGATAACATCAACCACGAGAAACACGGACACGATTCAACACCAGCACCCGCAACTGCGAGCGACTAGAATATTACATAGCATAGTTATTCAACCCACACACTTCGCCAGCACCACAATCAATGCAGCGCCACGAAAGATGCGTTAGTTAGGGGGATATATAAATATATTACGACTCCATAACCCCATCCCTTCATACCTCATACCACATTACCACCGCACCACACCTCCACTGGCCGGAGCACTCCTCACTCGACAGAGCGCATCTATGCAGTAGTCGTGGTGGTGGTGGTCTCCTTCTTGCCCGCGCTCTCAAGCTCAATCGGCACCTCGATGTGCTTGTCCGCGAGGTTCATCTCGGCGGCGAAGGTCGAGTGCGGCTTCCACTTGCGCGAGGTGCGCGGCGTCGTCTCCTCCAACATCTTGTCGACCTGTTCGAGGGTGAGGCCCTTGGTCTCAGGGACGAAGACTGTAGTTGAGTTAGCATCGGCCGGTCATGGTATTCCAGTCATAGCTAGAGGGAAGGAAAGGGGGACTCACAGTAGGCGAAGAGGAAGGAGATGCAGCAGAGACCGCCCCACATGAAGAAGACGTTGGAGCCCAGGCGGGCCGAGTGCGGCTGGTCGGCAACGAGGTAGGGCGTGATGACGCCGATGATGCAGTTCCAGAACCAGTTGGAGGCGGTGGACAGGCCGACGCCGCGCGAGCGGATGGTCAGGGGGAAGATCTCGCCGATGACGATCCACGCGGCGGGGCCCCAGGTGGTGGCGAAGGAGGCGATGTTGAGGCAGATGAAGGCGATCATGGCCTTGGTCGCGTGCGGGTTGGCCGGGTGGTCGGGCGTGTCCTTGCCGGCCGTGGCGCCGATGATGGCGACGATGAACTGCATGATGACCATGGCGGCGGCGCCCCAGATGAGGATGGTGCGGCGGCCAATCTTCTCGACCATGACGAAGGAGAAGGGCGTCGTCAGCACGTTTACGAGCGTCGTGACGAGCGAAATGAGGAAGGGGTTCGAGATGGTGCCGAGCTGCTGGAAGAAGACGGTGCCGAAGTAGAAGATGAAGTTGATGCCCGTGAGCTGCTGCATCATCTGCATGAAGATGCCCAGCACGGTGCGGCGCACGTTGGACGAGGGGCTGGTGATCTTGCCCTCGAAGCAGGCCATCCACGAGCCGAGATAGCTCGTCTGCGGGATGATGGACATCTCATACTCGTGGTTGGCAATGATCTCGGCCAGTTCGTCCTGGATGTAGTCCGAGTCGACGGGCTGACCACGGACGCGTGCCAGCGCCTGGGCGGCCTTGTCGAGCTTGCCCTTCTTGACCCAGAAACGAGGAGATTCGGGGAGCAGAGCAAGACCGATACCGAGGATAAGCGCCCAGAGGAACTGGATGCAGATGGGGATGCGGTAGGAGCCACTGTCGCGGCGGTTCTGGGTGGAATAGACGACGCAGTTGGCGAGCAGAATACCAATGGTGATGCAGAATTGGTAACCGGCAACAACGGCGCCACGGACTTTGCGTGGTGCGATCTCGGACATGTACCTGGACTGTCTTAGTCTTGAAGGTCGGGATATGTCTCGGAAGAGCAACTTACAAGATGACAATGGCGGAGATGAAGCCGACACCGAAACCAGCAATCAGACGACCAGCCACCATGACACCGAGACCGGTAGAAGCAGCCTGGAGAATGCCACCGACGCAGAAGATCATGCATCCGAGAATGATAGTCACACGGCGACCAATGAAGTCGGCGACATCACCAGCGATGATGGATCCAAAGAAAGTACCAGCGGAAAGGATGGAAGTCACCAAGGATTGTTGCCACTGGGGAACCACAAAGTGTTCCTTGCGGTAGTCCTTGATCTGTTGGGAGTCGGCGGGCAGGCCAGGAAACTTGACGTCGGGGTACTCATTGCCGGTGTACATCTTCTTGAAGTAGTCCATACCAAGGACACCGCCCATCCAACCCGTATCATAGCCGAAGAAGATGCCACCAAAGGCGGCAAAGGCGACGATGAGGTAGGCCCTCACGGTCACGGGAGCCTCGACGCGGTTCACGTCGGTGGTGCCCGTGACGGGAAGAGCTCCTCCACCAGGCATGGTTGCGGATGGAAGAGAGGTGCTGTATGGGAAGTAAGAAGCAGCTCTTGGAGCACCAAAAAGATGGCTCGCAGAGGAGTCCCAACAAGAGGAGGCGGAGAAAGCTGGGGGATTGTCGAGGCGATCCCCAACAGCGGAGGGGAGCTCCAGCTTTTAATATGGAAGGTCAGAGTGATACCCCGGCCTGTGATACAGCATCATCTCGGTGGCTTGATGCCCATGGGGAGAGTAACATTGAGCCTTTTCAGCCTAAGCCGCATGTGGGCGCAGCTCCGTGCCCAGCTCTTCTGGAAGGATTCAAACTCCTCGTCTGATGGGCGGATTGAGACAGGGCCTTTCCCCAGACGTTCCCCAGACACTGGTGGACGGTCGAGGTTGACCTGGGACGTGGGAGCGCATATGTTGAACATGCTGGATCTCTCATTCACTACGCGTTCAGTGTCCCCTTTCTCTGCTGCTTGGTGTCCAAGTCAGTAATCTGGAGGCGATTTCCCAACGTCGGGGGGCGGCACAAAACAAGGCTGCACCGGGCACGGGCACGGCTGGGCCTGCTCTCTGTTGTCCGAAGAGGAGCCATCTGGTGGTCTGAGGGTAACAGTGGAGTAAACGGGGGAGGGACATGGAGGGGAGTGAAACTGGGGAGCCAAGACTGGGCAAGCCTATCCGGGGTGGCCAAGGGGATAGATCACCACTGACCACTGACCACCACACTGACCAGCAGCTATCGACGGCGGTTGGCGACGTGCAGATTTTTCTCAAGCCCTATCCCCTGCTGCTCCGAGGTCCGCAATCTTGTTGGACCAGTTGAGGAATAAGATTACAACTCGCCGGGACTAGCGCTTATTGGTTGGGTAGAAGCTTCGAGGGAGGGAATGAAATGGGGGAAGCGATCCTCATGGTGTTGAAGTTGGCAGCAAAATCGCACCGAGCACACCAAGATGACGGGTACGCATGACCGCGGCGCCCTCACTATCGTGCGCCAGAGCGGCTGCCGTCGGGCTTGTTGGAGTGTTGCGCATTTCAGTACCGAGTAGGTCCTTCAGGCGGGACTTTGTCGTTGGTTCTCGCTGTTGGGAGCAACATCAGTCTCTCGTGAGCGACAACCTACATAGGAAATTCTCTAAACGCATTCTGAACTACTCCGTAATTTCCTACACTCTCCTCTCACTAGACGTGCTCGGTTGCGTATGCTATGCGAATCCGAATCAAGCTCGCGCTGTTCATCAACCTGAGAGATATTCGCGCGGCCCTTCCCACACCCAGCAGCTGCACCGCCATCTCGCAGGATCATGGGTGCGTGTCGAGGGGGTACAGAGCACGCGGCGGTTTTGAAAGGTTGTCAATAAAAGAGCGACCACTGATTGGACCAGCACTCCAGCTGCCAGGCGGCTGGGATCATCCTCACCAGCCAACATTTGAACTCAGGGCCCAGCCCCTTGTCCCAGATGCCCTTCTCATCCTCCACATTTCGTCTGATCCAGAGGGACAGCTCCGGCACCGCTGTGTCGCGTTACACCAACCTACGGAGTCCACGCGAGGGTGCGACACACTCGGTCGTTTCCATGTCCTCGATCGGAACTTCATCAACCAGGCGGTGAAATTGATGATGGCACCTAGTCATGGCCACGGCGACGGAGGTTCTCATAAGCACTACCGAGTAGGCTAGTGAGAGCTTTTTTTTCCTCTCCTGTAGCCACAACGGTGCGGCACATTTTTGTTAAATTCGACGGCCGTCGATGGTCTGGAGAAACCCTGCCACTGCATCGGGGCGTCAGCCAGAATTCGGCCCGTTGTCACATGTCTCCAAGGTTTCTCTCCACAGAGCTCGGAGCTGCTTTCTCATTTGATGTTGGCTCCAAAAGCCACACTCGGTGTTTCCGTAACGCGACGCTGCAACCGTTCAACTTGGGGCTGATGGCCTCGCGGAGGTGACGCGGAGGCCCTGCTGCTTCCGAGCTGCAATAATAATAATGTACGGAGTAGTCTCTCGATGACGGCCACTTTTGAGACAGAAACCGCGGCCTACACGAGTTCACACCATCGTCGCCTCAGGTCGAATGTCCAGTTGCTGACGCTGTTGGGCTTCTGTTGTCCTCCCCGTCCCTACTGCTGCCCAGTTCCACCGAACATGGCCTGGACGCTTCTCGAGCTCTCGAGCTCTCAGCTTCGTCCCCTCAACGAACGCCCCACTCCCCAACAAACATCTCCGATGTTCTCCATGGGGGAATCGATTCAGAGCTCGACTCCGCTGGCCTCCCAAGATCCATCATCACGTCGGGACACGCCTGGGCAAGACCAAAAAAAATTCTAGAATATCTCCGATTTGAGTGGGTCTTCTTTTCGCACGACTCAGGCTTTTGTGCCTGGCGCCAACGCGGTCGACTAAAAAATGTTCCTTCTTGGTGATGGCGCCATGGAAGAGGCCACCCGAGATCGTGCCGTTGCGTACGGAGTCGAGTCTGCTGCGATGGCTTGGTGTTGATGTTGCATTCGGCGGCGCCATTGGTGTCTAGAGCACGTTTGCCAAGTCCCCTGATCTCGCGTTAGGGTACTAAAAGTGAGCTAACGCAAGACCATAGTTTCTAGGTTGGTGCCGAAAAAGGAGCAACGCACTAGGGAAAGAAGGCGTTGTCGGAGGTATTTGGCAAGGAAAACTTTATCGCGAGAGCGTCGTGCGTTGCGTCGATGAGCTCAGGGGACCGCATAGAACCTTTTCGAATTCGGGTATCGACTTTGCGAGATCGGACATTGTATCTACATATAGATCGATCGAACAGTGATAATAAGATGGGGGAGACTGTACTCAAGACGTGAAATGGCACTGAGCGGACAGAGGAATCACACGAGGCCCGTCTTTATTCCCAGGCCCACAGCATATTACATAGAAAACATTAGGTAGCGTACATAGTAAGTACACTGATCATATCATCCCAATCCTTAATCCATTCATTCACTTTTCACCCATACCTCGCCGCCTCCCCCTTCTCCTGGCCAAGCACTGCCGGTGGAGGCATCACCGGCGCGGGGCCCCAGCTTTGCTGATGCATGTGTGGATTCTGAAGCAACGGCTGCTGCATGGAGCCCTGGTTCTGCGCCGGCACAACCGCACCACTCCTGATCATCTTCATGACGATATCCGACGCCAGCTTCTCCGCATCCTTGTGGACCTTGCGCCGGTTCCTGCGGTGCGTATCCACGCACGCCCAGATGAAGAGCGCGAGATGCAGCGCCAGATTGATGAATTGACACGCCACGCCGACTTTCTCAACGGCCTCGCGATGCGCTTTTGCAAGGTAGAGTTGGTTGATGAAAGCGTCTTGTTCGGCGCAGTTCTCGAACGCAGAGTATCGCCCGTCGCACTCCCTGTTCCTGCCATAGTACGAGTCGTACTGGTCCTGAACCCACACCCACGTCCCGTTCGGCGCTTGTTTGTAATCACCACCAAGACCATATGTCTCAATGTAACCGTACGAGCCCCACCGCACGAGGTCGAGGAGATCGTAAAGCGCAAGCATGGCGGTCGGGATGTACGAGAGCCACAGCACGAGGTCGATGCCGACCGCGGCGCCGGGATGGACAGGTTTGTTCGGACGGCGGAGGAGCAAGACGAGGATGCAGGTGGTGCACCAGACGGCAGAGACAGTGAACGTCACGAGCGTCCAGACGCCGTAGGAGTCGTCGTATCCGATCATGGGCCGATCCAAGTCGTACCGTGGTCTCGTTGCGAATACCCACGCCATGCAGCCAATTCCAATCACGGCCAAGAGAACCGCCAGCGCCCTTAGACCCAGTTTCCATACCCATAGCTCTTCTGCGGCGTCGAGTCGTCGTATCAATCCAGGTGTCGCGGGTTGCGCGCCATTGTTCGGAATGGGAGCTTCGTCGAGGGGGGCGTGCGGTGCGCCTTCAGGTACGCGATCCGTCATATCGGGTTGATTAAGGTAAGTGTCGCTTTCAGGAAAACGAGTGGATGCGCAAAATATTGCGCTTATGAAAAAAACCTGAAAAGACGCAGGAAGAAAGGGGAGAGAGCGCGACAGATGTATAGAACCTGGGGATGCGGGCGAAGTAGTCGAGTGTTGGAAGGATTCATTAGCCTGCACTCTTGAACGGGTCTAGCGTTCAGGCATCCTTCAACTTCAATTTGCATCTCGACCCCAACCGAGGTGAAACGTGAACTCGCATAACTTTAATAAAACATGTTATAACAACACATCAATCTTCCTCCTAGTTCAGAGCAAATCAATCCCTGGGTCAATACTCTTAGATATCCTCTCAGCATGCCTCTCATCTTTTGGCCGCTTCTGACTATTCTACATCACGTGACGTGTATCACACTCGTCCATCAACTCTTCCATGGTCTCAGCAGCACGAAATCTCCGCTTGGAATTGAATCCCTCAACTGTCTATAGATTTAATTTCTGCGAAGGTTCACTCAGAGAGAAGTTAAAATAGAGGGATTGCAATGCCGCATCACCTATCTATACCGTGCGGTCCTGCAGCTCCAACTACAGAAACAGTGTCGTATTTCGTCATGTTGATAAGACTACTAAACCAACGTAGCGGATATAAATCAAAGTATCTCTTTGATTCTGACCTGTGACGGCTGATATTATCCGACTTTCAACTCCAAGAGCGGTTTCTTATTGTTAATCTTGCATTCACTTGCATCTCTGCAGAACTCCGTTGTCTTTTGCTTCTCGATCACACAATCAATTGAGGACATTGAAAACGAGATGCTACATAGATCTGCACACAACAAGCTAACCGCTACGTATGCTAAGTCTCCTTTCCCATGCGGATCCGCAGATCTACGGATCTCCAGACCCTAGTGTAGCCCTGGAGCGATCAGCACGCTCAGGTGGGAGCCATAGGTCTAGAATAAAGGCGCTGGGTTGAGATGTACTCACGGTCTGGAACGAGGGTGACGGGCGTTAAGGGTATATGGATGGAGTCTCACTGCGTTCACAAGGGCGGGACAACGAACCCTTTGATCGACCGCGTCTCAAGGTCTTCATATGATTATCCATTTACCTTAGACACCTCTTCTAAGAGAACTGATTAAAGAAGCTCCAGATTTCATCTGGAGTATAGCTGCGAGCGCCACTGTCCCCCCCGCCATCCACCGGCGCAGGCGCATGACCGCCATCAAACGCAATCCAGGTAACAGGATATCCGGCTCTGCACCCGGAATACGTCGTCTTGACATGTGTCTTGCTTCCGGCAGCAGGTTCCCGTGGACTCATACTCGCGCATCCATTATTCCTAACGAACCTGTCGCGCAAGCCCCGCCCACCCGAAATCGGCAGCGTCCCATCGCTGATTCCATGAATGCCCAGGTACGCAATTGGATCATTGCCGCCATCGCACCCGCTCAATTGTCCTCCTGAGATAACCGCCACGGCGCGGAAGTCTTTGGCGCGGGAGCATGCAATCGCATAGCTCATCGAGCCGCCATACGAGAACCCCGTTGCAAATCGCTGCGTCGTCTCCACGCAGAGATCACTTTCAATCGCCTTCCTCATCCCATCGACGAATGCGATATCCTCGCCGCCACTGTTCGCCCAGCCGTTGTTCAACCCCTGCGGTGCAACGAGGATGGCTGTCTCGGCGGCCTTCTTCTGCATCCCGTAGTATGCCCACAGTGCGCCGTCGGAACCACCACCCGCGACGTCGTTCATGGTGCCGCCGACCCAGTGGAAGGCGAAAATGAGCTTGTACGGCTTGTTCTTGTCGTAGCCCGATGGGACGCGGATGATGTACTGCCGGTTCTTCCCGTTGATGGTGATGGATTTTGTGCCTGATGTGATTGTTGGCGTTTTCCCGCAGCCAGCTGAGGTGGCGCGCTTGGTGAGGACACCTGGTGCGCTGATTCTGGGGGTATTGGACGCTGAGTGTGTCGCTTGATAATATGAGCATTATTGTGTGGTCGTGCTGTGGTCGCTGGGAGGTCAAACTCACCATCATCATAAAGCCCAGGAGCACTGAGCACCGATGTTGCCCCTAGGAGCAATGCCCCGATGAGGGACGACACGTAGCGCATCCTGGCTCGGTTTTGGATGCGGGACTGCTCAACGGCCGGTAAGAGTGTCTTGAAGCCTTCAGTTGAAGTCTTCCGACCGTCACCATTTATATTATCCCCTATCCCCAACCCTATAAGCTGCCCAACTAACGCTTTGAAGATTCGCGGAAATTCTCTACCATTAGCAACTCCAGAACAATATAAACGTCCAGTATAAAAACACAAATATAATCAGGCTCAAGCCCTGCCAATCAAATCGGAAAATCACTCTCACGACCAATCAGCAAGCTTGTTTAGTTGAAATCCCCCATATTTCCCCAGCATCTGTAACGTCCACCAATAATTCCGTAACCCAGTTCCTGGGCAAATCTGGGGCATGGACGATAAGCGAAGTGCTTGACCATATACACGAGCCCAATGTGGAAAGACGAACATCATGAATATCCCGATCTCTGTTACCGGAATGTTGAGACTAACCCGATTTGCAGTGATACCTCCTCTTCGGGGATACTCGTGCTTTAATGTCTCCCCGCACTTTTGACTATGTTTCATCTTGAGGTATGTTGATGTCATTGCATATTTATTTACTGGCTTGAATTCTGCCGCTTACTACTGGCGCGACCGCTTTGAGTTTGGGTGAAAGCACTTAAAGGCACGATCTGCATGTACGGATAGCTTGGTCTTGCATGAACTGGTCTCTGACGTTGATAGCTACCATCTCTAAGCGAGTAGGATACCTGTTCAAGATGCAAAATCCTAAGCAAATGGCCATCCATTCAGCCCAATCTCCAGGAAGGTTGAGGACTCGATTTCTTTGGCCCGAGACTTCAGTTCATCCACATCCCAATTCGCCCATACGAATTTACCCTTCAAGAATCGAGCTTCTGGGCTTGAGAGCCAGACCATGAAGCTTGCTGGTAGCGAAGCTAAGAGACGACTATGTCAGTTCCATAGAGCCGCATCCCTTTTGTGGAAGACTTACCATCATCTTTTACCCCAAGAGCCGCGACACCCCCTGCCTCGCGGTTCATCGCAGTATCTACCACGCCAGGTTGGACATGGAACACGGTGACCTCCGGATTCTCATAAACGATGGAATTCCAAAGCCGAACAACTGCAATCTTTGCAACATTGTAGCCGGCGTACTTGTGCATGATGTCCAGATGCGCCGCGCCCGACGAGACATTGATGACGACTGCATCCTTCGCAGCAAAGCGGAGAAATGCTTGGGCGACATACAAAGCCCCGGCGATGTTCTGCTGAATGCCATGCAGCAAGCTCTCCCCATCCACATCCTTCAAAGGTTCCTTGGCCCCAATGACGGCTGCATTGCTGACCAAGATATCGATCTTTTTCCCTTCTCCAAGGAACCGGGAGAAGGCTGCATCTACGGAACTCTTGATCGTAACGTCCGTTGATGCGGCGAATACTTCAACATCGCTAAATTCACGCTCGATGTCGGCTTTGGTATCGAGGAGGGGTTGTTCTCTCCGACCGAGAAGCGCGATCCGTGAGGCGCCTGCACGGGCAAAATATCGAGCAGTTTCGGCGCCAATACCGGTTCCTCCTCCTGTGACCACGACTGTCTTGCCTTTGACAGAGAGTTCTGGGCGGGTCGGGGATAAAGCTGGATAAGTCGTGGTGTGCCAAGTAGGCACCGGTGCTGGGAATGGCGCGGCCATGGTGATGATCCTTGAGAAGCGAAGAGCAACTGAGAAGCGTGGAGGGAGGAGTTGATTGGGATCACATTTTCCGTGGATTCAACGGCCATTTATCTAGGGGAGAGTGGACAAAGTGTGAGACCTCGAACCGGGGCGGTACAATTTGCAACATGGAACGCCCGAGAGTGGCGAAGTATCATCTCCTATAGCAACATGAGCATACGGTTAACAGAACCAATACACGATTCCGGAGACACATTCTTCCAAGCATTTGAGCTGACGTCTGCATTACAATATGTTCCGCCCCATGGAGGCCTTGCAGATGACTTGGACTAACCCCACCAACACAGTAATATGAGCTGACAAATCCACCCACGCTTCTGCAAATGTCAGCAAACCAGGAGATAACAGAAGATTCCACCGATTCCCGAATGTTTTAACGTTGTCCTGACGTCGGGACTCGGCCATTCAAAAATGTATGAAACCGATGCAGGGACCATTGTGAGATGCGAGCTTTGCAATAAGCCATTCGACAAACGTAAGTCCATTGTTTGCTTGTTCGACATCCAAGCTCCAGTTTGACTGAGCGTTTTGCTCCATCAGCGTCTACACTGAAGAGACACGGATACTACTGCCGATCCCGCAAAGGTGTTACTTCCCCACGTAGTCGATCGTGCATTGCCTGCGCGAGAGGGAAGGTGCGGTGCAATAACGCACGGCCGACTTGTTCGAGATGTTCACAGAGGAACCTCACATGCATATATCCAACAAGCAAGGGTCCCAATACTACGCGATCACGACTTCAAGGGAACAGAAATGCATCGTTACCGGCGTCGGATTCCCCTCTTCCACGACCCCGCAGACCCTCAGCGTCGGTGAACACCACTCCCACAACCGATAGCACAGTTCAATTTCCACATGATGCTTTTAACTCTGTACTCCAAGGAGAAGATTATCTCGATACTCTGTGGAGCGATGATTTCCGCGATCTGGAGTTTCCCCTTCTTGTCGATCCCCAAAGCGGAGTTGGGCCAGAGGATGCGTTGCTTCAGATCACAACTCCAAATCAGTGTATCTCATATCCGGACGCATTAACAGTACCTACGGAACACGAATTGGCCCAGATTCCCCAGGTTAACCTAACAATGACTCCAACCCAGACTCCTCGAGCCTTTACGAATCGATCAAAACTTGGAGCGGGAGCGCTGACTATCGCCAATCTAATGAAACATATGCTAAATTCGTATCCGCTCCTGATTCACACCCACAACTCCTTACCACCCTTTATTCATCCGCGACTGCTGTCTCAAGATGCACGGCATGGCCACTTGGAATCGCTAGCGAATTGTATTAATTTGGTGCGCATGGTTGGCAGTGGGATACAAGGAAGTGGAAAGTTGTTCTGGAAGAACGTCAGATTAGAATGCGAACGATTACTTGATGAAGTGAGTTAACGCCAAAGTCTCTGACAGCGATTGGGATCAGGTTAACAACAAGACTAGCATCGAGCCTACACAAAGTGGGAATTGCTCGCCGGGATGCAGGCGCTGTCTATATACGCAATCAAAAGATTGGGAGAAGGCGAGACGGACGACAATAACGTCGATCACTTACTAGTAATGGCAATCGCTGTGAGTATTTTTCGCTTAGATCCTCATCCATATTGCTAATAGAACCGGTACATCTGTAGGCTTTGGCAAGACGACTCGGCAGCATCTGTTACGATGACGCCCCAACTGACCAGACCGATCAGAGCAGCTGGGAGGAATGGATCTTCGATGAATCCCGACGAAGGTAAGATGCTCACGACCTCGTGGCAACATACCTGGACTAATCTATTGCATTTCCTTAGACTAGCTATTATCTTCAGAGCGCTGAATATGCTGGTTTATTTTGACCCGGCAGCGCTATGTGAGATGCAGCCAGACCTGATTATCGCGGCATTGCCAGCTGGAAAGCATCTATGGCAGGCAAACGACCAGATTACGTGGAAGGCGGAGATAAGAAAAGAACCTGACCCGCTGGCGATGGTCGCAGTAACTGCGAATGGCGAACTAGTTCGATTGGACGACGGTCAACAGCACTGCGGCGCGAAGACGTTACGTTACAGTAGCGCTTCGTCACAAAGCTTCAAAACTTGGGAGGAATGGTGCTCCGGCACCGACGAATTCGGGAGTCTTGTTATGCTTATCGCATCATTCATAGGCGTGGCAATGGCTGAGCAAAAGCTCCGTCCCCATAGACCGATCCTGGAGCGGATGCCCCTGTCTGGCGGCAGAGAGATCGCAGCGCCGACATGGACAGCATGACTGCGTTGTACTCTCGTAACATTGATCATGTGTACACCAATGCCCCCTAAGCTTACCAACCCAATGGAAACCATGAATTTTGCAACGCCGCACCCGGAAATACTAATGATACCCATCAAACGTAGGAGACTGCCCGTTATCCCTACTGAGCCACTCTGGAATTTCTCGTCCCCCGCCTCTTCATACCTTCCAGCTTCTGCAACAGCTGCCAATGGAGTTTTCGTTGTGTACCCCAATGTTCGCTTAGTTTTTGCATCCTGATCACCGCTACCACAACACACCCCACAGTCTTCAGGCTATGCTTACGGGAGTGGTACGAGATATCTGGGGTGATACCCATCTCCTCGATGAGTTTGAGGTCTGCCTTGTTGCTAGATTGACACTCAGCGATATTCAGGTGGCATCTCGGAATGACTGCAAGGTATGCCAGAAACAGACTCACCATTGGTTATAAACCTCGATCATCATCAGACAAAAGCGCTTTTGATATCCTAGACTTTCCCTGAACCCCTCCTCGCGGACACACCTTGCCCGCAAATATTGAATTTGCTTTGCCAATCCGTGTATCTCCTTGATGTGACGCTTCTCCTTGTCCATGATTTGGCCCTTGAGGTCAAGAACTGATTGCCGATCCCCAACCTGCTGAGCCTTCTGCAAGTCGTGCAGCTGTTCTTGGAGCGCATTCAGCTGTTTCTCCTTCTCCTGTAGTCGGGCTTTGAGGCGATTCTCCTGGCCTTCAAGCTGGTCTTGGAAGGTGTCACGGAGAGTCTCGAGCTCGTTCCGCTTTTCAGCCATATGTAGCTGTAGTGTTTCCACCTGCAGCTCCGCAGCCTGTAATTTTGCATCTCGAGCACGAATGTCTGATCTCAGTCGACGCTCGAGATCATTGCGTTCATGTTCGAGCTCAGTAACGCGAATGGACAGGTCCTCCGCTTCAAGTTTGGCTTTCTTGAGAAGATCGTGCAGCCCTTTACTCAGAGCGCTGTTGTTGGAAGATTTCCGGTTGACCTCGAGCTCCCCCGACATCTTCTCTAAGCGGTTACGGAGCTGAGCTCGATCATCCTCTGCATCACGAAGCTCCGCTTCCAATGCGACCAGCCTGGAAGATAATTGCGCCTTCTCTCGTTCGCATTTGCGAAGGTCGGCCTCTAGAGTGGCGAGTTTGATCGAGAGCGCCTGAGTAGCTTGGGCCTCCTTCTGGAGGCTTGTTAGCCGTTCTTCCAGAGAAGCCTTTTCGTCAGCCGCTTCGTCTGCAGCTTCTTGGAGAACATCGATCTCATCCTCGTAGTCTTGCTTCGCGCGGTCCATGGTTGCCTTGAGATTTTCGCACTCCCTGCTCATCTCGTCTTTTAGATGTTGCAATGACTCAACTTGACCCTTGTAACGGTTGATGTCGTCACGAAGAATCTGCAGCTCGTCGTCGCGCTTGCGGACAAGATCCTGCATAGCATCCAACTGCGTACCAGGTTCGTCAGCATGGTTCCGAAGTGCATCTAACTCTGCGTCACGTTCGGCCAAGGCTTTGCGAGCTGATTCTAGATCGCGTGTACACTCGAGCAGTCGGGCACGTATTGTAGCCAACTCTGCCACAGAAGCCTCCGCACTCTGGAGCTTCCTCTGCAAGTCGAGCACATCGCGCTCCCGCATCTGTGAAGATGACCGAAGGTTTGCAAGTTCTAGGGAGAGAGTATCGCGTTCGCGGGTAACCTTCTGCAGTGCTTCGATCTGACTCTCTTTGCTTGACATGGCAGACCGCAGCTTCTTGATTTCCTGCTTTGCCTCTTCACGGTCTTTTTGCGACATTTTCTGGCTCTCCAGTTGTTGGCGAAGTTCTTCTATTTGTCGTTGATAAGCTGTTGACTCGTCTTGAAGGCGAGCATATCGTTGCTCTGCTTCGCGGAGCTGCTTGCTGTAGGTCTCGACATCGTCCGCTTTAGCCTCCGCAATATCAAGCCTGGATTGTAGTAACTCCAACTCAGCGCGTTTTTCCCGTTCTATCTCAAGTACCTTCTGTTGGGAGGCACTGGCAGCTTGCTGGGCAAGCTGTGCCTTGTTGTCGCCCTGGGCCTCAGCGAGTTTTAGCCGATCATGGAGAGACTCGATCTCTGCCTGTTTTTCTTGCCGGGCTGTTTCGACTTGACGTTGCAAAGACTTGATCTCGACGTCCTTCTCCCGCCCAAGAGCATGTAGACGTTCTTCAAAATCTGCCCGTAAGCGCTGCGTCTGTTCCTCGCCCTTGCCAAGCTGCATTTTTAACGCATCCAGCTCGAGATCTTTCTGATGTATGGTCGTATGGAGCTTTTGCTGAAGGCCGGATATTTCCCCATCCTTCAACTCTCTGAGTGAGTTCAATTGATCCTGCACTTCAGCCAACTTGCTTGATGTCTCCGCAAGCGTACGTTCTTTCTCTTCGATTTGCCGGGCCTGTTCTTCGAATCTCCGGTCGTTCTCTTCCATTTTGCCATGCTCCGAGCTCTGCCTATCCAGTTGCTGTTGAAGATCCTCAATCTGTGCCTCGAGCTCATCCAATTCCTGATCCCTGCGCTCCAACTCGGCTTTCGCCTCGGAAAGCTCCCTTTTCACCTCTTCCGCTTCCTCCTCATTGCCTTGTACATCTTCGAGCTTGGCCTGTAGTTCCTTTAGCTCCTCCTCACGTTCCTGTGCAAGTTCTCTCAGCTCTTCCATCTCTTCTCGCATATCTTCCTCGGCATGACGCCTCTTGACCTTCTCGGCATAGTCCTTCAGCTGCTGCTTGTACATCTCGAGCTCCTTCTCAGCCGCTTTCAGGCTCTTGGCATAATTTTGTAGATCTCGCGCCATGGTCACCTTTTCGGTCTTGAGGGTAACATTTTCGGCCAAGGCGGCTGCATTGAACTCTGGACCGGCTTTAAGGAGGCTTTCCTCCAGAAAATGGATCTTGAGTTTAAGGCCGAAATTCTCTTTGTCAATCTGCTTGAGTCTCTATGATATCGTCAGCAAAACCAAAAATCTCGATAGAGACAAAATTAAATGACATACAGCTTCCTGCTCCCGCAAGGTGAGCACATTGCCATTATCTAACGGCTCCTGCCCTCTCTGTGGCAGCGCCATAGGCGTACTCATTGCGCTTGAGCTTGAAATCTCAGGCATGGGGGTCTGCCCGTCCACTGCCGACTCGCTGATTGAACTGGAGTTCAACCCGTCTATCGTACTTGCTTCTGGGAGAGGAGTGCCTCCAAGCTCAAATCCGGGTTTTAACGCGGCAGGTGTCATATTGTTGCCAGCCAAAAGGCCATTGACCTGGCGTGTGCGATTTGTCGTTGCACTCTTAAGCATCGGAGTGAACTCGTTTCGTACGTTCGTTTTGCGCAGTGTAGCGAGGGAACGGTGCGGGGTCGAAGGTATTCGCGGCCTGGCACCGCCCATTTTGCTGAAAAGTGCATCCCGTCCTTCGGGCGCGCGAAATGAGGGCTCTTCCTCTCCAAAGTCGAAATGTGCCTGGGTGGTATCGACGCGTGAGAAGTCGCTCGCCTCCGTTCGAGGTGACGCGATGTAGTGGGCCATTACGGGTATGGGTAGCCTCTAAAACGCATGAGCGAAAGTAATGGAATGAAAATGCAAAGACACAGGGGCAGTTGCGCAACAATTCGGCGTGAGTTCTCGAGGTTCTGGCGGTCGTTAAAATCGTCTTATTCCTGTGTTTACAAGGCGATGAAGCTGTGATGTTTGTTTTGGCAGACGCGTGCTACGCCCAACGAGGCTAGCGCGCAATTGCGCATCCACGTGATTGATGTCTGCCAAGAAATCCCGGCGCGGGTGGCAATGTTGACAGTGGAGGATTGTTGCCTCTCTTTCCCTCTATTTGCGCTTTTACTCCTAGTATCACTCGAGATTTACCCTGCGGAGGCATTGCCGTTTCATTCTGTGAGCATCTGGCGGTTTCGATCATGGATGGCGCAGCACCTTCAGACGATCTAAAATGGTTCGGCGAAGGATTCGACGGTTTCCCCAAAAATCTGCCACCAGATGTTGTCGAATATATTGTCTGCATCCTCGACACGAAGCTGTCTGACGCCCAGACGAGAGAGCGTCTTCAGGCTTTCCAACGCACACTCGCGTCACTGCAAAAGAAATTCCTCAAAGAGTACATATGGCAACGAGAATCCATCCAGCTTGAACTCATTCGGGAGAATGCGCGGTGGATGCTAAAGGGGTCTACAAATTACGGCGACAGCGTTGCCGACGAGTGGCTGATCGTTTACCTTCTCCGGGAACTGAGTAAAGAGTTTGGAGACGTATGGTTACGGGTGTATGATAGCGATGGCGAATTCTTGCTCATCGAGGCCGCAAAGGTGCTTCCCAAGTGGCTGAGCCCGGAGATTGACGGAAACCGGGTGTGGATACATGCAGGCCGCCTATATATTCTTGCCCCGTCTGCCACAGAGGAACCGAAACCCTTAAAACTTGAAGAAGCACTGATGGCTATAACAACTTCGCCCGCGGTTGCGCAACCTCAGCCAGAAATCGAGAAAGAGGCGTTCCATCGCCTGGAAGGGTATCCAGCCGCCATCGCAGAGAATCAGCACCATGCAACTCTCCCGCTGCCACGGAAAGTAGCCCATATTCTTCATACGAATCCCTCCTATATCGCTCCAGCAGTCGAGACATTCTACCTAAGAGACCCTATTTCGCTTCGCTTGCTACAACCGGCCAAAGGAGATGCATCTCTTGCATTTCCACCTGAAGACTTTGTCGAGATCAGTGTACGGTTCACCAAAGTTCTTTACGCGCAACTCCTCGGACAACGATGGGTCCCGCGTGGGCCTTGGGCAGACGCCCTGGAATCTCTAGTGCACAAGGATCGCCAACCCTTGGTCTCTCCTGAAAAAGCAGAGCTGGGTATCAAAGTCGCTGCGGGCATGGAGATGCTTGTGCGGCACAAGATATACGCTGACAAGAAAGCCGCCCGCGAGATCAACTTACTGTTGGAGGAGCTGGATTCTGGCGATGACGTCCTTCCCACCGACTCTGAGATTGCACGATGGCCCAAGCGGGAAGATGACGAACGGTGGTTGAACATCGACTTTTCCGAATTTGAACGCGAGTTGGCTGGGAGCGGTGGATCCGACGGTTTTGGTGACAAAGCTGCGCAGCAAAATCTACGTAAGATGGTAGAGCGTTTCAACGCATTCATGGAAGACGAGGATGCGGATCTTGAAGGTGCACGCGGACTGGGCTTGGACCCGATGGATAGAGACGATGACTCAGATGCTGACCAACGTGGATGGGAGGATCCCGAGAGCGAGGACGACAGTACTGACGATGACTACGCCGATGCCGAGTACGCGGAATACGAAAAGGCTTTTGAAAAGTTCATGTCCTTGTCATCTGCTGAGAAGTCTGCCTTGACAGACGATGCGCGCGAGTTGGCTAGGGCGGAAGAAGCCGAGCAAGAGGAGGATGAGGAGATCAAAAAGCTGTCCGAAATGATGGAAGCGGAGCTGTTCAGTCATGGTGCCCTCAATTTGAACCCGGCACCTACAACGGGAAAGGCATCGAACAAGACCGTCTCCTTTACAGACAAGGGTAAGGGTAAGAAAAAGGTTGAAGTTTCAGAGCAAGATGATGAATATGAGGATAATCTTTTGGATGACGACTACAATCTTGCCGAGAACATGCTAAGGAGTTTCAAGGGCCAGGTAGGCATGGCAGGCCCTGCCGGAAATCTGATGGGTTTGATGGGTGTCCAATTCCCGCCGGATGAAGATGATCATAGTGGCTAAGCAAGCAAACATCTGGATATGCATGATAGGGAAGGTACATCACATTCGGGTGCGCGATCTTGCAGGGAGCAATTGATCAATGGACCGTTGGGTTTAATCTCCGTTTATTCGCCATTCATACCGTTAGTGCTCCGTCCAGTTGTTGATAGTTGTCTCGCTTTTTCAAAGACGCTGCTCTATCCCCTAAGGCCGTCTTGGGGGTGCACCATTTTTATGTTGACTCCGACTCTGACTATTCTTTCCCTCTCCAGTTGCATTCGAAGGTCTAGGACCGGTCCGTGCAGGATACTCGGCGACGGGGTGCGCCTGCTGCGGTGCAAGGGCTGCAGGCCACGGGTGAGGCATCCTAGGCACCAGAAAGGGTGCAGTAACAGGATATCGGCTTTCCGTTGTCTTTGTAGACGGCGGTTGATAATGGTGAATCGTCAACTCCGGGCGCCTAGTGAATGCAGGTGGGTACTGGGGTTGCGGGTTAGGGGCTATTGTGTTCGCCGAACCGCTCTGGTTGGATGATGAAGAGGTTCTTGTTGTAGATGAAGCCGTCCCGGACGAGGTTGTAGGCGGCTTATAAGGAATGTGTATCCACTGCGGTGGCTGCTGACGGTTGGGGTTTGGTTGAGCCATGAGTGAGATGCTCTAATCCTTCCGAAGTAATGAGCCAAGGTGCTTCTCCGTTGACTTAGGTCTGCAAGGGCTCAGTACCAGTTGGTCGGTTTCTGCTTTGTCTTTCCTGTTACCACTCACCCGAGTTTTGGGTCGAAATACCCAGCTAAAGTGCGTGTAAAGACTGCTTCGCCGGTGGACCGTGTTCTGGCAGTTCTCGGCCACTATTCACAACCAGTTTATGTGAATCCCAGTCGTTTCCTCGTGGACTTTTTCCAGTTGTGAACGGCAGGCACAAACATAAATGATCAGAGGGAATTCTTGCAGGCTTTATATCCAGAGCAGCTTGATGGTTTCTATGGCTCGTCTAGGAGACGTCCTCACTCCATTCACTCTGTTTGCGCACAAGCCCCGCGTGTGTGCATATGTGGTAGAATGGATGGAGGAGCATCCCGGAAAGGATTGCTTGCATCCAGCAGGAAGATTACTGGCGCTGTGAGATCTAGGATTAGTGTATGCACACCCGGTGCCACCATAAAATCACCTAGTTGCGCACTTGGGAATAGTCCAATCCTTCGGTCCTAGATATTAATGATTGAGGAAGCTTGCAAAGGTTCTGTACATGCCAACCATACCGCGTTCATCAATTTAATCCGCTAGCGTTGATATAACTGTTCCTCACTACATAAGTTTCTCAATGAGAAACAGACGGTTGGGTTGAAGACCCGTGACGTAGGGCCGATAGCTGCGTGGCATTTGCACAGCTGAGCGCGAGAAGTCAGCTTTCCATCACTGAGCGCTACTCATGGCACTACGACATAAGCAAAAGTGACTAGTCCCGACGTTCAAGGGGGTCTACACTAGCTACGAGATTCCGCCAGCTATAATTCGTCCGTGCATGTGGTATACCTGCGTAGCTTATGGACATGAATACTAAACACTTCAATGGAGATCGTGCACGAGGGGAAGACCATCCTACGCCTGACTAAACTCTTTACATCACACAAGGGTCATCGTTTTGTTGGTAATATCTTTTGAAGAAGCATTGAAACAATGGTTAACGTACGTAGTAAACAGGTTAGCATAGGACAACCCCGACTAGCGATTCACCCATCCGCGCGTGCAGAGCCATAATGCTCACCTCATTTTTGCTCAATCGCCCCCAATGAGGATTCACTCGTGTTGGAATCCTGGAACAAGTCTAGTCTCAGGTATATGTTGGGGGCTTTTTCTGGAACATGCACCTATAGCGACCACAACTACAAGGCGGGCTCTGATTACATCAGAGATATGTTCGAATTTTTTCTAGAGGATGCTCTGCTCGAGAACTCCACTTCTGATGGTTGGTGGATTTATCGGCTTTCGTTATATCTATACGGCCGCGTACCGTGTACGTTTGGAACCTACTGTAACGATTCAGGAGATGACACCTACTGATCCAATTGATTTATAGGGTTGGCGGTTGTAGCGGTAGTTAACTCGAAGCTACGAAGTACTTCAAATAAGTACGCACCTGCTTGTCTTTCTTATCTACAACTTTGTACAATGAAAAACAAGGCTTTTGAACTAACTTTCGTGGCTAACTTCTAATGTTCTCTGCCTAAAACTACTAAAATATCTGCGATGCTGCTAGTTGCAGAACGTGCACGCTTGACTATGCAATGCTACTCTTTTAAACGAGGAATACTTCTTTCGATCTTTGCTGCAGTCTTTAGTCGAACGGTACATCTAGGAATGATAGCAAATTTAAACGTAGTTATGCAAAAACTTATATCCCGCCCTGTGGATACCCCGCAAGAGTGTGTTCACAATTCTAGAATAGAGCTGCAACACCTAGGTCCTTGCAAATTACCAGAACGCAGAATATCGCGTAGATTCCATTGTAATAAGAGATTATAACCGAGCATTTCTCGTGCTCTTTACCTATCGGTGACACCCTAGTGTCTATACGCCCCGTCCTTGCCAATATGCAGACGCAATTGAGACACTACCTGATATATTTAGGGCGACTTGTATATCTCTGCCTAACCGTCACTCTAAAGAGCATTCGGGCCTGTATTAGATGCGATCCTTATCACTAGCTACCTGTACTATATTCATTAAAACATATGCAGTAACTTTATAGCGGACGTGTGCTGTTAGTAAGCAAGTCAGATATCTCAATAAAAGAACAGTCGCAAAGCTTTAAGTACGCGAACTACATCTTCTTTAATCTAGCATCCTAGATAATAGGCCGTTGTCGATAATAGAAGGCAGCAATTAGATGTTACAGTGTCCTAGGTAAAAAGTAAATAATCCTCCTACTGCCGCTAGATGCAATTTGGGCTTTACGTCGACGAATTATCTTACACAATCGTTTTGTCGAAGCTTCGCCGGATTAGAATTCGGCACGGGGGAGGGGATGTGAATGATTCGTGGGGTCCTTCCGACTGATATCCCATACCAGGCTCTCCCTCAATGAGAGGAACGTACTGCTATCACGGGATCTACATCATAACACTGACAGTCATAGATGTTGAAAAAGGGGTTGCTATAGGCAACCTTGGTTGGTCTAGGCTTAACCTGTGTTGTGACGGCCTCGTGCGAGTGAAGTAAATGGAAGCCCTAACAAGCAGATTGAGTGCAGTAAAATTGTGCTTCACTTGCACCACAAAGCTGACGAGTCCCTACGATGCTTGCGTTAGATTATTTGATAGCATCATATCAGCGAAGTAGTTTTCTCAAGTCATCGTGCGCCATCCAAAATATCATTTCCCCCCCCCCCCCCCCCCCCTTCTCTCCCCCTTCTTCCGATTCCTTGAAATGCGCCAATTCGACATCTCCACCTCCTACCGCCAGGAAGCACCTTTGCCCGCAATCTATTAACGCAAGGGGTCAATGGCCAGTAACCCTGGGAACACGGCGTGGACTTTATTTCTAAGGACTTGAGAAAGTCCCTCCCATATTGACTATGGTCTGCTTTGCCTGCTAACCTTCCCTTATTCTCGTAGTCCCAACATTCCAGTGTTCGAGCTCCGTTGCCCGAACCTATGTTCGACCCGTCGTCCTGATTGCATATCCAGGATCGCACCCAGAAGCATGACTCTAGATCATGCATGAACGGATGCTGCTCCTCGTCGAGAAGCCTGGGAAGCACACCAACCGCCACGAACGCTCGTTGTGCCGCTCTTTTCTCGCGCCTCTGAATTCAGCCTTGTCCGATATCATGTTGTAGCATAGCCTAAGGAACTTGTTGTCTCATGGCTTGTATCCTTCGATGCAACCTTCCAAAACCAGCGAGCTCACTTTATGTAAGGCCTTCGCGGATTCAAGGGCTCAAACGCAGTTTCCTAGGATGTTTGAGCTAGCACAAAACTGAGCGCTATCCAGCGTTCCAAGGTGGTTAACCCCCAAATCAGAGGGTTGCCTTGCTCGCAAGTCTTCCGGATGTGAACATGGACGAGATTCTACTGCGGGAAGGTGGGATGGCTTCCCATCTACGCGTCCACGAATATCGATCTCGTGCCGCTCTGTCCACGTTCGACCGAAAACGGTAAGTACCCGGAGGTTTGTAACAAGTGCGGGCATTGGCTTGAAAGCGGCTCGGTTTGGGCATGATACGTAGCAACACGCAGACTTCCGCTAGGATACTCAATTCTGGGCGAATCAAATATCATAAATAGTGAATATAATCTGGGCGGGCAATGCACGGGCGTCCCATGATCAGTCCGACATATTTACCCTACCCTAAGGTAGTCGGACGTGAACAGAGGCAGTATGCCTCAAAAACAAGCTTCAGGCGTTGCGTTTAGCTACATTAGGCTTATCGTGCCAGGTTACGATTGTTGGTTTACGCGGGGTCCTGGGCTGTAACGTGTTCTAGTTGGGAAGGTATCTAAGGGTATAGTCCCCGTCCCTAAGCGACCCGGGGAGTTGGCTATATCCCCGTACAAACAAACTACATCCAGCAGTTTAACGATGGACGCATATATGGTTAACCCCACCTGGGTACCTCGCCTTGTTCAATTGGTTCGAAGCGGCTACTCTTACAGCTGGGAGCCCAGCAACTATCAGTTTTTCGCAGTTACTGTCGTATACCATTTTTCCCACCTCGGTAAATTGCCTCTTGGGCCTCAATGAGCTGCCTACCCTAGGGAATCCTAATGGGTACTTGATCCTTAGAGTAGTGACGGAGATTTGAGCACTCTAAGGTAGGATAAAACACCCCGTGACATGAAGACTACATGTATATAAACCATCGATTGTTGCACCTCAAAGCCTCTTCAATCCGCTCATTCACCAATACCGGATTATATCTATCAATACAGAGCCCGTCAAGCAATATCCGTCGCCATGCTTCAATTCCTCCTTCCTGTCGCGCTTCTGCTCTCCAGCGTCTCCAGCGCCCCTACCTCGGATACCCAAGGTACCGCCAATACCGCCATGTCTCCAGCCGCGGTACCAAATCTATGCAAACCGCCCAACCCCGACGGCGCAAACACGTACATCTACTACGACATGAACTCCCACTGTCAGCAAACTGGAAATTGCAAGGAAGCGTGTGTCTCGTTCATCCAGAGCACTGCCTGCGCCCGCGACTTCGATGCCGTCGACACCACGTATGTGCAGCTGGCTACGTATGACCAAATCAAGAAAGATGGCCAATGGGAGACGTCCCGAAGAGGGCCGTGGTTGGCCAGCTTTAGTCTCTTCACTACGGCTTTCCCCAACCGACAGGCTGGAAACACATTCGACACGGCCCTCACCAGATACATGAATGCCGGTTATCCCTTGCCTCTCAACATCTACTTCAATGAGATACCTGTTGGAAGCAACCAAGTCTTCGGAATGGAAGCTAGGCGCGACAACTGCCAGTAAACAATTGGGATTGTATTGCATTCGCGCGGTCTGTCCGCGGAGGAGCTGTTGGGGCAGACAGTGGATATGCAGAGGGTCACACTCTTTTGTACCCAGTTTTCTTCGTATTCTGCTTTGTTAGGCCGGTAACTAGAAAGTGCTAGAAGCGTACTCTTCTAGTCAAGCGTCTGATGAAATTTGTCCTTACGTTTTCGAGATTTGTGCCCACAAGAAATTCGCCCGCAATGCTAGTGATAGTGAAAATCAATGGCTTATTTCATCTGAGCGCACAATCTATTAGCGCGCGAGCAACATGCGGGCGCTGCGAATGAATACAATATAGGGAAACATCAATGTTAAATGTTCCTTTGCGTCTAAGAGAACTTCAGTGTTGAGTGTTTCTTTGCCTCATTTCCCAAGGTAGATCCCAACATTAGTGATGTTACTCCCTCGTAGATCATCGCCACGGCTCTCATAATGGAGGTATAATGCTCTTAAGCCGCATAGCATTGAGCATAGCTGTGGCTCTGTGCTTAGGTGGAGTATACCCAGGGTAGGGTACCTCACAACTCCACTGTCAGAATATGATACTACTATCACTGAAACCGATTTTCAAAACTATCAATCAAGTGCGCACATCCTGAGCTCCATAAAAGCTCAAAAGGGTGCGCTTTCAGGCCTGTTATCCTTATGCTGAAGCATAAATGTAGCGACCAGGGGAAGCATTACAACCACCCTCGATCAGTCGATTCTAGAGCGCACAGTGTCTACCACAACGGTTCGGAGTACACCGGCACATAAGAACTTGATAATTGAATCGACACCACCATGCTGGGCCATGGCCACTGGTAGATTCGCCAGATGATCGGCTGAGGTCAAGTTAGCAAGATCCAGGCTGCCAAGGCAGCAAGGAAGCCAATAGGATTTTTCCTTCGCTCCTGCAGATCGTAGTCTACACGAACGGCGAAGTTTCTACATACGTGTTTCAGTGCAATAAGAGAGCCCTACAACAATGGACAGGAGACCCGATGCAGTGGATAAGACTGTCTTATCGGGCGCCTCTAAAAAAAATAACACTGGTTCCTATTTAAACTTTTCGTAGCTTTTGAGAAAACATCGGTCTTGCCTGTTTAAGCCTAGCCGATCCGATTTGTTCGAAATTACCTATGGGTACTAGCCGTAACTTAAAGGGGGATCAGAGTACACTAGTCTCTGCCGCCGATGTTCGCAGAGGACTTCGATTAAGAAAAACAGTTGAATGGAGTCCTTCAATATGATAGTAGAATGATACTAGACGACTGGTCAAGGGGTGCCTAGGTCTTCGCTGGTAGAGCGATAATCTTGCCAGATCTTCAAATGTCAACTGCCGGACTGATAAACGTCAAACGAGTCAAGGACGATCGAAGCTTGTCGTGATGGCAAGTACCGGTAGGACGGGAGTTGCTGGTGGCGAACTAGCAGACGAGGAAGAGGAGGTGGCCAACCAACCTCTTTCGCCTTAAACCTGGGGAAGCTCTTGGAAGACACGACAACCCAGCCCTACACGCTCCGTGGCTACGCTCCCTCCTTGCGTCTCCGTGACTTCGTCATGTCCCCTTTGTTGGCGGGGCATTATCAAATATTGGATTCGACCACCCTGATGGCTTGGTCAGCGTGCCATGACAACCCCTCCATCCGGCATGTACTGTGTACTCCGGACGGAGTTGGCGATTTGCAATCACAGGGTCTATCCCAGAGCTGTTCTCTCCCACGGGACGGCTCTCTACGAATCCCGACCCTTTTGCGTGCCTGTACGCGCGTTTGGGTATTGCTTCTGGAACCCACGGAGGTTTCGCTGCATGGCCCAAGGCACTTGTCCTATGATCTCCGTAAGCTGAGGGAGAGACCACGAGGAGCGTTTGAGGTGTAGCGTTGCGCGCATGGGCCCTGCTCTCCCAGTCGTTTCTCCCCCACAACCCCAGGTGGAGGAGCCACTCTCTGCCCCAAGCTGGGGGAATTTCGTGTTTTCGAGTCACGCCCTTTTATCCATGTTCTGGGCCTTGGATTGATTGTTCGCTGCATGATTCATCAATGAACCGCCATACGCAGGACTCCTTCGAAGGGCATATCCGCCAGCTGTGCCATATCGTTGCTGATAGCCGGTATTGGTGCTCACCACATGTGCATAATCCGACATTCCACAGGCATGGGAACTGCTCCAAACCGAAGCGCAACTGTGAATCCTTCGTCTCTCGTCGGTCCCCTCTCGCCCTCTCCGTCCATACTCGGTGCCCGCTCCAATCTGCCGAAAAAAGGTGGCGGCGCCTCTCCCAGCGTTGATCCGCGGCACCAAGCTGGGGGAGGCGCTCTCCCTCTTCCTTCCAGAGCCTCCACGCTGCTCGGCGCCCTTCTTCACTCCCTCAAATGAAGCAGCCAAGGTCGCACCCCGCATTCCGACCAACCATGTTGAGCACCCTTGGCCCGGCCGGGTGTCAGCAGAGGCGCGTTGGCTGGCCGTGGTCGGTCATGGTCGTGTGGGTTCGGCAAAATGATTGCTATGGCTCTGCTGCGTCCCAATCCTTGCTCAATCAAAGCAACCAACTCAATGTAGTAAGGGACCACGGTTGACTTGCTTAAAGGGCAGAAACTGCCCATCCGTGCCATCTTGACGCATCTCACTTCAACTACCGACTTTTGCATCCATCTGGGGAAGACGCTCGCTACCCCTCAAAAGGGAAACACAGTCGGGGCTTGGTCCGCGAGTTCCGTACGCCTGCCTGTCCAGCACCATATATGTCCTGTCGTGCATCCGGATTCCCTCAACACCAGCGTGACGAGCGCATAAGTTTAACTCCTTAAAATACCTTCTGGCCAACTGCTTTTCGCGTCTCGTTTTCGGCAGCATACGTCGATTCATCGCTCAACATGAGCGCCATCGAGCAGTTCTCCCCAAAGGCGGGGATCAACGAAAAGGAGTTGTGTATGTCCCCATGTCCATCTTCATGTTGCACACGATTTCGAGTGCTGACGGTGCCTATTGTTTAGACCAAGAGAAGATGACGGCAACATCGGGCAGCGACCAAGTCTCGGAAGAGTTCACCTGGACCGAGGAAGAGGAAACAATTGTGAGGCGCAAGCTGGACATGTGGATCGTGCCTCTCACCACCTTTCTCTACCTGCTCTGCTTCCTGGACCGGTATTCCAATCGCCCCGTTTAGACCTGACCCTAAGCTGACCCATTTACCAGAGCCAACGTAGGAAATGCAAGAATCCAGGGCATGGGGAAAGAATTGAACCTTGACAAGGGTGTGCGGTTCAACTGGGTCACATCCATCTTCTACATCGTCTACATGTTCGTAGAGGTTCCAAGCAACATCCTGCTCAAGATCATCGGCCCGCGCTACTATCTCCCTCTCCTCGTCTGCGGATTCGGTCTCGTCTCCATGTGCACTGCATTCGTCAACAGTTTTTCAGGATTGCTCGTTGCGCGGGCTTTCCTGGGTGTCTTCGAGGGAGGAGTCATGCCGTGAGTGTAACCTGTCTAACTAATTCGTACCGAGTCCGGCTCACCCCACCTACAGTGGTCTTGCCTTCTTCATCACCTGCTTCTACAAGCGCCGAGAATTGCTGCTTCGTGTCGGCATCTACGTCTCGGCCGCCTCCCTCGCCGGAGCGTTTGGCGGCCTCTTGGCTACAGGGTGAGATATACATCTCGTCCAAAAGGTCGATGCTCTGTCCGCCCGCTGACACGTGGGAACAGGCTCTCCCGCATCCCTGAATGGGGCACTGAAACCATGCGCATCCACACCTGGCGAAACATCTTCTTCTTTGAGGGTCTCATCACCATGCTATCAGGTCTTGCCGCACCTTTCGTCATGCCGACCAAACCGAGCGAGACCTGGTTCTTGACCGAGAGAGAGCGGAGAATTGCCACCGAGCGCCTTGTTCTCAAAGGCGGAGCTGACGAGCAGGAGAAGGTGGAACTCCATCACGTCACCAGGTCATTGGCCAATATCAACAACTACATCTGCGCCTTCGGTTTCTTCTTCATCAACATCACCGTCCAGGGCATCTCGCTTTTCATGGTAAGAGGTTTGCCATGCCCCTTGTTTCGACTTCAGCTGACAGCAACGTAGCCCACCATTCTCGCTGATCTTGGTTGGACGGCCACCAAGGCTCAGCTCTACTCCGTCCCGCCTTATGTCTGCGCCTGTGTTGTCGCCATCTTCATCGCTTTTGTATCCGACAAGACCAATCGTCGTGGCATCTACCTTGCCGCCTTCACACTTCTGGCCATCACTGGCTTCGCCATCCTGAGATGGGCCACAGATGCAAACATCCGATACATGGGCGTGTTTTTCATCACGCTTGGTGCATTCCCTGGTGGTCCTGGATTCCTTTCCTGGGGCATGAATAATGCAGCCGGGCCCGCTATCCGTGCCGTTTCCAGCGCTTACATCGTCACTCTGGGCACGGCCGGTGGAATCTTAGCAACATGGTTAGTATCTCCTCCACTTGCAATCTCCAACAAGGAGTTGCGCGAGCTGAAGCTGACATTATTCCAGGACATACAGGAAGGCGGAGGCTCCGCGGTACCCCACTGGACACACCATCAACCTGGCTGGGCAGATTGCAGTTTGCGTCCTGGCCCTCGCGGGCATTGCGTACTGCAAGTGGGAGAATAGGCAGCGCGATCTTGGGAAGAGAGATGGGCGCTTGAACGGCCTGAGCGAGGAGGAAATCAGGGATCTGGGCTATAGGCACCCGTCGTTCCGTTACATCACGTAGTTTCTGGATAACGTTGTTATGAGAGCCGTTTACTGCAGAGCTGTCACCTTCACCTTACTTTATAGCGTTTTTCTACAGGATATGATTGATATGCTACGCCGTGAGCGCGAGGACATTGTGAAAGCCCTTGTATTGTAATATTCTGCTATCTGCGCATCGCTTTCCCTTGCACGACTCCAACGAAATGCCCAACACTGCCGAGCAATGCGCGCCGGCTACCGCGATTAAAGCCCACAGGTCGGCACTTGCGCAATACATGTTCGGGTTTGCCAATCCGATCGTGGTATGCGTACCTGGCATGGTATCTCACTTTCGGGCATGCGGCTACACCACCCCGGTACCAATGTCCATATCGATGTATTCATCCGGCTAATCGCAAAGTGCAAAGCCCATGCTACAAAATAGCAAAGATCCTCGGGATCTTCGGTGCAGCGCTCGCGCGGATATAGAAGATATACTGCTCTGCAGATGCTTGTACTACCTAGAAGATTTTCTTCTGGAAAACTTGTCTGTGGCATCCGAGGGAAGGGACTTTGCGTCCTCATTATCTAGTACGATGTCAAGCATGAACACGATGCTTTTAAATGGGAGGCATTTAGTATAGAACTTCACGGTGCGATAGAATCTTTTTCTGTGGTCGGCGTCTTTGCGTGCCATGTTGCCCTCCCGTCTGTATGCCCATGCAGCGAACTATCAACCCACGCCGTCCGCGCAGATGGTGCGACCGTTTCCATATTCACCTTGCAGTTTCATATAATAACGGTCATTAATTATCTCCCAACCTCCAATGAAATCTCTGGGATATTGCATGTTCTGTCGTCTTCCAATTTCTTTCTTCCCAAATGCTATTCTGCTCCATGGGTGTACGTATCGATCGATTCTCGACATTTCCAGACTTTTGCAGAGCTTAGGAATCTCGATATCAGCCTGCAGATACGGAAGGCATCGATAAGTGTCAAATATCGATGGCTCGGCAACGAGTTCGGTAGCTTTAAAGGAGCACTCCCGCTGTCCATTTCCGACGAGGAACTGCCTGCTCACTTCCGTGCTGGTTCGACCGTCTGCTAGTCCAGGGGAAGAGCTATGTTGACAGAAACCTTTCTTGTTGCCGCTGGCCTCCTTTGTGGGGCACGGGCACAAGCCCTCCACCCGCCATTGACATCTGGTGGTCTCTTCCTGAGCACTTCAGTAGAGATACCGGTGTCCACAATCCCACCTGTTGGAACCGGAGTCCCCGGCATCCCCGTTTCCTCGTTGTCCATCGGGAGTTCGAGCACACCGTCTTCATCGCCGGGGCAGTCTTCTTCGGCACGGGGCGGTATAGGGACGCTGCCTGGATTTCCCATCACACTCAACATAACCCATCCGACGAGTACTGTCAGGCCACCGATAACCACCGCGTCCATTCTACCAACCAGTGTCCCCCTCCCGTCGCTCATTGTCCCTCTCCCAGGCTCCTCGAGCGTAACCGCAATCCCAATCGTCACGAGCTCTGCGAGGCCTGCGAGGCCAACTGGTTTCCCCATTCCATCGCTCAACATCTCACTGCCTGTTCCCACAAGGACGCCCAGGCCGCCACGCTCAACGGCAACCGTAAGACCGACCAGATTACCTATTCCTTCGGGAAACAATTCACTTCCATTCCCTTCGCGAACGCCACGGCCGCCAATCTCAACGAGGTCGATAAGGCCAACCGGATTCCCAATCCCTTCAGTCAACATCTCCATTCCAATCCCAACACGAACGCCTCGACCGCCGATTTCGAGACCGTCAGTGAGGCCGACAAGTATCCCCGTTCCATCGCTCAACATCTCTATCCCGTTTCCCACACGGACACCACGGCCACCAATCTCGAAACCATCTCTAAGACCAACAAGCTTGCCAGTCCCATCGCTCAACATCTCCATCCCCTTCCCCACACGAACACCAAGACCACCGATCTCGACCCCATCTCCCTGGCCTACGGGATTCCCTACCCGCTCCCGCAGATCCACACGCATACCCATTCCAACTCTCTCCATCCCCTCATGGAACACAACCCGCGTGCCACCGAGACCTTCAACCAGCCGCTCGCCTCCCCGCCCCTCATCGCGCGCAACTACCTCTCTCTCCTCGACGCACCGCACGCCTCCAATCCCGACTTCGCGCATCACGCCTACGCCGCCTAGATTGTCGTCAAGCAGCCCACTTTGGACGCCCACGCCTCGCCCATCATCTACACGACGACCGACTCCAACTCCTACGCCCTCGCCAACTAACAGACCAACACCCTCATCCACCAACCGCCCAACCCCAACACCGACCCGCTCCTCAAGCACAACGAACTCACCAACCCGCACTCCCCTCCCCTCCAGCAGACCAACTCCTCCATCCTCCCTGTCTTCAGTCCTGCCACCCCGATCTTCATCCTCGCCGTCAACACTCATAACACTGCCGTCTAAGACTGTGACGAGGCCTCCTTGGCCCAGTCCCACCCACGACGATGACGATGACGATGATGACGACGATGATGAGGATGACGATGATGGGCACTGGTGGGATGATGACGACGAGGATGATAATGACCGACGGGGTGGGCGATGGGGCTGGAGGCTGTGGAAGTGGTGGGGACGGCGTGGGCGTGGTCACTGGTGGGTGAGGAAGGGGGTGGTGAGTCGGAGGGGGGAGGTTAGCGGGCGGCCTGTGGGTGGGAGACCGGTTGCGGAGAGACCGGTTGGGGAGAGGCCTGTGGACGGGAGGCCAGTGGTGGTGAGTCGAAGTGGTGAGGTTTCCGGGCGGCCTGTGGGTGAGAGACCCGTTGGAGGGAGACCGATTGGAGACAGACCGGTGGAAGGCAGGCCTGTGGAAGGGAGGCCTGTGGAAGGGATCCCATCTGAGAAGTGAAAAGCAAGAAAGAAGTCAGTGTTAGGCGGAATCAAGGGGATGATATTCCTAGGATGTGTTTGCGATAGTACAAAGATGTATGTGCGAGATGCGGAAAAACAGTAGACAGAGATCTCCTTTCTATTCTCAAGCAAAGAATATGGAACCATTTTACTTGTACGGTACGTTGCTCCTCACTATCGATGTGGATGCCGGGGCGCAGTCGAAAACAGATGAAATGTTCAGCGTCTGTTTGGGCTGCGTCTCCATTGTCGTCACGAAGAGAATAGGTAGTACCGACATCAGTGGTTATTCTACATCTACGCGAGTTAGTCACATCGGGTGTGATTCCACCCCAATCGAGCCGCTTTTGTAGTGATTGACGTAGATTACTTGGCACCGAGGCCTTTCTATATAACTTACAGAGGTGTAACACGTCCAAATATTTATTTTGTTTCTGCCTACACCGTATCACATACGCGAAATCCGAGACTCGCCTTTGGCCACGGTTTTGGCAGAGCGTCTATCTGTGTCTAGGTCAGGGATTTGATGGTGCAACATACCCTATGGTATGAGAACATTGGAATCTTGGCGATGCGGCGCGGGCTGTGAAAATCCACGACTGTAGATGTCAAGGTGCAAACGCAATCTCTGCTCAATACCGAGCACCTATGGTAATTGTCCACGCAGTCAAGGCTTTTGCTCAGTCGAGTTTTTTGCCGCTACAAATCTGCAGCAAACCAACATTTCCAACGCCTCCTCGCATTTGTCGATTGCGGTACCAGTACAGCGCCTTCTGCTAAACAATGCCTCTGGTCTCTCAACGCCCATGTACCGACCCGCTGAACTGGAATTTATATGCAGACTTTTCGGGCGAGATGTACATCCCTTTCCACGACTATGTCCAGCCAGAACAGACCTGTCAGGTGGACGTGCCCTTTCCGCAGTTTCTTCGACTGCCCAGAGAGCTCCAGCTGCGCATCCTCCGTTCCTGCAGCAGCGCAACGCTTTTCCAGCTCATGCATGTCTCTTCTGCTACGCGAGACGAGGCCAGAAAGCTGTTCTGGTCTGATCCTGGCGCACGATATGTTGTCGATGGCGCATGGCTGCAGGCCGGAGGGTTCTCTGGCCACACAGTCGACGACGTGGCCGCCTTGGCCTTGATGAAGCATGTAGAGGTAGACTTTGGTACTGGAGGACCTTTTGTTCGCAGGGCATGGGACGACGGTGAACCTCAATACGGAAGAAGACCATCTCCTGCCGATGCAGCGGAGCGGATGGCAGACGCTTTCTGGCAGACACTTCAACGCTGCCTGCCTTGCGCGACAAATGTTGTCTTGAAGGACTCGGAGCTCGGTCACACCAAAGAAGGAGATGCAGCACCCGCCGTCCTCACCCTGTTGGCCGAGAGATGCCCTGCTGGAATTCGCGCGTCAGCCTCATGCCTCCAGGTAGTGGCCGGCTGCAGCTATCTGATGAGGGAAAGTCTCTGGCAACCGGTCTGGCACGGTCGCAGTCAACCAGCAACATGGAATCGTGTCGACAGTTTCGACGACACGACGCAAAGTGTGCTGCCGCCTGCCAAAACATTCCGTGGGCCTGTGGGGGCATTCTGTCGCATTGACTACAACGTAAGACGCCTTAGCTATCTATACGGTGCTCGACGGCTATTGCTTATCCAGGCTATGGAGGCATACTATACACAGAACCCGCAGACACCGTTTGTCTGCCCCGTTCCTGAATGCGATTTCCGATTTGAGACACCGCGGGCATGGGCGGTCCATGCAACCGATGAACTTCACGACGTGATGGATTTCAAACTTCCAACCGAGACCCTTGAGATGTTATTTTCGGAGCACGATGCTCGACTGGCGCGCATGGAGCAGGATATCGCAGACACCATAATTAGATTGCGGTTGGAGTGGGGCGAAGAAGGTAGTGAGCAGCGCAGGAAGAGGGAGGAGGAGTTTCTCCATCAGTTGCAGCATGACCCTGCGTATGCGCAAGCGAAGCCTCCTCGGGAGTGCGCTGTCTGGCACCGCTATCTGATTGAGATGAACAATGAGAAAACCGCCTATTCTGAACAATGAGAAGACCGCCTACTCATAAAACTTGATGTTGAAAACGTAATATTTACTACTGCGAAAAATGCCTCGCCCTGGATGCATCGACAATCTTTCAAGCTGCCTTGACAAGATGGCACAAGATTGTTCGAGCAGACTACGCTCACGTCTGAACGTCAGCCGATATATAAGTACGGGAGAAATCACGGAGCATTTCAGCTGCCGATACATCATTATCTGGGCTCAATGGACCGTCCTGCGTAGCTGGGGTTGTCGGGAAGGCCATCGAGCGCCTGGTGTGTTACGTGATTGGATCTTGAGCTTACACAGTGAAGGCACTTACTCGCCCGCCTAGACTAACGACCATCTAGACACCCATCAACAATCCAATCACCGTCCTCGCCCCTCAGCGGTATCTCGAAAGTGTGAAACCACTCCTCTATGACATAGCACCTAAATCAACAGAGCCTCTAATCACATCTTCCATTTTCAGAAAGCAGTCCGCTGAACAGGTGAGTTAAAATAATCCTATCTCTACTCAATGACCAGTTCCACTCTTTCACCGCCAACCAGCCACAAAAGTATATAAAGCGGCATCACTCCCCACGTACCACCCCAAAACCAACCACCAACCAACCAACCACAAAGCAACCAAACAACCGCCCACCAAACTGACCACTCTGTCAACGTACCCCACAAACGCCGTACAACCCACCCACCCTCTACATAACAACCAGCCAACCCTCCGCCCATCCTGCCGTACCACTACCACATCCCCCCAAGTCCCCAGCGGTGAAACGTTGCCCAACACTCGCGCGAAACGCTTACGTGCATAAGAAAGCTCCATCCCACGTTTTTGCCATACCTTCTCTTCTCGGACTGACGGACGGGGGACCCGGATTTCCAGAAAATAAAGTATGGAGACTCCCCATTCATTATCCACATACATGTTCTTCTTCTCCCACTAACACCTCACCAGCATCCCTAACCCCCTTTTCTCTCCCTCTACCTCTCCCTCGTCTTCCTCTCCTCCTTCCTCCACCACCATGTCCCCTCCCACTCCCACCACTACCACCGATACCACCAAACCCATCGCCCTCATCACCGGCGCAACCAGGGGCATCGGCCTCGCCCTCGCCCGCACCCTCGCCACCAACCACAGCTACCACATCCTCCTCGGCACCCGCACCACCTCCTCCTCCCCCGCCACCACCACCACCGCCGAACTACTCACAACCCTCCGCTCCTCAAACCCCTCCCTCCCCCTCTCCATCGACCCCCTCCCCCTAGACCTCACCTGCGACGCCTCGATCCGCGCCGCCGCCGCCGCCGTGCTCGCCAAACACGGCCGCCTGGACCTACTCGTCAACAACGCGGGCATCGCACTGGACCATTACCCTATTGAAGAAGGGGAACCCACGCGCGACGCCTTCCGCAAGACGTTCGATACGAATGTTTTCGGTACGGCGGCCGTGACGGACGCTTTTATCCCGCTGCTGAGCAGGGCGCAGGAGTGGAATGCGAAGCATCATCTCCCCGGCGGTGGGGGCGTTCGGCGGCCCCCGACCATCGTCTTTATATCTTCGACACTCGGCTCCATTACCGCCCGCGTCGATCCCGCAGGGCCCTATGCGGAGACGGATATGCACATCTACCGTGCCAGCAAGGCGGCTGTTAATATGCTCGCGGCGCACTATGCAAGTCGGTTCCGTGACCAAGGGTGGAAGGTCAATGCCGTGTGTCCCGGGTATGTCAAGACGGATATGAATGGTGGCGAGGGGGAGATTACGGTCGAGGAGGCCATGCCGCATATTGTGCGGGTGTGCACGCTGGGGGAGGACGGGGAGACGGGGACGTTCACCGGGAGGGACGGCAAGCTGGAGTGGTAGGTTTTGTCGGATGTGGGTGGGTGGGAAGTCTGGTGGCGGTGAAGGAAGGCGAAGGATGGTGTTCCCCGTGGTATGCTTTGGAGCGAAGGAGCAATGGAATATCACTTGCTCAACGTCGGTCGAATAATGCGTGGTAGGTACATGTCTCCATGGTGGTGCTATGGGCGAAGAAGATTGTGACAGACGGAGACCATGGCAATGGACTCGGACGGTGCTCTCGACGGGCGCCTGTATCCTAGATGATGCAGCATAGAAATCTAATATCCCAAACATAAGCATTGAAGTCATACCAGATCATCAATGGGCACACCTCTCCCAATGCCCGGAACGCCGAACCCTGGTGTACAAGCATGGGATACAGACATCCAGTCAGAACTCCAAACATGGCTTGATGCGAAAAGGGAAACCCATGAAACGAGTGACTGCCGGTTATATCCAAACTCCCCGACAGGAATAAGACTGTCTCTCTAGGCACCCAACTCTTTATTAGGTTCCAACTCATATCGCCCCTCGTGGAGTCCTTTCAAGGCTTTCTCACCTTCCTCTGTCAGATTTGGCTTGCCAACGGGCGTCACAGCACCTGTGAAGAAACGGGGTTGCCATTCCTTGCCCTGTGCTTTACGTTCGGCTGCCTTTGCCCTCTGCCGCTCTTCAATCTCCTGTTTCAGCGATGTGGCTAACGAGTACTGCTTGTTGAGGATCGCATTGGTAACGTTGTTCCAGAACTTGAGCGACTCGTTGGGGAGCTGTTGTTCCATAGGTGGGATGACTTTGGGGACCGGGTGAAGGGGGTGGAGGTCAATCAGCAAGATTTTCTCCTGCGACCTTGTCAGGTTACAAATCTAGAGGTACTTAGTCGGACTTACGGAGGACTTGTTAAAGGGCTGACTCCCGAGGGTGTAGTAGATCTTGTCTTGCCAGTTGCCTTCGATCCGTGCGAGAACGAGCTTGTCAGGGACATCTCTAACCTTGCTCATGGTATCATTGTCAGGATCGTAGGTGAAGATGGCACCAATAACCTTATTTTGTGCCCGTCCTAACCATCCCTCCTCGAGATACTCTAATATGACCTTTATCTTTGTCTTCACGCAGGTCACATAGCATGTGTCCGCAACCGAGACGCTAAGGGAGCCTGCTCACAGTCAGCAACGACATGCACGGCGCGACAGCAACCAATGTCCAGGACCTCGAAGGAGACCTCCCAAATATGCAGCGGGATGGGTCAACTGATACTCCTCGTTGTCGCGATTCTGCAGCGTGATGAAAATGCCGAGATTGTGTGCTCCTGCTATTACTCGTATGCTCGTGCCGGTGAACTTTGCACTGAGTTGATCGTATCCGCGGGCAACGATGCCCTTCTGAGGGCAGTCAATATAGAAGGCCGAGACGGGAGGATGATGTGAGGTCTGCTCGGTGAGGTAAGAAACTTTGATGACTCTGTTCTCGCCCGAGGTGCTTGTGGAACTGCTTGAGGGAACCGAGCTGGGCGTGTGCTTGAGAGGAGGGGACGAGTCCTCGACTTCCCAGTTACACTGAAAATGTTAGTCGCGAATGACATTGTCTCACGCGAGAGGAGCCTCACCCTAAAGAATTCACCGAGTGTGGAGTTGTAAGGTTTGCAGGGCTTTCCCTTGACATATTTCTGCATACCAGTCAGTTCCACCTCCCCTTATAGAATCGTTGCCTGTAGCGCACCAAATCCTTTGTGAACCAAAATCGCAGGGTCCCGAGCATACGGCCGAGGGGTTCGTCCGAGTCTCCGATACTGATAAACGTCTCGGGTCGGTCGAGATAGTTCCAGTACTCTGCAGGGCGTCAGTCAAACCCTCGATATTCAGGCGTGTCGTTGGGTTAGGGCATACCAAGATTCGGCGTGGGTTCCAGCAGGTGTGCGGGGAGAGAAAAGCGGACGGAGGCGAGATCGGCTACACCGATGAACCTGATGGAAGTCAGACTGGCTCCAAGCACTTGTTCCACAACTTCTCCATACTTCCGCAACACGCCGAGGAACGTCTTAAGCTTGGACGTGTCGTCGGGCGGCTTCTCGACTTGGGTACTGGACGGTGCCGTGGGCTCGACAACCCCATTTGCCGCAGAGGGCCCTACGTTGTTGGATGGCTGGACCATGGAGGAGGGGAAGAAATATTGATTCGAAGGTGTCGGCGATGTAAAAAGTAGATTGCGGGTGTAGGCGGGGAGGGGATCAAGGAGTTGGAGGGGTGAGAGGCTGTGTTGAAGCTGCAAGGGATAGCTCTACGCTGTACTGTTCGTGGATTCGTCCAACTAGGCTTCCAGAAGTACGCTCGTCGTCGTCGTCGTCGTCGTCGTCAGAAGTCCCAAGCATCGACTGTAGGCCGTCGTTTGGGGGTGGGCAGGCAATGCAGGGGCCACACACGCCCTCCGCGGATGGAACTGTTGTGGTACTTTTAGGCCAATTTCTGACGTACCGATAACCTTATCGTGTCTTGGCGAGGTTAAGACTGACGTCCAGTGGTCATGAGGGACAATTACTATGTAAAAGCGTCAAGAGACGACTATGAGTTAGTTATATTTTACAACACGCAGATGGAGGAAGTGGGGGCACTTGATCGCAGACCGACGGAAAGTACTTATCATTATCCATCCTTCACTGCCTACTTATCGCCGTGCGTTTCTCGTTTTAGTCCCTGAACATTGTAACCGCGGCTTTGACAAGGGTCGTGGCGGTGAAACGGCATCCAATCGCTGGGCCACCACCTGCCAGTGCCACATTCCATTGCGTGCCAACCGCCTGGCTATACCATGTGCTTCATCGTCGTACGGAAAGGGAGAGCATTCGTGTAACGAGGCAGTGCTGGTGAGTCCACGTGAAGACATCCCCTCACCCACCATCACTCTGCGCCACCCAGGCGCGGGATGTGAAACCGATCTTCCCGCGGTGCGTGTTTCTGTACCGCAGCTCACCTTTAGCACTGATACTGTACTTTTACAGTACAACGTCATGCCCCTCTCGGCATACCCGTCCGAGAGCGAGTGTGTGCTCAACTCCTGTCCATCTAGCATGCCTGGCCTCAACCTCAATTGTCACGCTCTTGCCAACCGCCGATGTCGAATGCATCAGGTACGTCGGTCAGCATCTCCACCTCGTACCACTCCTCCATGGGTCCGCTAGGGCTGGAAAGACGTTCGATGACCACGAACATATCTGCATACATCAGCATCGACGGTTCCAAGTCGACAGGTTCCGTCCGTATCATGACACTATCCGAGTACTCCCCGTCTTCACTGCTCAGCAGAAACCTGCGGTTCGGTCCCCGCCCCTGCTCGATACTCAATCGCCATGGGTTTCCACTTCGGCTGACCTTCCTCGCCCGCTGCGTGTGTGTGTTGGCCGCTTTCAGAGACTGAGCGGCCATTGTGACCGTCACCAGTCGCCGCGGCCGGATCGGAACCGCTAGCTTGTGAACCCCCGGTGCAAAGCGAGCTGGAGCAATTTTCATTGCCAAAAGTCCTGCCCCATCGCGCGGTATGGCTTTCAATACCACTTCATCAGTGCTGTCGACCCGTAAAACGTAGTCTCCCGTCTTTTCAGCTTCGAAGAGAGAGCATATGACCGTGTAAAGCCCCGGTTGAAGATCCTTGCACGAGGCGAATGCGCATCCTCCCTTGTAGTTGCCCGAGTCGGCCACTACATCTCGACTTTGCAGGCGATACACCCGTTTCCCACGGCCTAATGTAAGCTTCACATTGAGCGGGTTCGAGTGCGTCGTACTTGTCAGCAACATGGCCAGAGAGGTCGGATGTCGAACTTCCAATGCATACTGAGGATTCCTGTAGTAGGTCGGTGTCTGAGCATCTCCACCAGCTGTATGGCTGGTCCATGCACCTTGGACGACCTGCTGGCAAGGATAGAACCTTGTTGCTGGTTCGAGAGACAGCTGCGCATTGGAAAATGCCGATAGAGAAAAGGTACATGTTCCCTCCGGAAATTCGTCCTGATCAATCACCACTGTATAGGTCTTCCCCGCTTGTGGATCCCATCGCAAGAGGCATTGAGGAGTATTCACATAAGGTGCGCGCTCCACATCCAGATCTTTGACGTACATATGCTGTCCCTTGCCGTCATAGACTGAGATACTCATGAACCCCTCTAGTACGTCTCCCGGAGGGCGATGGGTGTCTTGTGGACCAGCTCCGTGTGCGGACTCATCGTTCGGGTTTCCAGGTCTATCACGGAAATGCCGAGAGAGCAGAAAGTAGACGATATCCGTACCTTTTGATGCGAACGCGAATTGAGGCTGGTTGGCAATGCATGTGCCTACTCGCCGATTGGATTCACCATCGAGGGTCCATTCGAAATGTATATCTTGGCGATGACGGAACAAGCCTGGGTTCCAGTTCAGGTATAGACGCTCGTAATGTTGTATGACTTGGTGAAGCCCGATCCAGAACGTTGTCGGTTGGCCGCTGCCGCTGGATGGAGCAATCATGGCAGTGCCATCAGTAGGTTCGGGAAGGGATTCACCCTGGGTCTGTCCATCTGTAGTGTGGTCCCCACGCCATCCCTTGCCCTCCAACCAAGGGTTCTTGACAAGGAACAACCGGTCGTCATCCGTTTCTTTCATGTCCAATACCACATAGCTGTGCTGACTCTCCAAGCCAAACTCGTACTCCTGCGCATGGGACAACTTACCAGTCCCCAGCGTGACTAGAACGTCTCCATGTCGGAATGAGTTGTATATCCGCCTCCAGAGCTTATTGGGGACGGTCTCCGCCCTTCATTCTTATGTGAGCAACGCTATAACTTGTCCAAGAGGGAACTTACTCTTGCAAATATACTTCTTCCGGTATCCAACCGGTCAATGTCCATAAGTCGTTACAAGAATTACTTCCCGGAAAGTCATAGCCACCCCGGGTTTTAAGATATGCCTTCTCTATGAGGGCTGGCCACAACAAGGATGGATTGTGTCGATCGATGACGTGTAGGAGTCGGTGGGTTTTAGACACAGGCAATCGATCATCGATGACAACCTTCCGCCAGCAGCCGTTGAAGTTCAAGCGTACAACATATTTACCATTCGGAGACAACAGTGGGCAGCCGCTCTTTTCATCATATGGCCAGATGATTTTGGAGAGCAGCTGTTGAATTAGCCACGGATTTCAGAGGGGCTGGCGCACCGAACCTGATCATGGCCCCGCTCAGCTCGAGCAACAGCAGCACATAGGCTGGCTACGACAGAGCAGTCTGTTGCTGCGTCTTGGACGAGGTCAATAGGAGGGTCAGATACCATCACCGGGCCCCGGCCATTCTTGCCATGAGGATACATCGAGGCAGGCGGGAGAGCTTCAGCAGCGCGCACCCATCCTGCGAATAATTCTTGCTGATAGGAAGACAGACTGAGATCGCGAGAATCCCTATTGATTTGAGCGGCGAACAATTCTCGGGTGCTTCTTGCTTCTAGACGTACATGAATGAGGGAGCTCCATCTATTACCGAGAATTCATCGGGGGTTGGATTCTTCTCCCAAGGTGGAAACTTGAAGCCGTTGACAGCTGACGCCTTCAGCATAATGATACTTTCCCGGTTTGAGCGTTTTCGGGTCGACACTGGCTCTTTAGGACGAAAGATCGTAGCAGCTGGAGGAACGGCCCTGGACGCAGCGTCCATGGCATCCCTAGATTCCAGAACCGGAACTGCCTTCTCCTTGAAAGTCCTTTCTGCGTCAGTGCGTGCTGGTTCGCCTCTGAACCCTAGAGTGCCCTTGGTGACTGTATCTGTTGACGAAGACATGGACGAATTGACAGAAAGGTTGACAGGAGGAGAGGGTGAGCTCAAATCAGGACCAGAGCGTTGATTTGAGCTTGGGAAGGGGCCGCCTCTTAGCGAGGCTGCAGTAGGTCTTGCTGCTGGGGTCCATTCAGAGGCCTTGATCCGCTCAGCGGCACTCATCATGTCTTGACACTCCAGCCTCAGTACCTTCTTCTCGGCTGAACCCGCGAGCTTCATGGCTTCCATCAAGTTCTCGGCCGCGTTGATGGCCAGCCGAAGGGCCTCGTCCTTGCTGGTAGCATACCGTAGCTGCGACTGAGCGGTCTGCGGGCCGAAAGTAAGCACATATGAATTTCTCTAGGTACCTCCTCAGCGGCTGCGGTGAGTAGTGGCGACTGACACTTGCGGCACGCCTGTAAGCTTCAAGCTGTTCCTTTGAGTCCTCCATGTCGCCCGAGAGGCCGAACACGGGTTTTGGTCAACCAAATCTTGTGAGCACGGTAGTCCGTCCCTGGCTGTCATGTGATTTCCTCCGCCATCCTTCCAACCTTGAAAGGTCGTACCGCGCGATGAGGTGTGGTTTGTAGATACTGCGATGCCATCTGTGGTGTTGAGGTTGGAGTCAAGCCTCCCACTAGCGCATCCAGCACGTGAGCACCCGAGAGGATGTTGACGCGACTGATTGGTTCCTGGGCCATTATGCTACTCCCACCTTCCCACTCGCGTCCGTCAACATACGTTGAACTCCTAACAGCATTAACTTCTCTGCTCCTCTCATCACCTTATGGATCCACGAAAATACAACTCCCAGAACTATTCATCTCGAGGAGCACCCCGCGGTGCACGGGCGCATGATGATGTCGCAAATCTTGGCAGCCTCTGACATTGAACCTCGGTCTATTTCGGAACTCGACAACCTCTCCTCCATCGGGCTGGGGAACGTCTTGACGGCTTCCCGCCCGTTTCTCCACACGTCGGTGACCTCCCGGACTCGTATTTTCTTCTTCCCCCGGTGTTGCTTCGTTGTTGTTGCCATGAGATAGCACTTCTGCAGCGCAATCTATTTCTTTACCCCTCTGCGACAACCCCGGAACTGTTGCCGTGCTCACAAGCCGTGCCATCCTCCTCGGCTTTCTACAGATAATACACGACCACAATGGCAGGACAGTCCAAAGTAGAGATTTTGCCGCCATGGGGCAACGCAATCGCAGGCTCTGCTGGCGCTGTTATCGCCAATGCGCTGGTTTACCCGCTGGACATGTGAGTACAATCGTTTGATGCGCAGTCTTCGGCGACACACGACCCACGAGTCCAGCACGGAAAGGAATCGCTGCTAACGGCTGGAATCAGTGTGAAGACGAGGCTCCAAGTCCAGATGAAGCGCCCTCACTCCGCCGACTCCAATCCCGCCGACGACCAGCACTACCACTCGACTATCGATGCTATTTCCAAGATCGTTAAAGCCGATGGCCTCGGTGGGCTCTACGCTGGGATGGCCGGTTCGCTGATTGGCGTTGCTTCCACCAATTTCGCCTACTTCTACTGGTACACGATCGTGCGTGGTCTCTACTTTACGTACCGTAAGACGACCAGCGCGCCGGGCACTGCTATTGAATTGGCGCTGGGAGCGGTGGCTGGAGCCGTCGCGCAGCTCTTCACGATACCCATTGCGGTGGTTACAACGCGGCAACAGACTGTCAGCAAGGCAGAGCGAAAGGGCATGTTGGCAACGGCCAAGGAGGTCATTGATAGCGAGGATGGCTGGACCGGTCTGTGGAGGGGGATGAAGGCCAGCTTGGTCCTTGTTGTAAACCCTGCCATAACATACGGTGCCTACCAGAGATTGAGGGAAACTCTGTTCCCTGGAAAGAAAACCCTCCGACCCACTGAGGCTTTCTGTGAGTATCCCAGCGTCACAGGCTCCTGAAAGTCGCCTAACATCCTTTCAGTACTCGGCTCTCTGTCAAAGATGCTTGCAACCATTGCTACCCAGCCCCTTATTGTGGCAAAGGTCGGCCTGCAGTCCAAGCCACCGCCCGCGAGGAACGGCAAGCCTTTCAAATCATTCTCGGAGGTTATGAGGTTCATCGTCGAGCACGAGGGTCTTCTTGGCCTGTTCAAGGGCATCGGTCCTCAGATCCTGAAGGGTTTGCTCGTGCAGGGCTTCCTTATGATGACCAAAGAGAGGTATGTCGAATTGTTGGAAACACTAAGAAGACGCTAACATGTTCATCAGAATCGAATTGATGTTCATCCTTCTCTTCAGATACGTCCGCCAGCTACGCGCAAAGCAACTGCAGAAGCTCGCCGATATCGCTGCTGAGAAGGCCAGGCAGAGCGCTCCTGTTCTGGTGAAATAGAGGGGAAAAGTCGTTGTCCGCATTGCATCTTCTTTCGGTTCCAATGCTCTTCGTGTAAATGTTGCATCTCTGGGGTTTTTTCTAGCCCTATTTCTGGGAAAGTCATGTGCTATCTAGACGAGGTAAGCTTGTGTTACAAGCTCTAGACTTGGTCGTTCCAGCTAGGCGTTTGGTAATGCTAGGTATATATCTCCTATGGAAGGCTGTTATGAACATGATTTGCTCACGTACCATTCCTCATTCATAGGTTGGATTCCACCAGTCCTGCTCGATGGCGTCTATCTAAGTATGTTTACCTATGTCAAGCTGCAAAGTTGTTGCTCGGGGCTGATTAAGCGACTCACGGGTGTACTGTAGAACCATACGGTCCGGGGTTCTGCGGAGTCGAGTCGAATATCAGGGGAGAGGATGGGGATGGGATGGGATGGGATGTTTCAGGGTTCCCAGCCCCAGCTCTGTCTCAACAGGTATCCCGATCGGATTCCCTATCTTGCGGTGTTCGACAATGTAGATGATGCAGGATTGGGGGGCTATGGAGTGAAGTGCGGTAATGCCCAATTAACGCGTCCATGGCTGCGATGTTATATTGTCGTAGAAGGATATCTCGTTCCCGTCTGCAGGAGTGGTGCTAATAGGCGTTTTCATTGACCGCGCCCTTTGCATTGTCCAGCACTCACGGCGAGACGACTTCGCGAAGACTGCATATCGTAGTGGTTCGTCTGATGTGTAGCGATGGTTGAAGCTGGGAGTGTTTCCAGGTCGTGTGGCGTGGCATGTTCACGATATCGGAAAGACCGCATATCGTGGCGAGAATACTCTGAAACTCACCCTTTTTGGAGCTTGCAAAGGTCTTGGGTCGTATAATGTGCATTTAGGCATATCTTAGGTGAGAAGCAAGTCAGTAGGTACCATGACCTACGACTTATGATCAGACAGGGGCCTGCATCCAACAGCACTGTGTTGGAAGCACGTATTTACCTCGAGTAGACAAACCAACTACCTCCTCAACGCGCGCAAGAAGGAACAAAGAACTCGGAACATAGACTTCTCATTTCACAAACGAAAACCGGGTATTATTGATTGCAGACATTATACATTATATCAAAGCCTTCTTCCAGACGCCGATCTCACTATCTGCTCCTTGACCTCATACCCCATCTCGAAATCCTCCGCCGCGGGGCCTCCAATCACCACCGTCGACGAAGCCGTCGTATTCGGCGCAAGCGCGAGCGCTACGTCGTCGTTTTGTCTCACGTACGCTCCTTGGGGGCGGTATTTTTTGTCGCTTTTGGGTGTGCCGTGGGTGTAGCGTTGGCCGGAGGGGTGGGTGGAGGGGCGGCGGCCCATGCAGAGGCCGTAGATGGGCTTGAGGGCGGGGATGGAGCCGCAGACGATGGAGAGAATGATTTCGATGCTGTCGTGGTTCGTGTTAGGGAGAGTGATCTAAGCGACAATGGGGGTTTTTTTACGTACCCAGTCCACAGGAAGAGGGAGAAGGTTTCCCAGGTGAAGTCTGACCGGGCGTTTAAGCCGTTAAGCTTCGTCGTCTTGATAGCTGCGGATATTCCCGTCCTGGAGGAAGTCAGTATTAGTGAGCATTTGACGCAACACCAACGAGAATGCTTACAAGCAACCACAACCCAGCAGAGCGCAAAGAGCCACCCTCTTCCTGAGATCCGTCTTCAACCGCCACACAAGCGTGACGGGCACCAGCGCCAGGAAGAAGTCCACAACAGCATGCATGCTGGCCCCATAGATGGAAAAGCTACTCTGGATCTTCGGGTCCCAGCATTCGGTAGTCTTCTTGATTTCCGAATCCCACAAAGCGGCGGGATTCTTGCATTGTACAAAGGTAAAGATTATCATAAGGATGGTGTTGATGGCAGTCAAGGCGCTGAAAAAGTAAAGGCTCCAGCGGCGCCAGACGGACGAGCGATTGAGTAGACGAATGATAAGGAAACCGACGGCGATTTTGCTCAAGCCGAGACAGAGAATGGCGAAGGGTTGGGCGATCCAGTTCAGTTCTAGGATATAGTTGGTGCGCGCTTGGTCGTTGGAGAGGTACGCGAGATGTCTGGTGCCGCCAGTGAGGGAGAACATGCTCACCAAGACTGTGAGAGGTATAAAAACGATCTGAGATGGCGTGTCAATGATTGTACTACCAAAAAGAGTTCATATCAAGACTCACCCAACTTGCGAGCATACACCAGTCGTCTATGCCCACGCCGGCAATGCTATACCTGGCCGTCAATCTCATGGCGACAAACACAAAGGAAATGGCGCATCCAGCAATGTAGGCCGCAGCCAGTCGTGGCCCTCGATCCTCATCAGGATACCCGTGTTGTTGAACCATTGTTTTTCGCAGTGATCGGAGATGTAGTGGGGAAGATTGGCCAAAGGAGGCACCCGAACATCCACCAAGCACTTCAACCTTATCGATGAGGCTTTCCACAAGTGCCGATCGTTGAACGGCGCTTCACAAACTCGTCTTCTTCACCCAGCTTCCAGAAACCCCGACATGTGAGAAACGGAATTCTTTTTGGCAAATGTGCGCCTCTCCTTCACAACAGCGGGAACCGCCCTCTTCAGTAGGCTCTCATCCTCGCAACGAGTCATGCTGCACAAGCATCGCCCAGTGTTGTCCAGCCTCGCCATGGCACAGGTCCGAGGAAGCATGACCGCGGATGGGTTCCTGGGAGCTAAAGACGTTGTTAAGCTCACATTGGGAAGGCATCGACATACCAAGACGCTGCCATTCGCACGAGGCTGCTCGGACTCTGATACACGTCCCCTTTCGTCGTGCATTAGCGTCGGGGAAATTCCCCCCCTTACCGACTGTGGTAGTCCTATCTAGGGGGATTCTTGTTTTCCCCACAAAAAGTGACCAGACCCTCCAACATCAATTGCCCCTCAGCCGCTGGGCATTGTCATTATTTCCCAGCAAGATGGATTCGAGCTGACAGCGGGACGATGCATAAGGTGGACGCTGCAAGTTGGGTGAAATCAGCTTGTTTGCCAGAGCAATAATGCTGTTTCTCATATCCGCTCAATACACAATGCTCGACTTTTCACAGTAGTGGTCACGAGCATGAAAAAAAAATCCTTCGTACCAGTACAAGTAAGATGGAGCTGGGCTCTTTCAGTGCATCTCGACCGAGGGATCTGCATTTGTGAATTTATGGGAAAAAGCAAATACATAATGCAGCAAGGGTCAAGGGGTCCAAGCCCGCTCTCTAGTCACTAGCGAGCTTTTGAAGTGGTCTGGATATCAATGGTCCCAGCCCTGGAGCGTGGTCCGCATTTAGGAAATTTTGAACCCAAATCCACTCACGAATAATGGGGCGATGGTAGAAATTGCTCTGACTCGTTGAGCGTGGCAAGGGAAGCCGAGAACAACGCATGAAATGCCACAAGGAAAAGGCATCTCACTCACGATAACCACTATTTCGAGTACCCCTTCGCCTTGCAACCAGCGAAGGCGTGGGAGGGGAATCATTCTCATTCGTTTTGCACCCAGAGCCATTGCTGCATGAACACCTGCCGGTCCCGTTCCCGTCCAGGAATCCTCTCCAACGCCGTAGCCCGGTCCAGTGACCGGGTCTCCATGCAAAATACCATCATTTCAAACGTGACACATGATTGTCGTTGCCCTGCTTCTACGCAGGTTGTTCGAAAGCCCTCCTGATTACCCTGCCAAATTCTGTGTTCAGGTTAGTGAGGCGATCGACTCCTTCCCACCAAGCCAACTTACGATCAAACTTGACGTTTTCCCTGACTACCGTGCCCTTGGCCTCATTTTCCTTGTTCAGCGGCACCTTGACCTTGGTACCGTCAATCTCCCATCCGCATACCGTCCCGACGAAGTGCTCAAACTCCTTGCCCTGCAGGTTCAACCACGACTCCAGGATGCTTCTCTCGATTTCCCGTATCGCTTGGCTCACAGTCACTGCAATCCGCACCCGCATCAACTCCTCGAAACCAGAGACATCGGCCACCAGATCCGCATAGAGGTCGTCCGAGTCCAGCGTGCTCCAGAACGCCGCATAGTCTGCTCCGCCCAGCAGGTTGTTCAAGATGTTCAGCTTCTGCACTGCCTCAGATAGCGGCGCATCTCCAGCGGCGGGAGTGTGTGCGGCAGAGGAGAGAGGTGCCAGTGTGTGAGTGGGAAGAAGCGAGAGGGCGAGGGAGAAGTCGGGGTTAGGAAAGACGGTAAGGGACTTGACGAGGATGTTGGTAATGGTCTCATCGCGAGCTAAGTGAGGGTTGAACTGGTATCTAGAGCATATGTGGTCAGTCATGCTCATATATGCATGCGCGAGTATTAAAGTAGGAGATAAGTTCATCAGATAGAGCTAATAATTTCCACTTCAGCGGGGGGAGTGATTCAAGCTCCGATCCCTCGGGTAATAGGAAACGTTGTGGTATGGTATTCATCATACGAAAAATATCGCCATAGCAGAGGAGAGAACCTGACTTGGGCATCGAAAAGGGTATCACCTACAGCTTCAACAAAGCCAGGTTCGCGTAGCAGTCGTACGTCTGATTCTCGCACTGCTGCATCACATAGTCCTGGAAAACAGCCGTTGTCTCGGGATTGTACCGGTCGAGGCCATTGAGGATCTGATCGATGTGTTCCGGCCGGTCAGGCGCATAGTCGAAGGGACGCGACATGGTTGCTTGTTGCGGGGATGTTGCGACACCTCGTTCTTGGTGGTGGGAGTTGGAGGGATTTTCCAAAGTTGACTGTGGAGGGGTGAGTAAGCGGATACCAGCCACCCACATCAAAGGATGCGCCACACGTCTGTTATCGATAGCGAAGCCCAAATTTATCTTCAAACACAGCAGTTCCCCTCACGTCCAAATATATCATACCGCCACAATGCCGCCTTACGACAGTGATTCCTCGGATGAAGGCGAAGATTACACTGAAACCAATGTCCTCCTAGGCTATGTCACCAACGAACCGACTAGCGACAAATCACATCTTGGTGGAACACCAGTACGCCTTCCAACCCCACTACTACTTTGTGAACATTCACTAACATCTACACAGACATGGATTGACGACAAAACAGCTCCGTCAGGTGCCTTTGCGAAGTGCAAAGTATGCAATGGCCTCATGACTCTCTTGCTGGAACTCGATGGCAACCTCCCTGAACAGTTTCCCGGCCACGAAAGACGGCTTTACATCTGGGCGTGCAAGCGCAAGGCATGTAGGAGAAAAGACGGCAGTGTAAGAGGCATACGCGGCGTACGGATAGCCAAGGGAGCCGGAAGCCGAGCGGTCGCACCCAAGTCCGAGCCCAAGCCTGAGAAACAGGAAGAGCCGAAACCCATGCCACAGATCGGTGGTTCTCTCTTCGGCGTCAAGGACTTAGGCACTCCAGCGGCAGCCGCAAATCTCTTCTCGAATCCCTTTTCCATTGGTGCAAGCGGGAAAGCACCTGCAAACCCCTTCTCCTCTCCCAAGGCTACTGTCAATCCCTTCTCAACATCCACTCCCTCAACGAACAACCCTGTGCCAGAAGCCTCCCCCTCAACGTCCTCATCCCAACTTCCTCCAAGCGGCGAGCACAACGAACCCTCCAAGTCCGACTCGACCACGTCCTCTCTCCCAGAAACCTTCGCTTCCAAAGTCCGCCTGAACTCACCCCCAACAACACCCTCTCCAACTCCCCGGCCCCACGAACCTTGGCCGACCCTCTCTTCCTTCCCCCAACCCTACCCCTCTTATGCTCTAGACGCAGAATACGAGACCCTCGACGCCCCCTCGAGCCTTCCCATCCCCGCTCAAGCCCGCATGGACATCGACGCCGAGGGCTCCAGCTCCTCCGGCGGAGGCGGCAAAGAAGACAAAGAAATCTTCGAGAGCACGTTAGACAAAACGTTTCAGAAATTTGCGGACCGCGTCGGGCAGAATGCGGAGCAAGTGATTCGGTATGAGTTTGGAGGGAAGCCGTTGTTGTATAGCGACCAGGATGCGGTGGGGAAGATGCTCGCGGCGCACGCGGACAACGCGTCGTCCAACGCGAAGGTCACGACGGCGGGGAGTAGGAATGGTAGTGGGATGCCTAGATGCGCGAATTGTGGGGCGGAGAGGGTGTTCGAGGTGCAGCTTATGCCGCATGCGATTACGGAGCTGGAGGCGGACGAGATGAGCATTGAGGGCATGGAATGGGGCACGATTATCCTTGGGGTGTGTTCGAGGGATTGTAAGCCGCAGGATGTGGCGGAAGGGGAAGTAGGGTATTTGGAGGAGTGGGTGGGAGTGCAGTGGGAAGAGGTGGCTTCGAAGAGGTAGGAGATGTCTGTTGGCGTGGGAAGTGAACACCACATTTTGCATAACTTGGCAATATACACTTCAATTTCGCGGGCTTACTTTTTCGTAAGCTAAGTCACGCCGTTTCACTTCCATCAAATGTCTGATTGATATCCTTGGTACTCTCCATCCTACCGTCCCTCTGATGTCTTGCCTGCACTCTGCCCCGTCAATCGCCCTACGTTGCTCCCCCAATAACCCAAATCTCATTCGTCGTATCGCTCGTCATGAACAACTTCCCACTAGGACTGAACGCCACATTGACAGGCCTAAAGCAGCGATTCGGGCACTGTTGCGTATTGGCATTGTACATGATATTCACGGCGGCGGTCGTCGACGTGGCGGGCTCGACGGGCATGCCGGTAGCAGGGTTGAATTCCACGCGCGAAAGGCGGAAGCCATCGGGCGGGGATTTGTTCCTGCGAAAGCCGCAGAGTTAGTCTGGACCTTGTGACGGTGAGGGAAGAGGGAGAACACCATAGCTGGAGGCTGGGTCAAAGCACCCTGGGGAAGGAACTCCAAGAGAAACAAACGCCAACTCACCACGACCCATGGAAAGGAATATACGCCGCGCTCCCATCCGCATTGAACTTGACATCGAGCGGCGCCGTATGGGCTGGAAAGCACAACCTCGGCGCCTTCCTGGCCTGGCACACGGCATCGGTATTCTGACCAGCGGGACTGCCCATTAGGAACGGGGTGCCGACTTGGAGGCCCTGGGCCGCGGCGTTGGGGATGACGGAGGGATCCCAGACGGCGTGGCAGTCCGGGTAGCCGTGGTGGCCTCCGCGGTCCGGGTCCGAAGTTGTGTTGATTTGCCCGTGGTAGTTGAGTTCCTCGCACGGGTTGGTGTGGTGGATGTCGCGGCCTTCGCGTTGCATGTCGTCGACGCCGTTGTCGACGGACCACTGCGGGAGAAGGGGAGTTAGTATGGGGTTTCGCTGTGAAGTAGTTCGAGGAAAAAGGGGGGGAAGGGGGAACATACGATTCCGCCGTTGGGATGCTCGCCGACGCCGACGGTGTTTCTCAGGCCCCATGCTAGGACTTCTCCTTGGAGGTAATCGACAGGGGCGTTTTGTATCTGGGAGATCTTGAAGGCGCGGATTTGGCTGCGGCCGGTGTTGACTTGAGCTGCCGCAGTGTCGACGTTGTCTTGGGAGCCTCGCTGGACGAGAAGGGTGTCCGGTTGGGCACGAGGGATCAGCAGAGTACGCGAGAGGTGGAAGCCGCCGTTGCGCATATTCTGCACTACGGTTTTCTTGTTGGAGACGGTGCCTGTTGTGCCGTCGTAGTCCCAGGACCAGACGGTGGTCAGGGAGGAGACGAAGAGTTTCTTGCCGTCTGGTGTGAGGGCGATACCATGGTTGATCTGTGTCCGTGAGCTTCTATCTCCCTGGTGTACAGCAACGAGGTAAAGAGCATTTTGACTTCCAGTGACGGGTAACGGTCAGGAGAAGTCGATAGTTACATCTTGTATCTCGCCAAATCCGTCCAACGAAGAAAGTCAAAGCCGCCAAAAGCCAATCTGAACTGGTCAACATACCGAGGAGTCCGCAATCAACTGCTTGCTAGACTTGACGCAAACATTCGTGCCTCCATAGTCGTTCAACTGGATATACCTCACTCCATATCCACCCTGCTCCGTAGTCAAAATGTTACCCTGGTTATCGAAAATAATACCGCGAGGCGTCCTCAATCCATTCATAACCACCCGCCCAGAGTAACCAGAGGCAAAGGTAGCCTGCTGTGCAGGGTTGATAGTAGGGCAATTCTGAGCAAGAGCCTGCGGCAACAATGCCGCAATGGCCAGAAGCATGTTGGTTGCTCCGACCATGATGGGCAGACAAAAAGTGGAATTATTTTGGTAGCTCCCAGATTCGACTTCGGGGTAATGGAGCACAAGACGCGCAGACTGGGCATTATATATCTCTGGAATGCCAAATACCTGGAAGAAGCAGCCAAGGCATGAGTGCTCTCTTTCATCATGGATCAAGACTGTTGCGCCTACATACATAGCACATGGCATCACAGCCAAGTCTCTTGTCTCCCTGAAGCTATCTTCATCCAAATGAAAGCATTGTCTAACCAATAGCGATGCCGAGAGTCGCCATCAATTACCTCGTGGGGCCTTGAACTAACTATTCGACAAGAGTAAAATGGGTAAATGAACGCCGAGCCCTTGGTGGACTGTTCCAATGGCCGGAAGAATAGAGGCGGGGTGTAGTCCTCTGTAGAGAGAAGCCCATGGAGTACCAACCGTAGCCAAGAAAAGGAACCCGTCACTGGAAGGAGAAATGCTAATGTGAAGAAGCTTGTTTTGTTCTGGGCGAACGGTACTTGGTGTTTGAAGTGATTTTTACTGTAGCCATGTTTAAGGTTAATATGCGAAACAGGGACTTGGATGCGGGGGCGGCGTGATATAGATTGCCTGCGTCGTTGTAAGTAAGGAACCCTGCATTGAGCACCGCCATGCCATGGTGTTTGTTTAAGTCCTTGCTCGCGTACTTCCTCTTATAGTTAGCAGTGATTGTCACACCGCAACCAAGATTGTCATAGTCGCGACAATGCGGGTTTCTGGAGAGCTTGATCAACGAAGATCGTTTTCAGCAGACTTGACTGTGAAAGCGCGATGGTAGCCACCGTCGAGTTCCGTATATAAAGAAGTGTGGACAGGCAAAAGGGCATATATTTCACAGTGGAGATGAGATGGTGGAGGACGCAGGATAAACGAATCGGTACGGAGACCATATGATCTCTCATATCATATTTGCTCCATAGTCTCATAACGAACTAGATGGGTAAGACGGCATCCGGACTATCGCCACCTGTCAAGTTATTTTCTGCTTCTGTCACCAGTGTAAACCGAAAAGAGTGAGATTATAACTATTGATATTCAAAGCAACTGACGTCGCATGCATCGACACAGATATGATGTTAGAAAAGGGTATAACTATGATATATACATGAATCTTCGGGGAACGAAATCTTGCATCGACGGAAGCAGTGTAGCCGCGACGTTCCCATCGTGAACAACCGCCCCCATAAATCAACTACTCCACTCCGTTGAAGCGAAGAGGTCATCGCGGCATTGATCGCCAGAAAAAAAAGACCCGTGACAGAAAGCATGTAAGCTACTTCTCCTGTTTCGACTTAGAGAAACCAGCATACATCCAGCCTGGACAGAGTATTACGAAAGCACCCAAACGCCAGTCCATGCGCCAGTGAGATGAAGAGAATCTTCGTAATCAGGCAGCAGGTTCGTGCAGTGCGGTCTGATCCAGGAAGAGGTCGCACTCATGCGGATGTTGTAGGCAGTACTTCGGCATCAACGGACTGGCCTCGATACCATTTGCGACAAGATATTCGCGGAAGTTCAAGATGCGCTGCGTGAGCTCCGTGGTACGCTTGTTGCCATTTGCGTCGCGGTTCCCGGACCATACAAGCTCAGCCAGGGCGGCAGCACGCGGCCACATCTTCTGAGATACGACGACGCTGTCGACCTGCTCGGCCCATAATGGCGCAATGGCGCCCTGCACAAGCTTCTTCTGCTCGTCGGAAAGGCCCTCGGTGAAGTCATAGTTGTAAATGCGTTGCCACGTCTTGTACGGAGCGCACCACGAACCGCCGCCGCCGCCATAGTTGAAGTTGGGTGAGCCATCCGTCTTATTCGGGTTGACCTGCACATTGTAGCGTGGGTCATTGCCAACCCAACCGCCAAAGCCGCAGTCGAGATAGAAGAAGTCGGAGCTGGAGACAATCACACGGTAACCGTCTCGAGTGAGGTTGAAGACGTTCTCCGGCCCGTTGTTCCACGCTTGAATGACGATATCCTTGGGGACATTGCCAGTGGCGGCACTTTGGGCAGAAAGCTTGACATCATCCCACATGATGAAGGTCTTGTTTGCTTGCCTCCTGAAGTTTGGAATAGCATGATCGACCCAGTATTGGTATAGGTCACCCATAGACTTTCCAGAGTTGAAGAAGTCGCGCGCAAGCGAACTGAAGTTGTAGCAGTTGGTGTGCAGCTCGTCACCACCAATGTGGAACCACGAATCGGGGAATAGCTTTGCAACTTCCTTGTACACTTTTCCAGTCACTTCGTAGGTCTTGTTGTTGAGGATGTCGAGTTGACCTGGGTTGGGCTCGACGGCCGTGTGGAGCGCCCAGTTATCGTTTGACCACCAACTGTCTTCACAGGCCAGAATGTCCTTGTCCACTTGAGCCCAACCGGAGCTGGCATGGCCGGGCATATCGATCTCAGGGATGACGCGAATGCCACGCTCGGCTGCGTATTGAATGATGCTCTTGACGCATTCATGGGTGTAGATCTCGTTGGGGGAGTAGGCATCCTTCGTCATCTGAGGGTACTCATGGATCTCCAACGGCCAGGACTGCGACTCAATGATGTGCCAGTGGAGAACGTTGAGCTTTGAAAGCGCCATGCCGTCAATTTGTTCAAGGATCTTCTTCTTGGTCAAGTAGTTGCGGCCTGAATCTATCATAATGCCGCGCACAGGGTAGAGGGGCTTATCCTTGATGGAAACGGGTTGCTCCACAATCAGCTTGCCGGTGCCATCGTTGATGACGATCTGCTGCAGGGTGGTGAAGGCGTGAAGAGCTCCATAGACGGTACCGGCAGAGATAGTGATAGTATTGGAACCGGCACTGATGTCCAGAGTGTAGGACTCGTCAACTCCATGGGAGAGGGTCGCATGCAGGTCGCTAATCTGCACCTTTACAGTTGTGAGGGAAGCGGTGCCATTGGGATGGTTGTACTGTCTCTTCAGCTTCGCAGCAGTAGGCGTAGGAAACGGCTCGAAGGATCGCACAGGAGCCTCAGTGGCAGCGGGAATCCACTTGAGCTCTCTGATGGCGTTGGTGGCACGGAGGAATCCAGCTCTGAGGAGATCATGGTTTGGGGCGTTGAGCCTGAGCGAGCCTACAGCAAGCGGTCCACTGTTGCCCCAGGTGATATCCTGTGGTTTTGGCAGTGGGTTGGCAGCAACGGCAGCAGCTTCACGGGTAAAGAAGGCTGCAGCGGTGGCCACGAGGGCCGGTATACCATTTCGCATTGTAGTACTGCGCAAGTAGGAAATCGATACGAAAATACAATGACGGTGGAGATGCGTTCTAGGAGAAGTGAAGATGTTGGGTTGATGTATGTGGTGAGAAGAGTGGGCAAGTGTGGTGTTGAGGAGGAGAGCAGGTATGATATAATTATACGGGCCCCGTATTCATTACTGTGGTAGTGACAGGGGTAAGGTGGCTTTCCTGGTGCTCTTGACGATCCCTTTCCGACTGCTGACGGGGACCGTGCCAGGGCGAGGAGGATGCACTCCACGATTCCATGCAAGGCTGTGAAAGGCCGAGAAACGCCCACAAGTGACATTCACCGCACAGTAGGAGACACTGCAACTACCCACAACTCCCGCTCACCAGTCAGAAACTCCACTGTCGATAGCGTTCATACTGCTGCTGCAGATTTCCACAGCAAGCAAGCTTGAATAGCTTCCAGCGAGTGGCTCTCGTGAAATGCAACCACCCCGGCGGCCAACCCGTAAACGAATAAACGAATACAACGCTCTGTGCCTGTCCCTTCGAACAGCCCCCTCGCTTCTCCAATCCCCCGCCCGCCATCAGCGCAACTCAAGACGGCCCAAGTGCCCCCATCGCAACGCCTGCAACGCCTCCCGGACGTTGGCTGCGGTCGCTGAGCCCTGCAATGCAGGTTTGCGGGAGGCGCTAAAACATACGGCTGTCACCCAACCTCGTTGGAAGCCTTGCGATGTTTCGCGCATCTGCGTCTGGATCCCCTCCTGTCCCCGCTGAGGTTACACGCGTAGACGGGCACGCGTCCATGGCCTTGCAGATACGCGATGCAGGGAGCCTGGTGACAAGGTCAATAGTGAACAATCGCCTGCGCGTGGCCGAGGCCGGTGAGCGTTTTTGCTGCGTACTCAATTTGCGTTGTTTGCGTGAAGACTTCACATGCTTGGGCTGCAGAACCATTGCGAAAGGTGTTGTTGCTAGGTGGGCTTTGCTGACGAGCGAAACTTGTCACAGTGTGAACATGTCACTTTGATGATCTATTCCGGGTCTGAGTGGAAATGACAGGGGCATGTCATTGTCCGGAAAATCAGCTTGAAGGATGTGCCTTCCTGAATACTCCTAGTCCTGCTCAGGTATTGACTTTAGAGGATGAGCTTAGGATTTGTAGAGTTTGTCGCCGACATCTCTGCGCTCCGCACTGCTGCTGATGCATCATCAACGCTGATGGCATGGCTTAGCGTACTCCGTATTGGAGTGAGTGCATCTTCGAGAAAAGGCTCCATTCATTTGAATTGCTGACGGAGATGAGCGAGATAGCTCCCGTTGTTTCACATAGTCCGGTCATCCTGTCTCTACGCCCATAATCGCATCACGTCATACTTCAGGTACGCCTGCTACTCAGCCATCTGTAGAGGAAGGGAGCCCATATGTACAGAATTGTGGTGGGCCTCTGCCATAGAACGAACTCCTTCCAAGCCCTGCTTCCAACAGCAAAGACTAGTATTCTTCTTTGCTATCTGTCTGGTAGGAAAGTCTTCAAATACACACCGCATAGAGCTTCGAGCTGTTTCGAACGCTCGACACTTCTATAGAATACATCTTGCAAACTAAATTTCTGAAGGACCAGCGCTACTTCATCCCTTACCCTTGTACCTCTGTAGAGTTGTCTCCAGGCGCACTCGCTTTGATCTTCGACCAGTCCGGCGCAGGCACACTCAGAAGCCGACAGATGTCCTTCCTCCTCGCCCGAAAATCCTCATACAACCCCTTCCATATCTTCCGCTCCGCACACGTCCCCTGGTGGCTCCCTCCGCAATCCGGCTGTATCTCAGCGAGCCCTTCCAGCGGCCACATGATCCACGGCTTCGGAAGGGGCCAGTCACTAAAATGGACCAACTTCGCCTCGTCGTAGATCTTCTGCGCATCCCAAGTCTCCCAGGGATTCCCTAGATAGGCCGTGTGGTTCTTCTTCCGGAATTCGCCGCTCAGGAGCGCGTACGGCCGGTGGGGGAGTACGAGCGCGCTGTGCTCGAACCGCTCGTTGACGAGCTCCATGTCGAACTTGTGCGCTTGCACGATTGCGGTATCCCCGCCCTCCTGTATAGCGTCTTTGAATCGCTCGAATTCTTCGAGGTTCGGCTTGATGACCATGAGTAGAGAGGTCAGTGGTGGTGGGTCGACCTTGTACCAGTACGCCCGCGGCAGTGCGATCGGTGTGTCAGGGAGAAGGAAGAGTTCGTCGATGGGCTTGAGTAAGGTGATATCGGAGTCGAGCGCAATGACCCGGTCATAGTAGCCAAGGGAGAAGGCCATAAGCTTTGTTACAGACTTCTGCCAGGTGCCAGTGAAGCCGTCTGTAGGCCTACGAATTAGCCACGGAGGCAAGGAAGGAAGAATGCGTTCTGGTACCTCGCGTCCTCCCTTCCACTGTCAAAAGCTTGATCGGCTGAAGCTTAACATCGTACTTGTCCCTCGCAATCACGAGCAACTGGCTATTGCGATCGCGAGAGTCCGAAATCACTGTATCCCAGGCGTCCGGGTAAAACAGGACACGGTCGGCTTTGCTACCTAGCTTTGCGAGAGAGTCGAAAACTAGCACAGCGTGGCACAAGGTCGCGCCATCCGTCGCGTAGAGGCTGTATGCGTATTTCCTCCAGTTGATTCCGTCGCCTTCAGGACATGCACGCCTCGACCGAAGGAGCCACAGCACAAACAGGAGCCCAGTGAATACGAAGAGTACGTGACGGCGACGCCATTGGGAGGACGGAGGGTGTGGTATCACGAATCGCGGCAGCTCCGTCGACGGTTTCCTACGCATAATCTAGTCGCTCCAGGCGTTGCAAGTGTTTGAGGCAGCATGTTCGCAGCAAGATGACAGTCGATTGGGGTTGAAAGTGATGCGGCGAGAGTTCGGAGGTGAGCGCCAAGCCCGCCTGCACCGAGCAGCACTTGGGCAATTAAATAGGTGGAGATCAATTCAGCATTTCAGTCACATGAAGAACACGATCGAGAGTTGAATCACGTCGCCGGAGCCATGGAAGGGATCCTATTGCATACGTAGAGCCCCAGTGGGGAGCAGTTTCATGAGTCCGACAACCTAAACGCCGACTGTGCATTTCTGCCAGCACGTATGGAAGGCATCTAAACGAAATCCATGAGCGCCGTAAGCCAACTCGTCCCAGATTCCATGCATAACCCCAGCCATTTTTCATCATAACTGGATCCACGCGAATATTTACTCTTCCGGGATCTCAATCTCGCCAGACTCAATGTCGTCCGAGACAGCCTTGGGCGAGCGGCCGTCGACCTGGCAGCCTGTGCTGAAAGCGGTGCCGAGGATCTCCTTGACGGTGCCCTTGAGATCCTTGGCCATGGACTTGAACCTCATGGTGCGCGCAATGTTGATGATCTCATCAAGCGGGATGCTCTTGGTGTGCTTGATGTTCTTCTCCTTCTTGCGGTCCCGGGGAGGCTCCTTGAGGGCCTTGATGACAAGGGACGACGCGGAGGGGACGACGGAGACGGCGGCCTGACGGTTCTGGATGGTCAACTTGACCGTGACACGCAGGCCCTTCCAGTCGCCAGTGGCTTTGGCGATATCTTCTCCGACCTCTGTGGGACGTTAGTTGGCTGCGCACATTCGAATTGCATTCCGGGAAACGTACTCTTGGGCGAGAGACCGAGAGGACCGATCTTGGGAGCGAGAGCGGACGAGGCACCGACCTCACCACCAGTCGCACGAAGGTGGATGACCTTCACCTCATTGGGATCGAATTTGGGAGCTGAGCGAACATTAGCCTGGCTGTTTCAGCCGATCAGAAGGACGATACTCACGCATGGCTAGTGCGAGAGGTAGTCAGTCTCTTCTAATGCCTGGTGTTGAAAATGAAGAAGGTCGTTGCCGTCGAGGTGGGCAAAAGTTCGCGGATGCAGCCAAATATCGAGGCGGGTCGGTGGTGGTGGTCGAAGCGAGACTTGGCGAACGTTTTTGCTTGAACGGGGTTAGCGCCAGAGGGTATTCTCAGCACCCATGCCTCCATTGCTCTCCAACGCCCTCATATCAACTCTCACCACCTATCCATGCATCGTCAGTTGTCACAATGTCAATTTCTCGTTTTAGAGCACCTTTCGTTCTCTTGGCCAGCTGGCGCTTACGCTGTGAATTGGCATTGACAGTTCCAAGGTTCGCCGGCCAACACCTAGGGACTTATCCGTCACTGCTATAGCGCAACATCACTCCCCTAAGAATGGATAATGTCACTAACCTTTTTCATTGACTTTGAAGCTGTGTTGACTGTCTTCTCCAACCTTGCGGCATGTAGCAGACGTAGCTCGCTCTTTCACGACCATGAATTCATCAGGCCACGACCCCCTTCGTTGGTGAAGCCCCCATAAAATATCATAAACTTCAGCAGCCTACGCCCACTGTCCCTCCAACCCTCATCTTCCTTACTTCAACAGAATCATCCATTTTTCCCATGCCTGGTGCTCGCAATCAGAGCCCTCAGAAGGATACGTGTACAGCAGCCATTCTACCATCAGCGAGTTGTCCCTCCTCAGGTACTCAAGATATGCCACCAAGCACTCAGTTTGAAGAAAGCCCAACCTCAGGTCACCTTCGGAAGCCAATGACAATGTTAAGGCGAGACATAGAACCGAATGCTAAGCGCACACGCGGCCCACAGTCTTCCTCAAAAGGATTCACAAGAAAGGAATCAGATAAGCCCATTGAGACTAGCATTACAGAGGATCCCGGTCCAGTGAATGAGAAAGGTTTCATACTGCCGCCAAAGGCAATACACGATGGTTTCCTTTTTCGGAAGGTAGGATAGGAGATGTAACCTCTGCCGTCCATTCATTCTCTCGATTAGATACGTCCTCTCACAATTTGGTTATACGAACCCTTCAATGAAACGATAGTGAAGGAAGAGGAGGGGTCCGAGGCACCATGGTTATCTAAAACGCTTGGGGGTTGCATACCATACCGGAGTTGATAGCATGTTGTGAGCATCAAGTCGAATAATATTGTGGAATTGATAGACATTAGGAAAATATCGAAGTGTCTTGAATTCGTTGTCTGGATATCTATACTCTACTGTGCATGCAAGTTCCGCCTCTAGTCTAGTTTTTCCCCAGAACTCTGAATCCACGCATGCGCCTGGATCCCCCTAATCTCATGTAATCCGCCCAACCTACATGATACGATCCAGAATAGCCCACGTCCTCCCCAGCTACCTGACGAAGCCCTTCGGTCCTCCCCAAGCGCCCTTAACCATGTAATTCTTATACACCCAAGGGAAGAAGTCCTTTTTCAAATGAAAGAAGGCCCGCCTCGGCGTACCCTGATCAATGCCGAACATCTGTCCAAACGTCTCCTTAGGCTCGCCACCATACTTGAATTCGGCCAAAAGCACCTTCTTCTCTCCAACCGTAAGCGGGCAGGACGTATAACCATCATAGACATGGGGAGCGTCTTTGTTCTCCATAGACAGCATCAGATTCTGCACCACGGTAGGAGTCTGCGCCGTAATAGCCGCTGCCGTCTTCGAAGTGGGTATATTCGCAGCGTCTCCGAGGGACCACACGTTGGGGTACTTCTTATGCTGCAGGGTGTTGGTGTTCACTGCGACGTAACCCGTCTCATCCGCCAGAGGACTGTTTTTAATGAACGGGTGAGGGCCCATTTTCGGCACCGCGTGCAAGAAGTCGAATTTCTTCTCGACTTTGCTTCCGTCTGGGAGAGCGAAGGTAACGGTGTTGCCGTCAATGGAGACAAGGTCGTGCTGGAAGAGGCCATCGATTCCGCGCTCTTTGCGGAGCGCATCCAAGATGGCGTTGTACTTGGGGACGCCGAACATTACGGGAAGTCCGGTGGCAAAGCTGATGTGGATGGGGGAGGAAGCGGTGTTGTCATAGAGGCCGTTGCGTTTCCAGTAATCCCAGGAGAGCCACATTACTTTCTGGACACGGTCAGTCGACAGTCATACTGTTGATAAGGAACTCTCACCTGAGGTGCCCCCGCGCATTTGACAACTCCCGCTGGTTGTGTGAAGATAGCGTTTCCTTTCTTGAAAGCTTGGACTGTATTTGCCACCTTATCGCATGTCTCATAAGTGTAGACGCACGATACAGGAGCATGGGGATCCGCTAGAGCTTCTGGCAAGCCCTTGATACTCGAAGTGTCCGTCTTGATACCCGGCGCGACGACCAATTGCTCGTAGGTGACCTTGTCGCCATTTGCCAGCGTCACGGTGCGATCTTCGGGGGCGAAGCTGTCAACTCCGGTGTTGTAGAACTTCAGCTTGGGATCAATCAGGTTTGCAAGCGGCTGCTTGAACTCGTCCTTATTTCTCAAGCCGCCAGCAGCCAGGGTCCATCCAGGCTGATAGTGGTGCCAAGTCGCAGGATCGATGATTGCAATGTCATCCTTGGCGAATTTTCCAGATCGGAGAAGCTGGTGACTGACCGAGAGTCCGGCCGTTCCACCTCCCACCAAGACGACCCTGTGCATGCGTCCGCTGGCTTGCGCTGGGGATACGGTTGCATAGTTCCTCGTCGTGAGCGCCGACTGGGGTGTGACGGCTTCGCGCAAAATTGCTCGTGCCGCCTTGGTCCGGACCATCGTTCAGGCTCGAAAGCTGGCGCGATGAGGATGGAAAGGTTGTTGTTCTTTGGAGTCGAAGAAGTAGTCCCTCGCACACGTTTTCAATGAATACCAAGCTCTTTTAATAAAGTGCGATCGATGGACTTCGAGAACAAAGGGAGTGGGTGGTTCGGCTCCCCGAGAGTCGGAACGAAGCGATGAAAAAGATCTGTACAACCCCTGGTCTGCCAGGCTTGGGTGGCGCAGAAAACGGACTCACCAGCAGCTAAATCTACTGACAGTGGGCTGACGCTCCAGCAAATTTTGAGGTAAAAAAGCTTTGGTAATGGGACTGGAGGTCGGCGACGACGTACATCAAAAGTTTGGTTGGAAAGGGCGACCATCCCTGTACTCCACACCTCTCGATTTCCGTTAGGACGCAGAGTCGCCGAGCTGACCTCCTCCACATTTGCCGCCTCTACGGAAACGGCATAGAAGCTATCAGATGAATTAATACATTGACCAGACGTTGAGGAGACATGAAAGTCTTCAATCAACCGCTTGGAATCGCATGCACTTCGCCCTGAATCCTTCACCGAGTTAGCATACTCACCCCTCCAGCTGACATCATCGTTCTCCAGTCACAATGACAAACCCACTACTGCCACTGAACACCGCACTGCGAAAAAGTACCAGCCGACTTTGCACTTCTGGGGTATGGCCAAGCCCCAGCATCATCTCCCCAAAATATTCCTATTCTTGCCGCCAAACTCGTGCTGCGCATTCACATTCTCCGTTCGCACCGAGGTTGGTGCAACGGACAGCTTCTTTTCGCACTTCCTCCAACTCGGCAGCTCGAAATGTGCTGGCAAGCAGCTCCGGAATCAAGAACACCGTCATACCTTATCGGAATTCACAGAGCAGCACAAGCATTGGGCGTGCCGCCTACAGCTATGTAGCTAACCCTCCGCAGGAACCTCTTATCCAGAATGTCTTCGAGGATGTGACTGGAACATGGCAGTATGTGGTAGTGGATCCCGAAACAAAAGCTGCAGCCACTATCGACGCGGTGTTGGACTATGACCCTGTCACACTCGCTGTAGACACTCGTACCGCTGACGGGCTGCTGGCTTTGATCGATCAACATGGCTACAAGGTCCAATGGATCCTGGAGACTCATGCACACGCGGACCATTTGAGCGCCGCCGCATATCTCCAAGACCGTCTAGCTGAAAAGCAGGGAGAGCGCCCACCCATTGGTATTGGTAAGCGGATCGGACAAGTTCAACAGTTATTCGGCAGGAGATACGGAGTTCCATCAGAGGAGTACGAGGACGTCTTCGCGAAGCTTTTCGATGATGACGAGGTCTTTGAGATCGGGAACCTCAAAGCAAAGGCGATGCATCTCCCTGGTCATACTCCTGATCATCTTGGGTACAAGATCGGAGGTATATGCTCGCTGCAATTGTTGGATGTGCCCTTAGAAACTAACATTTGGGCCCAGATAACGTGTTTTGCGGTGACACCATCTTCCACGTGGATATTGGTACAGCCCGGTGCGATTTTCCTGGAGGAAGCGCCAGCGATCTCTGGGACTCAGCGAGAAGATTGCTCTCATTGCCAGACCATGTCAAGATATGGATGGGCCACGACTATCCCCCAGGCAACCGGCGAAAGCCGGTGGCTTGCCTGACGGTAAAGGAACACAGAGAGCTCAACAAGCATCTAAAGAATGGCATTACCAGGGACGAATTCCTCACGATGCGGAGAGAGAAAGATTATATCCTCAAGGAACCTAGGTTGCTGCATCAGTCCTTGCAGATCAACATTCGCGCTGGGCATCTCCCGGAGCCTACAGAGGCTGGCCTTCAATTACTCCACACCCCGATCAAGCTTCCTGGGACGATATCTACCAGACCAGGCAAGACGGCAGAAAAGTGAGGTCACTGACGGGAGGTTTGACGTTGGTTTGATGGTGTTTCAGACACATACTCGACCGAAGCATGATCCCGTGTCAGATGTAATGGAAGTCCCTTTACGGAGACATAGATGTTCTGGAGGAGAGAGCAGCGTACAGTGTCCACGCACAGACGGAAAATTGGCACTGGGTGGGAATAATGGGAGGGGGGTCCTGGAAGTTTCAAAACAAGAGGCTCCTACTAGCTGTCAACATCATTTGGGACGTCCTTGGCACTGTTGCTATCATAGTGCTGTACCTTTTCTTCACGGGAATGAGCGCCGATATAGTCGAATTCGAACTTGTGCTTCCCTATCATGAATGATACTATATCGACCAACGGGTCGAGTATACATTTTTACATCGTAAGCTATATCGCCGCTCTGCTGTATAGCTAGGCCCTTAAGGGCTTGCTTGCAGTGAGCGGTGAGTCGAGGCATGCTGGCATGGGGAGTTTGGGCCCCAGATAATCGACACTTCTATTATACTTATACCTGTAGTTTCGCTATCATAGAGATGGTAACGCGCTTCCTCAATGGGCCGCAGCAAGTCCGCGGGACAGGAAGCAACGCATTCGTCCAATCATTACAGAGTCTCTCTGGAGACAGTTAGACTGACTTGAAGAACAAGCCAGTAGAGGAGGAAAAGCCACTGGGGTACAAGCGTACGCTTGAATTTATTGGCACTGACCAGTTGTGGTCTTCCATAGCCAACGGTACCATAACAACCTGGCTACGGTCCCAGAATGGGTCCGATTCCTGAGTAGGATCCGCCACCTTATCTATATGTCATCATGTAAAGGCGAGTTACCATTCAAAGTGTTTCGTCGACAGCCTCATGGCGCAAAGATGACGTCGCCAGTGCCACATCGTTTCCGCGGAGCCGTGATTGTAAGCAAACGACTACCGCTATTCCAATTGCACTACCCAGCCGCCAGTGCATATTACTATCTCAAGTCCGCTTGACCGACCGGCGACGCGAATAGGATACAGTGCACTGGCAATGGATAAAGAAGCTGCAGAAGGGCGCCTTTTCATTGCCGTCGAATGATTGGTCATGCACAAGTCCGCATAAACATCATCCTTCGAGGCAGTGCAGGAGGCGGGTCCATTCGTCAACGTTGCCGTGACCCTGCAGCTTTGAGCGTATGCGGCTCCTTCACAGTGCCTAGTTGCGGCAACAGCCGAGTTCCTATACTCCGGTCCGCCACTACACGTGGCAAATGCATGCTTACATTTAATAGTCCGAATCCGGGGTGCATAGCAAATACTGCGCTCGATATAATAATACCCCGAGCCATCCAATCCTATACACACGACGTTGACCTCCAACAGGAGGATCAACTCGACTTCTCGTAACGTGCTATTCGCATGACGAGAATTCATGAATCGCATAAAAGAGCACTGTTGCTTTCGAGTGACGAGCACGAGCACCCGCCTGAGGAAACAAGTTCCGGGCGCGGAAACACGCATGAATGGCTGCTGTAGTGGCAGTGTTTACATTCCAAGATGAGTTCGTGATGCCGTTCTCGACGGAAAGGATTCGCACTTCGCAGTCACGGAGCAATCCCCTAGAGACGGACCTGTAGATGGCCTCGTAAGGAGTAACCGCATTCAAGCGTATAAAAGAGGCCATCATCTCCTGTCGAGTATCCTCCAACAGCAGTTCAACAACCCGCGTGGCATACTCCAGCTTTCTAAACAACATCTCTTCTCAACACCTTCCAACCATCACCATGAAATCCACCCTCGCCCTCCCCATAGTCCTCGCCACCCTCGGTCTCGCCGCCCCAGGAGCGCACGAAAAGCGAGCCATCGGCCAAGTCACTCTGTTCAAGAATGTCAACTACGGCGGCCAGAGCACCACGCTCAGAATCGAGACCACCGTCAACAACGGCTGCAGTAAGTGAAGCGAACTTGACCCGGATGAAGAAATAGCGACGGCTAACTCCACCCACCTAGCAAACCTGCCTTCGAGCTTCAACAACCAAGTGCTTTCCATCCGCCTCAGCCCCAACGATGGAACCTTCTTCTGCCGCCTTGCTGAGTAAGTGGTTTACCGTTTTCGCGCGCTCCTGCCGACTGAGTACTGACGACACCCAGTGGGCCTAACTGTGACCCAAATACGTATACCACGTGGAACTTCAATCACGACGTGCCGGATCTGAACGCACCTGATTATGGGATTGGGAACCGAGCTAGCTCTATCTTCTGCGATGTTAATGTCTAAGGGAATTACCGCGGTATACGAACAGACTAGATAGGGACAAGCCATGATGATGAGAGGAGTAGTGGTGGAGTGGTTGGGAAGCTTTAAGTTCGTACGCTTGTTGGACGTTGTTTTGTCTGTGTAGTTTCACTTAGCAGGCGGAATAACATGTATACAATTGTTGTCCTAGCTTTCTCCCAAGTTGATGAAAACAGCAACCGTCAGCGCCGGATATAATAGGGTTGGAACACAACCTGGCATTTAGTGAACCAGGCTCTCAGCGGAAGCTGTCCTTTCTCGAGTCGCGAAAACTTTCGAGTGGGAGAGAGATGAGAGTAGAATGACTAAAAGGAAACCCAATGTGAATCACGATAATGCCTTTCAAGAGACATCCAAATTCCAAGGGCCATTCAATTGCCCCAATCCATATTATGGCATTAAGAGTACACCGAATCCTTATACGTTCCCGTGACGATGGGACCCGCCTGGGTAAGACTCGAACTCTCCAGAACGCCAGAACCGCCTTATTGTCCTTCCATTCCCATTGATAAAGGGGTATCATTCCCCCATCCTCTCACTCAAGGACAAGCACATTTTCCGTCACCCGTATAGCCTCCTCAAAGTTCCCACTCAACGCATAAATCGTCTGAAGAGACAAAGCAGCCTCAGCAGCGAAGTCATCCACACGGCCGCCTCCATCCTCCTTCGCCGATCCCCGCAAGCTCTCGCTGAGCCTAATGCACCGTTCATATGCCGGAATAGCCTGGGTGACAAGACCCAACGCGTGCCAGATACGACCCAAGTTGAACTCTGCTTCCAGACGAAAAAGAGGTACGTCGCTTTCTGTGCGGAGCTCGTAGTACCGGTATATGAACGACAGACCCTGCTGTATCTGGTACTGCCTATTTTCGGACAAGCGCTTCATACCATGTTGGATGTACGCTATGCCAATGCACAGATTCAGGATAGGATCCTTTGGTGTGAGCGCAAAGGCTCGGAAGTAGTAATTCAGTGCGGCTGTATATGACCCTCCAGCGGCCAAGACATGGGCATATAGCGTGAAAATGGCCGGGTCATGGTTCTTCACGAAGTTGGCAGCTTGGCTACTGGCTCCGCCCACGATCCAGTCCAGATGATCTGCGTCGCGCAAATTGTACTTTTCGCGCTCGTCACGTCGAAGTAAAGCGTAGTCCATTGTCTTGATGTAACGCATGAAGGCTTTGAGGGAGGGACCAGTAGCGAATCCCGTTGCGATTGCGCACAGCCGGTTCGCTGCGCCGTAAAGGCGGAATAGCTCACTGGCGAAAAGGTGATTGCGCATGAACCAGCGGACCGCTTGTGAGCATTGAGACGAATTATCCAGAGCAAGTCCACAAGCCAGTCGACACAACGCGAGTTGCTTCATGTATTTGTGTGACCACCAGAAGACGTTGGCTTGAGTAGCCACTTGGATGGTATTGAAGCAACGGTCTTGATCGTTGAGCCTCGCGTGGAAGATGGCGTACTGTGCAAATAAATCGAACCATTTGTCGAAATGAATCCCGTAGAACTCCTGGGGAGGTTGCTCTGGATTTTCTTGAATGTCTGGCTCATCCTCGCCGTCCTCGACATTATTTGCAACTACGGCGAGGACCATGAGCGCAGATTCCTTCCAGAAATCGTTCTGCGCACCGATACGCCGTAAGTAACCGGTAAACTGCCTCGCGCGATTGTAGTAGAAGAGATTAAAGGTCGAGAACTCTTCGATAAGCTCGCGAGCAATGGATATCCACTCAGCCGTAGCTTCATGATCGCCGTCGGTCGCCGGTTCCATCAGTTCCTCCAGCCGCTTAAAGCTAGCAACAATCTCTCTGTGCTGGGATCTGGCTGCCTTCAACTCTTCGGCGTTGTCGGTCGCGAGCGCGTTCAGCCTCTGCTTAAATAGAGCTCGATCGATGGCGTCCATCGGAACGTTGGTCCCAGGGATCTCGTCGGGAAGGAAGGGCATTGGCTTGTAATCCGGAATCGATTTCCTCGTCCTGAACAGACCCGCCCTTGGTCTGGCTCTCTCTTTGCCTGTATCTTCCGTTCTTGTAGCCTTGCGCAGAGCTGCCATGTATCTGCCCACCCGCGATTTTTTCACTTTATGATTCCCTCTCTCCCTCCTTTTCTGGATATAGAAGTGTTCCATTATATCCGAATAGCCTTCAAAGCCGACCTTCTGCAGCAATCGCCATTTGCCAAATCGATACACTGTTTCGGCACGCTTCATCGCATCCTCCTTGAATCCCTTCTCTTCAAAGAACTTTGCTAGTAAAGCCATGTCTTCGAAGGTATCAGAATCCCAATCTCGTAGCTCAGTCAGAATCTCGTCAGCATCGCGCGGCTGGTCCGTAGCGATGTAACAGGAATACATTCCCATTAGATTCTGCAATGACAGCTCATCCGAAGCTTTCTGGTGCAACGGCCCATAGAACCTAAGAGCCTGCTGAGGATATCCTGCCTTGTGCAGTGCATCAGCAACATCTGCAAACAAGTCAGGATAGATGGTCACGGTAGGTTCCGGGCCGTCATCCTCAGGACTGAGTAATTCGAAATGGCGCTGCCTGCAATTAGAGGATATCATCTAACGGGAAATTGACCCTTACCATCGCTTCTTCCAATTGTGGCGGTTGAAGATGCAACCGAAACAACCCTAACTTAGTCCTGATTTCCAAAGGAAGTGTCTCCCCATACTCGGTCTCCGGTGACGTTCGCGAGAATTCTTTAACCTCCGTTCGCCTTGGCTCATCCTCTACGTCAAACTCCCGGTCATCATCTAGCTCGTCCCAAAAGGTCTCATCCTTTCTTGACTGTATCCAACGAGCGAGTGTCTTTGCTTGTGTGAGACCACGGGAATACTCGCCGCTCTTATGAAGCAACTCAAGGTATATGTTTAGGAGTGACCAGTCCAACCCACTGTCCTGGGGTTTGTCGTGCTCGAGGAAACAAGCGATAGAGGTATCAAAAGACTCGATAATAGTTGAAAGATGCAGTCGGGTGTGTTTCTCCGTGGACGTGCCAATGCGTGCCATCTGCTTAAGGACTTTGACATCCTCTGGCTGAGCAGTGAGCATTCTCTTGCATATCTGGATAGATTTCGAAATGCGTCCTAGTCGGGACTCGATGTCCAACTTTTGGTCTCTCGCCTCGTAATCGTCCGGATCTATTGCCAAAATAGCGTTTAAGCAGTCGAGAATCAGCGCAGTCTTCTTTGAATTGTCGTATGAGGTGTATTTCCGTGAGTCGAGTTTTTTGATTCGTTCGATGATGTAGAACCATAGATTTTTGTCACGCTTGAGAGAGGCACCGACTATCAAAGCTTCCGTCGAGCTCTGTTCGTTCCCGATCTCTCGGAAGATCTCAGAACGCAAGCTATGTGCAACGAAATAATCCGGATTGACCCGGATGGCATTGTTGCAGGCTTCGAGGGCAGTGCGATAATCCTTCCGCAGATACGCATCATTGGCAATCCTCTGGAACTCTTTGAACTCAGGGTTTGGCTCGGCAACGGCACGCGCCTGTCCTCTCGGTCGCCCAGGCTTGCGTTCACCACCAGCCTTGGAGCCGCGAAAACCACCTTTCCCTCGGCTTGACGGCCTGCCACGGCGACCACCTCTGCCCCTTCCTCTGCCCCTAGCACCAGCTCCGCGCGAACGACGTGGACGAGGACTTTCCTCCTCCTCATCTAGCTCCTCGTCGACTAGAAGCTCGTCTGGCTCGTCTTCCAATTCTTCCTCATCTTCGTACTCTTGATCCTTTTCGAGGGTTTTCATCTCTAAAGCTTGGAGACGCGCCTCCTCCTTCGCGAGCTGCTCACGTTCATACTCGCTGTTGTCCGACTCCTCATCGCTGGAACTGCTTCGAAACAGTGCATCTTGGCGAGTGGGAATGAAGTTATCTTCGCCAATCTCGTCATCCTCCTCATGACCAGGTGCGGGTACGAAACCTTCATAGACGACTGGACCGGCAGAGCTGTAAGCTGGGGCTAGGGAATCATCTGGTGTGGAATAGGCGACCTCCTCCGGTAGGCTGAAGTCATAATCAAGATGGGGCAGTTGAAATCCATGGAAATTTCGGATGTCGAAGGGCACCTGCGGGTGGTTGTATGGCGACGAGTAGGAGAATAGAGGCTGTGTATTCAAGGGTTGAGACGCATTTCCATATGGCGGGATCGGGTTAATGAGATTGGGGTCCGATTCTTCGCTCCAGGGTGTATATGATCCATTTCCGTTCATTTTGGCGTCGCTCGTAAGCCCAAACCTGGCATTCCCCTTTGATAATGAAGCCGGGAGGAATGGCGAGCACTTAGTGAGGACCTAGTGCAAGAGGACCGGCTGCATGAGCACCAATACAAAGAGGCGAATGGGTAAAGGTAAAGGCGTTGTGGTAGCTTAGGGTTTAAGCGTACTTATTTGTGCACGGGCCAGATCAATTATGGAGCTAACCGCATTTAGAAGAGCCTAGTCTTGGGCGTGCAGGTGGGATACAACCATACTGTGCATATGGACCACCTCGAAAAGACTGTACGCACAGCAGCTATTTTAGTACAAGTGTTGGAGGCAAAGGAAGTTACACCATGGCGGCACAGGAATGCGGTTACTGGGAAGAAATCTATGCTGGATTCAAGCGTCGAACGGACAGGTTATAGCACACAGAAGACAGACCTACGAGATGATGCCATGAAATGCGTATTATAGTTCCTAACTTATATCTAGCACCGATTACTGCTAGTTTCCATCTATTTCGTTTCCCCTACTAGACCCGGTCGTGGAGCGAATCTCCGACTCGGGTGCCTCCACTCTCCGTTTACCTCTCTTGAGACGTATCCTGAAGTCCCGGATGAGAGTGGTTCTGACTACAGTTCGCTGCCGGCCATGGAATTCGACATGTCCCACTCTCTTCTGTGGTATTGACCCTTCAGCGGAGAAGCTGGTCCGATATGGTGGGCACAACCTCCCATCCTCTCAGCAACATCGACCAAGTAGGTCGAGCGGGTACTGTCTTCGAATGTGTCGTCGGTAGGCCCGCGTAAAGCAATAAGTGGCGCAGGGTGATTCAAGGACAATGGTGGATGGTTGTCATCGGGAGTCCGGGGACATCGATACAAGAATGGTGTATGTCTTCGGGGTCCGCCAACAACGCTTTCCAGCCATTCCAAGCGGATACCCCATGCCGCGTATTTACTCAGACGGTAACCTCCCTGTCTTCCATATTGACCATCTCATATTCGCCAACACCATCTCTTCCTCTGCCTCTGCCACGTCCGCTTAGATGGCCGGCATCACCATCTCCGTCCGCACCAGAGCCTTGTTGTTTGGTACTCTTCGCTCCAAAAGCTATGGGACGCAACTCCCGCCACTGGCAAGCCCATACGCCTAAAGAGGTCATCAGGGTGGCGCTGCACAACTGCAAAGCCCACCAGAACAGATTCGACGGCACAGCATGCGTGTAGAGAGATGTGACGATCAGGTGGATGAAGTGGATGGTGAGAGCGAAATCAAGGACGAGTTTCGAGCGTGCAATAAGAAGAAGAATGAAAACAACTCTATGCACGATTTAGTATGCTGCGCGTTTCACCCCTTTGATGGTATGCCTACGATGCTAGACTGTTCAATACCCAAACCAGGCCCAGGGTCCATCCTACCGCGGTATCGCCACGGAGACTGCGCCAGCTGAACAGCAGATCAATCGAGATTTCCTCTCCAGCGATCAGCGCCGTGAAAACAATCAGAATAGCAGCACAAGCATAGTAAGCAAGCTGCAGAACAATGATCTGGGACAGAATGCGGGTTGGTGACAGGTCCGCAAGAGCGCCTGGTCGTGGAGGACGGCGTCGACGAGGCATCAGCCTTTGAGACGTGTGTGCAGCCTATACATATAGGCGTTCTTGATGTTTGTACCGTGAATAGTGGACTTGTAGGGACCTTAGAAGCCCGTGTCGTTTGTTCCCAAGAAGGAGCTCGGTCCTTTCGGCGGAAGGGTTATGCCGAGCTCCGGCGCGTCATAGGCCTACCTACTACCTAGGCACATGCAACATCCAAAAGTTCGCCCAATTCAAAGCTTGCTCTTCGAGACCACCAAGGTAATACTTCCCTCTGAAACCTGGAATTGAACCGGCCTGATTTACCTTTTAGATCTCTGTATGCTCAATCCACGACTTGCGGTCATTTGCAAATTAGTTTGACCAAGCCGTAACCGAAGGATATCACGCATCGCGTTCCCATCGCCATGGGTTGGTTCAGCTCATCTGAAACGGATGGAGTAAAGAAGACATCTGGCGGTGCATTTGAAAAGCCCAGCCGGACAAACCGCGCCAAATGCTACGAAGCTCGCGACGCCTTCTTCGAGTGCCTGGATCGCAACAACATATTGGACAGCATCAACACCAAGGAGGGGGTAGCGGCAGCGAAGAAGGCCTGCAATGAGCAGGATGTGGTCTTTGAGAAGAATTGTGCGCACAGCTGGGTATTTACTGTCCTTGTGAGGCGTATACAACTTTCAACTTACTCTTTCTCAGGTTGAATATTTCAAGAAACAAAGGGTTGTGAATTATCAGAAGGAACAGACCATCAAAAGGATAGAAGCACAAGGAGGAGAGATACAGGCCCCGCAATTACCGACTCGTGGCTCTTGATGAACAACTGCTTGGACTTGCGACGTTTCAACACTGTATAATATGTATACTAATGCATACCGGTTTCTCGGACATGCCAAGGAGCTCGAGCATGCCAGTTTGGTTATGCCCGGGCGCACTCGTCAGCGTCTTTTCCCGCGTGTGCGCAGCTGCAACGGCTCTGTCCTCAGCAGCAGGACGGACATCTGACCTGAAACATATCCAACCTTTTCCAAGACCCTCGACTGATATATTGAGGAACAATGACAGTGCATCACCACACCAAGGAACTTGGGGGATTTGGCTTCGTCAATTCAAGATTTGCATTCATCGCCACCGCGATTGGAGCCCTGGAAACACATATTTGAGGCATGTCACATTCATTGCCTCACAGCTGTTGCTGAACTTGGGTACGATCACTCTATGCTACGCTTGTGAAGCATTGAGTACGCGTCTTCCAAGTTCCTCCGAACTGTTCCTACCAGATACTGGGATAAGTCGATAAACAGCATCCAAATCCGTTCCTGCGCCCACCGCCAGTGCTGCTCCGGCCGCCTGCCTGCAGGCAAGAGGTTTAATTTCGACAGAACTGCCTCCTGAAACCGAAACACCAGTGTTACTTTTGCTTTCTTTCAACCCAGCTAACGCATCTTAGTAACTGCAAATTGCCGTTCAGAAACTGCCGCCAATCCTATCCTTCTATAACTGCTCGCTAGCAGGCTCTCCTCTGTTCCTTTCCACCTATGTCGTATCTAGGAAGGTTATGCATACTTTGTTGGAAAGATAATCGAAGGGTCAAACTCTTTTCGAAAAACGTCGTAGTCCGATTTGTCCTTCGATGCAGGGCCTGATTGACTTTTCTCAATTGCGAACACCACGTCGGTAAAGACACCTTGGAATTCCTCCTCCTCGAATAATAACTTCCGCCACATTCGGGCTATCTCTCCCACTGGATTCCTGAACGTCGGTCCCACACCGAATGCGCCAATACAAATGCTTGAGTGGCCACAGTAGGACGCGATCCGAAGGACAGCCCGCATCTTTTCTCTCATGAGCTCCTTCTCCTGGGAAAACGAGTAGCGCATCCCTGTCCCATCAAGCTTTGGTCGTCGCACAGGAGCTACTGATATTACGGGCAGCCAGTTCATCTCCTTCAGCACGGCGTAGTTCTGATCTGGACCTTGCCGATATACATCTACCGTTGTCAGCAACTCACGTTCTGGTGCTTGGCCGGCTCAACATACACACTTGCGGCGAGTATATGCCACCTCTCTGGGGGAGAGGATACATGCCGGAACCTGCTTGGGGTTTCCAAGGCATTGTGAGTGCATGTACTAGATTGCTCCTTCGTGCAAAGCATTCTTCTGGCGCCATGGAACCCGATTCCCAATCCCCGCCTGCACGCTTCTCGTTTGCCATGTTAACGACCGGAATCCGTTTGGCTGTCGCCCGATGGTTAGGGTCTGCTGCTAGGTACGCCTGCCAGCCTAACGCGTAGTCCACGGGATCTCCTTCTACGACGGCAACGCGTAGGCGTTGCCCGGTCCTTTTTTCGGGTTTTATCTTGAGGGCTGCCGCGTCCGGATAGAGATATGATGTGATAGGGTCTTTGATGTAATGTTTTGCAATGTGCGGCATGTAGATTCGCTTTGCTTCGGCAGCTATTTCGGATGGTTTTGGTCTGTGAGAAGGCATTGTCAAGTGTCCGGCGAGGAGGAGAAATCGCAGAGAAGATTTCCACCGACTAAGTGAGGGACCAGAAGATACGAGCAGGCTCTGACAATGATGACGAGGAAAAGAGACGACGTGTAAGCAGAAGTGAGTACGTCCGCTCTGGACGGAGGGTGAGCCTGGTGAGGAAGCTATATGACCAATTCCAGGGGCTGGAAAGCTTGACCTATGAGACGGAAATCAAGAGTCACTCCCAGTTGCAGCCGATCAGTTCCGGAACACCCTCTACAACAACGGTACTTCGATCCTGAATCAAACTTGAGCGTTGCGCTCCCGTGTTTGTTCACTTGCCTTGCAAGGTCCCAGCACGAATTAGTGTCAAAGTATGCGGTCATCTCGCAATCCCGCAGACGACATATGCAAAGCAGCTTGGTGTCGGCAACCAGAAACTTACAACAGCTGTACCACAAGTAGCGACGGAAAGTGTGGCATTTTGTTGGAGCCGGTGAGAAGGACCAAACGGCTGACATCCTTCAGCGTGGTGCAATCACACATTGCAGGATCCTGAAACCTGGTCCGACGACGTTCCGGGGACGATACAACAATATGCGATCGAGATCTGGTGGCACGAAGGGCACAGAAGAGAAGAGTGAAAGTGAGATCGTGCATGGCATCTCCATCTCACGGTAGAGCGGTTCGGGGGGATGCAGATATGCAGGCGCTCTGACGGCTTGTTATACTCCACTCTCGTTGGAAAGCTCGTTCCCGGGCTGGAAAAATTTACGCAGCGCTGCCCAGGTGAGGATATCGATGTCCCCGGGCTGCACGTTATGGATCCGATCACTGGGAGAAAATTCGCCTTCGGTATCGGGGCGCACGCGTGGCACAGTGCTATGATGATACAGAGTGCAAGGACATGAGGCAACGAGGAAGTGTAGTTTTCTGGTGCGGTTGACGTCCACTCGCGTGCGCTCCTCCGTCCGAGAATTACCACAAAGAGTATAGCTCCCGCGGGTGCAGCGATGGGCAAACGCCAAGAAACACATCCCTGGCCAACCGGTAAGCTGCTTCCACGGCCCCGGTTTTTAGCTCCCGTCGCGTCAAACTTCACTTCACCTCCCACCATGTGTCTGCTGCAATCACGCATTCCGTATTCTGTTCCGCGGTGTCAATGACACGGCCTCTCCTGCGCCTGCGACTGACCGCTCTTCCACTGCCGGCACACCGCCCCTACAAGGTGCGATGGAGCTCCACCTTCACGCCGCGGTCTATCTCGGCTTTGTTGAGCCACACCGCGCAGCAGTCGTCTCCCGCCAGTGAGACGGTGACCCTGCATGGCTTCGTACGCTCGGTTCGCAAGCAAAAGCGTGTTGCCTTTGCGGCTGTAGGGGACGGTTCGTCCTCACAGACTGTGCAGGTTGTCCTCGCCCCACAACAAGCCAGCGGGTCAGTCCTCTTTCACTGTTAAAAGGACTCAGAACATTGTTGACGTCGTCTCAACCCATCAGTCTTTCTACGGGTGCAGCAGTCGCCATTACAGGTCAATGGGTACCCTCACCTGGTCAAGAACAGTCGCATGAGCTCCAAGCCAACAGCGTCCGCGTCCTCGGTCCGAATGATGCTGCTGTAAGTCTTCCTCCAGCCATATACGTATCGCAAACACGGCTGACGGGCATTCAATGTGGCGCTAGACCAACCCTTTGCAAAAGAAATACCACACAAACGAGTTCCTTCGCACGCTGCCTCACCTGCGCTCCCGTCTCCCATTCAACTCGTTGCTTTTACGGCTTAGGTCACAGGTCTGCGCTGGATTGACAAACTACTTTTCAAAGCACGACTTTATCCAAGTACACCCACCAATCATCACATCATCCGATTGCGAAGGCGCTGGTGAAGTCTTCACCGTGGCCCCGGCAGCTGCGTCTGGCGCCGCTCACTCGAGCAAAGGACAACCACAAGAGGCCGAAGACCACTTTTTCCAATCGCCCAAATACCTGACTGTTTCCGCCCAACTGCATTTGGAGGCGCTTGCACAATCTGTAGGGAAGGTATGGACCTTGTCGCCAACATTCCGAGCAGAACGGAGCGATACCACGCGCCATCTGAGCGAATTCTACATGCTGGAGGCCGAGTTAGCCTTCGTTGATGACATGAACGACGTCATGGACGTGGTGGAGGGCATGTTGCGCCACACTGCACAGGAACTTCGGGAATCAGCCGTTGGAAAAGAGCTTCTCGATGGCCGGGGGCGTGATACGGAGGAGGATACACCCGGTGGACACAACCTCCTCGCACAACGGTGGCAGAGCCTAATCAACGGACCTTGGCCACGCATCACCTATGCCGAAGCTATACAGCACCTAAAGGATGCAGTGACGCAGGGAGAGGCGCAGTTTGGCTTCGCCCCCGCTTTTGAGGACGGCCTACAGACTGAGCATGAACGATTCCTGGCTGAGAAGGTCGGACAAAATGGGCCAGTCTTTGTGACTGACTACCCACGCAACATCAAGCCATTTTACATGTCACCTTCCGCTGAGTCGGGGCCCGGGCAACAACCTGCACCCACGGTTGCATGTTTCGATCTCCTCGTCCCGGAAGTATGCGAACTAGCTGGAGGATCGATGCGTGAACACCGGCTTCCGGAACTTCTTCAATCCATGGAGGAGCATGGTCTTCGACGCTCGGTGCCGGCGGATGGCGAACCAGAGACGGAAGACGGGCCACTACAATGGTACGTGGATCTCCGGCGTTACGGCAGCGTCCCACACGGCGGATTCGGGCTCGGCTTCGACCGTCTCCTGTGTTACCTATCTGGGGTGAACAACATCCGGGACGTTGTCAGTTTTCCTAGATGGTACAAGAGGTGTGACTGTTGAAACTCGTCTTCTTTTCATCCGGCTGTTTGCGCCATGCCCCGCTGCCGACATGATACCCAGGGTCCTCGCACAAGCGTGAAGGGAAGGAGAGATTATTTTCCGCCATGTATTAGATATAGACGGCGCTGCGCTGTGTCAGATGAGGGGAGGAGCACCTAGATATTGAGAAGAGCGTTGACCTTCTCGACCACGAACAGTGAGAGTTATCACATCTCCGCGGTTCCAAGCCCAGCGGGTGCTGCTGACCTCCGACGTCGGACGGTGTGATCGCTCTCCATTTCCTTGAGGACAGCTTCCCACCGACTATTGCACCTCCTAGAGTCCATGCGCGTGGTCAACAGTCTTCCGCTTGAGAAGTCACTGTCCCACGGCTTATGGGTGAAACATTCTCGTGATGCGTTCCGCGGAAGCCCCGCGTTGAAGAAGAGAAGAAGCGCTCGCTGGCGATTATATGCACTTGAGAGGCCATGAATAAGGATACTATATCTTAGGCGGCGTATACTATTCTAATGGCTTCGAGTAGTCCGAGGTTGCCGTGGAGAATGGTCTGTAGAAGCACTCTCTCACCACGCCGTCGGTCGGCTCGGCTCGATGTCGCTCCCAAAAAAGTCTCCGCGATGATGCCAAGACCCAACTTTTGCTTTCATCCTTCACCAGACTTGCCTCGTCAGTCTAAAGATACCAAGCGGCGCTCACCTCTTCCCACTTTTGAGTTATCAGATCTCACGCCATTCCACCTGCTGCACCTGATAGCTTAGGACCCCCGGTAGTCCCGCCTCAAGTGTCTTATTATCCTTATCAGATCCGCCGTCCATCTCTCAAGCAAAGCTGGCACTCGCATCGCCGGAGCGCGGTGGATTGATGGCCACCAATGTGCACATCCCAGTCGATGAAGAGCACGAGTACAGCTCCCCCCTCATGAGGACTCGAGACGGCTTTGCTGACCGCAACCCCAGCTATGAGTCGCTGCCGTCTAACTTTTCGCTCACGGCCAATATGATGGCAGGCGCTTTCGCCGGCATCGCGGTACGAGCTACCCAGCGCATTGAGACTCGCCCAGTCATTGATGAATGAGCAGGAACATTCAGTCATGTATCCAATCGACCTGCTGAAGGTGCGCCGCTTCTTTCCCGCTTCAGTATCGCTTCCAGAGGCCTAACTGACCTGAATGATAGACGCGCATGCAAGTCGTCAACCCGTCGCCGACCGCCGTGTACACGGGTGTTTCCAATGCCATGGTCACAATTACCAGAGTAGAAGGCTTCAGGACGTTATGGAGGGGCTTGTCCAGCGTCGTGCTCGGGGCCGGTGTGTACTTCACGTCTCACGCGAGGGGACAGGTGGATTAACGAGATGCTATACAGGGCCCGCGCACGCCGTTTATTTTGCATCTTACGAAGCAGTAAAACACGCACTGGGTGGAAATGAGGGCGGGCATGAGGAGCACCATCCGCTTGCAGCTGGTGCGTGAATTCTCTGTTGTGGACAGATTCCCTCTTGCTAACCCTTCTCAGCTGCCAGTGGAGCCGCAGCCACCATCACGAGCGACGCGCTCATGAACCCGTTCGACGGTAAGCTACGCAAATGCTTGCGCCTGCAGAATCGCGCTGACCTGAAGCAGTTATTAAACAGCGCATGCAGTTACAGGGCTCCGTCTACAAGTCGGTTCCTCACTGTGCGCGCGAAGTGTTCCGCACCGAGGGCATCTCGGCCTTCTATGTTTCCTATCCTACCACCCTCTGCATGACTGTGCCGTTCACGGCACTACAATTCATGGCCTACGAGTCCATCTCCAAGGTCATCAACCCGACGGGACGGTACGACCCCACTACACACTGCACTGCTGGTGGTTTGGCGGGAGGATTCGCCGCGGGTTTGACGACGCCGCTGGACGTGATCAAGACGCTTTTGCAGACACGAGGGAATGCGACTGAAGCAGAGCTGCGAAACGTCTCTGGCCTTTGGGAGGCAGCGAAGCTTATCCATCGGCGAGAGGGCTACAAGGGGTTTTTCCGCGGACTGAAGCCTAGAATAATAACCACCATGCCCAGCACCGCCATCTGCTGGTAAGTCAGGTCCCAAGGACCGTGTGCGCTTGCTCGGTCTGGCTAACAAACAAATTTCAAAGGTCCGCATACGAGATGGCTAAAGCCTTTTTCATCGCGCGAGGCGAGGGCAGGTAACCTCGCCCTTTACGATCAGAAAGTACAGACGAGATTTGAGTTGCCCTGTGCCTTGGCCTGGCCGAAGTGCGGCATGGGGCTTGGGTCATGTGTGTGCGGATAGACGGGTCACGAAAAAGAGGGGGATTTCGAATGGGCCTCTAACGCAATATTTTGGCATTTAGAGCAGGCGTGGTGTTTCCGGCGCCAGTAGGCATGCAGCGGCTTACTACGTTGTTTCCTTCCTTTTTCCGTTGTATACTCATGGCAGCGTGTTTGGCGCCATTGGAGGGAGATTTCGTGCATCCCATCGAGGAGAAGCAAGTACTGTATGGGGGGGCGCACCCGCACAATTGTATCATACGACAATATCGGAGCTGTAATAACTCGATTACAGCTGTATCCGTCTACCAAGGAGTTTGTGTTGCTATATCCCGCTGTTATGCGCCGTGCATCCTCTGGTATTCATAGATGGAAGATGGATGGGGGGTGAACAGCAGCAAGCGGCGCTACGTCACGCTCCAATCTCTGTCGCAGCGCTTGCGGGAACCCCTAGATAACCAAGTAGCGATACCCATGCAGAAGGCACACCTCAAAATCTTTTAATCTAACTCGAGGCTTTCAGACGCACATCCAGGTACCGGTAGTCTCCCGCATTCCTGAATTGCACCAGATTCGCGCAGAGTGGCTTGTACGATGCGCCCGAGCGCGTCGAGCGCGCTTCAGAAGACATACGATGACTGCTTCTTCACATGCTCCACAGCCGTCTACTTTGAAAGCCAGGTGCGCCTCGGATCTCGTCTGCATCTCTGCGGGACAATTGCTTACGATGCTTGCCATGTAGAACAACGAGGCGGAAGCGCTGCGCTCATGGAGAAGTGCTCTCAACCGCATCCACCAGTACAACACGACCCACAGCACCGCGTCCCACTCCCTGCCTACCACGGAGACCGACCGTGCCCTACACGAGTCATTGCGCGAACTAGAACTACAATGCCGCGAACGGGTGGATCTGCTAGAGGCTCTCCAGCAGAGCCGGGAGGAGGCAGGCGAGGCTGGATTCCCTCTCGACGAGAGCATCACTGAATCCGGGCTGGGGGGAGGAACGGTACCTGCCGTCACCTATTCAGATCTCTCCAGGCCGCCCCTGCCTCCGCGAAGGACTTCGGAGCCTTCAGAAGCACAGGCGCGGCCACATCCTCGGTCCTCGAGCCAGCATTCACTGTCCCCCGCGCCGAGCACGTCCCGTATGGACGCGCGGACTCCCTCGCCGGAGAAGAAAGTGCGTATGCTACGGACGTTGCGGAAAGAGCCTACTGGCAGGCCCTCGAATCACCGGGTCCCCAGCTCTTCTTCATCTCGACCTCCGGTTGCCGCGAAAGCTGCGACTTTGGCCTTCAGCAGTTCCGCTCATTATAAGACGGGGCGTCCGACTTGCCAGGAGAGTGGGGGCAGCAGCGAGTCTGTACCAATCTCCACTACACAAGATATAAGGTCCCGACATTCGCTAGATAGAGCGAGGTCAGCGCAACATTCCCCCAGTGTGTTTGCATCAGCAGCTGCCGCACAATCGTTCAGTGACCTTCGGTCAGAGAGGAAACCGTCTCATAGTTCTCAATCAAGTCTAAAGACGAATTATCCGCCCCTGACACACAAGAATCGAATACGTACGCCGACAAACGCTCAACCTCCATTGGAAGTCGTAGCAGTCGACGCAAAGGAGAATGAAGAAACGCAGCGAGCAACCCAACAACCACCTCAAAGACGAGCAAAAGCACGACCGAGGAAGAACACCGTGCGGGCTAAACTCCCCGAGACCCGCACGCCAGACGACGCAGCCTCCTCCGCCGGGTCGTCAGAAACCGAATCCGACGAATGGCACGAACGCACCCGCCACATCATGAAGAACCTCCCGCGCGGCGTCGACGAATCCGCCGCCCGCCAACTCCTCAACGAGATTGTCATCCACGGCGACGAGGTCCACTGGGACGACATCGCGGGCCTCGAAGTGGCCAAGCTGGCGCTCAAAGAGACGGTCGTGTACCCGTTCCTGCGACCGGACCTCTTCATGGGCCTCCGCGAACCCGCGCGGGGGATGCTACTCTTCGGGCCCCCGGGGACGGGCAAGACGATGCTCGCGCGCGCCGTGGCCACGGAGTCCAAATCGACCTTCTTCGCCATCTCGGCTAGCAGCCTGACGAGCAAGTACCTGGGGGAGAGCGAGAAGTTGGTGCGGGCGCTGTTCGCGCTGGCGAGGATGCTGGCGCCGTCTATCATCTTCGTCGACGAGATTGATTCGCTCCTCTCGTCTCGGTCCGGGGCGGGCGAGCACGAGGCCACGCGGCGCATCAAGACGGAGTTTCTGATCCAGTGGTCCGATCTCGCGCGGGCGGCGGCGGGGCGCGAGGTCTCGAGTAGTAGTGGCAGTAGTGAGAAGGAGAGGGAGAGGGGGGACGCGAGTCGCGTGTTGGTGCTCGCGGCGACGAATCTGCCGTGGGCGATTGATGATGCGGCGAGGAGGCGGTTCGTGCGCAGGCAGTATATCCCGCTGCCCGAGGCGTGGGTGAGGAAGCGGCAGTTGGAGCGGTTGTTGAGTTGCCAGAAGCATGAGATTGGCGAGGCGGAGATGGAGAGGTTGGTGGCGGTTACGGAGGGTACGTATATGTTTCGCTGTTCGTTGTTCACCTTCGCTCTTGTATTCTCAGTTCGTTTATGTGGGATTCGGAGCTAATCTGCATGTCCTGTAGGCTTCTCAGGCTCGGACATCACGGCCCTAGCCAAAGACGCGGCCATGGGCCCGCTGCGCAGCCTGGGCGAGAAGGTGCTCGAGCTGCGGCCCGACGAGATCCGCCCGATCCGCTTCGAGGACTTCGAGGCGAGCCTGCTGACGATCCGGCCCAGCGTGAGTCGTGAAGGTTTGAAGCAGTATGAGGATTGGGCCAAGGAGTTTGGCGAGAGGGGTGGGTGAGGGGAGGGTTTGTCCGAGGGGAAGAGAGGGAGAAAGGAAGGAGTGAGGGGGGTTTCCAAGAGATCCAAGAGATCCAAGAGATCCAAGAGATCCAAGAGGAACTGAGATGAAGGGGTCTAGTTGCATTTGTCTGGCGTTTGGTTAAGGGTTAGGGAATTCATTTTGCATGGGTTCTGGTTCTGGGATCTGGGACGCTGGATAGGGACTTGGGCAGGATGGGCTACGGGAGGGTTTGACGGATCGCGGGTCGAAGGCACGATTGCAATATTCTCCTCGACCTGCCTGTGGTGAATACCGAATAGAGCGTCAGTTACTGAGGCTCTAATAACGCGCGGCTTGATATACGAAGCAATGCATACGACGCCATGTCATGACATATCCATCTTCCTACTCGTTGCGTGAGCTCATTACAGCGATTGGCTGAGCATATTTACATACTTGACAGCTCTTGGGTACTGTGATCAAGGTCAATTGGATCATCTCAAGTCGCTTCTCGTTTTGAATATCATAAATTCTTCTAGCTATGTGGCTTGGGACTCGTACTCAGTGCCGCCTCACGAGGCAGAGGGTACCTGAATATTTGGTTCGTTCATGTCGAGAGGCGACGCCAGAGGCACACAAAAGAAGCTACCCGGCAACTTCACACCTCACTCATTTCTTCATTAAATCCAACACCACGTCATGCACGTCCATATTCAGCAGTATATAGCTTTCATTTATACTAGCTCTCTATTCCATTTATCTTCATAGGCGAAAGTACTAGTTTCCAGTTCCGAATTGGATAATTTTCAATTTCCTGCTCTATCTCGCGCTCGGAAAATACGAAGTTTATCAAAGGATCTGAGAGGGTCACCGCGATAAATCTCAGGAAGCCAGAACGACCCAATGAAGCATTAAACGGTAATACCTGTCTCTAGAACCCAACAACAAGTCTCATATCACCCAGAACCCGCCGTGACATCGACATAGGAAGCGTGAAGGAGGCGACTGGCATAGAGACCACGAGCAGATTCACTACCACCCACCACCAGCTACCCGACTCGGGAGCGTACAAACTCACGACACAGAGACGGAAGTACATCACCTCCAAAGTCACGGCGAGAAACCAGTTGACAATATCACTCATATTCTATTCTCGACTACTACCTGCCTGCCCTTCATGCGGCGACGCCATATCCCACGCTAAGATCAAGCCCAGTGTTGAGTTTTACTCCCCATCCACAACTCCAGGGGACAAAGCAAAAGCGAAAGCGACAACGAGAGGCGCTTCGCAATCAACTGCCCTGAGAAAAAAAAAAAGCAAAGAAATGCTCGAGTGAAGAATGCGCCTCCATGCGAAGAAGACGCCGACGAGAGCTTGCCGACATGCTGGAAACGCCGGGAAATATGACATATCGTACACGCAGTCCATGGAAAGAAGGTGAAGAAGACGAGAGAGCAATGCAGCCCGACTGAACGCAGACATCTCCCTACCCCTTCACAGATCCACGCAAATACGGCGAAACCCAACCCTGCCACGGTCTCGACCGACGACCACCGACGACCGTCTCTGCCTACTCGCTGCCGCATGCGCTTAATTAAGATGCTTCCAAGAGCTCGCAGTCTTCCTCGAAGTTTCGTCCTCTCCGGTCCCTCCACCGAGACCGCCACGTTGCCAGCCGGATCGCCACTCTAGCCCAACCCAGCCTTGCCCATCTTCACCGCATGCGCAATCGGCTGCAAGATGCCCTTATTGTCCACCGCCCCGAGTGCCATGCCCTTGGTCCAGCCCATCTTCTCCAGCAACGCATGTCCCTTGTTCTCAGGACCCAGCTCCGGGGCCCTAGCACCGACCAGCTCGCCCTCACGGTACATGAAACCAGGCCGACCGCCGCCGCCGACACCTTGACGCGGTGTACCGTTTTTGACGCCGCGGCGGGAGGAAGATGCGAAGTGGAAACGGGCTCTATAGCCCTTGTGCTGAATGAGAGCGTCAAAGAAGGAATCCTCCACCCTCTTCGTACGGATAGTTTTGGACAGCACGGTGAACCTATCTGCTCCGGAGCCGCGAGACCTGGAACTGACGCCGATTTGATTGACCATCTGGTGGACAACGGCGCGACGACCAGCCTCCATGGGCGGCAGAGATAACTGTTCGCGCTCGGAGAACATCCATTCGCGGATCTCTTCGACAATGTCTTCGAGGGTGTGACCGCCGGCGTATTTGACACTGAGATCGGGAGCTTTGCCCTTCCGGCCCAACAAGCCCAGCTTCCTCAGCTCTTCACGCTCCGCCTTCTTAAGGCGTTTCTTGGCTCGGTCTCGCTCCCAGGTAGCTTGGAGCTGTTCGTTCAGGTCATCATCGGAGAGCTCAGGAGGGGGTTGACCGCGGCGGCCTTTCTTCTTTGGTTTCAGGGATGGGCGCTCGGTATCCATGACGTCGAAGCCATTGTATGGGTCCATGTCGAGGGCGTCAGCCAGTGCAGAGGCCGAAGGGAAGGTTGCTTGGGCGCGTTTCTTATGATTCATCGTACGCCGTTGCTTCCTGTTTGTTGGCCGATCAATCTCGTAAGCTGGCTCCCCCACAGGGCCGCTGAAAAAGTCGGCATCATCAAGAAGAATTTCGTCGGAGCCTAGGCCTAGCTCTTCCTGCTTCTGGAGAATCCTTGCGATCTTTTCGTCGTCCATGTCAACCTCATCCTCGTCTTCCTCCTCTCCTTCCTCCGCATCGGTGCCTTCATCACCATCGCTCCCGCCACCAGAGAGATCATCAGAATACTCCAGGTACAGAGAGACGTCAGAGGCCTCGGCAATCTCGTCTTCGACTTGGTCATCATCGGAGACTAGGTCCAAATCCCGCCGACCGAAAGTGAGAGATGGGTCAAGCTCCAGGTCCTTCCGTATGTTCTCCATATAGTCCTCCATAGCTGCGTCCCTCGGATCCACGTCGCCGCGGACGAATGACTCCATACCCGGCCTGTCATCAACCGGAAGCCATCCGATCCCGGGCTTGCTTCTTGACTCCCACGGGGTGGTGTTGATCATCCAGGGAGATTTCCCACCAAGTCGTTTCTCAAAGCCATCTCTGACAACGCTCTCGGCATCTGAATCTGAATCCGCTTCTTCCTGTGCTTCAGTAGGCTCCGGACCAGGCTCAACCGTCTCAATAGTGACCTCCGCAACCTCGGCAACTTGTATGTGGGTGGAGGGGACTTCGCGCTCGGCCGTAGAGGTAGCGGGAGCCACCGAGGTAGCAGAATCAGAAGCGCTTGCTCCACTAAGATGTGTCGAGCGGGTACCCTCCTTGCTGACTACATCCGGTGTAGATTTGCCCGAAGACCGTTGGGGACGGACCGGTTGTGCGGGTGACAGATTGGCGCGGCCTCTGAAAACAATGACTTCCTCGTCGCCAGAACTCGAACCGGAATGGGAAGGCGAAGGGGAAGGGGAGGCACTGCGGATCTCCATGTTTGCCATCGCATCGGCGGGGCCAGGCGATGCCGAAGGGGGCTCGGGCTTCTTCTGGAGGAGGTTCTCAGGTATGGTACCCTCGAGCTGGCCGGCGCTCACGAATTCCACTTTGAGAAAGCGCAGCTTCTTGCCGGCTGTGAAGGCGTTGCTGCGATGGTTTGCAGCCCAGAGAGCTTCGTCTTTGAGGGAGAAGAGACCGCCTGAAGGGAGGATTAGCAGAGCAAACGGGCAGACAGTATGTAATGCATGCCTTCATCGTCTCCTCCGTCATATCTGCCAAACCCATTGGAGGCTCCGCGGTGCTGGTGGCGGCGAGGCGTGTTGCCGTTGCCTTTGCCTTTGCTCCCCCTAGAGTTCTTGAAGGTGTCCTTGGCCCCGCGTTTGCGACCCATGGTGTTGCCGTCGCGATGTCCCTAGAAATGAAAGGGTAAAAAAGAGTGACTGGACGGTGGCGTGCACAAAGGATAGGGTGTGGGCGTGGGCGTGGACGTGGAGTGGTTTGCCTCTGAGCAACTTTAGTGGGGCTGTCATGTCGGGAAACTGTGGCGGTGCTAATGACTCTGAACGGAAGGCACGAAGCTGTCAAATGCAAGCAAGCTTGTTGGTGCAGTGAGTATGATGGAAATCCAGTTGACTATTTGATAATAAGGTCTATGCGTCCTGTCCTGTGTAGATGCTCGAGCCTGTATCACTATGCAATCTATCCCATCGTAAATATCCCTTACTGCACCGCCACACGCTCGGCGAAGCAACGTCACACGCCAGCCACACCTGCTTCCCCGCGTCGAACCGCAGCCGCTCACTGAGCACCTCTCCCCTACGCCATCAACACCTCCCGTACTCCGTACGTACAATTCCAGTCGGCCTCACTGAGCCCGCCATTTCCACAACCCCATCTTAGACTCGCAGCCGTGTGTGTGTCTCTGGGATGTGATGTACCCTGCGTCTCGTCATCACCCCCGCCACAAGCAACCACTGTACCTCTCCCACCACAGTCCCTCTGCCTAAGCTTCCACTCCCTCAAGTGGCCGGTCCCACACACCCGACCACCACTCCCCAACTTCATCATGGACGACCTGGGCCGCGTGGGCCGGAACCTCGTGCGCACCTTCTACGATCCTCTCCCATCATGCACCTCCGACGATCCTATCTGGTGTCTCGGACGCCGCTACGATCCTCTCCGCCGCAGTGCTCGCCGTAAGTCGTCGTCTGCCACCCCAACCGCAACCACTCCCTCTACCACGTCCGCCTTGGATACAAGCAACGACATTGCCTCGCCTCCCGCCCGCTCCAACCCCACCACCGAAGACGACAGCTGGATCCGCACCAGCACCGACGAAGGTGACCGCAAAGAATCCCCCAACGGCGCAGACCCTAGGCAATACGGCGACTGGCCGTGTGCGTTCCTGGACGATTTCGAGTCGCGGATATGGATGACGTATCGCTCCGGCTTCCCGCCCATCAAGAAGAGCTTGGATCCCCGGGCGGCGGCTGCGATGAGTTTCCGGGTAAGGATGCAGACGTTGGCCCAAAATGCGTTTACAACGGATACGGGCTTCGGGTGCATGATCAGGAGTGCGCAGTGTATACTTGCGAATGCCTTGTTGGAGCTTAGATTAGGACGCGGTGTGTTATTTTGTAGTCATGAACTCACAGGCCTATCAATGCTGACTTGTGTAGACTGGAGAATTACCGACTCCACCCCCTCGACCGACGACCGAGCCATCATATCCCTCTTTGCCGATGACCCGCGCGCCCCCTTCTCCATCCACCGCTTCGTTGCCCACGGCGCTGCCGTCTGCGGGAAGTATCCGGGGGAGTGGTTCGGCCCCTCCGCAGCAGCGCGCTGCATCCAGGATCTCGTCCACGAGTACAAGGACGCCGGACTGCGTGTCTACATCTCCGGAGACAACACAGATGTGTACGACGATGATGTCAAGAAAGTGGCACTGGATGCGGAGGGCAAGTTCCAACCGACGCTCATCCTCGTGGGGACGAGGTTGGGCATCGACAAAATCACGCAGGTGTACTGGGAGGCGCTGAAAGCGTCGCTGCAACTGCGGCAATCAGTCGGTATAGCCGGGTGAGTCGTCGTGTTCCCCTCTTCTTCCTTCTTCCTATCTATAAAACATGGAGCTTGGTACTAACATCCCTTCCAGCGGCCGCCCCTCGGCCTCGCACTACTTCATCGGCACACAAGGCACCCTCTTCTTCTACCTCGACCCCCACACCACCCGCCCCGCCCTCCCCTACCACGCCACTCCCTTGTGCTACTCGCAAGAAGACGTGCTCTCATGCCACACGCGGCGTCTCCGCGCCTTGGACATCCGCGACATGGATCCGTCGATGCTGATCGCTTTCCTCGTCAAGGACGAAGCCGACTATGAGGATTGGAAGGAGAAGGTCGTTGCGGTGCAGGGGAAGAGTATCGTGAGGGTCATGGGTGGGGGAGCAGCGGGAGAGGGCAGGGGGAAGGAGAGGGCGGAGGCGGTGGACGAGGTGGAGAGCTGGGATGAGAGGAGTGAAGGGGAGGATGAGGAAGGGGAAGTGGTGGTGGAGAAGGAGGAGGAGAGGGCGGGACTGTAGGGGCAGCCTCCGGGGGGGGGGGGGGGGGGGGGCGGCGGCGGAAGGAAGGCTTCTTTGGTTCAAGAGGATTCGGGAGTCATTCTCTTGAAGACTTTCCATGAAGACCCACTGTGCTCAGCATGCATGTCACTAGCTCCCGCGACTGGAAATGCTTGATGGATTGGGCGGCGTCTTGGATGGCTTTGGACAGGAACAGGTACACCCGGCTTCGGCGCTCTTCTGCATTTCTTTGGGGAGGGGAGGGGGGAACCTCCCGGATACACTGTTTGCAATGCTTTCGATATTGGATTCCGCTTGGGCATCTATGATTATTCGGGACATGCATATGTGGGCAGTGTTTGCACACACAGGAACGCGTCCACACACCATCATTATTTGCTCGCAATGATTCCATCACTACCGCTTTCTCCTCTACAAGAGGTCATCAAATAATTCAAAATGAGTGGCCCGTGATGATCCAAATGGAAGACGGTAACTGCGAAGCGTCAGTTCGTGAAACTCGTTGCCGCATCTCTGCCATTGTAGTGTTGAATACAAAAGAGCTGAATCAAGCAATACATCACATAAAGCAAGCAGGAAAAAGCCCAAGCATGAATTTGAAGATGATTCATTTGCCTTCAGCGGTGGTATGATTTACACCCGATATTCGACATCCGAAGCCAGAAAGACGCTGGTAAAAGGTCGCGCTTCCCGACAGAACAAGCAAACCGTCCCATGATCGCATTAAAATGACCCAGAACACCGTCACCCCGTAAACCCATCATCCACAGACGTTTCAGATAACGTCGTCCATGGAAAGAGAAACCCAAGTGGAAGAAACCCCCCGACCCCCGTGACCCAACTAGCCAATCTATTTGGTGGAGGAAGAGTACTTGGTGACGGCCTTGGTGCCCTCGGAGACGGCGTGCTTGGCGAGCTCACCCGGCAGGATCAGGCGGACACTGTCAACGGAATTAGCGGACAGAAGCGGATGAGGTAAGTGGAGGCAAAACATACGAGGTCTGGATTTCGCGTGACGAGATGGTGGACTTCTTGTTGTAGGCAGCAAGCTTGGAGGCCTCGGTGGCGACGCGCTCGAAGATGTCTGATGAAAGAGGTTAGCTTTGGATTCCAAATCAATGAGACAATGGACGCGACATACCGTTGACGAAGGAGTTCAGGATGCTCATGGCGCGGTTGGAGATACCAGTGTCGGGATGCACCTGCTTGAGAACTGCACAAAAGACGCGTCAGCAATGAACTCTGGGTGAGGCGATGATAGAAGTAGGTAAGAGGGGCCGGAAATGACTCGGAAGAAGACGCGCTTTGAAAGCGCGCTTCAAACCAAACTCAGTTGGCAGTGCAGATGGCGCAAACTCACCCTTGTAGATGTAGCTGGAGTACGTCTCCTTCCTGGACTTGGTGCGCTTCTTCTTGTCGCCAGAGGGAGCGGCAGTCTTCTTTCCGGCCTCCTTCTTCTCAGCGGGAGCCTTGCCAGCGGGGGCCTTGCCGCCGGTGGTGGGAGTCTTCTGGGCTTTGGGAGGCATTTTGGAGTGGGTGTTGGAGATGGGAATTGATGTGGATAGGTGGTGAGACTGGAATGGAGCTGCAAGTTGGATGAGCAGAGCTGGCTGGCGATGGGCGGCGATGGGTTGCGGTTGTGGGAGGAAAGATGGAGAAGAAGGAGACGACGGCGGGCGGGCTCTGGCGCGCTATTTGAATGGCGCGCGCTCGCTGTTGTGATCCTGGGTTGCGCCTGCCCTGTTGGTCCGAGCGCACGCGCGCGCACCTTCCAATTCTCTGCCCCCCAACGCGGCAGGCGCAGCTCTGGGCACGCTAGCGCCGCTGAGTTGATCTCGCGCACCACAACACGCCGCCGGGCCCTTCATAAGGAGCGCCCGCCCCCCGCCCACAGTCCTCTCCCTCTCTCTCTCTTCTCCATCCACATCCAAACCGCCCTTCAAACAACCCATCGCGCAGCGTCCATCGCTCTCAGCTCGCCTTTCCATCTCCATCGCAACCGCATCTCTAAACTTCAACTCCCACTTCTTCAAAATGACTGGCGGCAAATCTGGCGGCAAGGCCTCTGGCTCCAAGAGCAGCGCTCAATCGTATGTTTCCCTCCTTCTACTTGGATGACTCAGGTCTTTTGTTTTGGTCTCGCGTCTTTGACGCGTTTGTTTTGGTCTATCGGACGCGTCTTTTGCTTTGGTCTTTGGTCTTTTACCTTTTTGCTATTTTCATATTACGTTTCCAACCCCTTTGCTCTTTTGAGCTTCATATTCTGACTCTGGTTTCACAGCCGTTCCTCCAAGGCCGGTCTCGCCTTCCCTGTCGGTCGTGTCCACCGTCTACTCCGCAAGGGCAACTACGCTCAGCGTGTCGGTGCTGGTGCTCCCGTCTACCTCGCTGCCGTCCTGGAGTACCTCGCCGCAGAAATCCTCGAGTTGGCTGGCAACGCCGCCCGTGACAACAAGAAGACCCGTATCATTCCCCGCCATCTCCAGCTCGCCATCCGGAACGACGAGGAGTTGAACAAGCTGCTCGGCCACGTCACCATCGCCCAGGGTGGTGTTCTTCCCAACATCCACCAGAGTACGTCGTCTGTTTCCCAGAATCTGATCGCTTTTGCTGACTATTTTTTCCAGACCTTCTGCCCAAGAAGACAGCCACCAAGGGCGGCAAGCCCACCAGCTCGATGGAGTTGTAGACGCGTGTCTCTCTTCTGTTCTTCGGCGCGGCGGTTCTGGGTTGAATTTTTTTCTGCAATGATAATGGGGTTCGGTCTGGGTTCCTGGGTTCACGGCTTTACTGCTCAGGGGTTTGCGATACCTGGGCTGTATATTACATCCGGATAAAGGGTGATATCACGAGCTTGAATTAAGCGATATACTTCAATTTTCTGGCCTTTTGCATGCAAGTGATGGTTTGAGTGGATTGCTGACTAGGATGTTGTTGACGATTCTGGTTTGCGGTTTCGGCGGCTTTGTGCGCTGCTATGGCTTGTCCCTGGATCCCTTCACTAACATATCTAGCGACATGGGGTCGCTGTTTTGATTTGAAGATCTGACGCCGTTCAAATCGGATTATCTGGGTCGTCTAGACGAGCGAAATATGGAGTTTGTTTTGAGGCCCTTCGATTCCACTGTGGCGCCAATCTGACGTCATCCCCACTCTGGCTATGCGTGAAGTTGTCCTCCCCACCTTACACGGGAGCAAATGCTAGTGCACCAGCAGTGAACTGTGCAATTATCTCTTGTGAAAAGAACAAAGATTGTGGTCCTATCAGTATTCAGGAATATTAATATCCAAAGGGCACATCGTGTGTCTTTTTACTGTGATACACTGGAGCGGTCGAGCTGCATAGCTGCACGGAGATGATCCAATTAGGATAGATAGAGTGTGGCAATTGACTACTGCTCTGTGCTCTTATAGAGTGTATACTACATACATACCTTCAAATTAAAGCATTCGTAATAGAAACGCTATTTGGATCGGTTTTCCCGTTCTTCCCTCATTTCGCTGCAATGCCGCCATGTCCATCTACCAGGCATTTGGGGCTACCCGGCAACTTCGCACTCCCACCCCATGTCCGCCTCCTGCAACACCACATCAATTTTTTCGAACTTTTTTTGATTGCAATAAATTTAGATGCCATGGAAATATCCACCACCGAATTTTCGTGCGGATTTATGGAATAGCTGGTTGCTGGTGATTTAATGTCGATTTACCGTTAAGTCTTTTGTTCGCATATATCACCTATAGGACTTTCAGGAACAAGACGAGGTGGCGGAGAAATTCGGCGCTGTCGAAATGCCTACCGGAGGAAAGGAAAGTAATTACCAGGTTCAAATAATACAAAAGTCAATTCAGAGAATAGATCCGGGCACTTCGTGGTTGTGTATTGCCTTCCCGATTGGCGTTTGGCACGCTTTCATCACGGCTAGATATGTTCTCCGCCTCAACCACGCACCCTCCAACCGCAACGCTGAACCAGTGCTTCTCATAACGGCTTTCTACTTCGAGCATTGCTATACAAACGACTTAGAGGTATGCCCATATTCTTCAACAACACCCCATCCCGCCCGAGCATGGCATCAAACTAGAAGCCATCCCCGACTAGCTCCACCACGAACTTCAAGAACACACGCCACCAAGACCGCAGAATTCATTCAACGAGTCACAAAGCACGCACCGAAAGAAACGTATGCAACACCCAATCGATTAAATGGCAAAAGAGAAGATTTTTATTCGACTTCCTACTCTCCCACGCTACACAACCACACGCTCCCTGCCTCCTCCACCGCTCTCCGCAGTGCTCACCACTCACGCCAACGCGTTAATCGTACATGCAAAACCATCTCCTCCCAACCACACTCAACCATCCCAATACCATGCCAGGCTTCTTAGCTTAACATGCACACATGTACAGATTGATCCCCATCTCCGCCACAAAAATGCACAAGAAACAGACGGACGACAAATAGAGCAATCGTTTGGAAAAGGTAATAAACTCATATCAGGACAAAGGAGCTGTCAGGTATTTCTTCTAGGCAAGGAGCATTTTGCGCGGATCCTCGATGAACTCCTTGACTCTGATCAGGAACGTGACGGCCTCCCTTCCGTCGAGCAGCCGGTGGTCGTACGTGAGGGCGAGGTACATCATCTGTCACCTGTTAGCATCAAGATATCCAAGCAACGGGAGAATTATAAACTTACAGGCCTGATCTTAATCTCCCCATTCACCACAACCGGCTTATCCTTGATCGCATGAAGGCCCAGCACGGCGGTCTGCGGCAAATTGATAATGGGGGTCCCCATCAGCGAGCCGAAGACGCCTCCGTTGCTGATCGTGAAAGTCCCACCAGCCATATCCTCAATCGTGAGCTTGCCGTCGCGAGCCTTCTTCCCGAGGTCCGCGATGGCCTTCTCAATGCCAATCATATCCAGGGACTCGGCATTGCGGACAACAGGGGTGACGAGACCCTTCTCCGTGGCCACAGCGACCGAGATGTCGACGTAGTCGCGGTACACGATGGTGTCGCCACCGTTGGGGCCCTCGATGGAGGCGTTGACGGCGGGAATCTCCTTCATGGCCAACACGCAGGCTCGCGAGAAGGCGCTCATAAAGCCGAGCTTCACACCCGTCTTCTTCAGTATCTCATCCTTGTACAGCTTGCGGAACTCCATAATTTGCGACATGTCGACCTCGTTGAAGGTTGTCAGCGAGGCCGCGGTGTTCTGCGACTGCTTCAAGCGCTCGGCGATTCGGAGGCGCATGCGGTTCATCTTGACCTATAATGACGATTAGCAACAAGTCCCCAGGATATGATGCATTCTACACATACACGGCGCTCCTCACGATTCCCGGGGACAGGCTCCTTCTTAGGCTCTGCCTCCTTGGCCTCCTTTGCGGGTTTTGACGGCGGCGGCGCGGGTTTTGACACCTCCTTAGGCGGCGGCGCAGGTTTGGGCTCCTCCTTAGGAGGCGCAGGCTTCTCCTTCTCCTGGCCTCCCTCCGGCTGCGACGAAGTCTTCTGCTCCGTTGGCGCGGGCTCCTTGGGCTCCTCCTTAGCAGAAGTCTCCTTGGCCCCACCTGAGGGTGCAGCACCGCCCAACTCCATCTTCACCAGATCCTGTCCAACGACGACGGTGTCCTCCTCATTGACCAGGAATTCTTTGATGATACCGGCCTCGGGGGCGTTGACGGACACGTCGATCTGAAAGAGCGATGAGTAGGCTGGGATGTGGGGCCTTCAACAAAAACATACCTTGTCCGTCTCGATGGTAGCAATCTCCTCGTCTGCCTCAACATGGTCGCCGACCTCTGTTAGACAATGTTAGCACGCAATCTGATCCGTTGTCCTCAATTCCGGGATAATGGAAGCTCCTCACGTTTTGACCACTGTTTCAACGTTCCCTCGGTTATCGACTCGGCCATCTGCGGCACCTTGACAATCGTGTCCGCTGCAACCGGCAGTTAGCAATTGTAATCCTTCTTAGCTGGAGAGTGTAGACAGACCATAGCCGCGCGAGGGTGTGATGAAAGGGAGGCGACATGTTGCAAGCTGTGTGGGTCTCCTTGATAGCAGTTAGCTTTGCATAGAAACCTCCATCAACAGTAACGCCCACCTCGATGCCTGGCTAAGAAGCCCCGACGAGGTGGCCCTCGTCACAGCACTGTAATTCCGCGTTGCAACGCGACATGAAGCTATGCGGGACGCTCGGAGAACGGGATGCGATCGTATCGGTAATGACGAAGCCGCAAGGCGTCTCAGACACTGCTGGCTCGACATTTTGTGCAACCAGTCAATCGACGTAAGTGGAGGCAGGCGAACAGCACTCGTCTCGACGAATTGAGCGACCGACGAAGGGAGGGCGCGTAACCAGGGAGGTTGAGGCAATTATGAGGAGAGATGAGTTGTAGCCCGAGAACTTGCCCTTTCCCTCCAACCGGAAAACGTCAGAGCGCCATGACCGGGCCTGCGTTTGCCAAGCCGCGCCTCATCAGCTTGCTCCACATTCAGCGAAACGACGTCTCCCAACTGCCATTCCACCCCTCCGCCGCATTGAGACCCCGAATCGACGCGCGCCGACGCAGAAAACACGCGGTTTACCTCGAGCCGCCATACTGCAGCTGGCCATGGCGTCGAAAGCCCAAGTCCTGTCCGTCCGCCCTCGCCCGGTCTCCTCCCGCCCTCCCTGCTAATTCCCACTGACAGCCGCCTGTATCGGCGTTCATTGAAGCTCTCCCTCGACTGGTGTGTCCACAGGTATCTCTGGCGGGGCCAGGCCATGTATATTCGCGAGCTTTTCGAGGCGCAGAAGCACGTCACAGAACCGCGCCAGCAGAGGGTATGACGACGCATCAGGAATTGGGGGATTGGAACTATGGCTGATGTTGCCATTGTAGGCTCTGATTAAGGAAACTGAACGGATATTGGAGGAGTGGAAACATCCTGATCCGTATCGCCCACCTACGGCCCCTGGAGGTATGATTGCGGACTTGCAATGGCCGACGGAATGTCCGGGGTTAACCACGCACAGGGAGCAAGTACGAACGCAACTTGCCTGCGCCCATCTTAGATCGTGAGTATACTTTTCTACCGCCTCCTCGACAAACCATTGACTGGTTTAGCCCCGATCAAGCAGAATATCTAGAGGATGTGAAGGATGGCGGCGGGAGACTGTACTGTACATATCAAACATTGCACAAGATAAGCGCGGGAATGCACGACTTCAAATTACCACTCGCCCCAGCATCCACCAAAACTTTTGGTATCCAACAACTACGGTCGTCTTCATTGCCGTTGAAAGGTGGCTAATCTCATCCGTATGCTGGGCGTCGCTGGGTCCGGACAACGGTAGCTGCAAAAGCATACACGTGCCTCTTTACCGCTGGGATACCAAGACCGCCGAACGAGATTTGAGGAAGTACTGGAAGTAGCTGCACTTGTTCATCTCCTAGCAAGGCAGGGCATACGGCCCAAAGCATCGATAATACAGAGAACAGCACACGAATGGAAAATTCAATAAAACGAAATACACGATAACCGCTCCTGCTCACTTCCTGGGTATCCTGGGGTATTCTCCTGGCACATGTAGATCACTGACGCTCAAATCAGTCTTCTGTCTCATCACCGCGGGAAATACCCGCTCCTTCTCGAGCGACCCTCCATAGGTCGACTCCGATAACTCAGTGACAGGCGTCTCAGCTGACGACTGTCCAGTTTCTGAACCCGTGGGCGCGGAGACGGGAATGGGTGCCTCGCTAGAATCTGCCCTCAGTGGCATTGGTGCGCTTCCGGTGCCAGTGGCAGGAGGTTGCAGGTGAGCATCCTGGGCTTCGAACTGCTGATTGTAGGCCGCTACGCCCAATGCACCCGCTGCTGCACCACCTGCAACGGGAGTCATCCTATCACCGTAAGCGCTATTGTGGCGCTCAATCGGTGAAAGATCGGCATCATAAGCTGTTTGGGCGGCGGCGATGCCACTGCTTGGGACGGGTTTGAAATCCTGAGGGGGCTGAGGCTGTGCCGTAGAGTGTTGAGGCTGTGTGTTGTACGAGAATTGTGTTCTGGCATTGTGGCTCGGGGTACCTGGCGCATAAGGAGTAAACCCTTGCTGCTGTTGTTGGTCGTCAATGTTAGCCGTGGCCGAAGCATACTGATGATGATGCTGGTGTTGATAGCTGCTGGCGGGGTCGTAACTCGTTGCTTGGTAGGGGTCGGGATATCCGGCTTGGTTCAGGCCGCCAGCCACAGTGGTCAAATCATTACCCACTTCTGAGCTGCCACTAGACGGGGGAAGAGGTGCTTGTAAGTTACGTTGGACTTGTATATCGCTTGGGAATCGCCCACCTGGAGATGGCCGTGGTGGGGCTTCTTCTTTTGCTTCCACTTCTGACACGGACTTGCTGGCATAGGGAACTCGATCGGCTTCGTCCTCCTCAAGCCCGCCATCGGTGCTTACAGAGCGAGCACTTCCTTGGCTGGCGCTTCTTGCATGGCGGCGCACGAATGCGTTGCGCTCTTCTCCGCTCTTCTCAGTCAAACTCTTGATGTCCTCATACCAAGCCAACATGGTGTCGTAAGTCTCGGCACGGAAGACCCAAGTGTGACCACGGTGCATTGATCCAGTTTGCCTGCCTTTCAGTGCAAATTTATGAGAGGAGCTGCCAGGCTGTGAATGGGATCCGAGCTTCTGGTCTGGCAGATACAACGACATGACAGGAGGCTGGGTGTATATACGGTCCGCTGACTTGAACTCGTGAAGATGAGTGGGTGACAACACGTACCTGATAGATGTGAGTCACTCCGAGTAAAAGGGGTGTTTGCGGTCTGTGACTTACCACCCAGGCGTATAGCTCTTGAGATATTTGCTCTTTCTCTCCAACATTCCTGCCCGAACTTCCGTCGTTGCTGGGTGATGCTTTCCCGGATATTCTATGTCTTCCAACCGCCGCAACGGAATGTTGGGATTGACGAAATGCGGATCATTGAGCACAAACTCGTTCCACTCAAAATCTCTCGGCATCCCAATAGGTCCATCTCGCAACCTATCAACTGTCGAGTAGATCTCGTCGGCTTCGTGCTTCAGAATGCTTGCTAACGCATTATAAGCTTTCTGTATCTCGCCCACCACAATAGACTCAAGCTCCCTGCCCGAGTTTTCCAGATTGAGGTATGCCTAGGGATGGTCAGCAATCTGTTGAAGTGCAGTGATTGGCGGACATACCCGGTGAAGATAATTCTCCTCATCAATTTGTCGTTCAACCTGGCGATCGACACCGAGCCGCACCACATACGGGTCCCCTTTTCCAGCAATAGCAGCTGGATCCGTATCTACCAGTGACAAGGCCTCCCCAAGGGCTGCAACGCATTTCCTCGTCGTCTCCTTCTCCTTCTCTACTGAGTTTTTGAAATCACCGGAAAGGGATTTGATCTCCTTAATCTTCTGACCCAGATCCGATCTGAGCCCGCTCAGCTGATTAATGACTTCATTCATGATATCTCTGGCTTTATTTGCCTCTGTAATGGCTTGACTGTGGAAGTCTCTTAGCAGGCGGCTTGCGTCATTCAAGCCACCCTCGGTCATGAAAACGGAGGGTGGTACGGTGTTGTTGATCAGATTGGAGACCTTGAGAGTGGCCTTCGCACGATGCTCGTAAGAAAGTGAGACCTCACGGAAGTAGGTGATGAGGTCCTTTAGAAGCTTGCGCCATGCTATATTGCACTGTCAGCCGCAGTCGGCGTTGGATGTAACGCGTGTCCAACTTACCTTGAAAGCGGTTTGCCAGAATGTCCGTCGGAGATCCTGATGTAGGCACCGGTGTATAGAAGACGCTGTTGTGTTCGTTCCCCTGATCATCGTCATCGATGCTCACGCCTCGGATGCTCCCCGCATGCATGCTACGGCGGCTTCCGCTGCGCTTCAAGCTCCCACTCCGTTTCACCGAGTTGCGTTTCTTCAGGGTACCAGTCCGCGCAGGCGCAGAGCCCCGGTTCAAGGAGGAGGCCCGGGAAACGGACCGCCGCGGGAAGTCACCATCTGCAAGCACCGACGATCCCCTTGTGCGGGCATCGAAGTCCTCTTCGAAACGGCCGGCTCGTTGGGAGTGTTGTCGATTCGGGGTTTGTGACAAGGATAAAGTCTCTTCTCCATGGTTTACTGCGAAGTCGTTGGTCTCGACACCGAGATGTGACGCAGCTCCATAGCCTCTGTTGAGGTGTGCGGGGTCTTGAGGAGTTGGTATGCTCTGGTATGGCCCAGCGGGCGTGGTCGGACGCGGAGTTGCCATGGGAGTGCGTGGAAGCGGGTCGGGTTACTGGGGTTGCCGGCCCGTCACTATGCAATGTAAGGTATGGGTATTGTTGCTGAAGCAGACAGTGGAATAGGGACTGGAGCTGGTGGTGAGCTGGCCGGCGATACAGTAATTAGACTAGCGTGATGTCATTGCTGAAAGACAAGGTCCAACGGGTGCCTGTCGCCGGATTGGTCCCTGGTGATGCTTGGCGTAACTCAACACCAAACCGCCGTCATCACGCAGCCCCGTGCGCCCCAGACATCGACCTCAACATTGAACTGTGAGCACTGATGCCAACAGTACGGACCCAGGTGGAATCGCTCCATATGCAGTTGCACTGAGTTACTTTGGTCTGTCTGCACCCGCATTTGTATCGCCATGAAACCAGGAACAAGCCGAGCGACGACCAAGATCATGGAAATGAAGTTAATACTGCCGACATGCAGCACACAGAGAGTCCTGGTACTTATTATTACTGTGTAGTTGGGCATTGACGCGACTATGAGGCTCATCATTCACCATCAATGCTATATCTGCACCTATAATGCTCCCCTCGGAGCATATATGTACAAGTATGACTAAGAACCCCTGGCTAGAGTGGTCGCGCCATCATCTACCGCCTCTCGCCCAGAATTTCACCTTGCCCTCGTATATAAACACAAGCCCCCCAGCGTAACCCGCAATATACAATCCCCCATCTCCTACTCCTCAACGCCAAACAGTAGCTCCCGCCGTGTGGCTTTACCGCATGAGAACTCCCTTGTAAACGGCATTGCCGGGCCGGCAATTTAGATGAGATATTCATCACCGGGTGCTGCGTCGATGCCACCATTTTCGAAATTGCTGTCCAATCGGCTCCAGCCATGAAACGCCCCATGTCCCCTTGCAGTAGATTTCGAGAACAAGCCGAAGCACGTTTACGTTCACTGGTGCCCGATGTGATGGGGCGATACGAGGAGGGCTTGCGGCAACCCATGGGGTAAAAGTGTGGGGTGCGCTGCCAAGGGACTGGGGAAGGGCAGATGACTGCCTCGAATTTAATTGGGACGCTTGATGGGATCTTGCACGAATGCTTGGGGATGGATAGAGTGGGGATCGTCATGCTCTAACTATCTACTATATCCTATGGGACGGGATGGGCGAGTCCGGTTTCCTGGCTGAGGGTTGCGGACGGTGTATATAAGGAGGAGGGCTGCTGATGGGACCGTGAGGCATCTGAGTAGTTCTGAACTTCTATATCCAGTTGGTATACACAGGGCCAGCAAGGTCTTAGTAGACATTCATCATGAAGGCCATCGCCGTTACTGTTCTCTCGTTCCTTACTGCCTTCTCCTCTGCTCATGCTGTTGCTCAGCGTGTCAGGTATGACGGAGAGTAATGCCAGTCAATGAAACCGTCTGACAGTCAATCCAGGGTGAATGGTCAAGACAAGGGCCAGCTTGTTGGCATTCGCGTCCCCAACTCGGTACGTTCATCGAAGTCCACCTAAACCATCCGTAAATCAAAGGCTAACTGAACCCAGAACAACCCCATCCAAAATGTCAACGACCAGAACATCGCCTGCAACTCCGGCTACCGCACTCCCGTCTCCAACGTCGTCATCGACGTAAAGGCCGGAGACCGCGTCGGCGTCCAATGGGGCCATGTCATCGGCGGCGCACAATTCGCAAACGACCCTGACCACCCCATCGCAAAGAGCCACAAGGGCCCTACCATCTTCTACATGTATGTCTTCCTTCCGACATCCTCCACGATATGACCTCGCACTAACCCACCCCCAAGGGCCAAGGTCGACAACGCCGCGACCGCCCAACCCAACGGTCTCCGCTGGTTCAAGGTCTTTGAAGACGGCCTCGACGGCTCCGGCCAATGGGGTGTCGACCGCATGATCCAAAACGGCGGCTGGGTCGACTTCACCATGCCCTCCTGCGTAGCCCCGGGTAACTACCTCCTCCGTGCTGAAATCATTGCTCTGCACTCTGCTAGCAAGCAGGGCCAGGCCCAGTTCTACATGGTATGTACTTGCTAAGAAGAAGTTGTCTCGACTTGGAGCTGACGGAAATCAACAGGGCTGCGCTCAAATCAACGTCTCTGGCTCTGGATCCAGCACCGGTGGTCAGACCGTCAGCTTCCCGGGCGCCTACTCGGCCAACGACCCCGGAATCCTCGTCTCCATCTACAATGCTCAGGGTCAGCCCACGGGTAATGGTCAGCCGTACAAGATCCCCGGCCCTGCTGTGCTGCGGTGCTAGATGGGTGACGAAGTCCATGTTGCAGGCGGCAGTGAAGTCTGACAAATGGACGCGGATGGAAGCATCGACTATCTGAAACGTTAGTAGCTATTCATAATTCACGCTGAACTCCCAAGTGAACGACATGCTTCAACAAGTGACAAGCGTGATAGTACACTTCTTTTCTAATCTTTGTATGCGACTACGCTCGGGGTATCATCTCCGGATCCCAGGATGCACCGCAAGCAATACCAATATACAATGTCTACGCCATCCGCAACCTGAAATCGTGGAAGGAATATCACCGTGCCTATCAAAGACTACCCTGGGGGTGGCAGAAGGAACGTGTGCACAGTCACCTAATGACATCACCCACGTACCAACAACCCGTCGAAATATATGTCTGTAGAGACAAACTCAACCAACCGGAGCATGCAACTATGCGAACGTAGAAGCCTGGGGCTTCACCCTCTGAAGCGCAGTTCTGTGCCCTATCCGTGGTTACGTCGTCTCACCGCTGGGCGACCGCGCGAGAATATCTTGTATCTCCCCTTAAGTGACCTCGACGCCATTAATAACGGGGACATCTGCGCGGTGTTCCTCACTCGTCGGCTGCATTGGTTGTGGGGAATGCTGTCGGCCTTCTGTCTCCGGTCTCCTATGTACAGCTTCCGTAAGCTCTTCGATCCGATCTGCTTTGACGTAAACGACGCTGGTGGATGTGGCAGCACCCTGCGCTTGGTAGATCTCACTCGGAGCGACCTCTTCCACGTACTCATCGTTGTACCTCCGCCAGACTTTATTCTGTGCGTCCCAGATGTAGATCCAGTAATGACCAAATTTCGCAGTCCCACGGTGCATGAATACCGCATGAAGGCGGTACGGGTAATCTTTGCAATTCTGGAAGATAGAACTAATCTGGTCATCGATATGCTTCAAGTCTTCCTGAACACGTATAGTCTCTTCGGAGATCTCTCGAGCTCGGTCCCGCAGCTGGTTAGGGAGGTCTGGAAAGGCAGGGATGCTGTCGGCATCGGTATCAACCAGTTTTTCGCTCTCTACCTGGTTGAGATCTTGGAGGAAATCGGCGGTTTCATTAACGGTCTCGGAGAGGGTCATCCTCAAGTCGGTGTTGAGAAGCATATCCTTCTTGCGCTCGCATTCTTTCAGTGTGCGTCGAAGCCGCCACTGCTCTTCACGGAGTCCTTGAAGTGTATGTGCGGAGAGGGACTGCGTTTGTTCAAGGTATCGGTCGAGAAATATCACTTCGTCAAGCCTCAGATGGGCTTCATCCTTCGTGGTTGTGCCGCCTTCAAAAAGAAGACGCCGGACATTTACGATGAAGATCGGAGATAGATGAGTAAGGCAGTCGTACTTGCTGACTTGGCCATCTTCAACTTCGGTAAGGCTGCCAAGTTCATCATCTAGGGCGGCATAGAGCGACCTATCTCTCCGTCCGAGGGACACGAGATGATGGTCTTTCAATTCGCTGGTGCCTTTGACACCATCCTTTGCTCGCATTGACGTCACCTCAGAATAGAACATATTCTTGATGATATCAGACTGCTCGTCATCTTTCAGCAACGTGCCGTCCCCTTCAAAAGCACACGATAGCATGTCAAAAACGTTCATGAGGATTTCTGCAGCGTCCTGTTGTTGAGCTAGGCCTTCGATGCTCTTTGCATCTAGAGGTCTTGGGGGAACCGGCGGAGGGCGAGAGGGAGGCTTTGGTGCGCCGGAATTTCCGGTCTCTTTTGAGTCAGTCTCCATCGGTTCCGCACTGTGTTCGTCGCTCTGTACATGGTGAAGTGGAGGCGCTGATGTGCTGAGCTGAACGCCGCTTTCGGGCTCAATTTCCATGGACTGGTCGTTAGGTTCAACCACTTCGTCAACACTTGAGCGTTGATCCGGTTTTTGCGTTCCAGCATCTGCCATGTCTACGTCGACTCGACCGCTTGCAGAGCCTGGAGGTGATGGAAGGGCTTTTGTTGGATCCGGCATAGGCCCGTAAACTGGTAAGCTTTCAGAAGCAGTGATATCAGGCTCGATGGGGCCATCTTGAGCGACCAGATTGGCAACATTGCCTGTCTGCCCCTGTTGAGCCTTGGGCACTAGGGCAAGTGCAGCCAGCTTGAGGTCAGGCTGAACATGGTCTGTGTTGGCGGTGATCATTTGCTGGAAAAGTTTTCTCAGTTCCAACACAACTAACCGCTGTTGTTAATAATAAATCGGTCGACGCGAGATAGTAACTCACATCTTTGTGCGCGGTCCGCTTGCTCCCGTGTCACAACACTGCGTCCAACCCGGCCTTTGGCCTGCAAGCCCTCTGGACTGAGATCCTGAAAGTGCTGCTCGCAGTCAAGCACGTAATCGCGCAGAGGTTTGATGGTGAAGAGGAACTGCAGCACGCTGTTGAGATAGCATGTGTTTCCGATATTCCTGCAACCGACGGGCCAAGTATCCAGCGGATATTTCCTTAAAGGGACGTTGTGGGAGGATTCCTCAACGTTGAATCGTTGTTGTTGGTCACGACATATCACTTGATACGCCTCCTCGTACTTTGCCCTTTCTGATTCGTTTTGGCTCGAGTGGAAGTCGGCCGCTACGCGTAACGTCTCGAGATCAAGGCGTTCTGTTCGGTCTTGCACGTTGAGCAGAGCGTAAGCCGTTCCTATATCCATGCCTGGGCGTTTATCATACGAAGCATCATCCATCCAAGTCCACAGTTGCTCACTCCGGCGGTGTTGCGCAATGATTCGGAGTGCTTTCCTTGCGATCTCCTTGTCAGCGTAGTTCTCTGTCACCTAAAAAAGAGTAAGCAATAGTCATGAGATATGCAGTGATCTGAGTGCTCAAGCCCGTCATGACACGGACGTGAACAAGGGCAACGCACCTTATATGTGTACATGGACAGGACAAAGTCGTCGGTCTGATCTTCATCCAGGCCTAACCAAGACAAGGCCTGGTCGTACGTCTCTATGGTATCCGACGCGGCTTGTCTGATCTTCTCACTCATGCGTGCTCCGCCAATCACTCTCAGTGCATTTCGGGCCTCCTGAACGGCGTCCGGACTTATATCTTGAAGACGCGATCTAAAGACCCCTATGATATTGTCGTCAGATTCGCTAGAATGAGAATTTATGTCCATCCCGAGGATGCGATACGCCTTAGCCACCTCTTGTCTGCTCGCATAGCCCTCTGACGCCAGCACCTGGACATAAGTCTCAAGGTCATCGCTTTTGCGACCTATGGCGATTTGCTGGATGCATTCGAAGTAGTATGGCCCGTTGAGCGGATCAGCCCTCGCTTGACAGGTAAAAGCAAACAAAAGAAGGCTATCGGAGAAATCGCTAAGTGCACCAAGGCCGGCATAATATCTGTGAAGCATGAGTCGCGATATATCAAGGATGAATAGTTGGGAGAGACAACATACGGATGGTCTTCCTCTCGGCTCGCACTCCTAGTTCCCGTCGATGCTCTTCTTTGATCTGCCAGGAGAGAAGTCAGTGGATGTGAATCAAACAATGATCCCAGAGCAAAAACATACACGTTTCGCAGCCCAGGGCCCTGTTTATGAACATCAGCCCGGGCTGCAGCGGATCTACAGGACGCCTGATGGCGGTACGCTCTGCTTCAGGCCGGGCGAGGATAAGGGCGCCGAGTTCATGTTGAACATCATCGACAAATGTACGCTCATTGGGATCCGCTCGAGCATCCTCCGGTTTCTTGGGCAGGGCCGGAAGTATCCAGGCCTCCTCGGGCTCGCTCTTGTACTCGAACCCTAACCGGTGGAGTAGCGCATCGCAGTCTTTGCCGAATGTCTTCAAGAATTTGCGATTTAACAGGGGGATCCTGTTCTTGTTTTCTTGCGGTTCCAGAGAATCGCGGAGATACGTACGTAAGAAGTCTAAACCGTCGATAGGGCGTGCAACTTGGGTATCAGCTCGATCCCCGGCTATGCGTCGCGCGTTTTCCAGCCGCTCTCTGAGCAGATCTTTGTTGGTGAGAAGGTTTATCTCCTCGTCTGTTAAGCACGGTGGGCTCATGCGAATGGTCAACGTTGCGGGGCAGATCGGAGCGGAGCAGTTGAATCGGAATTCGCGAGTCTGGGGTCGGACAACAGAAGACGACGGCATGGCTTCATGGTCGGTGATGAAGTGATGAAGGAGGTAATTCGTGCTTGTGTGCCGGCAAGGGCTATCTCTGCTGCCATGCTCGCGCAGATCGACCAGGACGTCAACATGCCAACGGCATTTCTGGCAGAAGCATGCAATCTTGGTCAAGGTACCGTGCGCTAAGATTTCAAGCCTTGGTAAGTTGCTCTGCTCAGGTTTGACCCCAAGCTCGTGCCTGCAGTTGCGCTCGTACACGGCGGGCTTGGGCGGCGCAGAGGGGTCATAATGAGGCGGGGGAGTTGTAAGATAATTCCGGCCTGCGGCAGTTTCATAGCGAGGGTCGTAGGCGAGGAGATCAGCAATCAGGCGTGGCGCGGTCTTTCCGGGACCTAAGTATAAGAGTTAGTGGACTGTACTTGTGGCAGAGCGATGGGAGAAGCTTACCAGACATTTTCGATCAAGCTTCAAGAGGCGTATCTTCAGCCTGGATGATGGTTCCTAAAGCTATAGAAAGAAGAAAACTCAGGAAGGGGTGGTGACCTGGAGCAGTGACCGGACGTTTGTGCTTGGTTGAGACGGTCTACAGCATTGTAGCTATAGGCATCAGCGACGAGTGCGGGTTTGTGGGTTTGCGGCTCGCAGCCGCCGCAGAATCCCGTCAAGCCTCTAGCCGGCGCACCGAGCAAATGGAAGCAATCTGGGTAAGGCCTAAAAACGACCGGTGTAGTATAAACTGGAGAAGAAGGGTAAAATGCTCACTGAGGAGCTGTGGTAGAACTGTTTGGTGGTGGAGATGTCAATGAGGGCGTGGCAGAAACCTTGCCAGGAAAGGACTAGGCTCCACGCATCGCACCTCCCACCCCTGCACGGTACCACTTGCTCGACCTCAACCCAGACATCTATCTACCCACGCATCCAGAAGCAACCCCATAACCCCGCCGCCCACCATGGCCAAACCACCGGAGCATTTCCATCCGCACGACACTCTCGCGAACACGGCGCGCACGACGCTGCAGACGGGTATAGGCGGCGCCTTCATGGCGGGTGCCGAGAATGCCCTACGAAAGCAGAACGTCGGTGCCATGGGCATCATCACCCGGTCGGGCGGCATCATCGCCCTGTTTGGTATGCTGGAAGAGCACGTATGCCCGTGGAAGCTTAGGACTAATTGACGGACAGCCGGTGTGGGAGCCACATATCAATTCACGCGCGATTCGGCAGCCAACCTCCGGCAGGTGGACGACACATATAACGAGGCAATTGCCGGCTTTCTAGCTGGCCTGGCATTGGGTCTGCCGAGTATGCCTTCAAGCTCATGTTCGGCGAGATACACGCTGACAATTGCGCAGAGAGGAGTATTGCCGTCATGCTCGGAGCTGGTGCTCTGACGTCCATCACAATGGCTGGATTTCATTACACAGGTGGTTTCAGGGGCTATAAGAAGGACTTGGTGCACGCTCCTGGAGAAGATGATGTCGACGTGAAGGAGAAGAACAAAGCGGAATATCGCCGACCCATTTCCGAAATCATTTCTGATCTGGGTGAAGGACGAGGTGAGTGGGGCCAGGGCGACATCCACGCTCGCCAGGCTAATGCGGTCAGGCATTTATGCACCCGGTTACGAGGAAAGGAGGCGCCAACGGTTACTGGCCAAATACGGTATCGATGTGGGCGAAGCACAAGGCTCGAGAGCTTGAAGAGCGGTTTTTTGACAGCGAATATTCCATGGCATAGGATTGGGGGGTTTGCAGCTCGTGTACATAACATCAATGTTACCCATCTACGAAGAACAGGTTCAGTTAGCTGCCAATTGGCCATTTCTTTCTCTGACGCAGAATCAGCTTTTGTGCGGGCACGCCTCCGAGCAGCTTTATGGGCGTCAAACAATAACTTGTTCGCGCACTGTACTAGATTCTGCCGGGAATTCGCCCACGTGTTGCCGTAAATGATATTGATCGTGGATCGTGGTGTACGAGACACTGGACGTGTATATGACACTGATGCACAATATACTGCCGATTATGCCAACTTGATCAGTCACATTGGCACAGAACTGTGATTGTCAATCCAAACATGTCCTTTTACAGCATTAATTAACGTTGCCGGTATCTGCTTGCTCAAGGGAACTTCTGGATATCAGTCTATCATGCAACCAAGGTCGTGAAAATAAGCTTTCCCCCCTGCACCGCCACCAATCGCGGCCCACACGGAACCTCGCTATTGAATAGTTCGCAGTCTTGCATACCAAGGTAGCAAGGGAACAACAATAACTGTGTTCCTAAACAGAACCCACCTGTCATGGAAAATGCCACTACGAATGCGTCTGCGGAGTCAGAGGCAACACTAAAAGAGCGCTTCTATCGACAATTTCAAAATGAAGTGAATGGTAAGATGTCGAACATCCTATGCCTACGAAACATAATAACTGAGCGATTACCAGCCCTTGAGAAACAGATAGAGGGTTTGGGTACAAATGCGCTTACAGGTGCTGATCGTAATGCCTCCATCGAGAATTGTCTTGCAGGAATCGACCGGCTGTCGCACGAAGTCAAGGACGCTTCGAGCTATCTTCCTGCGTACGACCGGCGGGCGTATAGCAATGTCAGTTCGCCGATTTATCGCAATTGTCGCTATGGAGATGTTTGCTGACGAACTACAAGTCCATCAAGACACTCTCTGACAAACTAGAACGGAGCCGCAAAGAAGCGGAGCCGCCTAAGAAATTCAGATTCAAAAGTGCGCGCATTGCTCAGGCAGCCACTTCTACAGTCCCACGAAGCGCGGCAGAGGAATCCCAATCTACCGTGGAGTCCAGCTCACAGCAAACGCCTACCTCTCAGCCAACGTTTAAGGAAGAGCAAAGCGCAACGATCTTCCACCGGAACAACGCCTACATCACCCTTCCTACGACATCTGGAAATTCTTCTCGAACAATAGCCAACATAACCAACAGTATCATTTTACCTCCTCTGTCTGAGCCTCAAACCGTCGCTTCCCCCCTAGCCAGCCTCATCCTAAAAGACATATCTACTTCTCTCATCATCCTTCCTCAAATCGACGGACCCATACATATGACGAACATCACCTCCAGCATTCTCGTAGCATCATGCCGCCAATTCCGCATGCATGCATCCAGAGACGTGCAGGTGTATCTGCACTGCGGGAGCAGACCGATTATCGAGGATTGCGAGGGTGTGAGGTTTGCGCCCTTGCCAGAGTGTTTTGTAAGTCCACTCTGATTTTCTGATCTCATGGTATTCAGCTGGTTGAAATGTTGAGGTTCTGCTATGGGCGGATGAATGCTAATCGAACGCTAGACCACGCCAGAGATGCGCACGAGACTGAATCGGTGGGATCAGATTGACGATTTTGGATGGTTGAAGGCGGAACCCAGTCCGCATTTCAGTGTACTGGGGGAGCACGAGAGGTTTCCGGAGCAGGCGTGGAGGGATGTGGCTGAGAGAAAGGTAGAGAAGACTGTTGAGGATGCGTTGAAAGCGTTCGGGATCCTCAAGGATTCATGAGAAAAGGGCGGTTCTCGCGAATCACTCATGGTGAAACCGTTTGCCTGGATAGCGAATGACCAGCCAATGGATAATCTCCGGTCATACTGTTGGGCTGTTCATATGGTTATAGCAGTGTTCCGCAGACTCTGAGAAGCTTATGGGGTTCTTGTGGTTATCTCCTGGCCAGCTTTGTGGAATGACTTAGGGACGGATTTCACCGGAAGGTCTCACCGGACTGTATTGCACCGGCTAGAAGCAGCAGTCGTGGACCGGAATTCCATATTGGTGGTATTGCAAAAGGTAATACGTCTTACAGACAAGGCTATGTGTGAATGATGAAAGAAGAATACTGTATTGATAGAGCAACGCCGAGAGTATCGACATGAAAGGATTTATTCTATCACTCGTCTAATGCCCCAAGGTGGTCGCGATTGACTCCGAAAGGATACTACACAGTACTGTATACGCATGTACCCCATCCAGTGGTCCACGTCAATGGCCCGGAGTACGGCAGGCCACACAACGGTGGGCTGGGCCGCAAATCGGGCGTGACGGTGGTGCTTTGCGCAATGGCCTGTGCCACTTAGTACCATGGAAAGTGAACACGGATAATGAAAGGCTGAATATTTCCCTTCAACCCTTATAACAGCCTCTTTGCGTCCGGATCCGCCGCACCCAAGATGGAGGCGGCAAAGGAAGGCAAGAAAACTTCGTAGGCAGTGATGCATCAGAAGCTTTCCAAACGGCTGCCTGATGTAGATTCCTGGGTCACGCGAGGCGAGGGCAGTTACACTGTGCACATATTCCTGCACGTCTTGAGCTAATATTCTCCTGCAAGGTACATCCCTCCGTCGCTATCAAATACTCAGAAAAACACCACAGGGTCGGCCCGCAAGGTAATCAAGCCTGGTAAAAACTCATGGACAACTGTACAGAAGGCATCGTGATTGGTTGGCTGATCATCGTGCTGATCGGTAAGGAGCGTAAGCCGGACATTGCGTACTAGGCTCTTGGCTTCGGGACTCAAACGGCGAATGAAATCCAGGACAGGCAAATAATTGAACCCATAGAAGTGGAAGAGGTTTTCGGAATACATGATGGAGAGACATTCATGGTAAATCAGGCGATTCGTTCGGAGGACATCGAGGGTGGGTTTGTCAGGGTGGGGGCGACATAGGCTGTTCCATTTCTTGTTGATCACCTTGGTGTCGCAGTCGGTGTAGAATCGAAATCGCTTGTTCGATGATGGCAGGAGATATCTAAAAATCTCGCGTCGGATCTCCGAAGGTAGCCGGAGTAGAGGTGGATAGTAGTCCAGTGCTGTTCTCGTCTCTGGTATTGATATCTGTTTGGCGACAGAGTCTATTGAATGTGTCCTTGAGGTCTTGTAGAGATCTCTGGAGTCATGACTTGTTTGTATCGGAGCAGACTGGTCCCTTCATAAGCCTTTGTGCAACCGATAGTAGAATGGGTGCTCACTTTTCTAGAAAATGTCCTGGCTGGCATGATTCAACCGCACAGATATGGACACAAGAAGAATGTGATAATGAGGAAAGCGAAGATAAATCAACAATACAAAGCGGTATCTGAGAAGATCTATATCTCAAATATGGTCACGAGGGTTGAAGGTGTTGGCGCCAACGGTACAATGCGGTGAATAAAGGGCGACCTGGGAGGGAGAAGAAAGGGCCGGGCGACAGCACAAAGGAGAGCGTACAGAGCAGGATCACGACAGCCTGACGAAGGAAGCCTAGAACGGTGTTATATGCATTGGAAGCATGATGAGTAGGGTGTTGGCTGCGGGAAGTCGTCAATGAGGCTACTTGGCGCGCGGCGCGGGTGAAGTATTCTCCGACGGTCGCCCGCCCCGGCTCGTTTTTTTGGAATCGCGTCCGGCCGCCTGGAGGCACATACGAGCTCCGCAGGACCCAACGGTATCTTAGTTTAGTTGTTTCTCGGAGGCCAACGCGATTCCTGATTCTCGACCAGTAATTTAAACCGCATATCCATCGCTGCCATGTCATTCGGCGGTCAAACGCCCACCATTGTGGTCCTCCGCGAGGGTAGGGAGTCCTAGCTCTCATATGCTACCCCTCCTCGATCAGACCGAATATTAATGCATGAACAGGTACCGACCAGTCCCAAGGCCGAGGACAGGTGTTGTCCAACATCAATGCCTGTCTTGCCGTGCAGTCGACGATTAAGGGCACCCTTGGCCCCTATGGCGGGGATCTGCTCATGGTCGATGCGAACGGAAAACAGACCATCACGAATGATGGAGCTACCGTGATGAAGGTATTGTACACTCCTACTTGAGGGTCACAAGACTGACCTTTACAGCTCCTCGATATTGTCCACCCCGCCGCTCGCATCCTCACAGATATCGCCCGCTCCCAAGATGCCGAAGTTGGAGATGGAACCACATCCGTCGTTGTGTTGGCAGGAGAAATACTCAAGGAAATCAAGGACTATGTTGAGCAAGGCGTGAGCACCCAGACTATCATCAAGGGCCTCCGGAGAGCTTCGAACATGGCCGTGAACAAGATCATGGAGATCGCCGTAGACACCGCCGCCGCGAACCAACGGGAAACCCTCCAAAAGCTCGCAGCGACCGCCATGAGCAGTAAGCTGATACACCGCAACTCGGACTTCTTCACAAAGATGGTTGTTGATGCTGTGTTGTCTCTGGATCAGGAGGACCTGAACGAGAAGTTGATTGGAGTTAAGAAGATTACCGGAGGTGCTCTCCAGGACTCACTGTTCGTAAATGGCGTGGCTTTCAAGAAAACATTCTCGTATGCAGGGTTTGAGCAGCAGCCCAAAGCCTTCAAGAACCCAAAGATCGTCTGCTTGAATGTCGAACTAGAGCTCAAGAGCGAGAAGGACAATGCGGAGGTCAGAGTGGAGCAGGTCTCAGAGTATCAGGCCATTGTGGATGCTGAATGGCAAATCATTTTCGACAAGATGGAGGCGCTTTACAAGACTGGTGCGAAGGTGGTTCTCAGCAAACTCCCAATTGGCGATCTCGCAACACAATACTTTGCGGACCGCGACATTTTCTGCGCCGGACGGGTAACATCGGATGATCTCGAGCGTGTATGCCTGGCGACCGGTGCCAGCATTCAATCCACTTGCTCGGACATCCAGCCCAAGCATCTTGGAACTTGTGAGTTGTTTGAAGAGAGGCAGATTGGAGGCGAAAGATACAACTTCTTTGAAGGGTGCCCGGCAGCAAAGACCTGCACACTTGTGTTGCGAGGAGGTGCAGAGCAGTTTATTGCCGAAGTCGAGCGCAGCTTGCACGACGCAATTATGATTGTAAAGCGCGCAATCAGGAACAGGAACATCGTTGCCGGTGGCGGTGCAGTGGAGATGGAGATATCCGCTCACCTGCATGCGTACGCCAACAGGGATGTTCCGAACAAGCAGCAGTCCATCATCAAGGCCTTTGCCAAGGCATTAGAGGTGATACCTCGTCAATTATGTGACAATGCTGGCTTCGATGCTACGGATATTCTGAACCGCCTCAGAGTGGAGCACAAGAAGGGCAACATCTGGGCGGGTGTTGACTTCGTGCATGAGGGCATTGCGAACAACATGGAAACGTTTGTCTGGGAGCCAAGTCTAGTGAAGATCAATGCTCTGCAGGCCGCAACAGAAGCTGCCTGCCTCATTCTGAGTGTTGATGAGACGATACGTAAGTTTTCCCTGATTGAAGATCTCACGAGCTAAAGCTAACCTTGAGGCAGAGAACCAGGAGTCACAACAAGCGCAGGCGCCAAATAAGCCGCTACCTCCAGGAGCAGCACAGAGGGCACTGGGCATGAGGGGCCGCGGCCGGGGTATGCCCAGGCGGTAAAGGTTAGGAGAGACATAAAGTAGTCAACTCCAAGCGTTCAAGCTGACGATAATAAAACACGGACCAAGATGTCCTTCGTGAACGCACATTTCAGTTTGAAGAGTGATCAAGTCTCATTGTGCGTCCAACAAAACGTCGCTATGAACACCCACCCGGATTCACGCATAACTCTTCACCCTACTCCAATAGAACGGCCTCTCATTCTTCCTCATAAATTCCGCCCAATCATCCGTTAATCGATTGTAACTCCAGTACCCCTGCCACATCAACTTGTTGTTCCTAGCCCCTCGTCCCGCACTCCCCAACGCCAATATCATCTTATACAGATACTTGGGTGTGGCGCCCTCAGTCTCTACATGCAAGACACCCTCCTTCTCACCATTGGATTCACCGTCGACGCCAGGGATCGTGGGGCCTGAGAGCCGCCAGCGTCCTAGAAGCGCGTCTTTCATCGGTGCAGAAGGGAGGTTCCCGTGGTTCTTGTGGACGTGCTCCAAATGAAGGTAGGGCACCACGTCGGCGGGCTCAGAGGTGGTAAGGAGACTGATACAAGTGCCGTCGCGCAGGAAGCGGAGATAGCGGTAGTATGTCACGATGTGGATGGGGGAGTTCCAGGAGACGCTGGTTGGCGACGAGGCGCCTGGGCGGGTGTAATTGACGGTGGAGATGTAACAGCCGTTGAAGCGGATACGGGGACGTTGGCGGAAGAGGGCGCGGTAGGTTGGGTAGATGGATGGGACGAGGAGGGTCGTGAGGCTTCCTGGATCGAGCTCCTCGGTGACTGGGGCCGCATCGTCTTCGTCGGAGCCGAGAAGGAAACCCCCTTTACCGTCGTCTCCAAGGGGTTTGCCATCGACCTGGCAGGCGAAGGTGTAGTGCATAGCGCCGAAACCGACTTCGTTGCCTGTGGCTATGCGTTTCCAGATGCGCTCCTCGGTGGTGACGAGGTAGGCGAGGCGTTTGCAGACTTGGGCTAGGCGGGCAAAGGAGGCGATGTCGGTGAGGGCCACTTCGAGGAGGATATCCGAGAGGATCTCGTCGGGGATAGTGGAGATGGGGCAGGGGAGGGGTGGGGAGAGGTCGGTGGGTGGGGGTTCGGCTTGGATGGAGAGGGTGGAGAAGGAGTCGAGGAGGGATTGGAGGTTGGAAGAGAGACCGTGGAGGGAGTGGTGGGCGGGATTTGGAACAGTGGTGGACGCGTTGGAAGGGTTGATGTCCTGGTGTTTGGGTTTGGAGGTGAAGGAGGAGGGCGGGAAGTGCTTGTTCTTGTAGGTTTGGTGGACGTTGGAGTCGAGCTATAGATGGTCAATTCACACACATCGGGATCGGTATGGCACGCCTACTCTGAACGCCTTCCGGTAGAGGTTCACGCTCTCACCCAAGCTCCCCTGGCTTTCTTTCTCAACGGCTTTCTCATAGTGCTCCAATGCGGAGTGGGGCTCCTTGCTGGAGCCCGCAGCAGGGGAACTGGTTTCATCCAGTCTCCTTCCATGGCGCACTTCTCCAAGATCGGGATACAAATGAGGCTCTACCTCGTCTATCTCCTCCACAGCCTCAGGGCGTGCATGCCGAGACACTTCAGGTACAATGCTCTGTTTAGACGTCTGAGCTCTGTTCGATGAAGCTTGAGAAGACTTAGGAACGGCCTCTTCCTTTTTGGTCTTTCCTTTGGTTTTCGCGGTCACTTCTTCTCGCCATCTCTGGCGGAAGGTCTCCAGCTCTGCTTCGGTGGAGTCCATCAGGGTGGCGGATCTAGAGGATTAAATCCGATGTTGGTGGTCGGAGAAGGAATGCAGTATAGTCACAAGTGCCGCAGGATGACTCTAGGAGGGCCTGTATAATTAATACATCGTACAATAGTGACTCAACGCTAGGCAGCCACAAATAACAATATGTTTAAGAGTTTGACCTCCACACGCAGTCATCTCGTGCACACGCCGACGCTCTCCGCCACGCCTGCGCCACCATCTGATAAGGTCGCAACATTTCCCGATGCACGGACCAACTTCGGCTGGAATCTTCTGCCGTCATAGTTTTGTGATTTCTCCGATCCGTGGGTAGCCCGCTGCTCGTCATTCCCCCCGAATCCTCCTTGAAGAATATGCCCACGCCCTCTATCTCGCGTTCCTGGGACTTTGTGACATCACCTCGTAAGGATACGAGGTAACTGGTCCCCTCCACCGACGAAGCCATGGCCGTCATCGCTTCGGGGAAGCTGCAAGATGGGTCCAACGGTGATGTATCCGTGGTGCAGAAGATGCTCGCTGCGACGACTGGGAGCGTGTTGACGTCGCTGTTAGGTATGTTCTCATCTTTTCTTACGTTCCCCCTGCGATCCCTCCACCGTATCAAGATATTCACTCGTCATGCCTTTGTCCGCCTGTACCCGAGAGGGTTTCCTAGAAGGCGGCGACCGCATTGAATCGCACCTTGCTTGATGATTGTAGCTGACTTGGACAGTGACTCCTCTAGATGTCGTCCGCGTACGGCTGCAGTCGCAAGGACACGTCCCGAGCACGTTGGCTCCAGCATCGCGGGCCCATATCGTTTCGTCTCTTACGCAGTTTCGCGATCTGCCCCCGAACCTGGGAATATCCGCTTGCTGCAGAGAAGTCTTCTGGGTGAACAACAACGCCCCGTACTGTGTTGCTGGTCCTACGGTTGCGCCTATCAATCCTGCTGTATGTGTCGTGGAAGAGACGGAAAGGCGGACGATCAATAGTACATGGGACGGGCTACGAAAGATTGCACAAAATGAAGGAATCAAGACATTATGGAGGGGCCTCTCTCCTACACTGGTCATGGCTGTCCCAGCCAATGTCATCTACTTTGCCGGTTACGACTGGTTACGAAGCGCGCAACACTCGCCTTTCCAAACGACGGTCCCGGACGCCTATGTCCCTCTCGCCGCCGGTGCTACCGCCCGCATATTAGCAGCCATCGCTGTTAGCCCGATAGAAATGTTCCGGACAAGGATGCAGGCCGCCAGCCACACCGCAACAGCCGCAGGCCACTTCCGAGAAACCATGGACGGGCTTCGGGAGATGGTTGCACAGCAGGGTGTACGCAGTTTGTGGAGAGGGCTGACTCTGACCTTGTGGAGAGATGTCCCCTTCTCAGCAATATATTGGTGGGGCTATGAAGGCGGCCGCAACCTGATCACGGATATCCGCGGGAGATCAGAGGCTCGCCATGACGGCATCGAATTCCACGCCGGCCGAGGAGAAGAGAGGATACGACGAAGAAGTCAGTCACGGAACCGTGAGAACCATACCGCGACACTCGTCGACAGCTTCATCGCCGGAGCCGGATCGGGAGCCGTAGCTGCTTTGGTCACTACCCCCTTCGACGTGGGTAAGACGCGGCAGCAGGTCTCTCGCTATGCAGGGACGAGGCCGACGGACCAGGTTGGAACGACCGCCAAAGCCGTGCGGCCAGAGGACAGATCCATGCCTCGGTTTCTGTGGCACATCTTCCAGGAACAAGGTGTCAGCGGCTTATTCCGGGGCTGGGCCGCCCGCTGCTTGAAGGTAGCGCCGGCCTGTGCCATCATGATAAGCAGCTACGAAGTAGGCAAGAAGATGGCCAACGAAATGAACGAACGAAGAGAACGGCGAAAGGAGGTTTAGGGGGAACACTCCAACACTCCACCCGACGGAAGCGCGATACCCCCGATGTCGTTGTACAGGGCAAGCACTGCATCACTGTATATTGTTTTTTGTTCTCAGGCGCGCGGCGGATTCTACTCACTGCATGGCCTGGTTCGTTTGCTGCATTTCTATGGTGTTTAGGAAGAGCGGGAAGCATTGGAATTCTTGCGAGTGTCTGTAATGATACCAGCGTTCAAAAACTTCGTTGATTTTGGGCGCATGTACTATATGCTTTGACATTACTAGAGTAGAGTATATTTCTCTCTTTGCATGTTGGATAGTTTCAATGTCCTTCGTAACTGAAGCATTTGTCCATATCCTTTTGGGAAGTGTTGGGTCACGTGATGACGCGGAGAATGTCCACCCGCGCAGCTTCCAAGGTTGCAGCTGTTGAGGTGAAGCTGTAGCTTTCAACATTTCGCGACATTCTCGTTGCTCTTCCCCAACCGCATATATCCACCACCATGTTAGACGCCGACGACTTCGCGTCCGTCTTCCCCGACGACATTGCGTACGACAATGAGCTCATCGAAGAGATTCAAGAGAACAAGAAGTCGCTAGGCGGGCGCACATTCTTCGAGCGACTCCTCGAGCTCCTCCAGATAAAATGTACCATCCCTCTTTCACATCACCTACCTAAACTAACACATCCTCCCAGCAGTGCGCAGAGCATACCCACCGCCAACACCCTCCCACCTCGAAAAGCTGCACGAAGCCATCGTCTCCGCGCCCATAGCGCAGCACTACAAGCACAGCCTGCTCTTCTACCTGCTCAAGGACCTGGACGGCGCGTACGAAGGCGAGACGGAGCTGTCGACGACGTTCGCGCGACGCGTGCAGCTCGCGCCCCGGTTCTGGACCTTTGTCGAGGGCCTCTGGGCGCTGGATCATCTCGATTGCCGTACCGCGGTCGCGAGGCTGACGCATCCGAGTATTATCCCCACGTTTCCGGATGAGATTATGTTGGTTTTGTTGAGTCGGGCGGCGGCGGGGCAGCAGGGTCGCCGCCGGGGGGTTGGTGCTACTGCACGCGAGGGGAGGGAGAGGGAGAGGGAAGGCGAAGATGTGAGCGTGTTGCCGCTTGCGTATTACGACTGTGCGAATCCGCCGCTGGTGGGGCAGCAGATCAAGGTGGAGTTTGTGCGGTACTTGGCTGCGCGCAGTGTGACGGAGACGTTTTACTGGATCCGGGCGAGGCCGGAGCAGGAGCAGAGGGTGTTGTTGGAGGTGTTGGTGAAGGAGACGTTGGATAGGCATGCGTGGGATGAGGAGGAGGAAGCAGGGGAGGGGCAAGATGGAGCGGCGACGTATTCGAGGGAGGAGAGGGCTGTGGAGCTTGTGGGGTTGCCGTTTACGGAGGAGGAGGAAGAGTGGGTGGAAAGTTATTTGACGGAGGGGAAGGGGAGGACGCTTAGGGGAGCGGCGGATACGGTGCAGATGAGGAGGATTGCGACGGGGCGGTTGGAGAAGGTGGTGGCGGAGGGAATGGCCAAGGGGAGGAAGTATGAGCAGGTGAATTGGGAGGTATTGAGGGACGGGATAAAGAGGGGGTTGGGACCGCGGGGTGAGCTCGAAGGCATGGGCTTGAGCGCTTAGGAGAGATACTCTGGGTAGAAGATGGCCTACCTTCTGATTTCAAGGCATAGCGGCGGAGTTTGGGGGTTTTAGGTTCCAGGATCTGATATGGGAATCCACTCCGGGCTGTTATTTTGTCTTCCAATCACCATAATATTGATGACCTGCCCTTCACTATCTGGTTACATATGTATCTCATAATGACATGCTCATAAAGTCGTGACTTCGGACTCGATACAGCTCTCTGTAGGGGCCCACATCCATGCAATCATGCTCTCGTGCTCCAAACGCTCCAACAATGCTATATACGCTGAACTAGCGTTTCACTTATCGCCTGTCGTCCAGTTGCACAAATTACCACGGTAGTTGCAAGGGCGGAGGCAGCTGTCCAACAGGTCCCAGGACAGCAGCGGCAGTCTTAATACCAGCAAGTCCACGGACCGCCCAAAACTGGCCCGTCTTGCTCATATCGACCGTATCGATCCAGGTTCGAAGCACTGCAGCAGCTTCTTCGCATTTGGCGGCTACTCCATGTTTAGCACATCTACCTTCTTCAGAGCCCCATGCCAATTCTCCAAGACCGGCCCGACCGGGAGTTCGTATCCAACCAAGGAACTGATTTTTCTGGACCCATCAAGAGGCTCTTCATCCATCCATCATTCGGGCATTGCGGACAAAGTTGTGCAAGGATATACTTCATCAAAGGGAATTGGACATCTCTGGAATCTCAAGGCTCCGTCGGATCTGCTCAGTTCCAATCCGTAGATGTGACAATTTCCGGCATCGTTGGAAGAATGACATGGAGTGACGTTGAATCTTGGAAACCACAACTATCCGGCTTCTACCACAGTAGTGCTTGGGCTGTGGGTAGCGACCAATCATAATTCACTCGTACCTTGTGCAGACAACAGACAAGTTCACTAGCGTGAACTTCGATATATGGATATATATATACATATACCTACGTACGGCGTTAGTGTTTGCATCCACCCGTTCGCCTACACGATGATTCACACCAACGAAAAGATACCAAGCTCTCCAATACCGATGAGCCCTGAACGCATCAGTCACAAGCCATAATAAGGCACTTGGAAGTTCAATCTGCTCAATTACGAAACTCCTTCTTCACTCATAACATTTTGACGGATAGAGCAGGACTCAATACGGCGAAGAAAGCCTCCACATAAAGCAGGCGGCAAGGCTGTGGCCTAGTGAGCTGGTAAATATGCCGAGTGGTACTTCGCCCTCCTACAGCTGCTATTTCCGTTGGGCGCAGCAGAGTAACAGGCAGGGTGCTATCTAGTTGAGACAAAGATTCTATAGAGGAAAAGAATAGCAAATTGGCCCGAACTGCATTCGCACCTGAACGGACCGTCGTGTCAACGCCAAAGCACAAGGCAAACCCAAGCAGGCCGGGAATAGGTGCAAACCAATCACTCGGAGTTCCAACACCCATTAATTTAAAGAAGTGTGGCATGTAATACACAGTTGTGCCCAGGGCCAATCTCCTCGCATACTCTCCTAACCACTCACGCACCCAGAAACAAGCAATGAAAGTATGCAGATAATCGATATCTTCGCTAGGAAGCAGCCGCCTCCATATCCGCCCAATACCATATAAAACTAGAACAGGACGACTGCGGCACCAGACAAGACCGCCGCGCCTACATACAGCCCGAGACCAAACAGACCACTGCCGAACTGCGGCACAGACAGACCCGTAGCAGCAGACTTTTTGTTGCCAGCTGGGGCAGTGCCAGCGTTAGGGGCGGCGGTAAGAGTGCCAGTTCCCTGAGGACCGGCCTGGTCCAGGAGCTCCTTGCATCCCGTTGGAGTCTGGGAGGAAGCCTGCTTGGTCTGAGCCTTGCCCTGAAAGTCACAGCCGTTGGCGACCTTGGAGGCATAGGCGTTGAGGGCGAAGGAGAGCTGCTGCTTAGGGGTGCACATGCTGTAGGCGCCATAGGGGTCACCGCCGGTAACGTTCCTGTTGATGCCGTCGCAGTACTTGCCGTTGGAGTAGCCGCAGACGGTGCCGAAGAGGTCGCCGTAGTCTTCCTCGTCGAGCTTGTCGCTGACGACGCACGTGAGAGTGTTCATCATGCAGTCACAGGCCTGAGCGTTGGCCGCAGGAGGAAGGGGATCGGCAACGGCGGCCCAGTCCTTGCCGACGTTGGGGCACTTGGATGCAGCATTGGCAGGAGGGTTGTAATCATTCATGCTCACACCCTCAGGCTTGACCTTGGAGATCTGCTTCTGGAGGTTCTTGTAGTCGTCGTTGGGCTTGACCTCACCATTCTCAATGGAGACGAGGCCTTGGAGGTGTCAGCATGCGCAGGTAGCAAGCTTGCAGACTAGACTTACCGAATTCATTGGCTTCCTCAAAGTACATGTAGACAATACCGCCGGACCAGACACCGGTCATTTGTTTTCCGTAGAGAGCAGCGACCTCGGTGAAGAGACGTGGACGGGGAGTGTTGCAACCATACTCAGCAAAGAAGACGGGGACTCTGTAGTGCTCAAACTCCTTGGTACGCACATCGAAGCCGGATTTGGTGAAGGAAGAGTCACCGCACCACGAATAGATGTTGTAGCCCCAGAAGTCAATGGCATCGGAGGCATTGCCACAGTCAAAGTAGGCGGCGAGGTTCGTGCGGATCTCAGCGTCGTCGTTGGTAGCATAACCCACACCGATCTCGCGGTAGCCCTTGGACTTGATGTAGGCCTTGGTGTCTCGCACGGCAGCCTTCACAAAAGCGCTCGCCATGGTGTTGTTGGGTTGGTTGGAGACCTCGTTACCAGCGAAGAAACCGAGGACGTTGTCGTACTTGGCCAGGGAATCCACCACGCTGGTGTAGCGCTTGTACAGGTCCGTGTTCCATTGGGGCTCGTCGCGGTTGATGGACTCTCCCGGCTGCGACAGATCGGCAACGACATAGATACCGGCATCAGCGAGGGCGTTCATGCAGTCATCATGGTTCTTTGTGGGGTCGACGGCGTAGACGCGGATTGTGTTGGTCTGAAGCTTGACCAAATGCTCGATGTCGCGCTTACAGGTGGACGCGTCAGCAAGCGGATCGGTGTACTTGACGTTCTCTGTTTGGGTAGTATTGGAGTTGATATCCTCTGTTTCGGTCAGCCAGTGTCACTGGGCATTTGGGGTGGATTTACGCACGTTGGTAGGCGATGCCCTTCATGAAGAACTGGGTGCCATTGGTCTTGTAGAAGAACTTCTGCCCCTTGATGACGATGGGGTCAATGGCAGCACTCGCGCTGGCAAAGAGGGTGGCCGCGGCGGCGGCAACGGTGAAGCCTCTCATGGTACCGGCGGATGACTATCAATGGAGTACAAGAAATGCGGAGGAGGGGTGGAGGGGTGGGTGGGTGTTGGCGGAGCTTGGGTTGTCTGGGCAGTTGATGCGGTTTGGAAGGTCCGACTGCGAGCGGGGACGAGGAAGGAACACACACAAGTTGGGGTAAAGAGCGTGTCAGGCGATATGCCCAATAAGAGTCGAAACAGAACGAGTTTTGCAGCGAATGGAGTGAAGAAGGAAAAATAATATCGAGGGTGAAAGCGACGGTGGATGTCGGGAGATGGAGAGGAGCGCGGCCAAAGAGGAGATTCTTGGGGGGCGAAATGCCAAGTTTCAGGACCTCCTCAGGGGCTCGATCCATCTCGGGACCCCTGCCCTGCCTGCCATTATTGGCAACGGCCGCCGGTCGCCGAAGTTCCGACGGCGCGCTAGCTAAATAAAGACCAACCAGTCGCTGGTCGGAGCGATGGAGGAGGGAGAATCCTACAGACGCTGAGGTGAGGCCTTGGGTCGGTTGTTGGACCTGGAGGCCGAAGAAGCCGGATAATAATGCTGCAGACAGCTAAAGTACGCCGTGGACTTCTTTGGAGGCGTAACCTTTTCGCAGTAGATATGTAGGGCTGCGGCATTATTTGCAGACATGGCACAGTAACAGGACGTGTACGGAGTACCTAGAGAGTCGTGAAACCTGGGCTTGGTAACAAGGCGTCAGAAACATCATTGGTCGGGCTTGTCGACTTCATGCGTGACATGTGAGACACTGTAACGCAGTACACAGTAGATGGTCGTACAAGTACAAGTAGAAGTACCAAAATGGCGTGGTAATCGCGCGGAACATGTCAGACAATGTCTCCAGGGCTCTTTCCTTGATGGCCTCTGGAAAACCCGCCAGGGCTTCCAAGGTTCGAATCTCGAAAATCACGTGAGTGAATGTGGCGACAAACACGTGCGGCCGCACAGCCACTTGTGGCCAAGTCACTCCTGGCTCGTCCAGGAACCCGCGGGATATGTTGAACTAGGCGGAGCTCGTGCTATCGCGGAGACAGCCAACAACAGAAATACGATTGCATTCACACACACGGCCGAGTACGTACAGCATACTCCGTATCGCCGCACATGTTGCAGTCCATGTGCTCTACTTGTACTGACTTGTATTTCTTGAGACCTGACAGCTGCACCACCTCGAAGCCTCTCTGCTAGCGCGGTGCATCGAAGGATCGGTCAGAATTTGATGGGCATGTGGAACCTGGCGTTATCGTCCAAACCTCTTCCAGCGCTACGAAGCCAGGGACCTTGCCGCCTAAATTGCCAGGCCCATGGCCGTACGTCATCCTTGATTTCCATGAAAAGATTCTGCTTTCAAATCTCATCCGTCTGCGCCGTTCAGGGGAAGCAGCGGGCATTGATGTTGAGCATCTTTTGGTAGCTGTTGCGGTTCGCCACCGAATCACGGGTGCGGCTCAGCCAGCGCTGCGAGTATACAGTAGTGTACTTGTAGGTACCGGTACTTCCGTACTCCGTAGTCGACGGTGTCTCCGCAGCTGGCCTGTCTGCCACAAGGCCGTTTTTGGACCGGGATGACCAACGGGAGTGGGCGCAGCGCCACCGCCATCGCCAACATGGTCCCCTTATCGCCGGAAGAAAGGCGATCGCGCAGCCGCGCATCGTGGGCGCAGAAAAGTTGGCATCCAATCTGGGTGCATGTGGGCTGCCAGAATCTTGGTTTGATCGTCCCGGTCGCTTTCGCCACAGGCCATCTGGCTTGCAAGAGCGAGGCCAACAACCCGAACAGAGGCAGAGAAACTGTGCTCGGATGGGCAGGACGAGAGGGAAGAACCTTGCGAGGCCGCTGCTGCTGTGCTGCTCCACCGACGAGCGGGGTCGGCGAAGTACCGTACAGTGCAAAACGTGTTGAGGGCTTTGCCATTTTTGATACCTGTTCCAGTTTTGTCAGAGGTTCACCTTGAACATACACTGTAAAATTGCATCCATGGCAAGAAATGATAACGTGCTTTTTGGACAATTGCCGTTGTTCCTGGAAGGGAACCGAGAGACAGTAACTTGTCAGTACGTCATCGGCCTGCTAACTAGAAGCGCCTCTGAACTCCTCTGAGCATCTCTTTCTGCCAACGCCAGCCGGCATGTTCCCGGGAACGACCACCGTCGTGCCAACTCTGTGCCTTTTTCCAGGCCAGCCTGCCTTGCTTTGCCCCGTCGGCGTGTGGGTTCAAGGCTCAGAGTGAGATTTGGCTGGGTTGCAGGAGGAGCCTTGGAGCCCACCCTTCTGCGGCAGCCAATAAGCGCCTATCGCTGGCGCTTGGCAGCGTCCGCCGCATCTGCCCCTTTAATTCTGCCCCTGCCACATTCTTCAACGAAACCCTTCCGCTCCCAGCGCTGGATACTTCTTCTCCTTCCCAGCCCCCATTCACTCGTGCTTCCTCCCTCCCTCCCTCGTTTGCTCCCTCCCTTCGCCTTCGTTCGACACTTTTCGCTCGTTCCTTCGCACTCACCACCCGCACACCCCGGAATCGGTGCACCCCAAGGCAGGAGCCGCGCGTTACTCATTGCACCACCGCAATCGCCGTCCGTTCCTCGTTCACCAGTTTCCCCACCTCCACGTACGCTCGCTCCCTAATAACAACGCCATCTTCCATTTGCAGTTTGTGCAAGTTTCGGTCGAGAAGGGCTGTGCTGTGCTTCACCACGCTGTCGCGGCCAGCTGATTGGTTCCGCCCACTAAGCCTCTCCCACGCGGATCCTACCAACAACAAACCACCACCACAGCAACCACACATTTACTCCATCGCCAAACCGAAACATCCAACCTACCCGCACTACTCGCTGCAACAAAGCGACTCCATCCTTCCGCCTCCATTTACGACGCCTGTGCCCGTCTGATCGCCCATTGCTCCTCATGCTGGTTGTTTGAGGTACCCTCTCCCCGCCTAGTCCTGCGCCTTCCGGCGTTTCAGGCCCCATTTCGGTACACGTTGTTGACACCCCACCTGCAGTCCTTCCCTCCCTCCCCCACAACTCCTCATCATGTCCGCACATCCTCAGGGAGGTCATTACGACGACGGCTACGGCCACCAAGGCCAGGACGCCTATTATCAAGACGATCAACAATACGGCCACTACCACGACCATAATAATCAACAGGGCGACAATTACTATGATGACTCGTGCGTACCCCATCCAGCTATCGAGACGCGCAAATCGTACTGACGAGCCTGTAGCGCTTACTACAATGACAATCGGGGCCAGTATCAGGACGCTTACTATGATGATCGTGGCCAACAGGGCTACCAAGACGACTATTACAGCGATCAATATTATGACCAGAACGGGGCCCAAGGCGGCTATAGCCAAGGCGGCTACGGGTCTGTCTCACCTACAGTACTGCTTGACGCCTGACGTCGGCTAACCTTTGCAGGTCGAGGCCTCGCAGGAATGATTCGGAAGAAGACTCCGAAAATTTCAGCGATTTCACGATGCAGTCCGATATTGGTCGCGCCGCTGAGATGGACTACTACCGAAGTGATGAGAGGTACAATAGTTACGGTGACGGTATGAACCGCGGATACCGGCCCCCTTCGTCCCAGGTATCTTATGGCGGGAACCGATCATCGGGTGCATCTACCCCCATCTACGGAATGGACTATGCCAATCCGCTTCCCGCCGGTCAGAGGTCCAAGGAGCCCTATCCTGCCTGGACTTCGGAACAGCAGATCCCGTGCACCAAGGAGGAGATTGAGGATATATTCCTGGATTTGACTGCCAAGTTCGGTTTCCAGCGAGACAGCATGCGCAACATGTACGACCATCTAATGACTCTTTTGGATTCGCGCGCGTCTCGCATGTCGCCCAATCAGGCTCTCCTGTCCCTTCACGCCGACTACATTGGCGGCGAGAATGCAAATTACCGCCGCTGGTACTTTGCCGCCCATCTCGATCTTGATGATGCGGTTGGTTTCGCCAACATGAAGCTGGGAAAGGCCAACAGAAGGACCAAGAAAGCGCGAAAGGCCGCCAAGAAGAAGGCTGGAGAGAACCCCGAGAATGAGGCCGAGACCCTGGACGCATATGAAGGGGACAACAGCCTCGAGGCTGCAGAATACCGTTGGAAGACGCGGATGAACCGCATGTCGCAGCTCGACCGTGTCCGTCAAATCGCCCTTTACCTGCTTTGCTGGGGTGAAGCGAATCAGGTCCGATTTATGCCAGAGTGTCTCTGCTTCATCTTCAAGTGCGCCGACGATTACTTGAACTCCCTGGACCCTAACCAACCCATGCAACCTGTCCCGGAGTTTACGTATCTGAACGACATCATTACGCCACTCTATCAATTCTGTCGCGACCAGGGTTATGAGATTCAAAACGGCAAATACGTTCGTCGTGAACGGGACCACGCCGACATCATTGGCTACGACGACATCAACCAACTCTTCTGGTATCCAGAGGGCATTGAGCGAATCGTCATGGAGGACAAGTCCCGCCTCGTGGATCTGAAACCTCATGAGCGGTATCATAAGCTCAAGGATGTGGTATGGAAAAAGGTCTTCTTCAAAACGTACTATGAACGCCGCTCGTGGTTCCACATGCTCGTCAACTTCAACCGTATCTGGGTCATCCACGTCTCCACCTTCTGGTTCTACACCGCTTACAACTCGCAACCCATCTATACCAAGAACTACCAGCAGCAGCTCGACAATCGACCGCCCAAAGCCGCGACACTCTCGGCCGTCGCCTTGGGTGGGAGCATTGCCTCATTGATCATGGTGTTAGCCACACTTGCGGAATGGGCCTACGTTCCTCGTAAGTGGGCGGGAGCGCAGCACTTGACCAAGCGTTTACTCTTCCTCCTTGCTGTACTCGCCGTCAACGCCGCTCCCAGCGTTTACATCTTTGGCTTGGACAAACAGACTGGTAAAATCCCTGACATTTTGGGCATTGTCCAATTCATAATCGCCCTGATCACCGTGGTATTCTTCTCCGTCATGCCGCTTGGAGGTCTCTTCGGCAGCTATCTGACCCGCAACTCGCGACGGTATGTTGCCAGCCAAACCTTCACAGCCAGTTATCCTCGTCTCCACGGCAACGACATGTGGATGTCCTATGGTCTATGGGTCTGTGTCTTCGTCGCGAAGATGGTTGAATCCTACTACTTCCTGGCTCTTTCGATGAAGGACCCGACCCGTATTCTCTCGCACATGAAGAAACCTGATTGCCTGGGAGATGCCCTCCTCAAGAATTACCTTTGCCAGTATCAGCCGAAGATTCTGCTGGGCCTAATGTTCTTCACCGATCTCATCCTCTTCTTTTTGGACACGTACCTGTGGTACATCATCTTCAACATGTTGTTCTCGGTTGCACGGTCGTTCTACCTGGGTGTCTCCATCTGGACCCCTTGGAGGAATATCTTTTCGCGCTTGCCGAAGCGTATCTACTCCAAGGTGCTTGCGACAACCGACATGGAGATCAAGTACAAGCCAAAAGTCCTCATCTCTCAAATCTGGAACGCCATTGTCATCTCCATGTACCGCGAACACCTTCTCGCCATCGATCATGTTCAGAAGCTCCTGTATCACCAGGTTCCATCCGAGCAGGAGGGTAAGCGGACTCTCCGAGCGCCCACGTTCTTCGTCTCTCAGGAGGACCATTCCTTCAAAACGGAATTCTTCCCGGCCCAAAGTGAAGCGGAACGTCGTATCTCTTTCTTCGCTCAGTCTCTTTCCACGCCGATTCCGGAGCCTCTGCCGGTGGACAACATGCCAACCTTCACTGTCCTGATTCCCCATTATAGTGAGAAGATTCTGTTGTCGCTCAGGGAGATCATTCGTGAGGACGAGCCCTACTCGCGCGTGACATTGCTCGAGTATCTCAAGCAGTTGCATCCGCATGAATGGGATTGCTTTGTTAAGGACACTAAGATCCTGGCTGACGAAACGTCCCAATTCAATGGCGACTACGAGAAATCCGAAAAGGACACGGCCAAGAGCAAGATCGACGATCTCCCCTTCTACTGCATTGGCTTCAAGTCTGCCGCGCCGGAGTACACGCTTCGCACCCGTATCTGGGCTTCCCTTCGCTCGCAGACTCTGTACCGCACCATCTCGGGCTTCATGAACTACAGCCGCGCCATCAAGCTTCTCTACCGTGTGGAGAACCCTGAAGTGGTGCAAATGTTTGGCGGCAATTCGGACAAGCTCGAACGCGAATTGGAGCGTATGGCTAGGCGCAAGTACAAGATCTGTGTCTCCATGCAGCGTTACGCCAAGTTCACGAAGGAGGAACGTGAAAACACGGAGTTCTTGCTACGTGCTTATCCCGACCTTCAAATTGCCTATCTGGACGAGGAGCCGCCCGAGAACGAAGGCGATGAACCCCGTATCTATTCCGCTCTCATCGATGGTCACTCCGATCTCATGGAGAACGGTATGCGCAAACCCAAATTCAGGGTGCAGCTCTCTGGTAATCCTATCCTCGGCGACGGCAAGTCCGATAACCAGAACCATAGCATCATCTTCTACCGTGGCGAATACATCCAGCTCATTGATGCCAACCAGGACAACTATCTGGAGGAGTGTTTGAAGATCCGCAGTGTACTCGCTGAATTTGAAGAATTGACAACGGACAACGTCTCCCCTTACACCCCTGGTATCGAGGTCCCGAAATTCAATCCCGTGGCAATTCTCGGTGCGCGCGAGTATATCTTCTCCGAGAATATTGGTATCCTCGGCGACGTTGCTGCTGGAAAGGAACAGACGTTTGGTACCATGTTTGCCCGTACTCTTGCTCAGATCGGTGGAAAACTCCATTACGGCCATCCCGATTTCCTTAATGGCATCTTCATGACCACACGTGGCGGGGTCTCCAAAGCACAGAAGGGTCTGCATCTGAACGAAGACATCTACGCTGGAATGACCGCGCTGCTGCGAGGTGGCCGGATTAAGCATTGTGAGTACTATCAATGCGGCAAGGGTCGTGATCTTGGTTTCGGCTCCGTCTTGAACTTCACCACCAAGATTGGTACGGGTATGGGCGAGCAAATGCTCTCTCGTGAGTACTATTACCTTGGTACCCAGCTCCCCTTGGACCGCTTCCTGTCGTTCTACTATGCTCATCCGGGTTTCCACCTCAACAACTTGTTCATCATGTTGTCGGTGCAGTCCTTCATGTTTGTGCTCATCAATTTGGGAGCACTGAAACACGAGAGCATCATCTGCCGATTCAACAAAGATACCCCAATCACTGATCCTCAGTGGCCGAACGGTTGCGCGAACTTGGTCCCGGTCTTTGATTGGGTCGCCCGTTGCATCATGTCAATCTTCATTGTCTTCTTCATCTCCTTCATACCGCTGATCGTACAGGAGTTGACCGAACGCGGCGTCTGGCGTGCCGCAACCCGTCTTGCTAAACACTTCGGGTCTCTCTCTCCGTTTTTCGAGGTCTTCGTCTGCCAGATCTATGCCAATGCGCTCCACACAGATCTGTCCTTCGGTGGCGCTCGTTATATCGGTACCGGTCGTGGGTTCGCTACCGCCCGCATCCCCTTCGGCATCCTCTACTCGCGGTTCGCCGGCCCATCAATCTACCTGGGTGCCCGATCGCTCATGATGCTGCTCTTTGCCACGTGCACCGTCTGGGGTGCCTGGTTGATCTACTTCTGGGCGTCCCTGTTGGCTCTCTGCGTGTGCCCGTTCCTGTTCAATCCTCACCAGTTCTCATGGGACGATTTCTTCATTGATTATCGCGAGTATCTTCGCTGGTTGTCGCGTGGCAACACGCGCTCCCACAGCGCGTCCTGGATTGGATACTGTCGGCTGTCCCGCACGCGCATCACCGGATACAAGCGCAAGGCTCTCGGAGACCCCTCGTCCAAGTTGTCTGGAGATGTTCCTCGAGCACATATTGGTAACATCGTATTCAGCGAGATCATCGGTCCGCTCGTGCTCGTTGCCATCACGCTTATCCCATACCTGTTCATCAATGCTCAGACAGGTGTCCAGAAAAGCCAATTCCCAGAACTGGACAAGGAGGGTGCCCCCAGCCGGGACCATCTCAACCCGACCAACTCCTTGATTCGAGTCGCACTCGTTGCATTCGGGCCCATCGCCGTCAACGCTGGTGTCCTCCTCGGTCTCTTCGCCATGGCTTGTTGTATGGGTCCTCTCCTGAGCATGTGCTGCAAGAAATTCGGTGCTGTCTTGGCTGCCATCGCTCATGCCGTTGCTGTCATCATGCTGCTTGCTTTCTTCGAAGTGATGATGTTCTTGGAAGGCTTCAATTTCGTCAGGGCGCTCTCCGGCATGATTGCCGTTGTTGCCCTTCAGCGGTTCTTCTTCAAGCTCATCATTTCGCTGGCTCTTACAAGAGAATTCAAGGCCGACACGTCCAACATAGCATGGTGGACCGGCAAGTGGTACACGATGGGTTGGCATACGGTCTCTCAGCCCGGCCGCGAGTTCCTTTGCAAGATCACCGAGCTTGGCATGTTTGCGGCCGATTTTATCTTGGGACACTTTATCCTGTTCATTATGCTGCCGTTCCTCTTGGTCCCTTATATGGACAAGTTCCACTCGGTCGCGCTCTTCTGGCTCCGCCCAAGGTATGTTGCTCCAGTCTCTTTGAGCCGAGCTGTGCGCTAATACTGTTACAGTCGTCAAATCAGGCCCCCGATTTATTCTTTGAAGCAGACCAAGCTGCGAAGGCGGCGAGTGATCCGCTATTCGATCCTCTACTTTGTCCTCCTCGTCGTCTTCGTTGCCCTGATCGTCGGCCCTGTCGTGGCGGGCAAATACCTCAAGCTCAACATGAGCATTCCCATGGACCTCCTGCAACCCGTCGGTCTCAACAACAACGACACCACGGCGGAGGTCACTGGTACCTGTGTCCTTGGCGCGTGTCCTGGTCCAGGGGGCGGTGGAGACACTGAAAGCGAGCAGAATGCGGAAAGGCTTCGTCGCCTTGCTCGCTTTGTGGCATTTTAGGGACATTTTGGAGAAGATTGAGCGTTTTTGTACATCGTGTTGGTGCAAGCCATGGTGGATGGCGATGGAGCGTAGCCAGTGCGCACGAGCGAAATACGGAGGGCCTTTTAAGCTTTAATGAGTGTAATTTTATCATAGGCCATTATTCTCAAAGGTAACCCTTCAGTCTGCATTGCGAGGTACTGAAAGGGTGTGGTGTTTTTTTGCATTTTTTCTGGGTTCTGAGGTGGGGAGGAACGATAGCCATATGGTCCGGGAGACCTGTCATCATCAACACAATAGAAGACGAATCATAACATTTTTCCCTTTACACACAGACTCTGTATCTGTTCCTCTTCATTCGGGCGTTCTCTTCTCTCCGTCTGTTCCTGTTCATTCGTCGTTCTCTTCTCTCCGTCTGTTCCTGTTCATTCGTCGTTCTCTTCTCCTCAACACGAGTGAGGGCATCGGACCAGCCCACATGGATTGCAGCACCAGAGGTGTCTTGGAGCTTCCTCCTTTTGCATCTTGGAAGCGAGTCAAGTATCTATGAATGTAACAGTTTGAGTAGAAAAGGAATTGGATGGGACAAGACCCTTAGTTTCAATCATCTATCTAATTATGAACCTGGCGGGGAGGGAAAGATGAAAGGTGGTGTACCATTCGGAAGGTGTCAATTGTCGTGCTGCATCATCCATTCCCGGAGTACACTACAGCGTGCTTGTTACCATAGGCGTGCATACCCGCCTCGACTTGTTGTACTGGGAGCTGTTCGCCGCTAATCTAGAATGTGTGGATGCGCATGCCTGTACTACTTACTACTCGAAGGAGGAGGACTTAGCTTCTGTTCAAGACCTGCAGGATGCTAAGGGAGTGTGTGTGGAAGTAGTGCAGGCGGAGAGGTTGGTCTAGTCGAAGATGGCAGTTAAAGATGCTAGGGGAGGTGTAGATGGTGTAGCTAACTGAATGTAATAGCTGCCTAAGGACGGCCCGTTGGTGCTCCTTAATAAGTAGCCTACGAGGAGGGCGAGCATAGCGTTGTAAACGGAAACGGCATCACTGCCAGCCATGATGTTGGACTTGAAACGATTCCGGGCTCTTTTCACTTTGAGCTCCGCTGCAAATGCACGTGGATTATCAAAGGGGATGCAGATGGAGTCGCAGATTTAAAGACCCCTTCCAACTGTTTTTTTTCATGCGACAAGAGTTAGACTAGCATTGGACCATGCGACGTGCAGCGGCTCTCGGCGCTCAAAGGACCAGACGTGTAGAGACAGAGTCCACTCGATAGGATAGCGAGACTGTCGTGGTACGCGGGGAGTCGGGGCGATGGTGTTGTGGCTGGGAGTAGAGGTGAGGTGTTGCAGAGACGGGAGCGATGCATGAATGAGGCTAGCCCGAGATGGGAACCAACAGCCTGGTGGCGAGATGGATGCCCATGCACAGGCGCAAAGCTCCCCTTGAGCCAAACACACGACGCCCGCCAGCAGACGTGTGGGATTACCTTGGGTCGCATGTCGTTTGAAATGTGCATGTCCGAGAGCCCAGAATGTGAGACTTTTTTGGGCCTTGGAGTCGAGTAGCCTTGGAGATGTACTTCCAGAGAAGGCTTCTAAAAATACCATCCGAGATGTGGTGAAATGGGGACACGTGGACTGGTCCCCCCGCGCCTGGACATGCAAAATTGAAGTTTCAACAGAGCCGGGATATCAGAGTTGCATGGACGACCCTCCCAAGGATAATAATTTACTCGGACAGTTGGAGCGTCCTATTTGCTGTGTATATGCTCCACTCGACTCTCACCACTTGGAAAAGTTTGTTGGGCTCGTAGCGCCCGCAGTTCCTCGGCATTGAGTTTCGCACAGCTGGAGCCAGACCATACGAGCATCCATCTACAAGGAGACTATCCACTACAGTATCTAAATTCCCGGGTGCAAGCCGAGTAGAAGACGGGAGGCGAGACCGTTGGGTACACAGTAGAGTACATATGCAAGCTGCATGGTCAGCAGCAAAATGACCCAGGTGCAGATTGGCCGTTCGCATTCTCGTCTTTTCCCCACATCCCAGTTCAAGCAGTCGACCCAAGTCGAGAATTCTCCCGCATTCACCCGCAAATTCTTTCTGGTCATGAGCAGACCTCATAAAATAAAATCGAGGAACATGACAGACAAAAGGCCGAGGAACTGATGGGTTGCCGGGTCGATGCTAGGCTGTAAATAAATTAATTGAAGGTCAGAACCTGTGGAGACGTTGAGTTGTTCTGGAAGGTTGTCACGTGGACGCACAGGGCGCTCTGCTGTGTGTGAGCTGGCAGGGCTGCTTTGGAGACTCGGCACGGTGCAGATTCGGTTGGGTTGGGTGCAGGGGGTCCGGGTGTTTTCCAGGGAAGGGAAAGGGGGATATTATCGTGAAGGTGTTCGTGTGTTATCTGTGGCGCTTGAACAAAGAGTTGATGTCAGAGCCCCAGAGAAGGGAGAAGAGAGAGGGAAGAGAGGGATGAAGAGAGCAATGACGCTGAAGGCGGGCCAAATCGTGAGATGGGCAGAGAGACCAACAGGAGCTGTGCGTCATTGGATACGGATGGGGGAACTGAGGCTGCTGTTCGATGGGCTCGAGTGAATGGGCCCCAGCCAATCACGGCGCGAGCAATTCACCGCTCTTGTCCGCGGCGGACGCTAGTCCCCATCGGCTTCATCGTCGTAAATCGCATGCACCTTGGCATTCCAGCTGCCGGCTCCGTACTCGACTTTGGGGGAACCCGAATCTCCCGCCGCTTCGCTGTGCATCCATAATCCACCAACTGCCGCCCAAAGGGAATTTCTTCACTCTCGCTTTATAATCCTCCGTCGCCCGCCAGTCTTCTGGTACATACCGGTACCCTAACCTGCTGCCTTCGCCTGGTCCGATATACTCCGTACTGTGACGCCTCTCTCCGCTCTTTGTCGCGTGAGTTTGCCTCCCAGGAACAGACTACCGCCTTCTCCACCTCCATACACACAGTACCCACCACTCCTCAACCCAAACTACTCACTTATCGAGCGGTGCCTCTTCCGCCAACCATATCGCTTCCTCTGCTCATAAACGCGAGCGCCTCCCCGCCCCAAATCATCTCCCGCGCCCTCCTCCGACATCACACGGCTCTCCCAACTCAGTCAGCTGAGCCACCCACCACACCACCCCTCTCATCCGCCAACAAACCCCAACCCACGTCCCAAGACACCCATCATGAGTGTCTAACCGCGACAGACGGAGGAGGAAAAAATGGATTTCACGGTGAGCCCCCCCATGCGCCTCTCCCGTCTCCCCCAAACGCGACTAGCGATGGCCACGCCTTCCCATCCTCCCTTTCACATGCGCGCCATGTGCCGATGAGAGAGACTGACGCCCATACAGATCTCCCTAGCCCACTTCTGTGAGCTCCACGGCCCTACGTCCATCATCTGCACCCAGGCCACCACTTCGCCCTGCTCCACGTGCAACCCATGCGTCACCCCGCCTTCGGAAGAAGCTCCCATCTCCTCCCTCCCTTACAACAACTCCGTCTACGATCATCCCGCCCTGAGTCTCCCCGGACGCCTCGCGTCGCCCTTCGACACGCCGCCTACGAGCCCGCGCTCTCCCTCACACAACCCATACTTTCCCACTCTCTCCTCCGATCGCGCCAGCTCCGCCAGCAGGAGGCCGAGCAGCACCTTGGACGCCGACCCCGACGTCTGCGAGAACTGCTCCATCGTCATCCCCAAGAAATACAGCGACAAGCTAACCACCAGCGCACCCGCCAGTCCTTCCAAGGACCGTCGTGGCGCAAAGATTCCCAACCCCGTCCTGCGCACCGTGCAGAAGTTTCCCGTTCGCGGTTGTCCTGCAGACACTTTCGGCGGCTCCCCTGACTACTCCGATGTCTCGGACAATGAACAATCGCGCTCCTTCGACAGCTCCCAATCCTACCCTGATTCCATTCCCGGGTCTCCCGTCTTCGCTGCCAGTGGCATGCACACGCATACCTTGAACTACATCTCCACCAGCCAACCGCAATCGCCGGCCCTCTACTCCCTCCTCAGACGCATCTGCATCCGCGCCCTCTCGTGCGAGGCCCTTCCAGGCGGTCGATCAGCCGGACCGATGATGTTCGGTGACCCCGTCGCAGGCTACACCATCGCATACATCTTCCGACTGCAGGATCCGAGGTCCCGCGGCGCCAAGAGGACATATGCCTTGCTCGCTATGACGGGAACGCATTGGAGAGCGAGTAGAGTCATGGTCAAGGTTACCGAGCTGTTTGAGATCATTGCCAACCGTATCGTCAAGTTGGCCGAGGACGTCCTGGCAAAGGAAAAAGAGGCGGCCCCTTCGTCGTTGAATCTTTCCAGTCTCCCCTCCGTAACCAGCTCCATGTCCACGTCGGCTGGGTCCACTTCTCCGCAGAAGAGTAGATTCCCGCCGTCCATGACCAGCTCTCCCGCCACTGCAACGACCCGCAGCATCACCCCCGTCTCCTCCTTCCTGTCCGCGAAGAAGGTCGACCCCGACGGTTATCCGCGCCTCAGCCGCGATGTTATGCGCCCCAAGACGCTGGTCGAGATTGTCGGCAACGAGAACTTCTTCGTCGAGCTGCACGGCTGGTTTTGCAGGCTGTTGCAGTGTCTGATCAAGGAGTTTGGGTGTTGAAGGGGTTCGTTCAGAAATGTATAATTATTGGGGTTTGCGTTCGAGCGTCTTCTCTCTCGTCAGCGCCAACTTCTCATCGTTTCCATTCTCTTCCGGGCCGGCGATTCCATTTCTTCTCTTTCACTTCGAGCGTGTATACCTTAGCCAGTTTTTTTCCCCTTCTCCTCCTTCTCTAGTTACGGCCATTGTCGTTTCTTCTTGTCTTTTTCATTTCGCCTCTTCTCTCCTTGCCACTCTCGCTCCTGCTGATCCGATCCGCTACCTTGCATGGACAAGAGTGTCTGGGCCGAGGCGAGCGCTTCGTAGCATCGCGGAGGAGATGGGAGCGATGGAGATGAGTGATGGCGTCCTTCAACAGCGAGTGTGACTTATATACCCAGGAATGTGTGAGCGAGCGAGCGCGAACTAGCGGGAATGGATGAGTAGTGAGTGACCGATTGCGATGGTAATGAGTCGAGATGATACCCGATGCCTTTTTTCTTCTTCTCCTCTTTTCTTTCCACTTTTTCGTTTTGCATTTGGTTTTTTCTCGTTTGGTCACTTTTTAGGCAGGAGGATGGCGTTGGCGTCCAGGGTGAATGGATGGGGGCAACGAGATAGAAGGGTATACATGGTTTTGACCCCCTCGGTTCGGGTAATGGTGTTTTGGTTTGGACGGATGGTGGTGAGGGAGGATGCAGATATGGGTGAAGCTGGGATGTACACCGTGATCGGTGGTGGAGATGAGGAAGTAAACCGGAGAGGAGTGGACTTTGCGAGACGATGGATGAGGTGTTATAGGGTATACACAATGTATGATGGTATTGTTCCCACCTGCACCTGAGTTCTGTTGTTGTTTCCCAGTCCGAGAAAAGTGGACCTGTTGAGTCGTGGTTGTGCGTTATTGGTGCACGCTTGCATGAGGGTGTCAGGTCCGGTCCTGCGTCGAAGTAATCCGTCTGAGTGGATAGGAATCTTCCTGGTGTGGTGGAGAAAGAGGAGAGAGAGGAGAGACAGTAGAGATAGCAAGAGAAGGAGGAGGGAGAGGTAGTTGATAGGGAGAGTATACAAGGAGAGGATCGAGGGAGGCATGAAGGCCATCAAGGTACTCACTCCTTCTTCCCAGGGTTTTTCATGGTTGTTGCCCTTCCACTTTCGATGTATGCGGATGACTCAGCCTCGGGAGACGAGCCATCTGCAGTACCATGCGGTTCGTTCGCTGCTGTACATCTCCTAAGAATACAGGAAGGACACAACGATGCTGCAGACCTGTTCGTGAGTGCGGCCCCGAGACTGGAGAGGAAAGTGGAGGTTGGTTGGAGGGTGGGGGAGTCATGAGGGTCCACGGGTGTATATAAATGACGGGAGTGACACTAGTACGGGTCCAACCAAGCACGCAATACCTGCACTCGCTCACGTCCGACTCATCCGCGGATCCATGGAGTCACCTGAAACGAAGAGTCCATGTAATAAGAGTAAGATAGGAAGTGGATTAGGAAGGTACATTCCAAAAGTGTTGTTTCCCATCTCCAACTTGTACAGTGCAAGTCAAGAATCGAGATGGAGAAGCAAGATTGGCCTGTACAAAGTATGATAATGATAAATCGCTATTCCAAGCGCTACAATCCCTCCATTTCCAAACCTCCATCTAGTCATACAAAATCATTACCTGCCCAATCGCTTTCCCGGCTTCCCTCCACTTCATCATTTTGAGTACTCGAACCCAGCATAAAACACACAATCTCGCCCAAAACCCATCATGCTATTCCCTCTACGCCCCCCTCTCCCCAACCCTCACAACCCTCACCCCCCTTTTCCTTACCGCCTCGCCCAACAATCCCCCAACCTCCCTCCTCCTCCGCCTAGCCTCCACCAACCTCTCCACCCCCCCCTCCTCCATCTCCCTCGCCAACCTCCTCAGCCCCCGCACCATCGCCTCGTCCTCTCCTTCGACTCCACCGCCCGACGGACTCCCCTCGGGCGTGTAGTACAGCCCGTATCCGCCACGGGGGGTATCCTGCTCCGCCGGCTCCGGCGTGCGCTGCATCCTTCTCTCCAGCTCCGCAATACTCATCCTATCCCTCCTCCTCGACGTCGACCTCAAAGGCGTGCCTGCAGCGGGACTTCCCGTCCGCAGCGCCAGCGACCTCGACGAGCCCGGCCTCGAGGGCGTCCGGGGCGCCCCATTCTCCAACTTCGCGACGCCATTCTCCCTCGCCTCGCCACCGGCAAGCAAATTCAATCGCCGCATCTCCGCCTCCAGGACCACAATCTCGCTCCCCTTCTTCTCCGTCATGGCGATCAAGCGCCCAATCGTGCGCTTCACCGCCTCCACGGTGGGTACCTTGCGCTTCCTGCCCCGCTCAGCGTCGAGGGCCGAGAGTTTGGACTTGGTGACGAACGCCGCCTCCTCCGCCTTCCCTAACAGGCTCAACAACCGCGCATATTCCTTGCGGAGAAGCGTCTGCTGTTCCGCCAGTTCCTTTGGCAAGGCCGCCTTGCGATGACTCTCCACGCGCTCAGGGTCGCGGCGATTGATGATTTGGCGGCGGATGTCGTTGAGTTTCGTTGTGATCTTGGCGTATTCCCTCAGCAACCTCGCCAACTGGCTCAGCTTGTCCACGATATCCTGCACGCGGCCTGCATCGAGTTCCGCTTCCAATTGATCCTGCAAGGCCTTGAGATCCGCGATTTGTGCGAGCGTCCAGTTTTCGAACCACTCGCTGTCCTGCCCGTTGGCGAGCGCTTCTTCAAGGTCCTCTCGCGAAACCGGTCGTCGCTCCGAGTGAAATGCCGTAAAAGCCTTCAATGCACGGGCATTCAGGCCAATGGTATCAATCATACTATTCATGTCCCTATACATGATTTCGATCTGCGCCGCTGTCCCCGTCTTCGTCACCGTCCCCGTGTAATCCTGATGTGCCAGGAATTCTGCCAACTGCGCAGACGGTTCTGGCTCCGTTGCTAGTTCCCTGCGAATACGCTCGTCCTCGTCGTCGGAGAGGTCGGACAGTTCGGGTTGCGGGGTTGGCAGTTTGGGTGGTTGGTGCTGTTGCAGGGATGCGGAGAGGGAGCCTGGGCCAGGGAAGGGGGAGGAGCGTCGAGCGGTAGCTAGGGCGGATGTGGAGGCTGAGCGGACTGGACTTGGGGAGCGCAGGTTCTCAGTTCGGCGATTCGAGGGAGGGGGGAAGACGGGTTTGGATATGCCGGCTGGGGCGGGGGTTTGGAAGAGGGAAGCATTGGGTCTGGGTGCCTGACCGAAGAGTAGGGGAGGGGCGGGAGAGGTAGTTGCCGAGGGGAGGGCGGGAGGTGTAGGTGCTGCAGGGCGGATTTGAGGAGATGCAGTGGCGCTTTCTTGGAAAGTGAATGCTGCCTTTGGACGGGTTGGTCGAACCTCCGCTTCCTCTTCTTCCTCCTCTTCTCCTTCCTCCTCTTCTCCTTCTTCTTCGGCCTCTTCCACTGAAAACTCTCCCTCGGACTCCTCCAAGGGCTCCGACGGCACTTCCGACTCTGGAGCCTCGACCTTGACGGGTGGGCTTCCTGCGAGTGGGGGTAGCTCCTCGTCTGCTTTCTTAGGTGGCTTCCAAGTCACGAAGTCCGGCGGGAGAGGCGCTTCTTCGGCCACGGGAGATTCTTCTTCAGGCTCGAGAGCTTTTACAGGCTCCGGAGGCTCCTTCGCAGGTGTTTGGCCAAAAAGGTTCGAGAACTTGTTTCTAGGCGGCGAGGCGGGTGTCGTGGATATACGCCGTTGATTTGGCTCATCCCCATCCTTCTTAACAGGCGTTTCGGGAGCCTTCGTAGACGGTCCGCCGAGAGCCGCTGCAAAGCCTCCGCCAAACAGCGAATCTCCAGAAGGAGCAGTAGGCTTGGGCAGATCCTCTTTAGAGGTCCCATCACCTTTGAATGTAGACCCAAGCTTGAATTCTCCGGTGAGACCGAAGAGGCTTTTGGCCTGCTGCGCAGGTGCCTGCGGAGTAGGAGTGGCTTCATCCCTCTGCCTGTTCTGAGCGTCGTCGGACGAACCGAATGAGGAAGTAGTTCCTCCAAAGATGGAGGATCCTTTCTGAGCCGGTGTGTTAGCCCACGAAGGCAAGGTGGATCCATCCCCGAAGCTGGACCCAACGGAGAGGGTAGAGCCAAAGCTCTTAGTGGCGCCGCTGGGCTCCTTGGACAATGCCGGCTTTCCAAAAGGCGCTGAAAACGCCGATTTTTGTGCACCTAGGCCGACGAAAGGGGATGCCCCAGCTGCACCTAAGGCGCTACCGTTGCTGGCTGCGCCGAATTTAGCAAAACCTGAGGGTTCTGTTCCTTTAGCTGCAAAAGGGTTGGCTAGAGCACTGGGGGATGCCTGTGAAGCAGAAGCCCAAGCGGAGGGCTGCTTTCCGAGAGCACCAGCTGCGCCAAAAGCAGAACCCCCTGGCATACTGGCGGCTCCAAAAGCAGGCTGTGCGGGTTTCCCAAATGCTGATCCGAGTTGCGATGGTGAACCAAACGCTGATGGCGAGGGCTGGGCAAATACAGATCCAGGTTGCGAGGGTTTGCCAAAAATTGACCCGGATTGCGAAGGTGAACTAAGCCCAGGTTTTGAAGGTGTGCCGAAGCTGGGAACGCTAGGCGTCCCAAAAGAAGGCTTGTTGAAGGAAAAGCCGGAAGTTGTCTGAGGTTGTGCCGGAGTAGGAGTAGCGGCCGGTCCGGCGGGCTGTCCTGGAGAGGCAGCGACAAGTCCGGGATAAACCTCTCCAGATCGAATAGACTTGTCGTATACGATCCACCATGCGCAAAGGTTACCTTCATGATTCAACACCAAGAAGGCTGGGAGTGGGCCTGGTGAGTACGGGTATTCATCATCCGCTGGTATAGGCTTCTCGACTTTGTCCTTGCTGGAAAGGTCCACGGCCTCGCCGATGGTAACAGTATCCTCATCGCCTGCTGCCATCTTCGGTAGTTCCGCTCGTCGATTATCAAGTACATTAGTAACAGCAAATTCATGGATGGCCTTTTGATCAGTGGATAGGGCTTCGCTCGTGTTCGTGATCAGTTTGATCCCCTCGGAATGAGAGGCGGCGAGAATAAGCATGTCAGTCATGTGAGGTTTCCAATTTCTTAGGCGATTGATGGAGTAGCGATTTGGGGGTTTGCGTTCAGGGCCGAAACCCTTGAAGAATATTTCCACAGGCGCCTTGTGGAACTTGAAAGTTGTCCGTCCTTTGTCACATCGGACAATATGGTAGTAGGCATCCCCGGGCTCCTCGTCGTCCATACCAGGTTTGGGTGCATGGATAATGAAGAACTCTTCGTTTCCGAGCCAGTAGACGGCCGAAGCTGGATCTGTCAGTAGATGCCATGTATGTTCAAGATGCTAATGACTCACCAAAATAATTGTCCTCCACATTTGGGGGACGTGGTACAACGGCTAGGACCTGTCCGTCCGTCTTGTACTGTATAGCAGAGCCATCTTCCAACCCAACCACCAGAGCTTTACCCAGGTTGCTCCATCCAACACATGTTACATTCGTCTGATGTAGCGTCTCCAACTGTCCTTTTGACAGGTCCGCGACAACCAGTCGGCCGGAGTCAAGCACCACAGCGAACAAGTGAGCGAGCTGGGGATTGGGATTTGGAACAAGTGCCCGTACAGACACCTGTTCTGTAGCCAACTGGAGGGCAGGGCCCTTGATGTTCAAAACACTCTCCACATTGTAAGCCGCCAATCCTCCGCCACTCTCCGCAGTTACGACCAGGAGGTTTTCGTCGCTCGAGAAGGCAACATGGCGGAGTTTGGGCGTAGAGAGCGTGACGTCGGGCGTATAAGCTGAAACAACATGCGAGTGATCTGCTTCGAGTGCGGTAAATGCGCGTCGCGCAGCTTCCGTGGAGGTTATGACAAGAGTGTCTGGTCCACCAGCAGCGATGAGACCGCGCCTAGATGCGACGGAGAGTAAGGAAGCGGAGGAGGGAGGCAGGTCTTCCACAGGCCATGGGTTTGGAAGAAGCTTCACTTTCTTGTCACCTCCAATAGCTTTAAATCCAAGCCACTGCATGGGTTCGTTAGCTCTGAGGCACTAGGGAGTGTTTGTTCGTTCAGGAATTACATACTTCTGTGTCAATCTCCTCTAGCTCAGCGCCCACATTCACAGCGGGTGCATTTGCTGCGCCCTGGTTCATGGAGAAGGCCATGACGGCCAGCAGAGAGTATTGTGAGCAAGTTGCGCGTGTCGGTGTCCTAGGATCTATGGGGCTGGCGCGGTTGTCGGTGGTCCTTGGACGCGGCGGAGGTGTTGATGGCTTCAAGAAGGAGCGTGTGAGCCTAGGCGGGCGTTGACGAGAAAGGGAGAACCTCAAGGAAGCAAAACGGAGCATGCAACGTCTTGAAGACGAATGCTCGGAATTGCTCACTGTGAGCTTCCTGCTGCTCTCTCATCCAAGCGCTCGAGCTGCACTTTCTTTAAGGCGGAGGTGGTCGTTGATCCCTGTCGCGCCAAGCAAAGGCCTGTGGTCCAAGCTCTCGTTCGTCGTAGGCACCGCGAAGCTGCGTCAACTGCCCGCTTCCTCCGCAACCACAAACACGACCTCAATTCCATCCTGACCTCTCGCCCTTCGTTCGCTCCCGAATCTCCGTTCCTCTCTCGATATCCTCTCACCTGCGTGAAATTCGATACCTCATCTCCGGCGCCTAACCCACCATGGCAGGCTTCGACTTCAGCAACCACAACCGCAATGCCGCTCTCCATGCCCAAGGTGTCCCTCTACCCAAGGCCACTAGCACAGGAACGACCATTGTTGGCTGCCTGTTCGACGGCGGTGTAGTCATTGCAGCAGACACTCGAGCAACTAGCGGTCCCATCGTAGCAGACAAGGTACGGAGCAACGCCTGCCCATCGTCCTTGGTTGGCACTAACACGTTGTGGTAGAACTGCGAGAAACTGCACTACATTGCCCCTCAAATTTGGTGTGCCGGAGCAGGTACCGCCGCCGACACAGAGTTCACGACTGCCATCATATCATCCAACCTAGAGCTGCACGCTCTTTCGACAGGCCGCAAACCCCGCGTCGTAACATGCATGACAATGCTCAAGCAGCACTTGTTCAGATACCAGGGCTACATTGGCGCATATCTTGTCGTTGCGGGCGTCGATCCTACCGGCGCACACCTCTTTACCGTCCACGCACACGGCTCCACAGACAAATTGCCATATGTGACCATGGGTTCTGGATCGCTAGCCGCCATGTCGGTGTTCGAGACGCAATGGCGTCCTAAACTGACCAGAGACGACGCTGTAAAGCTGTGCTCCGAAGCTATTCTGGCCGGTATCTTCAACGACTTGGGATCGGGAAGCAATGTCGATGTGGCGGTTATCACAGAGGAGAAGACGACGTTGATGCGGAACTTCATCACTCCCAACACGCGGGTGCCAAAGGAGAGGAATTACAAGTTCCCCAAGGGTACGACGGCGGTGCTGAACGAGAAGATCATCACGAAGGAGGAGATTAGCAAGTACGTTACGGTACACGAGCTAGAGGACGAGAGTGTCACCGCTACGGCGGAGAAAATGGAAGTGGATCAGTGAGAGCAAAGGGATTGATTGTGATGGACCATGAGATCGGAATCGAACGTACTCAAATATAGAGGCTGCACTCTTGGCATTGTCGCCAGCATCGAATTTTGGTACTGGGAACTCATGTTCCTGGAGTGATAATAGGGTTTTCTCCGTGACACAGTCTTCTCTTCTTCCATCCTACGGCGGCTTCGCACGTTGACATGGAACTTCCTCTGCACTTCCACCGTAGGTTAGATTGCCTGTTTGGCGCAACTCAATTGGGTACAATCGAACTAGGTCACTAGAAACCTAGGTTTTGAGACAACCTATACCTGGATGGAGGCGCTGTGAAGCCTATCGCAAGGGCTGTCAAACCCGCGCAACTCCTGCCCCTTCAACTGGACGTTGAAAAGTGGAAACACGCAGTAATACTCCAACTGCTGAAGAACCAAACCCGACAATCTTGAATGAACTCATTACATGCTCTGACACAGAGCTCCCAATTGCCATTCACTCCATCCCCCCACAAGTCCATCTACCTACACCTCTTCTCCACGATGTTAACACCATGCTCCTCATACTCCTTTTTCGAAATCCACAACTGATGAAAACTCCCCAAACTCGCCAATATACTGCCCCCAATCCACGCCGCATACTTCCTCTCCACAATACTCCCCGGGGCAATGATTTTATTCCGCGTACTGGGATACATAGCATTCAATTCCGCCAGCAGCCTATCATTGAACTTGTACAGCAGCGTCGAACCGCCCGTTACCACAATGTTGGCCAGTAACATGGGTCTCTGATCTGCATCCACGCTCGCCAGCGCAGCCTGCACGAGCTTCGGAATCGTATGCTCGTCCTTGGGGCGCGGGTGTTCGGCATCGGTCTGCGCGGCGGAGGCGTCAAAGAGACCCTCTGCGGCCTTGAAGCGCTCAATCCCGAAGACCTGGTTCCAGCCGTCGGGCATTTCGAAGGGGCGGCCTGGTTGACTTTTCGCGATCTCCTCGTTGGGACCGACCGAGAGGCGTTGGGGGCCGGGCCAAACTTCGACGACAGATTCTTTGAATTCGGTGAGAACGCGGTCTTCTTCGTGGTGGCGGAAGGAGGAATGTGGAGGAGGATCGAAGGAGCGGTAGACGGCTTGGGCAGGAGCGCCGGCGTCGACGGCGGTTTTGGATTTGACGAGATAGTGGGGGGTGATCTGGATTTCGGGTTGGGCCTGCTTGAAAAGCAGGCGGATTTGCGAGGACACGAAGTTCCCTGCCAGCGGGGATTTCTGGACGCCCTTTTTAAGGACCATCCCGTCGAGGACGGGGGTGACGGAGGTATGGGATGCGCCGACGTCGATGATGATGCCGGACGCTTTGCCGGAGGCGAAGGCGGCGAGAACGCCGGTTTTTTGGAGGTAGAATGCTGGCGTGCCCCATTCTTCCATGGCTATTTCGATAGCTTTTTCGCGTGCTTTGGTGGGATTCCAGCCTGGTTCGGTCATGAGCAGAGGGCTGTCTTCAAGCGGCTTCTCCGTGCTTTCTACCGCAACCTCCACGTCCACGTCCATGGCATCCGGATCCCGATTTCCACTTCCATTCTGCTCATTTGCAGAGCTCCTTATTGGTGGGCGCTCCCTTGGCCCTGTCAATCGCGACGTTATGGCATACTGCCAGAGCTTGGTTGCGGTGTCCCAGTCTTCCACGATGCCGTCGGCACCCCAGGGATTCTTAATCTGTAGGTTCGCTTGAGGATTGTGGATCGCGTTTTCGCCGAAGAGGTACTGGGGCCCAGAGTCCGAATCGATGTAGCCGTAGAAGGTTGGGCACACGGATTTGGGAACGTCTTCCCCTGCGAAGCCGGCACGGGTTGTGTTGTATCCTGGGTCGAGGACGATCGCGGAGACTTCGTCTATGGTTTGACTCGATTAGCTTTGTGTCATTGCGCAGAGACGGGGGGAATGTACCTCCGGCGTACTCTCCCGCAGGCGCTGTGGAGGAATTGAGAGCGTTCATCGCAGGCTCTCAGCGTAGACGCCGGGGTTCTCTGGATATAGACGCCGAATCAATCTTTCAAAATGACGCGTGAATACCAGGTACAGTGCGCAGGATAGAGCGGTGGGTTGTAGATGGCGGGGGTTGGTTGTGAAGGAATGGTCGCATTGCGGAGCTCGAAAGTTTGGCGTTGGCGCGAGCTTGTTGAACCTCCGATCTATCTCACAGACCGCGCCGAACCCCTCGCCGTGAGCACCAGGTTCAATGCGTCCGTCGAACAATACTATGCAATGATATGAGGAGGATTAGGCTTCGATACTAACGACAATGCCGCTCCAGGAACTGCGGCGACTGTTCGCCCTCGAGACGCTCGATACACGGTTCTTCATTCCGGCCACGGCACCCCCGAAGGATGCGTTAGAATTGGCAGATCTTAGCACTGCGAAGCCCAAGTCTAGACAAGAAGGGCAAGTAAAGGGAAAAGAGACTATAGGGAATGTACAACCGTCGAGGTGGAACAGTCCGGAGTTTTACTTCTACTACCTTATACACATCATATGTGTCCCCCTGATGTTCAAGGCTGTACACGATGTGTCTCAGGGTACGCATAGATTGAAATGCATACTGTTTAGAAGACATTGACTGATAACCAGTGTAGAGTCACACCCAAACTACTCCAAGTTCTCCCATCTATTGTCCGGCGGCTGGATTCCTGGCCGAAAAGTGGTACGTACGGTATTCTATGGTGGAGGTTCACCAACGGCTGACCAAAGCAGGACAACTCGGATGCTCAATACGCTGGATTCCGCCAAAATGTCCCATATTTACTACTTCTTGTCGTCATCCATCCGCTTCTTCGAAAGGCCTATGACGGCTTCTGGAGGGCAGGAACCTACACGAATGTCCGGCCCAACGCTGGCCTTGAGGGACACCTCACCCAGGGGTTGACTGCTGCATCCGCGGCGGAGGCTCGCATGGAGCAACGCATCTCGTTTGATGTGCCCTTCTCCGTGATCTTCCTTGCTGCTCTACACGGGTTCTCCGCCTTCAAGATCATCACCATCCTATATCTGAACTATGCCATCGCGAAGAAACTTCCTAGGAACTACATTCCCGCCGCCACTTGGATCTTCAACGTGAGTATCCTTTTCGCCAACGAGCTATGCAGAGGCTACTCGTATGCTTCCATATTCTCATTTGTCCTTCCATCTTCGCCAGCGTCGGAAAAGCAGGGAATGCCGAGAAACGTTGGACATACCCTCGACAACTATGGCGGCCTCATCCCCAGATGGGAGGTTCTATTTAACTTCACCGTTCTACGCCTCATCAGCTTCAATCTGGACTATTATTGGAGTCTGAATTCCAGGGCCGGCAGTCCGATAGAGGTGAGTTCCCGCACCATCCCCTTGCCGGCAAGCTAATGACATCAAGAAGAAGCAGCTTGATCCCTCCAACCTCTCCGAACGGGATCGCGTCTCCATCCCCGCCAAATCCACCGACTTCTCCTTCCGTAACTACTTCGCCTATACCATGTACTCGCCCCTCTACCTCGCCGGACCCATCGTAACCTTCAACGACTACCTCTCCCAACTGCGTTACAAACCTTACAGCATAACCCCAAAGCGCACCTTGCTCTACGCCACCCGCTTCCTTCTCTGTCTCCTCACCATGGAAGTGATGATCCACTACATGTACATGGTCGCCATCTTCAAAGCCCAACCCGACTGGACGCAGTACACCCCCGCCCAACTCAGCATGCTCGGCTACTTCAACCTCAAACACATCTGGCTAAAGTTGCTCATCCCATGGCGTTTGTTCCGCCTCTGGGCGCTGCTGGACGGCATCGATCCCCCGGAGAACATGGTCCGCTGCATGTCCGACAACTACAGCGTCACGCAATTCTGGCGCGGCTGGCACCGCTCGTTCAACAAATGGACGCTGCGATACTTGTATATCCCGCTCGGCGGCAGCGCTATGCCGGGTGTGTGGGGGAAGGCGCGCGCGATTCTGAATTATCTCGCCGTGTTCACGTTTATTGCCATTTGGCATGATATTCAACTTCGATTGCTGATGTGGGGTTGGCTGATTACCGTCTTCGTTCTTCCGGAGATCATCGCCAGCGCTGTGTTCCCGGCGCCGAAGTTCAAGGACCGTCCTAATGTGTACCGGGTGCTTTGTGGTGTGGGCGCCGTGGCGGAGATTCTACTGCTCATGGTGGCGAATTTGGTCGGGTTTGCTCTGGGGATGGATGGGTTGAAGGGGCTTGTTGCTGGGATTATGGGGAGTTGGACTGGTTTAATGTTCTTTTGGGGGGCGTGTGGAGCGCTGTTTGTAGGTGTGCAGGTTATGTTCGAGGTGAGGGAGGCGGAGAGAAGGAGAGGAATCAATATGAAGTGCTAGATATCTGGTAGATTGCTGTTCGATTCGTTGTCGTATAGAGACATACCCATTAGCGTTATTAGTCCGCATCAACCCATCATCTAGGTTCCCTAAAAATGAAGAGGATGAATGGTCATACTGTGAGATACTTCGCTCATGTAACATGTTACATTTATTCAAATCGCACGCATATGCTATTTGTGGCTCGAGAAATTGAGCCGAGCTGTCAAATGCTGAAGCTAAAAAGAACAAAAAAGTGACAAAAGCGTGGGATGAACCCACAGCCTTTCGCAGATCGTTCCAAAGATTCCGTAAGTGCAGTTTTGTGCGGAGCTCGCGGCCACTTCTGGTAAAAGGCAAGAAATGGGTTCGTACAAGTTCTCGCACTGCACGCTGTATGTGCTAAATAATAATAATATATAGACAAAAGAAATGGAGAAAAGGTAGTGGTGGCGGCCTCCTTCGCTTAACTGGCGCGCGCCTGCCTAGTGCCTCTCCCCTTCTCCTCCAGTCAACCTCCTCCCATCCATTGGTACAAAAATCATGCAGTTATGACTGCCCAACGCCTTTTGCGGCAGCTCGATAAATCCAACAACCGAATTCTCGATGATATCAAGGAATACAGACTGAAGTGCGGACATACTCTGGAATATACGACTTCATGATAGAATTACCTATTTCGTAAGGATGCCAGATCTCGTGCATCCCGCGGAAGTTGATGCTCTATCGCTCAGCCTGTGAACCTTTGCGTCGCATCTCGAGGATCTGGGCTTGCGCGCTTTTTTAACGCTGGCACTCCTCGATGCTCAGACGCCTTGGCCGCGCATGAAACGTCTTCGCGTCGAATTCCACCACCGGACGGGAGCTGGTATTTTGTTGGACCACGAGGAGAAGACCCAAACTCCGAGAGATTTAAGATAGACGATGAGCACTACCCACCACTGTTTATTACAGACGAGGACAGGAGAATCGACGATAAACATACGGATTTTGAGGAAGAATGGTATGGTGAAGACGACCGTTGGCAAGATATGTTCCGCACGGAGCCTGCGGCAGACCGAATGGAACCACTTCTGGCCAGTTTTGCGGAGAAATTGAAGGTGTCGACCGGCCTGGAAGAAGCAGAATTATTCACCTATCTGGACTGGTGTCCTTATGAAGAGCAAACGTCTGTATATCGTCCGACTAACGGGATCTACGCCTTAAGAAGTCCCTTTTCTGTTTCTTCCTTATCATATTTCCTTTCATTGTCTTTCTTTCCCTTTGTATTCCTTTCTTTCTTTCCTTAATATTTTAGTTTATTTTATTCCCTCTGTTTTCCTTTTCTTTTGTCTTCTAACACAATTACTGTTTATAACATACTCCAGACAGCAGACAGTCTGTCATTCTTTAGACATCTCGTTTCCGTAAGTATATCTTATTTAACACCTTCCGGACATCCGCCTAGCTATCCTACCATCGCCGGGCGAGATCTCCGGCGCTGTTCAGGGCCCGGGGCTTATAGAGCAGCTACCTTCTTAACGACCTGTTGAGAAGCATACAAAGGCTTTCCTGGCTTACTCGTTCCCAATCTTGCATTCCTCTAACACTGGAACACAACAAGATCACCTCGGGCAAATAGTGGATGTGGCTGTACCTGTACAAAACAATGTACCGGTACATGCCCGGTACAGCAGGAGCCAGCTTCAGATTCCCCCCAGAGTTTGGGTTTGGGCTCGAGTCTTTCAAGCCTTTGCATAGATCCTTTATGTTCGTTTTTCCCTTTGGCTTATTCCTCATTCTTTCAAATCACTCACCTTCACCCACCAACTTCCTCCTCCCCAACTTCTCCTTCTACGGCAGGTGAAACGGTGGAGATTTGATCCGGCCATTCCCTTTGTTCGACAGCTCTTTCTTGTACTGTGCGTAGTCACCACAGGATCGCGAATGGGCACAGGTTGTTGCCGCACATAAGGACTCTCTCTCCCTTTGTCCTTTTATCCTTTGTCGTATACGAACGTGGGACCATTCTCTTCCATTTCATGCACATCCATTCATGGCTCAGACATTCGTTCCTCTCTGTTGCTGCCGCGACGTTAGCGCTCCTGCCCAAAGCAGCTAGTGCCAGGTCTAGTGGGTCGTGCCTACCATATTTGGCTACAAACGCTCCTCCCTCCCTTGCTTGACCGCAACCTTTCTACACTCTTTCTTCTGTCTTTTCACATCCTTTAACTTCCTCTCTTCAGCTTCTCGTACCCACACTCGTTTACTCTCCCCGACGGAGTCTCAGTCATTCCTTCAACTTCTCATTCCTTCACAGCCCTTCACTCCCTCCTCGCGCGGGCCGTGTCTCGACTTCACCTGCGCCGTTTTGCTCAGAGGCTGGCCGGCTGGCCACTTCGTCTGCCTTGCTTTGCCCCGCCCAATTCCATACACACCTTTTCCGGCCGGCTCACAGTGTGCCAGGCTCTCGTAGGTAGGCATCTCCTCCTCAGTTGCCTATCATTGCAGCTGTCTGCCTCGGACCGCCAGTCCGCAGTGCCCTATCTGTATCCCTTCCCACATTGAGTGTTGACTAACGTCGCTGGCCGGCCTGAAGAGCTCCTTCTTTGCACTTCATCGTATATATTACGGCGTCATTAAGAAGCCTGGAGCTGTCTTCATCATGCAGAACAAGCTGTTCTTCGGCACTGCTATTGGTGGTGCTCTCTTCGCGAGCATTGTCTCAGGACTTCCGCACCGTGAGTAGCCGCTCCCTGGATAAACACAACCGCTTTGACTGACTTACCACCAAGAGCACAATCAGAAGCGTGCCATCACTACCGAGGTCACCTTCACCACCGTCACTGTCGCCAATGTCATTGTCTACGTCGACGAGGGTGGTGTCCCGGTGGAGACCACCACCCTGGGTCTAGCTACAAGTATTGCACCCACCTTTGTGGAGTCGACTTTCTCTGTCTCCAGCGTCTTCGAGGTCCAGCCGTCTGCAACTGAGCATGCAATCGGCAGTGGCCTTCCTGTCTCGACTCCTCCGGTTGTTCCGACCTCAAGCAAGGAAGTCTTCGCTTCCGACGCTCAGTTCGAGCTGACTTCGCATATCCTTCCGGAGCCTGTCATTCCCAGCACGTCCGAAGTCAAGGCTCCGTCCCTTGCGACTTCTACGACTTCTACGACTTCTGCGGCACCACCACCCCCGCCAGCGAGCTATGCAGACCCCAAAACTTCCGAGGCAATTGCTCCTCAGCCAGCGACTTCGGCCATCCCAGAGCCTTCGTACGGTTCCCTTCAGCCTTCTCCAGTTTCGGCCCCCCAACCTCCGAATGCAGACGATCGCTTCCCAATCGGCATCACGTACGACCCTTTCAAGCCGGGAGCTTGCAAGACTGAACAAGAGGTCCAAAACGAATGGGAGCAGATGAAGAGCTACGGTGTTGTTCGTATCTATGGACGCGGTTGCAATACCATCCCCACTGCCGTTCGGCTCGCCAAGGCGAACAATCAGAGAGTCTTTGCTGGTGTCTGGATGAGCACAGGTGGAGACTCCGAAGATACGGACACAGTTGTTAAAGAACTCGCCGAAGCCGTTCGCACTCACGCAGGTGGCGACTGGAGTGTCATCGCCCTTGTCTCTGTCGAGAATGAGCGTATCAGTAACCGTCAATTCACAGCTTCCCATGTTGTTGATGCCATCAACCGAGCCCGACAGGCTCTGCGAGCGGCTGGATACACTGGGCCAGTTGGTGCAGTCGAGACCGTGCCTGCTATGATTGAAAATCCCATGATTTGCGAGGCTTCCGATATCGCGCTCGTCAACGTCCACACGTTCTTCGACTCCAGCTGCAAGGCCGAAGACTCGGGCAAGAAAATCGAGGACCAGGTGGCTCGCGTTAGAAAGGGATGCAATGGGAAGCGTGTTGTGGTTACTGAGGCAGGATGGCCGCACCAGGGAGACGCCAATGGAGTAGCAGTACCAAGTCGCCAGAACCAGCGCGCTGCCGTCGACTCCATCAAAAGCCGCTTCGACCACGATGTCTTTCTTTTCAACGCCTTCGATTCCCCGTGGAAGCGCGACTGGGCTGGATCTTTCAATGCTGAGAAGTATTGGGGTATCCATTAGTGAATCAAATATTCGACGTTGCGCAGTAGGCTTTGGCAACGTCGTCTTTATGGTGGGATCATTTCAGAATCTGCACCCGCAGATGATGCTATAGGTCAGGAAGACCTATTGGCTATGTCACGGAAGGCATTTCCTTGCTATCATGCATTATGAGGTTATGAAATGAAACGGAACATGGGTCATGTAGTATGAAATACAGCCGTCAAGGGTGAACTGGAGCCTTTCAACCGGTAGTCCTCTCGTGCTTTGTGTCGTTTGTTGGACGTGAATCTGAACCTGGTCTTTTGTAATTGTTGCTCGGGAGAAGGTCTACTATCTAGGAAGCATGTCCCTGCCTCATCCGACAGTATATTGTAAAAAACTGCAGGCAGGGAGCCTCATATCCATCAGCAAGGAAGGGCAAAGGGAAAAGGGAAACGCAGAGAGGGGAGGAAGACCGACGAGGAGAGGGTACACACCACAACACGGGAGAAAACGACACCGAGAGCCTTCTGCCAGACCCTCGATTGTCCGGCTGCAGTACTGTGTAAATAAACGACATGAATGCCACTCATTCCCATTCACGCCCCATTGCATCCCATCGACCATTGCTAAATGCTGCCCCGCTGCCAAAATACCCCCACGACTCCAACTCCCAAGCACCAGGGACAGAAGTAGGATGCCACAGCAGCAGCAAGGAGTCCTCATACTCAAGGGAAGACAGCCAAAGAAAAAAAAGGAAAAGGAATATATGCCGGTCCACGGACGTAAACGTAAGCGCAACAAAGGAAATCGGAAATCGCTCTTCCCAAACAGACGGAAGAGAAAAAAAAAAAAAAACGAAAGGGTATCCACAAGTCCATCATCCATCGCTAGCATCCCCCATGCCCATGCAAGCAAGCACCAAAAAAATTCTCTGCCCATCTAAACACTCCTCTCCGGACTCTCCCCCTCGGCCACAACCGCAGTCCCCAGCCCCCGATCCGGACTCTGCAACACCAACTGCTCATGCCTCCTCGCCCGGATGAAATCCGAAACACTCTTGATCAAGATGAACCACCCCACAATCATGAGCGCATACGCCAAAAGATCACTACTCGTGATTCCCGCACTCGCCGGAGAATCCGCCGCCCCCGCCGAGGGAGAACCAGGCAGAGCATTCGGGTCGAAGTTGTGACTATTAGGATCCGCCGGAATCGCATTCGAATTGGGGTCCGGGTAGTCGTTTACCGTGTCGCTTCCCGGGTTCATGGCCGCCGAGCTCTTCATCGTGAAGCCCCACTGGACGAGCGTGATGCCCAGTCCGGCGCGGGACCCGTTCTTGGCGGCATGTGTGGTGTGGAGGAGGTAGGTGAGGAGGAAGCCGACAAACTGGAAGGACATGGAGATCATTGCGTTCCACACGAAGCTGAAGAGGGAGCCGACGGGGAGGCCTTCGACGTAGACTTCGTCGCCGAAGGTGCCGGGGGCGAGGATGGTGGTTTCCCAGTATGGAGGTGTAGCATCGGCGGCGGCTTGTTCGTACGTCTGCGACTGTCAGTTAGAATCCCAATCCTCCTTTATAAAAGCATGAGGATGCATGTACGTACCGGAGGCTTCTCCTCCAGATCCTCTCCCGGTGTCGGTTTCGCGCTCAGATTCGCCCACACGCCATCATTCTGTCCCCCACCATATATCCGCCCAGCTCCCGCCGTAGCCCCGCTCGAAGGCTGGAAAACCGGCAACTGCGTAACTCGTCTCTGGATCCCGCCTCTCGGATTCTGGCCGTTACTCCCGTCGTCGTCCTCCTCCTCACTCTGCGGCTGGCCCCGCATCAACCGCTGCCGATCATCCAGCCCATCCCCTTCGCCATCGCTCTCATCGTCTGAAGGCGAGTCAAACGCGTCTTCGAGTGTGCGGTCTTCGTCCTTGGCGAGCGGGTCGTCGGCGAGGAGACGTCGGGAGTCGGCGTTGGGGGAGGAAGCGCGGCTGTGGAAGGAGGGTGGCGGGCTGTTGGGGATGGGGTATGTGGGTTGTGCGGCGGCGGTCACGGGTGACGAGCTCTCCTCGTCGTGGTCCGATATCTGCATGCGTACAGCGTCAGTTTGCGGTCGAGGAGAGAGAGAGAGGAGCAGTTTGGAGCTCAGGAGACGGGGGCGGACTTACGCGCTCATATCGTTGCGACGGCATGCTGAAGACAGCAAGGCCGATGATGATCTAGTACGAAATGCGATGTGCCAGTCGAGTGTAAGATGGAAAGAGAAAAAAGAGAGGCACAGCAAGGCGGTAGGTCAGTCGGATGTTGGCAGGCGAAAAGGCACGGAGGGATGTAGGTGGGAAGTGGTCGGTATGCTGCGTGTTTCGTAGGTTGCAGAGGGAGTCCGGCGGGAATCCTTGGAACGGGGCAGCCCCTTCCATCGATTGCTCAGCCACCTTACGTGAAGCGCCACATCTTTCGAATGGGGAAAAGCGCGGGCGGCACCAGCGGCATGGCCAGCCCTGATCCGATTGCCGCGCGCGCAACTTGCTCCATTCTCAAGTGAGGTCACAATTCAGAAAATATGTCGAGCTCCGTACGTGAACCCTTCTAATTGTGCTGTCTGACCTTCTCCTTGCAAGTGCTAACTGTTTTCCCCAAAAAATAGACAATAGCAAAACACTACACCCGCCTCCTCACCCTCTGGCCCAAAGACCCCCTCCGCCGCGAACCCTTCACCAAGGTCATCGAGCGCCGCGCCGCACCCTACGGCGTGCAGCCCTTGCGTTCCCCTGATTCCAAGAGCGCGACAAACGTAAAGTCAGAGGGAAACCGAACAGCTGCAGCGTTAAACCCTTCGCGCGAGCTTCCCCAAGTCAACGCACTCTACTCTCTGCTGTCCAACCGCTACTCTACGCTGTACCCTACGTCGCCGGCTTTGCTGAAGCCGGCGAGTAACCCGGAGCATTATGACAGGTTGATAGCGGATATTGAGAGGGCGCCGAATAAGAGCTGGTTGCAGGCGATGTGGGATAACTGGAAGATGAAGATTCGGCGGAGCTGAGGAAGATGATGGGATGAGGAAAGGGAGAGAAGAGATGTAAGATTTATACGGGCTACGAAGAAGATCTTCTGTTGTTTTGATATATTGCGGAGAAGGGATTTCTCAATGCTCCCGAAGGAGGAATATGGAGGAGAAACTACGGACAATGAAGCCCGAAATACCAGAAAAAGATCCGTCCTCGGAAAGAGATGAAACAGCGTCCTGCATAGTGCGGTATTCAAGGACGGCCACATGTATAATACATGTATTATCAGCCTGTACGAGTGGAGAGTTCACCATTATAGGGTAGAAACCCAGCAGGGAAGCAAACACGGTAGCGTAAACAGTTAGTTAGTCTCTGGAACTGACTAAAGAATTTCAATCAAAAGTATAAAATCAAATACGACAGTTCTGGTAGGGTATGACAGTGAATCACACCTACCTCCGTCTCAAACGCACTTCCAGGTTGCTCAGTGTCGCCATGAACGTGTAGGATTTTCAAAAGGATCAGGAAGCCACATATAATAGACTGGACCAACGCGATGAAGTGCACACTGGAAGAGAGATGTAGTGGGTGCGTCATGCGCAGTAATTAAACTGGTCGTCCTGATCAAGATGCAGGAGAGACAATGTGAAGATATCCCTCTCACCTGCATTCCTTATCCCCATCATATTCCTACATTTTGCATCCGTTCCTTTCCCAGCGGCTCTCAGTGCCACTTCTTGGGAACTCTCCCCGGCATGTTACTTGGCCAACCTCACGGACCTCCTCGTAGGCGGAGTATTCTCCTGCTCCACCCCCTTCTTCGTCGCCATCTTCTTTCCCTTGACACTCTTGCGCTTCGGCGTCGGTTTCCCGGGTACGAACTCTGGATCTTCATTGTCACTGTCGTGCTTGGCTTTCGCTTTGTTCTTAGTCGGCGTCTTCGTGGTAGTAGTGGTGTGGGAGAGCGTGTTGTTATTGCTGCTGAGAGTCTTGGATGCGAGAGGGAGGCCGTTGGTGGCAGGAGCCACTGCGTTGCCGTTCGTTCCGTTGATCTGACTCTTCGATATGTCAATGGCACCATTGACTCCGTTGATGATATTGGCATTTCCGGCGTTCTTCTCCTCTTCGTCATGATCACCGTTACTGCCCTCGCTATGAGCGGCTCCATTCAGCACCTTTCGAGTCAGCATACCCACTAAACGAGTTTTGCGGAAAGACATACTTCATCGTGATCAGCAGCATCCGGATTCGCAAGCACAGATGGCGGATCAGACACATCCGTCATGCCTGAAATGTTGGAGAATGGGGACTTTGGAGCCTGGCTCTCACCCTCAACTGTGTCCCCATTCTGTAGATTTTCTACACCAGGCGTTAACACAATACTCGGCAAGCACATACGGAAGGTAACATGAAGATACCGGCCATCTCCTCACCGTTTCTCATCGTCCCCAGCGTCAACCTCGCCATTCCCAGCTCCCTCATCACCTCTGCATCAGTGATGGTCCTTCCCCGGAAAATCGCATCCGGATACTCGATTCCCACACGACGATATGCCTCCTGCAGTGTATACCCGGCACCAGTCCACCACGCTCCGATCAGAATCCCTTCCAGTCGGCCTTGAAGCTGGTCTATCGTGCGCTCGTCCCAGTCCGGGAGCCAGCCCTCGCGCAGTTCAGTGTGGGCGGCATGCCGGAAGGATTGTTCGTCGACGAGACCTTCTCGCACCATGTTCTCGAAGATGTGCTTGAGCTGATCTGTGCGATTCGTCGTCCAGTCTTGCAATGCAGAGTGGTAGGAAGCTTGCTGTTCGGGAGCAAGCGACGCCGAAGCAGCCGTGTGGGAAGTCAGTGCCGGTACATCTCCATCCGATCGCCCGCGCCCTCCTGAAACATGATCACTTCCACCGTTTTCATATGTTCTGCCATTCACATCGTCCTCAGAATCAAATAGCGAAGCAGACGCCGGCAGTGGAGTAGGGGGTCCCGAATCCGGTCCTGTGCCGAAAGCATGATACACTGCCGGAGTAAGCATGTACCCAGCATGTACATCAAGTGGTAGTGGTAGTGTAGACTTACCGCCCTCCTCATCCTCAAACCCAAACTCATTCGACTTATATGTCCCGTCGTAGAATTTCTTAGATCGTTCGGTCAGGTTGGTGAAGTCAGGTAATTTGGGTTGCTTCTCTGAGCCATGTTGCGCCATGACGAGGTAGAATGGGGAAGGTAGGTAGAGGTTGGCAAGGAACGCCGCAGGCGTTGCTACGAATCGATATCGCTGCGACAAGAGTCTCGTTGGTACCTGATCTCTTTCACTGCCAGCCAGACACCTATATCGCCCTCCAGGTAAGCGCAATTGACCTGTCCTCTCAATCGCCGTACGCTCGTCTCCAGTTCCCAGGCAGCAAGCCGCGTCGTCGACTAGACTCTTTTCTGCGGTTGCAGAGGGTCAAGGTAAAACCGAAGCGAGGTTGTGGTGGGTTGGTGACAAGATTATCCTTACCAGTGTCGCTGAAGTAATAGATAAACAAGCTGTGGTCAAAACATTGGAACCTCACAGGTGAAAGACTCGCAAAAAAGGAAGGCGCGGCTCTGGACCTTCCAGCTTGGCGACGCAGTCACCACAGGAGAAGAACCAAAGAGCAAAGAGCAGAGAGACACGGTGAGAAGAGTAAAAGTTCGACCATTTGAATGACGGGCAAGAAAAATTGTGAAAGCCCAAAAATGGTACAAACTGATAGAGACCGATGAGGATTCCTGAACAAAGTACTTCCCAGCCGACCTATTCCGGTTCCCGTACCTTCCCCATGCCAAAGTGCCACGATAAAGTACATACACGCCCCATTAATATGCTTGTGAAAACAGAGATCGCTGCTATCTACGATCTTCGTGAGGGAAACATGCCATGGGACCTTTCTAAACAGTCAACGCCGAAACAGCCGGAAGAAGGGAAAGATGGAATCGTGACGTCTCCTAAGAGAGTGCCACCCCATGCAACGAATCCCGGGAGAATACAAATGCTGATATCGTACAGAGACATTGTACAAAGAACAGCTGCTCGCAGTCGTACGATAAACCAGTGTCCCGAAATCAGGAAGAAACGGGAGTCGCGGCAGCCGTGACGGGCTGGCTCGTCGGCGCCTTTGCTGCCATGGTTTGAGCCAGCTTCTCACGTTCAAGCTTCTCTTGCTCCATTGCAGCGCGGTCGGCCTTGGTGACACGGGGTTTGCGGACGGTATTACCGCCGCGGGAGCCAGGACCTCCACGGGAACCAGGACCTCCGCGTGAACCAGGACCGCCCCCTCCCCGCGATCCAGGTCCGCCGCCGCGCCCTCGTCCGCGTCCAGACGTTTCGCCACGGGTAGAGCCACCACGGCCACGGCCTCGGCCACGTTTGACGGTGCCATCTTCCCTAGAGGGTGTCAGTTAAGTGGAGAATCAACAGAGGGGGTGAGCACCTACCTCTCCACAGTGGGCATTTCATCGGGCGGGATCAGCGGTCCGTTATAGATGAAGAAGCCATCTTTAACCATGAGGGCCTTCTGCTCCCACGCCAACTCGGTGTCGTCTATGAAGTCATCATCTTTGTCATAATCCTCTTGCTTTCTCTTGCGCCTCTTCTTGACGCCATTGGCGCCGACAGCCTGTTCCTTCTCCGTTCCGCCCATTTCGACGTTGCTCTCGCCGTCGGAGAGGTCCAGAGACATGTCGTCGTTGGAGGCAGCACCGGCAGCCTTTTCGAGAGCGTCGCCTGCTGCGGTCACCTGGCGTAGACGCTCCCTACGAGCAGCCAGTTTTGGATGCAATGCCGTGAATCCGTAATTCTTTTCGACCTCCTGAGCGTAATTGATTGTGACATTGTTCTTTCCTTTGACGGGGAACCGGAGCCAGATGTTGACGCCTTGAGGTTCTGCAGGCGCACTGGAGGCACCATTGACGGGCCCAAACGGAGTGCCAGACAAGAGGCCGCTGCCTGCGGGCAAGGGCGGCAGCGTGTCTTTGAACTGAGCTACCTTGGTGGCGATTGGGGTGGTCTTCTTTTGAGGAGGTTTGTGCGCGTCGCTGACTGTTGTGGCGATTGAGGCTACGTCGACCATGTCAACGTCCTGATTCACGGTGCTCGTCTCGTCTGGAATCTGCGTCGCGGGCTGGGACAGCGGCTGCTTGTCGGATCGCGAGGCAGAGGGGCCAGGGGACGCCGGGGCAGAAGTGACGGAGATGTGCTGCTGTTGTTGCTGCTGCAGGCGGGGGATCTGGTGGTGGGAGACGGAGCTCGTCGGATGCAGAAGATTGGCGAGAGCAGGCGAGACGCTTGCGCTGAGCATGCTGGAGGGCATGGCGGGGGGTACTGAGGCGGGCCCTTCTACGCGGCCGCGGTCGGGAGTGCTGGGTGCAGGAGGAGAGTATGGCAGTGGTGGAGGGTTGGATACGGGTGCCGGATTGCTCGGATTGCTTGGATTGCTGGATGCGCGAGGCGCCTGCGTAACGGCGGGCGGGTGCGCCGAGGGCAACTGCTCGTGTTTGACGGCGTTGACGGGTGCAGGCGCAGCAGTCGCAACAGTCGCAGCATTCTGAGTTTCGGCCAACGTCTGCCCTGGCTGGGCGGTGGGCTTCTCGTCGGTCGGCTCGACAATGGCTGGGGCGTCGAGCGATGCCTTGGTCCTTCTCTTGCGCTTGGGAGGCTCTGCAGCTGGGTCTTTAGGCTCTGCGGGCTTGCGTGGCTTCCGTGTCTTCTTCTCGGGGGCATTGGGATCCTTGGGTTTAGGCTTGGGTCCGGGTTTCTTGCGCGGTAAGCCAGCTTGTGTCAATCGCGGCGTTGTTGTTGTTGTGGTTGAAGACTTTGCCGTTGTGGTGTTTGTGGTAGTGTTGGGGTTGGGCCCCGGCGCGGTAGTGCCATCAGCGTTTGCAACACCATTCTTCTGCATCGCAGCGCCCATCTCGGGAGAATGAGGTGGGCTGCTCAGGCTGTCGCGCGACGACGCGGGCGACGCCATGGCAGAGACGGAATATTCTTTTTTTTTGTGTTTGCCCTTTTCGAAAATATATTTCCGCGATGCAACAGCCGTAGAACGCTGGATGGGCGGCGAGTGTAGAAGTGCAGTTGTGCACTGGGTAGAGTGCGCCGTGACGGAAAAGCGGGCGTGTAGAACACCAAAATGGAACTCGAGATTCGTCGCCAGTTGAGCGAGGGAGCGGGGGGCAAAGCGAAAAAGGAATCAGAAGGGTTCAATAAACGGCCCGGGGCCGGGGAACATCAAAGTCACAGTTTCTCGGAAACGCAGAACACCGAATCGACGAATTCCAAGGAGCCAGAGGTTGTGGCGGGTGGTGATTGGGGAAAGAGAGAAAGGAGAGCAGAGGAGAGAAGAAGAATTGACAGAGAACAGGTTATTATGATGGGGGGTGCTGGGTCTATATAGTACTGATGGGTTCCCTCCATAGGAGACGGACCCAAGCACAGGCAGAGACAAGAGACAGGCAGGCGGGCAACTACGCCAGATGATCACTATCGAAACTGCTCACAGGGCTGCCACTGGGCAAAGTGCGCTTGGGCGTATTTCCCCTACTTTTGCTTCTGCAAGAAGCTGCGAGATGGCTTACTTGAAAGAAAAAACAACCCGAAACCGCCAACATTGCGACACTGAAATTCCAGCTTTATCTTTTGATGTCTTGTAACCGTCGTAGACGCCGATGCCCATGCCTGACTCCATAATGAAACGCGCCTGTCCCGTTCTCTCCTTTTAGGCGCAATCTCATTCATGTCGTGCAATTGATGCCCATACATGTCTGCCACGTGATATCAAGTGCACGGTCCTCACTTCTTACATGGATCCTACCATGTCAATGTTAGGTGGTGGTCTAGGAACTTACAGTACCATCCCCCGATGGGATTTACAGCATGCATGCAACTCGGATCAATTATTCAGAGATATAGAGACACTCCACTTCTATTGGAAGGAGACGCTGAGAATTGCTTTATCCTTGCCATCAATTGTAGACTGCAAGTCAAGAAGAAATCCTAAACCGAAGCTGACCTAGTGCCACCACGCGTAGTCGCCGCAAACCCCTCTCCATATCGTTTCACCACTTCGCACCTTTCAGAGACGATAAGGGTGCCCATAGATTCTGCGTGGATATGCATTGCATGAAATAGAGCCCTATCTCCCAGATATAACACATCCATGCCGTCGCATTGCCTCCGAGAGAACAAGCATCTCAAGAGCAAATGATAAGCGCACCTCCCCACCAACGCCAGTCGAAACCATAACGCCATATTTGGTATACATGCCGATCTCAGGACAAACAACCTAGGAGCTCTTGCTCTTCTTTTTCTTCTTCTCCTTCTTGCCCTCGCCCTCTTCCTCCTCTGCATGCTTCCGCTTCTTCTCCTTCTTCGACTTCTTCTCGTCACTATCCGCATCCTTGGACTTCTTGTCCTTCTTTTTCTCCTTCTTGTCCTTCGATTTACGGATTGCCTGCTCGGTGGCTTTCGCCGTGATACCATCCGCCATCACCACGTCTTCGGCCGCTTCCGCCGTGGGGTCTTCGCCAATGTCGGCCATCACAGAGTTCATCGCTGCCTTCATGACATCCGCGTTCTTCGCCGGCGGCGCTCCCGTGGCATAGAACTCGATCCTGTCCTCCACCTGTTTTCGCAGTGCCTCTCCAAACTTCGACGTTGGCACCTCCGAGAAGTTGTCGATCCTGGACGCGATGGAGCACTTGTTCGCGAGGAAGCGTGATATTCTGCCCTTCGATTTCGCCGCCGTCTTTCCGATGAACGAGCTGTGGTAGATCAGGCCATACTTGGGCGTGTTGCCCTTAGTCTTCAACGCTCTAAAGAGAGCCTTCTCGGCACCCAGAATCTGCACAGTCGACGCAGGATACTTGGACAGATTGGTCAAAGAGCCAGCCTTTGAAATCAGACGCGCACCGACGCTATCTCCAATCAGTGCTGCCAGGTTAGGGGCTACGGTTGCCATCCTCGAGGAAAGATAGCCCGAGAGGGACTTTCGATAGGCGGCCAAAGAAGCAGTACGCTCGGCAGCCTTCATCACCAGCTCCTGATCGGCTTCGGACAAATCGCGGCCCATACTCGTTCTTGCCGCGGAGATGATGGCCTGTGCCACGGATTCATCGTCGTTGACAATGGCAGCCAACGAGTGTAAATCATCGTTCGAGAGATGAGACTTGTCGCCTATCGCGAGAACCAATTTGGGGTACTGTTCGTTGCTGCTGACAATCTTGGCGAGTTCGGGGAAGTGCCATCCATACTGCTCTTTAAGCTTCATAGCGAAAGTGTTCAAATCTTTGTCAATTTGATCAAGGGTAGCGATAGCCTCTGCAAGCACTTAGTACAAACCCGCCCACAGAGCGGCCTTCTGTGATACGTACGGATGATGTGGTTATCATTTTTCTGTACCGAAAATTTGACCTTGGCGCCTGCCACGACATTAGCTACAATGCGGCCGAAGTGAAACGAGGTACATACGAGAGTATGCGTGACCAAGACCAAGGATGGACCGATCAATGTCTCCAGGCTGGAGCTGCTTGATCAATTTCTGGCCGTGCTGCCGAAGACCTCTCAGCAGATCTGCGACCACCTCGCTCGTCTCGCTTGTCTCGACGTGCAGATTTGGAAATGCCGCTTTAATGCTACCAGCCAGATTTCTAATCGCGATTAGACCGAGTTACCACCAAGGCTTTGAATTCTATACCGTTCACCAACTCCCAACGTTATTGTCTTCCTTTTGCCAGCTTTCGGCAGGTTGGTTTCCAGCGCTGCTTTCAGATAATCCGACATAATGCCTTCGGAGACATCGTTGATTTCTAGAGGCCATGAAATTAGTATGGAAGTCTGTGCGCCGGAGTTAAATGCGCCGACGTACCTCGAAGCGCGTCCTGAGTGCCTTGGAAAGGTGCGAGGCCCACAAGCTCGACCATTTTTCCGAACTTCGCGAGATCTTGGACGGCATCCTGGACCTCCTTCAGGCGGTTGCCTATGGTGTCCGGCTGGTGTACGACTTTGAAGATCTTCGGGCATCTGATTAGCTTTTTGAAGCTTCCGTTTGTGCAGTGTACCTCACCGCATATCCCACCGAATTCTCGTTCAATAGGTAGTCGACCGAAGACATGGTTGCAACAGTCGCGACGAGCGCACAATGGTTGTCGGGAGCGGCGCTAATGCTATTCCTTCTGGGAACGACGAAGATAGGTTATTGCAGGTGTGGGAGGAAAAAGTTCCACTTGCCAAGAGCTTCCACGGAACGGCATGTTTCTCCGAAGCCGACGAATCGCCAGAAATTTAGAACGACGCGACAAGGTTAAGGCAGACAGAAGTTCACGTACAACGGTGTATTTGCATCATTGCTTGAGGATTCGTACTACGCCTTCTGATTACCGGACTCGTCGCCCACCATGTCGGCAGCACAGCTTCTCAACCCGAAAGCGGAATCTAGAGTTGGTTCCTCAAGGCCCGTGGATACACATCCCCGCTAACATGTCTCCAGAGGCGTGGGGAAGCTCTCCGGGTGAACATATCAGCTGGCGAGGGTCTCCAACAGGTATGCAGATGGTTATCTTGAGCATTCAGAGTGCATGCTCATTCCACCGCAGGTATTGGCATCGAACCTTGGACCCCGTGGCACGTTGAAGATGTCAGTCCCATGCCACTATTGCTTGTGAACCTCTTAATAACATGCGAACAGGCTTGTTGATGGCGCCGGCTCTGTAAGAATGCCAAGGAGAATCACGTCAGCCCATAGTAACGCGCTTCTAGATTAAACTGACCAAGGATGGAAGCGTCCTGCTGAAAGAAATGGTAAGTGAATAGCCACGACGATGATTGTCATTAGCTAACAAGTGCGCAGCAAATCCAGAATCCTACTGCCGTATGTTCCTCCGTTCGCTATGTGGCGGTGCCGTTCCTGATGTAGCCAGGTCATGATTGCGCGAGCGGCAACAGCACAGGATGACATAACTGGAGACGGGACAACGTCTGTTGTTCTTCTGGTCGGAGAATTGTTGAAACAAGCGGATAGATATATCTCAGAGGGCCTCCACCCGAGGGTGATAACGGACGGGTATGAGATTGCGAAGACGGAAGCGCTGAAATTCTTGGATGAGTTCAAGCTCAAGCGGGACGTCGATCGAGAACTCTTGCTTTCCGTTGCGCGAACGTCGTTATCGACTAAGCTGGACAGCACCTTGGCTGAGCACTTGACTCCGGACATTGTCGATGCAGTGCTCGCAATCTATCAGCCCCCTGCGAAACCCGACCTCCACATGGTGGAGATCATGACTATGCAGCACCGGACGGCCGCAGATACACAGCTCATCCGGGGATTGGCCCTTGATCATGGAGCGAGACACCCCGATATGCCGAAGCGTGTAGAGAATGCGTACATCCTCACCCTGAATGTCAGCTTGGAGTATGAGAAGTCAGAGATCAATTCTGGCTTCTACTACTCGAGCGCGGAGCAGAGGGAGAAACTCGTTGAAAGCGAGCGGCGATTCGTAGACGAGAAGCTCAGAAAGATCGTGGAGTTGAAAAAGGAAGTCTGCGGAAACGATCCCAAGAAGGGTTTCGTCATCATTAACCAGAAGGGCATCGACCCATTAAGCTTGGACGTTCTCGTCAAGAACGGAATTTTCGCATTGAGGAGGGCAAAGAGGAGGAATATGGAGCGGTTACAGCTGATTTGTGGAGGTACGGCGCAAAACAGTGTCGACGACCTAACCCCCGATGTGCTGGGCTGGGCTGGCCTAGTGTACGAGCACCAGCTTGGAGAGGAGAAGTACACTTTCATTGTGAGTTCCATCGCGTCCTGTGTTCTGGCGGAAACTAGTCTCACAACTACTAGGAGGATGTTAAGGACCCGAAATCGGTTACCTTGCTCATCAAGGGTCCCAATGCACACACCATCACTCAGATCAAGGATGCCGTGCGGGATGGTCTCAGAAGTGTTTACAACATGATTGTTGACAAGAGCGTTGTGCCTGGAGGCGGAGCCTTCCAAGTAGCCTGCGCCGCTCATCTCAACAGCGAAGCTTTCAGGAAGACCGTCAAGGGAAAGGCGAAATGGGGCGTGTCAGCATTCGCGGATGCACTTCTCATCATTCCTAAGACACTCGCAGCTAACTCTGGTCATGACATACAGGATTCACGTAAGTTCAAGCGCCATCCAAAGCGATGCTTTCCGCTTATCACGTACAGTGGCCGCGTTGCAAGACGAATACGCTGAGGGCAATGTCGTCGGTCTGGATCTCTCCACTGGCGAGGCCATGGACCCTCTTCAAGAGGGCATATATGACTCCTTCCGGGTTCTTCGCAACAGCATTGCGTCAAGTACCGGCATTGCGTCGAACCTATTACTGTGCGACGAGATGCTGAAGGCACGGCAAATGGTAAGATCAGTGCAGATGGATAGGTCACTAAATGCTAACACCTTCGGTAGGGACGGCAACCTGAACCAGGCGAAGACCAATAGGCAAACCGTATATAGAAGCGGGAGCAATGCCTAAGCACTGTATTTCGTACAATGATTGGGCGTAACATCCTGCTAGGTGTGCGACAGTCTTCGCATTATTTGTCCTCTCAGCAGCGTGATAGCGATCGATTGGTGAAACACCAATCCGTGTGTGTATCCTCTAGCCGCATGGCCCCACCGGCATCCAGATGTGTTGACAAGGATCAATTTAAGCTTAAATAAAAGGGTCCAGATCCACGCTAAGCCGGAAGAAGGCTGGTCAGCTTTATTTAGGAGCCCCAGTGGAGAATTGCCGAGCCCTGGAGTTCTGAGTGCATGTGAGAAAGGTGTTGTGTCTGAATCCTTCGTGTCTGAGCCATGTTCACCTTACTTGTACTTTCGCCTACTACGGAGGATCCAGCTTACTAGAAGACGGAGTACGGAGTTCGGAAGCCACGTTCGCTCAGCCCTTTAAATCTATGCACACTAGCGCATAGCGAACCCTTCTCGCTACATGCGAGCGTTCCCAGCAACATGTTGCGGTACCGCAGATACCGCGTCTTCGTCGCCTTTGCCGTTATTGCACTATTTGCCTTGTATCGCTTTGGAGCCCCGAGTGCATCATGGCAAGATACGGCATCCTCGCAACCCCAGCCAATTTCGAATTGGTGGCCGCGGCCTCAATTGCCGCACGAGACGAAGAAGCTAGACCTTGAGATTCCCATAGCCAAAGTATCGCAAACTCTGAGGCGACCACCGCCCGTCGTGCCAGCCAGTAGTCCTATAGACAGGCTCCCGATCGAACAGGCGAGTCCAGACGAGGCTGCGGAGCGACCGACAATCACGTCCGCCCCCACGAGTTCCGAGCCCATCCGTTGGAAGAAACAGACCGAACACTTCCCCGTCCCTTCGACCGCGCTAATCCAGCTACCGACTGGTAAACCGATTGCGATTCCGAGGATACAACATGCATTCAAGCCAGAGTCCGCGGCGGAGAAGGCTGATAGGGAGGAAAAGCTCGAGGTGATTAGGAATGTGTTCAAGCGCTCCTGGGATGGGTATCGCGAGTATGCTTGGCTGCAGGACGAGCTCTCACCGACATCTGGACGGTTCAGGAATCCCTTCGCTGGATGGGGCGCCACATTGGTGGATGCACTGGACACGCTCTGGATCATGGGCTTGAGGGAGGAGTTCGACGAGGCTGCGAAAGCAGTGGACAAGATTGATTTCACGACTACTCCGCGTAATGATATACCTCTGTTCGAGACGACAATTAGGTACCTGGGAGGCTTGTTGGCGGCATATGACATCAGTGGAGGTCAATATAAGAATCTGCTGCACAAAGCCGTTGAGCTTGCGGAGGTTTTAATGAGCGCTTTTGATACCCCAAACAGGATGCCAGAGACGTACTATCATTGGAAGCCAAACTATCCCTCAGCACCCCGTCGTGCAGGTACCTCTGCTGTTCTTGCTGAGATTGGCTCGCTTTCTCTGGAGTTCACCCGTCTCTCCCAGCTCACGGGCGACCAAAAGTACTACGATGCCGTCGCCCGCATTACGGACAACTTGGAAGAGTTCCAGAATAAGACGAGATTGCCGGGAATGTGGCCAGTACTTGTCGATATTTCCGGATGCAAGCTCGTTGACCATTCGGCGCCACAACCCGTCGTTGAAACATCCAGTGTAATTCAGGAGCCGGAGAGCTCAACAGCGGCGGAGGCACAGTCGACAGCCACCTTGGAGGTCCTTCTATCTCCGAATGGGAAGGAGTACAAGCCATTGGATTTGCCAGATCCCGTTGTGCTTGTTGCAGGGACATCACCCTCTGAACCAGCTCAGCCCCCAAAGGCATTGCGCAGACGGCAACTTGGTAACGTCCAGGCCATATATGAGGAAGACGGCCCTGCCCCAACTCCAATAGGACCTCATTGCGAAGATCAACCGTTCCTATCTGCAGCGGGATCCGGCGACGAGGAATACACCTTGGGCGGCATGTCAGATTCAACTTACGAGTACCTCCCGAAGGAGTGGCTTCTTCTCGGCGGTTTAGTCGACAAGTACCGCGCCATGTACGAGAGTTCCGCGGACGTCATCAGGAAGAATCTGATATTCAGACCAATGGTTCCTGACGAGGCGGATGTCCTCTTCTCCGGCAAGTTGCATGTCCCACCTCCCGGAGAGAACAAACCCCGACTGGAAGCGGAATATGCGCATCTCACGTGTTTTGCTGGTGGCATGTTCGGCATGGGAGCTAAAGTCTACGACCGTCCCGAGGATCTCGAGATCGCTAAGAAGCTCACGGAAGGATGTGTTTGGTCATACGATATGACGGCCACGGGTATCATGCCGGAAGCTTTCATTTCCACGCCCTGTCAAGATATCCACGATTGCAAATGGAACGAGACGAGGTATTGGAACGAGATTGATCCCAATGCGCAGGAGCGAATTGATTCTTATAAGCTGGCAATGGAAAGATATGAGAAGGAAATGATCTCGGCATCAGCATGGTATGCATCTCAGCTCGCTGCTATGACTGCAACTCCTACTCCGAGTGCCTCAAACGCAGTCGTAGAAGTTGCAGCAACGGCCACATCCGGTGTGACTGGTGCGGATGCGAGCCAGAATCCCGCGGCGCGGAAACGTCAGCTGGACGTCGAACCTCACTCCAACAGCAGACCCAATACTGTTCCAAGCTTCCAAGGCTCCCTCGACCGCAAAGTCATTATCGAAGACGGCGACCCCATCCTGCTCGGACAACAAGATGAAGCACTCCAACCAGCAACCCCGGTCCAGTCTTCTTCAGACGAACCTCAACCAGAATTCGATGCCGAAACTTCAACTCCCACGATGCCAGAGTTCCCCTATGTCTACTCTCCCCTGCCGCCCACAAGTCATGAAGACTTGGTCAAAAACCGCATCGAGCAGGACCGCCTCCCCAAAGGTGTTGTCGCCTTCCCCGCAAGGAACTACATCCTCCGGTATGCCCTCTTTCCCCTCCCCCTCCCTTTACCGCTAACATCCCCCATCCAGGCCCGAAGCCATAGAATCCGTCTGGTACATGTACCGCATAACCGGCTCGCCGCACTGGCGTGAGGCGGGCTGGCGCATGTTTCTGGCCATCGAGTCCGCCACGGCGACCACCTTCGGCAACAGCGCCATCGACGATGTGACGAAGAAGGATCCCGTGTTGCGCGATGAGATGGAAAGTTTTTGGTTGGCGGAGACGTTGAAGTACTTCTATTTGTTGTTCAGCGAGGAGAGCGTGGTGAGTCTGGATGAGTGGGTGCTGAATACGGAGGCGCATCCGTTCAAGAGGCCGAAGTAATGGGGAGCGAGGCATCAAGAGTGGTCAGCATTTCGAGTTTTTCCCTTAAGACCTTTCTCCTTTGCGTATTGCCACGAAGGAGCCAGGTAAAGCATGCATGGCGTTCACGGCGTTTAGAAGATCGGCATTGTCGTTTTGAGTGCATATCGGACCATATAGTTTAAATTTGCAACATGCATTCCCCCCTTTTCACAAAACCTGCGGCGCCATATTAATATCTAGCTCTCCCCTTTGACGAACGCACAAATCTTCTCCACCACATCCCCCAGCCCCTTCACCACAACATCCGGCGTGATGCCCTCGTCCCCCCACCCCATACAAGCATCCACCCACCCTTTCCCACTCCTATCCACCCAACAAACCCGCATGCCAAACGCTTTCGCGCCCGTGACATCGAAGGGGTTGCCACTAATCAGCCAGACATTTCCCCTTTGTTCCACCTTCCCCTTACCTATCTTCTCGCAGAGATGGCGGTACACTTCCGGAGCAGGCTTAAACATCCCTACCTCCTCGACGACAACCACGTCCCTGAAAAGAGGCACATGGGGAGCAAATTCCTCGGAGTCGGAGCACATCGCGTTCAGCATGTCCTTGGTGCCGTTCGAGAAGATGACCGGGTAGAAGGAGTTTGCGAAGGCTTTGAGGGCGGGGAATAAGGGTCCCGCGTCCGGGAAGAGAGAGAGGGTGTTGTATGAGGTCATTAGGGAGTCGATTTGGGGTTGGGAGAGGGAGTGGCCGGATTCGGAGAGGGCGTGGGAGAGAGCGCGGCGGGTGACGGTTGAGAAGGGGGTGTAGAGTTCTGTGGGGGGTGGGTTTTGTGTGAGATGAGGTCTGAGGTGGAATGAGGTGCATTGTGGAATATGAAAATGCTTTGTATTTAAGGGCGGAGAGGAGGATAGAGACGAGGACGGCTTCTCAATCAGTTGAGATAGGCTGTACTGAGCGGGACAAATATGCATATAGCCAGGAATGACAGGATGATTGGGCGGGATGAGGAAGATTGGAACGGTGAATGCTCACTCATGCAGGTCAACCGCCAGGTATACTCCAACTGGTACCTTCGCCACTGCGCTGCGATGCTGGCAGCTGCCTCTTCTCCAAAGTGTTTGGCTAGTTGTTTGGAGATGGATTCGGTGGAAAGGAGAGTGCCATATGCGTCGAATGCTAGAACTATCTGATCTTGGGATGCCATTGTTGAGAATGCCTTGTCTGGTGGGACGATGGGATTCGAGAAAACGGGAAAACCGCTGGTGAAGCTTGCTTCTGTGTTTACTGTAACCTTCTCTTTTAGCGGTTCGCTTTTGAAAGCGTCAACGAGATGGTTACCTAGGCAAGATCCTAGGTAAGCATAGCTTAATGCGGCCGGAAGTCGGCTCGATATAGCGGCAGTGTGGGGTACCCCATAGCGTCAGGCAGGACCTACATCATAAGTTATCTACCCTCACTCACGAGACGCCTGCATGTCCTCAATGTTTACTCTGCAAGACGGCAGTTGTCCAACATGACCGGACCTGCCGGGTGGTCTAGCAGATTTTATATGTGTTGGTCAGCCGGATGTCCTTCCGAGACCATCCCCGCATAGCTGCCGTGTGATGATCAGACCGTGTACAAATATGGCACCTCTGCCTGTCGGTGAGTTCATGGAAGAAACACTGAGCTTTGTCCAACGGTACGGCTCGAGCCATGACGGAACGCGTTGTAACGGGGAATCAACGATTCGTGTCCTGAGGCAGCGCATGTGGTGTCAGTAGACGAACAGCGCTGTGTGTTTGCAGTAGAAATGCCTGTACTGGAAGCATTGCCGATAGGTGGCGTTTTCTGTTACTTGTGAAGTATGACCAACTGAGAATATGAGGCTGGCCGCAAGAGTTAAACACACGGTGTCGAAGGTGGCATATTAGAGGGGCGATTTATGCACCCAATCAGGGTCCCTTTTGGAAGGAAAACAGGTGCGCATATGAGTTTAGTACGGTAAAAAAGTTGCCAACGTGGAAACGTTTTCTGTTTGTGATCTGCAACTGATGGACTATGCTCAAATGCTGTGCTGTGCTGCTTGCGTATGACGAGTACTCCCGTAAAGCTGGTAACGATGGAAGTATACCAAGAGGAAAAGACCGCAGACGATCCTGGAGCGACTCGATCGTTAGGTCGAGAAACTAGAGCCTGTGTGAGAGGTGGGAAAAATAGCGGCTCAAGGTATCTCCGTCTTTATACTCTTTTTAGAAGGTCGAGTTGTCATGCTAGTGCGTACGGGAGATGGGTTGCGTGCCTGAACCACGTAGCTTGCGCGAGAGGAGTAGTGGGGAGGCATTGGGTGAGGCTCCCACGCTCCACATACATATTGACCTGCATCAAGGGAGCCTGTCTAGCAGCTGCTTTTCTGGCGCTGTTTCAGCATCCGCAGAGACGTGGCAGACGGACGGAGCACAGTGGTGGTGTGCGGCGAGTGGTAGGATTAATAAGGATTCGGGATTCGGGGACAGCACGTGTATGCACGGGCTCTCTCCAGCCTGGAGATGTCGGACCCCTGAGCAGGGATTCCCGCCAATGTTCTCCACCCCCAGAATTGGACTGCGTTTGGACAGCAACGACTGCCCTCTCTCTCCAGGGCCGGCGTCACCGACCATCAGCAATCGCTGCCGCAGCTGGGTGCAATTGGCCTCTGGCGCCGTCTTTTGGGCTTGCAGGAGCGTGTCCTGCTCCCTTCTTCCCATTATCCATCCACGCCGAACAAACCCCCAACCATGAGCCCAATGGCGGGTTCGCTCGACACCCGCCTACAGGCCCAGGAGACTTTCTACGACGATGCCACGCCCGTTGATAATCACCGCGTTTCCGATATCCGCAGCGAAGACCACGACAACCATGATCCGCGCGATTCGCATGATCTGTCGCTGCATGGAGACGCCCGCACTTCCGTCGTAGACAACATGCTGCTATCTCTCGACCAGTTCTCCATTGAGCCGGCCGCCCTCTATTCTGACTTCTTCTCAGCAGACCATTCCTACCAGCCGTCGCGACCCACCCGCAACCGTGGCCATACCTACGCTTCATCTGTTTCGTCAGACTATGAGCAGCAACGAGATGAGACCAGCTCTCGGTACTCCAGCCATCAGTCTCGGGGACGGAGAAGCAACAGCAGTAACAACATTCCGGCTGCCATGAGTCGTAAAGGCAGCCTCAGGACGTACGCAAGCATACGGGATAAGCAGCTCAATACCATGTACAGCGATACCCAGGACACGCGTCCCACTAGAAGCGGAGGGCGGAAAGGCAGCAAAGGGAGCGCGGCCTCGAGCATGGACTATGGATACGCGGGGATTTTGGGGACCCATCGGTTTGGCTTTGGCAGACGCTCTGCGAGCTTCGATCACGGCCATATTGCCGACCGGTCCAATACCATGACCGGCCGACCAGATTCGATCCTGGACAGAAGTAGGGTTGGCTATCACACATATGGCGATTATGAAGCCGCGCCTGAGCCCACAGTCCCCGTGGGGCCCAGGCGAGTGCAAGAAACCCCACAGTCACCCGTGTTCTCTCCTTCGCAACCACCATTCGCCACCGCCCAGCCGTCCGCCCCTCGCCGGAGAAATAGTATTCGCTCAACAGCGAGCCGAACGCTGCGCAAGAACAAGAGCCAGCCTGCACCTAACATGAGGTTCCAGGCCCAGGAGTTTGTCAATGCCAGCACCTTCCCAGACCTTCCCATAAGACCAGCAATTGAGGAACCTCCAGCACCCTCACCCACAGTCGCAACGCGCAAACAAGCGCTCCCGGCCCCATCTACACCTGTTGCAACGCCCAAGGAGAAACCCGGCTTCTTCCGGAGAGTGTTCGGAGGGAGCTCGAAGAACCAAGCTCAGGTTTCCAGTTCTTCCAACAACTACTCAAATAAGGCCCAAGCCGACGCGTCGCCAGCTTCAGCCCATCATCGTGGTCTTGACGCTAGTTCCAAACACTCACAACCACGGCCGCAGACAACACCGAATGGCTCGCACCACATAGCTTCACAGCTTAAATCCCTACCACAACCCCCACAGACAGCCACCTCGACGCAGAGAGAAGCAGCTCCACCAACTCTGGCGAAGAAGCACTCCTCTTTTTTCAGAAGGCGGAAGAAATCGACGTCCGAGAGCAACAAGCCTCTGCCTATCATGGCACTCGATTTCAGACCACCAACACAAGAAAAGATACCCCCTCCAGCACCCAGTCCCGGCATCAGCAGCCTGCGCCAAGTGATGAATCCATATCTCGACGATCTGGGTAGCCCTAGCGCGAAGTATCATGAACAGAGAGTTGGGCAAGCCGGAAGCGAAACGGTAGTGGCGGACGTGGAACGACCCCATGGCTTCTCACCCGGTTACAAACCCCATGCGGATGCGACAGTGCGTACGGTGAAACTAGGATCACGTGGCGTCGATGAGACACCACCTTCATCAAGGGAAGAGCATATTGCTGCGTCGCGGGCACTGAGCTCCGGGAGCCCAAGATTAAAACTCAAGATGAAGAACCGGAAATCGGCTCTAATCGACGCACAGGACGGGTCATTCCTTGCCGACAGTAGCAGCTGCAACGAGGATCACACAACACCATCGGGCGAAGCACGACTGTCACGTACAGTCCCTCCATCACCCAGCTTTGAAGAGATTCCAAGAGAGAACAAGACTCTGAAAGACCAGCGGAAGGCTAGTATCAATACGCGTCCAGCACCGTCACACTCGATGACAGATTTGGAGGATGAAGATGAGTGGGTCCTTACCCCTGCCGCACCGAACCAGCACACAGCGCCGCGAAAGAGTCCTGCAACAGGGCAGCGGGTATGGCTAGAGCCCACATCGTCAGAGGAGAAGTTGGATTTGTCGTTGTCGCTGCCTCTGGACGGCACGCAGGAGAAAGCGAAGGACACCTTTGCCGAGAAATCTGATCCGACGTCCCCCCAGGACGTCTTCCACTCCGCAACAAGCCTACCGCTTGTGCAAGTCGAAAGCCGTGAATCTCAATCGGACGCTATGCCGCCTGCTATTGAGCAGCATCCCGTGCACGACGAGGAGCCGACCGAGGCAGACCGAGAGCGTGCTCGCCTCCTTTTCAACAATGAAGACACTTCCGTACAGAGGTCCCAGGTTGCTACTGTCCTCGGCGATGTTACGTCCGCCAGCGCACGGGTAAGGAAAGCGTACATGGAGCTCTTCGACTGGACTGGCTTCAATATCCTTGCGGCGATGCGCGATCTCTGCGGGAGGCTTGTGCTCAAAGCAGAGACCCAGCAAGTTGACCGTATCCTCATGAGTCTCTCAGAGCGGTGGTGCGAGTGCAACCCTAACCATGGCTTCAAGGCTACAGGTACGTATTCCTTGCGCATCGCGCAGGGCATCTCTCAACTAATCGTACTCGCAGACGTCGTTCACACCATATGTTACTCTATCCTGCTTCTCAACACCGACTTGCACGTTGCCAACATTGAATCAAGAATGACGCGGAATCAGTTCGTCAAGAACACATTACCAACAGTCGTCCGTGTTTGCCAGGAAGCCATCAAGGACGGCGGGGATGAGACTCTGCGGCCTCACTCGGCTATGGCGACAAGGGGTTCCATTCCCTGGAATAGGTCGGAGCCGAATTCTCCTGCTGCCGAGAACACGACGTTCCCAGCGGACATCGCCGACGAACCCCTGGAGAATAGAAGAGCGCGCAGCCGCCTCTCCATAAAGCCCCCCGTTCGCGCCGGTTCCGAAGGCTTGATATCGACCGACTCCGCCACAGCTGAGTCCAACACGCTTGTGAATCACGCCTATCACGGGCCCATGAAGGGCTGGGAGTACCAGATCGAGACGGTGTTGAAGGAGTTTTACAACTCGATTCGAAACCAGAGACTCCCTCTGCATGGTGCTTCTAACCACCGTGTGCACGAACAACCTTCTTCAAACAACCTCTCAGTCAATGGTGTGCTCCGGCGTACTCCTAGCGTTTTGAGCAAGGCCCCGTCGGAGAATCTCAGCTACCGTGGACGTTCGCAAGGCGAGTTTAGGAGCGTTGGTAATCGATGGGTTTCAAAGACCCGCTCAAGGCCACGACTATACCCCTCATCCACCGTTGCATCGAGCCGAACCAGTCTCGACGAGACGTCCGTTTGGAGCCCTGCTGGCTCTAGTACGTGGAGCAGGTACTCCATCGGTAAGACTGGAACTTCCATGATGTCAATGGAATCGCTCGGGTCCCACTTTGCCCATGGAGATTATCAACAAGCTATCGGTTTCGCCAATGCCCTCAGTCAGGCGATCATCCGGGAAGAGGGTATGACTATGGAGGGTAGCGAAGAGTTCACGCGTGTCGCTCCGCTGTTGGAGGATGAGACGCTGGAACTTGCAGGAGCACCATGGGCAAAGGAAGGCATCTTGAAACACAAACATCATCTGGAAGCTCTGGATAAGAAGGCTAAGGACCGTACGTGGAATGAATGCTTCGCTGTCATTGAGAAGGGCTACATGCGCCTGTTCTCCTTCAGCATGAACTCGAAGACGATGCGGATGAAGAACAAGTCGCGCCCTTCAGCCGGTAGCGTTGTCGGCGGGGGAAATTGGATGGACAACGCTGAGGCCCTGGACTGTTTCCTCCTTCGGCAATCCATTGCAAGTGCTCTGCCGCCTCCTGGCTACTCAAAGAACCGACCCCACGTATGGGCACTCTCCCTTCCAACAGGTGCTGTTCACCTTTTCCAAGTTGGAACTCCCGATATCGTCCGCGAATTCGTGTCGACCGCCAATTACTGGTCAGCAAGGTTGTCGAAGGAACCTCTTGTTGGAGGCGTGAGTAACATCGAATATGGCTGGGGCGAAACTGTCATCAACCCAGCTTTGATTCGCAAAGAGGGCACGCCATCAGCTCACCACGGCCATGTACCTCGTCCTAGTATGGCGAGCTCCCTGCGAAGCTCGGTTGATCATGCCACAGGGGTCGTAAAGCCCAGGCTTCCTGGCGACAAGGTTGTGCTTGCGGACTGGACTCCGCCAGCGCAAAGCATGATGGCTAGTAATCTTATGGAGGTCGATCAGCTGCGAGCGTTGACCGACTATGTGAAGAATGTCGAGGATGAACTCGCGCGACATAATGAATTGAGAGCACCCATGCTCATCGCGGTACGTTGCGCTCCTGTATTCCACGTTTACATGACGCTGACCTCGTGTAGTTTTCTCCACGTCATCCGAATGCAGCAAAAGCCATGAGCAACTGGGAGCGCAAGTCCTCCTATCTCCTGAGAGAAATCGTTAAATTCCGCACCTACATCGACTCTCTCACGGCTGCTCAAGCTCAAAAAGCAAAGATATATGCTCAACGAGAGGCAGAGAAATCTCAAAATGGGGGAATGAATATGGATTCCAGTGGGACCGAGATATCTGCTACTGCAGAGGTGGATGGTGCGAATAAGGCTCCCGAATCCGAGCCTTGAATGCACCTTTGTTTTCCTCTGTTCTCATCACATATGCTGACATTCCTGGTTTGAATAGCTCTCACACCGCTCCAAAGGACAGTACGCAAATTACAGCTTCTGCATTCGTCGAGAGCACGAGTTGGGCAAACTACAAACGTTGAAAAGACGACCCTGGGTTCATTCGGCCTGGTATTCACTCACGCGACACCCTGAGTTTTTTATGATTGGTTTTCACTTACAGATATTTTCATTTCCGTATTCTATAGCGACGATTGGAATGTGTCCATTTGGCGGCGGTCATTGTTACAACATTGCATATCTTTTTGTAGGGACAAGGCGTTTTCCGCATTAATGATATACCCATTCATCACTGTAAATGCTCAAGGCAACCCCGCAGTGTCACTTGCTCTCGTGTTAGAGGAATGATAAAAGACTTCCACATTGTTTCACGTTTCATTTGGCTTCGTACCGTTGGTGCACGCGAACACGCTTGGTCCGACGAGCCGGAAGCCAAGTATGGTGTGAGTGTGGCCCGCATGGGACCTACCTATTCATAACTGTCCAGTCTGTTGGCTCCATTGTCAATGCATATACCTGAGTACTCGGAAATTTAGTCCCAGATTCGAACAGAATCCAGAGGCCTTGATCCAAAAAAACGGACGATTGGCGGCGTTAGGGGTTAAACGTAACTAAGGTCACGTAAATGTGGTCTGTCTCGGACCAGATGTCCGTAAAGGGGGAATGCCTGTCAGCTCGCCGATCTGGTGGGGAGACTGAAGAGCCCTCTGCCGCGGATGGAGGCGTGCTTCAGGTCCATTGCACTGGAGTTGATTCTACTACGGCTGGCCCGAAATCTTCAATTGCATGTATGAGGCCAAGACCATGCTGTCCAAAAGCAGATTAGCGTTGGCCAATAACAACGTCCCTCTGCCCTTCGGTTTTCCATCCGCCAAACACCCCACGACTCACGCATCGTAGTTTACAGAGAAACTCCGAGATGATGAGTTCGGATGTCAGAAAGAGGAAAGCCGATTCGGAGCATCAAGCAGAGCAGGGGAACAAACGGGTTAAAGTAAGTTCGCTTTCTCGTATAACCTTCAAGCTTAAGGTTCATCCGGGCTTTGCCTGGTCCCAACCTGTTCTCGCCCTTCAGATACTCTACTTGGAGCTGCTAAAAACAGCGAACAGGGGAAAAGGCAATGGAACATGCCACGCAGAGATGCAGCAGAGGCTCGTGGGATTCAGCCTGGTGATGTGGGGATCTGGGCAACCTGCTCGATGAAGAAGGAAGGGAAATCGGTGGCTGAGCTGCGGGACCTTTTCCAAGAAGTATGCTGTGTACCCAATGCTGTCTTGAAATGAAGCAGCAATGTCCTATTTCGTCTATTGACGCACCCAGCAGTATGCTGCACGACTATATGGTGTGAGCCAGACCACTGGTAAAGCTGACGATGACGACTCGGAAGGTGATGGTGCGGACATCGAAGCAGCAATCAAGAAAGAGCTTGACGATATGCGTAAACCCGCTGGGGATCCGCTATTCACGTCCGTCAAGCTGGATACGCAATGCTGTTAGTCATCGAGACTCTGCCGACACGAGTGTATTACTGATATCTTAGTGTTGTTTTTCAAGACGAAGGATCCCATCGATCCCGTTTCGTTTGTTCAGAAGATTTGTCAGGATGCCGCAGATGGTGTTGAGCAGAGGCGGTGCCGTTTTGTCAAGAGGCTCACCCCCATTACCGGCATAGGGAAGGCCACCGAGAGAGGGCTCGACGAAGTCGCTAAATCAGTACTAGCACCACACTTCCATGGCCCTGGCAACTCAGGCAAGAAAGTGAGTCACCTACTGGTGTCCTGCCTCTAGAAGCTTTACAGGCGGTTGCATCTCCTTGATTAGCTGAAAAATTGTCAGGCTAACATTACATTGGCAATTTAGTTCGCGATCCGCACATCTATTAGGAACAACAAAGAGTTCACGAGAGACAACGTCATCAAAACCGTAGCTGCTGCAGTCGGCCCGGGTCACAAAGTGGACCTGTCAGGATACGACCTGCTGATTCTTGTCGAAATTTACAAGGCATGGGAGCACTTCTTCCATATGATCCCGTGCGATTGCTGATCCAGATTAGAATATTATTGGCATGAGTGTGGTCGGTCCAGAGTTCGAGAAGCTAAAACGCTTTAACCTTGCAGAGCTCCACGATGCAGCCGGAGAGGAGAATGCACCCAAGTTGGGCTGATGGCCTTCGCCGATGAACGTCGCTCGCTTTCGTCTGTCCTGTCGGAACCGTCGCGTTTCCAGTTTCCACCACGCACTAAACGCTGTAAGTGTGTATGTCATTACTGGCCCTGGTCCATCTGAGGGTGCTTCCAAGGTTCCCACCCGCAGGTGTTTTCCTCGTACATGGTGGTAATGAGGGCAAGCCTGTGCTACAAGCCTTTGGCCGGTTCCAGAGCAGCGGCTTGTCAGCAGTCCAATTTGCATGCCACGTCTCGTCTCCAGACTACTGGATCTCCACTGGAATTCGCGTATGGCGCATTCGTATCCCACTCTTAGGAAAGAGCAGCCGTCTGACAAGGACGCGTCCCTTGGAGGCGTCCAGTTGTGGTCTGGGATCCTTGCTTCAAATCGGATCAGCCGAAGTGCGAAGATCTCGGCCTCTCCAAGTGGCATACGCTATATGCTCGTTGTCTGAAGCGGAACATTTCAAATATCAGCACTATCTGAAACAATCTTCCATGATCCATTTCTTCCAATCAGCGGGCCGTGCAACCGTCGAGCAGACTGACTTACCTGAACGGGTTAATTTAGACGAACATTGTGTCTGGCGGTCTTTGAGACACCTAGCGACGCCGTCATGACCACACCTCGCTCAGTTAACGAGCGGTTACGAATGCGGCGCATATCTAATAAAGCCCATCAGTGCGGAAGCATTCCCTGCTTTTTCGCGATTGTTAGGCGAGCCTGCATAGCCGAATTCAGCCTACGGTCCGACTGAGGTTGTGCTGGCGGCTTGTAACCTCTTCACGAGGGACTTGGAAAGTATTGCAGCATGGGCGCCCGTGGCTCGCGGTCCCTTGCTACCAGAAGCATTTTGAGGAGATCACCGTTCCGATGGCCGGTAGCCTATTTCATGCCTCGGCGATGCTCCGAGGCACTTGTTTGTTGAATTTGATAACCACGTTTTCACTTTTCGAACCAGCTCAGCTACTATATAAGCTCCGAGATCCTTCTTCGGTAATCTCACGGGAAGAGGTATTCTCATACTCATTGAATCGCTTACTACCATCTTTGGCCTCAAGGGTTTGACTATACCGTCAGAATCGATATTCTCTCACCAGACTGAGGTGACTTGTCCAACAAGACTCTGGGGGTTCTACCGCGATGCACCTTCCGTCCCTTGAAATGGCAGTGTATCCGGTGGTAACTATGGGGCATGGTCGACATCGACGCAGGTCTTTAGACCCTCACCCTATCTCCTTATGCTCCGCGCGTTCGCAAACTTCATCCACTTCCTCTGGAGTCCGCTCGCCAGACGTCTCGAGTATACAAAAAGCTATTCGCAGCGTTTTCCGCTCATCGCGACTCACAGTACAACAAGCCGAACGGCTCCCTGGTCGATTATATCAAGTATTACTTGTGACACTGGCGGATGGCAGCTCACTGGTTCTGAAATGCCCGCCAATCTACAACACTCGGCTTTTGCGGCACGAAAAGCACGGCCTGGAGACAGAGCGCAGAACACTAGACATTCTCCGCAAGTCCACTCAACTCCCCGTCCCCGATATCATCAAATACGACCGCCAACGTGGATCGTTGGGCTGTCCGTTCCTGATGGTGAGCCATATGCCAGGCAGACACCTTTGCGAACTCTCACCAGAACTTTCCCCGGCCGAAAGAAGAACTGTGGACCGGAGCTTAGGAGCATATGTGCGGGCTATCACAACACTCTCTTCACAGCAGTTCGGCCCTGTCCATCAGGTGTACGCAGAAAAAGGTCACTCCTCCTGGAAAGATGCTTTCCTTGCCCTTCTGGAGGCAGTCTTGAGGGACGCGGAAGATATGGCAGTAACTATCCCGTACGACAATGTTCGGTACCATGTGAGGAGACACGCTGAGTGTTTGAGCGAAGTTACGCGGCCCAGACTTGTAGCTCTCGACGTCTGCGATCCGCAGAACGTGCTCCTGGACGAGCGCACAAAGAAAATCACTGGACTGGTCGGCTTCACCAATGCCATCTGGGGTGACCCGCTCATGAGCGGAGGCATGACGGACAACAATGATGCCTTCTTTGAGGGCTTCGGAGAATGTCCACTACAAACGGGAGGTGTCAGAACTAGACTTCTGATGTAAGTTATCATACACTTCAAAGACCTACGCTAATAACTGTTCAGGTATACCGCATACAGAGCGATTGTCCAAGTCGTTGTCCGCTTTTACAGACCACACCTGAGCGTCGACGACATGGAGGCACGACGCTCATTGACATACGCCCTCAATGAGCTCGCCCGGATGCCGTAGGCCAGACTACGGCAGCATATGGATGGGAGATATCCAGTGCTCCACCGCCTGTGGGTACGCGGTGGTTGTCTACTGGACCACGCTAATCCCAAAACAGTAATCCTTGACGAGATAGTGAGAGTGTGGATGGTCCTACGACATGGACCTCATGCAAAGAAACATGCGCATTGCGGGCGGCTTACGTTGTCTTTCAGTCTGGAATCTCAGCGTCAAAGACTTGTTTCGTCAGGCGAGGGCTGAAAAATTGCTTACCGACCCTCGTGTGTCCCAGTGTCAATCAAGGAGGACCAAGCGGCGACGTTATGCCGCCATGGACCACGATATGTGGCGTTCCGGGGCTGTTACCCAGTTTGGCCGTTGTCCCGGGGAATGCTGTCGGTTCTCCTCTTTGACTGCCTTACTTTTCACCGATTCTTGTTATTTGAGGTCAAAGGCGGTGTGTGTCGGCCTTTAAGCGTCTCTCTTTCGGAGTGAACTCTGCGGGATCAGGTTTCACGATTATCTGTTCTCGCACGTACTGCAATTTCTCTCTTACCGCTCCTCTGGCTCCTTCTGCGTCATTGTTATTGAACATGGGTTAAATACGCCCCAGAAACCGCATGGCTTCGAAATGGTAATTTGTAATTGAGTAAATGGTTACGGGCTGATACCGATGATTTTCTTCATAAGCAAATACAGAATATAGGATACCTGGTGAGAGGCTCTAGGTATCGCGCTTCCCCAAGCCCCGGAATTTCTAGGTCTTTCCTACTAACCATCCGCAAGTGATACACTGCAAAGTGCTTTCTGTTGCTTTCTGTTGCTTTCTGTTGCTTTCGGTTGCTTTCTGTTGCTTTCTTCAGGCGATTCAATGGAAATCACTGTTGGTGGTGGGCGTCCTGAATACTAGCACCGATATGTTTTCCACAATACAAACGGACGGAAGACGTCGGCTTGGGATGCGATATTTGAATCGAGCACTGGTATAAATTGCACGTCGCTTTCCCCTGCTGTGTTCGTCTTCCCTTGCCCCTGCTGATCTCGCTTTCTGGAAAACAAGGATAGCTATGATTTTTCTGGATGCAGCCCTGCAAGCGTCTCGACTTGCTTTGCATGCAGCGGGGATTTGGCTGAAGAAGCACGAAGTACCGAGTAAGGTATGGTTACGGGTGCAGTATATATTGGCAGAGGACCTCTAACTCTTATTATTATTCTCCCTGTGTACAGAAGTATACCGCTGCTCCGAAAAGTTCCGTTCCACTGTGGGTAGCTTTGTACAAGAATATAGCTATCTTTCCTAGGGGCTCGAGGGCAACGAGGGAAATATCATTGTCGCCAAAATAGCTATAGCAAGATCCTTTTTATTTGATTGAAATCGAAAGTACTCCGTCCACGTTGTAAACATTGCTGTGCTTTGGCCTAGACCTACCTCTTTATAAATTACGGCTAGTCCTAGTCGCTCCACATGTACTTCTGCAGCATTTACATAGTACCTAGGTAGAGACTAGTACGGAGTATCACTGCAGCTTCACCAGCTCGCTCGCTCTCCCCTGCCTCGTTTCTCGTTCGCTAACCCCTGCCCGTAAACCGCGTTTTACCTATTCGCTAAATATTTCCGCATTGGGTCAGAGTGCAGCTGCTGCAGCCCGGGAGGGACCGAAGGGCTCGAGGGAAGTGGGCGTTGAGTCCCTAGTGCGTATTTAGCGAATTTGGGCGGATGATGTAGGTACTGCGGCCTCTCACATCCGACTGAACACCCCCCTGTACTGCTTCTCCGAGTTAGATCACCTAATTCAACTATTTTAATTGGCTACAGTCTGGTTTACGCCACTAGAGCACGGTGTTTTAAGGCTGATTATACCTGGAAGGAGGCGCTATCAGGCCAATTACGGCGTTAGATAAACCCCTGCGACCCCCTGCTGTTCAGTCGGATGTGAAAAGACGCAGTATGGGCGGGATGATGGTGGAGGTGACGTTGAGGTTACATTTGGGAGAGTGCCTGGAATAAATGAGCGGGGTGGACGGAATGGACGGGACGGGTCGAGGTACCTAGGTACGGATTTGGTATATCATCGTCTTCTTGGTATTGAATATTGAAGGCTCGTCCTCTGTGGAAAACGGCGAGAGAAGAAGAAGAAGATCACCGGGAAGTGGAAGGACAGTTATGTCAGACGATGGTAGGTATCCTGAATTCTATATGATCTATAGCAGTTTGATTCCACGCTTTTGAGAAAGGATGGCATTATAGTTGCGTGCACATGGAGCAAGGAGACTATTAAATGCAGGAGTACTGGACCGGGAGGTTGCAGCATTGCGAGATCCCACGGGTTATTTGATATGCCCGCTTCGTGGATTCAGATATATGCTCCTAGTTCTTTGATCTGGTGTGATGTTTCAAGAGTGCGAAGACTAAGGGGTTGGCGCGTTCGGTCATCTGCACTTGGATTGCGACTTACACAGTTCACAGGTAGGTTGGACCGCTGTTAAGGCTGCCGACGGATCGGAGTGGTATCACTTTTCGCAGGCTGAGGGCGGTGATAAGGAGCAAGTAGTGGAATTGTGATGGTGAGGAAATCCGCAAAATTTGTTGTGAACTTGGGAGACCGACAGTGGAGACTGACTAGGCCGGTTTGTGGAGACGTGGCTCGTGGACTGAGAAGATAAAACCGCATGGACGTGTCTTGAGTCTTGACGGAGAGATCTGGATGAAGTGGAGCCCTCAACAGACTCAGAGGTGACTGTCTTATGAGTAGACAAGCCAAAGCGGGAGTTGAAGTAGGTAGTGTTGATTCGGAGTATCATCGTGTTGCAGGCGCTAAAGCGAACTCCCTGCAGGCAAGGTTGGAGGGAGCACGTCTTTCAGGGGGTAATAAATGACATATAAACAGGAAGCTGCTACAACAGGCCGCGACGATTTCTCTCGAATCACAATGCCATTGTAAGACCGTGAAGGGATATCTCAAGCTCTACGTAATGTACAATTCCCACGCCTGCCTCCCAGCAGGTAAATGCTTTTCCCAAACGCCTCGCTATGCAACCAAGCCCCTATGCGTAACATTATCCTTCACTCATGTCCGTCTTCAGCATCCTCAACCGTAGCCGTCCGCCTCGCCAAATTCGAGCTCTCTGTGCTTCCTCCCGCAACTGCTGAGCTAGACCCAGACGCTTCATTGCCTCCGCCTATGTTCTCGAAGCTCCAACTGGACCCCATAGAGGCAGGCTCAGTCGTCTTTTCTGCTGAAGTCCCAGTACCAGTTGCGGTCTGTTCTCGTCCTGATGACGATGGTGGTTGCGATGGGCGAGTCTCCGTTTGTGGTGGATGGCCAGTCGAGGTTGAAGGTACTGAAGATTCTGCCGATGATGTAGCGACTGGCGGAACTGGGACAGAGAAATTCTGTGACGGAGCTTCCATGTTCTGGCTGCCCGAAATCACCTGAGGAGCACGTGTCATAGGCCTCAATGTCCACCCTTCAGGCAGCGTCAAACCCTCCGGCAACCCAGCATCGCCCTGGCGGAGGACAGGTCCATTTGCAAAGTAGGCCTGCGGAACAATGGGAGCCTGTGGGTTCAAAGGAGCAATGATAGGAAGTTCTTGGCCATTCGAGGCTGTGACTCCGGATGCCTGCTGTACTCGGTGAAGTTCAGCGAGCAAAGAATGGATGATCTCAAGCTGTTCATGTTGCACACGGAGTGTCCGCACTGAGTCGATGATATTCTGTTGAAGCCGCAGTATATCCGACTGGATATCGGCGGGATGCAAGGCTTGTGTTGCAGGTATGAATGTGCCAGTATCTCTAGGAAGTTGGAGAGGCGTTGTCGTCTGAGCCTGGCCCTGAGGTTGAATCTGAGTCTGGTGCATTTGTGCCAGTCGTTGAGTCAAGAGAGCAGCGGCCTGATCGTTGTTGCCGTTATTTGCAACCGGATGTTCTTGCCGCTGCTCGGGTATCCGATAATTACCAAGTACGATGCGTAATCGCCCGAGATTCAATACTCGAAAGTTGCCTGCTCCAACGTTTTGCTGTCCATTTTGCTGTCCATTGTGCTGTCTATTTTGCTGGGCGCCCTGCCCCTGCGGACCTGGTTGTCCAGGCGGAGGCTGCTGCGCATTTGGTTGGCCAGCACCAAGTCCCCCAAACAAGTTCTGGTGATTCTGTTGATTCGGCTGGTTCTGTTGCCCCTGATTTGCTTGATTGTTTGTCTGTGTGTTTGGTGTTGCTTCTGCCAGTACAGGACGTCGACAAGTAGGGCAGACTTGCTGCCTCTCAAGCCAGCTCCTTAAGCAGCTGAAGTGAAGGATGTGTCCGCAAGGAAGTTTCTTCGGCCTCTGCCGCTCGTCAACACGTTGACCGGCTTGCGCTTCGCCCGGAGGAACCCAAGGACGCATCTCTTCACGACAAACGATGCATGTATTCTCCCGGCCTAGCTCTTCCGCCGTTGCATCGGGATAGCGAGCATTCATGTCGCGCGTTGCGTTTCGGTACTTTACGAAATCATTGATTCTTTTGAGGAAGGAGCGGATAGTCATGAACAGATCGCGCATGATGTGGATCGGAATGCCGTAGAATGCCATGAGGATCACGAAGAAGCCGAGATAGACCACAGACTTGATAAAGTCTGGAAACATTAGAAGGCTTCTTCCACCCATATGCTCCTAACTCACCTGTAGTCAAATCGAGGTAAAATACCCAGCGGCCCTTTTCCTCCCAACCGGGTACATCCCCATCGTCCTCATCCTGGTCGTCTTCCTCAGCCGCTTCTCTTCCACCTTCGCTGGTATCTGTACTCTGTGAAGCCTGTTGCCGGGCTAGTCGTCGTGCTTCCTGGCGTGTTTTTTCTTGCTTATGAATGATGGCAATCTCCACAAGCGACAAGAGGTAGCGTAATAGTGTCGACATTGACGCAATCGCCAGGAGAACGTACTCGAAGCCGAACATGACCATAACGCCGGGCCTTGTTGCTGATAATATATGGTCGATGCAATAGTTCACCATGAAGATGTCGAATGCAACGGAGAGCAGCAGAGAGCTCATCAACCGAGTATGGAATAGACGCGGATTTCGAGGCGGTTGTTGTTCCAGAAGCTCCACTCGACCTTCCCCTATCCACTGCCACACCTTCCCGGCAAGAAGGCAGAGAAACATAGCAAAGAACCATATTCCAATGTCGTCTCGAAAGATTGTCATGGCCAGTAATGTTTCGCTGACTGCGAACCATGCTTTGTCGTAGAGTTGTTCGGTTTCGATTGCGCGAAGACGGCCGTAGAAGAGCCTTTGGAGTCCATATCCGAAGCTTGCGGTTACTATCAGAGCGAGGTTGATCAGGAACTTGTTTGGTGTCAGCTTGGTCCAGTCGATCGCAAGCGCGGAGCTCACCATCAACGAGCCTGTGCTCTGGGATATGTACACGGCCGCCGAGTAGAAGTTTGGCCTCTCATAGTACGCACGGAGGAGCACGACGTTCGCCAGAACGGTCGAACCCTATTTCCCGTCAGTTGGTGAGCCGCTCGTATGGGGAAGAATGGTGCGCATACCGCGATGTACATGCGTAATCTCGACATAGTTGAGAGGTTAAAGAGGGCTGAAGCTCAGTAAATAACGGGTTGCCCCGTTTCAAGAAGAGGCAGTCTCATAAAGAGAAGTGAACGGTGTTGACGCGAGAAAGTCTGCGGCGGAGCTCATGAGCTCATGCGACCAGTTGAGTTGACACGGTGGAAGGTGTGCACGTGACGTGATGACAAACGTGGGGTTCCTCGGTCCTTCGTCTTTCATCTTACCATTTCTGTTCCTTCACTCAACACCTAGGTGATGACTTATTGTCCTCCAACTCTTGAATGCAGGGCAGTTTTTCGTTGGTATCGCGCCTATTCAATCTCTCAATCGAAATCCGGCGGAGACGAATCTGGAAAGATGTGGGAGACGATGGAGCTAAGTCTGAGAACGTTTCTCGATATACCACTAATAAATAGAGCAGGGCTAGGCTAAATCCAGGCCATGAGTTACATTTCAGTTAATCGTACCTGGTTGTCCTCTAATAATGCATTCTCCTCAGATGTATCCATCTCAAGGAGGCGTACCTTTCTAAAGGCTTGAACAAGCTTATAGTTACCGAAAAGCGTTTTGTTTCAAGCTATTCACTGTTAACCTGGCATCAAAGCCTTTCCATGACTCCGCGTTGGGACCAAGAGTATGTTTTCTACATTCGTTTCTACCACAGTATGCGGGGGACGGACCGCGGAGCTTGTGTACAGCATTGACACCACACCACCGGGAATGTGTGCCGTCAGCTCCGAGACTCTGGATTACGATGAAGCCAAAACCTCGGCGATGCTCCCGCCAGAGTGCTTTCCGTGAATGATGGAGCCGGAACTCTGTCAGAGTCTCAACGCTTTCTGTGACTCGAGACGCGTAATCTTTGTCCAACGAGACGGCATCTTCCATTTCCAGCAGACCCCTCGGGTTACTACTGTTATGTACGACATTCTTCTGAATCCTATAAATGGGAATGCCCGATGACGCCACCCGGAATCAACCTGTTGACGCCACTTCCATTTCTACCCCAGAATTCCCTAGTTTCCTTTTTCGGGAATACACATCCAAAACCCCACCCCCGCCAAACTAGCATCGGGTTTCCTAATCTGTATGTGCGGCACGCAGCAGTCACCACGTGTTGAACCATTAGTTTGCCATGATGTTCCGGATAAATTGGCTAAAATATGCTTTCTGTACGAGTCGTTGGCGACGTCTATTGGAGAGTTAAGTTTGTTGGGTGAAAGGGTGCTAGGCAGAGTTGGCCTTGTGAGGAAGATATAAATGCTGGGGGAACCAAGGAGACATTTCCAATCCATAACGTATCATAGCGGTAGCCTACGAGACTGTACTTCGCTCAAAGACCCTGGTTACATAAATCCTGAGGACCTATCTATAATTCTGGAGAGCTGGATCAAGATGGCTGAAGATTACCAATTATCCCAGGACCAGATCGATTTCTTCCTCGAACATGGCTGGCTGAAGCTATCAAACTGCTTCACACGCGAGCAAGCAGAGGAGCTGCAATCCACTTTGTGGACTCGACTAGGCATGGATCCAAATGATATGTCCACATGGTACGCTGAAGTGTCTCTAAATTACCACTGATTCTTACCCTTTCACAGGCACACCGAACGCACAAACATGCCGTCGTTCAAGGAATTCCCGGCTGAAACCTTCGCTCCCAAAGCGTGGGCGGGAATATGTTCTCTCCTTGGAGGCGTCGCGCGAGTTAATCCCGAAGGAGTCTCGAAGTGGAAAGACAGCTTCATCGTCAATCTGGGCACACCAGAAGGTCACAACAAGGTCGTCAAGCCCCAGGAACTGACCGGCTGGCATGTCGACGGCGACTTCTTTGTACACTACCTCGACAGCCCTGAGCAAGGGCTTCTGGTTATCCCGCTATGGACAGACATCGCGCCCGGTGGTGGTGGCACTATGATTTGTCCTGCTGCTATTCCACATATTGCCAAACACCTCTATGAGCATCCTGAGGGCGTGAGTCCCAGCTTTACCCCACGGGCGCAAAATCCGGAGTTCAAGGAAGAAGACCACTTGACATGGTTTAATAATCTTGCTGCCTCGATGCCGGACGAGGCCTTTGTCGAAGCTACCGGTGTGGTCGGAGATGTCTACCTACTTCACCCACTGATGCTGCATTCGGCGAGCAACAACCGACTTCGTCAAGTACGAGTCATCACGAACCCACCAGTCAGCCTGAAGGAGCCGTTCAACTTCGACCGAGAAGATGGGAATTACAGCATTGTGGAGCGGACGACTATGAGGGCGCTGGGGAAGGAGAGGCTTGAGGGATGGAAGATCCAGGGCGAAAGGCAGATGATTGTACCTAAGAGGGTGCGGATTCAACAGGAGATGAAGAGAAAGGAGGAAGAGAGGTTGAGGAAGTTGAAGGAGGGTAGCGGGGTGGATGTCAAGGTGACACCCATTACCGCATGATTTCGTGTGCGACGAGACGAACAGCTCGCACTTGCTTCAGGGAAACAGCCCATTCGGAGTTTTTGCTGCTTAATTGATAGTTGTAATTGATTAGTACACCACTCTTACGGAACTCATGTACGTTGGTCTAGCCTCTCTATGGCTGTGCGCGGAATTGCATACTAGCACACCGCGCAAAGGAAGTGGCAGGGACTAGTCTATCTACAAGTATAGTCAGCGGCGGAGAGGAGGATCCATTGATGCATTTCTAAGCAACTCATCGGCAACTGCTAACGCGACTCAGCCTTGTTTATGCGCCCCAACGGTATCATGGTATCTAAAACGGTTGGTACACATGTACACAGTGAAGAGAGAAGAATAGCAGGGGCTCTGTAAGACCACCTGGCATCTGGATAGGCCTGCAGACCCTGCATTGGCCGCATCGTATAACAATGTTGTTGGATATTAAATCAGCGGTGGCGATCTGCAGGGGCGCCGCTCACCCCTCGTTACCGCTTCGAGGTTTGCTGCGGTGAGCGCCAGTGAATTTGTCCCCAAAACTGTGGCGGGCCACTGTGTCTTTCCTGGCCCCCCATGTCTTGGCGCAAACTAAAAGTTGACACCGTTACCTTTGCGAGCTTCTCCCTTCTGACAACCGCGCCTCTGCTGTTGCTGCAATAAAAAGCCACGGCTGCCCGCAGACAAAGCCTACTACACTCCACAACCTCGCCCTCTTCTTGCAACCTCCAATTGCAGCGGACCAACTCCCAGTCCTACCTGCAACTTCATTCCTCTCGCTATACCTCTGTTCCCTCTCATCATGCGTTACCTCCACCTTTGCGGCCTTTTGGCCTCCTTGGCATTGGCTTCCGATGTCACCCAGCTCAAGAAGGATGACTTCAAGGGCTTCATGGAGGAGCACGATCTCGTCCTCGCAGAGTGTACGTAGCCAACAGCTTCTTGGAGCCTCACACAGCTCTCAATTGATTCGGTGCATTCGACTAACAAACAACCAGTCTTCGCTCCGTGGTGTGGTCACTGCAAGGCTCTGGCCCCCGAGTACGAGTCCGCGGCTACGACCCTGAAGGAGAAGGACATTCCCCTCATCAAGGTCGACTGCACAGAGGAGCAGGACCTCTGCCAGGAGTATGGTGTCGAGGGTTACCCCACCCTCAAGGTCTTCCGTGGCCTCGATAACATCTCTCCCTATACCGGTCAGCGGAAAGCGGATGCGTACGAATGCCCTTTCACGAATCATTGGAGCTTTTGGCTGACATTTTTGATAGGATCGTCTCGTATATGACGAAGCAGGCCCTTCCCGCTGTGTCGGATATCACCAAGGGCACCATCGAGGAGTTCAAGACCGCCGATAAGGTTGTCTTGATCGGTTACTTTGCCGCGGATGACAAGGCCTCCAACGAGACCTTTACCAAGGTCGCCGAGGGCCTCCGCGACAGCTACCTTTTCGGAGCCACCAACGACGCCGCTCTTGCCGAGGCTGAGGGCGTTAAGCAGCCCGGTCTCGTCCTTTACAAGTCCTTTGATGAGGGCAAGGATATTTTCACCGAGAAGTTTGACAAGGAGGCGATTGAGAACTTCGCCAAGGTCGCCTCCACTCCTCTCGTTGGTGAAGTTGGTCCCGAGACTTACTCTGGATATATGGCTGTATGTACAACTTCTCCCCAATCCCTACTTCTTGAACTAACATTGTTCTTCTAGTCCGGCCTTCCCCTTGCCTACATCTTCGCCGAGACCCAGGAGGAGCGCGATGAGCTCGCTAAGGAGCTGAAGCCCCTCGCTCAAAAGCACAAGGGTGTCATCAACTTCGCGACCATCGACGCAAAGGCCTTCGGACAGCACGGCGGTAACCTCAACCTCGAGGTCGGCAAGTGGCCCGCCTTCGCCATCCAGCGCACCGACAAGAACCAGAAGTTCCCCTATGACCAGGAGAAGAAGATCACCGAGAAGGACATCGGTCAGTTTGTCGAAGATTTCATCGCCGGCAAGATTGAGCCCAGCATCAAGTCTGAGCCCATCCCCGAGACTCAGGAGGGACCTGTGACTGTCGTTGTCGCCAAGAACTACGACGAGCTCGTCATCAACAACGACAAGGACGTTCTTCTGGAGTTCTACGCCCCCTGGTGCGGACACTGCAAGGCTCTGGCTCCCAAGTACGAGGAGCTCGCCGCTCTTTACGCTTCTGAGGAGCTTTCTTCCAAGGTGACCATCGCCAAGGTCGATGCCACCGCCAACGACGTACCCGACGAGATCCAAGGTTTCCCCACCATCAAGCTTTTCCCCGCCGGCAAGAAGGACTCTCCAGTCGACTACTCTGGCTCCCGCACTGTTGAGGATTTCATCCAATTCATCAAGGAGAACGGTTCCCACAAGGTCGAGGCCGTTCTTCCCGCCAAGGAGCCTGAGGTCGCTGAGGAGGCCGAGGAGAAGTCTGAGGAGGCTGCTACCGACAAGGTCGCTGAGAAGGCCGAGGAGGTGACTGAGTCCGTCAAGTCGGCTGCTTCCGAGGCCACCGAAGCTGTGAAGAGCGCGGCTGCTGGTGACGACCACGACGAGTTGTAAGATATCCACAAAATATGATTTTTGTCGCGTTTTTATGTCCTCATCTTTGCAACATCCACTCGTGGTCAACAAGACGAGTATTGGTTACGTCTGAGCTTGGAAAAGAGCTTGGAGGGATACATGGTTAGTGGATGTGTGCATTTGGATTTTTGGCAAGGACAAGCTTATACGGGTAGCTTGGTGGCGTTAGAGGAGTTTAATGAAATCATTTTCACTCCAATGTGTCTTGGATGGTTCTACTTTGTGATGTGGAGAGTTAGCGGTAACCATACTGCCATACTAAGGCACCATACCACTTAGTCGGATAGCCCTGATGATCCAACGGGAGTCGAATCTCCTTTCATTGACTTAGTATGAGGAAGCTATCAGAAATAGCAAATAGTAAAAGGGAGCAGCACCACGTCTAAGATCCCCATCCGTTCCTTTCCATATCAGTCCCATGTCACCCCGTAGAATCCGTTCGTTCATCCGTCGGCCCAAGGAGAAGACCGTTTCAGCATCCAGCACACCCACCGACTCATCGACGACTTCTTGCCTCCACCCACTCAACCTAGCTAGCAATACGCCAACCACCCAACTCCAACGCCATTACTCCCCCCTTCCTCATCTTCCGTCCTGCATATCAGTCCAAAATCCCTTTCCCCAACTAACTAAAATAAGCCTGCACAATCCCCTGCTGCTCGGGCGTCAACCCAGCAACCGCCTGCTGCACATTCACACCCGTGGCCTGAATCAGATTCTTCACAGATGCAACGACGCGCGTAGCCGTCTGGCCCTGCAGAGTCTCGGCCTCGAGCGCCTGGACGACGTAATGGAACGCTTTTACGGGGTTGGAGTGCACGGCGGGGTTATTCCTGAAAAAATCACCACGGGTTAGCAAGGTTCCACTACCAGATTCTCCCTTCAGGGAGAGAGAGACTTACTGTTCAATCAACTGCGCTAGAAATGCATACGCAAACGGCGCGGCCTCCTCGTCGTTCGTCACGGGCAACGTGTCCAACCACGCGCTCGCCACATCCTGCCAATTCTGCACCTTTCCAGGACTATAATGCAGGATTTTCGCAATCGCCGCGCACGCATTCTCCGTCGCAAACGCGTCGTCGTCTTCCCGCGCATTCGGCCGCTGCGTTACCTCGAAGAGCATGGGCAAGGACGCCGCTGCGAACTCCGACCATGGCTCTCCCCCCTTGTGAGCGGCGACTCCGACACCGTAGACGGCTGCTTGCCGGTTCGCGGGCACGTCGTCGCGCATGCCGTCCACGAGAGGTGGCATGATTTGTTGGTTATATGCCCAGCTCTGGGAGCCACAGAACTCGAGCACGTCGTCGTAGATGCATATCGCCCACTGGCGTTGCGTCGCGTCGCGATTCACCGCCGCCATTTGGTAATAGTTCATGAGTTTCTCCCAGTGAGGGAGGAATGCGGGACCCATGTTTTTGAAGATGGTGTGGAAGGCCTTGTTCATGTCCGAGAGCAGGTTTTGGTCATCCTCGATGGCGAAGAGGGCTTCTTCGGAAAGCTCCTCGCCATCTTCGGTTTCGGCTTGTTCTTCCAGGCGCTCTTTGACGCGTTCCTGGTAGTCCTTGAGGACGGATTCGGCCGCTGTGATGAAGGTGGCCATGTGCGTGCTCGTGAGGCAGTTCTTTCCGATGACTTCGACGCATTCGTAGAAGCATTGGTACATCTCTGCTAGGGTGTCAATGGCGGGTTCCGTGCTCAAGACTTCCAAAACGCGCTCCACTGTGCGCTCCCACAGCTGGCCCAGCTGTGTGGATTCCGGTCCATGGGCCTTCTTGTACGAGTTCAGGAGTGCAGGTACGCACTTCGCAGAAGCAACGCGTACAGGGTCGTGGAAGAAGAAGGCCAGTCCAGGAAGTGCAATCTTGTCCATGATGTCGTTGACATAGGGCTCGAAGGCGCCCTCCAGCACCTGTGCGTAGATGACAATCAGTTCAATGGCAGAGTGCTTGTCATCCAGAGTGCTTGTCTTGATGCCAATGACCTTGCCCTTTAGAGGCACCAGTTCCCAGCCTTCCTCGTCTTGCATTTGAGCAACCTGGTCCTCATCATCAAGCAGCTGAATATCAGCCTTTGCACTCGCGAGTTCCGTCAAGGGTGGTATAACGCCTGCAAGATAGGGCACAAATTCCTGGCCCATGACGCGGCACATGCGGCCCCAGCAATGAAGCAAGTACGAAGTCTGGGGGTCATCGGGATCCGTTGCGCTGTTCTGAATATGTCCCAGAAGCTGAACCAATGCCAAGGCATCTTGTCCCATGCGCTCCTTGCCTACCGCCAGAGCAATCAGAGTAGCACATTCCATGGCCTTAGCACGGAGAAGACGGTATTCCTTCGACTGCTCCTCTCGGAGAACGTTGAACAAGAGTGGCATGAGGGTATCATAGTATTTCGAGAAAGCAGCCTCTGCGGAATCGGCAACGGTCGCAATAGTGGACAAGGCCTGCTCTTGGACGAAACGCTTAGTGCTTCGAAGCAACAAGAGCAGGTGCGTCAGGAGCTGGTCAAGATATGGCTCGAGGACGGCCTTCTCTGCCTCCTCGCAGAAGTTGACAAGTGCAGCCGCGGCATGCGCCTGGACCCGGGGTTCGGTAGAGACTAACACCGGGATAATGTTTGGCAGGACGACCTGGTGGTATTTCTCTTGCATTGTTCCAGCGAAATCGGTGCTCATCTGTCCAACGGCATTACAGCCAGCCCAGCGGACGCGGGGATGGGCATCGCGAAGAGCCGGCAGGACGAGATCGAGAACCTTATCGAGCTCGCCGACCATGGCTTCCCGGCAGCCCTCAGAGATAGCGGAGATAGCCATAAGAGCAGCGTGTCTGTCTCTCCATGCTGACGATGTCATCATCCGGGGAACCCAATTGAAGGTGGGTGGAAGAATCGCCTGACCTCCCAACTTGTTAGCTAGACGGTCCATGCACTGCTCGCCCGCCACATGGTTCGAGTCGCTCTCATCGACATCAAGCTACACTCTGTCAGCCGGCACTCAGTTCCAACATTGATGAACCTTACATCCTCGGACTGATTCCATTCCTCCGCATCCTCGTCATCAACACCTACGTCGGTCATCAAAGACAGGCATTGCGTGACCATTTCGTTTGTATAACTCGGATCCTTTTTGCACATCTGCGGAGCCACGTCGGCGAAGGTTGCCATGAGCTCAAGCGCATTCTGGCGAGGAGTATCATCGAGTTCCTTGTCCTGGATGACGGATATACTAAACTGTACGAGGCTGTTGAAGAGCGGCTTGAACATCTTCGGTGCAACTTCTGCCAGATCAATGAGCGAAATTAGGGCTTTGGTAAGCGTATCTCCGTCGCCCGACTCCTTGATAGGGGGCAGAATGTTCAGTATGTCAGGTATAAGTTGGTAGTACTTGGGTTGGGCTTTCTTGGTGATAGATCGGAAGAAGGATGCGAATGCTTCGACGGCTGCAATCCGTACCTTGCTGGAATCAATTCTCGGTCGCTGTTGCAAGAGGAGTCTTTGCACGTACCGTAGTATCGCTGTCCACAAATCCGCCTTTGAATGCTGAAATGACAACATCCTCGTGCTGCTTCTCTATTATACCTGGGGTAGTGGAGAATATTCTGAAAGCTGTTTCACGCTGACCTGCATCGTTAGACTGGCTGGCGCTGAAGAGGGCGCCTAACAGGTCCGGCCATGGAACGCCTATGTCCAGAATCAGGGATATCCTCTTTCAGATAGCATACGCACTCTCACCTTCGTCGGTGTGTTGCCGCGCAAGCTCGGCCACAGCGTCACCAATCTTGCTCCTAACCTGGGCCTCGTTCTCGGTGGCTAGACACTGCAGCAATTTAGCACGGATGGCCTCGCGCTCGGCTTGTTGCAGGGTCAGGAACATCTCGCGCGTGGCGCCCGAAGAGGGGTCTTTCCTATGCTTTGAGCTCTGACGGCGGAAGAGGACGGCAGCGAAGTTCCGAGTCTGCATACGGAAATGCAGTTAGAAAACGCGTCCCACGCTATACGGGTGCAATATCACTGACAGATCTATCCTGTGCAAGCTGCATCTGCTCTGTGAGGCCCATCAAGAGCACCTCCGGACGCGCCTGGAACCATTCCTCGTTCAACGAGGTCTCTGCGGCGCTGCGCTCGACATTGTCCGCGGACTGGAGGCCCTTCAACAGCGTCGCCAGGGCTGTATGGACCTCAGCGGGTAGGACCGACATGGTGTTCTTGTAGCTCCTCCGCAGTAACTTGGGCAAGGCCCAGAAAGGTCGTAAGAAAGGTAGGCTCGCGGTCTCAGAGCCCCGCGGGCGTGTTGTCTGGCAGTGATGTGGCGGGTCGTAGCACCACCGCAGAACGGCTTATAGCAGATTCGGCGCACAGGCGAACGGTTGTGCGTGTGTGTTCGGGAGTCGGCAGGTGCGCGTGTTCTTGTGCGTGGTGGGTATAATTGAGGGCGGGTGTTGTTGTGGTAGTGGGGGTTGCCAGCAGAAAATTGACTGGCGGACTGCTGCGGGCAAGGGTGAAGGGTGGTCTGAGCAGGCGGGCCGGTGCGAGGCGCGTCAACACGTCGCAGAGGGAGGGGTCCTTCGTTCTCCCCCCGCGAACTCCAATTAAATGGTGATTCCTCGCAAGATCTGAGGCATTGGGGAATAGTTTACGTGGTGAGCTACAACGCTGCAGGGGAAAAATATCTCAGGGCACTGAATAGTCTTCACTCTTACGTTCATGTGGTTGAATTCTCGTCTGCTTCAGTTTCATGGACACACAACGGTACCTAGGAACTATTTAACTGGTTTTATAGGTAGACTTTACTACATGAGAATGATGCAAAGACAGTCGGATCGAAGGTGCAGTTACTGAATCCTATTACTACTTTTAGTCTACCATAGAGAGTTTCGACCCTAATACTTCCTCGCTCAGTCGACGTGGACCGATGGATATCAGAAGACGGAAACATTGCTGCAAGCGTAACACACACATCGCTCTTATTACCTCCTCACCAACGGACTACCGGCTCGAAGCCCTTCCAAGTGCAAACACCGCAACAATAACAACAGCAAGCGTTACAATAGCTCCTGGGAGCAGCAAATCATTCGGCACTCCGGCAATGATCTCCTCCTGCTTCACTGCGGCCGGGGGCTGGGCCCTATGCCGAGGCTGGCTTTCCTCCTCTTGCTCATCGAAGAACTGCTTACGTTCACGCAGAACAGACTCTGGCGGTGTCGCGGGTTTCGCCAAGACAGGCTGGGGCTCGACCGTCGGGGGCAGCGGCGCCTTCTCGGGATCGTGAACAAAGAGATCGACCTTGTCTCGGTGAGCAAGGCGAGACAGGCTGACGGCCTCGATGAGATCTTGATTCGTGGTGATGGACACAGTGTCGCCCTCGTTGTCCAGGTAGCTCAAAGCAAAACCAGACTTGGATATTTTGCCGTCCTCAAAAGTCGGAACTCCGCCAATGCTGTCGACCTCGCTTCCAAGTTTGCCGGCAACACGTGAAACCAGCTCTTCGATTCCAGCAGAAGCAACGACTTGGAGGCGGTGCACACGTCCACTAGGAGCCTTGAACTTGAAAGCAAATGGGACATCCTCCGCGGACCCGGGGGCCGCTCCACCAAGCGCTGAGTGCGACGGCGACTCCCCAAGGTGCGAGGCAGATTCATTCGGAAGCACGCTGTCTCCGCGATCCGTCAGGCCGGGCCTATGCATATCGTGGGACATCATAGAGCGGGCGTCGGGGGTTCCAGGAACACGGCTACCGCCCTCGCCAGACATAATGGATTCAGTGCCGTCATCCAAAGACAGCCAGAACTTGTTCCACGCCGGACCTTCGTTATCTGTAGTACTGATATTGTTGATCTGTGACCCTGTTAGTGAGGATATGTAGGGGAGCAAGACTAGGCTACCTGATCAAGCGTGGCATATGTGAGTTTTAGGACGTCGACCATGCCAACAATTTCGCCGGCTTCGCTCATGACTGGCAAATTCAGGTAGTGACCATCTGCCTCCAGTTAGCAGTGACTCCCACTTTCTGCGATTTGCAACACACCATGCATCTTCCGCAGAGCGGCCTGAATGCTCATGTCCATCGGAGCGAAATCCGGGTGAGGCGTCATGACGCGGACGACGCTACAGGTAGCGGGGTCAAGCCCCGCGGCAATGACACGGAGGACAACGTCCTTGCTGGTGAATATACCGGTGATGGAGCCTTGGTCCTGGACGAGCACGGCCGTAGTATGGTTCTCTTTCATCAGGGCAGCGGCCTCCTTGACCGAAGTACGCACAGACACAGTGGTAGGAGGAAGGCCAGTCAACACGGACTCCAGAGTGGGACCAGACATCTTTTGGCGGATGGCCTCGACATACTGTATAATCTGCTGTGGTTGGCTTGATCCCAGCTCGGCCTGTACTCCCTCCAGAGCATCGTAGAGCTTCCGTGACGAGCTATAGGCCCGCTCGAGCTTCTCCATGGCGTCGTAGAAGCACTTCGTGATATCGAGAATACCGGAGATATCGTGGTTCTCATCCATGACCGGCAAATGTCGGAAACCCTTCCTGACCATGAGATCGAGGGCATCAGTAGCACTGGTATCTGTCTTGGCACAAAGGGGGTTCTTCGTCATGATCTCCTCAATGGTGACATCCCGAGCCTTAATACCTGCACCGACCACCCTGAAAGCCAGATCCTTGGCCGTGAAGATACCGGCGATGCGATCATCGTCATCGGTGACCAGAACGCAGTCCTCCCTCTTCGCGGCCATCAGTTGGGCCGCCTCGGCAACTGTGGTGTTGGGCTTGATTTGCAATGCGGGACTGGGCTTGAGAGCCAGCACCGTCCCGGGAGGTGCCTTCCTCGTCGTGCGAACGCGTGCGCCAGGGTTCTTCTTCTTGTTGAGGTCCGTCTCGATTTTGCGCCGGATCGCCTGTGTTTGTTGTTAGGAGACTGTTGACCGGCGGAACGGAACATCAGCACAACTCACCTCATCCCTCTTAGATTGCTTCGCTCTACTGGCGCTGAGGGTCGAAGTTCCAGCCTCACTTTGGGGTCCATGAGACCCATGGGAATCAAGAGCTGGACGCGGGATACCAGAGGGACTGTTGGTGTAGTGAACCTGATTACGGTTCTTGGGCGTACCCCGGAGCGTACCAGTGTGCGACATGGCTGTCTTTCAGACAGGATATCTGGAATTGCAGAGGCTGCGGCGAACGTTGAAGGGCAGATGAACGACCGGGAGGAGAGAGGTGCAGCTGGAGGAGATATGATGGTAGCCCTGGCGACATAAAAACAACGCGCGGGATGACTACCCCTGTCCTCGGGAAGCCCTGGAGAGCCCGGCTGGGCAGCACTGTTCTGCGGGTCACGCGGAGAGCAGGAGTGATTCTGACAACAATCACGCTCGTGGAGAGAACACTGAAGAAATGGAGCTCTAATATTAGATTATTACTGCTGGACGATAGGTATTCAACCTGTTTATCGACCTTGCTCTGTCCCCTGGGTGTTTTGCTATCGAATCTGTAGTGTCTGATCTAATGCCAAGCGATAAGATAAGATTCGGTTCAACGTCGGCTCCGGGCTTCGCTAATCCCACTATGCGCGAACCGTGAATTTCGACGTTCCCCCAACAAGCTCGCGCCCACGAACAAGTACGACACCCCCTCATCGCTGGTTTTTAGGTACTCATCTTCGGTACGCATGCCGAACCTGCTCGACTCCTAAACCTCTGTTAATCCCCGCGCAGAATCAGCCCAACATGGTCAAGAAGCGAGCTTCCAAGTACGCGGCACCCCATTCCGAATATATCACCACGGTAGGAAGGTTGGAATGGCTAACACCTGCACAGCGGTCGCAACAAGAAGGGCCGCGGCCACGTCAAGCCCATCCGCTGCTCGAACTGCTCCCGATGCACACCCAAGGACAAGGCAATCAAGAGATTCACCATCCGCAACATGGTCGAGTCGGCCGCCATCCGTACGTTCGCCCCGGCCCAGCCATCGTCTTCACGCATCATATTCGGGATTTGGAATAGTGGAATGTCTACTGACACAGTAGACAGGTGATATCTCCGATGCCTCCGTCTTCCCCGAGTACACTGTCCCCAAGATGTACCTGAAGCTCCAGTACTGCGTGTCTTGCGCCATCCACGGCAAGATTGTCCGGTATGTGACTATTCGCCACAGACACGTCCAGGAGGAAGGGGTCAAGTCTCTGACATATCTTCCAGTGTCCGTTCCCGGGAAGGCCGCCGCAACCGCGCTCCCCCGCCTCGTGTGCGGTACAACAAGGATGGAAAGAAGGTCAACCCCCAGCAGACCGCTAAGACCGCCGCGTAAAAAAGCAGTTTTATAGCGAGAGAGGGGTTACGAGTTCGAAGGTCATCTGGCGCCTCGGTATGGATTAAAGGGGTGCTTTTCGGAAACTCTTATGGAAAATAACAAATGCACGAATCCAAAGTTGGAATCACAGAGGGCCCGAATGTGACGACCTACGGCTGCAGACGCTGACCTGAGTTTCGGTTCACCGTCGAAGGGTAGCTATGAGCTCGTAAAAACGAGTATCCAATTCGATCTGCATGACAATTGCGAGATACCCTTCTGGTGTAATATGAATCTGGAACGAGATCTTCGCGGCTGTCGTAATTCTACATGGACACATGACAATACAAGCACGGAAACCAATCTTCAATCATTACGCTTCTTCCCACTCCCATCCCCATCGTCGCCTCCACTCTCGGTACTCTTAACCCCCTGCTGCCCATTTGCGGCCCCCTCCGCAGCAGTTTGTTCCGTGACTTCGCCCCAATCCCCAGCACCCTCATCCCACGTCTCCGACTCAACTACTATTGTAGGCCTCTCCACCCCGCTCTCTTGCTCACCAATACCTTCCCCTAGCTCTAGATCGCGCTCATCGAACTCGTCGCCTGCGACGGCGCCATAGCCACGCGCTGCGCGCTTGCGCTCCAGCATCCGCTTGTGGTACCAGGTACATAGGGCTATGGATGCGAGGGAACCGAGGAGGTTGGCGAGGACGTCAAAGGGGTCGAAGGATCGATTGATCTGGGAGATGAGGCGTTAGCACACAGAATCCATACGAAGCTGGGTGACTGTATTTGCGCAGCCCACGGAGCCGCCCCTGAGCCGCTCACTTCCCATTGCCTATTTCCTGTTTACAACAACTCTCCCATTCCCACTATATTCAGATAATGATAAATGCGTACATACCGGCAACAAACTCTGTATCACCTCGCTCACAACGCCCAATCCCAATGTACACACGGCAAACGTCAGCTGCAGTACCTTTCGGCGACTCGTCTCGACGACCCAGTAGAAAGCCGTTGTGACGAGGAAGAAGGCGATGAAATGGAGGGCTTTGTCGGATTGGTGGACGGTCGGGAGGCTGTAGGTGGACGGGGAGAAGCCGGCGAGGGCGGAGATGGCGCATAAGACGAGGAATGCCGCTGGGAAGCAGACTTAGCAGGGGTGGAAGGATGAAGAGAATGGAGAGGATGCATATGTGAAGAAGGGGAAAAGGTCAGAGAGAACAGGAGAGGGGTGTTTTCTTTGAGAATGCGCGCGCAGCACAGATGTGCGTTATCGAGAGACAGAACGTACCGGCGAACGGCTTGCGGATCCGCATTCCGAAACTATTTATCAGCAAAACAGAACTACCAGCTGGTGGACATGTCGATATTGCAATTAAGACGTGTGTGTTGCCGTGTGGGCAAAGGGTGTTGTTAGGTTTGTGAGGTCGGAGTTGAAGCTTATGTGGCAGGTGGTTGGGATTGGGTGAGTTCAGCGCAGATGTGGTGTTGGAGATGACGCGGAAGGGAAGGGCATGTGAAGCTTATCTGTTTGCGGCAAGGCTTACGCCGGAGCATTAGATATGCAGATGAGGCTGTGAGTAATGTTGGAGTAGATTTGAATTAATTCGACTATAGTCTTCAATGATGGAAATGCGCGCGTGTGGCTGCACTGGAAGCGGAGTGGGAGAGTCCTGCGGTCGTTATGATGTATGGCGGCGCTCTCTTGGTATTATTTTAGAAAAGCCCACCCGCTAGGGTACTTGAGTGGGGACGGAGCTGCATGGCCATTGCAGTTTCGAGAAGGTCAAGTTCACTGCTCTTCTCGTTGTCTTCTGCATGGAAGCAACTGAGGTGGTGGTAATGGCAAAACTGCCGGACAGAGCAGCACATACAGATCAACCATGTGCTGCATCCACGTACAGATACCTGGCCCAAGGCAGTAGCCAGATACCAACGGATAGAATGGAACTAGACCAACTTCTTTCGATATACGACTCCAAAAAAGCAGCATGATGGTCTAGATGCCGTGTAACTGTGCAGCCTCTCGATAGGCTTACATGCATCGAAGCTTGCACGGTGCATACATAGTTCTTCGAGGGGAAGCAGCTCCCATGCAGTAAAGTAACCATATCCCCAAACCTCACAAGGGCAATCGGTCGACAACGCCGTCGGCTACTGGCCGTGCTTGATCTCAAGCCTCAGGGCCCTTCCAACCCTTCCATGGTCCATGGCGGACGTCTTCCAGATTGCTATGCCATGGGTGAAGCAAACTCCACATCGATGGGAAGCAATCTGTGTAACGAGATGAGGTAGTAGCGGTCACACCCCTTTGTGAAAGAGAAGGCTCTTTCAACTGCCTGTACATAGTTGATATATGTCAACGGCGCAGTTCGTGGAGGGAGGTTCGTGGGGTCCCACCAGCACCCCGGATGCCCAGAGAAAGGCCCTGCCGCTAGCCGTCTTATGGACTAGCTCCAAAACCTTCCCTCAACGTCCGTCTCTCTCCCACGCCTTACAGCGCCTGCCGACTCCGCGCGCAAGCCAGAGACCACCAGGACGACCGTCGTCGCCCTCTGCCATCGATCCCTCGCCCGCCCAACTCCGATTCCATCTCGCACTCGTCGCCGCTCATCTCGCTCCTCGTCGCACCTCTTCCATGCTTGGCCTCACGCCTCTGCGACGCCCGCTCGAGGTTGGAGGCCGCCCCAAAGGCTCGCCCTGAGGTGCTGCCAAGACGTCCCGTCCCCCGTCCCCACAGGAGCGCCATGTCACTTCCCCCATCGCTACATCCGCCCTCCGCCAAAGAAGGTCCGCACAATCACAATGCCCGCATGTTGAGCACCTGGTCGCAAGCGCAGCGTCTGCGCACCCCCATCCCCGCCCCCAGCGATGAGGCCATGTCCAACGGCGACTCCAACAACAATCCGGGGGAGGCCCCCGACGCCGAAGACCCCCGGGCCGCCCTCTTCCGCGAACGCTTTGCACGCTCAGAAGCGCGTTTGATGGCCCTTCTTGAACACGGTGGGCACGTCGATGCGCAAGGAGACGCCATCAACGCAATCCCTCCCTCGTCCGAGAGCTCCGCCCAGCTCCCTCCGGCGCATGACGCGCGACCTCCCGTGACCCCCAAGAAAGCCGTCCGCACAATCACCGAGAACTATGGCGATGACGATGAGGAAGAAGAGGAGGAAGATGACTCCCGCACCTCGCCCCTGTTCGCGAAAAGCGTGTCCAATGGCAGTGCCGCCGCCGCCCTCGGAACCCCTACCCTCCGCATACCCTCCTTCCCTCCGAGACTGGGGACCGATCGAACCAGCACACCTTCTACCGAGCAACCCAGGTCATCCGATGATGTCCGCAAGAAGCTACTGCAAGACAAGAAGGCCGCCGAGGACATGGCCAAGCGCACCTTCAACACCATGTTCTACACGTTGGAGAATGATAGGGACGCTATGCTGGAGCAGCAGAAACTCGATGAGCTCGACCGCCAAGTTGAGACGGAGATGTCCCGGCAGGCCAACGAAGCGCCTGCAGCGCCCCAGCAAGGGACACTGAGCACAACCAATATGGGAGCTTCTAGTTTCGCATTCAAGAATCTCATTGCGGTCTTAGACAAGAAGAGGCATCTGGTCAAAGCGAGCGATACACAACTCAGAAGCTTGATGAGCGAAGTTAGGAAGAATCGCAGCAAATGGGCCAACGAGGACCGCGTTGGCCAGGAGGAGTTGTACGAGAGCATTGAGAAGGTGCTGATGGAGTTGAAAGCTGGGGAGAACGCAGGCCCTTTCCTCCAACGTGTCAATAAACGTGAAGTCCCGGACTATTTTCACGTCATCAAACAACCCATGGACATTGGCACCATGATGAAGAAGCTGAAAGGGTTGCAGTACAAGTCGAAGAAGGAGTTTGTGGATGATCTGATGCTAATATGGTCCAATTGCTTAAAGTACAATGCCGACCCAGCTCACCCCCTCCGCAAGAAGGCGCTCTACATGAGGAAGAAGACGGAACAGCTCGTTCCCCTGATACCGGATATCACCATCAGAGACCGTGCCGAAGTTGAAGCCGAAGAAAGAAGGATGCGGCAAGGCGACGCTGACGCTGATGGTGCCGAGGAGAGTGAGGATGGTACGTCTGCGGCTTTACAGCCCATGCTTGTGGACATCTACTGACAGCATCATCAGAAGAGCCGATAATGGCCTCGCGCGGGCGCAAAGCCCCGAGCAAGGGAGGTCTGGGCTCAACCACAGGAAGAAAAGCCCCTCCAGCTGGTCTTGAGGGCACGCCTGGAGCAGACGGCAAACCCGCTGTTCCCTCGCTAATGACATCTGCTTCGAACGTTAAGAACGAAAATCTTCGCGCGGAGTCGCGGGCAGACTCCGAGATGGAGGGAAGTGTTAATGGACTTACCACCCCTCCCCCGGGTACCCTGACTCCATTTGGACCCAACGGCGTGTCCAAGAGTGGTGCGCCTCCCAGCCAAGCGGATGTCTCCGAAGCCGATGGCACTGGTACCTCAATGAGTGGATTCTTGGAGAACGAGGATGCCGAGCTGGACGATTTGGAATATAAGACCTGGAAGCAAGTCACCAAGAAGGATCGTGCCATTATCGCTGCGGAACGTAACCGATTATTCCGGGACGATCGGTTGAACGTTGAGGAACCCGCAATTCTGCGCACCAGGGCCGGAATGCGAAGGTGGCTCCGGCACAAGAAGCTTGCATCCGAGAGAGACTCCCGCGAGGGCGGAACTGCAGCTTCAGAGGGCAAAGAGGCCACTGCCGGTGAGACCCTCGCTGAAGGTGTTGAGGAGGAGGAAGAGCGTCAAGTCCCAGACTACTATGATCCTGTCTGTGTTATCCCTGATATCCCTGAACGACTGCAATGGGCCGAAGATTCTCAAGGTTATGTTATTCAGCAATCCGAGGAGTATATGCGGATGGTGCCTCCAGGTCACTTTACCTCGCCCGAGAGCTCCCTAGCAAAGCGCATGGAGTCCAACATCCGACAAATGCAAGATACCCGGAAGATTTGCGCAAAGATTGGTATCGTCAAGCAAATGCAGCTTCAGACGCAGGTGAGTATCGGTTTCAACATATTTGACGAAGATGATCTAACTATGAAAAGATGTACCAGAATCAGTTCCAGAAATACGACCCTCAGCCCTTCGTGGAGGCTGACATCGACCCTATGGTCGTAACTGACGATGGTGCAATCATGGCGCCGTATGTCTGCCGCGCCGCCTTGCAGAGAAGCGTGGGGAAGATTCTCTATCATGCCGGTTTCGAAGAATTCCAGCCCTCGGCATTGGAAGCGATCACCGATATAGCTGGCCAATTCTTTCAAAACCTTGTCAAGACCCTGAATGTATACCGGGAAGCACCCAAAACGAAGTCGGATATGCCAGTGCCCACACCAACTGGGGCGATGACGAGTTGGGTTCCCCGATTTAGTCAGGAAGAGGTGATCCTCCACGCGCTAGACGCCAATGGGGTGGAGCTCGAGAGTTTGGAGTCGTACGTCAAAGACGACGTCGAGCGGCTCAGTACTAAGCTCGCATCGATGCATGATCGCATGCGGTCGCATTACGCCGATCTTCTGCGTCCAGCCCTGGACAGTAATGCCGGGGCTGATGGTTCTGGAGCTTTCAACGACGGGAGCGAGCAATTTGTTGGCGGAGACTTTGCGGAAGAGCTTGGGGAAGACTTCTTCGGTTTCCGGGAACTTGGTCTTGATAAGGAGCTTGGCATCTCCTTCAGCGTGCCTCTGCATCTGCTCCAGAACAGGATGCATAATGCCTATGCGGCACAGAACCCGAGGTACGTCTATTGTTCGTCCTTTACTGGATATTTAGCTGACAAGAAGCGTAGTAATGTGGCGACAACCGGTCTACTCATGGAAGAGCCGCCCAAGTTCGAGCCCGTCACGATTCACAATGTGGCTGGCCAGATCGGCCTCATCCAAGACTGGCTCAAAGCCAAGCTGCAGGAGAACAACAACCAGCCGCTTGTCGAAGATGAGGACCTGCCTCCTAAGCAGAGATTCCCGAAGCCGCGTCTGCCACCTACCGGCAAGATTCTCAGCCCTCGGAAACGCCCGATCAGGGAGCAGCAGCAAATGGCGCGAAAGAAACGGAAGCTCGATGAGGAGCGAGAGGAAAATGCAGGTAACGAGGGTGCCGGGGCGAACGGAAGCTTCACCGGCAAAGGATCGAACAAGCCGCTCAGTAAATTGAAGCTGGACGTGCCCTCTCAGAAAGACAATCAAAACGTCCCAGATCCGGAGAAGGACGATGGCAGCGCTGTTGGCATGATCAGCCCAGAGAGCATCACTGCTGCATGATCGCGCCGGTCTCTATCGCTCGTTCTGCGTCCTTTCATTTCATACTTTATTTCGCAAGCGCTTTCCTTGAAGGCAAGCAACGTGCATGAAGCGCCTGGTTTCTCAGCGCTGGTCGGGTCTCTTTTGACGGTGGTGTTGTTTACTCGTGGTCTGGGTAATCATGGGTGCATTTGCGTTCTGGACTTTTAAGGCATACTCGGGATGGGTGGGTGACGTTCAGTTGTATACCCGTTGACTTGCAATCTGTATGGCCCCATGCATGGGCCGATCTGGGCAAGATAGACAACCGCAGGATATCTTTGGCTTCGTGCTTAGTTGTGTATATCGTCGGCTGGATCTATGAGGAATGCACGCGAATTACGCTCCGATAGAAGCTTATAATTGTTCGTGGACAAAATCAATATTGTCCTTAAATACGACCAGTCCCTCTCAAGGACCGCGGTGAAAAGGTGTTCAGTGCGGAATCATCAATGAAACAGTCATTGTGTGACTGAAGTACAAGGACATCTCAGTGAGTACTACATGCGCAGTGAGAGTAGTGTTCGAGTGAACGCGCAAATGAGCACTGCCAACGGTGGTGCTCCCCATATACGATATGCGGCAATGCTTGTGTAGATAGCCGATGAGGAATAAAAAGTCTAGCGCCCGACGCGGCCACCCGCGACTCTCCATTCATTCCACTTCCACGAAACAACCTCTGCAAGAAAGCAGCATTCGCAGCTGAGAAAAATAAACTAGGTCTTGCAGCAACCTCGATCTCCGCTGAGACGACGTGTCGTACGATTTGCGAGGCCAGTAATCCTAACTCGATAAGTCCGTTGCCCAAAGCGCATCTCCCTTTTTCTCTTGTTCTCTTCGCGCTTTACTTGTAGGACTGACGGGATCCCGTTACTGACGTGCCACCAGCCAGACACGGACGCTGCCTGTGGGAAAGGCAACATCTGTCTCCTGCAACTTTGGCCTTTTCGCCTTTGCTTCTGTCACTTCACCTTTCAAGCTTCCGCGAACCAACCAACGACGCCCACAACTCGCCGTTCGGCCCGGTGTTTTGTGCGTGCGCGAAACTGACTTCGCGAAAGAGTTTCACTTTCCGTTTGCCATCTCTGCGACTTCTGTTCTCTCTTGCCCGCTTTTCACAGCTGCGATCCTAGGTCCTTGCGGGGCTCGCGCGATTGGAGTTCGGACTCGTCTTAACTTTGCGGCTCGCGCATGCGCTAGCATCGAGGGCTTCCTCACCTCGGAGTCTGTTCTATTCACGCGCTCCTCTCGTCATCATCTTCCCTCCTCAATAACCACCACCACCCATCAACCATGGCGCCATCTGCAGCAGCCGCGTCATCATCAACACCGTCCTCATCAAAGTCAAAACCCAAACCTGCCGCCTCGTCGCCACGGGCGCAAAATGTCCCTACTCAATCAAATGCCAACCCGAAATTCGACACGCTGAAGTCCTGGCTGGAGCTTCACGGTGAGACAGAGTACGCTACGTACAAAAATCAGGCCGCTGCCCCGTCCCTGCTCCCGTATGAAGCGTGGGCGAGCTCGGAGCAGGCGCTGGGGGCGTACTTGTATGCGCTTGCGCTGGGTGCTTGGGAAGATGGGAGCTCGAGCGTGAGTTACCTTGATTTTATTTCATCCTGTTTTCTTCATTATATTTGACTCTTCATCTTTTCTGATTTTCTGATTTTTTTTTTCGCCGTGGAGAGAGTGGAGAGAGATGGCGCCGGTTGAATTCCATTTATTTATTTATTTTTCTTCCACGGTGGTGGTGAGCGGGCAACTGGCGAACTCGGCACTGACGAGCAGCCCAGGATGACGAACCCGAAGAATCATCAAAACCATCAACACCAGCTCAGGCACCAAAAAAGCAATTCCTAAAGGTCAAGTTTCACGGTAACGGAACCGGGCTTCCCCATCGCTCGGCGCCCGCGACTCCACCAGCAGCGTCCGGGAGTCGGGAGGATGCGGGCAGTTCGTCGAAGAAGCAGGCGAAGAAGAAGAGGAAGAGTCGGCTTGTAAGTTGTTGTTTCCCTAAAATTTATTTGATTGATTTTTTGAATATATTCACTAACATATGCAAGTCCGAGGCAATGGTGGTTGACGAAGATAATGATGATGAGGCTCCCGCTATCTCTGCGCCCGAGGCACCTCAACCCGAGATTGCGGAATCAGGCATCAAGAAGAAGAGTCGGCTTGTAAGTTGACCTTTCCTGATTTATTTTTTCCTTTGATTTGTTTTTGAGTATTTTCACTAACATTTACAAGTCCGAGGCAATGGTGGTTGACGAAGTTCATGATGACGAGGCTCCCGCTATCTCTGCGCCTGAGGTACCTCAACCCGAGGTTGCGGAACCGGGCATCAAGAAGCGGAAGCAGAAGAAGAGAAAGTCTCTGCAGGTAAGCCATATTCGCAAAAACTATCTCCACCATATGAAGAATCAAAAACGGAAATATTTTCTTTGACTAACACCATCCCAGCCTATCCAGCCAGAAGAAACACCAGAGCAAGCAGGACCCTCAGCACCCACGCCCTCCGGCATGCGGGACGCCACCACTCCCGCCGCCGCCGCCGCTGCGGCCGAGACCACGCCCAACGGAGCCACCCCGTCTTCAGCAACAAGACGTGGTCTCCGCGCTAGGACGGCAGCACAGCAGCGCCCGTATTTCCACCATCAGCGCCTTTTCGAGGACCAGCTGATGATGGACGACGATGAAGACGTGGAGAGCGTCCTTCCCGATGAAGGTACATCAAGGTCCGCCCGAAAGTCTCGCCGGTCTTCTCTCTTGGGGAAACCTCCGCTCAATTATGCGGCCCTGGACCGTGGTGGACTTGAAGACGAGGACTTGGTCGACGACGGCGGTCATGACGACGTGGAGATGGCGGAAGAGGGCAAAGAGGAGTCTCCCCCGGCGAAGCACTTCAAGGGCAAAGGCCGCGCGTGGAAGAAAGACGACGATGAGGAGGACACGAATTTCCAGCCGAACGCGACGGAGCCGGTGAAGAGGAAGAGGGGACGGCCGAGGAAGTACCCTAGGCCCGAGGAAGGGGTGCCGCAGCAGGAGCAACAAGAGCAGCAAGAGCAGCAGGAGCAGCAGGATCAGCAAGAGTCTGCGGAAGTGGTCGAGCCTGAAGCGCCTGTGACAGAGACGCGGACGCCGAAATCTGCGAAAGGGAAAGGCAAGGGGAAGGCGAAGGGCAAAGAGAAGGCGAAGGGCAAAGAGAAGGCGAAGGGCAAAGAGAAGGCGAAAGATGCTGGCATGGCGGCAGCTGGACCGGAGAAGAGCAAGACAGCTATCGCGAACTGGGGACCGCCAGTGTCGCCAGCGAAGCCGCCCGAAAAGACGAGGCAGCGCAAACCGAGGAGGAAAAGCCACAAATCCGCGGAATACGTCATCGACGATGATTCTGACGATGAATCTCGCATAATGCCTGTTCCACATTCCCGTTTGAAAACGACGGCTCCCCGCGAGAAGCTCCTTAAGTGCGAGGCAATCGCATCCACGCCTCCCTCAACGGGACTCAAGAACGTCGACGGCAAAGGCAAGGACGGCGAAACAATGACGAAAAGCCATAAATCCGCGGAATACGTCATCGACGATGATTCTGACTATGAATATAAAATAATGCCTTACTACCATTACCGTTTGAAACCGACGGCTCCCCGCGGGAAGCCCCTTGAAGTCAGGGCCAGGGCGACCGGATTCAAGCCTTCCTCACCGGAACTCAAGAACGTCGACGGTGAAGGCGAGGACGAGAAGAAGGAGAAATCGAAGAAGAAGCGCAAACCAAGGAAGCCGAGGAAGGAATACTTGTCAGAACCGATTGTGCTTGATGAGGATGAAGATGACGATGATGAAGTCACTGTGATGGAGGAAGGGAAGGCCGGCCGGTCAACAGCAACGCCTACAACTCCAATTGTTGGAGATGGGGGGAGTAAGAAGAAGAAGAGAGTGTCGATAGTTTCACCAACCAACAGCAAGTCTGTGAAGGGCGGCCGGTCGCCTCGAAAGAACAAAACAACTAAGGCTACCAGTGCTGTCACTATGACACCGAAATCGGCGAAATCGGCAAAAGGTGCGGCGCGGACAGGATCGCCTGCTACGATGGCTTCCCCGCAGTCTCAGAGGAGAGCGAAGCAGCAGAAGAGGACGTTCCTTTCCGCGGAGTTTGTAAAGGATTCGAGCGATGAGGAGGAGGATGAGGAGGAACGGGTTGATGCTGGGGATGTTGGAGTGGGAGAGGAAAAGGACGTAGATGACCTGACGGACGTAGATGATTTGACGGACCTAGATGATCTGACGGACTTAGATGATCCGACGGACGATGCGGACCGTATGGACGAAGGGAATGAGGATGAGAAAGAAAATGGAGATGAAGAGGAGGAGGAGGACGAGCAGGAGGAACAGGAGGAGAAGGACAAGGAGAAGCAAGAAGACGACGACGACGACGTCGGCGACACGAACAACGACAACGAGAAGAAGAAACAGCTAGAGCAAGACGCTACCCCTGATCTGCCCGAGACTCTCCCCTTCCCATCAACTTCAACAGCGTTACGGAATGGCCAGCTCCCTAGCACTTCCCCATCTTCCCAACCCGCTCAGAACTCGCCAGCTCCCAACGCAGCGGAGCCGTCGGCAACACCGCCCCCATCTGCAGCGAACGAAGGAATCGCAAATGGAACCGTCGAAAGTAATGACGATGGGAAATCGACACCGCATTCGCACGGTGAGAATACTGTATCGGCATCATTGCAGGGAGATGAGCGTGAGGGGAAGGAAGGGACAGAGGAGAGCAAGGTCGAAACCCCGGTATGCTAGCGGCTTTTCGGGCTTCGGAGGAGATCCACGACCAAGTGACTCCAGTCGTGACGGAGAAGTTAAAGCAAATCGATATTACACAATGGCAGTCAACCAAGCCATTGATTTGAGAGAAGAAGGAAAAGCGGTCGGAGGGAACTGGACGGGCGGGATGATGACCCCAGGGTGAGACTACTTACTGTACGAGGTTGTCCATGTGGTGGATTCGGTATGATGGGTTTTTCCCATGGTATACTGTGCAAGGCCGTCTTTAGGAATGAGGCACCGGAGCTGTTTGTCTACTTCTCTCGGTTCTCATCAAGGGTGTCGGGTGCATTGCTGGCGTTCATGGGTGGATGTATGTGCTTCTATTTTTTCTCTTCCTACCTTGTTTTTTGGTACACTATTCTTGTGGGAAATGGCTATGTCGAACATAAGGATGGGAGAGGATGGTTTGGTGGGAGGTGCTGGTGTCAGTTATTCTGGAATGGGTGTGCTAGGAAGCTGGATCTCCTTCATAGCGGTGGATAGGGAGGGGTATGTAGGGTTTGGGTAGGGATATGGATAGGACTTTTCATGTCTTTATTGCAGGGCGGGGGATAGTGTGGTATGGAGTACGGACAATGAATGGATAGTGTTCTATTTTATGTTGTGTGTCAAACAAGATTCTAGCCGTCTTATGGGAAGTCCGGCTAGGGGTATCTGAAGCTTCATAGTGAGTACGTAGACAGACGTTCTTCTGTAGTGAAGTCTGCACCACAAATCAACGACCAGAGCTTGGCTATGCATGAATTATTCTCAGTTTAAATGCAACGACTGTCGAATATCTTACAATGCCCACTAAATAGCAGGGCTTGGACGTAGCTCGCATCTATCTTCTACCCACTCTCCCTCTTTTATATTTATCCGCCCATCCTCCGTCCCCTTCTGTACCTCAAAGCCTCAACCTCAAAAACGGCCTCCGCAACACAAGCAGGTAATACAAGGCGCCAAAAGCTGCACCCCCAAGATGGCCCGCATGCGCCACGCCCGTCTTCTTTTCCGACGAGAGATAATATCCATCATAGATGAGATAGCCACCCATCAGCACCCACAACGGCACCGGAATGATCCCGTAGACGTGAAACACCGTCCTGGGAAACATCATCGAGGCCGCGAGCCCAAGACCCATGACAGCTCCGCTGAAGCCCAATCCCGACTGGGTATCTGCTTGCCCCGTGCGCCGCACATGCTGGTAACGGACAAGCAGGTAGCCTAGGGAGCCGCTGATGGCGGAGCCGAGGAGCAGCGTGACGAAGTGCCTGGGCATGATGCCGGCGTTTTCCGCGACGAGGCGACCGATGAAGTAAAAAGATGTCATGTTAGCAAGAAGATGGATGGGATCCAGGTGGGCGAATGCGCTGGTGATGATGGTCTCGTAGTGGCCGGAAAGGACATTGCGTAGGTTGAGCAGCACGCGTGGGGCCAATTGCATCCACGGCTGGGGGTTGCCTTGCTGGGCGCAGATTTTGCAGTAAGCGGCGTAGGCCCAGACGGCGGTGTTGATGGCGGCGAAGAGGTAGATGATGCGCATGTTGGCTTGGGCATTTTCGTATGGGTTGCCGGATGGTGGTGGAGGGGGCGGAGAGGATGGACCCCAGCCCTGGTTGTGGTTGCGGGCATACAGACGGCGAAGGATGGCGCTGGGCTGGCGATTGAGGAATCTGGAGGGTCCATGGGCGAGGCCAAAGGCTTTGGTCGTGCTGGGGGAGAAGAAGCGTGGGGCGAGAGATGGTCGGAGAGGTCTCAGCGTGTGCGGGCACAGTGGCCTAACCAGGCGGAAGAGGGAGGCCATGGTGATGTATTGGATCGTCCGAAATACTTTATAATCCCTTATCTCTTTTTCTCGCACACGGGGGGGACTTGCACACTCCGGTAAGGCACGTGAGAATGGAAGGCTGATCCAAGGGATAGGGCCCAGCGTTCCAAAGTACTCCGGATATATCTCTTGACTTTATCCACGATAGCGATGGAATGATTCCAGCCCTCCAGTAAATGATGGCAACAATGGACAGGTACGAATCCTTTGACGGTCTTGTCCACGACCGTCGTTCGACATCTCCGGTCGGCCCGGAAGAGTTGCCAGGATGAATGGCAAAGAGCGAGAGAAGGGACACGGCGTGGCCAATTATCGCGCCTTTACGTAAGCTTCTCCCCACCAACTACATCCAACCTCAACTCCAAAAGGTTTCGAGAATCACCGCACACCAGCGTCTCTTCCCCAACAACCTCCACGCAGACCGACGACCAATCCAGGCAGTACACCTTAAAGCCCCTCAACGGCTTATACCAAATACACGAGATTTCCTCAATTCTAAACCGATCAACGAAGCAACCGACTGTTCCGCGCAACACGACACATCACCTTTGTGACCTCTTAACACACGATCAAAGCCTTTACGTAGCGGCTACTACACTCTCCAAGCCGTCAGCGTCCTGATCCCTACGCCAAACAAACCGCCAACATCACCAGCCCTGTTCGACCGTTCAATCGCCTTTGCCCCACTCCGAAGTTCTGCCTCACCCGCTCTGGAATACAACCAGGCCACCACAGTCACGGCCCTTTGACGCATACACCTCCAGCTGCTACAAAATCTCCCCCCAATCATCTATCATACCGGACACAATGACAGATCAACTGGCCGGTCAGATGGCGGCTACGAATATAAGGTAGGCTCATTGCTGAGGTGGGCTAAATGTGCCTAACTGACGAGCTCTTCCAGCGAAAATGCGGCTTCAGCGGACTGGAGAAGTCAATTGAAACAACCAGTGAAGGATCTCCGCCCTCAAACTGAGGTTAGTGTTCCGAGCATCTGAACGGAGCCGGATCGGTACGCTAAAGCTGTAGCTCTAGGACGTAACCAAAACCAAAGGGCTCGAGTTTGAGGACTTTCATATCAAGCGAGAACTCATGATGGGCATCTTCGAAGCCGGTTTCGAGAAGCCGTCGCCCATCCAAGAAGACGCCATACCTGTTGCATTGACCGGCCGAGATATTCTAGCACGAGCGAAGAACGGGACAGGCAAGACGGCTGCTTTTGTGATTCCTACGCTAGAACGGGTGAACCCCAAGATCAGCAAGACCCAGGCTCTTATCCTGGTCCCCACTCGGGAGCTGGCCCTCCAAACCTCGCAGGTTTGCAAAACCCTCGGCAAACATCTTAAGCTCAATATCATGGCATCTACGGGAGGTACTGGATTGAAGGACGACATCATTAGGCTGCAGGATACGGTTCACATCATTGTCGGCACTCCCGGGCGAATCTTGGATCTGGCGAAACAGGGCGTGGCGGATCTCTCCGCTTGCCAGACGTTCGTCATGGACGAGGCAGATAAGCTTCTGTCGCCCGAGTTCACTCCTGTCATCGAGGAATTGCTCTCATTCCACCCTCGCGATCGCCAGGTCATGCTCTTCAGCGCCACCTTCCCCATCGTCGTCAAGACCTTCAAGGACAAGCACATGAACTCGCCGTATGAGATCAACCTGATGGACGAGCTCACGCTCCGAGGTATCACGCAATACTATGCCTTTGTTGAAGAGAAGCAGAAGGTGCACTGCTTGAACACACTTTTCAATAAGCTGCAGATCAATCAGTCGATCATTTTCTGCAACTCCACCAACCGCGTGGAGCTGCTTGCTAAGAAGATCACTGAACTTGGCTACTCCTGTTTCTACTCCCATGCGCGCATGCCCCAACATAGCCGCAACCGTGTTTTCCATGATTTCCGCAGCGGTCTCTGCCGCAACCTTGTTTGTTCGGATCTGCTTACTCGTGGTATCGATATCCAGGCGGTCAACGTGGTCATCAACTTCGATTTCCCGAAGAATGCTGAGACGTATCTTCACCGCATTGGGCGTTCCGGTCGTTTTGGCCATTTAGGTCTGGCTATTAACCTGATCAATTGGGATGATCGTTTCAACCTTTATCGCATTGAGCAGGAGTTGGGTACGGAGATTCAGCCTATTCCACCGGTCATTGAGAAGAGCTTGTATGTTTATGATTCCCCCTCGACGATCCCGCGTCCGATTTCCAACCCTCCTCCTCGTGGCCCCACTCAGCCCTCCAACCAGGAGAGGCAGGATGGACAACCCAATGCTAGCAGGCCAGCTGGAGCTCCGCAGGGCAACCGCCAAAACTTCAACCGTAATCCTCGTGGTGGCCAGTACGGAGGACAGCGAAGAAGTGGCCCCCAAGGTGCCCAAAGGCAAACGGTGCAGGGCCAGCCGCAGCCGTGGGCTCCAGCTCAGGCTTAGCAAGCCGCGAGGGGTCAAGAAAGGTAGGGTATCACCTCGCTCTTTCCTTGGGCGATTGTTATCCTGCTAGGGACTTTTTCTATCTATCTCGTTTTCCTGAGCCAGGTGTTTGCATTTTATCTCCTTTCGGCACTGAACATTTTCTGGAGTTTTGGCGCTATCCTGTTTGTTATGCTGACATGAGCGATCGTCGACGAATCGGTACGGGATACGTGACCTCCATCGTCTCACAAATCGATACCTTGGCGCATCTGGAGTCTTCATGCCAGTCCACTCTGTATTATATACCTTGGTCTGGGTTCGAGGTACTACTTTCTCCTGTCTGTTCTTCTCTTCTTTCACCGCAGGGATTCGGTGACCCTGGGAGCCCCTCTTTCGGACTTTACGGTACCATATGTCTTCGGATCCGTAGCATTGGCAACCGGCGGCGTTTCTTAACAGTCTACACCGTTTCACGATAGACTTGTCCACCGCTCTCTCGGCGCCGTTGGTCTTCCGATATCCTTGCTCGGGGGTCAACCTTCTTGGGGATTACGACCACCTTTCAACTTCAAATCCACCCTCGTTCAACGAGATTACATTTTCCCCTCACCATCTCATCGCCATCCTCCTTACAGATATGTTGCTGTACAATCCTGCCTATGGCGACATCCTTTCAACTTAATCTGCGGTTCCTCTCCCTCCTTTAGGGACCTGCGCCAATCTCTGGAGCCCACGACATGGACTCCAGCCTGTCACTGTTGATCATCCATTTCCGTTCCGACGCGCTACGTGGAATGGAAATGCGACCGGATCAGTCTGGGAACTTTGGCTCCGACTGTTTTCAAACCTCTTCCTCCCCTGTTCGTCATTGTCCGAGGAGCTTGAAATGACGAGTATGTGCAATTGCGGGAGATGGAAAATGGTCCGGGTCAGTGCTCCTGGTAGAAAGAAATGATTGAAAAAAAAGTAGGGGTATAGTGTGGCTTAGTGGTTCGTAGCTTCGCCCAATGCAAAGAATTGATATCCCGAAAATGGCGTCGTAAGTTGGTGGTGATGTGCTTGTGATTCGTGATTGTCTAGAAGCTTTTGTGTGCGTGAGGCTGAACCACTTTTTAAAGAAGTGGCGGGGCGAGGTAAGTGAGGCGACGTGAGGATGTGGAGTGAGTGAACGCCCAACTATCATCCCATCCTCCTTCCATGTCATTTCATCTATTTCCATCTCGTCGCCGTTGGGACACATCCCACAGGCGAGTAAAGATGTACAATCTACACCTTCTTCAGACAACCCATTTCCTCACACATGTATCAATCAGTATGCAATACTGAACACAATCCTAACATCAACTCCAATGCGTCATAAACGGCTGATCCAAACCATCAATCCATTCCTGGGTATGCAACCGTGCTAAATGGGTATATCTTCACCTTCTCCATCCCTCCCCGTCCTCCTCCCTGCACAATTCAAAACACGGCACCCCCAATAATAAACACCCTCTCCTCCTCCCGCCTCACCCACTTGACCACCATATTCGCCGCCTGCGCCAACGCCGCTCGGCCCGTATTCCCGGGAGCAACGCAATACAATTCAAACAGGGGCGTCGACCACGCCAGCGCCATGCTCGTCGTCGCCGACTCGTGCAGGACCTTCAAGGGCGCCGGCCGCGCGTGGAGCTGCGCGTGCAGTTTGGCGTAGAGGTTTGTGAGGCTGGATGATCATCTCTTAGTCACGAACTACGTGTTTTGGGTTGACACTTGTTGAGAGGTGCACCGGAATGGTGGAATGGAATTAATCGTGCAAAGGAAAGGAAAATGAAACGTACCGCCGCCGGTCCAATGGCGTCTCGAAGTACGGTTCCCAGGCCGGCATCGTGAATTGCACGTTCCCGCGGCTCTTGTACAGGAAGTGGCGTAGCGGGCTGCCGGGCACAATGTCTATGCACTTGGGCCGGCCTTTTCGGACGGCTTGTCGGATATGCGCGATGGAGCCATTCTTTTGGAGTTGCTGTGCGGAATTTTCGTATCAGTCGTGATCGGTGTAACACGTGTTGTGTATACTCTGGAGAGACGATCGTAAAACGGCGACAGGGGAGAGAGGATGCGTGCAAAAGCGAGGCAGGACATGCACATTTGGAACCCACATATGCAATGGAAATGGTAGACATACCTCAACCAACTCGTCCCTCATACCCCTCAACTCATAGAATGCCTCCTTATTTGCGCTAATCAACAGGATGGCCACCTCATCGCCCTCCCCACCACCGCTACTCCTCGGTCTCTCCTCCATCTTCTCCTCGGGACGCTCCAAGTCCAAAAAGCTAACATACATATACAGATACCCCGTATTGTTGAAACCCGGCAGACAAAGCGGGATCCAGTTCTCCCCACCGCCGGCTTTGACGCTGCCAGCTTCAAACAGCATGTTGAAGATGAGATGCAGGTCTCCGGGGTGGAGAGAGTGCTTCTTGGGACGCACGACGGAAACGAGTTTGCCCGAGGCGACGATGAGACCGTAAAGGAGGTTCTCGGAGCGCGTTTTGAGGAACGTATTGTTGATGGCTTGGCGATGGGATTTGCGGAGTCTTAGACACTCGAGGGCGCCCAGCAACGTGGAAGGGGACCCACGCGTGAAGCCGTCCGCTAATGCGGAGAGAAGGACCTCCGTTCCCTGGAGTGGCCGGCGCAAGTCGTAGTTTGCCCGTGCAGCAAACATGCGCTCCAGGCTTGGAAGAGTGAGGGTTGAGAGGATCTGCATGTATAGAGCGTCCAGCTGAGCCCGCAGCTGCGCATCGCTCTCCGGAAGACGACTGATGGCGACTAGGTTCAGGGGGCCCTTGGTCATAACCAGGAATCGTACTTCGCCGGCCGTGAAGCTCTTCAGGCCATCGTTTTTGGACTGGTAGAACGATATGATGGTCTGAACCACTCCCATGTAGTTTGTGATCAATTCATCGTTGCCGTGGCGGCTGTAGATGGGTTTTCCGGCCGACGAGAGAATGAGGAAGTGTTTCAACTTGCTTCTCCAGTTCCGCATGACGGATTCTATAGCCGTACAGATCAGTAAAAGAACACACCAGATATGGACCACGAATACCAAGCATTCTGACCTTCATTGGTGCCCCGGGCGTCTATATTCTCAATCTCATCAAACTCGTGCTTGAACGCCTGCTCGAACTCTGGATCCGAGGGAAACAGACTCTCCACCTCCTGGCTTTGAAAACGATCACCCAGCGCCTGAAAGAGCGTCTGATGTTCTCCGATAACCTCACCCAACATGCTCTCCGTCTCTTCGCTCTGCTCACGGCCAGGCATTATGCTTTGCACGCTCGCGGTGTCCACATCGCTGGTAGCGCGGCCCCGAATCCGACGTGACGCGGAAGAGGAAGAAGACTCGTATTTGGATTCAGTGCTGTAGAATTGCGTGTCGGAATAGGAAAGCTGTGTGGTAGGCTTAGAGACAAGTTGAGGGCGGGGCGGCGTTCCTGCATGGGACGAGGAGGGTCGCGAATCCAGGAGACTCAGCGTCTTCGGTCGAGGAGGCAGGGGCGGAGGCGTTCCTTCTCGGGATACGGCAGTGAGGTTGTTTGACGACGACTTCTGTGAAGCGCTCCGTATTACGCTGAGGGTGTGATTGGAGACGTGCTCGCCGACCCCATCTTCGCCCTTGGGAGCGCTAGCCTGCCCACCTCGAGCTTTGTCTGGAGCTTCACTATGCGGATGGGGGCCAGCGCTCCCTGTATGGTCCATGAAGGGGAAAAGCTCTTTGTAGCATGGGCGGACGCGGTGGGGGATGCCATATGTGCTTTGTTTGATAAAGTTGTACCGCAGTGACGCCAGTGGGTTGATGCTGTTTAAGCGGCGCAGCACGGGCCATTCCAGCCAGTAACGACGAATCTGGGATAGGATTCGCGATTCGAGTCCTACATATCCAGCTGCATAGTGTGTAGTATGGGAACTCATAAAATGCACTCATATGAGGCCCATGATAATGAACGAGAAGACCAATTTGTTGAAACTTCCATTGCATGCTGTTAGACAGCATCGATGGTACTGATTGAATTGATAGAGCCACGGGCCTACAACGGCCTCTCTAGTAACCCTGGATATCGGTCTAGATCCGCATAAAACGATGCGATGTACACTCGCCAGATGCATGTTAAATGCCCAAAATGCCTACTTTTGTTGAAACCCCGTCCCACCTCGAACGCCTTGCAACCATATTGGAACCTAATTACCATGTTGAAGATGAGAAATATCTAGAGGTCACGTCTAGAAGGGAAGGGGGAAGGTGCTGGCCCAAGCCGCAATCTCCTTCTTTAGGTTGTTGATCTCCTCCACCTCGCCCGAGGCAACCTTGGCCTTGAAGTCCTTCAGCTTGTTGGCGTCCTTGGGAAGCTCGGCCTGGATCTTCTGGCAAAGCTTGATCGCGGCGTCGATGTACTGAGCAATCCTCTTGAAATCTTCCTCGCCCATGCCACGCGAGGTCATGGCTGGCGCACCGATACGGATACCCATGGGGGTCAGTGCCGACTTGTCACCGGGGGTGGTGTTCTTGTTGCAGGCGATGTTGATCTGCTCAAGGACGGCTTCCACACGAGCCCCGTCGAGATTCTGAGGCTTCAGGTCGAGGAGGACCATATGGTTGTCCGTACCGTCGGTGACGAGCTTGTAGCCGAGCTCCTTGAAGCTGATCTCAAGCTGCTTGGCGTTCTTGATGACTTGCTCCTGGTAGGCCTTGAAGTCATCGGACTGGGCCTGCTTGAGCGCGACAGCGAGAGCGGTGATGGTGTGGTTGTGGGGGCCACCCTGATGACCAGGGAAAACGGAGAAGTTGATGGGGCCCTCGAGGTCGTAGAGGGTCTCCTTGCCGGTCTTGGGGTCGGTCTTGCGCACACCCTTGCGGAAGAAAATCATAGCGCCACGGGGTCCACGAAGCGACTTGTGGGTCGTGGTGGTGACAATATCGCAGTAGGGGAAGGGCGACTTGTTCACACCAGCCGCAATGAGACCGGAAATGTGGGCCATGTCCATCATCAGGTAGCAGCCGACCTTGTCGGCAATCTCGCGCATACGGGCATAGTCGATCTCGCGGCAGTAGGCCGAAGTTCCGGCAACAAGGACCTTGGGTCGATACATGAGTGCGTTCTCCTCGAGGCGATCATAGTCAATCAAGCCCGTCTCGAGGTTGACCCGGTACGGGAAGGTCTCGAAGTAGGTCGAAACAGCCGAGATCCTGCGAAGGTCAGCTTATATTATGAGTGGGATGCATTCAAATCCCTTACTTCCTCTGGGGCGTCTGGTAGCCGTGACTCAAATGTCCACCGTGGGGTAGATCCAAGCCCATCAGCCTGTCGTGCGGCCTCATGATGGCCTGGTACACCTGCAGGTTGGCAGGGCTGCCGCTCAAGCACTGAACGTTGACACCCCACTTCTCCGGGTCCAGCCCGAAGGCCTCGAGGGCGCGCTTCTGGCACAGAAGCTCAATCTCGTCAATGTGCTCGTTTCCGCCGTAGTAGCGGGCGCCGGGATAGCCTTCAGAGTACTTGTTGGACATGGGCGACCCAAGCGCGTCAAAGACGGCTCGAGATGTGACATTCTCGGAGGCGATGAGTAGGATGGATTCGCGCTGGCGCTGGATCTCCTTTTTCTATTGCGCGTCAGCGCGGGGAGATTCTAGAGACCTTCCAGAAAGAACATACCATGATCTCAGCGACGTCAGGGTCCGTCTCCACCAGAGACTTCTCCATGAGCTGCAATGAGTCAGTATCCGATCTGTTCTTCTTTGTTGTTCAATGGGGAACGTACGTCCTGGTGAGACTTGGGCAGAGCGTAGTGCGACATGGTGCAGGCAATTGATCAGTAACCAGACCAAGGAGAGGTTTAAGGAATGAAAGGAGAGGGTGAGGAAGAGGAAATCAGCGGTCGGTGGGATCTTAATGTGTAAAGTCGCCGGTCAGCGGTGTAACTCGCCACTACTTTTTTCATGGAGGGGCAGGCGCGCTAGGCTGCATGTGGTATGGCGGGGCGGAGTCTGGACCGTCATCGGAGTCCGACTGGGGTACGGAGTAAATGCCACTCCAGCTTGCAATGGAACAATACCCCATGAACAGAGCTTGAAGAAGGGTTCGGCGAAAGATGCTATTGGCCTGGAGGCCTTCATTATCTCGTGTGGATGCGCTACATACAGTCTTGCAATCATTTCCTTCTCCTTGCATGTCTTCTGCCCCATGTTGTTCATCCCAACTTTTTCTCACGTTCTCATTCCAATAATATCCGAACCGTTCAACGCCGAAAATGCCAAAATGTCTTCTGCTTAAGCAGCACGCTGCGTCGCAAGAGCCAAAAGGGCCCGGGGTATGACAACTATACAGGACGAATCGAAAAAGACTCCAATAGCTTCGACGTGCGGGGCGGAGGCGCGCGCTAATATACTGTGGTATCCATCGTCCTCGATCAGAGCAATCTCTTGGTTCGTTTAATCGTTATCTGTCAGACGGTCCAAGACAATGATGCTGAGGATCATAACCAACAATCCTATCGTGACGATGATAAAAAGGACAAATCCGAACCAGCCCAACACCATGGCACTGGTCCCTATTCCCGATTTCACTGAGCCATTGCCCAGGTCCTGTGCCACTGCTGCTGCTGCAACCGAAGCGGTGTGTTGCCAAAGCACACTGACCAAGATAAAGATGCTGGCGATGAAGATCAGCGCAAGTGCTACTTGAGAGACGGGTCTTGATGGGAACGGCTTGACGTCGACGTCGGAACCGGTTGCCGCGTCACGCTCCTCGTGCCAACCGGGAAAGGTGGCGAGGAGAATGAAGGTAACGAAGGCGAGGATGATGGCGACGATGATCAGGTAGGGGAACACGACGGCGTCCTTGAAGGTGCTGGCGACCCAGATCAGGTTGAGCGGATCCTGGTCGATGGAAACTCCATCTGCAAGGGCGGTTGCGTTGTTTGAGCAGATCCATGAACCGCCATCGCCGTTTATGCAGATGCCAAAGTATCCCACGCGCACTCCCAATTGAGCGTTTCCCACAATGTTTGCGATCGCCGCGTTGACTCCAGGGTCGACTTGTTCGGAAGAATAGGTGGGCGTGTATTTTTCATACCACATGGAAATGAGGAAGATACCGGGGATGAGTGGGGACGAGGATGAGCAACCAGCAAGCAATAATGCTGCATGCCTGTTAGTTTTTTAACTCGCGCCAGGGTGTTGAAGTCGCTCACATAGTAAGATGATAGCGACTGCTATCAGTATCATGAGAACATGGTGGTAACCCAGAAACGGTAGCAACCCTGCGGCAGGTGGTTAGTTGTTGTCGTCGCTCCTGACATGCGGCACTCACGTTTCATGGTCACCGCAATCCTCAAGTTCGCCATGCTGCCTGCGATTGTCCTATATCTCCCGCTGGAATGTTCGGATGGCTCCTACGGCTCCCGGAGGGCCGGGAGGGAGCTTGAGGGGAATGCAGTCGGGGCAGGGTCGTATTAAAGAATGCCGGCGTCAAAGGAAAGCGGGAACGAGCGAGCGACTGGCTTGGTCCCGGGGGTTCGACGGTGTGGAGAGTGGAGGAATGCAGTGGGTCGGATCTTAGTGCCGGTCTCGACGGGATCTCAACTGCGACGAACAATTGTCAGAATGTGTCCGGAGGTGAAGAGGGTGAGCGAGAGGAAGGTGTGTAGCTTAGACTGGAGTTCTGCTCTGCTGCAGGGCAGAGGACTTTTGCTATGGTGAAAAAGGTGAGGTTGGGCCTGAGAAGGGTGTGGCTGGGGAGAGGCTGGAAGCGAATACAAACAATGGGCGCTGTCTGGGGCAACGTCGCGGGAGCACCAGCCACCTCACTTGCCGGCCAGTCAGCGACCGTGCATGGAGATGCGAGCAGCCGTGGCGTCTGGGCATCCTGAGGTTATCCCAACCTCTCTGTTTCGTTGCTGCGACGTGGAGTTATCATGGCGATATAGATGGAAAAAGAGTACTAGTCTCCATGCGAGTGCTTTGGTCGTGTTCTGCTCCAGATAGGATCTGGGACATCCGCTTGTCAAAGTCACTCTTCCGTCGCAGATACCGTACATTTGAGGAGCACATGTCGAGGTGTGTAGCTACCCGTGGACTTGGAATTCTTTGCGCACAAACTCCTTCCCCGACGCCAATTTCGTAACGACTGTCGATGCCTCAAACTTGATGCCTCAAGGGATGAGATGTCCACGGATTCATTCTTGTTTGCAGGATGAGAGATGGCAGAAAGGAGTGCTCGGTAGCTACTGCGAATCGACATCAACGCAAGATCATCATCGCGAGGACCATTCAGCAATGAGCCGATTCGTTTTCATATCTGTGAGGGGACGCACAGCGTCTGTCTGCTCACCTCTGGACGGAACATGGCTGCAGTCTCCGGTGGGCCTTGGATGTTTCAGGAGTCACACCATCTGGAGACGACCCCTAACGCAGCTCGACGGCCGAGAAGCATTGCCAAACGAATTCTCCCATGGAGATGTCGCAATTGAACGAAATGCCATGACGCATCACCCCTCATTCCATGAACCCGAATATGTTCGCGGAGGTCAATCACAAATCGGTTGTCATATTGGCTCGAGATTGCCGCTTACCCGTACAACTCTACGTCACCCCATCAGCTGGCACGCGCACATACTCGTAGACTACGTAAGTATATGCGCTCAAATGGGTAAATCAAGGAACTCGTACTTTGTTCCTGAGCAATGCACCGCCGCGTGAGTGGGCCCAAGCGCTTCCCTCAACAACCGCCACAAACTATGACATCACCACCACCCCGCAACACTCCGCAACAAACATCGCAGACTCTCACCAGGCTGGAATGCAGCGAATCAGGGTCCAGGGCGCCCTGGCAGCTCCGACAACCAATTGGGAAAGTAATGACGTCTTTTGGTCATGAGGGACCCTTTCAAGGTTCGTTGGCATTCAGGGACTTTGTTCGTGGTTTGTTTCATCACGAATGCGGAAAGGGCAATCCACCCTTCACTCCTTCCACGCCTCCATTTGCCTATGACGTATTTCCCCTGAGCTGCTGCCTCGGGCTCAATACATAAACCCCCTCCGCCTACGCCTTCAACCCTCTCCTCATCACACCAACAACAACACAAGCAATCAACAACAACTACCACACAATCTTCACAACCACTCCAATCAAACAACAACCAACCACACCACCAACAACCATCATGTCTGACGCCGGCCGCAAGGATTTCTCCGACAAGCTCAAGGAGGGTGTCACTCCCGACTCCACCAAGTCCACCCAGCAGAAGGTGAAGGAGACCTTCACCGACACCGGCGACAAGATTGCCCGGTAGGTCACTCCCTTTTTACCTCTTGTCCCATCATCGATCATGAACTGACATCTTCCAATAGTGGCGTCCAGCCCGACGACCAGAAGTCCGCCGGCCAGGAATTCACCGACAAGGTGGGCCGCTCCAAGGACCGCGAGGTCCACGGCTCCGCTGGTGGCTCCATCCTCGACAAGACGAAGGATGCCCTCGGCTTGGGCGACAAGCACTAGATGCTACGGTTGACGACCTACGGAATCTGTCATCGAACCGATACGGCAATGGATGGGAGTCGTGGAGGATTTCGTCTTTGACCCATGGTCACGAACATGTATTATGATACCAGACAGCCCTTGCGGCTAATGAATGGATGATATTCACACTTCAACTTACAATAGTGCTGCTTGATCTGTGAATTGGACAGTGACTCCGCTCTTTGTGACGACATTCCGTCCTTTGGCTCCCAAGCCTCGTCTGCTCATGCAGATTCTCACTGTACACCGTTGGAGACTAGGTGCACGAATGCCACGTAATGCACCTCTCCAGGACAATTCACATCATTGGTCAAGACCTTGACTATAGCTTTGATGTTTCCAATGGTATCATCTATCTACAAAATCGCTCATTATACTATGCTATGCTATGCTTTCAAAGGGCCAGCAGAGACCCTACAATCCCACCGCCAAAGCCCCCACGGCCACACAAACACCAACCCACCACATCATCAACCCTTCCCCTCCTATTCTCTGCGCCCCGCCCTTCTTCGACGTCACGGCCGATTGCGCCTCATTCCCTCTCCCATTCCCTCCCCCATTCCCATTCCCATTCCCATTTCCATTTCCACCACCACCACCCAACGAGACACTCGAGAACGTCTGCGTCGTCCCCGCCACCACAATCCCCGTACCCCCATCACTCAACACCGTCCCAGCAACCACACTGGCGCTTCCCCCCTCAGTGAGCGTGATCCCCAACTCGGGAATCACAACACTCCTCCCCTGATCCAGAGCCGTGTACGTCTTCCCGCCAATCGTGACCACAGCGCCCAAGACCGCGCTCCCCGTCGTTTGAGCCTGTCCCAGCCCCGCTACAAAGCTAATGGCAAGTGTACTGGTGGCCCCAGACTCGGGGTCCACAACCACAAGCCCGCCCTGCTGACCAGGCGCCTGGCTAACAACGACGCCATTTCCCAACGTCACCGCCGCTCCCCCGGGAACCACCATCGTGCCATCTACTACCAAACTGCTTCCCTGAGGGCCCCAGACCGCCGTCGCCGTCACTTGCTCTCCGCCAGGCATCGTCACAACCACGCCCTGCGTCGGCGTGGCTCCGGCCGGCAAAACAGGCGGGATGTGCAACGTACTCGCCCCCTGGCCCGGCGCGCTGACCAAAATCTCGCTCGGGTTCAGCATGGAAATGCTCGTTCCGCCACCCACGACAACTCCAGGTACACCGGGCGCGAGGAGCAAATCACCGCCATTGGGACCCCCGACGTGAATGTGCGAGGGATTCGCTGGGTTGAGGATGACGGGGCTGCCGCCTACGACGCCAATGGTGGTTGGGGCGGGGGGAGCGGGGGCCGGGTTGAGAGCACCAGCGGGAATGTTGATGGTTGAAGGGGCCGCGTTGTTGGGCGGCCGGACGATGATTTGCGTAGGCCCAGAGGGGTTTCCGTTGCCGTTGCCGTTGCCATTCCCAGGGTTGTTGTCGGCGGGAGGGAGGACGATGGTGGTGCCGCCGGGGATGGTGATGGAGGAGCCAGGTTGGAGGGTCTGTGTGCCGATGACGATGGCCGGAGGAGGTTCCTGTTGACCTGGAGCACCATTGCCATTTCCTGGGCCGCCCCCAGGTGAATTTGCGGGATCCCCTCCTGAGGCTGGGTTCGTCGGCTGCGGAATCACGACGATGGGCTGATCACCCACTGTTCCGATAGTCGTGGGTGTCGGAGCAGGAACCGGCTGCGGGTTGGGCCCCGGCTGTGCCGGATTCCCTTGCCCTGGATTATTCTGAAGCGGAGGATCCTCTGGAGAGGGCCCCTGACCCGGAACGTCACCCGGCGCTAGCATAGGCGCAGTAGGTTTCGGAGGCAACCTCGTGGGCTCGACCTGGCTCAGCGGCGGTTGTTGTCCTGGCGTAGGCTGCGGCATCGGCTCCAGCGTCGTCAGCGTCACGAAGATATTCCCCACCGTGCTCAGCGCGATCGGTGGATCATATAGCCCATGGAGGGCAAGGTCGCACGTCTTCCAGTTCTCGTCCAGCCGGCGGATCGCCTCAGGCACGGCAATCCACGGATTGTAGGAACCGTTGATGCTGGTGCAAGCATCCCACACGCAATCCGGCGTTCCTTTCCACGCGGACCATGGATAGGGCGAGATGAGGTCGTCGGTATTGAAGGGGTACGCATACGGCTCCCAGTCCATCTCACGTGCGTCCCACGGTTCGGACTTGGATAGGTACGCCCTCTGGGAGAAAAGCTCCGAGGGCGCCATGGTGAGGATGCTGCCGCCATAATTGCCGCCCACTGGCACAGGGGTGTTGGACCATTTGCATTCGGCTTTGATGCGGTTGAGCGAGACGTAGATGTTGCCCGAGTACCAAGTTGTATTTCCCGGAAGAACGGTGTAGGGCCCCGTAGTGATGGGAGTCCAGGCTGTCAAAGTTAGTGGTGTTGATGCCGAACGCATGTTCAAACTTACTGTAGTTGGTGGGCGGCCTGGTAGTGGCGAAGGGCCCCGGTTCCTGCGCACACATATCTCGGTTAAGTGTTGCATTCGCAGGAGGCGGGAAGAAGTAGATTTCTACTCGGTCGCCGCTAATCTCGCATCGCGAGCCTGCTGTGCAGGTGGGTCTTTCGGTGCGGCAGTGGGGCGTGTACGGCGTATTCGTGAAGTCGATGACATGCTCAATCGTCACAGGAGGACCTCCAGCCGTCATGGTGTAGCCATCATCAATGTACAGATGCCCGGGAGGGGGGTCCGTGACGATGATATAATTGCTCAATCCAGGCTGGACCGGAATGGATCTGTGGATATACTCATCGCCTAGTGAAATCCTCGACGGAAAGGGCGTAGGGAAGGTTGTCGTCTTTCCATCGACCACCCAGTAGCTGGCTCCTGGTCCCAGAGACACGATGGTGTTGGCGCTACTAAAGGACACGCTTTGGTAGACCTCGGAGGCAGACGAGTAGCGGGTCCACAGCTTTTCGCAGTCGTCGAACGCAACAGTGCAGTTTGGCTCGTTGAGGGACGCCCACCAGACACCCTGAGCCAAAACCGTGGTAGTCGAGGGAAGGAGGGTCGTGGTTGAGGTCGCTGTGGGCTCAGATGTGATGACGCGGGGATGTCCATCGCACAGTGTATAATACGACGTTGTATAATATGTGCTTGAATCGACGGGTCAGTCTATTGCGTTCTGAAACGTCATCCGGAGCCGGTAGCTTACTGGACTTCATAGACTGTCTCGCTCCTGATCACCGAAGTGAAGTTGTACAATGTTTTTGACGCCGTGATGTAGTCGGTGTTGACTGACGTCCAGCTGTAATACGCATTCTGACACTGAAGCGCATATTCCAAGCCTAAAGACATATTAGCATCGTATTTTGTTGCAATTAGGATTCCTCCATTACTCACCAGTTCCTGTGGGCTCCAGTGGATTCGTGTAGGTTCCTTCCCATGGGTTGACATATCCAGTAGCGGTCGGCGACGGAGTCGCAGAAGATACAGAAGAGTTCCCAATGGGAGCAGCGGAGGACGTCGTCGCGGTGGGTTCTGGTATAGGGAGGATGACATCGGGGAGCGAAGCTGCCAGTCCGGTTACTGGTTTTCCACCGGCATTTTGTGATGACACCGCCGAAGAAGCTGTAGTGGAGTTGGCGCTGATTTCCGGGCGCGACGAAGACGAGTCTGTGGCCAAGGTCAAAATCACTCGCGCAGATTGAGGAAGAATCCTTACCCGTCGCTGCGAAAGCGACCGATATCAAAGTCGCCCACTGAATGGCCCTCATGACGCCCGACTCGTCTTGCTGATTTTACACAAGCAAGAACTTGAGGTCGTAGCAGCGCAATCGACACCGCTCGAGAATGCGCGTGTGGTTCCCAGGACCCTTGGAGTTGGACCGCAAGACCCGAACCAGGTCCATGGACGCCAGTTGATATTTATTAAAATCGGCATGCGAACGGACTCACGGAGAGAGCACGTTAAGGCTGGTCCTTGCTGCATTAAGGTTAAACTCGAAGGAGCCAAATCCTGGGTGCCAGCCATCATCGGGGGTGCTGCGTGCGCAAGCAAATGTCTCTCCAATTGGTCGATACGGGTATGCTGGAGCTTGAGCCCCTTCATCGAGTGCTAGCCAATACTCGGGGTTTCTCGAGACATGGGGATCTGCTGGCCCGGGTGTAGAAAATGCGTCGCCTGCTTACCCTTTGCAGAAATGAGTAATGCGTCGTAGGGCTGGAGATTCTTGGATGCCCAGGGGTCCGATTAATTCGAGCCTCCTTTTCCCGTCAACCAGTTAAGCTTCAGGAGTTGATGATGCAGAGGCGAGTAACAGCTTCCACTACTCCGTATGGGGAGCCAAATTCCAGCGAGCATCCACGAACTGGCAACTCGCGAGAAAGCGTACTTGGAGCGGAAAACGCCCAACGGTAGGCGTTTTTCGTGTCCGTTAGCGGATGCAACGCAACCCCATCCAGGTCGTGCATTTTAATATATTTCTCTTGTGCGTGGTGTTGCTGACCCTGTACCAAGGTTCGAGCGACAGGCATAAGCCGCACCATGTCGGGACCTAATAAGTTCTTGGGTTGGGGGCCAGTTGTGGCGGTATCCTGATCCGCTTCATCCTTCGGGAACGGGAGAACCGCGGGGATCATCAAGCTTCTGATGCTGTGCGGGGGATTTGGAGCTTCTTTTCATGTCGTCCGTTCAAAAAGAAACGGCCAGAGGAGAACCCTACGGTAACAAAAGCTGATAGCTTGGGGTTGCTGGCCCTGCTTGGTGGAATTTCTGAGAACGTCAGCAATCTGCCGTATTGGCACCACCGAAAGGGGCACGCACGTCCATCTTGTTGGGCGGCGCCGAAGCCGTTGAAGAGAACCGGACGCTTGAGGAGGTGGAAAGGAAAAAGGGAAATCGCTCAGAACCTTGGAAGCATCCGAGCATGCATGTGGCAGGTCTGGCAGCAAAATCAAAAAAGAAAAGCGACAAAGACAGGGATCGAACCTGCGCGGCCGAAGCCATTAGATGACTGAATATAGAAATTCAAGTCTAACCCATTAACCACTCTGGCACTTTGTCAGATAGTTTGATTAAAATTTCCGGTTGCAAATCTTATATGTTAGAATGCGGCTCGTCATAAATGTGACAGCTAAATGTCCCTTTCTAGGCGAAGTGCCACTCGTGATTATGCAGTTCTCTCCTCATATTGCAGGGAAACGGACTGACTACTGAGCAGTACCCTTTACACGTCCCGAAGAAATGGTCATAAATTAGAGTGCCGCTTTCCCACTTAACGACCAGGTGTTGTTCTCTTCGTCATGTTTCACCCTACCCTCCTTCCTCAACTTCTCCAATATCTGCAGAATGCCCTTTTCCGCCGGCTGCCACAAATTCTCAGGATAATCCTTATAGATCACCTTGACAATATCCATCGACGACCAACCGCCCTCTTTTGGCTGCGCAAGGACGTCTAATACCTGCTTTTCGCGCAACTTGCGGTGCTTGATGTACTCCAACACTTTTGCGGGTCCTTCCTCAATCACTGGGCCGTGTCCTGGGTATGCCCGGCCTTTGAACGCCTTGGACATGGCCTCCAGACTCTCCATGTACGTGCTCAAGTCCTCGAATACCGCAGTGCCCTGGCCTAGGACGTTGTCGCCAGTGAACATGGCATCTTCTTCTTCGAGGATGAAAGCCATATGGTCAGTGGTATGCCCGGGGCTGTACAAGGCTCGCAAAGTTGCACCCTCTGTCTCGAACCTCTGTCCGTCCTGGATGTCGGACCATCCATCCTTCGGGTTGTTTTTGAACACCTTCGTATTAGGAAATGCTTTGAGCAGATCTGGTACTCCCTCAATGTGGTCATGGTGCCAGTGCGTGAGGAGCGCTTTGTCGATTGCGATCTTCTCCTTCTCCAGGACTGCCTTGATTGAGTTTATCCATACTGGTCTGCCCTCGCCCGTGTCTATGAGGAGACGGCTGGACCCAGTGCCGACAATGTACGTATTTGTTCCTTGTACATCTCAGACATACTCTTTCAGCTTCTCAAACTACGAACCTTGCAGCGTGAACTAAAACATCCCGTTAGATGTTGTGTATAACTCGGCTAACACGACGCACCTTGCCCGGATTCCCAGCCAGCACCCGGATTACTCTGTCGCTCAGCTTTTCAAGGGGCGGAAGAGGTACCAGAGGCTCTGTCATTGTGGAATACAATCTGTGAAAGGCAGGACGGACACCCCGCAATCGCCATCTTATGTTCATGTTCAGTCATTGGACTTTCCGAGGTACAGGCACAACAGGGTTCGCTTATCGATAACGCGTAGTCGGCTAGGTCTCTTCTTCGATATCCGAAGCTTGTGAACAACTAAAAAGTCAGCGACCATGGCGTCAACAGACGTGGATGATGATGTCCCGTACGTGGACCAATATTCGATTTGTCGTGCCTTTTGCTTAGTTGACACTGCAGGCAGCTCCCTGCGGACACGTTGGCCCTGCTGAAAGAATTTTATGGCGAGAAGGATGCGAGGCAAAAGCAGTTCGAAGATCTCAAAGCGAAAGCTGAGGATGATTTTGAGGGAAGTTTTTCAATGGAAGCCTTCACAGAGGATTGGAATGCGAGCCAGTTCTGGGTATGATATACGAACTTCTTTGTAATCATAGAGCACTGACAAGTCTCTAGTACAACGACGAAACAGCCTCCATTTTAGCCAGACAGCTGCTCGAAGGAGCCACAGACGAAACCCGAATAGCAGTTGTATCAGCACCAAGCGCCTTCATTCAGCTCAAGAATCTCTTAGTACGTGCCGGGCTTGTGGTTGTGGGCGACTTTGCCGTTAACGACCCTCAGAAATCCGGAGAATATCAATGCCGACCAACAATCAGATTACTCGAATTCGATGAGCGTTTCGGTGTGTTCAAGGAGTTTGTCCATTATGACTTCGAGCATGCTACACGGCTACCCGCTGAACTGAAGGGCTCCTTTGACCGCATCATCTGCGATCCTCCGTTCCTCAGTCAGGACTGCCAGACCAAGGGTGCGTAATCCAGATGTCGCATCTTTTTGGTAATCCATGATTGACGTTTTCAAGCCGCTCTGACGGTCCGCTGGCTCGCAAAATCCTGGTCCCAAGATTCTCTCCGGTTGATTGTGTGTACCGGAGAGCGAATGGAAACCTTGATCCAGAGGCTTTATGCAAAAGTCGGCGCACATACTACTACTTTCGAGCCAAAACATGCCAAAGGACTGAGCAATGAGTTCAGATGTTATGCCAACTTTGAATGCGAGGATTGGAAGTGGGCGGAACGGGCATGATTTGGGATTAGCGTATATTGTTCATGTTGACGCCTATTTTCTGCTTAGCTGTTCGTTATAACAATATACCCCGTTCAGTTTGTGTATAACAAGCTATTTACCAATGAGTAATTGGTGAACTTTTCGAAAGAATGATGGACATCGGTCAGACCTTCCTTGTCTGCAAATACCCCAGCTCCTGCCCCGCCCCCGCGTACAACACCCCACCTGAGCTCCAGTTTCCGAACCTCGAACCTCGAACCTCACGTCACCGATACCTTTCAAGCATTCACATACCTCAAACTGCAGTCCCAGCGAACACAATGGCCGCCTGTATCTTCTGCAAAATCATCCGGGGTACGGCAATTCCGCAATCCCCCTCCGAGGACAAGTTAACATGCTCCAGGCGAGATCCCTGCATTGAAGATCTTCGAGAGTGAGAAGACGCTCGCGTTCCTAGACATTGGACCTCTCAGCAAAGGCCATTCTGTATGCTGCCCCTTCCCAGTCCCTCATTCAATCACCAGCACCGCTTAAACTGCTCGTGGAATTAGTAATTGACAATTGCGTAGCTCATCATTCCCAAATACCACGGCGCCAAACTCCACGACATCCCCGACGACCAGCTCTCCGAGGTGCTTTCCGTAGCAAAGAAGATTGCGCTTGCACAGAATTTGGAAAACTATAATCTTCTGCAAAACAATGGGAGGATTGCGCATCAGGTTGTGGATCATGTGAGTGACCAGTTCCTTGTCTCACGGAATGATAAGGTAGACGTGAATCGCTGACAGAGCATTAGGTCCACTTCCATGTGATTCCGAAACCGAATGAGACTGAGGGATTGGGAATCTCGTGGCCGACTAAGCCAGCGGATAAGGGCGAGCTCCAGAAGTTGTTGGAGGAGATGAGATCGAAGATGTGAAGTGATAAGAGAAACGGTAGTTGGAATGTGAGCACCGAGTCCCGAGGACCTGATTATGCAGTTGCAAGACCAGTAATAGTTTCATTTTCTCGTCTTATATTCAATGCCCCCTGAACGTCGGCTTCCTCTTCTCCCTAAACGCAGCCAAGGCCTCATCCCGATCCTTCGTCTTCACCACAACCTCATAAGCCGCATTCTCCGCCTTCTCTCCCAGAGCGCAGCCCTCAACGGCTGCCAGCGCCGCTTTAATGGCAATAGGCCCGCCCTCACAGATGTCCCTCGCCAGCTTCACAGCCTCCTCTAGCACCTTCGACCGCGCAGCACCCGGCTGCTGTGCGTCCTCCGGCGTGACTTCTACAAGCCTATCGCATAGCCCTAAAAAGTATGCTTCAGGTCCGCCGACCCGACGTCCTGTCAAGATCAGATCGCGAGCGCGAGAGAGGCCGATCAGAGCGGGGAGTCGATATGTTCCTCCTGCGCCGGGAATGATGGCCAACCGCGTCTCGGGCAGCGCTACAGTCGCTGTAGAAGCAAATACGCGCATGTGAGTTGTGAGGGCCATTTCCAGGCCGCCTCCGAATGCGGGGCCTGCGAGCGCCGTTATGGTAGGGATGGGGAGATTTTGGATCGAGGTGAAGGTTGCGCGTAGCGAGGCCAGGAAGTTGGCTGTCCTGGTTTCCAAGACGTCAGTTGATATGAACAGGTCTCAATAATTGTAGACTACATACTCCTCCTGCGTGAAGCCCGCTCGTTCTTTGAGATCGGCACCAGCGCAGAAGCTCGAATCCACGTCGCTTGCCAGAATCAGTGCCCTTGTCGCTCCGGCCTCTCCTTCATTGTGTATGCTGTTGACCTGGTGCGACAGTTCGGCTAGCAATTGCCTCGATATGGCGTTCCGCGCCTCGGGCCGGTTCAGCGAGAGGATGCGGATGCTACCGCAATGCGGTGCTGGTACGCTTGTGACGTTGATGACGGGTCCTGGTGCGGCGGAGTATGTGCGGCGCTGGAATTGGCAGAATAGCAATCGTGCTTGGGGCCGGAGAAGGAGAGGCATCGTGGATTTCGCGGAAGCAGGACGAGATGGTGGAAAGTCTGAGGAGCATCCCAAAGGTTGAAGCATCGCGACATGGCGGGTATTAGCGGCACTCGGTAAAAGGAGCTATGACCAGGAGTGAATACTACAGTACATTCATGGGTGAGACGATTTGTGGTACATTCATATGTATAGTATTCCGATTACACAATCATCTTCATGTTTATGTCTGTACGTCCAAGTGCGCGGTCCTTTTCAGGGAGATGCTACTGCGCAACGAAATTGCAGCATTGAAGGACAGAGGAACGAGAACGGAGACTGAGAACCATAAGAGCACTGCATTGCCATTGTTATCATCCTTCCGTCCTTTACATCACCAGTTGCGTGCTTAAGAATATCCCGCATGCCCTAGATTTAAGATGATGGCGCGGCCCGCACTCGTTCTGAATGGCGGAGGTGCTTGTCCTTCTCTAATTCTCTTTACTCGCCTCGGAGCATCGTATAATCATCTTTCTGACTCCTCAGGTCAGTAGTTCGGCCGGCGACCCAACCTGGCTGCGTCAGGGGAGATGCTACTTGCCCGGTACAGACGGCTGCATGCAGAGAAGACATGTGCGTCCGATGGTGACAGGGACGATAACCAAACAGGCTGGAGACGTAAACCGAAGCTCCCTCTCTCGCAAGGTTCAACTTCGTATTACGACGGAGAAAGCTGGGGTATTGGAGACGATACTGTGAGTCAAAATATCGACATTCTCATGCAGCTGCCTGCGCTTGTTGGGCTGCAGTCTGAATCCGGATGATCTGCTATCGCATCAGAGACTGTGATTGTCCACTACCAAGCGTAACACACCTCGATCTTAACCTTCTCGCTCTTGTCCCGGATATCCTTGATCTGTTTCTCAATTCTTCCTCTGCTCAATGTTAGTCCCACGCCGCGCGTGTCTCACCATGGAATCGGCTCACATCTCCTTCTCGATAAATTCCAAACGGCCGTTTACAGCCATCACGGCTTCAGTCTTATCCTGCTTCAGGAGCACAGGTCCGATCTGCTTGTAAATGTTTGCATCGTCGGCGAGAAGATCGAATTCCTATCCAACGGCTCAGTTCCTGCCCTGGACACTGTTCTACAGCCAGATCGCACCTTCTTCACAGTCGTATTCTCCTGCTGCTGCGCCTCGAGCTTCTCGCGTGCCTCAACAACGGTCGAGAGCTCTGGGTTACAATTAGCAAGCATGAACATGACAGTACACAAGCACCTACTCACCGCCCTGTAGCTTCTGGAACTCATCGGACAGTTCTTGCAGCTTCTTCTGTATCTCTGCCATGATCCCCGTTGTATTGGACTCGCGGAGAACGTCCAGAGAAACCTTGGAAGCATTTGTGGTAAACCAGGTCGCCATTTCCTATCTAGGACTAGCTTCTCGATGCGGGGCGCAAGGTGACATGGTTGCAGGCACCTAGCAACCATCAACAACTCCAGCGCAATTTCAAACATCTGCCTTCGTGTGTATATTGGCTCTCACTCTGATTCTGCGGCGTCTAGAAGACATCGGCTCTCTCACGATCTCCTGCACACCCATCATTTTCGCCGAGACCGCCCTCATTGGCCCGCCGCCAGCCATCGTCAACAACACCGACACCGCCGCCACGCCCCTCAAGCGGTCTCAGAGGAAATAGCCTGGGTTTTCATTTAGTTTGTTAAGGAAAAGGTGCTCAGGATGAGCACTGGGACTTTCCGGGACCGGGCCATCGACTCTATCAAGGTCGCGATTGCCTTGGACAATGCCGGGGAATACGAGAAGGCATACCCGGCGTATTGCTCAGCTCGTAGGTGCCGCCCATATCAGGAGAAACTGTTGTATAGATCTAACGGCTCTATCATAGTGGAGCTCTTCATGCTCGCCCTAAAATGTGAGCGTAACCCGTTCCCTTGGCGCTCGACGCATTTGTATACTGACGAGCGAAGGGGAGAAGAACCAGAGGAGCAAAGAGACCATGAGGGGGAAGGTGGCAGAGTACATGGAGCGGGCAGAAAAGGTGAAAAAGCATATAACGGAGAATGAGGCGAATCGAAAGAAACCCAGTGCCATGGGCGCAAACGGCAAGGCTTCAGATGGAACCGGAAAGAGGTAAGTTGGAGCGTGGTGACTATAGTCTACCCTGCTGCTGACACCTGGTTATAGCGACGATACAGAGGAAGACGCCGACTCCAAGAAGCTGCGCGGCGCGCTCGCCGGCGCAATATTGTCCGAAAAACCAAACATTCGGTGGGAAGACGTGGCGGGTCTGGATCAGGCGAAGGAGGCCCTGAAGGAGGCTGTCATATTACCTATCAAGTTCCCGCATTTATTCAGCGGAAAGCGGCAACCGTGGAAGGGAATACTACTGTACGGGCCGCCTGGTACGGGTAAGAGTTATCTGGCGAAGGCCGTGGCAACAGAGGCGAACAGCACTTTCTTCAGCATATCAAGTTCCGACCTGGTCAGCAAGTGGATGGGTGAGAGCGAACGGTTAGCACCCCTCGCCGCACGAAGCCTGGTCACAGCTAACTCTACCACCCAGGTTAGTAAAACAACTCTTCACTATGGCTCGCGAGAACAAGCCTTCGATCATCTTTATCGACGAAATCGACGCGCTGTGCGGCGTTCGCGGCGAAGGAGATTCCGAACCATCCCGGCGCATCAAAACCGAGCTTCTCGTGCAAATGGATGGTGTTGGAAAAGACTCCCGCGGTGTCCTCATCCTAGGCGCCACGAATATCCCATGGCAGCTCGATGCAGCAATTCGCCGACGTTTCCAGCGCAGGGTACATATCAGTCTACCGGATCTGCCTGCTAGGATCAAGATGTTTGAGCTCGCGGTCGGGAACACGCCCTGTGAGCTTACACCGCAAGATTACAGGAAGCTGGGAGAGTTAAGCGAAGGCTATTCCGGAAGCGACATCTCCATCGCGGTACAAGACGCACTCATGCAGCCTGTGCGACTGATTCAGACGGCAACTCATTATAAACCGGTATGTAGTCGTCTCCCTTCTTTCCACACCCTATCAAAGTCTTTTAACACTCGATAGGTCATCCAAGACGGCGTGGAAAAGTGGACACCCTGCTCACCTGGAGACCCGCAAGCGAAGGAGATGACGTGGACGGAGCTCGATGGCGAGAAGCTTGCCGAACCGCCGCTGCGGCTCAAGGACTTCATCAAAGCGATCAAGGCGAGCAGACCGACTGTTAGTAAGGAGGATCTGCAGAGGAATGCGGAATGGACAAAGGAGTTTGGTAGCGAGGGGGCGTAGTGCGAAAGGGGACCATGCATTGTGCAGTACGAGAGGTGGGAGACCGGCAGGGCGTCTATATGGGTGTGCCCTTCCGTGTCGGTGATTCTGGAATGGATATATTTGAGAGTCAGCGTTTTCGTCCCGCTTTGCAAGGCGTAGGTGGATGTGCATACCGCGTTTCGAGGTTCTGGTTTCTGATAGTGATCCGTTACCCATGGAAGATAAGGTTTGGTGGATCAGGACTTTGGATATTTTAGACAAGTTGATATCAACCCTATACGGGGAGAGAGCGCTAAATAGGCATCCAAGGTATGTTAAAGCAAATCTCACTGCAAAAACTACCTTATGGTAGGTTTTGGTTGATGAGACGCGACATTAGCTATTAGCATGTTGGAAAGCAGGAGTGGATTATTCCAGAGGAAACTTTCACTCTCCTAGCGGGATTTAGTTCTCGAGACCTGAGATTAAGAGTTGATATCGAAGTCCTTAAACCTCAATTCCCCAACAGCATATCCTCTCCTGACTACGGGTTATTCCTCTTCGTCATTTCTTAGTCAAAGACTCGAATTTCTTCAGAATCTCCTCCGTCTCGTTTGACCCATATTTACACTTCTCAGGCAGCCACCTCCCTTCGGCATGCCTCGCGTCAGCGATTCTCTTTCTAGTCTTCGTATACACAACCGTTCTTAAACTCTTCGCAATCCCAGATGTAGTATAACCCAAAAGACCGAACATACCAGCACTACTCCTTGTAGCCATACCTACCATACCCTAACCCAACCCCTTAACGGCACCCTTCATTCCTTCCTTCTGAGCTCCCTGGTTTGGCTTTACAACAATGTCACTGACACCGTCAATGAAACCCCACGCAAAAGTTTTCCCGGTGACCGTTGCACCACTTTTCAATCCAGTCACCGGGCCGTGATCACGAGGAGTGTCGCCGTAGTGTCGAGGCACATTTTTAAGCCCCTCAGTAAGTGCGAGCGGGATGTCAACAGTCATACCTTTCAGTGCCGGGTAGCTCAAATACTCCGGAGAGCCTTTCCTTCTTTTCCACCATGTCAGGTAGTGCGACCGCAGCACCATAGAAGTCTTGTCAGGATGATTAACTTGAAAGCTGGCGAAAAGAAATCCGTCATCACTTTAATGGTCTTAGATAGATCAGATTTGAGAATGCTCCGCTGCCGAAACTCTCCAGCCCCGGTTATGATATGCAATCGCTAGTCGTTGCCGATCCATCTCTTATAAGGTGCGTATCTCGTATAGAGCCAGTAATCTATCTCGCATTTCGGAGAATCTGGGAGCGCTCTCACCGTTTAATGTTTGAAAAATAAAACGATGAGACCCTTTTCGCTTGGCTTACGCGTCGGCCCGAGTGCTTTTGCTTGATTTCTGTTCCTGTAACTCTAAGTACTGGGAATGTAGAGATCCATGACTGGCTTCAAACGGCAAGCGCTATTCAACAGCTCCCCGAACCCGCGCCTTTATGATTGATATTCGCGGCAATCAGAAGGATAGTATCGCTCTGTCGGAGATGCTGGATCGCCGGAGCTTCTCCTATACATTACATCTAACATAGATAGTATGCGTCCATAGCAGAGCTTTTCGCCATGAAATATATAGTTTCGTTACGCCGTTGAAGTCTCGCTACTAGCAAACAAGTTGTAGACATACGACATTAACGTCAAACAACATGGTCGGAAAGTCTTGCGACGGTGATTCCATCATTTTTAGTTTGCGACGAGACCGTAAGTTGTCCATTGTCACAAAGACGAGCTGATAGGTAGCCTTAGGATAGGCCAAGTGTCAGACATGTCGGTAGCAATGTTCACATAATGATCGCCACATAGCCATTCGAGTTTCAAACTAAAATACAGCTTAGATACACTTGACGTATCCCCGAGCACACCCTTTCCATCTCTATTCTTCACCGGTTCCAAGATATCTCTGTCTAGTTTCTTCCAAATCACACAAGGGCTGCCCTGAAATCTGCTTCTGGTACAAATCCGTAACCTCGGCCGGGTGTATCCAGTTGAAGAGGACCATAACAACGAGCATCAGCAACGCATCGAAAACGTAAAGGAAAACCTCTCGACGCAAAAGGTAACCGTTATTCCCCTGCAGGTACTCGATAACGCGGAATACGCTCCTAATCATGATCAAAGCGGATGCGGTGTACAGTGCGTACATGTGACGTCTCCAAGGTAGATCGTGGGCGTTGGAATCGGAAGCGTCAACGTCATGGTAACCAGTGGAGCCCCGCCGGTTCATCGGATGCCTCGAAGTATTGGAAGAAGACGCCGAATTGGCTCTGCTCAGCCGGTGATGAAAGATTCCCGCGACCAAAATGAAGAATCCGAAGAACGTGAGCTGCAGGAACAAGCCGACGATGATGATTTTTTCTCCCGCATGCATCAGGCCGAGGGACCCAACAGCTTGAATTCCGCCTCCACCGCATTGCGTGAGGAAGCTCATCACATCGCCAGTCACGAATACCTTAGTGAGCCATTTCTGACGGATGAGAGAATATTTTTCACCGTTGGTGAGGAGAATGATACGGCCGAGAATGATATAGACTGAAGCTGCGAATAAGGCTGGCGCGAGGAGGAGGAGCAGCGACTGCATGATGAAGGGTCCGAGGGCCCAGATATTGTTGGCGGAGAGGATTCGTCCGATGAAACCGACGATTTCGACTTTGGCGCCACTTCTGTTAGTCTATGATCCCAAGTTGAGCCGTCTCCCTCGCAGAAGGCACGTATACATACATATGCCACCGACGACTAATGGTATGAAGTACCATGTTTTCCTCCTAAAGACTTGCAGAACGTGCAGTACTGTAGTCAGGCTGAATGCTACGACGAATATAATGGCTGCGGTTTTCGATGGATGGTAGCGATAAGGTACCCAGGCATTAGGGTTATCGAGGGAGGGATGATATTCGTCTGCCATGACAGGCGACAAAAGTGAATTCTGGGACGATGATAGCGCAGAATGCCTGTGAATTCAAGCGGATGATATCGATTATGGATTATGGAAATAGAGAGTTGGTACGAAGTTGGAAGCTGGGGAGGAGGTCGATATTTTAGTGATACTTATAAAACAAGCTCCATCGCATCGGAAATGGGATCTCTAAAATTTCACCCTTTTCTCCTACCAAACACATGGGCCAGAATACGACACACACTGTAGGCGATGCTGGCCGAGTGTGTTCCGCATCCAGCCAATGATGGCGAAGTGTGTACGGAGTGCAGAGACAAGCCTAACTCCAAAGGAAGACCGAGGCAAGCGATTTTGGTAAGCGGCCATGCTAACTCTAAGCCCGGGCAATTTTCGTAACGTGTACGCCCTTGGCGGCGTATTTCGTATCGACAACGGCCCTGCAGACCAAACGTTCCCATAGAGAAAAATATCCCTGTTCCTGGCTGCGTGTATCATTCAACTGTAGGTAGCCATTGAGCAGACTGCGGATCTGCAACGACGTTTTGAGATAATATTCTCCGTATAAAAGGCCCACCTGCCTCATCATGCCTCTCAAGAAATAGAAGGGCATACATCCCATCACTGGAGTTCTTCTTCTAGGGTACTACTTCATTTCTTTCCTTCTACGCCGCGACTCTCGTTACGCATTCCGGTCGTTACTGTACAAATCAATCGAGTTTCATTTGTTGTTTTATTCCCGTCCACTCTGAGCAAACCCGGTCCATCCCATCCCAGTTCCATTTTCCGGCAACGTACCGCAAGACGGAAACTATGACAACCGAGAATGGCCTCTACCCGTACAAGCCCAGCCGGCCTGGCACTGTTATATTTGCTATTGCATTCGGGACAAGTGCTGCCATCCACCTATATCAGATGATACGTGGGAGAGCATGGTTTTACAGCTCATTCACTGTAGGCGCAGTCAGTAAGGTTGACCCTAAGCATCTCGAGAGTGACTCGTCATATTGACCAACCGTCAGTGATGGCTGCTGGCTACGCAGCGCGCTATGTGTCAACCAGATCCCCAGCGGACCTTGGCCCATTCATCGCCCAGTCGCTATTCATCATCCTTCCTCCCTCGCTCTACGCCGCGACGATATACATGATCTATGGCCGCCTCGTCATCTTCGTTAATGCCGCCGAGGCCTCCATCATTCGACCTATATATGTCACAAAGATATTCGTGTGCGGCGATGTACTTGCCTTCGTTTTACAAGCTGCTGGCGGCGGCATGATGGCTCAGGTCAACCTGGGCGATTTGGGCCAGAAGGTTATGCTGATTGGCCTCTTCACTCAGCTACTCTTTTTCGGCTTTTTTCATCTTCTTCAAGCGCCTGCGACACTCTTCTGCTCGAACCAGCGTTCCTCAGTACGGCAGGCACGCCTGGACTGCGCTGCTGAAACTCATGTTGGGTGCGGCCGTGGTCATTATCCTGAGATGTGTATTCAGGATCGTCGAATTCGCCCAGGGGCATGCCGGCTATCTTGCGAGCCATGAAGTGTACATGTATCTTTTTGACACGCTGCCCATGCTGGGCGTGCAACTCCTGTTTCATTTCGTTCGAGCAGATAGCGTATTCGGAGCAAACCAAGTGGAAAAGCTGGGGGATCGCGACAGCATTATTCATCTCTATGAAAGGCGTTGAGGGCATTGAAACCTGTGTATGGAGATCATAGAAACAATATAGAACGGACGCGTTTCTGATCGGGAAGAGAATCCATTGTCGCAAGGCGTCTTCGATTCGCTGCTGGATGCTACCTTTGCTGAGGCCATGATACCGTATGCAGAATTAACGTTATAATCAAAGGCCACCTGCTCAAGTGCGCGTGTGTGTGCTGGTTGTATTCATACCCTAATCAGTGCCTCCGGAATGATGGCATTGCCAAACTCACGGTCCAAAGGATATATTTTGCGGCGATGCAAGGGGGGTGACGCAAGCATAGAATGTGGACACTTAGAGTGTCGACCGAGTATCGTACCTGGGCAATGCAGCGGGCGTACTCCGGAGCCTCCCCGTCCGTAAGTTCCACGTTATTCTCCATCGGGTATGGTGCACTTATGCCTCCAGGGCTCCCGGGCCTCTTATACACCAGTATAAACGAAGTACGCCCCCTCGCGTATTTCGTTCATCGTATATCGGCCCCAGCTTCTGTCTCCCATCAGGGAATTTCGCACTGCCACAAGTGTGGAGCCAGACATTCGATACCGGCCAACAGATAGGGTATCTTCCAACCAATGACTCTGAAGAGAAAGCCACATCGAAAGTCGCGGACTGGTTGTAGTGAGTGCAAGCGTCGGCGGATCAAGGTACCTTCCTATCTACGCAGTACGACAACGCCCTCGCACAGCCTAATCCAGTCCAGTGCGATGAAGAAAAGCCGCGATGCACATATTGTGTGCGCCACGGAAGCCCTTGCGTGTATCCGGGGACATCGCCCTCAGCCACCATAGGACCGACACCTAATCTCTCAGCACCTGGACATCCCTCGCCTCTGTCACAGACATCGCATGCCGAATCGCACACAGAAGCCTCCGAGATCACACCATGCTTCGCACACTGTGCTCGTTCCCCAATCCCATCAGGGGCATCTTTCGAGTTGAAAGATCTAGCTCTCCTGCACCACTGGACCCTGGTCACCAGTCGCAGCATCCTGAACACGCCGCAATTAGACCACTTCTGGCAGACTGTATTACCAGAGATTGCTTTCCAGCACTCGTACGTGATGCACAGCCTCCTCAGCATCGCAGCGCTGCACGTCACCTACTTGTGTCCGTCAAACAGACGCGAGCACCTGTGCGACGCAGCACACCATCACTCAAAGGCACTCGCCGGCTTCCGAGAAGCCATCAACTTCATTGACCCACAAAATGGCGACGCGCTCTTTGCGAGTGCCACCCTCATCTTCTTCTATGCCTTCCTGACGTTCGGAAAGCTGTACGATGGATACGGTGACGATACCAGTACCAAGGCACACACGTCACGGATCCTCGGTGCTGAGTGGATACCGCTTGTCCGTGGTATCGAGTTGATACTGCATCCTGTGTATGAACATGTGCGAGCCGGGCCGCTGCGTTCGCTTCTGGGTCTCGGGAACTGGTACGAGTTGGATCCAGACGCACAGCCCGGGCCTGGTGATGAGGATCTGTTGCGGCTCCGCGAGATATGGAATTCGGACGAAAACGCAAAGGTGTACGACGAGACGCTAACACTGCTGCGACGGACCAGCGTCTGGATGATGCAGTTCCAGAACATGCAAGGCAACCAGGCGTCCGAGCGGGGATACCATAGGGACTGGTCCGGCCCGTTCATATGGCTTTTCCTAGTCCCGGACAAGTATTTTGTATTGCAACAACAGCGACAACCATCGGCTTTGATTCTTTTTGCTTACTTTGGGGCCCTGCTCCAGCGGTTGAATGGGTACTGGTGGATGGAGGGATGTGGAAAAAGCATAGTCGGTGTGGTCGATGAATGCCTGGGACCGTATTGGAGTTCCTGGCTGGATTGGCCGAAACAAGTCGTTGGACTAGGCTGATGCTGTACGAAGAGAGGTCTGCAAACAAACTATTTTCCGGTGACAGAAGGACAACCTTTACAGCACACTCGTTCCGTTCCAGGGACGAAGGTCCTCTCCTGCGCAATCCACTTGTAACACTACCTTCTCGTGCCAGAGTTGAGAGAGAAAAATGGAGGCGAGCACAGAGCAGACACCAGGAATAGGTACGGAGATGACGGAAGGGGAGGCGGAAAAGGGAAGTGGGAATGAAGAGGGCTGCGACATGCAGCGTTTGGAAGGATGAATATAAGAGACGTTCGAGAGAGGATGTAACGTCCAACAAGTACCGTTTTGCGGCTTGATTTGAAGTGCTGTTAGATTCTGGTTATATATAAGAGACAAGGCCTTTTGTGAGCGTACAGGTGTAATTCTCTTGTCCTCTTTCCGGGGCGTGCAGTTCTAAACGAAAACCATATTTGGCCCTTCTCTCAGACGCCAGCACGCCTATAACGTCGTGTCGTTAATGTTCCGCTGGTGAGCCCGACCTCGCGAGTCGGCTCTTGAGGTGTAGCTTTGAACGTCTCTTGGACGTCGGAGCGATAGGAGCGATTGCGGATTATGTTTGCGGATCCGGAGCCCTCGAGTGGGCTTCGCGCTTGATGTATTGGTACTTCCAATGCCGGGTGTTGGGCCGAATGTCTTCCGGTATTCACCAATTCGACAGCTCGCCATATTCTCTTCCTCAGCACTCACCCTATCTCCCGCCATTTCACAGTTCTTCCACATTGATCACCGCTCCGTGATAAAGTCCTTCCTCTTATCTCATCACTCCCTTCTTCCTCTGCCGCTCCCCTCCCCAGGACCCTTCAAACCCCTGTCCCTCTTCTGCCAAGTCATCTCCCTCCATTGTGCCCTCATCTCGTCCTTGAAGTGATCCAAGAAGCTGGGTCCCGTCCTCCCGTGGCCGTTCTCGGGCTCCAGCGGTGGCAGTCTGTTGATGCGGCGATGGGCTTTGGCGATGAAGCGGTTGAAGCGCGGGGAGCGGACGAGTGCGGCGACGGCATAGGCTTCGAGGAGGGCGAGGAAGGGTCCAATCATGTCGGTGTGTTCACAGCGCGACGTAAGAGGAGTGATGGAGGTGGATTGAGGGGTTCGAGGCGTCGGAAACCAGTTGTTGGAGGGGGGAGTGGAGTAGTGATGGCGCCAGGGTGATGAATCATCCGATGGAGGGCAACGGGAGTGGCGGAGACGGTTCCGATGCCAACACCGATGGTGCGAAAAAGGTCTAGAAGGGGGACTGGGCAGGAGAAGGGCCTGGATTAATAAGGAGGAGCGCTGAAGTTGTGCCTGGAGACCTCTTCTTCTCTTGTTTGATGTGCTCCGAGGATCTTCGTCGAGACTGCGAATAGATTCCAAGGTTCCCACCCTTCACCGCGACTGCCACGGCCTGCTCAGAGAGTCCAACCTGAGCTTTCTCAACAACGCAGAAGCAGCTTTCGACTCCCCGATCCACGCACTCCCAGCTGGCACTCCCAGCCGCGCCTACGCCTACGCGCATTCGTTTGATCCGGATTCCTGGGTGAAACGAGAAGACCCAATCGACCAAATCCGCAAGACGTCGTGTGCGACCCCCACTCCCGAGCCTCGAGAAATCCCGTTTCCATCCCGCACTTACGCCCCAATCACCTGGCTCAACCACGCCGAGTCGCGCGCATTTTGCGACATATTCCACACTCTAGGAGGGAAGGCTGCGTGAGTCGAAGAGCTATAAACTGGAAAAGTGTGGCAGACAGAGGAGAGCCCCTCAGAGCACTCAGCCGTCCTCCATTCGCATCCTCCAACACCCCTACCCAAACACGACAGGGCTGCAGCATCCAAGCCTGCGCTCACCACCGCCAGAGCGGTACGCATACGCCACGCACACGCCCGCTTTCCAGCCTTCAAGCCCCTCCACCCGTCACCATAGCGCCCTCTTCCTCTCCTCTTTCTCCTCCTCCTCCTCCCCCATCCGGCGCCGAACCGGACGTCTCCCCCCAGGTTGAACGCACTCACACGAAACACTTCACCCTTCAGCACCTCCGAGCCCTCAAGCGCAAAGCCAAAGTCAGGCTGAAAGGCGGCCTCAAGACGAGCCTGCCGCCCTCCTCCACCATGTCGGGTGCCCCGCTCGCCGTGCCCGCCTCGCCCGCCAGTTCCTCGAAGCGCTCGCGCAGCAGGGACAGCTCGGCCGCATCGCGTGCGTCGTCGACGTTGGCATATACACCTGCGGGGAATACGCCGGCGCAGACTCCGATGGCGAGTGCGCCCAGCTTGGTGATACCGGCGACGGGGCCAGGAAGTAGCGCTGGGGGGCCGGATGGACAGGATCCGACGCCGTATCCGGCGTTTTTGAGACTGAGCAAAGCAGGCAGGTAGTCTAAGACCTTTGGTCTGATATTGGAGGGGCCGTTGACTAACTTTGGTCGTAGATGTCCATGTCAAGATGGCGGATTTGGAGTGGGACCATAGGCAGAAGTTGCAGCAGGGAAGTCAGAAACATATATTACAGCAGCAGAGGCAGCGGCAGAGCGAGGAGGAGGGGGAATCGCAGCAGGGACAGGAGCCGGAGCAGCCAGAGATATCGCCATACACGCGGTGTAGCGGTGAGGAGGTCGCGAGCCGGAACCGCTATGTGAATGTCGATCCATACGAGCTGAACCGCGTGCGGTTAAAGGTCCCGGAAGGCTGCAGCGATTACATCAATGCAAGCCCGATTTTGCTGAAGTCGACGCGGTCGGGGAGGGTAACGCGATTCATCGCTACGCAGGTGAGGCGTTGTCATTCGAATCCCACAATGAAAAGGGCATGAGCAAGGTGACTGACACGAAATCCAGGGCCCCAAACAAGACCTCGTCTCCCACTTCTGGCGTATGATCTGGCAAGAAACGCGCTCTCCCGCAACCATCGTCATGCTCACCCGCACCCACGAAGCGGGGCGTGAAAAATGCTACCCCTACTACCCGCTCGCCAGCTCCCACTCCCAGTCCGCTTCCCCTGAATCCTCCTCCTCGTCAACGTCACAATCGCAATCGCAGTCGCAGTCGCAATCACCGTCCACAGAGATCTCGCTCTACAACAACGACTTTGGCGACGATCTCGCCCTCGCCGTCCGCCTCGTCGAGTTTACCGAGCACGAAGAAGCACGCGCGGAGGTGAGAGAATTGGCGCTTATCAAGCATCACTTCGATGAGGAGAAGAGTTGTTGGACGTATGAAGGAGGCGAGACGAAGAAGGTGTGGCATTTGCTGTTCGAAGGGTGGCCCGATTTCTCGGTTCCCGAGGGAAGGGATAGAAAGGCGTTGGTCGAGCTGGTGAGGATGAGTAGGGTGGTCAACGGGGAGGATGATGAGAACGGACAAGAAGATGAGGCATCACAGGGAAATCCGCGAGTCGTCCACTGCAGCGCCGGCGTAGGTCGCAGCGGCACGTTCATCGCGCTTGACTGGCTGCTTCGAGAGTTGGAAGAAGGTGCGTTGGACAAAGTCGACGAGGGGTATGATCCCGTAGTCGAGGTGGTGCAGGAGTTGAGGAGGCAGCGGATGATGATGGTGCAGGGAGAGGCGCAGCTGGGGTTCCTGTATGAGGTGCTCAGGGAGGAGTGGAGGGAGAGGTGGATAAGGATGAATCCGGAGGAGGCGGATAGGTTGGGGTTGAAGGGGAGGGAGGAGGGAGAGGAGCCGGAGAGGAAGAAAGTCCGGCAGGAAGAGGAGGAGGTTGGTGAGGAGCAGCCTGGGGATGAGGACGAGGCGGCCGAGAGGAAGGCTGAGGAGGTGGAGGAGGAGGCGGAGAGGGAGGAGAGGGAACGACAGGATGAGGCTACGGATGGAGCGAGTTAGGTGTGCGGCTTTCTGGTTTCGAGGGTTTCGATGACAGCAATGGTCGGACCCCTTTTTTGTTTAAGGGGTACTGACTACAAAGGCGTACGGAGGGGTTTGTAGGTATGGTACCTTGGTATATCAGCGTGCGGTATTGTTATTGGTCACGGGCACCATATATATCATTCCATCATTCACATTTATCGAGTTGATATGTCCTCTTCAACACAGTACGTAGCAGACCTAGTCATTGGATGATTTTCAACACAGTGCTATCCCCATACGAATCACCCTAATCATCCAACTCGGCCCCAAAATCTACCAACCGCACCTTCCGCGCCTCCCTAGGATGCAATTTCGCCACGCCCGCTCGAACCAGAAACCTCACGGCCGCAGTCTCCCTCTCAACCTCGAAATACGCTTTTCCACCCCCTGGTCCGACTAACGTGGCGAATAAGGATTCGATGAGGGAACGCATTTCCTGATCGGCTGCTTCGGCTTCAGTGATATGCGCGTCATCGACCGCAGCGTTGTTTCCCCATATTTGGTCGATTTTGAGTTGCCGCGAGCGTTCCGATGGTGCTTTCGAGGTAGATTTGGCTCTCCCTTTCTTCGTAAAGCCGGCGGCCAGAGTCTCGTCCTGCACGTCCAACATATCCCCTACAACCGGCCCGCCTAGCGCTTCGGCAGCCAGCATCGGAGACAGGATTTCGGTGATGAAGAGCTGCAGATCGTCCCCTAGTAATCTGATCTTCTCATCGTAAGTGGCCTTTTGGGCTCTTTTGGCGGCTATGAGGTCGTTGGCAAGCTGAGTGGGGGACTTCTCTGACTGTTCTTCATGATCAATTTGCAGCTTTGCGATTCGAGAGGTTATCGTCGTAGTGATAAGATTGGCATCGTGGAGGTTCTGCTCTTCGGTGCGGAGGAGGGAGGAGGTTGTTGATAATTGTGACTCTGTGGCGGAGATTGCGTCTTTCGTCCCTTGCACGTTCTGCTGCAGCGAGCGGGTTGTGAGCAAGGTGGGGAGGACGGAATCTTTCTCCGGCAAGAAGGTGGCTGTGGGTTTTAGACTCGTGTAAGCACGCTTGAGGGTGCGGAGCTGTTTAAGCCGCTGGCGGGGGTCTGAGGAAGCAAAGGCAAGACTGGCTGAAGAATTGGTGCCGTTGAATTTCGCCCGGAGCTGGGATATACAGGTTAGTATTTGCCAGGTAGGTGGAGCATATGAAATGTGGTGGACTCCATTTAAGACAACGGAGGCTGGGAAAAGAAAACGAATCCATATAGGAATAGGACATCCCCAGATTACATACGTTCTCTAGAGCAGCTTGTTGTTGCTCTATCTGGTCTTGGAGCTCCTTGATGGTTGCTTCCAGACGCGCTGACGTGCGGGACGCGTCCAGGTCCATTTGAGATTCGTAGAGTTGGCGGGATTTGATCGCATGATTGCGGATGTGCGCGAGGGTAGTGAGGGATTGGGATTGGGATTCTGCCATAATGACCTGTATGGTTACGCGCAGATGGTCGATTTCAGCTTGAGATATGTGGTGTTTTCGATGAGTGAAAGCAGTGTCCAACGTATATGGCGGTAGCAGGAAGCGTCCACACGGGTTGTCAATATGATTACTTTTTAATCGTCTGATAATTCTCTTCTTCTTTTTATGTTTTAGTGATTGAGTCAATCATGTTCAGAACGTAGAGTGGGAACCACGATCCACGTGACGGTTCATGCCAAGCCGCTAACAAATGTCCACCTATTCTTCTCGAACACCTCCAGCTTCCAGTTCGCCTCCCTCCTTCCACACCACGCCAACTTCATCCCCACCACCCACAAGACCTTCCCCCTCACTTCCCTTCCACTCCTTCCATCACATCGCTGAAGGTATCTGGGAGGCTCGCACCTGCCGTCCTTTCTGAGACGACGGCTTTTTCCCTGCAAGGTTTGACGGGCGAGCTTTCCTTGGGCCCTCTCCCTCCGCTCAACCTCTTAATCACCGACTTCACCGCCCCCGGCACTCCCGTTACCTCCACTAAGCTCTACACCGCATCCTGCATCCTGCATCCCGCATCCCGTATCCCGCACTCAATCCCAAGACACGCTGCACAATCGAACCTTCACTCTCGCACCCCACGTTCACCTAGCCTGCATCTATCAAGCTCCCGACGACCCTGCCTCACGCTTTCCTCCACCCAGACTCCTATCCCGTCGCCAGCACCAGCACGTTTTCTTTGACAGCCCCCGCTGTAAATAATCTGGAGAACAAATCGAAATCAGTTCATACACCAGTCCGCTGCTGAGCCATCTAAAGACCGTGAAGAGCCCCCCTCCTGCTACAGAAACGACTAGTCGAGCTATCAACCATGTCTGCGTCACCTACCAGTGCAGCAGCTCCATCCACCAAGCGGCCTTTGGAAGAGCCGTCTTCCCCTGCTGGCCCCAATGACCAACCCGATGCCAAGCGTCCTGCTCTCGACAACATGGTGAAGGATCAGCACGCCGCCGAAGAATCCGCTGAGCCGGTGGAGGCGGAAGCCAACGCCACTGACGCCAATGCTGAAGCGAAGCCAGAGGGCAACGCCGAGTTTGAGGTTGCATACCAGAACGGCCATAAGGAGGGCGAAGCCGATACCGTGGTCCCGGACGCCCCAGCTCCAGCCCAGATTGAGACCCAACCCATTGAATCCACTTCCGGTGCCACCGGACGCCCTGTTTCCCATTCCCAGCACCAACACCAGGACGAGTCCAACTGGCTTCACCTCCGTGCCGTCATCAGCACGAGCGAGGCGGCTACCATTATCGGAAAGGGAGGTGAGAATGTTACCCAGATCCGACGTCTCTCTGGTGCCAAGTGCACCGTCAGTGATTACTCACGTGGTGCGGTCGAACGCATCTTGACAGTGAGCGGTCAGGTCGATGCTGTTTCAAAGGTAATATACATTTCTCGTTTATGTTCTGCCATCACACATTAAAATGGAAACTGACCACAGTCGTCGTATTCAAATGCTGGTTGCGGCGAAATCCTTGGTCCATTCTTGCTGACCTAACAGGCATTCGGGCTCATCGTCCGCACCCTCAACCAAGAGGACATCGAGTCTCCTTCTACGTCTGCTTCCAAGTCTTATCCGATGCGTCTTCTCATCCCCCACATTCTGATTGGATCCATCATCGGCAAAGGCGGTGTCCGCATTCGAGAAATCCAGGATGCGTCCAACGCCAAGCTCAATGCTTCGGACACTATGCTGCCCAACTCGGGTGAGCGTTCGCTGGTCATCCTTGGTGTCGCTGATGCCATCCATATCGCCGTCTATTACGTTGCCCAGACATTGGTCGAGCAATTGACGGAGCGCTTTGGTGGCCCAGCTGCCTCCCAGTACGCCACTCGAAGCGGAGTTGCCGCTAATGTTGTTCCCGGCGGCATGTCTGTTCAGCCCTACGTTCCTCAGCCTGCCGGTGGTCAGTATGGTCCCCCAAGCCATTTCCGCGGCCGCGCCGACCATGGTGTGCAGCGGGCTTCCGCACCCCATTATGGCGCTCCGTACATGCATGGGCAACCTGCTCATCAAGCACCGATTCAACCGAACATACCTTACGGAACGGCTTCGCCTGGTCGTGGCCCTTATGGAGGAGCCGGTCCTGCAGTAGTCCCTGCAACATACGGTGGTCATCATGCCGCTGCCCCCGTCGCTCATGGTGCTGCCCCAGCTCAACCTGTGGGCATGCCCGGCCAGCCGCTTACACAGCAAATTTACATTCCGAACGATATGGTCGGGGCCATCATTGGCAAAGGTGGTGCGAAGATCAATGAAATCCGCACTCTGTCCGGTAGCGTGATCAAGATCAACGAGCCAACCGACAATAGCAACGAGCGCCTCGTTACCATCACTGGAACTCAGGAGTGCAACCAAATGGCGTTGTACATGCTCTATTCACGACTTGGTGCGTACTCAAACCCCTGGCAGCCTGTCATTCGTCTTGGCGTTCCGTACTAGGCTGATGCCGTGATGCAGAATCCGAGAAACACCGCATCTAGAATGCGCGGGGTCCTCTCCAATGCAGTAGTATGTCGACCGATATCCGAACTCAAAACCATCAATTGGCGTGATGGCGCTGTATGGGATGGTATTATCGCCTTTCTCTGTACGCTTCCTTAGGGCCTGGGGAGGTTTTATGGGTACTCAAGGACCGGCGTTTTCTGAGGTATTGCTTTCGCTAATATGGAGGGCCGATTTCCGGGCTTTGCGCGTTCTCTCGTAGCTAGCCTATCTAGATAGGACCGGCTGTGGGGATTTCAATCATATTGCAATAATATCATGATGGTGTACTGTGACTGTCACGGAATTTCAAACACTCCAGGTCTACCATCCACTATTTGTGCTATCTCACCTGAAAGGCTAGGACACCCACAACACTGCGCCTTTACTTATTTTCTGCGCTTCCTTAACGTCTGTAACTTCGTGAATATTTGCCAACCACGTGGAAGCAACTTAACCGGAATCTGTTCGTATGCTCAACTAGTCCATTCCTGCCCACGGGAATGCCTATCACATCCAGAGTTCATACAGTCAACGACCCATGAAAATGTCCCCACACCTCTCCGTCTCTTTATGTTCATGGTAAATCGCACACCTCGAACCCCTCCACGGTTTACAACTCTGCCACTTCCTCACCCTAACCTTCTTCTCCCTCGCGCCGTCTCCCGTCAAAGCCAGCGCGCTCCACGCCGCCACGGTATTATCCCCGGTCCGCCTCTCCTCACTTGCACTCCTAGTCCCCTCCCCAGGCGTCAACACCCCATCCAATAAACTTCCTCCACCTACCTCCTCCCCCCTCACCCAAACAAACCTCCCCGGACTCCCATCCTCCCATCCCGCCATCCCCACCCCCTCCCCGACGCACCTGGCACATCACCCCACCCCACAATCCTCACACCTCACACTCGCACACCTCGGCCGCACCACCGTCCTACACCCCTCACACGCCTGCGTCGTCGCCCACGCGGCAGGGAACCACATGACCAACCTATGTCTCTGCACCGCCTGAGGCACCGGTTTCTTCAACAGCACGACCAAGTCCCTTAGAAAGCCGGCATGCCACCGATCCTCATGCTCGGCGAGCAACTTATCCGTCTTCTTGAACGCGAACAGGTCGAGCACCAGCGCTCTGAGGGGCGACGAGGAGCGCACGGCATCGCTGTAGAGAATCCGCGTATCGCTGGGCGTCAGCACGCTGTTGGTGCGGTCCGCCAGCTCGGCAATCGTGTCGACGACTTGGTTCCGGAGTCCCTCGAAGCATAATCGGTCGGCTACGATCCACAGGTGGAGCAGCGTGTAGTACGCGGGTTTCCCGTCCTTGAAGGGCAGAGGAGTGATGGAGCCCGTGTAGAGCCACGAGACGAGGAGTTCGAAGATGGGGACGTCGATGTCCGGGAGCGTGATGCTGTTGGTGGCGGATTCGAGGAAGGGGCCTAGCAGGGAGGCGCGGAAGTAGGGGGATTGCGAGGTCAGGAGGTGCGTGTGCAGGAGGAAGCGGGTGGGTTTTGGGCCGATGAGGAGCTCCGTGGTGGTGGCGAAGGCGGAGGCGTGGGTTCTGAGTTGGTGTCAGTTTCAAGGTTGCTTCTCAGGGGCCCGGGAGGAAGTGTGGGAGGTGCTACAGAAGATGGATGGATGTCTCCCTTGCGTAGAGACGGGACAGGCTTACCTCAACTCTTTCGTCTGCACACCCGCCGCTGTATAAGGCGGAGGCAGCGACCGTGGAACCGGCGGTGCATTCTCACTTTCCCGTGCCATATTCATGCGTAACTCTTAGAATTCGTACACTTTCGTCGCAGTGTTCTTCAGTGTCCTGCAAAAGAGGCCCAGAACGACAGTTTCCACTCTGAACAGCCAAACGTAAAACGACCGGCAAACCTCAAACACGCAAGTTTCTCAAAGCCAACGATGGTAGTTTCCGACGATGCAATGGCAATTCCTCCACTCTGGAGCCCCATGTGGGAGAGCGCCTCTAACGGGTTATGAGAAGCTCCAGGGTAGCCCCGAAAGCGGAAAATGGTTGGGCGACGAACAAGTTCCGGACTGCATGTCTCCAAGGGAATTTCCAGATCCGTTCTTCGAAAGCGTGCTGCTAAGGATGCTCGCAGCGCACCTGGCGGCGTTTCTCTTTTGGTGCGGCGATGTACCAGATTTGGGGTTGGCTTGATTCGGCAAAGCAAACAGCATTCCGCATCCGGAGGTGGGAGACAAGCACTGATGGGCGACGAACGTGATGGCGGTCAAACCGTGATGGGACCATCGGAAAGCAAGGCACAAGTAGCACGGTGAGTTCTGGATATGGTTTTGAGTGGGAAAATGCCTCCGAGGCAATTTTGTGGTTAGGTATCTAGGCTTACAAGATTTACAACGTACAAAAACCCCATCAAAACGAGACCCTCCCCAACCCTTGGTATGCACGGCCGGAGACGCCACCTTGTACTAAACCTACAGGACAGTGAATACATTAGAAGAAAGAGTAGTTGCCAGTCATCTTGTCAGCGCACCGCCCTACTCCACGAACTTCTTCACACCTGGACTAGAGTTAGTGATTGAACCGCCTTCATATAGTAGTCCTAGACTTACTCTTCAACCACCTGACGTACTCCTTCTGCTCCTTGTGGTCGACGTAATCGGGAATGAAGAGAGCCAGGCGAGTGTTGATACCGCGCTCCTCAAGGTACTTCTCGAGCAGGATCTGGAGGTCCTCATCCAGGTTGGCAAAAGGAGGACCGGTGTAGAGTGCCTGCCGAGCCCAGTTCTGCTCCGCGGTCTGGGGATCCGCAAGCTCAGCGGAGGGGAAATGAGCGAGGTCTTCAATGACGAAGTCCCCGTCCTGAGCAGTGGCTTCGATGGCCAAAGAACCTTTGCCGGGGCGCTCGATGCGGATGCTCGCACGGACAGGGAAGCCTTGCTCATGGAGATCCTCGTCGTACTCATCATCCAACTCCTCGCGGTCGGCAGGCGCGACACGGTCCTCAGGAGCAATGCGGAAGTTTCCATCTCTCGTGTTGCCCTGGTTGATGGCGCCCTTGGTGTTGGCACCACCGGACTGGCCCTCGATGGAATCGTTATCGTACATAGCATCGTCCTCCATGTCCTCAGTTTCTTGCATGCTGTTGAGGTCGGCGGTAGTGAAGGTCACGCGGATCTTCTCGTCACCAAAAGTCCTGGTTAGGACAACGTCCTGCTGGCCCGGCTTATCTTCGATCTAGTTCAGTAAGCATTAGTGTCCCATTTTGGAGATGATGGGTATGTCCCACCTGGAAGGGGCTGCTCTCTAGATACTCCTTGATGTTGGCGGAAAGATCCTCATCCTCCTTCATGTCCTCCTCGAGGAGGATCTCGGACTGGAGTTTCGCGACGAGCTCCTCCTGAACTGAGCCCACATTAGCTACCACTCTTGAGCTTCCCGCAAAGTTGTCCTACCTTCACTCTCTTGCCTCCTTACGGCGGAGATGTGGAAAGAAGCTGTGAGGCGGGGAGCCGTTGGCATCCATGATGGCTGTTGGAAACCTACGGCTTGTCTGAGAAGGGAGGGTTGCGGGCGCACTGCGCGGGAGGAAATACGGGCAACCCGTGGAACGGAGCGAGCAAAGCTTCGGAGGGCAAGCATTGTGGATGAAGAGAATGAAGGCACGTAGGGATTGAAGTTTGGAAGTGATGCCCTCTGATGATTTCTCGGAGCATTCAATGTTCGACTTTTCGTGCACGGACCATCCAAGCTCTCCAGGACGCCTTCTGTTCGTGCTTGAGCGGTTTCGTCAGAGTCACGTGCCTGGGCGTTCTCAATCACAACTCCAATTTCTTGAGGCCAGCCAGCCGGGATAGAGTCACTTCATCCCCATAATAAATTCAGCGTACTCTGCTTTTGCCGCGCACATATACCCATCGCGAAGACAATGCGATAGCCCCGAATTAGACCATTTGAAGGAAATCAATCCCAATGGCGGCCGCAACGACGGAAAAGAAGAAGGTACTCGCTGCGCACGCGATGTGTTTCTCTTCACGGTCACTGATGCATCGTAGCCGAGTGCTATGCGCTCAGTCTTAGCTGGTGCACTGGCTGGAGCCGTAGAGATTTGTAATTGGCGAATCCACATCGTAAACCATTTCAAAATGCTAATTGTGCAATCCAGCAATAACATATCCCGCCGAATGTTTGTCCTCTGTAACCAAGCTCGTACATCCCGGTTTTCCTGACTTTTGGCACAGTCGCAAAGACACGATCACAACTTAATCGCCGGTTAGGGGAAGGGAAGAAGCTGCCATGGCCTCCGTTCGGGAGAGAATGGTATGCCGGGTGTACAACGTTGATTATTGGGAACGCCCTCAAGGCTGGAATCCGTATGATCCTGGAGAACACGATTGGCGCCGAATCTTTGAGCTGATAGTCTATGAAGGATTTGTGGCATTCGACACGTACAAGGCCATGCTCGCCGACGAAAACGGCAAAGTGTCGGGACCAGGAAACGTGATAGCAGGTTTCGGAGCCGGAGCTACAGAGTCATTACTGGCAGTGACGCCTTTCGAGAGTATCAAGACTCAACTGCAAGAATTCCCTCCCCTTTGATATTTCTCTACACTTTCTGATAGCCGTTCAGGATCGACGACCGCAAGTCGGGCAAACCTAGAATGTATGGCTTCATCCACGGCTCCAAAATCATAGCGCAAGAGAAGGGCATTCGCGGCTTCTTTCAAGGCTTCGTCCCTACGACAGCACGCCAGGCCGCGAACTCTGCCGTACGCTTCTCCAGCTATACGACACTGAAACAACTAGCACAATCGTACGTTAAGCCGGGCGAGAAGTTGGGGGCTGTGAGCACCTTCGCTCTGGGAGGGATGGCGGGCATCATAACGGTGTATGCTACTATGCCCCTGGATACGGTGAAGACGCGGTAAGTGCCGAACCTGATAAAAGCACTCGAAAAGCACAGGGGACAAGAAATCCCACTTCGTCCTTCCAATGGACAATTGTCTGCATCATAACGCTCGTTCCCATTCTAACCCATCAGCATCAGCAACCCCTTCTTCTACTATCCACCAGTATCACCAATCTGTTTCATAACCGCTCCACACACAATCACGCCCTACGCACTGGTAACACTCCCAATCCACCCAACACTAACATCACCACAGCATGCAATCCATCGAAGCACGCGCTGTGTACAAAAACAGCTTCCACGCCTTCGCCAAAATCTTCAAGGAGGAAGGGCTTCTTGTCTTCTGGTCCGGCGCCCTGCCCCGCTTAGGCCGCCTCATTCTAAGCGGCGGCATCGTATTCACCATGTACGTCTCGCGTCTTGAGTTCCCCTGTCATCATGCATTTTTTCGACGTCTTCCGTATGCATTCCATCACCCCCGCCCCTTGCCCCCAAACCGTTCTATCTCACATTCTCTTTGTCCGGGCTTCCTGCATGCATACGCCACATGTCGCAGCTCCCATACCTTTCCCTCTCCTACCCCCGTGGCTTTTCCCTTTCTGACTCAGCCCACCACCACAACCAAATGCCTGCTAACGCCACCCCGCCAGGTACGAGAAGTCCATGGAATTTTTCGACCGTATCGATCCTCAGGGTCGGTACATCTAATCCTCACACCCAAACATCAACTCTATTGCCGCTATTCCCGCAAATCACGCGTGAAACTCTGCACTGCCACCGTGACGATGCAGACACTTGCCTTCATCTGTCCAAACGCTTTCTGGACGAACTAAGTCGCCGAACACTTGTCAGCGTGTTGCTTGGATGCGTCCAAGCGTACGCTTCTCCCCTTTACCCCTCCCGCTCTGCCTACGCTTCGGCTCCCTCTTCCCATTCCTCTGGGCACACGTACGCAGTAGCCATGTGGCTGTCTCCAAATCACCTACCCTGGGAGCAGCCACATCGGCATCCCCGAACGCAATCAAGTCTCAAAAGTGTCTATGTAATGAGGCTGTCTTGGAGAAGCCCAAGGCTTGCTTGGGTGGAAACGACCGAACTAGGTAGACGCGTGCCCCCCCCGGAGCGGTGGGAAGTGCCTGCATACCCAAGAGCAATGGTGCTGGGTGCTGTATCATATCATGTATACATCTACAGCGAGTCGAGCAATATACCTGGGTGGATAGAGCAACAAGAGCAAGCAAACATTAGCGGGTGGATGAAACCCGCGTCCTCCCTCTTCACATACCGCCAACATAACCCAGCGACAATACCACAAAGAGATCCAGCCCTTGCAGAACAAGCTCAATAATCGCTGGAAACGCAGTCATCACTATATCACGCCCGTCCTAATAAGAATCCCAATGCAAACCAGATACGCGCTCACCGCCCAGACCTTCTGCCACCTCTCAATCTCACCTGTCCCTTTTACTTCACCGGCATTTACCCAACACAGCCACCTCTATCATGCCGCATGCCATCCCATCCCCTCTCATCCCAATCCAGGTCCCCAGCCCGCAATCGTAATCCCCTACCTACTCTGCCTCGCCAAAGATTTCCACAAGCAGAAAGGCGTACCCGGTTTATAAACTCCGATAGACAAGGTCGCGTATGACCAGCACCGGGGAAATGCTCTAACTCGACCGTGCACTTTCCATCATGACATATGCTCCAGCGTAAACCAAGGCAGAATCTTCAATCCTCTCACAGCGATCCACACACACCGGTCGCTATTCTACATGGGGGAATGCATCCCCTCTTCCCCGCTGACATCCAGCATGTCCAAAGATATGCATCGCCTGATCACAGTTCGCACCCCCTCTCTTCGTATCCTCGACCGTCAGAGAAATAATCCTCCTACCTGCAGCCCAGCGCAACCTGCATGCATGCACCCCCATGCGCCCTTCCCGTCTGATGCGAGATATACATTACACTTCTCGCCTAAGCTTCCCCATCGAGCCAGTCGTACCTTTCGGGTAGTCTGCCGTAGGATTCGACTACTCCAATTCGCCAGCCTGCCCATCTCTAGGCGACCATTGCAGCTGCAGGTCCGCCGTCGATAATTGCGGGAACGTGTACGGTGGTATCATGATGTTGGACGATATTTCGGCGGCGCCAAACAGGGCGTCCCATTCGTTCTAATGGCCACGCGAGACCATGGTTAGTATGGATATATAATGCTTGAATGCGGTTATACGAAGACGACTTATTTAGAATTGAAGTGGTACGAGATGTGCAGCAAGAATAGGGTTATTTGAATCTATTGGCAGAGAGGCAGGAAGGGGTATTGAACAAAATAAAACATATGCGTGAAGTCTAATGATAGTGATAAGGAGAGACATGGCGGTAGTGTTCATGATCATGATGGTAGTGGTGGTAATCGTGATGCGAAGAATGGCTACTCACCCAGTCAATCTCCGGCATAGTGTCCATAGGACTGCCCCCACTAGCCTGGGCATGAGCATGCATTGTGGCACTGCTACCATTTGGATCCATGCTCTGGTGCAGCGGGGGCATACTCATTGTCACACTTGGCTGACCAGGAGGAAAGCCGGTAAAGCCATGTGCATCAGTGGCAGTGCTGGACATCGCACCGCTAGTGTCTGCGCCTGAGAGCCCAAAGGGGGCGCCATATTCTGCTTGGGCTATTTGTCCCAAGTTGCCTAGGTGTGGTGATGTATGCTGCGGTTGCTGGAGGCTCTGCTGATGAGGTTGGTAGTGGGACGGTGAGCCACCGCTGCTGATACTGAACGAGCTCGTACCTGAATGTACAGATGAGCTTCGATTTCCACGGTCCACTGTTCCATCCCCCTCGTGCTGTGTGTGATCGCCTCCAGGAAATTGCCGTCGACCCACATGCTCCATTCTTGCCGGAGCACGAAATCGTCGCGCGGACTGATAGGCTCTGGTTCTCTCAACCAATTCTTCGAGCACCATGCGGAGCTTTTCCGCATTAGATAGCGTGGATGGTAGGCCAAAGACGAAGTCCAGACATCGCCAGACACGTGCTTCGACGACTGGGTCTCGTTCCTTTGCATAGACTTCCGAAAGGAGGAGCAGTGCGGTGTGGTACTGGTGTAGAGCACCAATGTACCAAGCCCAATCAGCCAACGCAGGCGTTTCCTCGATTGTCATACTGTTCTCCAATGTTCTGAGTGCTGTTGAGATGGTGAGCTGGCGGAGGCGCTCCGGCATGAGCCTATGCTCATTAGAAGCGAACTTTTGCAATATCATGATATACATCCGGCACGAAAGGATGCCGTAGATTTCCATTGCCAACACGTGAAGCGGATGACTCTTATTCAACAGCGGAAGCCATTTCCGTTCCATGGCTTGACAAAAATTCTGGATTTTGGAAAGCAAAGCCGTTAACGTGGTTTTCTTCGCTTCCAATCTTGGTCTGTCGACCCAGAGTTGGCGTTGCATTTCGTTGCACTCGAATCGCATCCGTGTAATGGTCATGTCTGTGAAGTAGACTCGATCCTCGGTGATCTCAACGCCGCTCTCCAGGTCAACATCGTCGACATTGAGCGGAAATTTAGTATCGTGTTCGTCGCGCCTGATCTGTGGACGTGGCCCGGTGGACTCGCAGGTGCGGATGTCGAGGAAGCAGATCTGATGCCATATCAGGCGACGGACATGAATTTCGACCGGATCGGATGTGTAAAAGGATGGGTCACGGTGGAGGCCCATACATTCAGCCAAGCGTATGCATGTGCCAACTAGTGCGCTATGGGCACGAGAAACTTCGGCGCGACATAGTGGTATCTGTTGAATGTCAGGAATTGAAGACGCCAAGGGTTCAAACGCGGCTTGGTTCAATCATGCATGTGAGAAGAAGGTCAGAGGGTTTTCAACCTACCAAGTACATCACAAAAGCTTGGATTGTTTCCAATTTGGTCGTGCGAAGAAAATTGGCTCTTGCTAAAGCCGCCTCTGTTCCCAGCTTGAAGTTCTCTACGAAGTCGGTCTTCGCGACGCCGAAGTCAGCATGGAGTTTTTCCTCGGACATGCTGATGACGGAGGAGAGCAGGGCAGCAAAAAGGACAGCCTGGAAAGATGCTCTGGGCTCCACGCCAGCCGCAATGTCAGTCCAGAACCTGTCATAGTGTCTTTCGAATGATGGACGGTGCACAGTGCGAGCGATGACATGGACAGCCTTCCAGTAGTGGTCCATCAACCTGTCTACCAAACCCTGCGAGGGGAGGTATGTTGTAAGCGACGTCTTGTGGATGCCAGGAGCAAAGAAGAAGCCCGACGATGGCGCTACGTAATCGCGACTTGGGGCCATCCACTGCTCTTGAGATTGCGCCGCGAAGGGATTTTGAGCATGCTTTCTGTGGAGTGCTTGGAGGCCTTGAGCGAGCTGCGAGCATATATGTAAGCCACTTGCACCTTAACGTGCCGGATGTAAATACCTCTTCAGAGAATCTCGGCCTCACAAAGCCTCCGATTCTCTCTGTGACCCTGAGTCTTCCCATCGAGATGCCGAGATCTACGACATCGTCGTTGCCTTCCTCTTCATAATAGGCGCAATCTTCGACGGCCAGTGACGTGGGTTCGAGGCCCTTCACATCTTCATCGTCCTCCTGGTCGCTGGCAGAGTCCCCTTGTCCCGGAAGAGGGGTGGACACTAGCACTCCCAGAGTTGAAGGTGACTTGCTTTGACCCGTGCTTCTGCGGGCGACGTCTTCCTCCAGTGTCTTTTCGAGCATGCCCATCTTCTCCTTGACTTCGGCAAGCTTAGCCTGACCGGCCGCGTCCAGAGCCGGGGTGATGAAGAGGCAGTCTCGGGAGAACTTCTCGCAATTCGTACATGGTTGCTGCTTGTCGCACCTGAGCTTCCGACGGCGGCATTCCAAACAGGAGGTAATCAGACGGTTCCTCCGGCGGATGCGGGGCTGTTCTCTGTGCTTCGTCTTCTCGCCCGTGGCAGAAGGTGGACGAGGGGACGAAGCTCCCGGATGCGGGGAAGAAGGTTGAAGAGGTTGGGACATGACTGTTGAGTGCGTCAACCTCGTCAGGAAGGGAAACTGCAACGCGTGTGAGGAGGAAGTGACGGAAGATGTGAGCAGTTGAACAACAGACATAAAAACAGCCGATGACGTGCAAAGGACGAATAACATATAATAGCGGCGAATGTAAAGGGTTTTCGGTCCGCCAATGATGGGATACAAAGATAAAGATTGGTGATGGTGATTCCTGATGGTGGTACTGGCAGCGTGTCCGGGGATACTCTATCCTGGTAAGCATATATACAACCGACAAGGTCAGTACCTGTCCCAATTGGCCATGCCCTCCCGCTGAACCACTTACCGCAGTCGAAACAGGAGAGGATTCCCTGGACCAGGGCATGCAGTTACAGTGTCGTTCTCGAGGTTCTCTCTGTGGACCAAGCGTTCTGTTCATCGACCATCTGGCCCCCCCTCGTCCCAACACGCTGTAGACGACAAAACCTCCTGGGGACGGACCACCAAAAGGCTTGTCGGCCACGGGCGGCTAGCCGAGGACTTCAGAGCCTCTTCTGACGTCTGCTCATGGCTCTCAGCTGCCTATTCCGTCGCCTGTTGCGCTTGATTTCTGATCTGCTGTAGCTGGAACGTCCTGGGAACAGTCGAGGAGGAATGCCAGTGCTCCGCCTTCGACGCTCTGCGGTATTTGGCCACTCACAGTTGCGAGTACATGTACGTCGTACGAATGTGATAGACAACCGTTCGTGGACGGGTTCCCCGGTTCCCAAGGGTTTGCACGGCTAAGCAAACTTGCAGATGAAGTGGGATTCTCTTGGCCTGGTCCTCCAGTCAGCGCGGACCCGTACCTCGTCTCAGCCCTACAACGAGCCATCTTCTGCACAGAGCCCAAAAGAGGTTGGCAGATCGGAGGCATTGCGATCCCCCAGCTATCGAATGCTTGGTGGGTTTTCTCTACTAAGCATGGAGCCGCCAAAGCCAGAATGGACCTCACTGCGAGCGATCCGTGCTCTCACAGCTCGTCTCACCTGGTTCCCCCTCTCGTAAGACGTTCGACAACGCGCCGTTGCACAGGCACGAAGCCCTCCTCAGGTGTGTTGCTCTGTGTTCAATGGATGGGAAACTCTCGATGAATATCCGGTTGCTTTCAAGCGCAGGCACCGACACTCTACAGAATCGGTAACCCATCCACCCCAGAGTCCAAAAGTAATCACTGCTCAGCCACCTTTTCAATATCAACGACTCTGTACTACTAGCCGGACATTTTCCTGCACCGCGACCACCCAGGTTCGAGCGCTACAGGCGGCAACGCCCATAGGTTCCGTCATGTAGGGAGCAGGATCAAACCACGCACAGGACGACGGGCCCTTGCTTCATCTACCGCCTCTTCTCATCCTGCCGGGGATGTGCCGTATACGATGACGGTGCAGCTGGCTCCTACCGATACACGTTGTCTTCACTCAGCAAGTTGCGCAGATGCTCCACCAGTAGCCAGACGAAGATGATCACTGTAGTAGAGACACCACACCGCTCAGACCGCCCTCGTTAGAACACTAGAAACGGCCCCTTGTCCTGCACAAGGCGTATATCGCATTCTAGAAGGGGACGCGACTTGATGGTTTGGAATAAGCATTTCTGCTGTAACAGGATCATGGCAGCTTCAGGAGCATCTCAGCAATTCCGCTTCGTTGTCGACATCTAGTGGCCAAACGTTTCCTGCACACCTGGAATCACCTGGGAAGCCACAGTGCGAGGTTGCGGTTGCATGATATCTATCCGGACATGTTTGCAACTGAAAGGGCCGTGTATACACAGGAAGGCGAATTTATACACGAGGGCTTTGAGGGGTCGCTCTCTACCCCGCCTCTTACCGGTGCAAGGAGGAGCTTTCCCCGCCGCTCATTGAATTGCATCACTACACCACATCTTCATTTTTCCTAACTCTCCTAACTACTAAACTCCTGTACACTTCTTCGCTCACTGTCAGGCAAGCCCAGGTGTCACATACATCCCGCTTCTAGCACAACCAAGCAACTTCCGTTTCGTCTCATTCAACTGCTGGTCTCCGCCATAACTGCCACACAATGTCCACGCAAGACGAACGGCAAGGCCAAACCTTAGAACTCGTCTCCGTCCCCCTCAAACACGGCTTCGACCTCACCCAAGGCGAGGGCCTCGAAATCCTGCGCAAGTGCCAGAACATCATCTCGTCACAACCCGGGTGCAAGGCGCTCTTCTGGGGCCGCCGGATCGAGCACCCGGACATTGTGCAACTCGTCGTGGGTACGTTTGCGAAAACACAAAAAGAACACAAACCAGAACTCTAACACTTTCTCCTTCTTAGAATGGGACGACATCTCTTCCCACAAACGCTTCCAGTCCTCCCCGCCCTACGGCCCCTTCAGGCAAGCCCTCACCCCGATCCTCTCCGCCCCCCTCAAAATCCACCACATCCTCATCCCGCCCTCCTCCACCCCTTACACCATCCCCCTCTGCGCCCCCGTCACCGAGTGCCTCGCGCTCTACTTCTCCCCCTCGTCCCCGCACCTCGACACCTTCCTCGCAAACAACTGGGCGTCCTTTTCCTCGGCGCTGCAGGCGGAAGCACCGGAGTCGAAGGGGATAACGGGCGGGTGGGCGATTGAGAAGACGGTGGCGAGCGAGCGGATGGGGGCGGAGGGGGAGGCCGGGCCCGCGAGGGAGTTTGGCGGGTTCATCGGGTGGGAGAGCGTCGAGGATCATATGGCGTTTCGGTCGCGCAAGGGGTTTGAGGGGGTGGTGGCGCATTTGAGGGATGGGCCTGAGGATTTGGAGATGTGGCATGTGAGGTTTGAAAGGTTTAAGTGAAACTGGAGTGTGGAATGGGGAGGAGGGGAAGATGGGAGAGAAGGGGCGAGCGTGTGGTGGAGTGGTTACTGTAGTTTTGGGAGTATGATACCTATGTAGTACCCATGGGAGGAAGTCTGTCTATATGACTTTTCGAGAGTCGACTGTTGAGGATGAAGGGGCAGACAGACTTCCAGCGTTCGCCGTCTACCGGTCGTTGCTTGCACCTGCCTCGCTGCATGTATCCGAGCACATCTTCACCATATCAATGACCGATCTCCAATCGGGACCTGCAACCTTGACCATATTGCCATTCACTTCCCAGATACTGAATGAAATTTGGAAATCTCGAGGTACCCAATGTTCTGCTAGACATGCATTCCGTGCCGTCCGACGCCTTCTATCAAGATGAAAACATGCCAACGGAGATTTTCCAACGAATCCTCGTCTCCGATAGCTGTACTCCTCTTTTTCGAGAGCAGGTTTTGTATCGTAAGCCAATGGGAGAACACCTCAACTCCTGGTGCCTGCGCCTATACTCCCATTTTCCATACGAATGAACCCCTACGCAAAACCAGGTTTGATACCCTATTTTCAATAGCGATGCAGAAACCTGAAGGCGCAATAACCCCAATATCTAGGTGCCCGCCTCTTCCGGATCGACATCCAAGTTCCAGTCAATCTCGGATCCCTCGCCATAGCGCTTGACGAGCCACTCGTTCGTCTTCTTGAAATGTCCACAGTCAAACTAAAGCCATGGTTAGCAACAGTCTCAGCTACCAGAGCACAAGATAGCATACCCATCCTCGACTCGCACTCAACGGGCTCGGATGCACACTCTTCAGGATACTGTGTCTCTCCGGGTCAACGCCCTTGACCCTCTGCTCGGCCGGCTTTCCCCAGGCCAGAAACACTACACCCCGCGTCCTGACCTTGGCGACCGTCTCAATCACTTTCTGCGTCAGCAGCTCCCAGCCTTTCCCCGCGTGGCTGTTGGCCTCGCCTCTGCGGACTGTGAGACAGGTATTCAGCAGGAGGACACCGCGGTCTGCCCATGGAGTGAGGAGGCCTCCCTTGTTGGGCGGCGGCGAGAAGGAAGGGTAGTCCTTCTTGAGGGCGATGTAGATGTTTCGGAGGGAGGGTGGTGCCGGAGTGGGCGGGAGGACGGAGAAGGCGAGGCCGTGAGCTTGGTTAGGGCCGTGGTAAGGGTCTTGGCCCAGTATGACGGCTTTGACTGTGTTGAGCGGTGTGTGCCGCGACCTGATATGGATGTTAGGAGTGTCACTGAAGAGGGAGCGAGGCTACACACCAGCTATAGACATGGTCCATGGGTGGATACACAGTCTTCCCGCTCTCGAGCTCCTTCTTCAGGAAGCGCTTCAGGTCGAGGAACCGGGGCGAGACCAGCACGTCCTTGAGATGCGGGAGCCAGCTCTCGTGCAGCGTGTCGATCTCGAGCTTCAGCAGTTCCTTATGCTCGTCGCTGAGCTTCGCGACCCAGGCGTCCTTGTCGAAGTTGGCGGCCGCTGTGGTGAGGGTAGTGGTGCCGTTGGTAGTGGAGGTTGAGGTGGAGCCGGGGATGGCGGCGAAGAAGGAGGTGATGGTTGCGTTGGGTTTGGGTTTCTTGGAGGCATCGGCGGCGAGGGCGGCGGCTTTGCGTTTGAGCGACATGGTGAGTGGGTGTTGCTCAATTGGTGAGGGTTGGATAGGGGAATTGGAATACGCGTGGAGGTGAGCTCCCAGGCAACAGACGCGTCGAGAAGCTTGGGCCAGCGGACGCGGTGATTGGAGATCAATTGATGTCAGAGCCGGAGAGCTCGCGTGGGTTGGAAGACGCAAGGAACCGTCAGACGACTCACAATTCTCGTAAGTGGCATTTCAAATGACGTCCACTCTCACGCTCTTTTGGCTCTTTTCCCAATATTTGCTCATTCTCGTCCAGGGTCACCCATTCGCGATTGCTTTTCCGAGTGACAGAATCCCATCACGTGACTGACTACGCGTTTCCTCTGTCGGAATGACATCACGGCAGCGGTGGATCGGCCTCTGCTAGGGAGAAGCCATGTGTGCGGGACCGGGGAAGCCGGTGTGAGCGGCAGAATTGTCGAATGGGAAGGAAGATCGACGGAGAAGCTGCCGTTGGGAGTCGGTTTGCGAGTGTCACCAAGGGCTTGTCGTGCTTTGCGCCTTTGTCAGGAGGACGTCACTATTGCGGTGGACGGAGAGAAGGCATGACCCAGGAGAGGATATAAGAGGGAGAGATTTCCTCTGCCTTGGAGTTCTGCATCTCTTCCAATTCACATTCAATCTTCCCACAAAGCAAACTCACCACTTGACGAATACTACACCCAACTCAATCAATCCATCTACAAGTACAGCTCAGACCATCAACATGGCATCTAACAACCCCGGGAACTTTGCCAACCGACCCAAGGAGGAGGTCCGCGAGATCGCAGCCAAGGGAGGGCATGCCTCTCACGGCGGAGGTCGCAGCGGCGGCAATGGTGACAGCCACAACGACTCCAGCGCCGGGGTGAGCCTTTCCTTACCACAGGCATTCACGATGAGCTGGACAGCTGACAATTGCTCAGGGACAGCCTGGCCGCAACCCCGACGGAACCTTCACCAAGGGCAGCCAAGTGGCCTCTGAGCTTGGGGCTATCGGCGGACACCACTCTCACGGAGGAGGCAATGCGAGCAACCACAATGACGACTCGGGCTTTGGAGGCACGTCTGGCGGGGCCTCGCACCCTGGTGTAAGTGTTAAACACAATTCTTTAACGATGGGGACTTGGGGGATTGGGCTAACTCGATGGCAGCGTAACCCCGACGGCACCTTCACCAAGGGCAGCGAGGAGGCGTCTAGGCTGGGGCATATTGGAGGAAGCAAGTAGACTGTTTGGAGGAGCATGTCGCTCACAAACGACAGTGCCGACTCTTTGAGGGAGGAAACTTGAAGGGCGGGCTGTGCAGTTACGACTTACGAGTATGAAGGTCACCATGGTGCTTTGATAGCGGCCAATGAATCAGAGTCAGCGATTCTTTCCATGTTCCAACTCTTGCCCGTGTTCTGATGTCGTGAATTGGCTCTTCTTTCGTGTTCTGCACAGGTGTTGTCGAAACTACTGTGTACTATACTTGTAGTACTGACTTTCCCATGGTGCTGACTAAACTCGCTCCGATTGGAAACCCGCCATTCCGGTCGGGACTTGTCTGGGGCCCCGCGCCGTCGCCGCTCACCCGCTGGTCAGAAGCGGAAGCTTCCAAGGTTCCAACCAAAAAGTCCCAGCAATGTGGGTGCGACGGGCCGATTCAGAGGTTAGAGTTTAGTCTTACCGTGTGCTAAATCAATCGTCCCGTCGTTGCTAAAAACGATACAACAAATGATAATAAACAACTGCACTTGATGCAAGAGAGGGAGAGGCAAGGAAACGGGTTGGGGGAAATCGAGAGGAATTGCACTTCCGTCTCTCCCCGCGCGCGGCCTTTTTTTTCTCAAACCCTCTAAGCGAGGCCTGCTCTGCTCGATGGAGTTAGCGGAGCTGCGAGTGCGCTGGATCACGCTGGATCACGCTGGACGGGGCCTTGTCCGAACCCTGGCACTGGGTGGATGGGTGCAGGTGCACTGCTTCCGTCACCCGTTGCTGGATGTGAGCCTTGCACTCCTACCCGCCCACCGGGTCCTACTTTGTTTCCGAGCGAGACATTCATCACGACCACCACCACGACGAAGACGAAGAATCAAATCTCGACACGACTTATTCTGGACTCGACTGCCGGCTGTGTGTGACGACGAGCGACGGTTACTGTGGCGTTGCTGAAGAAGGAGAAGAAGAAGAATAAGAAGGCCAACGAGAAAGGCGCAAGAAGAAAAAAGGAAGAGAGGGTACGATAGAGTTCGCCGCTGCCTCTCAGCCGTCAGTATCGCTCACACCTCCAAATCACCGACACCTCTCTTGAGTTCAAGTCGACATTCCTCTTCCCTCTGACCTCTCGCTTCGCTCTCGCAAGGCTGGCCGCCAGCTTCCCCAGCGTCGCTTCCCTTCTGCTTCCGGTTCCGCTGCTCGCCCCTCCCTCCCATGCCCTCCACCACCGCCACCGCCTCGTCCTCGTCCTCCTCCGCCGCCGCCGCCGCCGCCCAACCTACCCACCCGGGCGCAATGGCACTGGGTATCCCCATTCCCCAGCGGGATGCGAGTCCGAGTCCGAGTCCGGTGTCTTCGGTCGACGGCCTGAGCCCGAGGAGTATCATTGAGCCTGATGTACGTGCTTTTGCTCTTGCCATTACCGGTTGCTGCTGGAATACAATAACACTATAGAAGAAGGAGTGGCTAATTGTTGACTGTAGAGTGATCCCTCGGATGGCGCCGAGAGCTGTGGCACGTACGTCTCCCGTCTCTCCTGCTATCCTGCGGAGGAAGACGACCTATGTATGTCAAAGCGATGGCAAATGCTGATATAAGGACAGGAGCACAAGGTCTGTGAATCAGAGCATCTTCGACTTTGTCTGCGAGAATGGGAGGACCTATCATCGCTATCAGGCTGGCTGTAAGTATCATGTGCTTGCCTCTTGAAGGTTGAGACGTGCAATGCTAATGTGGGAGATAGCATATTTGTTTCCGAATGATCAGGTACTTTGCACCTTCCTCACGGCCGTCGACGGACGTCACGCTAATGCGCATATTGACAGTCTGAAAACGAACGGTTGGACCTGCAGTACGAGATCCTCAAGGTGCTGCTCAAAGGCAGGAACTACTTTGCGCCGTTGAAGGATCCGAGGAAGATCCTGGATATAGGAACAGGGACGGGAAAGTGGGCGATTGAGATGGGTATGTGAAATATAGCCCAATGGCACTTGGGAATCTGAGAAGCTGACTTGATTAGGGAATGCATTTCCCAAGGCAGAGGTAGGCAGAGAGTCGAGTGCACGTGTGCTTGGTTAACGAAACGTAGGTCACGGGAACGGATCTCTCTCCCATTCAACCTGAATGGTAAGTACCTCGAACCTGCCATACTCCAAGATTCTAACATCTCTAGGGTCCCCAACAACGTCAAATTCGTCATCGACGACGCCAACGAGGAAGACTGGATGCTCGACCCCATGGACTACATCCACACCCGCGTCATGCTCGGCTGCTTCGAGGACTTCCGCGAAATCATCGCAAAGGCCTACCGCCACCTCAAACCCGGCGGCTGGATGGAATCCCAGGAATACATGCCTACCGTTTACTGCGACGACGGCACAATGTCCCCCGACTATGCCTTCGCCGAGTGGACCCAGACCCAGGACCGCGCCGCCATGAATCTCGGAAAGCCCCTGCGCATCGCGAATAAACTGAAAAGATGGTATGAGCAAGCCGGGTTTGTCGACGTGCACGAGGAGGTCTTCAAGCTGCCGATCAATTCCTGGCCCAAGGATCCGCAGTTCAAGATGCTGGGGCGGTTCAGCGAGACGAATCTGCTGGATGGGCTGCAGGCATTCAGTTTGCAGCTTTTCCAGAAGGGCTTGCATTGGACCAAGGAGGAGATTGAGGTCTATCTGGTGCACGTGCGCAAGGCGCTGAGCGACCGGAATGTGCATGCGTATCACAAGATGTGAGTCGTCCTTTTCTGCATGCCGCGGTTTCATTTCACTTGAATCTCGCTGATATGGATCCAGATATGTCGTCTGGGGCCGCAAGCCATTCGACCATGAACTGGGCGTTCCCAGCCCGCCGAACTATCCCCCACCGCCACCGCCGAGAGAGTAACGACGAGAAGCTGGACACGCATAGGCATGAGCAAACATGCACCTGCATCACGATCGAAACGAATCTCCTTAGCATACCCGTCAGCGGCAGTCTCACGCTTGAGCATTTCTGGAAGGCAGCATAGCAGGAACTGAGCGAGTCGCCCACCGAGCGAGCAAGTTAGTGAGTTGACAAAAACGGCATTTCTTCAATCTTTGTTCCTTCTCTTTCTTTCTTTTTTCCTTTTCCCTTCCTAATCTCTCGGCGGCTATCTGCTCTGCTTTTCATTCTACTTCAATATTTCTCTTTGAAAAGATTGGCATTTCCCGCACCCCACTCGGCAACTCCTTCTTCGTTCTACTAGAGGCATGCTTGCAAAGGGCGGAGCTGGGCGTATCTAATCGGCTGGCTTCTTCTTTTTGGGTGTGCTTCTTTTTGACTTGGTTTTCTCTCCTTTTTGGCAATCGTTTGTTCTGCGATTTGGGCGGCATGGTTGTTGTGTGTCCCGCTTCTTGGTTTTTATGACGGGGTTTTGGCTTGGGTTTGTTGGCTTTGAGAAGACTGTCGGTTTGATGTGGATTTGAGAGAAGGAGAGCGCGCCAGCGAGGCGAGAGTGCGAGGTTGGGTGTGGTTCTGGCTTAGGCCCGGTCTTGGTGCTTGGACTTGAGCTTTTCCAATATTTGTTGATGCTTTGGAGATGCGTTGCTTCTTTTTTTTCTCTTTGGTCCCTTCTCGTTCATTATACCACTGCTATCTCGCCCTGCTTTTGTCATGAATGTGCCATTCGGTCGTTGTTTAGGAGGAGAAAAGGTGAAGGGCTTGTTGGGGTTGGGTGACTCTGAGGCGTACAGATGGAGGAGGGGATAGGATGGAGGTGGGAGGGAGGGAGATATGTTGCAGGATGAGTGAATGAGTGAATGCGTGTAGTTGAAGCATGCATGTAGTACACGGCCTGGCCTCGCCTGAGGAACAAACAGAAGTACGTATTGTTGGGCACGAGTGGCGAGCAGCGTCGTGGGAGCAAAATGAGAAAACGGTCCTCTTTTCCCAACGGTTATGATGGCGAGTGATGTTTGCCCACCGGCCTCGCCTTGTTCGCGCATGCATTTCTTTTTCAAGGGTTGACGACGGAGACGGAGGGAGGGAGAGAGATTGTGGAGAGTGTGTGTCAGTAGCTTCTCTGTTTCTTGCATGGAGCGCCGCGAATGCTGGGAATGTGATGCTGAGGGTTGATGTTCACTTGAGGTGACTGAGAGGAAACCTGGCGAGAAGGAAGTTAACGTAGGTACGGGGATTTCGTCCTCATTGCCGGATACCTACCTACCTCCCATACCTCCTTCGCGTTCCTCGTCCTCTCAAGTCCGCCATCTTCCAAACAGATATTTCATATTCGACCAAGGCCCACGAGTTAACAGACCCACCCAAAGCGGTCCATGAAACATAACTAACTGCCTGGAATCCCCGCCCGGCTCCGACCGAAACACACACCGTTTGGAAGGGGCCTGTAGGCAAAGAAAAAGTGGTCTGATTCTTACTCATTGATATCAGCGCATGGTTCTTTCGTTTGTAAAGGTGTCACAGAGGGAGCCGTTTGATCCGATCGAGATGCACGTGATATCTATCATCGGCTGGACTCTGGCTTCCATTGAATCAAGTTTCTATTTCGGGGCCTATATGTGTAAACTTCTACCTGAACGATGCGGACAGAGTGCGTCGATAACAACAACAACTGGCCCGAACGAAAAAGGTAGGTAAAAAAGGGGTGAAGCCGCTCCACGGCCTGGTATCATCTATCCACCACCACCACCCCCAACCACACACACAGAAACACCCCCTCCCCTTCTCACCCTCCATCTAAAAGTTCTCCTTTCCCCACACAAAGCTAAACCCAGGCTCACTATACATATTACACTTGACATGCAGGGTACTCCCCAATCCCTTGGGACCGCAGAAAAACACGCCGGCCTCGGCGGGACTGTGGATCTTGCGGATGCTCTTGAAAATCATGTCCCAGTTGGGGCGGCCAAAGTTGGTCGGGCTGCGCAGGCCCGTGATGGCGTCGACGTCGGCGTTGGCGTCGTTGATCATGATGTTGGTCGCGTCGTCGGGCTTGATTTTGGCTGTGAGGTACTGAAGAACTGTTAGCTCCTATTTCCTGCTTTGATATTTGGCAAACGGTGAGGAGGGGAGTGGGAGCGAGGAGGGAGGGAGGAGAGGCCTACCGTATGGATCTCAATACAATCCTCCAAATCCTGCTGCTCAATCGCCAGCAGCAAACTGCGGAACCACTCGAAACTGCCAAAGTCCCGGCAGATCCAGAAGAAGTAGACTTTCCGCAGCCGCGTCCGGCTGCCCTGCGGGTAGTTCATGCGGTACCAGATGCTCTTGAGGATCGAGGCGAAGGGCGTCACGCCGATGCCCGCGCCGACCAGGACGGCGATTTCGAACTTGAAGACGTCCTCGGAGGCGGAGCCAAAGGGCCCGTCGATGTAGACGCGCGGGAGGATCTTGCGGAGGGCCACGTCTTGCGGGTCGCCGCTGGGTTTTTCCTTGGAGTCTTTACCTCCACCCCCACCCTTACGGTCGAGCTCGCAGCCCAAAGCTTTGCCAAAGGCCTTTGTGAAGTTGCCCACCATGCGTATGTGCACCGAGATGTAGTCCTCCTCGGGCGCGCTCGTCAGGGTGAAAGGATGGTACTGCCAGATACTCACCTCGGGGCAGCACAGGAAAATGTACTGCCCGGCCCTCGTCCTGGTATGTTCCTTCTTGATCTGCACTTCCACCACATTACTCGGGTGCTGCACCACCTTGGAGATGAACGTCTTGTGTCGCCCCCTCAGCTCGCGCGACACGCGCTCGCCCAAGTACGCGAACCCGCCCCACATCCAGTACTGCCAGAAGACGCCGATGCCGTCGCAAAGGGGCTCGAAGTCGGGCTTGATCATGCAGAAGGCGCCGTGGATGGACCAGAAGACGAAGAAGACGACGAATAAATGGTGCGTGTACCAGAAGCGCTCGAAGTTGGCGCGCCGCGGTTTCTCCATGGCCGTCCACACCATGGCGCACAGCGCGATGAGCATGATGTAGCCGCTCCACCCGGGGCCGGTGAGCAGGTTGGCGCCGATGAAGCCCTTGAAGCCGAGGCGGTTGGCGGCGGCGAAGCGGGCGAGGTTGTTCCAGTGGGCGATGGTGTGGACCCAGGAGAAGAAGAAGATGGACCACCCCACGAGCTTGTGGAAGGTGATGTTCTTGTCGAAGGGGATGACGCCGTTGAGCGGGGTGCGGCGCGCTATCGATATCAGGTTGCGGCAGACGGGGAAGAGGATGAGGGCCACGTCGACGTGGAGGACGAGGGCGGCGGAGCGGGCGATGGGGAAGGTGGCACCGAAGCTTTGGCGGGCTCCGATGGATTTTTCCTGTGAGAGAAGAGAGGTGTGAGGATTGAAACGAGAAAGCAAAGCGGAGAGGGAAGACGAACTGTTAGGCCGTAGTTGATCATGCCGAAGACGAAGACCATGACATGCAATATTAAGAAAGTAAATACGAATCTACAATGGTTAGCATCTCCAACTCGTCCAAAAAAGAATAAAAAGAGCTTGTTGATGAATGGACGTACAATCTCCGATAACCCTCATTCACCATCCACACCTCAATCTTCTCCTTGAGGAACAGCGGCCGTGGCTTCTCGTCCGACATCTCGCCGGACATGAGCATACGCGTCAGCGGCGGCCATCGCGACCGCTCGCGCCCGGTGAGACTTGAGTATCCTGACATGGCCGGTGTGGAGGTGGGTGCGGGCGCGTGGCAGCCAGTGTCGGGAGGCCCAGAGGTTCGACGAGGGCGGTGTTCAGAGCCTGCTGAAGGAGACCAGGACGCAAGGAGGAATGTGAACGAATGACGGTATTGATCTATGGAAGAGATTAGAGGAGGGTTCATGGCGACGAGGTACGTGGGAGGCTTACAATAGGTGTGCCCGCACTGAAGAATAGAAGAAGAAGCGAAAGGAGCGAGAGAAGACTACGTCGTAGCGGTCAAGGGCACGCCGGCATGAGGACGAAGGAAGAAGGTAATCCAAGCAGCAAGAAAGAAAGAGGATGGTAGAAGTACAGCAAATGCACGGAGTACCTAAAGACGGGAGTAGCTTCTTGGGAGAAGGAGGTGCAGGACCAATATCATTGCACAGCCATGTGGCACGAAAGGTCACCAGAGGCGCGGAGGTAAGTCACAGGCCTTGTCGAGGCCCACGCAACAGAACAGTCAAAATCGAACCACGTCGGAGGGAGGGAAAGGCAAGATGCGACACGAGGAGATGGGGTGGGCTATGAGGGCGTATCGCAGCGACAAGGTGCGGCGGCGCCATCCTTTGCGGGACCACCTCTTTTGCGAATGGGGGACGGAGTTGCATGACTGTGAGTGGTTTAGCCTGGGGACAATTCTTTGCGCCTTCTGAAACCCGATAGGCGGTGCGACATGGCCATTTTGTCTTCGTCGAGCCAGTGGAAGGGGGGACGAGTTGTGTGGTTTGAGAAGTGTCGGAGACCCCTGGCCCAGCGTTTGGAGTTGCGCTTTGGCCTCGCGACGGCGGTTATCCATCTCACCACCATACACCATGATGCTCTTTGCGCCGCATGTCTTCGGGATGGACATCGGTACTTGTTGGAATCTCACAGCCTGCAGCTACCTACCTATATCGCCGCATTATCAATAATTGCGGCTCTGCGGTTGCACGCATGCGGCGATGCTCGATGCCGTTAAGCGACCAAAAACATGCACATGGAAGAGAATAGGGGAAGGGGGTTTGGACAAGACGACTCTTATGTTTCGCCATGGCTCTTCTAAGTAATGAGCCGCCTCTTCTGTTTCCCTAAATACCTGCTGCCCTGCAAGCCACACCTGTGGTCCCTAACTTCAATCCCGGAGCCAACCTTATAACATCAAATAGCCACCGCTGGCAGAGATACACTGACCTGAGATCCAACCCGACTGCTCCTCGGCGAGCCATGCCACCACTTGGGCCACGTCTCCGACTTTGCCGACGCGGTGCTGTACCGGCGTCACCTTCTTCTGCATCTCCACGAGGTCTTTGGGGACATTTTCGAGCATCTCCGACTCGACTGGGCCTGGCAGGACGGCATTCACCGTGTGGCCTGCATCGCCCAGCTCGGCCGCAAGACAGCGCGTCATTCCCTCCAATGCTGCCTTTGAGGAACAATAAAGCGACAAGCCCGCAAATCCGCTTCTCGAACCCACCGACGACAGGTTGATGATCCTGCCCGGCGCACGAAGATGGGGCACAACGGCCTTGGTCAGAAGCAGCGGCCCTCGCACGTTGATGTGGAACATCTTTGCAAAGTCCTCGGGCGTAATCTCCTCGAGGGAGCTGCCAAACTCGATGCCTGCATTGTTGACGAGAATGTCAATATGGTCCCCGAAGGCTTCGAGCGTCGCCTTGACGATTTTGTCTGGAGCGTCTATATGGCCCAGGTCGGCTCGCACGGCGATGGCCCTAGTCCCCAGCGCTTCGATCTGGCTCACTACGTCTTGCGCGAGGGGTGCGCTCTTCTCGGATGTGTAGACGATGGTGATCTGGCTAGTCAGTGAGCGCTCCGCGTACCTCCTTTTTGGAGACGCTGCATACTTTGGCCCCTCTTCTGGCAAGCTCCAATGCCAGGCCTACTCCGATGCCTCTCGATGACCCCGTCACGATGGCGACCTTGTCCTTGAGCGTTAGGTGTTGTTCTGAAGCAGTTGAAGCCATCGCGCCTGAGTTTGGTTTTGCTGCTATCCTCTGTAGGTGAGTCAGGGGATCAAAGGTGTGAATGACGTAGACGTAGAAGTTCTGAATCAGAGACCATGCTCAAAGACCTTATATCACAGGTAATTCAGAAGCAGCCAAGAACCTGATCAGCAGAAGGATTCACAGCATAGGATGATTGGCCCTGTCCGCTACCTGCATCGTCTTGCGGCTTCCTGTCACGATAGCTTGCTCCAGTCGGCAATCGCCTTTTCACCAAGAAGGGACCATCATCGCGGAGATAGAGTGGGTATATCCGACAATGAGACGGGGTATGCATCCTAGTAACCTCCAAGACATCCTCGACATTTTGGGCCACTATGATCCACACAGTCTTTTCTTATATCTACTCAGTCGGTATCGGAGAGAAAGTCCCCCTCTCCCTAAGTACCCCGTACTTGTAGAAAGACCGGAGTATCCGTCCGGAGTATTCCAAAGGGTGAAGAAATGCCCGGATCACGTGAAAAACGGTTTCCGAACGCCGGTCCTCCCAAATGGGGAAAGGAACCGGACTCACGTAAGCGAACGGCGGCATATTAATGGTTGACGCATCAACGAAATCGGCGGCGGTCCGTTCGGCGCACAAGCCGTCCGTTTCTTCATGGGCAGAGACTGATTCCCCATCTCGGATTTGTTGTTCTCCCTCTCTTCTCTTCTGTCCTTCAAGCAAGCCGCCGATCTGCACCCGTCGCAAGTCCCTCAAGAGCCCTGATTGAAACTCTGCTGGAATTGCTGAACTCACCGTTAGCCCCTGCCAGCCTGCCAGCGCACGCCACCAACTGCCGACGACGAAAATGGCTGGAATCACAGTGCAACCTCAGAACGAGAGAAAGTCTCCCCGAGACTCTCCCGAGAGGGGCAAGAAGCGCATAAGTTAGTGCTAATCATCCTGTTCACTTTTCAACACCTCCGACTTCTTGCCTTCCGATATCCTCACCCGCTCCCGCACCCTCCAAAAAGCGGAAGCCTTTGGCTACTACCCCGCCCTCTTCGTATGACTGCTCCGACATCTGACATGGCCCCCGACATTGCAGGAACCCAGTCGCTCCCACCGCCGGACCTTCCCAAACTCGTCGCCGAACAACACGTTCCCATACCCAGCAGCGACAAGGACACGCAAAGACTGATTGTGGTACTCTGCAATGCCACGCTCGAGACGTACAAAGCCTCGGTCGGGTCCGGTCGTGGCCCTGGAGGAAGGGAAGAGAAGTACAACCTTCTCAACAGCGACGACCACATCGGTGTCATGAGGAAGATGGGTCGCGACATCAGCGAAGCGCGACCTGATATCACACACCAGGTGCGTTTGGTCGTGCACCAGTATACATGTGTGCCATGCTGACGAGAAGTGGCACAGTGCCTGCTCACACTATTGGACTCGCCGATCAACAAGGCTGGAAAGCTCCAGATTTACATCCAGACGGCGAAGAATGTGTTGATCGAGGTCAACCCCGGCGTCCGGATACCACGTACATTCAAGCGATTTGCTGGTCTCATGGTCCAGCTGCTCCACCGACATCAGATCCGGTCGACAACGTCGCAGGAGAAGCTCATCCAGGTGATCAAGAATCCGATTACGGACCATCTCCCTCCCAACTGCCGAAAGGTGACGCTCAGCTTCGACTCGGAAGTTGTGCGTGTACGAGATTACATCCAAGGTTTGAACAAGAACGAGAGCATCTGCGTCTTCATTGGTGCCATGGCCAAGGGCAACGATGACTTTGCCGACGCCATCAAGGATGACTCGATCAGTATCAGCAACTTCAACCTCAGCGCCAGTGTAGCATGCAGTAAATTCTGCCATGCAGCCGAGGACGTTTGGGGCATCATCTAGGCCATGCATCCGGACCGGACTTGCTAACCTCTCTTCATCACCGAAAGCGCCAACCAAACAGATCGGACACCGCCCGACGCTGCACCGCGCCGCGCGTCGAGACTGGAGGCAGGGGAGCAAACGTGGCAGCAGGAGGCACATGCTTGAGATCACAACATCGAAAGTCCATGTGCTGGAACCCTGCTTTTTGAGCGATTTCAAGTCTTTGATTTCTTTTACAACAATGGAACATCAACGGGGCTTCAACGTCGTCAAAATCTCTTGTTTGTGGTGGAGCAATCAACTTGCTCTGCCTCTCCTGCATCGCAAGGGGACTTTGCCGACCAAGAGCGGCAAAGTCCCTGGCGATGCTGAATTGTAGGTGTTTTCCGTCTGTTGAGTATGGCCCTCCTTGATCTACAAAGCCTATCTGGCTGCACATGTACGTAATAGCGGGCGAGTTAGAGCCATGTTTGGTGGTCCCTCGAGTTCCGCCGACGTCAGACGTTGGATATCCGGCAAATAGTCGAATGCCACACTTTGCAGATGCGAGTTTATTTCGCACCTCTGCAGTTATGTACCGGTGGCCTGGCTGATTCGGCCGTCCTTTACTATGCGTTGTACTGCTGCGGAGGCGATAGATGGATGGGTGACATGTATGGAATGTACTGTACGGAGTATATCGGGCATAGACGACGCAACAAGGATGTATCCGATCAACCACGTCGTAACGCAGCATTCCCGAATCGGAGACTTACAAGAGCGATATATTGAATCCAACTCGAAAGCTCCGTCAGGTGAAGCAGCAAATGTTGGGTGCGGAGCAAGGCAACGAGTGGATGGCGAGATTCAGCTTCGTCTTAATAATGGCTGGCTCGGGCGGACATTGTCCAATTCGTCGCAGAAATCCGAGAGCCTCATCTTTGAACGACAAGCGCGTTCCCTCATACCATAGTCCAGGCTCAGACTACTCCGGTCTGGATCCCACGCGCCTCTCCTCCATGCTCCGGCTCGCTCTGCTCTCTTCCCCGACAAGATGAGGCGGAGAGCCGCGCCTGCAAGTTGTAGCCGCGGATGGCCATGGATCCAATCCGCATCTCTCGCTTCATGTCGTCCGAGCGTTAGTTGCATGGAGGAGGGACATGTGGCAGCACCAGAGACTCCTCCTTCATATGGCCAGCGGATGGGTGGGGCGGGCCAGAGATGACCGCGTTCCCGCCATGCACTTGGGAGAGATGGGATCGTGATTTGGCTTGTATAAGGAGACGCGGTGCGAGTTCAAATGGGGTGGACAAAAGACGTTACGGCTACACCACAGGTTTGAGAAAGTCGGGAATTATCATCGTGACTTTGGACTTTCTCTTCGGTGATAAATCTTGTTCCATATTACATACCTCTTCGTCTTCATATTCTTCATCGGCTGCGACTCTTCATTCTCTTCATCTCTACAAGCTTTCATCTTCAATTCCCCAGCCACTCGTTGAAACAACTCCACCCTCCCCTCCATCATGCCAGTCTCCCATATCGGCCTCACAGTCTCGCATCTCCCCACCTCAACATCCTTCTTCCTCTCTGCCCTACAACCCCTAGGATACCGTTTCATCGGCCAACAAGGCAATCAGATCGGTTTGGGAATCGAGGATGCCGATTTCTTCCTGTGCCAGGAGGGTCCTGGGTGAGTACAACCACCTTCATATCCCGTGACCATACGACTTCGACATCTATACATATCGTAGCAAATAGGCATAGATGCACACGTAATATCACCATCCTTACAAAAGACAAGCTAACATTTCCCCAGCATCCCCGCCACAGCCGCCCACATCGCCTTCACCGCCCCCTCGCGCGCCGCCGTCCGCGACTTCTACGCCGCCGCCCTCAACGCCGGCGCCCGCCCCAACGGCGCCCCGGCCTGTCGCACGGAAAACTCGGACCACTTCAACGCCGCCGTCCTCGACTTTGACGGCAACAGCATCGAGGTCGTGTACCGCGGCGGGGAACCCGATGTCCGAGACGACGGCACCGTCGTGCAGCACAGTAGGGTGATTGAATGGAGGCGGAGCGTGAGCGGGAGTGTAAGAGATGGGGATGGAGCCAGTGTGGTGAGTGCGAGGACCAGTGCGTCGAAGAATGCTCCTAGTATTGCTTCGGCCGCAGAGACGCTGTCCAAAGCCGCGAGTCTGGTGAGGAGCGTGTCGGCGCCCGTGGCGCCTACCATGGCTGGTACGACTCCGGGAAGTCCTCAGGTCACTGCCGAAGTCACCACGACGACCAAGATTACGGCGACGGGAGACGGCGCGGCGAAGAAGATCATCGGCACGTTACTAGGAGCGGCGGCGGGAGCGGCAGTGGCATATGCCATGGTGAAGAGCGAGGAAGATAGTGCGAGGAAAGAGGCCAGGTTTGTAAGGTACATGGAGGCGAAGGAGGCGGCGGCTTTGCAGCAGCAGCAACAACAACAACAACAGCAAGCCGCACTAGCGATCCAAGATGCCCAACCCGTCTACTCCTCAGCACCACGCTCGGTTGTCTCTGCCACTGGCAACAGCGCATACGCCCCTCGAGCCATCGAAGCCGCACCCCGAAGCTACTACTCCCCAACATACATCTCCGTCCCTCCCACCCAAGCCAACGCCGCAGGCGGTGAGCGTCTAGCCATCGAATACGCCCCCGCGCACTCGGTCGCTGGATCCCAGTTCCCCGCGCCTCGTCGCTCGGTCACTAGCCCAGAGCTCAGCACCGTGTCCGTCTCCAAGGCAAGGAGTACAGTGTCCAAGGCGCCCAGCGCAGTCCACAGCGTGGCGGCTAGTACGCTGATCTCGTCCTTTGTACCTGAGCACGTTGGACGGCGGGCCAGCGAGGGAAGCGTACATTCGTCCTCCTCAACGCCGCAAAAGGCGAAATCACACATCTCGTCGGCGAAACCGGCATCCATCGTGGGTAGTATCCTCGGCCGTCCTTCCCCTTCGGCCGCGGGCTCCAAAACGAGTAGCCACAAGGACCCGTTTACGGATGCGTATGAGATTGTGGAGATTGACGACTTGGACGAGGTCGATGTCGATGATGCGAGTGTTGCGCCCAGCGATAGTATTTCGAATGCTGGATCGCACCGCAGCCGTCGCAGTCACCGAAGTAGCCACAGCCATCACTCGAGTAAGAGTCACAAGAGCAAGAAGAAGGACAGGGATGGCGAAGGTACTGTCGTGAGTAGCGCGAGTAAACACAGCAGCAGCAGCAAACACAGCAAGCATAGCAAACACAGCAAGCACACGTCCGCCAGCAAACGGAGCGAGAAATCGCACCGCTCCTCGCCACTCAAGGAAGAATGGCACGACGCCGAGTCCGGCGGCGATGGCGCGGGAAATGGAAAGCGAAGCGTCGTCTCGGAGCCCAGCGACGCGAGTACCGTCAAGCCGGCCAGATCGACGACGCATTCTTCGCACTCGAGGTCGAGTAAGAGGAAGGATTCGGTAACGTCGGCGAGTGGTGGGTACGAGACGACGACGACGTTGCCTGTGAGGGGGATCACGCCGAGTATGATTGCGGGGAAGGATGGGGGGAAGGTGGCGGGGGCTGGGGGGAGTAGGAGTTTGATGGGTTATGCTATGGGGCAGAGGATTAGGGCTTTTGAGGGGGCGTCGTAGGGGAGGTTGGAGTGCGGCCGGTGAGATGGCTGTGGAGGGTGATGGAGATGCATTTACTTAGAGGGATGTGGGTTCGATGTAGATGGGGTTTCTAGCTGATTTGGATTTGGTGTTGCATTCTTGGAAAGGGGTGTTCCTTTCTTCTGCTTGGGCTTTGGTCTCTTAGGGTTTTTAGGCACTTGCATATATACATAGATACGGCTCGATTGAATAGCATTGGACGTAATATGAATCTTTTGGTTATTGTTATTGAATCGCTTCTTGAGTCCAGTGTATGTCTGAGGGCTATCGTGTGAGTGGTCCTGTTGCTGCACCTTTTTCTTACTCAATATGCCTGCTGTACTGCATCTCTAGCTTCTAATATGTAAGAACTACATAACAGTATCTCTAACAAATTTTAGAGTCCAACATATAATTACATTTGCACAGTTCCCGTCAAGTTGAATACAGGGGTGCGCGTTTGCTTCAAGAGGTCAGTACACACGGTATGTCACAAGGCTCCACATCAAGCATACGGCCAATCCCTAACTGCTCTCAAAGCGGTAGACAACTAGAAGCCTGACGTATCTCCTCAAAGAGCAACGAATCACGAGTCTTCGAGTCCTTGGCCGTGTTACACATACATCGAGACTACGTAAAAGCTTTACTGTAGAAGACCGCAACATCCTCAAGACTCTGTGCTAAAGATGGCTGTACTCTGACACAGAACTCTTCTTGCACCATTATTGGGTTAAACCAGTGTTGGTAGCGTTTTCTCAAGTAAACCTGAGTGTCATGTTGATACATCCGTTGCGAATATCTCATTTCATCATCCCCCCAACGTGACCACCATCACCTGCTAAAATTATCTCCTCTACCTTCCCATCTCCACCGATTACACCGTCAATGTATCTCACTTCTTAACCTAGCACCTCTCAAACAGCCAACAGCCCCGCCCCTCCCGCCCCAAAGATCCCAAACCATCACCCCCCATCCCGCGCCCGCTCTCAACCGCTTCAATCACCGCCTACAAAGACCTCCTCCCCACGCACAACCTCCCCACTTACCGCTCCCCTTCCTACAAACAAATCCATCACAAGATCTGCCACAGTCTACCCAGCTCCTACTACACCGCAACTCCCATTCCAAGGCGTGGGGCCGCACTGTTCGTTCCCCCCCGCCCGCCCGGCCTAGGATTCGCCCACATGGGTCATCATCTCAACCAGGCACACTCCGCTCTTTCGTTCCCTGGGCCGATGCCGCGGGTATATAAAGCTGCTATCCCCTCTTACTGCAGGTCAAAGGTCTCTTCAACTATGGATGATTGCGAGCACGGCAATATGAGTATGGACATGGATGGCGATGGACCCTCGTCGCACCACAACCCTTTTGATATGCGACCCAGCATGGAACCCGCACTTCCGATAATTCCCGAATCACCCAACCCTTCGCCGCCATGGAAGAGCGGAGTTGCGGATGCCAGGATGCAGAGCCAGATCATGAACGGGAACGGCGGTGGTCTCACTCCCCGTCCGCATCCGCTTTTCCCCGCCAATGGAGGTAATCAACCTACGCTGAAGACCACTAACGGTGTTATGACTTCCACTCCGAGGAATGAGGAAGACTCTTTTACCTCGACGAATGGTACCCATGGGACAACGCTGGATGATGATCCTTATGCGTGGATGGAGTCTCCGGAAAAGGTATGTACATATTGACGAAGTGAAATCGTAACTGTGCGGACAGTGCTCACTTACTCGGCTGCAGATCGCTCGCCTTCGAGACTTGAAGAATTTCGCGCTCGGTAAGTCCCCCTCTTTCTTTTCCTTAGATAGCTCTCTCATTTCTTCATTACCTCTCCATCTCAGCCCTGACCTATTTCCTATTGCCTACCTACCCTTGGGAAGCACTACGCATCAAACTAACAAGTCCCCAGGAAACGCCCGCCTCCTCTACGGCAACGACCGAAACCGGTACCACGACATCGTCACCGCGTACATCCCCGTCTCCACCTCTGACTCCACCACTCCTGGCTTCTCAAACGGAGGAGTCGGAAGCAGTGGCCTAGGCACATGGGTAGCCATCCTCATCATCACCATCGACGGCACGAGCAAAGCGCTCCGGGAGGAGAGAAGCGAGTGTCCGATCCGAGCGACGCAGGCGCTTGTGAGGGGGTTGATGAGGGATACGGGGGTGCTGTTTTGTGGGTTACCGTTGCTGTTGCTGTTACTGTTACTGCCATCGTCACTTCCCCATTCTTCACAAATCACAGTCTGACATCTGAGCTTTCGGTTCTTCTTTCCATGTTTCGTTCTTTCGTTCTTTCCATCTTCCATCCTCTTACGTCCCTACCCGCCTACCTCCCCCTCCCCAACCCCCTCCTATTCTACTTCACCGATGAAGATCCACTAAACTAACCCTCCCCTCACAGCACACAAACACCCCATCACGGGCGCCAAACTCCGCGGCCAACAAGGCCAGACGGGCCCCAACGGCGTCTTCGCCCTCTTCGACGCGCGCACCGCGACGCCGGATGTAGGCAAGAGGGACGATACGCGGGATATGGAACCGGGAAGGGGATGGAGGAGGAATGGTGCTGGCGGAGGGGGCCCGGATTTGTATAATGGGGAGGGAGTTAGGGTTGGTGGTGGTGGTGGGGATGGGGGGTGGGAGAGAGAGACAGGGAGGGAAAGGGAGAGGGAAGGGGGGAGGGGGTTGAAGAGGAGTAAGGTCTGTTATGCGGATTTGATGTGATGGGGATATCCCATACATAGGTATGGGTGGGTGGGGAACTGGAGTGGGATTGGGATTGGGGTTCTGCAGCTACAGCGAGGGAATTGGGCGTTTAACGAGGGACGGACTGCTTCTCTGCTTAAAGGTGCGCCAATGGGCGCAGGAGTGGTGGACTCGGATTTGGATTTATCTTGCGGGGTCCGGTGGATGCATTTGTAGGGTAGAGGTCGAGTGTACTATATAGCGGCAAGTTTGGCTTTTCTTTTCATCTGACTGCTTTATGTGGATGTCTAGTGAATGACTTTTTTGTCGATGGTTAGTGAATGATTTGGAGTTGAGGATTGGTGGAGTGGGATGTTAGGTGGTTTGGGATGGATTGGGTGCTTCAGGGTGTGGGGATTCTTCTGTTATAAAGGTGTTATGTGTAAGGGGAGTCTGCGACAAGTGAATATAAGTTACTCACTTCTTGGGCAGGTAGTTAAAGGCTAAATTTCTTTTGTCCTGTGCTCCACGTGCTCAGTTTGCGTAGAATATGCGACAGAAGAGCTTAGTATGGTATGTACCGTCTTGCATATTCATATGTCTAGCTCATCTAGATCTTGGGATATCTGTACACATCTATGCTGAAACCTATTCATACAATCAATTCCACACTCACCGCCTGGCCTCCTTCTCCTCAAACCTCCTCTCCTTCACCTCCCCACTCTTACCACCAAACCACTGCCGCATCCACAGCGCCATATCCTGCTCCGTCTTGTCCACCACATACATCCCCCTCTCCCAACACGCCCTCTTCAGCTCCTCCCTCCCCAACTCCCTCCACCCGCCATCCCTCGCAATCAACCCATCATCCGTCCTCAAATACTCCAACCTCTTCCTCAACGCCCTCCTGACCCAAAACAAGGGGGGCCTCATAAAGTAATCCCACACACCCGAATACGCATCCAACCTCGCCGCCAACCCCAACAACGTCCCCTTGTCCATCCCCTCTACCACCCCAGGCTCCAACCCCCCTCCACCAGCCAGCAGCAACTGCGCCTCCACCTCACCATTAGCAAACAGCCTCCCCACCCCCCTATCCCTCGCCGCGACCCTCTGCCTCTCCATCCTCCTCGCCTCCCCCTTCGTAAACATCTTGCCCACCTGCCCGGGCAACCGACACGTCTCCGGCACAATCGGCATCAGAAACGGCACCAGGAACGGCGTCCACTCGCCAAACACGACGAAAATGGGCACGAACACGCACGCCCTCATCATATCCACGCGGCTCCGCCGCACCGTCTGCCACTCGGCCCGCGTCAGCACAATATCCGATACATCTCCATCGGCCGTCGGGACGGTTTCCCCGGCTTGCACGCCGTTCATCGCGTTGCGCTGGCGCTCGCGCAGCGTTTTGGAGAGTTGCCGCATCGCCCACAAGTTCTTCATGCCTGTTTTGTAGAAGGCTAGGTACGCTTTTCCCGCGTTGAAGATGTAGTTGACGAATCCTTGGTTGGGGCCGCGGGCGGGTACGTCGATTGGTGCTGGATATGTTTCTGGCGGTGGATTCAGTTTCGGGTTTTGGTGGGGTGGTGGAGGAAGAGGGCTCGAATGGTCGGCCGCTGCCGCTGCATGGTGGTAGACAGGTCTCCGGACGGATTCACTTGTGCGGGTGGGAACTTTGGCTGTCGGCGGAGATCCTGTCGGCGCTTTCGTTGGTTTCACGGGGCGGGCGGCGGCAGCGCTTTGCTGCTTTTTCTTCGCTGCGGGCGGTTTCGCGGTCGCTATCGGTGCTGCGTTCGTGGTTTTCTTCTTTTTCTTCGCTGCTGTCGCTGCTGTCGACGAGGAGGCGTGCCGGATTGTGCGGTACTCATGATGGCTCAAGAAGTACTGCGACGCGAATGAATGTAAGACAGGCGCTTTTCCCGCGCATGCGAATCGCGTCGATACGACCAGGAGTGTAGGCCGCGGTTTCATGGTATTATGGCCGTCAATGTGTGACTAATGAGGAGAAAGTTTGGACGCACTTTTTATTAGGAGTGGGATTCAACTTTTGGCGACATGTACGATGTCATCAGGGTGCTTTTCGCGCTAGTCCTCATTGAGCCAAACGACAGGTCAACCTTCGAAGCTTCAAAGGTCGGTAACGTGAAAATGTAAAGTCTGAACCGTGCTTGTCATCATTATCATGACAATCCAGTCTCTGACTATGCACCGAAGACTTTCCTTTATATACTGAGCACAGTATTCAATCCAGTACGCATACAGTTATTTGGAACCATCCGACTCTATGACCCGAAATGGTTCCAGTACAAAAAAGCCATGAATCTCCCAGAAGGTAAAGATAGTGTCTACAAAAGACAGGCGCGTAGTACGAGACAGGTATAACCCGGAGAGATCGCAGGCGCCTTCATGACCAGTAACATGAGCCCAGAACCCCACGTAACAACCTAAGCCCAGATACTAACGTTTGTATCTGGACAGCTGTGCCATGATCTCGTTCATGTCCACCTGACCAGTAGGTGAGGCTTGAGGTGGAGCCTGAGCAGGTGCGCCGGCTGCCCCTTGAGCTGGAGGCTGAGCTCCAAGCAGAGACGCCAGCGAGGAAGCCTGGAAAGCGGTGGGTAAATTTTGCAGAGGTGCCTGTGCGCTAGAGCTAGACGTATACGTCTGTGGTTGCTGTGGAGTGGATAAAGACCCAAGGAGACGGGCGAGGTCGAGGGGGGCTGACGATGGTTGCGAAGCCTGACTCTGGGAGAACGAGCCCAGCAGCTGTGAGATGCTATTGGGGTCAAGATTCGAGAGAAATCCGGAAAGATTAGCAGCATTACTCGTAGCAGTATTGCCGGGATATTGATTTGTTGGTGGTGCACCGTTAGCATAAGGTGCAGGAGCGGCGGGAGGTGCACCGTAGCCCTGCGCGTAGTTGACAGTGGGAGCCGGAGCCGGTTGAGACTGGGTCTGCTTCACGTTGATAACGAGGGCTGCAGCGGTTACCGGGTCAAGATCGGCATACTCTATGTACGGTCAGGTGTGTTCAGTAATAAAAGCCAGGTTCCACTCACCGTTAAACTGGACATTACCAGATCCGCCGCGACGGTCGAAGACGGTAAGATTGACTTTCCCTTTAGAAAGAGTTGAAGTGTTCAGCTTCGCTATGGCCAAGACTCCTTCCACGATCTGTCGTCGTACCACAGCTGCCTCCGAGAGGCGTGGACTGAGGATAAGGACATCGATACGCAAGCCTTGTTGTCGGAAGGAGTCTTCCACCCAACGGATATATTCTCTGCAACTCGTCAGTTATCCTGCACGCCGCTGCCCAAAACGCAGACGCACCGAGGTAGCCCTTCATTGATAACGAGAACTTGAATATCGGGAATTTGGTGAGGAGCACGGAACGGAAGGGGGAGGTCGTCGTCAAAGTCTCGCCTTGGGGATGGGCTCCGGTATCTTCGTGGAGACCGTGACCTGCTTCTCCTTCGACCATCGTACAGATCATGGCTTCGATCTCTCCCCCTCATGCCACGGCCTCCGCGTTGAGGTGAGGGAGATCGGCGGTACTCGTCACGATATCGTCGGTTGTCCCTCTCTCGCGGTGACATGGCCTTTTGGGTACCTCCGTATCGGTCCACCCCTCTTGCTTGTGAACCCGTCCCACCTCTCGTATAGTCGGGAGAGCGTGAGCGTCGCCGAGGACCACCGTTCCTGTCATCTCCTTTCTTGGTATTCCGCTGAGGTTTCGATATCTCGAGATCTGACGTGCATTAGTATAGGCATATGGTTGTATAGGAGTCTGATACGAGGCGTACGCATTTTACGACCACGTATTGCCTTTCCCTGCTCCGCTTTCAACGCCGCATGCGCTGAACTTGCATCTAAGAATTGCACAAATCCGTATGCTTGCTTGATTGAAATTTGAGCCAGTGTACCGTGGCGGAAAAACCGATGGAAAATGTCGCGCTTGGTGACCTTCTCTGTTGGAAGGTTCCCTAACTGCTGTTAGACTATTTTGGGATGGAGGAATGTTGTTAACCGACCAATAAACAGACGAGAGCCCATGGGAAATTGATCCCACTGCCCATCCGTGACATATCTTCTTTCTTCTTCTAGGAAAGCTTCGTAAAGCCTATTGACCTCCGGCGGCCAGCGCCTGTCTTCATCGTCATATCCCTCACCGGGAAAATCAACAGACTGACGCTGACCGTAACCGGGAGTGCTTGGGCTTTGGTTTGACCGCGTCGCAGATTGCGCATCCTGGGACGAGCCGCCCGTACCTCGAACATTCAGAGGCTGGAGTTGGCCCTGGCCTCGAAATTGGGTCGGCCCGGACTTCTGACTGTGAGGATGATATGACCTGATATCATCATTGGCATTGGTTGCGGATTTGTCTTGGGGAGGTGGTCTAGGAGGGAGACCTGGCGCGGCCGGGAGGGAGGAAATGGATGGTTGCGCTTGTTGCTGGGAGTGTTGCGACTGCACTGTCGCGGGCGTATACCGCTCAGGAGCGGCGGGTTCGGTGGTATGTGAAAGGGTATCCAGCAGGGCTTGATAGTCGACACCGCTATCATTTGTGGCTTGATTCTGGTATTGGACGCCTGGAGGTTGGACTTGGGGTTGCTGCGAGGCATATACATTGGGATCATAGGTGGGTGGATATGCAGAGCGGCTGTCTTGGTAGGGCGCGGGATTTGTCTCACTGAACGAAGACTGAGGCGCTTGCTTCTGTGATGGTAAAGTGTGGATTGATGATGTATCCTGAGTCTGCTGCGTACCATATCCGCCGCCGTATTCCGTCGACTGCGGATAGCCAGCCGGTGCCGTGGCCACGGCACCTTGTTGTGCTCCTGAGGGTTGATAACTGGGCGCTGTCTGTTGCTCTGCATACAGCGAGGAGGCATGTCCGCTCGGCGGTTGGGTTTGCGGGTATGGTTGCGACGGGACGGAGCCGCCTAAGCTGAGGGCAGGCTCATTGAACATGGGATCCATCTGTTTCTCAAGAATGGGGATATTGGAAGGAGAAGGATAGTGAAGGGGCTTCGGCGACTCGGGCGTCAGCGTTTTGCCGCGAATTTGCTCAGCTTCCTGTGGTGGACTGGGGATCATGTATGCTAAGCCAGGGCGCGAAAGCGCATGTATGGGAAGGAGGAGCCGCTGGGATGGGTCAATTCATCTACGATGTTCTCGGGGCCAGCGAAGGCACACAGTTCGTGGATGGGGAGAGCTCTCCGAGGAGGCAAGGAGATTCAGGTCAAAAAGGAGCTCCGGACAAGTGAACAGGGCGGGGCAAATGGGCAAGTGGAGAGTGGAGATTGGGCGGTGGGTCTGGATGTATCAGCGGCTCAAGTCATGGACACGGGCGGGATGGGATGGAGAGGCGACGGGAAGGAATGCTGGTGGTGAGGCTGTAGTCGTGCGGTGGTGGAGGTGGGGAGTGCGTGCGAGGCTGCGCCCAGACGGTGTGGAAGATTCTCACGCTGAAGGTTTGTTTGGACTGCTGACTAAGCCCTTTACTAGCCTCAACATGGGAGCAGATGCATGCCAGTACACAACTTGTAGCTGTTCTTGCAAACTGCTCAGGTGCCTCTTCCGCTCGCAATGTCACTTCTCAGGATTCGCCCGCTCTGGATTGCGCACGTTCAGGTACGCCAATGGCCTTGTGGACTATCTCCAAGCCGTTTCTTTGCGAGCGCCAGTGCCGCGGATCCAAGCGTCAGTGAGGAAGAGTTGCAAGCAGCACGCCGATGGCTGGAAAATCTGCATGCAGAGAGCATACCCAAAGATATAGGCGAGCTGAGCTTTAGTAGATCGTCTGGACCGGGTGGACAGAACGTAAATAAGTACGTGTCTTATGTATTTGAAACTAGGGATACTTTGCTACTAACAATACTCTAAGAGTGAACTCCAAGGCCACACTCAAGGTGCCACTTGATACCCTTCTTCAGCATATCCCTACGGCCCTCCATTCCCAGATCAAATCCTGCCGCTATGTAACCACCCGCTCAAATGCCATCGTAATTCAGGCAGACGACAGCCGGAAGCAGACCGACAACGCACACAGCTGCTACGCGCGACTGCATCAACTCATCATTGAGGCTGGACGCAACGCGATTCCAGGCGAAACCTCGCCGGAGCAGGCGAAGCGTGTGAAGGATCTGTGAGTTCCTTTCCACTCTTTACTTGCTGGCCTCTAACAGGTATCAGACAGAAGGCGGACAACCAACATCGGCTGAATAAGAAGAAGCAGCACAGTGCCAAGAAAAGCTCGAGAAGAGCACGAGGAGACGACTGAGCGCACTTGACCGCAGAGTAGGATTGTGTACGGTGACACGTGATATGCCAGCTGTACATGGTTCGTCAGGAGGATACGATATCCCAGCCGGTCAAGTACCCAAGGATTTGAGAAGCAGTTGGAGTTGTTCGTTCGCGCCGTACTGCTTCACGCACAGCTCGAGCAATCGTTTTGCATCCGCCTTGCCGCCCTCTCGAGATAGCGATTCGACAACTTTGGCAATTGCATCCCCAGTCGTTGCACTAGTTGCATCCTCCAACTGCCGGGAGTACTTCCGTATACTTGCAGCTAACGCCTTTTTCAGAGCTTGTTCGTCGGCCTCTTCTACGGTCCGCAAGGGACTTATCAGCTGCCGTATGGCGAACTCGGCCAGCTCGCCCGCCATCCTTGAATCTGCTTGGATTGCGGAGTCGAGCATACTCAACGAAGTTCGCAATGCGGCGGGAAATTCCGGAGAAGTGGGGTGAGCGCGAAGCAGATGCAACATGACTCCGCACTTGATAGTGCTAGCGGTCCTTGGAGCCGTCTCTTGCAAACGTCGTAGAATATGATTCAGTATCCGTTCCAGGCACGGTAGCTGCTCGAACTCGGCGAGCATGGTGAAGAACCGTTCTGCGACCTTAGGGTCGTCGCGGAACTGCTTCATAGCTGCGTCGAAGACTGCAATGGGGATAGCTCCGGTCAGGACTGGAGCTGCGGCTAGGTTCTGTAAAGCCACCTCGTCCGCCCCTTCCTCTTTACCTACGCTTGGGTTGATGTCCTCGGCCGTAACGCTAGGCAGCGCAATCATATCACCATCCTCCTGTTCAGTGGCTTGTGTTGCGTGCTCATCATCTAGTCCCAGGATTTTCCTACGTCCCGCTATTTTCGCAATGTATATCGTCTCCAGCTTGGCGTACTCCAACCATATCGCTTCGGAACTCTTGTTGAAACGCAGCGCTCTCTGCATATAACTCCGCGCGTTGGTGATGTCTGCCTGGTCTTCCATGAAGTACCGAGCAGCATAGATCCAAAGACCGGGCTTAGTTGGATGTAGGCGAACCACTTTTGTGAAGATCTCGTTTAGCTTTTTGAAGGCCTTCTCTTTCCGAGCAAACTCGATATATTGCATCCATATATCCAGGTCGCCTGGGAACTTCCTGATGGCGCGGTTATACAGGAAGAAGACCGTTCTCGAGCCGGTCCCGTTCGATTTCACCCCGAGTCTCTCGATGCGCTTCCGGCGGAGGGCGTCGACGTTCTTTTCGAATTCTATGTAGCGCACATAATCAGATGGATTCGAGCCACGGGCGTTGATGATGTGTTCGAAGTCGGATCGTTTCCTCGCGATTGAAACTATTTCGTCCTGTGGTAAGGATTAGCGTAAGTCCATAATCAAGATATCAAGTGCTTACCTTCGTAAAGATCTTCTTCCGCTCAAGCTCACTCAACTCCCCTAATGAGTTCTCAAGGTAGAAGCGCGCCTTATCGCTTGCGCCGGCCATGTTTGTCGTTTGGGATTGCCGATGTCAAGTCCAGATATTCTGCTGTTGGATGAATTTCTTGCAGGGATGTTGTGCCAAGCCTGCCGCGGTTCGGAGTGTTTCGGGCCGTGGGAATAGATCCATCGACCAGTAGACAACTCAGGAGAGTTGCTCAGGTCTTACGTGACAGTTCCCGTCGACTTCTACGCTCTTTACATTCCTTTCTTTCTTTAGGGGAGCGCGTGTTGGAGTGACCATGGCGCCAAAGTTCAGAGATGGTGACGTGGTTGCCACTGTATATTTTCCCGTGGTCGCTTCCAGTCGCGAATGCTAACACAAAGTGAAGCTAAATGGCAAGTGGATATCATACGCACACACTGTCATTGCCTACAGTCAGTATAGCACTTCCCCACTAATATATCATGCTGACAGAGTCCAGCTGCCTTTATTGGAGCGCTCGTAGTTGGAATGTAACCGCGCCTCCCTTCTACCTCCGAATCCCACTGACGGCTTAGATCTCTCCACTACCACAAGATCGTGCAGAATGAGCACTACGTCAGTAAAACCTACCACTATCGAGGTTCATTGCCAACAGTCTGCAGGGCTATCCGCAGGAATGGTTCCCTTCGGTCTCCGCTACAATCGGTGACCGGTATCCTGAACGTTCGGTTTTCATGGTCTTCATTGCGATGACATCTGGTATGAGGCGACGGTAGTATTTCAAGGAGGTTGCTGAGAGAAAAATAGGACCCAGATTTGCACTTGTTACGCTTTGGTATATCCTTACAAGAAGACCGAACTCGACACTGCCCAAATTCGTTGCTGGTGTGGGCATTTTCAGAACCTTGACATGCGGAGGCTGGACGTATGTCACGTCCACGGACGACCATGACTGGCACGACATCTTCATGATCTCTTACCTTGTGGCGACATTGCCGTGGACATTGGGAGTTATGGCCTTGAGCCCTCCCAATCGAACAGCTCTGAAGTATAGGAAAATATTTGCCGGATCTTTCTTTGGCACTCTGGTGCCCCTAATCTACTTTTTCATTCAGCATAAGGTCCACCGTGTAGCTGGAGGTATGTTTCATGCTCCTGTCTCTGCGAGTGTCACTGACCTTGGAGAAGCTTATACCACTTACGCCTTTTTCGAATGGTCGCTCGTGCTACTTGACGTAGCATTCGATGCGGTTACATTGGTGGAATTTGCAAACTTAGAGATTGTTGTGAGAGATATCCGGGGCATCACTCGTGGGTATGTTCCCTGGCTACCCAAGTAGATAGCCACCTATCAGCAGAAATGGAAATGATTTATGACCACTTTCTGATCTGCATGCCTCTTCTAGGACGGGCCACGATGCCGTCGTCGATACCGTGTTAGAAAAGGAGTATGTTCCCCTCCCCTACCGTTTGGTTTATCCTGACACATCAATAGGAAAGAGAAGGATGTTGGCCGGGTATTCGCCAAAGGGTTCTCCTGGTCCGAGTTCTTTGATGCCGCCGCCGACGTGTACAATGGGGTATGTATCCATGCCCCGGCATAGACTTCTCGGCACGGAGGCTGATATTGACAGTTCACCTTCTGGTCCATGTTGACTGCGCTGGGACTTTGCGTGTGGTGTAAGGATACTTTCTCGTGAACCTGACAGTCCACTAACAAGTCAGATTTCCCTCTTTGGCACATGGGCATTTCCGGCTACGAAGTCATGGTAATGTGCACGGTCTCGCCATTCCTTCTTGCTATTAAGCCCCTTCGCACGTTAATCGTTCGCAACATTCGTGTCGTACACCTGATGTCTCTCTCTGGACTCCTTGCATTCCTTGCCAAGTCCCCGGAAAATCGTCTCTTCTCCGCTGGCTTCGGTGTATGGATGGCTTGCCTGTCTTGGGCGGCGACATTCTACGCCGAAAGATCGCAACCCCACAGGCTCGAAGCACGTATCTCTGCTTTCTGCCTTGGTTTGATTGCGTCCAGTATTGCAAAGTTCGCGTTCTGGACGAACAATCCCGTCTGGCCTATCATGCATGGACCCAATGGTGGATGGAACAAGCTTGGACTTGTGCTTGCAGCTCTGGCGATTCTCCGGTCAACGAGGTCGACTGCCAGTTTGGTTGTAGATCTGCCAGCGCCAGGCCCTACCAGAGGGTCCTCCACGGCCTTGAGCCTTGGTCTGGCTGGTCTCTTCTTCGCCATGCACTCCTTGCTCTCTGACTCCAGCACCATGATTCTCTGGGTTTGGGAAGGCTACCCCGTGCGTGGTCCCCTCGCCGTCCCTCATGGTGCTTGGACTCTTATCACGATGGGTATTGGCCTGGTAACGGGCTTGTTCTTACCGGAGCTTGCTGGCTCATGGTTTCTGTACGGAGTGGGATCGATTGGAGCTGCAATCCTGACGACTTCTAGCCATTGGTTTGGGTACTACGGTGCTCTGGCGCTCGCATTCTACGTCATGGCAGTCGCTCCTGTGCTCATTTCGCAGGCCGCTCGATACTCGCCAGCGAAGACCTTTGGTGTCGGATTTCTCATCTACAACATCCTGGTTTTGGCGCACGTTTGGGTTGTCGCGTATGCCTTTGTTCCTGGTGGCCCTCTCATGCGCGAGCACACTGACTGGGTCATGACGGCCATGATGCTGTTCATTGGTTGCGGTGTCTTCTCCGTGGTAGGCAAACCCAAGAAACCTACCATTCAGAAATACAAGGGCAAGGTCCACCCGGCTGCCCGGAAGCAACGGTCGTACTACATGTACATTCTGTTCGGTCTTGAACTACTGGCCGTGGCTATTGCGTATCTCCGCTTCCCGTCGTACAACTACACTCCTTACCATCCTGAGGAGAAGGCGGTCACCGCCGGTATCTGGACCATCCATTTCTCACTCGACAACGACATGTGGAGCTCGGAGCACCGTATGCGCGACGTCATCAAAGAGCTGGAACTCGACGTTGTCGGTCTTCTTGAATCCGATTTGCAGCGCATCATCATGGGCAATCGCGATACGACGCAGTTCCTGGCCGAAGACCTGGGCATGTACGTGGACTATGGCCCTGGGCCTAACAAGCATACATGGGGCTCGGCGTTGCTTTCGAAATTCCCCATCGTCAATTCCACACACCACCTCCTTCCCTCTCCAGTTGGCGAACTTGCTCCCGCTATCCACGCCACTCTTGACATGTACGGCAAGCTTGTCGACGTTTTCGTCTTCCATTCGGGCCAAGAAGAAGATCCGGAAGACCGCAGACTGCAGAGTGAGTACCTGGCTAAGCTGATGAAGGAGACACCTCGTCCGGCTATCCTGCTTTCTTACCTGGTCACGAAGCCTCTGCAAGGCAACTACAACACGTACGTGGGTGAGAAGAGCGGCATGCGGGATATTGACCCCAGCGATTGGGATCGCTGGTGCGAGTACATCTTGTACAAGGGTTTGAAGAGGACGGGCTACGCCAGAGTGAGCCGCAGCACCATTACGGACACGGAGATTCAGGTAAGTGCCACTCATCCCCGTCTCGGTGATGTTACATGGCTAATCATGATTGTAGGTGGGCAAGTTCGTCGTCGATCAACCGGAAGGCTCGAATGATATGATTCCCGAAGAACAGGTTCCGCCGGGCCTGAGGTTCCCGGCGCTGTTTAGAGGACAGGGTGTTAGAGGCCATGCGTACCATGTGTTTAATGAACCTAGGTATTTCGCTTAAGCGGGAAAAGGGGTAGGGGACATTAAGGGAGAGGTGACTAGGAGGGGGGGAGAGGATGAGTGATGGAGTTGTAGTGTGTAGCGCCATGCTCTTGGCAGAATTTCCCTTGTAGTCATAATTGTACGTTTACATTTGTGTCGACAGTGTCGTTTGCTCGTAGTAGGTGATGGAAGTGCTGGTGGACTCGAAGTGGGATCGACAAGCACGATTTTTGCCGAATTGTAGCTGAAAACCCAAGATGCTGAAGCATCTGGTTGACGTAAACACTGTCAACGGAGACATCGATCAGGTATAAAGTATATAGGCATGATGTGCGTTTTTGCCATCGTAAACATTTTTGAATCATGCAACAAAGGGAAACTGATTTGTAAATCTTAATCGCAATCGAATCGTGGTACAGTAGGAGGGCCTTATCTGCTACACTATAGGGCAAAGTTCGCAGAACTACTCCTAATCGGTATTAATCACCTCAATCTTGCGGTCCAAAGGCAACAGGACGAACTCTTAAGGGCACATAGCATTACAGGAACAGGAGCATTTATAGGGATTAGGGCGCTACTAGGGGAGGAGCATTCCTGTATAAACAATAGAGAATTGTTCTTTTAGGTGCCTTTCTAGATATGTATCTACTCTAATAGCTTAGATAGGGAAAGGTATGCCCTGCTAGTAAGGTTTAACAAATAAAACTATATAGAGGTAGAGGAACTTTCTACGATAAAACTAGGCATTGTTTTAGACAAATGAATTTTCTAGAAGACTGCAGAGGAATTGTCCCTTTCTTTCTTTTATTAATGTCTCTTACATTAGAATAGAGCTGTATTGGCAGCCGAGCTTAAAGCCTCCCTAAAGAGTCATGCTGCACGGATTGGAGGCTATACGCTTGGTTATAAGTCTAGTCAATTAGGGCTCATTTAGCTTATCCATATCTGCTCTCCTTATAGACCCTTATAATCTACTCTATCCCAGCGGTGGTGATCTTATCAGCCAGCGTCCACTGTCGCTGAACATGAATGAGCTCGTCCAGCTTGGAAATTTCCCACGCTCCAGACTGCCACAACGACCATTCTCTACGGCTTCCGCTTACTACTCCACTCTCGCGGATATCCATCTCGAGCATCTATCAACTCAGCGTAATGACGCTGTCGAATCGGCCAAGGATTGCCGTCGTAAGTATGTTGCACGGCACTTATTCCGAAAGCTTGCATCGGAAATGCGACTGGACAAACATGGTATTTTTGAATCCGGACCTTTCAAAATCTTCTGCGACGATCTTCGCCCCACCAATGTCCTTCTAAATAAGGACTTTAAGATCGTGGCTGTGATCGACTGGGAATTTACCTACGCGGCACCTGTAGGGTTTTGCTACAGCCCTCCATGGTGGCTATTACTGGAGACACCAGAGGACTGGCCGTGGGGCCTCGAAGATTGGGAATTTCAGTACGAACGGAGATTACAGACATTTCTGAGCGCCCTCGAAGCCAAGGAGCAGGAGAGTCTACAGCAAGGCACCTTGGAGAGTGATCAGATATTGTCCATAAGCATGCGGCAGAGCTGTATGAGCGGCGCATTTTTCGTGAATTATGCTGCGCGTAAGAGTTGGGCCTTCGATGCTGTGTTTTTTAAATGGGTGGATAAGAGATTCTTCGGAGATGACGGAGGAGATTGGTTAGGAACGAGACTGCCGTTGTTGACCACACAAGAGAGAGAGACGATGGAGCCGTTTGTCGGCAGGAAGTTAGCAGAGGCTAAAGAAAGGATGTTATACGACTCGAGTCCGCGTCACTAAGACAGCCGATTCGAGGGAGTTGCAGCTTAGAGAGCTGGAGTAATACATCTGCCATTTAGCTATATGCCAGCTCAAGCTTCTCGTCCGAGATTTCTGGATCTAGGGTGGCGCGGACGTCGCCTGGGAGACCTGGGGTTTTCAAGACGCTTGCGAGATTATACTCATGGTTGACATACTCCATGATGATAAATGGCCCTAAGCCGCCGGGGCTCTCGTCCGTCATACCGTAGTGCAACACAAATGGTATGGGAATGGTGGTATCCTCGGGGAACATGACCTTTCCGGGGCATGGGAACCGTATGATTGCTGAACCACCATCTCTAAACTTCATGCGGATGCAAAGATTGAAAGCTCCGCGTTCGGGTGAGCAGAGTTCCTCCGGTACGCCTCCTCGGTGCTTCGCGATTAAAAGACCAATCTCTCGTAGGAGATCATAGTCATTCAGCTTCTTTCTCCAAGTTTCGTATATTTCATCGCTCCTCTCCCAAGCGACATCGTCATACTGCATGTGGATCCGCATGCCTTTATAAGATCCTGGAAGTTTGACGGTACTCAAACGCTCTGAAATTTCATTCGCAAACGATAATCAACGAAGTTGAAACGGGAGTTCGAAGATACTCTAAAGTATTAACCTGAATCGGAGCGAATGACGGTGGTGATGGCGTTTGGTAATGCACTCGTTGCGTTCATCTATAAGGCAACCTGGCAATGATGTAAAGAAGGTTTGCGAGGCATATTTATCACAGGAATGCGTAAATATTGCAGAGAATAGGGTGTAGAAGATACCGCATCTTTTCACCTCCGACAGAAACAAAGGGGTCGCAAGGGTTTGCACGAATTGGTTTTACGGGCAGATAATTAGTCAAATCTGCTTGAAGTTCAGCCATTTCTTTACTTTTTCGGTGACGAGCAGCCTATACAACTTCAATGATTGGGCAGATCTTGGAGTCGTCCAAAAAGTGGGTATTCTCGTCGGACGTGGAAAGATCGTTGAGGTATTCATTCGCGTTGAGCTTATAGGCCCCCTGCGGCTTTCTTGTAAGAAAACCTCGATTATGTAATCGACCTGTCGAGGCTGGTTACACTACTGTAGTACACAGGATAGGGCGAAGTTCGCATAACTGCTCCTAATCGGTACCATTGTTAGCCTCTCCCATGAAGCACATTCTCCAGCTCGCGTCTCTACGGGCAGCTATGAAAAGCCCTCCAAAAACCAGCCCGAATCCATGCGAACGTCTCAGCAGAGACATCTCGGCGGTTCCAAGGTTCCCCGCGGTTCCAAACTTCCCCAATATTCCCGAAGTGGCAAGGCTCACTTACTTACCCCGGACCCCAGATTCGGCCCCTTGGATGGCTGTTCACCAACTGCTCTGGTTCTCCTTCCCCCAGCCCGATTCATCATCCAGTCCTTATTTCCGGTGTACGACAACCGCGGCTGCAATAGAAGGCGGACTACGACATGTGAGCGGACAGATGCCGGATACACAGCCCCGTACAGTCAGCCTACTACTGACATCGACGGATCGACAGACAGAGGACGCCTGAACCAGCACACTGTGCAGACGCGTACACCACCACACAACGACAAGCCCTGCAGCTGGGGTGCTTTCCCAGCTTCCTCAACGGACAATACGTGCATAGGAAATGGCCAGCGCATTTGCGATTTGCGACAGCGGGGTCGCCCATAATCCTGTATGCACACCTCAGTTCTTGGGACCACAAGCCTCGGCATTTTGATGGAGCATTGATATTCACCGGTTCACCATACCGTGCTTGGTACGTACCTGTTAGTGCCCGGTTCCTGGAAACGGAGTGGCTAGCAAAGAGCGGAGTAGCGCGTCATCCTTGGACCGATTAGGAATCGAATACGGGAGTCTGTGCAGGTTCTCTCTGGAGAAGGCGAATGCGGTCATGGCGGATATTTCTAGGGCCCAGGTCCCGCTCTTCTGCATCTGTCGTCGTTGCTGCGTGCTCGTTGTTGGACTCTCCGCGGCTGTGCCTGGGTGAAATTTGTGGTTGGACTTGTGCTTGACCTCAACGAGTCACGACTTGTGAATTGAGACTCAGTTCAAGGTGCCGTTTACTATGCGCCGAATAGCGGTTACGGCGGCGGCATCGCTGCTGCTGGGAGCCTCCGGGGTGTTCGCAGAGCAGAATGCTACGCTGCCAAAGGTCGACCTGGGATATCAGATACAGCAAGCTTCGGGCTTCAATGTACGCTTTCTCTGCCTCTATCCGCTCTCAATTCTACTTTCATCATCGCCCAAAGCTCTCTTAACGCTGGTCATTTCCATGGACCAAAAACCGTTACCCCAACCAAGCAGGCCATTATACTACAGTACGCTGAACATGATTTACAGGAGACCGGACGGTTCTACAACTTCTCCAACATCCGATATGCCGCACCTCCGGTTGGAAAGCTGAGGTTCGCGCTACCCCAAGCACCAGCAGAGAATAGGTCTGTTGTGAATACTGGTTCAGAAGGAAGGTCTGTAAATCGTCTCCGAATTACGAGATACATCAACTGACGCCTGCATAGAATTTGCCCACAAGCCAGCCCAGCATGGGGAGCGGCAGCCGTAAGCTCCCTCACTACCTCTCTCCTGGGACTTCCCACCAACGGCACTCCCCCGTTTGTGCCTCCCAAAGTAAACTGGAGCACACCTCTTCCCCCTCAGGACCCCAGGACCAGCGAGGACTGTCTCTTTCTCGACGTCTTCGTCCCAGAAGACGTCTTCGCCACCGCAAACAAGAGTTGCGGTGCCCCCGTCCTCGTTTGGATCTACGGCGGAGGCTACACGTCCGGCAACAAGTACGAGAACCCGGCGGGACTCCTCGCAGCCAGTGGCAACGTCTCGAACGGCAATGTCATTTACGTCGCCATGAACTACCGTACGCTCTAACCTTCCTTAAGGCGTCTAGGAATCTGTATAGACGAGCGTTAATATACACTAGGTCTCGGAGCCATGGGGTTTTCTTCTGGCCCTTCATTCCAAGCTGAAGGTGGTGTGAGCAATGTCGGCCTCCACGACCAACGGTACATTCACTCCCATCACCACTCTATAAACACAGCACTAACACCTCCACCAACAGATTCGCCCTCGAATGGATCCAGAAATACATCCACCTCTTCGGCGGCGATCCCAGACGCGTCACTGTCTTCGGCGAATCCGCCGGCGGCGGCTCCATCATGCACCAAATCACCGCCTACGGGGGCTCCAAAGGGCCCGTCCCCTTTGCGCAAGCCGTGCCCCAATCCCCCGGCTGGGATCCAGTGTCGTCGCAACTCCAGCAAGAAGACACGTACCGGCAACTCCTGAACCTGACGAACAGCACGTCCCTGTCCGACCTCCGCGCCCTCTCCTCGGCGGACATCATCAAAGCCAGCTTCCTCCAAGTCTACTCGGCCCCGTGGGGCAGCTACGGCTACGGCCCCGTCGTCGACGGCTCCTTCGTGCCGCAGCAACCAGGCCAACTCCTTGCCCAAGGCCGCTTTGACCAATCCCTCCGCATCATGGTCGGCCACAACGCAGACGAAGGCGCCTACTTCACCCCGCCCTACATCAACAGCACCGCCGACGTCGCAAACTCCCTCCGCAGCGCCTTCCCTTACATCCCTCCACCCAGCCTCACCCACATCACCGACGTCCTGTACCCCGAGCCCGCCGCAGTTCCAAACGGATTATACACGACGCACTACGAACGCTCGCGCCTCCTCGTCTCCGACGCAATCTTCACCTGCAACACCTTCTACCTCTCCCGCGCCCCCTTCAACGCCACCTACTCGTACCTCTTCTCCGTGCCCCCCGCCCTGCACGGCCAGGACGTCGCCTATACGTACTACGAAGGCGGTGCGCCGTCGTCTTCGCCCTTTGGCGTCAGGAACATCACCGTCGCGTTGGCGCTGCAGGAATTTATTACCAGTTTTGCCATCGAGGGCAAACCTAAAGCGGAAGGCGTGAGGGAGTTTAGGATGTATGGGGATGATGCGCGGGTGTTGGAGTTGAATGTTACGGGCATTGAGGAGCTGGTGGATCCGAATGCGAATGAGAGGTGTAGGTGGTGGCAGTTGGGGTTGTATTCGTAGGGAAGAGGTGATTTGTGACTCGTGATTTCGTGACTCGTGGCTCTGGTGGGGGAGGTATGACGATGTTGATGATGAGGAATGATTGCTATATATATGATGATGAGGAATGATATTAGTGCTAATGGTAGTTATTTTAATGGCCGTCATCGTCATCCGAGTTTATATTGAGAAGAAATCGAACTACTTCGGGGAAACGTATTCTGTCAAGTCTCAGTCGAGCTTCGTGACGACTTTAAGCCCACATCGATGTGCAAGTATATCCGTTCTTTCTCTCTCTCATTGGTATCATCGATTGACTCGATTCCCTGTATACATCTACGTTACACCGAAGCCACCAATAAGTCGCCATCCCATAGCCCTTCAACAATATCGGAAAGCCTGGGGGTCATAAAAATCTAAAAACAGTTCATAAGTCATAGAAGAGTCCGAATAATACTCTCCTCACACCCACACCCCACCTTGACGCACTTCATTTAAGAAAACCTCCTAAAGCGCCCTTCCCACCTCCCCTTCTCCCCCTCTTCCTCCCTCGCCCACCTCAACCCCAAACGGACTCTCCAGCGGCTTCGGCGGCGAAATACTCAAACTCTCCTTCCTCGACTTACCCTTCCCCTTCATCATCAAGCCCGGAAGCTGGCTATTGAGGGCATTCCTAATGCCGCTGCCGCTCAGATTCCTCGACGGTCCTACGCTTCTACCCCCGGAATCGCTGTCCTTCCTGCTGGGCATAGAGAGACTTGCGTTCCGCGTATGTGTGATGGAACTTGCGCGAGAGGTGCTGCTGGACTTGGCGAGGGGGAAGCCGCTGCCAAAGTAGCTCGAGATGCCTGAACTTGGGCCTTCGGTCGGCGAGACGGCGGGAGTCGAGCTGGCCATGGTGCCGCCCACACCGGTTCGGCTGGTTGGGGATTGCACCTTTGAAGAGCACGTAGTTGTTGCGCATTTGCCAGTGATGGAGCATGCGGTTGGCGGGACTGTCGTGACGGGGCTGATAAGCGCGGGGTTATGAGGTGAAGGCATGCCGATGATGAAGGGCACGTTGTTACCCGAACTGTTGCTGAACTTGCGTGATGGCGACACTGGCTGTGACGTTCCTTTGGTACTCGAGCCTGCTGAGCTGGCACGCGAGTGGAATCTCAAAGGGGCGGGTACGTTCGAAGTGGAACCTGACGAGCTGGGACCTGAGTCCTGAATCCTGGAAACCGTAGAACTCAAGATCCCACAGTTCAACTCATGTGGCGCTTGCTCTTGAGTCTTTGCGCGATCCGGAGAGTTACGCATTGCTTGCGCCATCACATCCACGCGCGGTGGTGATGGGGGTGCCGGCGCCGTCTCATAAAGGCCATATCGTGGACGAGGTGGTCGCTCAGGTGTAGATTTTCCTTTGCTCGAGTCTGGCACCGAAGCAGAGCGCTGGCGTGTCTGCGTCGCAACGTTATATTGTCCATTTGGTGTCTTCTCTGGATTCGAGAAGGGGGACCATTCGGGCGTCCTGGGCATCGTATAAAGCTGTATGATAGAGTCGCTCATGCTGCGCTGCGTATCGTGTCTTTTCGGTGCAGCCGGTGTGCTGAGAGGGAAGTTGGTTGCCATATCGCCGAACTTTTCTTGATCGGGCGACGGCGGCTAGCGGCACTGTCAGGTCTATCTTGGAGGCATCACTGGAACCTTACCGTTGGCTTCCTCCTCTCAGGAGACAGCCTGGCAACTGAGCGAGGGGACACGCCTGGGTCGGCCTCGCTTGTGCCTTGGAACTTGCGAGGAGGAGTTTGCGGTGTCATAGGGGCAGCATTGCATAGTGGTACCCGTTTTGTCGTCACGAATGCGGGAGTGGCGTTATGCTCAGGAGAGCGGTCTGGCGTAGGCGGAGCTGCAGGCGTTATTGGCCTTCCGGCTGGAAGAGAGGCAGAGACTGGACCTGGAGAAACTGGTGATGATGTACTAGAAATACCGAGACCCGATGTCGCAGTAGAAAGTCGAGCAGGGTTTGGAGTGTCGGCGGCGCGACTCTGAGAGGGCGTGGGGGAGTCGATATCGCTGGCTCTGCTGCCGTAGCTTCCCATTCTCGACGCAATGTGCTTCAACTTCTTGATATCCGACTTGTAACCCTTGATGTCGAGCTTGTAATAGATGATTTCCCGTACATAGAAGTCGATCTCCCGCCTAAGATCCTTCACTAGCGCTTCCATATCATTGCTTGGTGGGTTCTCCTTATCGTCATGTCGCTCTTTTTGAAAACGCGCACGAAGACGCTCTATCCACCGGTCTATATCAGCTTTCGAGGCCAGAGAGCTGGGCTCAGGAAGCGGGTTCTCCTGGTTGTCAGCCAGCAATGATAGCGTTGCGTGTTTGCGGATCTCTGCATGGAGCAGCAATTTGTGATGCTCCAGTTGCCTTTCTGCCATGCGCAAAGCTTTCTCTTTCTCACCAATGACGGACTCGCGCTGGATGATAGCGGACCGTAGCTCTTTGATATGCACCTCCGCGACCTTCGACTTGTCGAGCAACTGGTTTTGAATTTCCAGTTGCAGATTCAGCTCTCGCAGTTCACGCTCCAGCTCCGCGCTCTTGTGTCGTAGCTGCACATTCTCCTCTTCCAACTGACCATTCAGTGAGTCCTTCTCCTTGACCTGCTCCTGGAGGCGCTCGATATGGGATATGAAAGCGGCAAGCGTTGCGGCATCCTGCGGTTCTTGCGCCTGCTCAGTAGGAGACCCAGCCGAGAATACCGTACTCATGCTCATATGAGCAGCCTGACGGTCGGGCTGGCGGGGAACAGATTCCGGCACAGTCAACTTTGGCGGCGTAGGCCTGCGGTCGAATGGGCTCCGTCCCATCTGGAGATTCAGGAGATGCTCCTCTGCATCGAGCTTCGAAGTGTTAGCGAGTTCCAATCTGTGCTCCAAATGATCGATGGTGTTCTGCAAAGCCAATGCGCTCTTCTCCAACTGCTCGACTTTGCTTGCCTTTGCTTGCCACTCTGTGCAATTGCGCTCTATCTCCTCCAATGTGGCCGTCAGGTTGCGCTCATTCGTCTTGGCTTGGTTCAGCTTCGCCATCAGCGACTCGATCTGCTTCTGAAGAGCCGCATTGTTATGCTTGTACAAGTTGAGCTCGCGGACCAGCTCCCGATTGCCGGTTTCCGGCCGTCTGGCTACGCTCAGCTTGCGCTTGAGGTTATCCATTTCAGGGCTATCCCTCGCAACTTGCGGCGATCGTGTGGGTTGCTCGAGCGCTGTTTTGAACGACCGAATCGAGGTGGCGGAGGTACTGCCTGCTGTAGCAGTCTGCGGGCTCTCTCGAGTCGGGGTCTGCGGCGCTGCAGAATCAAGGAAGAGGAGCAAATGGTTGCTTGAAGCTGAACGAGGAGGGTCAGTTGTGCGTCGGAAGTGTGTGTCAATCGCAATGAGGTCCGTTTGTAAGGAATAGCTGGGGTGCCATAGTTGCCATTGGCTGCCGAGGCAGGCAGGAGCGGCGGTGAAAGGTCGGGTATGGGTACTCACCGTGGTGGAGGGTGCGTTGAGATTGCTGCTCTTCCAGCACGCGAGTATAGTTTTTGAGAGAGGCGACTTCGGCCGCATGGGCGTCTATCAAGCTTGCCACGTGCGCCTCATGTGACACTCGAAGACTACCGAATTGCGCTTGCAGCGTGGAGATGGTATTGTCCTGTGCCGTGATGGTTGACTTTAGTTCTTCTATTTGACGGCTGCGCGTTGTTGTGGGAGTGGGTGTGTCTGGCGTCTCCTGCCAAAGAGGTCAGTATTAGGCGTCTAGCCGACAGTTCCACACTCCAGAGGACAAACGGATTGTTCAAGCCCGCAAGTTGCAATGGAGTCTCAGGCGGCACAAAGACCGAATGCCGCTGCTACATACCTCTTCTTGCTGCGGTTTCCTTCCATTGTTGCAGTTATTCGCAGACTTCCTTTCTATGATCAATGGTGATGGCTGCAAACTGCATCTCTCCAAGCCCACTCGAGCCTTGGTGGACTCATTACTGCTTGCATGGCCGCCATTCGTAGATACGGAACATGCTGTGATTTTACTGTCGGTTGAAGAGGGCGACGTGATCAGGTTGGGCTTAGACTTGGATCGTCTTTGCAGACTGGCTTCGCTAAAGGTCTTCTTATGTTGTGGCACTCTGGACGAGCTAGGTCTCAGTGGAGTCGCACTCGAGCTAGATGGATGTTCGCTACGAGCTGGCCTCATTGTTGAGGGTCCAGGAGCTGCCAGATGGGCAGCACGCTGAAGTGGAAAGCCCTGGTTTTCGAGAAGAATGGAGCCAGGAAGTTCAATGGGCAGCTCTGGCGTCGACGGCATAGAGACGGACCGAGGACGACTGGGAAGAGGCTTATGTATCTCTGCCGTGGATCTAGAGCATACGGTTGCACTCAGGCCTGGTGACCGGAGCATGTCATTCACGACGGCCAGCAAATTGGATGCCGAATTGACAAGGGCGGCATTATGACGGGCAGAGGCGGGACTTAGACAAACAGGGTGGTGGTGGCCCTCTCTCGGAATGGTCAAATTGAGGAGTGGAGGTCTTCGTCGTCCAGCTCCAGGAACAGACTGTGAAAAGAGTTAGCGAATCATCATGGTCCACAAGGCCGTTGCAGCTGCAGCCCCCCTGCGCATGCTGGTGGCCGACTGCACAACCACGTCGACGCGCCTCACGAGATTCGTCTGGTCTCAATTGACAGCGCATCGTCTACCTAGGTAGTGTTGTTTGTGGGGGAAGACAACTCGTGTTTCGTACCAGTGTATTGCTCGCAACATAGGCCTCTTTGGAGCAATCCCCCACCGAAGTGTCGATGGATAAGAGGCCCCCGGTGCGATGATATGGGTCGGCATTCTGTCGCCCTTTGGACCAGGAGAAGAACTTCGGTTTGGAGCTCATTGTTGCTTCCCTTGCTCTATCTAAAATTGGACGTCGGTTTCTGTGTTTATTCTGCGCTCCTGGGTTGGCCTGGGAGGCCTACCGCCAGTCGGGATGGAAAGGAAACATGGAACGAAAGCAAAGATAGCACAGAGATGGTTCGACAAGAAAAGAAAGACCGCGACTTAAGATAAAACAAAACAAAAGTAGACTAGGAGATGATAGCGGACGGAGAGACTTCAAATTCCTCGACGCTCCTGATGCCATGGCCAGCTTATCGTTTGGCCTCTCACGCGGGCGTCTATTCTGTCCGTGATGAGGGGGACACCTTGTCAGACCTGGAGCGACATAGACGCAGGCCCGCATTATAAGATCTTAGACGAGTGGGTGAGAGACAAAGATAGATTTGCTTGAAACTACAATTCACGGTCTTCTGAAACTTGCGAGGCAAAGGACGAATTGAAGACGGGAGACTGCCGCCGGCAGATCGACTTTGGTGGTGCGCACGGACCACTCGATGAAATCACTGGTGAAGTGCTGCTTGTTTGCAAGCTTGTCACTCTTTGCTACACTTTTCACACGCTTCACCCACGCGCTTCTCTGCACGTTGAGGAAACAAAGTCACAAAGCCATTGTTTTAACAAATCCTCCAGCTCAGGGAGAAGCGAGCAAATCCACAAGGCGGGGGAGCTTGCTTCAGCGCGCCTGTGCCTCAACGGCCATAGTCCTCCACAGCCAATACTCCCTTCCGGACTAGTCGAGAGCTTTGCTCCCGCAACAGCTGACGGGACGCCACACCGCTGCATTGTCACAACTCTTAGCAATGGGGTCCGAAACGAGATCGCGACCATCCTCCGACCGAACTCGCGAGGCACCCAAGGCGCCTACGAGAGAGCTTTCGCCATGGAGCGCCAGACGGGCAATGACGCTGGGGAACAGTGGACCGAACCGGTCAAGCCGGGAAAGGAGCAGGAGCACGAGTAGGAACAGGTTTCAAGAGATGGGAAGGCCAAATGCATCTCGTAATAGCAGAGAGTCAACAGGCAAGAGCGGATCGGTCGAGAGTACATATCGCAGTGCTCGCGAATCCAAGAGCGCCTCATGGGGAGGTGGGAGAGAGACTCCTGAGACATCGGGCAAGCGGCGTGCCCCAAGTGACTCCCCAGAGCCTTACCGGCGAGCCCGCGACCGTTCAAGCGATCGACGTCGAGACCGATCTCCAGAGAGGAGAAAACAGCGTTCAACAGACAGGCGAAGAGACAGCTCTAGGGAGAATCGCAGAAACAGATCAACAGACGGGCGCAGAAGCAGGCCAAGAGATGGGGTCAGGGACCGCTCCAAGGACAGAAGGGAGAGGCACAGACCCTCGACGAACGGCCACCGGAACCGTTCACGAGACAGAGACGGCTCCAGAGAGAGACGCCGAGGCACGTCCAAAGACCGGCACAGGAACCGCTCAAGTCGTTCACGCTCCCCCTCCGCTACCCGCAAGCGCAAACTCCCAACAAGCCGTTCCCCCTCTCCAGCCCCTTACCGCGCCCACCACAAACGTCGCGACCGCTCTCCCTCGCCTCCCCGCCATCACCGCCGGCACTCCCGCTCCCCGACGCCCAACAAGCACCACAAACGTCACAAGCGCTATTCTCCTTCCCCTTCCCGCTCTCGCTCCCCTCCCCGCCGCTCTCACACCCGCAAACCCCTGCCCCCTCAAGAACAAGAACTCACCATCCGCGGTCTCGATTCCTCCTCCCTCCCTCCCACGCAAACCGGCGGCGCACCCAAGGAAAAGGAAAAGCCGAACTTCAAACCTACCGGCCTCCTCGCAAAAGAAGCGAATCGCGTCGCGGGCACAAAAATCTCGCTCAAATACCACGAACCGCCCGAAGCGCGCAAACCCCCTCCCTCGGCCCCCTGGCGCCTCTTCATCTTCAAGGGCCCAGACACGGTCGGTACCATTGAGCTGGGTAGCCAGTCGTGCTGGTTGTTTGGGCGCGCGAGGGAGGTGGCGGATGTGTGGCTTGAGCATCCCAGTTGCAGCGGTCAGCATGCTGTGATTCAGTTCCGGTATATCGAGAAGGTGGTTGAGGAGGATGAGTTTGGAGGGAGGAAGAAGGTGGGGAAGGTGAAGCCGTATTTGATTGATTTGGAGAGTAGCAATGGGACCGAGTTGAATGGGAAGGAGGTCGAGGCGGGGCGATATGTCGAATTGAGGGATAAGGATGTGCTGAGGTTTGCGGGGAGTGAGAGGGAGTATATGATCATGCTGCCGCCGAGGGAGTAACAATTTGCGTTGTGGATGGAAGAGGTGGATGGGGAGAGGAACATGGGAAGGGAATTATGGATGAACTAGACTGCCTGGCTGGGAGGGATGGCAGGCGCTTGGGCATGGATGCTTTGGAGGTGTTGGCAGGGTTTCGAAAAGTGGGTTTCCGAGAGTGAGATATCTTTATCTTCCTTCTCTCGCTGAAGCGAACGAGGAGGAGGCAATGGCCACGGGAATTTGAGTCACTGGTCAAGCATGTACACACCGATTGTCCTATCAGTACGATACCACAATAGCTATGAATCATGAGACTGTCTATTCCATGCATGACCTTCGCAATCGGATGCTCGCTTTTTTTCATTATGCTGTGCTTAAACAGCCCTCCTCCTTCTGCCGCCTCCCCTCCTCCAATTCCACAACGCCTCCTGCGCGTATGTCCGAGCAGTCAAGTGGCCCCTCTCCTTGGCAGCCTCCTCGGTCAAGCTCTCAATGACCTTGCACTCGTCGATGAGATTCCAGAGCCCGGTCGCCATGGCGCTGGCAGCTTCTTCGGGATCATTTGCCACCTCTTCGTCCTCCTCTTCCTCTTCATTACCTTCTTCATCGTCCTGCGCCTTTGTTGATGGGTTCTTGGCCAGCTGCACCGGCCCATCCGTCTTCGCCTCGCCCCTCTCACGCCCGAATTCCCCAACCCCTAATCGATACAGCACGCGCCCTAGTGTCTGGTACGCCACGCACCTCTGGCTCGGGACGCTACTTCTCGCGAGCCTGGCGAGTTCGGGGATGGTGTAGCCAGCGGCCTCGGGGGCGTCGGCATGGTGATGCAAGCCCAGGGTTGTGGGCAGCTCCCTCGCGACGCTGGGGGGCAGGAGGCGGCCTTTGAAGTCGAAGCGGAGGTCGGCGGGGGAGAGGGAGGTGTGGCTAGGGTGGTAGGGGGAGGAGGTGTCGGTGGGCGAGACGGGGGTCATCCAGGAGAGGGACGAGGGCGAGTAGGGGAGGTGGGGGAAGTACTTTTGGTGGAGGTCTTGGAGGAAGGTTGGGGAGGAGGGGTCGAGGTCTGGGGGTTGGGTTGGGGTGGGGAAGTGGATTGAGGAGGGTGGGGGGAGGTCTGGGTGGTCTTGTGCGGTGTTGGTCTTGGATGGGGGTGAGGGTTCATTTTGCTGGAGAGGTGGAGGAGATGATGATGGCTGAAGGGAAGGGGGTAGAGGTGTCTGTTCTGCTTCGATGGAGTTCTCAGGTTCGGAGAAGGTGACTTTCTTTGTACTGGTCGGCTTGTCCCTTTCTGGCACCTCGGTTTCGAATCTCGATGCAGGTGGTGATCCCTGGTTTGCTTCCTTTTCCCAGTCTCGCTCGTTCCTCCCCTCGTCAATGTTGCCCCTTTTCAATAGCTTTTCAATCAGACTCGGACTCAACGCACTCATCAACTCCCTCCTCTCCTGCTCAATCTCCTCGGGCGACATGTGCGCCAAGCGCTGCCTATTCTCTTCATCGATGCTTTGCTGCTCCGTCGTCCCTTGCTCCTCTTCATTCCTCGAACCATTTCCCATTACGCCACTTCTGATACTGGTCGACTGCGCCACATTCGGCTTCTCCCCGCTAGTACTAGTGAAAGAAACGTCATTTTTGCCCGTCCTCTGCTGCTTGAACGCCGATACTCTCTTCTCGCGCTTCCTATGCGCCGGGAATCCGGTGGTGTTGTTCTTCCTGAAGGTGGGTGCTGCTGGTGGCGTCTGTGCTGAGGAATCGCGCTCTAGGATGTCGGCTACGAAAGCGGCCGACACGGGAGGCGACGATTCCTGCTGATTTTGGGCTACTGGGTGTTGTTGGTCTTGGTCGTTTGGGGAGGCAGGTTGGACAGCGCCGGAGTCGAAGTCAAAGTAGACGCGTTCGCCTCTTGCGAAGGACATGGTTGTTTGTTTGGTTGAGTAGAAGTGGAAGAATAGAGATTGCAAGATGGTGAAGGTTGATGGCTTGGCGGGTCGGGTAAAGTTGCCTTGGGACGAGGAGAAGGTGGGTCCAGTACGGTAGGCTGTTGTAAGCAACACCGCCACCGAACGAATTTGCGAATTTGCGATTTTGCGAAGATGGCAAAAACAGTAAAAAGGGCATTTTACTAGGTATAAAAACAGCATATTTCTAGCTGCGCAGTGCTGTAGAAATATATTTTAGATAAGTAGTAGTTAAGAAGACTATTATAAATAGGAAAAACATGCATGTAGAGGTGTAGGCGTAGGTGCAGGCGTAGGTGCAGAGGGTCGACTTGCAAAATTGCAAAATTGCAAAATTGCGAAATTGCGAAATTGCAGAATCGCAAATTTGCTAATTCGCGAATTCGCGCAGCAGCGTTGCTCACTCTGCACCTACGCCTACACCTCTGCACCTACGCCTACTATACCTCTGCAGGAATGTTTTTTTTATCTATAATAGTCTTCTTAACTACTACATATCTAGAATTATACTCCTGTAGCACTGCGCAGCTAGAAATACACTGTTTTCGTGCCTAGTAAAGTGCCCTCTTTAACTGTTTTCGTACTCTGCAAAATCGCGATTTCGCAAATTCTCGCGGTGGCGGTGTTGCTTACAACAGCCTGCCGTAGTCCAGATTGGACAGGATGGACTATGCGTGATCCATGTTCACCTTCACCTTCACCTTCACCTGGTCTTTGCCTTTACCTTTGCTCTCGCTCTCACTCCTCTTTCTTCACCGTCTCATGTGTCTCCAGACTGACATGTCTTGTCTGAGATGAGATGGATGCCCTTGAGGTTCAACGGAAGGACCTTAAAAATAGGTACAGCTCCACCGCGCACGCGACAACTTCGACGAAAAGCAGCTCCTGGCCTTGGTTTCCAGCAGCGATTCAAATGCAAAGCATTCCTATTCCCTTGCTATACACGCATCGTTTTTAGCTACTCACGGGCGAAGTCGGATCCCGTCGTCGTCATGGCCATGTTCATGGATCACGGCAGTGTTTGTCTGTTCGGGGAGGCCGTTCGCCTGCGGATGGTTTGCGCAAGCCATCGAGCCCATGAGTTTGGGGCTGGAGCGGCTCGTCCGCACGACGAGCCACGGTGAGGGTATTAAGGGTAGAGCAGTATTGGAGAGGAAAGATTGGATATGCGGACCCTGGGGTGCTGCTGAAAGCTGGGCGATGCCCATGCATGCTCTGATTACGATGAGTTCGATGCAGGCGGCCAGATGGGGAACACCTGGGCAGCACAACCCATTTCTGGACGCCTACCAAGAGCAATACGGAGTACGGTCCCTGACGGGCTGTCCGCTCGTCCCGTCTCCTCTATCGGGCACTCCAAGCAGCCACGACGAGGCTTACTCCCTGGTCGGTCGATGCCAGCGCAGTGGAACATGCTGCACGACAGGCGACGACTGTGATGGGGAATCGAGCCGTCTGCGAGCCCTGATTTGCTCTGCTCTAAAATGTCCTCAGCGGCAAGTGTCCGCACACGTAGGCTGCTCGGAAATGAACATGCACCGTAAAAACATTGTCGGCGACAAAGAAGACATGGCGGGTTCGTAAACGAAAAACAGCCCTCTTATTCCCATCTTTCACCTAAATGCCGACAGTCGTCCGTCTTATAAACATCTAGCCCGATTGAGTCCTGTTGTCTGGCCCAACTGGCGCCACAATACTCCGTACTCTACCTTACCTTCGACTTTCTGCTGCGATTCCAGATTGTCCCTTTTTTCTTTATCTCTCTGTTGCTTCTAATTACTAAACTTCTCGCGGCAAGCTCACCGGTAGACTTGAGTGGTGGGCCCCTTGAGACGCGTAGTCAGCGCAGAAACGACCCCGCAGTGTTGTCGAGGCCTCCAACAACTTGCGTTGCGCTCAGCAATCACGGTCACATCCGCCCTCGAACCAACCGAAACTCAATCGCGCATCTGAATCTGTGGATTGCGGAGCCCATCATCTTCCACGTACCACAAAAGATTGCTCCTCTATCGCCGGTAGCTGGCATTGTGCGCTTCCACTTGCGGTAGGCGGACCACATCCGACCAAGACAAACCCAGCATCCACCACAAAGGACCTCACAACCCACATATCCGTCATGTCCTACTATCCAGGACAACAGTATGGCGGCCAGCCTAATTACGGACCTCCGCCTCCGCAGAACTACGGCCCACCTCCACCCCAGGGCTATGCGCCGTCCTATGGTCCTCCGTGAGTACCATGGCGAGAGAGAGCTGCTGTGAGCGCTGCTGACCGAACCCCAGCCCACCACAACAATATTCTCCCTCCCCTCAACCGCCGTATAATAGCGGCTACGGCCAGCCCACCCCTCCTCCACAGCAATACAGTTATCAGGTGCGACTCTGGGTTTTGCTTTCGTGACCGGACCTATCTAACTACCATGTGCAGAACCCTCCACCACCACAGCAATATGGCTACCCACCACCAAACCAAGGTCCTCCGCCTCCGCAGAACTATCCCCCTCAGCAACCACCTCGACCCGGTACTCATTCTCATCACGTCATGAACAAGAGCCCTAACGCTAACAACCTCCCCCAGGCATGCCCACCATAAACTCCAACCAATGGACCCACGGCCACCACTCCGCTCCTCCCCCTCCCCCGACCGCCCCGCAAGCCTTCGCCCACGGCGCCCCCGCGGGCTACACCTTCCAATACAGCGCGTGCAACGGGCGGCGCAAAGCCCTGCTGATCGGCATCAACTACTTCGGCCAGCGCGGGCAGCTGAGAGGCTGCATCAACGACGTGAAAAACATGTCTACGTTTCTGAACGGGTATTTCGGGTATAAGAGGGAGGACATGGTGATTTTGACCGACGACCAGCAGAACCCTATGAGTCAGCCGACCAAGGCGAATATCCTGCGGGCGATGCATTGGCTGGTCAAGGACGCAAGGCCGAATGATAGTTTGTTCTTCCATTACTCGGGTATGTTAAACCCTTTGGATTTAAACACAGACTCGAATAGCTATGGCTAACTGTGTGGGGAATGATATCCAGGCCACGGCGGGCAAACCAAAGACACCGACGGCGACGAAGACGACGGCTACGACGAGGTCATCTACCCCGTCGACTTCCGCACCGCCGGCCACATTGTCGACGACGAAATGCACCGCATCATGGTCTCGCCCCTGGCCCCGGGCGTCCGCCTCACCGCCATCTTCGACTCGTGCCACTCCGGCTCCGCCCTCGACCTCCCCTACATCTACAGCACGCAGGGCGTGCTCAAGGAACCGAATCTGGCAAAGGAGGCCGGCATGGGCCTCCTGGGCATCGTGTCGAGTTATGCGCGCAAGGACATCGGCGGCATGATTAGCGGCGCGACAGGCTTGTTCAAGAAGGTCACGCAGGGCGATGAGAGTCGGAAGAGGGCGTTGAGGACCAAGACGTCCCCCGCCGATGTCATCATGTGGAGTGGTAGTAAGGATACGCAAACTTCGTACGTATTTCCCATTTCCCTTCGGATTCATCTGTCAATATTTGTTCGGGGGAAGAAAAAAGGAAAAAAAAGAGGGAGAAGAACAACAAAAGAGAGAAGGTAGCATGCTAACGCCCTCTGCCAGAGCCGACGCGTCCATCCAGGGCGAGGCCACAGGCGCCATGTCGTGGGCCTTCATCAACAGTCTGAAGAAGAACCCCCAGCAGAGCTACGTGCAGCTGCTCAACAGCATCCGCGACGAGCTCGAGGGCAAGTACACTCAGAAGCCCCAGTTGAGCAGTAGTCATCCTTTGAGTAAGCCTTGCCCCGTGGAGAGCGAGAGGGTGGGAACAGGGCTAACAGCAGTAGATACCGATTTGTTGTATGTTATGTGAGGTGATAAACACGACACCAGGGCAGCTGGAGGACGTGGGATAGAACGTCTAATAGGTGCGGGAGCATTGGATGTCGAGTGTGTCTCTGCGCAATCACGCTGATAGACACTGGAAAAGAAGTGATGTCTTTGATACCATTTGGAGAGCACGAGTAGGCATAATGAAAACTCCTTTTTCATTGAAAATCCAGAGTTCCTTGATGCTGCATGCAAAACGCCTATGATACTGTACAGGTCGACACCATGATGATTGCTTCAACCAGGCCCCCATCTCTGACCCTCATGCATCATTCCCTCCTCCGTCCTGCTCAACAGCACCCCTACGGCATCTTCGACTTTGCCTCCCCCTTCAACTCCTGGGCCTTCCCCTTCGCCTCCCCAGCAAGCTCGCTAGCCTTCCCGCTCAACTCACTGGCCTTTCCACTCGCTTCCCCACTCAACTCGCTGGCCTTCCCGCTCACCGACCCACTCAGCTCAGACGCCTTCCCCTTCGCCTGCCCGTACACCTCCTTGGCCTCGCCCTTGGCCTCCCCCGTGCTCTCGGGCAGCTTCCCCTTCACCTTCTCGGCCACCTTCTCGCCCGTCTCGATGCCCTTCACCGCCGCATCGCTGACCTTGCGGTCGACGGCTTTGGCGGCATCCTTGACGGTTTCGAGCGGAGTCTTGTGGCGGGCAAGGGACGTGGAGAAGAGGCGGGTGCTGCTGGTGGTGAGGAAGCGGGTTACGCTTGTGCGGAACATTTTTGATTCTCGGTCGGTGTTGTCGACTTGGGAAAGTATGGAGAGAGTTACGCCGTGAAGAGGTAGGATACGGAGAATGGAAACTTCGAGATGTCCTTGCGCTGTGGACGATGAAGTTGTGATAGAGGTGTGGGAGTGTGCGTTTGGAAAAGGATTCGGCGGAGATGGGTGGTGTAGCAGTTTTGCTTTCTTCGAGGATGAGAGAAGAGGTTGTGGGTGGTGATTCTGTTGTGAGGGTGGTGTTGATTCGTGGATCCGATCGATGAAACAGCAAGGGCGATACTGCTGAGTGGATGGAGAAATGTCAGGAAGAAGTGGGACGTCAATGGAGGCACAGGTGGGTTGTTGTACTGGGTTTTATGAGGGGATCGGAGGCGTGGTTGACGTGAGAAGAGTGGAGTTGGTTGGAAGGAGAGGAGACCGATGACGTCGATGGTGCATCACTACATCACTGACCGACAGGAGCAGACTGTGTGTGGCCCAAGCTCCAGCCCACCTTCATTCACAGATCTTGATATGCGAACAAAACATTTTGGCCTTGGAAATCTACTGCTGATTGAGAAATCGCCATATACATAGGTTATTGTTTGATTTCTGCTCCTGAAGCTGATACTTGTTAAGATATTGCAGAGGCAAAGCTTCGGACTGTACAAGAGGGATAATCATCACATCATAAGGGCCTAATTCTACTGTGTACCAGAAATGTTCCGCTCATCCCCACATGCAGTACCCATGTCTCGATACCGCATGCCCATCGCCCCCCTCACATCCCTCCTCACCATAGTAATACCGTCCTTACAGTCCCCAAGGGAGGTTCTGTTCAAGTAAAACACGGCTCCGGATGCGTGGGCAGACTTTGAGAAGACTCACGTCTAGGGAAAAAGAAGCGTTTGCAAAACCGCAGCTATCCAGACGAACTTCTCGCTCCGGGGAGCCTCAGGTTCCGTCGGCGACTGGGTATGCGACTTATTCTATCGCGGGCTATACTGAGCAGCAGGAAAGGGTCTTGTCTCTGAGCTCCACCTGTGGCCGCGAATGTTTGGAGGGAAATAGTAGGGTCTGCAAATGATGTTCAGGAGAGCCATCGTGAAGAAGGTGCACGGAAAGGGGGTATAGTGGCGATTGCCTTTCAGCGATATTCTTTTTCCGTCCCATTTAAGGCCCGCATGTCCTGGGTATATGAACATCCTCATTAGTCGTACAATATAAGGCAGCATTGCATCTTTCCCTCCGCAAAAGAGTCGGTCCAGTCACTATAGGCCTGTTAGCACAAGGGCCAGAGAGCACCCTCCAGCCCCATCAGGAAGTCGATGCGAAAAGGACCCTTCGAGGATTGCCGGCTAGAAGGCTCTGTGAGCCAGTTCCACTGCCTTCCATATCTTCCAATAATCTGTCCATTCCACCCAGGTCAAGTTCCCCCCGGGCTAAGAGTGCTCGATCAGCCCGCCGTGTCTCCTCCTCTTCAGTCCCTTCTTTTCCCAATCCGGCATCCAGGTTTCGGTCAAGTGGCTCCGCCGCAGTGGTCACGACGATCAGCCGATCAGCAGTAGAAAGAAGGATATCTCTAGGGATCGCCATCCTCGAATTCCGCATCGTAGTCTCGAACTGGGCCACAGAATTGATAGCTTCACCGAACAAGTTCGGTCCTTGAAGTTGAGAGGGACTCGGTCGGCCGAGGGAATTGCCGGCGTTCGCAGAAGCAGTGCGCTCCCAGAATTGTGCGAGATTGGGGATTCTGTATACGTCTGAGCCATACCATATGACAACAGACTCTTCAGGGGCACTTCCGTCCGCAGAAGGGAGCGATGCAACACAGACTGCTCCGCGACTCGGTACCGAAGGACCAGATGGCGTGCCGTGAAATAGCTTTTCCTCCTTGATTCGACGAGTGTTCGGCGTCATGGGTGCCAAACTGCCACGACCACTTCGAGCCTTAGTGCTGGGCCCGCTGCTGCTTGCTCGTTCTTCGGACGTTCCGATATAGCCCCGAATGGAGAATGCGGAAGGATCTGAGGGACGACTTGGCCCTGCCCGAGTAACGTCCCAGATACCCCATTCGCCGTCAGCAAGCAACGCGAATATGCTATTTCCATCCGAAGTCCATGCAGCATCGAGGATACGCTTGCGCGGGGCCAGAATAGGTGGCATGTTTGAATTTGTCAGAGGTGCGAAGGGGGCCCTAAAGAGTGCCACGTATGCCCCGGCCTGCGAATCCATACTCGGCCTTCGACTGTCGCTGGTTGGTGCGAAGGGGTCGTAGATGCGCACAATACCAGAGATATCAGTAATGAGGAGTTGCGAGTGGCGGACTTTCGGGTACAGGGCCGAATTGAATGATATTCTGGTTGCTGGTGACCGAAGATGGAGGGTTTGATAAGCCGAGATGGGAGCCTTCGCAGTCACTCCCGTCTCGGATAGACCAAAACGGAATATTTTGAGTAGGCCACCAAGTTCCGTGGAATGGGATGCAATAAGCAGATCCCATCCCTTGGAGCTATCAACATCCGGCTTCCTAGGAGTCTCGTCATCATCTATTTCCATCCTGTTGTCGGATGGCTCATCGAACGTGGGTTCCCCGCGGGCTGTCCATGTCATGGTAATCCCTCGCGGAATGCTCTGATGTGCCGCATGTGTTGGTATTCTAGTGACTTCTTCACCATATTGTGATGTCTCTTTGGCGACCTTGGGAGGAGGACTCAAAGGCAACGTGACGATGCGGATACTGTAGTCGGCGCATGCGACACTAAAAACAATCTTGCTGTTGAAGATGGGCGGCACGGTTCCCGGTGAGCGCAGAGCTGAGACCACTGGTACATTAGGGATCGCAATGTGGCAAACTTCAGCGTTGAGGACTAGATGAAGATGCTGGACGATCGGGGGATATGGCTGGTCTGGGTCAAGCTCCTCCTCTTCATCCTCGAAGTCTGCCTGTGGTAGCGGAGTGGGCTTCGAAGGCGTTGCCTCATCGTCCGAGTCTATTATCATGATAGCATCGTTTGACGTCCCATTGACTTTTGTGGGCGGTTTTGCGGGTTGCTTTGGCGGCGCTGCTGGAGATTCCTTCAATGGCCGTCCACCTCTCCAGATAATCCCGACTCCCGTTTCTTGCGCATACAGTACTATCGATGAACCATTCGGAGCTTTCACTGGGTAGACATGCGCGTCGTGAGCTCGGTGGGAAGGCTCATAGCGGAGCTGGGCAAGCTTGCCCTGGGTGGTGATGATGGGCTTCATCGTCGGGCTGCGCGAGCTTGCGCTGAGCACATGCGATCAGCTCCGAGAAACAGGCAGGTAATCGGGGTTACTGAGAGGGTAGACGACGGGCGGGTTCTCGGGTAGGTGTACTGTTGGTGGTGGAGGACGGAGGTGGAGAGATGGAGGTCGGACGTCGGAAGTTGAGGCGCGTCTGCAAAACACGGGACGGGACGAGACCGCGTCCTCAAGAAAACCACCAGCTCCAATGGAGCAACACCGCGCCTTCACCACAACCGCCGACGATTTCTTCCAGACCGAAACTTCCCATTGACTCCTTCTACCCACTATATCCGCACCCCATGCCGCCCTCCGACGCAACTCATGGCAACCCTACGGTCCCTGGGGCTGCACACGCCCGCCGCCCTGCAATATCTCATCGACGAGTCCGTGCTGCATGAAGACAGCACCGAGCGGGACTATACATGGGACACATATGACGACGATTCTCCGGACGGCTCTACCGACGAGCTAGTGACTACGGAATACCATGTGGTCTGGTCCAGAGGCGGTGTAGTGCGCAAGTGCTTCAATTTCGAAGTCGAGAACGAGCGCGTTATCCAGGCACTGCTCACTTGGTTCCCTACCGAAGAGCCCGTCACCGTTGTAGATGATGCTACAGACAATGAAGAACTTAAACTCAGCCAGCTGAACCAGAGCTTCCTCTCACAGGGCACACAACCGGCAACTGATCCCAATGCGCCCAGCACCGAGAGACCCAAAATCGTCGAAGGCAGAGCCCGTGCTCTTGTGGTCCTACTAAAGTCCCAGGCACATGTTTTCTTCCTCTCTGGAACAACCCATATTGCTCATCTTCCATTTGAAGTGGAGCGAGCTTTCCCCGCTGCACGCGGTGTTATCCTCCAGAGGAAGATTGCTCCCCGTCCCGGACCTCCTGCAAAGTCAATACCTTCTTCGGTGCCGCCTGGCTCCTTTTCAAACAATTCACAGGGTTTCATTCCACAATCGCTCTCGCAGAGCTTTTCCCAAATCTATTCCCAACCCGATGCTCGCCAGGCGTCTTTAGGCTCGTTGCGCACGCCCAATGGCCGTAAATCTGGCTCAACCAACGCACGATTCCTGGATCAGCTGGCAAAATCCCTTGCATTTCCCAGCACTGATGGCCTTCCACGTCTATACTCCTTCACAGACCCTTTGTCAGAGTTCGGGCTCGTGGTCAATGTTGTGACGGCTAACGAACGCGCGGGCTTTTTTGTGAATGGCTCTGGCCATCGGCGGCTGGAGCCTATCGACCAAAATGAAGAAGTTCTCTATGTGTCACCGCAGAACGAGATATACTTTGATAAAACTGGGAATGACAAGCCTCTCCTTTTTGTCGTCACGTCCAACAGTGAAAGTAATACCATCACCATCTGGTCGGCTGCTTACCTCGAGCCAAAGTCGGTATCGGCGTCGCGCAAGCAGCACTTTGCGCATCCGACAAGTAAAGCGAGGCGGCGCAGTTCATATGGACCGAGTACACCTGGAACGCCAGCAATACTAGGCACTGACAGACTGAGAGACAGTCTCGGAGGCGCTCCTCGAAGAAAGGTTCGACATTCAGGGATTAAACCCTCACAACTGAAGGAGAAGCTGTCCGATCAAGCGGTGGAAGACGCACTTGCTTCACAGCTGAACCCCGAGCTCGAAAGGGCGCAACACTCAAAAGAGTCTCGACGCGTAAGCTCATTGCTTTCCAGAGCCGAACTCTCCACCAGCTTTGATAGATCCGCTTTTCAAGATCTTGCTACACAACGAACGAGCCTGGGTGGGAGCTTTGGAGCGAGCTTTGGAGCCAGCCAGCGGAGCCGGCGTTCGCTGGGATATGACAGGACAAGTTTTGGCGGCTTCTCCAGACATCGCGCTTCAACCCCGGGTAGCATTGCATCCCGAATGAGCGTAGGAGGTACCTCCTTTGATGACACCCTCAACGATATCATGGACGAGGACACTTTCGACACTCTGGAAGACTATGATGAACTGGACGATCTGTTCTCCCCACCTGATGCTGGTTTCGAACAAGAGGCTCTGCACGGCTTGAGAAAAGAGCTAGTCATTAGCCCCATCACAGAAATATCTGTGCAGGAATATCTGCAGCCGGGCTTCTCCACTCTGAAGGATGCTACAGGGAACCTTGGCACTACGCAACAAGGTAGTGCGAGACCAACGGCCAAGGTGTTCTCTGTCGCGGCCCCATTCAATTCGGCTACGCTGCATGAACGAAAGATGTTTATCTACATCAAGCATCCAGCTCTTCAACATCCGCTTGAGTGTGAACTCTCGGTGATGCGTAAACGTCTCTCAGCAGCGGCCTCCCAGACTAGACTGACCGATCCTCCTCGATATGCTTGTGTACCGAAGATGATCAAGGTAGAAACAATGCGGGAGTCATCAGATGTGGTCAAGGTTGTGGATGGCCAGGTTGCGCGCGCGGCCTCACTAATTTCTCTCAAATCGGATGGACCCTGTCTGTCACTACATGCGAGTTGGGGGGCCCACCTGCCCATGAAACTATACCTGGGTCCTCTGCGACTTTTCGATCCACATGCCGTCATGCGGAGCGAGAAAATGAGAGCGACCGCTGGTTCAAGCAGAACTATCAGTCCACATTTGCCACTTCGGGGGCTACTCTCCCCCGGTAAAGCTGGTACTTTCGACATCATGGACGGAGAGTTCAACAGACATCGTCTGCAGCTAAAACTCTCACCAGCACACCCCTTCGTGGCACACCTGTTCCAGGCACTGACCACCATCTTACCCAACTACGCTGGCGAGCTTCTTCTCGAGATATACTGGAATATTCAGAAGATTTTTACCGGTTCCGCAGAGTCAAAATATAATATAGACTGGTTAGCATTTGTCACAACACTGTTTACGCTCGCCACACCTTTCATTGATAACCATACCATTAAGCCGTTGAACGGCGGAGAGAAAACCGAGAAACGGCGATCTCGTCGGCTATCAAGCCATGCAAGACCCGACGAGCATCTCGAGACTGACGAGTCCGCATGGGCTGCAATGTGTTCGCGACAGGATGGCCGGATGCAGATAAAAAGCTGGCAGTCAACACCATGGGCCTGGATTATGCAAGCTCAGCCTTCGTCCAATATCATGAACCCTCCATCTCGTACTCGCAACGCTCGAATCCTACCAGCTATTGAGCAGCAAATCAAAGGAAATAGAGGCCTATTGATCAGATGTGCACATTATGCACGGGAGTTTGACCGCACTCCAATCGGAAAAGCTGCGAGTGATCACTGGAGGCGCCTTTCTTTTTCTGAGAAGCAAGATTTGAGGATTTCATGCCTCTCCGAGATTGTGGTTATATTGCATCTGGTACGCGAGGAACGCAAACTTGACATCATGACTCAAGACTTCTCCACGTCTGAAGCTTACAATCTTGCTCCTGTGTTGGCTCAACTTGGACACTGGCTAAGGTGGGAGTCATGGGGCTTTGCTGAGGGAAGTTACTTTGATGTCGATGCTGGACTGGGCAAGGACTGGTCCTACGAAGACTCCAGCTTCACTTCCACTATACGTCTGCACTCACAGCCTTGGGATGTGCCGCCTTCTATCCTAGAATGGCTTTGCACAATGCTGCGCTCTCAGTCCTATTATCCATTTCCTACTTTAGCAAGGCTAATTCGCAAGTCCAAAGCTTCACCGCATTCGTCCGTGAATATAGACGAAATCATCCAGGGAGTTACGCCACGAACTGTTGCATTACAAAACTTCTTTCAGGAGATCGACAAGTTTACAACCCCTCGAAGAGTTGTGGAACTGATGGCACGCTGCGGTATCGATTCCGTCATGCTTGAAACTCTACCAGAAGCCGCAAGGGCGCCTTTGATGGAAGCATTGACACGATGTCAGGCAAATCCACCAACCACGTGGTCCGGTTCCCTACTGAAGTTGGTTCAGAGAGAGGACCTTGACCTGGCTGCGAAGGCAAACAGCAATACCAACCGCGATGTTCAGTTGCATCAATCACATGCAACCACTAACGTTCACTCGAATTTACACTCGTCTGGGGGGAACCGGGACATCCATACGATATGCCAAACCGCGGACGATATAGAACCCGCTCAGTCGTCGGCTGAAATCGAAAGACATGTCATAACCAGGATGATTTTCAAGGAAGACCGGCGCTTCATGGAGGCCTATCATCTTCTAGAACCCCTTAGACCCGCTGTAGCGGAATATCGTCCATCCGCTCGACAAGATGAAGCCGCCACGCTGGAAGGCCAAAAAGCTCTCATGCAATGGGTTATGGTTCGCACCTTTTCACTTCCAGTCGGTAATTCCATGATCAAGCTTGGGAGCAAGAGACCTCTCCTAACCGCGGCGTTTCCGCTTTATGGCTTCTCCACATCCTGCACGATGAAGCCCATGGGCAACGTGGTCACTGCTGACCGTGCGAGTTATTCGGAGGAAAAGTTCGTCTGGGCATTTTTCAATGCTGGCGTCGCCGCCGGGCTGAGTATAGCTAGGGACGCGCAGGGGATTGACACGTCCTGGTTTTCGTACAACAAACCTCCTGAGCCCACGAACAAACATGCTGGCTTACTTCTTGGGCTTGGCCTAAACGGTCATCTCAAGAACACCCAGAAGTATATGGCGTTCAACTACCTTCTGCCGAGACACACCATGACATCCGTGGCTACCCTGTTGGGTTTGGCTGCGTCTTACATGGGCACGATGGATACTCTAGTCACCAGACTTCTTTCGGTTCACATCACACGTATGATTCCCCACGACGCGTTCCAGTTGCCCCTATCAGGGCACACTGAGACCGCGGGCCTGATGGCTATTGGAATACTCTACTTTGACACGCAGCATCGTCGAATGAGTGAGATTATGCTTTCCGAACTTGAGCATGTCCAAGAAACCGATCCTTTTGCTGAGTCGCCAGATAAGCTTCGCAATGAAGCATACAGATTGGCCGCCGGGTTCGCACTTGGATACATCAACATCGGCAAAGGCAACGACCTCCGTGGTCTTCACGACATGAGGATACTGGAGCGTCTAATGACAGTGGCAGTAGCGCCCAAACCAGTCCATCTTGTCCACATTCTTGACGAAGCCACTGCTGGTGCCGTCATTGCTATTACACTCATCTACATGAAGACAAATAAAGAGTCCGTGGCACGCAAAATTGATGTGCCTGATACCCTACCGCAGTTCGACTATGTCCGATCCGATATATTCCTTCTGAGGACTCTCGCTAGGCATATGATCATGTGGGACGGCATCGTCGCCGATAGTGATTGGATCATCAAGAATTTGCCCTTACCATACCGGCCTGACTATGACCTGAAGAACATCAAAAAATTGCGCAGTCAGCAGATGCCCTTCTTCAACATTTTGGCAGGGCTGCTTTGGAGCATTTCCCTTCGATACGCAGGAACCGGCGATAGACACGTTCGAGACTTCCTGCTCCACTATCTCGACCAGTTCATCCGTATTCACAGATTACCCGCTCTTCGGTACGATTCCAAGCTCACGCGCAATACGGTGCGGAACTGCCAGGACCTTATGGCCCTCGCGACAGCCACCGTTGTAGCGGGCACTGGGGACCTGGAAGTATTGCGTCGCTGCCGCGCTCTCCACGGTCGATTAGGACCGGATGCACCCTATGGCTCCCATCTCGCCGGCCACATGGCCTTTGGAATTCTCTTCATGGGTGGCGGAACGCACACGTTCGCCACGTCGAACAAAGCAATTGCCTCCCTAATCTGCGCCTTCTACCCGCTCTTTCCCACCGAGGTCAAGGACTCTGAGGTCCATCTACAAGCCTGGCGTCACTTCTGGGTCCTGGCCGCCGAACCGCGCTGCCTCTACGTGCGAGACGTTGACACTGGACGCATCATGTCCATGCCCATCATCCTCCATCTCAAAGATGATCCGAACCCCAAACATATCGAGGCGCCCTGCCTTCTCCCCGAACTGCACACCATCGCCCGCTTGGAAACAGACAATGTCGCCTACTGGCCCACTACTCTGGACTTTGAAAACAATCCCCTGCATTTCAAGACTTTCAAGCAGAATCAGACCATCATGGTGAGGAGAAGGTCGGCACACGACATGTACGCCTCGCCCTTCAGCAACACCTTGATGGCTCTGAACGATGCCCATCAATCACGCGCCTCGCGCCAAATGTGGGATTGGCTCTTCTCCCTGCCATCGCTGGCATCCTTCGAATCCTCGGGTGCGGACGCAAAGAGCGATATGGCGCTCATTCTACCCGTGGATCCGCACAGTTCGACGTTCCTGGATATGAGGAGCACGGTTGTGGATCATCGCTTGGTGCTGAGGAGGGCGGCGGGGAGTTGGTCGAGGAGGGATTTGATGGAGTTGAGAGGGGTGTTTGAGTGGGCTGAGGGGATGGAGAGGAACGGGGAGGGAGGGTTGAGGTGGCTTGGTAGAGAGGTGGTAGAGAGGTTGAAGGCCGGAGTTTTGGAGAGGGGAAGGAGGGTTGGTGGGGATGGAGGTGGTGTGTGATGGGTTTGCTGAGAAAGTAATAGGATTGGGATGCACCTTTACCTAGATCTATACCAACCAGCGTGCCGGCCAACGTTGGCGGCCAGTGAAGGGGCGCCACATGACTTGCTTGCGGAATGACAACCAGGGGTGTAGAGATGGTCGTCGGTATAGCTACTGGCGGATGGAAACTCCTTGGTAACTTGTGTGCTGCAACGTAAGGTCTGCAGTAGGATATAGATGTGGTAGGAAAGTAGATACAAATGCAAGAAGTGTTGGGGATTCAAGTGCTTGGAAGATGAAAGTGCTTCCGTGATCAAACGGAGAATAGTGGAATATAAGGTACGGCACTCACAGTATATCATGCCGTGTATTTGACCCAGGTGACATAGCTAGCATGCAAATGACAAGTTCTCATCGAGCTTCGTTGTTGCACACGTGGTGCTTCACACTGTCCCAAATGGCCCTCCACATCCGGCGGCCGCCATCTCCCGACTCATCCATGCATACCGCAACCAGCCGATCAATGACCGTCCTCTGGAAGCCCGCAGTCGATACTACTCGACGCGATATGGAGGGGGCACTGAATGTGCGGATGAACGCATGGACCGCGCCGCTCGCTCGATAGTCCAGGCCCAGACTTCGAGCAGTATGCGGTTTTGAAGTTCGAAACTCGGCATAGATAAGCCACCTCCTTACCAGACCTCTTCTCTGTTCGGGTTCTTCATGACAGGAGGAACAGGAGGCGCTGCCAAAGTTCCCTCGCAGAGCTTCAGGTCTCCCAACCATCAGCACTTCTCCCATCTGCCAATTCCCTCCCGCTCACGACAACCCCTTAGGTGGAAAACTACTCTCCAACTTCCTCCCATCCTTCGTCACCCTCACGAACCTCAACGTGGGCAAACTTTCCCACTTCCCGCTCCATAACTTCAACTTCTTCAAATTCTCCTTGTCCAGCTCCGGCATCCAAAATCCGCTAGTATATTCCCCCTGCTCCATCGCCTGCTTCTGCTCTAGCTGCGTCTCGCGCGTGCTCGGCGGTCTGCCGGGTCGGCGCTCCGCTTTTAATTTGGCGAGTTCCTCGTCGTCGCGGCCGAGGAAATCTTCAATGAGTTTTTGCATTTCTGGGATGGTCAAGGAGGCGGTGTGTTCGAGGGTGTAGGATTGGAAGGCTTTTACTCTCAAGACTACAAAAGATCAGCAAGGGGGTTTTTGGAGTTAGAGTAATAACAGTTACGCACTGTAGTGCCTATTCTGCTTCTCCCTAATGGCCGCCAACCGATTCAGGCGGTCATCTCTGGCACTCGCGCGCTGCAGTCGTTGCGTGTCTCTGCTGTTCTCATGGAGCGAGGCGTTTTTGCCTTTCTTTTTGGCGATTTGTTTCTGGACTTTGTTCAGGCGTGTGCTAGGCATCTCCACTACTCTCTAGAATTATTGGAAATATTCAGAGAATGGAACTGTTGTTCTTGTTGTTGCTTCACTTACGGACTCTGACTTGCTGTCCCCAAATTTTTGGTGGGGAGGTCGGTGATCCGCATTTCGATTGCCGAAAGAGGCTTAGCGGGTTCCGTCGCGTTGTGCCCTTGCCTTGCCTCGCACGCGTAGAGAGCTTGAACAGTGGAACTACGAGGTTGGGTCCGCATTCTCCTTCCATTCACTTCTCCTGCTCTTCACGATTTTTTGCGGCGGCGTTTCTCTGTTTTTAAGGCATAGCGGTCAACTTCTGTGCGAGAATGATACGATAGTAAACAACCTGACGCCTTTGTTTGGACGCGGAGCTTCCCCGCGGCGACGTTCGCGATGGGCATCTCGGGTATGTCTCTCTCATATGGCTTCGTTGAATGCCCTGAAAATAAGTGGAACAGGTCTTCTTCCTCTCCTAAAGTCCATCCAGCAACCATGCAGTCTCAAGAAGTTCGCCGGACAAACCATTGGCGTCGACGCCTATGGATGGTTGCATCGAGGGACAGCCGGATGTGCTATTGAGCTTGCGCTGGGAAAGCCCACTACCAAGTAGGCTTGAAAGAATTGCACTAAACATATTCTGGTTATTAATCAGGCATCAGATACGTCGATTTCGCCATGAACCGCGTCCGAATGCTCATCCACTTTGGAATCACACCCTACCTCGTCTTTGATGGAGATTACCTTCCCAGTAAAGCTGGAACCGAGAAAGAAAGGGCTCAGAAGAGAAGGGATAGCAAGAAGCTTGGCTTGGAACTGCTGCAGATGGGGAAGACGTCGCAGGCGCACTTGGAGCTGCAAAAGGCCGTGGATGTTACACCGGAGATGGCGCGGGAGCTGATTGAGGAACTGAAATTCCATGGTATCCAGTATATTGTTGCACCTTACGAGGCGGATTCACAGCTGGCCTATCTGGAACGGCAGGGCATCATCAACGGGATTCTCTCGGAGGACTCCGACTTGCTGGTGTTCGGTGCCAGATGCTTGATCACGAAGCTGGACAAGTACGGCGAGTGCGTGGAGATCAACCGGAACCACTTCACAGCTTGCAGGGAGGTTAGCCTGGTAGGCTGGTCCGACGCCGACTTCAGACGGATGGCTATGTTGAGCGGATGCGATTATCTGCCTGGCATTGGGAAGATGGGCTTGAAGACGGCGTATCGTATGTTGCGCAAGCACAAAACTGTGGAGCGAGTAATCAAGGCGGCGCAGTTCGATGGACAGTTCAAGGTTCCAGCCGGTTACATGGAGGCGTTTACCCAAGCCGAGATGACGTTTCTGTACCAATGGGTGTTCTGTCCGCGGTCTAAACAACTCGTCAACCTCACAGTTCCTGATCCAGAAGTGGATATTACCACCATGCCGTATATTGGGCAGCACGTGGCGGATGATATTGCGATTGAAGTGGCCAACGGGAATCTCAATCCCCATACAAAGGAGCCCATTGTCGTGCCGTCAGTCGACAGATCGCGGATGAAACCTATGAAGACCCACCGGAAAGGCGCAACGCCCGCGCAGACACCGGATTTGAAGAAGGGTACCAAGCCCATCGACACTTTCTTTAAGCCAAAGCGGACTCCTCTCGCTGAGTTGGATCCGAATAGCTTCACGCCGTCACCCAGTCAGCAAACTCTCCTACAGCAGCAGCGACAGTCCAATGGTTGGGCCGCCGTACTTGCACCTCCATCCACGTCCCAATCTGCCAGGACTTCCAGTTTACGAAGTGGTCGCTCACCTCCCAGACGCACGACTTCGGATTCCACCATACGAAATCCTGCTCCGTCACATCCTAAGCGACAGCGGCTTTGTTCCGATGGTTCCTTCAGTACTCCTGATAGCGGCGGCGCAGAAGCTGAGCGCAGCCGATTTTTTGCTTCCTCGACGGTCGAACCGAGCCCATCCTTGCGTACGAATCAGCGCCCCAAGAAAAGAAACTCGGACTTTGAACTATTCTCTGATGACTCACTGGACGATGCTATGGCTCAGCTCGTTGACTTGGAAGAAGCCACCACTGGGCAGAGGAAGAAGAAGAGTCAGATACCGATCTTCCGCGACGAGGATGGCCCAAGGGTTGCCAGCACCCCTCAGTCGAGCATACTTTCAAGAAGTACCACAAGTACTTCGCAGCTCTCCATGAGTACATTCACGCCTGCGACATCTTATGGTAGCCCTCGTGATTTGGAGGAAGAAACCGCACTCAGTGCTGCACTGTCGTCGAAGGTGAAGGGTCTGCGCTCGAAGTTCACATACAATGCGGCGAATACCAAGGGAGATGCGTCACCACTGGATTTCCCACCGAGAATAGGAAACAGTTCCATACAGAAGGAGAAGCCAAATGCGAAAAGCGCGCCTCGTGTTATCAATGACCAAAACTTGGGCTCAACCTTGGACGATACGCTGGAACTCGATGACGCAGCCTGGGCAGCAATGGAAGCTGAAATTGTGGTGGCGGAAAGCGTGACAGAAGTCCCGCGATCTTCACCCATTAAGACAGCCACTTGGGAGAACCTGTTGGTAAAAGGAAGCGAGGACTTTCTCGTACCAGACAGTGAGGCAGAGAGCGACGGTTCTCCTCGTGCTGTCAGGCGGACTTTGGATTTGGGGAGATTCGCGTTTCGCGGGTAGCGATCCTGCCGTTCAATCGGGCGCAACTACTTGAGAGCTGAAGGTTTGAATAATCGATGCATAGCGTGATGGTTTATGGTGTCTGGCATTTTAGGGTGTTATGGGTTATGCCGGACAGGGCGCTATGAGGGTTTGCTACTGGCGTTGCTAAGGGCCAGGTATTGGATTATCTGTACGCAATGATGATATCCATAGTCTCAATACCCAGATATTTCCCAGTTCAAGCCGTCGTGGCCGTCGCCAGCGGTCGCGAGTCGGTTAGAGGAAGAGTCGCCAAACCAGAAACACTTCATGTTATACCAGACATCAAACGCCCATCGACACAGATATCATAAGTTATTCTCAAGAGACATACACTCCACGGTCATCACAACCCGACTCCGCAAATCCACTCCCTACCCACCCACCGCATATCCCGGGGGCCCCTTCAGACCCCGAGCACGCATCCAACAACCGCCTCAAAGAACCATGTGGCTTATCCCCCTCCCACAAAGAAACCCGTTACAACACCGGAACAACGGGCCAGGTCGCGCCAAGCGCTAATCACACGATGCGTTGATTCGCATCAATCGGACAAAGAAAAAAGGAAGCGATTTTTGAGTGTTCGATTACTGCGGAATTGGGCTGGGACGAACTTCTTTAGACAGGTACTCTTTGTCCTTTGACGAAAAAAGAGAATTGGACTGGAGTTTCCGTTTGTGGGGTAGTTTGCAACAGGACGCGGATGGGGAAGAACGGTATAAAAGAAGGGGTGGTATAAAAGAAGGGGTGGTATAAAAGAAGGGGTGGTATAAAAGAAGGGGTGGTATAAAAGAAGGGGTGGTATAAAAGAAGGGGTTATCGTGCATTTTTGTAGAGGGAGTTTGATGTTTGTGTTTTTTGAGAGAAATTCTCTGATACGACTTTTTAACCTTTTCCTGAGAGACCGTTAAGGACAAGGTCGACATTGACCTAGGCGGACTACCGTTCTACACTTCAACACCAAGGAGATAGCGTGAGGTCACGCAACGCAACACAATCGGTACTGACATAACGTACAACGAATCCAAAGACGCAATACAGCAGCAAATATGGCCCCGAAAAGATCCAGGCCAGTTGCAACGGGCAGCCGCACTGTACGTCACTCAAGTTCAATCCACTACTTACCTATCCCCTTCTTCCCCCAGTCCCCCTCTGTCCTATCCCCTTCTCTCCCCTTCTCTCCCCTTCTCTCCCCTTCTCTCCTCTATCTCTCCCCGGTTGATTCCCTCCCTCCGCCTCTCGTTACACCAGAAAGTCGGCACCCACTAACTCCCCTCTCCACAGAGCCCCCGCCAATGCACCCCACTCTTGCCCTACAACGAAAACGCCGCCCAGCAAGAAGCCCTCGCCCGCGCAGTAGCCGCGCGCGAAGCCGAAGACGCACTCAGAGCGCGGAGACGAAGGGTGACGCGCGCGCAGACCCGCGCTGCTGCCGCTCCTGTTCCCGCTGCTACGACTTCTCGAGGAGGCGGGAGAGGAAAAGCTGCTGCGGGAGCCAAATCGAAAGCCGCACCGGCAACCGGGAAGAAGGGCGCCGCCGCCGTCGCCAGAGGTACGGCTACTGGACGTGTAACCAAGACGAAGACTGCACCGGCTGCCACTCGCGGTGGCAGAGGAAAAGCCCGTGGGACGGGGCGTGGAGGAGCGCGTGGAGGAGCGCGTGGAGGAGGTCGAGCTAAAACAGTAGCTCGCAAGACGAGAGCTCCCACGCCGTCCGACAGCGAGAGCGAGAGCGAGAGCGAGAGCGAGAGTCAGTCCGAGTCGGAGCCTGAAATCCCCAATTCGACTCAAAGCCACCGCTCCACGCAGCCGCGAAGCCAGCAAAGCCAGCAAAGCCAGAGCCGCTCGGCAGGCCAGCAAGCTTCCACGCAGAGGAGCGCCTCGTCCGGTCTGAGCACCGCTAAGACGATGGCGACGCCGTCGACCATCAGGACGACCATGCAGCAGGCTGCCACTACCGCCGCCAACAAGTCCTCTTCGTCCCGTGCTGGATCCAGCAACGCAAGGTCTGCGCCCTCGGCACAGCAAGAGCTACCGAACACGATCCCCGAGACGCAGAATGCGGAGTACTCACCCACCATCGCGGATTCGTCGAGTTTCAACTATCCTCACCTTCCCTCTACAAAGAGCCAGGGCTCGCCTCCCACGCAGCAGCCCCGAAACCAGCAGGGCCAGGCCCGTCTGGCGGTTCCGACTGCTCACAAGAGCGTCTCTTCAGCTGGAGGGGGTAGATCCGCCTCGACTAAGAGTTCCAGCTCCGGGATGCCGCACTCGCCGCAGTCGACGTTCAGGAATCGGGCTGCGGTTCTTGCGACGCAGGCGAATTCGAGTGAGAAGAGGTCGGGTGATAGCGAGACGCGGAAGACGCGCGGGGTGAGGGATTTGTCCAAGTCGCCCGGTTCGAAGAAGAGTTCGAAGGCCAATAAGGGGAGCAAGGGGAGTAAGGTGGGTTCAGGAAGGGTGAGTAAGAGCGCTTCTAAGGCAAGTTCCAAGTACAAGTCTATGTCGCTGTAGAAATCTGCGAGCTTCGAGCGGGTTGACTAAGTCAGCAAGACGGGCAACGGCGGTCGGAAGGAAGGCTGGCGCTAGCGTGGCTTAGAATGTCGGAGTGGGGTTAGGGAAAAGATACCCTTTTGTTTTGTTTTCCTTCGAGTCTGTTTATGTTGGATAGATTTTGCAGTCTGAGCAGTCGGGAGTTCTGATAGGGGCTGGCGTTTTATAGTTCGTTATGTGCCTGTATATTGGTGAAAATGATGTATTTGCCCTTCGTTCAGGTCGGCTGTAGATGAGAGTTCCGCGAGGCTTATATGATGATGTGAAATGTTCCGTTTGACGGAGGTATTGCTGATGAGAAAGGGAAAAGGTGCGGAACGTGGGCTCGCCTTCATGACATGCATTGCTCGAGCATATCCCGCAATGTCTCCAATTGCCCCGGTCAAGATATAATGGAGCTCAAAAGAAGAAGGAATAAACGTTCTGAGCGGATTGGTTCCAGAGCATCCTCTCGCCGATGTCATAGATGATGATGTAATGCCTTAGCGTGACAGATTAAACAGAAACAAAATGCAGAAAAAGCAGGAAAATAAAAAACGAAAGGCTAAAATCAGAAGAAAGCTTCACAAAAATCACCTACCTCAGTCCAGTGTCCCAGAAAATATGACCCTAGATTCAAGAACCCAACCGACTGAGTACATAGATATAGCTCTTCCACTTGTACCTCTGTTACATCCGTATACCAGCGTACGAAGTTCTTTTACAAGTTCCGCAAAGCTGGAGACCGAGAACTGGAACAAAATCACAGGCCCGCGTGCCCTCTTGCAGCCAACCAACGAGCTCACACTTCCATTGTCAAGCGTAAGGAAACTCTGGTCTCACGCGTGAAAGGAAAGAAGCAACCGAGCACGCGTGCCTTAGCGGGGCTCGGGCGAATCCCAATGCAGTGAGAGCACGGTGGTCATGTTTCCGGTCGCCGCGGTCGGCAGCAATTTGAGAGTGAATATACCAAGTGCTTTGTTGTTGGTGTTTTACGCGAGGAACCCTCGCAATTCTGAATGGGAATCGGAAAATCGAGGGGATCGCCGATTCGGACATTTTCCTCAGATTGGAGATCTCGGGTTCCTGTGCGCATCGAGCTCAAGGGGACGCGTATTCCGTACGATAGGTAAATCGGCTTTCGCAAGACAACGGCCTCTGAGCATGGGCAAACTCGAGGAAATCGGCGATGCTTTACAGATCCAACGTGTGTTCCGAGGACTCTCCAATTCGAGCCTCCGCTTCTCCCATCATCGACATTCAACCCAGTCATCTTCTCTCCTTCAAACCCCAGCTGTTCGCACCCAAAACAACCCAGGATCCAGGGGACAAAGTACTGCAACCGCTACGATGCAAATAGACGGATGCCAACGCATCATGCTCCTCCACCACCAAGAACAAGACGTCCTCGCAAGCGAGTCTCACTTCCAAAATACCCTTGGTGATCGTGGACCAGCCAACCGGCAGTATTCCGAATCCCACACATATCCCACATACCAGCCACAGGCGTTGATTCGATGATGGGCCACAGACCAGCTTGTGCATCCGTCGGCTCATGTTCAGGCAAAAAGCGGGAGCCCTGGATTTGCATTCTCTTATCCTGGGCGATGGCAGTGCAGAATTCTCGATGCGGAGACCGTTGGCGAGTAGGCAAAGGACGTCATCATGCAGCACGCGCTCGTTCACGTCGATTCCTCGAGCGCTCTGAAACAATATCTCAGGTTCGCGTGTAGACGACCTCTGGAGCCGGTCCATACAGAGGAACATGTCGTTCGACCCCGGACCCAGCTCTCAAGGTGTAGCTCCCCACTGCAGTCAGCCCAAGGGTGAGCGTCTGCGGCATGTTGTTGGCCGTCGTCTGCGCAGTAGGAGTCTAGGAGAGATGATGCCGACATTGCTGATGGATTCCGCCAAGCGTCGTCATTGGACCGGTGGCCTAAGGAAGATACATATCCGAAAGTACAAGTGCTGTCTGCACGCGGCGTGGAGGTGGCGTCCTGGGATTGCATTTGGCGACAAGATCGAGTGAAGTTTGAAATTCGATATCCCGAGACCCGATTTGCGGAGGATGGATGAATGTGCAGCGTTCTGGAGGCGGATTGGCTCTCCAGGACCTGATCAGCGGACTTTTCCATGGTGAGTTACTCCGTACGGAGTATGTCTGCATTACGGCCAACAGCAGAGCGTGCCAGACGCCATGTCGACGAGGAAGGTGGTGCTCCCCCGAGAACCTCCACACTCCCAACACGAGAGTAGTTCCCTCAATAATAATAAGCAACCAACCTTCAGTTCGAGGCAAATCGCGGCAGTGCTCTCACTTCCTGACATCTCTATCCAACGGGACCACAGATAGTGATAGCTTGCTCTCGTTCGGTCTTCCCATCTGGTCTAGACGGGGAGAAACTTGAATCCTAGAAAGATCAGATTGGATAGCAGAACTTGTGCACTCGCCACAACGCCACATGTAGCGCCACATTCATTCACTCGCCACAAGATATAACAGAGTACACAGTAAGGAAAGAGATGCTGTGGCACAATGTGTTCCGCCGATCAGTGATCAACGATGTGTCCGATTAGGCCATCCTTGAGGAGCTCCTTCTAAACATAGAAATTCGAATAAGAAATTGTAAATCTAGGCGATTCATTCGTTCGGCTCTCGTAACCGTAGAAGATAGATCGCTGCTCGGTGGGAGGGGGTACGCGTACTGTGCACGTTGAGTTATTAACCACTCCAGCAATATCTCCGAACTCAGCGGTAGTACAGCTTGATGAAGTGCACTTGCATTCCATCTTCTCGATAGAGGGTGGCGAACGACTACACAATACTCCGCTGGGACGAACAAATCTGGAGCGATAGGCCGTGGTCCACTGGAGTCGCAGAGGGTTTCCGCTATGCACGAGTACTCACTCCATGACCCCTACTTCGTAAAATGCGCAATAACCATTACTGAAGGAGTCCAATCCACATGTTCGAAATCTGACACGATTGACAGAGATCTAGGCAAACACAGGGTGGCTTGCGGTCATTCAATTTTGTAAATCCGGGTGTTGAAGCGTTAATTGTTGAATTGAGACGCGACACGTTGTAGCGCCACACCTCCACCGAGCCACCCTTTTATAGACGATCGTTTGCCTAACCATTGTCCGGCAGGTAGAATTCGACTTCCCCGGAATAGTACCTGTCATTGTGGGATCTCCGGGTCAGGGCCCGTCACTCGCTTCCCCTGATTGGCAATTCCTAAGCGCCTCCTATGTAACGCTTCGTAGGGAACATGCGGTGAGGTCGACTGACAGCTGTCCATGTACGAAAAATGTACCGAACAGCTGAGACTTCACTGAAGCCGACATATGGTGACACAGGACCAGCATCTCTGATGATATACATTCTCACTCGGCCGTCAGCCGTTTCTTCGATTGGAGACACGCGCGAAACGCCCATATGGTCGTGTCAACGGTGATCGATCCGGCAATTGAAATATCGGAATCGGATTCGCGCGCCAAGTACTGTGTACATACTAAGTAGAGACCGAAGATACTAGTAGAGACGCCATGATGCTTCGATCAATTTTGCCATGTGATATGACGACAAGTCTCGGGCGCCAAAGCTCATAGCACGCAAAAGTGGAAAAGCAAATCTCACATTTCGCGCTAGATGCCTCCGAGGGGTTCGGCCTTCTGGGCCACTTCATTTCCCCCTTGCGCGCGGCCCGAACTCGGTGTTAATTACACTCATATGTTTGATGACACTGTTGTGAGATTGTGAGGGGGGGTGGAGCGCCCTTATTCAAAGTGAGGTCCACTGCCTCAGATCCGAGGAAACGACGGGACCAGTGTCCAAGATGAGTTCAGAGCGCGGCTGTGGATATGGGCAGGAAGATAGAGGCACAAGCCGCGCCGAGGAGCTGACTCGTGATGCGTTGAGTGGAGAGTCTGAACGGGACTCCTACATCGTGGAAAGCGTAGTGATAATATTATGAGAGCGATGGGTGTTGTGACGAACGGCCGTCACGCTGTTGTTAGCAAGACGCTGGCAACGAAATGATGTCCCGAACGGCGTGAGTGGCAAGTGCAAGATGTATATGCGAATAAGAGATATGCTATCGTTGTTTAGACATAGAAGAGGTATCCCTGAAGGCAATTGGGGCGATTGCGAGGGGTTGGTAGAGAGAAATTAGACAATAATAAAGGGAGAGAAAACAGCAAAAGGGTATAAGTCCAAAGGGAAGAGCAGTCTTTCGCCAATATGCCGGAAGGAATGAAGGCTACTTCTTCGAGTTTGTCCAGACAACCGATTACCACTCCACCTTCTCTTGCCCCATGCGTGTACGTAATGGTGTATGACGTCCGTCGTTTGGGTTATGTACCGGTCATTTCCGCCAATCTTAAAAGTCCAGTAGGTGAAAATGTTAATGGGTATCGCAGAATGTGTAGACAATATAAAGCAAAGCTCGTAAACGCTAGTGGGTTCTTCGACATATTGAGAAACAGCCCCATGAATCTGTGAAAGCCTGCTGCCACAAAGCTCCTTCGAGAAGTATTTCGGCAGCTCCTCGCGTGTACGGAAAGTACAATGTCAGTCGTCCCGTCGTCATCAATCGCCAGGATTCCAGAGAAAATGTAATCGGGACTTGTTCAGAAGAGGAGTCGGAGCTCGTAGCCAGTGGAATTGACGGTTTCGATGGCGCCTACATCTCCGTCGACCTGTATGTCCGTTGAACCAGCATCCCACTCGCGTTTCAAGGGCTGCTGTGATGAGGTGATTTCGTGGAATTCAGCGACCATATCCTGTTGTTCGGGTATCTCCCGTACAGCATCATCGTCCATGAGAATCTGAAGGCCTTTCTCATTGATCCGGATAACCCTCGTAACTTTTGTCGGCTCGATATCAGCCTTCATGGATATTCCGCCCACAAGAGCCTTCAATGTCCGTTCCAAGAGGTAGACGGCGCGGAAGTAGTTATCGCTCGGCACCCGCCCAGCAACCCTTGGTTGAACGAAGAAACAAGCAACTGTGCCTACAATCAGCTGATGATCGTTGCGAAAGTACCAACATACACGTACCTGGTTTGACCATTGGTTCCGGTGGCGGGACATAGGAAGGGTCGACACCCACAGCTTCAATCCACCCAGAAAGGGCATGATCGTCACTATACGGCCTTTGCACTCTTCGCGGTTCATCCGAGCCATCTGGAATTGCGGAAAGAGGTTTCAGATCACCTGTCGCTGTTTGAGGGTGGCCTCTCCATTCGTTCGAGGACATCCGAGACGGCGGTTGGAACGGAGCCGGTTGCTGGAATGAGGAACGCCGATGACCGCCGGAGTGGAGTGATTGGGAGCTCGGTGTCGGAGATACAATGGACGAGGTTCCAGTATGGGAACTCTGGTGCTCCCACATGGTCGAATCTACGTTTGTATCAATCTTCGAAAGATCCATCGTGCCGGACAGCTGCACGGGATGAAGATCTGGGTCGTCGTGCTCATCTCCCTTTAGATAGAGCACGCTAACCGGCCTCGTGGAACTGAACATATCCTGGAGCGACTGCAGCTTAAGTTGCAAGTCTTCTTCCGCCGCCACGCGCGCACCGGAAGCTGAGCTATTTGAAGACATGGACCACGTCCTCTTGTGTTTGGGCACCTTCCCTGGTCGAGAACTGGGCGCAGTTTTGGATACCGATCCACTGCGCTTGCGCTTTCCGAAGTCTTTCATTCCAGATTCCACCTGAGCAATCTGCTGTTTCAACTTGTCGATGGTCTTCTTAACGTGTGCTACATCGTTGGACAGCTTCCGCTCCGCTCCATGGTCTCGGAAGAGCTTCACTTTGCAGTAACAGAGTTCCATTGCCGGGGGCTCTGGAGGCGATCCAGGTCCGGCGGAGACGACTTCGGTTTTGGCGCATAGACGAACCGGTATGCCTTTGACGCCCTTCGAGTGACTGAAGTCCGTTGAGAGGAAGTTGAAACGCACAGCCAGTGAGCACTCCGGAGGATTGTTGTGCACTGGAATCCAAGTGACGGCGAAACCATCGAAGGAGGCGGACTCGAGCTCCACCCGCGGCCGGCCTTGCACCTCCCCACCCCCAGCCTGGCTCGGATCGACGAACTCAACCGCTTGAAGGCGTCCGCCTCTTTGATGCGCCTCATTAGTCCCGCGCCCTTCTTTCCAAAGCTGCCAACAAGCCGCCGGCCTCTGGCGCTGCTGCTCATCCTCGAATGAAATGCGAATGTACGTTCGATACTTGAGCACTGTGTTGGAAGTCTGCTGAGGCAGCGCAGTATCTACCAGCGTAATCGTATATGCTTGCCCCTTGTTGAGGTAGGTTACAGGAATCTCGTCCGCATTCTTGATCATTGCCGTTGGAGCATTCAAAGTAACATGAAACCGGAACCTTGTCAAAGTTAGCACCTGAAAATCACCGGTGAGGACTATATGTTGTAGATAAAAACTCAGAACTATAACTTACGAGTTAGCTGGTTGCTGAGGAAGGGTCGGGGCCATGTTTTGCTGGAAGGGTTGCGGTTGAGTAGCGTAACCCACTACTGGAGACTGCTCCTGCATCTCGACATCCGGCATGACGTTGTCCAAGGGGGACTGTTCATGAACCTGCCCAAGCTGCGCGTGCTCAAACACGGAAGGTTGGTGACTGAACTCATGAGGCGCAAAGGCGGGTCCGTGTTGGGACGGCAACGAAAAGGGATTTTGGTTCTGGAAGTGTTGAGTAGACAATGCATGGGGATTGAAACCGTGAAGATGGCCAGAAGGCGCCGGTTGACCAGCATGTACGCCGCCTTCAGAGGTCGGTAGTGAGAGCGGGGTGCCTAGGCCGAAGCTGAAGCCGGGCGTGTGTAGGTCTCCCGCCTGGCTGTGATAGAGGGTGTTCGTGCCGCCAGGGGTTGGCGTGTAATATCCAGGCGGTTGGTTGGCGAAAGAAGCAAACGCGAAACTGTTGGGATCGAGAAGTGATGGCGTAAATCGCCATTGTTCTGTATTCCCTCGCGGGGTTGGGTCCGCGTCTTTGATGTCTTCGTGATCGCCAAAGTGACTTCAATAACAAACGCAGTCAGCACCTTGTCACAATCGGGGCGAAATCGACAGGTTACTTGACCATGGGCGCCTTCTCCAGCAAGATTTGACATGCGCGACTTCAATAGAAGACATGAGAAGATGGCAGATGGCGTGGGTGGTGGGAGGGGTGCGATGCGCCGGGCGCGGACATGCGGGCAACATACCGAACATTGTGATGCGCTACGTCGAGCGCATCCGTGAGGGACGGCCCAGAATGGTTACCGATGGACTGCGAGCGAGTGGTCGACGCGACGTGAGGGAAGGCCGCCTTGAAGTTCTGAATGAGCTCTTCATTCGGCTTCTGTGAATTTGTTCTGCAGCCCAAGTCAGGTCAGGTACGCACGGCCGGGGGGTTGCACATGCTACGCGTGCGTTCCCCGCCAGAGGCCACCGAGGGAAGCGTAGCGTCGCGATGGACATACCGATTTCGAAACATCGCTGGGAAACTCCAAGCAGATGCGCTGTGCAATCAAGAGCATTGAAAGAACGAGTGAATGTCGGGGAGGATGGGGAGGCTCCGCGACCAGTCGACGAAACGAGAGGGTAATGCCACAAGAGCGTTCAAGCCACAGACGACGCCAGGGCCGGCGTATGCACTGAAGGGTCAGCCGTCTTTTATTCGGGCTCGACGGCATCAAACGGCAGCGCTTGGGGCCCGGTCAAAGCGCGTCTGCTGGATGCATGGGCGTCTGGCATCCACCATGGGAAAGAGACCGATCGAAAAGTGGACATGGAGAGCTCGGCGCCGTCCCTCTCGGGACAACGAACACCGCCTGTGGACCGTGGTGTGTTGACAGCGCTGCGCACCGAGCGGCGAAGAGGGTGGAAATGACTGGCGGCGCCCAGGGAGCCCTGGGAGCCCCGAGGGGTCTGAAGGGGAGCCGTGAAAGGACCCGGGCAAGGGGCCTACGACTTGCACAGCCACTACTGCCCTGCATCGTCCTCGATCTCTCCAGAAGCTTTTGCGTTGTCTCTCGCGTGCCTCGAACAGGATGGGATTGTCGCTGCAGTTCATCGTCGGTAGAAGCTTGCACCCTCTACCCGGTGCCACGCGGTCCCAGCCCATTGTTCCTCGAATGCCCCCTTCGCCTGCCACAGAGCGTGCCCTCCACGGGCTCCCAGATCTGGCTCCGGTAATTATTGGCCTTGAAAGAAAAGATAACTCCCCCAATTTCCATAGGGCCGCGGCTCCACGACTCCCTGGCATGGCATTTGCAACGGCGCCCGCCGAACAATGACGACATCTGCCATCCCCTCCCACTGCAAACACAGAACTCTCTTTTCCCGCATGACACTTTTGTTGCCAGACGGCGCACGGTGGCCGACGGGACTTTCCCCGCACAGCATGCCAGTGATGCCCCTCTGCCGCTGTGCCCTGGGAGGCAACGCAACGAATGCCAGAGTCCTGCCGCCCACCCTTCAATTCTGCTTCTCCACCCAATTTCCCACATGTGGGCGGCGGATGAGCGACGAGGATACGCCCGGCTGTTCCGCTGCGAAACGGCGCCCTCCGGCCAATCTCAGCGCTCCATCGACACGAACTCAAATGAGCCGTTCGCTTCATCCAACTCGCCCGCTGGTCGCCTGGTCAGACGTAGTTTTGCATCTTGTCCCACAAAAGCCGAGATTAAGGAGCATTGAAATCTGTTGTTTTCAAACCTTTCCCATCCATCCCAAATTGGTCTACGTCATCCGAAAGATATGACACCCTCTGGCAGTGCTATTGACTTGTCGCTCTCATGTCGAAGCACACAATCACCCTAACTGGACACTCGTGGTATGTATGCCGAGAAGATCATGGATCTTTCGTCCGGGAATCTGCATTGAGCCGATCAAATATAAATAACTGTGGCGGAATCCAGGGGAACATTGGACTGCCACAGTACACACAACATGATCCCTGAAGAGAGGCGAAATCTCTTTTTGCCGATTGTGCCTCTCAGGATGCCACGATTGGGCGAGATATGTCGATCTGTGGCGGAGACGCCACAGTTCGGATACATATTCCCAGGACGCAGTACGGAGTACTCACTGCGGTACCGTAGTTATACCGCCAGTAAAGAAGATGCGCATTGTCGTCGATACATCGTACAAAATCGCCGCCCTTGACATCTGAGCGCGCCTTGATGCGGTCAAATTGCTCATTGGCCCAAAGTCAGTGGTCTTACGCAAGTGTGAACCTGCAGAAGCAAGATATCGTATGACAATTATTGCGAATGGAGATAGGACATTGTTCGTAGTAGTTGGGAAGCGCTGATGTGAGATCATCGTGCCTGTCAGAGTTGCTGGTTTTTGTCACCGGGGTTCCTTGTCGTACAATGAAAAAAGTGCCAATGCCATCTCATTCATCCTCTTCGACGTCATTCGTCCATTCCTGGAAAATAGCAATAATTCCTTGCAATAAGTGTGCATGATGGCCTGGTCAAGTATGAAGAACCATGAGACTCCTCTCAGAACTGTGCCGCACCTGCTGTTACGGCATGGGAGACGCTGTACGGAGTACTGTCCGTTGACGGGGTAGGGAGACAATGTTGCTTGTTGTATACAAGTACAGGTAGGGATACATAAAATGCTTTGATGTGCTAGAAATCGAAGTCCAGTCTCTGAAGACGATGTTACGCATATTGTGGAATACCGTGGAAGACAATGTTTGATCCAAGTAATCATTTCCGAACTAGAAAACCCTTGCATAGACCACGGTACGCTCTGTTGTCATATGAGCGTTTACTTGTACCAGGATACCGTAATGCCACACGCACCATCAAGCTTTCACTAAATGGCGATATTCGACAGTACGCAGACCTGCAGATAGCTAGACACGATCCGTTGCCTGATGTGTGGTAACTCCTAAAGCTTCGTTGTTGAGTTGATTTTTGCTTTCCCAAGCGATTTCAGGCTCCCCTTCCATGCCGCTTGGACTTCGACAAGAGCTGCTTCGAGTCGCCAGTTGCTGTTGCGACCGGCTTACGCTCGACCTGTCACGGAAAGCCGTTTGTACACTAGAGCTTGAATTCGGTCGATCGTTCAACCTGCCCCGGTTTTGCGTTGTTCGTAGGCTGGAGGTGGGACCTTCCCTCCGTGTTCGGCCCAAGGGGGACTGTACCGGACTGGGTATCTTGGACGGCTTTATCGTAACATCTGCGCTCAAAGTTTGCACCCTTCGTAAGGAGGCCTCCGCAACGTCATCTGTCACATTCTCGGAAAAGTCAGATGAAGACGTTGACTGTGGTCCGGACGGAGATCTTGCTCGTGTGAGATCCCACTCCCTAAACTTGTCTGTGAGGAGGACTAGCTGATCATCACCTGGCTCAAAGGAAAAGTGCCGTTCATCCATCGTGGGCGGAATGGAGAGTTGCGCCGGATGGAGATGTGTCTCTTCGCCTCCGGTGGCGACCGGCGCGTTGTAATCAGCACTCTTGTGTTGGTAACTCAGAGATGAATCGTCCGTCTGAGACCCGCGATCACTCTCAGTTTCATAGAGCTTCATAAGCTTGGACACGAAATCCTGGGCATTGAGCCCTCGTCGACGAGCAACCAATGTGGCCAGTTCTTTCAAGGCTACGAAGGCCTCGAACTCGGCGCCGACCTCCAAGGTGACTTCTGCTGGCATTTTGCTCGTTCTCAGTACCCGCTCGCTAGAGTCCGCGCCACCGGAATGATTGGATTGCGGGTCGGGAGAAGTAGTTGACAATTCGGACAGGTCCAACTCGCTCTTTACCTTCCGGGACAGAGTCAACTGATGTCCAACCGTAGGGGGCGTGCCAACATGGAGTTCTTCTGCCCGGCCTTGGCGCAGAAGCTTCTTTGAAAGTGCAGCCATTGATCCGGATGGTGAAGTCGGGCGGTGTAGAATAGCTATAGGCGTCAATATAATCACTTAGAGCTAAAAACATGGACTCCTACCTTTCTGGCTCCTGACCTTGATCTCGCTATCGAGCTGATCCATGGTCATTGGCTTGTAAACCACCTCGGGTTGGTCTGATGAAGGCGTCTTGCGTGGACGCTCAACGACTGAGCCTTGCCTAGCCTCCATGAGGCCGACCATGCCAGGGGCGCCCTGGGCAATCAAGAGCTCGAGACGTCGGATCTCATCCTGATAACGAGACTTTTCCTCGCCCCAGCTTTCCTCGGCAATTTGAAAATCATCCAGAGTATTCTTCAACAAGTCGTTCAGACGCTCCTTCTCTTCTCGAACCTTTTGATAGTCCTCGAAAATTCGTAGGATCCCGCTATTGTGCTGTACAGGAAGAGGGATCCATCCACGATTGCCAATATGGGAGCGGATGTGTTGCAGAGCAAACAGAGGATCGACGGGCGGTTCTGGCTCAAATGGAGCATCTTCATCCCAAGGTTCTGGGAAAGGGAACTCGGGTTTCGGCCCGGCCGTGAGCGACAAATACTCGGACAGATATCGTGCAAACTTGGGCCTAGTCTCATTCCTCGCGCGGGGTGCCGGCAATGCTGATATACTTGAACCACTATCTCTGCGCGAGCCGTTGGTATCATCACCTCGCGAAGCCGCGACGTGGAGGCCGAGAGCGGACTGTGGTCGGCTGTCGTGTAGAGTCTTCCTCCAGAAAGGTTTGTCGGCCTTTGCAGCGGGTGTCGTAGCTGGCTGATCAGTCGGCTTCTCGTTCTCGGTCACACCATCACCTGTGCCTTTGACTTCAAGCGGCGTTTTTGGTCGTCTGTCGTGAAGTTTCTTCCGCCACCCTTTCTCAAGCATGGTGCTTCGCAATCTCTGTGATCGGAGAGGTAGACAGGATAGAGAATGATGTTAATGAAAGACTGAAAGGATGTTGCAAATGTAGTGAGGAGGAGGTTGAGGTTGAGGGGATGAAGGTCGACGTTGCGGTAACTTCATCGCGCTTGCCTGGTGTCTTCACAGGGAAGGAGCGACGGTCGTGGAAACAGAATCTCGTGACCGCCTCGTTCACCAGCAAGGCGGCCTATGCAAGTTTGTACTTTCATTGTCGATATTATCTTCCAGGCAGTGAAAGAGCCGGAACTTTCATATTCGAAGGCCCTGGCCTGCAAAGGCACAGAACGGCAGAAGGAACGGAGATTCGTCTGCTACCATGGGCAGTAATAACTTCTGATGCAGATTGTCCTGATGATGAGAACAGATCAAGAAGAGTATATATGTGACAGACTGGAAGTGTAGATGCTGACAAGTGTAGAGAGAGATAGATACCCGAAATAATGGAGACGGGAAACAATGACTGCGCAGCTAAATCTAACCATTTGAAATCCACAGTCGACACAGAAATAAGAATACTTCACATTGCCTTGAAGGTAAAGGTGGCCACTGGTCGCTCATCATGTCTCTCCCGTGAGTACGCTGCAGAGGGCCCGGTTCGAGGTCTCTCAAACGTGGAACCACCCCAAGAGAACGGGACACTGCACTTGAAAGACTGCGATCGATTTGACAGGCCTCGAATCCGAGGAATCCACAGAATCGAAGACAAAGAAGAGTACAAGATGGGAATGTCGGACTTTGGAAATCCTCCAGACTAGGACTGTGCTTACTACACGTCGAAGGGGCGCCATCCCTGATTGGGGTTTAGTGCGCCAAGCCATAACTTTGTGAAGGCATCGGAACTTGGGAACGTCCTTATTACAAGACAAACGACGACATCGTAACCCAGGCCTTGACTCCCTTGTTACCGCGTTCCTCTTAACCCCCCACCTGGACCACACTTTTATTGTCGCGATCATGTGAAAACATCACAGGCACTCCATTCAATCCCATCTTGGCTGCCTCATGCCTTGTTTCGGGTTGGTCTGGACGCTGTTTCAGTTCTGTCCCAATCCGTTATATCAGCAAAATAATCCATGAATTTATGGATATGAACAGGTTCTTCAGTTGGGCCCCAGAAACCGTCCTTCTCGTATTCAAAAAAAATGCAGACGCAAAGCAGTCAAGGGACTCTTATATGGGTGATGTGGACATCGTACCACAGAGAGACAAAGGTACCGTCCAAAAACATGCTTCATTTTCAGTTGTGAGCCTCCTTCTCAAACCAGCCCCGCCCACACCACCTGATACGCACACTCCCTCACACCTCCGGCACGGAACGTCTATCCAAGGGGTTGGAGCGGGAGGATCTCTTAGTATCCAAACCATGTTCTCTCCCGCTCCGGCCACTCTGAAGACCCAGCCCGCCTGGAACGTCACCCATCCGGTTTCACAAAATCCTCCGACGCAAGAGACAAGCCTTCTAGGTCCGATGTGCGGGTCTCAAGTAGTTGCGGATCACTGCGTTAGGTTTAGCAGTGTGGGACGTTCATGCTAGGGCTGGGCGAGCTTTAAAAGATGCGGAGGCCCTGGCAACTGAGATTCTTCATTCTTCCGCTGTCCATTTTTTTTTCTTCTTTTCGAAGTCAAGTTGTCTTTTCTGCTCTTCCTTTCTTCAAGTTTGATTCATTCTTTTGTCGCCGGGCGACGTATACTACATATCATCACAATCTCTCGACAAACCCACCTTTCGTAACCTTTACCTCCAAAAACCACCTATCTCAAAAATGAAGTTCACCACCGTCGTCGCTGCTATTCTCTCCATGGCTGCCATTGCCATCGCCGCTCCCACTCCTGTCGCCGAGGGTAAATCTATACGCTTCCCATATCATAATCACATTCTGACAATGCCGTAGATGTCCAAGCCCGCCAGAACCACGGCATGTGCGTCAAGGCCAACCAGGGCCAGATCGAGCAGATTCCAAACTGCTAAGCAAGCAGCGAGCGGGTGGGACGAGAAGAGAATGCCATGTATGCTACTGTCAATGTCACGACACAACACAACATGCATGACTCGAGAGTGTTGTGAGAGATTCTGTTCGGCGCCAATTTTCTTTGCCTAATGGCGATTCAATCCAGGAGATTTAGACACTTTGGTTGGGCAAGCTTTATACAACACAACATGACAAAATGGAGTAATTTGATGTGGACGTAGATGTCTACGTCTACAGCATCGAGGGAGACCTTTTGCGCACCGAACCGATCCGCAGTGAATTAATTGATCATATCAGTGGCGTATCTCTTCTATATCCGACACTCATTTCTTCGCTTTTCCCTTTTCCCGCTCTGTCCCTCCATCTTCGTCCTTCCCATGCTCCCCCGCAACCATCAACCCAAACACCTTCCTCCTCTCCGCCACCCTCCACCCACCCGCCTCCTCATACCTCTCCACAAACGTCCCCACATACCTCCAATCCCTCTGCCTCACCTCCCTCACCAACCTTTCCAGCCGATCAAATGGCATCCTTGGGCCTCTGTGCTGCGGTCTCTCCCTCAGACCATCCCTTTCGTCTTCCTGATGTAGCTTCCGGTAATACTCTTCAGTTTCCCGGCGGACGCCCACAACTCCGCATAACCTCTGCAAAGCCACCAGTGCAGATTCCCCCCGCTCTTCCGAGACCCTCCTGAACCCAGCGGCTTTTTCTCTCAAGTCGGCGTACGTGGGGCACGCGAGCGCGAAAGCCACGAGGGACGTTATGAAATCGATGTACGACGCCAGATCGTCCGCGTCCTCGATATTCGCGCGATGGGAGCGCAGACTCAGTGCTTTTATCTGCGGGAAGGTTGGAGGAGGACGAGGACGAGGAGGACGCGGTGTGGGCGGAGCGTACAAATCCAAATCATCGTCGCCATCTCCGTCATCCTCACCGTCATCTTCAACGGAATCTCCCCCCCTTAATTCACGACCCTCTCCATCATCTTCCTCGACCTCCCACGTCACACCCAAACCCTCACACTCCACCATCCCCCTCACCACCTCCGCGACCCCTTCCTCCCCCTCCTCCTCAAACACCTCATCCAACCCCTCCCACAGCCCCCTCGACCCATTAACAACATCCCTAATACCAGCAACTTGCACCCTTCTCTCCCACTCCCTCTGCTCCTGCCGCGCATCCCACTCCGCCCCAGAATCCTTCCTTCCCTCCCCGCGCCTCCGAATCCCGCGTCTCACATCCCGCCGCTCGTGCCGCAACGCCCGAATCCGCCGGTAGAGGAGAAACCGACTCAGCGATATCCACCTCGTAACGGCGCTCACGTCCGACAGGAGCGTCATCTCCCTCTCCACACCCGTGAGAAGTACCAACACCCTCTTCACACAGTCTCCATCCCAACCCATCCATTCGCCCTCTCCTCCTCTTCCTCCTCCTCGTCCTCCTCCTCGTCCTCCGCAGCCCTCCCCACCCGCACCACACCGCACCTCAACCCGCAAAAAGCACCCCTCAGAGCAGACGACCCTCAACCCCCAATACACCATCCTCTCCTTCTTCTTCCTCTCCCTCTCCATCTCCGCCTTCCTCCTTGCCCTCCGCGCCTTACTCGTCGGACTCCCCAGCGTATCTTCAAAGTCCCGCTCCATAGCCCCTACCTCCTCCTCCTCCTCGAGCGGGATCTCGCCATCCGCGCGCACCTTGTTCAACGCCATGCACAGCTTTCGCACTTCCTCTAGCGCTTTCTCGCGTTCTCGTCTACCGCTGGCGCTGGAGCTCTCGTTGGTGTCGGTGAGCGGGATACCCCGACGGGAGAGTGAGAGCGGGATATACCATATCGGACCCCCTGGATCGAGCCCTGTGTTACCATTCATTGATGCAGTCACCGACGTTAAACGCAGCGCCTTCTTCTCCCTTTCCGTCAAAACATCCTCTCCATCCGTCCTCTTATCGTCATTGAACCCAACGATCCAGCATCCCTCACTTCCATCCCCAGCGACCCCAACGTCAACGTCCTCACACAGAACCCCCAATGCGCCCTTGACCAACTGCAATGGCTGCGACGAGGAGCGCACATGCGGATCGCATAGCTGGGGCGGGACGGACGCGGTGCCGAGCAGGATGAAGGGGATGTCGATGTCGAAGACCTGTGCGCCTGGTGTAGTCATGTATCGCGATTGCTCGGATAGCAGATGTTTCTGTGTCAATTACGTGGCGGACTGATGTGTTCCAAACCGGGTCTACGGAAATCATTCGAATTCAAGCTACCAGCAGCGATAGATGTCAATGTTGGGAAAGCCATATGCATAGAAGAGTAGAAAGAGAAACAAGAGAGACAATGTAAAATACTGAACAAGTAAAGTCGAATGAATAGCAAAGTGTCCGCGAGACAAAGAGCTGGAACAAGAAACAAGTGACCTCTATCGACAACCTTGGAAGACAATGAGCACTTACTCAACCAAAGGGTTCTTCCACCATTGTGACACACTTGAATGGCGTTGCAACAAAGATTTCGGCGAACGAGGTCTAGTTAGCACACACCCACAAGTCCAAGAGTACATTCTATCGAAAATGCGTCTTGACGTCTTCACTGTGTATTTAGTAGTTCCAAAGCATCCCCGCAAAGAGTCTGTCTATACCAGCGTCTTCTTCGACTTCGCACAGAATGCGAAATCATGTCAATGCCGCACATTCCTCATTCCAGCAGGCCAGCGCTCCATGAGATAACTGATCTTCATCAGCTGTAGACCGGACGTATCCATCACCGACTGCTTCTCATCCTACTCCTCACCCTCACCCCAAAAACCTTCTAAGCCTCAGCGTGAGTGGTCGTTCCAACAGCCGAAGTTGCCGCCTCAGGACCCTTAGCCTCAGCATCAGACGATCCACCAGCTACTGAGACGGGCGCACCCGCAGCGGCGTTGCCGTCCGTAGCGATCTCATCCTTCTTCTCCTCCTTCGCTTCCTTCTCCTCCGTCTTGTCCCCCTTCTTCGCCCACTTCGGCGGCCTCGCCCATTGCGGATCATGCCAAGGTCCCGCATCGCTCAACTCACATCCGCCTTCGCACTCGCACGTTCCTCCGAACTCCTTGGGTAGGTTCTCCGCCGGAATCTGTGCAAGGAGCTCCTTTTCGTATCCACTGCCGAGGATGTGGATCTTGTTGACGGTGACGGGATCGAGGAAACGCTTCACGACGCTGAACACCGTTGAGAAGCCCCAGGGCGCGTTGATAACGTACAGCTTCCCCAAACGCTCGGGGTAGTAATTTTGCGAGATGGCTGAGATCTGGCCTAAGTATCCGTAGACGGACGTTGCCTTCGCGATGCCCACGCCCTTCAGATCTGTAATGGTGCAGGAGGTTTCGAGGAGGTAGCCGGCCTTGCGGGAGCAGGCGGGCAGGCGCGGGTCGGCCATCTTCTCGTACTCGCACACCAAGTTCTGGATCATGCGTTCCTGGGTGGTGATCTTGCCTAGAGCGGTCAGGTCGACGTTGCCGAGCTTCTCAATGTATACGGGACGACCGTCCTGATGGAATGTCAGCAGAGGCCAGAAGCTAAAGCGAAATATGACGCATCGTACCTTATCCGTCTTGTGGTAATACTGGGGATAGTACTCGAAAACCTGGGGCTTCTCCTTGTATTCGAAGGTGCGGACCAGCTCCTCGACTCCGACACCTGCGAACTCCTTCCGCCATTTTTGGAAGTCGATGAACCTATGCCTTGTTAGTAACCAAACTGGAATCTATCCAAATGTACATAGTTTTGGGAACACCGACATCTGCTTGGAAAGCTGAACATTGAATTTTCGCGCACGAAGGAACCGTAGCTAGGACGATGTTTAGCCATACGCCAGATGAAAGCTTACACCGATTCGAGTGCATACCAGGGTCAAGGTATCCAGGTTGTCGGTATATCCCTCCGCCTCAAGCATACTCCGCAGCTGAAAGACCTGTGCATCCTGCTCTGGCGTTGTATGCCCAGGATGGCCGCTCTGTGGGATGGGGGCGATTGTAGGGTAGTCATAGTCGTCGTATTTGGGATCGAGCGGTAGCTCTTTAGGTGCGGGGGCAGCCATAGTGAGCGAGGCGGTGGTGGGGGAACGGCCGTCGAGTGGGTCGGTAGCAAGGAAGAGGGAGGGTGAGAGAGGGATGAGAAGGGGGAGAATGAACTGCGTGTCCCTGGCGACGCGGAACAAAACAATGATGCGGAGGGACGAGCGGGGAGTGGCCAAGCAAGGGGAATCGTCGGTAAGGTTGAGGAGAGAGGTTAGGAAATGACGAAGTAGGCCTAGGCAGAGTGCACGTGGCGCCGCTTGCCGCGCCGAGACGGAGGAGGTCGTTCACAGCCACATTTTCAAAAACCTTGGGGATTCGGCTGCTCTAAGTCAATGGCATACCAAAGTCCGAAGGGACATAGCATCAATCCAATGTCCCTCGATGATACACCGGTCGAGTACTTGTGAAGGCAGACCATGGACCTTGTATTGATTCGCGGACCCATTTGAACTAAAACCCACAGTAGTAACTCAACACTCAGAAATTCAGAATCCAGACACCGTCTCTCAAATTGACGCCTAAACGATGGAACACAAGTGGCAGTCAAGGAGCTCCCCTCAAACACCTAGTGAACAGATATTCCAAGCGTGCGCAAGACATGATGCCCATCCCGTCCGATCCGCCCATCCATCCCATCCGTCCAGCCGCCATTGGAAGAAACTGTACATGCGGAAAAAGGTAAGGTAACAGGAATTGCACCCCTCCCTCCACTTATGACCGGTTGCCATTTCTCTCCTTATCCCTCGCTTCCTTCTTCGTGTCCTTCCTCGCCTTGACCACATATTGCGCAAACAAGGCGAGATGGTCGCTTGGGAAGTGGTAATTCGGGAACCCGGGAACCTTCGCCAAATAATCCTTATCGACCTCGCCCAGGAGGCCAATGACCTGGAGCGTGTTGGTCGAGTACCAGATATAGTCGAGCACGCCGACGAAATTGGGCGTGTAGTTGGTGAAGGCTAGCTCGTTGATCGACGCGTAGCTGGATTTCAGACTGAAAGGGTGGGATATCCCATCTCGCGTAAAGTTTCCGTAGTTGCGGCTACCCAGATCGGAGTGCGAGTTGGAGAGGCTGCCTTGGGTTATTAGGTCGTAGACGCCCGAGTTGGGGAGGGAGTTGAAGTCGCCACAGAGGAGTAGAGGTATCGATGCGCCATCCGAGTACTGCACTGAAGGGCCCGGTTCCTGAGTGTCGTCTGGTATAGACTTGCCCTCCTCGCCGTCGCCGTTAGAAAACCGGAATACTTGCTTGTCCGTGCAGGGGGGCATTTTGGCCCACCGGTTGGCCAGGTTGGTGATCTGCTCCATCAAGATCGCCACTTGAACGAGCTTGACGTCCGTGAAGACGGGATTCCAGAAGACATGTACGTTGCCAACAATGAGCCTTGTCCCGGTCGTGCGGTTTTCCAAGAAGGCAACAACAGCAATATCGTCTCGGGGCATGACGCGGTTGAAGATGTCGTGTTCGCCCTTCATATCCGGCCGATTGATCGCAGCGTTGGCGAAATCGATGAGTTGCTTGTCCAGCAGGATGAATTTGCTGTTCTTGTAGAATATCGCGCATCCATCGACCAGCTTCGCATCCTTCTCAGTCATGGTCCTTGCCCTACTCTTCGGCCAGAACACGCCCTTGTAGTCATTGTGTGCAAGCTCTCCTCGGAAGTAGTTGTTGAAGCTTTCCTGGTCGATCTCCTGGAGACAGCAAATGTCGGCATCCCTGTGTCTTAGCTCCCCCAGGATGGTTTCTCGGCGGGTCTCCCAGGACAATGCTGCGCTAGGCGTATATCCGTATTGAGATTGAGTGCAGTACTTGTCGCACAGAATATTGTAACTGAGGGCGGTAATTGTCTCTTGATCGCCTTCATAGGTCTCATCCACGACAATCCAGTCTCGCTCAGGTGGAGGAAGAGGAACTGCAGATGTTAGCAACTTGCGTGACGGAAAGAAATTAGGGGTGTACATACTCGGTGCATTCTCGCGGAAAAACTTGATGAGTTCCGCGGTGCCTTGCTCCACGATGATCGACTTCCAACTCTCTGTGATAGGGTTGCCATCGATACCCAGGATCTCGAGCTGGTACAGAGAGCCAATCTCGGCGGGTAGAGTCTCGACCTGGTTGTCAAAGAGTAGGAATTGCTTCAGCTGCACAAGCATGCCTATTTCGGGAGGTACTTCTCTCAGTTCATTGAGTGACACATCGAGATGGGTAAGAGACCTCAGATTGCCAATGGCCGCAGGTAGGCGCTGCAGCTTATTGCAGTTCAGATATAGCTTTGTCAGGAAGGGATAGGTGTCGAAGATGTTCACGGCCAAGCATCTCAGATTCTGGCCACCGAGATCCAGAGCGGTCCACACATGGTTGGTCTTGCTTTGGTCCGCGCTATTTCCTGCCGGTCTATTCCTCTCCTCTGTTTCAGTCTCATTTTGAATGCCATTTCCAGTACCGCCCATGACGCTCTTGTTCACGCTCGGATGGTTCCTAGCATACGAGTGTGATTGCGTCATCTCCCGAGCGCGATGAGCTAGTTGCAGCTGTTCCTGCCAATTCTCGCATGCTGGTTTGCTCAGAGTGCTATGCACGCTTCCCGGAGTACCGTTCTGTAGATGGGACGGGGCGAAATGGGGCTGTGCGTTCGATAAGCCGCCGCTCGAGATGGGGTTCGATATCGAATGCTGGTGACCCATCATACTGGCATGGGCCCCGGTTGCGTGCTCTTGGTGTTGTTGATGGGTATGTCCATGATGATGCTGATTTTGCGTATGCTGTTGGTACTTTCCCATCATGGGCATGTAGCCCCGGTGGCCGGGGCCACCATTCAGCATAACATTGTGCGTCTGATGGGGGTGGTTCTGGTTGTACATGGCGATCTGCTGCGGAGACTGCGGACCGGAAGAGCGTGAAGGAGAAAGGGAGCCGGCGTTGAGAGGATTGCGGCCGCTAGCGGTAGGCGAGCGGACGCGGGAAGGGAGGTTGCGATTTGGACCGGGTACGTGGAGTGGGTAAAACGATTGTCCAGTTAGTCTCGAGTAGGCCGAGTACTCTGCCATCAAAGGGGGAGTAGCCCGCCGGCGCGTGGTTCAGCCGCTCCCCGGGGTGGTGGTCGGGCGAGGTGGAAAGTTGAGGTTGGGGTTGTGGGGTGGTTGAGAGTTATATGCGAGGGCGCGGAGGGGATGCCAGGGTCTCTTGGTTTGAACATGCCCTTGTGTACAGCAGTCCATAGGCCTTTCACTACTGCCCACCGCCGGTCGGCGTCTATGCGGACGCTGCTCTGGTTGTGAAGCGAAGCCGGTCCGGTCGGATCGTGGTGAAAGAGACACGGGTCGACAAGAGTAGAGAGTGTGAATGCGAATGCGCAGCCGCCGTGGTTATGTATATGGTGTCTAGCTTCACCAAGGGTCAGTCGACAGTTGATGGGGGAAGGGTGGGATATCGACTCGAGGAACGAGAGGCACACTTGGAGAGCGAGGAGCCGGGAGGTGAGCTATATAGGTGGTCTCATGTGCTCGATGGCAGAGGAGCCGAGTCCAATGGCGAGGTCGGGGTGCAAAGGATAGTGAAGAATAGTGGATGCGGCGTGTTGTTGAGGCTCGCGATGGAACCGTGATGCAGTTCAGTGCAGTTGGAGTTGGCTCGCATCGGCAAATCCCCGGCCGTCACGTGAGCCGAAGCTCCCTCAAGTGCTCCAGGATTGCGAAAGTTGGAACTGGTGCTGGCATGTTTTCTATCATGTCTTTGAAAAATCACAACTGGGGTCTAACTAATAATGAGCGGCTTTTACAGTGACAAGAGCGCATCAAGGGCGACGCGTGGAAGGCATGTGGTGCGGCGAACCGACTGCCCAGGTGGACTTCAATCGTCCCCACTGGCTCCGAGTTTGGTCAGTGATGCTATCCCGACCGTGACACCATGATTCGTTTAAAAATCGCCTATACCACAGTAAAGGGTCTTCATACTTGTGGTAAGTACTGGTACCTCATAGCTGCGCGTAGAACTCAAGTTCGAGAGTGTGACTGCACCAGCTGGCGTCCACATGTACTGTGTATCTACTTCCAGAGCCCCCTCCATCTCCCTGAAAAGACAGATGCATGCTCCATCACATCGCAGGAGTGGCTCCTCTCTCTCCTCCACAGACTAGCAAGCCAGCAATCCAGACGCCACATGTCCCGCTCCTTCAACTCCACTCTCCTGCCGCGAACAGCCATGTCTCAACGAGGAGGATTATTATACGTCCTCCCACAGCACGACGTGATTGGCCCCTCCGCCATCCACAGCCTAGACGACTCCTCCTCGGCTGAACCAAGGAGCCAAACGAGAGGCAAAGAGCTGTTCACCTGCCCACTCTATGGACAGGCCCTCTTTTCATCCGGAACTTGAACCCCCTCGACAACGCAACCGTGGTACCTCTTGCCATTAGTGCCAAAGTTTAATCTCTCTCCTCCATATAGCTACTCCATACAGCAGCATCTTGCATTATTACATCTCATCACTTCTCCCTCCCCCCATCAACTACCGCAACCTCTCTCGGTGGTGTCGCGAGCTCCTGTGAAGCAACTGTCCCGTTCTGCTGCGACGCGACCCCTCCCGTCCGAACCCCCTCGCGCTGACAGCACCCCCGGCCACAGCCTGCTTATCGGAATCTCGTTGGGACCGATTACCGTACCGTAATATCGAGGCCCACGCTAGTAAAACAGTGGGGTTAGTGGGTAGCAATGGCGGAATGGATGATGGTGTGCACCCCTTATTGCCCTGCGTCACTGCGTCGCTTCTCTAATTGAAACAACAGTATCGCTATGCTGGCAGTGCTGCCAATCCACCTCCCATACTCCCCAAGACGGCTGAAGCAAAGCAGTGGGACCTGACGACGACCGACGCCCTCGGGAGGACCATATCTGCCTCGAGCACCGCTTCGCCTGCTCCCGTTGCATCCGTGCCCATGGATACCGCCCGAGGTTCCATGTCGAGTGCCTCGACGCAAAGTGTAAAGGACGATGGCGCCGTGCTTTCGAATCCCATTGTCCTGCGTCATGGACGACGATACCTCCGAGACCTTCCGTACCCCCTCCCATGCGACCTTCCAGAGCTTCAAAGGCAGAACCTGCACACGCTGCTAGTCGCCTCGATATTCGGTCGACCCTTGGGGTCCACCCCATCGCCCCAGAACCCGCCCAAGAAGGTACTCGAAATCGCATGTGGCAGCGCATATTGGTCGTCACTGTGCCATGCGTACCTTACCGACCTGGGCTATGAGGATGTGTCCTTTACTGGGCTGGACATTGTCCCATTGGCAGCCGATCTGCGGCTACAAGGAATTGACTGGAGATTTGTACAGCATGATCTGCGCAAGATCCCTTTACCCTTCGACGACGACGAATTCGACATCGTGGTAATGAAGGACCTGAGCATGGTTGTCCCAAATGGCGCACCGACACAGGCTGTGCTTGACGAGGCGATGCGAGTGTTGAAGTCGGGAGGGACACTGGAAATATGGGAGACTGATCATCTAATCCGGTCGATCCTCCCTCATCCTCCGCCGCCCCCGGGGAAGAATCCGACCGAATACGCCTGCGCCGTGTCAACTGGAACCTTCCTGATCTCCCCCATCACCCCCTTCGCCGACGTGCAGAACAAGTACCTACAAGACTCCAACATGTGGATCCAAGAAGCCCTAGACAAGCGGAAGCTTTGCACAACACCCTGCGCTCGTATATCACAAATGCTGCTACAAGAGACGGAGACGCTTTGTGATGTCGAGAACCGAAGGGTGGCTATCCCGCTCGGAGAGCTTCGCTGGGAACGCGACGGGGCGGCAGATAGGCACCCGTCAAAACGCCGCGGGAGCCAGACTGGTAAGACCAGGAAGACTGAAGGTTCCAGTCTGAACGAAGAGCAGGCAGCGCTCCGATATACCGCGCTTCTGGTCGTCATACAAATGATTGAGAGTCTGGAACCATTGCTGAAGGAAGTCAGCGGGAAGAACCAGGAGGAGTGGCAGCGCTGGTGGGGTTCGATGATGACCAATCTCCTAGAACAGAAAGGCGCGTCTAGTGGGGAGTGTCTAGAGGCTGGGGTCTGGTGGTGCCGCAAAGTATGAGCTCGGGATACCCACGTTTGTTTTTGATTGATACCCGAAACTGGTCGAAAGAATACGTTAATCGACCTCGACTCCGGCGGCTAGGGCCACTAGACTGCTTGGGTTCTGAGGATTGTGATGTGACCGGGTCGTGCACTCCGACCGCTAACAATCAACTTGTTGACTGCGGGGTCTAGGACGGTGCATATCTATGCTTCAACGTTCGATAACGCTTGAGAAAGTACCTGAGTCGGAATTGCATTAGCCCTATAGCCGCAAGCCGACGGTATCATACCCACAGTGCTTCGATTTCTGCAGCAGGCAGTTAGCGATCCAATTGACATGCCATGGCATCTATTTTTCTCCTACCTTTCTTCACAAACTCGGCCCTCTCGATGCCCTTCTTAATGGCCTCTTCGTCGGTGAGATGCCGCTGGTTGAAGAACGCCTTGTGCAAGCGGTTCCGGAAGTAGTCGTAACCTTGAGGATAGTCCCGTCCCATGTAGAGCAGCTCTGTCAATATCAGCACGAAATCTTGGAATATGCGGGGTGGACATAGTTCGAACCTTTGTAGATGCGCTTGACTTCGAGACGGAGCGCAGGGTTGGTGGACGCCATAATGGAGGAGATTACACAGTCAGAAGACGAAATGAGGCTGTTACAGGATCGTTGTATACTCCTTGGTAATGCTAGCATTCGAACAATCGTGTTGGGGACAGTCGCGGGGTGGAGCTCGGACCGAGTGCGCTGACGTAGGGCGTAAATAGGGCACGACCTCGGCATGGCGCGTCACAACGGATCACTCAACACTCAAATTGCGCCAGGAGGCACGGCTTCCTTTTTGCCTCAAAAGGAGCTCATCCAAAGCCCTCTTTGGCAATATCTCTTCATGATGCGAACCCAATTGAGCCGGCTTGCGCTCGCAACATCCACCTTTGCCCCACCTCGACTCAGCGTTCAATGCCTTTCGCAGCCGTATGTTCGTTCTCTTTCCACGACCGCGGAGAGTGAAACTCGGTCCAAACCTCCCACGGCTTCGCTGAGCTCGCGCTGGCTGTCGGATCTCAAAGCACGGATCGGCAAATGCATAACATTTGGTCTCACCAAAGACCAGACGAGCGAAGCATGCTCCGTCTTGGAAGAGATAGCACAGGACTGGCGAGGGCTGCTAGTGGGCAGCGAGGGTTTCCTCACGGACAAGGACCGCATGGGACTGTACCGGCAGGAGGTCGTGTGGGGAGAAATGGTACTTCCTCCTTCGGACCTGACTGCATGTGGTTTACAGAAGCTAATGGGATCGTTGGGCATGGACTAGGACAGCATGGTGAGACTACACACTCGACCGAGAGGTCTCTCCGCAAGATAGGATTCGGTAGCTAAACGATGTCAAGGGTACTGAGTTCAGAGGCATCTGAAGCTTTGCGAGCGTGAGTCTAACTGTCATGGCAGGCCACGTCAACAACGTCGTCTACAACCGGTACGCAGAGTCGGCGCGCGTCAACTGGACGCGCAACTTTGGGAACATCTTTGACCCCGCTCACAAGGCGGAATGGAGAGAACTCATGACGCCCCTCGGCGTCGGGCTCATCCTGCGGAGCATCCGTACTGACTACAAATTTGTAAGGGATATCTCGCGATTGCGCTTCCTCTTGAAAAGCAAGAGAAGATGCACAGTACCCCGCTGACAGGAAGCGGCAGCCATTGACATGGCCGGATCGCGTGACGGTGCTGCATAAGCTGAGAACCGAGCCGACGCCGGATGCAGATCACTTCGTGCTGGACGTGGTCATCTTGTCGGAGCTGCATCGTCGAATCGCAGCGAGGTGTTATGAGGACATTGTCGTGTACGATTACCGGGCTGCGAAGAAGGCGCCGCTGAAGCCGTTCATGCTGGAGCAGTTCAAGGAGACATGGAGGCTGCAGCAGGAGGCGCAGAAGACGTATAGCACGAAGGTCAGTGATCTGATTGAGCGTGTACGCAAGCTGGAGAAGGGGAGTTGGGATAGACCGGATGCGAAGGAAGATATGGGCACCAGCACAGCGAGCTCATAGCGATAGATGGTAGATATCTGCAAGCTGTCCGTGGCACAAGCTCCCGGATGGACTTGAAGCAAAGCAAGCAAAGTTCCAAGCATTTTTCTATCCGTCGAGCCGCGGCTTGACTGTGGACTGCACCATGGATCAATGGATCTCGGCGATCTGCACACCCGTTGTGCGCGTGACTGACATAGCTTCTTTAAGTTCTCTCTTCCCAATCCGTCTCAGGCAGGTCTGGAGAAAAAGCTCCGAGCCCAGGCGTAAGCCAGCATAAGCCGAAGAGATCTGCCAGTCGTACCCCGGGAAACAGCGACGCAGATAGATTGCAGCAGCTCCATGCAGAGGGGTAGGAAGCGTACAGTAGAGCTGCGGCATATGAGGACTGGATAATAGGGAATAGTTGGGATAGGGGAATATGCAAATGTCAACACGCTGCACACGACCCGCTGAGACGACATGAACAGGCAGCTTCTCCATGCAGCAAACCGGAAGGAGGGAGACTTTTGGCATCCATTTCGCATCCAGAGTTCTGCATGTGAGATGCAGCGGGCATCGCCATGTCTCTTTTGTGTCATTCGCTGCCGATCGCGCCAGGCATGGGCCTATATCCGCACACTGCCCTTCTCAGGGGTGTCCCCGGGTATCCAAATGAATAGCTGCTGGATGTTTTGTTGGCCCTTTGTGAGTTCCGCTCAGGCGCCATTATTGGCGGATCGCGTGTGTTTTGTTTCGTTGTGTGGTGTTTGCTTGAAGCGGCGCTGGAGAGTTGTGATACCGGACGTGTGGATATGGGGGAGATGTGAATGTTCTGTGAATTGTAGTTCTGTAGTTGTAGAGGTGCTGTACTCTGTACATTGGTCAACCCTTTGTCCAAGTGGCACCAGCGACAGCATCGGGCCCCCGCCTATTTAGTAGGTGGAGCATTGCGAGAATTGCTCGGGGCTCCGGGCAAGGCGTTGAGGAAAAGGCAAAAAAGAAAATTTCGAACCGTCAGCGCGCTGGTCAGAGGTGGTCCGCTTGGCTTTGCTGGTTCCATGGATCCATAATCCAGACTGGTGGATGGGTCGTCGTCGTGGTCCGCTCGCTGGTGGCAGTTTCCGCCCACGCCGGTCGCCTTGGCGCCGCCTTCTCTGATTTGCAACTTCGCAGCCTTCTCTACTACTGTTACTACCCTCCCAGCAACAACAACGAACCGCAATCTCTGCCGAGTACCGTTACCCCATTCAACACCGCCCCCTTCGCCTCATCCTCAAGCCGAGCAGCGGCTCACTCCTACCAGTCTGGCTCGTCCTGTCCAGCAGTCGAGCCAGCCCGGGGAGACAGGCGCCGCCTCGACCGCCTCTTATGGTCACGAAGACTAAGAGGAACGGGGGCAACACGCATGACAAGAGACACGAGAACGGCCTGGCCGCCCCGGGGAAGCGCATCGCGAAGCAAAAGAGCAACCCGCAGCTCAACGGACATGCCAATGGCACATCCCCCGAGCCCACGTCCACGCCGCCGCTGCCAGACAACGTCCACTCGCATATAATAACCCACCCGGGTGTTCCCTCAGACGCCGTCCATGGCCCGGTGGCCGCTGCGAACCACTCCACCGCTACCGCTGTGTCTCGCGCTTCCCCGGCGCGCGAGGGAAGGGACAGCTGTGGTTTGGAAGGGCCTTTCGACGCTCACGACATCGGCCGTCCGTACGACACCCGCCCGGACGGCAGCAGCTCCGATGCTGCCTCCCTCAGCTCCCCACGGCCCTTCGCCAAGTCGGCCCCGTACAAGAACAATATGCTCACCATGGCCACCACCATTCTCACCTCCTGTCCTCTGCGGGACGTCCTCGCCATCCTCATTCTCCTTCTCCAACTCCCGCCCACCGTCCTCACTCTCGTACAGTTCCTGTTTGCGAGCCTGACTTTCGTGCCTCCTCAAGCGGGAACCCCCCTCTCCGCCCTCTCTGTATTCCCTTCCTTCACCGACATCTTCGCAGGTTCCGGCGGCTCTCCCTCCATCTTTACCATTGTCTTTGCAGATGCCTTTATACTGATCATCTGGCTTATGCTGTGGGTTCCTGTGCAAAGCTTCTTATTGGATCTGGCGCAAGCCGTGATTGCAATAGCGCTTGGGGGCGCCGCCGCAGCCCAGACGGGTAGGACCAACAGTATATTCATCTGTTTCGGCATCATCTTCACAAAACACGTCTTCCGATCACGGCCTCTCCGGCAATACGTCTCCCACCTCGCGGGGAGCGGGCTCTTCCGGGGAGGCCTAGACTTTCTAATGAGCCCACCACCTAGTTCGTCTTCGAATTTCAAAAACTTCTCGACTACTCATGGTTGGCCGCGGAGTTTGTTAGGTATACATATTTTAGCCCAGGGGCTTCTTCGTATGATTCGGCGTTCGCTTTCCAGGCGAGACGCAGCACAACCGCTACCTACTGGCAAGAAGACGGATCCCGAGGCCGGCGTTCATCTGCCTCGTCCCAGTACCGCCCAGCTCGATCCCACCGCCGACGTGCCGGGCTCTCTTACCGGAGATGGGCGTCCACCCGGACCTTCGCCAGCCGCACAACCGGCTAGAGATAGGGTTAGCAGTAGTAGGAGGAAGCGGAAGCAGGCCGCACATGTCCGGAGCCAACAACCGTTCTGGGCTGCGCTTGCGAGTACAAAAGTGACTGTTATGAAAGAGATGGAAAGCAACCGAGCGGCGAATGACGCCGGCGAGGCAAATGCAAAAGACGCAAATCACATTGGAAACGCTCTATGGACCGGCGAGGAGGATCGTGTTTGGATTTCGCAGGTTGGGCCGACGGACATCTCGTTCCGTGTTAGTATGGGTAGTGAAGAGGAGCCGCAGGACGAGGGAGATGTGACCAATGGACACGCCGTATCTGGAATCGACAGATCGAAGCCGTTTTACCTCAGGGTGAATGGTGCAGATTGGAGTTCTACCCGGATCCGGCCGGCTGAGGAGGATGGTGAAACAGGCATCTGGACGGGAGAGATCTTCGGTCTCACGGCTCTGGCGAACTACTTTTGTGAGTTTGTCAGGACCTCTGACAACGAAGTCTTCTATTCTACCAGCCTTATCACGTCTGTCGGGCCCACCGATGAGCAGGTTCCCGTTGCATCCCCCTCAGCCCACCAAACACTTCGGCCTTCATCACCCACAACCACGCTGAAGAATTCGATAGCCGCCGCAGATCAGAAGCTGCAAGACCTACGTAACCGCTTGAAACGCAATAGGAAGGACCACAAGGCCGCCATTACCGCCATCAAGAAAGAGGTGGAGACTTTGACCAATCGTCTCGCCAACGCCGGAGGTAACGACGAGCGCCAACACCAGCGAGTTCGCCAATTCAACCAGAACATCAAGCAGGCAGATGCTGCTGCTGCCGATTTCGCCCTGCAGATTGACTCTCTTGGAGAAGTTCCCCGGGAGGAGATGGACAACGCCCACGCTAAGAAGCAGGCATGGAAGCAGGAGAGGGATCATAAAAACGCGGTATCGGCCGACCTGGAGAACTGCAAGAACGAGATTGAGCGCCAAGCCCACAATGTTGAGTCGGATATTGCCGCTGTTCTGCAGAAGAGGGAGCGACTTCGCCAGCGCCAGACCGCCCTGATCGAGAAGCATGACCGGTTGATCACCGCCAATATCGAGGGCCTCTCTGCCAAGCAACGTCGTGAGCAAGAACGGGCCGCGCTGCGAGCAGAGAGGGCAGCGATCGAAAACCAGTACCGGAGCAGCATCAACGGCTTTGAGCGGCGCGCGAACGAAATGCAGTCGCTCACTGCACAGCTGCTGGCAAACATCCAGCATCTGGAGACTCTGCTCCTCCAAGAAGCTCAACAGCCATCGACAGTGCCGTCTACCCCCGAAGGCCCCCTTCCCGGCACCAGCACCGTTTCCCCCGCACCGTCCATTGCATTCAGCACCATCCCGTTCCCCTCGCTGACCGCACAAGTCAACCCCTCTACCAGCACCCCGGCCTCTATCCGCGGAGGCCGCGGCCGCTCCTCGTCCATGCTGTCGAACATCTCCGGCTTCACGGACGGGTTCGACGACGTGGGATCCCCCTCGTCGACCTTGGTCAGCAGCGCGGCCGGGTTCCATGGCCCGATCGGATTCTCGCTCAATGGCAGGAAGGGCAGCCATGGCAGCGGCAGTCTCAGTTCTGGGACGTCGAGCCAGAGCTCCAGCCAGCGGGATCCGCTGAGCCCGGTGCCGGTGAAGAAGCAGGTCGCGGTGAGGGGTCCGATTGGTGGTGGTGGTGGTAGTGGTCGTTAGTTGGGTACTTTTGGTCTGTTTTTGAGCTTGCTTGCGAGCGGTGGGAGGATTTGAATGTGTGGGCTGCGTGGGGATGGTTGCGAGATGTCCTGTGTCGGTGAGCGTTGTTGTTAGCCGGTAGATAGCGTGTGACCAATGTGATTTTTTGGGTCTTTTGGTTAGACGTGCGTCGTTTGGCTGTTGTCTCAAGTGCGTGTTTCGTGCTGTGATCTATGGATGGTACGCAGAGTCGAGTCGTATGAAACCCGTGAGCGGTAGGCTCGCTGTTGGCGTGTCCCGACCATGAGACTGGTATAAGAGCAATACTTTCTATGACGGCACTATAGGTACGGTTAGAACCCGCTTGTATATGGGCAATCTCATCAATCCGTGGTACCATGATTGGGTAGAACTGCTACATCTCCAATGGGTGAAACGGGGAAAGGAGGGAGTGTCTCATCGATATGATATATAATTTGAACGTGACGAGCAAAGCACAGCACTGGATAGTCGGTATAGGATCAGAACACTCATCGTTTCAACCAACTTTTCATTCCTATTTCCCAGTCCGGGGCCTCATGGGCTTCCATCTATGAATCCAGAGTACAGGCCTGTTTGTCCTAGGGTAGATCCCAGGCCCGTACTTAACTGTCCCGAAAAGACACCTGCAACAACGTAATGCATTACGCTCTTGCGACGGTCTCCATGCGCAAGCACCTTCACTCCTCATGGTCTCGCCCACGGAGCTCTAGATCGACGATGCCGGCAAAGATATCGATTACTGCCTCCCCAGGAGCAGCAATCCTCTTCATTCTAATAAGTGCGTAGTACAACCAACCATCTCGCAAACCATCACCAAAACCGAAACCGCTCGCTCATTTCGCCACGGCAGCACTGAGGACCTGCGTCCGGAAGAACCCGCCCTTTGTCCGTTCAATCACCTGCTGGTAGACGGATTGCGGCGGGTGGTTCATGACGACGGTGCCGGCCTGATAGTCGATCTTGGCGTCGACGCGCGTGTCGCGGATGAGGTTGACGATCCACTTCTCGCCTTCGTCTTCGGACAGGCCGAGGCGGGTGGAGAGGTCTCTGTAGGAAGTGGTTAGCAATTTTGATTCTAGATCGATCAAATGATATGGACCTGGAAGGGGAGAAAGGGAATAGGAGTCGAATACTGACTTGATATCAATCCTCTGATGAATCTTGCAATAGCTCTCCGAAATCAGATGCCTCGCCGAATCGACAAACGCATCCGCGGTCCCCAGCAGGAAGAAGTCGTTTTTGAGAATCTCCTCCGTCTCGCCGAGCTTCTTCTGCGCCTCCTCAAAGTCGAAGTCGATGTAGAGTGCCTTGATGAAGTCGGTGACGGGGTCGCTGTACTCGTAGCCCTCTTGCCGGACGATCCGCACCAGATCCTTGATCTGCTTCTGGTACTGGCTCGAGTTGCGGCCCTGCGAGGCGCGATTCCGGCTGGTGATGACGGCGGCGGCGAGGTAGCGGAGGATCCAGGGGCAGTTGGTCTGGATGGTGTTAATGTACGTGGGGGAGAAGAAGGTTTCGGTGAGGGACTCGCGGGCGGCGTCGTAGTTGAAGAGGGGGAAGAGGGACCAGTGGATCAGCCAGGTGCGGTGCTGGAGTTGTGCGAGCGGGTTGTTGTACAGCCGCGTGTCGATGTCTTCTTTGATCTTGTTGATCTCTTCGAGACAGGCGTCCCAGTTTACGGAGAGGATTTCGCAGGCAAGTTTGCCCCAGGTGGCTTCGCTGACTTTGTCCTTGTCGGTGGACTGTTCCGCTTTAGCAATGTGGGCCTCGCGGAGAAATAAAGTGTATAGAGAATAACTCACCAGAACACGGAACCGGTACAGCAGTTCAGCAGCATGCGGGTAGATGCCACAGCTATACTGGAACTGACCAAACTCCAACAACTGATCCACCATCTCCGGCGTAACCCCATGATTCTCCTTCAGATACTGCAAGTTCTGCACCTTGTCACTCCGCAGATTCGTCACCACGCTCTCGTCATCCAAGAGATCTGAGATTTTCTTCGTCGCCGCCTCCAACTGGTCCCGCTTGTTCAGCACCTGCTCGCGCCTCTTCTTGTACTCCTCCGGAACCTCATCCAGGCCGTTCACCCGCTTGTACAGGTCGCCGACGAAGTCGATCATGTTCGTACCCTGGAGCAACTGCAGCAGGACCTTCAGCTGCTCCACGGGCTGCTCCGTCTCCTCATCGTTGGGGAAGTTGAGCAACGGGTACAGCAAATGACGGTCGAGGTTGGGCATCAGCTTCGGCAGCAGGTTGTACTGGTCGGCGATGTTGCCGGCTTCGCTCACGGTGGTCGCCATGCTGGGCTGATATGATTGTCTTCGAGTCCGGCGATAGCGAGTCTGCGTGGGGACCGGGCCGTGGATTTCGTGAGCGTGGTGGGATTGTTGTTGTTCGCCCTGCGGCGGTGGGGGTGGGTGGAGGTTGACGAGAAAAATGACTGTGCGTAGCGAGGACCCCTGTCGGCGCTAGGTTTTGGTGTTGAACGTCTTCCGAAAAGCAGCCTTCACTGCACTCCATTGTCCACTTTTCCGAATTGTTCTTTGGGCTCCATTGAGGAGGACTAGACTCGGAAACTCGACAATGCCGCGGATACAGCGTTTACTTCCCTTTCTGCGGCCGTTCGCTGCACCGCGATCCGCATCTTGCCAGGCCTTTCGCTTCTCAACTGCATCAAGACTACGCGCAGACGGTATAACAGCCTCACCCCTTCTGTTCACAGGAACTCAACGAATCTAACTATGTCTCAGGCCCTCCAGGCGCCGCCTCCAAACACCCGGCCGCTCCCCACCCTACCACAGGACCCTCACGAACGACTCTCCCTCCCACCCCTTCCACCCCCGAAGCCGCAACCCGCGCCGCCGACCTCGCCGCCGCAGAAGCAGCTATAGAATCCGATAACCCGAATCCCGCATCCTCCAAACCCGTTCTCCCGTCCGGCCACATCTCCCAAACCCCTTCGGCGCCTAGCACCTCGAGTCCCACGCCCCTTCAGACACCCAACCCACAGAAGCAGCAGCAAGGAACCGAGATCACAGTAGAAGAAACGAAGCTCGTGCTCGGCCCCGCAAAATACCACGTCGAGCGCACGCGGAATAACAACTTCCCCGTGTTCACCGACTACAAGCGCGGCGGGAACCTGCGCACGACGGTTGTGAGGAGGGTAACGGGGGACGTGCATGCCTTGAAGGATGAGCTGAGGCTGTTCCTTGGGAAGACGGATGACGAGGTTCATTTGACTCAAGTGTCGAGGCAGGTCATTGTTAAGGTATGTGTTTCGTGAGGGGTTTGAGCTGTGCGAGGGGTCCAGGAGGGAAGGGGGCTAATGTTGATGTGCAGGGACATCATAAACAGCAGGTTCTTGACTTTTTAAGCGCGAGGGGGTTTTAAAAAGAGGGACGAGAGATTGGGTGTGTGTGTGTGTATGATATTGTAACAGATGGGAAAAGCGAGCGGACTTGGGTTATCGGAATTCGACATTCACGATTTACGTTACGTATCAACAGTTTTTTTCTGCGAGGGCTCGCGCGCTTCCTAAAACACATCAAGTCCTTCTCTCTACCTCGTACTCCCTACCTCCCTCCCTCTCTCCCTCCCTCTCTCCCTCCCCCCTCAGCGACTCTTCCACCTCACCCTGCCCACCCACTTGACCCACGCCTGCACATCCTCCCTCGCCATCAACAAGTCGACGGTGAAGTAGCTCCTCGCCAACTCCTCGTTGCCGCACACGCGATGCACGAAGCTATGGCACGCACGACATAACCACGCCACGCTGTTGAGCCGGTCGTCCCGGTGCCACGCCCGCTTGCGCACCTTGTCGTGCACGGATTTGGGGATCAGGTGGTGGTAGGTTAGCGGGATCCAGTCGCGGAGGCAGAGTTCGCATTCCGCGGTGCGGGTGGAGGAGTACGGGGGTGGTGGAGTGGTGGTGAGGTCGATGTAGGAAGAGAGGAGGGTGGTGAGGAGGGGTTGGATGTCCGCGTCGGTGGTGGCATTCTGAGCGGCGGTTGGGGCTGTTGAACTGGGAGGGGGGATGGTGTAGGCGGTTAGGGTGTCTTTGATTTCTGGGGTAAGGGTTGCGGGGAGGAGGGTGGATTCGATGAAGGTCGGGGAGAGGGGGAGGGTGTAGGTGGTTTGGAGGTCCTGCGGGAGGGATTTCAGGGTCGAGGAAGTGAGGGTGCGGAGGGTCGGGGGGAGGGTTGGGAAGATGAGGGTTGTGAGGTACTGCGTTGTTAGGTTAGTCTGTTGGAATGGGGGTTTGTTGTTTTCGTTGGGGGAATATAATAATGGTTCGAGGGGAAGGGGAAGGGACGTCGAGGAAAAGGAAGAGGAACGGATGGATCTATGGTGAAGCTTACTTACATCAATAAACTCGCCCAAGTCCTCAGCATCGCTGGCGCTTTCTCCCTCTTCTCCCTGCCGTGCATTCTCTTCTTCGTCTGCGTCTTGCTCCTCGACCTTGCTTTCAGCTACCTTTCCTCCTTCTCTTCCACCTACAACATCATCACCAGCCATACGACCCTTCCTCCTGCCCTCCCTCCTCCCTCTCCTCCTGTTCTTCCGCCCTTTCGCCCCCTCCTCCTCCTTCGGCACCGCCAACGCCTTCAAAACGACCTCGCTCACGCACTCGCGAAACGTCTCGTAGTTGATTCGTTCTTCTTCGGGTGTCGGGTCCGCCATGATGGTGTCTAAGTCGTGGTTTTAAGGATAGAGTAGTACGTTTTGTTTTTTTCTCTCTCCTATTGTGTATTTTCAAAAGAACATTGAAGCACCGCTGTTTATATACTCCCGTCAACGGGCGATGGTATATCACAACGTAGAGCTGAGAAGCCTACCTAGGTAATGACTTGTGGGAAATGGGCGGTGGCGAAGCACTTCAATGTTGGATTCTTCTCCTGTCGAAGGGCGGCAAAAAGGGCGAAGAGCTTGTGGAAGAACTATTTTTTTTCATACAGAAAGGCGGCTGAATACGAACAATCCGCCATGTCTTCTACATAATGTGTTTTCTCTGTAGATGGGGTGTGATTCTCATGTCCACGTGATCACGCATATTCGTGACCTCGAATTGGAATCTTTAGGGATGCAGCCAGGTAATTGTTTGCAGAAGTGATTTCAAGAACGGCGTCCGGAGACATTTGTTTCCAACTAGTCTTCCCATGAGGCCAAATATATATTACCCTTAACAGAACGTTGAATTGGAACCACCTCGACCCAGCCTTCGTACTTCTATACGCGGAAAAGGGACCTGAGGTAAGTCCACTCGACCTAGACACCCTAATGAAAACAGCAGAAGCTTGCGGCCCGGACACTCCATCTATACCCGCTGTAACACACTGCTCAATTCACCCACCCTAACCCTTCTGCACCACCCCTCCCCTCATTCACGTCAGATAACCAACATGAGGACCTCAGAACCCCCTCACCCTTCCCCCCGCCCTCGCCAACCGCCTTCTAATCTCCTCCTTCCCACCGCCCGCTCCTACTCCCGTCCCCTTTACTCTAACCCTCGCTCTACTCCTCGCCGCACTACTACTTCGCGGACCCGGAGTAGCCCCCGCTCCGGAGCCATGCTCATCAACCAGCATCCCCTCTTCGTCTTCGAATTCTGCCATTTCCGCGTCCACATCATCTCCAGGGTCCATCACTGACGAGGGGGTGCCAGCAGTCATATTGGCCATGGGCTGCATATGCGGATGCGGAATCGGATGTGGATGTCCCAGGTCCACCGGAGGAGGCCCTCCCATATCCATTGGACCAGAAGGATGCGGGTGTAACCCTTGACCCGCGCTCAGGAAAGGCGAAGGGGTCAGATTCTCCAACGACGTAGGGTCGCCCATTAGCGCCGGGTCTACGGTGTCGTAGTTCCTGTTGTTGTTGATATGCAGATTCATGCCCATATTGTCATGATGCTGCTGGTAATGGGGTTGGTGTTGGGGAGCGTAAGTTAGTTGCGTGTGCGGAGCAGGTGGACCGGAATGATACAGTGGTATTGCAGGATAGGCCTGCTGTTGCTGTTGTTCCGCTTGCGCGGTTTCAATTTGGAGTTGGGTGCTAGGGGATTCGGGTCTGGGTCGGAGCGGTCTTTGTGGTGTAGTTGCCGGAGCCTGGGTTTGCGGGGTCTGAGAGGGAGGCTGATGTTGAGGGGGTTGTGGCTTCTCAGGCGGGCTTGGTTGCTTAGCAGGTTGTTGTTGTTGTTGTGGCTGGTTCTGCTGCTGTCCCTGTTCCTGTCGGAATTTTGAAGAATTGTAATGCACACGACTGCTGGCGAGGTGCTTATTCATCTCACTGCACTCGGGGCAATTGCGAATAACCTGGCTGACCGTCTCTTTGATGCGCACCCAGTGGTACCGCTCGTTGATAGTAGCGGTCGTCTTATTGATACCACCGTGCCCATCTTGATGTATTTGTCTGGCAATATCGTACTGTCCCTGCGTATCGGAAATTACCTCTTTCCCCTTCAACATCAACTTTTCCGGCTCATTGCCTTGGGCGGGTATGAGCTTATAATGCACCGAGGCGCTTCGGAGCCGGGATTTCTCTGCCCGATCTGCGCCGTTAGGATATTTGCCTGTCTTGAGGTAGAATCTGATCTTGTCGAAGCGCTCCTCGGAAACAAAGTCTTCCTCTTGGCCAAGTTCCCTCCCGTAAATAATAGCATCGACAAGCTCGCCAGGATGGGAGCGCAGGTTTCCGGCGCCTTTGACACGACCGATACGCTTGAAGCCCAAGGCGTCCCAGATTCGGCAAGAGGCTACGTTGGTCTCGTAGACGAGGTTGAAGACCGAATATATGTAGCCCTACGCCAGTCAGTGTCCCGCACGCTCTCTTCCTCTTCTTCAGAAGAGAACATACCAGCTTCGGCGCCCACTCCAAGTACGTCTCCCCCATCAACCGTCCCACGCCCCTATTCCTCGCTCTGTCCGTAACAAGAAACCCACCATTGCACACATGGCTCGACCGTCCAGGATAATTCGGCTTGATATAGAAGCTACCCAAACAAGCCTTGTCCCAATCCACGCCATGCTGCGCCATACTCCGCACTTCGTCCGCATCATGTATATCTCCCAGTAACATGATAGCCCCGAACAGGCCAAACCAGTATTCCCCAAACTTGTCCACCGGCAGCGGCTCCAGCATAGGATAGGTGTCGCCCTTCTCAATCTCGCTCGCGAATTGGTCGGCCAGGTACGCCAGCAGAGGCGGAGGAACCTGCTTTGGGGATGAATAGGGTATGATTGTCGCGATGCTCACGCGATCACGCAGCGTCACTTGTTTCGGTACGATGCCCTCTGGAAGCGGGAAATCGGACGGAAAGATGTGCGTCCTGTCTTGAGCGATGAGTCGCCGCTTGATGACGGGCGCCGTCGGGTCTTCCAGCATTGCGGGCATCGTGGGCGCTGCAGTGAAGCTATCCTGTTCGTCTACTATCCCATGTTAGTCGCGGGGTTTAGTCGTCTGATAGAAGCATGATGATGCATCATTGTGATCGTGCGCCCGCTGCGGCTTCCTGGTTCATACGCAGCGGGGTGCTCCCTCGCGCGCCGGTTTGCATCGTCGCAACGTGCATTGGGCAGTGGGTGTAACAGACAGGAAGGGGGTGATGATGGGAGGATACTCACCTTTAAATAGACGATTGGAGGGTCCGGCGCGTGGTTCTGATACTGCGAGTGTAGCTTGAAGACTGGCTGCGCGCAGGCCAGCTGCATGGGGAGAGGGTGCGGGCGCTAGATGACTAAGTGGGAGATCAATCTTGGCTAAAGCTTGTTCCATGTCCCTTTCACCCATCTCATGTGCGCTCAATGGAGCAAGCTAATGGCAAGCACATATCAGTATGTATAGCTTGCATTGGATATCACGGCCTATACTCAGCACACAAGGTTTGACACGGCGGAGCCTTCCATTCGATGACATTCTCGTTCAGACACACTATCCTGTAATGTACAGACGTCCTCCACTTCTTGAGATTCTTCCTCTATCCCTTCAGTCCAAATCATCCCATCCTCACCCCATCTGCAGATGCTGACCCCTCATGCCAGTAATCCTCCTTAAAACACCTCCCCGGCCGCCTTGCGAATGATGTTGGTCACTTCATTCGGCTTACCGATCATGGGAATATGCCCAGCATCAATCCACTGCACCTCGAACTGCGCTCCAGTCTGGTTAATGTAGCTGTAGGCCAATGCCTCCGGCACGGAAACATCCCGCTGCCCAATGATGTAATGGCACCTGAAATCCCCCGTGTACGGAATGTACGTAGCGGTCGCGTTGAGGGAGTCGAAGCTGGAGTACTGCAATTGGCTGGTCCAGTACGCCTGCTGAGCCGCAGTGAGGTCGTTGTAGAAGGTGACGGACGGTGGGAGAGCTGAATCGCCATCCGCGTAGACCTTGCCGTCGTCGGTGAAACGGAAGAACGAGGGTGAGATGGTGCGGACGTCGGGCTTCGTTTCGGGATGTTCGACATGGCTGATCCACGGAAGGTAGCCCGCAAAGAAGACGAGGCCCAGAACCTTGCCTTGACCAGAATTGCCACTGGCTGTGGATGCTGTGTTGTTGCTGGGGAAACCCTTGACGGCTTCGCCGATGACTGTGCCTCCGTAGCTGTTGCCGACGAGGACGACGTTTCGACTCTGGTTCAGCTCACGAGAGAGGATGTTGCGGACGGCGGTGACGTCTTCGTTACGGCCGGCCATGCTACCAACGGAGGGAAGGTCGACCGCAAAGACGTGCGGGTATTGTTGTTGGTGCAGGAGCTCGACGACCTGGTCGTAGACAATCTCCTGATGGAAGGCTCCTGGGACAAGGATGATGGACGCCTTGCCTGTAGCTTGCGCAGAAACACCATTGCCGACGAGAAGAGAGAATATAGCCATCATGGAGAAGACGACCACTCCCACGTTGAGATTGCGGGGAGAGAAAAAGGAGAACATCTTGACTGAGATGAAGGGTAGACAGGAAAAGGTTTGCTCAGAGGAGTTGCGAAAGATTGATTGAACCTTTGAGTTGGGGTTGTTTGAGGTGAGGTTGAAGGAAAGAACTGAGGATGTGGGCGGCGCTGGAATTTTATACCCAGGAGAGGTTGCGCGCACCTGTACTTTCACACTTTCACCCGGTGTTGTCATGGCGCCATCTTGGAAGCGGTGGGGAGGTCGTCCGCCTACCGCTGCTTTCTCCTTTTCCACGCTGAGCGATCTTAGTGGATTTTGCAGCCTTTCACCATCTAGACACACTACTGTTGCTGTGCCCTACTCCGACAGGGAAAAGATGCACTCGTGGTTGGTAGGTGAGGTCTGGCAAGACTGCAGTGCTGTGTTGGTAATTGCAGTTGGAGGCGTCTGTCACTGATATACGCCACATGGATCCTAGATTCCATCGGATCTGTCAGTATTGGAGATGATTGGTGTTGCACATATGTCGTGTTACTGTGCCTCGCGACTAACTGTCAAGCGAACATAGTCCAAGAAAAAGAAACCATGATAGAACAAAGACGATGTCCCAAGGTAATGGTTCCAGATGCAGTAGAAAAGTAGCACTAAGGTAGCCGCTAAACGTAGAAAGTGTTTCTTACTTCGCCCTTGGCAGTTGCTAGATTTCGTGGATAGGCTATACATGAATCATGAAAAGGTGACTTGCATGGAAGCTGAAAGAGTCGTGAAAGAGCCGACATCCAAGATGCAGACGCGACAGCATGAACAAAGAAAGGAGTGTAAGACGCTGAAAATAGGCATGAAAAGTAAGAGCCCGTCTCGGTAGCGAAGGTAATCGAACTAGGCATCGAGATGCATGCGACGAATCATCTCCCTTGATTCCTTCTCTCCCAGTTCATTCCCATGAATAGTGATGCGGCCTTCTTCAACCTGCACAAGATCAGGCTTGTCGAACCCTTCATGCAAAGAGATCAAAAACGCCATGACTTCTGCCTCAAAAGCGGGGTATGGGAACCGATCCTGGGCTGCTTCCATGGCCTGGAGTTGCGATACGGAGGGTGAATTGGGAAGAAGCTATGGAACGGTTGGAGACTGAAGTCAGAGTTGGAAGGCCTGCTTACCTCGTTGATATAGTGGCGCCGAATCTTGGCCCACCCATGCACCTGTTCGTGCTGGTTGGCTTTGTTGCAGAAGATCCTGCGCATGGCTCGGATATCGTCACCCTCCCCTGCCTCCTCAGCTGTCCCCGGGCAACCAAATGCGAATATGGTATTGAACGTCTCTTCTCCATACGCACCATTTCGCAGGTACTCCTCAAGAACGGCTTGAAGCATGAACTGCCCGGCTAGATGCATCCATTCTCTTGTAGGAAACCACTCGTCTTCAAGAGAAGCTCTGGCCGCCGTGAGCTCCACGAAGAGTGGAAGTAGACAGTGTAAAGAAGGAGTGCCATCCACGTCTGTGACGCATCTTCTCTTGTCCACGGGTATACTTAATCTCGATGCCAATTCGTGCCTCCGTTGTGCCAGGGCTCCATCAGACAGTGGGAACTCGCTGCGGACATCAAACGGTTCTCTTAGAGCGGGAGAGTGTGTACATTTTTGGGACCAATACAGGCCCCTACTCCTGTTTCGAGCACGAATCTCACTCAGCGAAAATTCGTTTGTCCATGTTTTGTCATGATTTAGACGGTGAGTAAACAGTAGAGCAAACTGCAGCAGCCGCGATCGGAGCGCCGTTTGGTTGTTGAGACGCCGTCCGTCGTACCTATGTTTGAGGACATTCCTCCATTCTGCAGAGGAGGAGTTAGTGGGGTGTGAACACTTGAGGTGAACGTGCCAGAAACTGCCCTGGCATTTCCTTTGGTCTGCTCTATAACCACGTACGATATGTTGTGGAACAGGCATAGTGGGTAGATAATCGACTTACCAGCAGTCGTTGTTACCAAGGCGCTGGGAAGGTCTGAATGGAAGGGATCCGACCGCGAATGCCACTCAAACACAGACTCGGTCGCCTTGAATGCTAGGAAATCCAGTATGGTCATATCGACGTCGAACTGATCGTCGATCTCGGTCTCCATGCGCCTTGTCAACGTGAAGAGTCCTGCAAGGGGGTTCCCATGTTGGTCTTGCCGACGCTGAATTGAGGTTGCCAGCTCCTCTTCCAGGTCACGCATATCTGGGTCAGGATATTGAGCCATTGGCAGTATCCAAAGGAGGCGATGTATGAGAAGATGAAGAGATGAAATCGTGAAGGGAAATATAGGAACGGTCCAAACCAGCGGCCACTCCACTTATACACAACCTCCCACTGCTCACTGCCCTGGCCTGGCGCAACCCACCTCCACAGACTCAGCAGTGGCACGTAAACGCAGGCTACGATAACGTGCGTCACATATAGGCGACCGAGTTTATGCAAACGCCAGGTAGGGGAGCTACGGTAGCACAAGAAACTCAAAAGTGAAATCGGACGCGAAGGCCCGAGTCTGTGTGGAAGATCAAACCGAATGAGTTGGAGAAGGATAGGGGTTTTGCGGGAAGGCCCCACTGTTTGTTCAAGTGCTGTTTGAACTGGTGGCTGTAGTTGAGACGCCGAGCGTGAGAAGGCAACGTGGGAAACGGCTGATGATGAAGATGGGCGGGATGGAGGGCCGTGGGCAATGGTTCGAAACGTGATGGCATTCGCGTTCTAGTCGGAGATGAGGGAGAAACAGCAACTGAGAGAGGACTGGCGCCACCACGCGCGCGCCAGGAACAACCCCGATTGTATAGTCGACCATTCATTCTATACGCCTTTAGTGTAATGTTAATGAATGGATCCATTAAACTGTGCAACGGAGCGGTTCAAATGCATGGCTTCAGAGTGCGCAGTACCCCAAGCTCCGCATCCTTCGTGGTTGAGGTGTTCATGCTGAGCCTGGCCCTGGTCCCAATTCTAACCGGAAAAGGTCCGTTAAGCGACTGTCAATGCTTCTATCGCCTGTCCTGCTGGATCACCCCGCGGGCAATGCCAAACACTCACACACGACACACCTGCTATGAGCCCTCCAGCTCCATGAGCCCTCCGTGGCGGAGGTCTCCCGCCTTTAGCGTATTCAATTGTTTGGAAAATGCCTCCCAAAACACCTGCCATCCTTCTCTCCTCCGGGCCCAGCGTTGCGGCATTCTGTTGCACCTCTCCGCCGCCACCATGCTCGAGATGCCGTCATCCGTTTCCACCCACACAGCGCCCGCGACAGCAACGACGCCCCTACGCGCAGCACGCCGAAGCTATCCATGAGCAACCTCCTAGGTCCTCGCCCTCACCCTCGTCTTCACACCCCAACCCCCACCCGCAGCCCCATTACGAAGAAGCAGACCTCACATGGCCCACTCCCATCCACCCGCGGCGCTTCCCCACCCCCTACCAGATCCTCTGCTGCCACCACGGCCAACCCTACACGAAACGCCGCTTCTACGCCCTAGCAAAGCTGTACCACCCTGACAGCTGCCACGTCTCCTCCCCCGTCGCCCATGTCCCTCCTGCCGTCCGCCTCGAGCGATACCGCCTCATAGTCGCGGCCCACGGCATACTGTCCGACGACTCCAAACGGAGGGCGTACGACCTGTGGGGAGCAGGATGGGCGGAGAACCCTTCCCATTCCCCCTCTCACCCATACTCGCCTTTCGGCCGGGGTGCGGCGGCAGAGACGTGGAGTACGGAGCACGACCCGCTGCACAACGCAACATGGGAGGACTGGGAGCGGTGGCATCGTCGGAATGTCCCAAAGGACGATGCGGATAGCCGCACCGTATATATGTCCAACTTCGGCTTCATGTCCTTCATCCTGCTCGCCGTGTCGCTGGGCGGAATCGTCCAGGGGACCCGCGCAAATGCAATGTCGTCATCGGTCATGGAGCAGAGGGAGAAAGTACACAGAGAAGCGAGTCTGCAGCTCGCCAGGTCACAGCACGCGACTAGGATGACGGGAGATAAGAAGGAGAGGGTGAGGAGCTTCCTGGAGCATAGGGAAGCGACCTTGGCCGGGCATGCGACCTATCAGCGCCTTCTGCCTCCAGAGGAGAACTGCGGGCCAGAGAGTCTGAGGAAGCATGAGGGTGGGTGAGGGGTTCGGAACTTCTATCATCTTGCTCGATTGTGTGCTGTTGGCTTCTATTGGCGCATAGCGGAGTGTGAATATTGATCCTAGGCCTTGTACATATTTCTAGGTAAGTGGGCAGCAATCGCGCTTTCGCCACGGAGTAGACGGGCATTGTATAACACACGCGCAATCATTTGCATATCGTTGGTGATTTGCATTTCCATCGTTAAAGCACTTTGGGGTTTTCTACGTTCCACAAGGCTATGCTACGAGCGCTGCATGTCATATATGATTTGCAATTTTTACCCGCTTGTTCAAGGCATCTTTACGTCTTCTAATGCTTCCAGAATCATGGTATTTATCATGTATGTATTTCACATCGCATCCTTGTCGCACAGGCATCAGGGATCTTCGATGCGTGTCTTATAGCATAGATTTTTATGCATGAAGTTACGAAGCTACATATGCTCACGTGCAAGGTCTGATATAGGTCCATATAGGTCAACTCGGGCCGCATGCGATCATTTTGGCATAACCGGATACGCTTCATACATTTGGAGAAGCGAATTCTGTATATGAACATTCCGGTAGACCAAACCTCTCCGCAGATCTCAGGAAGCGCGTATCCCCAAGAGCAGAGCCCTTATCTAAAAGCCAACTTCTCCCCGAAATCCCTAACCATCCATCCCTCTCCCTCTCCCCCTCTAGCCTTTCCCAAAACAGCCACCAACACCCCTTCTACCTCGGCATCAACTTATGATTCTGCTTCCCCCACTTCCCCTTGCCATTATCCAACTGATCAAACTTTTGACTATTCTTGCCCTGCGCGTATGCCCAGTCCCTCGCTCTCCTGGCCATCGCCTCGCTCCTCTGCGCCTTCTTCTCCGCCAGCACGAGCGCGCGCTGTTGCTGTGGAGAAAGACCCGTTATACTCATCTCGTCGCGGCGGGAGAGCTGTTGGCGCGAGGGAAGTGTGATTGGGGGCGGTGACGGCGGGACGTCCAGACGCTGGGCGAGATCGCGTGATGTGCGGAGGTGAGTTAGTTGCGTGCTTGGTGAAGATGTCGAGGATGAGCCTTGTTGCTCTTCGGATCCAGGAGGTAATGCCTGCATCGCCGAGGCCGCAAGCGCCCGTTGTTTCCGCACCGCTTTCTTGATCTCCGGAGCGGCCTGTCTCGAGGCAATGACTCTCCCATCACGCAGTCGAATCTCGCCATCCGTAGAATCTAGATCCAATTCCTTCAAACCCTTCTCTTCCTTGCCGTCATCGCTTCCCTCTTCCCCTTCCGACAAGCCCGGACTCCTTTCCCAGAAATCTCTCAACTCCGGCTCCCTCTCCAGATTCAAAAGACAGTGATTTTTATCCCGCATATGGCTCTGGACACTCGCGGCGGAGCCCTTGACAGCTCCGCAGTAGAGACATTCGTGCCATATCCTCACTTCGGTGGCTAGATACTCCACTAGGCTCTGGAGGTCTGATACGGCTCCTGCGTTGGGGATGGATAGGCCGTGCACGGTGCGCATGTGTGAGAGGTTAGAGGAGAAGCCCTCAGAGGAAGTAGGAAAGGATTCAGAGCAGAAAAGACAGAGGTAAGGGGATGTGAGGCGCGAGAATTCGATCTGTGAGGCTTCTTCATCGCTGCTGGAATCGCTGCTGCTGGGCGTGGGACTGGGTTCACGGTTCGTTTCGGCCTTCTTCTCGATCTGGGTTTCGAAGATGTCCCGGGGGATTGGTGGAAGCGATGCTATTCGTCGTTTGATGTTGTAGACGCTGTTGTGGTGTCAGTTTCCCATATCGATAGATCCAATCGGATTCGAACGTACTGCCATGCTTCTTTCATGTGTACACGTTGCTCCTGCCCATCGTGAAAGGAAACCTGGCATGAAGTGCACAAGTACCTTTTCGATGGTACGAGCGTGGAGTGGGATTCATGCTGCTGTTCCTGGGAATGAAGGTGGGTGTCGGTGTTTGCGCCCGGGTTGGTTGCTGTGTCGCTCATGATTGTAGCTTCGGTGGTGGTGGAGTTATTCAAAGAACGGGAAGTTCGTCAATCAATTGAAGGCTGTCGAAGCTGCTGAAAAGACGTTGAAGATGTTTGTATTTACGCTGGCAACTCGTGTCTTTATATATTCCCTAGGTCCGTAGCCATCCCATGATCCTGAGGTCTGAAGATCCGTCTCTTTGGTCCGGCCATCTCCATGAATCGACCGATGCCAAGTGCATCGCAGACACAGCCAGACCTATCCAATCGACTCATAATTCGTGGTTTGAAAGTTTCCTTCTATGATGCTCGAGGAGATTGTCGTGAGATCGATATCAACTCAGAATGAGTCATTTGCCAAGGCGCACAGCCACAGGACTAGAGCCCCACAATTTGCCGCATTGGGAAGAAGGGAGTCGTTGCCACAGTTCCTCTCTCGAGGAGAATCTCAAGGCATCCTCTTGTCAGGCCAGGAATTTCAATCTCCCTATCATGGGGTATGAAGCCCTCTGGCCTGGCCATGTTGCGATTCGACCGAATTCCGGAGCTCCGGATATTCAGGGTACTCTAGGTCCTGATGGGTCCTGTCAAGTCATTTGGGCAAGGATGTGAAGGTTCTATCTTTCTTTCAAATCTCCTCGACGCTTACATTTTATTAATTGAAAAGTCCGCAAAGATAACACCGCTAAGCGCCTTCAGACGATGACCAGTGGTGGATGAGTCCATAGGCATTGCAGTGATTAACTTTCGACTCGTCTTTCATTCGACTGTGGCAGTTCAGACCATCGCCAACATTCATCACTTTGGGAAACTCGTCTCCGCTCATTGCGATCGATTGCAAGTCGAAGTGGGAGCATTGTCTCATCGAAGTCAGCCCACTCAAACCACTTATCACTGCTCGAAAAGTCGGGCAAGGGCAGTGGGGTTCTTTCACCAGCTTGGCCGACTTATGAACCGGAGAGTCTTCTGCTCTGAGCAGCTTGAAGACCTCCGGAGTGCAAGGCCTGTAACACCTCTCGCCTTCAAATAGACACCTTTGTAACTCAAAGAAACCCCAAAGGTGCCCAATATGGCGAAGTTGCGGGAAGCCCCTCCGCTGCAGCAAGACTAAGCACGTCCCATTTCTACTTCGCTTTGGGAACGGCACTCTTGTATTAGATAAATAGATCCTAATGAATTACGCAAGCAGGTAACGATTGATGTCAGCAGGAAGGGTGGGACAGACTTCCTAATTGGCTGGGCGACGTTCGTGAGGGTTTCAATGTGGTGTCACCAAACTACCCTACGAGAGCACGTTTGAATGGCATATTGAGAGTCTAACAACCAAATCGGAGAACTCGCCGAGGAGATTCACAGCTTTGACAGGACGGACTACGCACCTTTTTGTTGCACATGGATTACCTCTAGAATCTGATGCCTTCAAGGTTTACAACGATTTACCGCGAAAAATGAGACTCCGAACCGCGAGCACAGAAAATGTGTGCCCCATTATTTTTATCAACGTTCACGCCTCTTTGTCAATCACAGCGCTGGTAGTAAAGTCGGCAGGACGCTACCGCTTTTGAGCTTCTGTAATAACAAACTCCTTTCAAGCGCCCTTGATTTTGTGGTATGACCAGACTCTCGATGCCCGCCTCAAGGAAGGGAAGGTTCGATAGCCTTCTCATCTCCAGATTTCCCCAACGACGATGCATGAGATTCATTTTGTCGGTCACGGCTGAAAGAAGACAAAGGTGAGGGTCAGGGTGAAGACAGTGTTTTACCCCTGAGTCACATCATGTAATCACTAGCACCAGCTACGCAGTTACACAGTTTGACTACTACGCGAATCCCCGACGACAACCCCCAAAAAAACCTACCTGATCTATTACCAGTTTCCCTTTTCTTTCTTTAGCAATATTACGCTCATTGGTCCTTTCTCTTTCACTTTCTTCTATAATACGACATTGTCACTGCGGCGATTTCGGGGAGTTTATTGTCCAGGCTGGAAGAATGCCCTTGTGAATACACTTTGTCTCTATTCAGAACGACATTGTTCGCTCTCCATTACAGCCCAGGCGGTACCTTTTTAAACACCTCCATTCTCTGACCAGGGTTTTCAGTCCAAATCTTCCAAATCTTTCTCTTTCTTCTTCCTTGATCATTCTACCTCCGGCCAGGCGCCAACTCCACACTCCCTAACCAAGCCATCCCATCTCTTCAAAATCCCTCTACTTTCTCAACCAACCTTCAACCAAGAAACAAAATGGCCGGCCCACCCACTCTCCTCACATTCCTCCTCACCCTGTCAACCGCCCCCTTGACCTCGGCAGCAAACTCGACCTACACCCTCAAAACCGACCTCTCGCACAAAAACTTCTTCCCCAACTTCGCCCTCTACAGCTCCGCCGACCCCAGCAAGGGCTTCGTCTCCTACCAGAACCTCTCCTCGGCAATCCATTCCCAGCTGATCGGCTACCTCGAGCCCTCCTCCTCCGTCTTCCTAGGCGTCGACTCCACCTCCAAACCAGCCACCACCGGACGCGCCTCCGTGCGCGCAGAAAGCACCGTCAATTTCAACCCGCCTCCTGGCAAAAACGATGCCGGGTTGCTGGTAGCCGATATCAAGCACATGCCCGCCAGCGAGTGCGGGACGTGGCCTGCGTTCTGGCTGCTAGGTAGAGAGCAGTGGCCTGTGGGCGGGGAAATCGATATCCTGGAGGGTGTCAACGATGATGTTAGGAATAGCGTTACGTTGCATACGAGTAAGGGGTGCGTGGTCGATAATTCGACTACTGCTGCTATGGGCGATGGGTCTGGGGAGGGAAACGAAATGATGTCGTCGTTCTCGGGCACTATGGTGACGGATGACTGCGACGTCGCGGCGCCGGACCAGTCCAAGAATAAGGGATGCAGTATCCTGGCGCCGGAATCGTATACGCTGTCTTCTACGGCGGGTGGTGGTCAGTCGGAGTTGAATTCTCAACCACTGCCTTCCTACGGCACGCCGTTCAACGCTGCCGGGGGTGGAGTTTATATCCTCGAATGGACGCACACTTCCATAACCGCCTGGTTTCTGCCTCGCGACCTGCTCTCGTCGACTTCGTCTCTGGCTAGACAGTTCAACGGCAGCGGTACCCCTGACCCAAAAACTTTCCCCATCTCCCCAATCGCGCGCTTCTCCGGCTCCGGGTGCGACTTTACCGCCCGCTTCAAGGACCTGCGTATCATCTTCAACACGGCCTTTTGCGGCGAGTGGGCAGGGCAGGAGGACGTGTGGGGAAGCAGTTGTAAGGAGAAGACGGGGTTTGAGACATGTGAGGAATATGTGCGAGAGAAGCCGGAAGTCTTCGAGGAGGCGTATTGGGAGATTGCTGGGCTGCGATGGTATGAGAAGGAGGGAGGGGCGGAGAAGCGCTGGAGTGGAAGGCGTCATGGAAGGGAGTTCAAGCTGTGAGGAGGTGAATGTACCAGCCCGCCTGGTTGGGTTTGCTCCCCTTTGTCCATATGCTTGGATAAACGGAGGGTTTGTTTGGGCATTCGTTGCGTAGCGTTGCATTGCATAACGCCACATACATGTATGCATTCATAGATTCGTATAGAATAAGACTGGTGGGCGCTGGCTCGCTCGACCGTTTTATATCTCTTTCCTCAATGTACCTGTGCTTTTATTCGGTGAGTGTCGTATATCATTGGCTACTGCGAGAGTCGGCGCCTTGTGCAGTATGCCGAGAAAGAAATCAATCCGACCTGAAGAAGTCAATGTTAACTTCAATAGACATCACTTTAGCAAAACGCGTGCAACTTGCAGGGAATGACCCCATTCATGTATTCTTCGCTACATCGCGATATCCCTTCCACCTTCGTCCTCCTCACCACCCATCCGTCATGTCTTACACATCACTGCACTTAAGCAGCAATCGTAACCTCGACCTCGACACCAGCCTCGATGTTGATGATGATCTGCTTGACAACCTCGGTAGGGGCGTTCAAGTCAATGAGACGCTTGTGGATGCGCATCTCAAAGGTATCCCAGGTCTTGGAACCCTCACCGCAGGGGGTCTTGCGGGTGGTGACCTTGAGGTTCTTGGTGGGGAGGCGGACGGGGCCCTTGACGCGGAGGTCCTTGGTCTTGGCGCGGCCGATGAGCTCCTCGCAGACCTCTGTGAGGGTTGTCAGTATAAGAGGGCGCAAACATGAGATATTGGGCGGGACGCACTCTCGAGAGACTTGACGTTGCGGGACGTCAGGGTGATGCGGATCTTGTGGATCTTGGGGCCCTCGAAGTCCTTCTCAGGCTTGTCTAGCATATATTGTCAGATTTCCTTCCTCGCTTCAATCAATGAAGCGATGGCGCATACTGTAAGACATGTTGACGTCTGGGTAGGGTTGTCGGATTCCGAAAGGTGAGTGTGGAGCGGTATATTATCCAGTCACGACCCGGATGCTGTGATCACTGTAATGTGATGACTGGCGCGATGTCTTGTCGTTGAACGAGAAGCGTTGGGGGAATTTCTTTAGAGATGCAGAATTTCGGACTGTGGGGTTGCGAGGAAATCTTGGCGCGGCTAGGCCGTTTCGGGGTGCGGGAACGATATGACGCGGGATGAGTCGACGCGGGCAGCTGCAGACTGAACCTAGGAAAGGAGGCTTATATAAGAAGAAGTTAGGTCCTCAAGTTCAGTTTTGAAATAAAACTTCCACCGATCCGACCCATTCCCATGCGGAGTTGAGTCTGCACGCTGAGATGCCGATACCCTCATTTGCCCCATTCCCAGACGCCAAAGTCCGAGACAGCATTCCTCCACAGGAATGGAGTGTCTATCTCGAATCATGGACCACCGTCGCCGGATTCTACCTCCGATTGAACGATGACGACTTCGCTTCTACTATAGCAGACACGAGTGATAGCAATCTGACCGATTTCCTAGTCTCGTTTTTCCACGAGCTTCCCACGGATCCTAGACTACCCTCAGTGGCGGCACCTTTACGCAAGAAGTGCTTCCTTATTCTCCATAGGATATGGTCCGGTCAGATAATACCGTATAACCTTTTACAATGGACCTTCGTCTCGGACGTTTGCCAGTCATTTCCAAAGAGCGAGCGGTTACGCAGCCTCCTTGCACGGATATGGAAGAGCTCCGGAACAGTGATAGAAAAAAGTCTGCAAGGACCAAAGTCGATTCTGATTGAACAGTTAGACTCCAAGTCTCCGGGAGGTTCCGAGGACTTGCTCAACAGACTTGCACCTCTGTTAAAGCTCGTCCCTGAGGCTGGCGTATTCATAATTACTGGCGCGGACCTCCTGGACTCTCTCGTTTCTGCGCACGCCAAAGTGTCGTCTGAGCTTCAAAAGAAGCTCGTTATGACTGCTTACCTAGGCCTTGTATCGATCCTGGAGCAAGAGAGGCCGAACTATTCCCTTTTATCGGACCACTTGTACAGTCTCAAAGACAGTGCTGGGTCCGATCCCTCCCGGAAAACTTTCCTGGCGGACCTTGTTACAAACACTCCTCTGCTGACCAAGATAAGAGACAAAGCGACATCGCCCGAAGCTTCAAGAGTGAAGAATATTGCTACATCCCTGGCCGAGTACCGACAGTCCAGTATAACGCGACCGAAAAAGCTCGTCCGCCGGAAGGTCGATAAAGGTAAAGGAAAAGCTAAAGAAGAGGACCGATATGGACACGATGCTTTCGGCGACGTACACGTTCACCGTATGAGTTTGATCACTCAGATTCAGGATCTTTTCCCGGATTTGGGCTCCGGTTTCGTGGTGAAGCTCTTGGATGAGTACGACGACAACGTAGAAGTGGTCGTTGCACATCTCCTAGAAGACTCCTTGCCACCGCATCTAACTAATGTGGATCGGAGCGAGCAGCTGTAAGTGTCTTTCCCTACTTAAACGCCTTTTGCCGAAAAAATACATATTGACTCCTTCTCCAGACCAACCCCCCCATCCTCCAAACCCCACTTCACACCCCGTTCCACACCTCCTCCACCGGAAGCTCTCCCCATCCGCCGCAACGTCTTCGACAACGACGAGTTCGACCGCCTTGCCGTCTCGACCTCTCAGCTCCACATTGGCCGCAAAGACGCCTCCCTCACAGCCGACAGCCTCCTTGCGGACCGCAGCTCCGCCTCGGCCCAAACCAAGGCGTCCATCTTATCGGCACTGGCGCTCTTCGACTCGGACGATGACGAACGAGACGATACCTACGACGTCGAGGACGTCGGTGGTTTGGTAGATACGTCGGCCCCGGATGCGGATGATGCGATGGGCACTGATAAGAACGATGAGGCGCTATTCAGGGCGTACTCGGCTTCTCCCGAGGTGTTTGAAAGGGATGCGGAGACCAGGCGGGGCAAGGCGAGGATGGCGCTGAGGAGTGAAACGGGGATGACGGATGAGGGGATTGAGGGGTGGGGAATCATGGTTAAGCGGGATCCGAAGAGGTTAAGGAGATTGCAAGCGAGGTTCTCGACGTTCCAGGGGCAGCAGAGAGAGTTGGCGTCTACGGCCTATAGGGAAGGGCAGCTGGAGGACGGTGAGGATAGCGGCGGTGGGCAGGGACAGAGAGGTGGGAGGGGAGGCAGGGGAGGTGGGGTTTCTGGAAGAGGCAGAGGACGAGGTGGGAGGGGAAGGGGCGGTGGTAACGTTGCTGGTCCATCGGATGATAAGGGCACGCAGGTGTCGAGGCAGAGGAAAGAGGCGAACAAGGGAAGTAGGGCGAATCATAATCGCCGGGATCAGCGAGCGAAGAAGATGGCTAGAGGCGGATTCCCGGGCTGATTGCTTTCTGGAGCCAGGTAGTGGCAAGCCGCTCAATCTGTCAACATGATCACAATCACCCATCACCTCTATGTGCTCGATTATGCAATGGCGTCCCGTTCATCGAGGAAATATGGTACATGTGCTTCCCATCGTAACGCATGCCGGGTGGAAGCACACCAACCAGTATTTCTAAGGTGCACACTTCATCAATTCTCATTACTCTCTCCGCTAGCTACCTGCTCCCCACCCAAATCCCTCCCTCGCCATGCCAAAACGAACCTTCAGCGCGCAGAAACAGCATGGGAAAAAGAAGAAACGTCAAATTCCAGCAGCATATATCATAAAACCATATATGTATATGCATTACTCACTCTTAAAACCCCACACTTTCCATGCAAATAGAAAATCCCAAAAAAAGGAGCTGTTAAACCCATACGCTACATGAAAAAGCACTCGCTCTTGCTCGCTACTAAATGATACTGCTTGCTTGCTCGCTCAATCATTATGCTGGATAGACGTTTTCGAGAGCTGTACCATCGACATGATATGACCTGATACCATGTCATAGTTGCTGCGGCCGGACAAAGCAGTTGTATCGTCGTGTTATTTCCGGCAAGGCGTCTGGACCTCCATACCGGAGGTTTACCGAAGCTTGCCGCTTTCTTTGGCCTCCTTGACCTGTTCAAAGACCTGCAACCAATTAGCAAAACGTCAATCAAACAAGTCTACTCCACATACCTTCAGCATCTTCCTGCGTGCACCAAGAGCATTGACACCCCGCTTCTCCAGGCCCTCGTCATCCAGCTCAATCAGCTCTTGCCACTTCAGATCTTTCAGGTTATCGGTGTATTTGTGCAGGCGGAGACTCCTAAGCCAGCTTGGGATGTCTTGCAGTAGAGTGGGGTCGGTCGGGTCCTCCGGAGGCTTGGAGCTTCCGCGACGGCCACGGGGAGAGCGCCCACGGTTGATTTCGGAATGATCGGATATGTAGCCAGGGTGGCCGTCAAGGCCAATGCCGAACTGGGCGAGGTTGAGGCCGGCTAGACCATTGTTGACCAGAGGGGAGGAACCATAGTCAGCAGCCAAGAATCCGTTGTTCTGAGGCGACGCAAAGTTCAATGCACCCATAGCTCCGGCCTGCATGGCGAGACCAGGGGAATTCGGGCGGGAGCGTCGTCCATGAATGGCCGCCAGCTGTTGGGACTGAAGAGCAGCGGCCTGCTGAGGCGTCAACACCTGGCCAAGCTCATTCGTCATGAGGAAGTTGGCATTGGGAATTCCGGGAGCGAGGAGACCAGGGGACAGCGGAGCATTTCCAGCTCCCTGGCCCTCTGTGGAGCGAGCACGACGGTACTTGCGGGCGTCATCCAGGGTGATCCGGTTGTTGACTGTGGACAAGGCAGCCAACTTCATAGCCGTGGCATTTGCAACCATGTCCGCTTGGGAGGCAGCCGCCTGAGTGTTGAAGTTGGATACCATAGGGGTGCTCAACTGCGATGCCCAGCTTCCTCCGGGAGCATACGAAGGCGACAGCAACGGCATGCTGCCAAGATTCTGCGAGGGCGCGTTCAGGGTCGTGCTCTGGACATTTCCAGTCTCGTCGTTGGAAAGCGGGAGTCGGGGTGAGCGAAGCCCTGCAGATGGTGGAGGCTGGGAGAACTGGCCCATGGGCTGGGGCTGGCCGGACGACTTGGGCCGTTGTTGGCCTTCACCCCACGGCGACGCAGGGGGCTGGTTGTCCTTCCGGTTGCTCTCCTCAGGGGCAGAAATGGTGGGAGCGGCGAGGGACGAGCGATCTCCAACCGTGCTATTACGGTTCGAGGCGGGAGCAACGCCAACGATGTCGGTGAACTCGGCCTTTTGCTTTGCAATGGCGGCAGCGGCATCGGGGAACATGCGGTGGATGGTCGAGGTATCGAGACCAGAGTTGCGCTTCGCGCCAGGCGATGGCGGAGGGCGGCCAAGGGCAATGGAGTTGCGATCTCCAGTGCTGAGCTTGCTCATGGCGTCGCTCAACTTCTGGGTCATAGGATCTGAGCATGTTAGGCGTGGACGACTCGGAGCATGGATAGTCTCACTGACCCTTCTCTCCAAAGTTGGCGGGAGACAAGACTCCCGACATGGGCAGATTCTTGGACATCTGCTGCAGGACCTGGATGAAGAAGCGAATCTGCACCTGGGTCGTCTGCTGGAGCAGAGCATAGAGGGCGGCCGTTCTCTCGGCCTCGCTGAGCACGCGGAACCACTGCTCGATGGCGCTCAACTCGTCCTTGAAGTCCTGGTCGAGCGTGGCGGTGGCCATTTCCTCGAGCGTGGTTTCGTATTGGTCAATGTCAGCAAGCCATTGCTGGGCTGCCCGCTCCATCTCATCGGGATTGCCGGAATTCGTGTTGTTTCGTCCAAAATACACCTCCGAGGCCGGACGGATGCCACGGTTGGCCAGGGGAGACGAGAAGCCTCCCATATCAGCCGAGGCGCGAAGATGGTGGCCGCCGCCGATGGTGTTGCGCGTGTTGGGTGGGCGAAGGGAGCTGGAGCCCTCGGGAGTGCTGTTGCGGTTGGCAGCAATGTGGTTGGAAGACATGGCCACGGATTATTCTACGTCTCAAAGTGTACGGGTCGAGTTTCGGAGGGGGTTGATTATGCTGAAGCGTGGTTAGCGCCATAATCTCAACAGTCATGCGATGATGTCCTGGAGAGAGGAGCAGAAAGGCGGGTACGTACGGAAGTAAGAGGACTGGGTAGTTGACTTGGTGGCAGGCAGCGCTATCGAGATCTCCTGCAGTTCCTGCTGGCCTCAAAGGAGCTCGACTGGCGATAGGGAATCGTCTGCGTGCGTCCGGACACGCAGCACACGACCGACGGAAGTAGTGGCTGGCGAAGGAATAAGAAGAGGGCGGTAAACCAAGTACAACGAACAGAAAAGCAGATAGGGTGGAAGAGGTGGAGGGGGAGGGGGAAATAGCGAAGGTGGTGGTCGACAGTGGAGGCGACGAGCAGAGAGAGATTGGTGTGAGTGAGAGGGACCTGGACGGTGGTGAGGGCACGGAGCACAGCCGAAGCCCTTGCTCTGCTCCAGCCAGTGGGAGGCGAGACTGCGCCTGGCCTCCTTCAGCTGGCGCCTCCGCTGTTTCGAGACAGCCACGCGGGAATTCAGAATCTGATGCTTATTATAATATGTAGGGACTCTCTCCCTCCAACAGTTGAGCAGAGCCCGCCGTGCTGACCGACGCCGTGTTGACGCTGCTCCCTTCACCGCAAGGGGAAGCACAGATGCTGACGCTGATGAAGACATCAAGTCCTCGACTCCACCTGAAAAGAGGGACTGCTTCCGAAGCCGTAGGTATTGGAGCGCATTGAATTATTACCGGCAAAAGACATTCCTACCAGGCGTGTGTTTGAAAGCGTACTTTTTATAGAGCTCTCGCCTCATATCGACATTGTGATGGACCCTTCATCGAGTTGGGTCGGCTCCGCTTATCCAACATCACCAGGTTCAAGTATTTGGACTTGTGCAAGGATATCCCTTTTTCATGTCTCTGTAGACATTGTGGATCTGAAAAGAATCCCGACTACTGCGAATCGACATTTGTACTCCATTGCTATCTCTCGGGTTGCCTTCCCCTACTCTCCAATCTCGGTCTCTGAATTTGATAGCCCCAGTACCAGGTGCTGAGAACTGAAGGGCCAACATCCTAACAGACCAAAGCTCACATACCTGTCCATCCACATCCCTCTCCTACTCCCCATAGACTCTCCAAGTCCTACCTCACCTGCCCAATCACCGCCCCAACCATAACCGCAGCCTCCCTTTCCCACCCCCCAACCGGAACCCCCTTCCCTTTGCCCCCAGGAACCTGTGACCCCCGATTCACACACTCGCGAATCGCCTCCCTGACCCTCTCCTTGTTCGACCTCATCGTCCTCGCCGACACGCCCCCCCTCTGCATAATCTCCTGCACCTTGCGCGACAGTGCCGACGCGAGGGAGCGCCAGAAGTACGATGCGAGCGACGACGTGTCGAGCGCGTTGAGTAAAGGTTGGAGGAAATTCGATGAGGTTGGTTTCGCTGATTTAGGCGAAGAAGAGAGGAAGGGATGTGCCGGCGGCTTGACGGATTCGAGCAGCGTCTCCAGAGCGACTATGTTCTGACATCTGGCCGACACCTCCAGCAACGTCCTATCCAGCGACGGTAACGTAGCTAGCGACCGTGCCAGTGACGCCAACGACGACTTCAGCGCCGTCTGTAGATAGTCTTCCAGCGCATCCAGCAGCAGTGTCGGTCGGAACGCCTCAAGCGTCGTGATGCCCTTGGTAGGCGACAGCAAATACAGCGTCAACAGGGCCGACGTCGTCCTCGCCCTCGTCTCCTCTGTCTGGGCGAACGTCGAAGCCGCCGACGGCCCACCGGACGCGAGCAGCGAGGACATGGAAAACTCCCGAACCACCTGCTGCGCGCGCGATGCAATACTCCTCTCCACGGGATTCACAAGCTCGCTCCGCAATGTATTCACCACATTGATCTTGTCCAGGCCCTCTCCCTCTTGTCCCGGCCCTGAAGCAGCGAATATCTGCCGGAGAGCCAACAGCGTATCCGCAGACCGAACCATGGCCCTATGATCCTCCTTCTTCGCACCGCCCACACCCCCAATCTCCGACACGCGCACTTCGAGCTGCCGACCCAGCATCAGACATCTTGCCACGGCCCTGCCAAGCTTGACGGTCTGCACGAGCCGTTCTGCAGTCAGCCGGACCTGTTCGGCAGTCTCATAGCGCTCAATGACCTCCTTTTCCAGAGTCCTGTACGACTCGGTCAAGCTGGCCACTTGGGATTCCACCTGCTGGAGGATACGCGCGCTGGACTCGGTCTGCGCGCTTGTGTGCTGGAGGAGGGGGAGTGCGGATTTGGTGGTAAGGGTATCGATGTGCGTGTCTATTTCCTGGACGTCGAAGAGGACGCGGGAGAGCGGGGTGGAGAGGTCGAGTGGTGTGTCGGAGGGGTTGTTTGTTGCGAGGACGAGCGTGTTTGCGAACGAGGTTGCGGAGAAGGCCGGGTCGAGGAAGGCCTCGTAGTCGATGTATGAGGGCTCCTCTTCGGCCATTGCCGACTAAATGCTTCGGTAGAGTGGTGTAGTGAACCGTAAAAGCTGATGTCGGTGTGAAATCTATGGTTCCTGACGAGCTAGAAGCCGTCCCAAAACAGCCTAGCTCCCTTTTCAACCGCGGGGAACTCAACCTCCGCCGAAGCTCCCAACTCCGCAACACCAAAAACAATATCTAACACCACCAGCAGCTCTCCACCCGCCTCCCCAAAATGCCGCCCTCCATCCCCGCCCCCTCTATCCGCGTCCCCATCGAATCCCTCTCCCAACCCTCCTTCTCCCAATTCGGCACCGTAATCCAAAACCCCGCCCACACCGCTCCCTCCCGTCAACCACCCCCCCAAGAGACCCCAAAACCCGAATCCGCAAACCAAGGCACCGCCCTGAAATTCCTCGACGTCACCCTCCCCACCAACCTGTACCACCTCGCGCCAAGCCGCAGGCCCGCCCGACCCGTCGTCAACATGTTCGTGTGCGCCCCGCGCGACCTGCGCCCGCACGAGCCCAGCTCCAGCATGCCGAGTAGCTGGGGCGACATTGACCTGGATGACGACGACGAAGAAGAAGAGGAAGAAGGAGGGGGAGCAAGCGGTCTAGCAGGCCTACGGGGCGGAAGTAAACGCCGGGATCTCTTCGACGTGCACATCCTCGAGCGCCACCCGTACACCACGCAGACCTTCATTCCCATGGGCCTAGGCGTGAACGAGAAACATACCCAGTACCTCGTCATTGTCGCGCCCACCCTGCCGGCCTCGCAATCCCACTCACACGACAGGAAAGACCTGCGTCCACCACCTTACCCACTCCCCTCACGGCCGAAGAAAAGGAATTCGTTGAAAGATATCTTCGCACGCGCCCGCCCCTCACCCTACACAAACTCCACTTCCCCACCCTCCACAACAACGACCCCTCACGCCTCATCCTCACTAGCACCCTTGCACCCAAGCCAACGCCCCAAAGGCCCCGGACTCCCCGACCTGCGCAACATCCGCGCCTTCATAGCCAACGGCACACAAGCCGTGACATACGGGCCTGGGACCTGGCATGCGCCCATGGTGGTCATTGGGGATCGGCCGATCGACTTCGTCGTGGTGCAGTTTGCCAATGGGGTTGGCGGGGAGGATTGTCAGGAGGTGGTGTTGAAGAAGGGGGAAGGGAAGGAGGAAGGGGTTGTGGTTTGTGTGGATAGGGACTGGGGTGGGAGGGTGGTAGTGAAGGCGGGGCCCGGAGCGCGCAGGGTGAGGGCGAAGCTGTAGGTGAGGTTGCAGAGTGCGGTCGTGTTGAGGATGAATGGGTAAGAGTAGAAACGGGAAGCCTGTTGACGCTCTTGTTATGTTGATGTATTGTCTAATTATACTCGAATTCTCTGTGTAGAATCCAAAGCCTCGTGCCAAGTGCCCAAACATTGCCTTCGAGGCCGTTAGCAAATATGAACGACGATTCCGGAACTACCACTTGAACAAGGCCTATAACACAGTATAATTGGACTCGCCTACTTATTACCTGGTCCACAGCTTTCTTTTTCCTCCAATCCACTTCTCGATGCAGGCAGCATCCACACGCAAAACACAGAAATATTATAGGCAAAAACATAAATGATACATTTGCATGCTAAACACCACCCCGTCCCACAAATACAAGGCCTAACTCAATCTACATGAGCCAGGATGATGACATAGCCATAACTTTGGAACAAAAACAACGGAAATTCCTGTGCTCCAGCAATCTTCCACAATCCTCATCCGCTCGCCAAACCGTCCCAAACTTTTCTTTCCTGCGCATCCTATCCTCTGTTTCCAGGTACTGCAACATTGGTACTCTATACGAGCAACACAATTCATCCCCTATGCATACATCCCCACGACCGATGCTGCTTTCAAATGCTCGCATTTACACGGAATCTAAGCCTTGGCATTCTTGGCCATGGTGTTGAGAGCAGAACCGTTCTTGAACCACTCAATCTGGCCCTCGTTGAAGGTGTGCGAGAGCTTGACTTCGAAGGGCTTGCTGCCATTGGCGGGGTGGACGACAAGGGTCATGGGCTTGTCGACAGCGAGCTCGGTGCACAGGAGGTCGACCCTGTCGTTGGGACCGATCTTGTCATAGTCGGCAGGGTCAGAGAAGGTGAGAGGAAGCATACCCTGCTTCTTCAGGTTGGTCTCGTGCTATTGGTCTGTTAGCATTTCTTCAATTAAAAGTCGATGTGGGATACATACGATACGGGCGAACGAGCGGGTGATGATGGCAAGACCACCAAGATGCCGGGGCTCGAGAGCGGCGTGCTCACGGGAGCTTCCCTCGCCGTAGTTCCAGTCACCGATGACAACCCACTTGATTCCGTTCTTCTTGTAGTCACGCGCAACAGCCGGGACAGCGTCATACTGGCCAGTCAGGACGTTCTTGACCTTGTTGGCCTCACCGTTCTCGGCGTTGATGGCACCAATCAACATGTTGTTGGAGATGTTGTCAAGATGTCCACGGTACTTCAACCAAGGGCCGGCCATCGAGATGTGATCGGTGGTGGTCTTGCCCTGGCACTTGATGAGGATGGGCAGGTCCTTGGCGTCCTTGCCATCCCAGGGCTGGAAGGGTTGGAGGATCTGGAGACGGTCCGAGGTGGGGGAGACGGCAACGGAAACCGAGGCGCGGTCCTCAGGAGGAGCCTGGTAGGTGTCACGTCCGGGGTCATAGCCGCGGGCAGGAAGAGCCTCGCCAGTGGGCTCCTTGAGCTTGAACTCCTTGCCATCCTTGCCCTTGAGGGTGTCGGTCAAGGGGTTGAAGTTGAGGGTACCGGCAATGCTCATGGCTACGACCATGTCCGGGGAAGTGACAAAGCAGTGAGTAGCGGGGTTAGCATCGTTACGGCCGGTGAAGTTACGGTTGTAAGAAGTCACAATGGTGTTAGGCTCGCCCTTCTTGACGTCCCTGCGGTCCCACTGGCCAATGCACGGGCCACAGGCGTTCGCCAAGACCATACCACCAAACTCCTCGAAAGTCTTCAACTGACCATCCCCTGCAAAATCGTTAGCTATTGATCAGGACGTTGGGAAAAAACCACTTGCTTTGGACTGTAGCCCTGATCTGTTCACTTTTAAGGAAAAATGGTCAGTATTGATCATCCAAGAGTATGCGGAAGACTCACGATCCTGGCGTAACGACGAACTGGGACTTGGACTTGAGGCCATGAGCCATGGCATCCTCAGCGATGGATGCAGCACGGGTCATATCCTCATAGGACGAGTTGGTGCAGGAGCCGATGAGACCGACCTTGACCTCCTCCGGCCAGCCATTGGCCTTGGCGGCCTCCTTGAACTTGCTGATGGGAGTGGCCAGATCGGGAGTGAAGGGACCGTTGATGTGGGGCTCGAGCGTGCTGAGGTCAATCTCAATGAGCTGGTCGTACTCGGCACCCTCGTCCTCACGGAGCTCAGCGGCGTACTCGCGGGCGAAGTCGCCAATGCGCTGGCGGTTGGTGGCCTTGAGGTAGTCGTACATGCGGTCATTGAAGGGGAAGAGCGAGGTGGTAGCGCCAATTTCAGCACCCATGTTGCAGATGGTGCCCATACCAGTGCAGGAGAGGGAGTCGGTACCGGGGCCGTGGTATTCAACGATGGCACCAGTTCCACCCTTGACGGTGAGGATACCGGCAACCTTGAGAATGACATCTGTAAGGCCATGTTAGTCATTGCCGTGTCCTCGCATTTTAAGAGTTGAAGTTATCGCAAGTCCAATGGTTTGGACTTCTCTCGCGAGATGTAGTTCAAGGTTGCAGGACGTGCACGGCTCGCGCTCTGCGAAAACTGGGAGATTCTCCGATACGTACCCTTAGGAGCAGTCCAGCCAGACATCTTGCCTGTCAGCCTGACACCAATGACCTTGGGGGCCTTCAATTCCCAGGGAAGGCCGGCCATGACGTCAACAGCATCAGCACCGCCGACACCAATGGCAGCCATACCGAGACCACCAGCGTTGGGAGTGTGCGAATCAGTACCAATCAGAAGACCACCAGGGAAAGCATAGTTCTCCAGGACGATCTGATGAATGATACCGGAGCCGGGACGCCAGAAGCCAATGTTGTACTTTGCGCAAGAGGTCGACAGGAAGTCGTAGACCTCCTTGTTGATCTCGTTGGCGCGGGCCAAATCCTTCTCGCCGCCGACCTGTGCCTCGATGAGATGGTCGCAGTGCACAGTAGTCGGGGTGGCCACAGAGGGCATGCCAGCGGACATGAACTGGAGAATGGCCATCTGGGCGGTGGCATCCTGGCAGGCAACGCGGTCCGGCCGCAGCTTCAGATAGCTCTTGCCGCGCTCAATCTCCTGGTTGTGGGGATCATCCAAGTGCGAGTAGAGGATCTTCTCGGCGTAGGTGAGGGGGCGGTTGAGGCGCTGGCGCACAATGTTGAGGTTCTCGTTCATCTTCTTGTAGTTGATGAAGTTGCCCTTCTCCCAATTGGTCATCTCGACCTTCTTGGAGAGGGGCGCATCGCTGACGGTAGCGAGATGCCTCCGGGTGATGGCCTGGCCGATGCGGCCCAGCCTCGCGAGATTGTGCATGGTGGGCGACGATGGGCAGAGTGGAGTGGATGAGGTCGAGGGATTTGGGAGCAGGAAGATGAAAAGAAGAAGAGGTCAGAAGCTACCGATAACTACTGACAAAAGGCCGACGCTGATTGGCTGGCAAGCGGGCCACACGACGCTGGTACCTCGGTGTCAGAACAAGAGTGCACGGTAACTTTGATTCCCGTTGGTCCGCAATTCACCGTGCAGGAGGAGAAAAAGCCGCAATTGAGCAGAAATTGAGGTCGTGGAGGAGAAGGTATATACAAGAGCCTGCTGCTCTGGCCGGCGGAGGTATTGGGGGGGACGATGCGCCTTTTGTTGTTGCGCGCGGGTAGCGATGGCGTCACAGCACAGGCTCTGGTTGGCCTCTGGGAGGGAGGAGGCCGTTGGAGCAACGGGCAGCTCGTTCACGAGACGGGCGGAACCCCCGCGACGCCAAGCAAGATAATGGAGACAGTGATTCGCACAATCCTATGAGATAACCTTGAAAACGGCGACCCGCGCGAAGGCTGACAGGCGATTGCGTTGTTGAGTCAACTACAAGAGGGTAGTCAATTTCTGTGAAATGTTGCATTCACCCTCTCAACCCTGCCAAGCCCAGACCCTCGGCCTCTGAGAAAATTCTGCGAACCTGCAGACTCGTTGCAACCTGCAACCCGTCACATCTCCGCCGCACGTCCCGCCGTCTAGCCGAAACTCTCCATACAGCTTCACTGTTCAGCCTTCAGCTGCTGCAAGCTGGGCCTGCATTACCGAAACACCTCATCCGCGGCCGACTATCCCCATCCTTCGCCTTGAGTCGATCACCATGCCTGCTATCCGAGGAGAAAAGTCAAAGAAGAAGACGAGGAGGTACACCCGCGATCTCGACCAGATCCATGCCGACTTGCGCTCCGAGAGGCATCTGGCCCAGTATACCGAGACAAAGGCTGCTGAAGATTTGCCTGCCTTGGGCCAGTTCTACTGCATAGAGTGTGCAAAATGGTTCGAGAGCGACTTCAACTTTGCAGCACATAAGAAGGGGAAGGTTCATAAGCGGAGGTCGGTGCCACATCCAAAACCATGATAAAAAGCACGCGGATACTGACTAGGCTGCAGATTGAGGCAGTTGCGTGAAGAACCATATTCCCAGAAAGAGGCCGAGCTCGCAGCCGGTCTTACTACCGACAACGGGAAACGCACAACGCAGATGGAGGTAGACGCAGAAGGCCATGGAGCTGCAAGCTGAGAAATGAGAATGTGAAGGATACCCCTTGAAAGAAGAAGAAGCGCTTCCACAGAGCGCAACATTCAAGACGACACCCATGTTAGGCAGCTCCGCACTGCGCGGCCTGGTGGAACGCTGCTGCCTTCACATAAGCATGCCTGGTATCGGACTGCCTACATGAATCCGACCAAAAACACTCGAGGAAAATACCTTGGAGGCGAGGCAAGGTGGAGAGTTTGATACCCCAGCAAGTGTAGAAGCTTGTCTGAAAAATTCAAAGCATACGTGAAAGTCCAGATGAAACAAATCTGGCAATTCAACCTGTCAACACTTTTCCTTCCTGCTGTGTTATGATGTGTGGCATTTAGTAGGCATCCATTTATATTGTTGCCTTGCCTGCCTGATCGCTACCCACTGCAACTTTCGCAGGAAATCGATGTTGTGAAAACCATCCATAGATATAAGAACAACAGAAAAAAGCCTCCAGCATCAAGCCCTCCAGCCCCACCACAACATCACTCAATCTACAAAGAGAATGCCCCACTCCACAGCAACAACCTTCAAGTCCACGCCCCTCTACGGCGGTGCCATAGCCGTCGACCTACCATCCCACTTCGGTGATGCCAGGTGCGTCCCCTCTAATCCCCATGTAACCGCCTTCAGCCCTATGTACGAAAACTAACACGATGACGCACCAGCACCATCCGCCAAGTCCCAGACCACCAGGAAGTCTTCGTCGACGCAGATGGGTATTCCAGCGTCGTCTTCGATATCTTAGAGCATGTGGAACAGCCTACAGATGCCGCGGCGCTGGAGTATCATTTGCGGGACTTGGTGGCGGGGACGGGAGATTCGACGAGGGTGGTTGAGCAGGGTGTGAAAGGGTTGGAGAAGATGAGGTATGTTTTTCATTTCGATTTGTTGTCTTATTTCTTATTTCAGCTGTGTATTCACTTCTATTAATTCCCTTGGCTCTTTTATTGAGCTCGGTTTACTTTCATATTGGAGCTTCTCAGACGTCACGTGTATCCTTCATCCGGGCAGTTCTGTCTCTCCTTCTGCGCCTAAGCTAACGACACCTCCAGCAACACCTCCGTCCAAACCATAACCTTCGTCCAGACCCCGACTCAGCGATCCGGTCGTAAGGAGCCTGATTTCGTCGCCGTGCACCTGATCCTGCTCCGCATCAAGCAGCACACCACCGACATAGTCATCACGGTCAACGTACCACACTACCCGGGCGAGTACGAACAGGCAGCGAACCAGGAAGAGAAGACCGAGTTGATGAAGGAAGGGGATCGAGTAGCGCAGAGGATCCTGGAGAGTTTTGAGATCAAGGATTGGGGGTTGTTTGACGGTTAGGGAGTGCAAGGATGGATCGGAGAAAAAGGTGAAGTCCCCGCCATGTTAGCAGTCCGAAGTAGCATATAATGTTGAAAAATAATTATTTATGTCTTTGTTCGTCCTCAAGATTAACTGAAAATACATTTTAAGTGATGGATCTATTGTAACTGCACGTGACTGCACGCCCAGGCGCCGTTGCCCCTCCAACCAATCAATCAACAAACATCCTTTGTACTCGCCCAACACAACCTCACCTCCATACATGCCTTCCAATCCTTTGGTCTTGGAACCCAAAACCTCTATCTCATTTCATTCATAAATAGCAAAGTTGACCGTCGCCCACTATGGCGCGTCTCCGCAAACCCGCCGTGGCAGAGAACCCCACGCCCTTCCCTGTCCTGCCAGTGCCGACATCTACAACTACAACCACACCTACAGCCTCAAACCCCACCACACCGCGCACAGTGCGTCACATTCGACGCAGCCCGAGTAAGCTGAGCACAGCGACACCTGCAGAAACCGTGGGGACGCCGCGACGCGGATTGCGCACCTCCAAGGCCAAAGATGTTAGCTACTATGAAGATTCTGACTCCTCGTTTTCGGACAACGAGAACCCATCTGCCTCATTCCTGGTTCCAAAGGTTAAAACTATACCTGTCCGGCACACTACACCTAGGAGACGGAAAGTGCTGGGTGAGGTCCAGGGGAACAGTCGGTCCTTGGGCTTCGAGACAGAGAGCGATGAAGATGTTCATATCGTCAGTGGGAAGCGGAAGGAGAAGTTGATAGGACGGCAACCGGGGCTGGGATGGCTGCATTCAAGGAATTTGGTTAGGAGTATGGTTAAGAAGGAGTTGGCGAGGGAGATTGCGATGGAGGAGGCTTCGATGCTGGAGGAGGTGGATGATGATGCGCCCGAGGTGGTTACGGAGCTGTCACGGCCGAGCCGGCAGGAGACGCCGCGCGCTGTGAAATCACAAGCACAGAAACGCGCAATAGAAGCCGAGGAGCTGAGGACGAACGATATCATGTTGCTCGAGGTGAGGGAAAGGGAACCTACGCTGTCCGAGGCTCCGACTTATGGCCCTGCAAAATCTTCGCATCTCAGGCACGAGATGAATGAACATCAGCCACCGGTAGAGTCTGGTGTCGGAAACAGGCAAAATGATGAGTGTTCAGACCACGGCACGGACCCAGTTGCATCAAGTAACTTCGGGGAACAGGATGAGCAAGTGGAAGGGGAGGAGGTGGAGGATTCAGTCGTCAATCCAAGACTGATTCCAAATAGACAAGCACGGGCACGTCCACACATCCATATTAGCGACAGCGAGGAAGAAGAAGACCCAGTTGTCAATCCAAGGTTCAATCGGAATCGGCAAACACCGGCACGTCGACGTAACCAGCTCAGTGACAGTGAGGAAGAGTCGCAGTATGAAGGAGAAGAGGTCATCCACTCCGCAGACGATGATGAAGAGGAAGAAATTGTTCGCGTTGAGAGTCGGCAAGAGAGCTTGCGTTCGCGAAGCCCAGAACGAGCCCGCGTCAATGAGCCTTCCCAAGAAGAGGAACCTGACCAAGAAGAGGAACCTGACCAAGAGGGTGTCCCTGATCTCAAGCCCGCAAGACCTGCACACCGTAAAGGGCGGAGCACGGTGTCGAACTGGGCTCAAGATGTAATCGACCTGACCAGTTCTCCTGAACCTCCGCCTTCGTTTGTGTGTGCCAAGCAATCTGCACATTCAAGGACTATGTCCCGCCCCACGACTTCATCATCTGAAGATGCTGCCGCAAGTTCAAACTGGTGGGTTACATTTCCGATTCAACATACCGCATCCATGCTAACCACCCTCAGCTCCCCCACCCTTCCACGGCAACGCTCCCCTCGAAAAACACCACCAAGCCCTAGCAAACTCGTCTCTCCCTCAAAGAAAAAGAACCGCATTCCTCAAGCCCCCGACCTCCGCCCCAGTCTCGACGCCTTCTGGTGTCCCCAGGTGGTAAATACGTGGAACGAGACGCACTCACCGGTGAAGACACTCGTTTCCCCTCGCAAACAAAAGCTGCTGAGACAGCTCAATGATGAAGACTCATCTTCAGACAGCGACGCTTCATTCCTGCTTCAGCCCTCCTCTCCAACCAAGAAGAAAGCATCTGTCAACACCACTTCGACATCCCCCTTCAAGAAAGATTTTGCCTCGCCCACAATCGCTGAGGTCCGCGCCCGCCGCAAAGCCTTTACCACCCAGAAACACGAACTGGCCCAATCCTTCCTCTCCGAACTCGACACCAGCATTACAGGTGGACGCATTGGCGCCCTGTCCGCTCCAACAGGCGGCATCCAGCTCATCTGGTCCAAAACCCTCAAAACCACAGCCGGAAGAGCAAATTGGCGACGCGAGAAACTGCGCCTTCGCACCGGGCCCCTACCGACCGATATCCGCGTCGAGTTCCGCCACAACTGCAGCATCGAGCTCGCGGAGAAAGTCATCGACGACGAGGAACGCCTCATCAACGTGCTAGCGCACGAATACTGCCACCTCGCTACGTTCATGATCAGTGAGGTGCGGGATCAGCCTCACGGGAAGGATTTCAAAGCCTGGGCAGCCAAGGTGACTCAGGCGTTTAGGCACAGGGGTGTAGAGGTCACGACGAAGCATTCGTACCAAATTGAGTACAAGTATGTTTGGCAGTGTAGGGTATGCGGGTATGAGTTTAAGCGACATAGCAAGAGCGTGGATCCGGAGAGGCATAGTTGCGGAAGGTGTAAGGGGGAATTGGTGCAGGTGAAGCCGGCGCCGAGGGGTGGGAAGGGGGCCGCGGGTCGGGGAAAGGCTGGGGAGAAGGGCGCGGAGGGGAAGTCGGAGTATCAGGTCTTTGTGAAGAAGCATTATCGCAATGTGAAGAGGAGGTTGGAGGAGGAAGGGAAGGAGACGAAGTTGGGGAATGTGATGGCCGTTGTGGCGGAGGAGTATAGGAAGTGGAAGGAGGAGAGGGTGGCGGGTGGTGCTGGTGATGACGAGGGTGAGGGGGAGAAGGAAGCGGAGAAGGGTGTTGTGCAGGTGGAGGAGCTGTTTGAGGGGTTGAAGATTCAGGATGAGGACGTTTGAGATGCGTTCTGCTGATTGTTCTTCTGGAGGCGTACAGGTTCGCTTGCTTGTTCAATGGGTTGGACAGGACTTTTCTTTCTTTGGTCCTTGGGGGTTGGCATCGGTGGTGTTTGGCAAGGAATGATTTCTTGTACTTGTGTTTCAACAATTCGAACATGGAATGCTGATCCTTGGTCTGAGGTGATGAAGCGATGACTATGTTCTTCCGACCAAGTGAAGCTGACAATTTCGGTGATACTAAACATGCACGGCTTAAAGCACAGAGACAGGTGCCGAGGAAGTAATTGCTTGATCAGTCGGAATAGCCACTGCTATTACTTCGGCCGCTAACAGTGGCGAGCTTTATTTGATGGAAGTAGACCTGCTTGAAGGCGTGACTCTATCAAGCTCCACTCCTGCGCACAATCACAAGTACCGTATTAGCTCACGCGCCGTATAAGCCTCTGATCCAAGGGCATGCCTGGCGACTCGAGACAGTCTTGGAGGGACCAAGTGGGGGGTGGAGAAGGGGGGGAACCTGGACGGTGAATGCATTTGACGCACTAGCCCGATTAGGCATAAACCCTTTCACTCAGTACAACATTTAGTCACCGCTTGCTCGCGCCTCCACTTCACTCCTACACTGCCAACCTGCTTCTCGACTGAATACCGCAAATCCAACCCCAACTCTTGACCGTCACAGAAGTCAAGCGGTTTACCGTCCTCAAACTCTTAGCTTCTGAACCAACTAAACAAACCACAATCAATAGTCGGAGCGCCTTCTGTGGAAAAAAGGAATGGCACTGCAAATCCTCTCCGACCTCCACCTGGAAGCCCCCAAAGCGTACGACATCTTCGAAATCGCCCCAAAGGCGCCCTACCTCGCCCTCCTCGGAGACGTCGGCAACATCGCAAAGGACAAGGACGACTGCCTCGCCTTCCTGACCCAGCAACTCAAGCAATTCCGCGCCGTGCTCTTCGTCCCGGGTAACCACGAAGCCTACCACTCCACCTGGCCCGAGACGCTCTCGATCCTGCGCGCGTTCGAGGAGCAGGTGCGCAACGATGCGTCACTGGGCGAATTCGTACTTCTGGACCGCACGGCGTACAAACTCCCCGGTACGACCATCACGGTCCTAGGCTGCAGCCTCTTCTCGGCCATCCCCAAGGAGAACGAGGAAGCGGTTAGTTTCGGCATGAACGACTTCTTCCATATCGAGGGCTGGGATGTCAAGATGCACCACGAGAGCCACGTGCGCGATCTCGCCTGGCTGAATGAGCAAGTCGGGAAGATCGAGGAGCAGAACGACGACACCAAGATTGTCATCCTGACTCACTGGAGCCCTACGCGAGATGCCCGGTCGGTGGACCCGAGACACGGCGCTAGTCCCATCAGCAGCGGCTTCTCCACGGATCTGTCTGGCGAGGTGTGCTTTAAGAGTGAGAAGGTCAAGGTGTGGGCGTTTGGCCATACGCACTTCAATTGCGACTTCACGGTCGACAGGGAGTGTGGGGTGCCGTTGAGGCTACTGGCGAATCAGAGGGGGTACTACTTTTCGCAGGCCAAGGGGGTGGATTAGGAGAAGGTAGTAGAATTGTAATGGAATAAGGAATTCTCACGGTTGTGGTGAGAAGGGATAGGCGAAATAACCGTGTACACTACTTTTAGAGGGTTTTGCGTGGAAGTAGCTAAGAGGTGGCGGCTAGAACGAACCGTCAGGATGATAGAATCTGACATTGCGGAAAGGCTTGGTTGGAGGATTTCAGCCTTGGGGACTGGGAATACATATATTGGGCTACGTAATAGCCTATCGATGCTGGAATGAAGCCCGTATCCTCCAGTGATCTTGCACGCATTCCAAACCTCCAAAGCCGAGCGGTGATGTTCCACCACCTCTCACCTACCACCGTGCTAACGATTGGTCCGAGTTGCTAAGAAGTAGGCGCCTTAATTCTGGGGTAGACTGAGGAGTTGCCTCCACCACCTTTCCGATTCACGGCCGTTTTTGACGACATCCGGAATGAAGTTCTCGACGAGGTTCTTCTGATCGTCGCTAAGGTTCACGAACGACATGACGAGCATAATGCCTCTTTTCACATCCGACCGAACACCGTCATACACTTCCTCTGTACTGCTATTTCCCACGTCCAATCAAAAAGCTAGCAGGTGCAGCGATATAGCAGGTCTTGCAATCCGCTTTGTAGCGCCTATATCTACGTATAGTAAATTCTGAAAGAAGTCTGCATTTGTAGCATTATTAGGTTTTAGCTGATTGACTTGGCCCGGGTAGATGATTCCGTGTATACGGTTATTACAGGAAGGTGTTCAGTCGGACATGGAGGGCCGCAGTGCGCAGTGTTGCGGTGAGAGTAGACGTCCAATTGGCTCGATGGGGCTTAGCGCGGTCGCTCCAGCTACATAAGGTTGAGGACCTACCTTAAATGTGACATATACAACATCAGAAACAACTTCCACCGAGATCGCCAAGCGATGAGTCTCAAGACAACAATAGTTGCGTCCTTCGCGGAATCTCTCAATGCGGCAGACATTCCCTGCGTTCTTTGGGGTCACTGTCTGCTCAATGTCCATGGCGTGCCGTCCATCGTCGGTGTTAGTACTGTTCGAGCGTGGCAAGCCTCAGATTCGGTCTAACTTATAAAAAGTCAATCGATTTTGTCATCCCGGATGGATGTTTGCAGACTGCGGTGAACGCTCTTTCTTCTAACGAGAGATTAACGCAATGCGAACGCGGAGAACTCTGTCCCATAAGTTCACCAGAGGGCTTCACCCCTCCACCAGCTTTTCACATGCACCTGGACGCGTCAGACCTCGCTGTGGGGCTTTATCTTCAATCCGAGATGATCTGGTTTTTGCCCTCGCTAGACACCGCTTTGTCAAGCCCGCAGCAAGATGAGCTTCCCGCCTACTTCGTACTCGCCTCGGATGAGACTGTTCTTCCACCGTACCGTCTTGGAATGGGATCAGGTGCGCTCCCGCAAGGCGGCCATCTAGTCCTCGTTCCTACCTCCGTCGTCTTGCTGGAAGCCTATCTGCGTCTTTGGGCGCGCGATTGGCGCAAACGTCAGGGTGGCATGGGGATCGCTATGATTGCTTATATGCAGGAGTATGTCGAGAAGGAAGGATTCTTGGATGGCGATCAACTGCCAGAACCTCTCAGGACGTTTTACAGAGAACTCAAAGAGGGTGAGAAGCCAGTCCGTCAGTGGTCCGAGGAGTTGAGCATGGCTCTTGGGGTATCCGATGAAGGAGATGAAGAAGAGGATTGCGCCTAAGGAGGGGCCGGCATGATTCTCTTGCACGGATTGGGCGTTTCGGTGTTCTGGCAGGTATGAAAGGGGAACTGGCTTTCGGTGCAGGATTGGGCGTCGCGACAATGGATGTACGTGTATAACCTTGGAGGTGGCTGGGGTCAATACGACGTTCCTATTCAAGATTGATGGACACAATGGCATGTCTCGAGAGGAGATCGTTGAGGCCGGCGGAACTGTTTGCATGAACAGTTCGTCAGAACTGCGATCCTGAAATGGAGGTACATACAGGACAGCGGTAATGATCCGTATATCAGATGGCAGGCCCTCCAACACAGCAACTGCAAATGTCGTAGAACCTATCATCTCCGTCCCGCTGTCTTTCATATTTCGTCGCCTGGGTGACATTAAAAGTGTTGACCAAAAAGCAAAGTCGTTCACAACGTCGGAATAGCCCAAATTACACTACCGGTAACCCCGCGCTAAACTCAAATTGGACGCCGCCTGCGACCTCGTGAACTGCCCTCACCACTCACAATCCAGAAGGGCTCCAAGACTCATTCCCGCAGCGGCAACGAGCGTGCTCGGGTGGAATTCCCATGCCTGCACCAGTCAAAGATGCAGGAACCGTGTCGGGCCTCTGGCGGGGACTAAGCCACGGTCACGAGTAGCGATAACGATGTCAATTAAGTCTTTCCCCGCCAGGTCCCAGGCTTGAGTTCTAACTCTTCCCTTCATTCTTTACTTCGAGACCTGGAAAGGCTTGGTGGTCTCCAATGGCTGCTCCGCAGTCAGAAAGAGAGGTCAACGGCGCTGGGAAAGGCGATGTTTCTAGCTGTGTAACCAACCTCATCCACGCCTTCACCAATGGACTCGATATCTTTAAGCGACTTCGAGAACGACCTCGGAAGCGCAAGGCCCGGAAACAGGATCAAGTGGAAGAGATATCGAACGACGAGATGCAGCTGTCGAATTCGTTGAGAAAGGGACCGCAAGATATCGGGAGCTGCTATTCGAGCCATTATGGCAAGGCTGGGGATCGTTTTGCAAAGGGAGACCGTGAGTACTATCCCCGTCTCGACACTCCCTAATTTCAGAAAAAAGTAGCTTGCTGATATGATGGTTATAGCAATTGCTCATGCTTCCCTCGCGGAGACCTTGATCAAACTTAACACTGGGCTTGTCAACATCATTGCAACCTTCCTCAACCATGACCGGAAGTCCGATCACCTCAACCTCGACTACAAGTCTCTCACCCGTCTCTCTAATGCATCCAGAGCCGAGGCCATTGACTCGCTGAATCAACTTTATCAGCGACTGAGTCAGTCCCAGCTACAGCTCTCCCATCAGGGTCGACGTTGTTCCCACTGCGGAACGGTAACAATCAGTAAACACCAGGATTGCTGCCGGAGAAGCGGGCACGACCGACTAGGAGCGCGATCGGACAAGAAGTCACGCACCAGCTCACCCACAAGGTCCAACGGCCCCACGGTCGCGAGGGTCCCTATCAAAAGCTCAAGCCAAACACAATTGGTTATCATACGACCTCGCAACCCTCGCAAGAACTCTGCTGGGTCTACCACGTCGCATGCATCTGCCAGTAGCGCTGTGAAACCTTCAGCACTGCCTCACAGTAACAGAAAGGATCCGTCTAGACCGCCAAATACTGCGATACCAACCCCTCGAGCGGTAGGAAGAAGGAGAAGCAGCTCTGCAGATGGCAGTCGACCTACCACAAGGCCGCAACCCAAACACGACACCACCCTCAGACTCCAGGTCCCAGCAGCCAATCCACCTCCAAAGCCCGCGCCATCCATCCAAAAGGAAGCTATGCCTTCATCGACCATGAAGCGAAGAGCCGAAAAAGTCACCCCTTCGACGTTTACGTTTGCTTCTGACAGTACAATATTAGGCGAGATTCCAGAGAGAAACTGGATACAGCCCTTCGATTATGCGGAAGCTGAGAGATTGAATGCTGAGGCGTTGGCGAATTGGGTTCCCGCGACTGGCGGGGAGAGGGTGAAGCCCAAGAAGGGGCTGTTTGGGTTCTTGAGGAGGGGTACTGCGGTGGCTTCGTGAGATGGGGAGATTGGGCGAAGAGAGAAGGGACTGTGATGGTCCTGGTGGGCATTTCATGAGTGTCCAGTTGGACACGAATATCCGTGCTTGAGTAGCTCGCACGTTCCTTAGATGCGCAGCTGACGGGTTATTTCTTGCTATACGTAACGACGGTAACGACTTAGGATGGCAGTTTGTTAGAGAGATACCCGCATTACCACATCTAGAATGCATCATGGGTTGGTTTAGCCTGGAGGATCCTGCGTCAAAGGTACAGGAAAACGACGAAGATAGCTAACCTTCCTTTCTAATACGTTCTTCACACTTTCTGGGCTTCAATAAAGACATGAGACAAATCTTATTGACATTCCTATTGACGCCGCTATTGATATCTCAAATAGGTGCATATACTTAAGTAAGCTCACCCCGCCTAAGATCGATGACGCGGTTCTGCTTCAAGCTCCGCAGAAGTTCCCTCCGGTACGGACGGCGGAATTTTATACCCACGCCCCTTGTTCAGTCGTGCGCGTGCCCAAATATATATAAAATCTGATGCTGCAGCATTCCTTCACTAGTTGCTCTCCCTGAGCGTGAAAAATGCGGTCTCTAGCTCTCACCCTTCCCTTTCTCGCAACCCTCACCACCGCAGCCGTACACGGCGACCATGACAGCGCTACAGCTTCGGCGGGACTTACAGCGAAGAGGGTCGCTATAATTGGTACGTGAATCTCCCACCAGCCCTCCTTTATTCGCTAAACAAAATTCATTGGCTCCCCTCTTTGTTGTAAATACAACCCCTCCACCAACCGCACAGCTGACACACCACGAACAGGTGCAGGCGCCGCCGGCTCCTCAACCGCCTACCACCTCTCCCGCACAGCCTCCAACCTTTCAATCCCCCTAAACATCACCGTCTACGAGCGCAACTCGTACATCGGCGGCCGCACCACGACCGTAAACGCGTGGTCCTCCCCGCACCACCCCGTCGAACTCGGAGGCAGCATCTTCGTCTCCGTGAACCACATTCTCGTCTCCGCAGCCGAGGAATTCAATCTATCTACTACGTCCTTTGAGGAACGATACACGGAGGATAGCAGCGTCCCGGAGATTGGAATATGGGACGGGAAGCAGTTCGCGGTGGTGATGAAGAGGGAGGATGGGTGGTGGGATAAGGCGAGGTTGCTGTGGAGATATGGGTTAGCGCCTATCAAGACGAATAGTTTGATGAAGAGCACCGTGGCGAAGTTCCTGAGGATGTATGAGGAGCCCGTTTTTCCGTGGAGGAGTCTGAGCGAGGTTGCTGCGAGGGTGGGCTTGGTGGAGACGACCGGGGTGACGGGGGAGCAGTTTTTGAAGAGTAATGGGGTTGGGGACTTGTTTGCGAGGGAGATTGTGCAGGCGAGGTGGGTGTCTCTTTTTTCATTCCTGATTATATGGGCTATGGGGATCGAGCTGGTCGGCGTGGAGGACTTGGTGGTTAGCGCTATCATGGAATTCCAGACTGACAACACGAATAGCACCCGCGTCAACTACGCCAGCAACCTCGGCCTCATCCACGGCCTCGAAACCATGGTCTGCATGGCCACCTCGGGCGCCATGGCCATCGCAGGCGGAAACTGGCAAATCTTTTCACACATGCTGGCTTCGTCGAAAGCCACCACCCGTCTCTCCACGTCCATCACTCACATATCAAAACAACCAGACGGTACCTACGTCCTCACAACATCCACCGGCGACACCGAGGCTTTCGACACCGTCGTCCTGGCAACCCCATTCCAATTCTCCGGAATCGTAATCGATCCCCCGCCGAAGCATGTCCCGGATCAAATCCCCTATGTAGCGCTGCACGTCACGCTGTTCGCGTCGCCGTACGAGCTCTCGCCAGAGGCCTTTAACCTTGCGCCCGGTGAGAAAGTCCCGCAATTCGTCCTCACGACGTTGCCTGAAGGCGAAGAGTACGGCTCCGATCCCAACGGACAGGGGAGTCCGGGTTTCTTTAGCATCTCGGTTGTAAGGCGGGGGTTGAATAGGAAGGGAGAGGAGAGGAGAGAGGAGTACGTCTACAAGATATTCTCCGCGCAGAGAGCCACACCCGAATTTCTATCGCGTTTACTGGGAAGAGAAGTGCAGTATGAAGAACGCACCAATCCCATCGACGACCCGGATGATCAGGGAAAAACCCAGAAATCGATCAAAACCTCTCCCAGAGGTCCAATCACGTGGATTCACCAGAAACTCTGGCACTCCTATCCCTACGAGTATCCGCGCGTCACGTTCGAGGAGATGGAACTGGATGAGGGGCTGTGGTATACGAGTGGGATTGAGAGTTTCATTAGCACGATGGAGACGAGTGCGCTTATGGGGAAGAATGTTGCGGCATTGATTTTGGAGGGGTGGGATGGAGGGAGAAAAGGGGAGATGCGGAATGGCGAGCATGGGGAGGAGGAGCGAGCACAGGGAGAACGGGAGAAATGGGAGAAATGGGAGAAATGGGAGCGAGAAGCGTGGCAGGCGGAGCTGTAGGAGCACTTTCTCGGGTGCATGAGAGAACTTGAGTTTTGTACGATCTTGATCATGCTGTTTAGCGGCATCATTGCAATGGGACTTATTTCTTATTGCATCAGGCAGTGGCTTGGTGAAGCATATTGGCATAGCAGTAGCATGAAACAACTTTACCCATTGAGAACATATGTGTTGGATATCTTGTTGTCTTCAGGCGCTGATGTACGTTCATCACAGCACAGTAGAACATTACAGTATACATCTTAATCGTACATACCGTCGCTGACTCGCTCGCACGAAAACCCACGTTGCAATGAGGCCCATGCCTCACTCCGTTTCATCCTTCCCAGATTCGCGCCGTGCCCTTATTTTCTCGTGTCTAGCTTTCCAAGCATCACTCATAAGCTTGTCAACCGCGTACTCCACATTCCTGACAAACTCCTCCTCATCCTCCGGAAACGCCGTCTTCGGCAACCCACTCAACCGCTCCGCCTCCTTCCCCGTCAGCAAAAACGCTCCAAACCGTTCAGTGAAGCGTTCCACAGCCTTGCGCTCCTCGGCAGGCAAATCGTAGAATTTTTCATACTTTTGTCGGTGCCTCAGCGCATTGTGCAGTGCGCGCCCGACGACCAGCAACGTGATTTGCTTCTTGGAGCCATCCTCCAGCACCAGGCGCGCCTCCGGGTGCAAGCCCAGCGCGCGGAAGAGATCGCTACGCGACCAATCCACCGCCTGCACGAGCGCGGTATCAACGACTTCATCCGCTCTCCATTGAAGGTCGTCCACGGAGACTGTCTTCACGAAATGCGAATCCTTGAGCTTCCGGACCAGGGCGCTGTAGTCAGGGAGGGGATGCTTGAGGAACCAGTACTGGAGTCTCTTGCAAAAGAAGACGGGATCGAAGCCCGTGACAAGTGGATGGACGCCGCTGGACCAGAGGATCCTGCGCCAAGGTTGGCGGATGCGTTGCGCCAACCGCGAAGGCTCCTTGTGCAGGTAGGCGAAGATACGAGAGACGGCGACGCGGGCCTGGGGAAGACCGAGGTGGCCGGAGAATTCGAACTCGCCTTTGACGTCGGGGAAAGTGTCCATGTAGATGCGCGTGTGCACCTGGCTGGCCCAAAGCGTTGCCCACGTCCCGTTGTCGCAGAGCTCACGGGAGAAATGCCGCGCTCCCATTAAATCGCTTTTATGAGAGCCTGCAGTTTGCATCCAGACTCTCATCTTGTGCTCTAGTTGTTCGAAGTGGTGGATTGTGGCGAAGCCCTCACGTCCGGTTTTGACTCTGATCGGACCATCAACGGGTTGGAAAGGCGGAATAAGGCCATCCGCACGTAGCGGATTCAAGATGTCACTTGCGAGTGTTCCCGTCTGTAAGGAAAGTCCTAGCATGACAAACAATCGATCGGCCGGTAAGGTGAGGTAGGAAGGGTCACGTTGAACCAGCTTCTTCGCTTTCTCTATGACCTTCTCCATATCGGACGGTGATGGTCGATTTGAGCACGGCAGCAAGCTGGAAATGTGTTCATCCAAATTCTCCCGCTTCTCAATGTTCCTCAGTTGTCGGCGATGTGCGGCTTCTAGAAGGAGATTGTACAGGCGAATTCCAAGCGGGTTTGCCTCCATATAGAGCTCTTTCATAAGCTGGACTTTCGCGGAGTTGAAAGAAAGACTGGCGAGCCGAGGGCGGGAATTGACGTATTCTATCAAGTCTTCCCTCACTTGTTCTCGATCTGCCTCCCCAGGAAAGAGTGGAAGAGAGTAAAGTGGATGCCAGTGTTTCGGTCTAGGTTCTGTGTTCCTCCTAGCCGGTTGGAGCTCACTGCGAGGGCGCTCAACAAATTTGCCTCCGACGTACGTTAAGATGGATTCCGCAACGTCGTCTGTACTGATGGAAAGTACTTTCGCGACCGCGATGATGTGATCTCCCACCTCCACTTCTTGTGTCAACTCACATTGCATCGAAGCGCACACGTGAGGGTGGATAATATGAGCAGCTCGGGAAAAATCCCTCCCCGACGTATCCATCTTTGCCAATTTCTGCCTCTTCAGGAAAGCTTTCTCATGGTTGCCCTGGGTGAAGGATCGGGCGATGCGCGTGGCCTGGCGAGTCGAGGACAAAAAGTGGATCCGAAAGCGGCCTTGATCAGCACGTATAGCGTCCAGAGTCTGCGAAGGATGCTTGATATTGAAAGATATGATCGGAGGGTCAAGCGTGACAGTAGTGAACGAAGAAACGGTGAGCCCGAGTGGTGCGTCGACATGGGGTGGTGGGGAGGCGGCAGTGAGGACCACGACTGGATGGGGAACCCTGCGCATGAGAAGGCGGACTCTATCGCTCAACGGTTCCGTGAACTCTGCAACTTTTTGATCTGCTGTGATCTTGTCGGGTTTCAGCGTCTCTAGGTACCCTCGAAGCAAAGCTTCTTCATCGCGAACAAATGTATCGCCTCGTGATGCGTCGCTGGTCCCCTTGACTTCCTCTTCCTCCGCTTGCTCCACGGATATGTCTTCGCTGAGCATATCTTGCGTTTCTCGTTCCACCAATATGTCTCCGTTGAGGATGTCTTGCTTCTCTTGTTCCAGGGATTTGGCTCCTTTGGCTATTTCTTCCTTCTCTTGCGTCACGCGCGGTAGCTCGAAACCGGTGGTCGAGGAACTTAAAGGACTTGAATGGCTAGAGCTGAATGTCCGGGCATATGTCCTGGAACTCAAGGATAGACATCCTGGTCGTCCGTCTGTCTCGGTAAGCCGATGCCGTAGCTAGAGTGGCTTTGTAGCTTACCAATGCAACGATGCCATTGATAGAAGACTGCAAAGAAGCGAGCAGATGCTCGCCGAGAAAGCGTCATGCGTCGAACACTAGAACACAGTATTAACTGAAGTATCGGAAACAAAGAAAAACGCGCAATAAGATGGCTAGAAGCACCATAGATAGTGGTAACGAGTGTGACGTTTATCCCAAGATACCCATGAGCATGTTCACCAAAATTATGGTTGCCGAGGATTCCCCGATCACCTCAACTTCCCAAACCGTCTAATGTTCACCCACCCCCGGCCTTCTCTCCATTCAACACACAATGGCCGGCGTAATACCCTCGCCGGGAGTGCTCAGGCTGCTCCGCCACGCCCTCAATCCTCGCAATCCGCGATTCACACACCAAGTCCGCAATGCGACGCTGTTGCGCCGGCCAAAGCGCCCCTACACCTTCACGCAGTTGGTAACCCTCTCCGACGGCTCCAGCTTCGTTCACCGGACCACGAACCCCATGCCGATATATAAGAGCACGAAGGACACAAGGAACACGCCGTTGTGGAACCCTAGTTCACAGAAACTGCTTAATGTGGAAGAGGATGAGGCGGGCAAGTTGAAGGCCTTCAGAACTAAGTTCGGTCACGGATGGGATGCTGAGAGCCCGGTGAGTCACTCCCGGTGCACATTTGTGCTTTGGAAGTCGAATTCAGCTGACAGAATGGCATACAGGATCAAAGTGGGAAGGACAAGTCGGGTGGGCAGATGGATAACCTGTTGGATCTCATCAGTGGAGGGGACAGAAACCAGGCGAAGAAGGCGGCCGCAGCGTCATCCGCGGCGCCTGCGGCGCCCCCTGCGAAAGGCAAGACTACGAAGAAATAAGTTTTTGTACGATACGCTTGGGATTTACGTTGCATTGATTTGCAGAGACAATGGCGGATGGATCAGGTCTGGTTGTCATTTCTGTTCCTGCAACGACAATATTTACATATAATATACAAAGCTCGTCGACCTTTTCTCACAGGTTTCCTACCACTGCCTACACCCAGGTCGTTTCATTAAAACTTGGATAACTTTATACCTTTAACCTTGGGTGTACTTGCTCTCGACCGAAAGTAGTTTGAAGTTGCGGCATCTGGGTTGCGGAAGGGCCATTCCCTGTAGGCCTTGCAAAGACCCTGTATCATTTCAGGAGTCAGGTTGCGAACGCGCAGTTGACTCAAGTCCAATCTGCCGCCCTTCTTAGGGTCTCGCAGTGCGGGGACTTGTTCGGTGAGCTCCGAGGCCCCGTGCTGAACATTGTCCATGACATCTATAATCGAGTCGGTCGGCCCCACCAGAGCGGTCGTAAAGTCGGTGAAGTATTCAAAGTCCTCTATAGACTCGTCTGCCGGTCGAGGTCGAGGTGTATTGTCAACCAGAGAAGCATGCACGGGTGGGTATATTTCATCCGGTTGTAGCACAAGCGGCTCAAAAGGTCGCTCATCCCATTGCAATCGAGGGCCTGGCGACCTGAGCATCAGCCGGTCGTCCAATTCACCGAATACTAAAGTTCGGATGTTCTTGTCTATATTCTCCCATGCCTCATGGAACTCTGTCTGCAGCTTCTTCAATTTTAATGTCTCTTTCTCCTTGCGCGCTCCATCTGGAGTGCTTAGAATAAGGCACTCTTGCTGGTAGATGCGCTCTCCCAAGTCCACGGCTTGGTCAATCTTCTGTCTCACATTCGAATGACGCGTCACAGACGCCCGCACTTTGTTCAAATTCCTTTGCTCATCCGAAACCCGAGGTGCCCCTCTCTTTGATGTCCTTTGAGGCGGGGGTGGAGGGTTTGCTTTGAACGCCTTCTCACGTATCCATAGCTGACGGTGCTGTCCAAGGGTAATACCCTCAGTTGATTTCCCGCTTTCTTCTTGTTTCCTCAGGTACTCGTTTAATTCGGCAAAGCCAATGTTGCCCGTCCCCTTGGTCATCCTTGCCACATCATCTGCGAAATCGTGGATGTTTTCTCGTCGATGCGCAGGAAGTTCTATCCCAGCCTCCTTGGCCCTCTTCATCGCCTGAATCAAGCTCTCTATTTCATACCGTGCCGATCGGAACCAGGCGCGAGGATCAGGATGGCCGGGGCTCACCACCTCGACCATGTCGGTCGTCTTCATAAAGACAGCGGTGTTCTTCCCGGTACCGTGCACACCTCGAGGGAGTGCACGTTTGATATCCTCGCTAAGAATCCAGAAGAGCATTCTAGCGGGTCCCATGGCATGGAAACCTTCATTGCGCCACGCCATCCTCGCAAAGGCTCCGTGGATCTGTCTAGCCACAGAGTCGAAGCCCATGCCTGGAAGCTTTGGATTCCACATGAGAGTTCCTGTTACCAGCAGTGTATTGTTCGGTTCTTGCGCCCGCGAATCTCCGGGGTCAATGCGCGTTTGATCGGGAAAGTATCCATCGTCAATGAGCTTATCAAAAGTGCTATACAATGTAGGATCACCCTCGACGAACCTATACGTCGAGCCAGGCTGGTCTACGAGCGGTTGTAAATACGGCCGGAACAGCTTGGGATCAGACTCGAGCAGTACATGATTCCGGGGTTTGAGGAAGTCATGGAGCTTGGACGACCAGAGCCCAGCTCCTGGGTTCAGGTCGAGAATATCGCAGCCCTTGTGTTTCTCCAACGAGCGGCCAATATATGAGAGAACATCGTCTAGAAGTGTAGACACCGGTCAGTTGTCTATGCTTGGTCCCGGCCCATAGAGCCCGCATTGTCGGAGCCTTCCACCTACCACAAAGCTTGGGACTCACAATCTGTGGACGCACAATTACACCCGAGTATCTCTTCTTTCCAGATGGTACGTCGCAGGCCTGCTGCCTAAAGGTTTCGGTAAGTTTCGAGATCAGCCAGTTCTTCTTGTGCTCTGAAGCTTGGTCATCGTCGGTTCTCCAGAGCGCCTGTGTCGCATGGTAGCATCTCCAGCGGGTACGAGTTTGCAACGACGGTCGTAAGAGAGGACCTCTCGTGGGGCGCAATAATACGAGCATGGAAAGTCAGAGGCGGCCTTCCCCCAGGTGCATTAAGATCCGATTCCGTCTTCTCCGCAACTGTGCTGGCCGCCGCATGGATGGATTGACGTCGAATGCCAAGCCATCTAAAGATTCGACGCGCCCCACGTGCAGCGCGTGCGGGAGGCCCGTGCATCGGTTTGTTTACTCGTAAGAGGGAATCAAACAATACACGAGACCACCACCAAAGATCCCCACAACCGTGGTAAGTCCCTCTTACCGGCCAGCGCTTTTACATCTGGTAAGATGTCATCTATTCCTGTGCGCCAATCTAGACGCGTCGCGGCGGGGCGGCGAAAAGCCCCCGTAATAGACGATTCGGACGAGGAGGAAAACCAGACACCTGAGCCCGAACAAGAGAGTGATGGGGACACATTCACACCCGCTCCGGGACCTAAGAAGGTTGGCCGTAGAGGAAGGCCACGAAAGACCGTCGGAGACTCGGAAATCTCTCTAGGGGACGGAAGTCAGGCTCCAGAAGGAGATGGGGAGACAACGGCTCACGCAGCAGAACCCAAGAAGGTGGTGCGGCGAGGAAGACCACGTAAAACCGTTGAGAGCTCAGAGATTGCCATGCCGGCTTCAAGACGTCGCACTCGCGCCCCTGAAGACTCTGAAATCTCACAACTGCCATCCCCCGCGAACACGACTGCCATACCCTCTTCCGTCCCGATGGATCAGTCAACGAGGCGGAGAACAGTTGGTAGGCTTCCACGAAAATCCCGTGTTTCAGCCTCCGTCGAGCTCTCTGATGCAGCTTCATCGGGAACGGCGACCCCTACCGCGCATCTCCCTACGCCGGACCCCGTCGACCCACCGCAGCCAGACATTATGTCGGGCGCTCCTTTGACAGATATCACTGAGAGCGCCGTAAACAAGCCAGCGGCTCCCGCAGAAGTATATCACGACTTGTCTCATAAATCGCCTGTGGCGGGGATCCCTACGGAAGACACAGTGATGGAAGAGGCAACGGAGGTTCCTGTCCGGCAAACGGCGCCGCAGCCACTTATTCAGGAGCCCGCTCTGCCTAAGAAGCGACTGGTCATTGCATACCTGGTCTTGACCGATTTCAAGAGCTATGCAGGGCGCCAGGTCGTGGGGCCATTCCACCCATCCTTCTCCGCCGTTGTTGGCCCCAACGGTTCGGGGAAGTCGAACGTGATTGACTCCCTTCTATTTGTCTTCGGTTTCCGTGCCAAAAAAATGAGACAGGACAAGATCGCAAACTTGATTCACAAGTCTGCCGACATAGAGCCTCCTAGGTTTTGCGAGGTGGAGATACAGTTCCAGGAGATCCTGGATCTGCCTGGCGGGGGACATGAGCCCGTCCCAGACTCGACCCTCATCGTCTCACGCCGGGCCTTCCAGAACAACAACAGTAAATACTACATCAACCACAAGGAGACCGATTATAGCGTAGTCGCGAAGCTTCTTCGACACAAGGGAATCGATATCGATCACAAGCGCTTCCTGATTCTACAGGGTGAAGTCGAACAGATAGCAATGATGAAGGCCAAAGCTCCGAATTCGAGCGAGGACGGCCTTCTAGAATATCTGGAGGATATCATTGGATCATCCCAATACAAAGACAAGATTGAAGAAATCACCGAAAAGGTCGCGGCATGCGAAGAAGAGTGTCAAGCAGAGAAGAACCGCTTCGATCATGTCGAGAAACAGAAAAACGCCCTGGAAGAGCCAAAAAAGAAGGTCATTGCTTTCATCCGAGATGAAAATGAGCTTGCCGTTAGACAATCCGCATTGTATCAGCTTATACTACATGAAGTTGCCAATCAAAAGCAGGCCACCCAGACTTCTGTAGAACAATTGACGGCAAAGTTGAACGATGAGCGTGGTAAGCTAGAAGAGGAGACGAAAGTCATCAAGGGCCTTGAGAAGCAACAGGAGCAGGGCGAGCGTCAATGCGAAAAGCTGGAGAAGCATTCTGCCGAGCTAGCCAAGGAGTGGGAACGCCTCAAAAGAGAAGACCTGAAACGAACCGAGAGGAAGAAGACGGTATTAAACAAACAAAAGAAACTGGCGGCTCAGCAAGAAGAAAAGCGAAGAGATATATCCGCTGCCGAACATCACATCAAGCAATATGGCGATGACATTGTGCGCTACGAGAACGAAATCAACCGCCTTAACCAAGATCTCGAAGTGCAGCAAGATGAACTCAATACGATCATTTCCAGCTTGCGCGGGAAGACCGAAGCGCTTACGAATGAGATTCAGCAGAAGAAAGATTTGCTGCAGCCGTGGAATGAAACCGTTGCCCATAAAAAGTCCGAAATTGAAGTCGCTCAGAAGGAGCTAGACTTACGCCGGGAAAAGGCCACAGCTGCCGCCACGGGCATCGGGAAGATTGAGGCAAAGATTGAAGAAGTCATGAACGCCAAGACCAACAAAGAATCAGAACTTGATGCGTGCCGAGGCGAAGTCCGGAATGCCCAGGACGAGCTCAAGCAAATGCAAAGTCAAATCAACCGGCTGCTGAAAGAAGAGGATGCTGTACGGATCAAACTCAATGGTGCAAGGCAGAAAGCCGATGAGGCTCGAGCAAGCCTCACCGCCACGCAATCACACGGAGACGTTCTGAAGGGACTCATGCGAATGAAGGCCCCTGGCTTTCACGGCCAACTGGGCCATTTGGGTACCATCGATCAAAAATATGATATTGCTATCTCCACAGCATGCCCTCAATTGAAGAATATGGTGGTGGATACTGTTGAGATTGGCCAACGATGCCTCAAACATCTCAAGACCCATGACCTGGGAAGAGCAACCTTCATAGTGTTAGAGAAGCTCCCCAATCGAGACCTGTCCCCAATACCGACGCCTGAAGACGCCCCACGATTGGTCGATTTGGTAAGACCGAAGCACGATAGGTTTCGCCCCGCCTTTTTCAGCGTTCTCCAAAATACATTGGTCGCCAAGGATCTGGATCAAGCCCGACGCATTGCGTATGGTAGGGAGCGATGGAGAGTCGTCACGCTAGATGGGCAGCTTATCGACAAGTCCGGTACCATGACTGGTGGCGGCACTCGAGTTGCTAGAGGAGGCATGTCTTCAAAACTCCCAGCTGCAGAGGTCAGCAAGGAAGAAGTGGTAAGGATTGAGCAGGATCGTGACGCCCTTGAGCAAAATCTTGCCAATCTGGAAGAACAACGTCAGTCACTTGAAGAGATGATGCGCAGCCATCAGAACCAGATTGAGCAACTCAGCAAGAAGATTCCTAAATTTGAGATGGAATTGAGACATCTTGACAGAAGCATCGAAGACCTGCAGAGCCGGGTCAGAGAGCTGTCTTCCGAGCAATTGACGACGGATTCTGACCAGAAGCGTATCCAGGAGCTGGAAAAGAGTATTCAGAAGATGAAGCAGGAAATTTCCCAACCGCCTCCCAAATATGCCGGTCTGGAAGCCGGGATCAAGGACCTAGATCAGAAGGTCATGGCCATGGGTGGCGTGAAACTCCGAGCTCAACAAGCTAGGGTGGATGGCCTTAAGGAAGAGATAGAGACACGCTCCAGCGAACTATCAAGGACCGAAGCCGCCAAATCCTTGGAGGAGAGGAAGCTCGTCAGCCACCGAAAAGAACTCGAGAAATTCGCGAAAGAACTCGCCAGTCTAGAAACGGAGCTAGAAAAGATGGAAGACGCTTTGCACTCATCAAGAGAGAGCGTGGTATCTGCGGAGCAGCGAGCTGCTGAGGCCAAGGAGGTGTGTAACTCTGGCTGCTCTCTATGATACCTTACTAACAGTTTATAGCATGTAGAGGAGATGAGGGAGCAACTCGATGATCTGAAGAAGGAGATCAATCGACGACAGGAGGAACTTACCGAAAAGCGTGGGGTCGACATTGACCTGGCCAACAGACTATCAGAGGATGAAAAGAAGCTGAAGGAGTATGAAAGGAAGGAGTTCAAATACGCGGAAGCCTTGGGAGGTCTTACTTACCAAAGCCTGAGGTGAGCAATACCCTGCTAATCGCAAGGATGACCGCTAAGATCACATAGGGACCTCGGAGAGGAAGAAGACGAATCTGACGGCCTGCCCACATATTCTCCGGACGAACTTCAAGATCTTGACAAGAACGAGCTGCAGGTTGAGATCGCCGAGCTCGAAAAGAAGAAGGCGAACGCTACTATCGATCGCGGTGTACTCGTAGAGTATCGAAAACGTACGGCTGATTACGCTGAGCGCAAGCTTGTCTTGGAGCAAGCTGTTCAGAGGCGGGATGAAGCGAAGAGGGAACTCAAGTACAACTCTGATCTCCGGAAAAACAGCTTCTTGGAGGGCTTAAGCATAATCAACGAGGAATTGAAGGAGATGTACAACCTCATCACGAGCGGGGGGGCGGCGAGTCTCGACCTTGCAGACTCCCTAGACCCGTTCTCAGAGGGTGTTCGTTTCAGTGTCCATCCGCCCAAAAAGTCTTGGAAGGAGATCTCCCATCTCAGCGGCGGCGAGAAGACACTGAGTTCGTTGGCACTTGTGTTTGCGTTACACAAATATAAGCCCACGCCGTTGTACGTCATGGACGAGATCGATGCTGCTTTGGACTTCAAAAACGTAAGTGGATATGGATTTGAGCATACATTACGCTCAAGAGACTTATCGAGACCAGGTCTCCAAAATCGCACATAATATCATGGAGCGGACGAAGAACTCACAGTTCGTAGTCATTTCTTTGCGCCATAATATGTTCGAGCTGGCGTCTCGTCTTGTGGGTGTGTACAAGGTCAACCAAAGGGTGAGTTAATGTTTGCATAACGTCGTTGGTGACCCAGATGCTGATAACCTTGTGCAGACAAAGAGCGTTACGCTCGAGAACAAGGATTACATCCGCGATGCTCTCGCTGCGCGTGCGGGTACAATGGCTTGATGACTTTCCGCTGTTTATTTACCTGCCGCCTGGTGTGCTGATTGGTTGCTTTTGTGAAACTAGAAGCTTTCACGGAGTTTGGGGTTTAGGGTTCGATTGAGCGCTAGGCTTGTGCATAACAAGGCCATTTGGGACATGAGGCTGATGGTTATGATTTCCAAATTACTCTGTGGTTGTGGGCTCGCATTCGGGTCACGATGGTTACGGCTGTGGCATACTTTAGGTAAATATCATGACTCTTATTTTGTGCTTGTCAACCTACATTTGGTCACGCTGAGGGAGACGGAATTGATGAGGGCTGGATGAACCGGCCCTGCAATCACAGGCAAGTACCTTTAATGATACAAGTCGGAGGGCTTGCGGGATAAGAAGCTGGCATTGACACATATGTTTCAGTGCATATAAGACCAATCACATACCAGAGATACAAACCCAGTCAGGTCGGTTTCCCTAGGGCCTCGGTGCGGGGATCTCCAACACCATATCCCCTTCTTCTCAAATCCCAATCTTCAACGCCAACAGTCCATCCCCTTCCCGCCCTTTGGTCCTGTACTGTTCTCTATCGTCTCCGTGTTGCTGCTCGTCGAACCCTTCTCACACCGTAAACCCAACCCATCCGTCAAATCACCAACAATGGCGTCCGCAGCGGGAGCAGCGCAGAAATTCAAACTCGTCTTCTTTGTCCCCGTGTCCTCACTGCAGGCGTGTAAAACCGCGATCTTCAAAGCGGGAGCGGGGAGATGTCCTGGACCGGGGAATTATACGGAATGTGCTTTTACGACGAAGGGAGTGCAGCAGTTTAGGCCGGGTGAGGGGGCGAATCCTAATGTAAGACGTCTGCTGATCCGTGTTTGCTTTTTTATAGGTCGGTTAAAGAGCTGACTCGAGGTTTTAGATTGGGGAAGTGGGTGTTTTGGAGGAGGTCGAAGAGTGTAGGGTGGAGACGCTTTGTGTCGGGAGGGATGTTGCTGTGAAGGCGGTTGAGGCGTTGAAAGAGTGAGTTAAACTTGACCAGACCGTTTTTGGAGAGAGGTTCAAACATCTTTGGGAGACAGGGTTCGCTGATGAGTTTTAGAGCACATCCATATGAGGAACCTGGTTACGAGGTGTACAAGATTGAGGATATGTAAGGAGCACGAGAAAGTGTCCGTGGCCATGCGTATATCTTGCATGCCACCAATCTTCATAATTAGCGGAACTGGGCCAAACCGCGCATATCTATGCGGAGTCGCGAGGAAACACGATCTACTTTGAATACCAGCTCGTGACAACATGTGTAAGAACCTGCTTAATGACCGGCAAGTCCTTCTCCACATCCGCCATCCAGTTGGAAACTGCAATTCTGCACGCTGGTTTTCCCTCCCAGGCAGTTCCCGACACGTAAATCTTCCTGGAAGCCTTGATCTTGTCAACCAGCACCTTGTTCATCCCGTCGTCCTTGGCTCGAAACAGGACGATCATGAAAACCTTGCTCAATATCTCATCTTTGCTGCCTTCCTCCTTTGGCAGAAGTTCAAAATCGCTGCTTTCCAGCAAGAACTCCGCAACCCTTCGAGAAAGAGCAACCTGCTTCTCAAGCATCCGACGATATCCCTCAATCCCGTATGCCGTCAGAGAGGCATAAACAGGGAGGGCTCGGAAACGCCGAGAGTTCTCTATGCCGATATTAAGCGGTGACATGATGCTGCCGGGCGATGCACTGAGGTAGGCAGCATTGGGGTTCTGGAAGACATTCGACGCAATATCCCGATGGCGGCACAAAAAGAAGCCGCAATCGTAGGGGACGTTGAGAAGCTTGTGAGAGTCCCCCGTTATGGAATCAGCCAGCTCAAGGCCTTCGCAACCGTTGATGATGGTCTGGTGCTCATGGGCAGTCAGAAGACGGCCCATGATGCCGAAAGCTGTGCGCAGTCAGAGAGTTGGGATGGAATCTTGGAATCACACTCTCACCTCCATCGACGTGAATCCAAGCGCCGTAGGTATCACACAAACTCCTGATCTCCTGCATCTCGTTCATTCCAGATGTTGCAAAGAAACCAGTGTTAACCTCTGAAGCTGATATGGCTACAATGGACGCAGTGCCAGGAGTTTCGAGGAGCTTCTTCAACTGCGCTATGTCGAACTTATGCGGCGCATCCGCTAGCCCAATTGACTTGACTGAGGCACGTCCCAGTCCAAGTATACTTGCAGCTTTGCTGAGTGATGAGTGTGGGACGGTCGTCAAAATCTGAATCCTGTCGATACCCGCCCGGTGCATGGCCTCATAGATGCCTATGTCCCCAACACTCAACGGCGGGTCGCTGCGGACTGCAGATGCCTCTGTAATGGCATATTCCCTACCACAGGCCAGCCCGAGGATGTTACTCGCGGTAGCCCCGGTAGTGAAGACGCGGTGCGGCCATTGGGAGGGGTCCAGCCTCAGGAGCTCGCACAACATGGAAAGCGCTCTGTCTTCAACGTCCGTGGCTACCGTTTCCTGCGGCAAATGGACCTGGACATTCTGGTCATAGGTTGTGACTAGGTTGTCTGCGAGACTTGCTGCCGGAGTGCTGCCTCCCGTGACAAAGCCATAATAACGAGAGGAACGGCTGGAGGCGTTGAGTCCCGGAACAATGTCGTTCTGCAAGTGATCTATGGTCCTTTCCAGCCCTCTCCCTTGCACTGGTAGGCTTTTGAGGAGTTTTTGTCGTGCCAGAGTCAGCGCCTGTTCTGCAGGTAGGACATCTTCGGTTGGAGATTGCGTGTGGAGGTTCGCGATGGCAACCGAAAGTCTTGATAGCAAATCCGAACTGGACTCCATTGCTGAGTTCATGGAAACCCTCGAATGACAGCGAAAAGCGAGAGGAATGTCTTGAGTCAAGATATTGGATATGTACCATGCAATGTTGACTCCTTTTGCTGCATCACGTGCCCCCGTGCCGTTTTGTCAGCAGCCACGCGGGGGAAAGCGCGACGGAGAATCGCGTGTCTGAGCACAACGACAACAGAGAAGCCTCACCCCTCCGCCACACTTCGAATAACACTGGAACGCCGCTGCTCACGATCGACTCAAATGCGGCCCCTACTCCTCGACGACATGATCATCTAATGCCTCGGAACAACCTCAATGAACAAATCAAGTGGTTGCTGAGCGCGAAGCCATTCATTCCGCCCACGACATCCCTCATTGCATACGATCCCGAAGTCCCACCGGCATATACAACGCCTACAGAACCAGCTTCCTTTGTGCCCGACGCAGCGTCGCATGATGCAATCGACAGAGTACCTCCGAGAGCATCCGTACCGCCTGCCCCGCCCTCCTCCAATAACACCAGACAGCCTTCCCCAGGCGGGGACGCAGACCCCGAGATGGCGCGACTACGCGGCACTCCAGGCGATGGAAAGCCTAGACTTATGTTAAAGGAGGTGCCAGTGCAGAGAACGCTCTCTATTTCGACGCATGCTCGGAAAGGGGAGGAAGCTGGTGCTGCTAGGCCGCCTGCATCCAGTTCCCGAAATCCCATTACGGCGAAGCAAGGGAATGGAGGCGAAATAGACACCATCGACTTGACCAGCGACCTTGACGAACCACCTGCTAAGGACCCGCAACGCCCTAAGCAGGGAAAGAAACGGAAGAGCGATGAGTTTGAACATGGTGAGAGGATCAAAAAATCGCCCCGGCCGGACAAACACCAACAGCCCGCGGCCACCCCAAATAGACTCGATTTTGATGATTTTGCCAACATCGACGAGTTCGGACACGTACCCACCAGCCCTCCTCCTCCATATTCAACTACCGTCCCAGATGTTCGGGTTTCGGATGATGCTGATATGGAAGACATTTCTTACGATAATGATGACTTTGGCGTTCGGATCCCCGATAGTGGCGATGAAGAAGACCTACGAGATGTCATGCCTCTGTTGCCGGAGAATGTCAGGAAGCGGAAGCCCATGAATCGCGTGCCTTCGGACGCATCTATCCCTCCCCGTAAGATTGGCAAGCAGGTCGAAAACCGGTCGTCAGAGAAGGCTACAGTTCGAGGTTCTGAAAAGGAGCCGCCAGGGAAGGACATTCCGCGTGAGACTTCGGTGAAGAAGGTGCGCCATGCCGTGTTGGACTCTGAGGATGACGACTTTGGAGATCTTGATGAGATAGATTTTGAGTCTCACTCTCCAGGAAGGGAGGCGGAAGCTGAGCTCCGAGAAACCCGCAAGTCTACCCCTCGGGACTCCCCTCAAAGGCCCACAAAATGGGAACCATTGACCTATGATAATCCCCATCCAGCTCCCCCACGGACTCCCCAGAGACCAACCAAGTGCGAATCCTTGATACTTGAAACAGAAGCGCAAACACGTGAGAGCAGTCATCCATCTCCACGGCGTTCCCCTCACAAACCAACCCCATGCGAACCCGTGACGTCTTCTTTGCCGATCCGTTCACCAACAAAAGCGACGATAAAGACACCATCAGGCTCACAAGCACGCCAGCGCGAGATCCCTTATAGTCCTTCGAAACTTGCTGGACTTTTCACAGCGCAGTCATCGCCGAGAAGATTGCATGATAGCCAGGAGCCCAAGCTCAGATTTCCTTCTTCATCAAACGTCCCGAAAGAGGATAGGGAGCTCATCCGTCGGACCGTGTCAGATTTCATAAGGATTGAGGAATGTCGACTCGGGGAACATCTTCAGAAGGCACAACAAGATTGGAAGGACGCACGTTCAGCTTATCTGGAGCATCTAGAGGATAATGACGGAAAGGCGCTTCCCGGCGAGTGGGAGAAGGTGGAGATGTCGCGCTCGAGGAAGGACGCCACGGAGAAGTTGATCAGTCTTGCCAGAGATGAGAGGGAGCTGAGTACTCAGCGGATGGAGGTCAGAAAAAGGATGGAGGAAGCCCTCGAGAAGGGAGAGACGCCCGTTGATGGCGAGAAAGCTGCCAGAATCAAGCGGGCTTTGGAGGATATCCAATCCCAAATCTATTCTCTGATTCAAGTCGCCGGGTTGAACAGTTTCACCAACCCTCCTCCGCCCGATCATCCAGATGGTTCCGCCCACGATATCGTTGTTCAATCCACTCAGACTGCCACAGCTGTGAGGCCGGTGCATGTCGCAGCCTCGTCAGACTTGAATCACGTCCCTCAAACACAATACGTCAGGCAGACACAGATATCCGTCCGCGAGGTTTGGACGCCTTCCAGATCAATCCGGTTTGCCGGAGGGAATGAAACCGGGCCGATCCCGCTGCCACCTGCGTTCGCGAAGCCCAACCGTCCGCCTCCTGAGGGTCAAGGAGCGGGCCCCAGAACCATGGCGGGAGAAAGATCTCACAGAATACCGGAAACACCTCAACGCCGGGATTCAGTTGAGCTACGTTTGAAGACCGCACGCGAATCTAGCGGCCACGAGTCTTTTCACACACCTGATGATATTCCTGAAGATTTTGGGGACGACTTTGGGGATGGCGAAAACCTATTCGCAAATTGTATGGATGAAGACGAAGACTATGGCTATGATGTAGACGAAGAAGATTGGCATAACGTGGCTGAGAACATTGAGAAAAGACCACTCCAGAATTACGACTGGAGAGGCGAGAGAATTGAGCCTGAGTCCCGGCAGCAACTCATAGACCCTGTTTGTGAGTCCTCGGTTGCTCGCAGTCGACAACGGCCAAATACCCGTTCCCCGCGAAAGTCTCAGCTTAATGACGAGGGCTACAACTTCCCTTGGTCTCAGCAGGTGAGATACGAGATGATTCATCGATTCAGGCTGATCGGATTCCGTCCGGGTCAGTTGGAGGCAATCAACACAACTTTGAACGGAGAGCATTGTTTCGTACTCATGCCTACGGGAGGGGGCAAGTCCTTGTGCTACCAGCTGCCTGCGGTTATTACGTCTGGCAGGACACACGGTGTTACCATCGTCATCTCTCCACTGCTTAGCTTGATGGAAGACCAGGTTAATGCATGCCAGAGCCGCTTCAGCATGCAGGCAGCGCTGATCAACGGAGAAACCGGCGGTGCAGAGAAGAATGAGATTATGGGCAGACTGAAGAGTCCTGATCCCCAGAGTTCTCTACAGCTCCTGTATGTCACGCCTGAGATGCTCGGGAAAAGCCAGAGAATGCTCAACGCATTCAAGGACCTATACAACAGAGGCCAACTCGCTCGTGTTGTCATTGACGAGGCTCATTGTGTCAGTCAATGGGGACATGATTTCCGCCCAGACTACAAAGCCCTTGGAGATGTGCTTCGCCAGTTTCCTGGAGTCCCAATCATTGCCCTAACGGCCACAGCAACGCAATTGGTTCAGACCGACGTGATGGCAAATCTGGGAATACGAGGTTGCCGCAAATTCGCCCAAAGCTTCAACAGGCCCAATCTGTCGTATGAGGTTCGAGAAAAAGGAAGAAATGTTGTCGGCAGCATCGCAGAATTGATCCGATCGAAGTACACAGGCAAGTGTGGCATTGTGTACTGTCTAGCCCGGAAAACCTGCGAATCTGTTGCGAGGAAGCTGAATGATTTGGGTGTACGTGCCCATCACTACCACGCAGGCATGCAGTCTCACGAGCGATCGGACGTCCAGGAAAAATGGCAGAAAAACATCTACCATGTCATCGTTGCCACAATCGCGTTCGGGATGGGCATCGACAAGGCAGACGTGAGGTTTGTCATACATCACAGTCTGCCAAAGAGCTTGGAAGGGTATTACCAAGAAACTGGGCGTGCTGGCCGTGACGGGAAACGTTCCGAATGCTACCTGTATTACATGTATGCGGATTCAAACACCCTGAGGAAGATGATTATGGACGGCGATGGGAGCGAAGAACAAAAGCAGAGGCAACGTGACATGTTGCGCGATGTCATCCAGTACTGTGAGAACAAGAGTGACTGTCGCAGGGTTCAAGTCCTGCAATACTTCAGCGAGAAGTTCCGGCGTGAAGATTGCAACAAGACATGCGACAACTGTAGGTCCGGTACAGTCTACGAGGAGAAAGACCTTACCTCATACGCAGCTGCTGCAATCAGACTTGTCGAACAGGTCGAGAAGCAACATGCAACACTGCTTCAATGCGTGGACGCCTTCCGAGGATACAAGAAATCCAGGTTCATTAAGTATGGCCTTGGAGAATTCGGGTATGGAGAGGACCTGGAACGAGGCGACGTTCAGCGGTTATTTTCGTTGCTGCTCCAGACTCAGGCGCTGAGACAAGAGAGCGTATTGAACAAGGCGAAGTTCGCGACCGCTTATATCAAGGTATGGTTTGAAAGGCTCCCATCATTCTCTGCTAACCAGTTGTAGCTTGGAAATCGCTGGCAGGACTATGCAGAGGGGCGCAGGCGGGTGAAGATGCAAGTTTCCGTTACGCCTGGGCGGGCAGCGAAGAAGTCGAAACAGAAGCGCGCAGACTACCCTTCGACAAACGTTTCGTCCCCTACACGGCCTCCTGTCAAGCGGAATATGCGCGAGTATGCTTATGCTGAAGATAGCGGCGGTAAACAGATACAGCGGCAGCGACGCACAAGTAAGCGGCCCATAGTCCCAGATGACGAAGGCGAATCATCATATGCCTGTCCCGAACCTGTGCGAAATGCGAAGCCATCGGCCTCGAAGAAGAACAAGGCTCCTCCACGCCTACTTACCACTTATGAACGGATACGAGGTCTCACTGAAGTACAGAACCTGATCCTGGAGGACTTTGTCAAGACTGCAAAGGAAGAGGGCCAGAAGATTCTCCTGCAGAAGAACCTGCGCAACCAACCCTTTTCCGACACCATCCTCCGAGAAATGGGTCTGGATCTGCCTAGGAGTCTGGACGAGATGCTCCAAATACCGGGAATTGAGAAAGAGAAGGTGGAGCACTTCGGAAAGAACCTCCTTCGGCTAATCGAGAGAACTAGGCAGGCTTATGGCAATGAGCTGCCGCCACCGAGAGAACAGCCCGCTAGGTACCGCGTTATTGTATCTGACGAAGAGGATGACGATGAGAGTGAGACGCCCCTGGATCCAAATCATCAAGTCAAACCCATCATCGACCTCTGCTCTGAATCCTCGGAACCTCCTGCGCCGTCGGATACGGAGAGCGTCTATGGCAGTCCAGTTGAAGCGGGAGATCTGGAGGCCGAGGATGAGGAGTATGAAGAACCGACAACGTATAAGAGTCACTATTTCGTGCCCACGGCAGATCCTCGCGTTCAGGAATTCAATCCACGCAGCGAGCAGTCGAAGGCACGGTCAACGGTTGCGAGTGCGGCGAAGGGACACAGCACTGCGAAACCGCCACTTCCGGAACGAAGGAACCTGCCATTCAAGAGTAACAATCATCGGAGGTCTTCTGGAGGAGGGGGTGGGACCAGAAAAGGGTATGCAGGTGTGAAGAAGAAGGGGGCGGCGAAGAAGGCGCCAGCTAAGAAGCGGACGGGTAGTGGTGGGAGGGGGAGTGGAGGAGGCGGCGGATGGTCTGGCATCATGGCAATGCCGAGTTGAGATAAAAGGAAGCGAGTGTCGTCAGCGACTGCAGGTCATTTAGAACCATGCTCGGAGTTCTGTGGGATCCTTGTTATGGCATTGAGCGTGCGTAGCGGGCGCCATTTTGCTGGGCGATTCGGCTCCGAGTTTAGGGACTGCTGCATTTGCATATGCATATATTTTGTATGGGGTTCTAGAGGGTATCTTCCATGTTGGGGTTTCAATCCCTCCTTCTTGAAGGGCTTGCTTGATTCATGCACACGGGTCTGTCAGATGCAAGAAGGAGTTCTGTGGAAGACTTGGGCGGAGTGCCCATGGATGGTGCCCGTTGTTCAGACGGCTAAGAATTGGAGACATTATACTTTGCTCCCCCATTGACACTGCCGTTGAGGCAAAGAGATTTAAGAAAAAGAGAGGACACAGAGCCGCCTCAGACCAGCAGCAACTTTGTAGCCAACTTTGGGTTGATGTTATTAATATAAGCACAGGACAAGATGAATACGACTGATATTGGTCTAACTTAATTGGGAAGGAATACCTGAGCGCCTTCTCATGTCGACCATTTCCTCCTCCTCAACCCGCCGATACCTTCGATGATTCTTTTCATCCTCCGACCTCAGCGGGAATTGCTGGACATGTGGGCAGCTCCGGTCGCCATCCTTCGCATGCTGGCATTGTCATATTACTTTGCGTTGTCTCATTCCGGATACGGATATAGGGGAGTTGTTAAATGACCTACATGTAAGACCGTCTGGGTATAGTGCTTACACTGGTGGAGCGCTGGCGCCTGGGCAACCAACCTCCCTGTTTTCGCACTGTAATCTTCGATTCTGCGGTATTGTCGGCGCCTGTAAGTTACCGTCGGCCACACTGTAGGTGGTGGGTGGCGAATATCTCCAGATTCTGGCGTGGAGTAGTAGTTTCGGGTAGGCTTTCGGGTAGGCTAGCAGTCAGATAGGAGAGCTCAGGAGGTTCAATTTGTATGCGATTTCCTATAGAACCAGCACCCCTGATTCTTATAGAGATGAAGCTGCAGATGAAGCTGTAGATACAGAGTCTGGACAGATCGATCGCATGTGGGGCGTGGTGGCGCCTGCCTGTTATGGGCAAGCGGTTACGGTTTTAGGTTTAACCCCTTCCTGTATAGGCAGGCGCCACAATCCCAGATATGCGGAAAATCTGGCCAGACCCTGTATCTAAGATAGAGGAGGGGGAACATCTGCAGGTATTTTACGATTGCCGTGCTGACCGCGGAGCTGTTTTGATTATAGCTGAACGCCCATATATTTCGCACGACTCGCCGGTAGGGCGGCCAAGCCGCCCGTGTAAGCACTATACCTAAATGGTGTTACATGTAGGTCAGTTATTAATTAGTTGTAGGTCATTTAACAACTCCCCGGATATAGGCTGGACGGCCAATCAGAGACGCCGAGATCATAAGGCGAATCCTCCAAGACAGCAACAACAGCAAACTCGGCGGCGGCAAGACACCAGCAAGCTCGAGCAGCCGGCACATTCAACTCCATGATACATATTCCAGAAGAGGCAGCCAAAATACACACCGCTTGTTGTAGCACTGGGGCACGACGGACCGAGAGCTGTCCACCTGAGCTGCGAGAAGCCGGAGATCCCCTGCCCGAATTCTTGGTGGAGCTTCAGCCAGCTCTCTGACGACTGCAGCTTGGAGAGAGACGAGGGAGAGAGAAACAAGGTAAGACAAGCAGCAAAAGCCAACTATCTTAACAAGAACAGCCACAGCCAATCTACTCGCATGGAGACAGTCATTTCATCCTCGACCGGGGCCTGCCAGGGCACATTGGATATACTGTGTACAAATCGCAGGTCTGGAACACGGCAATTCACCCTTCTCTTGTTCATGCGAGCATCGCCAACCTTGAAGAAGTTTCATAGAGCGGGTGGCACAACCGCTCTTTCACTTCCCGGGCAGGACTTCCCTTTTCGTTTGATTCGGAGACCCACCAGCAGCGTGAAAGGAGAGAGAGACCTCATCCTTTCCTCACCCCCACCCCACCTGCTGGTCCCCCTCCCCCTCCTCCCCGGTTCACAAGTCGCCGCCCACCTTTGCACCACCCTGCAACCCAGTCCAGCTTGAAAGCCACTCGCACCCCCAGCTGGCCCCCTCTCCCCTCTCGCATGATTACTCCGCCTGCAGTCAACGAAACCCGCACAGCCCTCCCCTCTCCCCGCTTCCCAGGAACTCGCTTTGTACCCCCCATTTCGCAGCTGTTGCTCACCCTTCGTCATAGCTCATAGCTCCCCCCCGACGACACCTCGAGCTTGCCAGAGCTTCCACAAGCTCCACCGCCAGCGGCTTGTATACCCAACTTGCGACGCCCATTGAACCTTTCCAGCTTTGCGCCTCCAACTTTTTCACCTCCTCCTGTCGCCGCCCGCCCGCTCGGTCCGCCTCGCACGGTCCCGCGAGGGTAGATGCAGCTGGTGATGCCGCCTCGAGCCTCCCTCACAGGATCCTTCTCCGTTTCCGACGAGAACAATGTCGTCGTTTGCCCGCTGCGGAACCATGATGGCTCTGCCTGTCGGAAGCGCTGCACTGGCGTGAGTCCTCCTGTCTTCCATTGCCTCCTCCTCCTCCTCGCCTTCATTGCCCACTTGCTCTCCTTCCCCGCCACCCTCTACCACTGCGCCCTCTTCACCCCTCAATGCGCTCGACTGACGCCATGCGCTCTACAGGAGAAGAGATATCGCTCCATGCAGGAGCATATCCGCCGCGCGCATCCCGAACACTACATCCCCAAGCTCCCCGCCACCGAAGAAAGCTTCACGCTCATGATCAACTCCCCTCCGCAAGAGCGCCCTCCCCAACCCGTACAATCCCATACTTCTGCAGGCCCACAAGGTTGGTGCCCTTGTCTCTCCAGCATTGCCGGAGACTGACGCAGCTCAAAGGCCCCGGAGGCGATCGCAATGCCTTCCACGCCAACGATTACGGTCCCGGCAGCGCCAGGGCCGTGGGTGAGGTGCGCCGACCCTCCATACTGCCCGCCGCCAGTGCTGCTGCTGCCCTAGCTTCGTTGCACAATTCACGGGTCGAGATGGGATGGGAATCGGATCCGGTACGTAGCTTCTCCCATGGGTGCAAGGCTTGCTCGGTTAACGCAAATGCGTCCTCAGGAGGCCACTTCTGAGCCTGATTCGAAGAGCTACAGACCTCGGGCTCGTTTCGCTCCCACGGCCATGGAGCAGCATATGACCGGCCAGGAGCCTTACTATACCTCATCTACATTGCACCATCAATTGCTACCGTCTTCCATGGCAGAGTCACCACCGGGACGTTCCTCCACTCTTCCCCCGGTCCCGCGTTCGGTGAAGCCTAACCGCCCTCGCAAGTCTTCGGTGGGTAAGGCGAAGCATGAGCGGTTGAAGGCCAGAGATCAGCGGAGGTTGAAGGCATACTCTGCAGAGCCACAGACGGCAGCCGCCATATATGGGAAGAGGTGGGAAGACCTCATTGACGCGGCAGCTTCAGCAACAGAGGAAGACAGCCGAGATCTGACTCCAGTAAGCATATCATCCCCCATTGCTCCACCGTTAAGCTAACGTCTAGGTGCCTCAATCACCGACCCGCTCTCCACAGATCTTCAGCCGTTCTTCCCTCCCTCCCTTCGCCGCTCCCGCCCCGCACATCCAATCCTACACCGCATCACCCCTGCACAAAGCCCTCACTCCTCCACCCCCGGAACTTTCCGACCTGCAACCCTTCCCCTCCGTCGAATCCTCCATTGACTCCACCGCTTCGGGCATCAACTTCCACATGCCCTCTCAAGGCCTCTCGGACTCTTCGCCCACATATCTCCAGCCTGTGCAAATCTACTGTGCCGCGTGTAGGAAGCTGTCGGTGCTGAAGGAGAGTTTTGCATGTACCGAGTGTATATGCGGTCTTTGTCAGGAGTGTGTGGATGTGCTGGTTAGCGAGCAGACGAGGGGCCGGACGGCGAGGTGTCCGCGGTGTGGGGCGGTGGGAGGCAAGTTCAAGCCGTTTCAGTTGGACATTAGATGAGGGGGGGAGGAAGCGGATGTTGAAGCAATGGAGGAAGATGAAGAAGGATATGAAGACGTTGAAGACGCGGCAGAGCCCATCTTCGATTTATTGATTCATGAAAAAATCCCGTTCTATTTGGCTGGAAATATTTCCCTTTGGACTTGCCTCGGTGGGTTTCGCCGGTGAACCCGGTAAGTATGGTTGGCGACGAGGTCTTGGCAGTGGCAGAAATGACTGGTTATGCTGCATTCAACTTGAGATATGGAGTCTACGGATCGGGTTCTGGACCCCTGGGTTTTTTGGGTGGTATATCTGCTTTTGCTTTGGTTATCAGAACAACGAGGCCGTTCATTATCATGGTGTTTTGTTATTCGTTCCTTCTACCTTGTTTCTCGACTGTATATGGGTAGAAGCTGGTGTTTTCTGCGTCACGACATGAATCAAACGAAATATTATGCTACAGTAAGTGGATGAAGCATTCGATGAGTAGATAGCGTATGACGACATCGATGAGTAGATAGCGTATGACGACATCGATGGGGAAAATCAGCGAGAGCAGCATGATAGTTGGTGATGATTTCGCTGTCTGCTCGTTTCACTCTCTGATTGATTATCGCTCTCGATGGTAGTCGCGGTCCATGTGGTATATATCCCCATCTACCTCCAGCCCGTCGTCTTCTACCCTACCCTAGCGTACTCTCACTTCCCTCACGGCTTGCCCTCCTCCCCTCCTTCACTCTTGCCCTCCCTCTCCCCACTACCCTGCACCGGCGTGCCCGTCCCACTCCTCGGTGGACCTCCCGGACCTCCCTTGGGCGGCGGCCCAGCAGCAGCAGCAGCCCCCACCCTCGGCGGAGGAGGCACATCACCCTTGGGCCGGGGCGCATAATCCTCCTCCTGGCTCTTGATCTCGCCCTCGCGGAAATAGTCGTCGAGACCTGCGTCCGCTGCCGCCGTTGCTGCTGCTGCGCTGGCATCGTGGTGTCCGTGCGGGATGTGATGATGATGGGCTCGGGCTTTCCGTTTCGAAGACGGAGGCGGAGGGTGATGCGGGTTGGGTGATGTCGATGAAGCAGCAGTTGGTGGAGGTGGCGATTTGCCCTTCTTACTCAATACCTCGGCGGGGACGAATAACTCGTTTCCTACCAATCCCGTCCCCCCGGCCTCAGGTCCACCCCTCTTCTCGTCGAATGACGTGTGCTGCGAAGTGCCAGCACCAGTGCCAGCGGCGAAAAGCGTCTCGCCGGGTGCCTGGGGCGGTTCCTCCAGGGGAGCAGGGATGCGGTGCAAAGCGCCGAAACCGAGGACGCAGCCGAGGGCGCCGTCGCCGCCCCAGGTGCGCGAGGGGGTGATGGTGACGGGGCGTGTGACGTTGTATTCGTGGTTGTAGACGAAGAGGGGGAGCGGGCGGTTGAGGAACTGGAGGGGCGAAGAGGGGCAGGGTTAGTTGTGTTGTTTTTTGGATTAGTATAGGAAAAGGGAGGAAGAAGAGGAGATGAGGGGTAGGGATAGGGATAGCAGCAAGAGGAATGGAAATGTGCAGGCAATGGCAAGTAACGGGGCGTAGGGTAGGGAGGGGACGTACATCTTCGACTAATTCCCCCAAACCACTTTCCCCTCGCACGAGTCCCTCCGGGCTGCCGATTACGTAGTCGCCGTAAGGGAGGAGGCCGGCTTGTTCAGCGGGCGAGTTGGGGATCACGTCGAGGATGTGCCAGACGTCGTACGAGGTGGAGAGGGGCGTCCATTGGAGGGAGATGCCGAGGGTGGGTGAGGAGGCGGGGATGGGGAGGAAGATTTCGCGGATCTTTTGGCCCTGGGAGGGGGTCAATGGAAAGTCTTGATGGGTTGGGTGGAAACGAAGGAGTGAGATTGTGAGAGGAAAGGTGGGAAGGGAATTGAGAAGAATGAGGGTGAGGACTGAGTGAATAATAAGATGCTCAGGTGAGGACTGAGTAGAGAATATTTTCGGGAATGGTGTTGATGTCGGAAAAGAAAGGACACAGAAAAGGAACACATGAGAATTGGCCAATGACAACGTATGAAAATCTCTCCTCCACGGGCTCTGACGCGATAAACAGAATTGGTACCGCTCACCTTTGCGCTGTAGATACCTAGACTGACGGTAGTCCCAGCGCAATTCCGCACTTCGGTCGCAAACAGATTAGGATCTGGATTATCCTGCACCACATCACATTGATTAGCCGTGATTCCTTCGCAGACCCGCATCAACAATATCTCTTACAATCGTGTGCCCATTGATCCCAATGATGAAATCAAACCACGGCTCCAGCGGTACCTCCGGGTTCGTATTCCGTAACACCTGGAATCCATAGCCGCCCTGGGAGGCGGGACTCTGGTCTTCCGGGGCGGCGTCCAGCCTCGATATGAAGCGGTTCAGGGCCCCGAACATGGTGGTGATGAGGTGCGGTGCGGGTTCTGGAGAATGGCGATTGGGATGGTTGTTTGGAGAGGTCGAGGACAGGTGGTGCACATGTGGCTGATGATCCATGTCTGGGGTTGAGGTGGCCATAGCTTCAGATCCTGGCTACGCGGGAGTTGGAGTGATCGTTTCCTCTCAATATCGCGAGAGTTTCCTTGGATTGTGAGAAGAGGCAATGGTTGAGTCTCCGGCGCAGAAGCCTACCCGTGCGACATAGTAGGTACATCGGTCAACCCTACAAAGCTTTCACCGCAGGCAACTGCATTCCAGCTCAACCCGCACGATCCGGCCTAGCGCGTCTGCACAATGTCCGAAACAGGGATAGCCGAAGAAAGCATGTCTGAACGTCACTTGAGAGAGCTCCTCGACGAAACGATCATGGACGAAGAGCCGCCAGAGGATGAGGGCATTTATCACTGGGAGGAGTTTAATCAGGTCCCGAAGAAGTTGACAAAGTGACCATACTCCATTACGATGTTGGTGAAGCTCCTCCTGACGACTTCACAGGTACTTTGCTCAAAGACATGTCTTTTGGGAACGTTATAATCAGGGCATTTGGATGACGGAGGAAGCTTGGTATGGTGTCACGCCGGAGCCCATTGCAAAGTATTCCTCCCAACTGCATTGATGGCCCGTTTGACTAACAGGGCCCAGTACCATCGCTGTACATATCTCAGAATCCGTGCCAAAAGAGAAGGATGTGATCATTGATGTCTTCGCCGGTGTCGGCGGAAATGCCATCGCTTTCGCCCGCGAAGGGCGCTGGAGGCAGGTCTTCGCCATCGAGCGCGACTCAGCAACCATGAAGTGCGCAAAGCACAATGCGAAGGTCTACGGCGTCGAAAAGAAGATCGTATGGATTCAAGGCGACTGCTTTGATGTTCTTCAGCAACGATTCGCCGGCACCCAGAACGCCGTCATTTTTGCGAGCCCGCCTTGGGGTGGTGAGTGCGCTTCCCATCTCGTTCTGGGTAGCACCACTGATTATATCAGGTTCCGAATATAACAACGTGGATGTCTTCGATCTTTCGAAGATGCAGCCGTACAATCTGGACACGCTGTACACGAATTTCATTAAGATTAGCAGTCACCTGATCCTCTATCTTCCACGGACGTCAGACTTGAATCAGATTGCAAAGTACGCCCCAGAGGGCAAGAAGCTCGAAGTGGCGCATTATTGTATCAAGGGTGCAAGCAAGGTGAGACCCCCCGGGATACAACAGCGGAGTCCACGCTAACTCAATTGTAGGCACTTTGCGTCTATTTTGGAGATTACAATTTCCCAGAAGCGGAGGAAGGGGGAGAGGAAGAGGCGGAGGAGGGCGCTAATGGAGACGGTGAGAAGACAGATGAGGGGCGGACAGAAGGGTGATGTGCAATTTCACTCGTCACTACGACATCGTGAAATTTACGCTCTACAATGCGCATACTGGTTGGAAATGTACGCTATATAACTTAGGAACTACACTGACCCCTAGTGATTAGAGAATTATCTGTATACAATGGAGAGCATTCCCTCGTCATATTCAGAAACTTTCATGCGCAGACTACTTTCACAAGAACGACGAGTTTCTATTGGTCGGAGTGGTGGCGCCATAGACGGTCTTGGCGCCAAGTGCGGCTCTTCCGACGGCGCGGACCCTCACTCACTTAAACACCTCCAAACGCCAGTCGCTGGTGTCGCAAGACCGCTCACAAAGCTCAGCCGACAATCCTTTCAACCGCGCCAGCAGACTGCCCTGTCGACTGCAGAGCAGCGCTCTTTCATACAGCCACTGTCCGTTCCACGATCGGTGTCTTACCCTGAAGTCGACTGGGAGACCGACAATACCCTCCGCTCACGGCGGCGTGGGCTTTCACACCTACTGCGCCTTACGCACCTGCGACCCTACTCACATTTATCACACCTTCTCTTTTTCGATCATATCCGCGAACGTGTACCTATACGGACCCAACTACACCGCACGCCACGGCTCGACCGTAACCCCACGCTCATGCGATCATGGACCTGAACGAGCAGTCTCGGGAGCAAGGTCAAGACCAAAGGGAAGAAGATGATGACCTTGCGAGGCTCTTTGCCGACGCCGGGGCTGACGTAGCGGCGGCCAACTCATTCTTAGAAGAAATTGGAGGGCGTGAACTGGAGATAGGAGAGAAGGCGGATGATGCGGTGGACTATGAAGACATATCAGACGATGACCTTCCAGATGAGGAGCCTGTGGAAGGTGAAGGGGAGGCGGACGGACTTCCGCAGCTCAGCGGCAGCACTGTGAAGGACACTGCGGAGGAAAGCTTCGACCAAGATGATGATCTGGACGAGTTGTTCGGTGGCGGTTCCAGCCCTGTCCATGAGCGGTCACACCTAGACGACCTCTTTGATGATGAAGACCACGCTCCTAGCGAAGGTGCCAAGGTCGCGCAACCCGCTGCCCGTACCGTGGAGCCAAGCGTGGAAGAAGAGTTCACCGATCCCAAGGCACTGAGAGATTATCTAGAGCAGAAGGCACTCTTCGACATGGCCGCGAGGCGCGGGCCAGACGTACCTCCTCCGCCGCAGACTGATCGTGAGACCGTCGAACGCCTCTGGCCCAATTTCGACCCTGATAAGCCTCCCCGATTCCATAGCTTGCTGCCTAAGAAACACGCTTTCTATGTTGGTCGGGCTCCTCTAAAGCCACCCAAACCCCTGCAGCTGAATAAGGTCAGTCTGGATCTTGCCCCGGACCAAGAGAAGGCGTTCCGGCTGCCGACCACCACTGTAAACCCGAAGACAGGCCGGCAGCTTGATGTCGTCGAGGGAAGTCTTATCCATATCCTTCAGGAGAACAAGGAACAGATTGAGGATCAGGAAGATGAGGATATGATGGATATTGACCCCTTGGACGACGCAGAACGCATCGGGAATGTGACGGTGAGCGACCTGAAGATAGCTTGCGAAGACTGGGAGCATTTCGGTCTGGAGAGTTCCTCTGACGAGGAGGGTCCTGAAACTCCGCCGCACGCTGGTATGGATGGGGATGACTGGCTTCGCAATCTGGCTCTTGTTAAGCCCAAGAAGCGCAAGTTCAACGATATGTCGACGTCGCTGCAGTTCACGGTCTATGACAATGTCGGGTTCCTGAATTGGGACGATCCCGAGGCTGCAACGGAGCACGTCGCCAAGAAAGTCATACTGGACATGAATGACCCGCATCTCCTGCTGGATGTTCAACAGCCCAATGCAGAGGAGGTCAAGAAACCTCGCCCGACCTCCCTCGCGCTCAAGCGAGATAATCGCGGTAGTCTCGCCAATCCCATGTTCAAGCGTTACAATATCTCCAACGACGAAGCGTACGATGCGCTCAAAGAGAACAACCAGCAGAAGGTCCGGAGCACTTTGGGTCACATGAACATCGAGCACAGTCTGCCGGCACTCAAGCTGCAATATCCGTTCTACAAGGTCAACCTCAGCGATCGTGAGCTTCGATCGTTCCATCGCCCCACCATTCACTTCCGGGCGGGCGAACGCGTTCAAATCGAGGCAATAAAGCAGCATATCAAGAGAAAGCACAAGAAGAACCTCAAACCGTCGGAGGCGTTCGCCATTGCCGAGGATCTCAATATCGGCGATACGTCCGACCTTCTCCTCGCAGAGTATTCTGAAGAGTACCCGACCACGCTATCAAATCATGGAATGGGCAACAAGATCATCAACTACTATCGCCGGAAGGATGCTGAGGACACCTCTCGTCCCAAGCAGGAGCTTGGTGAGACAATGGTGCTTCTGCCTCAGGACAAGAGTCCGTTCTCCATCTTCGGCACTGTCGAGCCTGGGCAAACTGTACCAACATTGCTCAACGCTATGTATCGTGCACCTGTCTTCCAGCACACCCCCAAGCCCACCGACTTTCTGGTCAGCAGGAGTCACACAGGCGTGCACGGCTCTAAATACTATATGCGAAACATTCAGAACTTGGTCGTGGTAGGCCAGCAGTTCCCTTCGGTTGAGGTACCGGGCACGCATGCTCGAAAGGTGACCGAGGCTTCGAAGAAGCGACTGAAAATGCTTGCCTTCCGCCTTTACCGGAAGGGTCAGCAGCGCAACGCTCGTCAACCGTGGGTTAGCAACGAGATGATCAAGCATCACCTGCCTGGGACAGAGATTGCGCAGAATCGCTCGCGTATGAGGGAGATTATGAAGTACGAGAAAGAGACAGGAACTTGGAGGCCTCAAGACGGCGAAACCATTCCGGACGAGCCATCCCTTCGGACTTGGATCAAGCCTGAGGACATCTGCCTCATCGACTCCATGCATGCAGGGGACAGGCACCTCAATGATGCTGGAATCAAGACCAAGGATCTCAAGGACGATGAGGAAGGCGAGGAAGGCGAGAGTCTCGAGCTCAAACTTGCACCGTGGAACACGACCAAGAACTTCTTGAACGCTTGCCAAGGGAAAGCAATGCTAGAACTCCACGGTGCTGGCGACCCGACTGCTCGTGGGGAGGCATTCAGTTTCATCAAGGTCTCCATGAAAGGCGGCTTCAAGGATGTCGGCGAGAGCGTAGGTGATAAGCTCGATGCGAAGAAGGTCAAGGAGCTGGGCGGCCACAGCTACAATGTAGCTCAGCAGCAAAAGCGCTACGAAGAGGCCATCCAGCGTATCTGGAAAAAGCAGGCGCAGAGTCTCTCATCGACCGTGGAACACTCGGACGTGGAAATGGACAACGTCGACACTCGTCAGGCTGGTCAACGCGGGAGGACTCCGAGGTCTGAGTTCGGCACTCCTGCGTTTGTGCGCGATGATGAGACTATGAGTCAATTCAGCCGCACCAGCGGTAACGACATTCGCAACAAGAAGCTCCGGATCAAGCGCTTGGTTCCGAATGAGTTTGGCGAAATGCGTGAGGAAACTGTGACGATTACTGATCCTGAGGTCATCAAGGCCTACACGCGTAGGAAGAAGGAGCAGCAGCTTCAGAGCATGCGGATCGAGGATATGCAGTTGACAGGCAATGCCGAGTTCGATGCTGAGCAGAGGAAAGCGTAAGTCCAACCATTGCGTCTTATTGATGCGCGTACTGACGATATCTAGCTTGAGAGCTGAGCTGGCGCGCCTGCAGCGCAACGTGGAACGTCGTGAAGGTCGCGAGAAGGCCAAAGGCATCCACAGCCAGTCATCCATTCCAGGTACGCCTGGTGCCGGAGCTGGTCGGACGGGCACTGGTGCGACGCCTCGCAAGTGCGCCAACTGCGGCGAGGTCGGCCATATCAAGACTAACAAGAAGTATGTTCCGTCATTCCTGATTTATAGCTGCATTTGCTAACCAGTGCACCAGACTCTGTCCTCTTCTTAATGGGCAAAAGAAGCAGAGCGATACCTTCAAGGATGCTTCTGCTGCAACTGCAGCGTCCCCCGTGGCGGTCCCCGCGACGCCCATGTCGGCGGCTTCGCCTTAAACACCATCTATCTTTTCGCTTTTGCCCTTCGTACACAGGATGGCTCGGTGTCTGCACGGCGCCGTGATTCCTTTTTCAATACGTAATCAACAAACATCATGTTCTTTGGTATGCATAGCGCCGGAGTTGGAGGATTACTCGGTTTGGTTTCGGGTCACTGCGCAATATGCGCCTTTCCAAGGTTGGGACGGACGGATTTGCATTGGCTTGGAAGGCGCTCAGCATTGCGATGGGTATGGGCTGACCGCCTCAATTGGGCACTACTCAAGGGTATCTATCAGTCGTGTTTTTGATAATAGCGAATGGCGGGCGGACTCGAGTATACTGCTCTTGTCCTGATACGTATGCTGTGTATACCCGCATGAAGTTGATTATTCTGTTGTTGCCATTCCTTGTATCTGCACACCCACAGGGAGAAAATGCGAGAGCAACTCCTAAGATTGCGAACTGAACATAGGTAATGGGATAGTTTTTCACACCATATGAAACGGTTGTCTCGTGTGCATTTTATAACCTTCCTTGACTCCTCATCTATTATGCTTCAAGGTATGGGGACTGTTCCAGTCGCACCAGATTGGATGCTCAGCATCCTACCGCAAACAAATGCAGCGAGATCTCCAGAGTGCGACCAGACGGGACGATGAACATTACTGGGATACCCGAGTATAGTACGTATATGCCTTGACAAGTCTGTAAACAGGGAAATAATAGTAAGGAGGGACTGCATACGAAAGTGTTCATGCGTCGAACGGGCGGGGGCGAATGAGGCGACAGAGGATATGACTTCAAAGACGAAGGCGAAGTGCTGCTGCGAAAAGGGATGGCGAAGTGAGAACGAATAGGTCAGGACAAGCGAACCGGGATCGAAGGCACACTTTTATTTATTTATAAATGTGAATGGAATCCTGAAGTAAAACCGACAGTGAACAACAGTACAACTGTGTCTGGCTTTCGTCATCTCCACCTCAGTGCATGGCAGTATGCCGAAGTGGAGAGTAAAAGAGTGTTGCGTAGAAACAAAATCACCCTACGATGGGATAAATGAGACTCTATGTGTGAGAAACCCACCAGTGACTCCGTACGGCACAGCAACCTTGAAGGGAGGGAGTTGAGGCAAGGCTTCTTCCACCTCAAGGCTTGAGGGGGGCAGCGGAATCGACCAAGTCAAAGAGAGACTTAGCGACGCGTGAGCTTTGCAACAGCGGGCGGGCACGGGAACACCGATCCCAAGGTACCTCGCAACAAAGTCACCGGGACAGCGCACGCAGGCAGCAGAAGGCATCCGAAACATGAGCGAAAACAGCCATCGGAAGAGCCAATAACTCTTGCGCGTGCAAGATCGAATTCAATGTTAGGCCTTCCGCATTGGGAAAGGACTACTCCCCCGAGTTGTTGTTGATTCTGCGCGTGCCTCGCTCGCTTGGCGGTCATATAAGTACAGCTGCCCGCCCGCTTCGCGCGGGGAGCTCCTCTCAACAGAATCGCCCCGACAGCTTCCACCCGCCCACCCAACGCGATATATACCTCTCGCAGCCGATCGCTAGCTTCAGCAGATTCTCACCTATCTCGCACCATTACTACAGTTCGAAATGCCTCCCAAGAAGAGCACCACTGCCACCACGAAGAAGGCGTCCGGCAGCGCCCCTTCCCATGCGCCTTATGCTGGTACGTCACCTCTGTTCTCAGCACCACACGCTGTCGCAGCGGCTGCGCGATGCTTTTATCATGGTCGCGGATCGATGCTGACTCGTCTGTATAGATATGATTAAGGATGCCATCATCAACGTGAGTCCATCCCTCCCGGCGCATCGCGAGTTCTTTCATGGATCGTGTGACCGCGCCGTTGTTGTTCGACCGCAGCCACCGCCCCGCACCCTCAACACAACGTATATACTTGAACACTGATTGTTGACTTGCTGATTCCACGATACAGCTCAAGGAGAGGAATGGATCTAGGTAAGTTCTTCCGCCGTCGCTACTCGCGAGTGTAACCCATTGCTTCGAAACCTCGCTAACGCCCCCCTCCACAGCCGTCAAGCTATCCAGAAGTACATCAGGGCCAACAATGACCTGGGAGGTGTGACCGACGCCGCGTTCAAGAGTCACGTCAACCGTGCCATTGCCAACGGCGAGAAGAGCGGCGACTTTATACGCCCCAAGGGTGAGTTCTACTTTCCATCCGGGGACGACTGCACGTCATTGCTAGGCCGACGCGTCGCGCCACCAGTCCACTTGTTTTTCGAAGTCGTTGCGCGTACTTGAGCTAACACGTCCTTGAAGGTGCCTCCGGAACTGTCAAGCTCGCGAAGAAGGAGACCAAGGCAGCCCCGAAGAAGGCCGAGGCCAAGAAGACGGAGGGCAAGACGGAGAAGAAGACCACTGCTGCCGCAAAGCCCAAGAAGGCCGCCACAACAACGGTCAGTCATTATCACTGAACCTTCGAACCCTTACTGACTGCTCCGTAGAAGGCCAAGACGACCACCGCGAAGAAACCCGCAGCCCCCAAGAAGGCTGCCGCGAAGGCCACGACTACCAAGAAGGCTGCCGCTCCGAAGGCGAAGGCCAACGCAAGCAAGCCTAGGAAAGCTGCTGCTGCCCCTGCCGTCGAGAAGGAGGTCTCACGCGTCCTGGGAAAGACCAAGTCTGGTCGCGTCACCAAGAGCAAGGCTCCCGCCGAAAAGGGCGAGGCTAAGAAGGCAGCTCCCAAGAAGGCAGCCAGCACGAAGAAGGCTCCCGCAAAGAAGGCCACGCCTAAGAAGTCGACCCCCAAGAAGGCCGAGGCATAGATGTCCCCCATCTAGTCTTTCCTTCGTTCCTTCTTTGAATGCTCAGGGCAGCATGCCTCACCACACGCGATGTTGTTTGCGATATCCCTTTCTTCTCTCTAAAGGTCGGTGTGGGTTTTTGGACGGGTTACAGGCAAGGGAGCGGAGACCAAGGGCGTCATTACTCATTTCGCTCGAGTTTTTCGACAGGATTGGCTATTTGTCGGGCAGGGGGCAAGGCGTTAATAAGGCGTTGACAGAGTGATTTTCCGGATCAGCGTCGGCCAGTCACTCCGGCGTGTATCACAGTATAGTGTTTTCTGTGATTTTAGCAGACGGTGTAGGACTGCTTTTTTGGAGACGTCATGTTATCGTCCGGAATACTATGGATCCATACTTCATTGAATGGTCTTGATTTCGAGTGCGTGTCTGTCTTGTGTGTGAGGAGTTTGACGCGTGAAATACGGATATCAAAACATTGGGCGCGAGGCTGCTCGTCGGGATAGACGCGCGGCACGTGATCTAGGTTACTCCGTCCCTGGTACGGAGTAGATCATCTAGCGTAGTCGGCTGGAGTGAGCTCCCGGTTCCGAAAGTGGACGAAGGAGGCTGGTTGAAGGAGATGAAGGATAGAGGACTTGCTCGAGGGATTGAAAGTAAAGATTGAATGCTGATTGTGCAATCATTCCGTGTATTGAGCACATTCTCTCATCTACTCCGTACTAGCCGTTCGATAAATATCTGATTGTGTGTACTGTGGATAAAGAAAGGAATCGCGTACTTCGCCGAGCCTCTTCCCCTGATGATGAGAACGCACACCTGGCGACTGGTCTCGACTCTCGCCCACGCTCTCGCACCACGGATCCAAACACACCCACGCGCCACCATGCTGGAACCCATGGAGAGCCTCCCTCCTCGTCAAGATTTACTAGTCCGTTCTGGGAGTTGAGAGTGGGAAACGAGGTGTGGCTGAGCGCATTAACATACGACTCGGGTGCGGCTCAAGCCTCTCAAATAGGAAATGCTACGGATTATTCGTCAGCCCCAATTTGCCCTTGGGGCTGGTTGTACGGTGCGACGTAGCCCCTGAGATCGTTGGGTTTTGGACTTTGGGAGTGTTGGACATGTCGTCTCTCGGAGCAGTGCAGGATTGGGTGTGCTGGGACTTAGAAGGAAGAGGAGTGACCGGGCATTACGGGGAACAGCATAGGAATCATCATGAGCATTTAACGCATCTTGCGCGTACAAGTCCAGACGATGCAACCGCTATGTACTGTGTACTCCGTATAACGCGGAGATAATAATATCAGCAGAGCTGTCGTGGTTGTTGGATCAGATCCCGTTTGCCGGCGCGGCAACTTGGCACTGACTTACCCTGCCCTGACAACTCTTAGCCTTTGTCCACAACCTCCAGCGAACCCAATCTCCACGTTCTTGTGTTTTAGCATTTTCCCAACCATCGACAACCCGCCATTCTTGCACCTACGACCCTCGATATCCGGCACCGGTTTAGATTCCGGCTTCCTCCCGCATCTCCGCACCGCATAGCCCGCTGACAGTACCCTCCACCATCACCCGCACCCACGAACGAGAGGACCCAGACCGTCGCCGAAGTCTGCCCTGCGTCTGATCTGGAAGAGCAGCTTCGGTCGTGGTCTCGGGCTCCAATTCATCGTGCGTGTATAATGCCCGCTATTGCCGCAGCCGAGAGCAACAATTCGTTGGGTACACACGGCCAACCACCTCCGTCCTTGGTCGCCGACAAACAGCCGTCCGGGAAGAGACATGCAGACCCCATACCGAATGGAGCCACTGCGAAGATGAGCAGCGAGTTGCCCAACGGGACCGGCCCCAGTCGAGGGCTTCTGAACGGGGCACCAGTACAACCTGCCAGCGCTGATAAGACCTTAATGCACAGTATCAGTTCTGAACGGCCGGACAGAGGGGTAGGCTTGAGCAACGATCGAGTTTACAGCCCCTCTCAGGATCGCGGCAGCTCCGCCGACGTTGCTAGCAGGGATGACGGTTACTTTGCGTCGGTCCACACCACCGAGCAACAACACGGCTGCAGGACCACCAAAGTGCACATGGGCATAATGAATACCGCAGAATCGAAACGAGAAGCCCAGAAAGATTTCCAGCCTCCTCCACCTCCATCACTACCACCACCGCCTCCTCCTCCTCCTCCGCAGAAGACCAGCTCCGAATGGTCCCAGCACCCCTTCCCGACCGACGGCAACCTGCAGGTTCCTAGCTCGGCTTATCGAGTGTCGTCGCCTGCCGCCTTCAACCACAACAATCCCGCACCGAATCAACATCCATACCGCTTGCAGCAGCGACATACCTTGGAGGTCCCCAAGATCTCCTCCTCACGGCCCCGCGAATATCACTCCTCCTCGACCTCGACCGATGACGTAGCAATCGCCAGCGGCAGGTTCTCGCCAAACACGCCCACACGGCGGAGAGGCTCCATGTCCCTGGTAAGACGCGCGACCCGCTCCATCAACTCGGATATGCATCTGGAAGAGGTACCGCAGGACGAGGACGCGGTGCGCTGGGCCGAGCACATCAAACAGAAACGGGCGAGCAAGAGGAAAAGGAGAGAGGACGAGGACGACGATAACGTCATTGTTGGCACAAAGGTCGACCAGAATCACGTCAATTTCGTCATGGCGTATAACATGTTGACTGGGATACGGTTTTGCGTATCGAGGACCAATGCAAAGATGAACCGGGAGCTTACGGATGCGGATTTTGATGCAAAACATAAGTTCTCTTTTGATATGTAAGCGCCGTTGTATGCTTTTCTTTTTCTAAACGCAGTACTGACCGATGTCTGGCAGAACGGGGAATGAATTGACTCCTTCAGCGAAATACGATTTCAAGTTCAAGGACTACGCACCCTGGGTCTTCCGCCATCTACGAGCCACATTCGCGCTCGATCCCGCGGATTACCTGGTCTCCCTCACCAGCAAATATATTCTTTCCGAGCTTGGCTCTCCTGGCAAGAGCGGTAGCTTCTTTTATTTCTCACGCGACTATAAATTCATCATCAAAACGATCCATCACGCCGAGCACAAGTTCCTCCGCCGCATCCTGAAAGACTACTACAATCATGTTCGGGAAAATCCGAACACGTTACTCTCCCAGTTCTATGGTCTTCACCGCGTCAAGATGCCCTATGGCCGCAAGGTGCATTTCGTGGTGATGAATAACCTTTTTCCCCCGCATCGTGACATCCATACAACGTTTGATTTAAAGGGCTCGACTATTGGTCGGGATTTCAAAGAGGAGGAATTGGAGTCTAATCCCAGGGCGACGCTGAAAGATCTCAATTGGCTGCGGCGGAATATGCATTTGGAGTTTGGGCCGACGAAGAAGAAGGCGTTCATTGAGCAGATGCACAAGGATGTGAAGCTTTTGCAGCGGCTGCGTATCATGGACTATTCGCTGCTGATCGGGATACATGACCTGGAACGCGGCAACCAGGAAAATCTGCGAGACAAGACGCTGCAGGTTTTCCAGCCTGGGGGCGAGGATGCCGAGGACCCGGCTTCGACGATGCTGGCGCGGACGCCTTCGAAACTGGAGAATGCAAGGAAGGCGAAGGAGTTGAGGCAGATGATCAAGACCCAGAAACCGGTGCCGATGGAGAAGACGTCGAATAAGATGCCGGATGAGCTGCAGGATTCGAAGAAGAATTTTTACTTCTATGCAGATGACGGCGGTTTTAGGGCGACGCATGAGGATGATTCCCCAGGTGACGAGATTTACTACTTGGGCATCATTGATTGCTTGACCTATGTGAGTATGGCTATTCTGGCTGATTTCTTGAGATACTGATTGGAGGTAGTACTCCTGGATCAAGCGACTCGAGCACTTCTTCAAAGGTCTTACCAATACGGAGTCCCAGATCTCCGCCATACCACCCGAACGGTACGGCGAACGCTTCATCAAGTTCATCAGCGGAGTTACCATGACGCGCGAAGCGGCCGAACGCGAGAAGCAGAAGGAGGCCGCCGAAGCCGCTACTGATACCCAAACCAGTGGCGTCCACGTGACCGACCAGGACGGTGCTTTGACGGAGAAGGTTATGGAGAAAGCGGAGACGCAGGCGGAGCGCTCGAGACAGCGAGGGGCGTCCGAAGAGGATGTGCCGGATCGCTCCATGCGTGTTGTCAGGAGTCCTTCGGCCGAACGGGGAGAACTAGGAACGACGTTGCCCGTCGTGGAAGAGGCGGCAGAGTCATCAAGTACCGGCGGTAGAAGTGGCCGCAGTACAGAGACGAGTCTACACCCAGATCGCGTCTCCTCGAACGAGCAGAACGGCAAACCGGTAGAACCAGCGTCAGTGTCTCACTCTAGCGAGCATCCCCATCAACGACGACCACCCACGCCACCCAAGGATTCTAGCACAGAGGATAGCAGTGATCGCCGTCCTCCGACGCCTGCGAAGGACGCGCGGTATTCGATTTCTAATAGACATGAAGGCCCGCCGACACCGCCGAAGGAGGAGAAACATAGGGGTCGCAGCTTGGGGAGGGATAAAGAATTACCGCCTCCACCTCCACCGACGTTGACGCCGCAGACGACGCCTCAGATTCCGGTGCACGCGAAGTTGCAGCCGCAGTCGCAGACCCAGGCGCATGTTAAGGTTAATTAGGAGGGCACCGTTATAGTTGTAGCTGGGGGGGATGAAGTAGCGTCGTGATTGCGCGTGGAGGGAGGAAGCATGGATTCGAGGCTGCTTGCATGTGCACCGCGACTCGAGTTGTCTTTACTCCCTTCTTCATGATATTGTGTTCAAGACACCACTCCTCCGGGGCGGCATTCACACATGTTTGCGTGCGCTCCTTTTTCTTATGTTTATGTTTCCTCAAGGATGGGTGACTGGATGGATAGCCTCGTCATCGTCATCATCATCTTCTTCTTCTTCCATCATCGTCATTGCTTGGTCTCTCTTCCCTTTTTCTCCTGCCTCATTCCTCCTTTTTTTGTGTATAAGAGTTGGTTGGACCTTATGGTCAACCATGTCACCTTGGCCTTGCTTTCTTCTTGTTGATCTTTTTTCTGCGTCATTTTTGTAGTCTAGTCCGTGCATGGCTTGCATGATACCATCACTAGTTGGTTCGTTCTTCTTGTTTTTCGGCATGGGGATGGAGTGCGTGGGGGAATTGGCGTTCGCTGGGTTATGCGTCTTTTTGTGTCTTTTTCTGGGGTTGGATAAGAGGGGGGGGGGAGAAGGGGAGAGTAATGAGTGTGTTTAAGTGTGGGGGAGGGAGAAGGACAGTTTCTTTTGTTGGAGGGTGCGGATGGGGAGTGTGGTGTTGATGTGCAATTGCTTGGTCGAATCGTAGGAATGGAATGGTGGTGGTGGTGGGGTGGTGGGATGAGATAGAGTAGAGCGCGCCGCATACGAAGAATGGGGAATCAGGACGGGATTGTATTATATAGGAATATAACTTATCGTCCGCTTAGAGGGCGGCGTGTATAACCACAATGGGCTTGTGAATTGATGGGTTCTGGGAAGTTGTGTGTGTGTGGGTGATGTTGTCATGTTTGTGCTTTGCGAGGTTTTGGGGATAGATGTGGACAGGGTAAGAGTTGCGGCTCTGTTCCGACTGATTTCGCTACTACTTTCTTTCTCCACACGTCTGGTGTGCGTGTTACTGTCATTGTCCCCAACTGTTGCTAAGCCCTGGGTTCTGTTGTCAATGTATTGCTAACAATCTCAGTGATGTTTCTAACGCCGTTCCTTCCTAAACTAAACACCTCGCAGCAACTGATTGCAAATCCTTCTTCGACATGGTTCAACACGTAAGGAAAATGCATATCATAATGTGTGCAAAACTCCTATAGACTTGGTACACACTCGCTTGTAATAGAAAAATCGTTGATATAATTTAGTACTAACTGTCTATATCCCGTTGTTGAAATTGTTGCTGGCATTTATGGATATGGCCAACCTATTACTATTCAACCCTTAGACTCCTTCTCACTCGGAGACCTGTTGAGGACGTGTTGTTGCTGACTGCTTGTCCCGTACGTTGTTGGGACAAAACCTGGAGCTAGTTCCTAACCGTTTTGTAAAAGACCTCGAGACTTTGTTGCTAAGGTTTGTATCTACGTTCCTAACTGTTGCTAACTGTCTCTAACTGTCTGTTCCTAACCGTTCCCAACTGTGCCTAACCGCTGGAAACTGTTGCCAACGTCGAAACAGGTTCGTATCTGCGTTCCTAACTGTTTTCAACCATTCCTAACCCTTTCTAACTTTTCTAACATGCCCTTGACACTTCACACCGTTTCTAACCCGTTGAAAACACTTAGAATCGTCGCAAGCCCAGTTCACGACAGTTAAACATGGTTAATATCCCGTTTCCAACATCTATCGGATCCCTAATGAACTCATTCACAATGTGCTGAGAACGTGCGAATCGGCGGGTTGCCTATTTACGGCCAGTGAAGACCAAACCAATTGCCATGCAAGTAGCACCGTCACATCTCATATATCTCATCTCCCTCATCACACTGCATCACAGAAACAAGAAGCTCGAGACAAGAATTACGCGTGCATGCCTACGCCATCACCACCGCTATGCTGCCCATGCGGGTCCTCGCAAATGCCTGTATATAATATAATACACACTCCCTTCTCCTCTCCACTCCACCCCACTACTTGTAAAAATCAAACTTATCCGCCTCCGTCGCCCCCTTGACCTGACTCGTATACGCCTCCTCAAGATCGCTCTGAATGATGTTGTACCGATTCTTCCGCACCGCCCTCAACCCGGCCTCCTGCATAATGGCCGCAATCACGGCCCCGCTCAACGGATCGTTCCTCACGATCAAACTATCCAGATCCACCTCGGGCGACAGGCTCATCTTGCTCGCAATCGTGCTGAAAATGAGACGCCGCTCGCGCCGGTCGCGAAGCGAGGGGAACTCGATCTTGCGGTCCAGGCGACCCGGGCGCAGGAGCGCGGGGTCCAAGGTATCGGCACGGTTCGTCGCCATGATGACCTTGACGTTGGACGTCTGGTCGAAGCCGTCCATCTGATTTAGCAACTCGAGCAGGATACGTTGGACTTCGCGATCTGCACCCGTCTGGGCGTCGAAACGCTTCGTAGCAATGGCGTCGATTTCGTCGATGAAGATGATGGAGGGGGAGTTCTCGCGCGCCATGCGGAATACGTCGCGCACCATGCGGGGGCCCTCGCCGAGATACTTCTGCACGAACTCGGAGCCTACGACGCGGATGAAGGAGGCCGTGGTACTATTCGCGACCGCCTTGACCAGCATCGTTTTGCCTGTTCCGGGGGGTCCGTACAGCAGCACGCCGCGCGGGGGGTCGATGCCGATTTGCTTGTACAGGTCGAAGTGTGTGAGAGGGAGTTCGACGGCCTCGCGGATTTCCTGCTTCTGCATGTCGAGACCTCCCACGTCGGCGTAGGTGACGTCCGGCTTTTCGTCGGCGCCGAGCATGGCGATGGAGGAGTCGGCTTCTGGGGGAAGGATGTCGACGAGGGCGTTGGAGTGGCGGTGGAGGGCGACGGAGGAGGAGGGCTTGAGGAGTTCGCGGTCGAGGGTAGAGAGGATGCGGACCACATAGTTGGAGCCGGTGGACGATTGGACGATGCCTGTACTGTTGGGAATGTTAGTGTCCGTGGAAGAGAGTTGAGTTGGAGTGGGGTGGCGTACTTCTGGTCGATGGCTTCCATGAATTGCCCTATCACAAGTGGCACACTTTGAATGCGCTTGATCTCCTCCTGTGCTCTTACGAGCTCTCTCTTCAAACTCCGCTGCTCATCCTTGATGTACTCTTCCTGCAAGTGGATGTACCTAGAATCCGTCAGCTACGGCCTTGAAGGTGCGACAGGCTCCACAAGAGTACACCTACTCTAACTGCCGCTGAAGCTTTTTGAAGGTAGAGTAGTCATCGTCGCCATCGGTGGTGAAGCCCTCTAGTGTATCAAAGTTCGGTATTGATGAGGGGAGCTGCTTCTTGTGCGGCGGAACGGTGTTGTTTGGGCTTTCGACTGCGGCGTCAGCCATGGTAGCAGACTCTCTAGCTCGCGGAGCGCTTCGATGTCGTGGATAGCGGGGAAAAGGATCTTATGAGTTTGGGATTGCGGGAGGCACTGATATGTGGCGACTGGAAGTGGGAGCTGCGTCGGGGTGATAAGCGTGGAGGAGCTCGGGTTGGCTTGAGGCGGGAAAGGTGAGAGGTGCACGTGATACGGTACTTTGTCTTGGCAGAGCGGACTACAAACCATCAAATCCGCAATAATCATTGGAGGGAAGAGAACTTGACGGTTGGGATGAGGGACGGCATACAAGGGAGGGATGAATAGGAGGCTTGACAGAAGAGGAGATGCATCACTGCCGACTCTTTAGTTTCCAGAGTCGTACCTTGGCTATCGTTGGTTTCGATTGATCCAGATGGGCCGCCGTTGTATTGACCCTAGCTCGGCGTGAGGTCCAAGCGCACAATCCAGATGCACGACGGTCCGTATACAGGAGTCCGTTTGCGCAATCTCAGAGTCGCCTCTCGAAAGGCTTGCCGTGATGAGTAGGAGTGGATGGGCTGTTTTTCTTGAGCGGCTTTGGATCAGAAAAGATGTCAAGAACACTCTAGGTTTTCTTCATGTGTGCAAGATTGCCATCAGACGAGTGCAGTTGGGGCTCCATCAGGTACAACAGGGTCAGACGGATAAGACCAATCCGTCGCAATCCCGAGTGCCGTGCTGGACGGTTCAAGAAGGCGAGTATTCACCGCCGCATCTGCTTGCACACAGGCTCCGTGCCATATAAAAAGCATGCTTCATGCTTGCGGGGGACAAGGGAGACACACACACGGCGGGCGCTAGCTGGTCAACGCTCGTGGCATATCCCCACGCCAGGTCTCTCCGCGGCGGAATGGCAGAGAGAGACCGAGATACGACGCAACGTGGTTTGTCGACCACGACAGCTGCACCCCCAATGAAGAGGCCGTGATGTAATAAGTGGAGAGAGGCCTGTGGTACTCATGCCACGAGTCCCAAATGGCCCTGTTGAACCCGGGTTCGGCGCCAAAGGGGATTAGACTGGGTAGGCTTGAGTGTCCGGCAACCGCAGCCACTCCACTACTGGTTGGCCGCGGCGCGACGAACGCGTGCTCCTGCTGCTCTGCGCTTTGTCCCTGCATCCGTGAATTACTCTCTGCTTGCTATCATCGTCGCAATTGTCGTTGTCGTTGCTCTGCTCTTCTGCAGCGCTGTCGTCGTCGTCGCTCCGTCGCTGCGAAGAGGCGAGCACGTCCTCCTCGTGACTACAAGTATGGGCTAGTCGAAGGTTGCTGACTAACCACTTCGGCGCATGTCGCCCAAGGTTCGCTCTGTCCTGAGCCCATCGTGCCAGAGCCCCCCAGAGCGCGTCCAAGGAAAGCTCGGTACGTGACCCTCACCCGTCTCCGATCGCCGTCCACCTTGATTCTCGACCATGTATGCAGAAAATGTCTCCTCAATACTCCTGGTGTGGTGAAGCGCGTGCCCCGTTCACGTCGTCTTCTTCCCCCAACAGCTCCGTCTCCTTCGCGCCAATCTTTGCGCCGCGTCCCGCGACCACCCCAGCTCCATGGACATCTCCGCTAACATCATGCTCACAGGTGCTTTGGGCCCGTCTCATAGCCTCTCCTACCAAAGTCTATTCTTTCCGCGCTTCCCCATCGAAGCTCTTCCCCCCGGCGCGGGTCGCGCCTAGGCAAAGATGGAGTTCCAACAGCCGCAGAATGGCATGTACGATCCCTCCTCATTTATCGATCCCAGCGCCATCGCGAATCCCCAGATGAATGGCACCCGACCGTACCCAATGTCGTCGATACCTCAGAAACGCGATTCCACCGGCGCCGCCCTCTCGCGCTCGCAAACCCCATCACAACAACCTCAATTCGGCTTCCCCCAGCAGGGTTTCGCACATACTCCCTCTCCTACCATGCAGAATCAGCATTTCCGACCCGGCCAAGTCGTACCGCAAAGAATGCAGTCGCCGGCGCAGAATCCTCACGCTCCCCAAATGTCACCCATGGGCTTCAACCAAGGCGCTCCCATGCAGCAACCATTTGATCCCAGCGGTGCTGGACAGTATCAGGGCGTCCAGCTGTCGCAGCATCTGCAGAGTCGCCAGCAAGAGGCACAGAGGCGCTATCAGATGCAAATGCAACAACAGCAGCAGCAGATGAATAATCTGGCCTCGAGCAACTTCGCTGCACAGCAACGGCACCAGGCTGGTCAGATGCAGGGAATGCCGATGCAATATGCTGGCGCTCGGCCGGGAATGATGCAGGGCCAGATACAGAATGTACCCGATCAGTCACAAGCCTTTGTAAAGAATGTAGCTGCATTCATGGCCCAGAACAACCGACCTTTCAACATGCAGCCCATGGCTGCTGGCCGAGTTATCAACCTGCAGCACCTTTACTATGTCGTCATGAAGCTTAGGGGCTGGAAAAGTGTCAACCAGAATGGTCAGTGGGCAAAAGTCGCGCAGACCATGGGCTTCGACCTGAGGCAGTTCCCCAATGCGCCCGAGGAGCTACGGATTGCGTACGGCCAAAATCTGGTGCTCTATGAGCAGTACGCTCTCCAGTCACAGCAACGACAAAGGATGAATCAGATGCAACCGCATATGGCAGGAGTGCCACCACAAATGTCGCCTACCCGACCTTCAATACCAGGCGCACCCAACAACACGACGGTAAACCCAGAGTACTTGCAGCAGCTGCAGAAAAGTAGACTCGCGGCCGCGCAGCAGCAACAGCTCAATCCTGCGTTACAACAGACCCCACAACAGCCGACGTTTGATGCGGCAATGCAGCAGCAACAGCAGCTCGGCCAGATGATGCCACTGCAGAATAATGTCGCATTGGAGGGAGTGAATGGCCGCAGTACACCACAGACCGAAGGAAAACCACCTAGCAGCGCATTGGAGCAACACCGCAAGAGCCTGAGCCGGCAGCTCGAGTCTACCCCAGATCAGCCTTCGCCGGTTGCAGGAGTCCACTCCGCGCCTCCCATTCCAGACAAAGCCAAGGAGGAGACGGCAGTTGAGAAGATCAATTTACCTACCGATATGGTGGAAGGTAAAGTGACGTACAGGCCGTCGTGGAGGGTGATAGATCGGTGGTCCGGATTAGATTTCGACGCAGAGAATTTCAAGAAGCGCGTAGATGAGCTGGTATACTACCGGCCAAATGTCCCGTCGTTGCCGGAGATGGGTGTCATCGACATACGCGCTCTGACCATGAGCATCCGGTCCGGCCTTCACGCAGAAACTAGACTTGCACTAGATATGCTCGCGAAACTCAGTCATGAACAGCAGTTGACGCTTGAACTGGAAAAGTGCGAAGATTTGGTGGAGGTACTCGTTGATTACGGTGAAGACCTCCTGGACACGTTGGCCAACGACAATCCCGAAGTTAGCGACATCGTGGATTTGACGCCGTATGAAGATGTGCTGCATAACTGCAACGCCGAGGTGTACTCTCTGCAAGATCCACCCGCATTCGGAAGCAAAGCCTACGAGTTGGACCGAACGGCCGACCGCCTGCTCGCAATAACCACCATCTTCCGAAACCTGTCCTTCCTCGAGATCAACCACGCAGCTCTATCCACTCCTCAAGTCCTAAAGTTCTTTTCCAACGCAATACGGCTGGTCGGAACCCGGGTCCTCCTTCTCCGCACTCATGTCAATACCTTCGACTTCATGAAAGATCTCGTCACCTTTTTCTCCAACACGAGCACAAAAATAAGCCTGCCCTCCCGCGAAGACGCCTACATCATTCTCCACTTCCTCTGCGCCTTTGCACCCATCCCGCGTCCCACTGTCCCCGTCAAGTTCACCCCTTACAACCCGCGCATCCACCGTTGCCTCCCCTCCGCCGTCGACAGCCTGGCCAAACTCCTCGCTCGCGACGACCCCAACCGGACCTATTACAAACAGATCTTCATCAACGAATCAACCTCGTCACCACCATACGACCTCCTGACCCGCGCCTTTGGCCTCGCCATCGCCGTCGTCCCCGACCGCACATCAGGCATCCTGCACCAGGTACACGAGACGGCGCCAACGACCGTCCGGCAGTACGAAGCGCGCATCGCCGAGCTACGGAAACCGTACCTCATGCAAGGCATGCTCGCGGCCGACATCCTCGCCAGCCTCGCACCCGGCCCCGAAACGGGTGTCTGCAGATCCTGGCTCGAGAGCGAGGACGGCTGGGCTGTCAGTCTGCTGAAGTTCGCCATGAGCCTTTGTGCGACGGACGCCATGTATGGACCGCAGCAACAGGTGCAGGCGCAGGCACAGGCGCAGGGAAGGGGCCAGAGACCGATGGACCACGACGTCCAGGGGTTTCAGCTCATTGTGCATAGGGCGCTGAGTATGATCAAGCGGTTGGGGGAGAAGTCGAAGGGGATGTATGGGGGCGTGCTTGTTAAAGGGGGTCCTGCGACTTCGTCCTCTTCCTCGGTTGGAGGTGCTGTGAATGGTCATAAGCAACGGGAGGGAGGGAAGAGTGGGGATCGGAATGGGGCAATGTCGGCCGATGGGGAGGACGGGGAGAAGGGAGAGGAGAGGAGCGACGACGAGGACGAGGATGAGGATATGGAGACGCTGAGTGTGGGCGGGAACGTGTGGCGCGTCAAGGCGGATGTGCTGCCGAAGAAGGAGACTTTGCTGAGTGCGCTCCTGATGAAAAGTCTGGATGCGAGGAGTCTGAGGCAGTTTTGTGGAATTGGGTATTTGGATGATGCGACGTAGGCGGTCGTAGCAAGTGGTGGATTGAAAAGAGGCTTGGAGTTGGGAGTGGGTGTACAGTCTGCTTTTGTGAGGCATAACCCTAGCATAGCGTGCTTGCATGCGATTTTGTGGAGTTGGCGTAGAGTGGAGCACAATGGGATTTTATGGGCTCGCGCTGGGCAAGTTTTTTTGAGATTTGGAGCCATATGTACACTGTTTGCACTTGCTGCATCCCATCTAGCTTGCTTATTTTGTGCCTTCGTCGAAGGGTGGATCAGCATATGGAGGATCTTTTCTGTGTTTTGCTGGTATTCTCGATTTGATATACCTACCCAGCTACTCCGTATTGGTGGAAGCGATGCTTTGAGGAGATGTTTCATGAAGTGTGCACATAGGAATGATTAAATGAAGCACATGAACCTTCCGGCTCCATTTCCAACACCAAATTTCCACGCCAAACATCACATAGTCCTCTACTTCGTACATCACAAAGAAAAATGTCCCGTCATAAAAATTTGCCCGCACCCCACGGCCCTACAATCAGGGCCGGAGCGAAGGAGGTAAGCCGACGATCTTGCTTTTTACACATATTCTCCTCTCCCCTCCACTTTCCCCTCCAGTGTTTCATTGAATTGTGTTTGGAAACGTAGAGTGAATATGAAGGGTTGTCGTTTTCATGGAGAAGAGAAGAGGAGGTCGGGGGATGCGAGAATGGGTGGTTTGAGGAGAATTTGTGGTTAGGTAAGCGGGGCTAGAGTGGATTGGGATTGGGGTGGCTGGGGAGACGGTCGGCGGGCGGAGTGGCGCGTGGACGGTGGGGCGGAGAGGAGAGGAGGGGCAGGAGGATGACTTGGCGGGTTTTCGGCGCTAAGAGGGGATGGTGATTCTTGAACAGAACTCAGTTGTTTGAGAGCTCCATTGTCGAGGTTGTTCACATTCCTTACGGGGAAATCATTGTTACATTGCCCCCTCTCCGTCCAAGACCTCCAATCTCGACCTGCTACAGCAACAGGTCCTTCGCAGCACAACCACCGGTCCCGCTTCAGGCACTGGAATACCCCGCGGTATTCTGCCCGAACAACTGTCGCGTGTCCCCCGCACTCCCTATCTCTCCCACCACAAACCTTCGCCCACAGCAGCGGCGTCCTGAGCGACCTGAACCGCCACATTCACTAGATAGACAGAGAACGTGAACGACGAATTCGACTCCGCCTCTTGCACCGACTCCCAACCCGCAACCCCGATTTTTCTCACAACCCCTCCTTCACCGATCCCCAAATCGAACGACCCGTAGCAATCATGTCTTCCGCACGAGGCCGCGGCGGCAAGTTCAACAAGCACAAGAGAGGTGGAGGGAAGCACTATTCGCGCGACTTGCAGCCGCTGAATGCGGATGGTGAAGTCATGGGCATGTGGGATGTGAGTAACTTTCTCCTTTCGCCTTTCTCTTCTCCCTCCCTCCCTCCCTTCGCATACCCCCAAGCTAACCTACCCCCGCAGATCCAAGCCACCAAAACCAAACCCATCGACGAAGAATCCTCCGAAGAAGACGAAGACGAGGAAGAAGAGGAATCCTCCGAAGACGAGGCCGGCCCCGCCCAACCCCAACAGGAGGAAATGACGCGCGAACAGCGCCGCGCGGCCGCCAAAGCCCGCAAAGCCGCCGCCATCGCGAAGCAGCAGCAAAAAGTCGCCGCACCGGGCGACCTCCCCACGGACAGCGAGGAGGAAGAGGAAGACGCCGGCGAGGGTTCGGACGACGACGACATGCCCGCGAATCCGAACCACACGGCCAAAGCCCGAAGTCAGGCTGCTAAGCCGTCCGCCGCCGCCGAGGACGGCGACGACAAGGGCAAGAAGAAGGCCGTGGATCCGAGCCAGCTGTCGCGCCGGGAGCGCGAGGCCCTGCAGGCGCAGCAGGCGAGGGAGCGGTACGAGAAGTTGCACGCCGAGGGAAAGACGGACCAGGCCAGGGCGGATCTGGAGCGGTTGCGGCTGGTGAGGGAGAAGCGGGAGGCGGATGCGGCGAGGAAGAAGGCCGAGGCGGAGGAGAGGGCGGAGCACGAGAGGGCCAAGAAGGAGCAGCTGGAGAGGGAGGCGAAGAGGAGGGAGCAGGCGGCTATGAAGAAGGCGCCGAAGAAGGGGGCGAAGAGGAAGTAGAGGTTGGAAGTTGGATTGTATATCGCCATGGGCGTTTGTCGGCTTGGAGCGAGAGGTGATTTGCCGCGAGGATGGACTTGGGTACATACAGATTGCGATTCGGATCATGATAGAAATGCATGGAGTAGTCTGGCTCTTGTGGAGTCGGGTTCTCACGTTTGTTTCCTCATTGAAGGGCGCCTAGTAATTCTGCTCCTCCTTTTCCTTTGCAACATCTCATCTTCTACGAATCCCTCGCTGTCTCTTATTCTGCAGCCTGCCCGTCCAACCTCGTTCCCGTCCTCGATACGCACTCTAACGATAGATCCTCTGCACATCCCGCCACAGTTCCTTCACTCCCATTCCCCATTCCCCTTTCCCATCACTGCCATCACCCTCGCTCGTCTCGTCCCGTACATGTGTGCGTTGGCTTTCTGGCGATGAGCCCGTCGTCCACCTGTCCCGCCATTTCGACCAGTGATTAGATAGGCCCTCCCACCCTTCCAGCAGAGGCCGAGTGAGTGAAGAAAGCCGAACACCTATCGAGAGTCGGCCCCACATTACTTGCAGGCGCTTTACGCAGTGGGTATATACCACTTCACGGTGCGCTTTCCGCCGTATCCTTTATCGAATGCCGTTCATTTCGCATTCTCGTTAGGCACAATGCAGGACCGCAGCAGAGAGAACTCACGCTGTGTCTTGCCCGCCTCGCTCGACCGGTGGGTTTTCGCGTACTCCAGCTGTGGAAGGATCTTCGATGGAGTTGTTCTCTCGTCGCTGCTCGTTTCCTTCCTCGTTTCTCCCCTCTCTGTTCTTTTTTTGAAGCTTCGTCCCGCTTCCCCTTGAATCGTGAGGAGGTGAGAAGTAGAAGTAGCCACGTGCATCGCAGTCCCTTGTGCGTGCACACTGCTATTCTCCGACGTGTATATGCATCTCGCCATCTCGCTCCCCGCCTACCCTCCCACAGATATAGCAGTCCTTCTCAATCTTCATCCCGCCCTCATCCACCAACACCGTTACTTCCCAATCTCCCACTCCACCCGCGCTCCGTCGCCGCTAGAAACCGTCTCCGTCACCGAGATCTCGGAGATTCTCTCCCCATCGCGGCCCAGCCAAATATTTTGGCAAATATCTAGCCACCAACCTCTCCTTCAACCGCACAATTCCACAGTTGCCTCACATCTACCCCTTTCCCATCTATCTCCCCGTTCCCGCTCCCATCATACACCGCTCTTAAGTTCATGTTAGTATACCAGCTTTCCTCCCGGCAAATACCCACTCCAACGCCTTCTCCTTTTTCCAGCAATGACACGCTGGAAGACTGTCTTGTGCAAGGCGGCGACGAAAGGAAACCTGAACTCTTCTCTTCCCAGGCCTGTTGGATAGCTTCCCTCGGACTCCGTAGCCATGTTCCCAATGCTTTCCCCTGCCTCCTCCCGCCATGTTGGCACGGCACGGCGCCCTTCGTGACCCTGTTGTTTGAGCTCAGCTTCCAAGTCCACGCAAGCCCACTCATTGCCAATATACTCAACCCCATCTTGTAAATCGCAGTCAATCTATGCGTGAACAAAATGTATATGACCTGGAAAGTCGAATCGCCTAGATAACTGCCGATCCAACCACTCGAATCTACAAATCGCCGCCGTCATCTCCACAGTCTGTCTGCAGCCCTCACACCCAGATTGTTGCCACAAATCACAGTCATACACACTGAAAAGCACCAATTATAAGTATATATGCTCAATTGCACTAGCCACATGTTATGAGATCTATATTTGCAGCCAGGAAGCCCAGAAATCCGGAGAGGATTTCCAGAGCAGATTCAGGGCCAGAGTAAGAGACCAGAAACCCCTTATGCCCGCCATACCGTCGATCCGGCCGATGGCCTCAATGATCCCATGAAAAGAAAAGAAAAGCCGCCATGACAAACGAAACCAATTCGAAGTTGGAAGAGAGCCGGGGATGCCACTGTCAGTGATGTAGGTGCTCCCATGCCAATTCCATTGCTTGTGAGCAGGAGGAGAAGGAGGAGATATCGCAGTGTGGGCGCTGAGGCTCTAGACGAACCACATGACTTCCTTCAGACCTTGCTGCTTGTTCAACTCAAGAAGAGGCCTAACCTCCACTGACTTGCCGCTTCCACTGCTAGTTTGAGGAGGCTTGGCCTCCTTCTTGCCAGAAGAAACCGGAGATTCATTTTGATGAGCGCGAGACCGATCCGCGGCCAGATGGGCGTAGTAGACTGCAGGATGGAGTGAAACTGGTGTAGTAGACCGAACGTAATGGTATGAATGCTCGAAGAGGAATTGCTGGAGTTCAGCGGCCTCCCATTTGCCCTCGTTTAGGATGCACTGATAGTGAATAGGACGAGCGGTGCCTTTGATTGCCACGTGAGCGCAAAGGTAGAAGTCGAACTCAAACGGGTGAGTGCAGCCAGTTTCCACGAGAGTTCCTGGGAGAGGATTGCCGTTCCTGTCACCCTGCTGCGGGAAGAAGCGAATATGGTGCCGTTTTCCAGCAATCACCACGGTGAACTGCGGGACCTGGACGCCTATTGCGGCGAAGACGTTCTTCATATCGCGAACCTCCTCCTCAAGGACAGCTGCATATTGACCTTCAGAGACTCCGTCACGGATGTACAGAACGCGCTGAGGAGGGCGGCCTTGTCCAACGCGCTGCATCCACATCTTGGCCATATCGCCAAGGTGATCCTTGATGTTCTGCGTAGTCACCATCTCAACGCGACTGCCATTAGTCTGACACTGGGCCCAGTACCTAGTATAGGTAGTGTCGGCAGAAACCGTGATTGCGGCAAATGAGGCCTTCTCATTAGAGCCAGCGCCGGGAGCAGGATGAGAAACGTCAGCCCCTATAACCATGGTGGGCTTTCCAACAGATTGAGGAGCAATCTTTGGGATAGTGACTGATTTAGCAATAGCTGTACAGCCACCAAGTTTGGCGTTGACCTTCATGCAAACGTTGGAGATGTACTGCGGTGAATTGCTGATGACGTGCTTAGATTGCAAAATCTGAGAGGGAACGCCGAAGCGGCAATCGCAGGACTTTTTGATGCGTCGATAAACCTCAGCATTGCGGTCGTTGACAATGAAGACCATGAGCATAGGCCGGCTGTTGAAGTAGTTGCCAGTCGAATTGAATGCCTTAGCAACCAGTTCACCACCGTCCGCCAAATTGCCAGGAGAGATGAACGGCTGCTTGGGCTGGCGGCCTGGGGCGGCATTAGAGGTGTTGAACCGGCCTCCATGGCCCTCGTAGATCCTGATGAAATTGTTGACGAACGCCTGAGTCTGCTCTTTGCTCGCACCAAATTTGCCCTGGATGACACAGACTCCCCAGGCACCAATCTCCCGCGTATTAGGGCCAATAAATTTCCTACCATCAAGGCGCCAGCGTCCCGCTACAAGATCGCGGGCTTCGACTGTAGAAGGCTTGGAGATGGGACCAAATCCAACAGCAGGAGATGGCAAGACGCGGGCATTGACCTTTGACTGAGTTGGGCTAACCTTTAAGCCATAGTGAAGGAGGTACGGATCCTGGGCCCAGTTCAGAAGCCTAACACCATACTCAATTGCTTTCATTCGGTCCCGGGGAAGCGTTACGGCAAACTTGATCATGGCGGACGTCTGGGTGTCACTCAGTTTCGTGTTGTAGCGCTGGTTTTCGTCGATCTTCAGATACTCCATTGGCAAGAAGACGTCATTCTTGCGAATCTTCTTGGTTACCTTTACCACAGGAATTCCAGATGTCAGAGTAATCCCATACTTTTTCTTGTAGTAGTTGTAGACGGAAATCTCCCTCTTCTTCTCTGGGTCGTCAGGATCAATGAACGTGGCTTCGTGCGCATCCTTCTGGCAGATCTCGGCGATAGTCCACTGGTTGCGGGTGTCCTTGCGGTGGAAGTCGCTCACACCAACCCGATTGAAGCGTGCCAGATCCCTACGCACATAGGAGTTTTTCCAATCGCGCCTTGCGTCCTTGACAATCTGGATGAACTGGGGAGCAGAACTACAGCGGAAGACCTGGCAAGCCGCGCGGAGGAGTTCCTGAGGACGCCAGAACGTGCCGTTGGCCACGTCGACGTTGATTGACAGAATCTTCTTTAGGTCACCCGTGAGGACAGGGCGCAAAGAGGCGAAGACACCCTTGAAAGCCTCAACGCCACCACCTAGATCAAAGCGCTGTTCACCCTTCTGGAAGAACGACTTCTTGATCTGTGTATAGATCTGAGAAGGGCGCTCACGCAGGACATGGTCCAGGAAGTTGATCGTGTCGATGCATTCAGTGGACCAGGAAGCGCGCCCATCTAGGAAGGCTTGGAGGGCTGCGAAATCGACCTTGCGGGTATGCTTGATGTAGATGGTATGCACATTAGACTTGTCAGGCTTAGGGCTTCGTCCTTGTTCCTGATCGAGGTCGACAGTGATGCGGGTCTCCTCACGGTCAAGCAACTTGCTGCACCAGGCAAGCTTGTTCCCATCGTAAATCCAGAGGTTCTGGGGCTCACCGAGCTGAGACTTGACGGCTTTCGAATTCCATAGTTTCTTGATGAGACCCCGCTTGGTGGGATCGACGGATTTGCTCCAAGATATCTTGAACAGGTCAGCATCGGAAGATTCAGAAGTGTGGACAGAACTTACATCGTACTGATGAACAATCCTCGTTGGAGCGCCGATGACATTGTACGTGTTGAGGGCGACAGCAGTCTCGCGACCATACTTGTTCAGCTCCTTGGGACGCTGAGGAAGAGAATCTGGGATCTCAAACTTGTATGTGTTAGCATGAACCAAGTCAAAATTTCGGAATATCCCAAATTCGCCCTCAATGCGCGAATTGGTACGATGTGCAGCCTGGTCCGCGGATGCCATGACGGTCGTAATGTTCAGAAGATTGGGAGTAGGAGATGACAAGGTTGGAGTTGTAGATGTGTGGATGTATTGGAAGGAGGAGGAAGAATGATGTGGAGGGAGAGGGGTTTAAATACTTTCTCGAAGGGAGCGGCGCAGGTGCAAGAGGACGTGTTCGAAAGAAGAGAAACAAGCCGTCATGTTTCAAAGTGTACATGAAATGTGGAAGCGGAACAGTTGGGGGTATCTCAGAGTGTTTGCGTGGCCCCACAGACACGGCTGCAGGTGATGGAGGAAATGACTTACTCCTCGAGCGGTGTACCAACCCCCGGCACCCAGAAACTCAGACAGGTTCTTGAGGTCGGTGTGTTTTGTGTAATCAACAGCGTGTAGCCCCGGAAGGCGGTCTCGATTCCCATCAAGGCGCGGTATTGAGCGCTGTGTGGTGCGCTGCCCTGTTTCGCCCGATGGCTGTGAATCCGATGAAGCGGACGGCTTCTTCTCCGCCTGCGCACGCGCTTTTGCGGGGCCAGCCATGATGATCTGTTTCAAAGGTTAGTTGGAACTGAAAGAGCATAATTTCATTGGTGGGATCATGGAAAATGAGGCATCTGAGCAACGTGTGCCCGCGACTCACCCCCCATACGCAAACGCGAAGAGGGAGATGAGGCGGTAAAGTAGATCGAATCTCGAAGAGACAAGGCGCGCGTGACATACCTGAATGAGCAATGGAAGGAAGCCGGAGTCGAGCGGTGAGATTGTGAACCGGAGCTGATTGAGGTCAGTCAGAGACCGTAGGAGCTAAAATAAAAGAGAATTGAGTGATGTTATGTGCTTCGAAAGAGAAGAGCAGATGTAATGTGGTTAGAGTTCAAAGACCCAGATGCTGGTGATGTGGCGAAAGTTTGGAAAGTGGAGGGACGACAGTCGATGTGAAGGTAAGTTGACAAAATTTGCCATGGACCCAAACATGGCTTGGCGCGTGCATGCGAAGCTCAAAGGAAAAATGTAAAACATGTGGGGAACTTACCGTGGTACTGGTGAGATTGGTGATGATGCTCAGCACCGGAGGCTTCTTGTGATGATGGCGGTTTGGACGAGTGCTTGCAGCTGAGGGCAGGCGCGAGAGAAGAGATTAAGAGATGAAGTGGAAAGGGAGGAGGAGCGAAGAAGCAGGAGAGCAGAAGAGGAGAAGAGTAGTGGGGTGAGGGTAGAGAGCCGAGGGCGAAGAGCCGAGAGCCGAGAGCAGAGAGCAGAGGGCGGAAGAGTCGTCGAGTTCAAGTTGAGAGAGGCGAGGAGGAGGAGGAGTGGGATGTAGAAGAGAGGAAGGATGGGGGTGGGAGGAGGTTGTTATATAGTCGGAGGGGAGACGAGGCGGTCAAACGGCAGGAGCGAAGCAGCCTCCCGCCCGCGCGAAGGAAAAGGCGGTCGGCGAGTGTAGGCGGCGACGAAACCTCTAACTGACGTATACTCGCAGACTCTCTTACCTGCGGATTGCGGTCAGTGGGTGGAGATGATAGAAGCCAGCTCGGCAGTGAAGTAGGTTTGGGGACCGTAGTGAGCAATAGCCGCATAGTAAGAGCGAGACTGACATGCTTTCGCTGCTAGACTAGTCTACCTTCACTCGCGTCAGCGGCTCGCTGTGTAGTGCTAACATTGCATCCCTATCTAATTGCACTGGTTACACAGGTTACACAAGCGTTACTGTGGCAGTAATGTCCCACGCGAGACTGGAGCGAAAGCACGTTGTCGTACGACGCGTCCAAGCTTGTATAGGCAAACTGAGACGGAAAGGAGCATCACGAATGGCAACGCAAGCTATAGCATACACCCGCGCTTGGAGAGGCTGGAAACATGGAGACATCTTCACCGGGATTACACTACGATACCCTATGAGGCCTCCTACTCTGGCACATGATAACCGCTTTGAACCTTGCAATGATTACAGCTTTCCAAGATCAAAATCAGTCTTGGTGCATCCGACCTGCCCTGCCCCAGGTTCCCAGACCCCGTACACCAAGCAATGAAAATGGACTGTGTCAAAATAGAGGATAGCTTCCAGCGAGAGGATAGAATGATGTCTTAAGGCGCAGCGGCGTCACTAGATATATTGACACCAACTTCTGAACGAAGGGGGGCCATGTCTCTCTGTCAGCGACCGTAGTAGCCTGCCTGGGTCAGCATATGGACATAACAGCACCTAAGTAGAAACGAACTTACCGCTACCCATACTCGACGGAGGAGGCGCACCCCAATGATGCATTGGCTGGTTGAGTTGAGCCGGAGGAGGTGCAACAGGAGCGACGGGCGTAGGGGCATGTGAGGGCACTGTGTCAGGCAACGTCATCCCCCTGAGCAAATTCACCACCTTCTGAGGGTTGAAGATGATGTCAAGGTTATAGTACCTTGCATGAGGAATGAGCGAAAGCATGAACGTGACTTCGCGGGGAAGAGGCTGCGGAGGAGCAGCGGTCGGCGTGCTGGCTACTCCTTCAGACGCGCGTGCCAAGTTTCTCCGAGCAGCGTCAAGCCGGCGTCCCGCTGCACCCTTCAAGGGCGATTCGCCACGAATCATCTTCCGCGGCTGTGCCAACTCGTTATCCACATCTTCCAATGGTCGCTTCGGGGAGTGGGAAACCAGCCCCAATGCTGGCTGAACACGTGGGGATTGGACGACGGGGGAAGGTCGACTTTCCTGCACTGCAGCTTGGGGTGCCGGTGGTTCTTCAACAGTTGGGAGTACGTTCGTCAACGCTGGCGGTCTCATCTGCGCTTTGAGGGATATGACTGGCCGAACTGCAGTAGGGTCAAAGGAAGCAGAAGCGAACCGTTGAGCGAAACGAGTAAGCTGAGGGTCTTCGGGGAACAACTCGCCCATTCGCTTCTCCAGCTTCACAATCTGTGCGAGCTCTCCGAAGTGCGACTCGTAATCATGGAAGAACGCAAAAAGAGGCTTGGCTCGCGCGACAGATTCCGGTTTTTGCGTCAACCGGTTGACCACTGTCTCGAAGACTGCACGCGCGTCTAATCCGGGTCAGCCTTTATTCCCTTCCACATGCCTCAAATCACTTACTGGTGAGATCGTCAAGTTTCATCAGATGCTTAATGTACTCCAAGGCAAACTCCTCGTCATCGGGGAAAAGCTTTAGCCCACGCTCAAAGATCTTGGTAGCGGCTGGGTCTTTGTAACAGTGATGTTCAATCAGGGCGCTGGCCACATACGTAGCGCTGAGCAGTTTTCCCCTCTTACGAGCGGCTGCGAAGATGCCGCGGAAACCCGGTGGATTGCCTCCAGGTGACCCTTTTCCCTGAATACGGCGCATGCTTCTCATCAGAGCGATCCAGGTATGGGATATGAGTTTCTTCAGTGTAGTCATCTGGGCATTGAACCCGGTCGAGATGGCTTTGATCTGAAGCTGTAGGGCGTCCTCCTTCTCCTTGACCCGCTTAGCCGTCTCCAGCTCCTCGTCACGATCCTCATCTTCGTCCTCCTTATTCGCCGCAGCACGTGCGGCTTCCTCGGCAGCCTGTTGCGCGTCGAATGCTTCTTTGGTCCGTGCAATGGCTTGCTCTTCGCGCTTCTTTGTCTTGTTGGTAAGCTCATATAGTTCGTCGAGTAGCCGATCGAACGGAGCACGAACGGCCTCGCCCTTGCGAGTACCCGCATTGTCCCCGTCCTCGTAGTCGCCCAGCTCCAGCTGATGTGCCCGACGGAAAGCCAGAAGACAGCTTTCCGGATTCGCATCAATTCCGTTCTGCAAAAATTCGTTTCCCTCCTTTTCCAAGCCGTTCTGGAAACACCACTCTGCTGCTTCGTACCATAACTCAGGCCAGAAACGGAGGGGCATGAGAGCTTGCTTGTAAAGATAGATAACCCGCTGATTGTACAACTCCGGCTTCTCCTCCTTGACCAGCAGTGCATCCTCCTTTTCCCACTGAATCCATGCTTTCCACAGGTTAACCTGATTCATGTATTCGTCATACCCGTCAAACCCTTTCACGGGCGGAAGTTTTGGGAGTGTTGTTCGGTTGATTCCCTTAGTAAGGTTCTCCAGAACATTGTTAGCGCTCCGCGCCGTCATGTAGAATGGCGATTGCTCCTGCAGGTGTTTTCGGCCCTACTGTAGCTTAGTACCGGAGATCCAAAGTGATATGGTTTATTCCTTACCGCTGCCTTGTTCAGCTGATGCTCGAACTTATCGTACTCTTTCCAGATCGTCAATGTCGAGTTCGTTGGGACGGCGATTGCGCGTTGATACACTCTCCGGAGCGTATCCATCTTCTGCATGTCGCGCCAGTCGCTCCCACCGAGAACACCGGGGAGGCTCGACTTGAGAAACTCTATGTAGTCTAACCATATCCGGCCCGAGCTGATGTCGATGCCAATACCATTGAGAACAAAGTCGTAGACTTGGTTAATAACGGGACGAGCCTTTTCAGGATCCCTCTCCATGTTGTGAATGCGGCGTATGTAATTGATGTACGCCGACCAGAGCCCGACATGGGGGTTGTTGGAAACTGATCGTTCAAACAACTTCTCTACCCGCTGCAGTTCATCGAGCCCAAGCTCCATGTTGATATATTCGATCCATTGTTCGGCCTTTCTAGGTTAACAAGATTGACGACGGACATCGCGAGGTAGACTTACTGCTGAGGGGAATACTTTGAAGAAACGATCATAGAGTGCTCGAACTTCGTCAAACTTGTGCCGCCTGCGGAATTCCTCAATCAGACTCAACCAAGCCTCGGTGTCACCACGAGGATCGTCAGAGATCCGGTCTTCAAGCAACCCGACGCGATCCTGGGGAAGACGCGGCTTCGGCAGAGAAGAAGCAGCAGCTGTGTCAAGAGTAGAGGGCGTTGCTGAGACAGTGTTGGGCTGGGTGGCGCCAGCCGATTTAGTAGCATCTGGCACCGGCGTACCTTGGCTAGCAACAGCGGGCGATTGTGTAGGACGAGCGTCATTGACAGGGACAGAAGTGGAAGAAGAAACACCAGCATGACCCAGATCTTGTACACTATGTAATGGTTGATTGTTTGGGGATACTGTATTGTTTGCAGTGTGTGTAAGAGAACCCTGTGGGGAATGAGACAGCCCATTCGTACTCAGTAATGCAGTCCCCGTCGTCTGAGGTCTCGAGTCTGGTACTTCATCATCCTCATCCTCACTCTCAACGACAAAACCCCCAACAGTGCGAGGCTGCTTCGACTGTGTCGATGCGGACGCGGCGGCAGGGGGCTGTTTGGCATCGCCTCCCATCATGGTCGGCGGGCTATTCGTAGTGGATTGCGGCATCGACGCCGATCGATCGGACGGGGCGGGCTCATCGTGCGTGGGAACCGTAGGGAGTAATGCCGCCGGGTCATACTCCGCTTCCTCGTCGTCCTCGTCAACGGGAGCAGATTGAGTCGGCGCACTGGAGAAGTTGCCCGCAGGGTCATACTCTCTTTGCGACTCCAGAAAAGCGTTCTCTGGATCCATATCTGCCATTGCGACGTGGATGGCAGAGATGTGGCAGCTACTTTTTGGTCGCGTGTCAAAAAGTGGTTCAGCGGCGACTGGAAAAGGAGTGGCTCAATTGCGATGAAAATGATCTGCAATGTCAGAGTGTCGGTGCCTAGAAAGAACTCGGGGTGGCGCTGCGCAGGATGGCAGAGCAGTTTGATTCTGGTGAGAGGAAGGTTGTGTGCTCTTCTTTGACTCGAGCTTTTGAAGTCAAAGGTTGTCGGTCGCGACGGACAATAAGCTTGGCACAGCCATCAGATGGCCCGAGCGTTGTCATAGCACCGCCACACGTCTACCACAACTACATATCATCCTCTTTCCAAACACTCCGGCAAGCCTCCCCGGCGCATGCCACCCACAGCTCACGATGAACCCGCACATTTCGCTGCCGAGGCCAACAGGTGGGCCGTCCAACTTCGGCAGCACCACACCATCGAACCGCAGCGAAAGCCTCAGAATGCCTCGCTTCTTCAAACGCTTGTTCAAGTTTCCGCAGATGGACTTTGAAATGGCATTATGGGAAATGCTGAACCTCATAATAGCACCGAAGAAGGTCTTTCGGTCAATATACTATCATGTATGAACCTCTGTTTTACCCCCCCGGCTTCGTTCGTTACTGATTCCCTCTTAGAAACGTAAGCCTCCACGAGCATCTCAGTTTCGAATCAATCCCGTGTTTCGATAGGCATAACGAAACTAAGACAAATCTAGAAACCAAAAACACATGGCATCGGCCGGACCCATCATTCACCTACCTCCTCTCGCTCTTCCTCCTCCTTACCTCGCTCGCATGGGGTCTTGCCTACGCCGATGGTTTTCCGCGCACCCTACGAATAATGCTAGTCTTTGTTTTTATCCACTTCCTTCTTCTTTCTCTCTTGATAGCGACATTATTCTATTTTCTCGTGGGCAGGCTCCTCGGACCGGGTGTGAAGGGTTTGCCCGGTCGACGAAGGCAGGGACTGTTCAACGTAGAAGATGGCGACGGCAACAACGAGCTCGAGTTCGGATACTGCTGGGACGTTGCGATAAGAGCATTTGTGCCAATATGGGTGTTTTTGTACTTTGTTCAGTTCTTGCTCATGCCAGTCATTGCAAGCAAATACTGGTGAGTCTCATAGCAGTGAACAATGTCCAGGACAGATACCTAACTTCGAATCCCAAGGCTGTCTCTTCTCCTAGGAAACTCGCTTTACCTCGTCGCGCTCAACTACTACTTCATAATCACCTTCCTCGGATACAATGCGCTCCCTTTTCTCAATCATACACATCTTCTCCTCGCCCCAATCGCTGTTTGTACGATTCTCTGGTTTGCCACTCTGTTCGGTCTCAACCTACCAAAACATCTCGCTCCGGTGCTATGGGCCGGCGCCAAGTTGAGAAAGGATGTATGATCTCATGCGGAAGCGCCCTTTCTAGCAAGGTGTACTCAAACTAGATGGTTGTACGATACCACCGGACTGAGTGTATATGGAGTTTATAAAAGAGATGTAGTGAGGCGATCGGTGAAGAAACAAGACATGTTATCGAAGCTAATTTTCGTCATTTGGCTATATCATTCGCGCGATAGATTGTCTACCAGACTATGAAAATCCATAGTGTCGTCCGCATTTCAGGAACGCAATGGATAAAGGGGCGGTTCAGAATCGATATAATTATGTATGTCCCTCCTCTCGCCTAAGGCGCGACCAGCCACTAATTTGGTAGCCGATTTTTCGATGTGGCACAGCCAGAGAACCTCCAAATCTCCAGTGGCACATCCGCCTCTTCCGTACGCTCAACTCTTCCGTCCACTTAACTCCAACTCCGCAACCATTATCTTATACACTGGACAATATTCCCAGCCATAGTAAAATTAGTCCATCGGCGCCATGCGGAAGGCAAAGCTGTCCGGAACCCTCATTCCATATTCGAACCTCCCCTCCCTCCAGCATGGCCGCTGCAAGCTGGGACTTTAAGCGACCGACGATGAATCTGCAGTTGGACTGGGCCCTCTTCAACATATTGAGTCCGGAGCTTCGCACCTTGGTGTTCAGAGCTGTGTTTAGTAACCCGGGTGGTTCCTTCACATCACCGGCAATGCGTCGATGCCGAAAGTGCGAGCATGGTCACAGTAGTGGTGCAATGATATGGATTCGGTGTTTCCAACATGGCAGCATACATGCTATGGAGAACAGAGAGAGCCTACTTACTACGTTCATCGTCCTATCACCGAAACGGACGATAGACTCTTGGCTTTTTTGTTGACATATCGGCTTATGTGAGTAACTTGGAAGTTCATTAGAGGAGTTATTGATTTTGATGGTGGAGTCGACAGATACTGGGAAGCGCTTCAATATTGTACCACGACAATATCTTCCACTTTAGGGGAAGCCCCTCCCTTCTCGCATTCTAATCCTCCTTGTCAGCAGCTCAGTGGTGTACAATCCGCCAAATCCATTTATCTACTTATGTCACTGAATGGAGTATTTTCCAGAAATGGGGCCTAAGACGTTGGTCCGAATATTGCGAGCTGCTTTCAGAATCGCCAAACATCCAATATCTGCGCGTCGATATTGAGACACCTGCCGCACTGTGTGCATCTCTCGTACCATATCTTTTGCCTCTGAGATTTCCGAGTGCGAAGATTTTTCCGGTTGAGGTGGATATGAAACTGGAGCCAGGTTTACACCAATTCTTCCACTTCGCAAAGGATATGAATTTCGCGATGGTGTATAGAGAAATACCGCACAGTGTGGAACTATATGGAGCTGTGCCCAAGAACGATCTGTGGGAAGGGGAGTCGGAGCGCGCTAGGCAGCCTAGGGATAATGAATACTCCTATTGAGAAAGAGTCTGGGGCGAGGCTACACACTAGCTCTGGTTCAAACCTACGAAGCCGAGACAGTGATGGAAGCACATAATTTTACAGGGAAGTGAAGGCGCCGTTGGATATATTTCAGGAATCAGTCTATCATGCTCCGCTTTCACAACCTCCTTATTGGATTGGATAGTTACGCCTATCGATTCCGGAACTAGAAGGGTTCTTATCCTTGCTCCTTCTGATTGCAATAGTGAAGAAATGTCGCAGCGTCTCGAAACACAAAGACATCGTCAACATCAAGATGCTCCACCATATGAATGGCAAAATCAGGCCGTCCCAACAAGATGGAAAAAGGCCGAAGTGATATGCCGTTCTCATCAGGCCATACTTTTAGCCGGAGACGCTGCAAACTTGTCACTTCGTCTAGACAAAATCTCGCAAAATCCGTGTATGACAGTTGAGCATCCTCATCTCTACAATCCTCCTCGTTGCTATGGCAGAGTAGAGTGAGAGACGTCACATTGGACCGTGCGAGAGGACTCAGTCCTGAAAGCCACGTTTGCGTTGCATACGCCTGGTATCGGCCACGTGAACATATCCCAGTCAGGAGCAGGAAGTTGCGGTTGCGATACAGAACCGGCAGGGTCTCGCTGTATATGGCCTTGTTGACCAAGACGATGCCGGCGTGCGGACGACGCTGGAGTTCTTCATCGGTAGCTGGACGGAGCACATTGAAGGCTGGGCCTGCTTGTTGGAGGACCCAGGCTGTATGAGTTCCGGGCCGAACAATGACTTCTGGACCGCAGCAAATGTAGCGGCTGTAGATGTGGTCGTTGCACCCAGGGGGGCTCGGGTTCTCAGCGTCTTGTTGATGCAGTGGCTGTAGGGGACATGTGCAGATATCAAGCTGGTGCGGCGTAAATGTTGTGGAGCTGGGGTGCTGAAGATAGGGAAACTTCAGATCGTATACAATCGTTGTAGTCTCTTCGTCCGGATGGGGTGGTAGTAGATAAGAGTATATCCTTTGGCGTAGCGCAGGGGTGAGACGAAGAAAAGCGGGTGTGTGAGGAGTGGAGGGAGATGTGGCCATCTGAGAAGCTGAACGGCGAGTGATCCTTCTCTGAGAAGCATGGCTTCAGAGAAGAATAACTGCATATAGTCTTTGCGGGGAGCGAGAAGTTTGAGGTAGCAGCGGTTATCAATGCAAGGCATCAACACTGCATCATGGTGATAATAATAGGAAATGAGCGACTTCCCGCTTGCCTGGTTTAGGGTAACGCGCCAGTCACCTAGCTGCTTATATGCATCGTGAAAGGGATGGTATGTAGTGATGGCAGCTAAATATACCCTCAGGTGCGAGCATGACAGTGTCATGGGGCGGGAGAGGGTAGCACCTCAGAGCAGAGGATGTCGAGGTTTGGGTTCAGGTCCGCGGCGGTCAGCCACACGTGGCGGTTCATTGGTCTCCTGCGCCACAGAATTGTTTCCATCCGTTTCCCAACACTTTCCGGCTGGTACTCAGCTTCGCGCCGACATCACAAGCATAGATCATGCGGAGAGCCAGTGGAGTGAAGGTAAGCGAGTCCGATGTCATCATTAGCAATCTGTACCCTCCAGAACACTGCTCACATCACACAGGTGTCTTCTGCCCGCGAGGTTTGCATCTTCTGCGCCACTAGACAACTTACCGCTGCCATACTTCCAATTGCGAGCTCTCAATTCCCTCAACGGAGGCACCTCAGTTCGTCAAACAAAGCTCAGAATGCCTCGGATTCGCTCTACAGGGAGGCGGCGCCTCGTTCTCGACCGCTCACGCCCAAGGAGCAGATGGAATTGATGCGCCAGCGGTTTGCTGTTCCGCAGCAACCACAGCCTCAGCAAACATCAAATGATGCGTCACAGGCAGGGGCTAAGACGGGTTCTCAGTCGCGGCCTTTTGATAGGCCACAGGCGCAACGGTATGGTTCGCAGCGAAATCTCAACCCTTTCGACCGCCGGGGTCCGAATCAGCGCTCTGAAAGATACACACCCAACCGCGGTGATCAGTCTCAAAACAGGTACAATGTGAGAATGGGAAACGGGCCATCTTTCGAGGAGGGGCCTCAATTCGGTTCCGCTCCACATTTGCGGCGAAGGGACAATATGGTCAACCGCACGAATCCTGCGTCCACTACGGACGCGGGCGTCTCACATCCTCCGCCTCTTCGCCCCAAACTAGACAAAGACGAACTGGCGCGCCTGCTGGGTAATGCGAGCGAGTCGAACAACAATGTGGCGCCGAGATCATATACACCCCTCGCACGAGATGCGCGGACAGAGGTGACTTGCTTCACTTGCGGGCAACAGGGCCATAGGAAGTGGGAATGCCCAGAAAGAGACTCGGACCGCCAGCAAACTCGTATGCAGCCGCAGGCTCCTTTCTCTAGACCGCAACAAGAATCGCAAGGATCCGAAGCGGACGCTGCAGAAGGGTGGAAGCAAAAGGGCATCATTGGGGAGGACGGCGTGCTTCGAGAGCAGAGCAGTCCTGCCGAGGAAGAGGAGCGAAGAAAGGCAGAAGCCCTTGAACGGCTGAGTCGTAAATTCAAGATCGATGACGACAGCTTGCCTAAGCAAACCCGTAATCGATATGAGGAACCGATGCGTCGCCGGGGAGGAGGCCAAGAACGAAAAGGGCGTAATCGAGTTATGCGCAATATGGATGAGGAAGATGAGATATATGTCAGTAAGGCGGAGCGTAAGCGGCTACGTGAGGAGGCGAAGAAGGCTGCACAACTCGCAAAAGCGGAACCGGTTCGACTTTATCTTCCAGAGTACATCAGCGTCACCAATCTCGCATCCATGCTGAAACTGCGCGTAGAAGACTTCGTGAAAAAGCTGGAAGAACTGGGATTCGAGGACGTTCAGAACGATCACATCCTCAATGCCGAGCATGCGGCCCTGGTGGCGCAGGAATATAACTTCGACCCCGTCATCCAGGTCGAGAGCGAACATGATGGCGATTTATACCCTGCCCCACCGCTATCTCCAGAGGAGTACGCAAAGCTACCTCATCGCCCACCGGTGGTCACCATCATGGGCCATGTCGACCACGGAAAAACGACTATCCTTGATTATATGCGCAGCACGAGCGTCGCTGCCACGGAGTTTGGAGGCATTACACAACACATTGGTGCCTTCAGCGTTCCCCTTTCCTCCGGTAAGAAGATTACCTTCTTAGACACGCCGGGTCACGCCGCCTTCGAGACAATGCGCGCTCGCGGTGCCAACGTTACGGATATCGTCGTATTAGTCGTAGCCGCCGACGACTCCGTCATGCCACAGACCGTCGAGGCAATCAAGCATGCGCAGGCAGCCAAGGTTCCCATTATTGTCGCCATAAATAAGATTGACAAGGCGCAAGCGGACCCTGAGCGGGTGAAGCTGGATCTCGGGCGTCATGGCGTCGAGGTCGAAGATTTCGGTGGAGACGTTCAGACCGTGTGCGTTAGCGGCAAGACTGGTCAGGGCATCTCCGATCTGGAGGATGCCATCTCTTTGCAATCCGAGGTTTTGGATCATCGCGCGGACCCAGAGGCCAATGTGGAAGGATGGGTGCTCGAGGGTTCGACTAAGAAAAATGGACGGGTCGCCACTATACTGGTTCGCAATGGCACGCTCCGCCCCGGCGACTTCCTCGTTGCTGGCAACACCTGGACACGCGTAAAAACCCTCCGCAACGAAGCAGGCGCCGTGGTGCCGGAAGCGGGACCCGGCACGCCCGTCGAAGTTGACGGCTGGCGGGACCAGCCGATGGCGGGAGATGAAGCTTTGCAAGCTGCGGACGAAGACCAGGCATCGGAGGTGGCAGAGTTGCGCAAGGAGAAACTCGAGCGCCTGCAAATGGCCAAGGATGTAGAAGCCATTAACACTGCGCGTCGTCTGGAGGCAGAGCGTCGCGAAGCTCAAGAAGCTGCCGCCAAGGCTGGTGCGAATGGAGGAGATGCGGTCTCAACCAAGACGGCACAAGAGAGCGGACCTGAACTCGTGAGCTTCATCGTCAAGGGTGATGTCTCCGGGTCTGTGGAAGCCGTCATCGATTCCCTCGTTGCAATCGGTAACCATGAAGTCGGTACACGTATCCTGCGATCCGGTGTTGGCTCGCCCTCCGAGTTCGACGTTGAGCATGCGGCTGCTGCAAAAGGTCATATCGTCAATTTCAACACGCCTGTGCCAGGTCACATATCCGGCCTGGCGGAAGAGAAGGGTGTCAGGATTCTAGATTCGAACATCATTTACCGTGTCGTCGAGGATGTAAAGGCACTCTTGAGCGAGAAGTTGGCTCCCAAGGTTACCCAGAAGGTCACTGGCGAGGCGGAGATTGCAGCGATCTTTGAGATTGGATTAGGCGGAAAGAAGAAGTTGAGGGTTGCTGGCTCCAAAGTTCGAAACGGTATCATAGAGAAGGGAGCCAAGGTGAAGGTGCTCCGAAAAGACGAGGTGGTGTTCGATGGTGAGTGCGAGCTTTTTGTCCATGCTCTTCTACAGGTTTTCGCTTACTGACATGACACAGGTGTCATCAACTCGCTCAAGAACCAGAAGAAAGACGTCGATCAAATGCGCAAAGACACCGAGTGCGGTATCGCCTTTGACGGGTGGGAGGATTTCCAGGTCGGAGATAAGATCCAGTGCTACGAGGAGAAGAGCGAGAAGAGGTATCTGTAAACCTATCGACTTCACTCTGTATATATAGACCTGCATTTTTGGGGCGTGGGTGGTGTCTGAAAATGGCATTGTACGGCTACCTATTCTAGCCATTGTTGTAAAGCTCATGAACATCCTTCATAAATCCTTCATAACTGTACTATTCCTCACAGTGGACAAGGGGCGGGCAAGCACACACAGACACACGGAAGTAGATCGAGAGAGTCATGTCCATTAATTGTCCTCCAGAGCTCAGAGCTCGTCAAACATTATGCAGGAACATTACCAACTTCAGCGTCACGTCTCCACGAGTAACCACGAAAACCGGCATGTGTGCGATCTCATGGAGGGTTCCTGCGGCAGCAGTGCCGGATAACGCTCGGTGAGATGTCCGCATTTCAGACTTAGGGCTTCAGCTCTTCTTTCGAACCATCCAGGGCACGATCATTCACACTGTCGAAGGCTGAACCCATAGTGAACAAGTTTTTCGGGCCGTCACTGGTGACTAAACGAACATCTTATGTTATGTATAACAGAACTGCTTACCCCGAACTGCTATCCATTACAGACATGCAAATAATAGTATGCACTCCTTAACACCACTAGTTCCCGTACTAGATTCCATCCCAGTCCCAAACGTCAGCATGCGCGAAACGCTAAGTCCCTTCCAGATAATACATGCCGTTGGAAAGAGAAGAGGAACGCTAGACAAAACATGAGCAAGAAGAAGAGCGGTGGACTGATACAGTGCAAAGAATGAAACCGTGACGGGCCAAACGGAGATTACTAGTACATGTCGTCGTCACCATCACTGTGCCGCGTGCTGCCGAGGGCACTGGCTCGGCCACTACCACGGGCCGACCCACCGCCGTTGATGCTAGGCTCGTCCCCCTTCCTCTCCCGCTCACGCTCCAGCATGGCTCGCAGATCCGCATTTTCCTCAACCTTCTGCTCCAGCCTCTTTCTCGCTCCGCTCCGATCGAGAAGCCTTGCCTCCCGTTCGGCTTTCAAGCGCCGCTCCAGTTCCCTGAGTCGATGTATCCACCTCTGCTCGCTCGTCTGCAGCCCAACCGATTGTGGATATGGGTGGTCGGGCTGGTTTTGCACTCCGTCAACAGCAGAGGAGGAGTGGTGACGTAGCAAAGACTGAGCCACACTCGTGCGTTTGGAACCAGCAGGAGTGGCTGAGTCACGGGTAGTATCGGATACCGTGTTGGTTGTGCTCCGACGAAGCGCTTGGATCTCCGACCGTAGAGTTTTATTCTCTGTCCTAAGCTTCGTAAGCTCTGCAGAGTTCAGATCGACCATTCCACCTCGGATGGTGCTTGGCCGACCAATGGACTGCCGCTGGGCGATGACAATCTTCTCCAACTGATCAAGTCGCTTGACACGAACATCTAGGGTGTGTTCCAAAGTCTGATAGTCGCGCAGTAAATCCTTCTCGATGGATCGAATGCGTGAGCGGAATCCTCCGATGATGTTCTCGATGGTCTTAACAGCTTGAATCATATTCTTGTTGAAGCCTGTGATGTTCTTCGAGATGAGCTCCATGGATGTCAGCTCCCCATTGATGACCGCATGGTTTCTTGACCACTCAGGTCCGCAGAGCGTCGACAGGCGATTCCAAAGAGCAAAAAGTAGGTTGTTCCGCTCCAATAGCTGGTCTTTGTATTGAGTTTCGAGTTGAACCATCTTGCGGCGGTCATGGCTCCGCTGGGTCTCGAGCTCAAGGACTCTGGTTTCATGCTGTTGTATGGTCCTGCTGATGGACTGATGTCCACGCTTGGCCGATTCGAACGCAGCTTGATCCTGGCGGCGTGCTTGACGTTCACGTTCCAAGAGATCGGATAGTCGACGGCTCTCCAAACCAGTGCTCTCAAGGAGGGCATCACGATTTCGGAGCAACCTATCCTTCTCAGCAAGATCATTCTTCGTGTCATTAAGCTCCTGGACCGTGGAGTCAAGATCACGTTGCAACTTGTCAATATCCTGTGACGACAATGGTAAGCATGGTTGTGACGGTTGGGGATGAGAGTTGGATACCTTGAGAAGACTGGACTTCGTGCCGTTGAGGTTACCTAGGGCCTCGCGGAGACTGGTTTCAAAGTCGTCAAGCCGCTGTTTCCATGTCGTCGCCTCGACCTCCTTCCCTGAAAGACTTTTGCGGAGCTTTCTGTTATCCTCTTTCAACTTGCTGAGCTGGGCATTCAGGTCCGTGATGATCTGTTCCACTTCCTGCTTCTCTCGGCTATCCAAGATCTCCCGTTGCCGCCTCTCTTCTGTCAAGCGCTCTTCCAGCTCCCGGAACCGTTCCTTCTCGTCCTGTATAGTGTTGTGCGCGACGGTCAGCGAAGACTCAAGTTCACCGATCTTGATCTTGTCGCCCTCTTGCTCCTCGCGAAGGAAGTCAATCTCGCTTTGGCAGGATTCTAACTGGACTTCTAGACGCTCGTTCTTTGACTTCTCGTCAGACAGGATCTTGTCTTGCTTGCCCAGTTCGTTATTAGCGTCTTCTAACTCGGATTCCAGATTCTGGATCCTGCGCAGACTTGCGTTCTGATCATCCTCAAGCTGCACTAGGCTCTCACTGACGTTTTTCATCTCTTGTTGAAGTGCGTTGAAATCTTCGTTCAGGTTATCGAGTTCAGTAACGAGACGATTGCATTCTTGCTCCTTCTGCTCAATCTCCCCTTCTAGCCGTTGGATCGTTTCAAGGGCCTGTTGCCGGAGCTCCTCACACTCCTGCTCCTTGTCTTGTAGCACTTCCAGGGCTTCGTCCCGCTCTGCTTGCAGGGCTTGCAAGTCCTGTGTCTGCAGATTCAGTTCTTCATCAAGCTCCTTAACCTTCGCTTCTGCCTGCTCAAGCAGGTCGAGATGACCGTTCAACTGGTCATCTAGCTCTTTATACTGGAGTTTTGTCTGTGATAGCTCGTCTCGCAGTGCAGCATATCTACCTTCGAGATCTTCTCGATCCGCATCGCTGAGCTGAGTGACACGCGTGGCACCACTGCCTCTAGATGCAGGTCGTTGGTGGTTGCGCGAGATTGACCGCTCGAAGATGCTGTCCCCTGCTACAGAGCCAACATCGCCTCGCCGGACTGAGAGCTTCAGGCTCTCAATTTCTTGTTGTAGTCGCTCCCTCTCGCGGTTCCGCGAGGTGAGCATAGAGGTCTGTGCACTGAGGTCTCGCCGAAGCTCTGCATTCTCGCTCCTTAACTGTTCAACAAGCGTGGTGCTAGTGGCGCCAGTGGATGGAGGTGCCGCATCCTCGTTGAATTCTGACCCCGAGTTCGACCGTGCTGTAAACGAGGCAAGGTTACGTCTACTGATGTTATAGACATTTCTCACACTATGGTTCGTCGTGGTGGAATGCTGGTGGAACTGCTGGGCTGAAGCTTCTTTCAGACGTTCCACTTCTTCGCGAAGTCTCTGGGCCTCTGCTTCAGCCTGGGCACGACGAGCACGCTCATTTTCCACCTCCTCCTCCCATATATTCATGGCTTCGTCAACGCTGGGGGAAGGGGCTTGTGCGTTCTTCTCGCCCATCGACTTGATATACTCTGCCATGCGCCTTTTCTCAACTTCCTTATTGAGGTTTTCTTGCTGCAGCTGTTCGATGGTGCTTTCTGTGGACTCTAACCGCTCGCGCAGGTAAAGGATCTCCTCTTCGAGCTCGGCTTGTCTGGACGGGTCGCTGGTTTCGTCGTCCGATCCACTTGTTGACTCCTTTGGAGTCTGACCATCATCTTGATTCTTCATTTTCCGCTCCAGCTCACGAATCTTCTTACGCAGAGCCTGGTTTTCTTTCTTTTCGTTCGCCAAGTCTGTCTGCAACTGAACGTTCTTCGATATCATCTCCTTCACGCCCTCGTCGGACCGGTTCTGGAGCGCCTGGTCCAGGAAGTGTATCTTCAACTTCAAATCGAAGTTCTCCTTACTCAGCTTATCAATCTTGCTGTTCTGCTCCTTCAACGTCAAGTTATGTTTACTGCGGGTGAAGGGGGTGGCCACATGTCGCTTCTCGGGAGACCTCGAATGTTTTTCACGATACTCTCGGGCGACGGTATCTGGCACCTGGATGTCTCTGACGTGCCTAGCAATGACTGTGTCAGTGAGTGCTGATGCTTGAGCATTGAACGCGCGAGGGGTAGCAGGAGGACTGTTTGAGGTTGTTGCTTCCTCATCTAAGCGGGCTAGATTTGATTCAGAGGCATGATACCCCACTAACGAGTTGGCACTGATACTCCTCGCCTTGTCCCAGGGATTGGAGTCACTGTACCCTGAAACTGAGGAGGCAATACTGCCTAGGCTGGGCAGCCTCGATAACGCCATACTGTTCCTGTTGTTGATTGAGCGTGGGACAGCTCCTCCGCTCTGCAAAGCGTAGTCCGCGCCGAGACTCACGTTGCTCCCACCGTCGCCTGACAGGTCGGAGCGGTTTGCCACGGAGGACACAGACGATCGTTGACTGGAGGTGCGCTGTTGTAGATGCCTCGGTCGTTGGCTGGCCCTTGTCGCAGGCGTTGGGAGAAGTGGAAAGGGAATGTCAACATTCTCGATACTGAGTTCATGGTCCTCGGTGAAGGACGAGTCTCCGTCCACCTGCCCAAACTCTGGCGCTTTCACCGTCGATGCGCTTGAAGTCGGCCGCCGAGAACCATCTGCATTCCCTTGCTGAGCGCCGACCGCGGCTTGTCCACTACTCTGATTGTCTGGCCCGGTATGACTAGGGACGCTGCCTGGGTCGAATGCGCGTGAGCGGTTCCGCTGTGCAGCCTGTGCCGATGGGGACGAAGGCATAGGTTCCGACGTTGACGTAGTCAGGTCTGGCGAGTCCTCTTGCGGATCGGAATCTATATTGAGACGCCGGGCGGCGGGTGTCTTGTATGCGTCGGCAGGTGTAGGAGGCTCATCCGTCAATAATGAGGAACCTTCGTTTAGTTCAGATTCATTTCTAGCTTCTATATCCTCTTTCCTATCATCTGATGTCGGCGTTCGTGCTCGTGAATGGCCCGGAGATCCTCCGAAAAGATAGGTATCATCAACGCCAGGAGTGATCGCCGGGGTCTCTGCCTGTGCCATAGCTTCCGGTAGGAAACTGGATTCAATGTCCATCAATCGGCGCTTCATCTCTCTGTCAGCAAGTACGCTTCCGTCGCTATTTATTTGACCGTCGGCTGTTCCCAGTCGCAGGAAACTGTCGTCATCGTCGGTCGGAAGTGGAGGAAGGTCGGAATCGGGTAAGTCAGAAGTCTGCATATCCTCGAGTTGGGATCCATCTTGCAAACTCTCGATCTTCTCCGTTGCGCTGGAAGGTAGTGGAGGCAGTGCTGTATCGGCCATGTGTGTTCGTGATGCTTCGGCATCCGCAGTAAGCGCTGGATCAGAAGATGCCATGGCAACCGAGAGCGGTCGACTTGTTGTAAGTCTTGTTATGGCCGCAGCAACGGCATATTCAACCTGTTGGAGACGGCTCAGCTGTTCGCAGTGGGCCAAGTTCACCTTCTCCCTCGAAGACTGAACGTCAGGGCAAAACAACGCTAAGCAAGGGGGGTTCATGTTTGCCAAGCCTCATTGTCAACAGTTGACGCGCAGAGACGATCCGGGAGTGGCCCGTGCGCCGACATTCAGGGAATTGTTGAATGGCCTACTACTCAATAAATAGGTGCTCTACCACTAAGCTATTGATTAGTGGTAGCCCTGGAGGTCATCTAACATCTCCCCTACATTCAGGTCACATGCCAGATGTGGACCTTTCCGTAGACTGCAAATTGCTACTGTGTATAGGCATGGGCACGCACTATTTGAGGCGGGAAATGTGTCTTGGTGACTATCCTGACATGCTTTCGGGAGGGAAGAGCGTCTTCCAACTCTTTCCACTCCGTACGCTTGCGGTACTGCACTCACATCCAGTATATGTGCAAACTTATAAACACTCCGGCTTCTTGACTGCTGCATCGCCTGTTTAGTTCGTATGCCTTATAGTGGCACCCTGTAGGATGTCAACTCCTCAATCTGCTTCTCAATCTCCATGTCCCGAGAAGGTTCCTCATGACTCCGGTTTTCCTGTCTCCTTCATTCGTTTTGCCTTTTTCTCCTCTCGTCTCTTTATCTCTTCCGGTGTTCTGTGCTTCTTATGCTTTTTCACTGGCGAATCACCTGCATGCTCGTGTTTTCTCTTCTCCGGCTTATTGAGCGAAGGAGCGGCAGTCGCATCGTCCTCACTGTCCGAAAATCCAAGGGTGCCAGGGTCCGGGTCCCCGAATCCAGAATGGAAGTATCGCATTCGCAAACCTTTCACTTGTGGTCGTGGGGCCCGTATCGTGCTTCTTGTAATCGATTCTGCTGCTTCCGAGCCAGTGTTGTTTTGTGACTGCTGGGCGGCAAGCTTGGGTATCTTAAGGACTTGTTGTATGTGGAGGGTCTTGGTTATGCGGGCGGATACTAGAGCACGTCAGCAGGTATTTACGAGACGTCTAGAAACAACTTACCAGCTTTATATCCATTCTGGCGAGGTATCAAAACCTCACGTTCGCCTAATTCATCCTTTTCTCCAGCGACGAATCCATAATCAGTCTCCTTATCGGTGAGTATGGGAGCGCCTGCCAATGCCTTATCCATCGTGATTTCCTTCAACTCAGATAATGACACACCCGCTGGAGCCGTTATGTGCCATATCTGTTTTCCTTCCAGGTTCTCGAACGCTTTGACGGCATCGGACGTCGGTACTAAGGGCGTTGGAATGGCCTTAAAAGCCTTGGGGGGCTCGAAAGGTAGCGCAGGACGGAACTCGACAGTATGCGACTGTGTTCTCTGAGGCGCCCTGAGTGCAAGTCAGTAAAGCGCAACAACCCTCAAAAACGCACATACACTTCCGGACTGGCCCGTGCCGCTGGAGGGGGAGCTTCATCGTCCGATTCACTAGTCGATTCTTCTGAACTGTCTGACGCGCCGGTGTTGGAAGTTCCATTTGTTCCATTCTCCGCACTGTTTTTGCCCTCCTTGCTCTTCGCCGCCTGCGCGCTAGTCCCCTCCGAGCTCGAGGTATCTGAGTCCGACTCTTCGCTTGTATTCTCTTTGGCTGGCGCTTTTGGTGTAGGTAATGGCACAGCGGTTTTCTTGGTTATGCCATTTGCCTGCGGCTTGTGGACACCTATAGTGGCCGTGGCTTTCTTCTTCGATTCACCTTCCTGCTCCTTCGAGGGTTTTGTATCTGTTAGGGAATCGTCGCTATCGCTTATGTATTCGCTGCTCAGCGGGGACTTCGAAGGCTTTTGCTCGGATTTTGGCTTCTTGTTTGAATCCGTCAGAGGCACCTCAGTCTTTTTTGACTTTGCCATAGTGCGTCTGTCGTTGTTTTCGCGTTTCGGTCGGCGTCGCAAACCGCGCGAACTTTCTTGGTGGAGCAGAAATTCTGCCGCTCACCGCCTAGCAGCGGGAGCTAACTTATTTGGGTCGACCGTAAAATATACGAACCCGGGAAACCTCAACCCCAAGAATTCGCTAGCATAAGTTGACATTGCCAGCGGATTTGAGGATATGCCGGGGAAAAGGAAAAGAAGTAGTGCCGCAAATGCGAATGCTGATGCCACCGGTTTGTTCTGACCTTAGAATTGCGATTCTCTGTGCTGATTCATTCTTCAGCTGTGCATTCAGAGGAAAGAAACGTCAAGCCAATCAGCGCGGTTGCTGCCGCAAAATTAAGATCCCAACCGTTTCTGCAAGAAGAAGTTCCATCAATTGAAAATCCCAGCTCAGCCAATTCTCTTGTCTCAAGCGAAATAGAAGGAGAAGAAGGAAGATCACTTGGCGAAGACGAGGCCTCGGTTCCCCAACCCAATGTCCAACTGTGCACGTGGCGATATGGACCCGACTATGTATCCTCCGAGTCGGAAGAACAGGTCACTATATGCTTGAAAAAGGGTGCCACCATCACCTTGATAGGATGTTTCGATTTTACCGTGTTAAGAGGGGCTATCAACATCAATGGCGCAAACTTCGGTGCAGTACTTCGCCGAGGCGAACAACCCAAAACTTCTCGTGCATACGTTCTTTCGACGCATCCCATATCCGTTATCAAGGGGTTGGACAGTGAGAATGAAATCCAATTCCTAAGCTGTCCCGAAACAACGCCTCTAGGTTCATTGAACCCACTCTTTCGCAATATCTGGAATGCCAAACCTCTCACTGGACGGGCTAAGTCCTTCTCATTGGTATGTACGAAACACCTTGTTTCTATAATATTCGCGTGCCTCACATAGACCAGACTGACAAGATCTGCAGATCACGGAATCTGACGCGGACCCTCTTCATAGACCTCTCACACCTGAAATCATACCCGATGATTGGGTTCGCCAAGTTGATGAATGCGCAGCCACTTTCAACACCACCCTGGTTATAGGCCCACCCTCATCCGGCAAATCGAATTTTGCAAAGAGGCTTCTGAATAGATACCTGACCGGCCATGGTAGACTAGCGCAGCCCATTTCTTCCGCATTGTTTCTTGACCTAGACACGAGCAAACCCGCGTACACACCCCATGGCCAAATATCGCTTGTACTGGTACGACAGGTCGATCTCGGACCCCCTTATACACATCCTCACCCGTTGCCTAAGTCTGCAGGGGGCAATGAGATTGTCCGGTCTCATCCTGTGCCGGTCCACAACACGTTGAACTATCTGGACCACTTCCTTGCTGGTACAAGGGATCTCCTACGTACCTTCCAGGGCCTAAACCAACAACAACCATCCGGCCCCCTCATAGTCAACACCCCCGGCTGGCTTTATACCTCGACCTTCAGCACGCTCCTCGATCTGCTCCCTCTCCTAAAACCGCGGAACCTCGTCGTCCTCGCAGACGCCAGCTCCATAGATGTCGACACCGCCTCCAAACTCCACACCCTCGACACAGCCTCTCGGAAACTGAACGCTGCAGTTTTGCATATCTCCGCGATCCCAGCACCCCCTACTCCTTCACCTTACACAGACGCACACCACCGAGACATGCACATGCAGTCCTACTTCCACCTACGCCTGTCCAAATCCTCGGAACCAGCATTCTCCTCCCTTCCACTCACTCACCTCCCGCCTTGGGAATTCTTCCTAAACGAAACAGAGACATCACCGCAATCGCTCATCGGCGTTATAGCACTCTGCGACCCCTCTTCCCTCACACCCCCAAATAGTCTCCAGACGATCCTCAACGGCGCTATCGTCCACATCATGGATACCTCTGACCCGGACATAATTGGCCAGTACGGCACACTGCCTCGGACGCAAGACCGTTTCGGCATCCCCTATTTCCCCGTCGACCAAGACACAGGCGCTGTGAAGATGTTGGATCCGGCGTCATCCCGGATCGTGGCTACGGCATTGGTGCGTGGGTGGGATGTTAGCAGGGGAGTTGTCCAGCTTCTGGTTCCCAAGGGTGTGGAGAGCGTTATGACTTCGCTTCGGTCGGACAGGACGGTGTGGGTTGTCGGGGCTTGTGAAGGGGCGGGGTGGGCTTATGTGGAGGAGGCCGAGTATGTTCGGAGTGAAGGGGGAGGAGTGGAGGGGCAGGAGTTGGACCCCTGGGTGGAGAGGAGGGAGGTGGTGGAGGGGATGGGGTATTTGTGTGTGCCGCGGAGAGTGAGGCGGTTTCAGCAGTGAGGTGTTATGGAAGAGCCGGAGTGGGGTGAATAAGCTTGTTGAGATATTTGGTAATTATTAGGCTGTCTACGAGAGTTGCATTGAATCAGTGAGATCACTGGAGCCATCAGTGCTGGAGCATACATTTTCTGCTTCCCTTCCGCTTTTAATCAAACGTGCCAATTTTCACGAGGCAATCGCACCGAATGCCACGGCTGGGAAAGCGAAATCTCCAAAATGCTCATTCCTAATTTGTCTTCTACATGGCTGTAGTTGACCTTAGATACATACGAATCACACCCTCACCACTCCTTCCTTCAAGAGCAGCTTCACTTCCAGCAACTCAGCCAACCCACACCAATCAGGACCCAGGCCAAACCCAACACAGCCTCTCCCATAGCCTCTCCCCTCTCTTTTTGAGATACTTCACAGTACAGGTGAACTAGACCATGCCCTACGCTCAAGCAATTGATGACGAAGCCAGAGACGGAAATGTTCCGAGAAGACCAGATTGGGTGCTACGTCGACACTGCGGGGCTTCGGGATAGCCGATGACTATTGTGTACTTGTACTTACAGCGTGGCGAGGAACGGAACTGCGGATGTAGAGGGAGGGACGGGGAGGTGACATCATTGCTTTCTCCGGGAGTTTGGCTACGACGCATGCAGGTATGCTGCCGAAGGAGCTTTTGGCCGTCTGGACCACACCAATCTCTACCGAGGACTGCTTTGAAATACTAGTATTCGGAACGGTTTCCAGCAGCAGTGACGTCTCATTCACATGCGGATGGTTCGGTAGCCACCATGACTCTCTCAACTACGGCCTCCCCGTCACCGGGGAAGACAGAGACAACGCTCCTTAACAACTCGGATTCGCATGACGAACGTCATTACAAGTACTGTGTATTGAGCACCTGGGCAGGAATCAGGATAGGGATAGGGATAAGGGGCGCACAGCCACGATCACCGCGTGAGGAGCACCGCCACTGGTGTCGGTCCGATAACCGAGATCTGGCGCACGGACCGTAAGCCACAGCTGTTCTTCTCGCGATCGGATTCTCTTCCAACAGCATGCAGAACCAGCAGAATCGCATCAGCCAACGAGCATCCACTCAAAGTCTCTCCAGGAAACGGCAGCGTCGCGGAAGCAACAGCATCCGGCTCAGAGGGCGCCGACAAACGTCTTCCAGTGGCCGGGGAACACGCCCGAAAGCTTACGGAGTCCCCAAAACCATCACATTCGGCGAGGTCTGCGAGCGACCGTGCTCCAGCCTTCCCCAGGCTTCCAGGGGCATGAAGATCGAGAGCGTTGTCAGGACCCTTTTTCACAGCACGAAACTCGATCGTCAGGTTTTGGCGCGCCAAGTCGTCGTGGCGCGCTAGGACTTTTGTGGTAAGCGTAAACCCCACGAGAACGCCATGAGCGGGCGAGTTGCGGATTGAGAAGAGGATGAAGCAAAGAAGCGGTGCGTGTGTGAGGTTTTGGCTGGCGGGTTGCGAAGATGCGGGCAGGGCGAGCTAGCTGCCTGCTGGCCGGACGGGCGTATTTGGGTTCCTTAACTTAAGGATGGGCCCGAGGGAGGTGCGCTTCGTTGGTTCTGTTTCCCTTTTGCTTTCACTAAAGATTGAGCATTCACCAGCATTTTGCTCTACAGGGTCATAGATCGCGAATACGTTACAGCACATTACTATCCTCCTCGAGTTGCACAGCTACCGTCCCTTTCCCCAGTTTCAAGGCGGAATACTCTTCCGAGTTAGAGGTCCTCCTCTGCTCTCACTCTCACCCTGGGAATAGTTCACTTCGACCCTCATTCCCCAAAGTCTCTCAATGCCTCCCGTACGGGACCATAACGCGCCTCGCGCCAATCCGAGCCCTACCAAGCCGACAGGAGTGGTGAAACGCAGCCATTTGGAGAACAAGGAACGGTAAGACGCGTCATCACGTGACGTCCTCCTTTCACCACACCCTATGCTAACTGCTCCTTTCTTCAGTGCATACGTCGCAGCCTCAAGACGCAGTGACCGCAGCCTTGAAGCCCGCCTCGAGTCCGCCCACCAAGCATCCAACATCCACTTCGAGCGCACCGGTCGCCGCCTCGTCGTCAACGCCGATATCGTCGAGCGAGAGGAGATGTACGAGGAAGAAGATCCCGCACACCAATTACGTATGATGCGTGCTGGTAGCTTGCAATATCGTAACCTCGACAACAACATTTTGGATCTGCTGCAGCAGAGTGCTCTTGCAAGGGCACATGCGCAGTGGATGCCCACGACATCTCTCCATGGGCTGGTTCAACCTACGATGCAGATGTTCCAGATGAATCAAGGACAGCCCCACAGTCAGGAAAATGGTCTCCAGTCTCCAGGCAGTTCTGCTGGATCTGATATTTCGAGCTTTTCGCAGCAGATGCCGTCACCCGCTCCCTTCACCCAGCAGTCGCAGTCACCGCAGCCGCAAGGTTTGCAGTTCGATAGTATCCGTTCACAGCAACAGGTGTCCAGCCCACAAATACAGGGTGTCTCCCCTCAGCAGATGCAAAAGACACCCAGTGCGCAACAGCCTCGGCCACCTCAGCCAACACCGAACTTCCAACAGCTACCTCAAACCACGGGTCTTTCATCCTTCCGCAACTTCGATGGGCAGCAGATTTCTCAGCATAATCCCGGACTGTCGCCCGTGTCAGTGTCGTCAGAGTATCAAGAACAGCAGAAGCAATATGAGTTCTTTCTTCGGCGACAATCAGAACACAGGCATGAGGCATATATGCCACTGAGGCAGCAGCACCAGCATCAGCAGCACCAATGGGAGCAATATGGGCACGAGCAGCAGCCCCAGGAGCAGCGAAGACGACAAGAGCAACCATATGCGGACCCTTTCTCAGCGAACCTCAAATCCGAAAACCTGGAGATCGAAGAGCCAGCACCTTTCACGAAGCCCCAGCAACCCTACATCACCACCTTGCAGGATAAGCTTGTCGAAGTTCAACAAGTCGATCAAGTACAGGCCCCTCTTCCCTTCGAATCTCCACTGTTCGCAAACCTCAATCTACTTGAGTTTGAGACCCAGCAGCCCAGTCTGTCTGATGATGCGGTCAAGAATCTACTGGATGAGTATGACTGGAGTCGTCAGGAATTTGGGGCGGTGGAGACGTATGCTTGAGATCGCGTATCTCTTGTCGTCACTCCATCATTGGAATCGCACTTGGGACGAGCGGATAGCCTGGGTACCAGCCCGTCACCTTACCCCTCTCACATTTTAAGTTTTCGACCATCTCCGCCCTCCCCGACCGCTCTTCCATCCCATCACCTCGACCAGATCGGACGCTCGTACCATGAGGGCCCGGCTCCCTCCCCCCCGCCTCCTATCTCGTGAAATCCTTCGCAAATACACGGGCTGGACCAAATCTTACCTACCCATTTACGACTCCCTACCTCTATACGTCTCGACATGTTCTATAACCTCCATCTGGTTCGGGCTTGCTGGTTGATATTCCTCCGAGGGAATTGAAGTATCAGCTAGTCTACGGCTTTCTGTATTGATTGCTCCTTGGTCTGGATGTGTACCACTGTACGTTGGAGATTCTCGACTGTGTTTGAGTGTCAACGCGATCTTTGCTGAGTTCTCATTCTGATGGGCTTTTATCCAAAACCCGTATCTTGGGCTTTGAGGTGTCGGGAATTTAGTGAGCTCTGTCCGGGCGTTTTGATTTGAGCGCTTGCGACTTTGCTGGAAGAGCAAGGCAAAAAAGGGTATATCAGGTATATATAATATCAATACAGCGACTGACTACCACGGCTTCTACTTGAAGCACGGAGGTGCTCGCTCTGTAGACAGAAGAAGAAGAAAAATACATAAAAACGGACTTGGTGTCTGGGGGTCCATGGCATTTCGGTGCGGGGCTTGGGGTGTGCTTGTCATTGTGATTGAAGGGTACAGAGCCGAGACATAGTGGTACATGAGGGGATGTGCAAGTGAAAGGGATTCTGTTGATTCAGTCGCACTGCGTCAAACCCATTTCCACACCCGTCGGGTGAAGCTACATTGCCACCATCTCATTATGCGGGCACCCGTTCTGCTACCTGGCATCCCGCCGTCTGTACACCGTTCACAACTGGTCCATGATTGCCCACGGGTCTGCGCTAACAGTTATGAGTAGCCTTTCGTTGGAACGAAATATACATGTATCTCATCCGCAGATACAAGTGTCTTGTCTACGCAAGATCGTTTCTCGATGGCGGTCCCACCAGGCCAAAAGATCTACACCTTCCTAGTGACCGTCATACCAGACGCCTTCCCTCATCTATTACTGCAAGTTGATTGTCATAGGCTTTGTGCGTGTTATGCTACGGATGTGATTATTCACAGCAGACGGGAGAAACCGCTCTTCTCCTCTCGCTGTTTCAGTGGCGATACCTGGACGCCAGCTACCAGTCACCACTACTAACAAATGCCCCCATCAGCTTTCCACCAAAGAAAAATCATGGGCTCTTTGCAGCACCGTGGCGCAGGGTTCCTGCCGTGGCACGTTTCTCAACACTTTTATCCGCTCATTTGCACTTCGACTATATCATCCCTTTATACCCGCTTCCTGTTCTACCAGACCCTCTCACGAGCTCAATACCCGTTCCTCAGATCGAACTCAACAATGTCGAATCTGCGACCACTTTCCTGTTCGACGGTGTGGTGTGAGGCTGCTCCTCATCAGTGGAGCAACTTTGCACGGGAGCTCCCGCAACCTCATCAAGACATTTTCCTTATGCAGTAGGAGATATGTCACGAGTTGTAACAGACAGGTGGGGACAATGGAAACATGCTGCGAAGGGCCGTTTACCCATCCGGAGCAGGTACTTGCTCTCATGGAATACTGAACCCACCTCATGCGGGATGCTCCTCAAATTGTTGAGTATGTATGTTGAGGATGGTACATTCCGGCTGTACAGACACCCTGCATTGATGCTACCCGCAGATATAAGAGTGGAAAGAACTTCAGACCAACTAGACCTCGAATAGACAAGCCTCCTTCATCGAAGGCATCCTCTCGTTATCCCACTCTCCCTTTGTCCTTCTCGCTTTGCTCTCCCGTACTGATTGCTTATTTCGAGACCAAGATGAGGGTTCTGCGTACGGCCATTTCTGCGGCGGTCTTGGGACTAGCTGTTGCTGATCTCCCATGTATGCGGCCCCTCTCTGTTGCCTCTGAGGCGTACGCACTTTACCTTACACTTCCTTTTTCCTTTCCGGAGCATTGAATGATTTACTGTTCTACTACTGCAGCTATTTGGATTCATTGACGCGCGTACAGATCACATACCGAAGGACATACAGAAAAGATCCACCTACAATCCCCCATTCTCTGACCATCTAACCAGCGCTACGGATACGGAACTCGAATTTTCTACCAGCAAAGCTGCATCGTTGGCATTCGTTCCCGGCACAAGCGTCTCTCTTTCGACTTCAGCACCTTGCTCGACGGGCCCGCTCTCATCGCGTCTACCGCTTTCGACAGGCCCGTCTAGTTTCAGTCCCTCTTCCACGGCTCGCGTAGACTCCACGTCGTCAAAAAGCGGCAGTGTCATTTTCCACACGACTTTCACGTGGAGCTTCACGACGGTAACGGGCGGAACAGGAACAGGTAGCTCGTCTAGCTTATATTGTACGTTGAAGCTGAAGTGTTATACACGCAATATGTGTCCGTCACTAACCCAGATTTTCTCTTGCAGACAACACCTCATCTACCTATTACAGGAACACGTCCACCCTTACCACCTGTACTAGCGCCGGCAGCTCCTATGTCCTGCCTACCAATCCAACCGCTCCCATTCTCTCTACCGGTCCGCCGTCGGAATATAGTACCGGTTATGGCTCGTCCGCAACTCCGCCTTACGCAAACAGTACCAGCACTTCCGCTTCATCCACAATCTTGGTGACCGGTACTGGTACTGGTACTGGAACAGCGCCAACCTACTTGAGCTCTGTTGCGCCTCCATATACAAACAGCACAGGTCCATGCAGCACGAGTACACCCTTTGGCAGTACCGGACTACCTCCAATCCCCACGCTCACTCCAATCAGCTCGCTTTACACGAACAGCACATCGAGCTCCAGCACAAGCTGTGCAAATGGCACTTTGAGCATCATCGAGCCTACACCGACTAGCGATTCCAGCTCGTCTCTGCCTTTGTCTACGGGAGCGACGTCACCTTATGCGTCTGGTACGGGCGCGCTGTCCGGTCTCAGCACAACGGGCATTTGGACCAATTGCACTTTCGACCTGCCATCGTCGACAACCACCGACTATGAGTCTTCTCCTACCACCGATATCGGGGACCCTTCAACAACGACTCCAGGACTCCCTTCAGATTCCACCTCCTCGACTTCGGATACCATCTCCTCCTACACCAGCCCTGATGCCGCAACCACAACCATCATTATCACAGTCACGGTTCGCCCGCCAGAAGAATCCTCGACGACGAGCTCAGAAACGGAGGTACCCATCACGTCCCCTGAAGAGTCCAGCACCGTAACAGATGCGACATCAGCCTGGTCTTCTTCCCCGACCACGACGAACGGGTACGCAACGTACATCACGCTTACCCCCATTGAGAGCTCTACGTCGGGTTTGGACGGACCGTCCAGCTCGTTTGGATATAGTATCTCGACGTCAACGTATCTGCCGAGTTCCACAGACGATGTCGTTGAACCGTCATCGTCGCCGTCCTCGTCGGACTCTAGCACCTCGCCACTTTCTACGACGAATACAGATGCTACGGCTACTTCATCAGCGTACAATTCTCCCACGGATACTTTCGTCCTGAGTCCCTCGCCCTCGACGCAGATAAGCACAAATACAGACGCCACGGCTACCTCATCAGCGTACAATTCTCCCAGTGATACTTTCGTCCTGAGTCCCTCGCCTTCTACGCAGATAAGCACGAATACCGACGCCACGGCTACTTCCTCTCCTTCTTCCTCTCCCTTTCCCTCTACCTACTCCACCCCACCCACGGACACGAGCACCTACTCCGTACCCTCCCCCTCGTCGAGCAGTCTCGCTTCCAGCGTCTCGCCATCTACATTCCTCACGAGCGTGAGTTCGACTTCCGACTCTAGTAGTTCGGGGTACAGCGCTCCTACGTTGGAGGCGGGGCGGGATATGGGCGTTAGTGGGATGAGCCAGAGGAGATGGTGGGGATGGGGAGGGGAGCGTGATAGGGAGGATAGGGAGGATGAGAGGGTGAACGTCGTGAGTTTGAGAGAGGGAGAGGGAGAGGAGGGAAACATGGAGACCGGAGAACAGGGTGAGTCGTTGAATAAGGCGCCGGAGGATGGGGAGCGCGATGTAGAGCACGGGGACATGTTGGCAGAGGGGAGGAAAGAGTCTGGGAAGAAGTCCCGGCTCGGGCGACGCCTTGTAAGTACTCCCCAACTCAGGTGATTCTGCGTGGGACCTGCTGACGAGAGTGCAGGTGGGGATGTACTTCCTCTAACGGTGGAAATTTAAACACAAAGGCCTTTTGAGGCTGGACTAGGCGCCGGAGGACATTGAAAAAAAATCCGAGTGAGGAGCACGGCATGGCGAAACCCAGGGACAAGGCTTATCGTTCGAGAATGTGAGAAGCGGTCGATGATGATGGTGGTGAAGAGAAGCGGACTATGGAACGTACTTTTAATACGAGAGCATCTTCTTATTCTTGGACTGGTTTGCGTGCCGTTGTGTGCGTTGTTGTAGTCGCGCCATTTTGCAAATCAGAGAGCTAGGGTTATTGATGCTTTCGAGGTGGAGACAGGGCGTCTTTAATCAGGTTTGCGGATCTCTTCTTCTATCCCGTCACCCACCCGTTGTGCCGTCGGACTGTCAATGTGTTGGATTAGATGGAACTCGGTGTTGATTTCTCGCCGTCCGCTACGGACCACGAACGATACGTGAAGTCGGGAGGTAGACAACATGTATTTGCTTTTGTGGCCGAACCTTCGAAGCTTTTGTCATTCTTACCTCTGGCCACACTTACTCTGCCGGTGGCGTGCGAAGATGAAGATGGTTGAATGGTGATTCTGCCAAACCCAAATACGATAGCTATTGTACATACTCAATACCTGATCCAACTAAGCCGTTCTCCCTTTCGCCACATCCAGATACATAAACATACAGCGAAACGTACAAAGACGTCAATCCCAACACCTCATCAAAAATCCGCAATAAGCGCTCGGCCAACCCTAAACGGCAGAGTACACTGCCGTAACGCCCCGCCCACACTCGACCTTCTGCTCCAACTCCACAACCTTCCCTCCGAACCTAACCTTCTGCTTCGGCGTAATCTGGAACCGTGACCACTCCTTCCCCATCACCTCCTTGATCCCATGTTCCAACAAGCCGTGGCCTTTCTTCTCAGCCTCCTGCGCCGAGTCCAGCGCTCCAATATACGTGGGCACATTGACATTACTCCGCTTTCCACTTCCTATTTGGTAGAACTCGTTGTTGCCCCAGAACAGGATATCCCGGCCCCAATTCGTGTCGTTCTCCTTTTGTCCCTTCTTGAGCGGAGTAGCATTGCCGACATCGACGTCGACAGAAGCAAGATTGTCCATGACGGCAGCTGCGTGAGTGGCGCCGGCAGAGATATACGCCAATTTGATGGGAACGATGGTATTTGTCTTCTCGTCATACTCGGAAAGTCCCGAGAGGGAGGGAATTTTCGTCGGGGTATTTTGGATATGCGTCCAACGGCCTGCGCCAAGCTGCCCCGTGAGGCCGTATCCAAAAGCCCACGTGTCGGCTTTGAGATTTGGGCTACGAGTAGATGTTTTGGTATTCGAGGGTGCTGATGCCTCAATCGTGAGGTACGAGGTGTTGCCGCCGGCGTAGACGTTTGTCACAGTGGGATGAAGGGGAGAGCCGGCATAGAGCCTTTGCGTGGGAAGCAGAGTGGGTGTATCAATGCTCAAGGTGTCTGCATCAAATTCGAAACCCAGCTGGCCTGACGAGTTATCACCGAAGGTGAAGCAGCGTCCCGAAGTGTCGGACACAATGCTATGGTAATCGCCTGCCGCAATCTTGGCGATCGAAAAGCCTTTCAACGCGGTGATCTCTTGGGGAAGGTCGAACGCCCCCTCGGGCCTAGTTCCCCACGTTAGACCGGGAATGCCCAGCTGACCCTTACTTGGAAAATCTTGTGTTCCAGACGCAAATGAGAACACGCGGCCTGCGGAGGTGCGTAGAAGGGCATGCTCCAGCCCAGACACGACGTCTGTAACCTTCTCGCTCCAACCAAGACCTGACGGTGTGCGAATTCGATAGGAGATTGTGTCGGGGGACGACACGAATGGGATCCAAGAGCCGGTTCGAGGCTTTGGGCCAGTTTTCTGCTCCTCCTGAGACACCGGCACGGAGTACACGGTCCCCGAAGACGAGAGCGCGATGATGCGATCCCTCGATATAGCGCAGGATACCAGGTTCTTTCCCTTCAACGTCCGTACCGGTTCCTTGACGTTTGGCGAGAAGGCCGTACCCCACTGTAGCAGATCTCCCTTCTCATCGATGGCCGCTCCAAAGTTTCGGTCCAGTTTTATATCCCGTAGTAGTACACCATCGAAGAATGGCAGTCGCCGAGGCGTCTTGATGTACTTCTCATTCGAATCCGGCGCTGCCACTCTCCCAGTGTTCGATCCCCACAAGTATACACCTGGATGTTCCCAGCTCTTTTTAACTTGGACATGCTGCGAGCTGAGCAGCTCTCGACTGTCTTCCGCGGACAGCGCCGGTCGGCGTGATTCCTCCAATACTGGATCAACGTGCTTCGGCGGCTCTTCCGCATGCACTTCGGGGGCGGACCCATGTAGCCATTGAATGGCCGTCGCGGCTGTGGCTAGGGCTGTGATAGCAACCACTGACCGGATAAAGTGTTGTTGGCGACGCTGAGCATAGGGGTGAACTGCAGCTCGTGCTTGAGTACGCGACCGATTAGATATGCTGCAGTGTAGTCGTGGTGTCCGCGAGGCCCGCAAGATCGGTCGGGCAACGCATTTGGAGTGGAGCATGATGATGAACGACGGGTTCCGGTCGACAACGGAGGAGGATGGTAGTGCACCGCCGTGCTTAGGGCGCCTTATTCAGAGGATATACATTGGCAGAGGGCTATCCAGTGACGTGAGCGTGCAAAGGGTATGCGAGGAGCTATAGCTGCGGAGCTCTCGGGCGGCGAGCTCGAGGATGTCACGACTTGATTACTTTGGAGCGGAGCGGAGTTGCACGGGAGTTGTTCGGAGCAGGCAGAGCTTGGAGCTGTTGGACCAGGGCTAGGGGGCACTAAGGAAACCCCCCCAAACCCCACGACGTCCATCGCAAGCAGACGCCGACGCAAGGGACAGGTGTCAGTCAACATTTTGTCGACATGGACGACCCTTGGTATAATGCCTTTGTTCCCAGGGCTACTCGGGCTCCCTCAAAGCCTGAACCTGCTAAGCATGCCCGCCGCAAGTCGCTGCTCCAGCAACCCAGCGTAAGCCTCCAATCCGCATCATGGGTGCGTCCGCATATTGATCATTGTGTGCGCAGGAGAGCCATGCTGACGTTGGTCGAGCAGACGGTACGGTAGACACCATCCAGGAAACCGTGGAGGAGAACCAAGGGCCCCCGGCGGCCACTGTTGCTAGACGCGCCAAGTCGTACAGCGACTTCTATAACGTGGTGCGAGCACACGTCAAGAAGGAAAAGGAGTTGGAGAGGAGGAAAAATCAGGAAGTTATAGCCAGCGAACTGCAGTTTGCGGAATGGTACAGTACCCTCAGTGAGGAGCTGCTGGATGCCAGCCATGAGGAGTATAAGTATGTACAAGTCTTCCGTGGAAGTGCCACGTTATTCTAATAGGTGGCAGGCTTTATCACGATCAGCTTTATCTGACGCGCACCCATCTTGACCGCATAATATCCGAGACCTCTGCTACATTAGACTTGCTATCCTCCCTCTCCGATTCCTTCAAGGCCGTCGAAACTCAGACCACTGCATTCCGGACACAATGTGAAGGACTCATTAATGACCAGCAACGCATCACACAGCTGGCGGATGACATGGAACAGAATCTCCGATACTACTTGTATCTCGAGCCTATCACGAAGCGGCTCAATGCACCAGGTGCGGGTAACACTGTGCGTGGGAAGGAGTTTTCCGACATGCTCTCGAATCTGGACAGCTGCTTGGAATATATGCAAGCTCACCCGAACCACAAGGAGTCTGCTACGTACCGCTCCCGGTATCGTCTACTCCTTACGAGGGGCTTGACGCTTATACGTGTTCATTTCACGAATTCGCTTCGCGAGATTGCTGCAGATGTATCGAAACGAATTGCAGACCGGCAACTGAACGACACAACCATGTCTACGCTTTTGTACGCGAAATTCCGTGTGGGAGCTCCGGAGCTGAAGAGGATTGGTCTAGAGATCCAAAAGCGCGCGGTCGTTGCCGTAGGGGCTGAGCCTGGTACAGAAGCGGAGTACCAAAGTCTGATGAATGAACTGTACCAGAGCTACTCTGCTACTCGTGGGCGCCTCATTTTTCCTATCGTGACCAAGAAAATTGGGGAGATCGCACAAGCTCCAAGCACATCAAAGGATCTGGTGTCCTTCGCTCGCAGCAGTATCAGCTACATCCGTGGCATTTGCTTTGACGAGTATGCGCTGTGGGGCGAATGGTTCGAAGGCGAAGGCGGTCTCTATGACTTTCTGGAGGCCATATGCGAACCGTTGTACGATCACCTGCGACCTAGGACTATCCATGAGACACAGATCCTCAAGCTCTGCGAGCTGTGTACACTGATTCAAACGCGGTATATGGAAGAGGAAGAGGACGACGAGGAGCAATCCCCAACTGAGGACAATAAGCTCGACTTCACAAGGTTGGTCCAGCCTGCACTTGAAGACGCTCAGACACGGCTTGTGTTCCTTTCTCTTGCCATACTGCGAGACGACATTGAGCGGTACAAGCCCAAACCGGAAGATCTCGACTATCCTGCAAAACATAAGAAGCAAATGCTGTCCGGCACGAAGTCCAGTGCACCAGTTCTCTCGGGCAAGAAGGCATCTCAGCTGGACGTCCCCGCCAATCCACAGTTGCCGAAAACTCCAATGGTTGTCGAGGCGGATGATCCCGATGCGCCTTACAACTTCAGCACGGAGGCCGCGTTCAAAGACTGGTATCCCACACTTCGTAAGGCGATTTGGCTACTCAGTAAAATCTACCGCCTCGTACACGTGAGTATTATAATAATAGTCAAGCATTTCACGGTAGGCAACCGGCTGACCATAACCAGTCTTCAGTCTTCGACGACCTAGCCCACCGCATCGTCCACGGCACCACCCTCAGCCTCGCCCATGCCAGCACCCTCCTCTCCAAATCCGCCTCTCCTACCGATGCCGCCCTGTTTCTGATCTCGCACCTCCTCCTCCTGAAGCAGCAGATTGTCGCCTTCGACATCGAATTCGTAACACCCGAGACGGAAGTGCATTATGACCTCTCCACCATCACAAACACCTTCTGGGAACTGAGATCCAGAGGCGGCCTCTTCAATCCTCGGAATCTAGTAGGCCTGCTGATTCCAAAGGTGGTGGAAAACATGCTCGATGCCAAAGCCGAAGTCGACACGCGCCTCCGCCAGGCCATCAACGACTTCACAAGCCAATTCGTCGGGAGGATGACGGCGAGTCTCGACATGCAGAAATATGCGCCCGATGGGAAAGCCAAGGCTCCACCGCGTTTCCAACCGGGCGAAGCGGCTACCCGCGCAAATAAAGTCCGCACGGCGATCACGCGCGAGACGCCTTTCCTCCGTGCGAAATTGGAGGAATATATCTCCGACGCGCGGACTCGCGAAATGCTCGTCGCGGCTGTGATGGAGAGCGTTACGCAGGTGTACGAAGACTGGTTCGAGGGCGTGTACATTCCTTCGCTCGAGAACGGGGTAAATGGCGCGGGGAGAGGTGTTAGCGCAAAGGGCAAGGGGAGAGAAGATGATGTTTGGGATCCGGAGGGGTTTGCCGAGTGGTGTTCTGGAGTGTTTAAGGTGGGGCTTTTGGGGCTGGGGTTAGAGTATGGGGAAGGGGAGGGGATGGAGGAGTTTGAGGAGGGGAATGGGGTTGAGAGTGAGAGGGGGAGTGAAGGGGGTGGCAGTGAGAGGACCGGCAGGACGGGGACGACAGGGATTAGGATTAGGATGTAATTGGTTCCTCGGGGCTTGCGGAGCATGTTCATCAGTGTGAATGAGCGGGCGGTAGCCCGCAAAGCTAGAAAAGGAGCATTATTGGCGGCTGGGTTTATAGCGGAAGATACCTAGGCATCACTCGAAATAGCACTACAAACATCCATATCCATATCCATCATTCTAGCAATGGATTAGTCTCAGATAAGCCAGTTTGTCTAGGTAGCAAGCAGATATGCACTCCAAATATGATTTTAGAGAAATGTCTGAGCACGATATTCCACTTCCCAAAAGCTTCGCACGCAGAAAGCGTCAAGTCGTACCACCCCAAAACCAAAACACCAAACTCCAGTTGGCATTTCCGCCTCCTAGACTTTGGGTACAGGCGGCAAATACGCACTCCCGGCCAGCACCAAATTCATCCTCGTAAACACAACCTTATACACCGGACTATCCTTCGTCGGAAATGCGCTAATCTGATCCACACTCACGCCCGTCTCCTTCTGGCTCTTCTTCCCCGCTCCTCCACCAGCAGCCGCGACCCCCGCCGACGCGCCCTTAGCGGCCAGCGTGCCGTCTGCCTTGGGCCCTCCTACGCCATCAGCTGCTTTGCTGGCACCCGTAGAGTCGGATGTTTCCTGTAGAACATCCCATACACGGACGGTTTTATCGGCGCCGGCGGAGACGAGGACGGTCGACTCGACGCTCCAGGATAGAGACCATATTCCGCCTTTACCGTGACCACGCATGCGCTTCTTTCTGCGACCGGTTTCAAGAGTCCACAGGATGATGGAACCCTGATCGTCTGCGCTAGCGAGCGTTCTGCCATCGGGCGAACATGCAATTGCTGTGACATTGCCCGTGTGACCGGTGAAGAGACGCAGACAGTTTCCGCCCGAAGTGTGCCACATGCGGACGGTCCTGTCGCAGGAGCCGGTGAAGACGTAGAGGTTGTTGGGGTGGAAGGCCACGCAGTCGACGTCGTTGTCGTGGCCTACGTAGATTCTCAGAGGTTCGATGTGGTCCGTTGCCCAGAGGCGGGCAGTGCGGTCGTTGGAACCCGTTAAGAAGTAGTGTCCATGGGGTCCCCACTTGACGTCCCATACGGGGTTGTCATGACCGCGGTATGCCACGAGACACGACCAAGTATCAAGTGACCAGAGTCGAACGGTCTTGTCCTCGGAGCACGATAATAGGAATTGAGCGTTGGTAGGTGGCCCTTCCGGATCGGGATTGACTGTAGCAGGGGAGAAAGCGACCGCGAAGACTGGTCCCGCATGACCAACAAGACGGCGAGAGGAAGAAGGCTGGTTGTTATGCTCGGGGATTGAGGAGAGAAGCGGTTCACCATCAAGCGACCAAACCCGGATATATGACTCCGCCATTCCGGCAGCAACGAGCTTATTGTCTCCTGAGAAATCTATGCAATTTACGCTGGTAGCAATGATCAGCATTAGGTCAACGTGGGGTTGGTGCTTTCAGGCATACCTGTCGAATGTGTTGTGGAAGGTGTACATAGTGACGCTCACGCCGGGACCGACACCGCCTGTTCTGCCTTCAATCTTGTAGCGGTCTCGGTGCTCGATAATCTTCTGCACTTCCATTGACACGTCTCTAGCGAGAGAAGGAGGTAGAGGGATCAGATCTCGGGAGGGGCCATCCTCCATGGGCTCGCGCTTGATTCGCTGCTCAAACTCCTCGACGAGACTGTTCTGGCCTGGCTTCGGAGGATTCTTCGCATCTTCATCTTGAAGCGTGGCGCGCACATCATCAATGAGGTCTTGATCTTGCGGGTATGGCCCTAGCTGCAGCTTGATACGCGCAGCCTGCGCGTCCGGATCGTGCCGTTGGGTCATGGGATGGCCAGGATTATGTCCCGGGATACCTTCGTCTTCCGCAGGGAGCCCATCATCTTCCTTCGCATCCATAATGGCGCGAAGGCTCTTTTCGCTCTCCACAGCGCGATCGACCGTGACCAACATCATATGTTCTCTGATTATGTCCATAATGGTCTGCCCACCCTCGTAGACGTACTTCTCCAGGAACATGACGAGATTGTAGAATGGCATTGCCGTAAGGGTGACACGGTACTTGTTCTCCAGGTACAGCTTGGCTACGCGGCTGTCCTTCAGGTGTTGAGGCAACCGAATCGCGCCCAGTGTGTTGACGTCGTCTTCATGATCACGTTCGAACATGTGTCGATATGTACCAAAGAATGTTTCCGCGTCTCGGATGAAGTAGTCCCGTAGAAGGCCCAAGAAGGAGTACACGAACACCGGCCATAATAGCTTTTTCAACTCGGGTTGGTACAGCTCCAAGCTGTCACTGATATATTTCTGCAGCAACTCTGCGACGATGTTAGCAGTTCGACACGTTTCAGGACGGCGACCCTGCCGCAGAGGGCGAGCTATCACTCTCAATGGACTCACCAAACGATTTCTTGTACTTTGGTGCGCCAGCATCCGCATCTCTCGAAACAGCAGGACCTCCAGTTGGTGTTTGCTGCTGATCGGACTCCTTGCGGAGCATAGCCTCCGTCTTATGATAGCCCTTCTTGCTGAGATACTCCAGCACCTATCATGAGGTCAGCAAGTGATATTCAAGTAGTGGCTGCACGCAAAAACAACTGCAACACCCTCCAACATCGGAAACACACAAAGCGGGATGCACAACTTTTGACGGAAAAGGGTGATCATGCGCAACGCTTGGAACGCGCCGCTCATTATTAGAAGGAACTGGACTCAGTTGCTCCTGGCCGGGCTGCTGAGCCGGTCTGTACTTGGGGAACTGCGCTGCGACGCCGTGGAGCTCACTGGCATATGGATAACGCCAGGTCTTACGGGGAGCTTCTGGCTCCCTTAAAGTCATGGTTGTGACGTTGAGAGAAGCAGGGTTTGAGAAGGGGTTGGCAAGAGAGGACAGCTAGGGGAGGAAGCAGCACGAGAGTATCTGAATCACGTGCGGGGCATGGACTCTGGGCAAACGGCAGGGGTTGACGGTGAAATAAATACAGGTTTCACCCACGATTTGATTGAGGTTCTGCTGGGTCTGCGCACCCGTCTGCGCTCCAGCTGGAGGGGGCACCGCGCTCGGCTGCGGAGGCATCGGAGTGTGTTGTGGTGGTATGCCCGCGTTGGGCGGCCCCGTCCCAACGCTCATGTTTCTTGCGGGTCCGGGCCCGGGCGGGGGGCCCGACATATTGTAGACCTCACTGCGCTCCCACTATATTGTACTTGGGACCTGACGGCTCGAAGGTGGTATTTCGCGATAGACGGCGGTAGAGGAACGTGGTAACGGCGGGGGGCTCGGGAAACTTCAGATTTGTGGTCGCCAGCGCGTAAGTAATCCGAGAATGATAGCAGAATGCGCGTGGATCTGAGAATGATAAGCTCGCCTTTGAGAGTGGTGAATGCTGTTCAAGCAGGTTGAAGTTCGACGTCGGAATGTCGGCGAATTGTTAGTCGACTGTGGCGGTGCGCCAAGCTCAAGATCGACGCAGGGATAATTAGCACCGTTTGTTGTTGCCGTGCAAGGTCGGGTGGAACAAGCTCAACAACCGTCTCCAGACCCCATCTATGAGCGTTCCTTTTCAAGGGCACCTGTCAAATGAACCACCATGTCTCGCTCTCCAGAAGCCGGAGATAAAGCGGACGTTCCTTTCGAAAATTCCAATTCTCGTACATACAACCAAATCGCCGCCACCCATATCCGTGAGCTCTCCGACATCGACCGCGTGAGTACCTCTACCCTCACCCCTCCCCTGTCACCCCCGCAACTAACTCTCTCTCCCCACCAGCAAATTCCCCAGATCCTCTACAAAAGCGCCCATTCTATCTCCCTTCTCACCAACAAGCCCATCTCCTCCTCCGACTCCCCTCCTGATCCGTCCACCCGCGCGCAAACGATCCACGACACCTCCTATGACCTGTTCCTCCTCATCAACCAAATTCGCGGCCTACTCCACAAGCAAGTTGACGAGCTTCAAGCTGAGAAGGTCATACCCGCAGAGGCAACGCGGTTTCTCCCCGCTCCGCAGCTGCGAGATGATGACGCGCGCGACAGAGCCAGGGAGGAACAAGAGAAACAATCTAAGATAACGAACGGAGGGATGGGAAATTTGACTGTTGCAGAATTGAACGCGAGAGCCAGAGTGAGGCAGGGAGGAGAGGATGAGGTGTATAGCCGGTTACAGAACATTCTGGACGAGCTCAAAAAGAGAGTTGATATCGATACGGACGAAACGACCATGGAAACCTGAAGTGGTGCAGGTGCTACCACGGAGTTTAAGATCCTCGCAATAGCAAGGTTTTGCGTCACCAATTTGTGCAAGGGCGGCTGGCGGACCCTTTCAGCACTCTCCAAAAGCAAGGGAATAGCGTGCTGGGGGTCTTGGGTCGCAAGACATTCATGCTTATTTGACGGTCTGCCATGGAGGGATCTCGCCACAGACCCCTTCACCTGGTCTTGCGATGGTTGAGAAGCTAAGAAGGCATGCTCGAAGAAGGTGCCACGCAAAGATTTCAAGAGCAGTGCACCTAGAAACTTTTGTCTAGAGGCTCTCGGCTGTGATTCATCATTACGTTCACGCTGGATGACGGGAGCTGTGGAGGGCCGAATCATTCATTTGCATATAGAAGCTGTTCTCAGATTTGGCCTTCATGTGCGAGATAAGACATGCTGGCAAGTATATCCTGCAAGGTAAGGCCCCCTGATAGAATGTACATCCTGTAGAGAAAACAGAGCGCCATAGTGCATTTCCCATGCTTCAAGCATACCATTGTAGCCCAGGGCAGGCTTATGAGGGTTGATTTCATGCTGATCGGTCATAGCATCGAATTTCGACGGTCACGCCGATCAGTCACCCTCATAGGTGTATTGGTGACGAGCCTCTTCTAGCGACATTGGCTCGCCTCCGCTAGCTGGTTTTCAACCACCTTATAATGCATGGCAGTGAAATAGCTCACTTCTTCATCGGAGTCGTCGCGTCCGCTGACGATATCAACGACAGCCTGTTCGCGCTCGGCGTTGTGGGGTGGCTCGAAGCGGGTGAGCATGAAGCGGACCCAGTGCATGATCACAAAGAGTGCAAAGACGGCCATGACGTGGACGATAGGGAGGGATATAAGCTTTGGGTGTGCTATAAGCTTCCGGATGTCGGAGGGCGCTTCTAAAATCCGAGTCAGCTTTGGTGGATTCTTGCCTTCTGGTCATGCCTTCTGGGCAATTTTACCTTCAAGCGAGATCTGCGCAGCAGCGTTCCCCAAGCAGAGAATGAAGGGCAGCCATTTGCTGTTGAACGCAACCGCGAAAGCGGCCACTACCGCCACCGTGGAAGCTTTGCCGCTGATCGTGGAGGCGCCACTGATAAGCGTGGGCGTCAACGTTGGGGATGGCCAGGTGAGATTGCCAGAAGGTAGCGGAAAGCTACAACATCTATCAGTAAAAGCAGGACCGGAGAAGCGTGTAAGGAAAAAAAATTCTCGAGGCAATAGAGTAGCTCGGTCTCCGTACTTACCCTGATGTACCCGTCCCAACAGGAGGAATAACGCCATAGTGACTGGAGCTCGGGCCTACCACACTGCTATTGCTCGGGGAGCTTGACGGAATGACTAGAATGGCACTCGATGTTGGCAATTCGGGTATCGTGATGACCGAAGTGACAGACTCAGTAATGAAACTCGTGATTCGAATGGTGGACACGCTGTCCGTGGCGTTTGATGGTATTCCGGCAACCGAGGAGGTGGGAGCAGGTGGCATTGACATCGACAATGTAGAGGGGGCACTAGTACCTGGGCTGGGGACGGTAGTCGAAATTGGTGTGCTGGAGGACCTGGTCTCTGGAGGTGTCGGATTCAGAGAGGTATCTTGAGTCGGTGATGTTGCAAAATCGTTGGACGAGGAAGAGATGCTGCTGTTGGGAACGCCAATAGCACTGCTGGTCAACGGGCATACGGTGCTAGTAGCTTCGACAACAGAGGTTACGGTGGCCGTCGAGCGACCGGCGGTACAGTTTCCAAGGTCACACGCGGTGACAGTAGCGACCACGGTCCTATACACAGTGGCAGTTGTCACATCGTCGACTTGGTCCAGCTGCAGGATGGCGTCCTCGTTGCGTTGGAGGCCTGCCGCCGTCAGTAAAGAGCGCTTGAGGCACCCGGTGCCGTTGAGTCTGCTTCCAGCGGACTTTAGCGTACCGATTGGATCAGCGAGAGCGTAAGCTACCGAAGCCGCGCTGCCGATGAAGACGAGCAGTTGAATTGGCCGCATGGCGAGGCAGTGAGGACAGTGACAGGATGAGGAAGAAACAGAGAGGCGTGGACAAGAGAAGAGAGGGAAGCGAACAGGCTGTGAGTAGGGGTTGGTAACGAGAGTAAAGAGGTCGATGGGGGAGAGCCGGAACAAGAGGAGTGTGTCAGGGAGGAGTTCTATCATCGCCCGCCAGATAACGCCAAGACCAGCGGGAACGGGCAGGAGCGTCCCTCACGACAAACAACCAGGGTAGCTGCTGCTGAGAAAATTGCAGACGCTCTGTGAATTACGCCAATTACGTCATACTACATTTTCCAAACTCTCGAAAGAATTTTGGAATGTTTGTCAGTCCTGGAGGCCTTGGTCGCTGTGATCATGTGACTAAGCCTTTCACTCCATCATGGCTGGAGAATACCTCCGTGGAGCCCGCGATGGGGAGATACGACACAAAATAATAGAGGAATCAAAGCCTGCTCAGGTGACGGTCAGTTCAACTGGTTGTAATGCTACCTGGCTCAACAAGGCTCCAGGTGCTGTGGGGCTCCCAGCTCGAGTTGAGTTGTTGCTGAGACGGTCACATCTGGAGTTCCGCAATGTTGGCGGTCACCTTTACCGGGAGAGGCCATACGGCACTGAGCCCGTTGTGGATTTTGAGAGACCATGATGCCATACCTTGGAAACCCGCTCCGCCTGCAGTTATCTGCGTAATGCATGGTTGACATGTTGCCTCCCGTTTGTTCGGCAGCTCTATCAAGCCCAGGTGCGTGCAAACACTGCTGCTGTGGTGACGCACGCACAAATTCGGAAGGAGCGCGGCCGGTCACCGCCCACAACATAAAAAGGCTCTTTCTGCCTCTCCTACTTCCTTCCCTCCCTCCCTCCCTCACCCACTACACCTGAACATCCTCAGTCTCGCAATTACCGCTTATCTCGACATCGCACTTCAAGCCTGAGTCTTACTCCGCTTTACTCCTTCTTCTCACCTTCTCTCATTCCGCAGAGTCGCTGACAATGAAGTTCGCCACGGTTCTCAGCAGCCTCGCCCTGATGGCAGGCTTTGCTGCTGCTACCTTCAACCTCAACGACGTCGAGCTCGCGCTCGCGCGTCGTCACGAAAACAGCAACAGTCAGACTTCCCAACCTACTCATTTATAGACTACATGCTTACAAGCCCATCTAGGCGTCATCACGGTCACCTCGATCTCAACTGTCACCGTTTGTGACTCTGGTAACCCAATTCTCAATCCTCCTCCCCAAACTGCGAGTACCGGCGTCTCCATTGGCTCTAGCGAGATGTCGGTGGCTCCGCCTGTGTCGTCGGGGCTTCCCGCTCCACCTCCTTCTGAGGCAGTTCCTCCGATTGTCACCACTTTGTCAATCCCAGCGACTGGTACCAACCCCTATGGTCCACCCAGCTCTGGTATCACGTCTGCCCCAGGTACACCGACGACTTCGCCTCTCCACACTGAGAAGCCGGCCAAGCCTTCGAGCTCCGCTGCTCCCCCTCCTCCTACCGAGAGCAACGCCGCAACTCACGCTGGTATGAATGCTGGCGCTGGTGCTTTGGTCCTGGGCGGCATGGCCTTCTTCATGGCTGCTGTCTAGGCCTGACCTAGCAACGGACCTCGCACGACATCTTAATGATCGTCTCAGCTTCTGCAAGTGCGCGATGATGTATCGGCACTCTAATCACAAGATCATACTTTCCTTTGTCACTGGTCGGTATTACCTCCATGGATTTGTGGGCATCTTACATGGGCAACAGAGTATGTACGTAGCTCTAGTCCGTTGAAATATACATGTGGTGACCGGGAAAACTTTAATTGATGGAGTACTGACCTATGTTACAAAACGTCTTTCATGTGATCAGATCTTGAACTCTCCTCACCATTGATGGGGGGCAAAAGTCGCTCCTGACCTCATCTCAGGCAACCTCTGGTAATCTTGGCCCATCTGCGCGACGTCATGGGCCGGCTTTCTTGCATTATTTCGCCTGTCTTAAAAGGCCTGAATCCATCACATAGACTACTATTCTTGACCTTGCCCATCGCGACACGGCCGCGCTGACGACTAACATTCTTTGCTAATACCCCCTTGAAGTGCAGCACTATTTCCTGCATTGTTAGGAAATCAGAATCCGGAATTGACCTGTTGGATCTAGAGGTCAACATCGCCTCTCAGAAGTAGTAGCTGGCTTCCGAGTGATCTTCATTGAGAAAGAGTAACTACAAGGTCCGCTCCAGTTCCCCAGCTTGAGAATATTATTTCTTTGGAGAGCTGTGCACAACTGGACCTTGTGGGGCAGGGCGCATGTTGACAGACAGCAACATAATGAATCTTCTTACGCTAGCGATTCCCGCACACTGAATAAGTGTGGTCTAGTATGTGAGCACAGATGATAGACTTCATTTTTCAGCGCGCATCTTCGACTCAATGTAATGCATGCAAAAGCAATCCTTAGGGAACTACGCGGAACGTCTATCCATCGTGCACTTCTCGAGCTCTAGCGTACTTTCCTCCCCCACAACTCATTGACCACACCCTTTACATGCAAGCCGCGCCATCAATACCAATGACCTTTCCATTAACCCACTCACCATCCTGGCTCGCGAGGAATGCCACAACGCGCGCAATATCGATGGGCTGGCCGACGCGGTGGAGCGGCGACCATGTAGCGGCGTACTCGTCCACTTGGTCGTCAGTGAGCTTGTCGCCGTTGGGGATGTATTCGCGGCACACGGCGTGGTACATGTCGGTCTTGATGCCGCCGGGGGCGACGCAGTTGACGGTGACTTTCTTTTCCCCAGCGTCTGCGAAGGAGTTAGGAACGGGAGTCAAGGGAAACTGGAGATTGGGAGAATGAGAAAGACAGGCAAAGACAAATGTGGGCTTACCGATAGCCATGCACCTCGTGAAAGTCTCAATCGCACCCTTGGAGCCAGAATACACAGCATGCTTCGGCACGCCCTTCGCCTGGCCTGTAATACTTCCCATGAGGATAATCCTACCTCCAGGCTCCATCCTCTTATACGCCTCCTTCGCAACAAAGAACTGTCCTCTAGTATTAATCGTCATGACGCGATCATACTCCTCCTCATCAACATCCTGAAAGTGCCCGAAAGACACAACCCCAGAGTTTGAAGCGCAGATATCCAGCTTGCCGAAGGCCTTCACGACCTCGTCCATGAGGCGGGCTGTCTGCTTGGTGTCGGCGACGTTGGCTTTGATAGCGATAGCATCGGAGCCGTTGTTGAGGGCCTTGATTTGTTTGACGACGGCTTCAGCGGCTTCGCTGCTGTTGGCGTAGTTGACGGCGACTTTGGCGCCTCGGCGGGCGAGCTCGAGGGCGATTTCTTTGCCGATGCCGCGGCCTGAGTGTTGTTAGGAAGAATGGGAGATGATAGAGCCTCAGCTGCTATGGGAGGTTGTGTGTGCCCATGCTCGGGATTGGATGGTGTGAGAGTGAGGGAGCGTACCCGAGCCAGTGACGACAGCAACCTTGCCCTCCAAGCTCCAGCTTGGGACCTCGGGAGTGGTAGTAGATGACTCTACACTGGGCATTGTGAAGAATTGAACGTAGAGTTGACGGTCTTGAAGGAGATGGGTATAGTGGAGCTTGATAACCGAACGTAACACCGATCGATGAGCTGAAATACAATGGGATGCCAGAAGAGTGTAAGAGGAAGTCAATAGGATGCCGGAGGAGTGTAAGTGCAATCGAGTGAGGAAGACTTGAAGTAGATAAATACTCCTCGAGGGAGGGAAGAGCTATTGAGCCGTGGGCCGTCGTCGAAGGCCCTTACCTTCCCCTTTCCCGCAGCGGAAGGGACTGGCTGTGTGAAATGCAGGACCGTCCCGATGCCGGTAAAAGAGCGTCATGTTCCACCATGTCTCCACTTCAGGCCTAATCTGTGGATGCCTGAGAATATTGGAAAGTTGCAGGTGGTGAAGCTCTATCGAGGTTTCTTTGGCCAGGGATCATCACATTCGGAATAGGAGAGGGGTTCCGACGGTGCAGGCTGAGGGCAGCTGAGGCCTAGATTCAATATGTGGATGAGTTTCTTACATCTCAGCTGACTGCCGCTGCTCGGATCTGAGACGGGAATCACGTTGGGTCAGTGTTGTCGTGCGATATTCAATCTGGACAGTTGATGCTTGAGTGCGAGGTGCAGACAAGGTCAAATCTGTTCGGAATTCATCAGAGAAGCTAAGCCGCGGCGCCAAGAGCTGGACGGTTACACGCTGACGGACATTCGACCTGCAAAGGACACATTGTGTTTATCTATATATTTTGCTGAAGCAGGAATTCTGTGTATTCCGTTTCAACTTTGAATGATCGATGTATAAGGGTATACTCCGTACAGAGACAAGCTTGCCTGAAAGAGTGGCACGTGACCGCACTCAGAAAGGAGGATTTTCTCGTCGACTATTTGATGCACAAGAGACATATTTATATACTTGACGGCTCTTGGGTACTGTGATCAAGGTCAATTCAGTCATCTCAAAGCTTGAGCTGCTTGTGCAAAATGCTCGTGTTCCACGCCGAAATTGAGAAACAAGTCGGCGCATCCGATCGGCTCCCCACCCCGGCCGGCGCTAAACTAGGCTGTGTTGCTTGTTCGGACGTCACATCAACCTTCCGATGCTACACTGCTAAGGGGCCGCACAGATAGCACAGAGATACCGGAAGTAGGCTACTAAGAATCTCTGCCAAGGCCCGTGCAGTTCAGTGGGAATTTGGTGGGATGGAAAAGATGCCAGGTTTCTGACTTTGTCTCATAATTTGATGAATCCTCCAACATCATGGATACAGATTAGGAGAAGCCCAATATTTCACTGAACATAGTCTGGAAGAACAGGCAAGAATACTTACGCGTTTTCTGGGTATGTGACGGTGTAAAACCCTCATATATATCTGCCCCTTCGCGGTGCCTCAAATACTACGGCGCGACCCGGTCACCATGAATCAATTCAGGCCAGCATAGAATCCATAACGAAATGATCAGGCTCAGAGTAGCATTTCAGCGTTGTACAGTTTGTGTCCTTGTGTAGCCTTTTCTCAACGTCTCATCACAGGTTGTCACGGAAAACCGCATGATAGCGCTAGCAACGGTTCCGCGAGTAACAGTGCTTGAATGATTATAACTGGAGGCCGACCCGTACGCCTGTCTTGATTTTAGGCTTCATAGAGCGCTTGTAGATTGTGGCAGGCGAGGAACATTGTACTTCCCTATTGGGGTGCAACAAGTGCCCAACTGTAGCACAATAACGTCCACATGGACGTCGGATCAAGAGGCCAAATCTCCCACAGACGAGCAAGGGACTCCCTCTTTGTTATGCGATCATGAGTGGATTGCATTAAAATCGGAATACACGAGATGACATGAGTATACACCCATAGTCTCTCAATGAAGTCCTTTGGCAGTCCAGTGTACAATCTCTAGACGAATCTAAAATAGCGATCTTGCTCATACAGCTGTGGCTAGTATTCACACAAAGCAACTAAGTATTCTCCGCAATAACCCATAATCACTCAAATCATGTTTGAATTCTCCCATGTCTTTGCGCAGCAGTAATTGTGTGTCTTGATGAGCATATTGTCTGGACTACATCTGTTCAAAGCAAGCAGGATATACCTTCTCAATCAGGTCACCGGTGCCAAGAAAGTATTCGCTTGGCCTCAAGATTCCAAGTCAACCGCGAAGAGACAATACCGAGCCACTGACTCTTCCTGCTCATCATAATTCTTGCAGATCCTGACGCAAATCGTACTGGGTAACTGAACTTGTTGACTATCCGTTAGGGGTTTCCAAGCTCTACACACAGCTAGGGAAGAAAGACCCTCCTCCAACGTTGGGAGGGTCCGAATTGAGATATCAGCAAGGAGCTCTGCTGCAAGTTCAAAGCCTCGTACAAAGTGGCAATTGCCAGACGCAGCTGAGAGCTCCTTCGCAAACCTTACCCTACCCCCTCCATCGCATTTGTCGGCGTCGGAGGGGAGTGCATCCCGACGCTTGGCGGAAGATTGCTTAATGTTCTGGTGTAGCTCTTCGATTGATGGCCCAAGAACAACTCTGCTGAGCTTACTCAGTTACACAGCGGAGCAGTGAGGAATTCCGCAGCCTCCGTTTGTTTGGGGAACATGAGAGGGAAACGGTAGGATTTTTGCTGCTCGTGGTTTTCGTGGACTTAATGTGGATAATGTGGATAATGTGTACAGCCCGTAGAATGCAGGGGAATGCGCTCTCAGTCTTTAGATACGGGATGGCGTCCCTTCATTTGTGTAGTAAGTGTAATAAATTTCATTGTCGAATATGGGTCCAACACCTACTCCCCCAGAACCATACATAGGTACTGGCTACCTCATTGCTCTCCCTCAGCCTTTGAAAAAAACTGTTTTGGATGGGGTACACGACATGAGAATTGTTGAGCACCACCAGCTGGGACAGGTTACTCGCCTCGTAGTTGTACACCGCTGAAGAACCGCACTCCTTTCCATGTTAGAATGCTTCCCCCTACAACAAATGACACAAGACAGATTCCCCTTAGAAGTTATGTCGCGAGATGAGACATTATTCGGCTTTGACTGTAACCCATCGGGCGGCTCTTTTGTGGTGGGACCTGTTTGGAACAGTGCACTTGCCACTGGATTTACGCAGGCGATGCCGTTTCAAAGGAGGTACATGAATGTTTACAAATGATTTCATAGGTATGGATAGCCTGGTTCTAGAATCTATTGCGTATGCGGTGGCCGGGAACTTTATCGAAACCCCACTGAGGACCTTTCAGGACTTCGCCACATAATGACAGTCTGGTGACGTTGAACTCACAGAAGCTTGTCGAGATCCATGAGCGACCATTCTCAAAAGCATTCTGTGGGACATGGTGGGTTATACAACTCACAGAAATCACTGAGCCTTCGAAGCCTTTCAACTATGAGAGCGGGCGGGTGACACTGTGTGTCGTCCGCGCCACCTTTTACTCACATTACACTTGGAAGCTGTGGAGGGCGATTAGGATACAGTAATACCCATACCGACTTTAACGTAAGCTTTCCGGGAAGCTTGGGCGGTCCAGAACGGTTGATCGGATGCTAAATGGGACCTTTCAATGTGGAGATATACAAAACTTCAATGGGTATGTCTCAAAAAGTATCCTGTTCACTGACATTCTTCAGGACAATTTGTCAACTCAGATTCGTCGTATGTGCTGTATGTTCGTCAATAGACTTAGCTATTGGTTTGCTATTGGTATCCGCCGTCGCTCAAATGTTCAATCACGGTTCTGTAGCTGGGAACCTGACGTATTCTTATTACTGGCTCCGTCACTCCCGTTGTCCCATTACAGTCCATTTATATTCCCGCATCTTTTGATTCTATAACACTTCTTCCGTCCCATATTATGTTTGCACACAAGGGACGGTCTCATTCAAACCATTCATCGCAAACATTCCGTCCCCCCTGCACCCTATAAAATCTGAATTGCCTGAGGTTCTCTGGAGTAGTCGAAGCTAATAAGCACACCTGGGTATCATCTGGTTCCTGGTAGACTCCGCAGCCCAACGTTACGATCTTAGCGGCTTTGATGTAGCACGTACATTGAGTAAACTCAAGCGGCCGTTATAAGACATAACGTTGGCTAAGGGAAAGCATATGCCATCTCAACGATACTATCTCTCTCCAATAGACCCGTTGGAATGGTACAGATGTTACTACGATCCTGCATCTAGAACACAGTACAACTCGACCTTACCGAGTTGATGCTAATCGTAGAACCTGAACGTCGGCGTCGGCAGGCCGTTTCGCCGACACCGACCATCTAGGTGCAAACCTTCCACCGACATTTTATGCTTTCGGAGGCATATGGAGAATCGCAAGTTCCACGGCCAAGATATATGCTCTTAGATCGCCGGACCCGCCGGAGCAAACCGTTCAGTTGTCTCAAAGGCAATATCTCTCTCCTTGTTCCTTTGGACTCCGTGAAGCAGTCGTTTCGCGTCGTCGTCGACAATAGCCCAGTCCTCTTTTTTGACGCCGTCCTCACGACGATAGCCGTCATGGGTAGAGTACCGTGTTCTTAGAGAAAGTGGGTATATAGAGTAGTCCCCCGTCCCCGGCGATGATATTGCGTTCGCTCACACATGCTCGACAGATGAATTCTTGGGGAACTATCCATCTCAGCATACTGTCCAAAGATCATCACGAATTCCCACGATACTATACCAATAAAGTGTAAAGGGGCACTTTTGTTTTGCCTCCGTGAGTCCTGCAAGGAACAGCGTTGGAAGGATCAGTTTTCTGGTAAGTCACTCGTACTCTATTATCGTGTATGTACTTGGTATACCGTTATCATAACAGAGATGGAACACTAACGGATTCAGAAAGGAGGGCAAAGGTATTCGATGTTTTCATCGAGCGTTGCACTCTGCTGCTGGTCGTACTCATTACTGCGGTACGGGCCTTCCGTTCGCCGACTGTCGGCGTTCGATCGAGATCGAGATAATCGTCAGGACACGTCTCGCCACGATTCTAAACTGAGGCGAATCATTGATAAGCGCAGAGCAAGCACTCGCCTGAGGCTACCCTTTCAGGGTACCTGTATACGGACCGTCGAGAACAAATATGGTACTGCACTCTAACCTTCCACGTTTTGTCGCTCATATAGACAACACGGCGACCATCTTTCAAACAATAGAAGGATGAGGACAGTGTCAGCGGAAGCATTACATCAAAGAATAGGGCGAATATACACCAGACACATCATATCGCAGCCGAGACTGCGCCAGATTGAGAGGAGCGAATCATCTCCGGATGTCGTGCGTAAAAGGTAAGACGAGGTGTTTCCCTTGACTAACATTCTGTAGCAACCCTATGCGATCCTATAAGAAGGTAGCGACATCCATCGCAAGCACGAATCCTACCGTGAGGCTCGAAAGAAATGATGAAACGACTGTGTACTCTCATCAAGTATACCCGAACAGGCCTTCGCAATCGATCTGCTATGATGCTGGCTCCGAGCGACCGGACTTGCCCAAACAATATCAACAAGGACTCCGAATACGATATCGCTCAACTTTGAGATCCGACCAGTGTGTATGTATGCACATCTCCCGCGATTTGAGGGGGCGATCCGAAGAATAGCAAAGAGCAAAACAAGCGATTTGATCACGGAGGTAAATAGCCTCCATTTATCCGCACTTTGGAAGGTTATAAGCCAGTGCCGATGACATGTCGCACATTGCAGCCGAAGCTAGTACGAAACCTCGACAGCCTTAAGAAGAGAAGTAGTTACCCGAACTACTGGGGTTGCATGTGCAAATCCATGCTCTCGTAGATGTCGAAGGGCGGAAAACGATGAAATGTGGACATGTCCGTTCCAAACAAGGCGTCGTCTTGCGTCATTTGGTGTGGGACATGGTAGGTCCTGTTGGGATCGATGCCTGATTGCTGGTCGAAAAATTCACTATGTGGCGGGGTCAAGAGTTGCTGATGTTGCTGCATATGGTTATCGAACATGTTCGGGAAGAACTTATGTCCGTTGTCAATTGCCCCGCTGAAGTGGATGCTGGATACTTGTGGATGGCCGGCAACCACATTGGGATGGCTAATTTCCCCTCTCATTCCTTCGTTATGGGACATCGGGAAGTAATCATGCTCCATACAGCCAGCCTGGAAAGACTCCATCGCTGCTGCTGGGTGGTGGAGGCCGAAATCATAGTGGCACTCTCCAACGGGATACATGCCAATCTACTTTTGAGTCAGTAGTAGCCCCTCCAATCAGAACAAAAACTACTTACCGGACAGGTATTGTCCTCAGTATCACCTGTTACTGCACTCTGGTCACAAGTGCTGACATTCTTAGGCTGAAGGTTTATGCTCTCCTCAGGTGTGTCGTCGTCATGAAGAAGAACATCTTCCGATGCACGACGGATCGACTGCGAATGAGCCGCGTCGAAGGGAGCACCGCGGTTTCCTTTCGGGCGCACGTTCGACGCCTCACTGCTTTTCAGTGCCGCTGTTACCAGTGATTGTTTTCTTCTACGATGTTGACCGGGTTTTATCAATCTTGCTGAACGATGTTAGACCAAGGGCCCGCTGGGCAATTGAAGGCCCGAAACTTCACCTTCTGTACCTTTCCCAGCGCCTTTTTTTGGGTCTTGAGGCTTGCACTCCCAATTTTTCTTTCTGCAGTTCTCGCAACGTTCAGATCCACGTGACTTGTCACATTTGATCTTCGAGGTTGCACATGGTTTGCAGGAATTCTTAGTTCGGGGACCGTAGTTCGGGTGAGGCACTGCATCCACAAGCTCAGCACCCTGGGTGATGGATATGGTCAGCGTGCTTCGACTACCATCGGGATCGACATCGTCCGGAAGACGACCGTGGCATGATGCCATGTGGCGCTTAGCACATTCACCATCGAACGGTCAGCATTAATCCAGCAACCTTGAAGGATTCAACGCAGTAACTTACGACCGACCGAAGGCCATGGTACACACCACACAAACCATGTTCCTTACGCGTGTATCTGTGAGAGAACGTGTTGGCTGCAGATTCTCAAACGGAATGAAGAAAAAAAGAAACCTACGGGTCCGGATATGACGCTCCATATGCTCACTACGAGTCATCATCTGTCCACAGTACGGGCAATAGATGAGGGCATTCGGCTGAAGCAAAGGGTCCTCCTTCTTCGGAAGGACGAAATGTCCGAGGGGGCAAGGCTTCTCCTCACCCTCGCAAATGATGAGCCATGGGTCGGTGTATCGCGGGTCGCCGGGTTTCAAGTCCTCCAGAATATGTCCCTTTCCGCATTGGTAATGTACGACATAATCTCCTCCCTCGTATCCATCAGCAGGAATATCCATATCATCCGGGGATCCGCCGGCAGGAGTGATCAAACCATTCGAAGACCTGTCTGCAGGCGCAGCTGCGGAAGCCTTGATACCCTATGCCTAGGTTAGCAAGGCTCGTCTACTAAGAAGAACGACTTCTACCTTCTTGACCACAGGCTGCCTATTTATGGACCTTCCACTGGCTTGTTGCACTCTCCCCATCGAGAAGGAAGAGGACCGTGATGTAGGATGACAGGAAGAAGATAGGCTTTCTGAATCGCTGTTGGGGTCGTTTCCTGAAGATTGTGGTGAAAGATGACAAGAATCGAAACGGTCAATGGGAGTCAGCGTGGAGTCCTGTCCACTGGAGAACGCGGTGTGCTGGAATGAAGTGGAACAGCCGGTGGTCCCTTCCTTAAGATTCCCTCGCGGAGACGCAGGAGCGCATGTCGGCGATGCCAACACAGTGTCTGGCGGGTGTACGCGTTGTGAACCGGATAGACACGGTTGAAGGGTGTGAGAAGGCGCAAAGTGAAAGTAATCTCCGTATTCTGTAGAGGAGATGGAATGGGCAAGATAGTAGGGAGACGCTTTGGGCGGTGTTGGCGCAGTTTGGTCCATGACCGTCCTTTCGCTTGCGAACGAAGGATGAAAAATCTGATATAGAGATGAGTTCAATAATCCTGCTGGTTGAGGAGCTGTTGCAATGATCACATTGTATGTATGTAGAGAAGGGTAGGCATACCTGTGTATCGGAGATGTGTCCCCTGAAGATGTTTCCTGAGCCAGCATGCAGGTAGGAGCAGAAGCTCATCGATCCCCTAGCGCAAGCTAGTTGCAGAATGGCGGCAAGTCGGAATGAGAGCAGGACACTCTGAAATCGGTATGGCTGCTCGGCGCGAGCTCCTCCAGTGCCTGCACAGGCATGTTGTAGTGTCGATAGCAAATGGCAGGGAACCACAGTGGCACAAGCTGGGGATGGTATAACGACGACCAGGGCGTTAGCTGCGGCGCCGTCTGCAGCAACCTCTGGCGCCGTGCATCCAGGGGTAGTGCTCTGGATAATGTTAGACTAGCATGAGGGTCCAAGTTGTGAGCTGAAGCCATGTGGGAGGACCAGGGATGCTGAGCGACGGGTCGCCTGTCGGTGTGGGCTGGCTGTACCCAGTACATGCAGGGTGTGTAACGAGTTCGAGACGTCCGGTATAGTATGGTTGCGGTTATCTTTGTACTTTACATTCTCGGTGCAGGTGATGTTTTGGGTGACGCCCATGACCATTGGGATCGTCGCGCCGGACGCTCAGGTGCCACCGCATCGGCAAGTTTACGTGGGAGTTCACAGCTTTCTCGATGAAGGCGGATGGGAACCGCTACGGCACTGGAGTCGGCTGTTCGTTTGCGAGCGTCTGCGGCATGGACTTTGGGACTAGGTTCATGGTTCTCCACGGTACGGAGAGTCCTGCTGTATCTAACCGTCTTCATGTCCAAGTACTCCTCATATATTTGCTCTCTCTGCTGTGCCTTCAGTACTGGGATAACCATCAGCCGTGGTGAAGGTCCGATTTAACTTCACTGCTATGGTCGGTCCCCAGCGCCACCGCGTTTATCAACTCTGAAGTAAAGACTCACAGTCCGACAATCTTGTACTTTTGAAAGATATGCAACCAGACCTGTGTAGAGGGCAGTGTTCACGGATCGCCCCATTGGGATAGCTTAAGCGAATACAACCAGGTTCCTGTCGAATCCTAGTTAATCTACTCCCGGCCAAGCTCAAGCAAGTTCCCATTTTTCGTGAGCGGGAGCAGCAGTTGTCTGCGTCCTACCATCTCCACGCCCTTACTTACTACCGATCAAGAAAAATTGCGAGGAACAGATAATTGAGAATAGGCAGCACGCAAGAATACGTTGGCTCAACGATACGCCCAGATCCGGGAGAGGGCCCGCGCCGAGAAAGGTACGCAAGATGCGTAGAACGGGTCCTTGCACAAGGTGTATTCGGCCAGTTCCTACAGCCAGCTCTGCCTTTGAGCTCCTTGCTCCTCGCGGCCCGCAATGCGGCGATGCCATATTGAGGATAATCAAAGACACGAGCGCAGGGAGATTGCGTGCGGCCCGACCTGGGTATCTTGGCATAACTTCAACGTTCTAGAGCCGGGGACGATCTCGTATGCTCGATTATGTACGCTGCTCCGTGTTGAGAATGGAGCTGTTCGGCTATTGGATGCAGTTCATCTGGACAAACTGTTAGCGAGGCTCGCCGTAGAATTGCGCAAGGTCAAGACCAACAGTTGTCCGCAGACTATGAGATAACAGGTTCAGTCAGGAGTGATTAGTGCTATTGAGGACAATGTGCGAGGTGCATGGTAGTCCGCAAGCGACATCGATGCTGGATGTCTTTTCTTGCTGCGACACATGCGTAGGAAGCATGTATGAGGAATCAATATCTTTTTTCGTCCGAGGGAATGCAGATACGAATGCAGCGACTATTCTGCGGTTCCGTGCCGCCAAGTCGCTCGCCTAAAACTGATAATCACTTGAGGTTCGGGGTGGTCATCGGCGTTGATATGCAGAAGAACGGGGGACTGAAGGCGACAGAACGCTTGGAAGCAGGATTTCGATATGCCTGACAATGCTTGATATAATCATCTCTGATCGTGCGTGGGTTTTGGCGGAAATCCGGCAGCGGAGCGCGCGATGCTTGGCGCCGAGAGCGGAATCCAACCATATCCGTGCATGTCCGCTGCCTGAAAGGTTCCGCTTTTCCACGAAATTGATATTAACAGGCGTCAGCGAGTGGTGAGAGATTTCCAGAGTAATGCAGAAGTTTCCCTGCGGGACATAATCTCTTGCAATTTCAAGGAATGTCTCGTGTGACCCTCCATTCTGCCGCCAAGCGCTGAGCTAATCAGCATCGTAATTTACAACCTTTTCGGTGCACGTACCAAAATACCGGCCGCGCCCAGTGCGGCAGATCCACCCGTTCGGGACGAACCTTAAAGTTACGTCGTACTCTGCTCCTCCTTCTCCGTTTCACGCGGGTGAGCAATAAGGTAAGCCCATGTATCACGCTATTCACACAGCTTGCTCCCATGAACCTATAAAAGGTTGGGCCGCTATTAGCCACGTCGCATCTGTCAGTCGAATCAGAGCGTTCCCGCCACACGGCAATGGAGCCTCTTCTGAGCAACATTCACCCCAAGCTTGAAAAGCGCGCATTTGCTAGCTGTGTAGTGGAGTACGATAGTAACTAAATGCCTAGCTTGTTGCTATTTTTCTGTCACCTCGGCGACCTTGCGTCTGAATACGTCGAAGGGTCATCATCCCATTCGTCATATCAACGCAGTTCGACAGGAAAACTCCCAATGGCAGATGGACGACCGTGTCAATGATCTTGTGCGGCCTTTTTACTAAAACGTTAGTCAATACATTGGTAGACGGAAACGCACATGGCGGTGCCGTCATAAGGCGCGGGGCGGGAGTGAAGGTCGTGTAACATCTGCAGTGTGAATCGGAGCGGGCTGGGGTGGTCGTCGAGCGGTATGGGGAGTGCAGATCATCCGTCTACACCAGCACAACCAGACATGGTGTGTCTTGACGACTCGTCTGACACTGCCAGTCTTACAGTCTCCGGACGGAAAGGGACCAGAGCACTATTCTATCCTCCATTCGTACGGCTGCAGTCTTGAAGTCCCTGGATGATTAACTGGAAACTCCGCTTTGAGATACTTGTGCCCGTCTAAGATTGATATTGCTGACAGACATTTTAGGAGATTTTAGACATGGCACTTTGATACGAACGACCCTGGTAAAGGCTCCGTGCGGGAGCCAACATGCGGTGACGGAAAGGGTATGAACACCAGGTCGCTGAGGGTTGAAACGTAATCCGGGGGGCCTGCCGTTTTTGTTCTGCTGCGATCCTTGACATCCATCCACAGTAAGCTTCAATTGAAACCCAACTTGTATTTTTGAGCCGAGAGAGGCGAATAGTCGAACGTCTGGTGACCAGATGAACAGTGACCAGTGCCGTAGGGTGTGTCATACACCTATCACTGAAAACTAGGGGGAATGAAGGATAGTCCTCCCGACCACCACTTGCGATCTGAAACGACGAGGCTCGGGTTTGGGTAAGAGGCTACCGCAAAAGCACTGTGTTCAGTTTGCTTGGTACAAGCGGTTATCTCGCGAGTTTCAACTGGCCCGTCTGTCGAGAGCAATAACAGAGTCTAGCCCAACCCCTGAACCGTGGAAGAAAGAAAGTCTCATAAGGGAGGAACGCGGCGACATGATTCCTCAGCCTCGCTAGTTATCTTGATAATTGGACGACGTTAGCTCTGCTGCAATCATTGCCCAACAGGTGCACATCACCGTAAGTCAATACACAGCCGAAGCGTAACCTGCATGAAAGCTCCGGACTCGGCATCCTCTTTCGGCTAGAGAATGCGAATGATCAAACCAGCATTCTAGGCCTTTGCTCCATTCATTCAACGTTACTCTGTTCAAGCCGCTCACGTAGTGCCCAAGAGGGAGCTCCGTGTCCCACGACAGAGCCCCCAGTGCATCCACGAGTTTGCGTGCCGGCCAAGAATGCCGTGGTACAGATCGCCGACAATCCTGAGGCGGCTAAGGATATTTTCTGCCCGTCATCAGCGCTTTCGTATGCTTTTCGTTTGTGAAGGATGGTTCAGATCACCCGACACCCATGCGCCTCGAGCGAATTCGCAAGTATACAATACCAGGGAACGTGCTTCAGATGAATTGTCTTACTGCCTTCGGTATGCAGAAAGGGGGAGTACATGGACGGAAGCCGACCAGTGTCTGTGAATGCGACATTGACAGTCAATGTACTTCCCATGTGTACGCTTTGCTCGAAGCTGGTATCAAGAAGTACAAAAGATTCTTCCAAACAACAGATATTGAAATATGCAGGGCAGTGCTATGTAGCCCGAAACCATCGGGATGGTCCAAGTTGTCCGGGGTTGGTAGGACGGTGGGTGCTTAATCTCTGAACATCACATAATCTGTGCGGTGTATGCACTGCAATGCAATGCCAGTCATAGTCGTCATTGTGATATCCAAAAGAGAGACATGCAAAAGCGGAGAGGAGCTGGACCCTGGTGTTACTAACTTACTAGCTCTGTTAGCAAACACCAGATCAACCTTTCCCATCGTGGCTGCGGAGAAGAAACGCAAACAGAACGGTAAGAACAGTACAACGAGGGACTCGGACTTCAGAACTTGACTTTGGGCGGCACTGTACAGCCGTGTACTGAGAACAAGCTGCGAGTTTTGGCTGGGACAGCAAGACAGGTTGTAGAAATAAGGGAGGCTTGCCGCAGCTGCGGCTGTGACTGCAGCATGCAACATTGGAACCACAGACCGTCAGCATAATGAGAGTGAGAGAGTGAAGATATACCCAGGATAATGAGTCATTTGAAGTCTTCTCATGCCACAACAAGTTGGCGGTCAAGTGCGTAGTACACTGGCTGGCCTCGCGTCGTCCGGGATGAGGAATCTGATCCGGAGCAAACAAGATGAAGGCTTTATCCGCCAGGGAGAAGTCCCTGCGCCGACATCGTGACATTGTGACCTCAGAACGACCCCTACAAGAGTAATACTGGTTATTGTGAATCCGCCTCGGAGTTATGGTACCCATCATGAAGGACACCATCCTGGTCTGGAGTACAAACACATCGAAAGGTCGTACAGCATGTGCATACTTCTGAAGACGGCGATAAGGGGTTCTGGATTACCTAGTCGGTTACACGACGTGGGAACCTGTGAGGATATTTCAAACACGCGGCAATCCCGCACGAAAAAGCGTCATCCGGATGAGCACTCCTTACAAAAGTGCACCTCTGATACTTATCTTATACATTATCTGAGTGACTGGTTCGTCGTTGCCTGTGCTTGAGGTTGCGGGGTCATCACAGCCTAAGAGAAGCAGATTCTTAGGGTGTCTCAAGGAGAAAATTACATAGGTAGGTATCACTGTGAAACTAAACGCCTGAGAATGCAGTGCTAGACTTTCGCCGCTTTCGGCTTACAGCAACCATACCTACAATCTTCAGAGTGGGAAAGCCGAACGCTACGTCTCACAGAGACATAGGCGAGACAGGGAGGATGGTCCTCTTCTGCCACTTTCGGTACCCGGGGTAGAATGAGAACGGGCACAAGAAACTCACCTCCTTTCGACTAAGATCTGCGAGTTCAAGAGCGCTCAGGCGACGCTACATTACATCAGCTATCAGTCACCATGGTCATAAATTCCAGAGGGTAAAATCTCTTGTGTCTAGTGCCCAGGGTTGCTAGGGTTTCGCTTGTGCGCAGACTCGGGTTTTGGATCAATACTCTATCTACTGGCATTAAGGACACTCCGGCCATGGGGAGACGGAAGACACCGAAGTTGTCTAATCAGAAAAGAAGACCCATGTTTGTTCAGCTCTTATCGTAATAAAACTCTCCAAGAAGCCTGCCGCAAGCTATCCATAGTTATATGTAGAGAGTTCGCAAGCAGCGAAGTTGGGGACATCGCGCTCGCACTGGTTGAACGAAAATAGTTAATGGCCTAGGTGCTTTCATAAACTCGAGTCCACGGACGCCGCAGCCGTTCGTTCCTGATGAGATACCTTACTATACTCCATCTGACGGAGACTGAATCTTCCTCATGGAAACGTGCAAAAGCTACGTATGCCTGTTATCTCCAAAATGGATTCAAAGCACATTGCAGTCAGTGGAGGACGACTCTACGGTCGTCAAGTCACCCAGCACTTAAGCGGACAGATATAGCAGGTTTAGGCCAACCATTCCAATTGACTTGCATTGCTCCATTCCCAAGGGTTGCTACTGGGACCCCTCCATTTGAAGAGCCTTGTAATGCGCGGGTCTTGCCCGAACCGTCGGGCGTGCGCATGGATATCTCGGCCTGCAGCTCATGTTCAAGTGTCGGAGTGGAGAGATTTCATGTGGGCATGATGACTTATTGCAGATGAGAAGAACTGATTCTTGCAGTTGACGCAAGAAATGCCATGGTGATGTACACATCGAATTGTGCTGTGATCCGGAAAGGCGTATAGACAAATCTCCCCCAGACGGTCAATCTCTAGCTGTGGCTGGCCACTTTTATGTTACATCAACACACGTTCACCAGTCCGATTACACCAGGCTACGTGGACCGCTAGGGTTCTGCCGGAATTGCACATGACTCGATTTAGAGCAATATGGACCGTTGAACCTTTGTGTCATATTATCCCGAGGCTCAGCCACGTGCATATCGTGATCGATAACCCTTCTGCTCTATAGCGACCGTCCGCGATATCATCGAGCGCCATTATTCCCGTAAGGGCCTTGCGATGATGATCCTCACCTTCCCAAGGGTTTCGGCGGAGTTACTACGGGCCGATACCATGTAGCCGCGGCCACATAGAAACGGCGTGCACTGAACTGATGGCCCTGCGGTGGAGGGCAATGGCAAGATTTATTGTTTATGGCATCATTTTGGTATGTGGTTCTAACTGGCAATCGCTCCGGAGAGAATGGTTCTGCTGGCAATTGTTGTGCCGCCCACTGATCGCCTTCCACCTCGGATTCCGGCAAGTCAGGTTGACACCATAAATCAATTTGATGTGTCTTCCTCGGTGAGCACATGGTAGCGTAAAGTGACAGGAGGGTCATTTCCTCAATCAGAGGGGTGAATGCGCGCATGTTGTGCCGACGGCTGGAGAGGACCACTGGCGTGTCATTTGCCACACTAGCCCTCTCACAACCTTATTTGCGTTATCTGCACATAACCTTCCTTGGACCTGCAGGTAGATACTGTGTACATGCTGACATAACTTAAAGGAGGAGATGGCGCATGCGAACTACCATCGTGTACCAACAGGCCCGTGCGCCAGTTCCGTGGGGAGCCGAAGTCAGTGAGCCTGATTTTGAGAAACGAATAACCTTGGAAGCATCCATCAGGCCCGATTCAGAATAATAAATCCGGTCAATTAATTGAGTGTCAGTCCAAGAATAGGCGGAAGTGTCGCCCGAGCCGTCCATTCAGGGGTCCTTGCCGTAGCACTCAGGAGGCCTCCTTCTGGATTCCCCACTGATATGCGGTCCGACAGATCAGCTCTTACCATTACAGAGTGCGTATCCGCTATCTAACCCGCTACCTAAGTGAGTACAAGAAGTCCCGGGTCGCCCCTCCGATCGGTCTTCCTCTCACTTTCGCGGTCATTCCTCCATCCTCACCCATCCGCAGCAACGTATTGTTAGATGAAGAGTGCCACACTATCGCCTTTCCTATTGTAACAGTCATATTTTTCCCTACCTACTTGGTAACTTCTCTCTGAGCCTTCGCCGTCATGGAGTTCATCGCCGTATTCGGTGATCAGACCCAACCTCAGTGGGGATTACTGCGAGATATATATCACAGCAAACCCGACCGATACGTTGCCTATCTCCTGGAGAAGATTCCTTCCATAATACGAGATGAGACGCGAAGACTGCCACGACGCCAACGAGACAAGATCCCAGATTTCACCACTTTCCTGGATTTGGTGCGGGCTTGCGAAGAGAACCAGCTGCACGTACCCCAACTCGATAGCTGCATGGTCACTACAGCACAGCTGTTGGACTGGTTTCGGTATTATTTGACAATTCCACGCAGCCAACCGCATGGCTAACAGGAAACAGATACTATACCGACCGTCCTGAGCATTATCCCACGCCTCACAATGCGCGGGTTGTTGGCATTTGTACTGGTATGATCGCTGGTGCAGCCGTCGCATCTGCTCGGAGCCTCCCGGAACTGCTTCCACTTGCTCTGCGCGCAGTCCGGTACGCATTTCGCCTGGGAACTGAAACTGCGCAAGCCCGAGATGGCATCGAACCAAACGGTGCGGAGCAGCCCCAGCCGTGGTCATATATCGTTGCAGACATGACTGAGGGCACTGCGAGAGACGCAATCGACAGACTCAACGAAGAAAATCAGCCACCCCTCATCTCTCAGCCCTATGTCAGTGCCATAGCTCCTCAGTCCCTCACCATTAGTGGTCCCCCGACAAGTCTCAGGAGACTCCGCGCGACCACTGGCTTCCATGGACGGAGAGTCGAGCCTATCGGCATTTACGCACCGCATCATGCACCACACATCTTCACCAGTGCTGCGATAGAACGGATTCTCGACGAAAACAACGATGGCGATCTCACTAGGGACCTTTCTGCATACAGCATCCAACTGCCAATGCATTCCGCTGTGACTGGAGGAATAATTACTGCTTTGAACGCCCGGGAGCTTTTCAGGGAGGCACTAGCTGAGATTTTGTGCAAGCCCGTCAATCTAGTGTCTCTGCTGGACGAGCTGGCGAACAGTATTAGGGACGAAACCAGCAAATGTACCATTCACGTCCTCGGTAAGGCTTCCGGTAAACTCATGCGCAATGCAATCCGGGAAAGGCATCCCCGGCTAGATATCGTCCGGCTGGATTCATCAGAGATAAAGGCGCGGAATCCTGAAGGAAGCATGCACAACGACAAGATCGCCATCGTTGGCATGGCCGGACGATTCCCCGAGGCTGCTGATCACGAGGAGCTTTGGGACCTGCTCATGAAAGGCCTCGACGTTCACCGTCATGTACCTCCGGACCGCTTCGATGCGGATGCGCACTGCGATCCCTCTGGGAAAGGGAAAAACAAGAGCCACACACCATATGGATGCTTCATCAAGGAACCAGGCCTGTTTGACGCTCGCTTTTTCAACATGTCTCCTCGCGAGGCCAAGCAGACTGATCCCATGGGTCGACTGGCCCTTGTCACGGCCTACGAAGCGCTCGAGATGGCTGGTTACGTAGCAAACCGCACTCCATCATCGAAGCTCCACCGCATTGGGACATTTTATGGTCAAACATCGGACGACTGGCGTGAGATCAATGCCGCAGAGAATATTGACACTTACTTCATCACCGGAGGAGTGCGTGCCTTTGCTCCCGGGAGGATAAACTTTTACTTTAAGTTCTCCGGGCCCTCCTTCAGCATTGACACAGCTTGTTCTTCCTCGCTGGCTGCCATCCAACTGGCGTGTACTTCTCTATGGGCAGGCGACTGTGACACTGCCTGTGCTGGAGGTTTGAACGTCTTGACCAACCCGGACATCTTCGCTGGCCTCAGCAAAGGCTCGTTCCTCTCCAAGACCGGCGGTTGCAAGACCTTTGACAACGACGCTGACGGGTATTGTCGCGGTGATGGTTGTGGCACTGTCATACTGAAGAGATATGCTGATGCTATTGCTGACAATGACAACATCCTCGGATGCATTCTCAGTGCAGGGACCAACCACAGTGCTCAGGCAGTATCTATTACGCATCCTCATGCCCCTACGCAGATGGAGCTGTACAAGGAGGTTCTTGCAAAGTCTGGTGTCGATCCACACGAGGTCACCTACGTTGAGATGCACGGAACGGGCACACAGGCAGGTGATGCCACAGAGATGCAGTCTGTGCTCGGTGTTTTTGCACCTCCTGAGAGACAGCGGACGCCTGAACGTCCATTACATCTAGGTGCCATCAAAGCCAACATTGGACATGGTGAAGCCGCTTCCGGAATCAACTCTCTAATCAAGGTGCTCTTGATGATGGAGAGGAACGCGATTCCTGCCAACGTGGGTATCAAAGGGGTAATTAATAAGGGGTTTCCGAATGCAGCAGAGCTTCGACGTCGCAATGTTCACATCCCGACGAAAGCCGTGGACTATCCACGGCAAGGCTCGGAAAAACGCAAGATCTTCCTCAACAATTTCTCTGCCGCCGGCGGCAACACCTCTCTACTCCTTGAGGATGGACCTCTGCGCGAGTCTCCTACCGGCCAGGACCCCAGGACGATGCACATTGTCACGGTCACCGCAAGATCCATTACATCTCTGAAACAAAACATTCGCAACCTGATCAGTTACCTCGATGATCATCCCGAAACAACGCTCCCCAGCCTGGCGTATACGACAACTGCACGACGCATCCAACACTTCTTCCGCGTGGCTCTCTGCGTCTCCGACATAGGGGAAGTCAAGAAAGCACTGGAGTCAGAACTGAAGGACACGTATGAGCCTACTGCCTTGGCGCCGACTAAGGTTGCATTCGCATTTACCGGTCAGGGCTCTCAATACACAGGTCTCGGACAAAGGCTGTACAACCAGGTCAAATCCTTCAAGTCCGATATTCTGTACCTGAACTCCCTAGCCAACGTCCATGGCCTCCCTTCAATACTCCCGCTTCTGGAAGGCAAGGATGTAGATTCCTTGTCCCCTGTGGTGCTGCAGCTCGGCATGACCTGTATCCAGGTTGCCATGGCGCGAATGTGGCAATCCTGGGGTGTGAAGCCGGCTTCAGTGGTCGGTCACAGCCTGGGCGAGTATGCGGCTCTATGTGTCGCTGGTGTTCTGGCGCCGAGCGACATGATCTTGCTCGTTGGCGAACGTGCTAAGCTTATTGAACAGCGGTGTACACCCAACACCCATGGGATGCTTGCGGTGAAAGGCAGTGTGGATTCCATCCTTTCTGTCCTCCAAGACGACGACATTGAGATTGCGTGCATCAATGGCCCTACCAGTACCGTCCTCGCAGGTACAGTCGATCGTATTGCAGCGGCCCAGAATCTGCTCCAGTCGAAGAACATGTCGTGCACACGCCTCGCAGTTTCTTTCGCGTTTCACTCAGCCCAAGTGGATCCCATACTAGAGCCGTTCAGGAATGTTGCGTCCACTGTTCCGTATCGAAAGCCTGAAGTTCCCGTTCTATCACCTCTTCTGGGAATTGTATCCACTGATGGCGGCGATTTCGGGCCCGATTATCTGTGTCGCCATGCTCGCGAAACGGTGAATATGCTGAGCGCTCTCCAGGCTGCCGAAGCATCAGGGATATGCAACGCGGAAACCGCCTGGTTGGAAATAGGTGCGGACAGGCCAGTGAGCAGCATGATCAGGGCGACAGTGCCAGAAACCGCCTGTGTGGCATCATCGCTTCGTAAGGGTGTGGACCCATGGCAGTCTCTCTCCGAAGCGATCACCTCCTTGTATCTGGCTGGAGTTCCCTTCGACTTCTACGAATATCACAGAGAGTATGAGAGCGCCCATAGGCTGCTCAGACTCCCAACATACCACTTCGACAACAGCCGGGAGTGGCTCGATTATCATAACAATTGGTGTCTGACAAAGGGCGAGGATCCTCGTCCCGCCGCAGTACAGCCTCAGTTGGACGGCCCCAGATCACGCCCGTTGACCACTTCCTGCCAGTTCATTGTCAGACAAGAGCTGAATGCCAACTCTGGAACCGTAGTTGTCCAGTCCGACTTGTCGGAGCCGAAACTGAGGGCAGCAATCAGTGGACACGAAGTGGACGGCAACCCGTTTTATCCCTCGTCACTCTATGCGGATCAGGCGATGACGGTGGCGGATTATCTCTACAGACAACTTCGACCAAACATGCCAACACCAGGTCTCAATGTCCACACCCTGGAAGCTACGAAGGCTCTCATCCCGGAGAATCCTCCACCAGAGGCTGGGCAGCATATCCAGATTGAAGCCACTGCCAATCTCGAACTCAACGAGGTTCGGGTAAAGTTCCGGAGTGTGTCTGCAGATGGGCAGAAGGTTTTCCTCAATCATGCCGAAGGCGTGGTGAAGTACGAGAATATCGATTCCTGGACAAGAGAGTGGGCTCGCTGCGGTTACATGGTTCAGAATCAGATCAATTCCCTTGAACAGAAGCTCCACCAAGGACAGGCTTGCAAGTTTACACGAGCAGTGGCATACAAGCTTTTCCAGGTTCTTGTATCCTACGCCAAGCCTTACCGTGGTATGGACGAAGTCATCATCAACCAACAGGACAACGAATCCACTGCCGTAGTTCGATTCCAAACCACGCCCGAGGATGGTGACTTCTACTGTTCTCCTTACTGGATCGACAGTCTGGCTCATCTTTCAGGTTTCACGATCAACACTTCTGAGCAGAACGAGTCTGACGAAGTCTATATCAGCCATGGATGGGAATCGCTCCGCATCTCGACGAAGCTCTCACCAGAAAAGAAGTACCGCAGTTACGTGAGGATGCAGCCGGCACCAGACGTTGCGAACGTGTCCGTCGGCGATGTATACATATTCGAAGAAGGAAAGATTATTGGAATGGTCAACGGCCTCAAATTCAGAAAGATGAAGCGCAAGGGTCTCAAGTCGATAGTGGAAGCGGCCAAAGCCGAAAACCGCCGAGCGCTGGGCATTGCCGCAGGACCTTCTCAAGCCATCGCGAAGACTACCAAGACCCCTAAATCGGCCCCAAAACCATCGATACCGGCCGGGAAGACTACCTCTCAAAAGCCTCTCATTGATCGCGTCTTAGAAGTGATTAGTGCGCAGTGCAATCTGGGCATCAATGAGCTTGTGGATGGAGCCTATTTCGCGAGAATGGGCGTCGACTCTCTTATGGCACTGGACCTGACCTCAGCAATCCGTGATCAGTTGGGCATGGAGATCAGCAATCAAGTGTTCATCGAGTGTCCGACAGTCAAGGCTTTCAAGCAATATCTGATCAAAGAGCACGGAACTGTCGAAGCTACTGTCGTTAACGTCGATGCACAGTCAGCAACTTCTGAGGAGTCCTCTCAGATTCTCACTCCTGTTGAAACCACCTCCGCGACTACCCCTGCTAGTAGCGCCTCAAGTGTATGTGATGAAGTAGAACCAGTGGCATTGAAAGCGGCATCCGGTTTTGACTTCAGGGCAATGGTGGCAGAGTCGATGCACTGCGACCGATCGGAGATTACTGACAAGATCGAGCTCTCCGTGCTGGGCATGGATTCCATAATGTCCCTGGAACTAGTGAGTCAACTGCGCGAGCGGGGACATGAAGTCCCTCAAGACTTCTTCCAGCACAATCCCACCGCTCAAGCTGTCGAACAAGCCCTCGGTTTCGGTCCCAAGCCACGACCTAAATCCAAGCCGAAAGTTACCCTCTCGGAGGGCCCCAATGGCTCCAACAAACGTTCACCCCAGCTTAGCGAAGTGTCAAGGAAGCTCGAAAAGTCCAGCAAGCTTGAAAGAATACGGCAAAAGAACCTCAGTGTGATTCTCCAAGGAACCAGAAGTGATCCATTGAGCATGTTCCTGATCCCGGATGGTTCAGGCAGCGCTACATCCTACCAGTACATGTCTCGTATTTGTCGCAAGATGAGAGTGAGCAGCATTTGGTGTCCGTTCCTGAAGGAACCGCAAGAATGGACCAGCGACATCGGCTGTCGAGGAATCGCGCAGCTCTACAAGGAACAGATCAAAAAGCAACAACCGCAGGGTCCCTACATCTTGGGTGGCTGGTCTGCCGGCGGTGTTCTCGCCTATGAAGTTGCATACCAGTTGATTCAGGAGGGCGACAAGGTCTCCTGCCTCGTCCTGATCGACTCTCCGTGTCCTGTGAGATTGGATCCTCTACCGGCACGCCTCCATGTCTGGTTCGAAAAGATCGGCCTCCTGGGGAAGGACAGTAACAATAAGACTCCAGATTGGTTGCTCCCACACTTCACTGCAACCATCAACAATCTCAAGGATTATACCCCAGATCCCATGGAGCCCTCCAAAGCCCCCAAGGTGATTGCGGTCTGGTGCAGAGAGGGTGTATGCCCCGACCCCAATAGTCCTCGACCCCCGCCCGGAGAAGGCGAAGATCCGGCACCCATGAAGTGGCTTCTCGACAATCGTACCGATTTTGGCGACAACGGGTGGGCTGCGCTGTTGCCGATGGAGAATTTCTACTTCAAAGACATGGGTGGGAACCACTTCACCATGATGAAGCCCCCATATGTAAGAACTCACCGACACGCTACTTGCTGAAAACTGCTAATGTCTTGATTTAGTCTGAAACGCTGGCGAGTATCATCGGAGAGGGTCTGGCGGCGTTGGGAATCATTGATGAGCAATGAGGGAGCTCATGATTGACCCTTCTTTTCCTATGTTTATCCGCTGTTTCAGTCAGAATGCGTTGTGTTTTGGTGTGCAGTGCGCAGGTGCTCAGATTGGAAGGGAAAGTCGTGTAGATGCATGCATCAGGTTGGTTGCTAGAGACTGGCTTTGATAGCACGGTGTGCTTGACTAAGAACCATTTCCTTTTTCACTTTTCTCTCCTCCCCTACAATTAAGTTCTCTATCCTTTCCTGTAATTACTTGAACTTGAATTGCGATAATTGTGACTTTCAAGAGCCCGAGACACTCCTTGCTCATTGAATAACATCATATCTTTCAGGTACTCCTCCACAGTCAAGGCGATACCCTGGCATCTGTGTGCGTCATAGTACGATCTACAACATAGAAAGGCTTGTTTCTTGCGGAATTCAACAATGTCCATTGGAAACCAAGGTGAACATTCCGCCCCGCAAGAAGACGGCTCAACCTTTGTTCGTCCGTTGCATCTCCTATCCTCCGTCTCAATCAGCCGGCCACATTCGGCTCCCCAATTCTGTTTGAATGGTACCTTTCGCTTCCCCTCGACTCTCTTCGACGAGAGCTATCTAACTCTCATCTATCGCATCCTCCAGGCAGCTGACATGCATCATCTTGTACTCCCTCTCCTTCAGAGATCACGCCACGCAGATAACCAGCAGGCCTCGCCTGCCCTATATTGATTGTCCTCGCCAAACCCTCACCCCTGCCTACTCCGATCCGATTGCGAACGTTTTGCTGCAGGATCGCAATCTACGTATACGACAGCAGCAGACCCCTTGCGGCCCCAACGGCCCATCCCGGCTGCCGGCACACGCACGACGATCCTTTGCCCCTTGGTTGGGTGTGGCTTTGAGACCCTTGTTTCTGCACGGTCTTTGAAGCCGGCGGGCGCCGTGGTGCTGGCGCATGTGGTGTGGTTGATAACAAGGATTGCGATCCAAGTTCCTGGTCCGGAACACGCCTTCCGCGCAGACACGGTGGGTAGAGCAAGGGTATAACAGCCGGCCAGTATAGATTGCCAGCGGGGCGGACGTATATCTGGAGAGATAGGCACCGGTCCAGAGGTGTTCGTTTCCGAAATTCGAGGGATCCTCGCGCCGTACACTAGCATGATGTATCTTATCTTGTAGTGGTACATTCGTACTCGCTATGCTGTGGTAAGGCATATATGAGCCGCCTCGGAGCCTGTGATTAATATGTGCTCACGTTAATAAATCCCTCGAGAAGTTTCTGGTATCGGCGTCCGCGCATTGGTGGTTCATCATTCAATGGTACCGATCCTGGTAAAGCAATATTTTTGAGATTCGGCACTCGGAATCGCTTGGAATCGCTGTTCTGGTCGCGGGGAACATCAATTTGTTGAGTTGCGTCTTCTTAGCATGCAAACCATGGAATCGGGCGATCCAGGTTGCTGTGCTCTGGACGGTTGACCGGAACTGGATCCCACTTGGCCCGAATGCTGGCTCGCTGCCCAACTGTTAAAAGTTGTGTTATGATTTGCTTGCGTCAAAGCAGGCTAGGAGGAGACATAGGCCTTGTAGGCATGTGGTGCTGCATCTTGCGCATTCGAAGCTTTCGGCGATCGCAAAGAGGTTGCGGCGGACATAGAAACTGCCCTTGACTGTGGCGAATTCGCATCGTCTCCTTGTTCTGGGCACAACGTTGCAGCGGGGGTCCAATACGGCATCGATTTGTAGCGTCTCAGATAATGCTTCGTCAAACGCTGTCGATCACGGTCAGTTCGGTGCCTTGATGGGTGCGAACTGGACAGTGAGTACGGACCTATACTCCGACGCATCCAATGGTCGACATTATCCTCGGTACAAAGAACAAGATCTGAATTCAGAAACCTTCCCCTCAGGAAATCCAAGATTAGCATCCAGATCCCCGATGCAGGGTTCGACCCATTGGGAAGCATTACTTGACGTACCCTTGTTGCACTGCGGCAGCACGTTCAGAAGCTGACCTGTAATGTTACGCGAGTTTCGGTTTGGCTCCATCCAAGATCGGAGATAGGGCAAGGTGTTAACATCGCCGGCCGATTATACGACGAGGTGGTTGTACCACGCCATTGAAATGCAATGAATCTCAAACAACTTGGGAGCGTGGCGAGCTGAAGCCAGACTTGGGGACTGGCAATGCAATAGCGGCCAGTACATGACCGTAGTGCGACCTCTGACCGGCATGGCATTGTACAACTCGATAGTCTCCGGTCGGATTTGCCGGCCGTCCACGAAAACCACGCCCCAACTCCTCAATGCGAGGGAGTCCAGAACGGAATCTATCCGAGTTTCTGGCAGACCCGATGCGTCGGTCGGATAAAGGAAGATGGAGACTTTGCTGGGATACGTACTGATGATGGACGGCACGAAAATGCTGGAATGAGCCGTTGGAAGAGTCTCGCCAACGCCAGAGCGCAATGCCTTCCCCCGATTGTCTTCAGGTTTGGGGGACTTTATTGAGCTCGCAAGGCGAAGCGAGACCTAATCATTGAGATATGCCGGTTCCTTGTTCACACTTTACGACCTCGCACAATGAGCATGCCCCGAAATCCCGGTCGATAGATTCAACAACGACGTAATCTTTGAGACAACGTGGTGAACCTCGAGCTCGGTTCCCATGTCTCACATAGACCTGAGCGGATTATGTAGTGGCAGGTTCCTCGCTCGGCGCAGTTCGGTGGTACGCATCCCAATGCATGATCCCAGCAATTGGTGAGCAAGGGCCCAAGCATGGGTTGCTGCACGCTGAACGGTAATATGCAAGCCATCGCCCCGTCCAGATCATGTAGGGACCGCCAGTTTCATGATGACTGCAGATACTTTTCATTTCAGCTGAGTCAGATTTACGCAATATCGGAGAAAACAACCTTGGAACGATGCCGAGAGGAACATCACCGGTCCGGCTGCCACAGTCTCAGAAGAACTTAGGGCCAGTGACGCGAGGACGTGGCAAGACCCAAGACCGGCGTCTTCACGAGAGAATAGTGGGTTCAACGACATGCTTCGTCCGGCTGAGCTACACTTGTAGGTTAACCCAGATACGGATTTCCGTCTTCTCTCTGGCGAGGGTAGTGAATTTAGACGATATGTTGAATGTGATAGCAAAGAAAAGCATAGTTGTACCAAGCCGTGAGGTCTGGCTGCTGTTGGGATGGTGATATTACAAGGGAAGGGTGCGAGGTCCAATTAAGGTTGCCCAGTCAGGGGGCTTGTGTCGATCTTCGGACGATCGCCAGAGCGGAGGCAGAGGCGGAGCGGGAGAATGCGGAGCGGAGCGGAGGAAATGCCAAGGAACATCTGATGGGATCGTGATGCAAACACGACAAACTTGCATGAGAAACATAGGTGGGGTTTCGGAAGCTTTGCTCACTTTGCTGCTTTTTGCGAGGGCTGCAATATGGCCTCCTCCTCAAAGCTCGGAAGGTACGAATCCCACTTGTATTCTTTCTGCATGTCTAATTCAGCGCAGCGGCAAAGATGGCCCGGCCACCAACCCTCGCGGCATCCCGTATGCACCCTTCGTCGACCGCGTGGAAGACTATGTCCGCGACCGCTCCGAGGTGGAAGCTACCGTGAATAGCTTCAAGGAAATGATATCGTATGCTATATATTGGATCTCAATCCACATGCGGGCTCACAAAATGGCAGCAAATACCAGTTCATGGAGGTCAACCAGCAACGACGTGCAGCGGGACTCAGGGACAAGATTCCCGACATACAGAAGACACTGGACACCGTTCGCTTCTTGAAAAGTCGGAAGGTATGTTCGAAGCTGGGAATGATCGGTGTTATGCTAACCCGGACGCGTAGTCTGATGCCGAACCCATTGAGACGACATTCGAACTGAACGACACGCTATACGCTAAAGCTGAAGTTCCACCGACCGATGAGGTGTATCTATGGCTGGGCGTACGTTGCTCGAGCTGGAAAACATAGTCTCAGGCGACTAACGGAGCTAGGCGAATGTGATGTTGGCATACCCTATTCCAGAAGCTGAAGAGCTGTTGGAGTCAAAACTCAAGACAGCTAAGCAGAGCTTGGCAAACTGCGAGGAAGACATGGAGTTTCTACGGGAACAAATCACTGTACGGACGACGCGTTTCTTGAAAATCTGGTCTCTGCTAACACACCAGTAGACTCTTGAGGTAGCATTTGCTCGGGTGTATAACTGGGATGTTGCTCAAAGGCGAAAAGAAAAGATGGAAGCAGAGTCAATAGGAGGCAAGAAAGGTGCATCTCCGAATGGATAACGTCAGGATCTAAGCAGGGCGTTTCACGGAGTGTGCTCGTGGCGTATACAAGCAGATCCATGCAATCAGTGCCGCAACTTTCGTTGCACTCGAACCTTCATAACATCCTTCGATATCTTCCACAACCTGCGTCCCCGCTTCTCTCTATCTCGTCCACCTACTGATCATTGAAGTTAACATGCTGCAATGCCAAGAGCCCACACTGCAGTATCGAGGGGACGAACCTGATAGAACAGTCTTTCCCAAAGCTTTCTGGCAGAATACGAATGCCGTTTTTCAGTTCCGTTTTATCAACAGCACCCTTTTTCAATGTTGGACGCGTGAGCACGTGAACAGGCATCACAACGGGACCGTGCGCGACGGGATGACGTGAACCGCTGAACAACGAGACGCCACAACTTACAATGAGCTCAATGTGGTGACACCCGCGTCTCCAATGTCCTCGATATGAGCAGTCCTGCGAAGCGACGGAAGAAGAACGACCACAATGGCTCGAACCAACCCGTCGGATCCTTACACTACTTCTTCGCTAAGCAGAAAGCTGCCGCAGAGACAGGAGACTCGCGAAAGGCGGTACCAGAGAAGCCAAATGCCGAGACCAGACAGAAAGATGACGCTACTCTCGCTGACGAACAGTTGGCTAGGAAGCTACAAGAAGAGTGGAACAGGGAAGAGCAAAATCGGACCAGGACGTCGAGCTACGATGATCTTTATGCGGAGCCTCCCGAAACAAGTTCGAACGAGACAGATAGCGCTACAAACAAAAATTCACACACTATCGCAGACACCTCTATGTCGACCGGGCCTTTGAGTGGACCTGCTTCATTTACAGTTCCTGAAAAGAAGACACTATCTTTGCAGTCTACCGCCGCTGAGGAAGACCTAGTCTCTGCCACAATTCCCTTCGATCAAAGTCCGCTCGTATTCGAACCTCGGAAGTACATAACCGATCTACAGAGGCAGTGGGAGACTGAGGGAGGACACGCGACATATGCGCTCCTGACGCGCTGCTTCGTTCTGGTCAACAGCACAACGAGCAGGATAAAGATAGTGGACACACTGGTGAATCTGCTACGTGTTCTGATTGAAGGCGACCCTACCAGCATTCTTCCCGCAGTATGGCTTGCGACAAACTCCATCTCACCACCATACATTGATTTGGAGCTTGGACTTGGCGGATCGGCGATCTCGAAGGCGTTGAAGAAGGTGTGCGGATTGGACAATGCTGGTCTGAAGACACTGTATAACAAGTATGGCGACCCTGGAGATGTTGCCTTCGAAGCGAAGAAGCGACAGTCCTTCACACTGCGGAAGCCGAAGCCGTTGACAATCAAGAGTGTGTACGATTCGCTTGTCAAAATCGCCAATAGCAAAGGCCAGGGCAGCGTGGAGGCGAAGCAGAGAATAGTCGAGAGGCTAGTGCAAGACGCAAGAGGTGCTGAAGAGAGTCGATATATTGTGCGGACTTTGGTACAGCACCTGCGTATCGGCGCTGTGAAGACCACAATGCTGATAGCTCTATCCCGCGCATTCCTGCTCTCCAAACCGCCTGGAGCTGATTTCCACATACGAGATCCCAAGTCTTTGGTGGCCCTAAAGAAAGAGGAGCTTGCCGACGTATATCTCAAGAACGAAGAGATCGTCAAAGCGTGTTTCGCTCGCCGACCGAACTACAACGACCTTGTCCCTACGTTGCTGGAGATCGGCGTTTGCGATGAGTTGCTCGTGCGATGTGGGTTGGCTCTGCACATCCCGTTGCGGCCCATGCTGGGGAGCATAACGCGTGACTTGGGTGAAATGATCACTAAGCTGCAGGGACGAGACTTTGCCTGTGAATACAAATATGACGGACAGAGAGCGCAGGTGCACTGCGATGACAAGGGGAAGGTCACAATTTTCTCTCGCCACCTCGAACTCATGACCGACAAATACCCTGACCTTGTCGCGTTGGTTCCCAAGATAAGGGGGGAAGGTGTATCCAGCTTCATCTTGGAGGGTGAAGTCGTAGCCATTGACCGCAACAACGGAGAGCTAAAGACGTTTCAGACTCTAGCAAACCGTGCGCGCAAGGACGTTGTTATTGGAGATGTCAAAATCGATGTGTGTTTGTTCGCGTTCGACCTCATGTATCTCAATGGCGAAGAACTTCTCGATCGACCCTTTCGGGAGCGAAGATCTTTGTTACGAAGTCTGTTCGTCGAGATCCCGCACCACTTCACCTGGGTCAAAAGCTTAGACGCAACATCCGGCGACGTTGAAGCCGTGCAAGCCTTCTTCAAAAGCGCCACAGACGTAAAATGCGAAGGCATCATGGTCAAGGTGTTAGACAACCTTCCCAACCCAGAGCTCGAAGCTGTGGTCGACCCGCACGAAGCCGAACTGCTCTCCGAGGCAGAAAATGACCTCCCCGTCAAAGCCTCTCCCCTAGCCACCAAGAATAACAATTCGTCCAAGTCTTCTAAACCAAGAGCCCCATCCAAAACCAGCACGGGCACGAAATCACCGCCCACCCGTCGCAAACCCCTGCTGTCTACCTACGAACCGGACAAGCGCCTCGACTCCTGGCTCAAGGTCAAAAAGGACTACAACACCTCCTCCGACACGCTAGATCTCATCCCCATCGGTGGCTTTCACGGCCAAGGGCGCAAAGCGAAATGGTGGTCCCCTATTCTTCTAGCTGTGCGGAATGCCGACACGGGATCACTGCAAGCAATCACGAAATGCATGTCCGGCTTCACGGATAAGTTCTACGCAGCGCTGAGAGAGAAATATAACCCAGATGATCCGGAGAATACAAATGTCCTGCATGGGGGAAAGCCTGCGTTTGTACAGTATAACGGTGGGGGAGGTTGGCCGGACGTCTGGTTCCAGCCACAGGAGGTGTGGGAGGTGGCTTTTGCGGATATCACGTTGAGTCCGACGTATGACGCAGCGCTCGGCCTGGTGAGCGAGGATCGAGGGCTGAGCACCAGGTTCCCGCGCTTTCTGAGGGTGAGGGAGGACAAGGGGGTCGACGAGGCCACGGAGTCGGGCGAGTTGGCGGAGATGTGGTGGAAGCAGGAGGCTAGGGCGCCCAAGGGAGGGGAGGCAAAGCCGGAGGAAGCAGAGGAAGGAGAGTAGCAACGTCTACGATCAGTTGCATTGCGGATGGACGTCTCGGAACTCGGCTCGACAGCTCTTGCGTATCATACCCAACTCGACGTTTTGCAGAACCCGTTCATTGGGTGGGATGAGGTGGGGGAATTGGCATACTGTGGATGTAGGTACGCGCACGTGTCCGTGAACTTTCTTTTCACTCGAGCGAGCTGGGCTTGCTAGGGCCCACTCCTACGCCGTCCACCAAGGTACTTTTTCAAGAAAGTACCTCGTCGAGCCCTTCGGTCAACGCCGCCAGCGCGCATCCTCACAGGGGAAATCCATTACATAAGCGGCCGGCAACCCCACCGAGTGGGGGTCTGGATCTACGGACTTTCCAATGGGTTGGCCCTAGTTGTAAATCAAGGTACGGCGGCGAACTCGTCAATGTCTCTGTACTCGGTAACTACACGGCCTCTTCAACATGGAACAGACAAACATTGTGCTGCTCCATAGCAGTCGCGTGCTCACTTTCCTCATCCAATTCCCCTTTCCCCGCCCAGAAAAATGAAGCTCACCGACCGCAGAGCTTGGTGTTGCCAAGGAACTTCTAAGCACGCTAAGCATGGTTTTGGCGCCAGTTTCTTCCCCGTGGCAAAAGTCCACTCCACCACGTCTGTTCGCACACGTTCCGGTTTCCCTTAATCTGATTGGTCAATTGCCCTTTGACATCTCCTGCAACATGATCAATCTACGAAGCACTGGGGTGCAGGTTGCTTGCTATTCAGAGTTAGAATCTGGCGGTGCACACGGTCGATCTCGGCAATAACCAACAGGAATAACTGAAAGAATGGGGCGATGGCGAAAGTGCGGCACTGCCCACCTATCTGATAGGTGGAAGCTGGCGGATTTGAATGCCCATCACTAAGGGCGACGAAGACCACAGACTACATATACCCCTCCCCTCCGTGCCCTCCCCCGGGTCTTCTCCTTCTGAGTTGCTCTCCTTCATCTCCCTGCTTTCACCTGAGCTTGCACCATCATGGCTGCTCCACGCGTAGTCAAGTGAGATTCGAGATACTATACATCGCCGAGGCATTCCCAACTGACAGACAACAGGACCTCGGGAGGGAACGCTGCTTTCCACAACTTCCACAACGACTTCGGTCACATCGCAGACCCCAATGAGCGAAGGCGACTTGCCCTGGCCGAGATCGATAAGGCGCCCTTCGGGTGGTATCACGTTCGCGCCATCATGGTCGCTGGCATTGGATTCTTCACCGGTATGCATATACTTTTCGACTTGCAGTAGTATCCATACATGCAACTGCTAACGCCCCAACTAGATGCCTATGACCTGTTCGCCGTCAACATGGTCACCTCCATGCTGGGCGTCGTCTTCTGGCAGAATGCTATCCATTCTCCCGGAAAGATCCCTTCGAATGCGGACACTGCCATCAAAGTCGCGACATCCACTGGTACTGTAATTGGTCAGGTCGGATTTGGTATGTGAAGAACTCAAGTTGATATAGGGCACTTGTACTTACGACTTCAGGTATCCTTGCCGACATTGTAGGCCGGAAGAAAATGTACGGCCTCGAACTCATCCTCATCATCTTCGCCACGGTCGCTCAAGCCCTCTCTGCCCACTCCCCGGCCTGCTCCATTGTGGGAGTCATCGTGTTCTGGCGCGTCCTGATGGGCATTGGTACGTCGTTCGACGCTGTTATGTGAGATATACGCTAACAACGCTTGAAGGTATTGGCGGCGACTATCCCCTGTCTTCCATCATCACTTCCGAATTTGCGACTACGAAATGGAGAGGCGCTATGATGGGGTCCGTCTTCGCGATGCAGGGCATCGGGCAATTCGCCGCAGCCATCGTAGCTTTGGTGGTCACTCAGGCCTACAAATCCTCCCTCGAAACGTCACCGTCGGTTGATAAATGCCATGGTGCCTGCGTCGCAAGCGTAGACAAGATGTGGCGCATAGTCATCGGTTTTGGAGCCGTCCCGGGCTGTATCGCGCTCTATTACCGTCTGACGATTCCGGAGACCCCTCGGTATACTTTCGATGTCGATCGTGATGTTATCCAGGCTAGCTCTGATGTGGAGGCATTCAAAGCTGGCGAGTCCAAGGGACATCCCGATGAGATTACTCGCGCGCAAGCGAAGGAGGACGACGCACAGCAGCTCGAGGTTCCCAAGGCATCGTGGGCCGACTTCTTCGGGTGGATCAAGAAGTGGAAGAACGGCAAAGTCCTGCTCGGTACTGCTGGTTCCTGGTTTCTCCTCGATGTGGCGTTCTATGGTAAGCCGGCCCCTCCATGCGTTTTCACAATCCATTTGAACTGTACTAACAAACCCAGGCCTTGGGTTGAACAACTCCATCATCCTCACCCAAATCGGCTACGCCCACGGCGGCAACGTTTACGAAATCTTCTTCAACCAAGCCGTCGGTAACCTCATCATCACCTGCGCCGGAGCAATTCCCGGCTACTGGGTGACCGTCGCCACGGTCGACACCCTCGGCCGCAAACCCATCCAGATCGTCGGCTTCGTCATCCTCACCGCCATCTTCATCGTCATCGGTTTCGCCTACCACGTCTTGAACGGAAAGGCCCTGCTGGCTCTCTACGTCCTGGCGCAGTTCTTCATGAACTTCGGACCCAATTCGACCACCTTCATCGTTCCCGGTGAATGCTTCCCGACTCGCTACCGCAGCTCCGCGCACGGAATCTCCGCCGCCTCAGGGAAGATTGGAGCCATTATCGCGCAGGTCCTCATTGGGCCTCTGCGGACCAGGGGCGCGAAGCCCGGCTCTTCTGACTCCCCGTGGCTCAACCACGTCATGCAGATCTACTCTGTGTTCATGTTCGCGGGCATCTTCACGAGTTTCCTGATTCCGGAGACGAAGAGGAAGACATTGGAACAGTTGGCCGGGGAGGTGGAGGGGACGCCCGAGTTCGATCCGGATAATGTGCGGGCGAGGACCGTGGAGAAACTCAAGGCTAGCGTGCCGAGCGGGGAGAAGACGGCGTGAAAAGAGGCAGGTTATAAAATCCCGGCTCTTCGAAGCTGGGAGATGGAGCATTTGGTGCGGTTGTTTATAGATTGATTGTTATGTTAGAGATACCCAAAAGAGCAACAGTGTCATGATAAGCTTGTCTTTCGATTTACGATTCTCTTGGTGATGATATCGGGGCTTTAGGACGAGCCGTCGTGGTCGATTTGCGGTGCGGGCGGCAGGGGCTGATGCAGGAGCAGGTGTGGGTTGAGGGGAATTGAGGGGGTGCGGTGGAGAAGGAGGAGCGGTGGGGTGTCGAAGGTGAGGGATGGGGAGGACATTGTTCTTGCTGAGGGCTGCTTTGGAGTGTTGGGACTGAGACCGGTGAGACGCGCCCCTGAAACTAGAGACGCGTGAGCACGTGATCTGCCTTACTGGAGCAATGGTACGTCTGGGTTGACTTGAAGACGTGGGCAAGGTAAATGAAAGATTAACCTTCTGAATGAACGGGAAAGACATTTATAGAGAAATTCCCCATTGGCCCGAAGAAGAGGAAAAGTTGTGTTCTGAGTGCTTTTCAACTTGGGGCCTGATCACGAATTGCGACGATCCTGGTCGCGCTACTCAACCCCCGCGAAACGCGTCGACTCCAACTTGCCAACCAACCATGGAACCCACCAAGAATCTCTCTCCCCACAACCTTTGGATCTGTGCGTAATCTATAACTCTGTTCGTCTTGCGATAACTGCAGATGGGGCCGGGGCGCCCGTCGAAGCGACCTCGCGCGCATACCGGTGAGGGCGAAGGTCGGGTGAGTGCTTTCATCACTATGCTACGAGAGAATGGGACTGACCATTGTGGCAGGGAAAACGCGCACGCCGTTCACTCTCCCAGGGAAGCGATTCCACACAAGCCTCCTCTGACGATGATTCACGCTCCTCATCGGCCTCCGACCACCACGACGATGACCGCGAGAACGAAGCCGAAGCGGATGAACTGTTTACCAGGCAGACACAACGGGTAGAGAACCAACTCCGCAACAACGAGCTCAAGGAGAACATACCCGCCGAGAGCGGCATCATTCAGGAGATTAACTGCACGAATTTCATGTGCCATGAGCAACTCACCGTTTCCCTGGGCCCGTTGATCAACTTCATCATTGGACATAACGGGAGCGGGAAGAGCGCCGTGCTCACGGCATTGACACTCTGTCTGGGCGGGAAGGCAGCCGCCACGAATCGAGGCCAGAACCTAAAGGCTTTCATCAAGGAAGGCACAGATCACTGCACCCTGCGTGTGAAGATCAAGAACGAGGGCGCTGCCGCATACAAGCGCGACAAGTACGGCAAATCCATCTACGTGGAGCGGCATTTCAATCGCGCGGGAACCTCGGGTTTCCGCCTCAGGGATGAGAACAAGAGGCTGGTCTCGACGAAGAAGGCGGACCTCGAGGATATCATTGATGCCTTTGCGCTCCAGATTGATAATCCGATGAATGTGCTTACGCAAGATCTGGCGAGGCAGTTTTTGAACGATTCGACGCCCAAGGATAAATACAAGTTCTTTCTCAAGGGGACTCAGCTGCAGACGTTGAGGGAGGATTACAATTTGATTATGAACGAGTTGCAAGAGATGGAAGGAAAGGCAGGGACAGTGAAGGCGGATGTGGAGGTGTTGGAGAAACAGTTTCGCGCGGCTCTGGACAAGGCGAAGAGGGTGGCGAGTCTGGACGCGATGAAGGCTCGAGAGGAAGAGCTGGCATGTCAAGTAGCTTGGGCCACTGTGGAGCGTGAAGAAAGGGCGTTGGCAAATATTGATTTGGAGATTGCGCGCGTCTCTGCGACGATAGAGCAACGGCGGCAGAAGGCCGACGAGGCGGCGGAGCAGTACGAAATGGCCAACCACGCTTATTCGCAGGCCAACCAGGCTCTTGAGGATAGTAGGGCACAGTTGGTGCCGAAGCAGCAGGAGGTGGAGGAATTGAATGGGCAGTGGCAAGAGACAAGGAAGGCGATGATTGGGCTCAACACCCAGGAGCGAGATGTACACGGCAAGATCCAGGCCAAGGAGAAGTCGATTGCAAAGTATAGAGATCAGATACAAGAGCAGCGGCGGAAACAAGCGGAAGCGGACGGAGGGCAGCATGCCCAGAAAATCACCGAGCTTGAAGAGGTGAAACAGGAGGTTGAACGTGTACGCAAGGAACTCAACACTCACGATATGGAAACTCCACGCCTGAGGGAAGCCTATGAGACGCTGAAGCGAGAGAAGATAGCCGCGGAAGGGAGTTTGCAAGACAAAAGATCAGAGTTACAAAGGATACAAAACCATATACGGGACCTCGAACAAGGAGGTGAACGGGACTGGACCTCGGCGTACCCCAATGCCGCCAACCTGTCGAAACTGCTCAAAGCCATTGAGAATGAAACCGGGTTCAAGGAGCGTCCGGTAGGACCCATGGGCCGCCACGTCAAGCTTCTGAGACCAGAGTGGAGCTCAATACTGGAGAAATCGTTTGGCGGGTCACTGAATGCATTCGTTGTTACGTCCAAGCCTGATCAGAACATATTATCTTCTCTAATGAGAAGGATGAATTGGTATGTGCTTTTCAAGAAAGGGTAGCCCATGTAGCTAACTCTGGCAGTGTTTATCCGATATACATCGGCAAGGACGCACATATTGATACTTCTGCGCATGAGCCGGATGCTTCATTGACTACTTGGCTCCGCGTTCTCAGGGTCAGTTCCTCCTCCCTATTATGGCTCAATGAACCCTTCCTAATGCTATAATAGATTGACAATAACCTCGTTCGGAATACATTGATTGTCAACCATGGGATAGAGCAGGTAGCACTCATTCCGAAACGAGCCGAGGCCGAAGAGTTCGTCCACAACGGTGACCCCATGAGGCGAAATGTCAAGATGTGCTTTGCCATGTCCGATCGGGATCCAACGAAGGGCCATGCGATCAATTTCAATTCCAACACTGGCTCCATCAACATTGGTCCCATCCTGGCGTACACCTTCAGTCCGCGTATGCAGGCTGACAAGGAACCTCAACTCAGGTCGGTCCTTCCTTTGCATATTGTGATCTATCTCTGACATTGTCTAGAACTGCAAGGAGCCATCTCGAAAGAGTTAAAGATGAATATAACGAGGCATTGAAAGAGGCGAGAGCCATCCAGGCGCGACTAGATGAATGCAAGGCGAGACATGACTCCCATGTGAGACAGAGGAGAAACTTGGTCATACAGCAACAGCAGGCGGAGTCCAGTCAGGAGAGACTTGAGTTCGAGATCAGCGCAGCTGCCCCGGACGACGGCGCGATTGAACAACTACAGGAGTCCCTGAAGGAGGCCGAAGACGAATTGGCTTTCGAGCGGGGTCAGCTGGAAGATATTCAGTCCCAGAAACAGCAGTACCACGAAACGCACCACAAGCAGAAGGCCAATCTCGAGATCGCCCAGGAGGAGCTTGCAACGATAAACACGGAGATTGGTAAACACGAAGCACGCGCCGAGAACCTCATGTCCGACCGCGAAAGAGCGTTGGCTGCTAAGAACGCCGCCTTGGACGCTGTGCGAGCTGCGGAGGTGAACAAAGCTGAGTGGGATCAAGCGCGCGGTGCCCAGTTGACTCAGCTCGAACAAGTCACGTCCGAGGCGGAGCAGATTTGCGATCGCGTTGAGGTTCCTCCTGGGGAAGATCCGGGGTCTTTGGAGAGAAAGATGAGAAGACTGGCGCATGATAGAGAAGCAGCCGAGAAGGAGTGAGTACATGCCCTTGCTGATCTCGGAGTGAAAGCTAATATTGTAGGCTTGGGGGCTCAAAAGATGAGCTGCTGCATGCAGCTAATGTGGCGAAGAAGAAGTATCATGAGGCCAGGGAAGAGTTTGCGCGCACGGCCGAAGTCATGAAGACACTCAAGAACGCGCTCACTTCTCGTGAACAACGCTGGGAAAAGTTCCGACAGGATATCTCCATCCGAGCGCGGATTACCTTTGCGTATCTGCTCAGCGAACGTCAGTTCCGTGGCGAGTTGAAGGTGGATCACAAGTCTCAGCAGCTGGACATCCATGTGGGTTGGACCGATGATGTTGGGCCGTTCTGTGCTAATAGAGGCAGGTTCAACCAGATATCACTGTCACTAGCGGAGCCGGAAGACAAACCAAGACCTTGTCCGGAGGCGAAAAGTCGTTCTCGACCATCTGCTTGCTTCTATCCCTTTGGGACGCCATGGGTTCTCCCATACGCTGTCTGGACGAATTGTAAGTCTGTTCCTTCGGCCTCCGTCGCCAAGTGTCTAACACTCTCCAGCGACGTGTTCATGGACAACGTCAACCGCGACATCAGCATGAGGATGATGATTGGGGCTGCCCGGCGCGCCATTGGCCGGCAGTACATCTTGATCACACCTCAGGCCATGAACAGCATCGAGAGTGTGGGCGATGTCAAGATCATAAAGTACGTCTTCTCACGCTTGTGTGCAGAGTGTAAGCAAGAACAATGCTGACGTTTTTACAGGATGCGAGATCCTGAGCGTGGGCAGACGTCGCTGAATGTAAGCAGATGAGAAGATGAATTATTGGCATACAAGATTACATTGATATACAAGAAATATGGCGGCTTCTTGGTTCTTTGGCATGACCATGCTTTGAGAGCGGGGACGCATTTGATCCGCAGTAAGGCGTCCTGGATTTGGGGATTCTTGTAGCATATAACCTTTGAGATATCCAATGTGTAGACAGCCACCTCAAGTACAGTGAATGCAGCATGTGAGTGTAGCATGCAGATGTATTCACTCTGAGTACTTGGCAACAAGATGTGACATTTCGGTTGCCAAGAACCATTTTTCGTTTTCCTCGGGGGAGAGGGTAGCGTGTTGTGGAAGACGCTATAGTGTCTATAACATGTCTATAGTGATTAAGAATCCTGTACTGTGTAGGAGGCAACCAGGGTCCACTCCGGATCGTGCACAAGCTTCCCAAGAACCGTGAACGAGCGGCGTGGTCCGTGCTCAGACAGATAATCCAACGATCGACCCCGGGGTTCCTGCATATTGGCCAGCCGCTAGCCCAACCATCTGGCCTCGGGGCTGGGGACGCCCTCAGCATCTACGACAGCAACAACCACAACAACAACGCATGATCAGGTTTCCTCTGCGGCCACAGTCACCGCCTGTTTCAGGCTTCTTTCCATGCGCGTGCATGGATCCTCACCCACGGTGAGACTAACATGTCTCCCAGCTGCATGGACCTCCCCGACCTCTTCCCACGCGTAACGCCTCGGGCTTTGTCGCCCTCAGAGCCCGAAGCCAGCTTGAATGCAAATATGGCGCCCGCTGCTCCCGACGATACGAGGCCGCCTCCGCGTCCCGAAGAGTTGATAGATCACGCAAGTTCTACTGCAACTGGTGGCGATGGCAGCGCACGCTCGGAGTTCCCTCTGGAAGCGACAGTACAGGGCGCAAAGGGCAAGACCAAGGCGAGGAAGGGCCCGCTCAGGCTGCTAGACCTCCCGGTCGATATTCTGAAAGAAATCATACATCAAGTAAGTAGGAGATGCAAACAGAATGGTCGGTAGGTCGCCCAGAGCTACGTTGCTGACTTTGTGTAGCTCCCTCACACGAATGACCTCACCTCGCTCGCGCTATGCCATTCGGCCCTCCATCGATTGACAATCCCATACATCTACTCTCGCTTTGATATTGTGTGGCCCGATGAGAGCAACCACCCAGATCCGGGCAAGGGCGTCGATGCTCTCACATTTGGCCTTGCGACGTTGGTCATGGGGTGGGATACCTTCCCGCATCAAGCTCGGCGAGGGCTGAGTCCTGTAGGCGGAGGAACCCCACGAATCGAGCCCGATCAGAGCGACGATCCAGAGGCGCTGTACCCGTTGCCGCGCATGCGATTTGGAAACTACTATGCTCAGTACACCAAGAAGTTTTCCCTCGGGAATGGTCCGCCGATGTGGGTTCAGGAATACATCATCTCCAAGGAGAGTGGGAAAATGCTCGGTACCCTAGTTGCAATGGCTGTGGCCCGGATGATTAATCTCGAGACCTTTATATGGGATATGCCTACTGGCGTGCTGAGCGACGTGTGGAGGGCGCTGTCTAGCCTCGCTTATAGAACAGACGGCCAGGAGTGCCGCCTTGAACGTCTCTGGGTTCGTTGGCACGACAATACGATCGATTCACCCGCTCCGCCGCCAGCGCCACCGTTAATCGTGAATAACCTACCTCCGCCGCCGAACACGACGCATCCCAGCGGAATGGGCACCCTCCAAATGGCTGGTCCGATCCCACCTTCATCAACTACAGCGTCTGCAGTCGATCGCGTCGAACACCCCACATTCTCCGTCATCCCCGCCCTGAAGAGTCTGAGTGTCTTGGATATCGACGAGCTACCCTATCTCGACGAAATGAGCATCCTGATAGCGAGATCTCAAAGGAAACTGCGCGAACTCAGAGTCGGAATTGCCCCTCATGCGCAAGACCGAGAGTGGGTGACAGCATGGGAAGGCCCCGGCATCCAGCAAGTCGATTACAGTACGACGTCGACGGCTGCATGCTCGATAAGCGAAAAGCGGCTGGGCGGGGTACTTGGGATTCTCGTGGGGAGGGTGCACAACATGCGCCACTCTGAGCAGCAGCCAACCGACCGACGAGATGCTGTTGAATTGGCGCCGGCATCCGCTACTACGCCCATGAAAGATGGATTCGCGGCCCCGGTTTCGGTACCTTCTCAGGATGCTCAGCTGGATCGGGATTCAGATTCGACGGATGACAGTTTTGAGAGTGCTTCGGATGAGCCTTTGAGGGCTGGCAATGAACCCCCATCGGAGTCTGAACGGAAATCAAACCAGCAGCACATCCTGTCGAGCCTACCAAACGAGCAATCCGACCACAGCAGAGTCGGTGGTGGTCGACAAGTGATTGCTAGTCCTAACCAACGCATGCTCACTGGCAAGCTGAATCTGGAAGTGCTCGAACTGGAACGCGTCCCGGTCTCAGTATCTGTTCTCTTGAAAGCCTTCAACTGGTCAACGTTAACGACTCTGACACTTCTGAATTGCAACAATCATGAGCAACTGTGGAAAGCATTGCGGAGAGAATTCACCCCTCGATCAGCCATCCCCCAAGGTCCGGCTTCGTCTACTACCGCGTATAAAGCTTCATACACTCTTCGACATCGCAGCGAATACAGGCTGAACATCAAGAAAATCCACACAAATACGGTTTCCCCATCTCTCATCTCCTTCATCAAGGATGCCCTGGCGCCCAATACGCTTGAAGTGCTCTTCCTGCAAGAAGGGAGGTCGTATTCTGGGGCTGTGTCTATTGACGCCATATACCGCGGTCCGCTTAAACGGCACCGTGGGAGTCTGAAGAAGTTGATGATTGATAGTAGTGAAAGGGGACCAGATGGTCAACCTACCAATAGTCTCAGATGGCGCAGATGGGTATTGAATCGCGAGATCATCTCCTTCATTACCAGCGGTCGCATGACGAGCCTTCGCGAGCTGGCATTTTCAATTGACTACAAAGACTGGGTATGTTGTTGATCGAGTTTCATGTTGAACGTTTGCTAACCGCTTCAGCACCACTTCCTGCAACGACTTCCTCAGATACCACACCTCCGTTCGCTGTACATCCCGTTCATCGCGGATCACGTACATGGCAACAACCTGGATCCCCGAGAACTGGCGATGCAGGTTCTCGATATCGTCCATCTACGTCCGGAGATACAACTTTGCTACATGGGCATCACAACCAAGTGTTTCGAGATCCTGGAGACGAAGCCATGCGCCAACGATCTTCGGCACGAGAATATGCATGACGGGCCCTATGCGACTCAAGATCAGCTTTCCTCTGACGACGACGAATCCGAAGTTACGGAGGATGACATCGAAGATGACGATTTCGACGATATGCCCGGTGCCGGTGGTGCTGGCGAGGAGACGGCGTCGGAGACATCGGACGATGGTGGCCAGCATGAGGATTCGGATGACGATTCTTTCCTGCAGGACGAGCGGAAGGCGCCGAGGCTGCGGATTCGGGAGATCTTGTTTTATGAGGAGAAGATTGAAACGTTACGGGCTAGACATGGTATTCTGAAGCCATGACATGGCACGGGGAATTGAGGGCACGGCACTCATTGGCGGGCCAGAGACACACTGTGTTTTTGCTCTTCGATCACGAATATTGGTTTGAGGCGCTTTATGGGGGGGCCCGGTGTTTAAAGAGCGTGCATATGGCCGCTAGGTCGGACATGGGCAGGCGCTTTTATGTGGGCTGTGATTTGCTCCATGGTGTAGATTATCTTTTGCAAGGGACGTTTGATCGAATGGGAGTTCCTTGGACAGTCCTAACATTGAATAGTATACGTTCATTGCTTCTCGTGCATAGGGTGATTGGAGAAGATTGATCGTTTGAAGGTAGTGTGTTGTGGTGATCGTGGAATAGGCGTTTCTTTAAGCATCTCGGCGACGGACTGATATCCAGGAGACTTAATTAAGGTTGGGAGAATTGCTACAATCGCGACCATTTTTCTATCACTTCGGTAATCGCCCTGCAGCTGATCGCGTTCCACGTGAATGCGCGATTCTGGTCCGTGCGCGACTCCACAAAACAGTGGGTAGAGGTTGCTTGTAGAAACACTCCTCACGTCTAAGAAGCCGGTCCGTTCGAACGATGAGTTAGAGGAATGAAACTAGTAGCAACTCAGCTTGATCTCCTACACGCTTCCTGTCATGAACACCTCCCCGCACGACGATTGACCGCGTTCAAGCGGGGTTCTTCAACCAACGATCTCTCCACGGTGCTTCCCATGGATCACAAAAGCGTCGTCTTCGCGTCCGTCTTCCCGGTTCCTTCGCTCTCGCATACCACGCCGACGCCCATTGCGACGCCAGTCCTGGGATACGCGTCCTTTGGGCCGTCATTTGAGGGCCCAGCTGCGGATACTGCGGGCGCCCAGCAGCGCGCTGTGAGGCGGAACGTCGCATGGAGCACGGCGACGCGGTTCTTGAGTCTGCCGAAGACGCAGATCGCTGCGGATGCATCGTTTGAGGTGCGGAATAGGGCACAGCGGACACCTGATGTGGAGGAGGCGCTGGAGTATTTGCTTGTGGGTGAGGGGAGGAGCGAGGATGAGAGGGAGCAGGGGATTGTGGAGTGGTTTGCGAATGAGGCGACGCTGCATTTTGCGGCGGTTGTGAGGCCGAGGGTAGCGGCGCTGTGGGAGAAGGTACTTGAGGAGTTTCGATTCTACGAGAGGGAGGTGTTGACTGGGTACAGGAAGTCCACTTATCCCAGGCATGTGAGGTGCTGGACCAGACGCAGCGGATCCTCGAGCGTGCACAGAATCTCTACTTCCAACCTTTTGCCGATCACCTTCTCCCTTTTCTACACCGACATGCGGCTGCTTCTTCGTCTTCCACGGTACGACACTACGAATTCGCGGAACCCCGACGGCCTTCCGAGGCAGACATCGCGAGGCAGCGGTTTCAACGAGAGATCCACGCCGCCTTCACATACTGTGTCTCTGCTCGACGTTTCACGAAAACCCTAAGCTATGCCCTCTACGACATGGGCTGCGCCGTGTTCCGCGTCTACATCCGCCAGGAGGCAGGATCCCCGCAAGCCAAATTCGACAACATTTCCGACTCCCGTCGACGCATGGTCAGTCTCCTGCAAGGACTAGAACGCGTGGGCCTGGGCGGCGATAATGCGCAGAGGGCATTTGCGCATGCGATGGATAAACTCATGGGTTCGTTTATCGACAGTCATTACACGAAAGTGGACTGGTATTCTCGGAAATCCGTGGTTCCGCACCTCCGCATGTTCATCCGGGACGGCTTCTGCCCCCTCGCCGAGCTGGTGCTGGAGTGCCTGAAGTGTCAGCCCAGCAGTATCGACGCCAAGGAGCTGCAGGTATGGCAGGATATGGCGCTGGGCAGGTTGGGTCGCGCGAGAGTCGAGGACCTATTCGACTATGTGATCCGCTGGGATAAGAGCCTGGGTGCGATATGTGATTTGAAGGAGTATCTGAAACTGCCGGGCGCGAAGCAACACCTTACGTCGAATTTCTCGCAGCAGGTTTCGAGGAGGTTATTACATCCCGGGGCGACGACGACGTTCATACTGAACGTGTATATCTCGGTAATTCGGGCATTTCACGAGTTGGAACCCAAGGGGGTGTTGTTGGAACGCGTGGCGAGGCCTATACGACGGTATCTCCGAGAGAGAGAAGATACTGGGAGGATTATCATAGCGAGTTTACTCGTTGATCCGAACGATGGCGGAAGTTCGGCTAAGACGGCCGCCGGCGTCGAGATATCGTATGAGATCGCGAAAGAGATGGCGAAACCCCTATCGAACTTCAGCTCTGCCGACGCCGACGACGAACTCGACTACGGCGACATGAATTGGCAGCCTCTCCCGAGCGATGCGTCTCCCGAGTACAAGAAATCCAAGGGGGAGGACGTGATTTGGTTCCTGCTGAGTCTGTGGGACCGCGACGACTTCATCAGCGAGTTGAAGAATATCCTCGGCGATCACTTGCTTCGATGCCAGGACCCGGAGTACGAGAAAGAGATTCGGTTGTTGGAGCTTATTAAGGTGAGATTGGGAGATGAGAAGTTGCAGGCTTGCGAGGTCATGCTGCGGGATGTGCTGGATTCGAAGAGGATCAATGCCGCGACGAGGATCAATGAGGAGAAGGAGAAGGTGCTAAAGACGCCCGAGAAGCGCGCACCGCGTACGCCTGAAAATGCAGGACCACGGACTCCGAGGACGCGGCGGGCGGCGGCGGCGGCGGCAGCAGCGGCAGAGGCAGCGTCGGCTTCAACGCAGCAAAAGCATGCAGCACCTGCACCGAAGCTCAACGCGCAGATCCTTTCATCCTTTTTCTGGCCGCCCCTCCGGGATGACGAGTTCCTCGTCCCGCCACAGATACAGGCGCTACAGAAGGAGTATGAGGTGCGGTTCGAGCGCATCAAGGGGATGCGCAAGTTGCGCTGGATGAACGCTCTCGGGGATGGGAGTATCACGCTTGAGTTGGAGGATCGGATGGAGGAGTTTGATCACTTGACGCCGTGGCAGATTAGCGTTATTTGTGCGTTTCAGGAGGGAGGAGAAGAAGGAGGTGAAGGGGATGGGGGGTTTGGCAAGAGTAGTAGTACAAGAAACAGCTCCGGAGGGAAGAACAAGAGTACGGGTACTGCTGGTGAGGGCCATGCAGGTAAGAAGAGTGTGACGCGGACAGCAGAGCAGCTGGAAGAAATGCTGCAAATGGACGAGGACCTTGTCCAGCAGGCCCTGGCGTTTTGGACAAGTAAGTCCATCCTACGGGAAACGGAGCCGGAAAGCGGCATCTACGAAGTGATTGAGAATCTCTCCTCCTCGTCCTCGTCCTCCACAGCAAAAACCCCCGGCTCCGCCTCGAAACCTACAACCTCGTCATCGACCGCCGCGGCTACGGCCACAGAAGCGGGAGCCGTCCGCTCGCAAGCCTCCATCTTCGCGTCCAAGAAGGAAATCTACCAATCCTTTGTCATTGGCATGTTGACGAATCAGGGGAATGCGCCCGTGAGTCGGATATTGATGATGATGCGGATGGTTTTGCCGGGCGGGTTTCCGTACGGGGAGGAGGAGCTCAGGGTGCTTTTGGAGGAGATGGTGGAGGAGGGGAGGGTGGTGGGGTTTGTTGGGGGGGTGTTTGGTGTGAAGGGGAATTGAAGGACTTGAACGTTTTCCGTTTTCCAAGAATAGGGTTCTGAGTATGGGGATAGCATGGGATTGGCGTTGAGGGTTGGTGGTTATCTGGCTTGCATCTGGGTATGCGGTCCTATTCGGTGGGAGCGGAAATGCGTCGTACTATCCAGCTTATGTATACATATCCCTCAGACATGGAATACTGCCTCCTGGCAAGTTCAAATGATTATATGCGCAAATCATTCGTTATCATCAAGATTCATAACCCGGTATTCCTTCCTTCAAGGTACCCATTCTATCTCCCCCTCCCGGCAAGGCTGTCCAATTTCGCCCACTGCGTCGAAGTCATACACTCCGCACCGTCCTCCTTTTTCCCTTTCCATGAATCTCTCACACCCACCCCACCTTATCCATCCCACCATCCACCACTCATACCTCTTCCATGACGCTTGCTCCCTCACCACGGCCGATTCCACTTCCCAACATGCACATGCCCATGATACAACTGGCTCCCCGGGTCCTGCGTCAAACTCGTATCACTCATGTTTCCCTCCCCGCCGTGCCCCGTCCCCGTCTCGTGGCTCCAGCTCTTCCTCCGCGCCGACGGTGGCGGTCCCGTGTACGGTTTCGTAGTTGAAACTCGTGTTGTGGCTTCTTCCTGCTGGGCGAGATGGGGGTCGGCGGTGGAGGCTGTTGGAGGGGCAGCGGGTTTTTGGAGGGAGAGAGGGGGTTGGGTGTGTGTGGGTGTAAGGGTGGGTTGGGAGGTAAATGTTGGGGAGGTTGGGGCGGAGGTGGTGGAGGAGAGGTGCGTTGGGGCGGGTTTGTCCATGGCTGTGGAGGTGTACTGGTCCTTTTGGGTGGATATGGATAGGCGGGGATTTGATTCAAAAAGAAAAAAAAATCCCCTGGCACTGTGGAAGAGCGTTTCAATTAATGAGATAGATATCCGAAGATGAGTAAGGATGCAGTTATGGGAATTGTGAATTGTCTCGGATCCACTATATTCAGGTCGTGAGATTTGAGACAAGTGGAAAGGAGTATGGGAGCTATGGCCTAGGGGTTGACGTCATGTATGGAGCTGGTTGGAGAGCAGCCAAGTGAGGGAGTGGTGGAATGTGGCGGGCGGGGAACGGGCCGATGTACTTGGGTGAACAAGGGAGGGGCATCACATATTTCAATATGGACGCCGTCAGGGAGAGCTTCAAAAGGCGTTCAAATATCTGTCACTGATCGATACCTTCGGCTATATACAAACGCAGTTTATCTGTCGTTGAGCTACAAAACTATGTCTTCATCGTTGGAAGCGGTCTATATCCAGTGGCGAAAGATGCAATGACCTGGTGAACTATTGGAATTCGGAAGAGTATTCTGTTTATCGGTCTGGAACCGCCCACTTTCTCTCCGAGGAGATCTCAGTTACGGGATTATATTCGTCGAAAGCGAATCTCCCGTCGTTCCATCACCGTTGCAAGTGGAGCAGATGCGGATGTATACAGGACGGCCATCGTCGTCTTAAGAACAATTTTTGAATTTCAATGAAGGTAATGAGAACGACGTTCACTCAGGTGTCGCAAGTGTTCAGTTTCCAAAGACAAAGCCCAGGTCTACCATTTGGAGGGACTAGCAACTGACGTCAATGGCTACGTGCTCTAGTGCTTGCGAGAGGCGAACTCAAAGGACCATGGACCTCGCCTTTAGTGATGACCACCCTTTGCTACCCCATGACCACACAATGTATGCGGGAATTGAGTCAAGATATATGGAGAGGTGATATTGGATGCATGCACGACGAAACGAAGATCTCGACATCAAACATCTGCTAAATAACACAACTGGGCTACATAAATCAAGTCCCCCAATACACGAATACCGCAAGCACCTCTAGCTAGCAGATATCTGGACAGCTCCATTCCAGCCATTTACAGCTGTCGCGCGCCGAGTTCACTGTCAAAGCATATCCGTCAGGCGTGCAACAATTCACAAGGACCAGCAACATGTGCAGTCGCCGCCTCTCCTCCGACCTCACAGCGGACGAATTCAGAGCATTAACCACCCCTCAAACCGACAACAATCCAGCGTCAGGTTATGTCTATGAGGAAGCAAACCAAGACAATTCCGCGATCGCGGTGGACTCGCGGAATGAGAATGGCACGTACATGAAGGAGACGAACATGAGTTCCTCGAATGGAGACTCAAATGGGAAATCAAACGGGGATTCAAACGGGGACTCGAATGGTGATCTACAGCCCAGTACGCTCGACCTGGATGCCGAACGAAACGGGCACAGTTTGGCTAGCAAGATTCTGCCTGAGTACTGGGAGGAGGACTGGTTGGACTGAATAATGAGAAATGAACACGATTTCCGCGCGTGGATTTGCATGGTTACGGCAGCATGATGGGCGTTCAGTTCCTCGGAGTTTCTGTATTCGCTTGGTCTTTTCCTTATGAAGTTGATTACGAAGTTACGGTTATTCTGCAGTTTTTTGGCGGACACTATTCTGGCCTCTTTTCTTATCTTTGCGTTTCAGCATCGAGATTGGTTTCGCACAGTTCAATCAATGCAGGCAGCTTGCACAAAGTTGCTTGCCTATCTCACCTGTGTTGCACAATCCAGCGAAAGGCGTCACCAGCGTACAGGTTAAACCTCGAGGCTCTACGTGAGAAGAGGTGGCGACCATTGAAAGAGTCCAATGGGCTTCGAACGCTCCACCGCGCGAGCGGAGTGAGCCGTGGCGGTGATGTCACAGGTCTGGGGGGCAACCGTCACACAGAGAATGTATATGTCCAACCCACTCATCTGGTCCACCCTGTAGTGTCACTAGAAGCGAAAACCCCTCGTAGATAATAACTTCACGGTTTTGGCCTCGCATCACCTACATTGGCCCAATAACAATCTCATTGTCTCCGACGATGAGTACCGATCGAACGAGTGACGGTAGCCACCCGTCACCGCGGAACAACAGCACATCTACTTCCGCATCCGATGACCAAGTCTCCGGTTTCTCCGCCGATGACACCCAAGTTTTTCTCTCTCCCATCTTGGACTCACCCGACGAAACCGAGTCTACTGAATGGGAAGACCGCACGATGCGGGAGCTCAACCGCGTCCTCGAAGCGTATGGAAACGAAGATCCGTCACAGTTGAGGGATAGTAGGAAGAGCTGTGCTGAGGTCGCACCGGGCACGTTTCTGAGTTGCTGTCGTGGCATTCAAGCGTGTACGAGATTGAGGCAGTGCGAGGAGAAGGCACAAGAGGCGAAGAGAAGGAACTCGACATGATGAAGATTGATAATAATGTTCGGTTGCTATCTAATGAGGCTTATGTTACACCTCGGTCGTGGAGTTTTCGAATCGATGCTATATTTGAGAGCTTGCTGGGTAACCTGCTGCAAAGGAATATCATTTGACAAGATTGTTGCGGTTTCTGGGAGCACATATACGTCGAATTTGATACAAGCATGGTAGCTGGAATCTCGCAAAAAGAGTTGATGGATGGCGGTTGAATCTTCTTGTCCTGACTGAGCAATATGATGTACTACGCCATTTTGTGCTATATGATTGTACCTTATGGGTACTTCTTTCACATACGACCATAGCAACCAGAAAATTGGGCCTCTCGTCCGATCGACCATACACAAGCTGGTTAGCGCCCGTTGAGTAGTAGCGTGGGTGACCAGCTGCGAATAGCGTGGTGTTGTATGTTTTTTTGGTAGATTTTTGCATTTTCTCTGTGGTGGGGATTGAGCAACGAGTTGGGGGGGGTTGTCTAAAGACGGACCGAACCAGGGGGGAGACAAGGCCTGCAATGGACTGGAATCTGTTATTTCCAGGCAGCATAAATTCTGGAGCATGCTAGATGATTGATAAGTTGACGTCAACGCGATATTGTAGTGCGGGGAATGATCCCTTTTCATGCTCGTTAAAGAAACCATTGAATGCCACAAGAACCCAACCCAGCTTCAACTTAACCCTCACTCCAACGATAAAAACCTGAGTTACGGTCATAAATCCTCTCTCGCCTTCTTCCTATCCCATATTAAAAAATTGATCTTACAGGATTTCTTCACTCAAAGACTGATCGTTAATCGCCCACCATGAGCAGCGATACTTCCTCCCGCCAAACGTCCACATCCAACGCTTCAGAACCATCAACGAGCCAAAAGCAAGACACCATATTCCTGGGCTACCCAACTGGTGAAACGTCAATATACAAACGACACAAAAGAATGAGTGTGGCCACCGATTCAAATGAGCCCCTCACTGCCAGGCGTTCAAGTGGGTCGGAGAGGCATGAGGAACGGAGGGCGTTCATAGTCGGTTCTGACGGTGTGGTAGATGTTGATGTAGAGGAAGATGTTGAAGTGGAAGAGCAAGCGTGATGAGGTTTTTGTATTGAAGAGATGAGATTGGGATTTTCGCCCTCAGGCTCAGATCGTTAAGTCACGCTTCGAGTTGTGGATTATGTTCATCAGACAGCTTTCCTTATTGGAACAAATCAAAGAACGAAGCACTAGCGCTTGTCGTGGGAACGCAAGTGAAACTTACGGGTCGTTCACTTGTGTACCACCTTTACTTGGTACCTACTTGTGATATATTCATCCATTCGTACGGCTTCAATGTCGAATGATAGATCTCGACCGTCCTGGACTCCTCGGACTCCCTCATGATGTCATTACCCTTCTCCGCACCTCCGCGGCCACCAGACTGGACTGGATGGCACGCACGTCGAATCATACTCGACTCTACATCTCCATTCGCAATCATTGTGAACCTCGAAGCTATATATATCACCCTGACACCCATTGTGGTCCCTTTCTAACAAAGTCTCCATCTTTCACTCGAACCCCTTATATAACTCCAAACTTCTCGAATAATGGACAAGAACATCCCCACCAGCAAACTCACCACCGACGCGGGCATCTCGTCCGATACCGCCGGCCAGCCCACCTCGGGCGCCGCGTCCTCGCTGAACAAGGCGGAGACGGGCGGCACGACGGGCACCGCGTCCTCCAAAGGCACTCAGGGGAAGAGCGCAATGGACAAGGGGCTTGAGACCATGGGGAATAAGATGGCTGGGCAAGGTGGAGTTTTTGGGTCGATGGGACAGAAGATGAGGGAGATGGGTGGTGGGAAGGAGGGCGAGCAGGTGAGTACTCCCATTTCCATGTCTCAGGAGAAATGGTTACATGAGTAAATGGCAGTGGTGGAAGAGGAAGATTACTGACGAAATTTAGGGGTCTGGGATGAATCCTCCGAACCAGTATTCAAGATAGGATGGAGAGGAGTTCCACATCCTGAGCTGGGAGCGAGACGGTTATGGAACTCGTTGTTATGAGAGAAAATCTAATTGCCGTCGAGATTATGTATGCGAAAGCAACTCTAGAACCTTGCGCGGAGGTTGCGGATTAGTTGTAATCTTTGGTTTGAACGGATAAGCAATGAATGGAGATTGTCGCTAATACGTACATTTTGGTCCCGCACACGCCTATTCAAAGCCGTAACGATCTTCAATTGTATATCAAACCTATGAAAGGAGACATTGTCGAGGTGCTACTGTTTGTACCCCGCCTCTGTGGCCACATTCTCCGAGAGAGTTACCCCAGATCCGCGGACCTACCTTCCATGACTTCATCTCACGTGAGCCGCAACTGAGATGTGGCAATCCAACTTCGGTGTTATCACAGTAGTTTTGTCTTATAATATCATGATAGGTGATTCGAGAGGCTCGCATCATCCCTACATCCCTCCTATACCACCATCGAAATCCTACCTATATTCCACTCCCCAGCATGTCCTCCACCCAATCAACAACCCCTCATACAACCTCCAACTCACACCAAGCCACAAGAAGTATATCAACCCAGACTCAGACCATACATGACACGTCGAATTCCCAAACCGACGGGCAGCAAATCCGAATAACGTCCACCGAAACAACTATAAAAGCCGGAGATCAGGATGGGGTTACTGCATCGGTAAGCAGGAGTCCAAACAGAGTTCCTGTGCCGAGCACACTGCTGAGCTGCGCAGCTGTGGACAGATGCGAGGGAAATAGTGGGTGGTGTGGATTTGCGGAAGTTGAGGAGGCCGCAGAGCTGTGAGGAGCGGTTGTTCCATTAGGAGTTGGAGACTTTGGTAAATCTACTCTAGTCTTCTGTAGAGATACAAGATAAACTCCGGTTTCCAATGCTTACCTTAGGGTAATCACTCAATATGCATCAATCGCCTTAAAACACTATGTTTGCAAGATATGTGTAGCCCTTGCAAAGTCAACAAGATCTCCCTTCATAAACATTACTGAGAGCACAGCAATCGAGAATTCGGTACGTGAGAGCAGACCCGAGATTCTATGTTGTTGTAGGATTGATCTAACAGTTTCTAAATGTGAACAACGTGTTAAACACAGCACACCGCCTGTAAAGGTTCCTCTATGCAAAAGAAGGCAGAATTGGCAAATGTCACAGAATGTTCAATACCCCCCCAACAACATATCCACCATGCAACATACCTCTACCTATTCAAACCCAGCCTCCCTTCTCTTACACCCCCAAATCCGCAGCCACAGCCTCAATCGCCGTCACTAGCCCCTCCAGCGTCCCCGTTCTAGTATTCCCATTAACTACCACGCGGAAAAAGCTCCCTTTCTCCCCAGGCGCATAATCAACCATGAAACCCCTCTTGATTAAACCTTCAGTAATCTTCCTCGTCGTCTGCGTGACTTGATTCTTATCCTTGCTTAACACGCCGCCACGCGCAAAGTAAAAGCACACCTGCAAGCAAGGCAGGGGCTCTGGAGAAATAGGTATGAAGTCTGGGGAAGTTTTAAGCAACGAGAGGACGAACTCCGCGTTCTCGAACCCCCGCTGGACAAGCTGAGAAAAGTACTCGGAGCCGTAGTACGAGAGGGAGAGGAACAACTTCAAGCTATCCCCCCTGCGCCCACACTGGGGCGTCAGATCCGCAAGATCGTAAATCTCCCTGTCCTCCTCCTCCTCGCCTTCTGAATGGAACAAGTATCCAGCCGGCAAGGTCATCGCCTTGCGAACCAACCGCATATCCCGGCATAGCAGGAACGAGCAGGTCATCGGCACCCCGAGCATCTTATGCGGGGTAATCGCTATACTGTCCGCTAATTCCGCGCCCTTGAGACGGAGAGGTGATTGAGCGAGAGCGGAGTTGAAAATCACGCTGCCGCCCCAGGACCCGTCGATGTGCAGCCAGAGGTTGTGCGCCTTGCAGATGGCGCTGATCTCGGGGATGGGGTCGAAGGAACCCAGGACAGTGGTGCCGGCCGTGGCATTGACGAAGAACGGGATTTCGCCCCTGGCTTTGCTTTCCTGGACAAGTCTCTCCAGCTCGGATGGAAGCATGCGGCCCGTGGATGGGTCGACGGGCACAGGGATCACGGCATTGGAGCCTAAGCCGAACATTTGGGCGGCCTTTTCGAAAGAGTAGTGCCCATGAGCGCTGGTGAAGAGGCGCAGTTTCAGGGAGCCAAGGCCGTCGGTTTTGGTGGAAGGGAAGAGCGTGTTGCGCGCGATGACGAGGGAGGTGCTGTTGCTGGCGCTGCCGCCTGGTTGCGAAATGCCGCCGCTGTGCGGGGAGGTGAAGCCGAAGAGGGAGGCGAGGTATTTGCTAGTGTGTTTTTCGATGAGTGTGAGGGCCGGGGAGACTTGGTAGACGTGGGACTAAGTCATGAGTTGGTGATGGATTACAAGGCTTTGGAAAGAGGCACGGTTGAGAGTTGGGAATGGGACTCATGGGCGAAAAGGGGATGTTGTCACCTACGTTGGTGTTTAACGTCGCGAGCAACAATTCCGATACCAGACCAACCTGTTCAAATCAGCAGATGCCTCTTGAAAATTTTGCAGTAACCCTTCCCGAACAACACTCACCGCATTCGTACTCGCATACAACTTATCCATGAACCCCTGATCCCACGTATTCACGCTATACCTCAAAACCTTCCTCACCGCGTCCAAAAGTCCCTCCTTCCCTGTCCCTTTTTCCGGAACCAGTAACCCCAGAAGCTTTTCTAACTCTTTAGGAGCATGCGGCTCAACAAGTACAGTTCTGACAACGTCGCCATTGAAGGATTGGCCATTGCCTGCGTGCTTGGTGGCGGTATCGGAATCTGCCGCTTGAATGAAGGGAATTATAAGGTCTTCAATGGCAGTGAGGAGCTGTTGGGATATTAGTCAAACTTGTGTGTGGGTTCTTCCTCTTTAAACTAGAGGGTACCCAAAGCCACGGGGTTCGTACATCTTTTACCTCGTCTGCCCTACTGACGGGGGCTTCTGTGCCATTGGCGAGCGATGAGGTGGAAATCGTCATATCAAATTCCTAAAACCGCTGAACCGAGGAAGTCTATGGTCGATTTGGTCAAATATTGGGGAAAGGAAGAACAAGAAGGAAGCGAAATGTCTGGGATATTGTGGGCGGCGGGTGAGTAGGCCACGCCGGCCACAGGGTGGCCAGCCATTTTTCGCCGGAACATAAAATGTGCAAACCTGCAGAATTTCTTAGATATCTACGCAACAACAACGTATTTTCTTATAAAAAAGAAGCTACTACTAGAAACCTATAGTAAGAAACTGCTTTTAAGATTTTATAGGAAAATACGTTGTTGTTGCGTAGATATTTAAGAGATCCTGTAGGTATACGCGCCTCCTTTTCTCTGCGCAAGGCATGCTAAGGCGGCCCTGCGCAGGTTGCGTGGCCAGGTTCGCGCCTGTTCTTAGCAAAAATTACCCCGCCTTAGGAGATAGAAAACTATACTCTTTCTTAGATATCTATGCAACAACAAGAGATTTCTTTTAGATTTTTTAAGGGCAGCTAGATCTATATAGGAAGAAGCTACAGTTTAATTTTAGTAAAGAAATATCTTGTCCTTGCATAGATATTCAAGAAAGCAGACGCCTTTTTACGTCCTTTTTAGAATAAAAATATACTTTTTCTTAAATATCTACATAACAACAAGATATTTCTTTACTAAAATTAAACTAACGTGTTTCCTAAGTGAGCGGCCACTCCTAACCGAACAGCCACCCTCCTAAAGTTGCATCGCTTTCTAGCCTAATGCTACAATACCAC